TGCAGTGAGGGCACTCGTACTTGCCCTCGGCGTTCTTAGTAGCAGTGGTGGGAGTCTTGCCTGCAGCGGGCGCAGGCCTACCGGGATGAGTGGGCAAAACTCCGCGACGACCTTGCTGACCGACAACGTGAACAGGTTCTGGCTCCTGGTTGGGAAGCACGGGAGGGTGGGCGTACATGGACGCGTGTCCCAATCCCCCCATGCCAGGAGGGCCGCCTAGCTGGTGGCCGTTGGTATGCGCAGATGCTGTGGACAGCATAGGCGCCTGCGAATAGGCCGAAGACATAGGCAGGTACGAACTCGGCGTGGGTTGAAGGGGTCGCAGCGGCGGGTGCTGCAGCGGAGGCATGGTGGAACTGCCATTGGCAGCAGAGGTCACAGGCGTGTGCGGCGGCTGGGGCGTGTGAGGGTTGCTATTGTGGCCGTACAAGGGCGTGTACTGGCCGCCAGCCTGTAGAGGCGGCAGCGTGGGCAGCTGGTTCTGGGAACCATTGTACTGCTGTTGGCCTATTGATGGGTAATTACTCAGGCCAGGTTGGCGGAAGCGGTCTGTAGAGTCCATGATGAGGTTGTTGGTGGGTCGAGGGTGAGTGAAGTGATGGGGAAGGCGCGACCAATTGTTGATCGTGAAAGGACCATTCGACGGAGCTTAGAGCGGAGTAACGTCTGCAAGGCTGGCTAAGCACACCACGAGAACCGTTTGACGGACGGTCGGGATGGAGGAACGATGGGCCACGAAGAAGCTTTACAGGTGGAGCCGTGTGGGGGACTGAGATGGCCAGTCGATACGCGTCGGCGGGTACTCCACGGATGAGTGGAATTGAGGAGCCCGCTGTGGGTGAGTTTGGGAGATGATGGGTAAGAGGGGCAACGGTGTGGAATTGGGAGAGTTGACCGGTAACGATGGATTTCTCGTAGCTGGACTAGCAAGAAAGTTGCGGCGGTGGTTTGCCTGGCTTGCGCGGCAATTCACGCGAAGGGACAAGGGACCTGCTGCAGATCGGCGGCCCACACACCCTTCAGCCTCAGCCGATTGATTGCGGATAGACCAAGTGGAGAGCTGTAAGCACGAGACAGGTACGGTAGACCCACGACAGGAGTGAGGTCTGTTGGGGAGCTTTGGGGGAGGGGAGAAGGTGGCTCGGGGTAGAGATAGCGGTCGGCGAAAAAAATATGCGAGTGCTGAGAGAACTTCCGCTTTCCGCACCACGTAATTCCTGTTTTGTTTCCGCGCTGCTGAATGCCGGAGCTTGCCGGACGTTGATAGTGAGCAGATATGGCTTGAAAAGAATAATGTGGGTGGGTGATGCTACGAGGAGGCAGGGGAGGCGGCGGAGGCGCAAGAGATTTCTGAACAAGGTCTTGTCGCGGCAAACGCGTCGGGATGCCTGTGCAGCGACGTTACAGAATTAGGGCGGAAGTAGTAGGTGAAGACAGTGGGAGAGATGCAGGACCATCTCGAGACCCCGACTACCCTATTTCCGACGCTACACGTGATCACGAACTCTGATGACTTTTCGCATACGTGATAATCCTACTGTGTGCACGGCATTGGAGCGCGTATGCACCGCCCGTTGGAAAAAACTATTACCAATGACGACAGCCGTTCGTGTACTAGCGGGCAAGTGTCCAATTGCATGCACATGCACAGATGCCTTAGAATCCCAGCCTACGCGCTGGCCGGGCCCTTGAATCGTGCGTACCTCCGAAGGGTGTATGGAAGCGTATCATAGCCCTCGCATCCGTCTCCCGACCTTGTCCCGACCTCGTTCAGTACCATGGCCCCAAGGGTTTCACCCACGCCACTGCCTAGTAACCGATAAGAGCAAGAGCCTCATACTACATACTACCATTGCCCGCCACGCCTTTGGCTGTTTCAAAGATCACTTTGCAGACCCTACAAGTTCCCATGGTACGTACCAGTTGCTCGTACGTACCGTCGGCGCGCCCTTAGTCTGAGTGACTTGTCAGAGCCACCGGATCGGTAAGGCCAGCGAGCCAGGAGCGCAAGCAAGCAACTCATCCGAGCATCGACCCGACAAAGGCCGAGCTTCATGTCGCGTTGGCGGCTGTGGCTTGCTGGGGTGTTATATCCGTCCATGAAACCAGGCGCGTCCGGTGAGCTCCATGGGATGTCTCTGCACTGCTCGTCGAGCGTTTCCCATTGTCGCAACCCTCTGCTCGCCATATCTCGAGTGATGCGGGCGCCTGCGGGAGCGCTGGGGCAGAGGTATTTGGCACCCGCCGAGCCTGAGGTGAAAAGTTTCGTGAGCGTGACGTATGACTGACCGGAAGCGGACTAGCCTGCAGCCAGGATCCCTTGACGGCAGATTGCAACGGCGTCCGCTAAATCTTCGGCTCGCAAGATCCTTCGGTTGTGCGACCCTCAAATGAAACCACACGTCTTGAAACAGGTCTTCGAGAAGGATGCACTGGAAGGTCAAGGCGTCGGGGCATTCAAATCGAAACAACACATGCTGCAGCTCTAGATACGACTGCAATGCGCGACTTGTTGGCCGCGATCGCCCTAAGGCGAATCTTGTTGAATACCTCTCGTCCAGTCAGCTTACGTATAGCGACTTGTGACGCCGTTAGCGTCCTTTATCACGATGCCGCCCGGCCTCGTAGTTGACGGTGACTGACACTCAAAGCGGCATTCCGGATGCTGGTGCTGACTCGATTAGCACCAGAGGTGACACGCATCCAATGCTTGCCAGCTCAGTTCATTCATAATTGTCCTGGCATCTGGCCTAGTCCACTCTTGTGCTGCCGTGCATATTCTGCACCCATCTGCCTCTTCTTGAACGCGCAACAGATTGTCGAGAGTTTGGTGTGCACAAAAGCCCGCCCGTGGTTATCGCTTAAGAGCATCCGATCTTTATGTTGCATGCTTGGCAAAGTACAACGCAACCTTTTGCGGAAGAAATTGCCGAGGCTTGACGACGACGGCAGGGCGAAATGGTGGAAGAGAAATTTTTCCTCGGCAAGCGGCATGCTGTCACAAAGACTGATTGCGCGATAGTTGTAGTTGAAAGTTAGATGGCCGCCGTGGCTTGCCAGAGTGCCGTTAGATCCAGATGAACCCAACCCCCACGTGTTGTACACTATCCCACATCATTCTTGTGTAACAGAAGTCCCGGCATGCCAGCAGTTCTTGCAGCTTGCGCCAGGCCGCCGATGCAGCACCGTGCGCGCAATCGATCTCAGGGTTCCGACGGACACCGCTAGGCGTGCTAGGTGGCCGCAACTGCGCGCTCTGTACGTGCAATGCTCATGAAATACTCGCACTGCTAATACGCTGTGCATCGTGGAAGTTGGAATAAGCTCCAGTCCCACTTGCGGTTGCGCTCCCGAATCTGGGTGTGGATGATACCCGAAGGTGGGCATCAAAGTGGGCTGTCCGCTTGACGCGCTGCAGTGATTCCCAAGACGGCAAGACCAGCGACATACAGGCGGGATGTCTATGTCGTGCAGCAGGCTCTGACCCGCCAGGCGCGTCGTGGCTTGATCATCATGCACTGGATGAGTTTCAACCTCCTGTCTTGTGAGGTCACGCCGCCGGGAGAAAGACCGGTGAGGCGATGGAACAGGCCTCCGACGTCGAGATAGCGTATCGACCAAGTCATGGACGGGGGGTCTTTGACCGGACGAATTTGGTATTGTCCCCCGACTGGCGCAGGCGGATGTGCAGTTCCGATGCATCGAGGGGCTTGGCTTGGCTTCGAGGTGCCTGCGACTCGTTGCGAAGGCAGTGCTAAAGGAGCAAAGCGAGGTTTGGTACGCAGCAAGGCGATGCTTTCAGCTGATACACGATAGTAAGACCATCGTGGTGTGTCTGGTAGGCTCCATAGCTATGCTGTCCTTGTAGATATGCTTTTCCTCGTTGGTGCGACCTTGCACGAACGGCGGTACAATGCGGTACGCGCTTTGACATCGATTCCGTCTCTTGCTGTCATTATTACCGTCCACGGGGCGATTCGTGTAATTTAGCTGGAGAGAGCCAATCTTGCAGGTAGTGTTGGAGCTTGGGACGTGCCAACAAACTCGGTTGATAAAGTAGGTATTATGAGCCATCGTATGCTGGAGCTTGTGCCTGCCTTACTCGGGGAGTACTATAACATCGCATCTCGGCACGTAGAAAGATACCAACCAAGAAGGAATATGGGATGAGGTGTAATGGTATACTTTGTCTTGAATATATATCTCATATTGGAAAGTTGGAAATAATTGCGGAGACGCATATGCTGGGTTGCGCTTCCTCCGACAGGGCTGTAAGAACTCAATCTCTAGGCAGCATGACGCCTAGTACTATGTAGTAATGGTTTACCGCTCTCATTATCATATGATGCTTGTGAGCTATAGAGAAGGCGATTGCTATCCGTTGAAGGTATCAACTTTGACGTCGGAGTTTTTGCACAGCTTGGTGACCTCACCAGCTCAACTAGTAACACCCCCCTACTTTTGCCATAGTACTTCATTGCGATATGTGCTATATATACACTGAACGGGATGGACTTCTTTTGCCCTTTCCCTGCAGCGGCAGCAACGAACTGCCACTGCATGTGGTGGTCGTAGTGTTGCACGATCTCCCGTTTAGAGTTCTTCCTGCCCGGGCATGCTAGAATCTTGTAAAAAGCACAACTACAGATGTGCGACATGCGCAACGATGCTTCAAGTAATGTAGAATACTGCTGCCTGATACCGTTCTTTCTGGGGTACTTTGGCTCACAAGAGTGTGATGGGGCGTAAGATATGATTTTTTGTATGTTATGATAGAGCTTTCTAGAATCAAAAATGTGGAAGTTTCTTCGAACATCGCAACAGACTGCCACAATACTAATAAGCCTATCCGCAAACCCATACTGCATTCTTTAAACAAACCCATGAAAGCAACTAGAGCAGTATCACAAGCCTTGCGCACCCGCTCCACTACATATCCAACAACTCGTCGGATACTCAACACTCGCACCCCCCACCATATCCACCCGTCAACACGCGCCATGTCAGACTCCACCAAGTCCGCCAACCAGCCAACTCCACAGAACTCCCAACACCAAGAGTCATCAGAAACCAGCAAGACTCCACTACCCCTCCCAGAACCCACAGCGGAAGACGATGTCACCCAAGTCAATGTTGGTGGTCAAGCTGTAAAACTGGATCATCTGGGCCCCCTGGTAGTCAATAAAGACGGCACACTATCACGAATCTCAAATTGGGAGCAAATGGCGGATATCGAGAAGCAGAACACGTTGAGAATTTTGGTCAAACGGAATCAGTTGAGGACGGAGGCTTTGAAGGAGAAGAAGGAAGGGGAGGGAGCTTGATTTGATAGGCATGTCACTGGTGGAAAGCATATGTGCATGTATGTATACGGTAAATGGATGGTAGGGAGGTTCATCTGCAAAAATATAATGCTTCTTCTTCTACTATCTGCACAGTTTCGTGAGCGACGTTGCTCTATGGCTTTTGGGTCTTTGTGTGTGTCATGCGCTCGAAGTAGCTCCATTGGCCTTCTGGCGCCGGCTCCTCGAGTGGCTCCCAACTGTAGTGTGTTAGCTGTAGCCCAGCACTAGAAAGGCATATTTACTTACACCTTGGATTCGGTCATGACGTCTACGAGCTTGTGCTCGCCCTCAGCGACCTGAATAACCTCCTCAATCAAACCCGCGCCGAGTCTGCTCTCAAGATCCGAGATACTGTACAAGTTAGTTATATTTTCGCCACAAATCACAGCTCAAATCTGACGTACGCTTCGGCAGTGTATTGTGGCTCAGGATCAAACTTGGTGTTGTTGACTGCCCGCTCAGGTGTGTAGTTGACGTCGCCCTTCATCTTCTTGGCATGGGGCAATCGCTCTTTCGAAGACCGAATGCCCTCGGGGAAGGTCTCCATGGCCTCGCCATCCCATTCGGCTGCCTTTGACCGCTCGTCAACCTCGGCCTGGTTTGGAAATACAATAGTCTGGCCGGCTGATGTGTCGATGACCTGGTATCTGGTCGGGTCCTCGCTAACTTGCAGCGCGATCTTTTGCTGCCACTCGTCCCATCCCGCTGGCTTAGACTGCTCGATGACGGCTAGGCGGTGCTTGGTAAGGGCCTCAGTGGATTGGCGGTATACAGAGGATTCGGGAATCTTCTTGAGCTTGTCGAGGGTTGAGTGGTAGTGGTAGAGCAGTGCAGAGCGCGGCGACGGGTGGGTGAGAAGACCTGTGAGACCGGTGGGGGTGCCGGCCTCGAGGAACTGGCCGGGCTTGACGCTGGCGAGGAGACGTGCAGCTGCCCTCATGTTGGCGGGAGTGTCGGGTGTGGGGTTGGGGCGCAATTGGTGCTTCACAGTGGTGATGCCGTCAGGACGAAGATGCGCCCGCCAAGCGATATGCAGCCGGAGCGGCGATCCCTGGCTAGTAAGCCTTCAGGGACAATGCGCCTTGGAGACACGATTGCCCTCACTCGCGCGCGACGACCCCTCGCCACGCCTTGTGATACCCAGCTTCTTTTATAATCTCTATAGCACCCACAACTCGCATTCGCTTGTTATATTACACCGACCCTGTTTCCTCGCTAGAGGACCGCTGCCTCACACGAGCAGCCCACCACCTCCGCCGCCGCGATGCGCTCTATACTATATCCCCTTCTGTCGCTGGCGACGTTTGCTTCCACATTTGCGGCAGAAACACCAGCCGCCCAGGCGACCGCTAAGAAGGATGACTGGGACGAAAAGACGCCAGACACAACGTTCAATGGCGAGACAGTGCCGTCCATGATAGAACTTGGACCGAACACAATCGACACCGAGATCGGCAAAGGGAACTGGTATGAAGAGAGACATGAATATCCAAGAAGAAGAAAATGCTAACCTTTGAACAGGATAGTCGAGTTCTTCTCCCCATACTGCAGCCATTGCATGCACTTCAAGCCCACCTACCAAACCACCTACGAATTCTACTACACCTCGAAACCCTTCCTATCCAAAGACGAGCCCGAAGGCGACTCCCTCAACTCATTTACTCGATACTATGACTTCAAGTTCGCCAAGGTTGACTGTATCGCCTACGCCGACGTCTGCAAGAAGCACAACATTCAAAGCTACCCCACAATGGTCTACTTTCAGGACGGAAAGGAGTCAGAAAGAGAGACGGGCTCCAAGGATATGAAGGGTATGAGCACCTGGGTAGAGAGGCTCTTGGAGACTCTCCGACCCGGTACGCGCAAGGAGGGCGGCCCAAAGCTACCAAAGGCTGGCGCAACATCTGTAGAGACTGGCCCAAACACAGAGGAAGCTGCTAAAGAAGAGAAGAAAGAAGAGTCTAAAGACAAGAACGCTGCGAGCCCAGCCACCAACCTAAGCCCATCCGCCACACCCTCTCTTACGAAAGCGACAAAGGCCGCCTCCGCAAAGGTCGAACCCACCTCGAACGCGAATCCATCTGGCACCGTCGAGCCCCTCACCGCCGAGAAATTCGAGAAGCTTGTTGCAAACACACGCGACCCCTGGTTCGTTAAGTTCTACGCGCCATGGTGCCACCACTGCCAGGCTCTTGCACCAACTTGGGCAAACCTTGCGCGCCAGATGAAGGGAAAGCTCAATATTGGAGAGGTCAACTGCGACGTGGAGAAGAAGTTGTGCAAGGAAGCCCATGTTCGAGGTTACCCTACCATGCTCTTCTTCCAGGGCGGCGAGCGCATCGAGTACAGTGGTCTGCGTGGGCTTGGTGATTTGTTGGACTATGCGGAGAAGGCGTCAGCGGTTGGTGCTGGTGTACGTGACGTAAATGCTGAAGAGTTCAAGAAGATGGAAGAGACTGAGGAGGTGATCTTTACCTACTTTTACGATCACGCGACCACCTCGGAGGATTTCCAGGCGCTGGAGCGACTTCCTCTCAGCCTTGTCGGTCGAGCAAAGTTGGTCAAGACAAACGACAAGGAGTTGTTCGACCGCTTCAAGATCTCAACATGGCCACGACTGATGGTATCGAGAGACGGAAAGCCTACATACTATCCACCTAGGACACCCTTCGAGATGCGCGATGTCAAGAAGGTTCTTACCTGGATGAAGTCTGTCTGGCTGCCCATCGTCCCTGAGATGACTGCTTCCAACGCTCGCGAGATCATGGAAGGTAAGTTTGTTGTTCTGGGAATACTGAACCGCGACCGTTCCGACGAATTCATCCTCTCTAAGCGCGAGTTGAAGAGCGCCGCGCTCGAATGGATTGACAAGCAGGAGACTGCTTTCCAGCTTGAGCGACAGGAACTTCGCGATGCTAAGCAACTCCGCATCGAAGAAGCCGAAGACAAGGACAACGAGCGAGCACTCAGAGATGCTAAGAATATCCGCATCAATATGGACGATATCCCGCGTACTCAAGTCGGTTTCGCGTGGGTCGACGGTATTTTCTGGGAACGCTGGATCCGGACTACCTACGGTGTGGATGTCAAAGACGGCGAGAGCGTCATCATCAATGATGAAGACGTAAGTCACCAAGATCTATCATACATGAAGCTCGTTAACATATGTAGAACCGCCGTTATTGGGACAGCACTGTATCTGGTGAGCCTATTCGTCTCTCTCGCGCTGCAATCCTAGAAACCATCAAGATGGTCACCTCCAACCCTCCTAAGATCGCCGCCAAGTCTACCACTGGTCGCATTGCTGGCATGTGGCTATCGATTCGTCATTTCGTCAACAAACACCCTTTCATCTCCCTTGGCATGTTTGTTGGCTTCTTTACTGCCGCGACGTTGTTTGGTAACAGCAGGCGAAGGAGACAGTTTGGAAGTACCGGCGCGTACTTCCAACTGGGAGAAAAGGACGGGTTACTAGGTGGTATGGGTAATGGCAACTTTGGAGGCGCGAAGCATGATTGAGCTTTGCGATAAGATTATAGGATGACTCTTGCGGGGGGTTTGGCGTTCGCTTCGGCGTGTATCATAGCTTTGACTGCATGGGTGTGAGCGATGACGGTTATTCATTCTGCACCGTGTACCAATACGACTTGTTGTTATTAGCATGTCTCTTATCCCAACACCTGAAATATCTGCCTGCGTACGCCCTGGCGATATCACGACATTTCCGAGCTTTTGACGTGCTACACAGCACCACATCAGGGTTAGAGCATATGCCATCGTATGTCACTTGCAGTTGCCCATTGGGTGGAGCATGCACGTGTCTACGCGACGTAGCTCCCCACGCGTTACCCCACCACCCCTCCAAACTACTTTCACTCATTCTACACCCTATAACTCGGGTACACGTACCGTACCCTCTAGACTACCTCAAAGAGAACCGCTCACGACCTTACAAGCTTCAAACTGCATTTCTTCAAGTTCTTACGCGCAGCAAAACCGCGCCCCTGCAATTCTTGCGCGGCCCACGCACATACCTTCTTCACTCGCTCAATACCTCATACTACGGCCCGCACGATGTCGACTATATCCCTCTCGGATCTAGAGTTCATAACCCGTGAATCTCTCGCTAGCGACTTCAAATCTTCAGGGTCTGCACTTCCCCCAAACACCGCCGTCGTCGACGTAAGAAAAAGCCCTCTCTCATATACAAACCTACCTTGGAAACCCGAGACTAACCACATCCACCCATCTAGGTAAGGGACAGTGATCACATTGGCGGTCACATCAAAGGCTCAACCTGGGTTCCCTCCTCACAACTCGACTACAAAACCCCCGAGCTCATACGCACACTACAAGATAAGGAAGTCGTCATCTTTCACTGCGCGTTATCACAGCAACGTGGGCCGAGTGCGGCGTTACGGTATCTGAGGGAGAAGGAAAGGTTGGATCCTGCTTCTAGCACGGAGTCGAAGGGCGAAGTTAAGGAGCAGAGTGAGGCGGTGGAGAAGGAGGGTGAGGGAGAGGGACCGAGCGGTACGCAGGTTAAGAAACAGAAGGTTTATGTGCTCAAGGGGGGTTTCACGATGTGGCAGGAGAAGTATGGGCAGGACAAGGATTTGACGGAAGGGTATGAGAAGGATGTTTGGGAGTTTGGTACGTCGGATCATTGAATGTGAAGATTGAAATACGAACATGTCAAAGTTTAGGGCTGGCCGAGAGATCTAACCATGATATCCTTCCTGCAATATGTAGCAACGGCCACGGCACTTCTACCCAAGTTTTTTTTCCTATCAAAACCTTGCAAGACTACATCCTCCACTCTCAACACCCCTTAGCCTTCGCCTGATCCTCAACCAACCCCTTGTAATTTTCTCTCTCATACTCCATGATAGCCTCCACCTTCTTCGCACTAGCACTTCCCTTATCGAACCGATACCCAACCCACTCCTTTACTAACCTCCTCGCAAGTTCAATCCCCACAACCCTCTCGCCCATACAAAGCACCTGCGCATCGTTCGACAAGATCGCGCGTTCCACCGAGAAAGAATCATGTGCGGTCACAGCTCTGATTCCAGGGACCTTGTTCGCGGAGATGGCGACACCGAGACCAGTGCCGCAGATGAGTACGGCACGATCTGCTTTGCCTTCTGCAACCATTTTGGCGGCGTCGACGGCGATGTGTGGGTAGGCTGTCTTGTCACTGTTTTCAGGGACGCCCACATCGGTTACGGAGGCGATGCGGGAGTCTGATTCCAAGTCCTTAATAATGGCTTTTTTGTAGGAGACGCCGGCGTCGTCACAACCTATGGCTATGCGGAGGGGTTGTTGGTCTGACATGTTTGCCTTTGTGGGGGAAGAGAGATCTCAAAGTTCTGACGTATCGTATTTCCTCTCGATATTCCGTCTCTTCGTTTTACTGACGACGTTTAGTCGACTTTTGTCCCGGTCTTGATCGTCGGTCTCTTGGTTTCTTCTCGACGAGCCACCACTTCGTCTCTCACTTCTCGTCGTCGAATACGATATCTCTCCTTCCGCAGACTTTACTTTTCTTCCACTCCCTTCAATAACCTCGTTGACCGCTCGATTAACAGTGTTCTCAAATGGCCTCGTCACGTAACTCAAATCCGTATGTCCGTGTGTCGGTCCTTTGCTTTCAAGAACTTTGACCCTGTCTACACCGTCTTTGTTGTGGTCTTCAACTTTCTGGTACACGTGGTCGGCGTCAGTGTCGAGGTTTAGAGAGAACAGGGCGCGCTTGGGAGGGGCCATTTTGGGCGGGTGGCGTAGGGGAAAAGGCTTTTATATGATTTCGGGGGCAATGATATGCAAGGGCAAGGTGTCTAGGTGGCGCTTTCGGTTGAATGAGGGGTTAAACAGACGACCCGTGGAGGAAGTGGAAAGCTGGGAAAGCGGGATGCGGGGATCGGGAGTGCCGAATGCGGTATACCGGTGGGGTAGAACTGTCAGGCTTGTGGTCTCGATGCGAGATGGCGACAGGACGAGGTATACCGATCTCGGGGATGTGAGGCCGAAGTTTGTGTCTCGGTGGTTGTTCCGAGTACTGCGTGTGATGGTAGTGAATTTGCCCGTCCTAAAACATTCAAGAACTTGTTTGCATGCCAAGATTGACCAACGGATTACGTCACATTCACAATACTTAGCTGGTACCTGCTTGATGCTCTGGTGAGACTTTTGGCTACCTAGCTATCTTTACATCCCTGTGTTTTCTTCAACTTTTCTATTCTTTCCGTCAACATCTATTTCTTCTCCTCTCCAAACAAATCCTTCTCAACCATCTGCCTACAGATCGGATGGTAGAAATCCTTGTTCTTCTCAAACGTCTTGACAGCCAAATCGCGATCCGCCTCGTTTAGCAACCTAAACATGGGTCGCACAAACTTCATGCGACCAATCTTGCCTAGCAGAGTCGCTGCCGGCTCATAAGTCGCTTGCGCCTTAGCCATGAGTCCAATACTCAGGTAGCGCGACAGTACTTCGATGTTCTGGGTGTCGTTGTAGCCATATGTTGCGCCAAGCAAATGCACGTGGTCAGCTGAGAACTTCGAAGCAAATGATTGAAGTTTCTCAAGGAAGACAACCGATTGGTTAGATACCCAACCTTCAATGTCAGAGGCTTGGGGCTTGAAGCTGCCTGAGTCAGAGGAGACCAGAGCTTGCCACTTGTCCGCGAGCTCATAGCAGCTCTTCACCATAGTCTGGTCAAAGTCCGGCTTGACAGGATACCCGGGTGCGTAGAAGAGTTTATCCCAGTCGAAGTTGTCCAACTTTTGCTTGCTCTCAGCGTCCTTCTCGAAGAACTCTATCAGGCAGCTCTTGAAGTCGTAGGAGTCGACAGATTTGAACTTGAATGTATCAAAGTAGTGTGGGATGAAGGAATCCCACTTCTTCTTTCCGAGAAGCAGTTCGAACTGATAAAGTGCATGGAAGCCTTTCTCATAAGGAATGGAAGAGAACGCGTCATCTGGGTCCTGACCCTTGAGGTCGAGAACCAGCTTCGTGTAGGGGTGATCCGCGCCGTAGTTCTCGATACTTTGCTCTAGAGCTTTCCAACCGATGATAGCGGAGAAATGGCGATGTGCCTCTCCGTGGATGGCGGCAGCAATCCTACGTTCCAAATATGTGGTCCATCCTTCGTTCAGCCAGAAATGCTCCCAGCTTGCTGCGCTGACAAGGTTACCGGACCATGAATGCGACAGCTCATGTGCGATGACGTCGACGTTTTGCTTGTCACCAGAGATGATGGAGGGAGTGGCGTAGGTCCAGACTGGGTTCTCCATACCGCCGTATGGGAAGGAAGGAGGTAGAATGAGTACGTTGTATTGTCCCCATTGGTAGGCGGGTGAGACAATGGATTCGAGTGCCTTCATGAAAGGCTCGATCTCGCCGTCAAGCTCATCTTTGCATGCGAGGAGCTCTTCGGGACCAGACCATACAGTGCTGCGTGGGCCAATGCTGGCACAAGCTAGATCTCCACTCGCAACAGCGAAAAGGTAGACTGTCATTGGGACCTTTTGTTCAAACGTGTACTTCATAGTGCCACTCTCGCCGTCCTTCTTCGCAGGTAGATAGTCACTAGCTCCAGTAGGCAGACCCGAGGCAAGAACCGGTAGTGGCGAGCGTAGAGCGAAGCTGAAAGTGGATTTAACATCCGGAGTATCCTGGCAAGGGAAGACAGACCGTGCATGAATAGCCTGGCATTGCGAGAACATGTACGGATGCTTCTTGTTAGAAGTTTGAGCGGGCGTCATCCACTGAAGTGCAGTACACTTGTCAGTAGTAGCGACCTTGATCTCCACATTGACAGTCTTTCCCTTAGGAACCTTAGATGGAAGAGTAATGGTAAGAGGACTTCCATAGGGTTCTACGCGATCGCCAACGTTGAACTTGACGCTCTTCCCTTCGACTTCTACAACAGAGATGTCAAGGAAGCTGTATCCAGTCAGTAAGCTGTTCAATAAAATCTGCCTCCTCTGTATATTTTGCATACGTACCTGCTATCCAATACAACTTCTTTGACCTCCTCATCCGTCAAACACTCCAACGTCAACACTACACTCCCAAATAACCGCTTCTTTTGAAAGTCGATATCGAAGTCAACACTCGTATGTCTAGTCACAAAGTTGTGGTAGTTGGACAAGGTGTTCGGGTCTCTTGGAGTGCGGATCTCAATATTTGGATCCGCCATTGGCTTTGTGACCATCGCGGCGGGGGAGCGATGCATCGTGGCGAACGTTGCTGCTCTTGTAGCTGGTGGCGTGAGGGTCTGATCTATCTTTGTAGCTTGGCAAATGTTTTGTCTCCCACTCAGAGCTGGTAGTTGCGAAAGACGGGCGTTCTGAGCGAGAAACGTTGCAGGTGATCGTGTGGTGAGATATCGTCGGAGTGGAGTAGACTCATATGCCGATCTATGCCGCAGCAAAGCAGATGACCTGCCTAATGCACTTTTGGCGGACATCTAGGGATTTCGCACCCGCAATTTAGATAGATAGAAGAAACGACTCGCACAATACCTAGGCAGCGGCGGTGCCAAGGGTAACCACCTGCGTCTATCGTTTAGCCCAATACTGATGTGGAGGCGCACGGCCTTCGGCGATTCGATGAGGAACTTTGTTGTAGTTTTTCCGCATGTGTTTTTGCGACCAACCTTGCAGGATCAAAACTGCGCGTGAAGAAGAAGCCACCAAGATCTGGAGATGTGGTGGTTATGGATGTAAATAATGTATTGCAGATGCCAAAATATGCCCAAACGCTTCGATACCCAAAGCAAGCTACCATACTATGCATGTATGGAGCTATTAACACCATTGACACCTGTTCCAATCATGCTATCTAATCCTTCTTGCTACCCTCCCCTTTTCTCGTCCTGTCTCTCAAAACGAGGTTGATATCTGGTCGAGCTGACTGATATTGTTGAGTTGATCTGGATACTGAGCGCTCACTCGTCGAAGCAAGCGTTTCCTCTGCCCTCGATCTGCCCCTGTCCCTTTCATCATCTCCAATCTCAAAAGCATCATCTTGGAGCTCTATGAGATCGCTTAGGTCGCCACCGACAGCTCCTAGCACGGGCACGGCACTGCGTTTCCCTTGCCCAGGTGTACCTGGCTCATTCAAAAGCTTCTGTGCTTGTGTACCAACTTTTCTTACCCAGCCTTCTATGGCGCCTCCGAGTTCTTGGAAATCCAAGCCACTACCACTGAGTGGTGTGACAGCACCTGATCCGCCAAACTGACTCGACGTCCCGGCACCTGCGTCCAGCAGGCCTGGCGCCCATGGTGTGAAGTATTCCTGACCTGGTGGGGGCGCCATGTTGGGCAGGTACTGACCAAACTTCTTGTTCAGACCATCCTGTGCAGGCCCAGGGCTTCGCACGTTTCTGCCCATTGTACCGACACCTCCTGGGCCGTGCAGACCCCATGCCTTGCCTGATGTACTTCTTTGGCGGCTGTGGGCTGAGGCGGATGACAAATTGCTTGACGCACGCGGTCGAACGGATTGCGAGGGAGAGCTGGTATGTGGATTCGTGGATGTGGAGGAGCGTGGAAGGTCGACGGATGCCCGAGGTGTTGATGCATCAGAGTATGCGAGGGACTTCCGCCGAGCGGGTGGGAAGAAGCCGAGTGCTCTACGTGGCATGCGGCCGATTTGTGTGGGCTGTTTGTCATTAGGAAGGAGCACCCATGAATCATGTTTCCATGGCGTTTCTGCATCAGAGGAGGGGACGGAGTTGGTCTCTTGGTCTTTCTTTTTCGGCGTGGTCCAGCCATTGGGAAGACCTTGAGTATCTGAAGCTGGAACTTTGCTACTCGAACCATCGCCATACTCTCCTAGTAGCAGATCTTCGGCAGGGAGAGCATCCGGGCCTTGGACTGGCCTTCCCTTTACGCCACAAGCATCTACTGGCAGCACTACCTGCTTCTTGATCTGTATGCTGTCGTTCGGCCACATACGATTAGCTTTTCGTAATACAGCTTGCTCGCAGTTGTATTTGATGCTAAGCCCAGCCAGCGTGTCTTGCGGCCGAACGTGGTGAATGTATACGAGCGCATCTCGGTCGTCATTCTCGCTGGGAGGCGCGGAAGTGCTGAGTCGTTCATCCGAGTTCCTGCGCTTTATACGGCCAACGGAGTCCGGCACCAGATGCTCGCCGGCAGTTAACAGATCTTTCCGCTTCATTGCTCTGACCATGGCCTCTCTTTCTTCGTGTGTTCCAGCCCCAACATGCGAGCCTGCTCCTGCGGGACCCCATTGTTTCGGCGGTGGTGCGCTCGTAGACGTACGCCGCCCATGACCCGGTTTCCGTCTGCGAGTGCTTCCAGAGTCACCTGTGGTACCGTCACTAGCCAGCACGGTAGCGGCAATGCCCTGGATAGCCGCCAACGAGTTTCCCCATAGTCCGGAGAGTGTTTGCGAGGGCGATTTCGGGGTCCATGTGCCGGAAGATCTCTGAAAGGACGATGACGGAGCAGAAGTGACGTTGAGACGCGAGGAGGAAGCGCCGCCTGTACGTACATTCGGGGTAGGAGATGTGTTCCGCGAGCCTAATCTTGACGTGGCCCTACTTGGTCCACTGTCACTCCCATCCGTTGCATAGATGTCATCTTCTACTGAGATGAGTCTTCGTGTTCGCGGGCGCAGTGTCGAGTTGCTCTTGGACGTGGACAACGAGGAGCCATTGGAGGGGTTCATGGCATGCGGACGCCAGGCGGAGTGGGTAAAGGTGGTGCTGCATAAGCCAAGTGATTGGAGTGGTCGGGAAGCCGCATGACATGAGGTTACGGCAACATTGTGTGAACGTCAGGATCGAGGGCGGAGGCGCAATGGAGATAATGGATGCTCGATTATCGTGAGGGTTCAATAGCTGGGGAAGGAAGCTACGTAACCCCGAGTACTCCCCCTTCGTTCAAACAAGGCCGTGCACTGTGCCGCCGAACCGTCAGAACATGCAATGCCAAGTCACCTAGGCACCATAAAGAAGTCTCACGATAGATTAATATGGATTGTGTACGTAAGTAGTGCATGCTCCTCAACGTTCACCGCCCCTCCCGTGGCTGTTCAAACCGCTGCGTGACGATAAGGACAGATAACGGCTAGCTTAGGGTCTTGGAAATAGCTTTGAGCTTACTCGGTCATTCGATAATTCTTTGAAGAACCGGCTACTATTTCACGCTTTGAATTACAGACTACGCATTTTGTTGCATCATTAGAGAATTTCTGCTGGACACCTGCCAACTGCAAATTGTGTAGCCACAAGTAAACAAACGCCATATGCGTGTATAACGCGCGGATATATCATCAGTCGTCACAATCGAGATAACGAAAAGCAGCAAATACACGCTGTAGAACAGAACGAATCTTCACTTCCACTGGCCCGTCCGTCATCGGAATGGACTTGAGCTGGTCGTCACATCCACCTCTTCAAACTCTAGTTCAAAAGCGTCCACTTCCTCAAATTTCTTTCTGATAGCAGCCAGCTTCTCTGAATGCTCAATTGCGGACACTTCAGTAGTGTCTGCTTCGTTCTGACCCGCAGTTTCGTTTTCCTTGTCCGAAGAGATTCTGCGACTGTATGTTCTGCCCGACTTGTGTGCTGCTTTAGCGGGTGCGCTCTTATTTGCGCGAGCTGCCTTTTTTGTTGCCTTCGGTGATGCTGTCTTTCCAGTCCCCTGCCTCTGGCGAACGCGACGCGCTGGCATCTGTAACTCATCTTGATCCGAGTCCACCAGCTCGACATCATCAGAAGACTCGATGTCAAATTCGTCCCGATCCCGCAGGCGATTGCGTCGACGCGGTAGCAGACCTTTGAGTTGCGCAGTGGATATAGTTTGCTCTACCTTCTTCTTGGCCCTCTGCTTGGCCCTCGCAGGTGTCTCTGTTTCCTCGCCTTCCGAGTCCTCATCCATAACAGGCGTCTTAGCTTGCCGACCTCTTCGGCGTAGGCGCGTTTGCACTGGTGATTGAGGCGGCTTTGAGACTTCGCGTATCGGGCTACTAGACATGGGAGGCGCAAGTGTTTCGCTCATAGGCTCTTCATCCTCTTGTGTTTGCTCGACGACTTGCTCGCGTGATGGCACTACTTCTGGTAGGCTTGGGGAAGGTGGCTGCTCAGACTCGACATCCCCACCAGACTGTGGACTCGCCGGTGGTGACGAGCGCGGCACCTGGACTATAGACGAGAACTTGCGCTTCGTGCCACGAGAACCGGAGCTTGAGACCTGAGTGCCGCTATCATTCCGTATCTCCTCTTCTGGTGCCTGTTTCCGCACGTTAAGGGGTGTTGACTCAGCGTGCGGAAGGAAGTCGTCAAAGTCAAAGTTGTCGGTGTTGTCTAGGTCGTCTTGGTCGTTGTCCTCTACATCGGTAGTCTGTTGCACCTGGCGCAGCAAGCTTGGCTGCCGGGGTCTTCGCCTGAAATTGCTCAAGGCCAGTATTGATCTTTCGTGTGCGGGTGTTGCGCCAACCTTGATGGCTGATGGTGGGCGTGTGCCGTGGGCTGGGGAGTCGGAACCAAGAGACGAGAATGTCAGATCGCCATAGCCGCTATCTTCCTCCATCTGCGATTCTTCGTTTGCTTGAGCCGCTGCAGCCAGAGGTGATGAATGCGCAGCAGACTTCCTTGCACTGCTCCTCGTGGCCCGCGTCCGCTTTGATGCGTTTGATGCAGGAGTACGGGCCTTCACCGCTGATGCGGGTATGTCTTCTTCAGCCGGTAGCGCACCAGTCATGGTGAGCTCTGCCTCGTCATGGACTTCCGGTGTCTTCTCCCATGGCATTTTCCTACTCGAACGCGTTGTCCTAGATTTTGTGACGAGGCCTTCGCTGTCTTCGCTGAAGCTGTTGGTTGCTTTGCTAAGCTTTTTGGTTTGCGCCGGGATGGGTTTCGCTGGCTGCTTGGCCGCGGGGGCAGCTTTCGGGTTGGTGGGTTTCGCGACGCGCGACGCGACTTTTGAGCGTGGTGGACGAGGCATTATCGCGAGTGGGCAATGTGAATATCTTGGGATGCTAGGGGTTGAGCGCAGACGAATGAGTGTGGTCGCGATTGGGATGAAGTGGGCGGCGACCGTGCGAGAGCAATGGGGATGAGGCGCGTCGATGTTGTGACGCACTGGATGGAATTCACTACCTAGCGCCGATCTAGACGCGCGAACTCTTGGCTCACGTGGTGCATCATCTCATGGGTCAGCCCAGATGGTAGCAGTCCTCCTGGAAAGAGCGAGATGTGTTTTTTTGCCATGCTTCCGTGAGCGCTCTCGAGTTAGTGGTATTCTGGACCTATCAGAAGCAGATATTTTGGGGTGGTCGTACTCAAGGCAGCGACGATTGCAGCGTATATAGCTGCCTTGACAGACTTCAGAAGTCGAGTGGCACCCTTGGCTCTTCTATCTCAACGCCAGATTCATCATTGTCATGAACACTCTTCACTATCCCGATTCTTTGCAAGAATTTGCAGTGTCTGAAGCAGCCTATCTTCGCCAACACCCCGAATATGACTGCTTGGTCACAGGTTCAGTTGTATTCAACGATAAAGGGAAACTATTGCTAGTGCAGCGTGCAGCGGAGGAAAGAGCGTTCCCAAATTTCTGGGTGAGTCAATGAGGAAGCCACTAGTGTCCAGAACTAACACGATATAGGAGATACCAGGCGGTAAAGTCGACGATACTGACGAGACAATCCTGCATGCTGCTGCTCGAGAATTGAAAGAGGAAGCCGGTCTTGACACAATTCGCATACTGAAGAAAGTCACGCAATTTACCTTTGTGGATGGGAAGGCTGGTCGACCGACAACAACATGGCTTAAGCTGGTGTTTGAGATGCAAGTGCAAAACGTAGACAATGTCGTCTTGGACCCGATTGAGCACCAGAAGTTCCTGTTCACTTCTGAAGATGAAGTCGTCAATGAAGCGGTGGGAGATGTAAAGCTCAGGTACATCAGTCCTGCGAATAAGGAGGTCAAATTGGAGGCTTTCAAGCAGAGATGCGGACAATGATGCGGGTGGCAGTTATCGGCGATGAACTGGCAACTGTCACCAATAGGAGACGACCCATATAGACGGAAAGGCGATCTGGGGTAAGGACGCCCTCTGAAGGACGAGGATTCTAGCTAGCAACAAAGAAGAGTTCAATGACGCAAACGGGGCACGGCCCTGGGAGCAGCTTATGGAATTGCGCAACGTCGAGCCTCTGCAAGATTGTACTTGTCAGGCAGGAAAAAGCATTGTTTCGTGTTTGTAGTGGTAATAACTTCCTTGCCGTAGTCTCCCGCCATACCCCGGCGCCCGCGCTAGTTCACACTGTGTGTGCCCCAAGAACACGACGAGTTGCGGACGAATCACAACCTTAACCCTCGACGACCGCGCCAAAGAGCACAGCGACAGCAGCATGTCGGGCGAACACTCTTTCATGGCCAGTTCAGTGCCTGCTGCAGCAGCGCCGCCGCCGCTCGCCGCGCAACCCAGCATTGGAACTCCGTAGGTTACAGTCGCGCGCAGGACCTCTTGCACATGCTCATACAAGGCAGACCGTCGGCGTCGTCGCAGTCAGTTCCCCCTGGGCACCCGTCCTTCAGGCGACAACGCGCTAGCAGAGCGTGCGAAAGTGAGTGCGACCCATGTTTGCGCATTATTTCCCCTGATTCCATGTACGAGAGAGGATCCATCGACGTCGGTGGGATATATGGTCTACACGACGAGCCTCGGCACCTCGGTCAACCTGAAGAAACGGAACCATGCGACGGACGTTTGCTAACCACCACGCAATACAGCCTGCCACGCAAGGAAGGTGAGTAATCAGCCGCCGAACCGCATCGCCGTCGGGACATCACGTAACAGCGCATAGGTACGATGCGACGCCGCCTCATTGGGAATACCGTGCACCAACTGCACCGCCTTCGGCATCGAGTGCCGCATCCCCCAGCCCAAGCGCAAGAAGACGCAGACGGCCAGGGCCAAAGATGCGGAAAGGTAGGGGCATACGACTTCGCTGGGCAGACTACAGTGCTGACGCGACGGTAGTGACCGGGGAGACAGCGACGACCGCTCACCAGCCAGTACCTCAGTCGAGCCGCGCGAGAAGTCGACCGTGTACAACACCCAAGATGGGACGCCCTCGACTACCGTCTCGCCTGAATACGCCGCCCAACAGGCTACTCACAATGGCACCTATGTGCAGTTCATGAAGCCCAAGTTTGCGCGCGCCCCCATCAAAGAAGCCGGCCGCGTCGCATACCTCGGGGAATCGTCCAACCTTTCGCTGCTCGTACACGACCGCTATGGCACCACCGACGTTGTCCACTACCCACTTCCAGAAAACGTGCGGGGCGCGAAGGCGCGGGTGAATGAGATGGACAACATGGAGATAGAGATACTGCACCAGCGAGGCGCCTTTCTGCTCCCTCCACGAGCCCTGTGCGACGAACTTGTCGAGGCCTTCTTCAGATGGGTAGCCCCAGTCGTGCCAGTCATCAATCGCAGCCGCTTCATGCGTCAGTACCGAGACCCGAAGAACCCGCCCTCGCTCCTTCTACTACAGGCTATACTCCTGGCTGGCTCACGAGTGTGTACAAATGCACAGTTAATGGACTCCAGTGGCTCAACGACCCCCGCGGCCATGACCTTCTATAAGCGCGCAAAGGCGCTTTATGACGCCAACTTCGAGGATGATCGCGTGACTATCGTACAAGCACTTATTCTGATGGGCTGGTACTGGGAGGGCCCAGAAGATGTCACCAAGAACGTCTTTTACTGGACTCGAGTGGCTATTGTTGTCGCCCAGGGCTCGGGCATGCACCGTAGCGTTGAGGGGTCACAGCTGACACGCTCCGACAAGCGTCTGTGGAAGCGTATCTGGTGGACTCTGTACAGTCGGGATCGTTCAGTAGCAGTGGCACTCGGCAGGCCGGTTGCCATTGACCCCGAAGACTCCGACGTTGAGATGGTGTCTGAAGACGACTTCATTGACGACGAGACAGACCATGCTGCAGAATACCCACCAGATCCGATCCACGTACAGTTCTTCATCAACTATGTCAAACTTAGCGAGATTATGGGCCTGGTTTTATCGCAACAATACTCAGTAGCATCCAAACACCGCAGGGCAAATGCTATAGACCTTACCCACAGCGACATGGCACTTGCGGACTGGCTGCAACATTGTCCACCAGAAGTGCAGTGGGAGCGTAACCGCCATCACTTCTGGGCTGCCCTACTACACTCGAATTATTAGTAAGTCCTTCGTCTTCCAACTGCGATATAAACTGACATTTGCAGCACCACCTTATGTCTTCTACATCGTGCACACATGCCACCAGCAGGCTCGCCAAAAGCCAGTCATCTGGACGGGTTTGGCGAGGCCAATGCTTATCCATCGCGGAACATCGCATACCAAGCGGCCGCTATGATCACATCCATCATTGAAAACCTTCGAGCCCATGACGAGATACGGTATACCCCTGCCTTCATCGTCTATAGCTTGTTTTCTGCCCTCATCATGCACGTGTACCAGATGAAGTCATCGAACAAGTCCGTGGTCTCAGCGACGGAGCAACGACTGCAGATCTGCTTAGACGCCCTCAAGGAGGTTTCCAAGGTCTGGCTCGTCGCAAAGATGGTGCACACACTCTTTGAATCGATTCTTGGCAACAAGCACCTTGAAGAGCGTTTACAAAAGGCTGCCGGTCGGAATCATAAGAAGAACAAAGTCTCCTCGGTTCCACCACCACCGCCGCCAAAACTTGCCCAAGAGTCGTCAAAACGAAAGTTCGACGACATGGACCTAGGCTTCCCTGTTCCGAGTGGACCCCCAGCTGCTCAAGTCTCGTATGAGCGATCGAGACCACAGACTCCTGCCGTTACGCCGTCGCGCGAGTTGCAATCTCAACAACAGATGCCCCAGATGACAACCGGATCTCCACAGATGAATCGGCAGAACCACGATGCGTTCATGGGCCCTTCGCGGTCAGGAACACGCCCCACGACACCGTTTAATCCATCGTACTCGTACCCAGGAACGCCACCAGATCTTTTCCTCGTCACCCGTGATACTCCCAACATCAGTCAAGAAGTGTGGCAAAACTTCCAGCCCGACCAGCTATTTCCAGCCGACACACAAGTCAACTTTCCACAAATGTCACCCATGCAAAACCATAGTCTGGTTGATCCAGCTTTAAGCCAACCACAGAACATGCCCATGCCCCCACAACAGACTGCTGGAAGCCAGCCACAAATGCAGAACCCGCAATCAAACACGGGGCTTCCTAGCGGTTACGAACACAACAATACTCAGGCATGGCAGCAGCAGATGGAGATGATGTCGCAAAATCAGCAACAACACAGCGCACAGGATGATGCTTGGAGTCAGAGTTCTGGAGGTCGACACAACCCCATCGTGCCTATGAGCTTGAACGTTGACGATTGGTAAGTCAGAGTCTTGATGCTATCCTAATGTAGCGACTAACTATCTGACCTAGGTTCAATTTCTTTGGTATTAATGGCGAGGCCGACATGTCGCATCTGTTCCAGCAAGGCCCGTCTTAGACTCACGTGCGTGCTTGCGTGAATGCTTTACTTGTTTTGTCATTGAGCTCTGTTCATGGGAAGAAGCATATTAGCGGCGTCGATTAATATTGTTACATAAGTTTCTGTTCATCATCTGTAAAAGTTTTGAAGCGCAGATGGAGTGATATCTAAACACCACACGGACGAAGGTGAATGAATTGGCATGGTACAGGACAACACCTTTCGGCATAACTGCTCATCTATCATTAATGCAAAATAGTGAAGCTCACGGAGAAACTTTGCACTCATGTCTATAAACAAGTCTGGAGTTCTCACACCAAGTTATCCAACTAATGCTCCATCAAGCATTCACCAGAACTTATGTGTTTAATGCGTTGTTAGGCCTCCGTCACGAGTAGGTACAGAAGACGACAAGTGGCCCGTATCCACGCCATCTTCACTTCGTACGTCGTCATTACAGCTGCAATTATGCGATAAGCCTGCACAGTCTTGAATGCTCAGCCAGTCTTAACTGCTCAACTGCGACGGAAGATCCACCGCGGTTGCTGCTCCCCGCATTGTAAGCTAAGCTCATGGGATTTAGCGCCATTTCGCTTTCGGGAACCTCGTTCCATTCAGGGCAACTTCACGTACGCGAGACTGATACAACAACACCGTGAGCTAGACATACACCAGCCCACGAAAGTCAAAGTAAGACTATTGCTAGGTTCGTACTCACTCCCCCCTGCAAGTCCACCAACCGGATTCCTTCCCGCGCCCACATAAACCCTAAAGTTGAACCGGAATCGCACCACGCCGCACATCGCAACGAAGCTACCCACAACTGCGCTTTCGAACTCGCCTAGAGAACCATCCCACGACGACCACTATTCCCTCATGAAATCGTATTCATTGTGCGCCTTCTCCAACCGCTTCGACTCCAGCCTCGTCCCTCACCCCGGAGACCACGTACCTGCTTGCGAATTGGACAATACTAACCTCTCCTCTCCTATAGGCTAGGGCGCACCATTTCTACGAAATATACGCTCGAACATGTTCCAAGCACAACAAAACCCGGGCCGTGGTGCCCCGCTGGGTGCGAATAGGTTGCAGAATGGCAAGATGGGTGAGGACGTTCCCAGCGTGGTTGTGGGGTATGTCGCTGACTGCTGGTTGTGTAGGGGGCGCATCTCAATGGGGATTCGGAGCCCCCATGGGCGCGCCAGGCTTGTCAAATACGCAAACACGAACAAACGGCGGAGCCATGTCAAGCTTCGCGCAAGCAATGGGCGGGTCGCAGCCACATACGCCACTGAATCTGGAGTAAGTGACCACGTAAGATGGCGAAAAAGAAAGGAATCAGCCTTGAGGACATGCCCCAACTTCAGAAGTCCCCTTCGCAGGATTCAAAACGATACAAGCTTGATATTGACGATCGCAGGGAGTTCCCTTCGTTATCGGGCGCACCGCAAGCGCAACAGAATACTTCCTCGCAGCAGATGTGGGCGAATCCTACGATACGAGCCGCCCAGCAAAACCAACAGAACACGATTGGACGTCCACAGGGCCAAGGACAACAGCAAGGGCAAGGGCAGGCTGCACAAGCTGCGAACCAACAACAGCAGAACCAGGGACAGGATGATTCATCCCAAAGCCAGTTTTCTGGCGCAGGTGATGATTATCGATTTGGCGGACAAGGGGGTGTAGGACAGTTGGGGGGTGTCCAACCGCAGACAAGCAACGTTGAGGAATTCCCTCCATTAGGTGGCGCCGGCGGAGATATTCCACAGGATCGAAGGGCTGGCCTGATACAGAATGCAGCGGCATTTGGTGCCAACGGAAACAACGCCTTCCCTGGGCTTGGACAGACACGGAATGGCCTCTCAAGCCCGACGGATAGCCAGCAAGACAGGAGCATCAACCCCACTGTAGGTGGTAGGGCGCTACCAGGCACAGCATCGCGGTCACCGTTTGAGAACATGCGAACAGGCAACCAAGCAGATGGAAACCAACGGATAGGACAGTCAGGGAACATGTTTTCTCTAGGTCCTCAGATGGGCATGCGAGGTGGTGCCGATCTTGCCCCAGGAGGCCAACGACCGCAGCAGAACCAGTTTGACCAAACGTTTGGAGCAGACGTTCTCGGCTCTCCTAACGCGCAAAACATGCTGCATAAGAAGCTGTCAGACATGACAGACTCGGAGCGATATGGCCTGCCTGGGCTGTTGTCAATGATACCTATGGACAGTCCTGACTACTCTTCGCTGGCTATGGGCCAAGATTTGACAGTCCTGGGCCTGGACCTGAGTCGGCCAGAGTAAGTATTACATCTCCCAGCTCGTTCTAGTCGCTAACGGTTCTCTTAGTAACTCACCGCTACATCCCACTTTTGGTTCACCGTTCGTTGAGTCCAACGTCAAGCCAGTGATACCACCGGATTTTACTCTACCAGCAGCATACACCGTTACCAACGTTCCACCGCTGCATTCCAAGATGTCGAGCTTCTCTGCGGAGACACTTTTAGCTATCTTCTATCAGTTCCCGCGAGATATCCTGCAAGAAATTGCCGCACAAGAACTGTACAACCGCGACTGGCGGTGGCATATGAAGCTACAGCAGTGGATGATGAAGGATCCGGATCTCGCAGCGCCCATAAGACTGTCGCCAAAAGAAGAGCACGGCTGGTATCTGTTCTTCGATGTCAAGAACTGGAGGAGAGAAAGGGTACGTGTTCTAAACTGCATATAGGTGCTCTTTGTCAAGTGCAAATTGCTAACACAAGTTCAGAAAGAGTTTGACCTCAACTACGATCACCTTGATCAGCGCCACGGCAGCCCTGCTATGGCGGGACAGATGTAGTGCAAAAGTCCAAAGAAGGAGCCCGCTCGCATAACCTGATCACGATCTTGTCTTCATAGCGAGTGGTACTTTCATGGAACTGTGCGATCATGCCCTATATGCACTGATTGGCAGTAACTTCGAATGACAACTGTATGAATAAAGTTACACGAGGGTCTGACGCCTGAAGTTCGCAAAACTCTGCAAGTCTGTGCTAATGTGTATGTGCCTGTGAGGTAACTTGATTCACTATAGTCACTTGATTTTCAGGAAGCGTATTTGTAGGTACGTGCTTGCCGACTTGGCCGTGTCTTCTCTCACTTATCAGCTGTGACTTAGCAAATGCCCCGCCGCCTTCTTTCTCTGGACCCTTGTTCATACATACATCACACCAACGGCTCCTTCCTTTCTCACCACCAGTCTCCGCCGCAGCAGTCATTCTGCGACACTCACTACTCTGCAAATTATTACCGCAGGACCCTTCAGGCTCCAATACTAACACTCAAACTAACAAATAGCAGCCAGACATTATGTTCTCGTCAACGTCGACCGATGCTGATCATGTCCGGTAGGCTCTGATGAAGCTCTCTGTTGCCGTCCGTGAGATGACGCCTTCTGGCGCCAAGCAAGTATTACACACTCCCAACCGCTCCAACTTATTGGCGCGTCCTGCATACGGTGGCTGCCGCCTCTGTGGTCTTCCTGGTCATCATTCAACCAATATCTCACATCCGGCTGCATATCGTGTCGCTCTCTTCTCGCTCATCGGCTTTTGGGAGGATATCGCAGACCATGTATCCTCCCTGTACCAGTACTCCGAGCGCTTCCAGAAAGCCATCCAAACCAACGAGCCGACCTACGCAATGCGTTTGGACAACCGACCGCTCAAAGGTGGCGATATGGGGGTCGTACTCGTAGATCGTCTTACGGAAACTTCCTCAAGTTCCTGGCGCACGTTCGCGGTATTCGAGCAAAGGTCAACGTGGTGCTCGATGAAGAGGGTTTGAGTAGGTATGAGCGAGTAACCAAGAACTTGGAGGGGGTTTTCCTAGGTGGACTGACCTGTAAGCTCTCGCACAAACTTCTCCGGGACGATGCAAACTAACTTCACTGTAGTGTCTAGCCTCTACGAGCGCAGCATGGCGATGGGGCAGTGAGGCAGTCGTGACAAACTTGCATGTTTGGTCAACTACTCTTTGCGGCTTCCACGGTCAGATCTCTAGCGTACTTTCGGGCATAACATAAGCGGGTGTTTCCCGAGATATGGTTCAACGACACTGTCCCAAAGCCAACTTCGATAATCATCATCATCAGGTAGTAGGGATAACATAGTATTAAAGTTGACGTTTCGACCACAACATACATTGCGACGATCAAAACGTTCATCTGAACATCACTGGAGTCATGTTAACATGTAACTGGCGCTTGTGATTCAGCGTCATACTAACATATATTCTTCGGCAGGTGCAGTTCTTTCTAAATTTCCAACTTTCGCTGAGTACTCGCACTTCGGTGGCGGCGCAGGTATTTGACGATGATCTCCCTTCACTCAGATTTGCATGAGCATCCATTCATCGAGATGTGTTCTCCGTTATCGCGCATGCATCACAGCATGTTCCATTGGTACGCGGTTGGGGGTGCCACGGTACGCTCTCCCCACGACCCACAATCAGCCACGATATCTAACTGCAACCGCTACACCTCCCACATCTGATCTTTTTCAAAGTAACGGTATCTTGAGACGATTTCGACTACTACCCCGCTTGTCAGAATTCTGCCTGGAATGTTTGGCAATCTGCCTGTCGATCTTCATCTCTCATCATCCTCCCTTCTCCCGCACTCACCGAAAAAACTGTACAGAATACTCTAACCTATGCAATCAGCGTAAAGTTGTGTGTGGGAGAGACAACGATCGTCTGGTTGTCGTCAGCAATATAGGGTCCGATGACGGCAGCGCAAGAAGCGACGATTAGATGCAGGTCCTCTGCCGCAGTACCAGGTTCCAACCTCAAACGAACCCCGCTCCGCTGCGGCAACGAGGCCTTGGATATGTTGATTGGTCATATTAGACCCTGATCACCTCTCACGTAGCCTATAAACGAAGCGGTCTTGCTCGTCACCTGCGATCAGACGGTCTACGATGCTACGGGCATAGGTGAACCGTCAGCTTGCCAGGTATGAACTTCCAAGTACAAGATGCTCTTTGACGTATGAGATTTTCCCTGGCTTTCGTTATAAGGATACGATTCCCACGCTCTTTCCCTGCAAGGACATATTGACATGCAGGCCGGCACTGGTGACACCATGGCATACTCCTTGGGTCGCGACAAGGGCACGGAAATCTTGCTCAGAGCTGCTCGGAAGCTGAGACAGAAGGAAGCTGGGTATATGAACACAATGCATGGCTGAACCTTACTAACGTCTTCTCCGGCACAGAAACGACCTAGGTACCGCTGTCGTAGAGGTGGAGGACATTCCATCTTCAGAAGATACACAGATTATTGAGGACAGGTATGTCTCTGGAAACTCAGTTGGTTCACTCATACGGTTGAGCAAGGTGTCTGTGTGCGTCGAAGTACCACCCAGCACCACCGATATGTTTTCTATGTTCTCCACACTGGAACAAGAAACAAATATACAGACGTACGATTACATGGGAATATTGGGAGTGCCCACATATCCGAATGTACCAGAGCTCCAGTCGTCGGAAGTGACCAATACTATACACGAGGCTGATGCTCCTGCTATGCCTCGTCGTGAGCCCTTGTCGAGTTTGTCGCACAGCAAGCTCACTAAAGTCATCGAACATAGCTATTTCGACTACCAGTATTACAGAAACTGATGGAGTCATTGCAAGCGATGATGCGATCACCAGTATTTCGAATATGCCCCCACATCGGCCATCATCGCGTACATCGACAATGTGCTCGGCTGTATCTGCGAAATCACATCAAGGCCCTGGTCCTATTCATATCAGTCCATCTGCTCAACTCCAGAGTATGCAATCCATCAGTGAGCTTGATGCAAGGCTCAATGGAGCCACCAGTTTACGCAAACTCTGGAGGACGTCACGACATAATCGCACAAGCAGTCAGGTGATTTATACGCCCACTGGTACACCGGAGTCTATATCCAATGTACCGTTGAGTGTTGGTCTATTTGAAGCTCATTCGAGGCTAAACGATAATATTTTTTCTCAATACGTCGGCGGGGTGAATAGGGGCGCCTGGACGAAATCAAGCGAGTGGGTCGAGCCCTGTACTATCGACGACGGACCTAAAGAATGGATTGAAGACTTCCTCACACGCCAAGAGCAGGCAGATCGTAACGAAGATGGAGAGAGGCAGCGTCAAGAGAAACAAGACAAAAGATATGCAGGTATCCGGGGTCGAGTGAACAGTGCGGATAAATTTAGGCGCAAACTCAGCATGAAGCGCGTCGTGGGAGAACGGGGAAATTTCGAGGCGAGGCAGGAAAGGATGGAAGAGGGAGCCTTCGGCATTGACATTGGGTCGTCTGATGATAGAAGGGCATCAATACCAATATCAGGAGCGGATCTAGTGACACCAACAAGAGAAAGAACTTTTTCATGGACGCCTGATACGCATCAACCTCTGATGTCTCTTACTGTTTTGCCTAACCGATCATCTTGGACGCCTACATCAACGACGCCTGCACCATCATCATCACCACCACTACATCGTATACACGCAGCAGATAGACTTCACATGTCACTACCGTCACAACGCCCTTCTAGACGAACGCCCCTTAATTGCTGTTCTTCCACGCCAAACAATCATCGCTCGACCTCTGCCCTACAACGAGTAGCGACGAGACAGCAATTCCACACTTGTCTGAGATCTAGCAGCTGGGAGAAGCTAAAGGTCAAGAAGGTTACTTCGATAGGCTCAGACGTAAAGAGGAATATTTCCTCGGGCTTTTTGCCTGCAATAGATGAAGGAAAGGATAGTGTAAAGAATTTAGTAGCTAGGGTGGAAAAAGTAGGAGAGAATGTGACTAGGAAGCTTAGCGCAAGCTGGAGGGGGAAATGGAGAGGCTTGGATAAGAAGAAGAGTACGAACGTTGGAGGGATGCATATTGTCGGTAGAGAGTGCTGAGATCTAGTTCGAGATGGTTCGTTAAGGTCTTCTTACATGTTTTGCAAGTCACTATGTTGACATTCGCTCAGCCGTTGGAAATTGTGGCTTTTCGGAATCATGTCAGATTTATACCAGGTGCTGTATCGATACACTGACTCATTTCCCATCACAACCGTCAACCTTGGACAAGGAACTAACGCTAGATTTCTTCCATCATATTTAAGCTCGCATCGAGTTACGTCGCTTGATAAGCATGAGCAATGACTAACCCTAGCGTCCCGATGGCTTTTGTATACCCTCGTCACCACTGCCCCTGAACCATAGACGTTTTGGCCCTTAAAAAAGATCCGAATTTATCTCTGGAAGACCATGCAAGAAGTCATGTGCAATACACCGAAGCAGTGGCATACGATGCATACGAGGACGGTACCCCTCAGCACCTACACATTGGTTCTGCTCGCTTCCTTTTACCGCTCCATCGGTTGGATGACCTATCAGGAGTCGTTAGCTGATGGTTAATGGGCCCCTCTTCTAGGTTGGTTGGCCATTATGAGCCGAAGTTATGGCTACATACAAGATGCGTCTCCGGTTTGCCTGCATTTTGACATTCTTTCATGATCGTCTCCAATGTCAATATCCGGGACAACCCTTACCTCGGAAGATTTCTCATACTCCAGTATCTACTCGAACACAAACCCAGAGTCAAGCCGCGAGGCCGACACAATGCTGCAGTACTCTCCGACAATTCCTCTACAACCCTACCAACCGTTACCCCTCCATCGCGGCTTCAAAGCATACTTTCTAAATAACCATCCCGTTCTTTATACCAAGCTTCGTACGTTCAGCACAACACACACGCATCCCTCTCTTTCTTCACATCCTGTTTCAGCAATACATCCCTGGCCGTACGTTGTAACCTCCGCTTCCAAATAACACACACGATATCCACTCACACCACCTGTCCAACACTACAGTCTCGACGCCATCCTCCTCCCCAAACGCAAGTCCAACGAAACCCCTCTAGACAGGATATACGTAATGTACCATTACCTCATCCGCGGCGACTACGAAGTCCTCCGCAATGAAGTCCAAGATTTCTTCGACCACAAACATTGGCAGGTCCAATGCATCCCAGACCCCCGTGACCACGATCCCGAACGCTACGCCATTCTCGCAGCCATAACACAGTATCTAGCTCATGGGATAAACCGCCGTACCATGATTAGCCGGGGGTATCGGAAGGACCCAATAGGTGCATGGCGGACGGCGGCGTATGACCTTTTCCATGGAACGAAGGGTGTTTTACCAAATTTGGAGACGCTGGACAGGGAGCCGGGGTGGGCGAAAAGGGTGAAGATGGTGGAGAGTGGGTTGGAGATTTGTCAGGGGTGGACGTGTGAGGTTTGGGGGGAAAGAAGTAGTGCGCGGTTTGCGGCGAAGGGGATTGTGAGTACGGAGATTGTGGAGTGCTTTATTTGAGGGGATAGGGAGGGGGGAAGAGATGACCCGGAGATTTTATATATCTGGTTAGCTAGGAGTTCGGCCTACTGTTCTTGTTTGGACATTCATGGGTGAAAATGTTTCGAGATGGATTGATTGTGCCACCGCAAAGCGATGCTATTACTTGCTCACCACTCTACGCAGCCTCATCCTCGATCTCCAGATCTCCCACCTTAAACTTCTTCCCTTTCATGTCCGCGTAATCTGTATGATCATGATAATCCTTCACCCTTTCTCGCACATACTCCAGTCCCCGCACCGGCTCCTTCTCTCCCGCATCATCACCAATAAGTCCCAATCTCCTCAACAATGGCGACGCCACTGGCTTAATATCTACCTCATTTCCGGGTCTAACAAAGTAAAACAATCCCAACCGGTGGATGTGCGCTTGATCGTCCGGCGGTCTAATAACCCGATGAATGGTTGACTTGAAGTAGCCCGCCGACCAAAAGGATAACGTGTCGCCGACATTACAAATGATACCGTTGGAAACGGGTGGAACGTACTTCCATTGTCCAGCCGGCGTTTTGAGCTGCAGACCCGCGACATCCTGGCTCCACAGTAGTGTCAAGCTTCCGAAGTCTGTGTGCGCGCGAGACCAGGTATTCTGAACTTTGGCATCGTCGGCGGCAGGACGGGGGTGGTAAATCATGTATCGGAGATGGTCTTCTGATGGGTCATCGTAGCGATGTTGGTCCGAGAAATAGTTTTCTGGTAATTCTAGTATGAGGGAGAAGAGCGTGAAGATCTTAGATGCTACATCCAAAGATCGACGTGAAAAAGATTCGACTTCTGAACGGAAGGGATGGAGGAACGGGGGAAAGGGCTCGTGGGAGTTTGAAGGGATAAATTTGGGGATGTTGATTGATTCGATGTTGTCGAGGACGGAGGTACCCATTATTTTCTTCTCGTTGGCCTTGCTGTCACATTAGCCACGTGTGTTGTATTCATATCGGTGTTGCGGACGCCAGAAACGTACAGCACGATACCCAAAATAGTTCCCCTTTGAGAAATCACATCGGTACTTCGGGTCGCCCTTCTCTTCCAATGGCAAGTTGAAGTAAGCTTGACCGATGTCATATTGCCGATCGACCTCTTCTTGTGTGAATTCAGTACCAGTAACGCTGAAAAAGCCCGTGTGGTGCACCTCCGTGCTTGTCAGAATATAGGCTCATTGTACAATGTGTGCCCACTCACAGCGTCTCTTAGTTCTTCAGCCAGTTTCTGTTTTCCATTGGGCTCGTCGAAAGTAGACAAATCGATGATCTTGATGTCCGCCCAATCTAACTTTTCCGTCGTGTGTTTGGGTCGCTTCCACTTCGCGATGGAAGGTGGTTCTTGCGGCACTGCCGACGGCATCTTGCTGGTAAGAGTCTCAAACTGTGAGGTCTGAGTGTCTGGCAATTACATATAACTTATATGTATCCTGCGACGTTATTCCCGGTCCTTTTGAGCCTATCATAATCGCTTGTGTTTCGTCACATAGATGCGGAGGTGGCGAGCACGCAATACCCCGCTAGATGCCGTGCTCGCATGACTGCGTCGTATAACCCATGCTCTTCCCCTTGGTTCTCATGATACTCATCCGCTTGTTTATAAAGTATTGTCGCGACTCATGACGACTCTGTTCGACACATTGAAGCTATTCACTTTATCTTGTCGCACGTAGACATACTCTGGCAAGCTGCGGAATGTCGTCCCATCTGACTTTGCTGTGGGACAGCATCATAGCGACCAATGTATTCTTACACTGTTCTTCGTGGTCAGCAAGAAGTATCGGAAGCTATCGCCAAGTGCCAGTAGATTTTGCCGTCCAATCTGCGTTCGACACAACCACAGCAACCTGCCAAGAGCGTGCATCATAAAGCAGTTTCATCCATCAATGTGAGCCGTGTGCTACGGTTGTGTAACCTCCCTGAAAGGGAAGCATGATGTTGTGCTTCCTAGTCGCGAAGACATCGACCACAGCGTGAGAACGTAGGGTGGTGATAGTTTCGAGCAGCTGCCAGTTAAGACTGCCGTCTCTTTGATCTGTATACATGGCCTGTTTTCCTCTCTTTCGCTTTAGTGTAACTCCAGCTTCAAAGAGAAGCCGTTAAGTCGAAATCTGATTGTTTCGAAACCTCTTGACGGAGACACGGCCAAAGAGACCGATGATGTACAAAGCTCAGTCTCCCAGAATCCAACAAGCAAACACTGACACTGCACTCAGGGCAGCCCACCGGAAAGTCGACATGCATATGCTCTATTAGTATGCTTGTGGAACGTTCGCGGGTACAGTCAGTAGGCTACTGTCGTACGCAATAAGCTTCTTGAATGGAGTCAGCGGGCATGCTGGCCGGCGATGGGCAGGTAGCCGAACTCTTCCTAGGGATATCTGCTAACAAACATCAGCTCTTTGTCTTCGAGGCTACATTGCCCATGAACTGCTTGACATACACATACTTCTGTTTACCAGACTATCCGCTGACCGTCAAGTTCCTGAGGGAAAACGAGTACGCAGCCATCTTGTCTGATCTACCACAGCAAGCATCCATCATGTACGCGGAAACGTTCAACGCAGATCAGATCAAGTCTTTGTTCAAAATTGCAACTTTCGTCCCGTTCCTGATGATCTGGGCAACGCACGGAATCGATGGATGGGGCATATCGTTCGTTCTTCCAACTGTCATCCACGAGTTAGTCATCTGCAATATAGCCATATCTCAAATCCTGACTATACCACCTTTCACACTCGTATTCCTCATTCTCGTGAGTCTCGCATACTTGATCCATAACAGGCGTCTTTTGCCTTGGGTCGCTGGTGTTGGAATTGAGGGCACATAGATCGTATGCTATATCCTCTTGATCACCGTCAAGCAACCAGTCGCGAAATACGTCTTTGTCATGATAGTGACAGCAGTCTCTCAATATTTCTTCGCTATTGTTTGGCCCGAGCGTATACCTGCGGCCAAGGATACTACTACAGCTGGACTGCTTATCGGGATGACGAACGCAAGTGGGCAGTTTATGGGCCCTTGTACTAGAGCACCTGCGCCATCAACCAGGCGAAATGTTGACGTCTTCTCCTTGGCATGGAACATGGTCGTGCATCGGAGAAATGGAAAAGAATCCGGGATAGAAGACGGCGCGCGGGCGTAGCAACGGCATGGACGATGATGAAATCGACGCTGATGATGATGGCACTGGTAACGATGGCCATCATGGAAATGAGTCCGCACTTGGACTACGACTATCCACAAGATGAAGGGACTTATCACCATTGCAGACACAACGTGAGATAGAGAAAGCGGAACGTGGGAAGGGACTAATGATGAAATTACTTGAGAGAACAAGAACGCCGCAAGCTGAAAGACAACCAAGGAAAAGCGGACGTGAAGAAAGAAGTTCCAGAAGACAAAGAAGAGATATGCTCTAACTCGCCAAGAAACGTGTCTGGTGTAGAATCAAGAGAAGCAGATGAGGGCGTAGGACGCGTGGGCCATAGTTTGACAGACATTGAGTTAGTCGAGCGGACTGGCCAAGCGTCGATCAGTGATGGCGATGATGAAGATGAGAGCATGGAACCAAAGAGTACCGATGTCTAGACGGGTTGAAGCGGACAATCATGCGTGCGACATTGTCCAAGTGGCAGTGCCTGGTAGCGAGAAAAGGCGTTATGGAGCAATGGGTCACCCCGTTGTGCCAACAGAACCGTTGGTTGCGTATGTGATTCTGTAGGATCCATAGATCAGTGCACAAAAAATGATCAGATAATCGCATCTATAGTAATAATGCAGACATTGAGAGGTGCACCTAGGCCTGACCAGTGTAGGCATCGTAGTGTGGAGGCCTTATCAGCAACGCCGGGATTCTACCGGAACTTTTGTATCCTCTGATTTCATATTAGGCCCGTTGAAGCAAAAAATACGAGCTGCTTCGCGTCTCTTACGGTACCGGAAGATAATGGACAACCGACAGCCTTTCAAGATTTTGCCCATGCGCAACTGCACGCCTAGAACACAAACAACTCTGTATCCAATCGCCGAAACCCCAAGAATTGAGTTTAGCGGAACCGATTGTCTTGGAACCCTGGTGATGTCATTGGCAACGGTAAAATTTCGCCGTAGCGCCTGAGAACCCGATCTGCAAGTAGCAAGCACGGAGTTCCGACTCGCGATACTGTCTGTATCCTAGTAGGGTGCACCTGGCGTAAGGGAAAGTTGTACAATCAGGGTGCATGCAAAGGACCGAAAGAGAGGGATGATGGAAGGATATATAATGTAGATGTGCGGACGTCCGGTTCGATAAATCCACGAGTGCACTACTCTTCTCAACTTGTTGTATACGTTTAGCTGCAGTGCCTTCCACACCTGCGTCAGAATCTTATCTCAGCCACTCAGCACCCAAAACCTTTCTCCAAGCCTTCGTCAAGTTCCCCGATCGCTCACAAGATGCCATCCGCTACACGTCCCCTCAACATTCTCATATCTGGCTCCGGTATCGCCGGTCCTGTTACAGCATACTGGCTGCATCGCTTCATGCCAGCATGCCAAATCACCATTGTAGAACGTGCGCCCGAACCAAGACTAGGTGGGCAAGCCGTAGATCTTCGCTCTTCATGTTTGCCAATTGTGAAGAAGATGGGAGTATTGGACAAAGTGAAAGAGAAGACTACAACCGAAGTTGGCATGCAATTTGTATACCGGGATGGCCAGAGGCGGGCGACTTTTGAAGCTACCGGAGAGGAGGAGAGACAAAGTGGTATGTTGTTCCTTATGTCTAGTGAACAGAAAGACGACGGGGAGAGGAAACTTTCAAGATGCAACAAGAGCCCAACCTAACTCCATCACAGCAACAAGCGAGTACGAAATCCTGCGAGGCGACATGGCACGCATCGTCTATGAACTCACAAAACCCATCCCAAATATAACCTACATCTTTGATGAGATGGCCACCGAAATCAAACAGGACGAGTCCAAAGACGGCAAAGCCCTCGTCACCTTCAAGAACGGCAAACTCCCTCCCACAGAATTTGACGTCGTCATAGGGTGCGACGGCCAAATGTCACGAACCCGCCGCATGGTTTTCGGTCACGGACCTAACAACGATGACTACCTGTACCGTCTTGGACAGTACTCTGCTCTCTTCACCATGCCTCGCGATCCAACCGACACCCAGTATGCACAGTGGTACAATGCATCGCGTGGCCGGCTCTTCTTGTTACGGCCTGATCAGTATGGTACGACGAGGGCTTATCTCGCTGTTACCGATGCGAACCTGAGTCGCTTCGACGAGCTAGACAAGTTGCTGAAGAACGGAACAAGGGAAGAGCAACAAGCGTGGTTTGAAAAGGAGTTCGAAGATGCGGGCTGGCAAACCGAACGTTGTATACGAGAGATGAAGAAGGCGGATGACTTCTACATGCAGCAGATTGCGCAGGTGAAGATGGACACCTGGCATAAGGGATGTGTGGCTCTGGTGGGTGATGCGGCGTATTGTCCGAGTCCAATTTCTGGTGTTGTAAGTTTTCCTCAGTCTGACTTGCTGGTATCGAAGCTTCCATGCTAATGCCGGTAACAGGGTACCGGAGCAGCTATAGTAGGCGCCTACGTTCTCGCTGGCGAGATCTCCCGCAACCAAGATGATATCCCTACCGCACTAGCAAACTACGAACGCGTTGCCCGAGAATACGTCGACAAGGCGCAGAAGCTCATTCCAGGTGCACCGCAGATTGCAAACCCGCAGACCGAGTGGGGAATTAAGATATTCAATACTGTGACCGGCACGCTTTCACATCCGTATATTCAGAAGTTCAGTGGCGTACTTGGAAAGATTCTTCCGGCGTTTGGCTCGACGAAGATTTGGAGCCCGCCGGAGTATGAGTCGTAGAGGGAATAAGCGGCTTGTGTATTGGAAGTTCAATAGCAATGGTCTTGGACTGTTGAGATATTATATGAATCTGCATTGATGCGTCGACGCATCCGTTTCTCCAGTGGATGTCTTCGCAATCGGAGAGCAAGGCAGAGTAAGGCTTCCAGATTTTTGTTAACGCTTGTACGTTGCGTCCATCTACTAGCTAAGTAGATCTACGCCAACACCTCTTAGTGCATCCACCGCCCATGTGGGATACTTCTCTTTCTCTCCGCTGTACAGCTTACTAAAAAAGTCCTTGACGAACTGCGGATATCGGTCTTGCATGATGGCCTCTCTCGCCAATCTCATCAAGTTGAGCTGGTAATACACATTGTGCATGGTGAGAAGATGCGCCCCAGCAGTCTCTTTTGCGGTAACGTGATAGATGTATGCCCGAGTGATACCAAGTCCACCTTCGGATGTTGGACGGCAGCAAGTGCACTTGCAGCCTTCTTCGACGGGGCCAAAATCGTCAGAGTAAGCGGCGTTACGTAAGTTGAGGCTACCGTGGGCAGTGATGGCGTTGCCAAAACGCTGGAAGATATCAGCGTGGTTCAGGAGGGAATGTGAAGCATGTCTTACGGCCGTTCGCGTCGGCCATACGCAATCGAACATGTCTGCGCCGAGTGCTACGGACACGACTAAATCTTCTGGATAGCCCTAGGCTGGTCAGTAAATTGTGGTGTAGTGGACATCATCCGACACATACCACGCCCATGACATATCGCGGCTTCTTCTCAGGAAGTAGGTCGGTGCATGTCTTTACGACATCACAATATGCCGCTTTTTCCTCTCCGCCAGACAAGCCTCCTATTGCAATGCCTGGTGTATCTCGCGCAACCATTTCAGCCGTACATTCCCGTCGCATATCCAGATCCAAGCCCCCTTGTATGATGCAGAACAGGTTCTGTCTCTCCGGGTACTTGTGTGCTTGTATGCAGCGATCAAGCCAGCGTACCGAGCGTTCCATAGCTTCCTTCATACGTGCGCGATCGGGCGAGGTAGTGACGATAACATCATCGAGCTGCATGATAATGTCGGAGCCGATCGAGTTCTGGAGGGATATCGAGTGTTCGGGCGTAAGCAGCATAGGCGACCCATCGTGGGGACTGAGAAAGCGGACACCTTCCTCAGTGACCTTGGCAAGTTTGAGTAGTGATACCATCTGGAAGCTGGTGTCGGCGTCAGCTATTGCGAGATTGTGACGAGGTTGGAGGCATCACCCACCCACCACTATCTGCAGTAGTCAGCACTTCCGCCTCTCTATCCTAGTATGCTATTGTGTTTGGCACCTGTGAGGATATTGTGTGGCCATGACTGCAGCTTGTGCGCGCCGCCTATGGCATCGAGTGTTGCTTGTCCTGGCTTAAGGCCTCTCCCTCAAGTCAGCAACTGCTGGCATAGAGGCGGGAAGTTTGCCCTACAGATGGTATGTGTTGTTTAGACACAACCGGCAACTCTGGTCTTCCAGTTGATCTGGCGTGAGGCCCTTGAGTGAGGCCTGTGTCGCAACAGGCATGAAAATGGGGAGGGGTACAGGGCCATGGGGCAGATGCAGCGTTGCAGCGCGTGCTTTGGTAACCTGGTGCTGTCAGGATATGTCGAAGACGCAGTCATCAAACACCACATACTGAACACTTGCCCAGCAGCTCAAAAGTGAGCGCTGAAGGCATCGAGATGGGTGCCATGGTGGGATTGGGGATTATTCGCATCCCGCAGCCGACGCGACATTGCGACCGATGAGTCGGCTGCGGCCCGTTCGCTTAGCGCGACTCCCTGGTGTCAATCATCGTTAATTCCTGTACATTTCTGGATCCACTCTAGGAACCAGTCAAACACATCTTGTCATCGTGAGGCTACAAATTTTCTTCTGATTGAGAGGGGGTTCTGTGTCAGACATTCACGTGATTCGAAAACATTAATTGCTGCAACGTGTTTGTATTCATCGACGATATAATATATGCAACCCAAACAAATCCAACGCAGGCTAGACTTTACACCGGAAAGGACGACAAGGTCAGATCCTAGATGAAAAGCTTATTCCCATGATACTTCACGTCCTCCCTGTACGCCGTAGACTTGACCGACGCCTCAAGCTCCCGTTTCGGGAAACCCTTGAAGGAGCGCGCATATGTCGCGACGGAATGAGCGATGAGCTGCGGAGCGTTAGCGGGATCCCTCTCTGCATCAATTTTCGGAAGCACATACCTTGGTGTTAACAACCCACGCGGTCTCGTTGAGGTTTGAGATATCGTCACAAAGCTGGTGGTAGCAGTTATCATACCAATCTCCCGCTTTTCCACCAAACATCTCAACCTCCTTCTCAGTCTTGATACCCTCGGCTCCAGTGGCAATACCACCACCAGGGATACCATTTCGGATAAAGCCATCGTAGTCGCTGCGGCCATCGAAGGGGATGAAGGTGTAGTTTAGACCTTGATCCTTGTACCACTCGATATACAGATCGCGCAACTCTTCCGATCCGTTGGGATTCAGCGCGTTTGTAGCATTGTAAATTTGGTAGGCGAAGTTCGGACTGGAACAAGTTAGTAGCAGCCCTTTGACCACGCATACGGTGATATTATCTACCTGGCCATCATGTCGTAATCCATGAAGAGACGGATCTTCTGGTTCTCCTTCTCGGGCAAAGAGGCGACGTAGTAGTCAGAACCCAGTAGGCCTTCCTCTTCACCTGCCCACCAGGCAAACCTCACACAGTTGGTAACGTTAAACTTGGTAAGTTGGGTAGCAACCTCGAGCAGCGACATTGTGCCTGATCCATCATCGTTGATTCCGGGACCTTCAGTGACACTGTCACTGTGAGCACCGAGCATCACACAGTTGTCCGGGTCGCCAGCTGTCGTTTGTGCGACAATGTTGACGGTCAGAATCGAGTTCACTTCGGCATCGATATAGGCGATCGCATCAACGCGCTTTCCCTTCTCGAGCTTCTTCAGAACTGGCTCAGCCTCCTCTCCAGATAGACCAAATGTGGCAATGTGATCAGGTGATGGCGTGCCAAGGGTACCCGAAACAGCATCCTTCTCGTAGTTGTAGACAATGGCAGCAACAGCACCTTTGCGACCGGCATGTTCAGACTTAGTACCAAAGGGGCAGACACCACGCTTCACGAAGGCGATGTTACCAGCTACCGAGTCCGGGTAGTCAGATTCCTGGCAACCCTCATTTTCGACAAAGACAAGATCACCATGCACCGGCTCCTTGTCCTTAGTAGCTGGTGTTAACCCCATAGGCCTTGCAGACTCGGGAACGCCGTCGCCAATGACAAGACGCGACTCAAAGACATTGCCAGAAACAGCTGGGAAAGACTGGTTGGTGATCGTGTAGTAGTCACCAAGCTCAAGGACTGTTTCGTAAATATAAGATAGCGTTCCGAGGTGGCCTGTAGGGTTGTCAGCATCAGCAAGCGACACGTCACGTGCGCAAACATACCAGCACTCCCGATGACTCTGGTAGGGTGATTGTACTCCTCTTCGCCAAGCTTCGCGATCTCGTACATCTTCTTCGCGCGCGCCATCAACCTATCCCCACTGATAAGGTCCTGAAGCTCTGTAGAGTTGACCAAAGGTTTCGTTCCATGTGGATGTCCGAGCGGCGCTTGATTACTGGACGACAGAAGCGGAACCTGGAGCGCTGTTGCGCTTGTGATGGCTGCGCACAGCGCAAATCCCGAGTAGAAGACCATATTGTAGGTTGCGAGGATGGAAAGATGTGGAGATGAGACGGGGTGGATGGATGATGTTTCTATGTTGATAGATGTGTCGCTGTTGCCATGACGCTAGCACGCGCCTTCCGATAACACATGTCCCCGTGCGCGAAGCCAGGTGACTTATCACGCTCGAGCGTACGTCAGATACTTATTGGCACTTTTTGTTTGTTTTCAAACCTCATTGTCTAGTATTGCGGAGCGCGAAGTGGGAAGAGAATCATACTATAAAGAAGTAGCTCTGGAGAGGTTCACAACCATGTAGCCATGCCGACACTAGTCTGTCGTATGCAAGGTACAACAACCCTTCAGAAGCCAATCAGCTTGAGCTCGAACGAAACCCTGATCATCGCGTCCGAATATCCGTCGGTATTACTTTTTATATTCAAGTTCAGGTTGAATCGCAATAAATATTCGATCGTCATCATTCGCAACTCGTCGGGCCTTTTTGACATTGCGATCGATGGGGTAACCTAAGTGTTCGTTCAAAGTTCGATAGCCATCATGCTTCTGCACTTGTGTTCATTAGCGCGGTCGATGCAGGTGACATCTGAAGGCTGGGTAAATCCAGTCCGCCATCGAGTAGCTCGCATCTGCATAGTGGAGATCGGGACCCTTCCGCCAGCCCCTTGTTAAACCTGAGATGTGGAGTCTGGGCCCACGTCAATGTGCATGGAGCTGAAACCCTGTTCACGAATCCGCATCAAGACGCAGCCAAGGGGTATCAAGCATTGCCAGGGACGTTGTGCGGTGCTTGGTGACGTGTCTGGTGCAAATAAGCTCAGCTAGACAACAGATGAACATGTGGCAGGACCAATGGAGCCTGATTGAATGGCATTGTGTTAGCCAGTCGCAGAGTTTCGGTGTAGGCCCGCTGTGACATTTTCGTTGTTTAGCGATCATAGCGTCGAGGCTGTGTGTTGTAGTGGGGACATCGGTCGCGACCTTGTGCACCTCGTAAACAAGGAAGTATACTACTCTCTCCGAAATGACGCCCGGCCCTTTTACAATGTCTAGTCTCACCGTCCCTCTTGTTTTTCCTTTTTACCTGCCCTCTTGCAGTTCCTCTACAATTGCTGCCTTGCAGACTGCAATTGCTGCAGGTTCAGTAGTACGCGCGCTCTGAAACAAGCACCGCAAGGCCTCACCCGTGCAGTCAACGCCCGCACCTAGCGCCCATTGACTGTGAATACTACACCTCAAGCAACCTACTTTACGAACACCATGGCGCACCGTTCAAGAAGCTCGCGAGACTATCCCAGCGGCCACGGGCACCGCTCATCGCGAGAACGACAATATACCACCGAAAAGACCACACGCAATGACGACCGCCGTGATAGATCTAGACGTCGCTCGGCTCTGCCACAGTACAACCACAATGGTCATAAGGTGACTCCGGGCCTTCATCCTGAGGGCGAGAGTGGCAGAAGAGGGTTCAACCCAATCAAGTTTCTTGTGATTTCTGGCAGGAGTAGCAGCACGCCGTCCATGCTAGTCAACTGTCTATGGCCTATCGTACCTATCGCCATCGCATTGGTAAGTCTAGTATACCAAGGTACGGCTTGCATATACTGACAATTTCAACAGCACTTTGCGAAACCTGAATGGCATCTGGCAATCTTCATCACCAACTACATTGCTATGTTGCCGGCAGCGAACTTGCTCGGCTTCGCTGGCCAGGAATTCTCCCGCAAGATGCCCAACAAGGCCTTTGCTGTTGTCCTTGAAACGACATTCGGTTCCGTCGTTGAAATCATTCTGTTCATGGTCCTAATAGGGACATCTAAAGGCGACTCCAACGTACAGGTCATTAAGGCTGCCATCTTGGGATCCATCCTTGCCAACCTGCTCCTCTGCCTCGGAACATGGTAAGCACTCTTTTGATCATCGATCGATTCATCGCACTAACTTGCTTTAGTTTCGTTTTCGGCGGTCTCAAGAATGATCACCAAGAGTTTCATCCCGCTGTCTCTGAGAATGGTAGTGGTTTGATGCTTGTCGCTGCTAGTACGTCAATCCCCATCATACCTCCCTATACCTCGTTCGACTTTCGATGCTAACCTGTGTAGCCGCGCTTGTACTTCCTGCTGTCTTTTACGCATATCTCTTCCAAAACCCCGACTACGAACAAAACGTCGACATCGCCTACAACACTCGTAAGATCTCCCGGGGTGTGGCCATTATTTCTATTATAGGCTACTTGATCTACTTGTACTTCCAGACAGTCTCGCACGACGGTCTGCTCCATGAGATTTACGAAGCAGACGACCACAAGGACAAGGATCGCCACGAGGAATTGGCGAAGCCCAAGCTTACAATGACTGAAGTCATTGTCGCTCTTCTCCTCTCACTGGCCTGCGTAGCGCTCATAGCCATTTCTCTTGTCCTCGAAATTCCGCATATCGTAGAGCGTGGTGTCAGTGACGCCTTTATTGGTCTTATCTTGATCCCGCTTGTTGAAAAGGTCGCCGAACATCTCCTCGCCATCGACGAAGCCTATGACAACCAAATCAACATGGCTCTCGCTCACGTTCTTGGTGCGTCTATCCAAACCGCCTTGTTCAACGCGCCGCTCGTGGTACTTGTTGGCTGGGGTATTGGTGTCGGCATGGACTACAACTTCGCCATCTTCGACGCTGTCGCCTTGATTCTTGCAGTTTTGGCGGTGGGCTCTTTCCTTCGTGATAGGAGTTCGAACTACCTCGAGGGTATGCTTTGCGTTATGACGTACGTCATCATCGCAATCTGCGCGTTTTACTTTCCTGATCCCGCACACCACGGTGATTCAGCTGGTAGTGCGGAGGGCGGTGCGGAGGGCGGTCACTAGCGACAGCCACATGGCTACATCAGGTTCACCACCTCAAATTGGTAAACGCAAGACTATGGTGTTTGGGGTTTCAGTGCAAGTGGTCTGCAAGGGTTTTGATCAAGTTTTGTTAGCGAGCATCCGTGATGCACTTTCTTTGAGCGTTCTTCTTTCCAAACATTAGTGATCAGCAAGCGAGAGATACCAATGACACATACACGATACAAATTCTTCTTGACTGCTGCATACTGCAAGATGGTGTTCGTAACTGTCAAAACTCCACCTCCTGTATTGGCGCTAAACCCTTACCGACTAGCCACGCGCACAGACCTCCACACACATTACGCGAATTCTCGAGCCGTCTGCCGACATTTCTACTCTCCAGCGACAATCCAACTAACCCGACAGCCACCGCCCCTTCCCACGACAACCTCTTCTTCCAGCTCACACAACAAGTCGCCAAAATGGGTCGCGTCCGAACTAAGACCGTCAAGAAGTCCGCCAAGGTCATCATTGAGCGTTACTACCCCAAGTTGTCGCTGGACTTCGAGACCAACAAGAGGATCTGTGATGAGATCGCCATCATTGCCTCCAAGAGGCTCAGGAACAAGATTGCCGGATACACCACTCATCTGTACGTGTACACACCGAGGGTTGCGGCGACGATAGTGAGGGGCTGGGTCCTAGATGGTCTAGAGTGGTCTGCGCAGAGCAGCGTCTTGCAATGGCTTTGCGCAGGCTCTTTGGCACCTGAATGGGAAAGCCGCTCACTTGCCATAGCTGGAACGCTCAATGGGCAATTCGCTCTATTTCACCAGATATCAGACTAACAACTCGTAGGATGAAGCGTATCCAGCGTGGTCCCGTTCGTGGTATCTCGTTCAAGCTTCAAGAAGAGGAGCGTGAGCGAAAGGACCAGTACGTCCCCGAGATCTCCGCTCTCGACTTCACCCAGAACAGCGAGTCTGGCTCGCTCGACGTCGACCAGGAGACCAAGGACCTGCTCAAGAGCATGGGTGTACGTTGCTCCTCTATTCATACTATGTGGTCTCGTTCACTAACACACTCAATAGTTCGACAGCATCCCCACCAACGTCATTGCCGTCTCCCAACAACAAATCGTCGAGCGCGGTCCCCGCCGCTTCAACGACCGCCCCGCCCGCTCGTAAATACGAATGCGTACGCGCGACCCGCCGGTCTCCCTTCTTCCTCCTTTCTCGGCTTACTGAAAATATGGTGTCTGGGAAAGGGTTTCTTCTGCCACGACTATGGCATGGTTTTACGGCTATATACGGCGGCATGATGATCAGGAGTCAATGAAACAAAAGGTTCTCCCCCACTAGGTGTCGCTGAGTCCTAATGTCGCAAGACACGAGGATGACGCTTGATTGCCATTTCCCCTACCCATGCCCTATGCGTGATGTGATGTTGGAGTGATGTGAATCAAGAATGGTTGTAGATAAGAACTAGGTAAGTGAGTTCTACTCCCGGTCTCAACTCTAGTATGAAGCCAGGAAAGATGGGGTAGCTATGTGTGTGTGTGTGTCTCGTGAGCTCACCAGCTCTCAGTTGAGTTGAAACACATTTATGCATACTCTATCCACCTTACGAGATTACTCGTCGGTAATACGCTACTTCTATCGACGCAATATCAGTCTACTCAGCAAAATCAGCACTGTAGTTTTTTTAATTCATCGATCATCATACGCACTGCTGATATCGCGCAAAGGCCAAGCTCCGGTATATGCTTTGCCGGCGGGGCTGTTCTTCAAATTCTTAGTCTTAATATCCTCACCGTCCTCCTCGACAGAATCATTGCAATTCTTCTGACTGTCCTCTGCACCCACATCTAACATGGCCTGATGCAAACTACTCCGGTTGTTCGATGCCCCAGTAGCAGGAGGCTGCACCCTAATGCACGCTGAAGATGTCGCAGGTGTAGTTATAACTGCTCTAATCGTATCGACTGCTGGTGTGTTAGGCGGGGGCGTTGTGACCAGAGTTGGACCAGATCCGTGTTCTAGGCTTGGGTACCGCGTGTGTTGTTGTTGACGCTGTAGGCCTAGGATACCGGTGCGCTTGTTGGTGCCCGTAAGCTGCGGCGGGGAGGACTTTGGAGACTCTGAACCTATGGGGGAAGACGTAGTTGTTGCTTTCGAGGGGGTGTTTCGCTGGTGATGACGGTTGGTACAGTAAAGGATGACCAAGCCGAGGAGTAGGAACGAGAGGACTGCCATGATTATACCCGCTTTTGCTGAATCGGATAGGCTCATTGTGTTTCTTTGACTGATGATTAGTAGTGGTGGCTGAATAAGTCTGGAAAGTTGAGGGCATACGAGTGGTGGGTCTTCTATACTTCGGAATACAGGAATGGGGATTTAATGGGCTGAATAGGGAAGGAGCTGGAAGTGGGTCGTGCAAACGCATGTTCACTCTGTTTGTGGATGTTCATTGTGGTAGCCGTCGGGTAGGTACGTGTTACACGTAGAACTTTCGAATGCATTCTTAAGAGCCACTGTATTCGCGTTACGCGCACAGTATAATGGTAAATAGTTCCTGGGTCGATGGAAGCACTTTGTCGAAATTTACAGCGACGTACAGCAGATACAAGGCCATAGAAAGGTGTCATGGTTGCGTTAGCCTGCTTTGATACCAACACGTGTAACACCACAATGGATCTTCGGATCATACAGTGCTTATGTATCCTCCGTGAGCCACCTATACTGTCTGTGAACACGTGCTTAGCTACGACCGCTTGAACAGCCCCTTAAGCGCTTTCTTCACCTGGCCCTGTCTCTTCTCCTTTAACTTTTTCCAGATGTACAGCCCTGGCTTCCTCTTAGAATAGTACCTCATTTCGCCCGTTTCATCCGCCCAATCGATCCACCGTCTCTCCTCTAGCGACGCGGAAAACTCATTCGTCGGACTCCAACGTAGGCTCACATGCCCATATGGATATGCGAGATGAGGGAGCCGACCACGTGTAGAGTACTCTTCGTCGTGGAGTTTCGTCAACCGGAGCAAAATGCTCCCAACATTGCACGTGCTCACTGGCAGTAGTGGTTATAAAGACAAACGGCGGAGACACCAGACGCTATCTGCATGGCGTTTTCCATTGCAAAGACCCGGCGCAACGAGACAGTTTATCGCTATCGCGAACTCAACTGTATTCACGTAGGTTGTTCGTATGCGGTAATGATCTTCAGTCGTTGTATATTCGGGAGGAAGAAAGGCACCAGTCATTTCCTCAACTTTGTTCCTCCATCGTTGAATTTGTAATGGGTTCAGGGCCCTGACCATCTGGAAAACGTGGTCTTCGCTCTGTAGGTCTTCAATCCCGATGTTAAGCCTGGCCAGGTGCAGTTCTAACAATGGCACCATAATTGCCCAACGCGGTATTCTGACTGTGACGTGCATCAATGAAGCAAAGCTCGTCGGTTGAAGCGGTCGCAGCTTCGATGGCGTTACATTGGTGGTATCTTGAATTGCGTGTAGGATTGGAGGTGCGAGGCGGATGGCTTCGGTTGTCATTTCATCGTAGATCTGTGTGCAGGAAAGCAGAAGCCTTATATAGGTCTTGCAGTGCGCGCTTAGGAGGAAGCCTTTGGGTGTAGTGTGACTGTATGTGAGCAGGCAGGTCTCAGTCGGTAGTGCCATGGCTTTGCGGTTGGGGTCTGGATAAGGCGGGTTCCATTGATGGATCGTCTTATGGCAGATCGATTACGCGGCCACGTTCCAGATGGAGGATGGAAGGGAGTCGCTTTGCGAGAATGTCTTCTCACCCGGGGAGAAGGTTCGGCTCTAGTAGTGTTCCACTATGTTGTTCTCCAGAAGTGTACTTCACCGCGAAAGGCCTCGTTAGGGTGGCGATTCACGACGCCTTTGCCTATAACAGAGATTTGAGGCATGCATTAGAACTTCTGCAAAGTCTAAGCATTATGATCTTTCTGAAATCAACTTTCTAGTCCATTTCTCAGCACGAACGACTGAGGAAGATGCAGTGCCTTAAGCTACTATTGTGATCTAGGCTTTCGCTCATGCCATGCATGCTGTCTCAGACGTGGAGGTTATTGCTATTGAGCGTATTGATTACTCAGTCAAGCTATTGTATCGGATGCTATTACCTTATTGGCGATATAGTATGTGGAGACTTCTATGCCGTCCCTAAAAGGATACAGCAAACAAGTCGAAAGCGACAATATCCATGGAGAGCTAAGAGGTTCAATTTCTTGGTATGCAAATTTGTTTGTATACTTCACGCTATATGGAAAATGTAGAACGTTGATCGAGAAGGACATATTGAACGCGGATAAGTTAAGATTTTCGCTGTAGGAAAGCGACGCGAAAGGATATGTAGCTCACGGGCACCCGGACACACTCTAGCGAGAATGGATGCATGTAAGAATATGTAAGCCATTGATGCAGCTATCGTCGATGGAACATGAGCCGAGAGATTGAGGTGCATAATGGATGGCTAGATGAGTCGCTGCGAGTGGAAACGCTAGGCTATGACGTTCACCCGAGGTTGTTGGGGCCACATGCTGGCTAGTCATGCAGTCACGTGCTGATTCAATGCTCCGCCAAGGAGACCCCTAGCCCACGCTAGTTACGCGAGCGTGAATGTTTTTGCCTACAACCTCACGCTCCAACAACCCAACCACCCCGCAACACTTAATCCAACCGCGAACTTCACCCTCAACAGCATCTGATTCCATCGGGATCTAACTGCTTTCGATCATCTATACTGACGTGCAAGTGTTCAAGTTACCTCTTCCGGTATATCAGGTCATATATCGCGCTTGGATCATTATGTCGCCTGCCCCAGTCATCCAGACCGCTGCTGCCTCACCTTCTTCACCACAACAACCCCACACACCAACCTGTATGTGAACACAATAAGCTCTATTTCTAATCGTGAGCTAATACAACATGCAGCGACAGCTATCCCTGCATCGAAACACTTTGATGACATCTTTCACGCCAAGTTCATGCACATCATCCAGGAATGGAAGAATGACCCCTCCCGTGGCCAACTCACTCAAAAGGATCGGAAGACTTTCATTGAGAATGCCTTCTTCGAGACCGATGAGCTTTATTTCGGCGGGCGGATGATGACCGATCTTGAAATCAAGCTTCGCGCACTTACCAAGGTCTTCTATAAGGTCCTCGCCGAAGAACCTTGGTCCGAGGATTGGATACGCGCCCCTGATGTTGAGCGCAAGCTGTCCAAGTTTGAGATGCACGAAGACTCCGTGGCCCTTGCCAAGGCGCACGGCTTTACTACACCTCGTGAGGCGGTCAAAGCGGCACGTGAGGCTGGCATCAAGAACGCCGAGACTTATAAAGAGGCCCAAAAGGAAGGGAAGACTCTCAAGGACATCAAGCTTGACCGTGGTCCGTTTGATGATATCGAGATTGTCTACATCGCTGGCACGGTCTCGTCATCTGCTACAAGCAAGATCGACCGCTCTAGTATCTACCCTGTCTCCGTCTCCTCAGTCGCCAATGTTCTCCAGAACCACATCTGTAGGGATATGGTTCGCCCGTTCTCCATGGCCGAGCGCTTCGTTAACTGCACCGATACCAAGGAACTCGAAGACATGCGCCGCTTTGCCTGCAATGTCTGTGACTTCTGTCCTCATCTTCTCGACAACGACAACGTCAGCCTTTTAGTTGTACTACTCATTCTTTCACGTTCCGACTGCTGTCGCCGATTCGAGGCCAATGGTATTCGTATCGAAGGCTCTACGATTAGCCACCGCAAGGCCGAATGCATGAAGAACAAGATGGGCTGGAAGACATCTGAAGACAAGAAGCCGTACGACAACTTTGCTCAAGAGTTCCAGACTCGTGTCAAGAACGCTTGCTTCCCGGCTCCTCGAGCTCAACGTATCGGTGGTCGGAAGCCGCCGCGCAACTCCGGTCCGGCGACACCTCCGGTCTACGCCCAGCCTCACATGGGTTACGTCGCGCCTCCTCAGGTTCGCAACGACAATGTCAACACCAGCATCAACGTTCCCGCTCCATCGTTCCAGAATAACTTCCCGCAGCCTGCTCCTCCAGCGATCAAGGACCAGCGTACGTCAATTGGCGCTGGTAGCAGCGTTGCCGAACCTATGGATCTTTCCTAGATTATTTGGTAGTCTGGGTTCTGTCATCTTCAATCTGATTTATTGCATGGCCATGGCGTTCTTTGGATATCATGTATCTTGCATAGAGGCATTAGAACGGCGTTCGGTGCATTGTGCGCGATCTACACCTGTAGATGCGACATCATGTAGGCTCCAGCATCTTCTTAAATACATTCCTGTACATAGTTATATTAGCTCATCCGTAGCTGCCTAATACATATATACCTGAATGAACGATTCCGGGATTTACCCTCGAGACACTATCCAGTGATGTTTGTATCCTAGACGAACATGTAATGCAAGTCTCGGAAAGATGGCAGTGCATTGATACAATGTTATTTTAGCCCCACAGTTAGTTGAGACTACTCAGAGTTCACCATAACACGTTACTGGTATCCAAGTAGACATACCATCTCATCTACCTCCAGCCACAGACTCAGTTAGACTGCCAAGCTCAGCCTCTATTTGAGCCCGATGCGGCTCGAGGATTTTCCACTTAGCATCCCACCCAGCCAATACAACGCAACCATGGAGTTAGATAGCTTCGAGTTGCTTGCCTTCTTTCTGTGCACGAGTATGTTTGGCCTTCTCTTTTCGGTTTGGTCCGAGGTACGTCAATTGAATGGGTTTCCATATCTTCATATACTAACTGCTTCAGACCGAGCTCATCGCCGACCGCGAGATTACTCTCTTGATCGCAGTCTTCATCACAGTCGTGATCGCGCTTCTCGCGCGTCTATCCACCAATAGAGCGCTCACAAACTTCCTTACGGATAACGTAGGTGGGGTTCATGAGAAGCAGCTTCGAGATCTTACCGAAGCCCATCGTCGCCATATTGCGAGCCTAAAGCACGAGAGCAATCGCGAGCATCTTCGCCTTCGAAGCGATGTCAACATTGCCGCGCTCAAATTTGACCGCCTGTACAACGAGCATGACTACATCTCTAGCATGTACCAAGAGCAGATGCAACATAGCCAAGAGCAGGAGGATCGCATCCAATACCTCGAGAAAAAGCTCCAGGAGTTCGGTCAGTCTACGCCCGCCACTCGCGCTCCTTTCTCGGCGCCACCTTCGCAGATCAGATTTTCCGATCCACCACGTCGCCAGCGTCCTAACGATGATTTTCGTTTTACTACTTCGGCGGCTCCACTAACTCAGGTCGTTGAGACTGAGGACGAGTAAGTGTACAGCCAGAGTTTCTTACAGCAAGAAGTGCTAGCGGAGGGGATATACGTTGGCCCGAGAGGCCCGGATACGTGAAATTCACAGCAAGCTTTGCTGTGACTGAGCTAGATCACTGCAATCATGTTGGCGAGGCGGATGTAATATCATGGAAAGGTCGCAGGTCTATCCCAGCCAACAGCTTTTAAAACCTCAAATGATATCATTTGGTCCTGAGAATGGTCTGCGAATGTGTAAAATGTAGTGACTAGCAAGCGTTCACTACACCTACCCTTGGTGCCAGAATTGGACCTTCTAAACGCGTAGTGGCCTAACTCTGCGGACCACGATCCATGAGTCCAATCCAGAAGGGTAAGAGGTACACCGAAGATCGCGCGACCCATGTGTTACGCCATTTGACGGGAAACGACCATGCCACGCTCACCACGACTTCTGTTCGGGATGCGTGGAGTCAACACCGCATATTCGCTGCCAGCTCAAACACCGATTTCACCTTTTCTACACCCCGTTCAATGTTTCTATATCATCCTACGTTGAATATCTCAGCAAGCACACATAGACCGCACCATGATATAGCTACTAGGCCTCCTCATGCACCAACATCTCTACGCAAGGCAATTACTAACGAAAGTTGCGCGTGACGTAGACACTGAACTCGGTGTTCCAGGGCCACCCGATTATCCTGATCTAGAGGTCGGATAGGATACGGAGATGGGAGGACAAGGAGTGAGCGAGTGGGGAGACGAAAATACATCTAAGCGGGTGGGCTAACAAGAATGACAGTCGTTTGCTCGTAATGCGCATGACAAGTAGTGCTATTGTGCTCCTATCCCGTGTTGGAGTCACTCGGAAAGTTAGCAGTCGCAACAAACACATTCAATATAAATCCCTGCTGCGTATAATGCAGCAATAGATCTCCATTGTATCGCCCATCGAACACGAATCCAGAAAATGGCATCACAAAACATAGGCTTCTCCGGATCTACCGCCGCAACGATCAACAAACTCTCCCGAGTTATTAAAGAAGTTGACACCAGCGCCCCTGCTTCCATCCGCGACCACCGTCGCTACCTGTACCTTGTCGAGCGTCTTGGAAACGAGATGAGAGGTCAAGTGAACTTTTGGAAAACTCTCGACCCTCGTTGCAGCTCTGATAGTTCTATTATGGCTGATGTTGACAAAGAACTAGATATACCACCTCATCGCCACCAGGGCCTAACACCTCCGCAGCAAGTTGGTGCCGTATATGGTGATTTTCCAGAAATGCCACCATCACGACCTTTCGAGGAGTGGGCGCGTATATTGGATTTTGTGCAACCGTCTCAGTATACGGCAACACCGTCATCTCCGCCTAGGAGTGCAGCGCGACCTGAGCATCGTGCGTCGGCAGAGAGTCAAGAGGAACATGCCTATGCTTCTCCCAATCAAGAGGCACAGAGGGTACGCATGGAGGCTGGAATTGAAGGCCGCGATGCTTATCTCGGAAGTAGCCAAGACATAGCGGTGGACTATCCGTCGAGCCAATCACGGGAAGACGAGTGAAAGTTTGTGGGATTTTTAGCTGTCTACAGCTTGCAAAAAACGTACGTTGAAGGTGGCTGAGTGCGTCGGAGAGCAGAGTAAAGACAGAGCATGGGACCATGAATGAGCAGTGCATGAAATAATCTAACGACACATAAATGAAAGTAACATTGCCGTGAACTACCTATATATGCGCAGTGAAGCAAAGGGGTATATCTATCCAAAGTGTAATCGTGCGAGAGACGGGTATCGTGAGAAAAGCAGAACCACGCAGAACTCCGACAGTAAAAAGAAAACGATGAGCAATTTTGAATGTGAAGCTTAGGGCCTCCTCTTTGAGCCTTTTCGGCTCAATCCCGTGCGCGATGCGTAAGCAGGCTGGATGTAATCCCCCGGACTGTCAGAGTCTGTTGCGAAGGGGTCGACATAGCTGTGTGGCTGCGTCATGTCATAACGGCCATCGTTCAATGGTCGGGTAGCCGGAAGCGCACTTTCGACGTTGCGAAGATCCCATGGGTCTTGCGATACCGCGGAAGGCGACATCACCGATGCCGAAGCTGCAAAGGGATTTTCTTGACCACCAAAGGATGGACGCCTAGCTGATGGCGGCCTAGCGTGTTCCTGGTTGAAGTTCGCTGGGAATGACAATGGTGGAGGCGCACGTTTCCTCGAGCTGGAAGGTCGGTACGTTTCTGTAGGCACTTGGGAACCAAGTGCTGAAGGATTGGGTTGCGAGATGCTTGTACGACGCTTGCTCGTAGTCCGGGTTAACCCGGACGGACGCGGAGTAGAGGTGACACTATCGTGGCGAGTCATTGATTCTCTTCGGGTTGAGAGAGAACGATCACCGCCACGCGGATCCCAATAGCCAGGTTTCTCCTGTTGCTGTTGGCTCTTGAGAGTTGCCTGTTCCTCTTCTCGTTCCCGAGCTTCTGCAACCAGCCTCTCACTCCGCATCTGCGCCTGCTCAGCTTCAATCAAACGTTGCTGATCTGCTAACTGAGCTGGCGTCCAGGTTGAGGAAGACAGTCTGCGTGATGCGGATGGTCGTGTCGCTGGGGGCTTCGACCTCTCCTTCTTGCGGTCCTTGGCTGCCTTCTCCTCGGCTGCCTTCTCTTCGAGGTCTTTCTGTTCCTGTCGCAAACGCTCTTGTTGCAAGCGCTCTTGTTCCTTGAGGCGGCGGGACTCCTCTCTGACTGCGGCTCGATCCTTCTCCTTTTCAGCTAGGAGTCTTTCTCCTCTCTGTTTTTTGCGACTGTCTGCGCGACCAAGCTCGAAACGCACGTGCCTTTCGTTCTCCTCGGCCGCTTGTCGCTCAGAGTCTTCTTGACGTCGGCCAGATTTTGACTGCTTCTGTCGCTCGTCACCGCTCTTGGTGCGACGGTTGACTTCAGGTCCGCCTGAACCAGTGTATGAGGAGTGGTCGGCAAAGATGTCGTTGTCAAGTGGATTCTGGTAGTCTGACGTGTATAGGTCCCGTGGAGCGACCCTAGAAGTCCGGTATGAACCAGATGACGTCCCAGTCGGGCGCTGAGATGGTGAAGATGGAGCGACAGGGGGCGGGTTGTGGATGACAGTGGCAGGGTATCTCGTACTTCGCTGCTTAGTCGGTGGTTCATCTTCTGCATATAGCGATGGTGTTTGACTGGAAGATGCCGATGGAGCATGAGAAGGATGATACCCATAAGACGTGGTAGGAGTGGTAAGGTAGCTATCGAAAGCTGGTGGAGGCAGAGGAGCCTCCGGAAAGCCCGTTCGCAAAGTGTACGAGGCCTCGGAGCCGATAGACTCGATAGCCGCTTCATTGGATGCCCTAGAGCCAAGTGATGAACGGTCGTAGGGTTTGGTGGAGACAGAGATCGATGGATACTTTTTGACCTTGTCTTTCTTGGAGCCAAGTTGTATGACGATCTCAGTACTGATGGGTCGTTGGCCATCCCGAGTTGAAGGACGGCTACCACTGCCAGATGGACGGCGTTTTTGAACCAGGTATGTCCCGCTGCTTGTAGGAGTTGGTGGGTTTGTCGGTGATGGTGTATCGTCACGGATGTTCGAGGTTCTCTTAGGGTTGTATCGATGGGGTACGACTACCACGTCCCGGCATGGTCTTCTGTCGCGTGCTTTCTCGCACAGGCGGGTTCGGGAAGATGTCACGGGTCGCCCATCAAGGCCGTACTCCATGCGTTCCTCTATCCGACACATGGCGACAATGCGTGATAGATGATGTCGATGTTGGGAACTTCAGAAATGAGGATGGTTTGTAGAATTCCTTGCCTCAAGTCCAATGTGGTGGTATCAGACCAACTTATTCGTATTAATAAAGTAGTCGGAGAATAGGCAGATGTGCAAGTACCTGATGTGAAGGATGTATCCGGTGACAAGAGCACAATAACCTTACAGGGTGCAAGTCGATCAAAGTATATGTCGAGTTGTATGTGCTTGATGGTTTGGTAATGCTGGGGACAGCGACGGTATTTGAGCAACAGGTGACGGCCCGACTGGGACAAGCGGGAGGCAGGATGAGTGTACTCGTCACTTCAAGAGGATATGAACCGAAAAGCGAAAGAGTCAGAGCGGCGAAAGGGTAATAATAGAGAATGTGATGTGCAGGGAGCTATGCGACTTTGAGGAAAGTAAAGTGCAGCCCTACTGGGCAAGGGGTTCTTTTAAGCACCAGGCGGCGCAGAGTGTAGCCTGGGAAAGTGCGCAATGAGTGGACAAGGGAGCAGAACCACCAACGATGACCAAAACGGATGTGCAGAAAAAGGTGCCAGTGCTAGGCCGCAGCGACGGGCAGGACAGAATGCATGAACATGATCCGGGCGTCTTTGGGGCCATTCCTTAGGGCTGCGCAGCGGTGAATTGCACAGCCTGCGAGCGACCCAGGACACCGCCCAGCCACAAGTGGACCCTGGCAGTGACCGGTTTTCTGTGCCTGAGGGTGATGAAGAGGGAGAGAGGCCGGATGCAATTGGGGAATGAGAGAAACTGTCGAGTCTGCCAGCCGGTTTGCGCATCCGCGCGGCCGCACAAGCTGTCTCAGACTCGATGGGCAGCAATGACAAACTGCCGGTGCTCGAGCGCATCTCCCTCATCATCACCATCCCCCTGAGCTCGGCTTCAGTCTTCGCCCGGTGACACTCATCTTTCTTGAAGAAATGGGGACGTGCTGGTGCTGTTAGCCACGAAAGAAAGGCAGATGGACAGCTTTCAGCTGAAAAATTGGCGAATGAGAGTAGGCGCCATGCAGTCATTCCCGTATTGTCAGGCAGGCGGCCCTCCATGCCAGGCACCAGAAGCCGCGGATCTGATCGGCGCCCAATGCCCGACCATATTACTTTGCTTTGATGATGAATATGGGTAGAGGGAAGTATGCTTGGCCGCTCAACTGGCTGGTGCTGGTGCTGGTGGGGCTTCACGGTGCGGCGGGCACTAAGGGGAGATGCACCCACGCGAGCAAGCGGACGCATCGTTCGCATGCTGGCCTCCTGCATCGCGTCCTCAAACCTCGACCATGGGATTATATTGCGCGTTGTTAGTCTATTGCAAGATTGCGAAAGAGGTGCTGATGCATGGCCGCCATGAACATGATTGATGATGGTGGGGAGGCGACTTGCTTCGCATGTGAGCCCATGGCTACCTTGCTGCCTTGACCCATCCGAACTCGGGAAAGAGCAGTCGACACCTGCCACAGGAAGGTGAGTCTTCGTCAGCGCCTTCCCCAAAAGCTAGTGTATTCTCCCTTGGCGCCAACTCGTGAGGTAACCCTGAGAAGCTACTACAACTCGCCGACCTTCACAACAAACCTCACTCCTTACAAATCTTCACCATTGTCAGCGCGAACGCCATAGTCACACAAGCGTCTTTGTGCGCCAAACGTGGCTGTCATCCGTCATATGCTCCTGGCGAGCCGTTTGGTCCCACCCCAGGTCCCCGTTTTTTTCCGTGGCTTCACAGCCTCAGTCACCAGCCCTAAAAGTGGCGCGCATCGTCACTTTTTTGTTACTTTGAGGGTCAAAATACTTGATTTCCAGACGAGTGCAATTGGACGAGGAAGCGAGCCGTCCCTCTAATCTGCGACACCGCTACTTACGCCTCTCAATGTAATCCGAGAGGAGAAATGGCCTGATGAGGAAGGCACGGCCACCTCAAGCAGACTCAATTCTTTTTCGCAGTGGCGCACACCCATTGACATGCTAGATGATGGCATTTAAGTTCGGTCGCACGTGAGATCCTCAGTCCACATGCCTTTACTGAGAGAAGCGTGGTCGATCGATGATGTATCGCGGCGGTGATAAGCGAATATGTTCTGAGACACTTTTCTGCCACGTCGTTTGCGATTCGATCTACCCACCAACAATCTCTATCTTCAAGAACATGTCGTCTCACCGTGTATTCGCAAACACCATGCCGGCTAATCTCCGTGGTGCGCTCCGATACCCACTGATATCCATGCCTCAGCCACGACGCCTCAACAGCCTAGTCCAACAGCGTCTCAAGGCATGCCGTGCCACAGCATACCACCAATCCATTATCGGTGTCACATAGCCGCTCAGCCTCGTTGGTGGCCTTGATGTACACCGAAGTTTGCTCCCTACGAACTTTGTTCACGCTATCGACGACTTCGCGATGGCCCGGCCGGCGGCTGCAGAAACCGCTGCGAACCCCAGACCCACCCAAATGCACCGTCGTGCTTGGGCAATCTGCACTCAAGATTTGGTATCGGTGAGTGATATCACCAATGGTATGTTTGCGGTATCAGACCTTAGTACGATGTGTTTTTTCCACGCCATGCTCGAACCACTGTTGAATATCCCATGACAAGGAACACATCTCACCGGCTACGAATCGAAGAACTAGCGACGTTACATGTTCGAGTCTTCCCCAATGTCTAAACATGTCCATCAACGCGATGTGATCAAACGCGCAAACCGCCCACAGTACCTTTGACTCAGACCTGCCAAGGTCTCACCAGCGAGTATATCCTCCACGACTGTCAATACTTACACAGCCACCTGCTTCCTCACATCTCACAGGAACCATGTATGCGCCGTCCCGTCTTGCCCTGCCAGCCAGTAAGCAACATACAAACTGCTACTAAGCTTCGGCCCCATTGCCATTGAGCACCAACCACAGTCTTGCATAGAAACAATAAGCTTCGTTACATGGGTACAATGACAGCTGAAACATTTGCTTAGGCCAAGAATTGGGTATCAATGGCTCAGGTTCATCGCTGTAGCCGAGCGCGATTAATAGCTTCTGGACGGTGTCCTGCGAGACATTGCCAAGCACGGCGAAAATCTACCGGCGTAGATGTAGAGGTCAGGTGGAGTAAGACTGTTGACAATGCAATGGCGTGAACAGTCGGACGAACCTAATGAAGCACAGAAAGATAGTAAAGTCACATCAGCCGCCATGGAACGATGGCTCAAAAAAAAAGGTGCAGGCACAAGCATACATCGCTGCCACTGTACGGACCGATTCACAGGCTCCTAGTACCAGGCGTCTGAGTCACCTCAAACGAAGACTCTGATGCCTCTGTGTCGCTACCCTCATCGTTCCGGGTTAGTCGGCATGCTCGCTACCACCGTGATACGGCACAGCAATCCAACTTTACAGCTCGGCATCTCCGACCGACTTCGACGCCGGCTTGTGTTAAGCCGAAGTTGGAGCCTGCCAGATGTCTCACAATGTAGGCAACCATTTCCACTAGCGAGGACCCGTGGTCTGTCAATTTACATGCTCAGCCTTGGATATCCTCCGCTTTGGCAGTCAGTGACATCTGGAAGGTTCCTTAGCATGCTCAAGTCGTGTGATGTCTCACTACTATTCTTTCCGTCGGATACACTTGAGTGAGCGATATCGCACATGTAGCTCGCGTGAACATGTCTCATCTACAGGATCAAAATAGGTTGCATAGGACAGAATCGCCGGAGACGTAGTCTATCAGATAAAAGGCAGGTCTTGTGGTATACTCTGCAATGATACACTTACCTTTTACACAATGTATGCTTCGACACACCAGAAAAGCCATCCATCTCCTTGACTCCCTCCCCGTTTGTGCGGCTTGGTTTTCGTTCTCGTTGTCTTCTCCCACGATCCTTAGCATACTTGACATGGTCGACGGTGTCCAAACGTTCGATAAAAGCTTGAACGAATATCTCTCCTAGTACGAGTTAGCGAGAATCATCACCCAACAGACCAGAGGCAAACGATGTACAGATATCTCATATTCATTTCATACAATACAGATACAACGCATGCAGTATACTACAAGATTTCCCTTTCGTCTAATTCCCCCTCAACGCCTCGGCCATGCCGGGGAAGCCCTTTGGCGGCCGTGCATGTCCCTGTGGCCTCTCGCGTTGCAAAAACTCACTGAACTGCTGAGCCTGCTCACTCTTCTCATCCAACTCCTTCACCCCACTCTTACCCACCCCACTGACCAAGCTCCTCAGGTCATTGTTGTCGACGTTGTCTCTGACGGGTGGCTTGTCATCCAATTCACCTCTTGCAACAGCGACTTCGGGGCCCGTAGCACGGGCAAGTCTGATGTGAATACGACCATCGTTTGTGACGCTACCGAATACAGGCTGCACCATGATCTTCTTGCCACCAGGCGTGTCGACATCAATGGTTTCGACGTCTTTGGCGTTAGCAAAGTTGGCGGGGTTCCTGGGTGTGTAGTCTGTGCCCTTGAATTGATCGTTTGCTACGAAGCCACCTACTCCGAGACGGGCGTAGAGCTCATTGGATGTGCCTGTGCGTCTAGCTTGCATGAGGCGGGCGGGAATGGGAGTGGGCTTGGCCTGGGGACCGAGAATGGGGTGGTTGGCGATGTAAGAGTAGTGGCGGAGGTAGCCGAGTCCAGCTGAAGGGTGGGTGGAGAGGGGTGCGGTTTCTTGGTCAAATTGATACAGTTCGACGTCGCGCTTTGAGGCATCCTCCTTGTAGGATGTGTTTTTGAATCTGATAGCCGGTAGCTTCAAGAAGGGAAGTATCAACTTGCTGACAAGCTTGCTGGTCAAGGGGTCCTTTGCGGTCTCTTGCCGGAGCGCCTTGATGCCAGCTTCGATTTCAGACTGGGTGATTTGGCGCCAAGTCTTCTCTCGTTGCTCCTGCCATGCCTCGGCGTCTTGGGCATCCATTGGTGGTGCCTCACCGGATTTTGTAGCAGCAAGTCGACGGGTGGTGTAGATCTCATTCTTGACGTACTCGACTAGATAATCATTGAACTCCTTCTTGCGGCCTGTAATTTGTTTGTTAAGGTAAGAGACAAATTCTTCGGCGCTCATGCCAGGAAGCCAAGGCCCATCGTGCTTCCACCGCCTGGTGTTGTGAACGACTGGATCTACAGGTGGTGGGGTGAAAGGTACGAATGGCAAGGATCCTGGGGTCCGTGATGCTGCCATCTGCTGCTTCTGCTTCTGCTTCAAAGCCTTCCTTGCTTCCTTTCGCTCTTGTTTAAAGGCCAAAAACTCTTCGCCCCATCCGCTGGCCTCGAAGCTCGCGCGTTTGGTTTCCAATTTCTCGTTCCAGGTAGAGCCGAAGGCTTCCCACTGAGCCTTGGCTTGTTTGGCTTGTTCTTTGGCTTGTTTTGCAGGCATGCTCATGCTCTTCTTGAGTGCCTTTAGGTACAACCCAGCCTCATCTAGTCCCATCTCGGTATCATAACTCGTAGTATCATCCCGAACCTCAAAGGCTCCAAGTGGTGGCTCATTCTGAAGGTCCTGGTTCTTTATTTTCGACAAGCCCTTCATCATAGGCATACCCATCTCTTCCCATTTTTGTCTTGTCCGCACATGGTCTGCCGCTGAGTCGAAGTCGGTAACATGTTCAATAGTATCAAGTTGAGTGACCCGCAGTACTGGATCGCTCACTTGTACTATGTGACTCCTCGATGGGATTGGCCGCTTGAGACCCCAGTCGCCACGTGCTAACGAGGACTTTGTTGTCGCAATGGCTTGGTGTGTCGGGTATGGAAGCGTTGCGGTGTCGGAGGCCTTGGAGATGCCCGCGCCATAGGTTTCGCTAACAGGCGGTCGTGGGAGCGGATTCGGGAGCGAGAAGAGGCGGGAATTCCGGAGTAAGTTGGCAGTGGGCGAGATAGATTGGCGGCTTAAAGCCATATTGGCGATGCGACAGCCGCGTGTGGGCGTTCAATGGCGGCTGAAGTGATGACCCCAATGTGTGTATTGTAGAGAAATGTCGATGGAGTTTGCGGCAAAGAGGTCCGTGCGAGACCTCCGCGGCTTCTGATGGGTCACAGACTGGCTTCACACAACCATCTTAAGATTCACAGGAGATATGAAAATACGTCTTCTATTGACTTGAATTTTCCATAGCGAGCTACCTACGGCTATTTCATGAGAGGATTTCTCGACGCATATCGAAAACCTCCTTGGGATTTGCGCATCTGCCAGCAGGATTTCAAGGATGCCTACTACTGTTCCACTGAATGCAAAACGATTCCAACCGTCTTTCAGGTTGAGAATATCTACCTACAAACACGTTCGACCAATAGGTTCTATCCACATGGTCTATCGAGTGCATCCTGTGAGTCGAATGTTGTGTAGTTTTCGTAGTAATTTCCAGGGTGTTTCCACGCCGATGGATGAGAACGGTAATCTGACAAGACACTGGTCATTGCAGCTCATCCGGGCAGGTGCTTATCCCAGTCTTGGTCATCGTCATCATCGTCATCGTCATCCTTGTCTTTCCTGTTGATGCGTGGCACATGCCCTTCGATGGCCATTGTATGGTCAGAAGTCTGCGCAGGAAGTGACGGTGGTTGTGGCGGTGCGTTGCTGGAAGAGCGCTCCAGGATCTGGTCCTGAATGAGGTCGTTGTTTGCCTTGGTAAGATTGCCTGGCTTCTCTCCTCGTTCGAGAGCCAGGTCGGTCATGGCATCTTCACGAGCGGCCCAGGCTGCATTCAGGTCTGCTTCTTCATCTTCATCAGCCGGGATCGCACTTGTTTGCTTGAGACGCAACGGTAGAGCTTTCTGATGCTCGTCGGCATTATCTACCATGAGCTCAATCTTGTCGCCGTATCCGCCATGTCGCATCCACGCCGGTTCTTCGTTCAGCTGCACCTTGACGTAGAGTGCGCGTCTTGCGCAGTCGTCTGAGCACCACACTTCCAGCACCTTTCGGTCTACTATCTGCACACCGTGGTCCGTGTCAACAAACTGTTTCCTTGCGGTGGATCGCGCCTTCTTCTTAGGCCGCGGGCAGAGGGCGTATCCGCATTTGTCGGCAATGTTGCGCTCTTCGATGAGGGCGTCGTAGTCGGTGGGTTGGAAGGGGATGACTGCTTTTTGGAAGAACTGAGCGTCTGAGGGCGACGGTCGCTTAGCATCGGCGTCTGGTGAGGTGGGAAAGTCCATCAGTGTCATGACAGCCTCCAGCACCTCTGCCTCGACGCGCTTGCGGTCTTCAAGTACCGTCGCATGGTGGCGGGCGACAGCAAGGTGGCGCGGATTGGCGGGTTTTTTTGCAGGGGGCGCGTTTGTAGAGACAGTCGCGTTCTTGAGTATTGACTTGGGCGGCATGTCGGGGTATCTGTTGGTGTTGGGATCGTCGTTGCTAGAGTGTGAAGTGGAACCTCTTTGGGCGTGCTTGGCGGAGCGTCGGGGACTTGGGCGGGGCTGTTTTGAGCTTCGTCACCACACTTCTTCGCACAAGGCACCTGCAGCAGCCCTCATCCTTCCCACTACCCCCCGCCCAGAGCTGTGAGGGTGCAAGCATTGAATGGTAGGCTGTGTTATTCTTCCGCGCTTCCCGCATTGCTGCACATGCTGACATCCGCGTCATCGCAGCTCCACGTCCGAGACCCGCCGTGCACGACACCCTAACGAGCTCCCACACAATCTTGCTGTACCGCTGTTAGGCAGGGACCGCAGGTGTCACCCCTATTGAGCATCCCGCAGCTGCAACAGCACTGCATCCATCACCGTAGCCAGTCGCCATGTATAAAGTCAAGGCCATCTACGACTACGCGTCCCCCCACGAAGATGATTTGGGCTTCAAGATCGGCCAGATAATCTCCGTCACCGAGGAGGAGGGCGACGACTGGTATGTGGGCGAATACACCGACGACAGCGGCACCAAGCACGATGGCCTCTTCCCCAGGAACTTCGTCGAGCGCTACGAGCCAGCGCCGCCGCCACGGCCCAACCGAGCTTCACGGCACAAGCCATTAGAGCAGCCGCCTGCGCAGGAAGCCCCCCCTACGCCTCAGGTGCCGCAACAGGAGCCAGAGCCAGTCCAGCCTAAAGAACCAGAGCCGCCCAAGCCTCAACCTCCTCCCATCGAGGTGCCCAACGCTGCCAAAACAACACCGCTGCCCATGTCACCAATGTCACCCCGCTCTGCGTCGAGCGCGAAGGCTCAAGAAGCTCTACCACCGCAGTCAGAGTCGTCCAAGCCAGCTCCTCCTGCAAAAAAGGCCCCGCCCCCTGTCGCCCCGAAGAACAATGCCTTCCGGGACCGTATTGCCGCTTTCAACAAGACGAGTGATCCTCCGCCCAAACCTATCAAGCCATCCGGCGGCGCTCCGAGTTTCATCAAGAAGCCATTCGTGGCTCCTCCACCGAGTCGAAATGCCTACATTCCTCCTACTCGAGAGGCGGCTCCTCCAGTCAAGACATACCGCCGTGACGAGGATCCGGAGATTGCAGAGCGCCAGGCGCAGAATCAGAACGATGCAGAGCGCGCGGGTCTAGTTGCTCATGACGCCCCGAAGGCGAACGAAGGCGAAGAAGAGCAGCAGCCCAAGATCAGCCTGAAAGAACGTATTGCTCTGCTTCAGAAGCAACAGCAGGAGCAGGCAGAAAGGATGGCAGCTATGCACAAGGAAAAGCCAAAGCCTAGGCCGCCCGTGGTCAAGAGGACTGAGTCCCAGGATGCTCATGCTGAAGACAGCGAAGACACTGGTCTAGAGCGCGTGACAAGTGGAGCATCTAAAGGTCGTGTATCCATGGATCAGCATCGACCTCCGCGGACATCTCACGACATCCGGTCTCCAGACTCGCAAATGCGCAATCGCGAACTACTCAGCGAAAACGATGCCGATCAATCTGCTGCTGGAGACACCGAGGATGCTGGAGGAGAGTCCACAAGTGTCGAGGAGGACGAGGATCGACCGAAGAGCAGGCACCCACCGCCGCCACCGCCTAGAGCACCCACTGCCCCTACGGAAGAGCCTAATGTTGGCGATGAGCAAGACGTGCCCGAAGAAGAGGAGGAAGAAGACGAAGAGGAAGATGAAGAAACTGCAGAGCTGAGACGTAAGGAAGAGCTACGCGAACGCATGAGAAGACTGGGTGGCGGCATGGGTGGAATACCCATGTTTGGCGGACCCATGCCTATGGGCGGTCTTCCACCAAAACCAAAGAAGAAATCGACTGCTGAGAAGAAGCCTGAGGAGACTGAGGAGTACAATATGCCCCAGCAACGAGTCCCTATGTTTGGGTTTGGTATGCCTGGTATGCCGCCCGTCAAAAGTCCAGAGCCCGAGGACCGCACGCTTTCCGTCGAAAAGGAAGATGAGACCCCGCACCCTGTCACCAGCGCTCATCCAGCGGACAAAGTGCCCGATGTAGAAGAAGTTGCGTCTCAGCCAGTTCAGCCAACGCCTACCGGCGATGGTCCCCCACCTGTCCCAACAGACCGTAAGTTTCTGATTCCTCGCAAGCCCATCTACGCTTTTGTACGCCATGCCCGAGACTGTATGCAGTTGCCATCTTCCGAGACCTTGTCAAAGACCTATGTCACTTACGACGGTCTATCGGAATATGTTATGACTGTATGCGCGTCTAGTATGTGTGTGCATGAGGCTTTGTGGTTTGCTATCTCATTGAAGTTGTTCTGACAATCTCTAGGACGTCCTGCACCTCCTCCGGTGCCATCAGCGTGTAAGTCATCGATTTTCGATATCCAAGCTTGTACTGACATAACATAGCTCGACCGGTGCCGCCACCCCCTCCGCAGGTTCTCTCTCCTGGACCCGGATCTGAGTCTGGCGATGAGATGACAGATGTCGCTGACACCCCGTCTGCTCCAAGCCAAGCACACAACAAGCGGGCTTCGTACTTTGCCTCCAGTGAGCTATCACAGGACCCATCGGAGAGGCGTGCGCCTCCCATTCCGTCTGCGGGCCCCGCATCCCCTACAATAGGCCGACCACCTCCGCCACCTCCACCGGCACAAGCACCCCCTTCGCGTCATGAGGACCTACCCATCCGAAGACTGGACCGTAATGAGGGCGAAACCGACTATGAAGGTGACTATGATACGGACATGGCACCAGAGGCAACTCACAAGGATGCCTTGAAGTCACATGCTAGAGATTCTAGTGTAGATGACAACACCCTGACAGACGAGCCAACCTCAGCACGATCACCCACAATTCCCCACGGAATGCCGCCTCTACCTCCTACTGCACCCCGTGCAGTGCCACCTCCTCCACCTCAGCAAGCGCCCAGTCGGCCATCAACAGATGCTCCCCGTGGTGCACCTCCTCTTCCACCGGTACCACCGCCAACTCGCAACGCCCCTATGGACGACGATGATGACGATTACGACCCGTACAAGTATACCGGACCACCTCGCCCACAAGCTGCAGCACCTCCAGCTCCTAGGGCAGTGCCACCACCTCCACAAAGTCAGCCGCCTCCCCCGCAGAGTCGTCCACCGCCACCAATGCCTCCATCGATGCCTCCTCTTCCACAGCGTCAAGAATCAGACGACGAGGACGATCTGTACTCTTCGCCCCCGCCTCGGAAATCTCACGACAGACCGCCACCTCCACCACCTCAAGCCCCGCCGCATCAGCATGCACCTCCACCTCTTCCACACTTACAGGCTCCGCCTCCCCCGCCTCAAGAAAGAATGGTGCCGCCGCCACCGCAAGAGCGTCCTGTTTCAATGTTCTCACCCGTTGCAACGGAGGCACCACCTCGGATACTGAATACTCGAAAGTCGCTTGATGCGGGCCAAATGCTGACATCTCGAGCCTCTATGGACCAGGCTCGTCCGGCGACGAACCAAGGCTTCATCGCGAGCGATATCGATTTGGGGGTTTCGTCGCATTGGTGGACTCAACCCAAGCTGCTCCCTCCCTCACTACAGGGCCGCAAAGACGTTTTGGTAGACATGAAGGAGTCGCAATCAGGCAACACAGTGGAGAAACTCATCAAAGTTCTCTACCTAGATTATTCACAAACAATCATTTCCGCTCGCTTCGAGGCCAACAACGTCTCCGATGTGGACCTTGAGCAGCGCAATGAGCCACCACCTCCCAGCCAGCGTCCTGATCAGCTGGAGAACGCCTACGAACAGTTTGGTCGCTCGATAGCCAAAACGATTGAATCAAAGCAGAACACTGTCGTGGGCAATGGCACGCCCCATGGGCTGGTTGACGAGCTGTTCAAGCCCTTCAATGACGCACTGCCCCCAATCTCAACTCGCTCCTATGGTGCGCTTGTTTACGCTAACCTAGCCAACGCGTCAACCCAGTCTTATGATGAAATTCGCCCTGGTGACATTATCAGTTTCCGCAACGCTAAGTTCCAGGGCAAGACTGGACCAATGCATGCCAAGTACGCCATGGATGTAGGGAAGCCGGATCACGTGGGTGTCGTTGTCGAGTGGGATGGTAGCAAGAAGAAGGTGAGGGCTTGGGAGCAAGGACGTGAGCACAAGAAGCTCAAGCCTGAGAGCTTCAAGATGGGAGATTTGAGATCAGGTGAAGTGAGGGTATGGCGTGTAATGAGCAAGAGCTGGGTTGGGTGGAATTGATTAGACAAGATGCGCGTTTGTAGGTGAGCGAGGAGCGCAGAATTGTAATTAAAACCTAGTCTTGTGTCTGTGTATCCTATCTGGCCCTCCTCAAAGCTTTTCACCGTCAACATCACACATCCTGATACACCTCAATACCTATAAATACCCACAACATGCCTTACACATTCACGTCGGAGGTCTACGAGGTCAAGACCACCCCAGCCACCATCTCCGCGGCGCACATGTCGCCTTCCTGGTATGCCGTCTGGCAGATCGCCATCAACAACCCGGACGAGGCCGCCGCCCTGACTGAAGCCAGAGGCATAATTAAGGAGAAGCTCCGCTGTGATGTGAAAGGTTAATGGGTATTAATTTAGTCAGTGTAGGAGTTAGCACAAGGCATGTGCGCAGAGGATTCTTGAGCATCCTGGGTCTAGAACCAGACCAACCATCCTGTTTTCGGCTCTCACTTTGTCCAGCCATCTCAGCTGATTCGTATCTGGTTTAGTCAAGGGATCACAAACGATCCGCCAGACTAGACGCGATCAACATGCATGATCTGAATCATGATTGCTACCTGACCGGAAGAACTATAAATGTATGTGGGGGTGTCGCGAATGTTATAGCCCTGTTCTGTCATTACATTTTGCTAGCGGGCATCTGGAGATATGGATCACGCAATGACGGACGATATGACAGCTCCTCAACACAGTCGAACGAACGAACCAGATGAGACAAAAAATCTGGAATTACCACCACGTTTTATTAACGCCGAGCGCCGAGCCGAAGAAGAACAGAGGACCGCAGAATCCGACAAGATTGTAGTTTCTCTTGCGATAGAGGAGCTCTGGTTCGAACCAGTTGACATCAAGTCACGCAACGAAAGCTTCCTAGCGAATGACGAGAAAGCGTTCGAAGGCACCATCATCGCCCGCAGAAAATGGGGACAAGTGAAGCAAAATTGGGAATACCTACTCTCTCGATCCAACGGATTGTTGCTTTGGTACAGTAACGTGAAGCATGTGTCACAAACATCAAAGGGTGAGTGGGCAAAGGTGGTTAAACTAAAAACCAAGCTCGATCTGTTCAAAGTCCGCGACGAAGCCACTATGGAAAACATTGTTCTCATCGAGTTCCAAATCGGCGATCCGAATGTGGACCCTCTATACCCCGACACAGCCGTATGGGAAAACTTGACCAACAACGTTGCAAAAGGTACATCGACCATTGATTCATCCAAGAACGAGATCAAGGGAAGGAAAGGCCTGCGGAGTAGTACAAAGGAGAAAGGTCCTAAGAGCTCACCCAACGATCGCGAGGAGTCCGCTCATCCAGTGAGTGTGGTTCCAGGAGCGGCATCGACCCCCTCCGTTAGTATTAACAGCGATTCAAATGCGATATCCCAAATGCAAATGCTTGAGGCTATCCTGGAACGAGCGCAACGACGCTACCACTGGTTCCCATGGAGAGAGGACGAATACAACTTCTGGGATGACGACCAGTACAAGAAAGCTAAAGCACTTGGCCTTGAAACGTCATTCGAAGTGTTCAAAACTACGCATGACTACTACCTTGAATCACTGAACTGGTCTGCAGAACGGGGAAGAAATCTTAGTGACATCAGGCTGCGCTTTGTGCGAGATATCGATCTTCCTTCTTCTCATCCAATCCCTAATAGTGAATAGGAGCCCCAGCAGACGAAAGACCATTTATCAGGTGGATATGATGAGCGGCCTAAGATAGATCCAACGATGATCATCGCAAATATCCAGTACCTGGAGAAAAGAAGTGCGGAAGACTTGCTAGCTCTAGGTCCAACATTACGGAATGGCTTCGTCTCAACACTTATAAACGAGGTGCCTCATACGCTACACGAGCACAATTGGGTTTTACTTCTTATACTCACTCTCGAAACGGAGGAAGCCCTTGAAAAGGAGCTCAACAAGTGCAGTATCAAGGTTGAGAAAGGATGGTACGAGCGCTCCTATTGGAAACTTCTCCTTCAGCTTAAGAGGTCGCTGAACGAGGAGACCTTCCCGGGATTGACGGCTAGTGGTATTCATAAGGCGTGGGAAGGTCTGAAGCGTAAGATCCATGAGAAAGACTTAGATCTAGACACTGGGGGTAAGAAAGCGCGGCCCAAAGACGGTGCCAACCAGAGGCCTAAGAAAGACGAGTCTGACACAAAGATGAAATCAGAAACGGAGGCCCTAAAACCCTCCTTTTCGGACGTGGATATCGATATTCCATCACCATCACAAGGTGTCATCGATTCGAACGACGAAAAGAACAGGATAAGTGGAGATGGAGTAGAATAGGGATCGTGAGCGGCCAGGCTCAGAAGCGCTTGGAGAATTGGCTGAGTCTGATGAGATGCAAGCTGACAATTGAAAATTCAACCGTAGAGACCTTCAGGGCTGGAGTTGATAGTGGTGACGATAGAGAGATTGACCGAGACGGATGAAGTATCATCAAGAAAGAACTTGCAGAAGACTATCGTGCGAACAATGCAGTGATGACACACCTCTCTCCAAATAGTATGTTTGCCTCTGTATCACCACCTTCAGATTCAGAGCTTGGAAGTCAAACGCAAAGTCCAGGACCTACTCGGATGTCACTCTTGCTACCTTATCCAGCGAGTTGCGTGCTGGCATCATGCCTTTTCACGTGTTTCTCTGGATTGTCACCAGAGCAATTTCCTCTATGATTATCCTTGTCCCTCAACACCTGCTTTTGGTACCCTTCCTTGGTGTAGAGGGTCTTCGCGAAGCCAAACTGTTACCCGGAAGGATCGAGGACGACGAGAATGCTGCGCGGGTCACCGAGAGCAAGGAAGGCGTATTGGAAATCACAAAACAGGACGACCATATCGGGAAGAACCTGCCAGGCCTACATTCAGCAGGCGTGCGGTCGGCAGGAGCGTCATTCTCCGTAGATATTTTCAAGAGCGTTTCGCGTCCTTTTCATGGTGATGTGGTAAAGTCTGCATTAGTTCAACATGAACGTAATCGACTTCCAGGTAGCAATCGGAAGCTGTATGTGACCAACCAGTATCGAACAAAGTACTTTGAAAATTGCGACAGCGCGATGCGATTCTCCAGCTTCAGCGTGGACGTCGGTACTGTGACGCGCATACCTTCATCTCTCCTCATAGGCTCGCGACAAGCTAATGCCGAAAGCACGAGCCCAACTTACGCCCTGAATGATAAAAATAAATGTGTAAGGGCGCTTGTGATCTATCGCGTTGTACGAAAGGGCTGACAGAGATGAGGTCGGATGAAAGTTGGTGGACGGGCCGGGAAAGTAGCCGCATTAGAGGTTCGCGCTTATCTGCTTCAGGAAAAGCACCTCAACAGATCGATGACGTTGCAACTCCTTTCTGCTCAGGACGCCATCCTTTCACCGCAGCAACGGCCTGATCAGACACTGCAGCGGCGGAGCCTCATTATGGCGCGACAGCACCAAACACACGGTAAAACGCCAAGTGGCCCTTCGCAGAGATGGCTCGGCGCTGAAGGTGGGTCAAGGGGCGGCTGCAGAAGATCGTCGTTTGCGTATCGTTAAATCCACCTAAAAGCCGGGAATAATGACATATCCACGAGTCCATGTTGGAGATGATACAAATACTTGGTGCCCCGTTGCTGTAGCCAAGACCTTATATCACCAACTCCCAGGCTTCTTGCACGCGATGACGGACTCAAGCATAGGTCCCCAGTCTACACCGGCATTGGTGCCGCCTCGATCGCCTCCAAAACAATCCCAAGATGCGAAAGAGGATGATTACAGAAAGAGCGAGGGAGACACGACGCATGACTTGGAGAAAGGCTCAAGCAGCACCGTACCACCTCCAACAGATACAGAGCGCTTCTTTGTAGAGTTCGAAGGACCCAACGACCCTGACAACCCAAAGAGCTGGACCCCAAAGCGAAGATGGGGAATCACTATCTCCATGGGCCTGATGGTCTTTACAGTCACATTCGCCAGCTCAATATTCAGTGTCAACATTGGTGTTGTCCAGGAGAAGTTCAATGTCGAACTGGTCACAGCTACTCTCGGTGTAGCACTATTCGTTCTGGTACGTTCAGCCTCTTCTCGTTAATCAACAGTCCGGCACCTGACACGACATTCAAGGGTTTTGTATTTGGTCCAATTGCATTTGGGCCGATGTCAGAGGTCCTTGGTCGGAAAACCCCTCTAATGTTCGGCTTCGCACTCTTTGCCATCTTCCAGATTCCAGTAGCCCTTGCGCAGAACATTACAACAGTATGCGTTGGCCGCTTCCTCGGTGGATTCTTCGCCTCTGCACCTCTGGCAGTCGTAGGTGGAGCTCTTGCAGACTTGTGGGATCCAATTCCCAGGTCTTATGCCATTTGTGTTTTTGCCGCTGGTGGATTCGCTGGGCCGGTAGCAGGCCCTATTGCCGGTGGTTTCATCACAGAATCGCACCTTGGATGGCGATGGACATCGTGGATTACCCTGATAATGGCTGGCTTGTTTGGGGTCCTTGGTTTCTTTGTCATTCCGGAGACTTCAGCCGCCAGGATATTACAGTTGCGGGCCGCCAGGTTGCGGAAGGAGACGGGCAACGGCAAGTACCACGCTGCAGCGGATGAGAACAAGTTGACTGTCGACAAAGTGGTAAATGTCTACCTCTTGAGACCCTTCATCATGTTCATTCAGGAGCCAATCTTAGCACTTGTAACAGCCTACATGAGCTTTTTGTACGGTATCGTCTACCTACTGTTCGAGGCAGTGAGTTTCCACCCATATAGTCCTTGCTGTCAGATTCTAACAACCGATAGTTCCCTGTGTCATTTCACGAAGAACGTGGCTGGTCTTTAGGAGTCTCTCAGCTGCCATTTGGTGCCTTCATTGTCGGCATTCTACTGGGGGCTGGCTGCATCGCTTATAGTTCCGCCACCAACTTTACGCGCGCATTCCATAAACACGGCAAGATCATTCCGGAGGAACGCTTACCGCCCATGATCGTTGGGGCCGTCGCGCTGCCAGTCGGTCTCTTTTGGTTTGCCTGGACTAGCAACCCAAACAGCACGTGGGTACCACAGGTGCTTTCTGTCGCTCTCCTCGGTTTTGGCTGCATGGTACCCTTCTGGCAAGGTATGAGTTACCTCATCGACTGCTATGGCTTCTACTCCAACAGCGCCATCGCGGTCAATACGTTCATCCGTTCTTTCGCGGGGGCTTTCTTCCCACTGTTCACGCATGTCATGTACCACAGACTTGGTGTACCTTGGGCAAGTAGTCTTCTAGGCTTTATCTGCGTAGTTTTTATTCCTGTGCCTATTCTTTTCTATATCTACGGTGCGAGGATAAGGACAAAGAGCAAGTGGGCGCCGACAGCATAAGGAGGTTGTAGTTGCACATTGTTTGTGGTCAGCGTTCGAGCGCCTTACACATAGGTATCCATTTCTTGACCACACGTCATCTTCAAGAACTTCACGCATATATCTGTTCCATTTGGTCTTCACCTCCGTCGATTCATCCAAACCTGAGGGCCTCTTCGTGGAGATCGGCGAACCTTTCTCCGGCCATCCTCTTGACGTGTTCAATGCGCTCGACTGTTCTCAAACTCCTCAATTCCTCCCAGTCCAAGTCTTTGAACAAGTGCGTCAACCTCCAGAAGGCTGCGGCCCAGAACCCACCTGCCACACGCGCTGCGGCATGCCCCGCCCCGTACTTAATTTCCTCTTGAGGGAACATCCAGTCCTCACGCTTGTCTTGTCTGTCCACACGTCTGGCGGAACACTCTTCCCACGTCTCAAGCCAAGTTGATGACTCCCAAAGATACTGCCTCAAAGTGCCATCCATGATCATTTCTCTGCCATCGCCTGTCTCGATGAGAAGTACGGAATGCATTGGCACCGTGAGCTGATTCATACCACCACGCCAAGCCAACAAGAAGTCGATCTTTGGCCAATACATCAACCACCGCGCACGTCCATAAAATAACTCCCCCATCTTCTTGCTCACCTCTTCTTCTAGGAGCAGGCAAAACCAGTCGCACATGTCTTTGCGCGCGAGCGCGTCGTTCAGCCCTGGCGGTAGGAAGGTGAAGCGGTCGAGGTGTTTAGGCGGCTTGGTTTTCAGGTCTTCTGTTGACCAAATCTTCCAGATCTTGACTGGGACAGAGGGGTGGTGATACGGCAGCGCATACGCGGCGGGTGCTTGTGGGAAGGCGTCAGCGGCGGCATCGAAGCACAGTAGGTATACGTGCAGGACCTCTTCCAGGGACAGAGGTGGTGCGATTGTGGTAGCTGTAGCAGATGCCATGGCGATAATATGAGCAGGAGGACGGCTTCTTCTTGAGTGGTTGGTGTCTTAGAGGTTGCAAGAGTTCGGAGGGGCGGCCACGATTTGTCTTGGAATTTGGCGCTACTGGTACGTAGGTGCACCCCTGTAAGCTTTGAGAGCGGCTTCACTGACTGTTTCACGATCGTCGAAGCTCAAGGACACGGAATTGTATTTTCTGTTGTAATACAGGCACTATCTCGTCATAGACTGAGTCAAAAACACATGTCCTACTGTGCCAGCGCTTCCTCATACGCACCCACGAGCTTGGTCTTGCTCAAAGAGCGGATCCGTGCCTCGATGTCATCTTCGGTGTACCCACGTAGGGACATCCCATCTAATTCATGGAATATCTGCTCCATGCGTCTGCTCGCGACAGCCCAGTATCCGTGTTGGTATTTTCCACCATCTAGTCTCGCACGAAGGGCGGCCGCCTCTCCTTCAGGGCGTTTTTTCAAACCTCGACCCAAGTTCATATGGCTCCTCATAAGTTCTTCCTTTGTCATAAGCCAATGCTTTTTCCAATCCCGTCCGTATTGGTCGATAATGCCATCGAACATGTGCTTCTCACCGTTGCCGTCAGTTATCAACAAAACAGAGTGACCGATAATACTGGAAAGATTCTCTGTATCCGAGACAAGACGAAGCTGGGGTATGGCAAGGAAACGCATCCATTTAGTCGGGTCGCTGAGCCCAAGAAACTCTGTACATGATCAGTAATTTGCCTCTGGCGCAAAGTCTTTTTCAAGCCCTTAGGATCTTACCGTCTAGGTGCCGATTTACGAAACGCTGCATAACCGCGCAAAATGTGTCACAGTGGTTCCTCATGACCCAAGCCCGATATACCCCATCTGAGTTGAGTCGTGCCGTGTCGGGGAGTCTCAGGTCCGATTCATTGTCCCGTATGAAGAGGCCTACAGGAAAGCTTGTATGGGTAGCCTCCTGAATCCATCTGATCAGATTGAAGTCACGGACATGGTAGCCGAAGACCGCTTCTTGAAATACGATGAGATGTACGAGGAGAATCTGTCGAAGAGAAAGGGCTGGAAGGGTAGCGGCGACGCGAGTGCTGGGTAGGGATGCCTTTGTGGTCATGATCGTTGAAGAAGATAGCCGTATAGCGTAGCAGAAAGGAGGGGTAGGAAGAGTTGTCATCACATCTTCTCGCGGCGTGTGCGTCTAAGTACCGTCACTAGCGCGGAGTCGCGTGCCCTCCAAAGTGCCTGAGCTACCCACGCCTCTCACCACATCTTTGCCTCAATTTATTGATTTTCCATATGATTACCCATCTACAAGAGCAAGATGAGCGAAGTCAACCAGAAGTAGGTCTTGGAGGCCATACTGGCCGACTTCGTAAACCACTTCGGCCGGGAATCCAATGGACAAGCTCAAGTCAGTCAACTTTGCGATCAAGACTCCAGTCAGGAAACTAACACACGAACTGTAGATCTTTGTCGGATACTTACTATACCAAGACAAAATCGGGCAACCCTACCTCAGACTACCCCACCGTTCTTGCAGCCATCGAAGACGCATGTCGGATCAAGCCAAAGAATGAGCATCCGCTCAGCATCCTCCATACCAAAGCGACTCCCCTCCTCAAGAGCAGTTGCGGCGCCCAGATCTCCAAGCTGGCTGCATGTGTGAACAACTATCTTTTCCACGCTGCCAGCAAGGTCGACACGAGCGCCGACGCAGATATGCTTTTGACTGGTTCAGCCAAGGACATCACATTCAAGTACTTCCTCATCCACCGATACAGCCTCATCCACGCGGCAAATCTCTTCGAAGACGACACCTCCTTGCTCCTCCTCGCTCTCGTCTTCCAAAAGGCAAGCACCGTAAAAGAGCTGCTAGCTGTGAGTGGTGCGGAATTCACCGACAAGGACCTAGATTCCATGGTATTGCGTCACCTGAAACTCTACCAACAACAATATGGAGGAAATGGCTGGGATGAGGCGTTCGAAGAGCTCCGCGAAACCATGGGCAGTAGGTGGCATTCAAGCCTGGCCACGGCCTACAAGGGCTATCACGCGTCTGGCACATACCACAGCCTCTCCATCAGATGATGTGATCTTCTCCTAAGACCTAATGAGCGCAGTAAAGGTACGCACAATCATGCCGATCTGGAAAGTAGTGAACTGATATAGCTCAAGCTACGCTCCCCTCGCATCTCGATGCCGCACTACTTCCTACCGGAGCCGACACCTACCTCCTATTTGCGGGACTCACGGCGCGACGACAACGCATCTCGTTTCATTGTAAGGGCAGGAAAGAATAGCGAGTGCGACGACTGGGAGATAATGAAGCAAAACTGCGACTGGCACGCAAGCTTGGAGACAGCCGGACAGGCGCGTGGAGATGTGCCTGCATGCCTCCAGGCAAGATGCAATACTCCAATAGTTCTTGATGAATCAATGACAAGTTGAAAGTCTCCGTCAAGCTATACTTTTCGGATTCATAGTATGGGGGTTGTAATGCGCTGTCAGCAGCAAGTCGTGCGACACGCTAACCAGACTGAGGCTTTCTTTAGCAGTTGTGGGATTATCAAGACAAAAATGAGAGAAACTTGATATACTTTTCTCTCATCGTTGTGGTTCCCATATTCCGTAACAGCAGCGGTTTTAAACTCAAAATAACCCTGTGGCGTGACTTGATGCCGATACCCAGGATACCCAGGGGCAAGTTATGGACGTAAGGATCTCATAGGATGATTCATGGCATTTGCATGAAGCCCCAAATACTTTCCGAGGCGTATATGCGGGTAGAGTGATCATATCCTCACTTGTAAGAACAACGTCGCCGGTAGAGCTAAGGGCATTGCAAAGCATGAAGCTATCCTCACTGACGTGATAAATACCAAGTACTGGTGATGAAACCACCGTAGCCTCGCCAAAGCCAGTGACCGGGCAAAGCAAACAGTTGCGTAGTTCGACAGGGGCACGAGATCAACGTCCATATAGGCTCTAGCCAGTCGTTCACCCCGCGAAAGCAACCACCAAATCGCCTACCCCACAGACATCACTTAGCTACATAATACAATTAATAGATCCACATCATACCACTAGAAGGCTTAACCGGAGTGTGTACTATGTATTCTGCTTGGTCAAATCGCGTTCCGCGCCCTGTAGTTCCTTAAGAACTCGCTAATTTGATCATCGGCAGTGCGACCGAATCTCCAAGGAGTACAAAGCCGCGCCGCGGTCATCTTTTTTTGCTTCGAGTACTGACAGTGTCAAAGATGCTCACTCAGTCGTTTTTGCTTTTTAGTCCCGTTGGTAGGACTTGTGCGGTGGGGGAGCAGAGATTGGCTAGGTGACAGTGCGGAGAATGACGGGCTTTCCATCACAAAAAACCCAGGAAATGCTAACAGATCTTCGCACAATTCCTTTGAAAAGCTCTATAAGATCTGATAGCTTCCATATGGTAGCCATACAGCTTTAGCATCAGATTCGTGGCTCTATAGCCCAGTCTCATAGATTTGAAGTTCACTGCCTTCGCTGCACATCGCTCACACTTGACCAATTGAAAGCATCATACATTCTGTTCTATGCTTCTTTGCAAAGATCTTTAGTGAAATTTCCTATCGTCTTTGCATGTGGTCATCCCTCTGTGGCTATATAGATCAACGAGGCGCTACGTGCCGACTCGTGATAGTGATTTTGCTCATACGCCCCAGCTATGCCGAATTCTTCAGCGGCGGTTATCTCGCACTTGCGGTGTCTTCTCGTGTTGTAACTCCCCGAGCCTTGCTTTGGAAGATATCCGTAGACTCATTTTGTTAGTTTGTGGCGCTGTTGACAACCCAGTGATCCGCGCATTCGGCCACCAAATTCGAAGACTCGAGTAAAAGTGCGTCTGTGGTATCTTGTGGGTAATAGATAAGATGGTAGATTAGCTTTTGTCTCGTTCAATATGTACGGGACTAAGATGAGGTGAACGTGAAGAAAGTTGTTGGCCGGTTCCGCGATCTGGTTAGGAGAAGGCCAAGTCACTGGGAGACTGGAACACCAGGGTCGACACCTCCCGTCCATTGCCGACGCATCTCGCACACAAAATCGGCTTTCCAACCTACGACACCCTTTAATCTCGATAACATATAGCCTTAACCTTCTTCGTCGATACCTCACCTATCCTACGCGAAAACGACAAGCAGATCCGGGCCAACATGAGCAACCAGCAAGCGACGCTGCAGAGGCGAGTTCTTATTCGAATAACAACGCTTATAATCGATACCTTCTCCTTAGTCACACGAGTGACCGATCGGCGTATACTCTTGCGCCAAGAGACAGTAGGCAACGAACTGCATCTGTTCGTCTGCCGCAAAGAAAAATTGGGCCATCAATACGTTGCTCGGGAATCTGGATACACCTCAATTGAGGCGGAGGATGCTATGAAAGCTCACAACCATTGTGTCTTCGTGTGCAAGCTCTTTGCAGGTATTCTGGCATGGCTGCTAGAGGGTGCGTCAAGTTTGGATCTTATACAGTGAATCCTGTCCACTGACGAGACAAAACCAGAACTATGCCTTCCGATCAGCATAGAAGAAGTAGATCTAAACGGAGTAATTGAGCCTCTTCCTGTCGTTTGCATCGATGTCATCAGCGGCGAGTGATGAAGAATCGCACCTATCCACACGATGTTCAAGATCGTCTCCTCGAACGCCTATCCGCAACACGAAGGACTCGTTGAGGAAGAGGGACTATATATCGATGCTTCAGCGTCTCAATATCTTCGAGCACCGGGAGTATACGCTGTCAGGAGATATCCTGTCGATCCGAGAAGGGCGGCGGCAAGGCCACCTAGATGTACGCATCTAGGTGGTGCTTACATGGTTCACCTCCAGGAGCTATGTGAGACTACTCGCTGGCGGAATTCCCGGTTAGAAGCCATCATCAGGACGGTCGACAATGAGGTGTACGGAAAGATCACTGGTCTTGGAGGGCCTAGTATACTGGCGAACAAAAGCGTTGGAGAGTGGAAAGACCTCGAGCAGTGGATACTTGCTTCCATTAATGTCAGTCTTCAGTCCCTCGTGGCCAAACTGGATCACGTCCACATTCCGCCCGGTGTCGACAGGGAGACACACCACAAGCTTATCGCAACAGACTGTTTTGGTACCGGCCATGAGAATATCATTGGATCCCTGGAGAGAGTTTCGGGGGGTGTACAGGTCACTCGGTGGCAAAATCCTTGAGAGGTGTCGGACGACAATTCGCTTTCGTCGCCTGGACGTATGGCTGAGCCTAATTAAATCACGATACCCAAACCACCACAGTTGTGCATCAAATCTTCATTCGAGACTCCTTCATAGACTTCGAATTGCAAGTATCATGTTTGATTTATCTGTACGATTGATGTGGTAGAGTATCGGTGGACTCGTCGGGTTGGTCTTCAGCCTTGGCAGGCTCGTGGCGAGACATGAGCACGCACCTTCCAGCAATGCGCGTACAGAGATACGATCTAATCATCGGGCTATCCATTATATAACCTCCTGATTCTCTATTAAAAGCGCGTTTAGTCAATCTATACTGTAGGCGGTGGTCATACGGCTTGGTGTTCACCGGCACCTACTTATACAAGCAAGCTTTAGACAACTCCGAAGAGCTCTTAGAGCTTGATCAATAGGCTACGGTATCATCTACTAGATAGAGCTTACTCTTGTGTATGTTAGGGAACTGCTGATGCAACAATTTGCGGTAGACCATGTGCTGCCACTACCTAGTCCCAGGGGGCTTGGGCAGTAGCTAGAGCTCTTTGTTACGACTCCACACATATGTATCTCTCTCGAACAGGATATCGTGTCTTCTCCAGGCTCTCCCAGTTCAGATTATGCAGCACCCTGCGCAAGCTGGCTCTAATGCTGAACCAACATCCGTCCTCGTATCCTCTCAGACCTACCAAAGATCGCCACCCTCTTCATGGTTTTCATCGCCGATATAGAGATACCAAAAGTTTCCACCATTAAAAATTGCGTTCGACTGGAACCGACCGAACTGCTCCCCTGTGCCGTCCACGATGACTCCAAAACTGTCTTTCGTGCATATATGAAGGATTGAGAAGACGACATTGGGCTTTTCGACGCCAGGATAAAGATTATAATCGGCTCAGGTTTGACAACAGCAGATACAAGGCTGACCTAGTAGGTTTTACTAATGATGTTAGCTACTGGGGTCTGAACAAGAAGCAACGAGTTGCCTACGTTGTAGTCACGCTTTGATCGGCTCGAAGAAGACTGAGAAGAAGGTGCCATACTGTCACACGTTCTTGTATGAGATCTCCTGCGCTTTCGTCGTTCCCACGTGCATTGTGCCTAGGTTTGATATGTAAATCGCTACCGTTGTATATTCGTCGCCAAAGTGACTGGTGCCAAAAGACGAGACAGAGCAGAAGCGGTAGGCGGTAACGGCGGAGTCGTATGCGACGGGGTAGATTCTGAGGTCTTCTTTGACCGTAAGTTCGAGCGAGGGAGGCACATTAGTAGAAGAAACCATAATCTTTGCTTGGTTATTGAGCGTGTGAGATGATATGGTTCGTGTTGGCGGCATAACCGCAGCATCGAAGTGAAAGGCTGCTAGACGCACATCCCTGTTCAGCGCGCACGCAGAGTCTACTCCAAACGGACTTTGAACACAAACCCCACTAGATGCTCGAGAAAGAGCTCCAATCCTACGATCCTGCGAAATTGGTGACAGTTTCCGACACGCTCAATCCATAGCTTCCCTACGCATGGAAAATCCTTCAAGCCATACATGAATATGACCCAAACACAAGGAGCGGCCACATGTTGGGATATCACTTGCAGCCGCCTAGTAAGCAATGCCGAACCATATCTGAACACACGCGACAGGGATACACAGAATCCCGACCAGTTCAATCCCGACAAGTTCTGCAGCTTTACCTGCCAAGAACATCACAGGCAAATCCGGCATCTGCGCCGTATCGATCGGATGATCCACGTCTTCTCCCTCGAGTACAGCGATACGACGAACTCGTTTCCGGCCATATCAGACAGGGTCGTCCACTATGGAAGTGAGAGTCGGCGTGAAATTGTCGCGCTCGAGAGGTACGACTACCCGGGCACGAGTTCCCTTCTCGAGGACAGCTTCCTCTCTCTTGGCGGAAAGCTGGCCTTTCTCTCTTTGAACAGTTGCACTACTGTCCTGGTGGTGTTTGCCGCCATGATTGCGTATCTCTGCGAAGGTTCGTCTATACTTCCATCTCCCGTGATGCGCAATCACAAGCTCACTTTTTCAGACCTTCATCCCTCGATCGAGATACACGAAGCTCATATCAAGAACGTGTTGTCAGATCAAGAAGTACATGTCCTTTACCTGACCGAACACGGAAGCCCTGTAAAGGTCCATGTCGCCGAGGTGCACTCAATGTTCCGGATCACAACCACAAAGCAAGACAGTGCTATTGTCCCAGCTGAACCCGCTTAGCTGGATGGAACAGGACTATACTGTGACAACACAGCAGCCCAATACGATCGCTTTGCAGGGCTGCAAGATGCAAAAGCCTACCATCGCCGTCATCCAGACTCGAAGGTAGTATACTACACCAGCTTAGGCTACTACCACCATACGCACCATCTCAGCCAACTGGACACAACTAGTGTGAAACCTACGATAAATCGCATACTCGCTCTGAGGCAGGAGGCCTACATCCGAACGATCAACAATGTTGTTCATAAGGAAATCGAAAGGATCGGTGGACATGCACGGTTGTTCGATATGAAGTCCGCAGACTTTGAGATCACATATACAACCATGGCTGCTCACGTCCAGTCAGCACTTCTCAAAGTTACTGTTGAGTTGCATGAGTTATGGGCAGACTTGCCTCAGGGCATGGAATCTGGCAGCATAGAGCATGTAGATAGACACCAGGTAGTGGTGGATCGGTGCATGGGCGCAGGTCATACAGCGTGCCTGCGAGCATTACAACAACGTGCTCCTAGGGCTTGGATATATGCCGATGGCCAATTGACGTCCCTGTAGTCGAAGATGAGGCCATTGGGAAGCAGACAAGATCGGCTAAGGAAGACACAACTATAATCATGAATGGAACGCATGCGCTGCGGGACTGCAACAACAGCAGTGGCCAGAACAGCTCCACTCAAATATACCTGAATGTGAAAAGCACATCCATTCGTGCAGATCCAAGCACTTCTAGGGCGGGAGTATAAGCTTAGATAGCCTTTGAATGTAGTTGTTCAGCTTATGTCGGCGATACTGAGATTTGGTGAAGTTGCCTTAGCGTGGTACTAATGCCACACTAGATCAGATTCGCCGCACCAAGATCTCGACATCGTCCGGCCTACTTATATTAACCCTTCCTCATGGTGTATACTGTATTTTCTCAGCTAGCTCTTTCAAGTTATTTTAATTGCGACTTTCGGCAGAGTCGTCAATAAGGGAATGTTCGTCGAAATCACATCCCGTCTGCTGCGTGCGCCAGAGCTTTCGTACAACCAACAAACAACCAGTACTGTCAACGACTCTGAGGGGTTTCTTGCTGCCACTTTGAAATACTCTTCGTGCCATGTGCTAGCCACGTGGCTTCCGAGGGCCTTGTTTGATGGTTGCAATATACTGCAAAGTTGCTTACTTGCTGATAACCAATGGCATTGGGTGGTGCGGCACAACAACGCCAAAGCAATAAGTTGTGTGCACTGAACTTTCACAAAAAAAGGTAGAAGTTCAACTCCGCAATTGAGTGTACACGGGGTCGAACACGAGGGCAAAAAAGTGTTCAGCTGCGTTGTCGACAGCCCACATCACTTTCCACCTAGATCACGAGTTAGTGAGTTCCTTATTGATGAAGTAGAGGCCAACCTCTGCAAATATGTAACCAATAAGACTTCGTTGGTACGTGTACATTGCAATGTGCCAATGTTGATGCCATAAGTCACGTTCATCAATCTCTCGCTGGCACCAAAAAAAGGGTCAGGCTGAACTTCTGTACCACTGCAGACACAAACGGTACCAACACCCCCGCTTCGAAAGTGAGGGCTCAAGAAGGGAAGTAGAAATTAATGGTAAAACGTTGGCCGCGTGTCTGAATGTCCGACCCTACGGAGAGTCGAACGCAAGTGCAAAAGAATGAGTTCAGCTCGGTGTCGTTTGCCTACTCCTATTACCGCCGGCCGATTTGGACCTAAGCTACGAGTTAGTAAGTGTTTTGTTGATAGAATAGTGACTCTTTAATTCGTACATATATCCAACAAGACTTGGTTGGGATGTGCATCATACAGCTTCTGAATTGCTGTAGTCACTGTTGATGAGAGGGCAACTGGGCAGGGACAGGTGATTGTGCTTGGTCACCCAGCACATGAAGTGCAAGTCGACCGCTAGACTCTCGCTGGTGGCATCCAACAGGATCGTGTTGTTGTTCGTCTTAGTTAGTCATCTGTTGACTCCTTAACAAGGGCGAGACTTTGAGCTTTAGAGGCGCCACCCCACGAACAACCACACGACACCAACGACACCACCTTAAAATCATGACAGAAGCAGGCGAACGACTCAAGGCGACCGAATGACTAGTCTGGCAGGTTTGATACTCTGTTGAATCACATCTGCGGGTGTTACGCCGACGAAGCAGATGCAGCGGACAGCAACCTCCTCGCTGATGCCGCCAGCGCCCACAGGCAGGAACAAGGTATCAAACTGAAGCGTTATCAGTTTCACAGACTCTTAGATCATTCCTTTGTAGATTGCGACCGTTCTATGCCCTCGGGAAGGAGGTGGGTCGAGAGAGCGCCTTCCAGTCGCGGCTTCAACATCTTCTCGGCGGCGAAGGGGACCATCACAACAGACGCATGACGCTGCCAGACCACTGACGCTCTCTTCCTCCTGGGGTCCACAGACGAACCGCATCAATACAGTACGCCACTCGAAGTGATCACTGACCCGCGGCTGTAACCGCTCCACGTCCGCACCACTTCCGCACCACCTCCGCTGTATCGCAAGAGTGCCACACAAATAACGGGCCCGTCGGAATGACGCACACAACGAGCAACAGGAATTCAGCAGTCATCTATACACAGATTGAACGCCTATCGCCTTCTGGTAGGTCGCAATCTGTGAACACACGGTTGCGGGAAAAGGTAGTGGAGGTGCCTTCGATAGATTTTGCGGCGACCATAGCTGACACGCATGGGCAATCCACAGTCTCCTCGTCTTTACGAAGGAGTATGACTTCGCTAATAATGCCGATCATGTATGGCGTCGCAGTGCGCTGCGCCCAGGCGATGCTTCCAGAGAACAAAGGAGGCAGCAAACGGCGCATCCACTGACACAACTTCTCGGACGACTCAGGGCAAGAGATTCTCTCCTTGCTTAGAAGAGTAGATCTCCTGGCATTAACACCATCCGCGTTGGAGAGCTCAATGTCACCAACGCTAACTTGTGTCGACTTACTGTCTTCCTGGAGAGGGGACGGAACATAAGCAGATCTTACGACATCGGAATAGACAGGCTGATCAGTCGTATTGAGGCTACGGACCTCACACCTTTCGACACAGGGCTTGTCTTCTGAAGAGAGAAGTACGGTATGGTACGGTGCTACGTGCCCGTTTCACACAGCGAAGGTATCCGGAGTCTGTACTGACAGGTACCCGGGCAATCTCCTCTAGTTACAACCATGTACAACATTGCCTTCCGATAGTCAGACAAATTCGACATCGCTTCCGTAGCATACGAACGAACGTCGATTGTTGACCTCGGCCGCCTTCCAGCGTATACGAACCGAGCGGTACACAGGTACCATGACAACGGTTGGGACACTTCTAGCATATTTGAATGAGTGGAGGCACAACGGGGTATCTATGGCAAAAGATGGATGGGCGGGCTGGCTGAAGTCCTTGACGGGTGGGTATGATTGGAGACCTTCAAGGGGCATCTGGAGAAGACAATTTATCGTACGACCGCGCTTGATCATGACAAGATGGCGAAACGGCAAAGCTTGATACGCCGAATGTCTGGCCTTACGTGCCTGCGGTTGCGTTACGGCCGTCGTGGGAACTTTCCTCTTTTTGACTAGTCCAAGCAGCATAGTCGACTGGGACGGCATGCTCAAGGCGATTCAAAATTTGGAAAGTAGAGGGTCTCTCGCAATGTTCGCCCTGATTTTGCGTTTCTCGTAGTGCTCCTCACACCGCGCAAGTGAGCCACTCTCCGACTCTTTACCCTTCTCAGAACGCAACTCGTTTCTGATGGCGAGGGAAGAATTGGCAGTCAATTGTTTCATCACCAGGCAGTCTGCGAAACGGATTGTTCCTTCAACATACTGTCTGGTGAGTGCCTCCAAGACAGGTATCGTGATCAGCAAGTCATCGCTGTTGAAAAGCCTTGAGAACTGACTCATGCGCAAATCTGAACGATAAAAGGGATGAAAAGAGATGGAAAGAAATTTCTGGCAAATGCAGAGGTTGAAAAAGACGAACATCAGCGTGGAGGAGATGGCAGGAGGTTTGATGCTCGTAGGACGATGTCGGAATATGCCATGGCGGGGTATGCCGTCTTCGTCCGACACGGCAGGCACCCCTGATGAACTTGGAAACAAGGGAAGCATCGTCATCCAAACGACAGACTTTCGTGTCGTCAGTGGGCACCATCTCCAAACTTGCTAAGACATGAATGTGCGACAGCATGGCAGTAAAATGTCAGTCCGTCAGACTGTGTCAGCCCCTACCGTCGAGGGAAGCACCACCGCATCTTGCCCGAGGTACACTTGCTCGACTCGGAGCTATCGCGCCAGTCGCACCACTGAGTCCTCACAAGAGCACTTGAGTGATTTCGCTGTCGTATCATCATCTGAAAACCCTGAAGCTCACGTTCATAGCGTGGCAGGATTGCCACCACTGTGATCTCGTTGTCGACAGACAAGATCCTTTGCACTCTGTTACATCTGCTACAGAAGCAGCCATACAGTGCCATATTTGTCGTCTCTTGGATCTGTACTAGAGATATGACGGCAATGCTGTCGTGATGAAGGCACCTATGCTGAATTCGCTGTCGTTTGCTATGACCAGAGCCGATGTAATTCGAATCGACGCCAGCAGGCGCATACGCATGCGCTATGCTATCTCCAGGGACATAATGGAGATTGATCGGCTTGTCTAAAAGTCATGGGCTTTGATCGCGAGAGGAGGTGAATGGCATGTCCAACTTCGCCAGAGCTGATAACCGCCACGGAACACAGCGATGTGTACAGCTTACATCGTTGAGACCTCCGAGGACTGCGTCCTTGTCAGCAATTCTACAATGCGAAGGCCACACAATCTCTCTGATAATGAGGCGAGCGGCCTCAGTCAGATCGTTGAGTATCTGAATGAGTTGAAGGTTCATGTCGAAAAGGCACCGCGGATGTTCGATTGGAGATCTGCTGAAAAGCTCAACTCATACACATCAGTCTACCACGAACGGAACCCTCTCCTTCCAGCGACGATTTACAGCATCACTCGTACCACACAAAGCTCCCAAACGGATGCGTAGGCCCAGATCTTCTAGACTGAAGCGCGCAGTAGCTTGACTTTTGCATAGTGCGCTGATGCTTGACAGCTCTAAAACGGCTGAGGGTCGCCCGAATTGGAAGTCGGAGGCTGCTTTCACCATTGCGGATCGTAAAGCTGATACCAGTAATGAGGAGACGCGGAGGCAGGAGAGGCACGAAGGTGAACGATCTATCCCCTCACTCCCGGCATTCAATTCGACCCCAAGCGGTGGATATCGAAGAGACACAGAGGAGGAGACGTCTACTTCGACGTCGTGAGTCCGAGGTAGGACGATGATGTCCGAGGATTGCATGTCAGCAATGATATTGCACAGGACGCCATTGTCCGTGTTTATGGCATAATTCGAAAAGAGGCATGTTGCTGGCCGGATCGCCGAACACATGTCTTGCGGGAGTTTGAATTCACCTCTCTGCTCCCTTGCAAAGCATCTCATTGGAGATGAGCCGTGGCGGAGTATACACCACTATGTGTGTGGGCCTTCCTGCTCCCGTCTGTCAACCCAATCCCGTAGACCTAGACGCCCACCACATCGATCTACACGTTTTATGGTCTACCCGGGTTGTGCCAAAGCGGATCAGGAACCACTAGGACGATTGTGGAAGGTGAGACAGGTATGGAGGTAAGAGACATCCCAAAGTCATACTTAACCTTATCCTATTCCGCAGGCAAATGGCGAGGTATTGTGGTGGTTGACGAGGCTGTTTGGCCGCAAGCTGGGCGGCTAACGGTACTTCCGGAGAAGTCTGGCAGCAACCGAACAGATACCAAATGCTATTAGCCCGATACATAGCGCCGTAGTCCCTTGAGTCTGGTATGCGGTACAACTTTGGAAAGGTATGTTAATCGTCGTGTAGGAGGCCTTTTGCAGAGCGGGGTAGGGTTCGCGGGACGTTCGCCGACAGAGAGGCAGGGAGTCGAATCAACATCGCTTGGCTACACATACTACCAGCACGAGGTCGTCCCTGAGAACACCGAGAAGTTCTGGAGCTTCTCTTGTATTTTATTGGGCTATGTCGCGGTCGTGAGCGATGCTATCGATGGTGTGGATTCGGTGGCTTCGGTCAATCTCTCGGTCGTCGCCTACTACGGCAGCAGGCTAGCAGCGAGCAGCGCTGCTTTATCGTATGAATGGGAAAGCGTCCCCATTATTAGCGAGCTCAAGGTCATTGCCCCGATTTGTTGGGGTGATTGAGTTGGGGTAGTCTATGGTTTCGAGGAAGGGGTAGAGCGAATTGAAGCAACGAGGAACTTCAGTTGGTCCGTGCACTGGAGGTGCCTTCCTCGAGTAGTGCAGCAATATCGCCACAACGCTCTCAGAGCGTCACTATACGCTTCGGAGGCCACTCTTTGTGTGTACGATCCTCCTCAGCGAATTTAACTGCCCGATCTGAGGGTAAAGGCGGCCTCTCCGCTGGCTGTGGTTTGGGAAACCTCCGCAGGGTAAAAGAAAGCCCGGGGCCGACGACATATGTAGCAGCGGCGAGATAAATGACTACGGTGAGCGACGGAAGAGCCTGTGAGCGAGCATCAGCGATGGGACAGTTACCTTGTCCTGGAAGCGCACATCACCAATCGAGTCTCGACAGAATCACTCATCGATTGCTCACTATGAGTGCTTGTATCTTTGGCTATCGAACTCCTTGCTGGATCTGCTGAGAGTACTCTATGAGACAACATCTGAACTTTGGGATACGCCTCATGCTTATGAGTTGCAAAGCAGGATAAGAAATTGCCTGAAGTTTCACCGAGAGATTGAGCGCCTGCCAGGTAGATCGTAGACTTGAAGTGCACATTCTGGAGATTCGAAAGATACGCCTCGATTTGCAACACCAGATACTCGACACGTACGGAAGATCTCAAGCCGATGACGACCTTACCTCGACTCTTTAGCTATCTTCTAGCGCCCAAGCCACATCAAAGCTCAGCACGTCCATCCTTATCTCCAGCTCCATCAGCAGCCTTTGTACATCTGCCTCAGTAGTGTTCACGTCATCTAACTTTTTCATAAGTCCTCAAGTGCCACATCATCCTTTAGACTTTGGAAAAGGTGTAGTAAGAAAGTAGAACCCATGAAGCAAAGTCCTGCTAAGTGCCCATTGTCCCTTTTCTCAAAAGCCCGGAGACGTATCATCTTGTAGATCTCGTTACCAGTCTCTATATCTTCTTCCTGAAGACTTGGTGAACGCCGATGTTCAGGAATAGTTTCTTCGGATTTTGTCATCCTTACAGTCAAGTGAACGACATGTCCTATCTCCTTGCGTTGGTCATATGTGAGGACCCTGCTGAAAACGACAAGGGTGACAGAAGGCCACGCATCGTTGTTCTTGTTGCTAAGCATGATATTACCGCCTGCACCAAGATTGGTATGAGTCAGGTTGTTGGTCCGAAGATAGTCCTGCGCACGAGCCATTTCCGCGAGAACATAGAAGACAAGGGTAGATGGCCTCCCGTGCTCCCAGTATGTCTTTTCCAGCAAGTATTCAATGCTATATTCTAGGATGGAGCTCATACAATGCCACTCAAGATGGTCAATTTCTATGTAGTCGCAAACGGTGGCTATCAGATGATTGCCGTCATCCTGCATGTTTTTCAGCGTTCTGATCTACTCCTAGGGACGGAAGTAGTGCCTTTGTCTTCAAGGTCTCCAGAGCTGTACACCAGCCAAGATTCTGGATACCAGAACGAGGTATAGCCAGGACTACATCGCCATTCTTGCCATCAGCTAAAAGCTTAAGGGACTGGTATCTAAGGTTGGCGCTACGAAATATTGTGCGTCCAATTGGCGGTGGAATGGACATCTGTAACAAGTAGAACGGTACGGAAAGAGCGAACACTGGGGTCTACATCAATTAAGAGAAGATAACCACGTGCTAGACTAGTGATCTAGGGTTGTCGCAAGCACATAGGAATTGCTATAACCCTAACTAGGTGGTCGCAATGGCCTCAAAACATATCAGCGTAAATGATTGATTACTTGGTTAGTATCCACGGGATACCTGAAATATACCGCGCTTTCTTATCGCACTTCCAATTCTATATGTACACATCGCTGCCTTCGGGGGGCGGGATCGCCTGCGACCATTTGCGAATACAAGCCAGCCATCAATAGGCCGGGTCTGCGCGGTGAACGTGCCGAGCAAATGAATTCCACCAGTACCAAGCGGTGAACAAGGAAAACATAGAACATAAGCAACTGTCAGTGACCCCGAGATACATGCGTGGCGGATAATAAATGAATGCATGTATTTGTTATGCTAGACAATCGATAGAAGCTACCGACAAAGGAAGTGAACCATAAGTGCACTTAGGGCTTCTCGTCCCTTGAGGAAATCACACCCGTCAGCTGAATAGCATCATCCACCAAGTTGTTGAGCTGGTCAAACTCGCCGTTGAGCCACCTATCGAGCAAGACCTGGTCTTCGCTCACAAATGTAGGACGCTCTGCGGGTAAGACCTTTGTGCATTCTTTGAGATCGTTGATGTTGTTGACGCCGAGAAGAGACATTCGCGTGTAAGCCTTAGCGTAATCCTATATCTATTTGTTAGCCAAACGTCGTTTTGGAATTTCCGAGGTCATACCGAGTTCCATTGGCCCTGGGCTGTAGCCCGATCGCTGAACTGCGCCCACGAAGCCTTTGTCCGTGAGTCTTTACTCAAGTTGATATCGCTTTGGAACTTGATGACACGGACAGGTGCGTTATTGGTCGTTTGCGGGTAGAAGGCTATGTCCCAAACACCAGGGGTAGAGTCCTGTGGGTCACCGTCCCGACTGGTGTCAACGAAGTGCTGTTGCGAGGTCGTGTGCGCTCCAACGAGCGCTACAAGATCGTGTGCATCAATAGTCTTATCTTGGAAGAGCTTGATAAGTTTGTCTGCAGAGTCCTTTTCTCCAGGAAGAAGTCCTGTAGGACCAGCCTTGCTGTTGTCTTTACGTCCAACGAAGGTTCGAAGTCTTGGTCCAAGCGGGCAGACTACCGTGGCGACATTGGCACCAAATTGGATGATATCTGCCATACTCATGCCGTATTGGTTGTATTTGCTGTACCACTTTTTCGTTTGGTCGGCAATCGCAGAAAGGCCGTTGTTGTCCGCACGCGACATCTCATCGCTGAGGAGGATGCTACCATCTGCACCACCGAAGCTGCTGCTCTTCGACCACACGGCTGCATCGTGAAAGCCAAGGCGAACGGCTTGACGAGCGAATTTGCTGCAGCGGCCGGAAGTACCGTTGAACTTGGCTGTCATCTCGTATGCCAGCCACTTCCAGTGGCAGCACATGTCAGCTTTGCAGGCAGCGCTCCCGATATTGCCAGCAGGGATGGAGCTGTCAATAGTGGACGACTCGGCAGATTTCTGGTCGAGTATAATAGCCTTGATGTCTTTGCCGATAGCAGTGAGCTTGGAGTCTGCGAGTGTTTTGAGGTCGCCGATGAGCTCTTTGGAGGCTTGACGCTTCTCGCGAGCAGCAAGGTAGCGCATCTCAGTCATCGTGTCACCCATCCCTGGGTGAGCTTCAGTGAAGGGAATGCATGCCAGAAGGGCATAACTAAAGTACGAGAAAGCCTTCATCTTGGTCGTTGAAAACGAAGCAAGAGCTGTAGAATCGATGAGTAAAGGAGTGAGATTTGCACAAGACGGTTGTGCGGTGGCTTCGACTCTTATACCGTTCACTTCGTGTGATTCAAGAGACTAGATCTCGTTCCATGAGTACATTAAATTGATAAGTCAGTACACCTAGCCACTCCGACTGCCGATATAAGAGGCTAGAAGAATACGAGCACATTTTCCCCTGCATATGGACCGATATACCATATGGTATTCACATTCGCTTATCCATAGATTCTGACCGCGTTCTGATCGTATGATGTCCGGATGTAAAGTCAATGGGGCATCTAGAAGGCCAAAATACCTGCATAGAGAGAAGCTGACAGACAAGGGATAAGATCGGGGGTCAGACGATTGGTCAAGGTTAAGCAAGAGGGTGAGCCAGACGTGCCTGGCTACTGGGTATGCGAACACGGGAGTCGAGCACTGGATTGGAATGCTGCCGTGATACGTGAAATATATTGCATATGCAGCTGAACTTGGTATTGGAAGAGTTGCCTAATGTAGCCTCGCGATATGTATGCGTGATTTGGCAGTCGTTCGGGCCCGTGGTTTTTTCATCACTGCGTTTCCACCAAAAAGGGACTCTACAGTGCCGGCGATGGCATACTGTGTAGAACTTCTGAGGCTTCGTTTCTTGGGGTAAACTCCCATCGAGTTGTCAGCTACGTCAAGCAAACCAATGCTGCAGGGCAGGAGAAAGGATCGGCGCGTTCAGACGCAGGTAATATACCACGTTCGTATAGAGGATATCCGACCGGTTCGCATGTTGAACGATTATTCTTAGAAGTGACTTGTTGCTAGGTCCCAGGTTCGAGGTCCCTGATCGTGCAGTTGCAATATCAAGCCGTCGATGGTGCGACTGATATACATTAGTGCTTCAGCCTCACAATCAAAGTAGATCTCTGTATGCCCTTAAAGATCTCCGCTGGTCGTATCCAACACATTACGACCGCCACTTTAAGGCGATGGCGACCAGAGGCGTTGAGCGAGAACGGCTTCTAGAGCGGCAAGGTAGCCATGCACATCGGAGAAGAGTGCGGTGAACCGGTAAGCTGCAGACCAGGGCGCCGCGTCCAAGCGATGAACATTTAGCCGGATAACGTACAGTACTCCACGGTTCCTTCTTCGTACCGAGCAGACTTTTAATGCAGACGCAGAAAGTCCTCTTCTTCTGTGCATGTTGGTTCGCAGTGCGAAGGGTGTGGTGTATCCTATGCCACTTTCCCTAACATGTTATGCTGGGTTCAATCAGTCCTCAGACGATAGACAAAGCAACGAAGTCTAGTTCGCGCGAGTATCGCTTCTGAAGGCATGGATTCAGCCGCAGGTATATACAAGCGACAGGTCGGTACCGGCGAGAGGGATATGATATATGATACCGGAGTAGAAGACCACAGCAGCGGGTCTTCGAATTCGGTTCTGAGTAGAGTCAGCGCGTTTTGGCGCAGATATTCAATAGTAGGGACTTCAAAGATAACACTACAGATCTTGTATTCAGGCCCCTCCATTCCCTACTGGCATGCTAATGGTACCACTTGTAGGAGTACTTAGGTATTGTCCTTAGATGGTGACGACACAAGGGCTTTCATGGGTAGCGCGATACGGCGAGCAGACAATCAGCGCATAAATTAGCTTCGAAAATGAACAGGCTTGAGCCACAACAGGAGGAGACGAGCACAACAACGAGATGATCATGATCGGAGATTGATGATGGATGTCGCCCTCGCAGCTGAAGGTAAGTGGGTAAGAAGGGGTCAATCAGGTGGACGTGGGGCCGAAATCGCGCCATCCGAACTCAGCTTAGACGGAATCTAATTTGGTCGCGCGCTGGATCACCCCCAGGTCGCTCTTCACAGCCACCATCCCATAACCGCAATGCGCTGCGCAGTCACATTGACATCCAATAGCGAAGCTTCACGAAAGCTGAAACGATGTCTGCAGTTGCGCCTTATGCGATTTTATCTTCAACGCTGCAAGCAGTAGCGCAGACGCGGCTATGCCGCTGACTGCGATCCTGTCGTGCCTGAAATCCATGGCGCAGCTGGGCTGAGATCCTACCACAAGCCGGGCTCTATTGCTTATACTTATAGACTTCTCCCCCCAATCGATCCCATATTCCCGTTGATCTACCTAGTTTTCTGTCAGCCTAGAAGCCAAATTTATTCTTTCTATTAGCGCTTCTGCTGTAGAGTGCAACTTGACTACTACCTGCCCGTTCCCTATACCCAGAACACGAAGTCAGCGCCGCGAATACCCTTAGTCCAGCTGACTACTCAACAAAATGTTACCCAGCAAGATGCGACGCCTATCTGGCCTATTTTCTGGCCCGAAAACCTCCTTCCAAGTCCTTTCAGATCTCCACCTAGATCACGAATCGCAGTACCTCACGTTCCACATACCCGTCGCCGCGCCTTTCCTTATCCTCGCCGGAAACATTGGCAAGCTCATAGACTACGAAGAATATCTCTCATTCCTCATTCGGCGGTGTAATCTCCATGAGAAGGTTTTCTTGGTTCTGGGGCCCCTAGAATTCCATGGCATTGATTGGATGGACGGCTTGCAGCTGGCACATAAGATGGAGAAAGACCCAGTGACAAGAGGAAGGCTAGAGGTACTATACGAGACAAGGAGCGACGTGCCGGGCACAAACATTACGTTATTAGGGTGCACAATGTGGAGTAAGATTCCGGAATCGGATACAGCTGCCGTGCTGAGAAAGATGCCCGAGTTCGACGAGAAGGACGGCATACAGCTTTGGGATGTTGCAAAGCACAACTCAGAACACAAAAGAGACATCAAGTGGCTTACAGACGAAGTCAAGAACTCCAACGCATCACCAAGCGGCGCATTGGCACCAGCGGTCTCTAGCGCTGCAAAGGATGAGCGACAACTCGTCGTTGTTACGGCTTTCGCGCCGGATCTACGTGATTGTCTAGATCCTTGGCAGGTTGACGCGCCTTGGGCATCAGCATACGGAACAAATCTGCTCGACGGTCTACACTTTGGCAATGTCAAGCTGTGGATTTCTGGTATGACAGGCCGGACGTGCGAGTTCAAGCGAGGCGACACGACGATTGTAAGCAATCAGCGGGGCCGAGGGGGCGAGCATATAACCGGACTTCTGAATGATGACATGTCAGAGAAGCAGAAGATAGGCTTGTTTGACGTGATGCGAGTGGTCAAGGTATGAAGCATTAGCCGATCGTAGGGACATTGCCCACTTTCGAATCTACCAAGCCACTAACTACGAATTTGTGTACCCATGATCGAGTGCGAGGTGGAATGCGAGGTACGACCTGAAAACGCGTGCCCCGCATATGCTTACCAATCTATCGTTCGCACGCCCTTTGGTACAACAGCTGCCGGCATACGTAAATATTACGTCGGACGTAGTACCTGCGGTGTAGTACTTGCAGCATAGCATTGGCAGCCTAGTATTTGTGTCATTGTACTTGTGGCGTGGTATATGCGGCGTGGCAACTTAAGGATATCCCTTCCAATAATGTTACGTTGCCATCACATAACTAGCACACCCACCTCTACGAAACCCCGCGACAACATCAAGCTCAGTTCCAATTATTATACACGCGATGTCTTCCTCAAGTGACACCGTAACTCTGACAGCATCATGTCTCTGTGGTGCCCACAACTACAGCACTACCTTTCCTGCATCCGCTCTTCCTCTACCAGGGCATACGTGCCACTGTACAACCTGTCGACACCTCTGTGGCTCACTACACACCTCTCTTACAGCTTGGCCTGAGCCCCGCGCTAATGTCGACATTAGCGGTCTCAAGGTATTCAACTGCTGGGAGCGCTTCGACCTGTTGTTTTGCCCTACTTGTTCGAGCCCAATGTTTTGTGCTTTCAAAGATCCGGCAAGGAACTTGGGAGTGGTCACTGGTACACTAGGTAACGTGGATGTCGGAGATCGCGAGTTGATCAAGTTCGGCGGAATGGGTTATGTACTCGATACTGAGGACGGAGGCGCCAGCCCATGGATCTGTGCTCTCAATGGTGATGGCGTGGATTTGAAGAGCTATGAAGAGATGCCGCCTGGGCGTGGTCAAGAAGCGAAGGAGATGCTTGCAAACTGGCCTCAACGCTCAACCCTTCCAGAACTCAAGACGAAGGAGGAAGACAGCGTACCCATACGCTGTAAATGCGGTGGAGTAGACCTGCTCTTGCGCCGCGGCGATTACGAGCACGTGAGCGAAGAAGATCTTCCCTCCAATGTGGAACCTGTCAGCAGGAAGCTCAAAGCCAGCTTCTGCGCTTGCAACAGCTGCCGGTTGCAAAGCGGAAGCGATGTCTTCTACTGGACGTTTGCAGAGACGAAATACCTATCTTTTGGGAAGAGCGATGGCAAAGCTTTCCCCACGGACGTGTTCGATCTTAAAGATCTTATCGATGCCAAAGACCCCGTTGTTGGTACGATGAAGTACTACACCTCCTCACCTGACGTCCATCGATTCTTTTGCGATACCTGCTCGGCGGTCATCTTCTATACCACAGGCGATCGGCGACAGATCGTCGATATTGCTATCGGTGTCCTGGAGTCTAAGAATGGAGCTAGAGTTGAGAATATGCTGTCGTGGCCTTTTGGAAAGACTATGAGTTTCCAGGAAGATGGTGATGGTGGATGGAGAGAGAGTTTGTACGAAAGGCTGAGAAGTAAGGCGGAGGAGTGGCGGGTTGCGAGAGGATACCCGAAGAACTGGACGAGTGAGGAGCAGTATGAGAACATCAAATGAACTGGATAGTATCACAAGACGGGTAGGCCCGTCTGCATCCGAGATTGAGCTCGGTTTGGCCATCGAAAGAGCACTTGAGATTCATTGACCGCTCAGGCCATTACACTACAAGCTTGACGTTGTTTCAACACCCACTCGTGATACCCTGAAACCCTCCTACTTGTAATCTAGTGTACTAGACATCTCCTTCGCCGCAAAACCCTCGATGATCAGCTTCGCCAATCACATCGGTCTTTCCCCCATTCAAGATCTCAGAGCCACTTCCCACATCCCATCACAGTGGTTTGCAGGGACTTCTGTACCAAAGTTCAATATTATCTTCATATCATCACCCCAAATATTCCTTGCAACATCCAACGAGATTGGGTAGGACATCTTCCACTTCATATCATCGGCAATACCGGCGACGTTTGGCAGTGCATGGTCCACGACGGGGTTGCTGATAGAAGTCCAGATCGCGTCATTGACAGTTTTGTGAGGGAAGTAGGCGTAGCACTAGGTGAGACCGTAAATCAATTTTATCATGGCTGCCGTGTCTGAAATCGATTGCTGGGGTGTAACGAGTGTTTGAGAGAGATGAAGTCGAAAATATGAGAAAATGGATGAAGATTTGTCTCGCTTTGAGGGCTTGAGGATTCGTGTGTGAGTTGAGGGTGCAGACTAGAATTTTGACAATAGTGTAAGTGAAATATGACTGTCCTATCCATGTGTCCAAAGCCTGAAGCTACGGTTCATTTCTTATGTCATTTGCACTTATATGTTTATATCGTAACAGATTTGGCTGTCACGTGCCGTAGTCGCATCCTTCCAGCCGGGGAAGACCTTCATACACTGTCTTGATAATATACAACGAGTTTCGAATTCATACAATAGATCTTAAAGTGGGTGCTTGTAGCCTACATATCGTCCTTGACAGTCATTAGTAGACTCAAAATCGTATCGAGCATCATCTGGAGGTATTGTATCTGGATGAATGTGACATTTTAGTGCAACGCGGCACTCCACGCGCAGTGTAATTGTGATGACTCTACTGTAACATTCTGAGCGAATGAACTATCACGTGCTAACCCTAACCCTAACCTTTTTCTATGATAGTAGACGTTCTTAGCTTTACGCTTTATTATGGTATTACTATAGTTAAAAGTAGAGAGCAGAGGCAAAGTAGTAAGTTAGTAAAAGATGGTTTATAGGAGAGAAGCTGTAAGTTACTAATAGGGTTATAAGTAGGTTTAAAGCACGCGATTACTTACATAGACCTCTTTGCCCCTTGGGGCAGCTTCCTCGTTCCTTACCCCTAGGGGTAGCTTTCGTTCCTTGCCCCTAGGGGCAACTTTTATTCCTTACTACATTATGCCCAATATTTACCCTACGTACATGCACTACCAGTACCGCGTATATCCTGATGTTCAGCTCATTCACTTTGCTATTACCAGTCAAGACGATAAAGTCGCCGAAGAACAAGATAATCGCGACGTGCTCATTTTGATGGAACAGGTCATCACCAAACGGAGCGACGTGGCGCCGTTCTTGGAGTTTGCGAGCAATGTTACTGACCCGAGAGGAGAAGGCGATGATTTTCTCCTGATTCAACTGGGATTGATCCAGAGGACGCTGGCAGGAAACTATGATGGGTATATCAATCTTCCTGGTCTTCGTGACCGGGCTGTGGACATGCGGCACGAAGGCGCAGAGACCATACCGAGGAACCTGATGAAGTTGCTGCATGCAGACCTAGTGACGGCTACTGAAATCGATCGCGCCGTCGAGACCCATCGGTGCTTAAGGTACAGGCGAAGAAAGAGGCGATGGCGAAGGTTCTGGAAGATCTCCCCGTTGATATGGGTGAAAGGAGACATGCGGGCAAGAAGGCCCGGAGAATCATGGTGATGCGGTTTGTAAAGAGGAAATTGGAGGTCCTGGATGCCATAGGAGAGTTTGTTGCAGAAGAATCCACGGACGACGAAACGAGGGTCACTGGGAACAAGGATGCGAGACGAGTGGTGTGGATTTATGAATACCGATCCGCAACTCGCTCCATTGTGACAGTTGAGGAATAGACGGACTAGGAGAAGGGACGCAAGATTGGAATGGCAGGACAGATCACAAGGGACGAGGAAAGAAGAGAGCGGGGCACTGCAATGGCCTTCATTGGAAGCTCTCGCGACCACGGCGTCAAGAGAATATCATAGCATACGTATCCCGAGTCCTAGGCTTAGTCGAGTAATGATTCTACAACCACTCCTTCGGTACTGCTCTTTCTGACCATATTCTCTCGCTTTCCCATGCCAGCCAATCTGATCTCGTTGTCGGTAAGAGTCCCATGCCATTAACCTTCCAGATACCCAAAGCCAACATCAACATGTTGCATGCAATGTAAACAAGCTTGACACCGAGTAGCCGTCCAGACGTGCCGGGTGTCTCATAGGGAGCGAAAGTGCGTTGGAGACCTAGTACAGCGAGAACCGGGGTTTTGAATAGCGTGAAGACCATGAAGACGGAGAAGATTTGCAAGGTGTTGCCTGTCATGTACATGCCTGATATCGTTAGTCGTTTGTTGGTAGGATTTCGCATAACATGACATACCAAAAGCATTCATAGGGAGTTGCTTCGCGGGCGCGATTGCGACTTCCCAGGCCTTCTTCATCTTGAGTGTGTCCATCTCTTCTGATGTTGGGGGCTGCCTCTGGGTCTTTGATGCCTGGGAACGCTCCTTCCTAGACAGAGATGCTGTATAGCCCGGCGGGTCCGAGAGCGATGCGTTCTTCGGTTTGGATGCGGGCGTCGAGTTGAGGTCGAGCACCCACTGTGGGGGCGGCGGAGGTGTGGTCGACATGATGTAGCGTCTTTGATATAGGATTGGGCCGGATATCGAACTCTGGCGTGTTGTTGCTACGGCCAGGGTCCAGGATCTCACGATGTTGGAAGTTCGGTGGTGGTGTTGCGGAGCAGGCGTCTGGAGAGCTCCACATATGTCGGCCTTGGCGGATGCACGTCCCCTCCTCCGTGTTGACCGCCGTCAGGCTTCCCAAAAGTTGCAGTTCACAAACATCTCGAATCGATTCTTTCCCCACGTTTCTCCGACCCTGTTCCACGTTTCTCGGCCATGCGCGACACGATACAAAGCCGATAGACGAGCGAATCAGCCATCGAACCCCGCACGCTTCCTCCAGACGGCAAGGGAGGGGCGCTAAGTCGCAAGGGAGGTTATCTTGATTGTGCTGCGGCAGGCACATGCATTGAGGGAACAGCTCAGCTGGCACACGCGACATAGTTAGCCCAACATGAGCCAGGGCGGCCAAGATGCGAAGCTCTTTGCGAGGGTACGTTGGACTTATCATTCGTACTACCCAGACTCTCCGACTTGTACAATCTACATGGTCCCCTATTCAGCCGGTTCACCCGCTATGAGCGTCTGTTGCCATGATGATGTTCCTTCCATACACCTTTGACAACGCGCGCTTACAATACCTTCGTACTCCACAGGGCAAAGTCGCGGAACTACGTATCGAACTGAACAATGGCAACAAGAAGGACAAGAACTTCTCTGCGAAGAAGACAGCCCTCAAGAAGATTGTCGCCAACATGACCATGAGCAACAATGACATGGTAGCACTATTCATGGACATTGTGGGCTGCATGCACATTCCAAGCTTGGAGATCAAGAAGATGTGCGTAGTGAGGTCTACATGAGGAAGGGCGATGCTGACGTGGACAGGTGCTTCCTGTATCTCGTCAACTATGCCAGGATAAAACCCGACATTGCGCTCAAAGCACTACCCATCATACAGGAAGACATGCACGACAACAACCCCTTAGTACGAGCCCTCGCCCTACGGACCATGTCCTACGTTCACGTCCGAGAGTTCGTCGAAGCGACCGTACCACACCTGAAGAACCTCTTGAAGGACTCAGATCCATACGTCCGAAAGACGGCAGCTTTCTGCGTAGCGAAGCTCTACGATCACGACCGACACCTGGTGGAACAATCCGACCTAATCGACAGGCTGAACGGCATGTTACGAGACGAGAACCCCACAGTAGTGTCAAGTGCATTGGCCGGCCTCATGGATATCTGGGAGCGAAGTGAGAACATCAAGCTCACCATCGACTATGCGAGTGCATCGAAGATTGTCCAGATTCTGCCAGACTGCTCAGAGTGGGGTCAGACGTACATCCTGGAAGCCATGATGAACTACGTCCCACAAGATACCAGCGAAGCTGCGCTGCTTGCTGAGCGCATTTCACCGCGCCTTTCCCATTCGAATTCTGCCGTCGTCCTTACCTGCATTCGCGTTATTCTCTACCTAATGAACTACATCAACGATCCGAAAGTCGTCACTTCGCTGTGCAACAAGCTATCACCACCGCTCGTCACACTTCTCTCCAAAGGACCCGAGATCCAATACCTAGCCCTTCGTAATGCGCTTCTGATTCTGCAACGCCGGCCAGAAGTACTGCGAAACGACATTCGCGTCTTCTTCTGTAAATACAACGACCCTATCTATGTCAAGGTCACAAAGCTTGAACTCATCTTCATGCTGGCGACTGAGAGGAACATCAAGGAAGTGCTGACTGAGCTTTCCGAGTGAGTCCATTCAAGCCTTTCTGGATATAGGTTACTAACATTAACCACAGGTACGCTACTGAAATCGATGTCGACTTTGTGCGCAAGTCCGTACGAGCCATTGGCAAACTCGCCATCAAGATTGCGCCAGCAGCACAACTGTGTATTAGCACTCTTCTTTCGCTCGTTAGCACAAAGGTGTCTTATATTGTACAAGAAGCGACAGTCGTCATTCGTAACATTTTCCGAAAATACCCCAATCAATACGAGTCGATCATCTCTACGTTGTGCGAAAACCTCGACTCGCTCGACGAACCAGAAGCGAAGGCAGCCATGATTTGGGTCATTGGACAATACGCGGACCGAATAGAAGACTCCGACGTTCTTCTCGAAGACTTCCTTGACACATTCCAAGAGGAGACACATGAGGTGCAACTGGCACTGCTCACTGCTACTGTCAAGCTGTTCATTCAAAGACCTACTCGCGGGTCCAGTCTGGTACCGAAGGTACTGAAGTGGGCGACTGAGGAAACAGACAACCCCGATCTACGCGATCGAGGTTACATGTACTGGCGTCTCCTCTCCTCAGCACCTGAGCAAGCGAAGCAGGTCGTCATGGGCGAGAAACCTCCCATCACAGCTGAAGAATCAGAGAAGCTTGACCCCGGTACTCTCGAAGAAATGTGTCTCAACGTCGGCACGCTGGCCACAGTATACCTAAAGCCAGTCAACCAGGTATTCCGCAGTGCTCGCCCGCGTAAGCTACAAGACTCGCCTGCACTGCAAAAGCACGAACTACCAACTGTCAAAGCAGCACAACAAGCTCGCGATCGCTCCGCCGCAGAACGCTCAAGACTTGACACTAGCACTACAAACGGTAATGGTCACCTTTCGCCAACATCCGCAAATGGCATGGCAAATGCTGTCAGCGACGCGGATATGTACTTTGCTAGTGTAGGCAGGCAAAGTACTTTTGGTGGCAGCCCTGTTGCCGATCAAAGCAGTGGTGCGGGAGGTGGATGGGTGGTTAATCAGAATGAGCCGCAGCATATGGTCATGAGTCCTGGGCCGAATGACGGAAACCAGGACCTGCTACTTTGAGATAGTGTTTATATAAACGTCTGTGGATGGTGTAATGATGATATTGAGGTGGATGTCACATAAGAATTTGTCAAGACGCGACGTACACGTTACTCAAAAGGTAGCGTTTCTCTATAACTAACTATGAGTGAGCTATGAGTATCCATGGCCCCTTATCGCCCACATATTACGATGAGGTAACCAATGTGGTATGCATCAAACCACCGTACCATTAAGCCTCGGCTTTAGAAACCATGCTTTTCTTAGTTGCCTGCTCACATCCTCATTCCCTGATCTGCAAGCAAAATAACACCCAAATACATTCGCGATGCTTTTTCGACCACCGCCTAGTCATCGGCCAACAAGGGTGCTCTCTCTCTATCCTCGCTGACGATCTGACCACGAGGGAAGGGATCACGTCCCAGCAAGCCAGGCATGCCTACAGCGAGCGAGAGCAAGAAGAGAAGACCGCCAATGGTGAAAGCGAAGACCCACTGAAGCTGGAAGAGATGCGGGCGAGTAAGGAACTGTCCAACGCCGGTTGCTGCGAGTCACGTTAGTAACTCCATCTTGAGATCAAGACGAGGAACAGAAGGGGAAAGCAACTTACAGAAACACAGCACACTCAACGCAAAGCCCATGGTGTAATCCTTATACGCCACCAAAAAGAACAATCCGTAACCGAGCCACCCCCAAATAAACACATTTGCCACAATCCGCGCGGCAAAATGATTCGAGTGAAGCGCAATAGCTCCAACCCAATACAAGGCGACGAAGTTCCATGCCAGCGGCCCACTCACAGTGCCGATATGAATCGCCCTGGGCGCAGTAGAATGGCGGAAATACGCCAGACTCAGGTTGCCAAAGTTGAGCACGAGCAAGAAGAGAGCGAGCCAGAAATGCGCACGCGTGAAGAGGTGCACGAAGCCGAACAAAAGCAGGTTGTTGGCGATGAAGTGGCTACCGAGGTTTGCGGCGGAAGTGACGTAGTGGGTGTCGCTCATGTAGAGCGAGTAGGCGTAGCCGAATTGCAGAATGAAGATTATCAACACGTAGATGGAGGTGAAGATGCTGGATTGCGCAAAGGGCGTAGAGTAGTTGTGGTGCCAGAACTTGTGCGAGTGCGAGCCGGAGGGGGTGGCGAAGGTGGTGTAGATTGCTGAGACTACGAGTAGGAGCCAGGAGATTGTTGTGGTGATCTTGTAGAGGAGGATGGATTGGTCGGAGTGGGAGTCTCTTTTGGCGAAGGGGTTGAGGTTGCGGCTGCCGCCGTTGGAGTCGTTGGCGGGGGCGGCATCTGCCATCTTGGTGAGGTTTGCCGGGTTGTGTGTAGGTATGAGGTTGGTTGAGGTGACGATGGATGTTGATGTTGGTGATGTTGTTATGGAAAGCGTGGTGGAAGAGAGAAGAGGACCAGGTGGTACGACTTGCACAAACGCAGAGCCAGGCAGAGGGGTCGCTCAATCGGGTACTTGCACCTTTGCACCCACTATATTCGCCTTTGCAAACAGTCCACACTGCGTCCAAGCTTCCTGTCAAAGGTGCACAAGAAGAGAAGAAACTCGATATTGGTCAAACAAAAAAGAACCCCGTCCGTCAGATCAGCCCACTAAGTACTCGCCCCAGTGTACGTTTCAACCTCCTACACCACTCCCCAAGGCAACGAGCTAAACATCGCAATCAAGGCCGGGGCCCAGAAGTACGTCACCCGCGAGCTAAGACCCTTGGACATGCATGATGCGCATGTCGCGCGTTGGTGTAGCTAGGTGCCCCGCACCGAAACCTTGTCCCATGATAGGGAATACGCGCTAATTATTGGTTCCCGCCTCTGCCACACCGATGCTGAGGTACTGCAAGCTGGCTGCAGCTTGCGGGGACTGCAGTCATGCCGGCGCTCAGTACGGGATTGAGACGGGCGCTTAGGCAGGGTTTTTCAATGTGCATATTGACACGGTAGGAGGAGGGGTGTACTGGTACTTTGTGTAGTGTTGGACTTACAGTTCCGCGTGGGTTGGTTCAGCTCTCACGCCTTGAGCGACGTTCAAACTGCCGCCACAAGCAGCTTTGTCATTTCAAACCACGCTCTGAGAAGAGAAAGATGGCATTGCACCCACACATACTCTTCTTCGGGGGTATCTATCTCCTACATGCGCATATCCTAGGTACAACTACAATCGACGATCTATCCCCATAAAAGTCCTACAGAAACAACTCCAATTATTCACGGCTAGTGCGCCGATTCGCTGAAATCGAAGTCAGGGTCCACCGATAAACACCAATCCGGGTAACGTCAGGCGTAATCTGCCTTGTGTAAGCCGGCAATAGCCACTGAAGGATGCAATCGCGGCATTGCATTGCGATATGCATATCAAGAAAAAAAATGAATACAAGACGACATCAGTTGCGCGAGCTGCAACGGCGACTTGTTCTAGCGAGCAGGTGTGTCAGGTACCTCCCAGATGTCCCTCATACTTCCCTCTTTCTTGACCTCTACACCAGTATGCTCAGGCCTAAACGTGTTTGTCGTTTCGTTCCAGTTCGATGCGAACGGTATCGCGCCGTTCGCTGTGAACACAGGTAGATCACCCTTTTTGCTTGGCGGCGACATGATTGGAACACCAGGCATGGTCGTATCCTCAGCATGTGTGTTGGCAACCCACTGTAGAGTTGCAGAGGCCTGTGGGTTTGATGTGTCTGGCGGCATAGTCACAAAATCCGGGTTTCCCCCGAAGCTCTGCGCCGTGTAATTGACGAACTGAGAAATATTGGATGGCGGTGGGGGAGGAGGCGTATCGGCACGAGAAGGTGGTGAAGCGTTCGAGAGTGGCTTGGTTACTGTGACAAAGGATGGCATAGGAAGTTGCTCGCGGATTTGTTCCGGTGTTATAGCCATATCATGCAACTCAGTGGGCGGTTGCACGATTTCGCTAGAGATCCGACGATCTACAGCTGGAGGATCCATCGAAGCTTGTGTATCCTGGAAAGGCTGTGGCGCCGAAGGCTGTGCCAGGACGTTAGAAGATTCCATCGGTACTGGCTGGGGTTGCTCGAGGGGCGCGGCAGCAGCAACTTGCATCTGGGGACTTTCTGGGATAGGCGATGCAGGTTTTGACGATTTTGCTGGCCGACCTGGTCCCCTTTTCGCAGTCGTTGCAGCTTTAGTCGCGGGTTTTGCTGGAGGAGCGCGAGCGGCTGGCGGCTTCCGTGCAGTGGTTTTCTTTGGTGCTTCAGCGGCCTTTTGCTTCTCAATCTTCTCCTTCTCTCGTGCATCGTGCTCCTCCTTTGAGGGCATCTTCAATGTGATCCGCTTCAAGCCTGAAGTAAGTGCGTCGACACTGTCATTCTCCTTCTCTTTGGGCGCACTAGCCTTGACAGAGTAGCTGGAAGATACCCTTGCTACCGCCGGACGTTGAGGAGCACGAGCTGCTGCTGCCGTTGTGGTTGAGCCTCGTGCCTTTTTCATAGCAACGCCGTTAGTGGAAGCTACAGAAGGAGCAACGCTTCTTCGGCTTGCTGCTACACTTGGTGCATGACTAACGCTCCTGTTGTCGCCTATCGATGAGACGCTAGAAGCGATACTCATGCGACGGGAGGAAGAGCGTGCTGGAGCTGGAGCCTCTGAACTGGCTGGTGCAAAGTCGGCGATTGTCTGCCGCCTACTTGCCCGTGACTCTACACGAGACGCCTTTCCGTCGTCAGATCCAGGCTCAGCGTAAGATGGGGCGGCTTTTCGACCACGCAATTGTCGTCCTGACTTGTCTGCATGGGCCGCTGTCGGAGCAGGTGCAGCCTGCTTCTCTTTCTTGACCTTCACTTCTGCTAAATCCTCTGGTCTGAAACTGCGTGTTTGACGATCAGAAGGTATTAGCAAACCACTCAGAGCATGAGCGGCGGTAGCCCAGTCAACCTCTGGCGGTGGTGGGGTCGGCGCTCTCGATGGACTCGAAGCGTACTTGGCAGAAAGGCTACGGTTAATCTTCGTTGGGTCGACGACTTTGGCGACGTAGGACTGAGTGGGTGAAGAGAAATGTGCCAGGCGGTCAGCGCGTGTCACCTTTGAGGCAGTCACGGGTGGGGGCGGAACGAGGCCCTCCAACTCCGACAGTCGGTTTGCATGCCACCATACAGGATCATAACTGACAGGCGTGAGCTCTGCCTCTACTGACTGCATAATAGCGTCCTCATCCTGTATGCTGAGTCCACTAAGTCTGTTGCGCATTGACAAGGCGAGGCCCGTTGATGGTTCCGCATCCTTCCAGACCTGGCCGTCCACAAGACCGCTCAAATGACTGAACACACCACTAGTAAGTGCTCGATCGCTATAGCCGCCTTCTAACACCGAGATAACACGACCCTCTACAGATGTACCCTCTTCTTCAGCCAAGCGGACTACATCGCGGGTGAATCGAGCGTAGAATTCGGTAGGTACGTTGACGCTATGGCGCTGCATACCAGCAGTCTCCCACTCACTCGCATCAAAACCAGCGGACAGGAAGATGGCAGCCTTGGGTGCGGGGTGGTTCGGTGAAGCCCGTAGGCGGTTGGTGTGATGTTTGAGATACTGCCGCGTCTTTTCAAGCAGTACCAAGTACTTCTCCTCGTATATTGCCCAAAACTGCTCTGGTGTCTTCCATGATTGCAGATGCACGTTCCAGATAGATTGGCCGTGCGCGTTGTCGATGCACAAACTAGCCGCTTGGACCTTGTCGTCATCGCCGTCCTCGCATGGGTATGAGTTGATGTCGTGTAAGCTGAAGTAGCCGATCGAGGTCTTCTTCCAATTGGGTGTGTTCTTGGACATGTTCTGAACTTTCTTGTTGCGCGCCCAGGTGATAGCTTGGGAGCCATCTCCGTGGTGCAGATCGAAGTCAATGATTGCCGCATGTGTGAGCCCATATGTCATTATGGCGTGTTCGATACCGACATGAACATTATTCAACCAGCAGAAACCAGAAGGAAAATCGTCGGAGCAGTGATGACCGGGTGGGCGTATACACACGAAAGCTCGAGAGGGACCGCCACCAAAACTTGTCCCTTGAAAGACAGCATCCACAGCATCCAAAACACCTCCGAGAGCGCCTTGGAGAGCATTCAGGGATTCGGAACAGAGGTACAAGTCTCCAGCATGTAGTTGTTGCTTTGGCGCTTGTCCTGGAATCACAGGGGCATCCCTGGCCAGCTCTTTCCCTGTTGTTGCCAGCTTCCGCTCTGCGTTGTCGCACAGTGACTTCAATTCGCCCATCCATTTTGTTCCATGTACGTTCGTAACGACCTGTGATGTAATGTCGACTGCGCGCGAAGTCTTGCGAATCTTGAATGGTATACGCTCGGGCGGATTATGGTGAGGATGTGGTGGGTGGTTGCCCTCGGCGTGACGCTCGCCTAGTCGTACGTAGGCTGCCGAAATACCCAAAACGCTCGCCAATATCCTCTCTGGTCGCTCCATGATCAAGCTGAGGTGGCTTTTGGGTGTCTTGGGTCGTGAAAAGCGATGGCCATAGCATTGGTCGTGTACGATGACGATGGTGCCCGCATTGACTGCGCCTGCCACACCCTCGTGTCGCGCCATCTCTTTCTTGAAGTACTCCTCCGCGACATCACATGCACGTAGTGGTGGCTTCTCTTCGATATATGTGGGGCCTAGTGGGCTCTTGGGCATGGGTGCCTGCATGTTTGGGTTGAATGATGACCGGCGTGACGCTGGTGTTCCCGATCGAGGAGGGTCGCCACGGAGTGAAGAGGTAGAGGATTTCCGCCCCAAGGCGGGTGTTGTAGAGCGGAAACTGGCTACACTCGGGCTGCGCTGGATGGCATTGGCTTTGAAGTTGGGCGTAGAGGGCGTGCGGCGGATTTCAGCGGAACTTCGAGGCGAATTCAGTGCGGGAGACTGCGGTAGTGGGGTATTGGAAGCCGTATGCAGGGAAAGACGTTTGAGGGGGTGTGAAAGGGAGTTCGCGTCGTTATTTGTTTGTCGCGCCCCTCGTGGAGTGCCGGGCCTCGCGGCGGGGCTTGACCGCGGTGAATTTTGCATCTTGGCAGTATATGCCCGCGATGCAGGACGTGGCCCGTCGTGTCTTCGTGCTGTCGCTCTTATCGGATGGGTTGGAAGTGAAAGAAGAAAGGCGCGCTATGACGGAGCCATGTCCTCAGGTCGACGCGACGAAACAGGGTCCCGCCCCTAAGCGAGCCCCTAGCTCAACGGTTCATACAACACCGCCATAGCATATGACACGAGGTTTCTACCTGATGAATGATTTCGGAGAATCTGCTCTACACTACCATATCCCATGGCTTGTGTATCACGCTGAGCTCTGCTTCAAGATCCATTCTAGACCCTCCTTCAAATCCATCGATGCCTTCTTCGCAGCACTATGCATGGGAAAGAAGTCTGGCGCACCATGCGGCAACCCAGCATACACATCAAGCTTCGTTGGTATACCCATGTCCCGAAGAAGGTTCTCGTATACAAGTGCTTCGTCACGAAGCGGATCAGTTCTGCTCCCTGTTAGTGCACTCCCACACGTATTCACAGCTCTACTCACCCCATAACCTGTAGATACGTAGCCGGTTGACCCTCATGAGTCTTCCAGATCAACGGACTCATCAATGGTGACTTGGGGTCTGGTTTGTACTTGTCAAAGAACCATATCATGCTTCGGCGGCCCAGTCCTAGGCTGTCTTTGTGGTCCTCCCAGCTTGACAAGTGAGGTTTGTACTCTTCCGGCATGGCCTCGTGATGGCATACCGCAGCAGACATTAGGACGACACCAGTGACGTTGGGAGTAAACTTGTCTTCGACAACCTGATGGGCTGCTACATTTGCTAGGTTGCCTCCAGCCGAAGTTCCCGCTAAGATGAAGCCTTTGGATGGATTGGCGCTCAACGACTTCGCGTTCTCGCCACACTAAAGATACTCAGACTAGTCCATCTGCGAACTTTCATGCAAGAGGTATGTACTTACCCATTTGACAGCATCGATAGCGTCATGCGCCGCGGTAGGAAAGACATGCTCAGGTGCAAGCCTATACCCTACGCTCACAACCGTGAAACCCAGTTCCTTCACCAACGCTTCTGCCATAACCTCACCATACTCTGGCATTCCAATAGTCCATCCACCGCCGTGAAAGTACACATACAGTGGTCCTGGCTCTTTTCCCTCCGGGTGAAACACGATGGAACGTATCGAAGCACCATCGCGTGTAGGAATCTGGATCTCGGATTTGTGGTAACCGGTCCAATCAGGAAAAGCCACAATACCGGCTGCGATCAATTGCCCGATTTGTTCATTGAAAGACTGGCGCAATTCAGTGGCTGATGAGTAGTCTTCGAAAGACTTGAATGGTGGTAGATGAGGTAGCAGCTGCCTTTGTTAGCAATTTGGGGTGACGGTTGTACTACAACAACATACAGCTTCCAGCTCCGCGTCCTTCTCACTGTACTTTTTCCATGTGGACGAGTCAATCGCCATGTTGCCTGTTCTCTTCAGGGTTTCGCACTTGAGGATGAGGGAGGAAACCTAACAGAAGTGTGGATTGTCATGACCTACCGAAAAGACCAGCGCGAAAGAACGCCAGGCAACAGTGTGCTAAAGGCACTTGCTCTTCCTCCGAAGAGAAGCGCAGACTGTCGTGAGTTTTGTACACAACATACGCCCTGCCTACCGAGGTGCGATAGGTACGCCCGGTCTGACAGCCAAGAAGACAACATCTTACACCTTCCCCGCACTCTCGCTTACTCGATCCAATCAGCACTTGCATCAGTAACCTTAGAATATCCAAAGAAACCAAGTCGAACAATTCTAATATTCGGGATTCCACTCAGGTTATACAGGTTGAGTTACACATATTTTACACACATTCGACGAAACACAGAACGTATAATATCGTGGTAGCAGTCATGGCTGTACTGTGCGGGAGGCACAAGAAGAAATCGTTTCCCATCAATTGTTCATTACGCAACCGGCCAAACCGTACTTCACGTCAATCTCGTGTTTACGTTGCCTCGCCTGTAAGCTGTGGCTCGCCTGTGCCCATAGAGAATGGGAAACCTATGTGCATCATAGGTCCTGTTGGAGGAGATGCAGCAGTATCAGTAATCGCTCAATTATCCTTGCCGACCGCCGGCCAACTTGAGTGAGAGTTTGGTGCCGATGAGACTGGACTGGCATTTTGCGCTGGAGTGGTATCTGTTTCGTCGGAATCACTCTCGGGTTTTGTGTCGCCGTCGTCGTCCATGTCTTGGTCTCCTTGGTTCTCGCCAGTTGCCTCGAAGTCATGGATCTACCATGACACGCTTGTGGCCTAAGGACTATGCGGTAGCACTGCACTTGTGATCAGCGACAATGTTATGGATAATGTCTACCGATACAATATGGCGCTGCGAGGTAATTCTGCAACTGAAAGGTATGTCTACAAGAGTGACTATGAAACTCCGATACTGCGGGTGGCCGACTAAACCTTATGGGGGATCTATATCTAAGTACAGAATTAAAGCATCCGCTTTGGAGGGCGCGACGCAGCCCAAATGAGGTATGGTTGCAGATCCAGTTCTACTCACTCCAGATACTCCAGTCGTTACAACTACTATGGTGCAGCACCCGATGGTCTCCTGGCTACAGCTTCATCAGCTTCGAATTTCCACCTAAGCAAGCCATAGCAGTGGCTCGAAGGTCCCGTCCTGTTTCGCAGCTCGCCACTACTGGAAGTTACGTCCGATGCACTAGACTGGCCATTCCGTATACAATTCAACACATGGCCGAAATGGCTGAAATGCTACAAGATAGATACCTTCGACTCTTATGCTGGTATAGTCGCCGATTACAGTACCCTTATTGTGCCATTATCAGCCTCTAGCCCTAATACGACCTTTGAGGATTATTACTCTAAGCTTTATTGCGATAGGATCACTTGCTCAAAAGGTATTCGGATCATCCAACTTCAATATCACTGCGGCACTGTTGGAAAACAGTGTGGATATCTCCGTTATTCCAGGTCTAGCAGACCTCTCCAAGCGGACTAGCTCAGGCGGATGCTCGATCGCAGTAAGTCCCATTCCACTACCGTGGTGTGTATCTTGCTAGGGTTGATACTAACTATCACATCAGTGCAGTTCCCTCAAACGCATCTTTGGCGATGCGAAGGTCGACAGCCGAGAAGAGACAGCATACAGCTCCGTCATCGACTACTTTTGGTCAGCCCAGCAGAAAGTTGCCCAATCGTACTGCGTTTCAAGCCTGATAAATCCCTTGATGTATCCACACTCGTGCTACTATCTCGTCTTACTCAATGCCCTTTTGCTGTAAGAAGTGGAGGACATGCTGCCTTTGCAGGTGCATCAAGCATTGATGGTGGCATCACGGTCGTTTTCGAGCGCATGAAGCAAATCACCATATCGGCAGACAAGAAGGTTGCTTTGATTGAACCCGGAAACCTTTGATACGACATCTACATGACTCTAGCGGAAGACAGCCTAGCAGGGGTGGCGGCCGCGTCACTGGCGTCGGTATTGGACGTCTCACAATGGGGTGGGATCCCATTCTTCTCAAACCGATATGGCTGGGCATATGACAATGTTGCATCTTATGAAGTGGTCGCTGCTTCGGGTTGCATCATACAAGTCACTCAAAAATCATACCCAGATATGTACTGGGCGTTAAGAGGCGAGGCAACAATCTCGGCATCCTTACAGAATTCAATCTCGAAACTTTCGCTCATGGCTCGCTAATGTTTGGTGGGCAAAGAAGGTTCTTTAACGGTAGTTCTCCTGCTGCGATTATTGCCTTCGTCAATCTAGGGACCAGCATAGCGCGTGACCCGAAGGCTGCGCAATTTCTGGCTATTATCCTGGATGCCGCCACGAACATCAAAATTGCGATTGCCGAGATTGAGTACGCAGATCCAGTCGTTGATCCTCCGATCTTTGGAGAGTATCGCAATGTTCCAGCTTTCTCAGAAACTACGGAACTGAACACCTTGGCCTACTTCACGCAGCAGCTGAACAACAGCAACCCGAAAGGCTATCGTGAGCCATTTTGGACTTCTTCATCTTAATTGGATCGAGAGTTGGTTGAATTCATGTTCGACGCCACTTATGAAGAATTTGCGAAAATCCGAGATGCCGCTGGTATTCTACCTGCAAATACCTTCCAAATCATCACTGTCCCACAACTCGAGCAGATGCAAAGGAAGGACGGCAACGCACCAAGACTCTCGCCTTCTGACGGAACAATTCTCATTTCAAATCTGAGTAGTCGCCGGGACAAGACCAAAGACGACGAGCGGGTGCTGAAAGCGAACGCTAACATAGTGAGAAAGGTGGAGGCAGAGTCCAAGCGCAGAAATCTGGTGAACAATCACTTCTACATGAACTACGCCAGTCAGTTCCAAGATGTCGTTGAGAGTTATGGGGAGAGCGCGAACAGGCTGAGGCGTATCGCGCGTAAGTATGATCCTGCCGAAGTCTTCCAGAAGCTACAGCCAGGCTACTTCAAGCTGCAAGGGCCACCGAACAAGAACTGGCCATCATCATACCCCGATTCGTAAGGAATGACGGTTTACACGGAGATGTGTGGGTAAAGCAAGTGCATTACACTATTTGCGCGAGGAGTAGGCGGGAAATAAATCTGAACCCTTAAGCATCTTTGTCAAGCCTGCAAATGACGACTACGCGTGCGTTGCTCCACTGCTACTGCAGTATTTCACATCTGATTTAGCCTCGTCTATCCGGTCTCCATTGACTATCCAATAGCACCTGGACATCGATCAACCCGTCGTCCAGCTTCATGCTCGACTTGATGTTTTGCGTTACCAGCGCCTGCATATCCTGGATTTGCTATTTTAAGTCAAAGGCTAGGGTGGCTTGTAGTGCACCGCGTCATCTCCTTACGTTGACAAGGCAGCACATTTGGCCCCCATCCTTCATGCGATCAGCTTTGGTGGGGCTATTTGAGCGCCAAACCCCCGCTGTTCCCCAACCGTCTTCTTCATCACTACTAATACAAGACGATACGCAACACTGAGATCGTACAAGATACCGGATGGCACTCGACAGTCTAGGGGCATGGATCGAAGAGTGTGCGTTAAGGGACCCGGCCGATGCTCGTAGCGGCGCATCAACCAAATCACCCTATGACGAACGCCTCCTCCAGACTGACGAAATCCGTCTTCTCACCATCGAGCACGATGCGAGCGCATTACGACTGCGCATTGTCGCACACAAATTTCAAGACGATCTCGAATACGACGCGATATCGTATGTTTGGGGTACTGCAAAGAGCTCTATCAACGTCTCATGCAACGGGGTAGACATTGCAGTCACTCAAACCGTTTTCGAGATGCTTCAACATCTGAGTCCAAGCCGCCCATATTGGCTGGATTCCATATGCATCAACCAGAATGACTTTGAGGAGAAAGCGGTACAAATACCGCTAATGCATCGAATCTATTCGCGGGCTGCATATGTCGTCATATGGATGGGCGTACCCACAGTGCAAAGTGAGATGTTTATGGCCGAGTTCCCCAACACATTGGAAAAGGAGAGGAAGTGGAAATCAATGGTTGCTCAGAATCTTCAACCCTGGATTCATGAGCGAAGTCTGCTCGCAACATACGGAGTCTTCAAGGGTATGCTACATATCCTTGAGCATGATTGGTTTCAACGTTTATGGACTTTTCAAGAATGCCTTCTCGCAAAATGGCCCATAATTTTGCACGGAAATTATTGGATAGGATTTGACAAGTTCATTGAGTTTACTGACGACGGTCGATACAACATCACCGGATGGGTTATTCATTCTATGCACAACTATGAAAGAGTTTCTGTTCTACCGAAAGTATGGGAAGGATGTAATTTAATAAGACGGTATCGCAAAGCTGTCGCATCAACCGGAAGATTGAATCCTAACAAAATACCATACCTTCTCTACACCCTACGTAGCCGACATGGAAGCCAGTAGATCGAGCCTGGGCAATCACCGGATTACTGAGTACAGATCTGAGATCGAAACTAAACACACTGGTTGATTACAGCGACAACGGTCGAGCGCACTTCTGGAAAACCCACATACAGTTCGCAAGAACAATTATAGCCATAGAACAAACGTTGTGTCTACTACACATACCCCCTACAATTGGAGGGAGAACACACTCAGTTCCATCTTGGTGTCCTACCCTTGAGGGAACTTCGGTATGCATTATGACCTTACATGGCGCCTGGATTTATCCTATAAATGGACAGCACTATGAGTTACTTCTTGAAGATGTCGTGGACGAATGGAATCAAGCGCTACCGCCTAGTGCTTCGGACCAGATCTCAAGTCTGCATGCATCCCGCAAGTTCATCTCATTTGAGAAGGATGGTGACTACCTAAAGACTGGCGGTTGTACGATAGATACGATATTAGAGGTAGTGGCTGATCCTGAACTGCGAGGATGCCTCGACTACATTGGGGGACTACATGTCTCATCGCACTACATCAGCAATCCTTTACACGCTGCGAACGTGGATATCTACATAAAAAGTCTCCGTATGGTCCGTCGTACTCTTCACAGCCCAAGTAATAGTATCCATAGCATACCTCCAGAATATCTGATGACTTTGCTATGCGATACTAGAATATCTAGAGAGGCAGCTATCGCTTACGAAGATGCGTGGACAAATTTCATCGATCTAGAACATAACCATCTCGATGTACTGCCGCCCGAGCGTCGATCGCGAGCTTTGAAGTGGGTCAACAGATTGGTCGGTCTTACTGGTCATTCTTTCTTCAGCACCACCAGCGGTCACTTCGGTATCGCCACACCAGGATGCAAACCCGGCGACAAAGTCTGCGTCTTCTACGGTGAGAATCCCCTTCACATACTACGATGGCCAGAACCCGAAGGTGAAACCAGCGCGATCCATGGCGAAGGTCCCGCTGAGTTCTGTGGTGTCGCATTCATTCCTCATTTGATGAAGCCGCATGAGCAAGAGGCGGCTCGACTTGGACCAGATGAGATTTTTGTCATTGGATAAGAGGATCCTGAAGGATGCAGGCATTTTAATCATCGTTGTCTTTCGTCGCTCGTTAGCAGTATGAAATTCGGGTATTGATAAGACATACACTGGAAACCTCCTGATTACACTAGAATTGCGTCACAGCAATACCTTTCACTGCTTCTTTGATCTAGCATTCTTATTTTTGCTCTTGATGTATAGCAATTCACTTGTTTCTGTCGCAGAGAGCCCTTCATCGTGCGCTCAACTACGTCCACTAAATCACATCATTCAACACGACACTGTCGCGAACGAGCCATCAACAGACCGCCTCAGGAATAACCACCAAACAATATAACTCGCCAACGATGTCTCCATGTTTCCCCTACACGGCCTATCCAGGCGTCGGCGTACCCACAACTTTCCTCGTTGGCCCCGCGACCAACCCAACACGCTTCGATATTCACCACTCGCTTCTTTCAAAAGTATCTCCACTATTTGCTACGCCCAATGATCTCCCCTGCATCATCCTCTCTAACATCTCACTTCCCGACACCGAACCAGCCACATTCCGTGCGCTCTTCATCTGGCTTTACGAGCGTCGGCCCCCTGACTACACATCCGACACCAAGCTATTGGATCTAATGAAACTCTGGGTCTTAGCCGGAGAACTCGGGATCTGGAAGACGCAAAACACGATAATTAGGTTGGGCATGGCGCTGATGCAACCAGCTTACTTCGTCTGCAAGGTAGAAACAGTGAGGTGGGTGTATGAGAACACTCCGGTATGGTCAAAGCTTCGCGACTAAATTATTACGATTTTCTGCCAACGCGGTCCACCGGTCACATCCTCAATGTTCTCCCCCGGCAACGAACGGCTGGGTATCTTCCGCGACGCGACGGAGTTTCTGCGTAAATTGAATTTGGTTCGCGCGGGCAATCCGAGGGGGGTTGATGGATATGACCTCTATACTCAATTCCCCGTACAACACACGTGGTCACCGGGCCAAGACAAACTCGCGCCAGTGCGGGTTCGTGGGTGTTTGGTGACGGGTGGGGAGAATGTAGAATGGAGCAAGATCGAGTATCCGCTTCCTTCTTTCTTGGTTTGGGGCACAAAGTGGGAAGTATTACCGGACATGCACTTCGTATGCGAAGGAGATGTTCGAAGTGAGGCACAGAATGTAGTGAAGCAAGTGGAGCTCCCAGCGGGTGCGCATATACAGTAGAGCCAGCAAAGTATGAGTCTCCTTGTTCAGATTACCGAGAAATTACGATGTATTTAGGAAGATTGTACGGGTCAACGTATTAACCGGAAACGGTGCAGTGAAAAGTATAAGGAACGAATCGGAGTTTGTATAACAAGTTTTTATTATGAATTTGATGTTGACAGGAGTGTGCAAGCTTCGCGCGAGTACTATGGAGCACTAACTGCTAAAGAGATTGGAGCTAACAATCGACGCTGTAGATGCCGCCATTTTCATATTCGAGGTATAATGAGACCAATGCATGATATTGGATGACGAAACGAGTAAGCATAGTATGAGGCCGCAAAAATCATGAGCAGCGCTTGCTATGAAAGTCGAGAAGGGGGTATTACCAGAAACTAGTCGCACTTGTGTACTAAACGCCAAAACACATAAGAGACCTATTTTGTGGTGAGACATAACAATCGTGGAAAGAACATAAGTTTTAGAAGAAATGACGACACATGTAGGTTGTGCAGTGACTAGCTGCTAGAGTGTTGCTTGCGCTGGTGCCTCAGAAGATTGTCCCTACGTGAGAAGCCCTCAAGGTTATCGCAGCCAGGATAAGGACAGTAATGCTTGGCAACGACCGATGAAGGGTCGTTATGTGTCGGTAAGTGTCTCCGTAGGTCCTTCGGGTACAAGAAGCCCATGTTGCAAGTCGAGCATACATGAGGTGACTCTGTCGAATGGGTCTTTTGATGGCGGCTAAAATAGGTCAGTTGAGGATCGATTACGCTTGAGCCAACAGAAAGACTTACTTTAGGTCGCATTGACGGTCGAAAGTCCTGCTGCAGCCGTCTTTATCGCAAGGAAACCCGCCAGGGCGAGGCGCTTGGCGCTTTTGTACTGCCTTCCGGTTGCGTCGTGCAGATAGGCGATCACCAGGTGTATAAGTATCTTCGACGTGCGCTTGCACAGTAGCTGGCTGCACAGTCGTCTCGTTCACATCCATAATCTGGATGTGCTCATTGATCAACGACTGTCCATGACCCGGGTTGAGATATTCGTAGACCGGTGCTAGGTCTGATTGCGTCTGTTCGAGGTCCAGCGGTGGCATGGGGACGAGACCGGGGTCGTTGTAGAACGTTCTTGCGGCGACATATTGGATTTGTGACTGGTACTGTCAACAGTGCCTATGGGAACAAGAGAAGTGACCTTACTATGGCGTGAATGCATTGGTAGAAGGGCAGACAGCAAAGCTCGCACAGCAGTATGTCGTCGATGTCGGAGTAGGACCCGTCCCAGGGATTGTCAGACATACTGAAGTCCACGAGTGGACTTGCTGCTGTCACCGGCTGGAGGAGAAAAGTAACAAGTACTGTGAAGAGCAGCAGCGAGTACATGCTCCGGTGTATATCTGGATGCCTGAGGACAGGACGATGTGGGGACCGACGACGAGAATGACAGTACTAGAAACTGTGTAAGCACCTCAACAGCGTGTCTAATTAGACAGCAACAATGTTGGTACAATAAGGCAAAGGGTAGCAACGCTTGTAAGAAAAAAGGTAGAGAAGAGGCGTAGAGTCGAATGCAGCAGATGCATGCTACGAGCAGAGGACTGCGGAGGCCGGCTGCCTGAGGAGCCACAGGTCACGGGCAGGTGTGGCTGTGTTGATGATGTAGGTGTTAAGCATTTTGGCGGATTCCTTGCGTCTTTCGCTACGATTCTGTTAGTTTGTCGGGTTAGTAGTGATGAAAGTGCACTGTCGATGCGATGAAGTGTGCAACTGTGGTTGTGACGAAGTGACAGGCGCCGTGCAGCGATCAAGGGATGCGCAATCCTCGACGGGGGGTACGCCATACCGTTTTGAGACTTCGTGAGGGGTTGTGCAGCTCAACTATACTCGTGACTTGGCTACTATTCAGTACATGAAGATATTGTCAGTTCTCAAGCCTGTGATGTTTATCGGGATGAGCGAGTCTTAGTACGTTAGCTTCCGAGCAGCGAATGTGAGATTTGCCAGGGCCCGCCGTCGCTTTCCATTTCACGTGCACCCGCGTCATCGCGCCTTTGCGGTCGGTATTCGTAAGTCTCGACACCTCTCATCCGACCTGCATCTTTCAAGCCCTCTCTCATATGATGTTTTGCAAGTTTTGCGCGTCTTGTGTCCTAGTATCATCTTTTTCTTTAGGTCGTTGGATCTGCCCCAGGGTGACGTGAACCATTACAACAATGTATGCCCTCAAAAGGACTTCTCCGAGGGACTTTGAACATCATTAACAATCGCTAGAAAGGTTGCAAGGGAGTCAAACTGTTTCTTCTCAGGCTGAGAAGACGCACTCGATATATAAGAATGCGACTCCTCTGGAATCAACGCATGATCCAACACGCCACGACTCATCAACACAACAAGGCAACCACTTCAGCTGTGTTTGTTACTATTCATATCGCAACCTGATGAGGCAGATTTGACGTTTGACCCTTTGGGATGCTGATAGCCGATACTATACACTCTATGCGCGTGCCATATCCAATCGCTCGCTGAGGCGTTCCGCGATGTTCGAGGCGGGCGGCCTCCCAGGCATCCATCGAACAAGGATCCGTAAGCAAGGCTCCACCAAAGAGCACCCTGTTATGGCTTGGGACGACGATTACCGCCCGCTGCGCCCTATGAATTACAGCCTTTCATAAAGTCGACGAATTAGGCAGGTACCATGTTGTGTGCGTCGTACTCGAGAATGGCCTGCATGCGGCGGCCCCGCATTGTAAATCAAAGCTTCGCATGAAACACTCTTTTATCAATCCACGCTATCTCGCAGTCAAGTACGGCAAAGCTTAAGTCTGCTCCCCCGAAAATATGCTATCTAATCGTGGTCGCAAATATGCAGCCTTGGATCTGGCTGCAAGCTACACGAAAGACCGCGGCCATCTCTATGACAAGACCAAACACTCAACAGGCCTGGTGTCTTTCAGAAATGCGGAGAACGTCAGTCTGAATTCACCGTCACTGCTGTCATGTTTCGAATACCCATGCTGATGATCGATAGTTCCTTATGCGCGAAGAAATCCTAAGTTACATCAAGACGAAGGTTAGCCCTCAGCGTCACATGAGGGAACCTCACTCTGAACAACTTGTAGTGCATTCCGAGCCTTGAGCCCGACACCTTAACTTACTATGACGGACCATTTGGGTCTAAGCGCTTGAGAAAAGCGATGGCTGCATTTATCAACAAGCGCTTCTCGCCAGTATCAGCTGTGACAACGGACCAGGTCTCTTTTGTCAGTGGTGTGACAGCGTTGAACGACATCTTGTCCCTGTGTATGACAGACGAAGAAAACGATGGTTTGCTTCTCGGTATGCCGATATACGGCTCTTTCAATCCGGATATGCGAAGCATGTCGGAGTGAGTATGAGTGCTGTGGAAGCAGAAAATCGTCTCAGCAGCTACTAACTAGTGTACAGGTGCAAGTTGGTTTATACTCCTTTCGATGGCATACACCAGTTTACTACCGCAGCGGTCGGTTGTTACGAGCGCGCTGTTGAAGAAGCAGACCGAAACGGGATTAAAGTAAAGGCACTTGTCATTTCTAACCCACATAATCCACTTGGTGAGAATTACACACTTTCATAAAGGGAAAGCAGGAATGACTAATGTTCTCAGGCAAGTGCTATACCCGTGAAGCTCTAGAGGCCATCCTCCGCTTTTGCAACAAACACAACATACATCTTATCAGCGATGAAATCTATGCTCAATCGGTGTATGGCATGAGTTCGGCGTATACGGAATTTACATCAGTACTCTCCATTGACATGACAGGCGTCATCAACGAAAACCTCGTCCATGTGATGTATGGAATGTCAAAAGTAAGGTGACTATCAGTTGATGTGCGATTGCAATTACTGATTCGGTTTGCTAGGATTTTGCCGCTGCTGGCCTAAGACTTGGGTGTTTGATCACGAGAAATGAAGAGCTGGGACAAGCTGTCCGGTCTCTAGCGTACGTCTTCTTGAATGACCAGGGAGAATCAAGGCATTGACTTTCCATTCTTCCGTAGACGTTTCCACGGCGCGTCACCAGTGACTGATGCCATCGCCACGACTATGCTTGAGGACGAAGAGTGGCACACCGAGTTTTTGACAGAGAGCGCGAGGATGTTGAGGAAAAACCACAAGCTTGTTGCCGAGGCATTTGATAATGCCGACATTCCTTACGACCATGACGCGTGAGTAGCATTCAACTCTTCTAATCATTGCATGAAAAGAGTTACTGACATAGCTTTGCGCCTCAGTAACGCTGGTTTCTTCCTCTGGATCGATCTCTCAGCATGTCTACACAGCCGGACTTGGCAGGCAGAGGATGAGTTGCGACAAGCGCTCTACGATCATGGCGTGGAGATGTCGGCTGGACACGCGTATCATGATGAAAAGCCGGGCAATTTTCGTTTTCTGTTTTCACTAGATAGGGATACTGTAGACGAAGGGCTGAGGAGGGTTATTGACTTCTATAGGACTCGTAGGCTGGATCGGTCGTGATCGGAGCTAGCAAATAAGCAAAAGTCATTGGCGCAAAGCTTGAATTTAACCTAAAATAGTAAAAAGTCTGTGCTAGAACTTTAACATTGTGAAAGGTTTGGTATGACGCACGATGCTCGTGACAACGCGAAAGGGCGCCACGCGACGGGTAGGTCCTTGCACGAGATCGTCCCGCCAGATCGGAATTCCGACAGGGGAAAGTGCGTCATCATTCCAGCCATCGAGCTGCAACCCTCACAAACAGTCCGCGCCATCTTTGTACCTATGTCGAGATAGCAAAGAAACCAGGCACCGTAATGCCGCCCATACTGTCCCAAAAGCGCTCGCGATCCGCCTCACCTCAAACAGAACCGCCACCGAAGCGTGCGCGCGCCCGCAAATCTCCGGCACACGCTCGCAAAGGTAAGGAGTCTGTCTTCCAGACTCTAGACGCACCACCGAAAGTCAAGCGCACATTGTCTCAGACAAAAGCTCTGTTGGAACAAGAAGACGACGACAGCGAGTTATCAGAGCCAGAGAGTAGCGAGGATGAGTTTGAAGATGTTCCGCTGAATGGCGCAAGCAAGGGCAAAGGCAAGGGGAAGACGCCGATAGGTGGAGATAGTGATGAAAGCGAAGACGACAACTGGGAGGATGCACTCGGTGCCCATCACCACACAAAACCTGACCATGGCCCTGCGCCCGTCATTACTGGCGATATCGCCCTCACCTTATCCGCCGCACCGAAGACCGCCTTTGATACAAAGGCTGATGGAAAGAAGGGACCGTCCAAGGTCCAGCGGCAGATACGGAATGTTACGCATTGCATGCACGTGCAGTACCTGATGTACCACAACCTTATAAGAAACGCCTGGATTCAGGACAAGGAAGTGCAGAAGATACTAGTGGAAGGCATGTCGGCTGGCTGCTGGCGCGAACTGGAGAAGTATTGGAATGACGCTGGCATCACAGATGGACCTGGTCGCGTCGTTGTGCAAAAGGCGCCAAGTCCCCCACCCAAGCAGGTGGCGAAAGACAAGAAGGGAAAATGGAAGGATAGTGGAAAGAACGGCATCAAGGTATACGAGAGCCCACAGAAGCGATCCTCTATTCGCGAAGACAAGAAGAAGACTTTTAAAGGCAAGGAGAAAGCCGATAGCAAAAGCGACAGGAAAGGGCGTGATTGGGGCGCAACATCCGAGTCGCTCGAACCGAAAACGCCGAACTTGTCAGCTGGAGACCCTCTACTTCGCCTGCTAAGATATCTCTCTGCGTATTGGAAGTCCAAGTTCCGAGTTACAGCTCCAAGTCTACGTAAACGTGGATACATTTCGCCATCGACGTTAGAGGCCGAAATCAACGCGTGGAGAGAAGAGCAGGATCATCCGGATACTTTTGGCGAGCGAGTGGAGAATCTGGATGCGTTTCGTGATAAAGCTCGGAAGTGCGAGGGGAGTAGGGACTTGGGAGAACAATTATTCACCGCTCTCATACGAGGACTAGGTATTGAGGCTCGTATGGTAGTCAGTCTACAACCAGTTGGTTTCGGCTGGAGTCAGAGCGAAGAAGGCAAGGCTAAGAATCTAGAGAAGCTGAAAGATGCAAAGCCTGCGGACAACGACACTTCGTCGAAATCGGCATCCGCAAACAGTAAACCGAAGCCTCGCTCCGCTACAAAGAAGTGTGGAGCATCCACCGACGTTGACATGGATGACAGCAGCGACCTGAGCAGTGTCATCTCTGTTTCTTCAGACTCTGAAGATGAGAGGCTAGCGAAGAAATCGCCAAAGTCGCGCAACTACAGTGAAGAGCTGCCATTTCCGACCTATTGGACAGAAGCTATCTCACATCTGACACATACGCCAATATCAGTGTCTCCAATTCCAAAGACGATCATCGCAAGCGCGGCTTCTCCGGACAAATTTGTCGACTTCTACGCCCGAGGTGCGGCAGCCGATAAGGCGAGACAGGTATTAGCTTACCTGATCGCCTTCTCTTCTGATGGCACAGCCAAAGATGTCACGACACGCTATCTACCAAAGCATCAATGGCCAGGTCGGACGAAAGGCTTCCGCATGCCAATCGAAAAGATACCTATACACAACAAACGTGGAAAGGTCAAGCGATGGGAGAAGTGGGATTGGATCAAGTCGCTCTTGCGCCCCTACGCACGACCTCACGACAAGCGTCAGCCATGGGATGAAGTTGAGGATGAGGGCGATCTTGTCCCTGCACAGCCAGAGAAGAAGAAAGATATGGACGAAGAAGGCGGAAAGGAGACGCTACAGGGGTATAAGAACTCCGCTGAATACGTGCTTGAGCGCCATCTCCGCCGTGAAGAAGCACTCAAACCTGGCGCGAAAATCGTCCGACACTTTGTCACTGGCAAAGGCGAGAACGAGAAGTCGGAGCCTGTGTATCTGAGGAAGGACATCGTGAATTGCAAGACCCAAGAATCCTGGCACAAGGAAGGCCGCGAAGTTCTGGAAGGTCAACAGCCTCTCAAGCTTGTGCCTATGCGTGCTGTCACAGTGACGCGCAAACGCGAGATCGAAGAGCGCGAACGCATCGAAGGTGGTAAAGTGAAACAAGGTCTCTATTCCAAAGCGCAGACGGACTGGATCATTCCTGACCCTATCGTGGATGGCCAAATCCCACGCAACTCGTACGGAAACATCGACATTTACGTCCCCACAATGGTACCGAAAGGCGCTGTTCACATTCCGCTTAGAGGTACATCGCGTATATGCCGTAAACTCAACATCGACTACGCGGAAGCATGTACAGGATTCGAGTTCGGCAAGCAGCGCGCTGTGCCTGTGATAACTGGTGTTGTGATTGCGCAGGAGAACGAGGATATGCTCATCGATGCCTGGGAGGTTGAAGAGGCAGAGAAACAGAGAAAGGAGAGAGATAAAAGAGAGAAGTTCTTGTTGGGACTATGGAGGAAGTTCGCAAGTGGGCTAAGGATCGTGGATAGGATGAGAGAGGAATATGGGGAGGATGTCGAGTTGCCAGCTAAAGAGAAGGTAGTACTACCAAAAGAGGATGATGGGGAGAAGAAGTCGCAGTGGGAGGTGTTCCAGAATCATACCGATTTCGAAGGTGGCTTTATGCGCGACGATGCTGCGGCTTCTGGTGGTGGCTTTGTGCCTGAAACGGCACCCCAATTAACGCACCAAGATGCTGACACGGCTGGTGGGTTTCTACCTGCAAGTCAAGATGATCCTGAACATGGCAATCTTACCATTGATCATGGTGAAAAGAAGGACGTGCCACGCGTACTCGTGGCAGAGGGCGCATATCGCACACCAATCTCGCTTACACAGGCGTTGCAACAGCCGCCCAGCGAATCTAGCGAACATCCGGATGAAGACGCAGACGAGGAGATGGATGCATCACAAGTTCAGGAAGACGAACAGGTCGACGAGGATGAGGATGGAGAAGATGAAGTTCCTAAACCCAAAGCCACTCGACGCAAGTCAGCCGCCACATCTTCAACTCGTGACCGTGGACGTCCACGTGGCCGCGGAGCCAAGACCCCGACAGTATCCGCACGAAAATGTAAATTCATGGTCATAGATTCAGGGTCTGACGATGATGCACTCTCTGATACTCCATCGGATCCACCAACACCGCCGCCTTCAACACGCTCAGCGCCAAGGCGTAAGGCGGCCAGGAAAAGTGACGCACAAGTCAAGAGCCATTTCTTTGCCGAAGGAAGCGATGGCGAGACGGATATGACGGACATGACTGAGCGGAATTCGCCAAGGAAGAAGGCTGCAACACGCGGACGAGGGAGTGGCAAAGGCAGAGGGACTGGACGGGGAAGAGGACGAGCGGGGAAAGCCAAGTAGTAATACGAGAGTAGAGTATTGATACCTACAGTAGACGTGCAAAATCATTCGAGCTAATGTTGACGATACGGTCATAAGGCATGGGATTCTATAAGCCAACACTAGGGCTAGACCAGCTGGAACAGATCTTACGATCTTCTTACGCCAGTGCGCTTACCCCGTTCGATAATATGGCACTCTCCCGATTCAACTGCCGCATTACATCATTTTCCCCAGATTCTTCCACACCTTCAAACACCCGAAACTCAAAACCGCGAATTTGCAAATGTCAAAACTCAACAACGACTAAGTATTGCCGGATTGAGTGAAAATCCCTCGAGTCGACACCATGTATGCAGATCTGTTTTTAGATCAGCCCAGCATCGCTAGATATGTCTGGGCAAGTCTTGGTCCCGCCGCTGCATGCTTCCGACCCTTGGCATACTTCGGTACCCAACTTCCCCCTTAAATCTGTCCCAAACAGTCAGCCCGTTGTAGCCAAGATACGGCGTTCTACGATTGTAATTGCTTCTTCAACGCCTTTCTTATCGCGCTGGGGCCTTGCCTACCCAGCCTTGATATGGCTGGCAGCGTGACAGCTGCGGCAACGCGGTCATCCGGCACTACTAACCATGGTAGCTCTGTGTTGTTGGGGACTTGCTTGCAGCAATGGCTGCTCCGATCGCACGGCAAAGTGCGGTAGACACGCTGGCGGCGCCGCCCATGTGGGAAATCTCCCAACATCCACCCGAATGCCACGCCCGCCATCTCCTTCGTATTCGTGCTCAGCTGTTACCGACGCGAGCGCTTCTTGGCTGCAATGCACAATGTTTGATCTGCGATCCCTAGCTCGCGCGCTCATTAGTTGCCAGAAACGTCATGATTCCCCGGTCTTTTTCTATCGATGGGTCGAGATGCGAGTCTGGGGGTTGGCGTTCATAAGTACATATGGTCTCCTGTTGCTTCGTTTTCCTACGCCTCATCCCTACACCGGCCTTTATCAGTCTCTCGCTTTGCCAATCTTTTTTTCTTTGGCAGCTGTCTCTCGCTTTCCCGACTTTTGAAACCGGTCTTATTCTTAATTTTCTAATTCTTTGGAAAGATGCGCTTTACAGAGATCTTTGCCGTCGGTGTGGTGGCGCCTTTGGTGGCAGCTCACGGTGGAATCCCAGGAGCACCCAAAATTTTCGGTCTACCAAGAGATTTGCAAGACGACCTCAAGGCTCCTGTCGCTGCCCGTGTTCTCCGACACCCTGCTGAGCCCAGGGGTGGCTTGTTGGAAACCCGCCAAGGTGGTCAGAACGGACGTTGTGGACCTAGCTTTGGCAATGCCAAGTGTGCTGCAGGATACTGCTGCTCTGGTGCTGTATGTTGGTCTCAAATTATTCATACTTGCGATTGTTAATCGGGGATAGGGATACTGCGGAACTACAAAGGACCATTGTCAAGCTCCCGACTGCTTGATTGACTTCGGCCCGGCTTGCGATGCCAACAAGACACCCGGTGGAGCCAGCACACGCAATGATGCTCGCCCTCAAAAGGGTAATGTCGCATACGGAGGTGGTGGCGTTTACGTCTGCAAGAAGGCTGGAACAGTCGCTATCACCTACGACGACGGGTAAGCTCTTCCATCGCACTATTACATCTCGAACATTCGACTAACCTAGACCCAGTCCATACATTTACACCGACCGCGTCCTCGACCAGTTCGCTGCGGCCGGCTTCAAGGCTACCTTCTTCGTGACCGGTATCAACCTTGGCAAGGGCGCCATTGACAGTACAGCTCAATGGTCCAATGTGATCAAGCGCATGGTTGCCGAGGGCCATCAAGTCGCATCTCACACATGGTCCCACCAGGATCTCAGCATCATTACTGATGCGCAGCGCTACGACCAGATGGTCAAGAACGAGATGGCTATCCGCAACATCATCGGAAAGTACCCCACATACATGCGTCCTCCTTACTCTTCTTGCAACCCCGCTTGCCAGACTGTGATGAAGAACCTGGGATACGTTATCAGCTACTTCGACTTGGACACTGATGATTACAACCAACTTTCCAACATCCAGGTCGCCAAGAACAACTTCAAGGGCATCCTTGACTCCACAGCTGGCGGTCCCACCTCAGGCTCCCGTCTCGCTATCGCCCACGACATCCACGAGCAGACTGCTCTTAACCTCACCGGATACATGCTTTCATACCTCAAGTCAAAGGGCTACCGCGGTGTCACCATGGGCGAGTGTTTGGGCGAGCCTGAGGCGAACTGGTACCGTACTTCCGGCGGTGGTGGTGGCACTACTACCCCTCCTCCTACCTCTGGCGGTGGCAGCACCACCCCTGTTTCCACCGACGGATCTTGCGGCTCAGGCAAGGGAACATGTGCTGGATCTACTTTCGGCAACTGCTGCTCGCAATACGGATGGTGCGGATCATCCGCTGACCACTGCAGCGCTGGTTGCAACTCTGCCTTCGGTACTTGCACCGGTGGCGGTTCTACTACCCCTGCGCCAGCACCCAGCAACCCGGCTCCTACCAAGAAGGTTTCCACTGATGGTACTTGCGGAACTCAGGGAGGTGCTACTTGCGCTGGCTCGACATTCGGTAACTGCTGCTCGCAGTACGGATGGTGCGGATCTACTGCCGGACACTGCGGTTCCGGATGCCAGACCGGATCGGGTACTTGCAACTAGAGGGTTGCTGATGAGAATAGTATCTAGACCGGGTGTATATAGATGATGCTAGTGATACAATTGTGTCTAATACAAACAAACAAAATACAAGCACACAGTTTTTACCCATAGATGTGTTCGTCTCTGACTCGGTAGTGAGTTCTGATATCTCTTGAGATTCTTTCCTTGTCTGCGACACGTGCCTGGCATTTGATTGAACCCCTTCCCAGCTACAACCGCATCTAACATTGTCAGACAGTTTTCAGAATCGTGATGTGATGGCTCTGCTGGCCGTTTCTTACGAATCACCATGGCGCTTTCTTGGGATGGTGCTGCCTTGTACTATAATGACAGTGAACGAGGGTTCCGCGTCACCGCCTTTTCACGCCTACGAAGAGGCACGAATCCCTTCATCTGATAATATTATTCCATTCAGTTACTTCAATGATAACATTGTGGGCAGCTCGTAGAGTGCTTGTGTGTACACGGGGGGCGGGGCGCGAACAGGGTACAGATTACACTAACTGGATTAAGTCGAGAGGGGTAGAGCCTGCTGCCTCATCAGGGCAGTGCAAATCTGACCTACTCTTGACACACGTAAACAAACACACACATTCCATCACACAGTGACTCTTTCCCTTTGGCTCCCTCTTTTGGGATCGACATCTTGATCTTGTCTTGAGTCCACCAACCTCAACGAAAGAGCGTAAGATCCCAGGCAACATTCTAAACTGGAGACGCTGGCTCCCTATCCTATCTTCACCGGAGGCTTTGCTCCCTCGATTCGACTGCCATATTCAAGCGGAGGCCATCCATATCTGGACTAAGATACCAGCACGGTAAATTCATGTAGACAAAACAACCATGTCAAAGGATATAGCCGAGCGGAGTCGACGTGTGGAGCTTACATCATACTTCGCTGACGATGAGGATGATGACAATAAGAAGGCAGATGAAGATGAATTCATGTCCACGGTTTCCCATTTCTCGAACAACACGTTCCACACTGCGATTTCTGGTTTCGGTGCACGGAAACATGATTCGCTCCAGGCTCTCCTCAAGAGGTCAGTACTGACTTTTGTTGAGAGATGACAGAGCTCTGACGACCGAACAGATGCAGCAGTTATGAAGAGATCCTCTTAAAAAAGGGTCTCTGGCCCATTGACCCTTCGAGTGAGCAGAACTGGTCTGGTCGAGGCCAGCACGTAGAATTCCAAAAACGAGAACGTAAGCTGGTGGGTGAAATACTCGAAGTCCAGGACACTCTCGGAAGAGGAAGTTCGGCTATCGTCGAAAGCGTTAAGTGCCAACGAATCCTACTGGCTCGTAAGACTATTTTCTGCAACCGTCAACTCACCAAGGACGATGCGGTCAATGAGGTTGCTCATTTGACTCACCTCGATCACGCACATATAGTGCGTGTGATTGGTACCTATACGTTAGATAAGCAACTGTCTATTTTAACGTATCCCGTGGCGGAACATAATCTCGAGGAGTTTCTATACGAGTTTTCTCGGACACCTCGTGGAGATGTGCAGGTTAAGATGTTCCACCATATTCGATTATTCCCACATTGCCTTAGTAGTGCTCTACGTCACGTCCATAAAAGCTTGGTCAAGCATATGGACATCAAACCTCAAAACATACTTGTCCGTCGGTCGTTCTCACCGCTTGTGGTCGCCCAAGATCTGGGGTACAAAGCCCCGGAACTGAGTTACAAGGTGTATTTAACAGATTTTGGCATATCACGATCGTATCAACGATCAGAGGAGGTGGAGACAAGCGGACCTACTAGCTTTACTCGAAAATATGCAGCACCTGAAGTTATCGGGCAAGAGCCTAGAGGATTTCCAGCCGATGTCTTTTCTCTCGGCTGTGTATTCCTGGAGATTTACACGTTCGTGTGTAATTACTTCGACCCATCGGAAGGAGAAAGGTCCGCGTCAAGCGAACACCAAGGTCTCCTCAACGACAATGCTACGAGTCTGCCGTATTACTACGCCAAGATAGGCCAGTTAAAAGAGTACGTTGGACCCAACCAACGGCCCTTCCCTGGAACAACACAGCTAATATTTGGACTCGTGTCACCCGGAGACACTGTGGAGATTATTGAGATGATGCTTAGCCCGGATACCCAAGCACGACCAACATCTCGACAGTTGGTTCATCATTTCAGAGAATTCTTGTGCTGTAAATCAGGAGCGGAGTCTCTCGAAGCCATGAATATCTCAGATGACTCTGTACAACATACGAGTAAGAAATGAGGCTGAAGGAGAATATGACCTTGTTCCTGGCTTTGGCATTCAAAGACTAGCCACTGTAGATTGTGTCAAGTCGAGGATGTTACTGCGGCACCGTGAAGATACTAAGACACTTCGTTCAAGCAACATATGTTTTGTATGTTTGCATGTCTCTCTACCATTTTGGCTGAAGCCGTCACAATCATGGAAGTTACGAACCAGTCACTGATCATGTGTGAAGACGGATGTAGACATGTATTGGGCAGCCTCCTTCGCAATAACCTCTCCATATACTATATTCAGCATAGATGTAGTCAAAAAACGCTATCATATTCCCACGATTGAAGCTATCACTCATTACCGTCGATTATATCTCTAGTAAACCATGGCGTTAGCGATCCTCCCAGCGATCATCGTCAGTTTTGTAGTCCTTGTAGGATTACTCGGCACATACTACATCTGCCAAGCATACAGGCGCGTGCGCTTCGCAGTGCCGGATGTGGAGCGCACCCGCGACATCGAAAACGTCGAGCATTTCAAACAGCAAATCATCCAGCTACGCGACGTCGAACTTCCGCATCAACAATACCATAGTGGTTAGTGGCACGGTTCGGAGAGTGTAACTCCCGCACATATCGCGCCAGTCGGGAAACCGCTGCCACATATTCCGGAGATTGAGTATACGGGCGGTGAGGGACTTGTAAGTCCACCTGAACGGGTCTTCCTCTCTATCGAAGAGGTCAAAGAAAGCAGCAAGGGAACAGCTGGGGAGATTAGTAATTTCCAAAAACTGGACTTACACGCAGGAAGACCTTGGAATTCTGTAACGGATGGCTACGGAAACTCGCTGGTAGAACAGCCTGAGCTACTCTCCCCGAAGCCTGTGCGAAAAGTAACGAGAAAACTGAAGGCAGTACCTGCGAATACCGCATACGATCCTGCGCAAACAGTAGCGGCGGACATATGGGAGAAAATCCATAAAGGCGAGCTACAGCCCTCACGACGCAAGCCAGAAAAGAAGCTGCCAAAGTCATCAAACGCACCGATACCGGAAGTACTTCGAGATTCTGCAGAGTTCGAAAACGATGCTTTACAAGATATTGACCTTGGTAGCAGCACCAAAGAATGGGCAAAGGTCAGTGTTTCGTCTGCTTATGTCACAAAACGCCCAATCAAGAGGGGGTCGTTCGATAGTGTGACTACGGTCGTCGATGCTAACAACGTGAGTATCGAACGGCCAACGTCATATGTCAAGCATAAACAAAGTATGGACACCGAAGCCGTCATGCCAAGGCAGTCGCTTGATCGAGCTGCAAAGACGCGTCGCAAGATCCTGGATGCAAGGAATCAAATGGCGGAAAGGAAGAAGCAAGAGGAAAAGGAGCGTCAAGCAGAGGAGCGAAGACAAGCAGAAGAGCAAGAGGAGCGCGCGGCAGAGCAACAGAGGCTGGTTGAGGAAAATCGACGGCAGAAGGATGAAGAAAGAGCTCGCTCGTTGGCACAAGTGACTCAGGCCGAGAACGTGGACCTATACGACACGAATGATTCTGGAGCTCAATTACACTCTACCAGGCGGAGATCCAATACCTCTACCGTATCGAAGCGCGAACGTAAAGCTCGCGAGAAGCCTCTTATGCGTTCTCCTAAACGAGCAAACACGTTTGCTAACGATGTGACTCCTAGTGCCCATAGTTCCATGTCGGACAAGAAGCCCGGTGGCAGTAGTAACGGAACTTCTAGAAGTATGAGTATGAATGAACAGGCAAGGCCAGACTTCAACACGACGGTCACATCGATTGCTGAGGGTGGCTACGCAGATAACAGTGTTAGAATGCGGGATGCCGGCAATAGCAGAACGATAGAGGCAGTAAATGTTTTCTCTGACAGCATAGCAAGACGTTCGGATGGCTCCACAAGGACATCAGCATCATCAGGTTACTCTTCCAGATACAACAGTGGAAGAATCCTCTCGAAAGACACATCAGAAAATCCATTTGTCTCCGCCAACGACCCGACAGCGACTTCCGCACTGGGTCAAAGATTATCCGGTGGATCCAGCATCGAGAGCCGATCCCTACTACAGCGGCGCTCAAACACTTCCAGTAATGATAGCAGACTCAGTTCAGATAGCCATCAAACCCGCAGCTATCCCGAGCGCAACAATAGTAGGACTAGCGCTAAGTCTCGCGCCTTTGTGGATAGCCGAAATAGTTAGCTTTCAACCACTGATTGTAGAAAACCCGAACGCGGGTCCTTCCTCGCAGCCCGCACACTTAGCAAACTAGGTCACAAGTCTTCATCGTCTAGTAGGAAGGAAAGAGACTCTACTAGTTCTACGCAGTCTTGGAAGCGCGATGGATCGGGGTTGAGAGGTGGAGGAAAATGTTTGTGGCTGAGCCCGAGGAGATGTCAGAGTCGGAGGACGGAGATGGCCATGGTGACTGGGAACGCCAAGAGGAAGAGAGGAAGGATAGTGTGAGGATGCGTGGTGGTGCTGGGGAGAAGACAGTGGAGTCGGGGTGTGAAAGTGGAGCTGGTACTGAGGAGGACGACGAGAGCGATGCTGACGAAGTTGAACACTCTGGTAACGACCACTCAGAAAGCGAATATTTGGAAAATGAGCGCTCTGAAAGCGAAGATGACACTGAGGAACACGACTCCTCCGAGGATAGGGTTTCAGAGGATGATGCACCGGAAGACGAGCATTCGGAGTCTGAAGTCTCCAATGATGAAGCTTCCGATGCTGGTACATCGGACGATGAATCTGGAGAGAAAGGATCGGATTATGGACATGAGCAGGCGTTATCGCAGACGCCGGTTTAAGATAGTCTCTGCCAGGACTGGGGGTTAAGGAAACGGCGTGAGGTTCTCCTACTACACCGCTTCATTACAAGGCTCAATAGCAGAAGTCTTCTTCCTTTTTGTGCAGTCTGCTGGTACGATTCCTTCTTTTTCTTCTACTGCGTTTTCATATATTCATCTTGTAAATTCGATATCTAGATATTCTTCGCTTACTGTTAGCGTCTTCCGTGTTTTCACAAATGCAAAGCTCAAAACATGAACAAAACTCGCTTCAAAGCATTGTTGCGACTCCTATCTTGCACGGATCGTTGTGTCTTTAGACAGCATCGTCCACTCCACCAGGCGGTCCACCTGCAACACCCGCGGGCCCAAAAGTGCCCCGATGATTATGAATGTTTTTCCTGTCATCCATATCTTCGTCACCACCATCATCAAATGTGGCTTCCGACATGAACGGACTCTTCGCGCGGATCTGGCGACCCTTTATGAGTAGTACCACCGGTACCAGACTCAATGCCAATCCAACGAAACCAAGTAAACTGCCTGCCCAGCCGAAACCTAGATTCTTGAAAAGCGAGTAGGAAGCGAGAGGTAGAAAAGCGCCGAATAAGTTACGACCGAGAGATGCGGCAGAAAGCGCGGAAGCAGCATACTTCTCGTAAGCGTCGGTGAGGTAGTTGACTACCCCCATGTAGATGGAATAGATGCCCACACCCACCATACAGATTCCTATCGCAGGCACGATCCAGTGAATCTCCGGTCGACATGTCCAGCCATATAAGAAAAGACCAGCGGTGAAGAGTAGCGAACCAGGGATACTGGTGTATAAACGGCCTTCCGGAATGGGCTTACCAGGGCGCTCCTGGTTCTTAGATGCAGTGCGGAGGTACATCCAGTCTTGTATCGGATTGATGAGCGTTCCAATCAGCGCTCCGACGGTGATGGACAGTTGGATGAGACCAGTTTGGAAAGTTCCGAAACCGTAGCTTGCGCTGAAGGTTTGTACGACGGAGGAGAAGAATAGGAACAGAATACCCCACGCGAAACTAATCCAAAGGGTGAAAAAAGTGACGACGGGTTCGGTGAGCAACATCTTTGTTGGTCGCATGAAAGAGACCTTGAGTAAATTGGCTATTGAAGGCTTGTCGAGCTCGGATTCGGCGTAGACTTCGCGACCGGTGTCTTTGCGAATCTTCTGGGCGCGCTTCTTCAGGATGACGTCGCCACGGGTCTCCTTGAGGATGATGTAGAAAACGGGAATTAGAGCGGCGTTGTAAATGATTTGAATGTAGTAAATCCTGTGCACATACACATTAGCAGGGGGGACCAAGTGTGATGAGATACATACCAACGCCATGGGGATTGCAGCCCAGTGGAAGGATAGCCGATCTGTACGATCGCGCTACCCACAAACGGTCCGAGAGCGATACCAGCGACGGACGTGAAGCCGAAGATGGACATTGGCAAACTTCGAGCTTTGTCACCTCTCCATACATCGCTGATGCTACCACCGACGATGTTGATAGAAACGGATGATGCACCACCACCGAAGAAACGGGTGACGACTAGGGTTGCAAAGTTACCAGCAAAAGCTGACCCAAAAAGGAACAATTCGAAGACGATGTATGCGACCTTAGTGTTTGTCAGATTGGCTCGTCGTCCGTGGATATCTTGATGACTTACGAAGTACCCAGGCATACGACCAGTGTTCTCGGTCAAAGGCACGAATAGGAGTGGGAAGAGAGCAGCGCCCATATTCCATGAGCATGTCGCCCAATAGAGGTTCGGAAACGGTTCATTCTGAACGTTGAAGCGAGTCGCCATCCACTCGTTACCAGCACCGTAAGATCCAGCCGGGAGACCTGTTAAGATGGAGATGAAGCAGACAGTAATTGTCAAGAACCATTTGTACTTGTTAGACCAATTGAACCTGGCTTTGATCAGCGCTTGTCTCAGACAAAGAGGCAACGCACGCACGGGTTGTCAGGGTCGTGAGGACCATTCCACGTGTGAAGCTCGACTTCTTTCCCATCTATCATACGCGTTGGCGCTTCTCTCTTACGCTGGGGTAGAGATGCACTGTCTGAGAAAAGTCAGCAAAGATGTTTTCGAATTAATTGTGGGACATATCATACCTTTGTCTTCATGGAGTGACGAAGGATTTGACATGTTGTATGACTCGCTACTAGAACACTAGCAGACCATGGAGTAGATGAAGTTTGAGACGTCGTTGAAGTGAACTGAAGGTCGTTGGAGCAACAAAGTACAACGGTATGATGAACATCAGAAGTGATCTCATAGTACATTAGCTACAGTTTGCTGGCCGTGTGACAGCGTTCGCCATCGGTCCGGACCCCATACCGTTGGAATCAGTGGGACGCGATGACGTTAGTGTGACCGTGTCGTGAAACCTACCATTGACGTGGGAAGATCGCCCACTAATTGGCGCAAGATGTGTAAAAGCCAAGAGAAGACTAGTGGATCTTCTCTCCCAATTGTTACTCCATCGTTGATTACCAATTGCGGATAGGCCAGTTGTTTTGCTTTTTGGTCGTCGAGATGGCAGCGAGATTCGCACAAAACAGTAGAGGAGCAATGCCATCTCTGTTTGAGAACTCTGACATCATACGAACCATTCACTTTTAAATGGGTGGCAGGAACCCGTGATGCGATCTTTCAAACGCGGCATTCGATGCTATTAGGCCTTTTTGCATCGCTGTCGGTAAAATAATCTTTTACAGTTTTGGCATCAGCTCCGAGTATCTCATGAGCAGAATAGCACAAGATGGACCGATGTTTTTAATCCTGCGGGCTTATACGTAGGTTAATGCATCACGCGTCGCGAAGGTCTGGTTTCCAAAGATGCTCTCATGAGCAACCTCACGTGAGCGCGCGATGGGTTTCGCGACGGATTGGGTCGGTACCTAGGCTGGCAATGGCCCACGCGTGTGATCAGATCCAAAGCGTCTTGAGGCTGGCTTCGTTGGTGCGCATTGTGTTTCGATGTGGGCCATGACCTGCGCGATCTAGTGCAAATATACAGAAAACTGTATTAAGCATGTATGCTCAACACTCGACCCGGCTTCTTGGGCTAACAGTAGATATAACCAGTATGTATCATTTCTTGGTGGCCGCAGCACGATCGCTAAACGGAATCTACTAGACGGATATATATTGTTTACTTGGTAAGCAGAGTCGCGCGGCCGTTCTTCGCTGTTTTCCATTGGATTCGATCATGTTCTACTAGATTGGAAATGTGGACGACAAGCGTGAAGAGAAGCCGACGTCGCAATAGTGATGGAGAGTCGCAGAACGGCTTATGGCGAGAGAGATGATATTAGAAAGACATGGGAGTAATATGTGTACCGAAATCGGGGGGTCATGGAAAGACAGACAATGTTTGGAGGCGAAATGACAGTGTCGCGGGTTGCCGAGGTTTCGCCATCGGGGCTATCGGAGGAGCTTGGGCGGTGATGATGTCGAGATTCGGAAGTCGCTGAGCAATTCATACGCCGCCACTACAACTTGTCAACCTTCATTGTACATCACCCAAACCTCTTATTAGATTTCGTGGGCAATACACGAGTGCTACGTGATCATACGTGCACTCTTTTCATTCTTTGTATTGTATTACCATTGTTCACGTCCACATAACACCGAATCATCATGTTCCAAAGCCAGAGCTTGCCGTGGCGGGCAGCCCTTCGTCAGGCTTCTCGCTCGAATGCTAGAAATATTACTACCAGGGCATCATCGCGACATCTCCCGGCCCAATGCACAGCGTCTTTGGTCGCGCGACAACACACCCGATGCACCTCGCCGCCCGCCGCACTCTTCGCATACCGCAGCTTCTCCACATCTTTGAGTAGACGGAAAGAAGATGATTCGAAGGCGCCACCGGAGCCACTAGAGGAGGCCAAAGAGGAAGAAACAGAAGAATCCAAGAAGCTGAAGGAGCAGCAAAGAGCAGAAGAGCTCGAGGGCAAGAGCGATGCGCCCGAGCCAATACCACCAAGAGCGAGTTCGGGGCGAGGCAGCGCAGCAGGAGGAAGTGGTTCAGGCGGTGATGGTGGTGGCAAGAAACGAAAGGGTGCTGAAAGAGCGCTCGTCAAGCCCTCGATTCCAGACGTCTACCCGCAAGTCATGGCGATACCGCTCGTCAAGCGTCCTCTATTCCCCGGGTTTTATAAGGCTATCACCATCAGAGATAGGGAGGTCGGACAAGCGATTGCGGATATGGTCAAGCGAGGGCAACCTTACATTGGTGCCTTCATGTTCAAGGATGACACTGCCGACAAAGATGTCATTCACGACCCCAGCGAGGTATACGATGTGGGTACATTCTGCCAGGTCACGAGCGCATTTCCTGTGGGCGCCGACGACAACTTTGCCATGACATGCGTCCTCTATCCACACCGCCGCATCAAGATGACTGGTCTTAAGTCGCCACCGCAAGCGAAGGAGGAGCCATCGGTGGCTGAAAGCACATTAGACGAGAGTGCGGATACCCAAGAGCCTGAGGCAGGTGCAACCCAAAACAAGGGCGATGTGGTTGCTAGCTTCGAGGAGGCAACAGAGGAGGCCAAGGCAGCTCAGGGAGCGCTTGTGCCCACCATTCTCAAGGGTCGCAACGTCAGCATTGCTGATGTTGAGAACATGGTCGAGGAGCCTTTCGATCTGAAGACCAACAAGACAATCCAGGTATTGGTCAACGAGATCGTCAACACATTCAAGGGCGTTGCACTACTTAACCCGCTGTTCCGCGATCATGTCTCGACCTTCTCCGTCCATACCACCATGAACGTCGGCGAAGACCCCGTCAAGCTTGCTGATTTCGCCGCTGCAGTAGCACAAGCCGAGTCACACGAATTGCAGGATGCACTCGAGGAGATGGACATCGAAAAGCGTCTCAGCAAGGCGTTGGAGGTGCTCAAGAAGGAACTCATCAGTGCGGAGTTGCAAAAGAAGGTTGCCGACGATGTCAACGCCAGAGTGACCAAGAAGCACCGCGAGTATATGTTGATGGAGCAGATGAAGGGCATCAAGCGAGAACTTGGTATCGAATCGGATGGCAAGGACAAGCTGATCGAGAAGTTTAACGAGAAGGCTAACAAGCTTGCTATGCCTGAAGCTGTGCGTAAGGTCTTCGAAGAAGAAATGAGCAAGCTGCAAGGTCTCGAACCCAACGGATCAGAGTTCAACGTTACCCGGAACTACCTCGACTGGCTCACACAGCTACCCTGGGGTCTGCGCAGCGCCGAGAACTTCGGCATCCAGCATGCACGAGAAGTCTTGGACGAGGATCACCACGGATTGAAGGACGTCAAGGACCGTATTCTTGAGTTCATTGCTGTTGGAAAACTGCGCGGTACTGTCGAAGGAAAGATTCTGTGTTTGGTCGGCCCACCAGGTGTGGGTAAGACGTCGATCGGAAAGTCCATTGCTCGCGCTCTGAACCGTCAGTACTACCGCTTCAGTGTCGGTGGTATGTACGACGTAGCCGAGATCAAAGGTCACCGAAGGACATACGTTGGTGCACTACCCGGACGTATCATCCAAGCTCTCAAGAAATGCCAAACGGAGAACCCGCTTGTCTTGATTGATGAAGTCGACAAGATCGGTCGCAACAGCAATCACGGAGACCCAGCATCAGCCCTGCTCGAGCTTCTCGACCCAGAGCAGAACAACAGCTTCCTGGACCACTACCTAGACGTACCCGTGGATCTATCAAAGGTTCTGTTCGTGTGCACAGCGAATATGGATGAGACCATCCCACAACCCTTGCTCGACCGTATGGAGGTGATTCGATTGTCTGGCTACGTTTCAGACGAGAAGATTGCCATCGCTGAGAAGTACCTGTCCCCCGCAGCAAAGGAGATGAGCGGACTTAAGGATGCCGATGTCGTTCTCGAAAGCGATGCGATTGTTGAACTTATCAACAAGTACTGTCGCGAGTCGGGTGTTCGTAACCTCAAGAAGCACATCGAAAAGGTATACCGCAAGTCAGCACTGAAGATTGTCACCGACGTAGGCGAAGACGCACTTCCAGAGGCTGCTGCGCTTACCGAGGAGGGCAAGGCTGCGCAGAAGGAATCGGAGAAGGACAAGAGCGATCTCAAGGAGACTCCGGAAAACATTGAAGAGCAGACCACTGAGAAGCCGCGCGTTGCGCTCAAGATCCCAGATTCCGTACACGTTTCTATCACGAAGGACAACCTGAAGGATTATGTCGGGCCCGCTATCTTTACGTCAGACCGCCTCTACGACTTCACGCCACCTGGTGTGGCTATGGGTCTGGCATGGACATCAATGGGTGGTTCGGCCCTCTACATCGAATCCATCCTTCAGAACGCACTCTCGGCATCGTCAACACCCGGTCTTGAGCGCAGTGGATCCCTTCGAGACGTCATGAAGGAGTCGACAAGCGTAGCATACTCTTTCGCTAAGAGCATTTTGGCCCGCGAATTCCCTAAGAACAAGTTCTTCGAACACGCCAGGATACATCTCCACTGCCCCGAGGGCGGCACACCAAAGGACGGACCTAGCGCTGGTATCACCATGGCGACGAGCATGCTCAGTTTGGCACTTGACAAGAAGATTAGGGACGATGTCGCCATGACTGGTGAGCTGACTCTTACTGGCAAGGTGCTGAGGATTGGCGGCCTACGCGAGAAGACGGTTGCTGCACGGAGAGCGGGCGCGAAGACGGTCATTTTCCCACACGACAACATGAGCGACTGGCTTGAGCTGCCTGAGGTATGTTTTCTCAATCCTAATGACCGATAGTCCATCTGCTAACACTTTACAGAACATCAAAGAAGGCATAGAAGGCCGCCCCGTCCAATGGTACAAGGAAGTCTTCGACATCGTCTTCCCAGACCTCGACAAGGACGCCGCGAACAAGATGTGGGAGAAGGAACTCAAGGCTAAGAAGGGCGACCGCAAGAAGCGTGAGCAGAAGAAGAAGGAAGAGGAAGAGGAGGAGTCCGGTGAGGACGACGATTGAGCGAGCCTTACTTGAGACAGGATAGGTGTAAGATAAAGCAAACAGCGAGCTTAGCCAGCGCAACACATTTTGGGCGTTTTTGCATAGGCATTGGCGATAGAGCCATTACGATTCAACTGCATTGATAATGAATGATAACAATTCTCTCTTCTCAAAGCGTCATTCGGCATCAGAAGAGGGGTGTGATGACTGATAGTCACAATATGCAAACGGCTAAAAAGAAAACATATCCAGCATGATCCCTTCTCTCTTCTTCTGCTTTCCATGGTGTTGACAGCGGGACGGTCCGTACCTAGCTACCCACTCTGGGCTTTGTTCATAGCTACTCTAATATTCATGTGCTGTCTCATAGAAATTTCTTGACGACACTGACATCGCTACAAGCTACTTATCCAGGGTCTCAACCGTTTGCTGGCAGCGTCTCAGGTACGTACCAAATGATGTGTTTTTCCAACCCCTCATGGTTTTCCGTACCCCTCCTGCATGAACCCCACCACACGTGGCAGGGGGATCGTGGAATGTTGCGCATATTTGCGACGGGCGTTATCGTAACGGTAACACCATGTAATCATTATCAATCGTGCCTCGTTGGCTTAGAAGGTGAATTTCAAGATGCCGCGGTATGCGTAGCGCACTGCAAATCACGGCAATGCTATACCATCTGTGACGCAACTGCCACATGTCTGAAGCCACATGCAAAACGATAGGGCTAACACTAACAGGAGACTATGCCAACGCTGTTGTTGGCGTTCGTTGGTGATGCATGTGGTTGTGTTTCAGCGCTTTATGCGCAGCCTTTGTGCGTTAGTCTTCGATTCCTTCGTCTGATGCATGAACCACATTGACGTGTCAACGGGCGCCTTGTGTATGTAGGCGTAAAGAGGGACAACGCATACTGCGAACTGGAGGGAACGAATCATAGTCAGGGGTTGAGAGAAAGCTGAAGTTGTCATCAGACTTTTTTTGCGGTGGAAGCTTCACTTTTGTTTTTGGTTCGCATTGTCTTTGGCGTCTTGGGGAGGCTATGGTGCGGCGGCATGGCGCAGTCCGGTGAAATGGATGAGGGACTTACATTAGGGCTGAGAGAAGTCTTTAGAGGGCGCAAGGGGCTGAGTGAGGCGTATAAGTCCTTTGTCAATGCCTTGGTGCTTCACGATGGCCAGCTACAAGTTGTTGGGAACGATGCCGGAGCTACAACGCAAGTGAAGGATCGAGATACATTAGCGAGCGTCATCCCTCCGGCGTGCAGGAGCAGCTTTGCTCAAAGCTTGCCGAAACCGTCTCTGTGCGACAAGTTGAGTGGGGTCGTTCGTGTACTCATTGCGACGACGGGATACATTCCCGCAAGTACCATGAGGTGCAGTAGCTGCCCTCGTCTACGCGTGGACTAATGTATGCAGGCCCAAATGAGGGGTTCTGCTCATATCGTGCTGTGAAAAATTGATGAGAGGCGGCCGTTGAGCCAGGATGAAGCAAAGCTACCGACACTTTGAATTAATATACCGGTTCTCAAGGGTCGGAGAGAGGGAGAAGGGTCGTTGACTATGGCAAGATGCAACGGTGAGATGTGTGTGACTCTCACCGCAGGTTGTTGGAGTGGCTGTCACACGCGAGCAAGAACCAATCAGTACATCATCGGTGGTATGTCACGGCGGGACCCAGGGCGCACTCGTGCCTGATTTGACGACAGAAGCACCAAATTCGGGTTTTTGCTGCTGCGGATGCTGCAGGCAGAGGGTCTTTTCTGTCCAATGTGGTGTTGGCGCTTGACCGCCAGCTGTACAGAATATACATGACCTAACATAGGGGGTAGCTGCACAGCGCAAAATTTGTTCTCTTTGAATATTGTTCTTTCTTGCCATCTCCTCCCCGCTTCTCCTTCGCTCGTGAGACTTGGGACCGAAGACTTAGGGCTGTGTGAGGTGCCGACACCTCGCCTCTGGAATATTTGATTTGCTGCATTTGCTTGGGATACGCTAAGGCGGTGTTCGACCGTTCGCCCGCCTGGGGACTTGGGCCTTTGACGCGCTGATTGGCTAGACGCTCCCAGCCTCAGTCGCATTCATCCCATCTTACTTGGGACGACTCATCATCGCACATTGCATCGCGTCGTCGTCGTTGCCCGCCTCGACTCGAATACGAACGTCAGCCTACTGCCCGGCGCCCTACTGCCTGGTCTTGTACTGAGCCTCACCACCTACGACGTACCTCCTCACCCACGGCCCGTTTGTCTGTTCTGGGGTTAGGCGCCAACGAGCTTGCGCATGTCGCTTGGGCGTCAACAATAGACGGAAGCGGTATTTTCGTCATTACCACGGAGATTGTCGTGCAGAGTTTGCAGCCATCGAATTCGCAGGAGCAAGTGGCGTGGCACCGAGCATGAACTAGATCGATGGATGCAGGAAGCCACAGTTACACACGACCGCGACACAGCATGCACTCGGCGCCAAATCGATAGTATCAATCCAATTGATCCAAACCCGACCAGGAACCTCCCCGCAGCGCGACCACACGGCACGTCACGTCTGCCTGGGTTGCTCCTTCCTCCGCACCGCGAAGGCTAGCAGAGGGGGATAAGAAGGCTGGGAGAGCTGAGCGTCTCTCTCAGAAGATGCCGCTGCTATCAGCCGACAATGGCGACTCGAGTAGGAGTGCCAGCCGGCAGCGGGCGCGTACCGAAGTTGCCGAGCACAGGAGCATGTGGGACCGCCTCAACTTCCAGAAGATTGGCTCCTGGCTGAAGAAGGACGAGCACACTCCGCCGCCCTCGCCTACCAGGTTTGCCAAGCAGGCTGGTGGTGTGAACAAGGAAGGCAAAGAGAACAAGGAGGACAAGCAGGAGATGAAAAGGCCTCACTCGAGTGGTGGATTGCTGGGTAGGAGAGGCAGCAAGAAGGTCATCCCGGGGCTGCCTAGACCCCTGACCTTCAAGCGAATGCAGAGCGAGAAGAGAGACAAGCTGCTCGAGGTGCCTGAGAGCGAACCACGAAGAGCTGTGTCGGAAGACCGCAAGAGCTCCGTCCCCTCGAAACGAAACGTCTCGCCACCTCCCATGTCTGTTCCCTCCATGTCCGCCCCCGACGTCCTGAGCCCACACGAGAGCAACAGTGAGAAGGAGAAAGAGCCATTGCCAAAGGAAGAGCCGCTGCCAGAGGAAGAGCCGTTCCCAGAGATGGAACGCGGCGAACGCACTATTGGCGGGGGACCAGACTCGAACATACCGGCAGGCGCGCGGCAGGTGGATTATGGCATAGAGGAGCCCGAAGACTACATGTCTGCAGGTGATGTCTCCACAATTGAGGGGCCGCCTCCAGTAGAAAGGCCACCGCCAGCAGAGCCAGCAGACGCCTTCTCGGAACACGGCTCGCATCGTTCAGGCTCAGACATAGACGATATACGGTTGCAGGAGGAGCTCGAGGCAAAGTGGATCCTGAACCTCAGCATGCACTTTCGAGACATGTCAGATCGCGAAAAGTTCTTCGTCACATTCGCCGAGGAGCCAAACAGATGGAGGAGGGTAACAGTGTCGTGCGACTACCGGCACCTGGAGCCTGAGTCGCTCGAGGCTGACCTCAAGACGCTGCACTACCAACGCGACAAGAGCTCACGAATATACGAAGCGATCCGTGACTCCCTGCCGGCCATCCAATTCTATGATACCGTCACGAACCTCAAGCTCGAAACAGCGGATGGTCGTCTTCACGTGCACGTCACGGAGGATGTTAACGAGATCATCCCATACCCGGCCACATCGGCGATTGAACACCTGGACTGCAAGCGCTTCCGAGAGAACGCAGTTTCCTTCGACTCCCACATCTCAGGCTTTGTGTACAAAGTCTCTGTCAACAATCGGACATACATCAAGAAGGAGATCCCTGGTCCAGATGCAGTCGAGGAGTTCCTGTACGAGATCAACGCTCTTGTCAGCCTGCAAGAATCCAAATCAGTCATCAGGTTCGAAGGCGTTATAGTCGATGAGCAGAACGCGCTCATCAAGGGTCTACTAATTAGCTACGCCGAGCAAGGCGCGTTGGTGGATATGATCTATGACTTTAAGCCAACAGGGCAACTGTACTGGGAACGCCGCGAACGATGGGCACGGCAGATCATCGAGGGTCTGTCCGAGATTCACGAAGCCGGATTTGTGCAGGGCGACTTTACACTTTCAAACATTGTCATTGATAATGACGACAATGCCAAGATCATCGACATCAACCGTCGTGGCTGCCCTGTCGGCTGGGAGCCACCTGAGCTGGCCAAGCTTATCGAAAGCGGACAACGAATATCGATATATATTGGCGTCAAATCGGATCTCTACCAACTGGGCATGGTGCTGTGGGCGCTAGCAGAACAACAAGACGAGCCGGAGCGCCAGCAAAAGCCTTTAACTCGCACACTCGATCGGCAGAATACTGATGTGCCAGTGTACTTCCGCGACATCATCAGAGCCTGTCTCAGCGACGCGCCCCGAGCAAGACCATCAGCAGCAAACCTTCTCAAGTGGTTCCCCGAGGATATCCTAGATACAGACTTCAAGCCCAAGGCTGCTATTAGAAGCAGTGTCTCCACACACAGGAGCGACAAAGAGTACATCGACCCCAGGACGGCAGTCGATCTTGAGGACATATCGAAACACCGCCGCCACTCAAGACAGCAGTCGTCATTCGAAGAGATTCACGTGCCGCGCACAGAGTATCCCGCTTCCTCTGGCTCATACATCATTCCCAACAATCACTCCGATCGTGGACGCTCACCTGACCCTTTGAGCATCGGTGACAGAAACGGACGGAGTGAATACTCGCCTTATCCCGCTCACCGATCAGTCATGTCACTCGACGACTCAGAACTTGAGAACGAGCTTGCAAGTCTACCAGCTAGTAGAGAGACAAGATGGGAGCAGGTTTACATTGATGGTGATACCAAACTAGTCCAAAGAGGATGCGCCGACCTTGACGTCCACGACTTTACCACACAAGAGCCCAAAGATATATGCATCACCAGCCCCCCAGTGGAGATGGAGAATTCGTTTCTAGGTAGCAAGTCAGCTGAAGATACCCCTCTGAGGGTGTCGTTTGTCGGTGGGCTCCAACCGGCTGAGCCACACTCCATGGAAAGCAGCCTACAAGAATCATCTGTCCGGGGTCATGATCGAGAGGTAGAGAACAAGGCTTCATTTAGCAGTCGAGTGCATGAGCTGGCACAAACACAGCCAGAGCACACACCTTCAGAGCTAGATGCTACGCCAGACTATTATGAGGGTCGGCAGTTTCATATACCTGACTCTGCTGTACTCGCCAACCTGGAATACGATGTTGCTATGGACTCTTCCGCCTCCAACACTGCTCCTCCATCACGGGTAAGCACTGGCTTCTCTGTCTTCGATCGCCCCGAACATTCGCGGAGAGTTGGAACCGGTCTCTCGATCGCGCACGGATATCGAATGCCACTGCATCAAGATTCAGGCTTTGAGGAACCCGAGCGGAGATCGTTTGAAAGTGAGCGGATGCGCCAAAGTCTTGATGAAAGTATCAAAGATCTGAACTTTTCCAGTGAAGACGAGGCAAGGATTGATGAGCGACTATGGGATGAGAAAGGAGGCCCAGTGTTCGGCGAGGGTGTCCGTGGAGCCGAGCTAGAGATCAGGCCGGAGCCCATACCCATATTCACCATCCCAGCATCGCCGCAGAAGAAAGAGAAACAGAAACAGGCGCGCACATCAATGCCACCTCCACCGCTACCTAGTGTCGGGCCCTCCAATGTACTCAGTGTTGAAGATGTCCAAGACAAAGCTTTGGAAGAGAAGAACTCAAACACCACTATCCGAGCGCCCAGCATTCGTACACCGGACTCCAAACGCGCAGGCCCGAAAGCCGTCGACTCCATGGATGTCGTTTCAACGGACACCAAACACACTTCAAAGAAAGCAAACACCATTGGTTCATCATCTAAAGACAAACTGCCAGGCAAGCCAACGCACGACCCTTTCCTCGATGAATACATGTCACCAGCCGAGGACGACGACGATGACGAAGATGACAACCATCGCGCATCGAACGATCTCTCCGCCTACCTCTCCCAGTCTATTTCCTTTTAACCACTCCATTGATTCTTACATGCGCGAGCTTGAGAAACAGAAGAAGAAGACTTCAGGTCTCGGTTCGCAAGGACCAAAAGTTTGATATTGACAAGCGTTCGTTCGCTTCCTTTCCTTTTCTCTCTTCAAACATATTGGTTCAGCCACTTTGCATTCGTTCTACCTGTCTTCATACCAAGTCTAGTATCATTTTAATCGCTCTGTGTGTTTATTCGTTCGTTCTCAACTCCTTCATTTGTTCCCTTTAGCGTTAGTATTAGTTAAGATTTTTTTGATAAATGAGCGTTCCTGTTTGGTCGGCGTTAATAGTGCGGTTGTGTGTCATGATTTGGGGACATTTCATGATGGACGATCTGTTAGTTGTTGGGACTGGTTTCGCGGCAGAATAGGTTGTGACAATCTCCATTTTAGGCGTTTTTCTTAGGTCGGTTATTTAAGAGCGGGGATACCAGGTCGGTTTAGCATTTGGTAGCATGGTATGGGCATTTTGGGGAATTTATTGCATTCACCTCTTCACTTGAACTTTTGATCCATGTGCAAGTGTGAGCCGAATATCTTACGAATGCTTGTAGCAATGAGATCTATCAGTGCCCAAGCTCAGGTTCGAAGACTAGAAGGAGTCGTAGCAGTAACAGAGTGGATGATACGGCCATTAACCCAGTCAGAACGCACTGTTGTAGGCTGTATAGGCATCAGCGGTGGAGCGGGATTAGCTGTGCGAGCAGGCTATATCGCGATCGCATCAACGATTCTTTCTCTCCTAATCAATCGCCCTTATAATCCCACCATTGGACACGTTGTTACGATCTCTGCACGCCTGTCCGTTAGTGACCAAAGCGACCATCTCTAGACTGGTCTATGAAACATCCAACCTCACTCTCTCCTATTCGGCGGATCAACACATAACTCCAATATGGCGGACGCACCACCAGGGCTGCTCAAGCTTCCAAATGCGCTTCTCCGCAAGATCGCTGCGCTGCTCGGTCCTGCCGGCCTTGGGCATCTCAGTCAAGCCAACCACCGGCTTCTCGACTTCGCCCTCGACTATTCTCGACCTCACGTCAATAGACTCGCCGCTCTATCAAACAATCTTGTGCTGGAAGTTATCGCGCATTTGTGAGACAACGATCGAAGCCGACTCGCACGAACCAGCTACCGATTCTACCCTTTCGTCATGGACGCCATTCCATGTCAAGAAGTACGCATACAGAATGGCAAGCTGATGGAGTTTGCTTTTATGGAGGGTCGGAAAGGACTGGCAAGAGGGCTGTTGGAGAGAGGTGATAATGTGGAGGCACGCTTTATCCATGAGACATATGGCCTTTCCTGGAATACCCTTCTTAGTGTTCATTACAGTGAAAGGTGGGCAGTAACGCCAGAACGTATGGGAATGGCGATGCTAGACATGAGAATGAGTAAGATGAAGCTGTACTTGTGGACATTACTTGTATCTACCCAAAACGCTACATACTGAAATGTCTACCAAATCATGTGCATGCCCTCGCTTACGATCTCATGCACTTGCACCAACGCAGGACTGCTTCGACGTTGCGACAAAAAAAAAGCGAATACTATTATCTCTACAGCTAAGGACAATACTGAAGGTGAATCTTCAATTTCATCACAGCCGAGCGTTCAGCTTCCTGCCAATATGGTGCGCATATCCTATCGCCGCTATGCAGCGCATTTTGCAGCTCCCCAATACTGCACCACCCTTCTTACCCCATCTCAAACATCTGACCGCTCACACAGATTAGAAGGCGACGACCCTCATACCGCGCTTAACAGGCATATTAGCCATCTCGGCGCGTCGGCGAGCGGAAGAGGTCAGGAAACCAGCGGGATACTCGACGACAGCGTCACCGGAATCTGCGGCTGGTACTGGCGCTGCGGCTTGGTCGTTCTGCTCTTCAGCAGGAACAGGCTCAGCCTCGGCAGCATCATCCTGCTGATTGTCTTCGCCCTCGTTGTCGCTTTCGTTGTCATCTTGCTCAGCTTCATCTTGCTGGCCCTCTTGCTGGTCTTTTTCTTCCTTGTTGTCTTGGGCGTTGTCTTGCTCAGCTCCGTCTTGCTGTTCGGCTTGTCCCTGCTCCGCCTTCTTGTCTTCTTCCTGTTGCTTCTTTTTCTCTTCCTCGGCAGCCTTCTTGTCGGCCTCTTCCTGCTTCTTCTTCTCTTCTTCAGCGGCTTTAGCGTCAGCTTCTTCCTTCTTCTTAGCGTCTTCCTCGGCTTTCTTCTGCTCTTGAGCGGCCTTCTTTTCTTCCTCCTGAGCCTTCTTCTCCTCTTCCTTTGCAGCTTTGTCAGCCTCTTCTTTAGCCTTCTTGTCAGCCTCCTCTTGCGCCTTCTTCTCCTCTTCAGCAGCTTTCTTGTCGGCCTCTTTTTGTTGTTTGGCTTGCTCTTCAGCAGCCTTCTTCTCTTCCTCGGCCTTTTTCTTCTCTTCTTCGGCTTTCTTCTTCTCCTCTTCAGCCGCGCCTGGTGCTTCAGTGGCTGCAGGCTCAGTAGCATTTCCAGTGGAGGAAGCAACCAGTTGTGTGGAGTTTGCGGCCTCGCCCATTACCAGGGAGAAGCTCTCGGTAACCATAGGTGCCGGTGGTGCTGCATGGGTCATGGACATGTTACCGGCTGCAGGGGCTTCAGGCATAACAGTAACAGCAGGAGGTGGTGGTGGAGGCATAGTGTGCTCTGGTGCTGCCTGAGTTTCTTGAGCTGGCATCTCAGCTGATGGAGGCATCTCGGCAGGAGGAGGCGGTGGTACCATGGTATGCTCCGGTGCTGCCTGAGTCTTGTGGGCGGGCATCTCAGGTGGGGGTGGGGGCGTTTCGGCAGCGGGAGGAGGTGGAGGCATCTCAGCTACAGGAGGAGGTGGCGGCATGGGATGTTCAGTGACCATAGGGGCCGCAGTCTGTTCGACCATAGTCGTAGTCTCTGGTGCCACAGTCTCGTGGGTGATTGCTGCAGCTGTAGTTGTTGCTGCGACTTCCTCGGTGGTAGTGGCCGCGGCCGAGATACTGGCTAATTCCCGAGAGACGTGCATGGCCTCCATAGCATCCGCAGACGATTTGTGAGCAGCGTCCTTGGCTTTCTCCGACGCGACATGCATAGACTCCATGGCATCCGCGGACGCCTTGTGAGCAGCATCTTTCGCTTGCTCGGATGCCACATGCATAGCTTCCATAGCAGCTGCAGATTCCTGATGAGCCTTCTCCTCCGCCTCGGCTTTGGCTTGGTGTTCGGCCTCCATCTTTGCTGCGGCCTCCTGATGTGCTTTCTCTTCTGCTTCTGCTTTCGCCTGATGTTCGGCCTCCATCTTCGCAGCAGCTTCTTGGTGTGCCTTGTCCTTGGCCTCCGCTTCAGCTACATGCATAGACTCCATAGCGTCAGCAGCTGCTTTGGCAGGATCAACTGCTGGAGCGGGCGCAGCCTCGCCCAGGTGTTCGGTACGCGCCACAACACGTGACGGGATATCGACGTTGATCCGAGCAGCCAGCTTTGCGTTCCTAGGAAGAGGGCCGGCAGCGACAGCAGCCGCCGAAAGGAGGGTAAGAAGCGGATATATGGTCTTCATTATGGGTGGTCTGAATTGATCTAAAAGGACAGGAGTGAAACTTGAGTCTTCGTTATTACAATGATAAAGGAGGGAATGAAGAGCTCAGCTCAATAAAATTAAACACTAGTGCACGGCACTTTGGAGAAAAGAAGGTGGTTGTGTGAAGATGACTTGATGAAGAGTGGGCAGAACTTAGCAGGTTCGGGACTTGATGGTATATGTACGTTGCCCGGCTCTTACGGCATGGAAAAGATTCAGAGCATACCCCTAGAAGCAAACAAATCATCTGGAGCAGTTCCATACTTGGTGGTGTTTGATGGAGTTCCGGCATCGTTTTCGCCTTGTCGAGGATGCCTTCAGGCGGCTAGGCGGCTAGGCAGGGTGACGACGACACTGTTCCCCCACCTATCTCGAACACTTACAGCTGCCTTTCCACCGTCTAGAAAGCATTGACAGTGCTTGGCGTAGACGTTACCGGGCCAAACCCATGTACACGATGAGACGCAAGATGCAAGAGACCAATCAGATTCACAGAAGACGAGGAAGAAGCAGTGAGGCCTGGATCCGCTCGTCAAAGTCTTGGCCTGACAGGAACCGTCGGAGAGTATGTAGCAAGTCAGGCTGCAGGAGTATTGCAGTGTTGATGTTCGCTTCACCGGCGGGAACGCACATATGCGTGTTAGGGATGTGATGCGGGCAAAGTTTCAGCGGCCCAATACAGGAAAGTGCCCGGGTATAATGGCAGCCACGAGCCTCAGGCCTAGACCACAACAACCATCGGAGGCCCGATATGATGTCAAAATGATCAGGGAGCTGTTTGGACGTTCACGCATCTGAGTGTGTGTTTGCAGAATTTGCAGTCGGAGGTCGCTTGGTTTCACGACACACTAGGTCTCCGGGTGCCACATTATCCGAGTCGGGAAGTGAATTGTGAGTTGATAAACATTCGTTTTCCTTGTAGAGGGAGGAATCGTACGATGGGCTGAAGCGTCCAAGAGAATCAGAGCCCCGATGATGCAAGCACGAAAACGTTTTTCAGCAACCTCCGGCGATGCACCAGACTAGGAGAAGCCAGACTGGAGGCGACAAGCTGGATAACGATGGCAGTATTATCTCCAGAAACATTGCTCGACGCATCCTTAAGGAATGATGGAACCCAGGAAGATGACTGACCTGTTTGTGAACCTCTACACAAACAAGGCTCTGCCAGGGCCTTGAAGCCTTCATCAGCCCTAAGCTCGCTTGCCAACTTGGATGTTGGGAAAGTAGAGATCATAATTTCCCTAATTAGGCCATCACATCGAATCTTTGCAGACGGCTGCACGCGATCCGATTCTTGGTTCATGTCGTAAGGTATCCTTGCGAAAAGTTGAGATGCCGGATGCGGTGAACACATGCGTCCAGATGATGTGTTGTTGTGTTTCTCGTATATTTTCCTAGGGTCCCGTACAAAAATGCCAGGGCTGAAACGTGGCAGTCGAGGCCTCGGTAGGGAGATTGACCGGCAAATTTAGACGATGCTTATTATTGGCGCACCTTACCGCCTTTGCATGCCAAGCAAATCCGCTTCGATGGTGGCCCCGTCTAATAAGATCAAGCTAATAGCTTGAGAGCTGCCCGTCGTTGTCGAGATGTTCGCTGAAGTTTCCTCGCGCTCAGGGGCTCCGAGGCGGCCGCTCAGTGGGTCGGTGCCCGAAGGGAAAAGGGATGATCCGAATCCGAACTCGATTACAGCGACGGCATCCTCACAACATCGGACAGCCCTATGCGCCTTAATCCGCTGAGCTGCCAAGGGAGGAGAGTGGCAGTGTTGAGGCACCGAGTACAGTAGTAGCTATAGTATATGGATGGGCTTGTTGAAATCGCATGTCATAAGATCCAAGGGGGCAGCCAACCAGGTTAGGCAATATTTAGGCGAGCACTTCTTTGATGCTTACTTCCTTTCTTTCGAGTACGGTGTACGGCTCAACTGCGCCCCGATGAAATGAGCAATTGACGTCATAATGCTTTGCGCTTACCCCAAGCCTGGGCAATTCTACCGATGCTGCCATGCAGTGGCGCCAGCGAGCATCCGCGATGGTCGCGTGGGCACCAAAAGAGGAGCACGCGACACGATGAAAGATGGACGCGATGATGGTGGAGGCACCAGCATCAAATGGAGACAGGCCAGAGAGAAAGACGATGGGTAGAAGCCTGTGCCTCAGCGGCTTGCGCGCCGCTGCGCAGGTCCAAGCCGCTAAAGTTGAAAAAGTGGGACTTTGATACGCAGTACGCACGCTTTGATCAAGACGTCTGACCTCCTTTGCCGGAACCCGGGCTTCAACGCGAGCTTCTGGGCAAGCACCATCATAGGTCCGGTAAGCATCGAGTGAAGCAAGCGGTCACTCCTCCACTCTCCACTTTTGGTCTTGAACCCTTTCCCCTCTTTTGTTTCCTGTCACTCCTTTACCTGTGTTGTCGACATACCCTCGAGCCCGACGATCAGGCTCCGCGCGTATCCGGAACAAAATACAGCCGACGACTGCAACTACTGTTGGACCACTTCGAGCAGCAGTTGGCAACTTCCTTGAGCAACACGGTTCCCAACTTGATCGCACGCGACACAACATGGCAAACTCCACCTTGCCAGACAACGGCCAATGGAACAGCAAACCAGCTTGGAAGCTGCCAGGATGGTGCGAACCAGTTGTACGTAACCTTAGCCACCCCAGAATTTCTCAAAGCACGGCATACTGACAGGGTTATGCGAGCAGATGGTCGCCAGTATCCTTTTCTTCGCCATGTTCATAACACGAAAACGAGACTTTAAGATCTTCGGCCGATCATCACAGCGGACCGGTTATCTTGACAACACACCGAACGAATCTACAGACCGCCTTCTCCAATCTGATAGCGACAGCGATTTCGACGAGATTAGCGCGACCAAGAACCCCAACGCACCCAAGGTTCGAAGCATCTTTTGCTGGAAGGTCACAACACCCAACACATCGCGTTTCCGACACCATGTACACAGTCGCATACTGCAGCGTTTTCCGTTCTTGATTGAGATGTTCTATTGGGTCATCAACTATGCATTCTACCGCATGACCGCGATCGCATCGGCTAAACTCTTTGCTGGGCGTGGAATCTGGGATGTAGCACAGGAACATGGAATTGCAGTACTGGAAGCGGAAGAATATGGCTTTTTGAGATTCCTGTTCCCTGTCCGGGAGGTGGATGTACAACAGTGGTTCATGCATGGCCATCAAGATGCGCTCACAGTGCTGAACAAGTGCTATGCGCTGATTCACATTCCTGGAACTGTTGGGTAAGTTTGCCGTTGCGGACTGGGTGAAATGTCCACTAACATGTCAAAGATTCATCTGCTGGTACTACTACGTCGCACCGTCCTTTGATACCTTTGCCATCGCCCGCCGAACCCTTACACTGACCAACTTCTGCGCTTTCATGACCTTCGTCGTATACCCATGCATGCCACCACGACTCCTACCTACCGAATACGGCTTCCTCGACACCGTCCGCCACGACGACGCACAAAGTGTATGGATGAGCGGCAAGTTCGTCAATCAACTCGCAGCCATGCCGTCGATGCACTTTGGCTACTCATTCTGCATTGGAATGACCATGATCTACCACTCCGGCCTCTTCCGCCGCACCTTGGAACAGGGCGAAGTACGCAAGAACGCATTTTGGAAGATCTTCTACCTGGTTCTTGGAATCGGATACCCCTCCTTCATCTTGACCGTCATCGTCGCTACAGCCAACCATTACTTCATGGACGCATTGGTAGCTACCTGCTTCGTCTTCTTCTCGTTCCTTTGCAACAAGATCTTTTACGTCTTCATCCCGCTTGAGGATCTTCTACTTTATGTTATCCGGGCGGACAAACCCGTTCCCACGACTGGCGATCGCTTCCACGAGAAGGGTGGTCGTCTTTAGTCTGATGACCCGACTACTTTCCGTTGGCCCTTGGCTCCGGTTAAGAATATTGTCCACTTCAATCTCGTCGCATTTATGGAGCATAGCATTATAGGCGGCGTTGGTTAGAGCACCTGCAAGTTTTACATGTCGTAATTGGATATCAAGCACGTAGCGATGTTATATGTACATATTTTAGATCCGAATTCAGATCATCTCTACTATACTACCAGTTATTGCTGACACCTTCCAGCGTATGCCGGCTGACGCCCGCCAAGACCTGTTCCTGCGTTAGCGTGAGTGAAAGCTCCCCCAGCTTTCGACGCCTCCGAGCTCTCCCGACGTACCCGCCGTCTCCAACCACCACTCAGCACTTTGTAAGTCAATACACGTGTGATCAGACGCGATTTGGACAGAGCGTTACCAAATCTTCACTATTTCTGCTTTTCATGATTCACTCTACTTACGGCAGCTGACATTGGCATTCTGGATAGCTACCTTTGAGCTTTATAGTTTCACTCGCTTTCGCACACTTCCCTTCGTTATCGCATACATAGAAACATAATCGTAATGGCAGATCTCGAGGAACATACCCCGATTGCGGGCACACCTATCGAAGACATGGGGATGGCGGGCGCGGATGACGCTGGAGCTGGCGCAGGCGAGGAGACAACACTCCTGCCTGAGATTGAGCCTGAAACGCCCAAGTTGGTCCTCTTTGCTGAGTAAGTCATGTTCGCATACATGTCTTGGAGCTGAGACGCCTAAGCTGGTTCTCTTCGCCGAGTAAGTCATGTTTGTATATATGGTGGAGGTTTAAGAAGAGGATGCCACTGTTCCGCAAAGCTGAGGCAGCCGTTGCGCGCATCGCCTCCAGCCATCTTGTAGTTTTCATTCTTGAAGGCTGGCGACACGCAAGATGGATGTGCAGCTAACATGCGACCAGTCTCGTGAAGAGTCCTATTGTCGAGGTCGTCGTTGGATCTGGAGACGACCGAACCACATACTCAGCACATGAAGCAGTCCTTGTGAAGTCACCAGAGTTCGCCAAACAGGTTGACAAGTTTGCGCCAGGAGGGGTACGCTACCATGTCTTTACCCAGCCACAAGTCGCTTACTGACAATCTTCAGCCTCGCCAGATCGTATACACAGATTGCGATATCGACGCTATGGGCTCAGTAGTCGAATACCTGTACACAGGCGAATACTTCCCTAAGAGGACGTCAGGCGCACGCGACGCGCCACTCGAGAAGGACCCGCGTCAGCCCTCGACCGATAACGAGGGCTTGGGTCTCCTCGTCCACGCACGCATCTACACGCTAGCCGACCGTCTCCAACTCCCGGAGTTGAAATCCCTCGCACACTCCAAGATCCATCGCACAGCCTCAACGGCAAAGGGCGAGCTCGCATACGCACGCTACGTATACAAGGAGTCCAACCCCGAGGACGCAACAATCCGCAAGCCGGTAGCTGCTTTCTGGGCTACACGCAGCTACAGCCTGCGCCACGACGCGGAGCCAGAGTTCAGAGCCATGTGTCTCGAATTCCCCCAATTTTCGTATGATGTTCTACAACTTGTCCTGGACCAGCAGGAGAAGAAGCGTGGTGGTGATGATGGGCCGAGTCGAAGTGGGCCGAGCGTGGTTCCCGGAAGCACCAGGAAGAGGGCGAGAGTGAGTCAGGTATAGATGCGAGATGTGATTTTGCATCGTGCTTGATTTGTTTTATCGTCCTGCAAAGGTTCTGTTGCTTTCCATGTTGAGGACTTTTCTGATATCCATCGCAGCTCAGTCCAAAGCTCAGTCATTTGGCAAATGTCCAGTTGCGTGGCGCGCCCGGCCTCGGCGAGACACTGCTTCCAGGCCTGTAGGATATATCTCCTGTTCACACCGGTTTCCTTTGTTATATCAAATCTCGTAGTCGTCAGTCACATCTATCGTCGAGCACCAAGCAGCAATCATTATATCCCGACATGTCGAAGGTCCTACTCAGCACGCAGGTTAAGGGTAGCGCTGGCTCAGACCATATATACTTCGGACGCAACACCATGTACAGTGGCCGCTATAGGCGTTCGCATAGCAGGAAAGCAAGGCGTATGCAAAATAGACAATAAGCTTATCGATTTCCCATGTTCGATCAGTAGCTTGCACAATCCGTTGATGGCGCCGTGCCATAGGCAGGGCATTGTTGAGACCAGTGGTTGTATCATGGAGGTCGTTCCGTCAGAGCGTAGTGGTACGTACCCCAGACTTCGTATATGCTAGACATCGAGATCCGAGCAAGCGCTCAAAGCACGGTAGGTTGTACATGCATATCATCACATCCCCCTACATGGCTTCTGAGACATGGCGAACAATCCATGCGAGTACTTGACTGAAATAGGTGTCAAGAGTTACGATTACTTGCATCAACCCTTGCTGAAGAAGACGCTACTGGATGCATGGTGACGTTGACGGGTAGCTTGCTGCAGGGACGGGTGGTCACGTAGCGCGAACACAGAGCTGCGCTACAGAGCTACACATTTGTTGGGACGACGGTGCTACATGCCCAGTGACCTTTGCAGAAGTGTAGAGTCATTGTTGCTTGGATAGGTAGCTGCCAAGTACGGGAGAAGGAGGGGTATGTCCCGCTGCGGGATGTGGAGGGGCATGGTACTTGGGCGTTGGACAACGGGCAAGAAAGAATAAAGGGAAAAAGACGCTGTGAACCTGAAGAGTTTACTAGTCTCTGGTCGTTGAGCCAGTTGAGCGGTAGGTGAAGCTAAAGACGCCGTCGTTCAGGTGTATCGATTGTCAAGCGGATCAAAGGGCTAAAGGTAGTTAATCACGCTAGAGTACAAATGCTCATGGATGTCTGATTCGGGACCTTGCAAAGCTCCCATAGCCCGGTAATTAATAGCACGGCGTCGATCTCATGAACTATTGGCGATGGCTGCGGACAATAACCCTCTGACATCTGTCACCTATCCTTTGGTGAGATCGCGGTCCGGCTATCGACGAGTCGAACACGCCACCCGAGAGTGAGAGGGTCGGTCAAGACTGCGTGAACACGTGGAGGTGCATTGCTGTGCACATGTTGATGATTTAGGAGTGGGTCGATTGGCTGCAAGTTGTGCGATCGTAGACTTTGTGATACAGCGACCCGGTCCCGCGATGCATGCGTAGTGGTGCTTGATCTACAGATGGTAGCCCAAATGCGACGGGCTTGCGTTAGCCGTGCATTGGCTGGAGGTGTTTTGTAGCCACGATTTGCGAGACATGATCACGATGGCAGAAGTGAGGTCTGAAAGTAATGGTGAGGCAGGGCACAAAAGGGAGGTAGCCGCGGTTCAAGCAGGCGATGATTATAGACCCGAGTCTGGCCAGGCACTTCATTTCTCCGAGATTCCTCTTCATCTCCGCAATTACTCTCACATGACAGTCCAGTAGGCAGCTGCAGCGTGCTTCGTCGCTTCTTCTAAGGCGTGGCGGACCCTGCAGAACTGCACAGGTGCCCCGCAGTATTGTGCCCAAACTCTACCAGCTCGTGCGCTCATTCGGAACCCACTCCGGAACTGCGCAAACCTATGCATGTCCTCATCCCGCTGCTTCTTACTTAACAGCCAATTAACCGCCAATCACGACTACCTGTATCCACCGTTGCTCTTTCTTCCTCTCGTCGCCTCCAGAGATGCAGCCTGTTTAGGGAAATAGCTGCGCGTCTTTTGCCTGCACTGTCACGGCCCGGTGGGCCAGCCATCTAGCCCTTTTCTGCACTCACGAGACCCGCTCTCGGGCCTCGCATCGTGAGTCGACGCTCTCCAGCGCTCCACGTACCCTCACATCGTGACCCGCCAACGCACTCGGCGGGCCTCACCGCGCCTCCTCAGGGTTCATCCAGCCACGACCCGCTACTCTTCCATGGCCACCGTTTATACAACACGGCAGCGAGCTTCGGAACGGCGCTTGCATTACAGTTCCGACCAGCTTGAATAAGTCAAGACGCAATCCTTCTAGCGTCACTTGACCTTACAAACTGAACGCCTCGCCCCGAGGCTATCGATTATCGTGTCTCCAAATAATTCCGTCTACCAGCACTACCGGCATTCAATATCTCCTGACGACCGCTTGCTATCGCCCTGCTACCCAACAACAACAACAACAACAACACTCCCATCGCCAACCGTCCAATACCAATACGAGCCTCCCTAGTCGTCACGCTAACTACGCTGATCCTCACATCCAAAATGTAAGCTAACGTTGAGTACTACGCTGGGCTTGGTGTTGATCAATTGCAGACATCCTACATACTACATACTACATCCCACATCAATCCTTCCAACTCTTCTTCGATATACTTTCCACCTGCAACGTATATCGGTAGACTTCGGCAACATATCCACAAGTCCAAATGATCCAAGTGTGTCACTCGGCCCCTCCATACAAGACCGTGCATCCGAGGCGACTCGTACTTGCACCGGTCATTCAAAACCAACAGACCATGGATCCTCCTTCAGCACCCAACCCGGCGGGCGATGCAGGTGTACTACCACATTTCAACAGCCTCAGCCTCCAGGACGCACCATCACCACCAGCCAACGACAACGATCTCGATGTTCTAACCATGTCACGGGAAACCGCCATGAAGTTGATCGCACGCTCCATAGTTGCCATAGCCAACGCAGCTGGCGACGTACCAGCAACACCGCCACTTTCGCGGCCTGGAACGCCTGGCGGAAGGGAAAACCATCTCATACGATCGCACCGACGGACAGCATCCCGGCCAGCGACGCCTATACCCGCCGAGAAGGAGAATCATCAACCTACCGAACTAGCTCCACCAGAAGCGGGTCACGATGAGCCCGTCACTATACACGACATTGGCGCCGGAGCGCAGCCCGAGTCCGTGCAACGAGCCAACATGGCTCGAAAGTTTTTTTCCAAGACGGTGCCTAAAGTCGGTGTCGAGGAGTACATGAACCGAATCCAGAGGTTTTGTCCACTATCTACTGCTGTTTGGCTGGCTGCTGGGTCGTACATGCTGCGATTATGCGTCATCGATAGGAGTGTTCCTCTCACATACCGCACTATGCACCGGCTCATCCTAGCGTGTGCTCTCGTTGCGATGAAGGCACTAGAAGACCACCGGTGGCCTCAAAAACGCTTTGCTGCAGTGGGAGGCGTTGATGAGGCATCACTTAGCCGACTGGAGCTATGCGTAGAGTTTTTGCTATCATTCGACGTACAGATCTTCACACCAGAAAAGCTAAAAGAGTTGACACTCCAACTGCAAAGGGCGGGGCAAGCAGCGACCATGACATGCAGATTACCGACTTCTTTCAACTTGAAGCTGGGCAGCCCAAAAATTCGGAACGCGCAAGCTGTTTGATATGAACGATAAAAGGGCAAGCATTTCCTTATGATTGGATTTTAGGATATCCCCATTTAGCATAACAATGGCGTTTGGGTAGCAAAACACGGCCATGACAGCCAGGGAAGCTTCTGTACTATAGACACCAAGAGGTGTGTACTGGAAGAAACTCAAATTTTTCGACGTGCAAACAAAAGCTGCAGCGAGCCCACTTTTGGCGGTTGATTGTGGAGACCCGATGTTGAGGATTCAGGTACCGGCCCCAAGTGGACAATAGGCGAGTTGATCAAATCATTTGCCGTCCGTTTACGCTGTTTGAACTGTCATAGCAACGATGTATACAGGAATACAGCATGTAGATTTATAGGTTATTGACTCGAAGGATGTATGTTTTCTTGTCATGGTGTTGAGGCGTCGCAATGGAGTGGTGATCCCTGCCAATCGCAGATTAGCGTGCGCGGCAACGACGATCGTCCCCTGGCGCGCCGCATGTTGCTTGATTGATTCCAGACTGCATCCTTCACTCGACACTAACAATCACCGCACAACACCCGTCTCCACTGTTGCCTCGACTCGACGCATCGCTTTATCGCATTGAAGATACGCGTAGATTGCGTGTATCGTGCCCCTCGTTCTGTTACCGGACAGCAGCCACGACCCACCCCTCCACGCTCGCTTTCTTAGGCCACACCGCTGCCCAAACGCCATTCGCTACTATCACAATCCCTCAGAATGACACGGATACTGCTTCCCTTGGCGCTCCTCGCCGCCCTCTCTCCATTCGTAAATGCTGGCGTCAAGTTCACATCACCGGCAGCAGGCGACAAACTTACGGCTGGCACGGCCGTCACGGTGAAATGGGAAGAGGGTGGCACAGGACCCAAGCTTACGGATCTGACGACTTATCAGCTGCAGCTGATTGTGGGAGGCAATCAAGGCTCTGAGCAAGTAGGTTGCCACAAAGCCACTGGTTGCGACGTGTTGGAAGATGCTAACATCGGGAAATAGTTCGTAGTGGGTACCATCACACCAAGCGGTGCATTTACAGCGGGCAACACAGCTTCGGGTAGGATCGAAGCGGGCATGTCTGAAGACCTGAAGACTGCCAATGCCTAGTATGTCTCATACTCAACCTAGCTCAGCAGGAAGCTAACCCGACTGTCACAGCTTCATAAAGATGATCGCAGTTGGAAAGACTGGCGGTCAGCTCGTCACCTATTCCGACCGCTTCCAGTTCTCCGGCTTCACGGGCAAGAACATCCTCAACCCCACTGTCAAGAAAGCCGCTACAGACATCACCACTACCGCCGGGCCAGCGGCCGAAGACACGACGACCGATGGGACAGACCCCGCTGCGGTAGATCCTGCTGCTGGCGATTACGGTATGGAATACACAATGCAGACGGGCCCTACGCGTTATGCGCCCATGCAGCCTGTACCGCCTACAAAGATCACCGCCAAGAACACAAAGCCGCTGTACCCTACAAGCAGCGTCAAGATTGCGAAGACGAAGCTGCCTATACCGAGCGTACAGACTACGCTTACGCAGAGTCAAACATTCTCCGTCAAGAGCATGGAGAACACGGTACGTTACTTGGTGGGCGCAGAAATGCGCCGTTTTCTTGCTATGTGGAGGCTGTACTGATTATTGTTTAGGTTGCTGCGGCTCCTCACGCTACCGACGATATGGCCAAGTACCTCAGACGCTGGCAGGACTAGTGTTCCTTTTTCGAAAAGCATAATCGATCGACCACCCATCTTGACGGACGAAAATGAGCGACTATCCTATACTGTCTTCGACTAATCATACGCGTTGGCGCATGGCGTGGCCGTCTATATATTATACGAAAGATGATGGGATAGGGATTTGAAAACATGGATTGCATCTGACAGCTCGTCGCTCGTATGAACAATTGGGAGTCTTGGGGTATTTTTGATCTATACGGAGCGTAAATTAGGTTCGCGCTGGATAATGATGGCATAGCGGACTGGCGTCTGGAGCTCGGGCGTGCTTACTGGCGTTGAACGACTTGTTGCGGGCTAAGAATCTAGACATGATCATGTAGCATTACGAAAAATAACAAACCGACGTCTGCATGCATAGGGCGAAGATTTGCGACGTAAATCTTAAGACAGTCGGAAAGAATAGACGCACCTTCCTTTTTAATATATCGCGACACGTAGACCGCGGCTACCCGTCAAACGCGTGCGAGCTCACCCCACCACCCCACCTTCCCGGCCTGTGGCTATCGTCGCGCCTAACAACAGCAAAGCTCCTCGAAGCTCCCCCATGCGTGCCTTACTACCTCAAATCAGCCGTTCACTACGACACACTTTACGTGCACGTCAACCATCACCACCAAGACACTCAGCTATCGCAACACCTTGCTTTTATACCTTATCTGCAGAGAGCGGCAGCTGGACCAACGTGCACAAGATGGCGATTGCCGAAAACTATGAAGATGTGCTAAAGGGCAAGTACCCGGCCAAGGCACATGCGAAGAAGGTCGCAGAATGGATCATTGAGAAGGGTGGCGATAAGAACGGGACTATTTATCTAGAGGCGCAGAAATTGAAATTGAACGAGGTATGTGTCCATGGTAATGCTCAAAGTCGTAGCGGAGACTGATATATTCGTCTAGGACAACGATGGCGAGGCGCCATTCCGGTAAGCAGTACAGCGGTTGAAGAGGAGCAAAGGGCTAATTTTTTGATTCCAGTCAGAGACGGTACTTTTTCTATCTCAGTGGATGCGAACTCCCAGACTCATACCTAGTCTATGAGATTGCCACTGAGAAACTCACACTCTTCATCCCTCCTGTAGAGCCTGATGAGGTCATTTGGTCCGGTCTGCCCATGAGCCCTGAAGAAGCCAAAGCAAAGTACGATATTGACGAATGTCTAACCACCAAGGACGTCAACTCCCATTTGGCCAGCCAATCTGAATCCGCTCAATCGACCATCTACGCCATTCCCGAGCAGGTCTCAGATCATGTTACTTTCATTTCGTACAAGGAGAAGGAGTTTAAGCAACTCAAGACCGCCATCGAATACTGCCGCGTCACCAAAACGGATTATGAAATCGCCCTCATCCGCAAAGCAAACGTCATCTCAACAGCAGCTCACGAAGCTGTTATGAAGGCTGCGTCGAAAGCGCAGAACGAGTGCGAGCTCGAAGCTGTGTTCCTGAAAGCATGTGTTGAACGCAACGCGAAGAACCAAGCCTACCACTCCATTGTTGCGGCTGGTGAACACGCCGCAACACTGCACTATGTCAACAACGCTGCACCAATCTCAGACCAGAATCTTCTGTTACTGGATGCTGGATGTGAGGTCGACTGCTACGCTTCAGATATTACACGCACATTCCCTGTAAAGGGTAAATTCACAACCGAATCCCTTGCTATCTACAAGATTGTTCTGGATATGCAACACCAGTGTATCAACGCGCTCAAGGCCGGAGTTGTGTGGGACCATGTCCACGAGCTGGCTCACAAAATCGCCATTAAGGGACTCCTGGATCTGGGTATCCTGAAGGGTGACGCAGAGGAGCTTTTTAACAAGAGGATTAGTGTGGCGTTCTTCCCTCATGGTCTAGGTCACTACCTTGGAATGGATACTCACGACTCTGGCGGCGATCCCAACTATGCGGACAAGGATATCATGTTCAGGTATCTGAGGAAGAGGGGAACCTTGCCTGAACACAGCGTCATTACCGTTGAGCCTGGTATCTACTTCTGCAAGTTCATTATCGAGCCGTATCTCAAGGATGAGGAGAAGAAGAAGTATATCGATGAGGGTGTGTTGGAGAAGTACTGGAGTGTGGGTGGTGTGAGAATTGAAGGTACGTTAAGATAATGAGGGAAGTCGAGGGTATGCTAACGTTTCACAGATAACGTTCTCGTTACTAAGGATGGGCATGAGAATCTGACGCCAACGGTCAAGGAAATTGATGATGTCACTCAGCTAATCATATCTGGGCAGTAGGAGGGGCATTTCTCCACTTAGTGGATGTTTACTTGAAGGATAAAATGATTCTACCTACTTGAGCCATCTCCATCTCAAGCTGTTATATTCCCACTTTTCCACCCCTGAATCTCATCCAGCGTCAAAACATACTCATCTCCGTAGATCCTCTTCATCAAGTCCAAGCTATTCCACTCTCCACCAGTAACATACTCGCCACTCCATACAGCAAAGAAGACCCAATCCGCCTGGTAAGCCTGCAACTGCTCCGGCTCCATCAAGCTACCAATCTCCGCCGCAGCAATCATCTTGGTATCATCCGTAAGCTTGATAAGGTCGTTGTAGGTAGCAGAAATCGGCCCGTGGTCACCCTTGGAGTACGTATCCGCAGATACGATATCCACAACATCAGATCCGGGGTACCAATCCGGATTCACCGAGTTCCAGACCCAGACCAGGTTGTTGAGAGAGTGGTGAACAGTCAGGCGTTCGTAGAGGATGTGGTAGAGCTTCTTGCATGCTTCGGGACCTTGGGCGCCCCACCAGAACCACTTGCCCTCTGCTTCGTGTAGCGGGCGCCAGAGGACGGGTACACCGGCGTCTTGCAGCTTCTTCAGCTGTACGGCGATGGTGTCGATGTCCTTGATGAGTGCCGTGTAGTTTGCGTTTGTGGTATCGGCTAGTGCGTCCGCGATGTTGAAGTCGGTAGCTTCGGTGTAGAAGCCGCGGTACCAGGGTTGGGCTTCAGTGTCGTAAAGACCGGCTGGTGCATTCCAATGCCAGACAACGGTGACCATGCCGCCTTTCTCTGCGAATGCAAGCGCGTTGGTGGTTTCGTTGGACGAGGCACCCTTGGCGATGCGGCCTTCGGTGTAATCCATCATGTCTACGCCGAGGATGGCGGGCGTCTTGCCCACGTTGGTTGTCACCCAGTCTAGCGAGGCCTGGTCGTATTGGCCTGATAGGATGTTCTTGCCGTAGATGCTACCCAGGTAGCTCATCAGGGCTTTTGCGTCGGCGTTTGCATTCGCGTTGATGGGGACGGCTGTGATGTTGTGTGGGCCTCGCTCTGCGGAGGGAGAAAGCGTTATGGCGTCGATGAAGTAGTAACCCCAGTTACTCTGGATTTCGATTGTGTTGTTGGCGTTTTCCTCAAACAGGACTTGTCCTGCTGATACGGTTGTCCATTCTTTAGTGGCTGGCAGGCTGACTTGCGACCCGGAACCGCCGTTGAGTACAATGTAGGTTTGCTTGTCGCCGTTGGGACCATTGTAAATGAGGCCGAGATCGTACAGGCCAGTGGTGTTGGAAGGAATGGCAAACGTAACTTTGTCCGTTGCGTCGGAGAAGCCTTCTACATATCCGGAGCCTGAATTATGTTAGGAGTCTATAGTGGAATTTGAGAGGGTACATGGGAGATGTTTACCTGTGTAACCGGCTACCGAGGTACCTACTGTTGTTCCAGACAGGACTGCGTCCTCGGCCTGGTAGGTCACAGTTTGGGAAGCTGCAAAGCCGAAGAGTGCCGCCAGGGCATATGTAGAAGTGAACATTGTATCACCGGTTTGGAGAGCTCGCCAGTAGATACCCAGATGACATGATGAGAAGCACACATTATATACTACGATACTCCACCCTCTCTACACTGAACGCTGATCCTCAATCTCAATCTCCAGCCATATCCACTCTAACCCGGAAAGTTCGGAGCAGCGTCTCCATGCGCGATATGTCAATTCATTTGTTTCGAAACATTAGCGTGTGTTGAAGCCATGAACGCATGACTTGTAACATCACTCCACAGACGTCTCCTAGAAAGTAGCTGTCAATCCCGCTCGCCGGGTTTAGACAGTTGATCTTCTGACTAGCTGTCCGTAGATTAAAGGGATCGTGTTTGCCCGGACTAAATGCCGCCAATGAGGGTATTCGCTGTCGGCTGATTAATTTATGTCCGCGAACGTCTCTTTTCGTGCGTATTCTCGTATTATACGCGCTACTCAACCTACGCCACTGAGACATAACTTGAAGCAACTGATGAAAGGTACTATGTCTTCAGAGTCACGACACGAAATGCGAGGATAGTGTGTTGCGATGAGTTGAGGAAGATGCAGTTGTGAGAGTATAGCAGGAGATCTGACACCCCAACTAAACCGCGCTGGGCGCTAGCGCGTAGCGACCGTTAGGAAGACTCACACTCGTTGCCTCAATCAGCATAGAAGATCACGACTCCAACGATCCATCTTTCCGATCAAAACCTACCAAACATCAAGCGCTCGTCAATTGCTCCCAGTATGACAGAGGCGGAACGTCCTAAGATTGGCGTGGGTGTCATCATCCATGATAACGCGGGCAACATCGTTATGGGTGAGCGTGCAGGCTCCCATGGCGCAGGGACCCTTCAATGCCCCGGAGGCCATCTCGAATACGGTGAATCGTTCGCTGAAACAGCTGCAAGGGAGGTACTGGAGGAAACGGGGCTTGAGGTTGGCCATATCAAATTTCTGACAGCTACGAATGATGTTTTTGGAGAGGGGAAGCACTACGTGACGATTTTCGTCACTTGTACTATTATTGGCGAGAACAGGACGCCTATGGTAAGTTCTTCGTTGTCCTGAGATCAACGACAGTAAAATTGCTGAAGAGCTGATGAACTCGGCAGCCGATGGAACCGCACAAATGTGCCGCGTGGAGTTGGGTTCCGTGGACACAGATGTGGACTTGGGCTGGAGAGCAGGCAAAGGCTGAGCAAGAAGGAAAAGAGGTGCAAAAGAATATGTTTCTGCCGCTGGTCAATCTATGGAGAGAATATCCTGAGATGAAGGACGCGCTCGTTGGGAGGTGATGATGGCTTGATCGATAGCGCGTTTCATCTGGTTTGCGTGCCCCGTGGTATGTCACTCGTCACTCTATTTGCAGATGCCTCACGAACCACAACAGGATCTCTGCTTGCCAAACATACATGAGTTGTTGTAACAGAATATGTCATAAGCCTGCCCCCAGGGCTGCATGTTCCATTCTGTAACATTCGGCTTCCGTCCTTTCACTAGATGTGTCAATTGTATCTTCAGATCCTCTCTATCAAGTCACAGCGAGACTACTCTGTAACAATTGACACGACGAAGAAATACCTCGAATTGGCGATTGCGGTTCGCGTCACCACGTCCTGCAGCTATTCACGATAGGCTCCGCCACACCATCGCACGTAGGAAAGAACTACCTCATCTAGGATTTCCGGGCCTCAAGCCATCTGGGGACAAGTGAAAGCTATATGTAGCATTATTGCGTAATATCGCCCCATTCAGAAACCTCCAGGAACAGGCTCCGGTACAACAAGCAGGGGTGTTAGGGGCGGCGTTTGCGACGTTCACCTCGTAAGGCTAAAATTTCCACGGAATCCTGAAAGAACGCAGATGATTCCAGGCGAAGAGCTCGTCATCGTTATCAATAACTGTTAGTGACTTTGCGGCGCTCGTTCTACTGCTTTTCTTACGCTGTGCCACTCTCACTCGACTAAGTTTTTATGCTATCCCTTCTCGATTCTCTGTTCTTCAGTTATTACGCTCTTTCTATACCTTCAGATACTGTCGCTCGACGGCATTCTCCAGCAATCGCATTGAGCGGATAATTTCTCGACTATAGTACTGTAGCGCGCCGAAGTAGGTTTTGAAGATTGAGATATCGTTCAATCCACACTAGACCGCGCCTGAACACTGCTCGAGGCCTACAGCAGCGCGCAGGTATCGCCTCAACGCTATTTAGACACTCTGTCAGCTCTAATACCATAATTCCTTTGTGACTAGAGGCCCCCCATCCGCCGTACGGTAGCTATGTTGCCAACTTCCATTCTCACTGCCAGCAGCTTCATCGCTCTTGGCCATGCGGTTCCTCTTCACTTCCATGTCGCAACATCTACCACCCTAGCGCCGCGAGCTGCTTACGTCACATTTGGCGGGGATGGATCGATGAGCGCAGGATGGCCAAAGCAGACCGAGTGGATGTCGTTCGACGATGCCTGGTATGTTTTCATCAAGGAGATGGCGTATCGTATACTGATCTTAGTAGGGAGGCCAATCAGGACTTCATCAAGGTTTCATGCAAACATGACGGCTGGGGCGACAACAACAGCGACGCTGGGACGCAGGCTATCAGGGATAGCATCAAGACAGAGTCCGAGACTTCCGGCGTCCCGACAGAGCTCATCCTCGCCGTGATGATGCAAGAGTCTAAGGGCTGCGTTCGTGCTCCAACCTCTCAATCCGACGCACACAACCCAGGTCTTATGCAGGGCGCAGGTACTGCGTCCTGCCATTCTCTCGCCCAAGGTCCTGTATCGCCATGCCCCACTAGCAAGATCCGCGACATGATTCACGAAGGCACTGCAGGACAAGGGTTGAGAACGAGTCTGAAGGAGTCGCTCGACGCCTTCAGTACCACCACGGACGACAGCAAGTACTACAAAGCGGCTCGTCGCTACAACTCTGGCTCTCAAGTCACAAATCCAAACCTGGGTCACAGCGCTACAGCATGCTACGCTTCTGACATTGCGAAACCGTCTAATCAAGCCTTTCGGGGAGAGCAGTTGCGACAACAATGCTATCGCTGGACTTACCAAGACCGAGGGCCGCGAGTCCTACGAGAACGACGACGACCAGAAAATCGACCTCGATCAACATCAGACCGACAACAAACGACCAGCTCCAAAAGAACACGGCGATAATCAAGGTAGCGATAGTGGTATCTGGGACACCAGCATCACCGGTGCTGCCGATGACTGTACCAAACACTATGTCCCTAAGAAGGGCAGTAACTGTGAGTCTGTGCCGATCGCTTTCACCAAGTTGCGTCAACTCAACTCGAAGTTGAAGGATGATTGCTCTAACCTCTGGGCTGGATATCAATATTGCATTGTTACCTGAACGTAGACTATAGTCGAGCAGAGAGGGCTGGACCATTGATGATATCGCATTCGTTTTCGGGCGTCTGGTGCTTTGCTCACATTCTCACGACTATTTGCCTTGTTCGTGTAAGATATCTTCGTAGTACTGTCAAATAAGTCAGAATGTGGAGATTCTTAGGTGAACCATGATCTACCTGGCCACATGCGTACCCAATACGATACCATCATCGTTTATGATTTGCTGCTTCTTGTGACTAGACTTGGTTTGTATGTAGACTCTCGCAACGGACAGCGCAACTACCCCCACAAATTTGACACATACATTGAGGCAAATGTGGACGGTACGTTTGAATGAGATGAAGCTCTGCAGCAATGTCAGCTATAACAACATGCACTACGACTTCAAGAAAGAACTTTCACGCAAACATTGACAAGGCAAAGACAAAAGAGCTCGATGAGAGAACGTCTAAGAAAATGAATTAACTGAGAGGGTATATTCATGAATCATGTCTCGTTGTCATTATACAGGACACTGATCCCAGTCAATGTCATAAAAGGTTCGCCACATGAAGCCATCGCTCAGGGCACTCTTGATCATCCCCGCAGAAAAATTACCACACTAAGTTCCATATGCTTGACTACTCCATCTTCATCAAGCCGCAACGACTACTACTCAGAGTTTACCGCCGGATATTCAGCTGCTTTCCTGGACCTTCTTGACGATGGCGACAAGCTTGTCGAAGAGGGGCTGTCCCTTCTCGATGCCGTTGACCTTGGTGACGACGTCCTCAGCGGAGTTTTCCTTGAGGATCTTGGCCAGCTCCGCAGACTCTTCGTCGCCCTCGACGTTCTGGAAGCGGTAGGCCTGCTCGACTGCGCCGAGGAGAGCGTCGACCTTCTCACCTTTCTCAGCCAGCTGAGCGGCGGGGCCGATGAAGCGTTCCTTGCGAGAGAGTTTCCGGAGAGGAGCGCGGCCGACACGCTCGACATTGTCCTTGAGGACGGGGTTGGAGATACGCTTGATGATCTCCTCGACGTATTCATCTTGCTCCTCTGTCTTGACGCCGTGCTTGGTGACAATCAGGTGGGCAGTCTCCTTGACAGCGTCACGGACGATATCGTGGAGCTTCTTGTTTTGGAGAACCTCGTGGATGAATTCAACCTTGTTCTGGTGTCCGTAGTAGGCGGCAGTGGCGTGGGAGGTGTTGACGGTGAAGAGCTTGCGCTCGATGTAAGGCTCGAGGTCGTCGACGTAGTGAATGCCCTTGACATCCGGCTTCTTGCCGCCGTTCTCGAATGGCTTCTGCTCAACACACCACTCGTGGAATTTCTCGATGACAACGTCCAGGCCAGCGTTGGGAGGCTGCTGTGGGACAATGCGGTCGATAGCTGAGTTGGCAAAGCGAGCCTTGCTGTCGATGTTCTTCTTGGTCTCTTCACTCAGCTTGCCCTCAATGAAGCCTTTCCATGTAGTTGTAGCGTTGATGGCGTTCTCACAGGCGATGACGGCGATGGGATAGTCGAGCTTGCGGGCCTCAATGGCCTTGGCAACGGGCTCAGCGACAAACTTGAGAATGTTGGGGCCGACAGCGCAGGTGACGACGTCGGCGGTGGCAATCTCCTCGACGACCTTGTCCATCTCGTGCTTGGAATTGATAGCGCGGTAGTGGTCGATGGTGAACTTGCGCTCGCCGTCATCACCAATCTCGGTGACAGTGTATGTGGAGGTCTTCTGGAGGGACTCGATGATGCTGTCCATGACATCGACGAATACGACCTCGTAACCAGAGTTGTGAAGGAACTCGGCGACGAAGCCACGGCCGATGTTACCACCGCCGAAGTGTACTGCCTTCTTCTCGTAGGGCATGATGTGGGTTTGGTAGGGGATATGTGGGAGGTTCGGGTATGTTTAACTAGAGGTTGAGTGTTACTTGGGTGGTTTGGGGTTGAAGTGAGGTGTAAGAAGTTAGAGGGTTGGGTGAGGAAGAGGGGTTTTTGTTGTGTTGATGGTGGAACAAGAAGGCGCGTTTGGCGGGGTACATGTAGGTAGCAGGTGCTCGTGGGATTTGCGGGTAACGTATGCAATTGGACAGGACTTACTTGGCCAGAAGGTTCTCTATGTGGGCGGTGTGCAGGTGAGTCTCGAGGTGCAGTAGGCCGTGGGTGAGAGAGGGGGAACAAGTGGTGTTTATGTTGAGGGCGCCCAGCGCGAGTGAAATGGCTGCAAGAGTCCCCGCAAGGTGCGGTGACGTTGATGTGGACACTCCGATTGGCCGCTAGGATCCAATCGAGGCAGGCACGAACCGCGACACCGTGCAAAAGCAATCCCAATGGCGTGGGTATGTGATTGACGTGTCGCTTGAAGGCTGATATAGTAATCCAGCAACATGAAGTTGAAAACAATATATTAATACCTCAGTGGTGGTGATGCCCAACGTCTTACCTGACCGAGTCTCGCGATGCGGAGCCTTCTCGGCCGTGGAAGCGGCTCCAGATCTTGCAACTCCCAACATTATGCTCCGCCTCGATCGCGCTTTCTGTGGTGTGGATGGGACTATAAATGTCGTACGTCATAGCGTGGACAGTGGCCTTGTGGAGACGTCGCTTCGTTCTCCCGCCTTTAGTTGCGCCAAGCCCGACCATCCTGCGTTGTCCATCAGGGCAGCCCCGCCGTGTAACGAGAATCGTGAAAAACTGTGCCGCAAAAGATCGCGATCGCGTCCAAGTGGGTATCTCGTGATTATAAAGATTTTATTAAGTTCCGATAGTTCGAGCAAGGGTATAGTTTCCGCAGCCCCAGTTTATGCGTGGATAGCTTGTTGGACGTGCGGGTACACGGCTATCATGCGGTGGTAGAGATCTGGGTGCTCGCGCATAAGTACCTCCGGATCCCACGCCATCGCAACGAAGATTGTATCGATACCGCTGCTCAAGGGCGTGGTGAAGATGTTGCCTGAAACGGTTTAGTACGAGCTTCGCAAACGTCTTCAGGCGACTTACAAATTTGAAGACCAATCAGGAAGGAGAACGCTACTACAACTGGGGTGTAGGCGCCATCCGAGTTGTAGGCAGGCGAAGTGAAAATAAGGTAGAGGTAGGCCAGAAGCGCGCAAGCATAGGCGATGAAAGTGGCTCCCATGGAAAGCACCGGGCCGATCAGACATTCATTGACGAGCGCATCAATACCACGATCCTTGATCATCCTACCAGAGTTAGCTTTAATGTCTCCAGATTCACGAGAACTTTCTGCACTTACTTCCAGGTATCCTTCGCAGCAGCGACATAGCTCTTTCCGTAGAGCGCAATATAGCTGAACGCGTATCTGTTCAAGAATTCGACGGCCCAGTTCAAGATGCCAATTAGGCAACCCAAGATGCAGAAGAGGATTGCGCCGACCATATTGCCGTCACTGGCCGCATTGCGCTGAGCAGCCGAGCAGATCTGGCGCAGGAATTGGATAATGGCCACAAGCAAGCTTCCGAGACTGATGCTGCCGAAGCTGTAGGTAACCGATCGCTTGAAAGCTCCACGAGTTGCACCCTTCGGCATAGAGTTGGGGTTGAAGTACCAAGAGCCGTATACCCCAGAGATGGTTGTGTGGATAGTGTTCTTGAGCCACCTGTACCTGTTAGTGGATGAATACGCCCGATTATAACTGCTGGTACTTACTCCGAGATCCAGTACATGGCGAAGGTAACGAAAACGAGCAAGCCAATGACTTTGCCATTTCCACAATCACCGACACCGTTTCTGCAATTCGAATTCGCGCCATTGGGTGTATACTGGACATAGATCGACACCAAAGTGACAGAGTACCATGCGCCCAAAGCAGCGGCAAGCAATCCTCCTACCAAAGATACGATGTAGGTGTGTCCGTACTTCTTTGACACGTCGATGGCAGTCTGCAGCATAAGCACGCTGAATGGAATCCTGGGAATCCAGCTGATGAAGCAGAAGACGTAGAAAACGCTGAAAAGCAGGAAAACTATGCCTCCTGACCAGTACCTCCTTGACAGCATGTAGATTGCCGTAACAAAACCGAAGACGATGTTTAGTATGCCAGTAATCCAGATGAATTGCTTGGTGAACTTGCGCGCAGCCCACATGTATGCATAGCTGAAAACGGTGGCTAAGCCAAGGACGAATGCGAAGAGGATGATGGTGTTTGAATTGAGGGCGAAGTTGTTCGTGTCGCCGCCGTAGATGCCTCCGCTATTGGTTCGCGCTGCATGCTGCGTCAGTTTTGCAATTTATTGGTTTCTTGTCCTAGGAAGTTGAGTACTTACAATAGCCCCGAATCGAAATCGCGCTGACTGCGACATAGCCGAGAAACACTGCAATAAAGAGCAGTCCCGCCCACAAGTCGTTGTACTTGGGTTTGTCGAGCTTGAAAGTCTGTTCAAAGCTTTGTTTGTTGTCGCCGTAGCCATTCTGTTGATAACCTTCCGGCTGCTGCATCGGCGGTGGCCCTTGAGGCGGCGCATAGTTCTGGCCGTACTGAGGTGGTTGTTGTCCATACGGCTGACCCTTGTATGCGTCTTGCGGTTGCTGGGGCGGCGCACCCCCAGTGTAGTAATCGGCGGCTTCACCTCGTTGCGCCATTGTGACGATAATTGATGACTTCGTTGATAAACAAAGGATACGAAGATGACGGGAAAGGGGAAGACGAAGCTGTAAACAGAAGTTTGGGCAGACTAGGGCCGATGATGTATCGCGGCAGGTGCTAGTGAATTCCCTTTTGCGACGCAATGGAACCATTGGTGTGGCTGAAGATCAACAATGCGGCTAGTGTGCATCACATGAGCGTCATGTCAAATAGCACAGATACCTGAGCGCTCAATGTCGTGGCTGCGATCCATTGAAAGACGCCATCTACGGCCTAGATCGCGCGGCTGGGAAGCTTGTTTGATGGCACTGCGGGATGCTTGCCGACGATCTTGTTTTCAGCGCAACAACTTGTGCATTGCTCTGCGCATTGGTCCATCAGCTCGCAGCCTTCCAACGAGAGGAGTATGGCGCCGATTCATTATTACTTCCAAAGCCAACAATAACCAATTATCGTCGTCTTCGCATATGTTCTGTGACAACTGTACGCGTGGCTGAAATTCTTGCGAGCCGATCGACCGTCTTGGGTTTCGCGCACTGTTGCAAAATCATTCCGCAGCCTGACTGAAGATGCCGAATTTCCGGTGTTGTTTTGTTCCTTTCATCAGGGCGATGCAAGAACAATGCTCCATACCGAGCACGGTTGACGGTATCGCACAATTAATCGGCCATCATACCAGTATTGCAGTTACGGAGATGACCACGATGGATGTGGGTAATGGCTGACATGCAGATATCCATAAGTACGATTTTCGCGTCTGGCATGCTCTCTGTCGTCACCAAGGGATGAAGGAATTTGTGTCGCATCTAACGCCTGCAAAGAAGCTTATCTTTATAGGTTGTACTACATGCTCTTAGGTAGAGGTATGCATGATCTTATGTCTTATTACCCTGTTAACATAAATCGCTGCAGATACCTCTAGGGTGGGTGCTTGATGCGACGCGCATTCTTTCACCCTCTGGTGTCACTGCTAGCTTTAGTTTTTTCACCGTCAATCATTTTCTTCCTCTCTCCATTTTCCCTCTCTTTCCGATGCGCCCAAACGTAGAAGAAGGGATACACTGTCTCTGGCAAAAGCGTAACAATCATTCCGCCAATACTCCACCAGTTTCCAACGTAAGACCAGTTTTCTGGTATATTGACGTATCTCCAGATAAACACCAAGAACGCTGTGATGCATCCAAGATATCTTGTAATCCTAAATTCGTTAGTGCCTAAGTTTTGCCATCCAAGATTCCTCTCCATCCAGACTAGAAAGAAGACAGTCCGTCACCAGAACAAATATTGACATACCAGATCTCTAAACTCTGGCCCTTGGTATCCTGTCGCTGAACCAGATACAAGATTTGGCCCCACCCAATCGGCAACTCCAGATACAGCCCTGTAAAGAACGCCGTCTTCTGTTCCCTCTCATCCGGCCACACCTTCCCAACCCACCACAAGCATGCCGCCCAAGCCGGTACCTGCCACAGCAGCTTCACCACCGTTCTCCTTCTTTCCTCGGGCTTGTACGCATACTTGAGCGCCACGGTAACAAATGTGATATCGAACAAGAGCCACACAAAGAAGCAGGCTCGTTGGAAAGTCGTGGTGGTACAAACATACGCGTAGTAAATCTCATATGCCATGGTTGCAGAAAGAAACTGCACAGTTCCGGCTAGGTATCGGTCTGAATAGGTCCGGATGGTGTAAAACATGTAGCAGAGTGTGTAGAGGATGCCACAAGCTATGATTAGGAAGTCGGTTATGAAGAAGTAGGATTCTGGTGGGTTCATGGCAACGTCAACGGATTGAGGGATTAGGTGGTAGGACGACCATTCTCGGGATATCTCGAAAGGCATGTTGGACTAGGCTGGCGTTCTAATAACGTTGATGGTGGTAAGACTGGGTATGTTGTGGGATTGGGGTAGTCGTCGGAAAGAAGGATGAATGGTAGCAACCCCTCAAAAAGATGATAGAGGGACGAAAGAACAATCACGATGCGAAGAGGTGGATTTTCTCTTCCATTAAATCCGGAAAATACTGGGTCGTGGGTACATCCTAACGATGAAGTCAACGCTGACGTGCCAAGCTTCCGTCATGTTCCGAGTAAGGCGAACTTTGCAGACGGTGGATCCGGAGGCCTCCAGTGCACCCTCCACGTATGCCGACTCCGCCTCCGCCGCGTAGTAAGTCCCCATGGGCCTTAACTTTTCGCCCGATATTCCAACTCTTGCCTACGCAATGCTCTTGTCATGTAAACCGTTTCGTAGCTAATCTTACGTACCCGTGCACACTCATAAATACCGCGATCGCACGTGTCTCCTCTAGTAATCCTCGCATGTCGCTCCGAATAAGACATGGTGAATGCTTAACTGAGAAGTGGATTCACGTCCGACGATGCTGTGCGCAGCAATTGAAGACATAGAATTCGCGTAGGCTGTCTTCCATTCGCTAAACGCTGTCCGGTCTAGCGTTGATGATGCTCCTCTTACGGATGCTGAAGTAATTGACTAGAATCGCGTACGGCTGATTTTATAGGTCTTCGTGTATTACCACCCCGAATTATCAGGATCTATTGTAATAACATCTAATCCTCTCTTCGTCCATTCTTCAGGAGAAAGGAAGCGAATTGTCGGACCATGTTCAATGTACTCCCGTATAGTTGTTCGACTCCATGCCTCGGTCGCATCGTCTCGAAGACAGATTGAGACCACTTTGAGATCTAGCTCTATATCTCGGTGTACCCATCCGTCTTTGAACTTATCCACATTACCATCCTCATCTAAACCCTTCCATTCGGCTGCCCCGACAATACCTAGAGTCTCAAGTGTTTCACAACTCCGGGCCAATTCCTTCAAGGCAAACACCACGGGTTCGTGAAGCTTGGGTGGTGCGTATTTGTGGAAAGAACTTTGGTGCCCGACATCAATGTGCAAAGACACCAGCAGTGGGCAGTATCTAGCAAGAAATCTGATCGATTCGGCTCGCTTAATGATTGGTCGCTTCAGCTGTTTCTTGGAGATGTGAGGAGGATGAGGCTTCTCTCTTGCGTAACGAGCACGAAATAACTCGACGAGGCGTACGCGTCGAATAAATTCGAACGATGAAGACGCCATGCACATGCGCTCCCAGATACCCCTACTCATAGTCAGTTTCCTTCATCATGTCAGAGACAGCGTCCACTTACGGTGTGAACTCATGGCCTGGCTTTAGCGCCTCCCAATTGTTGTAGTAAATCTTCTTGTTACTCAAGTCGAAGTCAAACTCCGTCGTGTGTCGGCGGAACAAGACATCGAGTACCTCGGCGCGGATGTTGCGATTGAGGCAAAGTATATTGATCTCCAGTGTTGAGAATTCGTAGGGCATGGGATAACGGTAACTTATCCATTTCAAGAGAACGTGTGGGTTTGGTGAACGTTGTTTGTCATATCCCATACATTGAACAAAAGACTCAACGCCGAGGAAGACATAAATCTCCAGGCGAATCTCTAGAGGTAAACGCTCGAGTACTGATAATCGAAAGGGCTTGGACGGTGTTGCATCCTCAAGCATGAGCTGGTTTGACTGTCTGAGATCGCGACGAAACGGCAAGGGTGTGTCGTATCGAACATCATCTACAAGGAATGGCCGGTGCATGGGTATTGGAAGAAGGTACTCGGAGTCCATCATGCAAGCCAGGTGAAAGAGAACGTGATAATTAGTCGAGACTGTCGTAGATTTCATGCCTAACAGTAGGAGGTGGGTGCTTTTATAGAGTGAGGAGGATTAGTCGAGATCATGTCAACCTTGGTTCATCCGTAGATGTGTGCACATACCACCAGTCAAACAGTGGTCCAAGTACTGTTCAGCGAGAGTGATAAGGAGGAGCTCATGTGCTCTAAGCTACACTATGTTTATGAAATCGTACCGTGAAGGGATCTGCTGTATATGATGTTAACACACTCGTAAAGTAAGAGTTAGTGTATGCCCCAGCGTCCGTTTTTAGCTTTGTTGCATGAAGGTAAGAGACAGTGTGTACTTCCGGGGTACATTTTCGCTTCGCGAACAATGGAGCATGCGACAGTGTATAACTGCAAGGTACAATTTAGGAAACACAAGCTTCTCTGTAATTGCATGGCCGATTACTACATTTGACATGCAGTGAGGCGACTGCGATCATTAGGCATTTGACGGTCCGAGATACTGCAAAGTCACAGTAGAGAACACCTTTGGAAATGATAGCATCCGAAGTTCGCAGTGGCGGTTGCACTCTGGCCAAGCTCGTAGCCGTTTCTGCTCAACGAAGCCTGGCACAGCATCAGCACAAAAGGCAAGCGCTATGAGATTGGACAGTGGAAGCATCGCGCGTGAATTTTGAGCTAAAGCAGTAACAATACTAGCGAATATGGGTATATGATACGCGAAAAAACAATTGATATACCGCCTATGCGCTATCCCATGCAATACACAGTCACCATAGGGTACTCTTCATCGAGTTACGTCGTATAATCATTAAACAGCACCTGGCGGAGACGAAAGCTTCAGAACCACCCCCTCCCCCTAATATCAGCCTCTCTTTGGCCTGGGGCTCTTGGAAGGCTTCGGACTCCTAGGCACTAGACCCTCACCCTGCTCCTTCATCCTATCCATCGCGTGCTGAACTTGGTTCTGTCTCTTCGAAACATGCTCGTAGCGCTTCTCAACTTCCGCCTCGAAGTCCTGCGCCAGTTTACGCTTCTTTTGCCTTGCCTGCTTTGTGCGTTGGATGATATTCTGGAATTGATCGAGGAACCAGTCGCCAGCATCCTCCCACTCGGTGGTAGGTAGGGAGCGGAAGAACTCGGATTGTTGACCCACATCCAGGTTCTTCTGTACCAACGGCAGACGCTCAACTAAAGGTTTCTGAAGGTCTTCTTCGGCAATCACGGGCGGTGGCGCACGAGGATCGGCATCGAAGGGTTCGCTCTTGAGTTCTTCGTACTTCATCTTTAACAGCGTCTTCTGATCGTAGTCTTCATGTGGAACAGCCTCAGGCCCTTCGAACGGGGTTTGCTCGATTGGTTGCTCCTGTACGACGGGCTCTCGAATGACAGGGGCTGGGGACGGGCGCTTGAGAGGCGCAGGCGGTCCGATCGGGATGGTGTTCTTATTGGACGGAAGCTGCGTTCGAGGACCTGAGGCCTGTTGGATAGGGTTTTGCTGAGATCTGCTGGGCTGGGCATAAGTACTAGGGTGGGGGTTCGAGTGCACCGGTATAATAGCAGTGGGATGAGGTTTGTTCCGATTATGAGTTTGGTGCTGGCGGGCGGGCGGGGCGGCATGTTGCTGGACGTTTTGGCCTCCATGGTGCAAAATGGGCGCGGTAGCGCGCAACTGCTCGCGAATCTGTGCACCGTGTTGGTACAACTGCGACGGCTTCTGCATGGTTTGGCTGGGAAGCGAGATATTCTGACTTTGCTGTTGTTGCGGGGGCTGCGAGGCCGCCATACGTGCAGCTTGGTTGTTGATATTTTGGCGTTGGGGCGACGGAGACATGGGTCTACCATCGTCATGAAAGTTGGAAGGTGCTTCCTGTCCACCTCCCCACTCGGAGATTTCACCATTCGTGGTGCTAGGATATGAGTCGCCTTCGACGGTTTGGAATCCACTGCGCGCCGCATCTTGCAGGAAAGAGAGTTGCACATCATAGGAACAGGTTGCAAGCCCATTTGCACGAAGAAGCTCTTCATCGTAGTGCGTCAGTTTGTAGTTGTCAGTCCAATATGGATGTTCTGGCTCTTCTTCTTCTTCGTATTCGTATTCGTCTTCTTCGTCGCCATCTTCCACTTCTGAGCTCTCATCAAAACCCACAACATGACCTCGCTGCTGGTGATGTGGCTCTTTCTGTTGGCTGTCTTCGACCTGCACAACGGATTGATTTACGGTTGTGTCGATGCTCTCTGCGTCAGTGTCGTAGGGATCACGCTTCTGACTTGGACCCGGACCTGACTGCCGATGTTGGAGAGGTTGCTGTAAGACGGCTGAGCTATTCTGCGCGTTAGTGAATCTGCGCGCCGGGACACCGGATGGTGCTTGAGATTGCTGAACAGGATGTCCGTCCTTCATTGCTATCCTCGCGCTTGCAGCATTGGCTTGCCGGTCGGGCTTGCCTTGAGACAGGCCATTGGAAGGACTGCCTGTTCTACCACGGTTGACGAAGTTTTGCATAATGGCAAACAATCACAGCAGTACAAGGGTATTGCATTCACCGCTTCGTATGCTGATGGTTAGTTGAAGTAGAGGTTTCGCGTTGCAAGCCGAGAAAGTGATTGTTGAAGCTTGAATGGGAAAGCGCGTCTTGTTGACGCGCTAACGCGATTCAGACAAGCCTCGGTCTGCCAAAACGAGCCTAGCATCGCGATGACGATATCTTATCTCCGGGTGCTGGTGTTGCTCCCTTCGCCCATGCCTGGGGGCTTTCGTTCAAGAGATATTGTAGTTATCCGTTTCAAAACGGTTTCAGTACAATACTAACTGTCAGAATGGTTGAATGCTATCTTTACAGACTCCCAAACGAGGTTGCTATCCCGCAATACTAGTATCGCATCCGACTTGCTAATCATTACAGTTGCTCCTACATCTTCTCACACCCATACCTACACCGGAACTTCTAAAGTTGACCACGATATCGCACCGTATATACACGCTCATTTTACGTATTTTACACAACCGGCTCACTGCAGCTGCCGAGCTGCATTCACACTCGATGCTGCTCGAATGTTTCCACCCCTCCGCGAAGCTCACCGAGCCACCATATTTTTGTACATACAAATGCACGGATGGCTTGACACAGTACGATGAGACCAACTCTAGTACGAAAGAGGTTGGTAGACTAGGCGAGATGTACAATATGTACTCGCGCTTCCGGCCACATAGACGCGATCTAGAAGCAGGTGGGAGGAGAGTGAAGCGCAGACCTGGAGATGTACCTGGCAGTCGCACATTCCCGGGGGCAGTGCAGGAGAAGTACGAAGGCGAAACGGTCAAGCAGACGCTCAGCTTAGAGGCGCATGAACTGTTCACACAGCTGGTTGCGCAAACAAATCTTGTCAAGATTGGTTCTCACAACCTCTTTACCAACTTTGTTGATGTCGAGGAAGGTGTACTCCGAGTGTGGAGAGAATGGCTACGCGACATTGCCGCGAGAGGCTCGACAGCTAACACAGAAGTGCCAAACGAGATCGTCGAGGAAGTAGGTAAGGGGAAAGAGATCGTGAGCGAGGTAGAAGAGAAGAAGGCTGATTTGGAGGATCCACGCATTCTTTGGGTCAGTCCGAGGAAGGACAGTGGTATACGTTTCAATGTGAGAGAGAGGAAACTTCGGAGAGACGCACCAATCCTGATCAGCACGGATGAGGATATGCCCGTTACTTACGACATCGAGCTTGACGGTAAGTCGTCGCATCTCCTCTTTGTTAGATCGACCGCTAATACAGGATAGAGCTGCTCATACGAACGTCGCATCTCCTCTTGATGCTGGAAAAGTCCATGCTGCAGGAGGACAATTCATCTGGCAAAGCAGTCGTCTTCGGATCTTTCGGGTAGATTCAGCAATTACAACAGATGCGCAGCAATATCACAAATGAACGTGGTTCAGCAAAAATGTGTCGGTCCAGATCCTCGGTTCTTTGAGTGGAGTCACCCCTCTTAACCGCAATCGACCAAGCACAACGCAGCAACGTATCGAGTCCCACACAACAGCAAAAATATCATTCGATGTCCTTCAGAGACAAAAAGAATGTTATCAGGTGTGACCTCGAGGCGATTTGAACGCCTAACCTTCAGGAAGCTCCAGGTGGTACTGGAATCTGACGCGCTACCATTGCGCCACGAAGCCTGATTGGATGAAAGAACTTGATAATCAAAACAATTATATGCCCAGTAGAAATCTATCATAAGCTGATGAAGGACGCATCTACGATGATCGCAACATCTGTTTTTCGAGTTCAGTCACTAACACAATTGGATCCACTATCAAAAAGGCCACGTCTCCAATTCGGTAAGTCTACATGCGCTAACCTACGACGTCCCTAGCATGATGCAACGTCTTCTTACCCCACCTATTCTCCAGTCCCTTTGCATCTCCAAAAATCTAGACCCTGGTACTCCAAGTCCGCGCACCACATCACAACCCAACTCTACAACCACCCCACCAGCAAAAACCTTATCCCGCCATGCCACACGCAGATCGAAAAAAAAATCGTAGCTGCTTCTCCGCTCCCAGAATCGAACTAGGGACCTTTCGATAACAATTGCTATTACAGTCGAACGTGATACTGGGATATGTTAGGATGGTGTTGATATGAGAGTGTTTAGGGGAATTTGAACGTACAACCAACTACACCAAGCGGAGTATTCCAGACGAGCTGGGCTTGTGTCGAGATGGCAAATTTTAGGCAGGGTAGCTTTATAAAGATATGCTCGAAGTGTACAGAATGGGGGGCCAGAGTGAGAATGTGACAGGAAATGGTTGGCTACGTGTTGAGAAATACGCGGTAGAAGTGGGGATGGCTGAATCGAAAATAGGATAGGTTTGCGGGGTTGGCGGTGGTCTGGCGATAGGGTTCTGGCAAACGAGAGGCGGAATCGAAGGCTTGGATACGAGGAACTCAACCTCACAAGGTTTTGATATATCCCAAGACCTTCGATAATTCTATGTAGAGTAAGTGCATACTGCTTCAAGGATATGCAGAAACGTGACGCAGGAGTTGTAGTCCGATCCATCGCCGAACCATCTCCTCTCTGTTCTCCAAACTTTCCTTCTCAGAATTAGACTCGAAATGCGCTGTTCCTGTATTAGCAAAACCAAGGTCAGCATTGAGCAATATAACATAATGCAAGACAACACTTCTAGACTTATTTAATTGGTCTTGATACTATACAGAAGTAAAGGTCCCACTATAATGTGGCTGATGGATCCGTGTCGGATAGCCGTGGGTATCTAAATGTGTGATGACTTGGACGCAGCGTAGTAGCCATAATGCAACTGCGTCCTGTGTTGTGTGATGTTCCCAATATGCCTGAACGCCGAAAATAACCTGTGCAAACTCGCCATAAATGACCCCAGAACCGTTTCGTTATGCAATGCGCTTCGGCTCGTGATGCCTGCTTGCTAACAGGCCGTTGCCAACTCATCCACCACCAACGCCGTAAACATCATACCCATGCTTGCTGAATCATAACGTGTCGGAGACGCGTGTGGAGCCTGGCAATACCGAAAATGGGTCGGCCCGCTAGTCTTGAGCGGTCTCAATCTGGGCGTATTCCTGCCAGTGGCCATCAGCGGCCTTCTTCCAGGTGCGAATGCTGGCATCGTCTCCAGTAGTAACGAGTAGATCACCTATGGTGGTTGTTAGCTGTGGCCGTGTATGTTTTGATGGACTGACTTACCCATCTGCGAGAACGTGACACGCCAAACCGCTCCGTGATGGTTAGTAAGCTCATCTGTCATCTCTGCCTTTTGCTTGATGCGACCAGGATACTGCTCGTTCTCGAGAGATGCATCAGAACCCTTCGACGCTCCAGCAAGTCCGGCTCCAATGCCAGAAGGCGCGTTCTGTCGGTGGCCTCGCGGAGAGACTGACGGAGGGGCCGAAGACGATGCTGCACCAGACGCAGCATTCTTGTCCTCGGTCTGCGTACGAAGCTCATAGATGCGAATAGCCCCGTCTTTACTAGCTGTGGCCAAGATATCGTAGCCTCGCATTGAGCCATTAGCCCAAGCCAAATCCCGAATAATCTGACGTGCGCCCTCCAGCTTCGCGACCTGGAAAAAGCGCTTAGCCTTATCAGTGCGGAAAATAAGGACGTCCTTCATAGCGGCAACAGCTAAGGAGAGCGACTTGCGGTCGAGGCCAGCCGTGATGGTGGTCCAGCAGGGCAACTTCTCCTTGTGAAAGACGACCTTGAAGCCCACCTCCTCTTGACGCTCGGGGGGGTTATTCTCAGAAACCCAGCGCTCTGCCAAGATAGTCCACTCATGGAGGTTGTTCTGGTCTTGGGGCTCATATACAGTGAGATAGCCGTCACGGGTGATCAGCGCAAGCCAAGTCTCCTGCATGATGTTCTTGAAGTCCAAAGACATGAACGGAGCGTTGGTCAAAGACTGTAGGTTGTAGACCAGCTTGAAACGATTGCCAGACATGGCTACCTCAGTGGCGTCCTCTTGCCAAATCTTGCAGTGGCCATCTTCACCGATGCTGCCGACGACCTCGCCCATGAACGGACCGTTCCACTTGATCTACTAATGAGTTAGCGACGATTCACAAAGGTGGCGAGATGGTATGCAGGCGACCGAAAAGAGATTTGCGGCTGAAGATTAGATAACTTACATCAATGATTTCAGCATTGTGAGCTTTCCAGCTCTCCACGAGGGTCCACGAATCGTCCTTCTTGTCCCAGACTTTGGCACGGTGATCTGAGCTTGCTGTGACCATGCGCGTGCCAAAGTAGTTGAAATCGATAGCGAGTACGAGGTCCTGGTGGCCATGCGAGAAGGTCTGGAAGCTCTGCGCTGCAGCCATCTTGGCGTAGACGCGATGCGCACCTACGAAGGTCACCTCTAGGTGGTCAACGATATGCTGCTCAACGCTGCCTGTACTACCGTCGGCACAAGGCTCTTGAATTAGGGGAGCGATCAGGTCTACGTGCTCGATCTCATCTTCGAGCGCGACGGCGATGTTGAGGTCCGGTCGGCGTGCACGCGACCGTGCTTCGTCTTTGGCGGGGCTCAAGGACGACGAATCGCTCACAGCAGCAGACGGGAGACGGGACACAGTCAAATGTCGAAGGAAATTTGGGGATGCCAGGTGAGTGTTCACGGCGTCCAGACCGTCCAAGAGCTGATCGGTCCTTGCCGGGCGGCCTGCGTTGTTGTTGTTGGCCATGTTGATGCCAATGTTCGTGGGTCTATCGTTTCGGGTTAGCAGAGCAGGAAGAAGCCGAAACAACACCTTGCCAGAATCTCTACTTACCAAACACCGCAACCACACTTTCATGCAGCTTGTTCTGCTCTTCTCGTCTCTTGTTCGCGTTGTACTTTTTGAGCTTTTCGAATCTGCTGCTGGGATTCGCAAATCTGTGTATAGCCTTTATCTGTCAGTCTCAAGTTCGGTTCGAACAATTCACGCAAAATCAGGCTCCAGAATCAGACAAAGAGGTGGCGATTGGACAAAGCGGCGAGTTGAGTTGGTGTTGTTGTGAGGAGGTTGTGCCAACGTTGTTGATATTGTCGCGACAGCAAACGGCTAGACGGAGTCAACAGCTACAGGCGTCCACGTGCCAAGATCCGCCGTCATCGCGACATCAAACACAATCACTGTCACCATGACAAGTGTGTTGTCATCAACAGAGTCAATTTCACTGCTTTCCTTGTCGATCGCCTGCGTTGGGGTGCTGGCCAACACTCTTCGCGGTGACGCTGAGCCGCTCGTTGCGTCGATAGCGTTCAGCGGTTTGGCCTTCACATTCTGCTATGCCTTAATACGATGGCTCGGGAATGCCTTCATGAAGCGTGGCTTCAAGGGGCGAGATCTCTGTAAGCTCAAGCAGACTGAGATGTAAGTGCCACGTATTCTGATTAGCATGGTAATCAACTAACGGCAACAGCCCTGAGACGATGGGAGCGGTGTGTGCGATGGTGTACCTTTTCGTCCTAATTTTCTTCATACCATGGCCATTCTACAAGGATATTGTAGTCGCAACATCAGGGGGCGGCAATAGGGATATCACAAAGGAACTAGAGTTGATCGAGACCGGGAGGCTACTGCACAGGTTCCCTCACAACAAGCTTGCATCGTACCTGTCCGCCATTCTCTCCCTTCAGGCGACCGTACTGCTGGGTATTGGTGATGATTTGTTCGACATTAGATGGCGGCACAAGGTGCTCATTCCGGCATTCGCAGTCATCCCCATGCTTGTGGTCTACTTCGTCGACTTTGGCGTCACTCAGATGGTCGTCCCACTACCATTGAGACCCTACTTAGGCGAGCTCTTTGATCTAGGTATGTACATGTATAGAATTTGGTTGTTGAATGAGGTGCTAACATTTGTCCAGGCTGGCTGTACTACGTCTACATGGCGCTCATGTCTATCTTCTCCACGAATGGCATCAACATCCTAGCGGGAATTAACGGCATCGAAGTGGCTCAGTCACTAGTCATCGCAGTTCTAATTGTAGGCAACGACATCCTTTATCTCTCACCATTCACAACGTATCCGCATCCGGCAACAGATTCGCATCTGTTCTCGCTGTACCTGCTACTACCATTTATCGGTGTCTCCTTGGCTCTACTGATGCACAACTGGTATCCAGCAAAGGTGTTTGTGGGCGACACTTATTGCTATTTTGCGGGGATGGTATTTGCCGTAGTTGCTATCCAGGGCCACTTCAGTAAAACGCTGATCTTACTACTCATACCACAAGCGTTCAACTTTGTCTATTCGACACCCCAGGTCTTCCATCTCGTACCATGTCCCCGACATCGGCTTCCGCATTTCAACGCACGGACAGGTTTACTGGAGCCATCGCGCGCCCAGTTTACCAAACCGTTACGACGACCGATAGCGGAGAGCCTCAAGATGCTGCACCGGCTTCGGATGCTTGATGTTGAGATAGATGCGAAGGGGCAGGTGGTCTCATCGAGCAACTTTACACTAATCAACTTGTGGTTAGTATGGTTCGGTCCAATGCGGGAAGACCGCTTAGCCATGGGATTGCTCGCGTTCCAGTTCGCGATTGGAGTTCTGGGGCTTTTTGTGCGGCATCGCATGGCGTTGCTTATCTTCACAGCGGACAATCTGTAGACATATGAGTATGTGTGTATAAACTGATGGATGTATTGGGTCATGGAATATGTAAATTATGTAGAGGACGTTGTCTGCTCAAGCGGCAGTAATGGACATAATACTTCAGAAGCATATATTACATGGGTCCTGTCGGTAACGTGCTGATGCCGAGTTGATATTTGACCTGGACGCATCCTCCTGTCCACCCCGCTCCGATAGGTTTGGTGTTAGAGTGGGAGCATCGATCCTATCCAAGGATTGCTGTCGAAAGAAGCAATTCGCTCGCCTATCAAGGATGTCTCTTTTCTTCTCCCAATACACCGCTTCATATAAACACTTCTACCATATGTCAAGTTCCGTCTCCGGCGTGACAATGCGTGGGACGAACATGTGGGTTAACCAGGGCAACGTCAGCTGTCTTGGAAACATGTTCATGAAACATCAAATCGGAGGGCTGGGAAGTTCGCTGACTTTTGCAGATGTGCTCGGGAGGCGGTGCAGTGGGGCATGCACAATGCGGGGCAGGACGGACCTCTACACACGTGAACGTCGTCATCGCTCGCGGAAATAGTACCTAGAGTAGCTCTCGCAGCGCCAGACGAGATGCGCGGCAAGGTTTCCTGCATGATATAATGGCTCAAGATCAGCATCGTCAATTGGCACCTACCAGATAGTGAAATATCGCAGCCCGACAGCGGTGGAGGCCGAGGCGGTCCGTCATCATTTGCGGCGTGATTGGCGGCTGTGCCCCTCTTACTGTCGACTCCGAACATCGGCCGGCACCTTTTTGTGCCTCGTTCGCCTTCCAACGATTTGAGTTCCCACCTGCGCCTCATTTAAGCCGATACCTGCCCTTGCTGAGTGTCTCTTACTTGAATTGCTCACTTTCATCTTTTTACTGCACCCAGGTTCGACTTGCTGTGCAACTTATACCCCATATATACAAAATGCCGTCTGCTGTGAAACCGCCGCAGACCCTTTATGACAAAGTCTTCGAGGACCATATCGTCGAAGAGAAAGAGGATGGCACGATCCTGCTTTATATTGGTATGGCATGCGCTGTGTAGCTTTCTTGTTCTGAACTGACAGTTGTGCAGACAGGCATCTTGTCCACGAAGTGACATCACCAGTAGGCAGACCTCGCAACTCGCAATTTCTATCCACAGGCTTACACAACCACAGCAAGCATTCGAGGGTCTCCGAAATGCCGGCCGCCGAGTACGAAGACCGGACTGCACCCTCGCCACAGTAGACCACGTATGTCCAGCATTTCGCGGAATACACCAGCAGCTAACAGCAGCAGAACATCCCTACCGCCTCACGGAAAAACCTCACCACGACCGAGAAGTTTATCGAAGAGACCGACTCACGGTTACAATGTATGACCCTGGAGGAGAACGTCAAGGCCTTCGACCTCACATACTTTGGCCTCGACGACAAGAGGCAAGGTATCGTGCACATCATCGGACCCGAACAGGGCTTCACGCTGCCCGGCACCACAGTCGTATGCGGTGACAGTCACACATCCACACATGGCGCTTTCGGTGCCCTCGCCTTCGGTATTGGTACCAGCGAGGTCGAACACGTCTTGGCCACACAAACCATCATCACACAACGGAGTAAGAACATGAAGGTTCAGGTCGATGGAGAGCTCGGACCCGGCGTTGGCAGCAAGGACATCATCTTGCACGTTATCGGCCAGATTGGCACAGCTGGAGGAACCGGTGCTGTCATTGAGTTCTGTGGTTCGGCTATCCGCGGCTTGAGCATGGAGGCGCGTATGTCGATATGCAACATGTCCATCGAGGGTGGCGCGAGAGCTGGTATGATCGCGCCTGATCAGATCACTATTGATTACCTCAAGGGAAAGCCCCTCGCTCCCAAGGTCGACAGCCCGGAGTGGAAGAAGGCATGCAACTACTGGCTGGGCCTGAAGTCAGATGAGGGCGCCAAATACGACATTGAGGTTTTGATTGACGCAAAGGACATCGCCCCGACAGTTTCCTGGGGTACCTCGCCTCAGGACGTCATTCCGATCACTGGCGTAGTACCTGGACCCGACGACTTCCAGGATACGACCAAGAAGCTGGCATGCGAGCGCGCTCTGAAGTACATGGGCCTGACTGCCGGCACTCCGATGCAGGAGATCCCGCTTGACAAGATCTTCATCGGATCCTGCACGAATGCTCGTATCGAGGATCTGCGGTCGGCCGCTCACATTGTTGAGGGCAAGAAAGTAGCTTCCAACATCAAGCGTGCCATGATTGTACCCGGTTCTGGTCTGGTCAAGAAGCAGGCAGAGGCAGAAGGTCTCGACAAGATTTTCAGCGATGCTGGATTCGAGTGGAGAGAAGCTGGATGCTCAATGTGCTTGGGCATGAACCCCGACATTCTTTCCCCTGGCGAGCGATGTGCATCAACCTCCAACCGAAACTTCGAGGGCCGACAGGGTGCTGGTGGCCGAACCCATCTCATGTCGCCTGCCATGGCGGCGGCTGCCGCTATCGTAGGAAATCTTGCCGATGTACGGAAACTCGCACCACAGGCTCCAGGACAAGCCAAGGGCTCGCCAAAGATTGAGCTTGATGCGCAAGTCGAGCCTCCCAGCAGTGACGAAGAGTTTGACAAGATCATGGACCTCCCTAGCTCCGGACCTCAGCACACTGCCTCAAACACTGCCAGCACAAGCGGCGCCTCAGCCGGTATGCCCAAGTTTGAGACCCTTCGCGGATACGCAGCGCCCATGGACGTCGCGAACATCGACACCGACGCCATCATCCCCAAGCAGTTCCTCAAGACCATCAAGCGCTCTGGTCTTGGTAGTGCTCTCTTCCACGCCTGGCGTTACGAAGCTGGCAGTGACAAGGAAGACCCATCCTTTGTGCTAAACAAGGAGCCTTACCGCAACTCAAAGATTCTGGTCTGCACAGGACCCAACTTTGGCTGCGGCTCAAGTCGTGAGCACGCACCCTGGGCGCTCCTCGACTTTGGCATCAAATGCATCATCGCCCCCTCGTTCGGCGACATCTTCTTCAACAACACCTTCAAGAACGGCATGCTTCCCATCCGTATTACAGACACCGCTGTCCTGCAACGCGTTGCTGACGAAGCCAACGCTGGCAAGGAAATCGAAGTCGACCTTCCCAACCAAGTCATCCGTGCTGCCGACGGAACTGAACTGGCCAAGTTTGACGTTGAGGAGTTCAGGAAGCACTGCCTCGTCAACGGACTGGACGACATTGGTCTGACCATGGCCAACGTTGATAAGATTGAGAAGCATGAGCAGAAGCGCACAGCTGTCTGGCCTTGGCTGGATGGAAGTGGCTTCTTGAAGAGGCATGGACGCGGACCGGTCAAGGTGCAGGCACAACCTGTACCAAAGACTAACCGTGGTGAGGAGATTGCCGAGCCTCTGGAATGGTAGGCGGAATGCAACAGAAAAAAGAAAAGTTTGGACTTTGGTCAATCTAATAGGAGTTCTATGATCTGGCGAGCGGCTGCTCTGCGGGTTTTGGATTAGGGTGTTTCTAATTGGGATTGAGATATCACATGGAATGAAATGACATGTATGAATGATGATACTGAGAGCTAATTGCAGTGCACTTGAGTGATGTGAAGACCTTGCTATTATATGTTGAATTTGTTCTTCCGTCAAATCTAGTATATGCGAAACCAGCTTTTGGGAAGTATACACTGCGCACTATGCCAACCATGCATAGTGCTCCAACGCCTGAACACCTAGGAACCCCAATATAGACTTCCGTTACATATTGATATAAACTCATCTCACAGCAAGGCGCGCGTAGTCTCGCTTCTTATCGACCCTGCTGGCCAGCCAAACCAGGTCCATCTCTGGTCCACCCTCCCTTCCGCATACCCTCTTCAATCCTGCCCCAAATCCTCTCCACAACCTCTCTGTCCCTCCACCTGCCCTTTTCGCTGCCAGTCCACTTATCCACGCCCACGGGTAGCACACCTCTACCCAATTGCTTGACCGTCTCCGGTGGCTCTTCCGAGCTCCAGCCAACAAATATACCTGGGTAGTTTGCAAACAGCTCAGCCGGCTGGGTATACTTGTAGCTCTTGAACTGCCAGAGCTGGCCTGTAGTGAAGATGGCGACTACACGGCTCCAGTATGTGGGTTTGAAGCTGGCGGTGGAATCGACGCAGATGAAGGTCAACGGTTGTGAGGAGACGGAGGGGATGAGACGCTGAATTTGGATCATGTTTGCTGAGGCGGATGTGCTAGACGAGTCTGTGGTGTTGGGTGGGACGAAGATACCGTCGCTTAGGAAGGTCTTTACGTTCGAGGTGCGGAGGAGGGAGGAGGCTGATGGGGAAAGGAGAATGATGGGTTGTAGACGGCGCTGAGGACGTTTCTGGAGGTTGGCGACGAGGGCGGGCTGGGGAGCAGGGAGTTTGTTGGCGTCGGGCCGGGAGCGAAGGAATGTACTGGCGATTTTGCGGTAAGGTGAGAAGTCCTGAGATGTATGTCAGTCTGTGAGCAATCAAGTTTGTGAGCTGAAAGATACGTACGACGTTCTTGGATCCTCTTAACACACTATTGTGGTCTCCCATCTTCCTCTCCCCATCGTAGATCTGGAGTAACCGCGCATCCACCATCTTGCCCGCGCCTCCTACCATGACGCCTCTTCCTCCATCGACTGGAACGCCCTTGCCGCCTGCAATAGCCGCTGCATCACCAGCGGCCGCACTCAACGCACCTCCATCTATGGCAGCAATGCTATCACTGCTCTCCGTCTCTCCACTCAACCAAGCAATAAGCTCAATCTTTTGCGCGAACGTCAGATTCTGCACACTTCCTCCAGCGCCACTCGGCAGCTCCTCATTGAGCGTCTGGACAGCGGCGAAGTAATCCGTAACAGAAGCGTCCTTGTTCAGCCACGCGAAGTAGCAGCTGCGCAAATCTACCGCCTTGCCATCTGGCGCAAATCGCGTAGGGGTATTTAGCGCAAACACCCTGTGGTCGCCAGAGTCGGTATTGAAGGACACGTGTGTTGCGATGGCGAGATCAGCGACGGTGTCGCCTGGTGTGGGTTCGGCGCTCGTGGTGAGGATCGGTGTTGCGCTGGCTTTGATGCTCAGGCGGAGGTTATAGAGCGCGTCTGCGACTTCTGCTTCTGCTGCTGCCATCTTGAGGCGATTGGCGCGTCGTGCGCGTGTGTGGGAAGTGGAGGATTGGGAATTGTGCTTCTTTGGCGTGGCTGTTCGAGCTTGAGGTCGCGACTATGCGATTGTACTTTCGGGGGAGAATGCCGGGGTTTCTCCGATTGGAACGTGCCTCGGACTTCCGCTTGCGTCCTCACTCCACGAACATGTCTACACTAAGCACCCATAGACCTACGCCCATGTTCAGCTGCTTCCTGAGCTGCTTCAGTTGATCAAATCACTGCTGTAGGCTTCAAATCCACGAAAAGCAAGCATTGCTCTGCTGTGAGCTACGCTTTCTAGTATGTCTTTCCACGTCGATGCTGACTTGTGACCATTGAACATCAATTCACCATATCTGTTCACCATTCACTCTACCTTTATAAATCTTCTTCCTGCTTCTCAGCGAAGCATCGCATGTGATAGTGTCAGATAACGCAAAAAGAGATCATGCACATACTATGGGTAACGAACCTTACATTTTCTCCTGCTTTCCTCGTCTCATCCGCGGGGCGTAGGTATAGAAAAAGATTCACCAGGCCATTGTTTCTTCTCCTTCTTCTCCTTCTAGTTCTCATTCTATGGTTATCGCTTCGTTCTTCAGCTCTTTCTTACGCGCCTCTATAAGTACTATTGACCAAGAGCCGTTCCCCTGGTCATCCACTATGCTTGCCTGCGATAAGAACTAGGTGAGGGCTTGAGGCATCCCTATTATGCGACTAAGAAGGATCTCGTGTATGGTCGTCTCCAACGTTTCCATTTCGCTCTCCCTAGGAGGCCTGCCTTACTCTCCCTTTCACTTTCATCTTCACCAGCAGCCGACGTACCCACGACGCGACGCAATTTCCAAGCTTTAGCCCTAGTATCAGGCAACCGTTTCTAAGAGTTTCTAGCGCCTGTCGTCGGTAAGCCGTACGTAGACCCGAGCTCACCTATTTTACTATGAGAATCAGTCTTGATACTGCAACACCAATTTACGCCCCACTTTTTCTTGTGCGCAGGTGACGACGCCTGGACATTCAGGGTCCAGTCTAGATATCACGAGACTGCGAAGCGAGCTCTGCTGAGCTGGCTATATAAACAACGCTGCCCGCTCACTTGCCTCCATCACTTTTACCCCACACTTACATCGATTACTCGAGTTCCAAAATAGTGCCTATTACTTCTCAACCCCTTCTCTACCATGGCCACAGTCAGCTTATGCGGCACTGCCACTGCGAAAGCTCCGATGGTGTTCGCCTCGTTCACCTTTTGGAGCTGGCCGACTTACCAGTACCAGGCCTGAGAGACCACAATCGCTCAGTTCGGCCACTACAAGTATATCAGCTCCTCCCTCGACTGTGTGTTACTGACGCTTACAAGTGAGTTGAACACTCACCAAACGCAAGCAAGCACAGCAGCAACATCCAAACAAGCGATCAACAGTCCACAGCATTCATCGACATCATCTTTTGCCGCTACCATCACACACCGCAACAATGCCTTTGTCACAACGAACTCTCGCCCGTGCATTCCGTCTGCGACTCACCATTTTATCCCAGTCAGCATTGCTTTCGGCACACTTGTCAGCCAACTACATTCACCCGGATAGAAGGGCATATGGACGCCGCTTGTAGCTAGCAGCGAAGCGTAAGCCAACCCTTTCCCCACTCCACTGTACCTCACTAACACCATTCATATTAGGTTCTCATCTTTCCATGTACTCAGCTCCTCACTTTACTTCATTTGGAGTCACCAAGTTCCATCAGCCCTAACTGCAGTCGCCCGTCCGATCAGCAGCCCCTCAGACCCGAGCAGCATGGCCTTGTGCCTCAGTGGAAGGTCTCCCGACTTGTTTCGGTGCGATGTCACTCCAGCGAATTCGGGATCTGAGATGGCTGTCGGTCACCATGACGGTGCACTTTACTGCGGTGTGGGCCCGGGAACGGCGATGGGCTTCTGAGAATTCGGCTCGCATTGCCTTGTGCATTAACGAAAGGTTGCCCGACTTGTTTCGGTGTCAATGTCACTTCGGCGTGTTGGTGCAGTAGAAGCTCGGGATCTGTTGGTGAAGGGTGTGGTGAAGTGGCGGGGCTATGGTGGTGGCTTCTATAAGATGGTCAGTTTTGTTGGATATAGAGGATGAATATACTTTTGTAATAATGAGAGCTTGTTCGCTTCACCCCTTCTTTGCTCTATTTTTTATGATGCTTCTTGGTTCGTCTGCAGTGCTGACCGCCTCTGACATGGTTGATGGCCTCGCTCTTGGTTGTGCTTGGTCGCTCTTTCCTTGACCCACACTAAGAAGGCCAACGAGCCAATTATAGGTAAACAGGTAAAACTCCGCCAGGCTACTACAGATAGCAGTATATCGATGGAATACTTTCTCACGCATGTACTAGCTGTATACAGTGCAAAGAATATTGTGTCATTATATCTTTAGAGAAAACTACAAGTACGTTCTAGATACTACATGATCTACGTATATTGAGCGGTTCAAGTTGATGTCTTCAGTAAATCCACGCAGAGTCATGAAAACACGAAAGAAGCAGTTATCACAAAGCGAGGTCAATTTGCAAGGGTGAAATTTTAAATGTTAAACTTATACATTATCATAGCGGTGTCATTAAACTAAGATCACATGCTAATCCCTCTTGGGAATATCTATCTACTGTCCAACGACAGTGAAGCTGTCCTGAACCTTCAGGTCGCGGCTGCTGAGACCAACCCAGATGGTGAACTCGCCCTCAGGGATAACCCACTGCTGGCTGACAATATCCCAGTAGCTCAAGTCCCTGCGGTGGAGCTCGAAAGAAACCTTCTGGCTCTCGCCCTCCTCAAGGTAGACCTTCTCGAAGCCGCGGAGCTGGCGGATGGGTGTACCAGCAGGTGCGGAAGAGGGAAGACCAACGTAGAGCTGGGGAACAGTGGCACCAGCGACGTCACCAGTGTTGGCAACAGAGACGGTGACGTTGTAAAGAGACTCCCAGAGAGCGGGGTTGCCACCAGGCTGAATGGGGAGCTGCTCAGGGTGGGAGGTGATGTTGTGCTCCAGAGGAGACGACTCAATGTCGGAGATCTCAAAGGTGGTGTAGGAGAGACCGAAACCGAATTCGTAGCGGACTGACATGTTCTGGAGGTCGAAGTGGCGGTAGTCAATCTCGAGCTTCTCGTCGAACCAGCTCTGCCAGTCGGCGTAACCAGTAGTGTTGATGGCAGTAGTGGGAGGCGCGTTCCAGTCGGAGCCATTGTTAGCAATGGTGTAGGGAAGGTGACCAGAGGGGTTTACGTGTCCGTACAGGATGTCGACGAGCGAGTTTCCGGACTCCTGACCGGGAAAGTGAGCAGCCAGGATAGCGGTAATATTGGGGTGGTCGGACCATGGCAGAGTGTTGATACCAGCGGAGTGAGTAACGATAACGGTGTTGTTGCAGTAAGAAGCAACCGACTCAACAACGTCATCACCGTCCCAGTCGGATCCCAAATGAGCGCGGTCAGCACCCTCCTCAGCCCAAGTCTTGAGCATGACAATGCAGACATCGGGGACAGCACGGGGAATGACAAGCTGGCTAACGTTGTTGGAGGTGATGTGAGTGTTGTTGAGGAAGAACTGGGTGATACCGCCATCTGCGGCGACACGGTCCTGGATGGCACGCAGAGGGGAGATCATGTAGGTGAATTGACCAGTACCGGAACCACCACCAGCGAACAGACTGCCGAACTCGTAGTTCTGCTGGTTGATGACGGAGCTGCGAACTGGCTCTCCGGCATCATTGCCGAAGATAGCGACGTTGCGAGGAGCCTTGAGGGGCAGGGTACGGTCAACATTCTTCAGGAGAACGCTGCCAGCAGCACCGTGTCGGCGGATCAGCTCGCCGTGGTTGCCACGCACATCACGGCTGACCTCTCCGGTGAGGTTGTACTCGCGTGTCCACGTGCTGCGGGGCGAGAAGGTGTTGAGGTCAGCACCTGAGGGATCGGCGGAAGGGAAGTCCTGGTCTTGGCCGAGTTGGAAGTAAGGAGTCATGATACGCATGACCATGTCGTCAATGCGGGACATGTCGAGACTGCCATTGTTGGCGGCGGCAGTGAGATTGCCGCCAAAGTAAGAGGGGATGCCAAAATTCAGGCCATAGGCGCCGAGTCCACCAGGCATGTTCATGTCAAGACCGGCCTCGATGGAGGCAACACCAGCGTGGGTGGCACCCCAGTCAGACATAATGTAACCTTGGAAGCCAAGTTCAGTCTTGAGCAGGCCGTTCTGTGAGGCGGAGTTCTGGCATCCGTAAGATCCGTTGATTCTCTGGTACGAGCACATGAAGCTGGCAGCACGGGCCTTAGCCGCGTTGGCAAAAGGCCACATATAAAGTTCGTGCATGGTGCGGTCATCAATGTTGGATGAGAGAGCTGCTGTGGTAGTCTCCGTGTTGTCGTCCTCGTTCTCGTAGAGGGGATTGCGAAGGATCTCTTGCTCGTTGCCGATCCAGTGCTTTGCGCAGGCTTGCACACCTGCATCTTGGATACCATTGATGGTCTTCTCCATAGCTACACCGCTGAGGTAAGGATCGGAGGAGAATCCTTCCCAGTTACGGCCTGCGTAGGCAGAGCGTCCGAGAGGACCGGCGACGGGACCCAGGAAGACCTGTGAGCCCTTCGCCCTGAACTCCTTGCCCATGGCATTACCACGCTCGTACATGATGTCCTTGTCCCATGTGGCTCCAGCAGATACACCAGCAGAGAAGACGCTGGCGTAGTCGGCAACACGGATTCCAAGAGGACCATCCTGAAGACATAGGCCAGGGAAACCAAGACGGGGAATAGCAACGATGTTGCCAACACAAGGTCCAGCTTGACCAGTGACCATGTCAGCCTTCTCCTCGATAGTGAGCTGGGCTACGAAGGCTTTCGCTTTCTCAAGGCCCATCTCCCAGCCACCGGCGCCAGTGATGTTCGCTGTAAAGTGTTAGATCGGATACGGGCATACTGAGTGTGATGAAGGACAACTTACGCGACGGGTAGACAGCTGGCGAGGAACCATACTCGGTCAAGATGGTGGTGTTGACCGGCTGTACGTACTCAAACGCATCTTCACCACGGCTGCCGCCGTCGAAGTTCTGAGCGTTGACTGCAGCCAGGAGGGCAGAGCCCTTAAGCACTGCCGAGACAAAAGAAGGTGCCATGATTCCGGATTGTCGAAGGTGAATCGAGTGCCTGGATAGCCATTGTCGTCCAGCATCGCGGTACTTATATACTGCTTCTCTCTCGGCGCATGCTCGTCCGCCCGGTAGTAGTTCACGATCCGAATTAAACGGCTAGAGGTCAACAATGCAGCCACAACCATGTCCCGAAGTTTGCCCGTCCGGGCTGCGGAATCTCCACATATCCGTACCTTACCAATGTTGTCCTGGTTTGGGGGGATAAGACGTCATCCCAGGGTTGCGTAGTTGGTTGCCAAGAGGATGGTCGGACGTATGTATGCGCGTCGGCAGATGGTTGTGGAGAAAGAAAAACAAAGAGGTCGGAGCAGAGGGATTGACTCGTGAGAATGTGCGGAGATCGTGAGTGTAATACATGACTCGGAGCAGCAAGTTGCTTCCCATCGCTGCGGTCAGCTATAGAGGGTTAGCTCTCTCTCGCGTCCGATCCTGGAGGATGCTGCCTCTTCCACGTGCTGTGAACCACAGCTTTGGTACTGGAGGTTTCATCGATAGAACATTCTATGGCGTCAATCTCCGCACAACGCATCGGTACACCTTCCATCACGACTCGTGCACTGGGGAAACCGCGCAAAATATGACTATGCGCAACCAAGCTCCACGCCTCCAGGCTTGTCCGTCTATTAGAAAGCGGGGCGAGATCTTGGAAATTGTATGTTGCCGACGAAAAGTCCCGACCGCCATGGGTAAGTCCCCGTCACGAGGTACTTGGGAAAGAGAAATTTTCGGTGCATGGAGCAAGCGTCGGAGCAAGTGGTACAATTCGGTAGACGCTAAACCAAAGACAGGAGCGCATCCTTGAAAAACCCCAGCATCGTCATAGAGCGATCGCTCCGGAGCTCCACAAGACACTTCCCCGCAAAACGTTCTGAGCCGAAGTTGAGCCTCAGGTCAAGTGGAGATCGTCAGGTCGAGTTATTGGCAGGATAGAAATTCTCGCATCGCGGCTGCCAAATGCCGCTCTTAGCTATGAATGCCGCATCGTCTTTGTCTTTGCGTAGTGAACTACATGTACGTAATGCGGTGAATCACTGAGCACGAGGCTCTCGGCATACTCAATCAGGCATAACAAGTGACTGAATTGGTGGGGATAAAAGTGTTCAACCTCCATATTGTTGAGTTGTTGTTGCGGGTACTGTACGGACTGACAGAGTAACTGGATCGTGATCGCAAACGCACGGAACCAACCGAGTCTACAAGGAACGACTGTTACCCTACACAAGTACCTACGCAGTGACACAATATGGTCAAGGCATGCACTCGTGACCTCTCGGCGATTTGCGGGATTTGACCTACCATAGCTTTTCTCCATCGTACTCTTGCATCAGTCCATGCATTTGTGAGGTTCAACGACGTGTCATTCGAGAATACCGCCCGAAGCGATGACGGGCCGAAGCCTCCATGGATATACCAAGGAGTATCTATGTACCGAGACTACGGTCGGATAGCATCTGGACCGTTTTCGTCGCTAACACACCTGCAATCACGAACGTCGATACTGTTTTTCAAGAATCGCAAACCAAAGGTTCAAACATAAGAATTAGTATTAACTATACTGATTAAACAAAGTAACCCAAAGATCTACAAGTACGAAAAGAATTACATCCCTCCAAAGCAACCAGTTTTATGGAGTTCAAGCGGTGCCAGCATCATTCTCTCCACTCCTCTCTCCAGGGTGTCCACCCTGTTGCGCTACCTTCTCCGCACCCTCCTTCGCCTGATCCGCCTTGCCCTTCGCCTTCGCGCCGCCCTTGGTCTTATGGAAGAGGTTCTTGAGCGAGTTGAGGTTGGCAACACGGAATAGGTAATAAGTAAGAACAGCAAGGAAGGCGTTGAAACCGATGAAAGCGAAGAGGATACCAAAGTTCCTCCATCGCTCACCGTAGTAAATCGACGAGCCAGCCAGGAACTGGTCAGCATTACTCAAAGAACAGTAGTTGCAGCCAGCGGTCGCATCTGGGTTCTGGATCGTACCGCCCGCGGCAGCAGCGTAATCGGCTAGATAAGCACCGCATGTCTGGCCAGCCGGTGGGTCGAACACGGAAACTTCACGCGCGCTGCAAACGACTTCTCGGCCTGAAAGCATGGTCGAGACCATGCCGCCAATCCAGTAAGTGAACGGACTGACGCGGTACATGAAGAGCCAGAAGCCAGGAAGATTGTCCGGAGACTGCAAAACACCGTTGAAGAGGATACTCATGAGTGTGAGCAGCGAGACGAGACCTGATGCTGTTTCGGCGTTAGGTAGCGCTGCGATGGTCATGTCGGCAAAGGTGGACGTGTAGATGAGAAGCTGCATGCAGAACAGCAGCACCAAGCCCTGGCGTTCACTGGATTGGCTCGCGCCGACGACCGGATAGTAGAAGGTTGCGAATGTGAGAATACCAGCGATGATACCGTATGGGATCTCCACAACAATGTTGGCGACCATAAAGGCGATCCAGCTGTACGCTTTTGATGGCCTCTCGCGGGACTCGTAGAGAGAACGTTGCGTGATAAAGAGGGGTTGAATCTGTTGTACAAGTGACGAGAAGATTGTAGTAAGCATGAAGACCGAGAAGATGATGGTCTGCATGCCCGCTAGAGTGGTGTTGGCCTGATAGAAGGAGAAACCGATGAAGAGACCAGCAATGGTGCAGAGACCAAACTTAGCCATAACATAACTGGGCATGCGCCAGTACTGTTGGAAAGCACGGTATGTGCACTCCACAATTTGCGTTGTCAGTGGCATAGCGAACTCGCTTCCACCAGTTTCCGCGGCAATGTTGAGTTCCTCATGTTTCTTGGACTCGTGGAGTTGATCGATTTGCTGCTGGACGCCATTGGCTTCGTTGCTTCCTTTCCAGACGTCGAACCAGTCCTGACCATTGTTGTTCTTGCCAGCGTTGACAATCTCCAGCATGTATTCAGCCGGGTTTTCGTCTTCACCACATTTGCGTGCACCATTGTTCTCGAAGTAGTCCAGGAGCGTTCGGGAGTTCTCGCCGAGCTCGCCAAAGTAGACGGTCTTACCACCACGAGCAAGGAAGAGGAGGCGGTCGAACTCCTGGAACAGAATAGCGCTGGGCTGATGGATGGTACAGAGGATGGCTTGGCCAGCGTTACTGAGTTTGCGTAGGAAGGCGATGATAGACCAGGAACTCTGCACAGAAGTTAGCAATTGTAGGTAATACATGGGTTCACGTGGCAGTACTGACCTGTGAATCGAGACCCGAAGTAGGCTCGTCAAGGAAAAGCAACAACTTCGGCTTGGCAGCAAGCTCAACACCAATGGTCAGAAGCTTCCGCTGTTCAACGTTCAAACCCTCGCCAGGAACACCAACAACAGCTTCGGCAAAGTCGGACATGTTCAACATCTTAATGACTTCTTCAACGTAGTCGTACTTCTCCTGCTTGCTCACAGTCTTGGGCTGGCGCAGCATGGCGGAGAACTGCAATGCTTCACGAACAGTTGAAGTCTCAAGATGAAGATCCTGTTGCTGAACATAACCGGTTGAACGTTGGAATGCGGGGTCGAGGGGTTTGCCGTTGACGAACATATCGCCTGTGATAACACCCATGGTGGTTCGCTGAGCCAGAACATCCAAAAGCGTGGTTTTGCCAGCTCCGGAGACACCCATAAGTGCGGTCATACTTCCAGGCTTGACGAAGCCAGAGACATGATCGAGTAATCGGCGCGGCTCACCCTTGATCTCGATATCGTAGACAACGTCGCGCCAAGTGAAAACACCCTTTTGTTCTTCGATAGCGCTGACATCACCAGCGCCTTCCTGCTCACCTTTTTGGGCTGCTCCGGATTCCTCGTCGGAGCCCTTACCACCAGGTTGCATGTAAGCTGGAACATGTCCACGTCGGAAGACCAGTTGCTCAGCGGTGTTGGACGTGGAAGAGTTGACTTCAACAGCGATGAAGTAAGTAACCAAGAAGAAGATCAGGAAAGCCCAGAGAATGCCAAAGTTGCGCCAAACATGGCTCCAAGAGTACGAGTATGAGACTTCGATAAAGCTATCGCCACTGATAAATGTTTGTCCGGCAACAGCACCTTGAGTGTTACAGATGAAGGAGTCGCCAGTCTGTGGGTATCCGGGGCCTGACGGAATGAAGGCATCACAAGGAAAATCGACTCCGTGGAACTCGTTGGCAAGCAGAATCTCGAATGCATAGAACTAAGGAGAATATATTAGCAGCTGACAGTAATGGAGTGGACAACAAACTCACAATCGGATTGATCCATCTAATCCAGCCAAACCAGTCAGGCATTTCGGGAATGCGAATGACGAAACCAGTATAGATGACGAGGACCAGTACCAGAACACCGGCGCCTGCCATAGCTTGTGATGCTGTTTTGGTAACGGCGGCAGTTGTGCGGAAGATAGCTGCCATGACGAAGGTTGCCATATACGTAACGATGAAGAACAAGAAGAACTGTCCAGCAGTATACCGAAGCTGCGCTAGGAAGTACAAAATGATGTTGAAGACTACGGCCTGTATGAATTTGACAGGTATGTCGGCAACGATACCAGCAATAGCTTCAGTCGATGGATGGTAGAATGCATACGAGTTGTGCTTCTCGACGATAGGGCGCTGAGCGTAGAGACCTGAGATTTCACCAATGGACGTAAGGGCGTTGAAGAGAATGGCCAAGAAAATGACTGCTCCGCGACCTTGGAATGAGCTGGATCCTTGGGAATGACCAAAGTAGATGGAACCGACGATAAGAGCGATAATGACGTTAAGACCAGCTTGTGTGGCTGTGGAGGCTACATCACCCCAAATGCGCTGGTATGCTCGTCGTGTGTTGAGCTTGATCTGCATGGGGACGCTGATGAGATACGGCGACTTGGGACGAGCGTGTTTGGCCTGAATGTAGTTCTTCTGCTGACGCAGTGTCTCGAGAGTACCATGCTCGTTGATTGGGTTCTCGGCCTCGAAGTCCTTGATCTCTTCGAGGAGGGCTTTGTACTCAGGTGAGTCGCGCCAGTACTTCTCAAAGTCTTGTGGCGTGCGTGGCACCCTGTTCTCCATACCCTCCCTGGCCTTCCGTTCGTCTGGGTTGGTGACAGCTGTGAGGAAATCTCCAGCAGTCTGTCGGGGTGGGCAGTACCATCCTTGACGCTCAAAGTAGTCTTTGGCTTCACTGGCAGGTCCAAAGTAGATCTGACGGCCTTCGTACAGAACAGCGGCTTTGTCGAAGCAGTCGTACACGCTTTGACTAGCCTGGTAGATAGCCACCGCAGCAGCACCTCCAGCCAGATCAGAGCCGACTCTCAAAGCCTTTACGAACTTCAGCGCAGTAGCTGAGTCCAATCCACGGGTTGAGTTATCCCAGGCTGCAAAGGGAGCGCCAGCGAGCAGCATCTCAGCGACGGACACTCGCTTCCTCTCTCCACCCGACACACCGCGAACGAAGTCGTTTCCGACCTTGGTGTTGTAGGTGTGGCTTAGTCCAAGGACAGCCATAACGACCTTGGCCATGAACTGTGCGAACTCATCGCGGCTCGCCCCACCGGGTCGGTTTGATGGTGTTCTGACAGCGGCAGCGAATTCGAGAGTCTGACCTACAGTCAGATGCGGGAAGTGCTTGTCGACTTCCTGGTTGTACACTGTCTCGCCCTTGAATTCCTTGCGCATACGATCCTGGGGTATACCGTTATAGTGGACAAGTGACTCGTCTGTCTCTAGACCATGAAGCTCGCCAGTGAGCGCCTTCAGAAGAGTAGAACAACCAGATCCGGGGCGTCCAAGTACTACACATAGTTCACCGGCTCGGATGATACCATCGAAGCTGTGTAGAATCTGCTTGCGTTCTGACTTACCGAAGATCTCTTTCGCACGGAACGGCATCATGAAGAGATCTGCGACTGTGTCCTGAAGCTGGAGAGCCTTGCCGGAACCGAAGACATTGAGATTTCTGTAGACAACGTTGACTTTCTTCATCTCGATGCCTTCGCCCTCGAGCTGGTTCCGGAACATGTTCAGAAACCTGCTAAGATCAAAAGCCTCGTTAGAGGGGTCCACTCGAGGATCATTTGGCTGCGCAATGCTCATCTGCTGTGTCACTCTCGAAGCAGATGTGAAGATGCGTGCCAATTCTCGCCTGCCGTCGTCGTCGATCTCGGATCGTGTAGCCCGACGCTGGAGGGTACCTGGAGCAACATCTTCGGATGAGGATGAAGTAGCCGTCCTTTTGACTTTTCGTGAGTCGCCATTTGATCCAAGTTTGGTTTCTGAGGAATCGGACGAGCTTGATGTGTTGATCTTCTCGAGCGGCACCACCTCCTCCTCGTGAGGCCGTGATTGAGTCGCATCGGCAGAGTTGAACAGCCCCGATCCTGTTGATGTTGATGTTTCGTGTGTGTAAGAGTGTGATGAGAAGAGTCCGTGGTTGCCGTGAGCGTGGCCATCGGGGAAGTACGTCTCACGCCCAGAAGCAGTGCGAACAACGCCGTGTGCAGGAGTTTGGGTTTCGGACCCTGATTGGGCAGAGGTGTGGATTTGTGTTTGACCCGAATCTGACGTGTTCGACATGAAAGCCTCGCCTTTGGACTTGAAGTCAGCCATTGTGAGTTGCAGCGGCGAGTGCTGGCGTGCTATGTCGACGTCGGTGATGTCTTTTTGCTGCCCGCCTGCGACCATTCAACATATATCAACTCTTAGCCAACGTGCGGGCCTATGTTGTCATAGCACCACGGATGGCGGACACTCCCCATGCCCGCGATTAGTCCTTGCACCAGCGCCTCGGACGAGATGCTTGGACCCTTTGAGTAAGATTTGTCCTTCGCCACAGTAGATGATTGGGAGCGTGCGCGCGCTATGCGGGCCGAATTCGAAGTGTGCGGATCCATCTCAGCATGTTTGATGCGTATTCGTTCGAGACCGCAATTAGTTCCACAACGCTAGGCGCCCAGGTTGTTTTTCCCTATGTTCTACATGACATCACAGCCCGGACCTCTGCGGAAGCGGATTGTGCCAAGAACAGCCATCACGATCACAGTATCTAGTCGAAGCAAGATATATGGAGGCTATCATGGCGACAAAGCGTGTCTTTTCGATGCGCAGTCGCTGCGTGCCTCTGCTGGTGATGACGCTGGGTTGCAGCTGCCTGTCCAACGCTTAATTTGGTCCGTGATCGACAACTTACTGCTTCCGGACGAGAGATCGCTCGGGATCCTCGTTACGTCTGCCACGCATCTTGGTACCCGTCTTCCACGCACCCACCGTACAACCCCCTGCTGCCCTCGTCGAACATCCGAATGATCCGAGCCAGCACTTCCGCTTCGTGTTATACAAGTTCCGGTGATATTTCTGTCTGTTGAGTTGCATCTACTTTCCACTTTTCGGTCGTAATATGAGGCGGTGCACAACGGATCCCTGAGTACTGCTCATCACGGACAAACAGAACCTCCGCTTGACATAATCAAGCGGACGTGTACGCAGATGCATTACTAGTGCAATTTCACTTGCTTATGTCGGCACCTACAGAACTCTATTCTTTCTGATGGAAGCGATAACACACGAACCTACTATGGTTCCTAACCGTTCGCGCACGGTAGTCTCAAAAGATCTCATTTTACCAGTGGTGAGATGTGGTACCAGAGACCAAAGATAAAGTTTCAATGTCTCACCTCCACTTTCTAGGATTGCCTTCGAGCATGTATATTAATGTGGCTAGTGTGCGCGCAATCACATCGAGACCTCAGCGTGTATGATAGTTCCAGTGATCAACACACAGATTTAGGATCCGCACACAGAATATCGTTTATGCATGGTCGCGCATCAAGCTCCAGATCTACGGCATGCATTGTATGCTACATATGTACACCGTAGCGAGCTGATGATCACGATCTCGTTGCTGATGAACGTTATTGGTGCATGCTCGACAACGCTTCCCCAGGAAAAGTGGAGCGCGTCTAGACTTGATGCTTGTAAAACGGCAGATTCCAGCATTAAAGATGCTTGGTTTCTGGGTGCTCATATGATTACTGAACAGAAGATTAGCTTAAGTTTGACTAGCACGTATACCGGTGATAAGCAAACCTTATGGATGGTATTGCAAGTTTGGGTCGCCGTTTAACTGTCAATGCCTCTAGCGCTCTTGATCTCGCGCAGATGGGGTTGTCAAGGTTCTGTCGATCCGTCTTTGCTTACTTCAATTGCAACCCCTCAAGGTTATGCTCCACGATGGGTATATGCTCAGCCAAACGATTAGGATCTCGCATTATCGCAAGCACGTCCTCCTTCCTTCCTGCGAGCTTCTTCCGTACCTCCTCATACTTCTCTTCCCTCGCCGTATATTCCCTCAGCACCACGTTGTCCCCAAACTCGACAAATATCCGCGTGTCGCGTATTCTGAAGACTACATCGTCGAGACGCATGAAGAAGCGCACCAGTAGCAGTAAACGTTGTGGCATGACGCGAACTTTGCAAGATAGCATAGCGATGCCGTTGTCCGCTAGCTCGTCTTCGTAGAGTACTAGTTCATCGAAGAAATGTATCGGGTCAGGACGCTTGAGGAGTGCAAGTGGTATTGGGGTCTCGGTGGGCTCGAAGGCGGGTGCTGGTGGTGTGGTGCCCTTGTAGTCAGTGCTGTAGGACCAGTCGAATGGCTTCACTACTTCTTTGATGTCCTCGAATTGCTTCTGTCTGATACAGGTTAAGCGCGCGCTCTCTCCACCCATTGGTATAAAGTCTTACCGATTCTGCTGCCACTCTTTCGAGTATGACACCTTGAACATCTTCTCGCCTGTCTTGTCCACGAGATCTAGCGCATCGAAGGCATTGAACTCGATGTACCAGCCGCTCTGTGCATGGTCTATCCGTACCATGTTGTCGCCGAAAATCATCTCCGGCGGCGCAATGCCCAGCTTCTTGGTCATATCTTCTATAGGGCCAGCCTTGAGGATGGGCAGTTTGCGCGTGGTGATCTTGAAGCCTTCTTTCGTGATGGATGTGTCGGCCTGGCCGGGTGCCACGGTATCGGCGGGCGCGCCGTTGAGCGATGCCATGACCTGGGATGTATGCGACGAGACGCTTTGGGAGAATGTTACATGTATGAATTGTTCTTCTTTGCTGCCGCTGCATGTGGATCCGATGGCGGGGAGCTTCTGAGGAGTGGGGCGAGAACGGAAGCTCCGACCGCCGATCGCCGTTTCCCATAGCAACGACTGAAACCCACTTGTTTGTGGTTAACTAGCTGCCATGCCGTCCTCAAACCTTGGAACATCGCCAGTTACCACGCGAAAACCATCAACGTAGCATTCCATAGCCTCTAGGACGTCTCTTTTTGTGTTACTGCTTGCTTCCAGTCGCTTCAGCTTGCATCTCGACACCAAAATGGCCGACGTCGCGAACCTCGAAGCCGCCTTTGAGCGCACCACCATCAACGATGAGAACGATGAGCAGATCACATCTACTACAAGCTACCACAAGACAAAGGTGTGTATCAACCAGCCTGCGCTGTGGAGCCCCTTCTAACAACACCAAGTCTTCTGTGTCGACATCCCTATCAGCAGGCCTGTCGTCGTCGCAATCAGCAGCGAACCGCATGAAGCTGCCCCATCAGATTCCTTTACAGAAGCTCGCTACACAAAACGCAAAGACGGCAAACATCGCCAAGGTCACCATCACAGCAAGCACTAGCCGACCTTCAGAACACAACCCATCTCACCGCCGCACCCTCACCGAGTCAGCCATCTACACCGCTCCTTCCAACCCTGCACAACCCAAGCAATGGCATCTAGGCATGTTTGAGATCGGAAAGCCCCTCGGAAAGGGAAAATTCGGTCGCGTCTACCTGGCCAAGGAACGCTCGTCAGGCTTCGTGTGTGCTTTGAAGGTCCTCCACAAGTCCGAGCTCCAGCAAGGCAAAGTCGAGAAGCAGGTCCGACGAGAGATTGAAATTCAATCGCACCTCACCCACCCTAACATCCTCAAGCTGTTCGGTCACTTCCATGACGCAAAGCGCATCTTCCTCATCCTCGAGTTCGCCGGGCAAGGAGAACTATACAAGCACCTCCGCAAAGAACAACGCTTCCCAGAATGGAAAGCGGCACAATACATCGCCCAGATGGCGGCTGCGCTCAAGTACCTCCACAAGAAGCACGTCATGCATCGCGACATCAAGCCCGAAAACATCCTCGTGGGCATCCACGGTGAGATCAAGATTTCCGACTTCGGCTGGTCCGTACACGCACCCAACAATCGCCGGAACACCATGTGCGGAACTCTCGACTATCTGCCCCCGGAGATGCTTCGCGGTGGTGGCAAGGACAACTACTACTCCGAGAAGGTCGATCTGTGGAGTTTAGGTGTCTTGACGTACGAGTTCTTGGTTGGCGAAGCGCCATTTGAAGACACACAAGTCATGACACAGCGCAAGATTGCGAGGGGAGAGTACACAGTCCCAAGTTTTGTCAGCGCAGAAGCACGAGATCTCATCAAGAGGTTACTAGTGCTTGACCCTGAAAAGCGTATCGCACTTGAGGATGTTGAGGTACACCCGTGGATCGTGAAGCACTGCAAGGGCAGCCCGCGAGCTTACGAACGTACTTCAGGGGGCAAGATACGCAGCAGCTCAGAACAGTCTGAAGAGAGCTACTAAGCTTACTCTTGGTCGCGTTCACATAATGTTCAACATCTACGACGGCGAAGGGGCGTTCTGCACGGAAGTCACTGAATTTTTTTCATGTTCTTAGTCGCATTGCTTGGAGTGAGTCTTCGGTTTGCTGATGGCGTTTGGAATAGTCATGGGAATACATCCCACATCGCATGCAATGCAAGCATTTCAATTTTTAAGTCACGAAACATTGTCTATTTTGCCGTACACGCGCTGTGAAGATAGAAACCTGTCCTGGTGAGGCACATCGTATGGTGTCCTGCCACATTCCTCAATGCGCGTCAACCGCCTCACCCCGCCTCTCCCCGTTCCTGAAATCAGGTGTGCTAGGCCTACTCCTCTCGCTTCCAAAGAAAGCAATGTTCTCCCTCAATGCCACATACTCACTATCGGCATATCCCAACGCCTCACTAATCTGCGTCGAATGTAGGCCCTTGATCCGCCTAATCTCAGTAGCTGAGTAGTTGACCACTGCTCGTCCAATCTCAATTGGTGCCGGGTTGTGCAGTTCAAAGTTCGGCGGTTGCTGCAGTGTCTGCGAGGAGTTCATCGAGTACGATAAAGCCGACGAGTGTGTGAGGGGATGTCGGATTGGAATCGGGGCGTGAACGCCGTGGGCTAGGGCGCCTGGTGTCGTGGGCGGTTGCGGTGTGGTTGATGTTTGTGATGGTTTGGGGGAGTGTGGGGGGTTGGATAGACGTTTGACGACGACGATGCGTACGGCTTCTTGTTGGGCGAAGTGGCCATCTACTTCTACGATGCCGACGGGTAGGAGACCAGCTTTGTCGCTTAGCGCCGCCCAAGCACCTTGGTCGATGTATATTGTCCCGTGGGGCGCGAGACCGTGTAAAATCCAGAAGTAACGGTCTCGGATGGGGTTGGATATTGGGAGGAAACGGGTATGTAGGGGCACCGGCTCTTCTGGTTGTGGGGATGCGATGCCAGCGAGTTGTTGGTCGCCTAGTGAGGCCGTGGATGTGGAGAGATCGTGGTTTGAGGCCTGCGATGCTGCTTGAGCAAATGGTGCGCCTTCGTCTTGAAAGTTGGTGACTGAGTTCCGACTTGACATCCTTGCCTTTCTTTGTTTCTCCGCATGAGCAATAATGCCCGAGATATTGCCTGGTTTACTACTCTTCGTGATGACTGTCGTAACGCCTGCACTCGTCGCTAGCCTTGCTGCTACAATCTTTGTGCTCATACCGCCCGTTCCTAATGAACTACCAGCCGAGCTTACATCCGCTGCCAGCTCCGCAATATCTTCCACGACAGCGATGGACTTTGCATCTGGATTTGTGCGCGGGTTCTTGTCGTACAGACAGTCCACATCCGTCATAAGGAAGAGGTAATCCGCCTGAACCATGCCCGCAGTAATGGCACTCAGCGTGTCGTTGTCACCAAACTTGATTTCAGTAACGGCCAAAGTATCGTTCTCGTTCACAATAGGAATGACGCCCATGCTTAGCAGCTCAATAAAGGTATTCTGCGCATTTTGGTACTGTGTCCGATCCGCAATGTCGTTCCGTGTCAGTAGCACCTGAGCAATCGGCTGCTCTAGGTTGCCAAACAGCTGATCCCATAAGGACATCAGTCTACTCTGACCGATAGCAGCAAGCGCCTGGACTTGTGGGAGGTGTTTTGGGCGGCGGGGAAGGTTCATGCGTCGCAAGCCGACACCAATGGCGCCCGAGGACACAATCACGACACGGTGGCCAGCGGTGCGCAGACTACATGCTGTTTCGACGATGAGGGAGAGGATAGAGAGGAGGGGTTGGTGCGTTTTTTCGTCGACTATGGATGAGGTTCCTGATTGTGTTGGTTAGGTGCTCTCTTCTTTTCGACGCGAGACATATACAATTTCGTATTTACCGAGTTTTATCACGACAGTGAGTTGGCCGGGCTGCTTGCGCATATGGACGGCCATTGCGACGGAGGAGTGATGTATTAACGGCAGGCGCAGACTTTTGGTAGCTAGAGAGGCTGTAGGGGAGAAGAGATAGGTGAGGTATGTTTAGAGATCAGCGTCCCGTCACATACACACGCTCCTTTATGTTGTCGCGCAATTGATGACTGGAACGAGCCCAAGTTTCCCTCACAAGCGATCTTCGGCTCCCTTGCTCGCGGTGACGTCTTCCCTCCGATTGGCTCCCCGCGCTACCAGTTACTTCCCCATCTCCACCTAAACTTTTCGCGACGGGAATTGGGAACACGCCCTACAGTAAACATCGCCGAACATCACACCACACCTCCGCGCCCTTTCACCCCCGCCACCGAATTCGAGAGTCGCATATCACCGTGCCAGACCATGGCAAACTCCGAGACGGCGCCCGATGGCGCATCCCTCGCCGCTATGGCTCAACCACCCCCTCAGAAGATCGACCCTGTCTACTACACATGGAGCAGTACCTTCAATATAATGCTCGGTCGCATGACGGGTTCTCGCGATATCGAGTTAGAAAAGGGTTACTTCAGCGAAATGGACAAGATAAAGGCAGACTCGATATGCAAGCGGTGCGAGTCGAACAAAGAATACCTACTACAATACAGCCCCATTATACGCTTCATGTCAGATGAAGTATACAAACTAGGAGGCGACCTGAACAAGGACAATATACTATGTCGAATGTGCACAAACGAGCAATCGGGTGGTTTCTCCCTCGACCACGGCATCCTCCTCTGCGCCAACAAGTTCCGCAATCGTGGGCATCAAGAAGATACCATGGCGCACGAGATGGTTCACGCATGGGACCATTTGAAGTTCAAGGTCGAATCCGACAACCTGCGGCACCAGGCTTGCCTTGAGATACGCGCATCCACACTTAGCGGCGAATGTCGCTTCTCTAGAGAGTTCTTCACTCGGAATCAATGGCGCATCACCGAACAACTTCAATCTTGCGTGAGGAGGAGGGCGACGTTGAGTATGATGGCGAGGCCAGGGATAAAAGACCAAGAACATGCCGGCAAAGTCGTGAATGAAGTCTGGGATAGTTGTTTCCGGGATACCAGGCCATTCGACGAGATATATCGATAATTCAGAAAAGAAAGAGGTGTGATTAGTCGGTTCGTATATGTTGTACCATAACGGGTGGATCCCCTTTGTAGTTGCGCATAGCGATGGCGTTGATAAGGATGTCAGGATTTAAGGTATATTAGAGGGCGTGGTATTATCCCGAACATTTCCTCTCCGCTCAATTGATGAGTTAGGCCGCTGAGTACAAGTTTTACATCTCATCGCCCAGTAGAGCTGTTTGTTTTGGGAATTCCAAAGGTTGTTTTTTCGGCCCCCAAATGTCTGATCAGGCGACGGCTGTTCATGCGGGGTGGCGAGGCGTATTCCTACCCTGTCAGTTGTTACTCCGCCGCAATGTAATTAGTCTGCTGGATGTGGCTGGACATAACTTGGACGCCTTGAAACACACAGACTTCACAGGTGTTTGTATACAATATGGCTGGAAATTCTGCGATGCTCGCCCGTTCTCCATCTAGTCTGACGTTTTCAGATCTCGCCGTCACAGCCAAAATCAGGTCTCTCAATCTTCGTCAAAATGTTACCACATTCCCTACTATGTCTCCTCCTCGTCGCGACATCATCTGCAGCTTTTATTCCACCACCACGCATCCCCCGACCACCAGAGCCCATCGGACCCGTAGAACCCATGTTTCCGGCACCAGCACCAGCACCAGCACCAGCACCAGCACCAAGACCAGTAGAACCAAGGCCAAATGACCGACCAAACGACAGGCCAGACCCAGAAACACCAGAAACACCAGATGTACCTGACAACAACTCACAAGATTCTAACACATCACATGGCACATTCATTTCGTTTCCGACAGCCACTTTGTCACCTGGACAGGCTTGGAGATCTCTGGCTGATTCCACTCCCACCGCGTCTCCTACGACGGGATCTGAATCTTCTACTACTGCGCAGGCGAGCAAGACGGCGGGGCAGAGTGCTTCACCGACGTCGAGAGTGACGGTACTGGTAGAGGGTGGCGCAGTTAAGATCGAGGCTATGGGGTTGAAGCTGTGGGGGAGTATGGTTGGCTTGGTAAGTCCTTTTTGATGATAAGGTGTGAGAGTATGGACTGATTTCGAGCAGGTCATTGTGCCAGTAATGGCCGCTACCCTCTAGGACTTTCGAGACCGATAAAGATGGAGGTTATGTTCACGCTTGTTTTACACGTCATATACCCTGCCAGACTTTAGGCTTGCCGAGTGTATTTAGAAGCCTTCTTTCTTCTTTTCTATCATTCATAGACCGATATGGATCATGCTTGAAGAAAACTGGACGAAGAAATGCAGTTTGTGAGAAATGCATATTTTGTCGTTGACAGGAAATTATGAAAGTAGTCTTCGACCGTCACCATGTCTATTGGAGCGGCGCTGCGTTCAGTAAAGCGTTCTGGTGCCTCCACATCCTCCATTATCACGAACACCGCAGTCTTGGCATGTTGTAGCCTGCACACTTATGTCAGCATCTGTTCGGCTCAGAAGATGAGGAACAAGAAAGTCGGGCATGCACCGATATGGAAACTAGTGTCGTGCCAAGGCGCTAGTCGCATGGCTCTTTCCGAGTTCACCTTCTCAAATGTAAATCTTTCCTTCTACCAGCACAGCGATCATCTCAGATAAATTACAGCGTTTGCCGTGTATGTGCATTCTCGGTTCTTCTTCGCATGTTGAGATGAATAAGTCTTGGACACCTCTCGTTGATTTGGCATGAATTCGTGGATTACTGTAGCATACGCAATCCCCACCGTCCTGCTTCATTTCCGCGATCAGTCATCTAGTTACCTACGCATTCAAGTAGCTGTGCCGTTGGACGGAATCCATTTCTCCGCGCATTCCCTCCGCCTTCTCCCCAACGTGCTGGTGGCACTTCGGATGAATGTTTCAGGTCGTGCATTCGCAATGTTTCGACCAAACAGAACGCGACTTGGTCCTTTTGCCACGGACTGGCCGGACACGCCCCATATTCTTCCGAGCCGTTCCCCATGCCAGCACTGACTTCCCAACGCCTGGTGGTGGGGCGAGCACCTCCTCTTGCATAGTGCTTCTGTCAAGCCTTGTCTGCACTTGGCTTTAGTGCTTGGAGTGCTTGTGCTTCTAGGTCGGAAATGACGAGGCTTCAGATTTTCTACAGCGCCCCCGCGCAAAATTATGTGGCGACTGGTCGGGAATATGCAGGTGGCCTTTTGGCGGAATATCTGGGGCCCCAACGCCGTGAGAGTATTAATACAGTAGGGTCAAGACCCAGCATGTGCAGATTTCATTGAGGTCACATCGGATCAAACTCTTCATCATGAGATTTAACGGTACTAAAATTACTTTGCAATACAGACCATTCTTGTACTGATGACCTTATAGCTACATCTACGTCATTGGTACTTGCCGCTGTGGGAACAGCATCTGCCGTACCTTCACCTTCTCCAACTGCAACCATCGATGCCTGTCATGTGACAGAGTACGCAGCTATTCCGGCTGCGGCTGAGGCCTGCACTGCAATAATTCTCGATGGCATAACCGTTCCTGGAAAATCAACTATTGATCTTTCAAAGCTGAAAACTGGAACCAAGGTGACATTCAAGGGAAAGACATTCTGGGAATATGCCGATGCAAACTATGCCTTCATCAAGGTGGGAGGATCCGACATTGAAATCACCGCCGAGAAAGACGCCGTACTCGATGGCAACGGTCAGGCATGGTGGGATGGTCTCGGTAGTAACGGAGGTCTTACCAAGCCAAACCACTTTATTGAGCTGAGCAAGGTACTTGGAAAGAGTTCCGTTCACGACATCTACATTGAGAACTACCCCGTGCACTGCTTTAGTATCCAAAACAGCGCTGGTCTGGATATCCACCACATCACTCTCAACAACAGCGCCGGATATGCACCCAACAACCGCTCTAACGGCCTACCCGCATCACACAACAGCGATGGATTCGATCTGGGAAGCACCAACAATACCAAGATTCGCGACAGCGTCGTAATAAACCAGGACGACTGCGTGGCTGTTACAAGCGGAAACAACATCCTGGTCAACAACATGTACTGCAACGGCAGCCACGGTCTTTCCATTGGATCAGTTGGCGGAAAGTCAAGTATGCCATCTCATCAATCACTCATCTTCGACCATGCCCCACTAACTATGGTCCTTAGACAACAATGTTACCAACATATCCTTCAAGAACTCTGTCGTTCTTAACGCTGAGAACGGAGCCCGCATCAAGTCAAACTCGAACACCACCGGTTTCATCTCCAACATCCTTTTCGAGAACATCCGTGTTGAGAACATCTCCATCTACGGCATCGACATTCAGCAAGACTATTTGAACGGCGGACCAACTGGCAACCCAACAAACGGCGTCATTATCCAAAACATCGTCATGAGGAACATCACCGGTACTGCGACAGAAGAAGGAAAGAATTACTACATCCTTTGTGGAGAAGGGAGCTGCAGTAACATCAAAATTGATGACGTCAGTATCACCGGGGGCGGATTGGAGAGTTCATGTAACTTCAAGACTGCGGGCAACTTCGACTGTGATGGACACTTTGTATAAGATCGATATATTTTTTAGAACAAGCGCTGGGCTTGATGTTGAATACATGAAAGAGACGCGCCAGGCATCGTGCGCTCTCATCTGCATACCTCAGGAGAATGACGTGCTAGGAGCGAAATCTGTCGTGTTAGATGGTGTGAACATCGCAGAAAAGGAAGATACTAAGCAGGTACGGACAAACCCTTTACTACTCTGTAGTCTACAACAGTACACAAGAAAGCGTAAGATACTTAAAGCTAACGTAGATTTTTAAGACGACTATTTAGGTTCCTAACAAGTCTGTTATAGAGTTCAATGCAGTAGAAAGTTTATAACTTTTGCACCTGTTTAATTTTACTTTTGTGTGTGATGGGACGGATTGAAGAGGCCGGAGCTTTGTGACACTGGTTGCTTTCGGATTATGGAGCTCCGTGACTTCCGAATGAACTGAGCACATACCCACGTGACCTAAATCCAACGTTAAACCGGCGTCGCGCCACGCTTGTATTGCTTAAATCCGCTCCCACTTAGGTTTTATTCAACGGTTTGAGGAAATGGTTCACGGTCTGGATGATCCCCAAAAGTGCCATAGCGTTTCGGGTTCCGAACAGTCGTGCCGCTTCATCTGGCACGCCCGCCCCACTGTGGATACATTCGACACGACCTGGGAGAAGCGCAATGCTGTTAATTACACCTTCATGTTACCGCACCGTCCGACAACTCATACCAAGCAGCCGAACGCTCTAGCTAAGGCTGTTATCTTGAACTACTGCATTTACCCGGCCTCTTCCTGCCTGTTGTGGCAGACTTCCGTCTCCTTACATTAACCTACACTAGTCGGAATTTCCTTTCACTCCGCGTCGATTACGCGATATCCTCCAGTTACATGGGTATCTTCAGCGATGATGGACTGCAGCAGCCCAACTGCTACAATCACAGTCTCGAAGCATTCATTCGCTGCTACCGGTTATGCACGAGGGACGTGCTTCTGCCGTCAGCACTCCATTCTGTAAGCCACCTGTCTCAAGTTGGTCGTCGTGGGCATGGATGGTACTCGATTCCTGGTTGATCTGCGAGGACTGTGAAGATTGCGACCAAGTCTTGCGTCAGTTTACCGTACACGTAGTCGCTGTGAACGCTTCGTCATCTGTCGCGAACCGCAGGAACTGGGTCTCTGGGATAAGCGACGGCGTGATGCCGATATTCGGCGGGTAGGATGAACAGATAGCTCTTGTCAGGTCCCACCAAAAATGTCACTCATCACGGCACCAGCACGCTTCGAGAAGTAAACCAGCGGTGCGTCATCCAGGTACCGCGCTGCATGCCCCTTACAGGGACTAGTATTCGGATGGCTTCGTTGCAAATGGCCTGTTGCGTTCCTGCGATAGGTTGCGTGCTTCTGCACACCACGTCCGTGCAAATCATCGCCGCGCGCAGACACTTTGCCCGGCCATGTCTCGACCCGAGTCCAAGCTGCCTTTAAACCACGCCGGCAGAGACTTTTGTCGCCGTTACGCACATCATCTCTTGAATTCTTGTCGCGTGCCCTCGTGCTCTTTCAACCCCTACTACGGTTCCTTGCGGCCACCTCAAACACGCTACAGATTGGCACGCCTGTCGTAGCCTCAGCCTTGCCCCAGCTTTGAGGCCAAACCAGGGCAGTGGTCTGTCGATGTTGCGCACGAGCGCCCCCGCGAGCAACCCACAATTAGCTTCTTCTATAATCCTTCCATAGGTCTTCTAGAAGAGTGCCGTTTCCGCGCTCCCCGCTGCAGTCTTGCGTGAGGTGATCCCACTTGTATATCAACCTGTCGCACCAACAGCAGCTGATGCCTGCTCGGATACACGATTATCCATTCCTTGGCCCCTAGTCTTACCGCGACACCTGGATACCCTTCCCCACCCTCTTTTGCACCTCCGCCTGTCGTTCGTTTTAGCTTCTCACTCGTTTGGATTGTCGCGAGGGCTAGTCGGCATGTCACAGTAGTCTTCTGTCAAGCGAATTGAACTGAGCATACGGCTCTGTGGCCAAAATGGAGGACAATCTAGACATACCGGAGGAGTCTATGCGACACATCGAGGCCCTGCTGGCGAGGCATCCTCCACATCTAATTCAGAGAATGTTCTCACAAGCGATAGACTCGCGTATGTTCTTCGCCGTCCGGCTGTATGAGTATGTGCTTACAGACTCTAGGCCGCAACTCCACAGCCTCGTCATTCATGTCCACCAGCACCGCTAGTTCAACTACGACATCTTCGTCTGGGTCATCATGGCGGTCTCGACTTTCTATGGCATCAACCTTCTCGTCGTCCACGGGCAGCAGTGACACACGAGGTTCCGTCGCTTCCTCATCGTCGTCGCGTTCCAGGAGACGAGCGGAACCACGCTCCTACCCAGCTGGTCTTGACCCGACGCGTCCGGTGCCCGCTACCATGCCTCATGTGGACACTGAGAGCCCGCTTGACCTCAAGATCGAGCCAAGCTATACACCGGCAGATGATATTAGTGTTGCTTCTCCATCATTAATCCCGGATGATGACAAGTCTCAGAGTCAGTCTGGTGAGCCGTTCATGTTCTGTACCTATTGCGCCGAACAGAAGAGCCAGAAGACTTTCAAAGCAAAGTCTGACTGGAAGAAACATGAGATGAGGATGCATGAGACTGGAGAGGATTGGCCATGTGTCGTCAACGGTTGCAACCGGATTTTCGACCGGCAAAAGGATTTCATCAAGCATCACCAACGCTATCATGCTGGTCGGCCTCTGCCTTCGTTGACGGATATTGGTATTACCCTACTGCCGAGAAGAGTGTTTGGTTGTGGGTTTGACAAGTGTAAAGAGGTTAGTATCGGATGGGATGAGCGATGTGACCACGTCGCGAAGCACATGAAGAATGGCGCAACAATGGACCAATGGAAATATTCCAACGTCATCCGGAACCTAATACGACAAGAGGCTCTCCACGACACCTGGAAAGAGCTTATAGGTTGCTTGGATGAAAGACTGCGAGAGAGTCGGTCGCAGATAAGTTGGTGTCCCGACAACTCGAGGATCCTTCGACAGAAGCTTCAGTGTTGCGATCTTCGACCAAGCCGAGAAGATGTCTTAATTACCGCCTTGAGTCTTCGCGCTGACATACCGCTGGACCCTGTGCACCAGCAATTACCTCTAGGTTTCGTGACCCCCTCAAGGGATTCCGTGCCCCATGTCGAGAAACTATCACGCGAGCAGCGCATGCACATTCTTATTGGAAACTCCAATCCGCAGCACTCACGAGCGCGGCTTGCGAGCATCAACGCAGCGTTACTGCGCATCAGTAGTTCTCTAGCGCACGTACCTGACTACGATTGCGGCTCGTCGCCATTTGTGGAGCCGCAAACACCCGCGGTGGATACAACTAACCGCCGTATTAGCTACATGGACGTGGACCCTGGGGATTACCTTGACGTAGCGCAACCGGCTATACCTGATCTCCCACCGGTTATGACTACATCCACGATGCATGCACCTCACGTCCACACTCCAATCATGGACCACGAGCAGCACACCCACATGTATCACGACGAATACATGGATCAAGTCAAGGCTCCACCCAATCCATTAGAAACACTGTACCCCAACTATTTCGGTGCTGCTCCTCAATTCGAAGAGTCGCAATACTACGACCGTCCTTCATTCGGTCAGATGATCTCGAAGCCGCTTCATAAAATAGGCAACCGACTCAGCAGCTCCAGAAGCAATACTCATCCGAGACCATCGTCGCAAATGAGTCAAGGACCATCAGAGATGCATCCCGACTATGCCGTTGCGGCAATGGGCATACGCCATCCTCATCAGCATCCGCAACCCCAACACCACATTCAGCAGCACCACCAGCATCCTCAACAGCACATGATGGCCCAACAACCGCAACCCTACCGCGACTCGACGTCGCAACTGCATGAACATTTACACATGTACACGACACAGAGCTGAAGAGCCGACGTGCAACGAACTTTCCTATATGAGCTATGCCCCATACCTGTTTCATTTGTCATTCAGCGAGCATTAAGAGTTTTGACCCTGTTTTTTCTTTGATACCCCCGTGCTTTCGAGCACATGTGATAGACGTGTACTATAACCATATTCGTAGTATAGAGCCGTTACTGGAATAACGTCACTCAGTCTCTCATTTTTCAACTGGTGCTTCCGTCCTATCCGATTGCCATTATGCTCATCTCGAGATCCAGATTCATGTGCGATGGACTAAATGTTGAAGGCATCAATGAGCATGAAGTTGTGGGAGCCGACCTGCCACCGGAGCCCTTGGAAAAGTTTGTCGCCACTATGGCGCATATAGTGGCCTTCCACGAGCTGGTGCGATTGCCCGCCATGTCCCTTATATACCAAATGTCTGTAGCAATATTGATCCGATACAGCTAATATAATCAGAAACTTTCGTCTGACGACATCAACAACAAGTTCCGTGCGAAGACATCTGTTGAAGACTTCGACAACCGCGCCGACCTAATCAAGCACAGACGAGCGAAGCGTCGTTTGTAAGGCTCTCATGCTCTGGGACCATGCCCTGAAAATGACGAAGACGAGAATCTTAGTTCACTGAACACGTCTTCGTCCGACATTGCGAGCAGCAAGAGTCCAATACCATGAAGTTATGCGGGCAATCGCAGCCAAATTGTCAAACGCAACGGCAGGAACAGTCAAGAGATTGTTTGAGCAGCAAAAGTACGAGTTCGACTGCTAAATGGCCCTACAGTTTCCCGTACTAATTAACTAGCGATCACGGTATTAGGACGCTTTACCCTACATAGTCTGCTAGGGTATTAAGGGATGGGATCTAATCACAGATAGGGACGATGCTGCGGCACTCAAGGAAGTATAGATGCAGCCTCACGATAACCATACCAAACAGGAGATGTCGATGTTCCGGGACAACAGAGCACAAGTCGCAAAATTTTAGCCGCATCGAAAAAAATGATAGCAATTACCCCCCAGTATTTCTTGGTTCTTACGAATACACACCTTCCAGTGATGGAAGGGAGTGGGCAACACGTGACGTCTAATACATGGTGTTACAGTATACTAGGAAGGATTCAAACAAGTGCGGAAATAATACACCTACCCCTGTAGCCTACAATAGTGTGTAATAGCGAAGCTTACAAAATGTAATCATATTGTAGTCATCGAGGTAATTTATTCTGTCGTAAAAAACCTTTGTTACGCTATGTGTACGAGGTTATGAACAAGATTTACCAAGTAAAAAGTGTTTAGTTTTTGCTTCGAATAAGGTGGTGTCAAAGCACACAACCCTGTCTCGAAAGGGTCTCAGAAGGGATCGGATGAGGTAACAAGCATGAAGTCTCTTTGGTAGCTGGAAGAAATATGTAGCAAGGATCAGAGACCTCTATATGTGAGGTTCTCGTTACGTTATTTGCATACGACAAACCGTCCTGATGTGTGCCACAGTACTAAACCCTGTATGCCATGAGCCCTGCAAGCTACTGTTGCCTTTGAGATGTGAGTGGGTCACAGTGTGTCTACCATGGATCTGGGTATTAGCAGCGGATGCAGTTATGCAGGGAAGGATCGCAGAATTCGATATAAAGATAGGCGCAACATGGTTTGACACTGGGGCTACAGTGGGCTTTTGCATGACTTCTGGCTTACCAAATTACCCTGGCATCACGGAATTCGCCGAGTGAGTTCATCCAATGCGTATTCCGAAGATCATACGTTGTGATTTGATGTAGTGAGGTGATATTAGGGATCCAAGGAAATGCGAGACACGACTTGATGGACCGATTGCGAGCGTGACTGGCTTACCAAACACGGCGTCTGACAGCTCTTGACGCTATCGTACATCCCCACCATATGTCTGAGCGCGGAAATGTCATCGCTGGACTTCAGCTGGCAGTACTTTTTCGCTACACCCCAGTGAAGACCGATCATCTGCTCTCAGTGAAGTCATGACACCCACTCTTTGAGGCCAATCGCCTGCTCCACAAGACTGGCATTACTAGAAGATACAGCACATGTCTTCAGGCAAAGACTTGGACTGGTGGACAAGGCTCTGCCTCAAGACATAGCGGCACCGAAGCTCGATGAAGGCTGCCTCGGCAATCCTTGTAAGGCTTACCCTGCTGGGCGGGAAGACGGCTATGCGGCACCTCGAGAGATAAGTTCGTGGACTCCCCCATACAACGCCTCATCCATCATCAACATGTTCGCACGCTGTGAGGGCGTGAAAGTACCACGGGGTATGACGGAGAGCTGTGATTGGTTGGGAAGATAGCGCATTTGTGGGTGGAGCGAGCGATCTGGGGTTATCAGAAATTTCGAAGGAGCGAGGACCGTCTTGGCCTAAGCCTGGGCGGACTGGGCGCCAAGGGAACGTGGTGTAGCAACGAAGTCTCGTTCGCCCATCATGACCTCGTTCCACCAAGGCGATGGCGAAGACAAGCGACAAGGCACGGCGGACACTTGACGCGACGCTTGCACGCCATGCTCGTGCATCAAGTCTTGGAGACCCATTGTAACTGTCTACACCAATCGCGTGCCCCGTTTCCCATTATGGTCACCCACGGAGCGGCGCTGGAGGGTCCAGAAAAGGCGACCTGTTGGGCTTCAGACCACGGCCAGAGCCGAATAGCATGATATTGTGGCTTCGATGATCCACCGCGCTTCAATGGGGCAGGCAAGACCGCCCGACGTCCACAAACATCCACTGTTAGTGAAATGTCATCTCGCCGCCAAGACCCCACCCATCGGAACGTATGCTGTGTACTTAAACTCCTATGCACTCGACCGGTTGAACACTTCCTCTGTCAGGACACCTCCAACACCCTCAGCTTTACCAGTCAACCGGCGCAACTGCTCGCCGCCCTACTCCCACAATGGCTCCCGCCTTGAAGAAGTACGACTGGATCCTAGCGATCACCACCATCGCCTTCGTCGCCTCATCGGCCTCAAACGGTGCCAACGATGTCGCCAACTCATACGCCACATCTGTGGCTGCGAGAACATTGAAGATGTGGCAGGCTGGTATCCTGGCTTGTTTCACTGAGTTCCTTGGTGCTGTCGCTCTTGGATCCCGAGTCACTGGAACTATCAAGAGCGGTATTTTCGCCCTCGATACCTTCAAGCCTGTGCCTGCTACCCTCATGCTCGCCATGGGATGCGCCGAGGTCGGATCCGCTGTCTTCCTTACCGTCGCGACCATTGCCGGTATGCCTGTTTCGACCACCCAGACCGTTGTTGGAGCTCTTGCCGGTGCCGGTATTGCTGCTCAATCACCTCTCAGCTGGGGCTGGAAGAAGGGATCCATCTCCCAGATCGCCGCCTCATGGGTCATCGCACCTTTCCTGTCTGCCGCTTTCGCCGCCGTTCTCTTCTTGACCATCAAGTTTGCTGTCCACAACCGCAAGGATCCCTTCAAGTGGGCTATGCGCCTGATTCCCTTCTATCTGGCTTTCACCGCTGGTGTCCTCGCCCTCTTCATCATCGATGAGCTGCCAAACGGCGAGTCTCTCGAGGAGATGGGCCCTGGCAAGGCCTGCGGTATCATCCTCGGAGTCTTCTTCGGCATGCTCGCCATCTCCTACATCTTCTTCATTCCCTACTTCACCCGCCGCCTTGTCAAGGGCGACACCAGGCTGAGGGCGTGGCATCTTCCTCTCGGCCCTCTTCTGTACCGTGAGAACCCTCCCATCTACTTCCCCGGCAAGGGCGACCAGATCGTCACCGACTACTACGCCAAGTCAGCCCCAGTTACGAGTGAACAGGAGAACCTCAAGGGCGAGAAGGCTGTCGGCCATTCGACTTCCGTTGACAACAAGTCTTCTGGCGACAGCGACAATATCGATGTCGAGGGTGGCCGCGGATTGTCCCGTCCTCTTCCTCGCGAAGGCCCGATTGCACACATTATCCCCGCTACACCTGAACCTGAGGAGCGTTGGTTGAAGCCCGTCGAGCACCTTCCATTCTACTCTCCAAAGAAGATCGCCAACTGGACCAAGTTTATCCTACTCCAAGGTGTCTCCCGCGACGTCGTTACCCAAGAGGATCTCGCCGATGTTCACTCCCGCGCCATCGTTTACGACAACCGTGTCGAGCATCTCTGGACGTACGCCCAAGTTGCCTCCGCCATGATGATGTCTATTGCCCACGGTTCCAACGATGGTAAGCCAAGTTCCCAAATCTTCTACCTCTACACATATGCTAACTACATGTCACAGTTGCCAACGCTGTTGGACCCTGGGTTGGTTCCTACAACACTTACACCACCGGTGTTGTCACCAAGGAAGCCGACACTCCTATCTGGATTCTCGTCGTCGCCGGTCTTCTGCTCGGTATCGGTTTCTGGTTTTATGGCTACCATATCGTCCGTGCTCTCGGCAACAAGATTACACAAGTCTCTCCTACTCGTGGCTTCAGCATGGAATTGGGCGCTGCCATCACCGTACTCCTCGCCTCTCGTCTCGCTCTCCCCGTCTCCACCACTCAGTGTCTGACTGGTGCCACTATCGGTGTTGCGCTCTGCAACTTCGATCTCAAGGCTGTCAACTGGAAGCAAGTTGGTTTCATCTTCTCTGGATGGATCATTACCCTGCCTGGTGCGGGTCTCATCTCGGGTCTTTTGATGGTCATGGCGCTCAACACGCCCCATTTCTAGGCGCTTTTTGCCATTGTTTTTAATTTCAGTTTGACGCCTTTCTTGTAACGTGAAAAGAATGGTTGGGTTAGGGTGCATGACATGGGATGGATGATACCAATCGTTTACTGTACCAAATTGTAATCTATAGAGTACACACACACACACACACACACACACACACACGTCGAGCCTCGAGAATAACATGGATGTGATGACTATGCGACTTTGCAGTACATCTCGAGAAAATGGGTCTCCAGACTAAAGGCTTTCGTTTCATTTGAGATATCATGCCACAAATTAGTCATGTCCAGGTAAAGTATGTAGTCGAAGATTACCGATCATGACTAACCGTATGCGAGGGATCGGTTTCTCTCTCGGTCTTATTCTTTGTCCACATACAGCGAATCACCTTCAAGACTTCTTATATTAGTAGCAAAGCTGGATTTCACATCAAATGCGGAAATGTAAGGGTAGAGCAGCAAAAGACTGCAAGAAGAGTCGGTATTCCCCGTAAAGGTACAGAAACCTGTACAACATGTCATGGCCCCAGTCTAACTTGACCATACATGTATGGAAGCTAGGACACAAACTCCATGCGCCCTTCGCAAAAAACACCGCCAGCCCCAGCGTAGACAGGCTTCAGGGTCTATGCATTACATCGTAAGAGAAGTGGGAGAAGCGAATTAAAATAGCGATAAAACGGCAAGGGAAGTGTGGCTGCTATACAGCCTGCTTGCTCGATTGCTGAAGTTCGTTGACAAAAGCGTCGTAATCAGCGGATGAACCTGAGCCTACTATGCTGGTAAGCCATGGATCGGACCGGCTGCTCTCTCAATAAGCGTTTGGGTTGGGGTAGAAAGAGGACGACTCGGGGTGCTGCTGACCTTGCGGTGACTCGTCGATCTTTTGGCGCTTCTCTGCGTAGTCGTACGAACCTTCAGAGCTGGCGTGCTTATTGCCAGATGCGCCATGTTGGGCTGCCGCCGCAGCTTGCGCCGCCATCTGCAGCTCGCCAATTTGGCGCTCCGAGAGTCCTCCATTGTTATTGCTCGAGGCTTGCTGTTGCTGCTGCGGTTGCTCCGGTTGTTGGGGCGGCTGTGGTGGTTGCGGTTGTTGGTGCATGTTTGGTTGTTCGTGTGGCCGATTGAGATCTACACCGGCCGGGGCAGGTGGGATTTCGCCTTGGGTTTCGAGTAGTCGCGATTGTAGGTTGATGATGTAGTCGCGCAGCTGGTAATTTTCTGTTTGGAGAGTCTTGTAGAGCTCGCAAAGTTGTTCAAACTCCTTGACTTGATCCTTGAGCTGTTTAATGTACTCTTCCTTGCGCTGGCGGAATGCGCGCTGGTGGGGTGTTAGTGTGGAGCATGAGGATGCGCGCGATGGACATACCTGAGCAGCGCGATTCTGGGCAGCACGTTTCGACGTCGACAACTCTCTCCGTCCCTTGGAGCGACCCTCGCTCGTGTTCCCGTCATCAGGGCCGCCTTGGCTCATGTCGTAGGCGGAGCCCCCAATGGCCGGGTCGATGGCGTGCGGTGGGCCAGCAGTGTGCGGGTGCTGGGAATGTTGAGGGTGTGGAGGATGCTGGGGGAGGGGCTGCACATTGGGCTGTCCAGCGCCGGCAGCGAGAAGATGTTCTCTTAAGCCTTCACGACGATACGTGTTAGTAATCGGCAGGAGTGTAGGGATGCGGGGGGCACTAACTCATCTCTATGGTCGGCTTGGATTGATCCTGAATTGGCATGTCAGCAGGGCACGGTGTAAACAGTCAGCAGAGCTTACCTGAGCAGCAGATGCCTGCATGTTATACCCAGTGTCAGTTTGGATCGAGGGATACAGGATTTGGCTCATTCAAGGCGCGTCGGACGGGAGCACTGCAGTGAGGGTGTTGTGGCGTTGATTAGACAGTAACGTGGGACTTGGGGCTGAGATGCTATGTCGCTGTACTAGGCTAGGCCGGGACAGTTTGCGCGAAGATGCAGCTCGAGGAAGCTGTGGGAAAGCGATATTACTCGGGGTGGTGGTGGTGGTGGTGACGTCGCGACAATGGGGGTCGTCAACTATGGCAGGCTGCAGTGCGTGAAAGGGCGCGCCTGTGGGAGAAGAGTCAGCTTCATCAGTCGCAAGCGCCAAGACATGCGCGCAGTGTTGCGACAGCATGTTGGTTGCGCGTCTCGTGTTGTAGGGCGATGGGGCAGCTCACCTGTATCGTGATGATGCAGTTGGTCGAAATGTGGATTACGCAGCTTTGACTAAGAAGAGACAGACCTCGGGGCGATGGCGCTATATGTAGGGCGGCAACTTCGGCCTCGCGGGAACCGTCGACGACGACACTGCAATGCCTTACTGCACTCCGCTCTCCTCATCACGACTCGCCGGAGCCAGCTGCATGGAAATAAACGCCCTGCTGCCATATCCTGCCTGACTCCGGCAAGGTTCCGACGAGCTGTGCACCTCACCCGACCATCCACCTGCTTTTTGCGACGCTGATTGCTTACCAATTTCCCGACCCCGACCATCTGGTAGCCGTCAAACACATCTTAATCCGTTTCGGGCTAGGCCCCCATGACTGATTACTGTATACGGGATACATAGCTCTTCAGATCCGAAGGCTCCGTAGGTACCGAATGCAGGAGTTATTGGGCTCTGAGATCAGGATGTTTGCTGCTAGATCACTACTCCTTGATTTCAACCTTGTTATGCTGATGGCTTCCTGTGATGATGAATGCTGGTACTATTCCCGTCTGCCCCTCGAAGCACATATGCAGCATCAGCAGATGATTTACTCCAAAGAGTTTTGTGATACTGCTTGCAACTTCCCTGGTTCCCTGCACGAGTTTTAGCATCTCACAACAGCAAGCATCTTGCTGAACTTATTGGACAGTTAAATGGCCGTTGGACAATCTTGGAGATGCTTGGTCCATGCGCATTTGCAAGGCGCATCGTAGCAGTTGTCTCCTACTCCGCTCTTCATTCCGCAACGACTTTGCATCTGCTGTGCATCTTGCAGTCAACGAGTCTTCGCTTATCGTTGCTGTCCATTGAGAGATAAGCACTGGTCTATCAACACCGCCGCATTTGCATTCAAAATCGACATCAACACCGGGTAGCGCATCTACAGCATGACAAGGTCTCAGAATCTTGCTCGGGCAATCCCGTAAGTCTAGGGGTTACTTTTCCGCCACCGATAACCAAGCCACTCCCTCGTCTCACCGGCGCCTTGACACCCACCTTGATGACCTCAGAACTCAAACCCATCTAACCCACGAATCACAGGCAATCGTACCAAGCATTGTGCGAGCATCACTGTCGCACCAAAACGTCTTTGCTAATCCGCCGCGAAACACACGGCCGGCCGAGACAAGCTATCGCATTACCTTACACGAAATACCTACTCGCTACGGGGTTCCGGTCATCATCTACAGGCACTCGTCCGTCATCTGGTCCGGCCATGCAGTCGCAACAAAATACACCAAACGACTTGATGTATGCCGCCAACCAACCCGCTGACCTGCCTGAGCGAGTAGAAAAACTCGCTCCCGCATGGCAGGTCGATGCCGCCAGGAAGAGTATCACGCGCCAGTTTACATTTGCTGGGTTTGGAAAAGCCTGGCAGTTCATGTCGCTCGTTGCGGATGAGTGCAAGGTCAAGAATCATCATCCGAGATGGGAAAACCTGTATAACGAGGTTACGATTGAATGGACTACTCACAAGCCCAAAGGACTGAGTATCAAGGATGTTGAGATGGCCGAGTTTTGTGATCAGAAAGCAGCCGAGATTGGGTTGAAAAGATCATCGAAATGATCCAGCTTAGATCTCAAGAGATCTACAATATTTCGAATGCTAAGCCACTGGTAAAAAGAACATCGAATGACTCGATAATCTTGCCGTTGATCAGTGAAGTGTACCATTGGACGCGGAGATAAGATACCTCCACGCTTGAATTGGATAATGTTAAAGGGCCGGCTCATCAAACACATTCGCGAGATCTCACCTCATCGGCTTGTTACGTGTCCATCACTACACAGCATGGTATCTCGTCTACCAAATCATGTTCCCCATTTCCGCTGCTGACACACACTCCCGCATAGCGTGGCAGCGAACTGTTCAGAATATCGCCTTCGTAAACACCATAGTTCTATCGCGTCTCTCACAGATCCGGTTTGTTCAGGAAGGTATGGACTTCAATGAATTGGGTCATCTATCCGCCCCATTCATTATGCCTAACTATCACTCGCTCTAAGCATGTCTCGCAACGTCCTTCTAACACCCGACTACCACGCTAACATCGTCCACAGCAACATTCCAACCACCCTCGTCCTCCACGCCATCGCCCTGCACACTAACCGCGACCGAATGGCCAACGCCTCCAATCACATCCTGCACTGCGATCTTGCCGCCGACTTTTGTCCAGCCTTTCCTCCCAATTCCTAGTACCGCTTTTCCACAGCTGACCTGGTCCAGAAAAATCTCAACACGCGTCTGCCCACTCGGTCTACTCCCCTTAACCCATGCATAGCAATCCACCATCGCACCGCTGGGAAGCTGAATGTAAGATTGCGATAGTGTGAGCGTCGCAGTCACCTCTGAACTATTCGATGTCGCGGCGTATACATTGAGGCCGGAGTGTGCGCCAGTAGAGGAGGAGATGCCGCGAGAGGACCACGACCCTGTCACCATGTCCATCCATGCAGGTAACAATGAAGTTTCAAAGGAAGGGTTGATGAGAGTATTTGGGCAGCCCTTTGTAGAGAGGGTCTGCTGCGGCGACGGCAGCGGGGTGGCCTGAGTAGTCGAGAAGGTGATGACGGTGCATAGGAGGAAGAATACGAGCTCCTGCAAAGCCATGGCGATGTATGTTGATCGTGAGGAGATGTTATAGGGCTGATGAAATTTCGGAGACCTCGAATCCTTGTTGCTAAGTGGATTCGGTACTGGTACACTCTCCGCGTTCGCGTGAGCAGCAGATAGTCGAGGCGCGATCACGAGTGAGACAACGCTCAGATGGCGTGTGCGACGTGATTATGGGGAAGATATCGGCGCGCCCCAAGGGTAGTTGTTCTAAATCAGCAGGCTAGGCTTCTGAAAAGTAGTGTGAAGCGTGTTGTTAAGTGTTGCGAGTGACGTGAATGAATATATGATCTCATGGGTGATTGGTGAATACAGGTAAGATATTGACGTCGTCTTTTCAAACACGAACAAACGCAAGGTAAGGATATAGGAGAAGGTGAAGGATCCCTCAAAAGCCATTGCGCCTGCTACAGACATATAGCATTGTTGGCTCACGTCGCATTCATCAACACAAAAAGCACACTCCAGTTTGTGATCATGTCAAACAAGCTCCAGCTGGCAAGACCAAAACCTGATCGAAAGAAGCTAAACCACCGTGCAACGGTATTGTATATTGTACGGCGCAGCAACAAATACATAGGAGATATTCCTAGTGTTGTCGTTGATAGGGTTGGACGGTTGGTAAGAGGCAGAGGTGGCGTAAGCCTAAGCGAAATTCACGGGGCCGTTGCGCATACGCTTGGCACCACTCCTTGTTGTTGTACTGCTAAACTCAACAGTCGCGCTATGTTACAGCTCAAAGCTTCTCCAGATGTCGGAGATTTCAATGACGAATGACAGGGTTTGAATGCGAATGATGGGCGAGCTTGGAGCGTTTTGGTTAGGATTCTCTAAGCCCATGGAGACGTGTTCCGCAGGGATTGGATTGTGGGAAGCGACACAGAAAGGAGGTCTAGAACTGGGAGAGAATAGAAAGGAGAAGTAGTGAGCTTTGTCGGATTGATGTTATTGGATCTTTGTTAGGCCCGTGGAGGATTTGGACTCCCGGGCCCTCTGCTCATAGCGGCGTACTTTTGGGGTATATGGAGCCATCGATGTCAACCTCTGTGGCTGTCAAAGGCCGCCTGGTACGCTTCTGTCGCATACTGATGCATTTATGATGTCCGCCTCAAACGCCGACCGTGCAAACCGTAGCCTCATGTCGTCATACTGTAAATCGTGTCGCTCATGCAGGCTGTTCGTATGCCCTCTTGATGACCCTTGCGAATTCTGCAAGGTTAGTTAGCAGCGAATCAAGGTATTTGGCATATAGATAAACTTACGATCAAACTTGACATTCTCGCGGACAACGGTGCCCTTAGCCTCGTTGTCCTTGTTGATGGGTACCTTGATCTTGGCACCATCGATGTTCCATCCGCACACGCTTCCGACAAAGTTGTCAAACTCGCTTCCGGACAGGTTCAACCATGACTCGAGGATGCTTCGGTCAACTTCACGAACCGCCTGGCTGACAGTCGCGGCAATGCGTACGCGCATCAGCTCCTCGAAACCTGAGACGTCGGCAATCAAGTCGGCGTACAGGTCGTCAGAGTCGAGTGTGGACCAGAAGGTAGCGTAGTCGGCACCCTCGAGCAAATTCCTCAACTCATTGAGCTTCTGGACAGCTTCTGATAGCGGCGCGTCGCCAGCAGCTGGGTTGTGTAGTGAAGATGAAAGAGGGGCTAGGACGTGTGGGGGGAGGAGCGAGAGACCCAGGGAGAAGTCGGGGCTGGGGAAGACGGTGAGAGCCTTGACGAGGATGTTGGTGATGGTCTCGTCACGGGCGAGGTGTGGGTTGAACTGGTAGCTGCAGTGCCGTGGTTAGTGAGATGTAGGGATGATAGTGGAAGTACAATAGCAATGGCAGGAGAAAGCTGTCAGATAGAGCTAATAATAAACTTCAGCGGGTGGGGGGATTCATTTCCCATCCCTCGGGTAATAGGAAACGTTGTGGTTGTTTCTTCATCTTGTAGCATAGGAAGAAGAGTAGGAGGGAAGACATACAGCTTCAACAGGGCGAGGTTGGCGTAGCAGTCGTACGTCTGGTTCTCGCATTGCTGCATGACATAGTCCTGGAAGACACCCGTCGTCTCTGGGTTGTAGCGATCGAGTCCATCGAGGATCTGCTGCATGTGATCCGGCCGCTCAGGCGCGAGGTCGAAAGGGGCGCCCATGGTGGTTGTGTGGATGAGCGACGAAGAGTTGGTGTTGAAGGCTTGGTCAAATTCGCACAGTGCGACGAGACGGCGCATTGGCCACCGGGCAGCCCCGCGTCATCTTCAAAAAAGTTAGACCCCGCCAAAACAATCCATCTCGACGAGATACACCAAAATGGCGCCCTACGACAGCGACTCCTCAGACGGCGGCGATGACTACACCGAGACCAACGTACTGCTGGGTTATGCGACCAAGGAAGTCACGGGCGACGCCGTTTCCCATATTGGAGGCGCACCGGTACGCACATCATCCACCTTGCCTGGAAGTCCTTCTAACGACTATAGTAGGGCTGGATAGATGAGAAGACTGCCCCTTCGGGTGCCTTGGCAAAGTGCAAAGTCTGCAACGGCCTTCTCAGCCTACTCCTCGAACTCAACGGCGACCTTCCTGACCAATTCCCTGGTCACGAGCGGCGACTTTACATCTGGACATGTCGGCGCAAGCCATGTAGAAGAAAGGAAGGTAGTGTGAGGGGCATTCGTGGAGTGCGCATCGCCAAAGGCGCCAGCAGCAAGGGTAGCGCTGCCAAAATCGAGAAGAAGGAAGTCAAAGAGGAAGAGAAGCCCCAGCCCAAGATAGGCGAGTCGCTGTTTGGGGTCAAGAATGGGACGAGTGCGTCGACACCCGCGAACCCGTTTTCGAACCCCTTCTCGTCCAAGCCGAATGGTGCGGCATCGGCGAACCCTTTCTCTTCGCAGGCTGGAAGTGCCAACTCCTTCGGCGCGTCGACACCCACACCCGCAGTCCAAGTCAGCGAGCCTGTAGAGAAGAAAGACGAGGCTTCTACGACCCTGCCGGAGACATTCGCATCCAAGGTTCGCCTATCTTCACCACCTCCCTCTGAGCAACAACCCCCACGTCCACACGAGCCATGGCCAGCAGATTCGGCCTTCCCTACGCCGTTCCCACACTATCACCTAGACGCCGAATACGAGACGCTAGACGCTCCGTCAACACCGTCGATACCGGCGAATGTGCGAATGGACACAGACACCGAGGGTAGCGGGAGTGGTGGTGGGAAAGAAGATAAGGAGGTCTTTGAGTCGTCCATGGACAGGACGTTCCAGAAGTTCGCGGATCGTATCGGAGAGAACGCCGAGCAGGTGCTGCGTTACGAGTTCAAAGGAAAGCCACTTCTATACAGCGACAACGATGCCATCGGCAAGCTTCTGGGACCACATTCAGAAAACGGCACGTCGTCGAATGCAAAAGTCAAAACAGCGGGCTCACGAAGTGGAGCTGGCTTTCCTCGATGTTCGACATGTGGTGCGGATAGGGTCTTCGAGGTTCAGTTGACACCACATGCGATTACCGAGCTGGAGGCAGACGAAATGAGTATCGATGGCATGGAATGGGGCACTATTATCATGGCTGTATGTAGCAAAGACTGCAAGCCCAGCGACGTTCCAGAAGGCGAAGTCGGATATGTGGAGGAATGGATTGGAGTACAATGGGAGGAGGTTGCTTCGAAGAAATAGGACGAGGATCACACAAGATACCAGAGAAACGGTGAACGAAGCAATGTCCTTAATACCCCCCACGTTTGAACTTTTCATGCTGCTACAGCCGCTGCAACTGGTGTAACCACCCTTGTGATCTGATCACCAGCCCTAACGACACCATTACCCTTGGTGTCTTTACTGGCTCTCTCAACACCTGTTTTCCAGACTTCAACTTCCTGTCCGCCTCGTAAAATACCAACACGCATAGTCGACAGCAAGTTATGTGCGGCATTGGAATGTTCATACACCCCACCATTAAAGATCGCTGTAGCATCCTTCCCAACCGCACTCTTGATCAGTGTCTTACCACCAGGATGATCGGCAATAAACGGTGAGACATCATGAATTACACCAGCGATGGCCACCAAAGCGGCACCATTGGCGGAAGCCTGGGCTTGGAAGTCATCCCAACTGATGACTGGCAACTGAGCTAATGGAACACCCCAATCAAGCGTGGATCGCTTCTGGTCGAGTGCTTTTTGTTGCTGTTGGAGTCGGCCTTTCTCAATTTCATTGGAGCGGAAGGTCTTCAAGTCGTATGTTAGAGGAAAAAGAGGGATTATGGACATGATCCAGATGAGCCACTTCGTGGGGTCGTATTGGTACCAGATGATCGCATTGCCTAAACTCACTGTTAGTACCAGTACTTTCATGAAACCCTAAGCAAGATAGACTTACGGTAATCAGATGGGAACTCATGATGGAAGTTGTGGTACCCTTCGCCCATCGTCACCAAAGCGGTCAACATATGATCCCTTGGACTTCTTCGATCATCGAATGGCTGCTCGCCAATCCAGTGCGCGAGACTATTCACACAGAATGTGGCTTGCTGCACGAAACACGCTCGTATTATGCCAGCATATACAAGTCCACCCCACCAGTCACCCCAGCCTAGGCCTGCTACTATCGCAGGGAAGATCCAGGCAGCGAAGAGAAGCAGTTTTCCATAGTGCCTGTGCTGAAACACAACGATTGGATCGCTATCCAGGTCAGAAATGTCTGTACGGCCTTTGACTTTGGGATCGTTGTTGAGAACCATCCATCCGATGTGAGAGAATAGTAATCCTCGCATAACCGAGTAGGGATCTTTCATCGTATCCGTCCATCGGTGGTGAGCGCGGTGATTGGCGCTCCACCATCGGATGCTGCCTTGAATTGCTCCTGCTCCTGTAAATGCTAGGAACAAGCGCACGGGAAGGCGCGCGGAGTAACAGCGATGGCTCCATAACCTATGATACCCGCCTGTGATACCGAAAGCGGTCATGAAGTAGTAGAGGATGCTCCATAGCAAGGTTGGCCGAGTAAGCGGTGTCGAGCGTGCTAGGTAAAGACCATAGGTTGGAACAAGGACAACGAGAGTAGTGTTGAGCCAGTTGATTTTCTTGTACCAATTTGCGAAAGTAACGGGTTGAGCGGATATGTGTAGCTCCTTCGGAATGGAAGGCTTACCCCCCACCGAAGGATCAGAAACAGCCATGACAGGCGACGTGAGCTAGTCAATCCCACAGGAAGGAAAAAAGCGAAATGTGAGGCAAGCTGCTTTACAAGCACTACAGCTCTGTATATGTACCTCCTCATCTTCACACGGAACGTTCCGAATACACCACTTGTCGGCCTTAATCTAGATGCAGGGCAGAACGTGGTTCTTTCAGCCCCATTGTCGGTCAAAAGAAACGTGCGTAACGGCGAGACGGTCACGCCAAACCCCCCGATCCGGATTCCTCGGGCGTCGTGTAGAATCTATAGCTCCAATGCTATTGGTTGAGCAGAGCGGTGGGATGAAGCTGATGAAGTTTACAATGCCGCGTATGGTTAGTAGCATGCAGGAACCTGGCCGTTCTTCGGCTACTTGGTGACTGCCTAGGTACTAGCCTGTTTCTGGTGAGGGATGCGAGTTTTCAGGGTAAGATGCGACAGACTTGGCGTGGACTTCATGCCACCTCTCAACTCTTAAATTTCGTGGTAGCTCCGCTTCTTTATGTACGCTGCTGACGGCTATACTTCTTTCAATGTCTAATCGCGAGTTGTAAGGAGCAGCTTATCATGCGCGCTACTCACAGCGATACTCCTTTCTATGTTTAATCGCGAGTTGTAAGGAACAGCTGTACTTCTGGCGATTTATATTGGTGAGTTAAAAGGAAAGCCTATACTTCTTTCAAGGTTGAATCGCGAGTCGAAAAGATTGGACGGCTTATGCGTGCAGTTATCTCTCAGAAGTGGTTAAAAAATTGGTTGACGTGTCCGTAGCACGCTCAAGTAATTGAAGATATGTCACCCAAAACGCACTAATTCCTCTCCTAGTATGCGAGCTGGCTCTGCCCTGCAGTAGGAATGTACGTAAAAGGCTCGCTGCAACTCCTCGAATGACCGCGGAAATCTGATCGACGATGGTAGTACGCAACATACCCACCATGCATCCTTTGCAACCGCTTCGATTTTTTTAGTCTCTCAGATCCTGATTTCCGGTCTCACCACCCTCGCTAGGGCTCATCTCGTCCTGCTCGATATGTCCAGCCGAAATCATGCAGTCCCAAACCACCTTCACGTCTTGAGTCTTCGCCTTCTCCATCATGGATCTCATAATATCTCGAAATATAGTGCTCGTAGTTTCCAGTTTGTCCAATAACTCGTAGCTGCCCCGAAGAACATACAAGTCGATAATGAACCTACGAAGGGTGCAGGAACCAATCGTCTTCCCGTACACATGTAGCAAGATCTTGTGATGGGCCATTTCATTCATCTGCAAGCTGCAGTTGATAATTTCCTGGCGCACAACTTGCACAAACTCTTTGTCTTCAAGGAACTCGCCCACGACATGCGCGTCGATCAGTTTGAAGCAGCGGAGTTCGTCGTTTCCGTTATCCATCGCATAGGTCGGGATAGTGCGTTGGTAGAGCCACTGGGGGTATGTTTCGAATCCGTCTGGGTCGACGTCGATGATAACGACACTCCTGAAGATTGAAGACGTGACCCACTCCGCACGACATGTGGGACAAGTATTGTTGGTATTGCGCCACTCTCTCAAAGACTTTCGATGCAGGTTGTTCCCAAATGTCTTGCAATAGGCGAGCCTTGCCGTCAACGCATGCATATCTTCATGACATAGGACACACTCGCCCTCAGTATCTTTGCATACTTGCTGGAGCCTGTTCTTGAAGAAGGTGGATTGCTTGCAAAGCACATCTTCGTGCGCAGAGAATGAACAGCGCTGCGGGCCTACGTGTAGGTGAAGGAACCTATCATCGAATCTGGGTGGTTTATTAGTCTGTGATGTTGGCATGAGAGTGTGGGCTGCTTGCAAGATAGGCTGATGCTTCTTCGCCTTGTTGGCTGCGCCGCGAGCTTGGGTGACGGTCATTGTACCTCGCGTTGGTGTGAGTTTCAGAGACTCGGAGCCTATCTCAACTTTTGCACTATGGGTGCGAATCACTTCGAAGGTAGATTGAGGCGTTGTGTGGCACAGGTCTACTGAGGAGAGAGTACCGGAGCTTAAGTAAGACTAGCCAGTGACCAACCGTGCTGATGTTGGTGCGTCGTTGTGATAGAGAACCAGCTTTATGCGAAGTCGTGGGTGAGTGAGTCTGGAACCTCACGTTCGCGGCCTCACCTCATATCTATCAGCGCATAGCCATCCCACGAACGAAGGCTATCATGACTGTCTAATGCGTGCGCATCCTCATGAAGTGTGCGGATTCAACAAACCCTTCTTAAGCGTTGAATTATGGTCTTCTGATGGTTTGGAAGAAGAAGGGGGCTCAGTCGGATGATTGTCAGAAGGTAGCTTTTTCTTTCACTACCAGAGAAGGCGATGTAGACGAAAGCGATAACCACGCTCTACCTCTCTGCTCACTTCGATAAGCCACATTCCAGTTCGAGAGCGAAGAATGGCTGATATCATCAATGTTCAACTCTTCTTCCAGACGTCTTTGCTTTCTCATCCTACGTTCCCTTTGTTCACGCACGACTCTAGCTATGCTAACTCCCTACGCGATACCACATCGCTTCAGATAAAAAAACTTTATCTTATGTAGCTTTGAAACATCATTACAGCTATACGTGAACATCACTGTACATTTGTAGAATATATGTACAACAGTATGTATATTACTGCTTTTTTCTAATCGTCACGCCTTCCTTGAGCTCTCATTAACTGACCAGCTAGCGTTGCCAGTGCTACCTTCCAGTGGTCCCGGCTACCATTGCAAACGCGCCCACGCTCCTCATAGAGCAGTCTCTCAATTCTTCACCATCATCACTCTTCGTTAAACTTCATGCTCACCATTTCATTCTTCTGAGTCTCAACGCTCATCGGCGGCTAGCTCACACCACTGTTATACCTGTATATCTTGTACCATGCCAGCAACTACAAGAGTCAAACGACTGAAACTACAACATTCTACATCTAAAAATCGCCTCGAACCAGAAGTCCAACAGCACGCACGATCTCTCCAACGCACTGCGAAAATGACAACCCATGCTGATCCCACTCCAATGGAAATCGACTGCAGCGAGCCACCTACTGGTGTGGACCACTGCCCCGAGTCACCTGGAAAGAGCGATTCTGGGAAGAGTGACATCAGTACCGTCTCCTACACTGATGACTTCGAGACGCTACCTTCAAGTGGTCCGACTAGTCATGCACACATCATCGACCTCGTCGAGTACGCTGTATCCATGAAGGAAGAAGGGCCGCTCAAACTCCAGGATGCGATCGTCACTACTCTCTTCAACGCTTCCCCAGCCACGCTTGGTTCGTTTGTCAGTCCTACAGTCAACACCTTCAAGGCTGTGTTCGGTACGAAGGATGTCCAGTTGGTCATCTGGCGCAAGGGTCTCGAGGTATTCGTAAGTCATGACATCGCCCACTAAAGCTACAGTTACTAACATGCTTTTAGATCGGCACCTTTGAGCACCACAAGTCGATGAAATCATATCGCTTCGCGCACGTCGCCGGCTTTTTAATCGGTTACGATGGATCTTGGCATCTGAAGGTCACCGCTAGTAACGCATACTCTGCGCCGAAATGGCCGGATGTGTGGGCTGGCAAGTTCGAGTGTCGTGGCGGCATTGCGAAGATGACGATTGAGAACAAGGAGATGGATACGGCGAAGCGAGCCTCGGCTTTGGCGTCTGCGGTGATCGGCGGAAAGTACTGGGAGCTCAAGTCTGATATCAAGATGACTTAACTGTATGAAGATCAGGGTGCGGAATTGTCATGGGCGAGAACCCGACTAGAATTCATTGGGGGGTATAATCTGGGATGTATTTGGGGTGCATAGTATGCGATGTTTTCGGAATATGGATGCCTTGTAAGTAGGTAGCAGGTTGTTACGGTAAATCTGAGAGGGGACCCTGTCAGATGCGTGACCTTCAATACTGTATAGTCCGCTGGAACCATCCGTCGTATTTCGGGAAAAAAAATCCTAATTCTAATGATGGATAACATACCTGCCAGAGAGACTTGATACTGCTTCGTACTTCCAAACTTGTCCCTTCTCACGTTGCCTTTGTATCAGACGATCATCCATTCCGCACTCTTCTACCGTAGCTTTACCCTCTAAACCCACCCAGTTGGCGCTCCGGTTCCACCTCCACCGCCTCAACGCTCTAAACCTATAGCCCCAAATCATACAGTTCCTCCAGGTGGGATCATCGTCTTTTTTAGATGTTTCAAGTAGGTGGTAGCGCAGTAGGGAAAGGTGGATAGGCAGGGAAGGATGCCGATGATCGTTTGTTGCTGCAGTTGAGGGCAGAGAGCGGTGGGGCAATGGGTGGATAGGTTAGTAGAAAGGACGTTGAACCTAACGATCAATGTGTCACTAAGCTACTGAAAGAGGTGAGCAATGAGATTCATTGTATCGAACAGTATCTAAACATAACAACAAGTCGCGTGCATTTTGTGAGAACGCTCTAGTGATCGGTGTGGTGTATCCAACAACCTGTCTATCCTGAAGTTCGCCCATGAACGCCGGTTATCTAATGCATATGCCAATGCTAGTAAGGTCAAAACGTGTGTCATGTAATCACCAGCTCCCTGGTCCAAAGGTCTCGCCTTGTGGAACCTCCTTGTATGGACAGGCTTGCCAGTCACAGCCCTACGGAGTGGTTAGCATATGCATCGCACAAAACTGATACGATTGTAAGTGCCTTACCTGCTTGTAAACTTCCGTTCCCCACCACTTGAAGTTACTCATCCATCCCGGGTACACGATACCAAAGAAGATGACAACCACACCAAATGCAAGACCAGAGTCCAAGGCCGCGCTAAGCATCATGTTGTATTTCTTCCACCAAGCATTTCTCCGGTTCCGGATCTCGTAGTTGAAAATGTAGCACACAATTGCCCACACGGAGAAGTTCAGGCCGGTAGCTGGCGGAATCCAACTCAAGCTACCAAATACAACAGCGAGGTTGACCTTGCTAAGGATGGACTTGCGGTCTCCGCGGGCAAGCCACCAGACTATGACGGGTGCTATGGCACCGACGGGGAAGGCCCAGATCAAGTGTTGGTAGAGTGCGCCGGGGCCAAAGAATTTCCCTGGTCCGACGACGCCCCAGAGAATACTTCCGTTGAAGTGGACGCGGGCGATGGGGCAGTTAAAGCCATTGATGGCCTGGGGTGTGCAGATACCGGGGATGTAGTTGAGCATCCAGTTGAGCACACCGATCTGCGTAAGACTAGAGACGATGGTGACGGAAAGTTGGAGCTTGAAGAGGATTTTGGGAGGAATCTTCATGTAATGGCCAAGCTTTAGATCCGAAGCAAACTTCAGACCCTGCGTAGATGAGATGTAGCCAAAGGTTGTAAAGACCATGTTTGCAACGGGCCGACCGGGGAAGATGACACCGCATATCAGTTGGCAGATGAGGTAGATGCTGCTTTGTTGGTTCGTGATGGCCATGACGATGCCGATGGGGACGAAGAGAACTGCGCCGATGCCAAGTGCTAGCAACAGACCGTACCAGGGTAGGTGAACAGGGTAGTACTCGACGACAAACATGCCGACGGCGGCCATACTGATACCTGTTAGAAGGTACCAAGTTATTGGTACATCCTCGTATTTGCGCATGAGGCGGTTGTGCACATCTTCAGCAGATAGTAGGTCTTCTACGTCCGGCTCTGATGTTGTACTGGGCCTGTGACGAAACATTGCTGGGGAGGTTGGGCGGTTGTTCCCGTCAGCGCCGTTCACTAATGGCTGATAGTCCGCTGCCGACTCCTTACGGATTTCAGCCCAAGAGCGACGCCATTGCCTCCAAATATCCTTTCCGTACCACAGCCCAGTGTGCGAAAGTAAAGCAGTAAGGCCGGCGAATTGTAGGGCATAGCTCAATACATAGGTGATCGGAAGATAGACGCGGCTGTATTGTTTGTACGCTTCTTCGTCGAAGAGGAAGTTCTCGGTCAGAATTTTGCTGACGTCGTACGGCTTCCCGCGATTGTCCCATACCGCAGATGAGAGGATGGGCATGTACGAAGAGTAAAGGACGTTCTTGTAGTCTGCATCTGTTAGCGTTGGCAACCGTAGTTCCATAGGAATACTCACACATGATCGGCGCTGCGATCCACATAACTCCGACAAGCCCTCCAAGAATATTCATGGCAGCCCAGAATGGCGTGATTAATGGAGAACCAATATAGGCAATCTGTGCCCAGTCAAAAGTCACTGGGAACAATCCAAGACCGGATGAAATTCCAAACTGTAGAGGTCAGCACTGTTTCCATTTCAACGGGGATCGAACATACAAGGTTAGCAACGACAACACTCTTTGGCGCAAACCAGGTGATGATATTGAAATAACTCAATGCTGGGAATAATAAACCTGGTAGGAAGTAGAATGCGACGGATCCTAGGAATATGCGTTTGAAGAACTTGCGCGGAGCGATGGTCCAGCCATCAGCGGGCTTGTTTTCGTCTTTATGCAATGCGGTAAACATAGCAGTGGATACCAGTGTGCTTGGCCATATCATACCGCTGGGTCGGACCAGATAACGTCTGGTAATGCCAGCAAGGGAGTAGCCCAGTATCTGAGTGGAGAGGATAAGCAGTACTTGATACATAATGCCGAGGTCTTGCTTGTAAAACTTGACCTGTTCGACGATGACCTTGTGAACATCAGTATATGTTTGTTTGCTCACTGCGCCATTGATACTCACATCAGTCGCGAAGGCAAAGCCGAAGGATACATTACTGCTGACGTATACGCAGCAGTGTTCCTTTTCGTTCCAGCGGCCTTGAGCCAGCCAAAGCCGTAGCCGTCGTGTCCAGGTGGCTTTGGCTTGTGATGGTTCGGAATGGTGTGAGGTTGTTTGCACGCAACCATCCATGAACGTTTCTTCAGGGTCGTCGTGTCGTTTCAAGAGTTGGTCCCAGAGCAGACCGAGAGGATGAACGAGTAGTAGTGCAATAATAGGAGTAAGACTAACGCTAGGGTATCGTAGGGAAAAGAACAAGTTGGTTGAAGAACCAGCAATGGAGAACAGAATCGACAGGAACCACATGCGCGGGGTATCAATGGACAGGGAGATGTTGTCGGTAGCAGCAACGGATGCCCTGACTTGAGCGTAGGGCGAATTATCGGACGGGTTACCCTTCATATCGTGTAGGTCGTCGTCGGAAGATTCATTGTCGTCTAGCGTACTGCTCGAAGAGGTTGAGTTGTCAAACAGTGGCGCACCAGCTGTAGAAGGGTCAAGACCGCTGGCGTTGAACCTAGCTTCGAAACGACATTCCTCCTGGCCACTAGAGGCTACACCGAGCGTCGTGCTGCTACGATCAGCGTCACCCGTCCTACGACGTGACTTGGTAGCGCGTGAAAGGATTGGTTCACTCCGTATCGAATCATCGTGATTGTGATCCGAGAGTAACGTAGGTTCACTATGCGAAAGCCTGCTCTTTCCTTTTTTCTTTCTCGAGATGTTGGTCACGTTATTCTCATCAGATTCCTCTGGACTGGAAGAAAGAATAGGTAGGCCGCCATACGACCCTGGGGTTGAAGTTAGCACGTGTAGCGAATGAGGTTCTGTGCGCCTTGTGCATCGTGGTACTTGTGCACGCGTCTAGAGCCGAGGGGGGCGATTGACGACCATTGCGCTTGACAGCAGTCAGTAGTTTGCTTACCTGTTCCCTGCGCCGGGCTCGATCTCACCAGAAGAGGTACTCTTGACATTGCCTTCTTGACGGATCGTGTAGGATTCTCGGGGCGGCCAGCTGGGAGATCAAGATCGTCATCAGGAGTCGTTTCGGATGTGGCTATGTTCCTGGCTTTCTTTGCTTTCCCAGGCAGAACCTGCAACTCGTAGTTGCCTTTAGAAACGGAAAGAGGATCGTGTCGCGTGGTTCCAGAAGGACGGACAGACGAGGGAGCAAGCGACGAAGATGACCCGCGCCCGTCCTCGTTAGCCATATGTATGGGTGGGTGTGGCCAGGGGCGCGTGTACAAGTGTGTCCGTTTGTCGCGCCAAAGCGGCCTCGCGCGACGTCGGAATCAGATGATCAGATAAAATCACAGGTTTGCCATGTATTGGGCCATAATATTTTCGATAATCTGATTAGATGGAAGCGCGGAAAGCGGTCCAGAATTAGGTGTATGATGAAATATTACTTAAGTCATCCAATGGCGAGTGCAGTGTCTTCACGGTAAGCGGTTAGATCCGGACGACAATGTGGAGTTGCCAGGAAAAAGGCTCCCACGCTGCTGCGCGCGGGAGCCGCCTGCATACCATCACACACCTGCATGCCTCATTATCCTGGTACACTCACAGATCAACATTGCTTGACAGCTGCATGTCCGCGCGGACAGAGCCGCGACATTTGCATTCGGAAATTTACACATTTTCTATACAAGTTCAAAACGCTCGATGTGACGTCACCTGTTCACATCAACGTGACCGGGGATACCCACGTGGTTCTCGGCTTTGTGACCAGCGGTGAGGCCCTCAACCATAGCAATAGCGCCCTCAGTGTCGTCCTTGTTGTAGAGAAACAATCCCTGTAGCGCTGCAGTGCTCACCGAGTCGACGAGGCCCAATTCTCTAACTCTAGCCATAAATCTCTGCTTCGCTTCGCCGCCCGCGTCGAACTCGGCATAGAATCGGTCCCAGAGCTGCTCGATCTGATACTCGGTTGCTTCACCGAGTCTTACCGTCATATCCACGCGCCCTGGTCGGATGAGGGCTTCGTCTAGACGCTCGACGTGGTTAGTCGTCAGGAAGATGATGCGCTCTTCGGCACTGGCAACACCGTCAAGGGCGTTGAGCAATCCAGAGAAGGTGACAGAGGCGCTGGCAAAGCCGTCTGCGCCAGGCGTCTTGCGATTCATGAAAGCGACGTCAACATCTTCCAGCAGCACTACTGTCCGTCGCGGGACCTTGGTTAGCAGATGGTTCAGTCTATCGTCTGTGAGACCGCGCTCGCTGACGTTCAGAATGGCAATGTTGAAATCGAGATGGCCTGCAACAGCCTGGATGAAGGAGCTCTTGCCTGTACCCGGAGGCCCATACAGAAGGTAACCTCGCCTGTACGGTATGCCACGGTCTAGATACCACTTGCGTGACGAGATGAAAGCCTCCATATCCTCTACGATGCGCTCCTTGACGCCGCGCTCCAGGACCACAGAGTCCAGGGGTCGCTTTCGCTTGGCATCTCCAAAGGGCTGCCACATGGTTCCCATGGAGTTGTATATGACAGTCTTGCCCTCCTGCGACTGCTGGTATATTTGGTGTGCCTCGGCGAAGATGTCTTCGAAGATGTCGCGGTGCGAGTAGAGGGTGGTGAGGTTGATCGTCTCGAAGGGCACGCCATCCTTGACGTTCAGACTGTTGCGCTCGCGTTGCCTGTCCACCAGGATGAAGGCGTTCTTGTAGCGCAGAAAGTGCTTGCCCGGGCCTGGCACAAAGGAGAAGTGGGCGGCGTGCGAGGGTCCGTCCTGCGGCGTGTACGTCTGGACTTGGAGGTGGTGCATGCGCGGATCGATGCGATTGAGCACTTTGGAAAGGACGCCGTTCTGGACAAGTGGCCTGGTGCCGGCTTGCTGTGCCCTGTGGTAGTTGGTCATCCATTGGAGGACCCACGGATAGGCGTCGTCATGGCGAGTTATCTCCAGGTCGACCAGCATGCGGCGCCGTACGAATGCAGCGCCATGTTGGAGTCCCTTCTGGCCAGTGCGCGCCGCAACCCCAAGCGCTGCGAGACCGAAGCCCTATGGCATCAGTGAGCACATGTTCCCAAAAGCATGCATCAGGCCCAAGGTGAATCATACGGCGGTGAAGAAGGGATTGTCGGTGATTTGGGAAAAAGGCGAGCTGAGGCCAGGGCTGCTACTGCCGGCAGTGATCTGCTTGGCCAGCTGGTGTTGAGGCGTGTTCGGTTCCATGAGCTGCTGAGAGGCGCGCCTGTCCAGAAATTTGATACGCCACGGACGCTAGCGCGGGAACGACGCCCGTCCGCGCCGCCCACCCATCATGTCGCACGGCAAACAGCTCCGAGTGCCACAGCGCTTGTTTGCAACGTGGAAGGTGGATGAAAACCGGCCTTGTCACACCATCACCTTTGTAGTGCAGACGTCGCCAAAAAAGAAAGAAATAAGACGTTGCTGACTCCATGGTCAAGACACAGCTGCATGAGCAATCCGGGGTCGCGTCGCGGAAGGCCATCCATAGCGCCTTCCCGGCGATGCGGAAAGGTGGAGCGCTAAGGCGCGCTTAGACCTGGACCCCCCCGTCACTGATAACTATCACAGCCTGCCCCATTCACAAGACATAGTCCTGAACCACTTCGCAAAGCCGTCTTCGGCCTTGAGCGTCCTGCTCTTCTTCACCTCTGCGCCATGGGTACCGTAACTATAGGCAAATCCTATTTCGACGCTCTTCTACGCAAGTAAGTGCTCATACAACTTGAACTGCTAAGGCGCCAGACTGTTTGCTGATGATATTGCTAGGGCCAAATTTGTCGGTATTCCCCCAGACAGTAGCTGTGCACGTCATCTTCGCGATACTGACCTCTGTCGGCAGCATGCTTCCAATCAGCCTGTTAGCTACGGAGCTGATCTGTCGGATAATGTCACCATTAGCAAGGCAGAACATGAGTACATGGTATGTTGTGTTCCGCCCAGAATAGCCCAGGGCAAACTATTGTTTCTTCATGTTTATGCTCGCACACTCTCACCCTCGTCTTACCCGCTCAGATGCTGACGATTAATCTTTTGCAGATTCAAGCAGTGAGAGAATATCGTACGTACATTACTGCCTCGAAGCAATACTGCTCATCTCTGACTGTGACTAGATCTCCTCAAGAGCGCCCTGTTCCGTGGAGGCCTGACGACGGAGACTTTGGAGACGCTGCTGCAAGGCGAGAACAGGACTTCAACTGAACAACCGTCGAGCTACGATTATGTATCGGAGCACACAACTGCCAGATCAAGGGAAACTCCAATAGCAGGACCTACACCAGTGCGCTATCCACAAGGGTCGGACCACACCGCTGTCGGCCACGGTCTCCAGCCTAGGCCCTTAGGATCGTTCCATCGAGTCGCAAGCTATGACGAATCCGAGTCCTTCACTGGCGACCCAGACAGCCCACCAGACGAAGATGACGATCAAGATCGAGGGCCAGGTCACCGTATACCACTCCATGATCAGCGCACTGTACTGGTTACTAACCTCTCCGAACGTACCACGCATAAAGACCTGGCAGGCATCGTCCATGGCGGAAGACTCTTGGATATATTCCTCCGCAACGACCGATCTGCTACCATCTCGTTTGTTGAAGGAGCCGCGGAATTCCTGGCTTACACCAAGCGCAACGATGTCTACTTGCATATGAAAAGGGTACGTTATGCGCCGTCAGCAGGACATTTGCAAAGCTAACCATGTCAGCTTGAGTTTCGTTGGAGTGACCGACAGTTCCATGTGCCACCCCATGTGTCCAACAAAATCGCTGGCGGCGCCACGCGGAACCTGGTTGTACGAGGGGTTGCGGCTAAGGTCACTACAGATGAGATCCGTGACCAACTCGACCACATCCACAACCTCATCGTGGTAGACATATACTTCAGAAACGGCGATGCGTACATCTCAACCAACTCCATTCACAATGCTCTGTTCGCTAGGACTTGCCTGATGTCGCGTAGCGTATACAAGGGCACGCGCATCGAGTACTATCCGGATGAATGCGCCGGTCCACTACCTCAACCCAAGAAAGCCCACACTCCCGTGGCGCGCGTACCTATGAAACCTGCGCCTCTAGTCAACCAGTATGCTCTTCTGGACACTGGCTCAGATGATGACTCTGAGTCCGAAGAAGAGTCGTACGGGACCCATGGTGTGCAGGTCGATGGTTGCCACTGGGCTGACGGTGTAGTAGCATAAACAGCTTCCACACACATTCATCACCCATCACAGCTCGGCGTGCCCCATTGGGTCGGCGAGGGGTTACGGTGTCTTGATCGGGCCTTCTGCTCATACCAAGTTTCCACGCTCTGCGGCATTTTTCGAGCAAACTAACGTACATTGTCATAATCCAATTGTCGGGGGTGGAGGCGAGACCGATAGGAATTGTAATACGGGTGTGTTGGCGAGGAACATGTCGTATCGTACAGCTTGTCGATCATATAGTTCTGGACAGGTGTTGGTTAAAGTATGCTTCTTTCCTATATAGATACCCCTCAGTTACTTCAGAACATGATCATTTTCACTTATAACATGCCAATCTACCCCCATAGGAATTCCGTGATCAGCGCTGCTTATCAAGATGTTGAGCATCCTGGACTACCTGGGTAAAAGGCTTGTCTTGTCTTAGCGAGCACTAGCCCTGCATCGGTATGCGTGTGTCAGACGTAACTATGTCATACGTCCTAATTAGTCGCACTTCAAAGAACGAACGCAACCTCACTACAGCAGCCGTGCTAATCTTACCGAGTAATATCAATACATTTCACAATATACAACATGGCATCGACGATCAAAGTGGCTGTTATCCAACTCTACCCGAAGGTATCTAATGCTCTACCCCACACTACATCGTATTTCTCCCTTACTACGCCCGTTATCATTCATTTAAAATCTTTTTCAACAAATGAAGTCGCTGACTAACATTAAATAGCCCTTGCAACCGGAGCATAATTTCAGCAAGGCTGCTGAGTTTATCCGCTCAGCAGCATCCCAAGGTGCTCAACTCGCCGTCTTGCCTGAATACCATCTCACAAACTGGAAGCCCAACGACCCAGAGTTTTTGAACATCGTTGAACAATGCGGAGGGTATCTGGAGAAGTACTGCGAGTTGGCGAAAGAGTGTAACATCTGTATGTCTAGAGTACTCCCCACCTCTTCTCCACCCGCCAAACTAAGTCTTCCTCCCGCCCAGCTATTGTCCCGGGAACGATAGTAGAATCCCACAAAGAACACTCGGCAGCTGAAGACAAACTCTTAAACGTATGCTACTTCATCTCCCCCTCGGGCGAGATCACAGGAAAATACATCAAGAAGAACCTCTGGGGCCCCGAACGCGACCACCTGACTGGCTCAAGCCACTCCCCCCACGAAGTCTTCGACACGCCCATCGGAAAAGTCGGTCTGCTAATCTGCTGGGACCTCGCCTTCCCCGAAGCCTTCCGCGAGCTCATCGCCCAAGGCGCTCAAATCATCATCATCCCCACGTTCTGGACCCTCAATGACTGCAACGCCGCGGGTCTCGCACGCAATCCTGCATCGGAAGCACTTTTCCTGGATTCAATTCTAACGGCACGCGCGTTTGAAAATACCTGTGCGGTTGTTTTTGCGAATGCCGGAGGACCGCCTGGAAAGGGGTATGCGGGGTTGAGTCAGGTTACTGTGCCTTTTGTTGGCGCGTTGGGGAAGCTGGGAGGGGCGGGTGAGGGCATGTGCGTTGTGGATCTGGATATGCAGATACTCGAGGATGCTGAGAGCAACTACCAGGTGAGGTCAGATATTGCGAGGGGTGATTGGCATTATGTGTATAGGCATTCCAAGGAGGGGAAGCTTTGAGGATTGACAAATTTGGAGACCGTCGTTGGTTGTGTAGGTCACGTCTATGTGCGAGTGAATCCTGTTGATGTTTTTATATCATATTTACAAGTTTTCATGATATGTGCAACGCCGAAACTTATGTTTGAGGTGGCATCGAGAAAGCACTAGCCTAGATTTGGCAAGTCTCTCCATGGGTGTCGACCAAGGTCGTGAAACCAGATCAAACCAAGTGTATTTGTTTCGAAGTATTCTGTACAATTTCGACTAGCATCGAATTCACCAAAGATTGAAAGAAATGGTATCAAACAAAGGTTCCAGGAAAGACATCCGTTAAACTCCAATCCGCTAAAACGCTGGTAGCGATGAGGTGCCTAACAGCGCCCAGCGCCAACCCCTTCCCAAACTATTCAAACGCCGATCGTCTTGGATGAAGGCGCGATTATTCAGCACCACCCCATTGATCCGGGCCCAAATGCAAATACCTGAGCTTCTTCACATGACGCGCGCAGTCTGTGCTGCCCCGCGGTCGCGGTCGCATGTCGGCATCCGTCTCTTGTTCAGCTTTGGCCGCTACCACTGGCTTCACTGTCTGACCTCTCGTCTTTGCGTACATAGCCGATTTCACTCGTAGTGACGCCGTGTTCATCCGTACTCCACGTCTCACCAATGACGATGACCCGAGTCTTTCCTTTTTCCAAGAACTTTTCCTCATCTCTTGCCATGATGGCTGCATTCTCTTTTGCATATATCTTCTTGTAGAACTCTTGAAAACGAGCTTCGCTATCAAAAGTCATCTCTGCAATGCAATCACAGTCTAGTTCGTTCATTTGGCCTCTTAGCATGAGAGGTGGTCGGTCAGGATTTGCCGGACCACCGAAGCCTTTCCGGCTAATCCGCGCGAGATAGCGACGTTTGAAATCGATCGGCCAACAATTTGCGAGCAGGGAATGGGCCAGGGGAATGTGAGTATGTTCATAGTGGTCTCTGAACTCTTCCGAGGTGAGATTGGAGTTGCGCGTGACGAAGAGGACGACGGTGTAAGTCATGATGGCCAACGGGAGGCAGCTCAAAGGGCGGGTAAGGTGTTGTGGCGCTGCGACGAGAGCTGTAGCATGGGTTGTAAAGACAGTGGAGTTTTGACAGCGGCTGTGAGTGCAGGTGGCTTCCAGAAGCTTAGTGCAAGGGAGACGACTGGCTTTTGTAGTTTTCTAGCCACAGTCGATGCGAAGACATCATAAATGGCACCGAGCGCGCATCAAGCCTCCGTTGTTGATTCACCTGACAGTGCATGCTCTAGGGCGAAACTACGGACCCGGCGCCGTCAATCGACACGGGCTCGCGAGGCTTTCTGGCGCCATCACGATGCTCAAGATACCTACCTGGGGTGATGTGGGTTGCCGGTGAATCGAATCAGGACGAGTACAGGTTGGAGCCAGCGCCGTGAGGGTTGAGTGGAGTGGATTCTGGCGCCCCCTCCCAGAGGTGATCCCGGCCGCGCCTGCCCTTGGGTGTGCTTGGGTGCTATCGATAGCAGACTGACGCTAGCAAGCGCACAGAACGCCAAATTTCATGACAAAGCGGGGAGCAACACCACGACACGACTTTCACCCCTCGAACAAGCACCCGTGTGCCGTCGCCCGAACGAATACCCAACATGAGTCAGTCGGACGTCGAGGAGGAGGCCATGGCCAACGACTACCGGGAGCAGGTCCAGTACGACGGCATGGAGGACCTCGACCGCATGCCCTCGATGAACAGCAACCAGGACATCCACGCGCAACTGCAGGCCGCTGCAACGCCCCTTGAATTCCAGGCGACGCTCGAGACCAAGTTTGCGAGTTACGACAGCTACTGCAACCTCTTCCACTACATCCTGAACTCGGAGGGCCCCGTAGACTTGGAAGTGCCAAACGTAAGGAAAACCGCGACAGTGGGAACATGGCAGGGCTAACACTGCGGACAGTACTACTGGGCGTGGGATGTCATCGACGAGTTCATCTACCAGTTCAACAGCTTCTGCAGCTACCGCCAACGAGTCGCCCAGAAGAACGAGAACGAGGAGGAGATTGCGCTTCTGCGCGAGAACCCAAACACATGGGGCTGCTACAGTGTCCTCAACGTCCTGTACTCGCTCATCCAGCGGTCACAGATCAGCGAGCAGCTTGCGGCGATGAAGCGGGGCGAGGACGCGAGTCTGTATGCCGGAGAGTACGGCAACAGGCCGCTATACAAGATGTTGGGATACTTCTCCATCATCGGTCTGCTCCGCGTGCACTGCCTGCTCGGAGACTTTAGTCTGGCGCTCAAGACGCTCGATGACATTGAGCTCAACAAGAAGGCCATGTTCGCCCGTGTCATGGCCGCACACTTCACCACATACTACTACGTCGGATTCTCCTACATGATGATGCGACGATACTCGGACGCCATCCGCATGTTCAGCCACATCCTCGTCTACGTCTCGCGGACAAAGAACTTCCAGAAGAACGCACAGTACGACTCCATCACCAAGAAGAACGACCAAATGTACGCACTTGTCGCCATCTGCGTAGCCTTCCAGCCCACCAGGCTCGACGACACCATCCACACTGCTCTGAGGGAGAAGTACGGAGAGCAGTTCAACAGGCTGCAGCGCGGCGGTCCCGAGTCTCTTCCTCTTTTCGAGGAGCTCTTCCGCACTGCCTGCCCCAAGTTCATCAGCCCCACACCTCCCGACTTTGACAACCCAGAGGTCAACATTGACCCCGTCGAGCACCACCTCCGCATCTTCATGGACGAGGTCAAGAACAACATGATGTCGCCTACCGTCAAGAGCTACCTCAAGCTCTACACAACCATGGACCTCAAGAAGCTTGCTGGATTCCTCGAAGTCGAGCCGGAGAAGCTGAGGTGTTGGTTGCTCGTCAACAAGCAGAGGAGCAGGCAAATAAGGTGGACCGAAGGTGGTCTGTTGGACGGAGATATCATCCAGGCTAGCGATCTCGACTACGCCATGGAGGGTGTAAGTACAAGCATATCTGGAACGAGGGATGCATCTGCTAACGAATACCAGGACCTTATCCACGTTTCAGAGGCAAAGGTCGGCAGGAGGCTTGTAGACTGGTACCTCCGCAACTTGGCTAGGACGTACTAGGGCTATCACGAGTGTTTTCTGAGAGCGACTATTCACATTCGGGGCTTAGCCACAATAGAGCATTGCGCTTGGAGTTGGAGGAATTTACGGCGTGCATCGAAAAGCGTGTTTGCGACATCTGAAGATACGCTCAGGCAAAGGGAAGGCGAATATAGGGCCCGGGCCAGGGTTATCCATGGCCAGGTGGTGATACCGCCCGCGTGGGCGAGGAGCGGCCGAAGGAAGGGACAGGATGAGCGAGCGAGCCAACAATGGGCTTGCAGAATACCAAATAAACTTTGCGGACTTTCAAACACGCCTGTGCGAATTCCATGTGCATGTGTGAATGCTTGTTGCAACTTCATCGTGTGGGGAAACAATAGGTCTCAGGGCTGTGTTAGCAGACTGGTACATGCTAGCGCAGTGAGTGGACAGGACGGCACCTCAGCAAACTCCGCTTCTGTTCGACCAACACCATCCAAACAAAGTCGGCAAGCAGATTCCAAGTAAAGCGCAAAATCGCGTTCGGACCAAGCACGTCCGGAAAGACCATGTCAACAACGTGAACAAACGTACCTGCCCCTCTCGGTCGCTCGTGCGCTCCGCTGATGCACTTTCCTCCCATCCATATTCTTGGACAACAACCACCACCACAACGCCCAACCTCTCCCTTCACCGACTAGCACCAGTTACTCGGCGAGTAGACGATAGGAGATAGCACGTCTTTTACGGACAGTCTACGCTTCGACAAAACATCACCACCACATCACTCGAGCCCAGACAACTACGATGGCTCCCGATCTGAGTGCCGTGCCTGTATCGCCCCATCCGGGTTCTACCAACACAAGTAACCCGTCGAGCACGCAGCCGGCGTCGGGCTCGCTGTCACGTCGAACATCCACAACAGTCTCTAGGCGGGCGTCACAGATGGCTATGAGCCCTCCACCCCTGCCTCTAGCATCGCCTGGAGGTACCCTACCACCGCCCGCCCACTCAGCATCACAACATGGATACAGTTTCCCACCGCTCAGTCCCGGCGCGAGTGGCTACATGCAGGCCAGCGCCGACTCCGCAGGCGTTCCGATGAGACACCCACGTCCCATGACGCCGGCAGAGATGCACCTGGAGCTCGAGAAGGAGCAGGAAGCAGTCGTCAACCGCTTGACGCGTGAACTCTCTGCTCTGCGCGCACACTCTGCGTCTGTAGCATCGACAACTTCCATGTCAAGCGCCGCAGACTCATCCGTTGCCCACGCCGAAGCTCCAACCGGTCCGATGCATCCCACGTCCTCCCGCCGCCACCGCAGTTCCTCGAGCGTCTCTCGTAGCGGTCTGCCGCCGGGTCATGTCCCGCATCGCTACTCTATCTCCTCCCAACCAGCGACCGGCGATCCCAATCAGCGAGATCACCGTAGCTCGAGTGTTGTTAGTACCCCACGCTACGAGGAAGTTGCACAACACAAAGCGGAGTTGGAGGAAGTCAAAAAGGAAAACGAGGCTCTCAAGCAGCGCATCCGCGACCTGGAGCGCCAGATTAGGGGTAATAATGATGCTGATGGGCAGAGGGGTAGGAGGGGCGCACCGCAATCTCAGAGCAGCGGGGTTGGCAATGCTTCTGATAATGCGCAAACCCCTTGCTAACACAACAGCAGTTTCGTTTGAGATGAGATGGAAGAACTATCCAGTATTAGCCGTACAGACAGTTATCGCAATTCATGCTGAGCGATTGGAGGGGTACGCACGACATACGACATCTCATTCCAATCCTACTATCATTCAGTTCAACAAGCAAGCTAGACACACACTACATTGATAATGGAGATAACCATCAAGTTCTTATCCATATACCCCCCGAAACCTTCTAGTTTCCTTCTTACCCTATCTAGGTTCCTTATCATATGCTTGCTTGTTCCGCACAAGGCGGACGACTGTGGATCCAGAGCTAACGCCGCTGATCCGCACGTATGCGCTTGATGGACCACATCCCAGTGTCGATCTAGTTTCTACGGCAGATCACTCTCGTGGGATTTGAATGACATGTGTGCACGACACATTGTGGCGTACTTGACAGGTATGCGTTTAATGCCTCATGCTGTGATGCCTGAGAAGACGGGATGGGATGGGGTTACGTACGATGTAAGCAAGTAAACCCCGCATACGTCATCAAGACGAGGCACGGGTTTGAAAGTGCTATGGACAGCTCTCACTTCATGGGCTCAAGGTAATTACATGTAAAGACGGGAAGCTGAGTCGGTCGTGGTATACTCTGTATTTGGTGATATTTCTGAGACGATATATTGTTACTCCGAACGATACATTCGACTAGATTCGACGTTCCAACGCCTCTTAAAGTCCTAGAATAAATACCTATTCTGGAGCAACATGACCTGGCTCGCCAGCCTACGAGGTAAAATGAGTAGCAGCACAGAGAAGCGTAAGAAGAGCGGACACGTCGACGATACATCCAGTACGCTACGTCCATGCATTCCATCCACATTCTCACTTTTGTTAACTCTTGCTGACACCATAACTAGCTCTTCAGTCGCGTTCAACAGCATCTACAGGATGCGAACAACCAGCACCACCAATCAACCCTTTACCCTTGACCTCAACTCCCACACTTCCAGACCCAACTCCCTCTTCTCCACCCCCAACAGTCCAGAAACCACCTCTGTATCACATACCAACCGACATTATCATTGCGACGGAAAAAGGTATGATTGGGGGTTCTCTCTGTGCGACCATACCAAGCTCCTCGTCTACGGCTTCGAGCCAGAAACATGATTCTGAGGCTAGGGATGTGGATACTCCTCCTGTGTTGACAAGGGCGGAGGAGGCGTGCAGTGGGGAGGGGAAGAAGAGTAGTTTGGTGGGTGGGGAGAGGGAGGGGGGAAGGTGTGTAATGTTCAAGGGGGTTGATGTGTAGATGTGGAAAATGGATGAGATGATGTAATAATGTATGATAGCGTGGAGCTCTTGATTGAAAGACTTTCTCTTGTGTCAGTGTATGAAAGAGACGAATCCCTCTTCCTTGGCTACAAGAGCCCACAAATATTGAGGAATATAGTAGTAAGAATGCCACAATAGCTTTCGGCACGTCGCTTAAACTCTCCTCCCACCCGTCATCTTCCTATTCTCACTATGTCGCTTGGCCTTCAAAGCATCCCGTCTCCTCTTCTTCCACGCCCTGTTTAGATCTCCTCGGTTCTCCCAGAACCACTTTCTGAATTCGCTCTCAGGCTTTTCCTCGTCTGCGCCGGTAACCGCATCGTCTTCGTCCTCTTCTGTGACGCCAGCTAGCTTGCTGGCATTCGCTCGCGTGTTGTGGGACAGTCTCTGCTCAGCAAGTGAATCTACATCTCCCATGTCTTCATCGTCATCGGCTTCTTGGCTGTTCTTGCGCCAGTCGAAGGAGAAGCGGCGGCCAATGGCGGCGGTGTCTGGGGTAGGTGCTGCGCTTCGCAAACCTCTCCACTCAATGTCTCTTTGCGTGAAAGGCGTCGTGGGGGCTTCGTCAGTAGGCTCGCCGTCGACTTCCATGGGTTCCTCGTTGTCGAAGAAGCTGAAAGACGTGTCGATTGGAGTGAGCTTCTTGGTAGGGGTCGACGTTGCACCATCTGCAGGCTTTGCACGCTTGAATAGTGCTTCGAGGGGATGGACCTCTTTCTCTGATGATGTAGTCGGCTGAGCCTCCTCGGGCGTTTTCCTGCTCTCGACGACGGGGACAGGAGAAGATGCAGAAGATACGGCCTCTGATTCCGGTTCTGATTCCGGTTCCGATTCCGATTCCTCTGATTCAGAGTCGGAAGAGTCCTCATCCTCAGAAGAAGACGAAACTACTGATGATTCATCGTCCTCCGACTCAGATGATGATGGCGGCGGGGTAGCTTTCTTCTTCTTCTGATCTTTGGATGTAGACGCCGAAGATTTTGCTGTACCATCGATCCAGGCTCTTGCAGCCTCTGAAGGCGCATCTACCAACTCCAGAGCCCTCCTAGCCTTGGCCTTTCCAGTCTCAGGCTCAACAACAACACCATCTTCGTCTACCCACCCCTGTCCATTGACGTAGTCTACTGCAGGCTTCGTCGACAAGGCGACCTCTGGTTGTTTCAAGAAGCTGGGGGTCTTATGGTTCTTCTCAAACTCATGGATGACGACTTCTCTACTTGACTTGTTCTTTTCCTTCTTCTCTTTTTTCCCCTTCTTCTCATCCTTGTGCGCAACCTCGGTCGCAGCAACAGGCGTCAGCTTCGCCTTGAAGAGCACCTCAGGCTCTTTGGTGTACTTTGAGTGCTTCCGCTCCTTCTTCGCTTCCTTCCTCGCCTCCTTGTCACCTTTGTCTTTCTTGTCCTTCCTATCCTTCTTGTTCTTGGGCGCTGGTTCGGTCCACCCGCGCTTGACCTTCCTATCGTCTGGTAGCTCGACGCCGTCCAATACGCCCTGCTCCTTCCCCTTCTTCTTCTCCTTCTTTTCTTTTTTCTCCTTCTTCTCCTTCTTCGCGCGTTTGGACGACCTTTCCGCGTCCTCTACTTCCACTGCGTCGGCTTCCACCAGAGCCTTGCGCTTCTCTGGTTTCGCCATCTCTATGCGCACTTTGGAACCCCTCAACGTTGTGCCGTTTAGCTTCTTCTTGATCTTCTGAGCTTCCGTCTCGGGTAGCTCAACGTAACCGAAACCCTTTTCGGGAAATGTGGCAACCGTATGGTATGAGATATTCTGCGCGAAGGGAAGGATAGAAGGCGCGACGTAGACCTTGAGCAGATCGGGGCGAAAAGGCGTAATGTGTAGGCGGACGACCTTGCTTTCGGGTTGCGCTTCGGAAGGATTAGCCGCTTGTGCTGCTGGCATTGGGTCGCAAGTTCGGGCGCGTGCGACAGATATAGATGACTGCGCGCAAAGCCTTCGGAGAGTCTTCGCAAGATCTCAATCAAGGAATGTATGCTACAAGCCTGTCCGACGCCTGTAAGCGTCGTGTAGCTGTGTCGGGGCCGGAGGGGAAAGGAAAATGCTTAGCGCGACAAGGGACCCAGCTGCCTGGTCTTAGCGCGAATGCGGGCGGAGGTTTGGAGCTCCACTCGACCATTGACCCATTGGTGATACTCATCGCAACTACATTGGGATAAAGATCTAGAATCGGAGCACATATACGTCTCTTGGACAGTTTACTTTGTTTGAACTTGCACAAACCTACTGCATCTCCTGTCATCGGACATCACCGCTCCACGATGCGAAGACCGCCATACCTCCTCTTCCTTCTTCTAACCTTCCTCTCGTCCCTCTCCTTATCCCTCGCAGCCTGTATGTCCCGCCTCTCTCGAGATGCAGAAACCTGCTGATATGCTATAGCACGTACATCCTTTTGCAAATGCACCTGCTTTGGCAACAGCACCATTGTAGCGCTCGATGCGCCAACAACTACCAAGAAACCCGCCGCCCTCGAACTGAAACCCCGCGCCTCGAAAAAGACATGCAACGACTGCAATCGCCAATTCTGCCTCGGCTATGGCTTTTGCGCTGGAGAGAAAGAGGAGAATGTGCTCACGACATGTTTCCAGCGGGATTCTGCCAAAGACCAAGCAGTCGTGTTTGTCTTCATTGGGGCGACAGTGGGGCTGTTAGGGTGGGCAGCACTGCGGCCTTGGGTCGAGGGATGGAGAGAGGTACGTGCATATGAGCGAGACCGGGTAGATGGGAGACTGACTAGTAGCAGCGTGCACAGCAACGACGGAGTTATATACCGGTAGCTGGCCAAGGAAACTAACAAGCGATACACTTGTTTGGTACAATTGAGAAGCATTCGGATTCAACATGGACAAAACGTGCAATATAGACATGAAGCTAAGATACCCAAGACAATCGTGGACTCCCTCATGACTGTTGAAGAACTCCACCATGCATACATCTAATGTGACAGCAATGTACAAGCTGAGGTCGTATATGGTACACTGAAGCGTCTGGCTTCTCTCCTCCCAATTCCACTCCTACTCTTTCTTGAATTCCCTCTACTCCTTCTTAGATCCACCCTTCATCCATCCAAACCACCCCTTGCCGGTTTCCTCGACCTTGTGTACTGCCTTCTCTGCTGTATTGTCTAGAGGGCCTCCGACTACTGGTGTTGATGACGTCGAGGTTGTGAATGTGGATGTGCTGTCGTTCGCCCTGGCCTCTTGCACCGCAGCAGCAATGCCCAGGTTTTGGTTTCCTTGCCCCTCTTGTCGCTTGATCTCCTCGACCGCCAGTCTCCTCTGTTCCGCGATTGCTTGTTCCTCCTTCCAGTCACCATGCAGCCACCATAGCAGCTTAGAAGGAGCCTTTCGCTCTGCCTTCTTTTTCTCAAATGCTTCTTGCTCCTCGGCGATACCTGTAACGAGGGCGGCTTGTGCGGGTGTGGCGGTCCCTGATGCAACGGCGGAACGGGCAAGTTCGAGGATCTTGGCTTGGGCTCGTTCCTCTTCGGCGAAGTAGATTGCTCGTTTCCGTCGATTGTAGACGATCATATCACCTATTGAGAAGACTGCGAGGACACCTACGCAACCTGTGTAGACAATTAGCATCTCTGCTACCCTGTGACCAGTATAGCCATTGGCCCTCCATGTGCCCACATACCCGTTGCAAAGATCAAGCCGTAGACGGTAAATCTATGCGCCGCATCCGCCGCCATTCTGCCGTACAAGTACATGTAATCCCACCTCGTCACCTGTGCCATCTTCGCCCTATTCGCAGCCTCTCTTAACCGCTTGACTTTCTGTTGTGGCGTTTCATTTTTCGGTGCGGGATCTGCGAATTGCAGCGTCGTTGCCCGCCCGCCAGGTCTTGTGTGCGCCCACACTCCGGTGGCTGTGAATCGCGTTGAATCCTTCGGTGATTTCGACATGATGGGTGGAGAAAGCACTTGAACGTCAAGTGTTGTGGTTGTCGAGGGAGGATGTCGTGAAGACTGCGGAGCGGGATATCGAATGATTCGATGATTTCCAAAAGTTGAGATGGACTAGGGTTCGATGCGGAGATTTCCGCCCACCTACCCGCTAACGTACATCGCCAGCCATACCAGGCTGAATTGCTCATCAGATCTCTTCTCATACGTGGAGTGCAAGGTTCTGATGCATTTGTTCTCGGGTCACTGGAAGAGACATCATGAATAGTTCAGAGCGACGATTGCTTCTTTCTCTACATTCTCCTTGATTTAAGCGCAAACAGCACGCGCCATGCGCCGTCATTCACGCGTCCAGCTAACACCAATTTACCAACACTTTCACATTTCTGATTCCCCTTGACACCATCAGCTTGTGCAGTCAGACCGCTACCGTGGATATGGCAGAAGACATCGGCCAGAATTTGGATCTCGAAAAGATCTTGGCTACTCTTGCGAATCTACCCAAACCAGTGCCTCAGCCGTACCAGGATCAACAGCAACCATACGAACCCTATCAAAGTCATCAGGGATATCAAGACGATCAGCAACCCTACTCTTCTGGCCAAAACAACCCCTATCAGCAACCTGCTGATCCGCGTCTGGCTGGTCGTTCGGCTCTGCAGCATCGACACCCACCTCCCAAACCACAGGACAGAGTCTCCTCCCCTTTCATTGACCCCTCAACGATCACGGAATGGAAGCAGGGTCTCCGTTGTGTGAGCAAAATAGCTTCTCAGAATCCGGACTTTTCTCCTGCAGTGCGCAAGGTAGGCTATATGTTCTGCATGAACCCGTATATGCTGCTCACACATAGATCAGTTAATGAAAGATCAAGAGTCAAACGTCAAGTCTTGGGAGGCTGGACGCAAGAACCTTATTGACGAACAAAAGTTCAAGCGGGAGAACGAGCGGACCAATCGAGCTGCGTTGTATGCATTCAACTCCCTTCTCATGGTGTTTTACTGACGCTCGTAGGTCTTTACCAGGTCTTCTAGAGAATACACCTTTGCTTCGTGTAGGCTTCAAAATACCCTTTCTTGTACAACGAGACTGATGATTCGTAGACACCAGAACGCGAGAAGGAAGAACTTGAGCAATATGACGCCAAAGTATACCGAGCTTGTAAAGCTATGGTTGACTCGCAAACCTCGTCCCTCAAGGTCTTGGGCGTACCTTTCTTTGGTGTAAAGCCACATCTAGTATCAGGCGCTAGCTACGATCCGACAGAAGTTACAGACTCACAGTCAGTCCCGACGGGCGGTAAGATATCAAAAGAGCAGCTGCTTGAACTGCAAAGGAAGATGCTGAACCACTTGATGGAGCTATATGGAGACTGAATGAGCATAGTCTTGGTGGTACTGAGAAAGCTTGCTAGTTGAAGATCGATGCTACTTTGCACATCTTGACAGCAGGTAGCTGATTCTAATCTGCTCAGACAAGCAAGGCTACAGTACTCTCTGGGGTCCTCCTAGAACAGCATCAATTTGGGGAGTTTTTCTGTTGCTGTCTTTACTTCAATGTTCAACCAGGATAGGTATTAGCTGCCTCATCATACTCGGCCTCTAATTCGAGCTTCTCGTTCTCATCTTTGGGTCAAGAAATTCCTTTCCGTTATCTTTTCTTCTCCTGTCATCTGCGAGTACTGTTTGGACACACTGTCAGGATCCAGTGATGACATCAGTTGCGCGTTGTTCTCTGTCCAGCAGATGAGAGTATGAGGAGCTACCGCACTGAGCACGAGTCACCGGGTACAAACGCACGCGAATCACCCATTCACCAATCCAAGCAATTGCCCTCGACGCCATTGGTCCTGTCTGTGGGAAATAGAGCTAGTCTCTGTTGACCGCGACAAACGCACAAGTGGCCCGATCTATTATCATAACATTCCCTTTGGTGTTTGTCTCCGCGTCCTTCTCACCTCATCACACTCATTGAAATATTTGATTGTTCCCACACTCTTTTACTGTTCACACTCGCCATTCCCTTCAACCCGCTATATCCTCAGTCGCTCCCTCTAACACAAGGACATCCATTCAGCAACATGTATGGTATGCGCGCGTTCACCGTTGTCGCAGTTGCTGGTGAGTACACTCCAAGCCACGTACTCGCGCTTTTGCATCCTTACTAACCGGTACTCAGCAGGCGCTGCCGCCGAAGCTAGCCAACAGGGTCAAGTCATGCAGCATGTTCACCCTCAGGCAGTGGCTCCTCGTGATGACTGCACCAATCTTCCGAAGCTCTGCACAGATCCGGTTTTGTTGCGCGGTTATGAGACCACTCTGACCTATCTATGTCCCGAGACTAAAGGACCGTCCACTATCACTGTCACCACGACTCATACCACCACATTGACAGTAGATCTGACCTCCAGCATGCCTGTTATGGCCACCTCGGACGGTCAGGCACCTGTGATAGAAGAGCCCACCACGACTGTGACGGCCATGTCAACAGCTCACGTCACTATCACCAAGCTAGTCACCAAGGTCGCTGCCACCCCTAAACTGTCAGCGCTTCCCCCGCCTACCATCACCTGGTCTTTTACGGCCGTTCTTCCTTCCGACGTGAATCCGTTTGGGTTTTTGCGCAAGTCCTCAACGACCCCTCCTGACGTTGTTTCCTCGTCAGTGTCTTTTGTGAGCGCGCCCCCGTCTAGCGTCAGCAGTTCTTTCGAGGTATTCCCTAGCCATGCAGTCAGCAACTCGTCTTCGATCCTTTCCACATCCTCGGCGGCTACTTCGTCTTGGGCCGGCCGTAGGATGCCGCTCTTCTCGAACCACACCCATATTCACGCTGGAGGCAATTTCCCTACTATAAACCTAGTAAGGGGTGCTGAGGACAAGCCCACCGAGACTGTCGCCACTACTGCTGCCGTCGCCACTGAGGGAAAGAAGGGTCAAGCAGGAGATACTCAGGCCTCATTCATTGCGCTGTTCTTCGGCGTGTTGGCTGCCACCTTTCTTATCTAAGGAACCATAACTACTCCTCCTGGACAGCGGTATGGTACTATCAGGAACGGAAACTCTGGATGGCATATATGATACCGTTATGATGGGGTATGTGGCATGTTTCACGAAATTCACGATATGTGTATTAGCATGACCGAAATGGTCTGGTGATCTTGTGAAGCAGATCGAGATGTCCCACGAGACGAATACATGATTTGGTGACGAACGTTTGAACCCTCCAAATGACATAGTGAGGCTTTTGCACCTAACTGACTAGTATAAGTTACTGGTAATACTAGATCTGTAAGATGTGATGTCAACCAAGCATCTTCGAACATTTATTCGAGGAATGTAGACTGTTGACGATGACACGAAGCACACATGTGAGGATAAGAACTACCGTGATTGTGGGGATAAAGTAGATAGTTGTGATGGTAGCAAGTCCGCAATTCGTGAGGTCTGGCCATAGCTTCGCAAGGATAGTGGAACCGAAAGTTGCGGACTCGCGATCCAATCACGGGCCAGGCGCGCGACCGCGACGAACAACCTCAGGCTCAGCTTTACCATCACTCAGACAAGCGGCGTCTCCAACGACAGTTTCCTCAAGCCTACCACGCCCACGGTTGGCTTCCGCTATTGCACCCAACAGACACCATCTTCCCAGCAAATACCAACGCGTGCAACACAGCCACTTCGCCGACACGACGAGATCGACCGCCTGTGGGATCAATAGACCGCCTTTCTCGAGAACGACAACATTTTGGAATAAGAACGTTTCGCACGGTAGCCCACAGCGCTCATTGCCGTAGAACTGCAAAGGACACTACGACCCCACGATACGCTTGACAGGCAGACGTCTGGTGTATTAACTCGTTGCTTGGTTCGAGATTGCCGCACGCTTGCATTGGAAGGCACTACTGGACACGGACACGGACAGACAACTCGGCAACATGGTGGGAAAGAAATCGGGCAGAGCCCAATTGAGGGAGGAGGGTACGGCATCTGCACACCACAATGCAGTATGGCAACTAACAAGCTTGTAGGTTTGGAGCGGACGGACAACAACATGGACCTCACGACGTGGCCCCAGGTCGGCATGATCAATCAGAAGAACTATTACACCGAGTTCCTGAAGCGCGACGAACAATTCCTCGCCGTACGATATCCCAAGGACGAGGAGAGGGCGCGCATAGTCCAGGAAGCCAGGGACAAGGATCGCGCACGAGCTTTGGGAGTACCAGCAACGGAAGGCGCTGCGCCGCAGGTTGCGGACGAGACAATGGAAGATGCCGAGGTTTCGTTCGCCTCCAGAACAGACATCTCGAAGCTCATCGTGATACACCCTGGCAGTCAGAACTTGAGGGTAGGCCTTGGATCGGATGCGTTGCCCAAGACTGTACCTATGGTCATCGCACGAAAATGGAAAGAGAGCGAGGATGAGGAAGACGAGGGCGAGCCCAGTCCCAAGCGAATGAAGGTCGAAGGTGCAGTGCCCGCTGATGCCCTGCCGGAAAAGTGGTTCGGAGAGGATGTGAGTATTCCAGCACAGCTTTGCCAGTCAATGCTAACTTTGACCAGTTCGCCGACCAGTACATGGCCATGTCATCCGAACTGAGGACACGAATGCGGTCGAACAAACGACGAGTGCTGCCCAACTCAAAAGATCTCGTAACCAACTACAACCGAAAATCTCCGCCAGATGTCATCTCCGAACACAATGACATCAATCGCATCGAGTGGACAGAACTACCAGCAGACCCAAAGAAGGCACCAGACTTCTTCACCGGGCACGAGGCACTGCGGATACCGGAGAGATCCAACCCGCGATACAAACTGTTCTGGCCAATACGGAATGGCACGTTCAATGAGAAGGATTATCGAGACCGCAATCAGATCTATCATGATATCTCGAAGATATTAGAAGAGGCCTTCCGGAATCAGCTCGGCATCACCAGGTTAAAAGACCTTGTCAACTACAAATGCGTCTTCATCATACCCGACCTCTACGAGCGACAGTACGTTACTATGATACTGGACATTCTTATGCGGGATCTTGGCCTTGGGAAGGTCTGCCTGCAGCAAGAGTCCCTTTCGGCCACGTTCGGTGCTGGCTATGGTGTTGCCTGCGTTGTCGATATTGGTGCTCAGAAGACGTCCATCTGTTGTGTCGATGAAGGGTTGTGCGCTGAAGAGTCGCGCGTCAACTTGAAGATGGGTGGAGCTGACGTGACGGAGACATTCATCAAGATGATGTTATATGGCCACTTCCCATATTCGGACATGAACCTAAAGCGGAGATACGACTTCCTTCTCGCTGAAGAGCTAAAGCAGAAGTTTTGTTCCATGGATGAAGCCTCTGTCACTGTACAAACGTGGGACTTTCATCTTCGAGCTTCGGGTCAGGATACTCGGAAGTACACGTTCAAGACGTACGACGAGACTATGCTATCTGTCATGGTAAGTCATTACGTACTCTTACACGACAGGCTGTGCTAACAAACATAGGGTTTCTTCAAGCCTTCAATATTTGAGAACGCGAGGAAACTCGAGAACAGAAGGAAAGTCGTGCCGCGTTCGGTCGATCTGTACGATGGCTCACCCAACGATCCCATCTCACAAGCACAAATCGCCATCATCGAAGCCGCGGCAGGGAAACCCGTTGTACCCATCATAAACGGTGCACAAGACCCTGTCAACAACACAGCACCCGTTTCTACACCCCAACGTCCGCAGCCAAATCCCTTTAACCTCCTCGGTCGCCTCAACGACAACGAGGGCACACCTCGATCATCGGTAGCAGGCTCACCAGGTCCCGAGGGAAGCAACACCCCGAACCCCGATCGCGACACCCCCATGGGCGACACCGACGGCGCACCTCTTCTCTTCCGCGACCCAATCCACGAGAAGACCAAGTTAGCCGAAGCCCGTGATGCTATCCTCCCCATCCATTCGCTTGACCAAGCCATCCTCGAATCTCTCGCGCAAGGTGCCCGTGGCGACGACCGCAAGCTCCGCGATTTTTTCGGTGGTATCATGCTCGTCGGCGGCGCCTCCAAGACACCCGGCTTGAGAGAATTTCTAGAGATGCGACTCAGAGAACTGCGACCAGGGTACGGAAAAGAGATTCTTGTTGGACCGCCGCCAAGAGACTTTGATCCGCAGGTTGTGGCGTGGAAGGGCGGAAGTGTGTTTGGAAGGTTGAGTGGGCATGGGAACGATGGGTGGATTAGTCGGTATGAGTATGATATGTTGGGTGCGAGGCTGTTGAACAATAAGTGTATGTTTGCTTGGTAGGTTGGAACAGAAAAATCATGAGACGGGAGATTGAGGTGATTGACGCTAGTTGTTTGACTCTCTTGGAAGATGTTTTACTGGTTAGTATTACGGCATCGTTGGGGTATTTATGCGATATTGAGAATAGGGTTCAGGCTGGGGATCAGATTCTAGGATGATGGAAGAGGATGTGGTAACTTTTTTCAATCGTCAGCATTCTCCAAAAGCCCCCTTCCGGCATCATTTGCTCACCTCCATGGTTCTTGGTCAACGCAACGGTGCGTCCGTGTATATGGACACAGCTGGTAACTCGAGCACTCTTACGTGAATGTTGTGTTGCACTACATATACTAACGATATAACAGGCGGAAAAGCCACTAGTTCACACTCAGATCTCCATGACTCGCTCCTTCCATTGTGGTGTTACACCTGAAGCTCTGGGCTGCTTCTGTTCCACACGCGTCTTCGGGCCCCACGTACATACGCATACCACTAGCTTACAGAGAAATCTTGGCAGGCTCGCAGACCTTCTTGTGGGTCTTCCAGTGCTTCTTCTGGCACGAAGTCGAGCAGTATTTGCGGTTCACACATTTGGAGCATGCGAGCAAGGCCTCACCCTTCGGTCTAGACGCCACACCACAGCCGCCACACTCGTCGGGCTTGTTCAACTGCGAGCGAAGTTCCTTGATGACAAGCGAGGTTGATGAAGTGGTCATGCCTAAATGTTGACGTAGAAAGTCAGTATATGTGTCGCGAACACTTCGTACAGGGACATTGCTTACCAGTGTTGAAGAGATCTCCGGGACTGGGAACATTCATCATCGTGAAGCCACGTCCATTGTCCTTGGGCTCCTCTTTGGGCCTGGAGTTGGCTTCCTCCACGATGGTCTTGGATTCGAAGTCATAAGGCTCTCCGTTCTTGTAACCGTCTGGACCGAAGAGAGCTTTCTTCATCTGCCGCTGTCCGTCGGGCATGACTCCGCCTTCGGTGTAGACCTTCTTGAGCATGGCGATATAAGTAGTGGGGAGTTGACATCCGAGGGTCATAGCGCAAGCGCCGAGCAGGACATAGACGTAGCAGGGGTCGGACATCCAGTGCTCGAGCGACTCCTCCTTCGATCCGGTGAGAGGAGCTAGCATTTTCATCTCCTTCTTGGCGATCATGTCAACAAGGACACCGGAGTCAAGGTGCTTGCGAACCAACTCAGTGTCTGAACAACATTTGGCGTTGATGCTGTAGTGGATGCTGCGCTCTGTGTCTTCCTCGCTCTTTCCTGCGGCTTTGGCACTAGCCTGGGCGTCTTCTTCAAGTTTGGTGATTCCAGCTTCGTGGCTTAGATCACTGATCATGTCGAAGTCGTGATCTGACTGGAACAGACCTGGCATCACATTAGTCGATGGACTCGCCCTCATGTAACAGTGTTGGCACTTACAGTATCCCCAAGCACCCATATTGGAGGTTCAGCACGTCTGAGTTTCTGTACAGTGAGCTGAAGCTAAGAGGCTGACGAAAGCAGTAGCGGTGCACTACCGTAGATGGCTGTTATCTTTGATAATTGTTCGTTGTAGGAGGTGAGCGATGAAACTAGAAGATGAGCGAACGCGGTACAAGAGTAGAAGAGGGAACACGTCGTGCACTATCTGCGGTGAGAGAATAGGCTGTGGTGTTCGTTGTCTGAGAAGGAGCAATGACGCGTGTTCCCGTGATCTGGACGTCTGCGCTTCCCTCACATACACCACATCTTGTACTTCCTGCAAGTCTATGGCTTCGTACCACTTATCAAGCCGTCACAGTTCAACAACAGACATCTCATTTGCTGACCTGCTACTTGTCAGACATGATCTTAGTAGGCAGCGGCCATTGACGGGATGAAGAGGCCTGGGCCTGCAACGTACTGTGTTTTGAGAGACAGATTGTCAGAAGTTTTTCCGCAATGGTGAGTTTCTTACACCCTTTACACATCCCTCCCTTGCATCGGCGCTACTATCAAGTGCAACATATCTCTTTGGTGCTAGCTGTAAATGCTGGTAAAAGAACCATATGCTTTTTCCGGAATTCTGTTCAGATATCTTTTGACCATGGTATGTAGTATACAGCACCCTCCCAATGAATGTGCCGACTCAATCAGCATTTTAGTATTGGAAGTTCACTACCGCATATTTTACCCCACATGCCCCACATGAGGCTACTGAAGCCAGTGAAACACGATACCATATAAATAGAGGTGGACCTCGAATGAATTAAGCTAGGAATCGTCGCTCTGGTCTGCAAAAGCGCATTCAGCACAAGACAGTCATGGCGTCTTCCAGCGAAAATCATCCATTAAGGCCAGACGAGGTGGGCAAACACATTATCCCTCCTCCGCGGCCCAGTTCCCCATCGACTGCCGAGTACCGCCTCAACCATTTGATGATCCGTATCAAAGACCCAGAGAAGAGCATAAAGTTCTACTGTGACTGTCTGGGCATGCATGTTATCTTCGTGTTCAATGCCGGACCATTCACGATCTACTACCTCGGACCACGAGATGTTGGTAAAGACGTCCATCAACTATCTACTTACTGTGAAGCACTAAGACAAATACAGGTATGGCTAGTCTTGGTGCTTCAAAGGGCTTACTGGAACTATATTACATTCCTGCAGACTCGTCTACGCCTTATAATTCTGGCAATGACTACCCTGATCCCGGAATTGGATTTGGTCATATAGGATTCACGGTTCCTGATGTCCCTGAGGCACTGGAGAGAATTAAAGGCTTTGGCTATGAGGTTATCAAACCGTTGGATGAGGCGAAAGAAGAGCAGATGGGTATACCAACAGATGCCCAATTGGGCAAGTATGGGAAAGTACCGGATGGGTACAAGCATGTCTTCAGACAATTGGCGTTCGTGAAGGATCCAGGTAAGTTGTGACTGTACGAAATGCATATGAGACATACACTGACTTCTTATCTTCACCCCTGCAGATGTAAGTGATTGTCGATTGGCACGGGGAAGTGAATGGCGCGGTTTGCTAACTGTTGAAAGGGCTACTGGGTGGAACTTGTACCCCAGGTTGTTAAGCCACCGAGTAGCTAATGAAAGGACCTCGAAGGTTGCCTAAAACTTCGACTGTGAAAAGCTTGAAGTATATGTTGCCCCTAGCATGATATTTACGTCTGATCACTTCTCTATCTTTTTCTTACTGGCGAGCTCTCAACCCAGCTCAACGACCCTATCACCTTTCTACTGACATCATGGCACATCCACTACAGATGGACACGAACGTCGTGCGAGTACCAAAAAGAGGGGCCAACGGGTAGATATGCTCACAGATCATCACCAATTAAACCTAATTTCATCGCCTCCCCACTTGTCACAGTGCTCATCGGGCCTGAATCAGAGCCGCGCAAAGCTGCTAATCCACCAGTCCATCGTAATATCACGGTCTGAGTTTTTCGCCAACGCCCTAAGTGGTCGCTGGAACAACTCTGGCACTAAGACCGTCGACCTGTACGGAGTTGATCCAGATATTACGTTCGAATAGGTGGCGCCCTATTTGGAAGCGGTTTACACGAACCGCATCACTGTTTGGAATAATTCGAATGTTTTGTCGAACATATGTCGCATATACGTAGTAGCTGACTAACTTCTCGACATGCAGACACGTAAACTAGCTGTCCAAGCACTGTACGAGCATATCCGCAAGCCTAGAGCTGAGGGCGATCATCGCCATCTGTACCCCAGCCCAAAGTGTATAAGAATTGTTTACAAGGGAACAGCGTCAGCCACAGATCCGATGAGACGGCTACTGGTCGATATTTGGTGCGTAACTGGGGGTAGCATACCGCGCTTGGAGGAGAATGGGGAGAAGTTGCCAAAAGAGTTTTTGCTTGAGCTTGCGACGGCTGCGCTGATAGACAAGTATGAGGTCTATGGCGCAGATGTACGCGGCGTAGATGAACCGTTGACCTTTGATTTGGAGTGTTATTTTGAGGAGTAGGCATCTAGGGTGATCGACTTTTCTGGGTTTTCGAGGGACAGATGTCGTCATAGAGGAATAAGCAATGTAAAAGAAAGCCTCCGAAGCATTATTCTCAACTCGGAAGTAGACAGAGAAAAGCTCTCACAACTTCGCTGCAAGCGTCTTCGAGGCCATTAGTAGATTGAAAGTATGCCGCCCATAGTGGCTTGAGATGAGACTACGACCTAGAAAGCGTTATACCAACGGCGCTGGACGGATCGTGGAAATGCGCTAGTACAGGTACCCGCCGCTACTTGAGACCCTGCGTTTCAAAGGCTTACCTTGTGCAACCTTGTAGCTTACTGCAAATATACTTAGAAACGATATTAAGACTTTGGCTTTACTGATTCATCGTGTTTTTCGCAACCAGACAAGAATGCGACTCACGAGACATAGCGTCAGTGTGCAGCTGACATCCAGGATCCGGTTTTCCGTAAGCGAGACGATCGTTGCAAGGATGCCATCCAGAGTTTCAGATCTGGGGTCAGTGGAGGTTGCTCCCTGGAGTCCGACTCCCTAAAGATATCGCCCAACATACTGTACGTTTCATAGTATCCTTGCAGTCGCTCTCTAACATCTGTAGTCCAAACATTGACTTGTAATAGTAGTAGGTTATCCCCGCCAACGTTATCGCGCGTGGGATGCGAGTCGACCCCAAGGAAAGGGGTTGGTAATGGTTGCGGCGCAATATGACGTGCACCAAGACAAAATTCCAGGCTTGTAAAGCCAATCTTCAGCCGCCAACCTGTATTCGGCCACGGCCGTTTTCAAGTCATAAAGCCATGTTTACCTGGAATTGCCCTGAGGATTGCGTTCCCCATCTTCGATTTGGTGGTTGCTATGGATAAACTCAAGTCGAAGACGCGTTCAGCGCGCAACAGACTCGCCGAAGCGACATCTTCAGGCTCTGGTACAGGGGAGCTGCATGTTCCACACCAATCTCTGGCACCCCACGAGAACTCCAGCACACATGCCGTCAACGAAGGCTTTCAGAGCGCCGAGCCTGGGACCAATGCGCAGGACTTTGGAGTACCAGCGGACCAGCCAACACGACAGCCTGTCATCGAACCGCCTACCACGTTAGAGTCATCCATTGACGCCGGCCAACATGTTCCCAAGCCCACGAGGGCAAGCGATCCCTCATCACATGTTACGTACAGGTACATTCCACGCACGGGAAGAGGGGAAGTGCGACGCTGACCTTGACCAAGCACTCTTGCCGCGCAACGAGCAAGAAGCAGCTCTGCTCCGACTAGACCCCAGCAATACCCACGACGGCCCCAAGCCTACCGTCAAGCCAGCATTGGCATCCGGCGTATGCCCTCCTCCAACGCCCTGAGACAAGTAGCACAACAACCTAATGCCTCCACCGTAAGATCGAGCACGCCTTTGCCTGCGCTGGACGAGGAGCAAGAGCTGGGACGGTTTCCCTCATCCAATGGAAGTCAGTCGACCCTTACGAACCCTGAGCCAGATCGAAGTCGACTACGGAAGGTCAAGAGCGCAATACAGACCAGGATACCTTTTTGGGGCAACAAGGAGGAAGACAAGTCACCGACGACAAGTGCCCATGCTGCTGCAGTGCAAGACGACATGTCGTCCAACTACACCTCAGGCATGGTTGATGTCCTCGATACCATCGACCCAGAGGTTGCGACGCTCACTTCCTTGACAAATATGCAGAATTCGCTCTTCATCCCAAACCTGCCCTTCCTCAACCGTCGGCCCACATACAACCTACGACGACGGAAGAGCGAGACGGAGAGTCTCGAAGCCATCAACCGCATACTGGAACCAGCCCGTGCTGCTCAGGCACAGGAGCAGGCAGCTCCAAGACTTCAGCGCTCCCCGACTGAAGCTACGACGACGACCATGATGACGATAGATTCGCAGCTCACTGAGTCGCGCTTCGCTGTGCTTCCCGAGGAGGCAGACTTATCTGGCTGGAGTGTCGAGGATAAGAAGGAAGTGAACGACCATGTGCGCCATATGCTACACTCACGACGATCCAAGATGAAGCGCTCGTTGAAGGGTTTCGGACAGTACGTTAAGAGACGTAAGTATTTCTATTGTCATTTTATCGAACGTTACTGACAAAGTACAGCACTTGGGTTCCTTGTCACCCTCTACGCCACACTCATTACCCTTTTTGGTTTGGCCTGGGTGCTCTTCCTTATCGGCTGGGTCAATGTCGGTGGACAACAGATCTACGTCGTCCACGTCATTGACAGTGTCCTTGTTGCTCTCTTCGCTGTTGTAGGAGATGGACTCGCACCCTTCCGTGCCGTAGACACGTACCACATGATCTACATCGCTCACTACCACCACTTCACGTGGTCGCGCCGTAAGAAGGAGATGCTTCCTGAACTCACCGACCACAACGATCTCCCCGCCGAACACGCTCCCGTGGCCGGACCTCGCGTCGTAGACCCGGCCGACCCCGAGAAGCAGTGGGAGTTTACTGTCTTGACGCCCAAGCAACAGGAGAAACTCGAACACCACCAGGAGAAGTTCTGCAAGTCTCACTCCTTCTACAAACCCCACGAGACAGAGACCCACTACGCCTTCCCCCTCCGCCTCCTTGTCGCCATCGTCGTACTTCTAGACTTTCACTCCCTACTTCAGATCTCCCTCGGCGCTTGCACATGGGGAATCTACTACAAGCACCGTCCTTTCGCCATCACCACCGTCATCCTCTGCTGTTCCATCACATGCAACGCCACAGCCGGTCTACTGATCTGGCTGGGCGACAAGAAGACGCGAAAGAAGGACGTGCTCGAGCGCATGAACAGGCAAGAATTGACCGAGGAAGCCATCAAAGAAGTAGAGAAGAAGAAGCAAAAAGAGAAGGAGAGGGAAAGCGAAGGTGAATCCAGCGGTGCAGATGATGGCAGGGATAGGGAGAAGAGGAGGATCAGTCTGGATGCTTTTAGGCCAGGCAGGAAGAGTATGGAGCAGGACAAAGAGAAGAAACAGAGTCCCAGTGCGCGTCCTTTTTAAGGGAGAGTAATGGTGTTGCATAATGTATGACTGGTACGTTGGTGGCATATTTTTTTTTCTTGGAAGCGTTCAAGCGTATATATACCTATTTAGCGATGTCGCCACGTCGACCTACCCAATCCTGCATTTTTGTTCTTCTTCATGGCACTCGTACTTGCAGTGAACTACATGTATAGAATGTGTTGTGATACGGTATGGAGACACTAGTGCTGCTCAGACAGATTTCGTCCCAATTGGCTAATCTCACACTCACGTTCACAGGCGCGAGAGAAGGTACTCAGATATTAGTGATGCAATCTGGCTAAAATTCATGTGATGATGGGTCTCCGCTGTGTTATCAAAGGTCATCGGCCTTAAATGGAAGAAGGCACAAAGAAGAGGCAGAATGAGAGCTGTGCTTAAAGCCCATCACGCTGTGATGCGTTGTCATTTTCCTTGTATTACTTTTGATCAAGTGCAATCAACACTCTCGATATATCACTTGGACACCGTAGTTTTGTGCCGGTGTTTGGTTCCTCCACTCCGGCCTCCTTCTTCAGTCCAACTTATGACAACCTCCTCCGTCCTTCGTATTGTATTCTCTCCATGGGTATAAATTTCTAGCAGCCCTCAATCTGCTCTACGCCGGCGGCAGTGCCCTTGACGCACATGCCGTGGTTCTGACGAGCGGCGACTGCTGTTTTCGTGTTAACCATATATGCCGATAGTGGAGCTTGGGTGGAAGGAGAGCATACCCTCGTTGGCGACGGGCGCAGCAATGGCAAAAGCAACCATGGAGACGATGGTGGCGATGATGGTGGTGAACTTCATTTTGGAAATAGCGTTTAGGTGATTATTGGATTCGGCGAATCGTCTAGAAGAAGCGTGAAGTGTAAATGTAAATCGTAAAGTCGCCCGGCGACAAAGAGTGAATGAATAGAAAGGTTGGTAAACAAGAAGATTGACTTGAAGACGTTGACTTGATGGTGAGCTTGAAGTGAGGAAAAAGCTTCTAGCTTGAGGAGGTGATCAACTTATACCATACAACAGTAGCACCTCTAGCATACAGGCACACCGCCGTCGTCGTCGTCATCAGGCGCCGTTGTCATCACAAAGTTATCCTGGTACCTTACTTGCTGCCTCGTGCTGAGAAGGCTGAAACCGGAGTCTAGACTTTCCTGCCTATGTCTTGGTACTGTATTAGCGAAAGGAGTACGATCTGCTCCATAGCGATGGCGGGTAGTGGAGCGGTGTGGTTCTGCGGGAAGAGCACGGCCGGGGAGGCGCTGCGTTGAGGTGTCAAAGCTGTCTGAGAGCTGTCGATGATTTCCTGAATAATGAGAGACGCGCGGCTTTTATATCTGGATTTTGGGGAATACCATGGGAATGATGTAAATACATAGATAGAAATACCACTTTACGCTCGCCAGGTAGAATTGCTGGCCATTGTGATGATGCAGCCAACCTCTGATATCCCCCAGATGAACAATCAGCCTGCTTTCCCGGTATTTCTGCTTCCTTGAACAATTACAGACATTAAGCCTATGCAATCCCGTATAAGCACCGTGATGTAGAGCGGTTAGAGTACGATGAAACGGTACTCAAACCCAGCCGAAACTCGGAAGAAGCATCTCCCTTGGCAACGATCTTGGAGAACACAATGCGATGCAAGCAGTCGACAAGTGCCACCTTTTGGCCTGCACTCTTTCAACAACGCTGAAATGCGTAAGCCTGGGGCAGATCCTGATGTTGTTTGTGTGTTGGGATGCCCGTTCGTCGTCCGTCACATATGCGGTCCGATGCCGCTAGCCAATTGTGGACAAGTCGATTCGTCGCGGAATTCGAACGCCTATGAAGGATTAATCACGCTACTTCGACAACAACTTTATGTTGCTGCCCTTGTGGCGGTGAGCTCACAAATTAGAAGATTCACCGCGTAGCCCAGCTGACGAAGTTCAGTTGCTGGTATGTATCACCGTTTGGTGTAGCAACGTTCAACGCTTCATGAGCGACATCTCGAGCTGTTCCATTATCTTCAGTTCCTTCGCCTCTTCCTTCTCTGTCGCTTCCGCCCGATGAAAACTTGTGGCCTTCAATAGTGGTGCAGCGTGGTTGTGAGCGTGGCCGTGCCTGCTTCCTAGCCAATTTAGGAAGCGCAAGTCAGCCATCCTCACATGGTAGTTTTTATTGGTTTTAGATGGCACGACAGTCTTCAGTTATCAATATGCACGCACATTTACCTGGGCTCTGCTAATTGCTGGTTTTCGATAGGTCTGATGTTCATATATATTTCTGGCGATACCGAAGATCTTCGTACAAGAAAAAGGTACCAAAGGAAAAAGCGAGAGTTTCACACCTGTCAAAGCGGGAAACAGCTGGAGGCACGTCTGCCTTACCACGAGATGACGTCCAGGTATGAGCCGTATGTAGCCGTTATTAGAGGTGACGGCGCGTTTGGTTGAAAACCAGAAGCGGAAGTGAAGGTGAGAGTTGGTCATGAGGATAGCGCCTTCCCGATCATCGACTTCCACCTTCATGTTCGATAGTTGCTCCTTGCAACCTCAACAAGTTGGCAATTGCGACCCACAGAATCCATGGATCTTTATGTGACTCAGCTCCCAGGGCTCTCTGTAGCTACGCATCTGGCGAGAGAGGCTGCGAGAGGCGACGAGAATATGCCTGACAACAAGAGCTGGCGATTAGGTCACAGCAAGCAGCCAAAGAAGCCAACAAAAGCGCCCAACCCTCTTAAGATCGGCAGCAACAGCCCTACATCCCTCGATGATTTGAGTGATCGCCGCCTGCCGCTCAGTTGGCGAAGACCACGGCAAGGCAGCAGACCACAGACACCTGTGGGTGCTGTACCCACAACATCTGCCATCGAGGACGCAGACGATGTCCGAAGTGGGCGTTCGGATACTCCAACACCACGTCGAGATTCCAAACCGAAGCTCGCTCGATACACTTCGCTTTTCGGCAACTTCAAAGAGACAGCCAAGGAGCCCGAGTTTGTATTCTCTACGCCTTGGGGTGAAGATGCACCGCCGCCCTTTCAGCCTCATATCGACCCACTCGACGTGGTGCTATCCGTCCGATCGCATATGGCAAGTACTTATCAGCCAATACCAATGGAACACAATAGTGGCCTCTTTCGGGTATTCGAGGACTATCGCAAGGTCCGAGAGCAGAAGGAGAGTCTTACTACAATGATGGAGCAGACACTCAGAGACTGGAGGAAGGCCGAAGAACATTGGGATTACTCAAAAGATCGCTACAGTGCGGAGATACGGCGGCTCGAGTTACTCATAGCTCGCGGAACGAGTGGTATGACAGGGTGAGTAGCCTTCAACCTTCTACTCTTTCTTTGCTAACACAGAAAAGACTCATGCAGGCTCGTCAAGACAGTGTGGTGCGGCGTCATAGGAAGACCGTCTCGCACGACAGTCTGCCGCCAAGTTACGAATCGCTTTCGCATGCCCAACTCGACCGAGAGATCAAACTAAAGAGTCAGAGAGGTTAGTCTTGAGGCTACAGTGTTATGTGCGGCCTCACTAACCTATTTCAGCGCTTTTAGGTCGACCATTATCACCCTCCGAGAAGATGGTTGTCCTCTCCACGCAGTTCACCATCGGCAGGACGGAGTTGCTAGTGGGCACTCCCCCTGAGATCAACCAGAAGTTGACATTGTCGCGAAAAGTCCAGAGCGAGCTCAACTTTGCCACTATTCACAAAACAAAGCACTCACGGTCCTCTACTAGCTCTGTAACTTCTGGCTTCTCCGCAGGGTCTGGTGATCCTTTACCTGACGAGATGACGATTCTTGAGCACACTGGAATGGAGCTAGCAACCGAATGTGAAGCTCTTGTCGCTCTTCGTGAGCTTGGCACACTTGTTGCAAGACGTCGAGGCCTAGAGATCAGCAGCTTCAATCACGGTCTCATGATGCTGTTCTCACAGACTAGACCAGCAGAGACGTTGGTAGGATGCATTGAAAGAGACGCACGACCATCACGGCGAGGAAAAAGCCCCGATATTGGAAGGCAACAGTACTCTGATCCAGGTCTTGCACCGCGGCATACTTTGCGGAAGTTTCAGTCGCAGCCACAGCTCAGCACACCACAGAAACATCGTCGACAGTTTTCTTTTGAGCCTGGGGCGGACCAGCTCGAAGCGCTCACGGAAGAGTTCGGGGCGCCTGATGGGGAGACCAATGAGAGCGGTTCTGACGATTCAGGTACTCCTCTCCTGATGCGTGCTGGACCCTCGGCGCTTGATACACGATCAATTAGATCTACTTCATCGTCTCAAGCTCTGGGTGCAGACTTGGGCAAGCCGTCGAAGATCCCCAGCCCTGTTCAAACATTGGGTCGCAGTCGTCGAGAGGATTCTGCCTCAAGCTTCCAGTCCATCTACGCCAGACCTCAGGACAGTCGTCGCGAGTCTCGCTCCAGCGTTATCACGGCGTTCCGCGAAATTCCGAATGGAAACATCCGACCTGCACTCCAGAGCAGACACAATTCGATCAACATCTTACGTGATTCAGACTCCTCACAGGCATCGAGAGATCAAGCCGGTGAAATGAGACCGCGCAACAGTACCATGGCTGTCACAGCAGCAAGGGCAGCAAGTGATGCAAGTCAGACATCGTCGTTATAGTGTGGTAGTCCAGGACTCTCTCTATCGCGAACAAAACGACCCAGAGTGTTCGGTCAGGCAGACGCATGATTACCATAAGAGAACGTCATCGAGTTGATATGTGGGCGTCTTTTATACCCGTAATCGAGATCCTAAGAATCACATTGGACGAGCAGGGCTGCAATTAGTGTTTCATCTCGGTTACTCAGCACGCCAGTTTGAGGTTGATTCGACTATCAGACAAAGTGCGATCGTCCCCTCTCTACTCGCCAAAGCCAGAAGTGATACTTGTGTTACTATCGGAGGACCAGGCTGCAGATGCTTGCTACGCTTTCTTTCGTTATCCCATCGAATTGTGGATTTTTCCAAATACCTGTGGATCGGAGAACAATTCTTTGTGGTAGTCACAACGTGTGTGCGTAAAAGTCTGTAAGATGCCAAATGTATCAATCTAAGATTGCAGCCCCTTCGCGCTACAACCAAGATTAGTCGTGCCAATTAGCGAGATGAAGAACCTGTGGCTAAACTGGAGCTCTCATCAGACAATGCAATTACTGCCCTTCCCGTAACACACTGCCACAATGACAAGGCGGCGTCGAAGGTCGAACCTATCCGGTCGCGGTCGTACGGAGGTGACCTCACTCTATCTTATTATGGCTAATACATCGCTCAGGAGACACGGGAATTGAGACTACGCCAGAGTACTGCACTTCTGAGCTGGACCCTGACATTCTACGGGATCTAATCGCAACATCTAGTGATGAATAGGCCCTTTCCAGCTCCTTCTATTCTGCAAGTCTACGCGTCTTGTCGCTATCTGCTCTCTTAGTAGGTCTGATCAGCAGAATGTGGCGTTTGGTGTGGCGAGTGCGGGAGCTGTGCCACAGTCGGCCGATCATTGCCGAGTTGACAGGAGAGGTTTCTTCCACATGATAATTCACGACGCATTCGATTCGTCAAGACTTCCCGTTGCCGATCGTCGTCTGTAACTGTTGCCACACTTATTTTTACACAAGGATCGCTGCGTCAGTGGATTTCTCCGTTGCACCTACCGGACGACGATTCCACAGCCTTGCGATTGGCCATGCAGCCACAGGCATTCCCATACAACTGCCCAATACTGTGGTCGGTGTAACTAGAAAGGGTAGTGACGTTCACTTTCATGGCCTCGCTGATTTTACGGCTCCAGATGCATTGTCCAAGCGCTGCAGCGATGACGAAAGCCGTTGATGGGAGGGTTCAGTTGGTGGATAGACTCGCTTTCGGGATAACGCCCGCTAACCACTCCTTAATCTCGGCTTGACAGGTGGTAAAATAACGTTAAGAATTAAGTCTTCCGAGTAAACGCAAGCGATACGGCGCCAACGGGCGATCATGGGATTGGTCTGGGAGATAGACTTTGACGAATTGGCGGGGTGGTATCCTCGTCTCTGATCTTTCGCTCATACGCAGGGGAAGGCGGCCGGCAGTAGACTGGATAGGTAGGGCGAGCAGCGGCAGAGACGTCTGCCGCGTGGAGAGCTGCAAGAGACAAGGGCAGCAGCGGTCTCGGGACACAAGTGGAAACGGGAGCTGCCCGGCATATGTCATTTCGCATTGAGGCGCCAACGCACACCGTAGGCGCCGCAACAGTCTGGCAGGACAAAGGGGGCATAGTGTGCGAGCGGAAGCTGTCTTGACGAGTAAATTGCTTCCAAGGGCACGGAATACTCATCAAGCCACTGGAGCCTGTGCACGAGCTCCTCGCACTGGTGTAGCAGTTGAAGTGGATTCGAGAAACATCGGGCTGGGTCCGCGCGATCCAGCAACCATGGGTGGATGTGCGCTTGGAGTGCGGGATGGCGACAGATGCAGCGACTATCAGCACCTCATGCGGACGCAAAGAGCATCTGGCCGGCTCGCGTCTGCCGTAAGGTTGTGGCTGTGCAGGACGGACGATGGGTGATCAGTTTGGCAGCATATGGCGCACAGAGTAGGGCGGAGGACCAAAGCCGCCTAGGGCCACGCAAAACTGTAGCGTTAGAGCAGCAGGGACCGTGTGCCTAGACCCGACGCTCCACCCTTGCCCACGCGCGGCCCTCTTGCAATTCCGTCAGGCCCTGTGGATGCTCAAGTCGCTAGCTAGCTAAAAGACGTCTGACCACCGGCCCTGGACATCTGTGGCTTGACTTTCCCAGGCTCGACTTTCTCGTGGCAGCTGCTCTCCGTTTCATCAATCCATAGTCCGCTCCTCGAGGCTCCCCAACACAAACACTTCTTCTCCCCATCGACTCCCCAGATGCAACCCGAATTAAACAAGACCTAATACTGCGAGTGCGCCCGATGCCATGTTTCGAAATAGGTACGTCCCGCCCGCGCCCAAGCTCGCATATGATTTGCGCGCGTCGCGTTCGACATCAAGTACATTGACTGATCGCTGACTGACACGATGCGCAGACTCAACAGCCAAAAACCCGATGGAAAGCTCCTAGAGGAATTCAGGGCTACTTTCCCTCATCTCCAGCAGCGTTCGCATTCTCTTGCAGGCACGCCCGGCCACACGCTCGCAGATGCGCTTGATGTCGCGCACCCCTCCCGGTAGGTCTTTCCGACATCCCCCCATCCCATGTCACTCGGCACCAACATCAACATCAACAACGCCGACGGCGCCCAATATGCACACGCACACACACACACACACACACACACAACGCAGCGAAAAATTTCACTAACCTTGATGTTTTCCAGACAACTCGACCATGAAGATATCAAAGATCAAGATCCAACTCCGCGCGGAAACACCGAACCGTGGAGGTTCACACCATCACTGCTGGACCCGAACAGCTTCGCTTTCACCTCTTTCGCAAACCAACCTCCTGGTTACTACACGCCAACACCTGGCGGAACCAACACGCTCTATCACAGCCAGGCCGGAGACCTCCACACCCCCGGCTTCAGCTTCGGTCTAGGAACTCCGCTATCGCTTCCCACTTCCGAAGGTGCTCTCCACGCTGGTCAGGTCGCGCCTTCCACCCATCTCCACGGCTTCAATCCCCACGCCCTTGGGTCGCATCACTTCCAGAATGTCAATCCTTTTGGCGTACAGCCTCAGCACTCCCAATCCTTTGCACCGCATCAGTTCACACATCAACCTTCCGCATTCGATCAAGGCAACATGGCGCAAAACCACGAAGACTCACCAATGGACAATATGGTCCCGGAAGTGGAGATGCAGGAGCAGTCACCTCTGATCGGTTATGCACCCCATTCATACGAGGGCAGCCTGGCAGCTGCAGTCGCACCAGCACCCCCTCCACCCAGTCAAAAGTCGGTCACCCTACCTTCCCAACCTTTTCCTTGTACTGACTTCTCTAGTTTTCGCTACCACGTCACTCTGAATGCTCCGACAGCCATGATCAAGCAGTCGGACGAGGTTCCTGTCACCTATCTCAACAAAGGACAGGCTTACTCCATCTCTCTTGTGGACACCGCACCTATGCAAGCACCCTCTCCCTCGATAAAGTACAGGACTTTTATCCGCGTTTCTTTCGAGGACGAACAGCAGCGCCAGCGACCTGCGTCTTGTTGGCAACTGTGGAAAGAGGGCCGTGGAACCAACGAGGCGCACCAGCGTGGTGGGCGACTTCAAGCAGTTGAATTCGTGGATCCAAGTCAAGTTAGCGGCGGTGAGATACAAGGACGACCCAGAGTTGAGCTCGAGTCTTCATCGTTCGATGGCTTCGTGGTCACATGGACACCAACTCACAACGCTTCGCCGGAGTGCTCTTTGGCTGTGCGTTTCAACTTCCTCTCCACCGATTTTAGCCACTCCAAGGGCGTCAAAGGCATTCCCGTCCGGTTATGTGCGAAGACGGAAATGGTTATGGAAGCTACCGGATCATCCCCCCAAAGACCGGATGCTGAGCTCTGCTACTGCAAAGTGAAGCTTTTCCGCGACCACGGTGCCGAGCGGAAACTGTCCAACGACGTTGCACACGTCAAGAAGACTATCGACAAGCTGAAGCAACAGATTGCTCAAGTCGAATCTGGCATGAAGGATTTCGGCAAGCGGAAGCGCAGTGGATCAATCTCCAAGGGCAGTGCCAGTCAACGTCCTGGAAAGGTGCCTAAACACAAGAGGACATGGTCCATGTCTTCAGCTAGCGACAACCAAGGAGGTCGTGCACCTGCTGAAGAAGATCTTCACATAAAACTGGCATCGCTCCAAGACATGTTCAGTTCCACTAGACCTGTCAGTGTTCTGTACCTCAAGGGCGAGGACCAGGATGATCCCGACCTCCACCCAGTGATCCTAGGAGCTTCCCCTCAAGAACTCTCTAAGCTTGACACCAACGTGGATGCGCCTATGTGGGAGGCCCCAGAGTCGCAAACGGCAACGTCGTCTGTCGTATCACCAACTCCGAGTTCTCAGTCTCTCCACTCAGAGAAGCGCCGGACTACCTCGTTCCAACGTCCGGTGCCCTTTCAGCCACCGTCACGCATGTCCTCGAACGAATGGCGGAATATGCCGCAAACAGCCACAGGCGATCTCAAGGGCATGGCTAGCATCCAAGGCGGCGCAGATGTTCCAACAAAGGTTCAACGGCCATATTCTGATGATCACGCGCTTTCTGGATGGATCGAAGCCCTCGGGGTTGATCAAACCTACCAACCGCCTCCAGAGCCCATGCTAAAGCCTGTCGCCTGCTTCTTCGTTCAGCCGCGCTTCGCCGGTCGGCAACCTGACGACAACTACTTCCGCGCTGTCTATCTCATGGAACGTACTGTGAAAGAGCTGGTCGCTAGTATCGCAATGAAGATTAAGATCGAGCCAACCAAGGTCACACGTACCATCCGCATCAACCAGAAAGGACTGCAGATTTTGATGGACGACGATGCGGTCAACAGGATCCCTGAGCAACAGGACATGACCGCCGAATTCCACGAGATTGGCACACCACCAGTGCATGGTATGAAGCGCGAATGGGATGCGGGTCCTACAGACATCCAAGTTGATGGCGACATCAGCGTTGCGGAAAACGTACATTCGAGCGGCTACGAACTCCGTCTTCTCTTCTAGGCTGTTATGCCTATCGCTCGCCTGCGAAACGCCGTTCCTTCATCTTTTGATACCCTGTTTCTCGGTAATTCACCGATTGTCATGACCCTGTACTATTCGTACCCTGGAGCCTTGCATCGCTCTCTTAGGGCTGTTCTGAATTAACATCACTTGATTCAGTTCTACGGTTTGGCGTTCAGTGCCTTTGGAGATAGCACGCGTTCGCTCAGAGCGTTTGCTATATTTCCTTTGTTGCTACCTTTCGATTATTATTATTCTTCTTCTTCTTTCTGGTGCGACGACGATACCCATTATACTATTACCACTTTCACCTTTCCAGCGGCTAAGATTGCAAAGCAACGATCTGTTACGAACACATAGCGAGATACACATGCGCGAGACGAGGGAGGAGCGTTAAACCTGTAATTTCTTTTTACATACAACAAGGATGGTAGCTCTGTCCACTATGGTGTACATGCCTATTGTCCTTTGCGAGCCTAATCAAATCTTATCGCTCTGAAGCTGTCGTCACCTGCGATCTCTCGACTTCTCTTCCCTGTACAATTTTCTTGAGCTCCACGTTCTTACCCTGGCCGACCGAAGCTGCGCCGTTGACCGCGGACCACCCCACACTGACGTTGTGACGTAGCGATTATCGTTACATTCTTCGTCAGCCGCCAAAGTTAGATAGCTTTGTTTCGACCGTCTCCATCGCGGCAGATTGCTCTTTGCCTGCCCCATCGAATAACATTCCAGTGTCTTGGCGCGCAACAAGCATTTGGCACGCTATCGCCTCCGGAAATTACGCTCTCTCCATCCACACACAGGGGGTTTGAACAGCAACGTACGGCTTGCACCAGCATCAACGATACATATTCGCTGAAGGACTATGCAAATATTGCCGTCGGTTTTGCGTTGCCAAACACTAAGTGCGACAATGTTGACACGGTGTTTGGTACAACTGTCAGCGCATGGGTGGGGACCCCTGACACGCGAGTAATTGAGGGGGCTGGCGGGAAGTGTGAGTACGGTAGCCGATACCGATAGCACATGGGTCCGACCCAAAGGATTGTGTACCCGGGACTTGATGTCATACTGCAGACAAAGACTCACGAATCACGACCATGGTACACCTACAGAAAACCGATAAGTCAGACCGAGGAGTAGGGTCCGGAAGATGCGTTGGCAATTATAGAAGACGCGTCGAATGAGAAAGGACCGATCGAATCTACTTGCTATGGTCCACTGCTGAGCCGCTGCCTCATTCAATCGCAGGTTATGAAACATCAATCCATCATACAGACTGTGGCTTCAACGAATAGTCTACGGGATGTGCAGCTACCAAGCAAGCGCTCATGCAAGTGTGGTCTGATGCAGGGAAATGGCACATCTGAGAGCATTCGGAGACGAATGTACTTTACAACCGAGACCATGCATATGGAGAGCCTTCCGGTACTGCCGTCGCTCCGCTCGCACTGTGCTCGAACAGGAGGGCCGCGTTCGTCAACACGACGGAAAGCTAGCCGACATGCTCCAGTATGTTTGCTCGGGGTACTTTCGCCACCTCATGTGTCGAAGCAGAATGCATCGCGGACCCCGAAGACCCTTCCTTCCAATGGAGTCACGGAATAGAGGTGCAACATGAACTGGGGCCGAATACACAACTATCTAAATGGCCGACCACTTACCCTTACCACGCTGGAGTGAGGCGTTCTAATCATAGTGACTTTTTGTAAGGCCACCTCGGAGAAGCGTTATGCGGCAGCCAATGAGCATGTTGGATCTACAGAGAGATCGACACATTGTGTACTCAAGCGAGACGGCAAGTGGCGAGTGGTGTGGCTGGACCCTGGCCTTCGCCACGAACTGCGGGAACGCTGGCCTGTGCGACATGGTGCAACGCTCTGGCAGCTGACGCAGGTGTCATGCGGGCACTGACGAACTGTGACTCATGACATACTGAGGATTTCTTCTCCCTATCACAACATATAGGACATATTCACGCAAGTTTACCGAGACGCAACCCTAAGGGACTTGCACCGCCACAGGTAGGTGTTACGTACTCCTCACAAAGGCGTTGATCACTTCACATGCCAGAGTGCTTTACTAATAACAAGCACAATCCTATTTCCAGAAGATTCGGCGACATATCAATCCTGCTCGCAATCTAGATTGTTGATACCCCGCTTCTGTCGTAGGGTAAAAACATCAACCGTAGTTTGCAGATCCTAGCCCATATGGATACATATGTCCTTTTGCTTAATCTGACTCTGCAGCGCGCTTACCAGACGGAACGTCTCCGACGACTTAGAAGAAACAGAAAACAGTGCACAGCCACGGTGCTGAAACAGCGATGAATTGGTGCTCTAGATGGGCCTATTCCGGCATCTAGTCTTCGTACTGCGTGCATTGTGGCAACTTCCACCTAGGCGTGAAGCAGACTAGGATAATTGTCATTGCTGTTACGTTGAGGGTAGGTACTACGGTTTGTGGTAGTCCGACCTGAGGTTTGAGAAGTAGTCTAGCTTCATGAGACGGATACACTTAAACATTTTTGAAAGGTATCAGGTGATTCTTGTAGACGGTCAAAAAAGATAGTGTAGGTTTGGTACGCATCTACGAACTAAAGCATCCGGAAGACTACCGATGCAGATTCAAATCCCGTATTCTAAGAACCACTAACAGGACCATGTCTTTCACAACAAATTGGCTATACTATCGGACCGCAAAGAATGCAAATCTCAAAGAAAAGCCCCGTGTATTGCGACATCATATGCGAATCTATTATGCATGATGAAGTCACCAGATGAGGATGAGATTCTGCGTGGGTAAAAAAAAGAAGAAGTGGGACCAGCAATTTCAGTACCAACTGCCTTTCGGATTTGGATAAACTAGCCGCGACCAATGAATGACCATGAATAGCTCCCCTGTTCGCAACTCGTTCACGAGGTGCGCACGTGCGTACTGGGGCGCTGACCTGTCAACCCAAATTACCGCGAAAATCAAAGATCGCAAACTACGTCAAAACGTTTGTATGAACTGCTGCTCCACGATGACTTCATATATGCGGTCAGAAAAGGCCATGCCTGATCATCCGGCAAGTGTTTCAAGCTTGACAGACCAAGCGTGCACTTGATGGAGATCCAGCACAATTCGGCTGTATCCCCCCACAGCTCGCTTCCCACAGCCCGGTACCTGTAAGCAGCCCAGCACTTGAGCAGCTTGAGATCTCCCACCCGCAGCACAGCACTGGCAAGGCTACGCGCGCAATCGCGATCGCATCCTCCGGCAAAAATGGCAGCAGCACCTAATATCCCTCGAATGAAGACGTTGCGATTGGGATCGTGGGTCATCTCGTTTACAACTGGCAACGAATCAGTGGCCTGAAGAGAGCTGTCATGCGCATAAGCCTCTGACGCACGCCTGGAATACTGCCGGTTGGGCGGATTGGATAGAATCATTCTGTGTACCTACAGGAGCCACGTTGATGCGTCTGCATCAGCACGGTGTGCATGTTACAATCCTACGGTGCGTTGCTGCAAGGGTATCCTCAAGGTAGTCACCTGCGCGGTACTTGATTCTGACAGTGCCCGAAGGGGTGTCTCCATCAGGCAGTCCACTTCGGATCTTTGGGACACATACGGTACTATTCTCATGCATCCATTACTGCTTTTTCCAAGGTTCTTTCTTCGATCTTCGAAGTCGAACATGGGGGGCTGGTAGTTGAGCGAGGTCCTGTTATGCTTTTTCTTCAGCTCCTGGGCATATTGAGTTTCGGACGGAGGTTTCCTGCTACCCATGTGCTTGTACGAAATGCTTTGATCGCTTCGTTGTCAGGTTCTTTCGGCGGAAGCGCCAGGACGGGAAGATCCCCCATCTCATATCAGGCCATGTTATTGTACATGGTAACGTTACCCTTGAAATCCTTCACGCATGAGCACGTGCACACCCAAATACCACCGCTGCGATTAGACCTTCTTTTGTACTTCTTTTCCGATGTCCCAATATCCCCTATGTTCCTCTTCGGACCAGTGACTCCGATGCTCGGGTCATTGGTTCATTTGGGATGCTGCACTGACGAAAGGTGATCGGAGGCGTTGAGGAAAAGCCGGGTTATCCTGACCCAAAACCTGGATTGTGGACGATGTGTTGTGCGGGATGCAGTGGGGGCCGCAGGAGGCGTGTGTGCATATGTGGAGCGAAGCGGAACCAAGGTATTGATATTACCGAAAAGGAAACGTACGATGTCGGATTGTATACCGAACACGATTGCACCGCCACAGGTCAGATATTCTTTGTAGACATGGGTGAAAAGGGATGAGTATACGAGAGGAACTTAGACAGGGCTTCGGATGATGCATGCTTGAGGGGCTATATTCCTCGTAACGAGATCAACCTGTCTAAAGAGTTTGAGTGTGGTAGTCGATTGACTGTCCATAGTGGAGCAACTGCAGCTTCCTCGTAATAGAGGATATAGTAATTACGCCCTAGTGCTCTCAATCATCCAACTCTCGTCCAAAGTCAATCAACCTAAGCTTCCTTGCATCTTTCGGATGGAACTGCGCAATCTTCGCCCTGACTAAGAACCTCGAAGCCGCAGAGTCTCTCTGGAGTTGAAAGTATGCCTTTCCACCTCCCGGTCCCATCAGAGTAGCAAACAGGTTCTCAATCAACTGTCGCATCTCCGCATCTGCAGCTTCGGCCTCTGTAGGCGGCTCTTCTTCCTCTTCTCCTGCTTCAAGAGTAACCTTCTTGCCCCAGATTTGGTCAATCCTGCGCTGTCGTGTATTGTCTGAGGCTGGCTTCTTGGATGATTTCGGGCGCCCTTTCTTTGTGAAGCCGGCAGCAAGCGTATTATCTTCTATATCGAGCATGTCGCCTACTACAGGCCCGCCAAGCTCCTCTGCTGCGAGCATACTGGAAAGGTAGTCGTTGATGAAGTCGTTCATTGCCTCGCCCAGACGCTGCATCTCCGCGTCGTAGTTCTCCTTCTTTGCGCGCTTGGCTGCTATTAGTTCTAGTGTGAGTTGGGCAGGAGTCTTCTGTGCACGGTCTTGATGCTGAGAACGGAGTTGTTCGATGCGATTCTCCATTGAGTGAGTGAGAAGTTGGGCATCGCGTAAATTGGCTTTTTCGCGGCGAAGCGTGGCTTCTTTTGCGTCGAGTTTGATTTGAGTGCTGGCGATGGCCTCCTTGGTTCCTTGGACATTCTGTTGAAGTGTACGTGCTGCTAGTAGTGCAGGCAGAACTGATCCTTGGGTGGGTAAAAATGTTGCTGTTAGCTTCAAGCGTCTATACGCGTCTTTGACGGCGATGAGTTGCTGCAGTTTTTGGCGCGGATCTTCCGATGCATAAGCGGCAGCCGCTATATCAACCTCTGGTTGGGATCGCAGCTGTCATATGGTTAGCACGACTCTACAAAAACGCGTGTTCGGCATATCACCTTCTCAAGCGCGGCCTGTTGTTCCTGCACGCGTGCTTGCAGCTCCTTCACCGTCTGCTCTAAACGCGCCTCAGTACTGGACGCGTCAAAGTCTACAACATCATCCTCCAGCCCACGAGCTTCTTCTGCATAGTCCCGTATCTTTCTGAAAGCCATGCTCTGTGATTGCGCCATGTCTTCAATAGGTCGGCTGTGTGTTCTGGTGTGGTCCACCGAATGTCGCTAACAGACCCGTGGTGCCTGGTAAGGACAACGTCACCCCTTTCAGTTCTGTACTCACTGCAGTTCCCACTGCACCACAAGAAATCCAACACTCCTTCACTCCTTGTGCTGCCTGCGTTCTCAGACAAAGTCGTAGAACCACACGTGACGCGCCAAGACTTAGCGCCGATCTCCCCGCGATAGCTCCCATTTTGCGTCGTTTGCGCTTCCTCCTTGCATCCAACCACCTGCTGCTGCTCTCGACCATCGCCAATAGTCCCTTCTCCATCACCGTCTCCACCCCTTCTTCTAACATTGCTTTCTTGTTTGAGAAGGAAAGCGTGCAACCTCGAGCTCTCCCATCTGAGACGCCGGATCGTTGTCGAGAAGGTTTGACGAGCGAGCTTTCTTTACTTGGGCCAGTTTCTTCCTCTGTCGACCTCACCTCGTCCCAAGAAACACACACCCTTTCCGACTCTCCCGCTCCATCACAAGCACCATCATACACGATTCCTCATTCCCAGAGGCATCCCTTCTCCGACCACTGCACCCTCTGCACGCTCCAAACTCCTTCAAGCTCCCGGCGACCTTACATCCACGCACCTTCACCGTACTGTCGCGACTCCTTCCACCCACCCTCACAGCACGCTTTCTTTCACGGCCCCCGCTGTACATAAAGTCGCAAATAATCGAGATCAATTGAACAAGTCTCAACTTCCCGTTTGAGCGCTCGTCGACTGTGAAGAGCGTGCATACCCGTTTTCAAGATTCAAGACCCACAACTCATACACAGAAAACATGTCTGCATCACCCACCATCGCAGCTTCGTCGGCCAAGCGACCGCTTGAAGAGCCCTCCTCGCCTACCGGACCCAATGATCAACCCGATGCCAAGCGCCCTGCTCTCGACAAGATGCTCAAGGAGGAGGCACCCAACCCAGACGATATCGATGTTGCCCAACCAGTCAAGGCTGATGATGTTGCCACTGAAGGCATCACGCAGGAGGATGTAAAGGTGGTACCTGAAGTGGCCGAAGCTGCTGTTGAAAACGGCGCCGAGACCATCCAGACGGATACTGTTGTCCCTGACGCTCCCTCCATCCTTGAGACCCAGCCTATCCAGTCTACATCCGGTGCTAACGGCCGACCCGTGAACCACAACCAGCAGGTGGACGAGACCAACTGGTTACATGTGCGTGCTTGCATTGGCACCAGCGAGGCGGCTACCATCATTGGCAAGGGCGGAGAGAATGTGACTCAGATCCGTCGTCTGTCTGGCGCCAAGTGTACCGTTAGCGACTACTCCCGAGGCGCCGTTGAACGCATCCTTACTGTAAGCGGCCAAGTTGATGCTGTGTCCAAGGCATTCGGCCTCATTGTGCGCACTCTCAACCAGGAGGATCTCGAGACCCCTTCTACCTCCACCTCCAAGGCGTACCCCATGCGCCTTCTCATCCCTCATATCCTCATTGGCTCTATTATCGGAAAGGCTGGTGTCCGCATCCGTGAGATTCAAGAGGCATCTAACGCTAAGTTGAACGCATCTGACACACTCCTCCCCAACTCTGGCGAGCGTTCGTTGATCGTTCTGGGTGTTGCTGACGCTGTGCACATTGCTGTGTACTATGTTGCCCAGACTTTGGTCGAGCAGCTGACCGAGCGATTCGGTGGACCCGCCGCGTCTCAATATGCGACCCGTAGCGGTATGGCTGCCAACGTTGTCCCAGGCGGCATGTCTGTTCAGCCATACGTTCCCCAGCCAGCTGGAGGTCAATACTCTCACCCGCAGAACTTCCGTCGTCAAGAACCACCCCAGCGAACCCCCGCTCATGGAGGATATGGTGCTCCCCACATGCATGGACAGCCTCCTCAACAATCGCCATATGGACACCCTAACATGCCCTACGGAGCTGGCTCGCCTAGCCGTGGCCCCTACGGAGGTCCTGCAGCGCCCACCCCTTACGGTGGCCATCCTGCTGCAGCGCCCGTTGCGCATGGTGGTGCTGCTGCTCCTCATGCAGCAGTTGGGGGTATGCCCGGTCAACCTCTTACCCAGCAGATTTTCATCCCCAACGACATGGTCGGTGCCATTATCGGCAAGGGTGGTGCGAAGATCAACGAGATCCGCCAACTCAGTGGTAGTGTCATCAAGATCAACGAGCCCACTGACAACAGCAATGAGCGCCTTGTCACCATCACGGGTACACAAGAGTGTAACCAAATGGCGCTATACATGCTGTACTCGCGACTTGGTTAGTAACCCATCCAGACCCATAAGATTATGTAACTAACCATCTGTGCAGAATCGGAGAAGCATCGCATCTAGTCGCGGGGTGTTACGAACCTGATATCACTACCGCATGGTTTATTGGCGGTCTAACAATACTGTGAGCCTAAGCTTGCTGTGTTTTCGGGATGCATGTATACATTGGCGCACGGCGTAGTGGTGGTATGCTCGCTTCCTTCATTGTTTCCTGGGCATGTACTTTATGTACCTTCTTTCCTTTCTCTCACTGCTCTCGGCGGGCAAGAGCACCGCTTCGGATGAATAAGCGATTAGGGGTCTGATGTACCTTGTATCACTCTACTGGTCTTCCGCTGCCGATCTATATGATACTCACATACCTGGTAATCTATCAAAAAGCTTTCTGACTTCATGACTGGATTTGTGCATTGGGTTGTTGTGAGTTCTGTGCTGATGTGTTGTGTGCGAGTATGTAGGAGCTGCGCGACTGAGCCCGTTGAGTTTTACAGTCTAGTCGATGTGCGGATGAATATCAAGGTCCATGGATATGAGCTTTCGAGACTCTTGAAGCTATGTAGCAGCTATCCGCTTCCGAAGTTTTCGTAAGATGTCTCTCTAACGTGTGCAAGGCCTTTGTCCAAGCTTATGTTTACACCTGGTAGATGACAATACACTCTTCGGTACTTAACAGGAACATGTTGTCGAGTTATCGATCTTCAAATAGCATTACAATGCCATGGTCATTCTGTCAGAGACTATTCATGTGTTCCATGGCATCGGCGAACAGATCATGTAAGCGTATTGGATACATCCATATCTCCATCCATATGAATCTCTAGACGCGATCTCCTCAGTTCCAAAACGTGACCGTAGGTTTGTGCCGAGAGCAACGGCAGTAAGGAGGTTATAACCAATAGTAAATCCTGGAACTGAGTAGGTCGCGTCTAACAGTAACTCCACACTCTCTTCCTTCCTGACCTTGGCCCCCCAGTCGGTTGTGCACTCGGTACGCTGATTCCGGGTGTACCAAATTAGTATGTTTCTCACATGCAGTTCGTACAGGTACACTTACAGTGACGTTCAGACTGGAGTTTGCATTGTCGTATTGAGGACTAAGCCTGACTTCCGTCTTCGTGTTTCCTGAGTTTCCGTCACTCTTCAAAGACCAATCATCGAGAAAGGCAAGGTCTTGATCCCAGAGAAGGTCTTTCATGGGAGGTTCATCGTCGTCGACTACATGGTGGGTGGGCTCCTTCCTAGGCTTCTTCTTCTTCTTCCTACGACGACGCGGATGGTGGGTGAAGTGAGATATACTGATGCCTGTGGTTGGTAGATACCATCGCCATCATGCTCCGAATCGGCGCTGCTTGTTAGGATTGTCCTAGAAAGGGCGGGGGCCTGGATGAGCATGTTTGGCTGGTTGAGAAGTTGGTCGAGCAGCGTATGGAGAGAATGGATTGGGGTGAGAGGAAAAGGGTATCTGTACGCACTGGTTCTTCAAGGATTTGCTCTTCTCCTTCAGCCATTACGCTAGATTCTAAAGTACGTAGGTAGGGAAACGGAGAGCCATGTAGCTTACGCTTTTCACTGCTGTACTGTGCGTCCCCTAGCTGAACTAAGTGCCTTTTAGTGACTGACGATGAGTCCCGTGTTGAAGTACTTCTCCACGTGTGGCAGCAGTCAGTCACATAGTCCTCCCAACGTCTCAGTTGTACTTTGCCCTTGTCAGAAGAGTAGTTAGGAACGCCTCCAATAGGTGATCACTGTGGAGAGAGGTCGACTTGAAGACGTCGAAAGCTCAAGACGGGAACGTGCGGCTTGTACCTGGAAAGTCACAATTGCAATGATACGTGCAAAGCACTGCACTGAATGCGAGCTTATTGGCTCTTTATGATAACATTTTACACTTGCTATGCCGAAGCGTAAACACCTACCACGCTTATATATGCTGCAATCAGTGAGCAACTCGCACACTCCTTATCGAATGTCACGCCCCTACGCCAAACTGTTGCCATTCTATACTCCCCTCGCCGCTTGTACAAGACACTCAACCTAAGTAGTGGCGGGTGCAGGTGCGGTAGCAGGGTCGGTGCCCACAGGCGCAGCTGGTGCAGCACCCGCAGTGCCCTCGGTGGGAGCAGGAAGTGCAGAGTTGTCAATGGCATCGTCGCTCTTCTTGGCCCACTTGGGCTCCTTTGCCCACTGGGGATCCCACCAGGGACCCGCATCGCTCAATTGGCAGCCCTTCTCACACTCGCAGCTTCCACCGAACGCCTTGGGCAGGTTCTCGGCGGGGACCTGCGCCAGCAACTCCTTCTGGTATCCGCTGCCGAGAACGTGGATCTTAGCGCTTGTAACAGGGTCGAGGAACTTCTTAACCACGCTGAAGACGCCTGAGAAGCCCCAGGGGGCGTTGATGATGTACATCTTGCCCATGCGCTCGGGGTAGTAGTTTTGACCAATCTGCGAGACGGCGCCTAGGTAGCCGTACACGGAGGTAGCCTTGCCGATACCAACACCCTTCAGGTCCATGATTGTGCACGAAGTCTCGAGGAGGTAGCCAGACTTGCGGGAGCAGGCAGGGAGACGGGGGTCGGCCATCTTTTCGTATTCGCAGACAAGGTTCTGGATCATACGGTCTTGGGACGTGATCTTGTTGAGTGCGGTGAGGTCAACGTTGCCGAGCTGCTCGATGTAGAGCGGGCGGCCATCCTAAGATTTGCGTCAGAGGGTTTCTTCGTTGGATTTGGGCCGGGTTCTGAACTCAGGTAAGAGCCACATACCTTGTCTGTCTTGTGGTAGTACTGGGGGTAGTATTGGAAAACCTCGGGCCGCTCCTTGTAGTCAAAGGTGCGGACCAGCTCCTCAACGCCGACACCAGCGTACTCGGCCCTCCACTTCTCACAGTCAACGAACCTGGTGACTGTCAGTAATGCGTCCCAAGTATCCATATACACTCTCCTCGTGCTGGTTATACGCACATTTGCTTGGCAAGCTCGACGTTGAACTTTCGCGCGCGGAGGAATCGCAACTGTAAATTGTTTAGCTCGAGGGCTTTTTCACCGCCTTAGCACCGATGAGCATACCAGAGTCAGAGTGTCGAGGTTCTTGGTGTGACCAGACTGCTCCAGTTGAGTCCTTAGCTGGAAGACCTGGGCATCTTGCTCTGGAGTTGTGTGGCCTGGGTGTCCACTTTGGGCGGTGGGAGCAACGGTAGGGTAATCGTAGTGGTCGTACTTGGGGTCGAGCTTCAGCTCGTTACTTGCAGCGGCAGCCATGTTGTTTAGAATGTGTGAGAAAAGAGGTCGCTCAGAGGTTATAAGGAGTTGGGAGGTAATTGCGTGTTGCGCGGCCTGGAGGAAGTTGTCGACGAGCGCGGACGTCGATGTTGACCAAGTGGGTCCAGTTCGCGGCGGTCAAGCGCCCCCGTCTAAGACCCTTCCCCTCATCTTGCAATTGGGCTGCTTCTTGACGGCTCTTCCCAGCGAATTGCGACCACTGACACTGCCTTATGACGGCATCTCTGGTTCACGTCAACCGTCAACATTTTACTCGGTCATGTTACACCACACGTACATTGGGAGCATGTTGAACGGTAAAACCGTCGTCAGACCTGCTAGGAAGCAGGCGACAAGGCCTTTTTGAAGGACTACCTAATTGATACATTGCAGAAAAGATGAACGCAAGAAGAACCCAGAAAATAGATCAAAAAGCCCATGCCGGAAAAACACCAGCCGCATACAGCTAAACGCTTCGCACACCGAAAAGAGAGTAGTGGTCCTTCCATCGTCAGGCTACCAGGAAACATGTTCCAGACACTGAACAACAAACATGATGTGAGATTCGTGTACTAACCGCTGGCATTGCTCATACCTCCCAAGATGATCAGACCGCGCACCGTCTATCGAGCGATTCACCCGCCGTTGCCAAACCTAAACTTCCATCATGAAGCCCGCAAAGGACGCGAGCGGACCATAGCAACCGAACACCGAGCAAATGACGCCTGGAAAACGACGGAGATTGCTGCACCACAAGCCTATTGACATGCCCGGAGGCCAAATGACGTCAAGCCGTTCAATTCCTTCGTTCCCGGCTTGGCCCAAAGTCGACTTCGGACACCTTCTTCGCCTCTTTCCGGTTCTTGACAATGTATTGCGCGTACAGAGCCACGTGATCACTAGGGAAGTGGTAGTTGGGGAAACCCGGTACCCGCTGGAGGTAGCCCTTGTCGATCTCACCGAGCAGGCCAACCACCTGCAGTGTGTTTGTCGAGTACCAAATATAGTCCAAAACTCCTTGGAAGTGAGGCACATAGTTTGTGAACGCCAACTCGCCGATGGATGCGTAGCTGGACTTGAGGCTGAAGGGATGGGATATGCCGTCTCGTGTGAAATTACCATACTTGCGGTTTCCCAGATCCACGTGAGCATTCGATACATTGCCGTGTGTGATAAGATCGTAGACACCAGATGATGGCATCGAGTTGAAGTCACCACATAGCAAGACGGGGATGTCGGAAGGATCCGAGTATTCCTTAGAAGGTCCTGGCTCTTGCGTCGGGTCGGGTTCTGCCCCTTCTTCGCTGTCGCCATTTGTGAATTGATACACCACCTTGTTTTTGCAGGCCGGGTGTTTCGTCCACTGAGTTGCAAGCTTTGTAATACCCTCCATCAAGATGGCGACTTGCACAAGCTTGACATCCTGGAACGCAGGGTTCCAGAAGACGTGTACGTTTCCGACGATGAACCTAGATCCTGTAGCACGGTTTTCGAGGAATGCAACCACTCCAATATCGTCTCGAGGCATGACACGGTTGAATATATCATGTTCGCCTTTCATGTCTGGACGGTTGATAGCAGTGTTGGCAAAGTCGATGAGCTGCTTGTCCAGCAAGATATACCTAGGGAAGTCAGTAATGGTCTGCATATGAAGATATGAATGTCAACTTACTTGCTGTTCTTGTAAAAGATAGCACACCCATCGACAAGCTTGGCTTCCCTTTCTGCCATGGTACGTGCTCTTGATTTCGGCCAGAACACTCCCTTGTAGTCGTTATGCGCCAGTTCTGCTCGGAAGAACTCATTGAAACTGTCTTGATCGATCTCCTGCAGACACACTATATCTGCATCGCGCTCGCGCAGCTCAGCAAGAATGAGCTCCCTACGGCTCTCCCAAGCTAGTGCCGAGCTTGGCGTGTATCCATACTGCGATTGTGTACAGTATTTGTCGCACAGGATGTTGTAGCTGAGCGCGCTCACAGTCTCTTGGTTCGTGTCCTGGATCTCGTCGAGAACAATCCAGTCTCGCTCTGGTGGTGCCTCCGGGCCTGGGGCGTTCTCGCGGAAGTGTTTGATGAGTTCCGTGGTGCCTTGTTCCATGATGATCTGTTTCAGATCGTCCGGAATAGGGTTGCCCTCGATTCCAAGCACCTCCAGCTGATATAGTGATCCCAGTTCATACGGCAAGTTTTCAATGTGATTGTCAAACAGGAGCAGCTGCTTCAGGTTCACTAGCATGCCAATCTCCGGGGGCAGATATTGCAGGTTGTTCAGGGAGAGATCGAGGTGAGTCAGGTTCCGTAGTTGTCCGATCTTCTGGTGCACGTAGGTGAGCTTGTTGGAATTGAGGTAGAGTTTTGTCAGGAAGGTGTAGGCGAACAAGGCGGGCGTGATGACTTTGAGGTTCTGGCCGCCAAAGTCGAGAATTGTCCATATATGTTGGTCCTTGGCATCTTCCACCCGCTGGGCAGCAGGCCTGTTGCGCTCTTCCTTGTCCGTCTCTTTTTGCATGCCATTGTTGGTTCCCGCTACGATGCTCTTACTAACGCTCGGGTGGATTCTCGCGTGTGAATGGGCCTGCGTCATCTCACGCGCTGTCTGGTGCAGTTTCAATTGCTCTTGCCAGTGTTCGGTGGGCGGCTTGCTGAGCCCGCTGTGGACGCTATTGGGTGTACCGTTCTGGAGATGCCCCGGCGTAAAGTGGGGCTGAACATTGGACATGCCCCCACTCGAGATGTTGTGCTGGTGGTTGAACTGGCTGACGTGGTTGTTTCCGGTAATGTCATGGTGCTGCTGGTGGTGTTGGTGCTGATGTTGGTTGTGCTGGTTGTGTTGAAAGGGTTTCCCCAGGTTCATCTGCTGCATAAAGTTCTGGTGCCCAGCTCGCCCGTTCATCATAACGTTTTGGCCCTGGTGCCCATGGGCGTTGTTGAACATGCCGAACTGCTGCGGAGACGACTGGCGCCCGGGAGATCGCGATGGCGAGGGGGTGTCGGGGTTGGGGAAAGGTATGCGGGCGCTAGATGTGGGCGACCGCACTCGGCTGGAGAGGTTGCGTATATTCTGTGCGTGTTGTGGATAGAAGGTATTGCCGGTTCCCCTGGGGTAGACCGAGTACTCGGCCATCTAAGGGAATCGCGGCGGTGGATGGGTGGGTTTCCGCAGGCGGCTTTGCGTATGGAGGATGAAGGGCGCGGGTTTTTATGGCGAGTGAGGACGTCAGGTGGGAGGAAGGGCTCGGGCACGCGATCTTCTTCGTTTTAACATGGGCGCCCGAATGACTCTCCGACATGAGCACGCGCTAACAGACGCGGCACCTGTATACCATGTATCGATGCCCCGGCGGTTCGCGAGTGAGGGTGATATTGGAGCGGGGACTCGATAGCGAGCGAGGGCGAGGGCGTTGTTGGGGCAGAGGCGTGTTGGTAATATAGGCCTTGGGCGCTTGGCTCGTATTGATATCCTGGCGGGCTTGTATTGTTCTGGAGCTGTTAGTTGGTGTAGCGGGGAATCGAAGAGGTTGGACGTGGAGCTTGGAGAGGGCGGCAGAAGCGTGTGGAAGCGGCGCACGTACGGCAGCTGAGGATGTCAAAGGGAGCGCAGGAGGGCAATCGGTCTCAATTATACCAGACAGACTGTGAGCGGGTCCAACTGCGGCGCTGTGAAGAATAGAGAGCGTAGTGATGCGATACGTGAAGCCCAGTCGAACCTTGCCCGATGCATGGGGAGCGCCGCTTAGCGGGACACGTGACATGGAAGCGTCGATCCACAGCCATGAAACTGTCCATCAGTTTGTTCGCGACTTGGCCTGGATCGAGCGCACTGCAACGGTAGTGGTATACATTGCAACCTTGGAACGCGTGCAGAGGGGTCCATACATAGTACGGAAACATGTGCTTCTTCTATGCAGGCGGGTTCCCACGCGCTTCAACGTCGGTTCCCTCCATGGAGTTGGTTGCGTGGTAGTCGTAGCTCACCTGCAGCCCATCATTGTATGATTACATAGATAGTCCCCCCTTGATCCTCGTATCCGTCGTGCACTGCATACACCCTGAGCTGGTTACTGCTAGACCTCGGGCTTTCCCCACGCTGGAATATCACCTGCAGGACACCTTCGGCTGATGCCGCGCTCCTGCAGACGAGCGCCACATCACCAAAAGCTGCTCGTTCGCGGCGCTCGCACTGCCCGCGATGTGTATTGCCATAGGGAACCTGGGGATTCACACAGCCGCAGCCGTTGATTGGAGATGTCTCCTCGGCTGGCCTGGCAGCTCCTCACCTGAGCTGCCTTCCCACAACCGGACCTGGGCCGAACCTACATTCACACATACGCGGCATGCTGGCACCATTCTCTGATCCCATTTCTCTCCTGTCGAGCACTGCTCCCCCCATCACATCCGCTCCGTCGTCCCGCTCATTAATTGCTGACTCGCCTACACGTGCTTATCAGACGACTAAAGGCCGGCCCAATATCGCGCTCCCGCTAAAACAGTGGGGCAAGGGTAGGAGTAGACTGGATAACCTCGAGCACGTTTCCAGGTCGTCTCCATGGGTGATTGGCAGTTGGCAAGAACACACTGTTGACGCTCTGCCTGAGAACCTATCTAGCTAATCTGAACCTCAGTATCGCTATTACGGCACCAACGCCACCAGCAGTCCGCCCATACGCCCCAAGACTGTCGAAGCAAAGCAATGGGATCTGACCACTACAGACGCTCTCGGTAGAACCATATCTGCGTCCTCAGCTTCTGCCTCGTCAGGCCCACGCACCCACTCAGCTAACAACATGGATATAACGCGGGGCTCCATGTCAAGCAGCTCCACCCAAAGTGCCCGAGACGACCCCGGCGTCCCCTCCACCGAACCCTTCATACTGCGCCATGGGCGACGCTACATTCGAAGCGCTCAGGGATATCCACTCCCATGCGACCTGCCCGAACTACACCGTCAAAACCTACAAACCCTCCTCGCGACAGCCGTCTTCGGCAAGGCCTTGGGCTCGACCCCTTCATATCCCCCGAGAAAAGTGTTGGAGATTGCATGTGGCTCAGGATACTGGTCGGCCGTGTGTCATGAATATTTACGTGGTATGTATTGGTAATCCCATAGGATTGTGGGTTGCGCGGTCTTCCGGGCGCCCCGCAAAGTCTGCACAGCTATCGTTCAGAGTTGACCGTAAGCAGAACAGGGCCACGAAGACGTTTCCTTCACCGGTCTCGACATCGTCAATCTCGCGGGAGATTTGCAACGCCAGGGCATCGATTGGAGGTTCGTGCAGCACGATCTGCGCAAGTTGCCGATGCCATTCGATGATGAGGAATTCGACATCGTCGTGATGAAGGACCTGAGTATGGTGATACCCTTGGGAGTGCCGTCGCAGAGGATACTCGATGAATGTACACGAGTCCTCAAGTCCAAGGGCACATTGGAGATATGGGAGACGGACCACATCATCCGATCGATCCAGCCACATCCTCCACCTCCGCCGGGCAAGAATCCTCAAGAGTACGCTTGCGCCGAGTCAACCGGGACGTTCCTGATTTCACATACTACGCCCTTTACCGATGTGCAGAACAGATATCTCCAAGACTCCAACTCGTGGATTCAAGAAGCGCTGGACCGACGCAAGCTCTCGCCAACCCCTTGTTCCCGTGTATCGCAGATCTTGCTCCAGGAGACGGAAACTTTGTGCGACATGGACAGCCGTAGGGTAGCCATTCCTCTTGGTGAACCACGGTGGGAGCGCGAAGCTGCGGGCGAAACGGTAAAGCGGCGTGGAAGCGAGGCGGGAAAGCTCAAGAAGGGAAGCGTGATGCTGGAAAGCTCGATTCTGACCAAGGAACAAGCGGCACTGAGACACACGGCGTTGCTTGTCGTTATACAACTGATCGAGAGTCTGGAACCCCTACTCAAAGAAGTCAGCGGAAAGAACCAAGAGGAATGGCAGCGTTATTGGAACTCGATGATCAACGATCTGCTTGAGCAGAAAGGTGCCTCGAGCGGTGAATGTCTGGAAGTAGGCATCTGGTGGTGCAAGAAGGTGTAAAGTTCAACGGGCGTACCTTGTCTATTTGTGATATCCCGGTCTACGCAAGGCCACCGTCGGCGAAGTGTTGGTTATTCTTTTGTAGCGATTACGCGAGTTTGTCGTAGCGCTGGCGCAAAGCTCGATAACGCTTCAGATAGTATCTGGATCAAGTTAGGAAGAGCTTCCAATCGTACTTGTTGAGCTGTTTGGACGTACAGTGCTTCGATTTCTAGATGACGATGTATTTAGCCTTGTGCTGGTTAGATCAGTGTTCAGACAGACTCACCTTTCTTCACATATTCCGCCCTCTCGATGCCCTGCTTGATCTTGGCTTCGTCTGTCAAATGCTGTTGACTCGCAAATGCCTTGTGCAGACGTGTCCTGAAGTAATCGTATCCCTGAGGATATTCCCGGCCCATGAAAAGCAAATCTATGTCTCATCAGCCCACTCGAGCGGGAAGAGCCTCGGGAGTGAGGTAGTTTCTGCGCACCCTTGTATATCCGGATGACCTGGTGGCGAAGAGCGGGATTCGGGGAAGTCATTTTCGAGTTCGTAGACAGACGATGTATCGTATTAGAGAGCGTCGATTCTGAAGGCTGTCAAACGTCAATCGCGTGTCTATGAGCTGGGATGCGGAGTAATTGTAGCAAACGCTCGGGCCCGCATTCCTGACGTAGCGGCTGGCGAACTTGTGGATGCAGCAGATAGCTTTGGAGGAAGCGGATCCTCGGCTTGTCTTTCCCATCCGCATCCTCGGAAAGAAACGCCCTAGCTCTCAAGGTCTTGCTACAACCGTTTGTAAATACCAACGCGTTTGATCTCTCATTGGCCCTTACATTTAGCAATCATGAGTATTGTGCGACCGTGGGGGCGCTCAGCGCTTTTTCGTTCTAGACCTACATGGCTAGTTGTTCCGGGCATACAGAGAGTTCCTTACGCGCGGTATCAGTCTACTTCAAGCGGTACGTAGTTTTGGGATTATGCTTCTTGTTAGGCATATTACTCTTTTCACAGTCCACAACTGCACCTGAGTTCTTAACAAAACGAGGGGCACATGATTTGCGAAACACTGCGAGACTACTAGTCACAATCTACACAAACTTCACCTATCAAGTCAGATATACCGCCATACGTGCGAAGCGAAGGAGTTTGTTCTGGGAAATCACGGTAGCTAACTAAAAACTTGACTCAGAAGCACCTGCCACTGCAGCTCTCAGCCCAAGATGGCTATCCGACGTGCGAACACGCATCGGAAAGTGCATCAACTTCGGAATGAATCCGGCACAAATCGAGGAGGCTGGTTCAATACTTCAGGAAACTGCAGTAGACTGTAGGTTCCACACTAGTATGTCCCGACTGGTTGAACGTTGATTGAAGTTGTAAACTACAGGGAGAGAACTCGTAGCCGGTAGTGAAGGATTCCTCACAGGCAAGCAATGGCGAGGTCTCTACCGGCAAGAGGTGGTATGGGGAGAAATGGTTAGCTTTCTGTCCAAGCATATTCATGTACGACTGCTAATCCAGAACCTGGATGCGTGTAGGACAGCATGGTAAGACATCCCCAACACATGTATTGTGATCAATGCTGACAGATGCAAAGGGTACTTCCTTCCATAACTGAGCCTCAAATATATAGCTCTAATCCGGAATAGGTCACGTCAACAATGTCATGTACAACCGGTATGCGGAATCGGCTAGAGTCAACTGGACGCTGAACTTTGCGGCGAGCGATCCACAGCATAAAGCGGAGTGGATGGAACTCATGACACCGAAGAGCGTTGGCTTAATTTTGAGAAGCATCAAGACAGACTACAAGTTTGTGAGTATTGCACGCTATTCGGCATCGTTCACTCGACTCTCGAGACATTCACTGATGAAGACTTAGCCCATGAAATGGCCTGACAGGTACGACCGCCACTATGAGCTACAACACGCAATGTCGATGATTAATAAACTTTTCAACAGGATAACTGTGCTCCACAAACTTCGAAATAACCCAACTGAAGATACCGACCACTTCATTCTAGATGTCCTAATCCTCTCAGAAGCACAGCGTCGTCCAGCGGCGCGCTGCATCGAAGATATCGTTGTATACGACTACCGAACAGCCAAAAAGTCGCCCTTACCACCTTTCATGATCCAGAAGTTCCAAGAGACGTTCAGGCTGCAAGAGGAGGCCAAAGAAAAGAATAGCAATAGAGTTAGAGTGCTGTTAGACAGGGTTAGAGAGCTAGAGAAGAGTAGCTGGGATAGACCGGGTGCTAAGGAAGACTTTGGTAGTGCGAATCAGTAGACCATGGGTATACCTGCGAGAGAATACGATATCAGACCCTGAACGTCTATACTTCGGGGTATACTTCCGAGTTACAAGATTGTGTCCTGATGCCTGATCTCCCCTGGCTTGTGAAAGTGTCTGCCTCGGTACTGCGAAGCTTCCGGCAATGCTCATCGATGAAAACACAAGTTGTAGAGTGGGATTGACTAGCGGCGTTACATAGGTATCGTCATATCTCTCATCATCACACATTGTATCCCTGCAGCTGCATGAGCGGAAAACACGCGGGGTTGCTCACGTGTCCGAATTCGGCGTATGGCAGTTTGATACAAGTATATCTCTGCAAGCGATATGGGAAAAAGATAGACTATGGATGTATCCACAGCATGGCGTGATTCTCATCACAGTGATGTACACTTGGTGGGATGTTCTGATTACCTATTGCAGAGATCTGCACGCCCGTTGCGCGCGTGATATTCCGGCTTGCCTCATTTGCCAGTCAGATGGGCTGCGATTGGCGTGGTTGGGTTAAGCTTCACGCCGGCACAATGCAGAGGGCGGAAGAGGGTCATGGATGTGCAGGCGGAAGGCTTGCGCGCTATGCTCGCCTCGAGGGAACACAGATTGATGAAAATGCTCCGACCACTTTGGGATACCGATGAAGACCCGGGTCAGCATACTCAGTAAAATGTGGCGTAACATGTTGCAGGAGCATTGCTGTACATGCTCTTCGAGGGTTTCCAGGATCATATGTTGATGGACAGAAACGCTCTATACGCGTATGCAGATGGTAGTGACGGCAACGTGAGTAATAGCGTCGGCGGGGTTTGCCCGCTGCAGAGACTTCAGGGCATGCGGTGAACAGACAAAGCGCGCCTTTATTCGCTCTTGGAGCTTGCTATGGCTCAGGGGGGTCCTGGCGCACGCAAATGAGCAGGTAAGCTAAAGAAGCCGGTGCAGGCTAATTGGCTGCCCCAGAAGACGTGTTTGTCTGGCGATGCAGCTGTGCGATATGGAAAAGAAAGCATGCGGAGGATTTATGTAGACGACGGCGAGATGAGGTGCGAGAGAGGCGAAATGGCTGCCGGAGAAGGACAGGCGGCGCTTCGTTTCCCAGGTAGACTGCAACCATGGCCTTCTGGTCGTGGTCAAGATCGGCATCATGAACTGGAATCGGACACAGTTCGGCTGATCTGCGTGGCAGCAAGCATCAAGATATGCTGCCCGCGTGGTTGTCATGAAGCGGTACAAGCCGGGCACATGTAATTTTGCCGCCGGTATGGTGCGTCGAGAGAGGGAGATGTGGTGTGCATGTGAAGCGGGCGGTCATGGTGAAACCACGGTTCGGGCATCGCAGAAGACGTGGAGCCTCGGAAGACACAGGCAAATCAAAGCGCAGGTGCATCGTGGCTTGTCAGTGCTCTGATCGCGCCGTGGCCCACTCCCGCAGAGGCTTGTGGTCGGGTTTTCTTGGTTGACTTTGCATTTGACGTTTAGCACTTGCAAGTCTTGGCAACAAGCCCATCCGGCGGAAGGCACGACTGAGCAGGCGCAGGGCACCTTCCACGTTCCCCTACAACATCTCGCCCAGCACACGACAGCCTCACATCTCCCCACCGAGCAGCGGCTCAACATCTTCCAGTCCTGGCTCGTCCTGTGCAGCAGTCGAGTCGCGCCAGGGAGAGGTTTGCCCGCTTGCACCCGCACCGCCGTCTATGGTAGCGAAGTCGAAGAGGAACGCGGCGCACGACAAGCGACACGAGAATGGCCTTGCGGCCCCTGGCAAAAAGATCACCAAGCAGAAGAGCAACCCGCAGCTTAATGGCCACGCCAACGGGAAGACTCACGAGCCCACGCCGCCTGTCCCCAGCCATGTAGACACGACCGAGATGACGCAGCCGGCCAGCGCTCACGATCCCTCAGCACCGGGGTCGAGTGCCCACGTCAACACCATGGCCGCTGCACCAAATGGCCGAAGCGGGGAGCGCACGCGCGCAGCATCGGATGCCTCACTAGACAACACCGTCGAGGCATGTCGCTCGTACGACAATGGCACTAATGGGCCCTTTGATCCCATGCCCTCAGCTCTCCGCCGCGCCGACACCAATGCCTCCAAGTCGGCCTCCATCTCCATGGCCAGCATGCTCTCGGTGCCCGCCACCATTCTCACGTCCTGTCCTCTGCGGGACGTTCTCGCCATCCTCATCATCCTCCTCCAACTTCCCCCCACCGTCCTCACCGTCGTACAGTTCTTGTTCGCAACGCTTACTTTTGTCCCGCCCCAGGCCGGGACCCCCCTCTCCGCTCTCTCTGCCTTTCCCTCCTTCACCGACATCTTCCAGGGCTCCGGCGGCACGCCCTCGCTCTTCACCACAATCATTGCCGATACCGTCATATTGCTTATATGGCTGCTGTTATGGGTACCTGCGCAGAATTTCTTTCTTGATCTTGCACAGGCCGTCATTGCAATAGCCCTCGGAGGTGCCGCAGCCGGGAAGAAAGGCACGACCAACAGCATAGTAATATGTTTTGTCATTATTCTTTCAAGCCACGTCTTCAGATTCAGGCCTCTTCGGCAACACATCGTCCAGTTCCTCTGGACGGGGCTCGCCCGGGGAGGCCTTGAATTTTTGACGAGCCCGCCGAGTACGCCAACTTATTTGGAAAGCTTCTCGACCCCCCATGGATGGCCCCGCAGCCTCCTGGGTATTCATATTTTGGCCCAAGGCGTCGTTCGTATCATTCGACGCTCTCTGTCTCGACGAGAACATGCGACCTTACCCACTGGCAAGAAGACAGACCCCGAGTCTGGAACCCTGCAACGCTCCAACTCCACGAACCTCGATCCCACTGCAGACGTGCCCAACTCCTCGAGTACCGATGGCCGCCCACCGGGGCCGTCGCCCGCAGTGCTCAAAGACAAAGTGAGCACGGGTAGGAGAAAGAGGAAGCAAGCTACTCATGTTCGTAGTCAGCAGCCGTTTTGGGCTGCACTTGCCAGTACAAAAGTTACAGTTTTAAAAGAGATGGAAAGTAGCCGGGCGGCTAACGACGCCGACGAGGCTAACGCAAAAGACGCAAATCACATTGGAAACGCTGTTTATAGATCGGAGGACGATCGTGTTTGGATTTCAGAAGTCGGCTTTTCCGACATTTCATTTCGTGTTAGTTTATCTGGTGGAGCTGGCCTTCAAGAGCAGGACGATGAGGATTCCAGTGTCGGGTCTGGGATAGACAAGTCGAAGCCGTTCTACATCCGCGTCAACGGCGCTGACTGGAGCTCAACCCGCATCCGACAGAGCGAGCCTGTAGGTTTCCAGGGACAAGAGGAAACGGGCTACTGGGTAGGAGAAATATTTGGTCTGACGGCTCTCTCGAACTACTACTGCGAGTTTGTCCGGACCAACGACAACGAAGTCTTCTACTCAGCGAGTCTTATTACCTCGGCCAGCCCAGTGACCGAACTTGGTAAGCACAGCAACTCCAGTAGCCTTTCTATCCTAATGCGTACCCCAGCTTCAGCCTCTATTGCCTCTCCACCAGCGCATCAGACTCTACGACCTTCTTCGCCGACGACAACATTAAAGAACTCGATTGCCGCAGCCGACCAGCAACTGCAAGAGCAGCGCAACCGCCTGAAGCGAAATAAGAAGGACCACAAAACAGCCATTACCAACATCAAGAAAGAGGTGGATACACTGGGCAACCGCCTTGCCAACGCCGGAGGTAGTGACGAGCGCCAGCGCCAGCGCGTCCTTCAATTTACACAAAACATCCGTCAGGCTGAAGACGCTGCCGCCGAGTTTGCCGTTCAAGCAGAAAATTTGGGAAGCATTCCTGAAGATGAGGCTAAAGAGGCTGCAACAAGGAAGGCAGAGTGGAAGAAGGAGCGTGACAACAAGAACGCTGTTGCTAGCGAATTCGACAAGACCAAGGAGGAGATTGAGCGACAAGTGCAAAGTGTCGAGTCCGATATTTCTACTGCCTTTCAGAAGAGGGAGCGCCTTCAGCAGCGTCAAACCAGGCTCAACGAGCAACACGATCGTCTCGTCACCGCCAACGCAGAAGGCTTTACCGCGAAGCAACGAAGGGAGCAAGAACGCACAGCTTTGCGAGCACAGCGTGCTGAAGTCGAGCACCAGTACCGGAGCAATATTAACGGCTACGAAAGGCGCACTGAGGAGCAGAATGTCTCTACCAGTCAAATTTTGCAGACCGTCCAGCAGTACGAAGAGCTTCTCCTTCAGCAAGCGCACCAGCACATATCGGTTCCTACCACTCCCGAAGGCAATCTTCCAGGCACGACCATGTCTCCCTACAGCAACGGTCTCTCCAGCTTCACGTTTCCATCGATGCACTCGCACATGAACGGCACTCCTGGCTCCATGCGCGGTGGTCGCGGTCGCTCCTCGTCGATGCTCTCCAACGTCTCTGGATTCACCGATGCTTTCGACGAGCCCACAGCTTCAGGCACTTACGTTCTCGGCAACCCCTTCAGCACTCCTGGTCCAGTCAACGGCCGCAATCGCAGTCACGGCAGTGGCAGCTTGAGCTCAGGTACATCCAGTCAGAGTTCGAGTCAGCGAGATCCGTTGAGTCCTGTTCAAAGCATCAAGCCGATGATGGTGCGGAGCCCCACCAGTGGTAGTGGCAATGGTCTGATGAGTCCGATTGGCACTGGCAGATGAAATCGTACACGATTTGCTCTTTACGTATCTTTAGGTAGCTTTCCAATGTGATACTCGCGTTCTTTTGGTGTTCTCATCTTAAATCTCTTGCTCTTCCACAATTGCAGTGATGTCCCTGTAAGAAGATCTTTGGCATGAGAAGCATTCCTTCATTCAAGAGTTGATACGTTGGGCATCTACATCTCTTCGACGATGCGCTCCAACCTCGGACTCCAGCCTCCTTTGCCGTTCTCTAGGCTTTCACTCTTATTCTCTATCTCGTCATCTTCGTCCATCATCTCTCCTACTTCACCCACCCCGAGAACAACATTGGGAATCCTCCCATGTTTCGTCTTCCAATCACCCGTCTGCATACAAACACCTATTCGGCACCGTCTATCAGCTGCCATTGACGCACTATCCTTCCTCTAACCATCCCCCATAATCCGTGAAATTCCCGAAGCAAATAGACGAGAAGAAGAACAATGAAGGGAAAACATACCAATAACCCCACCCATTCCCCTTCTCAAATCTGCCAACAAACGATTCGCTCCAGTAACGATATCCGGTTGGTTATCCCCGTGGCTGATTAGTGTCCAGGATGTGAAGGGCGAGGTTGGGGGGCCCGTGTAGAGGATTATTGCTACACCGAAGCTGGTTTGTGATTCCTCTCCAATGTCGTTGCCGTTGTGAGTGGAGTAGTTGTTGTTGTTACTAGTGGCGGTATCGTTGGACATACTGTACGAAACTACATCATAGACCTTCGATGCGTCTTCTGACCATGCGCCGTAGAGGGGTGTGGCGAGACTTGTGATTTGGGATCTTAGGATTGAGAAGAGTTGGTGTTCGAGGAGTTGGGTGGCGTGTGTCGACATAGTTGCTTTGTTGAAGTTGAAGGCTGGTCTGATTAGTTGGGTCTGGGTAGTATTGTTTATTAGCTTTGAAGCTGGGCTCAAGGTCGTTTTGCGAGTGTTTGATGGGCCCGATGATCAGAGTGGAGGTGAATGTGAAGGGACAACATGATAGCACCAACCCGTATTTTGAGGTCACCCTTTTGACAGAAATGGCCCACGTGCAACGACGCTTATCTTTGCTTTCGCTTACCTACTTGACTGGGGAAGTAATCAGGATACATATGGAAAACCGTGTTTGACCAAATTCGCGCCTTCCTGTTCGAATCCATCTCCTGACTACCCACACAAATCCTTTCTCTGTCCCCTACCCCAACGTAGCCTCGCCTGTATAATCTGCGCAGGACTCCAGCATCCAAACTTCTTATGCGCCCCATCCGGTCGATAATCCGGCTGCTGACTTTCCTTCACCCTTTTTGCTGCTCCCTCCATAGCCATGGTATGCCAAAGTCCCCCTTCCGCTATCCTCTCGCTGTACAACTTCCACAACCTGGGCATGTACACCACATCCTGCACACAGTAGTTCTTGATTGTATCGTTCAGCGGCCTCTTCTCGAAGACTCTGTAGCTGCCTCCACGTTCTGGGGCAAACAGGTTGGTGCCTGCTTCTTTTGTGGTTTTCCAAACTTGCAATTGAGCGGCTGTTATGGAGAGGCGTGAAGCATTGTATTCGATGCATTTAGATAGACCGACGAGGTACTCGCGGGAGCCACGCGTAGTGGTTGCAAGTTCCATGAGTTGAAGATCGTGAATGCAGGAGAGGTTGATGCCGTAGTGGGAGAAGAGTGCATCAGAGTCATTGCGTACATCGAAGAAGACTTTGGGTACAGTGGAAGATTCAAGCAAGGACTTCAGCGTCGTAGCAGGGTCTCCGGCGTCCTTTGTGAGGTCTTCAGGGGCTGCTGCGGTCGTGGTGGCAGGGGTTGAGAATGCACGCGTACCCAAAGTGTGGACGTCGATAAGGTACACTGTATCCTTGGGCGGTACATACAAGGTTAGTAGAGCGACCGTACCATTTCGACTGAGATTTGCGCCTTCGAGATCAATGTACAGGCTTGGTGGTGATGTGGACAAGTCCATGAGGGCTGCTAGCATGGAAGCGAGATCTTCTGAAGTCGATATGAACATAATCGGAGGCATGGTTGTGGTTTGCTGAGGTGTTGTGAGGCCAGTATAGTTACCAGTGGATGATATACACTTATGTCAGGCTGAGAAAGAATGTTTGATGTTTCTGGATACGACGAAATGAGGAGAAGAGAGAAGGAACGAGTAGGTATGGATGACTAGACGGTTGTAGAAGGCTTTGGATGATACTCTCAGGCTCCAAGGCTGCACGTTATATTGCCTAGATGTAATTTTGGCAATGTGATTCGACGGAACATGCTGTTGTGTAAGCAAGGCTAGCCTTGGAGAAACCGGTGAAGTTCTTGTACCTGGTGACGCGTGTCAGTGAAGACAAGATGAACGAACACCAATAGCTGCTGAGGTATAAGATCGAAACAAGTCTTTTGATATCTTCTCACAGGTGAAACCTCAAGAACAATAAGAAATTGCAGGTCTGGGAAAACGGGTATTTTACTTGTTGCTGACTCTAGGGCAAAGGAAAAGTCTATATGTAGCGTCCTTGGGGATCCAGCTTGTCCATGAACTCCATGGACTTTTCGTACATGGTGAAGACGATACCACCGCTGAGGATTAACCGACCCAATCTTGGAAGCGCTCCTGACCAGAAAGTGAGGAGTCCCTCGTCTCTGAAGATCTTGGCCACACAATCGAAGCTGTTCTTGTAGGCACTCCGTGCTTCTATCGACTGCATACGTGTCTTGACAGTGTCGATGGGCATCGTCGTGTAGACGGTTATTATGCCTGCCAGGCCTCCGAGCCCGAAGGTGCTGAAGGCGCCAAGCTTCTCGCCAGGTTTGACGTATGACTGTGCTAGTTGCTTGAGCGATGTGTAGCTCGAGAAGCGAACGGCTGAATTGGCGGCTTGACGTGCTGTCGTCGGAAGGAAGCCTTGGAAGAAGCCGCGGATACCCTTTTCTTGTGCGATTAATCTTGATCCGTGTAGGAAGCCTCGCATGCGTGGGTTTGCCGACTTGCGATCGTCGATACTATAGGGATGAGTCAGTGACAGCACATGTATACCTCGGCTTGCACCTACAGTTGCGTCTTGATACTCTCGAACGGGGTTACAGCCAGCAGCGACTCTGTAGCTCCTGCACCGAAACCAGCTATCACCGTCGCTGGACCTGAGACCTTGCCTTCAGCGTCCGCTAGCATGTTCCTGTACATGTCGAATGCGACGAATCCTACGTGACCTGTCAGACAGTCACATTTCCAAGCCGTTACTCTTCCACGTACTTATGCCGGCCTTGAGAGAATTTCCAATTATCAAGGTTGTGCATCCAGCGTACCACTGCTTGCCGAACGGCGGCCATGGCAGCTTCTTTCCGTCTGGTAATCTTCGGTTGAGTTGCGATCGTGTTTTTGCGACTATGCTTGAGTCAGGCTCGGCCTCGTTATGCAAGTAGATGTGGTTTGGTGCGTACACTCAGCAGGGTATGTGATTGCTGGCATAGAGTCAGTACTCGATTCATACTATGACTGAGAGCATGATTTACAAATTTCTACGGCACCTGCAGTTGCACCCGCTAGGATTGAGCGCATTGCGCTTGGCTTCTTCTTCTCTGTTGTTGCAGTCGCCATGGTGTTCTGATTCGAGCGTGTTCAGGTGGTGATAGGAATAGGGCTGCGCGCGCTGCAATGACGGAAAGTTTTGGCCTGTCTACGTCGCGTGCAGTAGTAACGATTCAGAGCAATGACGTAGTAGTGAAATTCCACTGGAACCCAGAATAGTACTTTTGAAGAACAATAGGAACCTCAATTGGGAGAAATTTCAACGCGCCAATATACACTTGGTTTCCCAAAGTTGACAAGATATTGAATCTTTGGAGCCGCCGAGGACGGAGGTGAGCAATCGGGCCCGCATTTCGGCGCCAAGCATCCCGCCTGACATCAGCCCGCTTAAGCTTGGGCCATCGAAAAGTACGCTTTCGAGAGCCATCTATCGCATCGCCATCTTGTGCAGTAACTTGTCATCACCCAGCGCTGTAAATATATATACGGTTCTAATTCACGATGATGTCCCTACGAAACCTCGCCCGCAGCGCCCCGCGGTCTGCTGCTCGTTTCTCCACCAAAGCCATCCGCCCGCAATCGTCACTGCGACAGGCTTTCCAGCCAGCGGCATGGGCTGCCCCAATTCCCCGCCTCACAGCATCTTTCCACGTATCGGCGGCCAGGAGGGACGACAGCGGTGGTATGCATTGAGTGTACACCAAGTACGAGAACGTAGCTAATGTCAGTCAGTCAACGAGGAACTTGTCGCAAAGCTTCAGAGCGAGATCTCCATGGAGGAGGGCATGAAGGAGGACGAAGACCTCTCTGCGAACATCAAGGAGTACCTTGAGAACAGCCCTTTTGAGGTACATACATACATCTCTTGGACTGCTGGCCCAATGCTTACAACCACTAGATTGAAGACAAGGCCGGCAACCAGGAAGTTGTCCTAACCCGCACATACAACGACGAGAAGATCCGGATCACCTTCACTACCGCCGACCTCAACAACAACCAGCCCGGCGAGGAGCTTTCCGAGGACAATGCCATGTACGACGATGCCGACATGGACGTACAGTCTGGCGGCGCCAACACCAAGGGTGCCATCAACCAGGGCAGAACACAAGACGGAAACATTCGCGTAGCACCCGAGGACCGCATTGCGCCTGCCGACCGTGAGGAACTCGAGGACGACTACGAGAATGACGGCGAACAGCAAGGCTTCCCTGCTCATGCCAGCATTCGCATCGAGCGTCCCGGCAAGGGTGCTCTCGCCATTGAGGCTACCGCCCAGGACGGCGACTTCCTTATCGAGGACCTCTACTACTTCCCTTCCGCCGATCTAGCCGATCCCGCCACCGCCGAGAAGGACTGGTCAAGACGCGCTCTCTACACTGTATGTGAATATGCTGCATGTAAATCGTAACAAGACTGACTCCTAGCAGGGCCCTCCCTTCAACAACCTAGATGAGGACCTCCAGATTCTCCTCGAGAAGTACCTTGAGGAGCGTGGCATCAACACCCGTCTTGCCCTGTTCATCCCCGACTACATTGACCACAAGGAGCAGAAGGAGTACATCAAGTGGCTCAACAACATCAAGAACTTCGTCGCATAAGTCCGAACCAGATTGAGCGGCAATGAAAACGTATGAAACCCGGTTCAGACATTACATACCGACGCTTTTCTGGGGCTTTCATAACACTTTCAAAAGCCCTCTTGTATAATCTTGTAACGCATCTCAACTTTTAAGCGATTTGCAGGCGTTAGCAGGAGTGTAAAATAGTTGGTGAGATTGTTCTTCGTATACCGTTCTCCGTCACATGCAACATCATCTTGCATGCAGTCTACAGAACGCGAGACGAATAAACAGAGTACTAGGTGCTTCAAGTTGACTATCTCGAACGGTCTTTCTTGGTACTCACGAGGTCAGCCACGTAGTTGCACTCTACGAGAACCACGACACAGATATCATCAAAATACCAAACAGACGCATAACGCGCCTTTCCACTCCAACGTCGTTAGACGTATTTTTTCTCGTGCTCTCGCCCATCTTACATTGTTCTTCGTATTGCTCGATCCTAAATTACCCTGTCGGGACAACAAAGACCGGATTGTGGCGCGGCGTTTGTTGTCGTGGAACGACAACAAAGCCGATCTTCTTCATCTGTGCCCACCCACAACGTGATTGTTTACTGAATGGAATCTTGTAAAGAAGTTTGTTCGTCGTTCACTGCTGCAGTTGCAGATGTACTCAAGGATGCGTTTCGAAACAACATTTCCTTGCCTCAATGACTGCTGCACCCGCTGACTGAACTATCACCCCTAGAGCTCGAGGCTACTGCTGTCTAGACTAAAGCTAATTAAGGTTTCCGCACCTTCAATCAAGTATAGATTCACGTCAACTAGCGCGTTCAAGTACGTCGTAGCTGGCAAAAGAGCAGGACCTTACGATATCTGAACAGAAAACATGACGCGCAACATCATACCGCGCAGCGTCAGTACTGACGCAGATCGGATTCCCATACCAAATCTCCCACCACCATATACCTTTACAGGCGTAAAACATAAGCAACTAAGGTACGTTAGGCATGCAAGAGAGCAGAACCATCAACCAGGTTCTCTGCACAGTAACCGTTTCCACCAAATCTATTATGGACCTTCACACAAAATGAACCCAAACTCATATCTTACCAGAGCGAACACCTCCGACTTCACCGCCACCAGCACAATCCTAGTAGGCCCCGATCTCACAGCCTTCCAAATCCATACCAGCCTCTTCACATCAACATCCTCCTACTTCCGCGCCGCGCTCAACGGCCCCTTTGAAGAATCAGCAACCAACAGTGTAACACTCGACGACGTCCCCGTCGAGCACTTTCAGCTCCTCGTCTCCTGGCTCTACAACTCCATCCTACCCACACCCTTCAAAGACCGAAAACCAGCATACTACACCCTCCTCCACACCTACGCCCTAGCCGACCGACTAGGTTTCGAGGGCGCGAGAAACGCCGTCGTAGACGTAATAAGTGACCTAGCCGATGAAACGAATAGCGTACTGACACCCTCTGACACACGGATTCTATACGAAGATATCCGCGACTCGTCGCCTCTCCGCACCCTCGTTCTAGACCTCTTTGCCTTTAAGAAAACAGATCGACTGCTTGAGTCGCATGGGGATTGGTGGCATGCGGAGTTTCTCCGTGATTTGACGGTTCATTTGAAGAGGCCGTGTGGACAGGCAATGCAGAGACATAGATTGCGTATGTGGTGTCCGGTTTCCTGGCATACGACACGTGCATGTGATTATTGTGGGTTTGCTCTACCGCCAAGGGTTGGGGCGGTGGCTTGTGAAGATTGCTGTGTTGCGTTTTGTACGCGGTGCGTTGAGGGGGGTGTTGCAATGGCTGGGTGGGAAAGTAGGAGGGGGAGATTCGAGGTTTTGGAAGAAGAAGGTAGGACAAGTGGGGAGGAGAAGATGGTTAACAGGGTGAAGAAGTGGGAACCTTGTAAACCTTGGAGAGGGGCAAGATGTGCGCTCTATCATGAGCATGCTGAGACGGAGAGGTGTGGGGATATCTTTCTAGGGAGGTGAGGGGTTGAGAGATTGCGATTGCGATGCAGGCGTTCTTGAGTTGCTATAGCGTAGAACCGCACTTTAACGACCAAGTCGTTCCATTGACCATCGTTCGTTTTGCGACCCCCGTCACTCGTATTCATTCTATAACCATGCAGTCTCTATAAGATCCTTGATAAGTCCGAGTTCTGACCATTGCTGAATGTTCACCTTTAACTGTCCTTGGGAGTATCTTCCCAAACAGCATGCTAAAATGTGTCGAAGGATGAACTTTTTTTGACGCTCAAGAAGTCTTCGCCATAGCACCTGGAATATTCCCAGCATCATTTCGCAAGCAATCGCCATCCTGATAACACCGCAAAAGACCTCAATGAGAACCCAGAACACCATTGAACCTCCGATATCACTGCACAAACCTACTTGCCGCTTTGCGCGTTACTAAGCCGAGTTGACCGGCGCCTGGATGTCTCCCCTGTACTCCTGATGTAGCTGCCCGTCTGTAAAGACTTCATCGTAGGCGAGGACTTGATCGATGCGGTCGTTGGCTTCTTCGCACCTTTTTTGACTTTCTGTGCGACGCCTCGGGTTGTGGGTTTCCACTTCGGTTCGTCAACATCGTCTTGCTCAAACATCTCATCAATGGGCTTCTTTGTAGTCGTCTTCACATCCCATTCAGATATATCCGAAGGGCAGTCTGACAGTTCTGAAGGCGACTTCGTATTCTTCTCAGGCGTTTGGCCTTGGTTCGACAACTTGTCAACCTTCTGGACATGATCTGCGATGACACACAGGCGATAACACTCTTCCAGCGTCAAGTTTACTCTGTTCGCTCTATGCATGGAATTAGCGAGGGTCTCGAGATTTTCTGCATGCGTTGTAATATGGTACGTACTTGCTTGAGATCAAGGCATCCTCGACCTTGCCGATGAGACGCTCTCTGTCAGCATGACCACGAAACAGCTCATCACGTCGCACTGTGACGAGAACATCTCTGCTCTTAACATCTAATGCGAATGTGAAACTGCTGGCGTCATCTTCCTGGACCACAGGTTCTCCGCTATAAGTCTTCTGTCCTACAGCGCCTCCGTCTACGTCATCGTCGCTCAAGCACATCGGAGGGAGGGGCGTGGGAGCTCGGGCAGCAGGATCATAACAGTCGAACTCACGATAAACTAGGTCGGTTAGTCGCGGAGGCAGTTGCGTTGCAGTTGGATATCACACTTACCTCCATTGTCATCGGTGAAGCCTTCCGAATCCCACTTATACGTCCCATCGTAGAACTTACGTGAGCGCTCAGTGATTGCAACATCTACGGGTAAAGGAGCAGAGTAAGTTGTGAGTCCGACCATGTTGCTTTGCTGATGTTTTGTGGGCATGGGCGGGGTGGTTCCGGAGTAGAGCACTGAATGATGGTCGCGTATCGGGAAAGAGTTACCTTGCGTAGTCGATGCAAACACAAGGAGACGATAATCATCAATAGTTTTGTGTCAGAATTGGTATACGCGAGTGTGACGTGGATGCCTTAGGGGATAGGAGCGACTGAGAAAGAGGTAGCAGCTGCACTCACCGCTTCAGGTAAAACAAACGCAATGGTCCATTACTGAGGTAAGACAGCCTTACCTCCAGCTCTACTGAGATATTTTACAAAGGCTAGTAGAAAGACAACACCTGTTCGATCACTCCCGCCACTTGACCGACACGTTTTGCTGGTACATGGACGCGTACAAGTCACCGCTATCAAATCTGTCATCAAGCACAATTCCGGCCATAGGAGAAACAAAGACAAAAAGACTTCACTAAAGTAATGGTTCTATGTTCTTGAGAACAACTATACGCCGTGTGAGGATAACGCCTGCTGAAGTCATGCCTACACTAACGCCGTCCGACCTTGTATCCTGCCCAGCTATGATGGCTATGGCAGCGTCCCCTGTGGGTATCGTACAAATAACTAAACAGATACAGAAGAATCGAACATGAAACAAAAGGAACCATGCTGGAGTTCCGGATGCCAATGATGACTGAAGGAAATTCTCTGCGGCATTAGCCACTTGATCACTTTGGCGGACGAGGTAGTGAAGGCCGAATCGGCATCGTCCTTTGGTCAAGTCCTGTGTGCTACATAGCACTAGCCTGGCCGGCGTGAGTAGACAGGTTGGTCAAGGTCTTAGCCATAGACTCTCGAGCTGCCTTCTCCTGTTCCATTTGCGCACGATCAGCCTTAGTAACGCGAGGCTTGCGGACAGTTGAACCACCACGAGAGCCAGGACCTCCGCCGCGTCCTCTGCCGCGACCTGAGGCCTCTCCTCGCACAGTACCACCACGCCCACGTCCTCGTCCACGTCGAACAGTGCCGTCGGCCCTGCTTAATGTTAGCGTAACTCGATGTGAAGACATGATGGTCACGTACCTCTCTACAGTTGGCTTCTCCTCGGTGACGAGTGGGCCACTGTACACGAAAAACCCATCCTTTGCCATGAGTGCTTGCTGTTCCCAGGCCAGCTCAGTGTCGTCGATGAAGTCATCCTCTTTGTCATAATCTTCTTGCTTGCGCTTGCGTCGCTTCTTGCCTCCATTCTCCTTGGCCGAGGTCTCGTCGTCCATGCCACCCATCTCGACATTGCTCTCATTTTCTGATAAGTCGACAGATTGGTCGTCGTTCGAGCCACCACCTGCGGCTCGCTCAAGTGCGGTACCCGCAGCTGCAATCTGGCGCTGACGCTCCTTGCGAGCGGCAATGCGAGGATGCAGAGCAGCAAAACCGTACTTCTTCTCGACCTCTTGCGCGAAGTTGATGGTGACGTTTTCGCGTCCCTTGAGATCAAAAGTCAGGTATATGTTGGTGCCTTGTGTCTCGGATCCTCCATTGGCGTTTGCAACCGGGCCAAACGGCGTTCCTGACAAGAGGCCGCTTCCGGTAGGCAACGGGGGTGGGGCCTCTTTTTGACGAACAGCTTTGGTGGGTGGGGTAGGAGCATTTGACTGCGAGGGTGTACCAGAGTTTGTCGAATTCTCCTTTGCCATGGGAACGGATGTTGGCTTGTTGGGCTCGGTGTCGATGTCCATTGGAGTCGGTCCTGATGATGTAGCAGGGTACGGTTGGGCTTGAGTTTGAAGAGATGGCTGCGGTTGCTGTTGTTGAAGCTGAGGTGAGTAGTCTTGAGAAGGAAGGACCGAGGCTGGTCGCGTGGAGAAGGCGGCAGGTGACACGGGTGCCGATGTGATGGATGCCTGTTGCTGGAGCTTGGCAGGATGTGAGTAGAACGAGTTGCTGGCAGACGGCGGATCGATGAGACTCGTGATGGAAGGCGAGGCACTCGCTCGATGGTTGATCGGGGGTGAAACGGGCGGCGGAGGTGCGCTTGCTGGAGGTTGTGGCTTTGACTCGAAGGTGTCACCTCGGATGGGATCATATCGTTGGCCTGAACTAGATGGCCGCGGTGTTGAGGGGGTGACGCTGATGTGTGAAAGGTTTGGGTTGCTGTGAAGGGTTGGTTCAGGATTGCTCAAGACGCGAGCAGGTTGCGAGACAACAGGCGGCTGCTCGGATTGCAAGACAGGGACGGGTTCACTGGGTCCAGCCTGTGGTGTAGGCGATTGCTGCACAGGCGGTTTCTCGTCGACGACTTGTGCAACTGGCTGTGCCTGTGCCTCCAGCGATGCCTTTGTCCTCCTCTTGCGTTGGGCGGGCGCGACATTTGGGTCCTTGGGCTCCGACTTGCGTGGCTTTCGAGTCTTCTTCTCTGGCTCAGGTGCACTCGGATCTTTTGCTTTTGGTTTTGGACCTGGCTTCTTACGGGGAAGGCCGCTCGCAGTAAGACCGCGTGGAGCTGGCGATGCAGTTGCAGGGGTGGGTGTGCTAGTTCCAACACCAACACCACCTGCAGGAGTGCGGATGGTCGACGTCGGAGTGCCCTGCTCAGGCGAGTGCGGGGGCGAGCTTAGACTGCCCGGCGAAGATGCATCGTCTACGTCCATGGCGCCGACCACTAAATCGCTGCGATGCCTAGAAAGATAGCAGAAAGCTTCTAGCGCGTGTAGACGGCAAATTAAATAGACAATAGAAAATCCGATCTGAGCGGCGAAGGGGCGCAGGCAGATTCAAGCCCTGGTGCTGGCTGAGCGAGTTTGCAGACTCAACACCAGAAAAAGGGTGGATAGCAGACTACTGCAATGGCTTGCGAGAACACCAAAGTCGAGGTGCAGCCGAGAGCCGGACCGGGAGATGTCTAAAGAGCGTCTGATGCACGGCAAGGAACACCAAGTTTCGATCTCTAACGAGAGTTTGATGATAAGCGCCTCCGCAAGAGCTGTGTCGATGGAAAGGTAGTTGCAGCGTTAGAAAATTGTATAGGAAAGAGAGAGGACAATAGAGGAAGAGAAAGTGCGAAAGATGGCTTCAGACCTTCTCGGGGGGTTCAGGGCTTCAAGTAGGCATTCGAGCGATTTGGGACAGCAGCGGGCCAAAGCTTAGGTTACGACGAGCCCTAGAACAGAAAAACAGTTTACGCCAGAGCAGTGGACGAGTCCGGGGCGCTGCCCACTGTGAAAGAACCCTGGGTCTATGCCGGCTGCTGTGTTAGGTCTTGGGCGTATCAAACATGACATGTTGACGTTTCCACCAGCTTCTCCATCGTCGTATACTTTGCAATAACAGCCTCTTTGTAGCTACCTGGCGTGACGATACTGCGATGCCTGATTACTTTACGCTCTTGTCGTCACAAGCAAACGAGTGATCCATCTCTCCCATTGCACCACAAACATCCGACGTACAAAGAGGCGCATTAGCCGCTGCCTGACGTTGATTGCCGTGCATACATGCAAATGGTCACAAACTCAACATGCAGTCGTTGAGCATGTTATTTTATGCTGGTAATAGTGATGCGCCAACACTTGCAGCAGCTTATATCGCCCTTTATCATGAATTATCCTATAGATAGTTGTCTTGTGGTTCGCAGGTTGCATGTGGCCTAAGCGTGTTGGCGCTCCGATCTCTTACAGGGGTCTCTGATTGGGCCGCATTCCAGGAACGCTCCACAGGTGCACCAATCTGGCTTGGTTGGAGCTACCCGGTCACTTCATCATCTCATGTCAAGGTATCGAAGAATCATGCTTTTGTAACTTTGATAACAGCTCGAGGTATACAGAACCATCCACCATTCGTGAACAGCGTGCGGAAACTCATAGCCCAAATCCAGTCCTCTCTAACTAGCACAGAAAACAACTCCAAAAACACCGACACATCGTAAAACGCCGATCCAGAATGCGAGAAGGGTATGAATACAGCTGTTTAGGGCAGGTCATCACGCCTTGCTCTTCTTCTTCTTCTTCTTCTCGCCATCCTCATCGTCGGCCTTTCGCTTCTTCTCCTTCTTGGACTTCTTCTCCGAAGCCTCGTCGTCGCCCGACTTTTTGGACTTCTTCTTGTCCTTCTTCTCCTTGCGCACGGCCTGCTCAGTAGCAGCCGCGGTAACACCGTCGGCCATCTCAACATCCTCAGTAGCCGTCGCCGTGGGGTCCTCGACACCAATGTCGGCCAAGACCGAGTTCATGGCAGCTTGCATGACTGCGGCGTTCTTCGCAGGAGGAGCACCAGATGCGTAGAACTCAATGCGCTCGTCAACCTGGCGCTTAAGAGCCTCACCGAACTTCGATGTTGGTGTGTCGGAGAAGTTGTCAATCCTCGAGGCAATGGAGCACTTGTTGGCAAGGAAACGCGAGATCCTTCCCTTTGACTTTTGGCCAGTGCGACCAATGAACGAACTGTGGTAGATGAGACCGTACTTGGGGGTGTTTCCCTTGGTCTTGAGAGCTCGGAAAAGCGCCTTCTCTGCACCGAGAATCTGGACGGTACTGGCAGGGTATTTGGAGAGGTTGGTCAAAGAACCAGCCTTGGAGATAAGGCGCGCACCAACGGTGTCACCGATCAGAGCAGCCAGGTTAGGAGCGACCTGGTTCATGCGGCTTCCGAGGTAGTTGCTGAGCTGCTTGCGGTACGCAGCCAGGGAAGCGGTCCTCTTTGCGAAAGCCATGACGATCTCCATGTCTGCCGCAGAGAGATCGCGACCCATGGAGGTCCTCGCAGCGTTGATGATTGCTTGCGCAATGCTCTCATCGTCATCAACAACAGCAGCGAGCTCGTGGAGGTCCTCGTCGCTCAGGCGCGACTTGTCACCAATCTGCAAGACCACCTTGGCATATTGTTCATTGCTGTTGACAATTTTGGCGAGCTCGGGGAAGTGCCAGCCTGAAAGAATAACAAGTCAGCAGCTGTTATGAGTCTCCAAAGATGGAGGAAAATACCATAGTTCTCCCGTAGCCTCATGCAGAAGGTGTTCAGGTCCTTGTCGATCTGGTCGAGTGTCGCGATGGCCTGGATGATGTGGTTGTCCTGCTTCTGGACACTGGAATAGAAGTCAGCGTGTAGTTCACATGCATTTGGTGCGCAAAGCTTACCTGAACTTGACCTTGCCTCGAGAGTAGGCGTGGCCAAGACCGAGGATGGAGCGGTCAATGTCGCCTGGTTGAAGCTGCTTGATGAGCTTGCCGCTGTGCTGGCGGAGACCGCGAAGCAGGTCAGCGACGACTTCGGAGGTGACGCTGGTTTCGCATGCGAGGTTGGGGAAAGCAGACTTGATGCTACCCGCCAAGTTGCTCTCGCTTACTCCGAGCGTGATGGTCTTCTTCTTTCCAGCCTTGGGGAGGTTCGTCTCGAGCGTAGCTCTCAGGAAGTCAGACATGATGCCTTCCGAGACATCGTTGATCTCGGAGAGGGCATCTTGGGTACCCTGAAACGGCGCAAGACCAACGAGCTCGACGGTCTTTCCGAATTTGTCGAGGTCTTGTACAGCCTTCTGCACTTCTGCGAGACGGCTGCCAATGGTGTCGGGTTGTAGGACAACCTTGAAGACGGCATAGCCGACAGGGCTCTCGTGTAGTAGGTAGTCTACACTCATCGTGGCGTTAGTTGGTGGCGCGCAGATATTGCGGATTTCGGCGCGACGAGCTGAGTCGTTATTTGATGTGTGCGCTGGAAATTCCGCAGTCGGGATGGGATGTGAACGATCGCAAGTTCGTGGTGTGGAAAGCTTCGAACTTTTTCAGGGCCCGAGCTTCCGCGCTAAATAGGCCCGCTTAGAATTCAGTGCTTGAGAAGAGGGACGCGCCAGGCAACGCGGAAACAGCATCTTGCCCCGCCATACATCATTTGCTTGATTACTGCACTGTTCGATACCCGTATAGATTCTGTTCAGCATGTCGGCCGCACAACTTCTCAATCCCAAGGCCGAGTCGAGGGTACGCCGACTCTTCGCAGCGCAGAGGCACCGCTAACAATGTACAGAGGCGCGGGGAGGCTCTCCGTGTGAACATCTCGGCCGGTGAGGGCTTGCAACAGGTATGGAATACCTGAAGCAGAAGAGAGGGACCGTCTGACTTTGGTATTAGGTTCTCGCCTCAAATTTGGGACCCCGCGGTACACTGAAGATGTAAGGAACAACAAACAGTCTTTCGGACGAGAAGCTAATATAATACAGGCTCGTAGATGGCGCTGGAGGAGTACGACCACTCGAACAAAACATATGGCACGTTCTAACGAGCTCTCCAGATCAAGCTCACAAAAGATGGAAGCGTCCTGCTCAAGGAGATGGTATGTACCCGCACTACAACAGTATCTTCAAAGGCTAACCACATCCCAGCAAATTCAAAATCCCACTGCCGTATGTCCTACCACCTCTCCGTTTCTGATATGCGACTCAAACAACCCAGGTCATGATTGCACGAGCAGCAACAGCGCAGGACGAAATCACAGGCGATGGAACAACATCAGTGGTACTGTTGGTTGGAGAACTACTGAAGCAGGCCGATCGCTACATCGCCGAGGGCCTCCACCCCCGAGTGATCGCAGATGGTTACGATATTGCGAAGACGGAGTCGCTAAAGGTACAGACAACGGAAAGTTTGTTCAGTGAAGATTCGCTGACCATGTGTAGTTCCTTGACGAGTTCAAGCTCACCAAGGAAGTCGACCGCGAACTCCTCCTCTCTGTCGCGAGAACCTCGCTCTCGACCAAGATCAACAGCACGCTCGCCGAACAATTGACCCCCGACATTGTTGATGCCGTGCTCGCGATCTACCAGGCGCCCGCAAAGCCAGATCTGCACATGGTTGAAATCATGACCATGCAACATCGCACCGCCGCCGACACACAGCTCATCCGAGGACTTGCTCTAGATCACGGCGCAAGGCATCCAGACATGGCCAAGAGGGTTGAGAACGCATACATTCTGACTCTCAACGTCAGCTTAGAGTACGAAAAGTCCGAGATCAACTCTGGCTTCTACTACTCGAGCGCGGAACAAAGGGAGAAGCTTGTTGAGAGCGAGCGACGCTTCGTCGACGAGAAGCTGAGGAAGATTGTTGAGCTGAAGAAGGAAGTCTGCGGCGACGACCCTAAGAAGGGCTTCGTGATAATAAACCAGAAGGGTATCGACCCGCTCAGCTTGGATGTTCTTGTCAAGAACGGAATCTTCGCACTGAGGAGAGCGAAGAGGAGGAACATGGAGCGTCTCCAGCTCGTGTGCGGTGGCACATCACAAAACAGTGTAGACGATATGACACCAGACGTCCTCGGATACGCGGGTCTTGTTTACGAGCACCAGCTGGGCGAGGAGAAGTACACATTCATTGTAAGCGGGTCCAATAAGAATCAAGGGAACATACTCACAATAAACAGGAAGATGTCAAGGAGCCGAAGTCCGTCACTTTACTCATCAAGGGCCCAAACACACACACTATTGCTCAGATCAAGGACGCCGTTCGCGATGGCTTGAGGAGTGTGTACAACATGATCGTCGACGGAAGCGTCGTACCAGGTGGAGGTGCTTTCCAGGTCGCATGCGCGGCTCATCTCGAGAGCGAGCAATTCAAGAAGACAGTCAAGGGTAAAGCGAAGTGGGGTGTATCAGCCTTCGCTGACGCGCTGCTTGTCATTCCCAAGACACTGGCGGCAAATTCGGGTCATGACATCCAAGATTCATGTAAGCATTATTCTACTGCTTTTCGTCGCACTAAGCTTACCAAATAACAGTGGCTGCGCTACAGGACGAGCACGCTGAGGGCAATGTCGTCGGCCTGAACCTTGCAACTGGAGAAGCCATGGACCCTACTCAAGAAGGTGTCTACGATTCGTTCCGAGTACTGCGCAACTGCATAGCGTCCGCTACCGGTATCGCGTCGAACTTGCTGTTGTGTGACGAAATGCTGAAGGCACGACAGATGGTGAGTAAACACATTTCCTGTAAGACAACTAAAGCTAATCGATGACTAGGGACGACAACCTGGACCTGGCGGCGAGGAGCAATGATAGCGTCGCATTATATCTGAAAGACAAGACAGGCTACCGCAGCATCATTGCTTGAGCAACGTCCTACCCACACGGAAGTCCAAGACATGCAGTATAGCTGGATGAGAAGCAACAAGTCCTGCTTCGCGACGGTGTTGCATGCCGACTCTGTCTAAATAGATTAAAATAATACGACCACGATCACATGGCCACTCTGGTTCTGTTCAAAGTGATTGATACTTTCCTTGGTACTTTCACAGTACAACTTTAGGGTCAAATCTCATCATCCATCAAACACTCGTATATGTAGCTTCCGTGCATGAGCGAGGGTTGAAACGCATTCTGCACGGCTGAAACATGTGCCAAAAGACCTGATGCTGGACCCCTATTTGGCCAGGGTAATTTAAGCTTAAATTTAGCGTTCGGCTAGGACGGATGCTGTCCTGGTGCGGGGGCGTGGCCTTGAGTGCGGTAGCGCAAGGCATCGCAAGGTTAGAAGATTGCCATATGGATAGCGACGGCAACGTGTACGTGTTTTGAAAAGAATGTCTTCCGTGTTTATTCAAATTCTCATCGCTCACGTTTCTCTTTCGCGAGGTTGTAGTGCAAAAGATCTGCTACAGACCCATCAATTAGATCTCCAGGGCGTGCATACGCTAGCTGCTCTGTCGAAAGCCAAGACTGTTGGAAACAAGACAAGCCACCTGCCAGTCGTTCACTTTCTATTAGCTTGAGTTCCTGTTTCTTTCCCTACGTTCGCGCTCAGATGGCATTGACAACATAGCGACGCGATACACTCCTTCTACGCTTACATTCCCCATTCGGCGACGAAGCGCACGCGATAGCCGCATTCCGATTCTACCACGCTCCCTCGACCATGTTTCGATATCGACGTTACCGCGCCTTTTTAGTCTTTACTGTTATTGCTGTACTAGCGTTATACAAATTTGGGGGTTCGAGTGCGGCGGCATGGAGAGAGGCTGCATCAAATGCTGTCGGGTCAGCTGGTCTGAAAGGCGACGCTGAGAAGGTTCCGCAGGAGGACACTCCCCCACACCCTGCTGTGGCGCATGAGACGAGAAGTCTGAAGCTAGATGTGCCCGCTGCTAGTACGCCGCGGTTGCTCCAGACACCACCTCCTGTGAAGACACCGGCTCCATCATCATCAACATCGAGCCCTGCTGTGACAGAGCAGCAACAGAAGCCCTCTATTCCTACACCCATCCGACCGCAACCACACGGCCAGCCCGCCATTGCAGACAACCCATTGGAGCCATCTTCGATCATTGATGCGATTCACTGGACGAAACTTCCGGAACATTTCCCCGTTGCCCCAGAATCGCTCATTAAGCTGCCGTCTGGCACCCCGAAATCCATACCTAAGATTCAAGCCAAGTTTAAGCCGGAAGATGTCACAGCCAAGGCTGAGAGGATCGCGAAACTGGACAAGATCAGAAGTGTGGCAAAGAAGTCGTGGGAAGGATACAAGGCAAATGCCTGGTTACATGATGAGCTACGGCCACAGTCTGGCACTTTTAGAGATCCTTTTGCACACTGGGGCGCAACACTGGTAGATGCCCTCGACACTTTGTGGATAATGGGGCTTAAGGACGAGTTCGAAGAGGCAGTCAAGGCAGTGGACAAGATCGACTTTACAACCACCCCTCGCCCCGATATCCCCTTGTTCGAGACAACAATCCGCTATCTCGGTGGGCTGCTGGCTGCCTACGATTTGAGCGACAAGAAGCACAAGAACCTGCTAGATAAGGCAGTAGAACTTGCTGAAGTTCTTATAAGCGCGTTCGACACACCCAACCGAATGCCCGAGACTTATTATTATTGGAGGCCTGATTTCGCGTCTCAAAAACACCGTGCTAGCTCACATGTTGTTCTGGCTGAAATCGGGTCACTCTCTTTGGAATTCACCCGACTTGCGCAGCTCACGGGAGAGCACAAGTACTACGATGCCATTGCACGTATTACGGACAACCTCGAAGAGTTCCAAAGCAAGACTCAACTCCCTGGAATGTGGCCGACATATCTGGACGCCTCCGGATGCGGAAGACAATATATCGACATGCCTCCCCAGGCGCCCCTCAAAGCTCCAACAGGTTATCTCGACGATCAGTCATCGACTGATGCAGAGCCTGCTACGCCCTCCCCTACTGAAATTTTGTCGCCAGAGGGTAAGAAGTACGTGCCGTTGGATCTGCCGGACCCCGTTGTGCTTGCGCAAGACGATGTACCGGTTGGCACAAGCGCAAAGGAAGACTCTATAGTACCCGGGACTGCTGGGAAGGCGCAGATCAAGAATTGGGACAGCAGTCCAGTAGAGAAGCGACAGCTTGATATTGATGAATCTGAACCACCGGAGGCGGCGCTGAACGCCCAGGACGCCACTTCAACCTCGTCTGCCTCTGACACCAAGCCGACACCCCCAGAATGCATACCCCAAGGGTTTACATCAAGCTCCAGCTACGGACGCGAAGAATTCACGTTAGGCGGTATGTCGGATTCTACGTACGAATATCTGCCCAAGCAGTATTTGCTCCTTGGTGGCCAGATTGAGAAATACCGGACGATGTATGAACAATCAATGGATGTAGTCAAGGAGCACTTGGTTTTCCGACCAATGCTACCGAAAGGAGAAGATATTCTCTTTTCCGGCAAGCTGAACGTCCCGTCCAACATTGACACTACCAAAGCTGGTGACCTCACTGCTGAAAATGCACATCTCACCTGTTTTGCTGGTGGCATGTTTGGTATGGGCGCAAAGCTGTTTGACCGCCCTGAAGATCTTGAGATCGCGAAGAAGCTGACAGAGGGCTGCGTTTGGAGTTACGGCATGACTCCGACTGGCATTATGCCGGAAGCTTTCGAGGTTGCTCCGTGTGAGGACAGGAAGGACTGTGCATGGAACCAGACGGCTTACTGGGAGTACATTGATCCACGGCACGAGTCACGAATGGAGACCTATCAGGAGCAGCGGAAGGTATACGAGTCGCAGATCGCGTCTGCTTCATCGTGGTATGAGGCAGAACTTGCTGCGATGACCGCATTACCTACTCCTACCGCAGCTGCTGCGGTTGAGGCCCAGGCCACGTCTACCTTGGTCTATGCGGATACGTTGGACAAGCGTCAGATCATCGAGCATGTAGACGAGCAAGAGATTGCACACATGCCATCTGCCTCTGCCTCTGCCTCTGCGAGCGCCTCGCAGGATCACGAGTCCGTCATGGGCGGTGAGTCCGAGGAGGGCGAGGGCCCGCCAACAAAAGTCCAACCTGATTCGAACATCGCGGAACTTGCGCCACAGGCTAGTCTGACGCTGCCGAACTTCCCATACGTCTACTCGCCGCAGCCAGTTATGAACCATGAAGACTACGTGCAGAGCAGAATTCAAGAGGATCGTCTGCCGCCGGGCGTTACGAGAATCGGGGCCAAGAACTATATCCTTCGGTAAGCTCTCCATCTTTATAATAACTTGCATCTAGTCTCTAACATCCATTTAGCCCCGAAGCTATAGAGTCCGTCTGGTACATGTACCGCATAACTGGCGATTCCCATTGGCGCGACGCTGGATGGCGCATGTTCCTCGCAATTGATCAACACACAGCCACTGAATTCGGTAACTCGGCCATTGACGATGTTACCAAGTTGACGCCGGAGCTCAACGATGAGATGGAGAGTTTTTGGTTAGCGGAGACGCTGAAGTACTTTTACTTGTTGTTTGCGGAAGAGGATCTGATTAGCTTGGATGAATGGGTGTTGAATACTGAGGCGCATCCTTTCAAGCGACCGGCGTAGATGACATGAATGGATTTGGATAACCAGTGTATGTTATTATATGGTGTTGAGACGTCTTGGTGTATGCTATAACAGCTGTATTGGACAGTTGTCATTGATACCTGAACTTAGGAGAAAAGAGTAACAGCTGTATTATTCTACCTACGTAAAAGAACCTCCCAAACTATTGCGATCCCTGCACATAACCCCTGGCCTTCTCGCTAAAGCTTTTCTACTTTGCCAAAGTGAACCTCGATGTTGCCCCGCAGGCCACCCGCGACAGTGATCTGCACGGTCTCGTTCCTTTTGTAAGGTGCGTCGCTATATGTGTTGTCTCGCTGCCATCCAAAAACTGGGCGTGCATACCAGCGTTCAGCCTTGGTGGTATAAGTCTTTGAGTTGACTCTGCTCGTATGGAAAGTCACGTTGACGCGCTGCTTGCTACGTGCCGGAACTTTGACTGGGTGCTCGCTGCCAAATTTTGTGGTGGTCGTCTCACTGTATGACTTGCTTTCTTCGTGCGTGTAGTCGAACTTGGCTTCGACCTTCCATCCTACCGTGGCTTTTACGATGCCAACGCCTGCTTCGGCAGATGCAGAATGTTTAGCTCTTATGCCGGTGACGTAGGTGTCTGTCGTTGATGTCGTGATTTGGGTTGTTTGTTCTTTAGCAAAGGAAGCAGTTATTGACGATGTTCGATCGGCATCGTTTGTCAGAACTGTACTTTTTTGAGTTGATTCCTCGTCTTGCTGATCGGTCTCGGGGTTTGTTATAGGCTGGATAACTTCATGAAGTGGCCGGGATTTAATCCAGCGAAATGCGGATACGTGATCGTGAAGTCTTGGTCATCGAAAATCTCGATTGCTCCGAGGTTCAGATCAACCTCACGCCAGAAGAACTGCGATAGCTTGTCGTTCATGCCTAGTTGGTCCAGGTTGAAGCCTTCAGTTTGTCCGGTCCCGACGAGATCGACTGTACGACCGGCGTCAGAGAGGTCAGCGTGCTCCCCAGGCTTACTCGGAAGGTGGTCCATGAATGTAAAAACGGTCCCGATCGGTAGATTGAATGCAATCCAACTAGCAGTGTCGAACAGTTTTTGGTTCACTCGGTGGCGATCCGTCGCTGGATAACCACCATTGTAGATGTCGATCTCGGTCCACAGGTTGTCGTTCCAATCAAAGTCTTTGTACAGGCGAACGCGGCCGCTCTGAAGATTGGGTGGCTGCTGCGAAGTAGACGGCAGCTTGGTGAGCGACTTCACCTTTTCTTGCACAGTCTGCATCTTGGATGTTAGTCGTCGAAATGGTAAAGGGATTGATAGGTGTATATAAGATTGTTGAAACAATTGAGGAAAGACCGTGATTGAGGAGATGTAGCCCTTGGATGTTGTCGTTCTGGAAGAAGATTTTATCCAAAGACAAGCTCAAGGGGTGCTGCTCTTATAAAAAGTTTGCTCATCTCGTCGCACCCACGAATCCCTGCGAAGTCACTGAAGTCACAGACTATACAGTGTATCTCGATAGTGGCGCCGATTCTCAGTTATGCCATTACTTACCCTTCCGTGCTGTGCCCACAAAGCTCTTTCATTCAACACCTAATCGTGGAAGTTCCGCACGGGGTGTTACCAAACCTTGAAGGTGGCTTTCCCAAAGCCAGCTGAGGAGCGACGACATGTGGAGTTAGCATATGCTTATGAAATACCTTAGGGTTAGCTAGAAACTATATCTATATACAGAGTCATGAGACTGTATGGGTGGTGTCGTGCGGCTGATGGTAGTCTTTTGACGAAGTCGGAATCATGTGTAGTGCGGCGGAAATGTGTCCGCGAGGCTTCGCGCATGCGGGGTCGTCGCTCTAAACACAAGCTTGAGTTGACGTCTTCTCGAGAAGCTGAAAGCACAGGTCCACCGCGTTGTCGATTGCGAGATGGCGCAACATCGATGCACCATCGCAATGTTACCTCACATCTACTTATGTAGTAGCTTACGAAGAAGACGATATCCCTCAGCCCTGATTGTGGACTACTTTTCAGCGGTACACTAGGCGCGCACTAGAAGAATAGAACCGGAAAGCAGCTAACGTATTCTAAAATCTATCGAGTGCTCTTAGTTATATTAAGATATTACATGTGACTAGACCTGGCGTACTCTCATGGTATATCTTCGGGCACTCAAGCTAGGCGGACGCCTATTGATCCCTTCACACTTCCGCTTTATTTCAATCCGCTCCACCGCTCTTTGCGAAGTCATCTCCTATGGTCTCAGTGCTTCTCACTGACAGTGAGCTGCGAGTCAGGTATATACTGAGGGTGCTGAACAACATCGGTTCCTGGCAGCTCAACCGGAGGTACTTCCACGCTGGGCTTGTTACCGAGCTCTTGAGGTGCTGAGTTCTTGGAATCCATCTCTTGCTTCCGATCTTCGTGTGGGAGTTCCGTAAGTGCACTTCCACCAGCCTCTCGCCGCTCATCTGAGGGTGCCTCTGGTGGTTGTTGGCGTTGTTTTCTCTTACGGCGGAGAAGCAGAAAGATGGCAGCAGCGATGAGAGCGAGCCCAGCTACGCCGCCGACTACACCTCCAGCTATAGCACCAGTGTTGCTTTTCCTAAGCTTGCCTACTGCACTGGGAGACGGGGTCGAAGATGGGGAGGACGATGGTGTTGCGGAAAGCGACGATGACGATATCTGATCAGGCGGCGTACAAGCGTCGACGCTGTAATAGACGAAGGAGGAGTTGTAGCACTCGGCTATCTTGGCGAACTGAAGGACTGTAGACGAGCATGGAACAAACTCTTCGCTATCGGCACCATATATAGTGGCTAGTCTCGTCAATGACTGCAACTACTCTCAAAGCATACGACTCAACCACCTACCACTGCAGCCTGGGTCAAGACCTACGACTTGGAAGCTTCCAAATCTTCCCGAATCTGCCAATCTAGTACAAGTACCGTTGGGATACTAAGATTTGGTATACGAAGTCAGTGTATGTCCGACTTGCAGCTCGTGTAGGGATACTTACGCCATTCTCTGCATTGACGCTCTGAAATGCGTTTTTGCACTGCCCGTCTGTAAACGTCGCGATCCTTGAGCTGGAAGCGACTTGAATGAGAACTGTGATTGAGACGAGGCTGAAGACAATCCAAGAGCTAATTCTAGAATACGCCATGATCGTGCGAAGTCTAAGGGCTTGCTGAGTTCGAGTGCCGCTGGTGGGCGCGGGTCGAGAAGCGTTGCAGTAGGCGACTTGAGAGGTGGGCCGAAGCTTATTGCTCGTAAATGCGGCTTAGCTGTCTCGATTGAGAAACTTGCTGCATTTTCACGAGACTGTGATGCGATAAGGAAGGATCACCGCAATATGCTAAGCCAGCCTGACCAGCCCCATCCCTGACAGCCTATCGTAACTCCTCGACACACACATACGCAAGTGGCGTGTGGACGCAGAAGCTGAAGTCGAGCCATTTTGAGCAACCCTGAAGAGCGTGGGCTGCATTTGTACAGCATTCAGTGTTTTGTGATACCGAACATGTGCGCCACCAATCCCATTGATGTGTGCTGATTGGCTGCAGCGGCGGTCGACCCCGAGACGGTACGCTCCCGGCTCTTAGCATATCTAGCCTCGGTCCACGGAAACGGTTCGCATTAATTAATCGCACACCATTTATTCAACTTTGTCAGCCTCGTGCATCACTAAGGCAAACTTTTGGTGACAAAGCAAGCACCTTACATACAAGGCCGTAGAATACGAGAAAAAGAGCGATCTCGGGCTTCGACGACCCACTGATGTTTAAGTTACACATCGTGGTTTTCTAATTGTGGAAAACGCGGCCCCAATGTATTCAGCGCCTTGTCCGGAAAAGGGGTTTGGGGATGCCAGAACTGCGTGAGAGAGAAGCCATAGTTTAAGAGCCTCTTCAAGAGAGCCTTACCGCCTTGCCTAAGGACAAGTATAAAGATGTCTGATCAGCTTGAGGAAGACTTAGATCCCCACAAAGTTCACAAAGATCATTGCCTTCTCAAACATCAATATGCGGGCCTCAATACTCGTCGTACTTTCTTCCTTCAGCCTTGTGGCCTTTGGTTGCACCAAAGTTACCAAAGTCACGCACACATACTACGGGGTAGGTCTCGCTATACATACCAGACCGCGTTTCACAGCAACAACATTAACTATTGCAGTACCCCGATAACGACCCTCCCGGTCCGGCTACCGCCTACGATTGCGGCCGCGGCTACAAGGCTGGTGGTACTGGCACATATGCCGACCCCTTGACCTTTGCCTCGGCTCCCGGCGAATTTACGCAGTGTGAGATCATTTACGATCCCTACACACGTAAATATCTGCGCTTTGAGGATTTTTGTGCTCAGTGCGATAGTGACTGGAAAGCTAGTCCTAAGATCAACCACATCGACTTGTGGACCGGCAGCACCACTGTGAACGGAGGCAACGAGCAGATTCAATGCGAAAACGACCTCACCCCGGCAGATAGAAGCCAGACTATCGTGAGACAGCCACGAAAGGATCTTCCAGTAGACTGTAAGTGAGGGTGTGGAATATCTTCTGAAAGAAGTTAATGCGCAATCAGCGACCAAGCTCTATGTCAAAGGTGGCAGCCCAGCCTGCAGAACCAGCCATGTGTACCCCAGTTACAACATTGGCGATTACTGCTAAACGTACATTAAATGGGCGGGAGATCGAGAAGGCGCGCCGTGGGGTGGTTTTGAATACTTGCAAATAGTTCACAGTCTTTTCCGTACTGTAGTGTTCGCCAAGCAATACCAAGCTTATCTGTGGGACGGAACAAATCTCTCAGCAACGAAGCTTAGCGCACAAGCCCGTTACCTCGATGTCCGTTTTGTCCATTGTGGCTGACATACATGTATGTCTGCTTTGTCACTTGCATAAGTAGCGGCATGTCGACATGTGATAAGCTGCTTCCACTGTATCTGCCTTGCTGGTCTCAAGATAGCTCCATGTTTCCAGATGTGTTAACTTGGCCTATTTCGCTCGTTCTTTTCTCGATACGGAATGCGGGATATAAGTGGTCGTACTCTTCTGGTCGTGCTGCAGTAAAGTAGCTCTGCGCCGCGCCCACTGTCTAATCCGAATGGGACTGTCCGATCAAGCGAGATTGGTTCGAAACTGTAGCGCTGCTGAGCCGGCACATTTCGCGCCGAAATGTACGTATTCTTCCGTAAATGTTCAAAGCATGAGATCTTGGTCTCCCGTTCTTGTGGTGTTATGCGTGATCAATTTTATGTTGTTGGTGGTAGAAGGGTTGCTGTATGCCGAGGTGAACTGTGTCATTTCTGCGATGACGTCAAACATCGTCAACCTCGGTGCACGTTCCTTCTATGGGGCTGACGATAGCCACGGACAAAAAATGGCCAGGGCCTTTCGCCCTGAATGCCGCCAGGTATGGAAGGTCCACGTATTGTCTCGCCAGCGGGTGCAAGGGCACGACCAGGCCCAACAAACACCGTACTGCTACAACGTTGGGTGCCGTCGATATATCGCTCCGGAACAGACCCAACCATCAGCCAACCACACCCCGATGTAGTAGGAAGAATTCTACAATCGCTCGATAGCTACAATGAGCTCATCGTACGCCAACCTTACGATCCTAATGCCTGGATAGGTCGTGGACGTCGTATGATGATGCTGAATTTCCCCGAGTTGGCTGTTGGTGACGCGTATAAAGCCAAAATTCTTGAGGCACGCGCTTCAGGGAACGATAAAGACATAAGAGTGGAAGTATACAAGTTGCTCGAACCTGCTTTACAAGCTTGTCATTGTCAATGGGATGCAGCAGAAATTTTGGACGAGTCAGCCATGGATTTCGGGCCCCAGTGGCACGAAGATGTTGGGAGGAAAGTTGCGAAACTACGTGAGCTTCTGAAGCGGAAAGAGGAGGCTGCAATACCACTGGGTGGCACACCTTATGAGCTAAGAGATAGGATAAGAGATGGTGGTGTACTAACTGTCGAATATCCGTGGACAGTAGTGCACCATCTTACACGGGCTCCAGGGCTGGTCAAGCTCATAAACGAAGAGCTTGAAGGAAGTGAGAAAGAGCCAACATGTTATTTGCACCGGAGTACCTTGTCTAAAGACTCAGAGGAAGATATGCTAGGCATATTCGCAGCTCGTGAAGTAAGAGCTGGCGAACGCATACTCACAGATCGGACTGCTACCGGTGTATGCAGTACACCAACCTCGAACTCATGTTCTAACTGCTACGCGCGCCTACCGGACATGGCAATAAAGACGGAATGTTGTTCCGAAAGCTACTGCTCAACAGCATGTCTCGATCTCGCGATGAACACCTATCACAAAGCCATCTGCGGCAAAGACTTTGCGTGGCTTCAAGAACCCGCTAAAGGCCTGACGCACAATGCCTCACCTCTTCGACCTCTTCTCATGTTACGAATACTGGCAGCATGTGTCCAATCCGGTGTTGAGAAGTCGCCGCTAGATCATCCTCTGATTGCGCGTCTCAAGCCCGTCGCTAACAAAAACCATCTCGATGTCTTTACTCTCACTGAATCCATCATCATACCAATCAAAATACTAGAACAACTCGGCGTAGACGTCTTCGCAAACCGTAACTTCGATACGGAGATTTTACATTCGATCTGGACGCGTCTAGCCAACAACAAAGCTGGATCTTTTGATCCGCGGCTCGGCTTCGTTGACGAAATCACGCCCCATCTTCCGCTATTCAACCATAGCTGCGACCCGAATGTGGAGTGGAGGAGGGAGAATGGAAGTACCACTGTTCGCTTCTTTGCGATCAAGCCTGTTAAGAAGGGCGAGGAACTGTTCTGCAGCTACCTGAACGTTGAAGGCATGCCAGTAGAGCATAGACAGGAAATGCTATGGCCATGGTTTGAGGGCCCGTGTTTATGCTCGAGATGTGAGGAGGAAGAAAGGTCTTTAGGCATCTAATTCATGGTATTTGTTGCTAGCTCTCGTAATTACTTGGACTGGGATGTTCTAGTACCATCAGATGTAGCCCCACTTTCAGACACATATCGTTGCTCACACCACATCTAAGAACTTGTAGTTGCTGAGGTAATACCCTACGATATCGAACGCGTTCCTGTTTGGCGTGTTGCTGGTGTGTCCAAGTGTAGTACCATCCTCTTCAAGAAATACCTAGATTATATATGCAGATAAAGAACCTAGATATCTACAATACTGTTGAACCTCCTAAAGTTGCTTCTCACACACTGTCGTAGGCTGCAGAGCAGTACCTAGGCAGGCGTAGTATCTCTGCATATGTCCAAATCATTTTCCTGTATAGGGTGGTATCATTATATATTTCTAGCTTCGATCATTACCCACTGAGGTCTCTGATGCTACATCCTCGTGCTCTTCTTGCCCGGATAGATGAAGTTGCTTACATCTCCATGCTTCAAAGCTTCCAGGTTAGGTGGCACGGTCGGCTGCCGAACCGGGTGCACCTTATCGTCTTCCTCCTTCTTTGCGGCCACCAGTCCCCTACCCTTTAGCATGCTGTTGTCATACTTGCTACCTCGAGTCTTCCGCATCAAACTCTCGGACTTCGGTTCCACATCTTCAGCCTTTGGTAACTTCACCACGGGTAGCTCAGATTTATACATGTCCATTTGACGAATCCCATGCAGTGTCTTTGAGAGCTTTCCTCCATCACCCGTCCTGGTATGGTATACGTGGGCGAATGAAAAGTCGTCATCCTCGAAGAGCGAAACTGCGTTGCCAGGCGTTAGGGCTATAATGGCTTTCTGATTGAGCCCTGCAAGTGCCTTGTCTTCGATATAGGTATCTTGGAATATATCAGCTGTCGCAGCTAACTTGATGATGTCCAACCAGGGCGTTTCAATCGCCAGAGCATCGGCGGATACAGACTGGAGATCGAGGTAGGAATTTACCATCGGTAGGTCAGGAAAGAAGAGGTGTATGGTGCGGTGTGATGGGTGGAGGATTCTGAGGTGATTCAGGAGTCCGGAAGACTTGGGCATGTCGGTGAGGAGGATTTGATGGCGCGTCTCTCGACGAGGGCCAAGGAGGAGTGTGACGCGGTCGTGGTAGAAGACACCGACTTCGTGGGGGTTGACAATCTCCCAGTCTTCATCATTGATTTGGTTGGAGATGATATTGCCGCTTGTACGTGGCGGGGAGTTTGTGCGGATAAGCGTTGTGCCCTTCAAGCCTTTGAGCAAGTTCGTGAAGAAAGACATGAGTTGAGCTGTGTTGTCTTCAAAGCTTGTATAGAAGGTCAATATTCGAGGTGCAATTGGGTGAGAAGTGAGGAGCGTCAGTGCAGCTGGTATGTGTGGAAGGGACATGGAAACTGTGTGCGATCGGTGATAGTGTACACTGCCTATGGCAGGTGGCGCGTCACGGCGCGTGTTAGAGTGCGCTTGGATGGTGCTATGAGTTGTCGTGAAACTAAGAAATCGCAACGTATATGAACCGTACATTGAAATGGAAGCCTATCACAGGGTCTCACATGGTTAGCAGGGTCGGAAATATCGTGACTGGGTGGATTCGCGAGCAATGGCCCTCCGAGGGCCAGACTTTTATTGTTCCGGGGTCTAGAGAACGTGGTCTGCGTCATAGGTTCAAACACAAAGAAAGATTCCATATGAAGACAGCGGGCTCTACAGGCATCGGCACTATGAGCCTAGTCTTGCCAACTAATCCGTGAGCTTGTATGTACATGGCCAACGTAATATACCACTCTATTTTGTCTCGTGTTCGGGTGTGATCGCAAAGGTAGGTCGAACGAATCTGTCATCGCGCAGTTAGCCAACGTGCTCTGAGAAGCCGTATCTTCGGAACGTGTACCTGTCGGTGTTGTAGACCTTGGTCTCTGTGCCCAGTAGCTCCTTCTCCCTCGCCTTGTCCGCCAAATGTCTTCGTACTTGGTCCCGGTCTTCTTCGGCTTGTAGCGCTGGAATGAGGTGTATCCGCGCCCACATCTTCTCGCGTGCGAGTTCGCTGTAAATCGTCAGCACTTCCCCCCCATATCTCAAGACATTGAAATGTCCAATTTCGACGGCATGCGCATACTTGTGCTCCCTGATACCCTGTCCAACTCTCCAGAATCCGTATGTCATGAGCGCCGCGGTTCCGAAAAGGTATGCGGCGGGGCGGAAGCCTCGAACAGGCAAGTTGCGCTTGTATTGTACGGGGCTGTAGCCGCCCGTTGGCGGCATATCCTGCGGCATGTTGGGCGATTTATTCGTGGCTCAATTGGGATTTGAAGGTGTCGTCAATGCGGAGACGTGAAGTGAGGTTCGAGCTCGGGAAGCCGCGATGACAGGGATATGGCTTGGCACGCTAATGAGTGAGTGAGCATAATTTTGTCGATGCTGAGTGGACAGAAGACATCACTACCTATTTTCACCAATTGAGGAGCGATCACTAAGAGATGGATCCTGGAGAGCGTCCCGCGAAGATGCGCAAGCTCGAGCATGCGGACAGTGATGTGGACGTGGCGGAAGCATGTGCGATTCCAACACCAAACGAACAACTACCCGTGGCCGCCGAAAATAGCAATCAAGCTGATGCCGCTGACACTACCCAAACACCAGCTGAGGGTGAGGGTGCGGAGCCAAAGCTTTCAAAGAACCAGCTCAAAAAGCAAAGACGGCTCGAACGCTGGGAAGCCGGGCGCGAAGATCGCAAACTAAAGCGAAAAGAGAAAGTCAAAGAGAAGAAAGAGCGACGGCGAGAAGAGTGGGCGCAGATGCCTACTGATGAGAATGGCAAAAGACCGAGACCGCCACCCTCACGTCCTCCTAGACAAGCAACTGGGAAGCAAGTACCAATCACAGTAATCTTCGATTGCGACTTCGAGGAGCTGATGTTCGACAACGAACTCAAGAGCTTGGGACTTCAGATTACGAGGTGTTACAGCGACAACCGAAAGGCAAACTTCAGAGCTCACCTAGCACTGAGTAGCTTCGGCGGCAAGATGAAAGAGCGTTTCGACGGCATTCTAGCAAAGCAGTACACGAGCTGGAAAGGTTTCCGATTCTTCGAGGAAGACTTCGTGGAAGTTTCCGAGAAGGCGAAGGAATGGATGTCAGGACCAGATGGTGGAGAAGTTCTTGGGGCATTGAAGACTTCAACAGAACGTAATGATTCAGGCGAGCAAGAACAAGCCGAGGCACCGACGGAAGAAGGCGAAGTCGTCTATCTTTCTTCTGAATCCGACAACGTTCTTACCCACTTGAAGCCTAACAGCACCTACATCATCGGTGGTTTAGTAGACAAGAACCGGCACAAGGGCATCTGTCACAAGCGCGCTGTAGCCCGTGGAATCAAAACTGCAAAGCTACCCATTGGCGAGTATCTTGAGATGAAGAGCCGGCAAGTCTTGGTCACAAACCATGTGCTAGAGATCATGCTCAAGTGGATGGAGTTTGGAGACTGGGGCAAGGCTTTCATGGCTGTAATGCCAGAAAGGAAAGGTGCTAAACTCAAAGGCGATGCAGAAGATGGGGACGATGAGGCGGCGGCCGCAGAAGATGAGAAGAATCTGGACCGGGACCTTGCGGCAGCAACAGAAGAAGCAGATGCTGCGACTGGCGAGCCAACCACCGAGAGCACTTGAGCTATATGAGGCATCTGCAACTCGAAACATGATATCTGATGGTGGAGAAGCGTTTAGACTAGTAACGAACAAGTACAAATGCAAGACGCAATAACTTCTCATGTCGATGCACACAGTATAGGAACTAGAGGGTGATGACAGTGCATCATGACTGCCAACGTAGAATAATGCCAGTGATAGCACCAAACATCTCCATCCGATTCACAAGACTCCTCAGAGTCCAGTAAGCTGACGATGGGAATTCTCGTTTCGAGTGCACGATGAATACGCGACGTCAGCCCTACCGGGTAGCGGAGTCCAAGCTTTCTCGGGACACGCTAGCAAGCTAAAGCGGTAGGGCTGCGGAGCTACACGTCGAGGTGCCAGAGGAAGCTATCACTAAGCACACATCGTCGTCCTGTCTTCTATTGGCGGTTCCTCATTATAGCCTCTGAAAATGCATCCATATCATTCACAAGCTTGCTTATGTAACACTCATGTCCCTTGCTGCTGGTGTTGGGAGGCTCCAAGCAGCTGTCAGCCCACTAATTTTGCGCAACGTCACAGCTACTCTGACTTGCGACAACCCCAGCACACCACCTCCAACACGCGACCCACATTAATTCAGGAACATTGCTACTATTGTAATTAGTCGCCGCTCATGTCGTACCCATCAGATAGCCCGTCTTCTCCCCCAGTCCGCTCACCATCTTCACAAACCTCACCGCCGCCACGGCGCTCTGCACCCAATCGCTCGTCCTCGTACTTCACATATCCCGTATCCTATGCAGTCTCAGGCATCCTGCGACGACTGAACACGGAAACAAGTCCCAAATCAGACGCGCAATCGAGAGCGGAGAACAACAGCAACCGCAATAGCATAGGCAACGTACAATCACAGTTGCAGTCCACCGCGTCCTCTCTCTCGAACACGTTTGCGAGCCTTGTCTCCTCCACTACCTCAGATATGAACTCAGTCTTCCAGCCACCACATCGTACGGCGAGCCCTTTCCAACCCCCTCCATTAACACCTTTGAGCTTGAAAGGATGGGCAGGGGGCATGCGAGAAAAGGGCAAGCTTCTAAGCAAGGCGCTCGCAGAAGAGATCAGGCTCCTGCTACCGCCAAGACTACAGTTGGTAGACGAGTGGAGTCTGGCATACAGCCTAGAGCAGAATGGCGTCAGTCTAGGGACACTATACAAACAGTCGGAAGACTATCGGGGAAAGAGAGGCGGCTTTGTGCTCGTAGTCAAGGACGGCGGCGGAAGTGTATGTTCGCGAACATCACAACAATTACAGAACGTGTGCTTACATATCGCCATAGGTCTTCGGCGCATACCTCTCCGATGCACCGCACCCCTCCACATCATTCTACGGCAACGGCGAATGCTTCCTTTGGCGTGCGCACATACTCCACGGTCTCTCCGACCTACAAATGAACCTCCCACCACCCCCATCTGAAGACACGACAGATGCTGTGCGAATGACAACCATATCCTCGCCGAAAAGTAAGGGCGATTCACTAGCCCCACCACAGAATGGTCGAGCCACTAAGAGTGGGGCGAGCACGCCGGAGAGGATAAGATTTAAAGCATTTCCATACAGTGGGGTGAACGATTACATGATCTTTTGCGAGCACAGCTATCTGAGTGTTGGCGGCGGGTAAGTAGAGGCGAGTTACAACTCAGGGTTCAGACGGCTAACAGCATCACAGAGACGGTCACTACGGCTTATGGCTAGACGACAACCTTGAGAAGGGCGTCTCCGATACGTGCCCTACGTTTGGCAATGAGCCATTGAGCGACGACGGCAAGAAATTTGAGGTTATGGGCGTTGAGCTGTGGTATATCGGCGTATGAGGAGTATCTCCCCCAAGGACCCTTCGCGGACGCGGGATTCGCGGGATTCGGCACCGGCGGCACATTCATCGTGTTGTGAGGCAAAGTTGTTAAGCTGGCTCCAAAGAGCCAAGCAACTCAGAACAGGAATCATACCTGAAGTCCAACACTTGTTAAGGTAAAAAGCAGAATACCCATTTGGTTGTTTTATATCCGCTTTTGTTCTCTCAATTGGCGCTTCTGAGGATATCGTCTCTCCCGGCATGTTGCGGTCTTGTTAGCAAGCTTTTCGGAACTGCCTCGACCACTTACTCATGATAGATACGCGGTCTTCTTTCGGGTACCACTAGGACAAACCCTTGGTTTGGCGAGCGTGTCCGCTACATATAACATCCATCTTGGTTGCCATCCGTCTCGTTCGGACATTTATTTTTATGTTCGGGAGCTCTGAGTGGCTTGTGTCACTTCGCAGAACCAAGGCTCGACCCCCTTTGTAGGGATTCTGCGCCATAACAATATCTCTACTATATCCGAGCAAGTCAACGAGTGGCTGGAGAAGTGGCGGTATTTGACTTGCGTCCATTCTTTGACTGAAGGTGGTATTGTGGCAACCATGGTATGGTGTAGTGCATATTGCGATGTGAGCAATGGGAAGTACATCAGCATTGCTATACTTCTTTACGTCTCTTTCTACTGCATTCAGTTCCGCCACAGTTGAAACGGTATGCCATATTCCTGTTTACAGGTTATACGAAATCAGAGACTTATCAACATTTGCGAGATGGCTGTCGTGAGACGAAGATGTGCAACAAGGAAAGCACGAACACGAATTGTCGGGCTGTGTCGCAGATCCACCGCCTCCAAGATAGAAAACGAAGACCGACACGGGATCTATGAAGACATGTTATGTCGCCACTCAGAGTACTTAAGGGCCGCCTACAGAAGAACCGTAAAGCAATCGAAGGCAAGTGTTCAATCTATCATAAGGTGCTGGACCCTAAGACCTAAGACGTTACGTTCTGCAGATCTGACTGTGGGCAGAATTTCCACAAAAATGCATCAAGAGATGGATGATGAAGTCAGAGATTAGGCCGGCGACCTGCTCCATGTGTCGGAAGTCCTGGAAACCGGAAGAGATTTTGGATTGAGACGCCGTACAGGCTGACGCGGATTGGCTATATACCACAGGGGTTTGCGATAACGACGATATCGACCGAATGAGCGAAGACTTCTTCATGTTGCTGCTCAAAGCATGGAAGGTCTCGGACTCTGTAAGCGACGACGACTTCCGGAAGGCCATCATTGCCGAATACTTCCGATCAACAACTAAACTTGAGGATAAGGCGCTCCCTCTTGCATACATCGAGTACGCTTACGAGCAGGTGAATGTGGTTTCCATGCGTGTATTCATCATCGTGCGAGACGTCCATCAAGTCGGAAGCATACAGGTCAGAAGATTGAAGTCAGGAAGCGTACGAATCGCATGGAGCGCGAGTCGAAGCAAGACACTCGCGTCTTGTTTCTTTCCGATGACTTTAATGACGATGAGCTGGTTGTGTCTCGGTCGAGAAGTTGAACGTTGCAAATTCGAATAGTAGTCAATCATGTGTCCTTGCCTTGTTTCATTATCAATGCCACCATGCTAGACTCTTTCTCTATTTATTTCTCCTTATCAGCAGTCTCCACTTATCCTACTTTGTTTAGAGCTCTCTATCAGCATCTAGTCAACTCAACTATCAAGTAACATGATTCGTTTGTTATGACTTCTGCCCCTCACCCCAATGGTATCTTGATATTTCTGGGAACTTTCTCGACGGTCAAGTTGATAATGTGAGCATAGTGGCGTGGGGCACTGGAAGGAAGCGCAGCGACACTGTCGACAAATTGGATTGGGCCAGCTTTACTCATCGCACTTGGATTGACTGTCAAGAACCTACCGTGAGAACTGCAGGTATTTGAACATATTAGACTCTATGTGCTTGCTACCACGCGAATAATGTCGATATAGCGCTTGCTGCAACACATGAAAGTACATGAACACTCGGGAGCTGTCTTACCATTGGTACGCAAGCTGCACCTCGAATCAACTGTCGCTCATCATTCTGCGCAGCATCAATACCTCGTGCTTCGTCACGAACACACTGCTGAGTGTCGCCGAAATATCCCCAGGCTGCTGTGATCCCATGTTGTCGAGTGCATCGACCAGATCTCGAACCTTGGCACCCTCCCAATCACCCTTGTCATTGGTCCAGAAGACACGCTTGATACCAGCAGATGCCATATAGGATATGCATCGATAACAGGGCCGCGATACCACCACTGTCGGTCGTTTCTCGTTCTTTAATGGTGTGGAAGGATGTTTCGTGCGTGCTGGCCTCTCAAGCTCCGGATTGATAAGCTCGTCATGCAACGAGCCTGTGAGAGGACGTGGTGGCGCTACGTCCTTTGTCTCTATGCCAGACTCTTCGCAACAAGTGTTCGGACCAGTCTGCCAGCCTAACCTTACCACGTAAAGATCGGCTCCGTTCAGGCGAGGACTTTTGGTTCTATTTATGATACCGCGAGAATTCTGTCCCATCTGTCCCTTCGACATAAGCATTGGCCAACTCTTGGTAGGTGAAGGGGTCTGTGGCTTGTCCTACAGAAGTCGGTGCGTGTGGGATGAGAGTCGGGGTAACTTGCCTTTCCAAATTCATCACGAACGTTGGGCGATGCTTCCTGAGACGAAGACTTTTGAATAGCAATCAGTGGTGGGGACTGAGTATGGCAGGGAGTTGCAATAGTCCGCCTGGCCGACAACTTACGCGCATGCTGTCGACCATTGCATTTGTGTTGCCCATTGTTGTGTTTGTTGCCAAAGTTGTGATGACGATTTTTCTCGTTCTTCTCCTTGACAGGAAACGCCAGATTCAGCGTCGTTCGATCCAGATGAAGGGCATTCAACTCGCCACTCTTGAACATCAGACTGGGTGTGGCAAGAGCCTGCGGTGGACTGGGCCAATGCGGCCTCGCAGACGGCTTTAACGTAGGATTCGACCGCCTCCCGTCGTAGTCGTAGTTCTCGTTTAGAACTACTCGATAGTTTAAAGCACGGTTTTTCGAAAGACACTGCCCTAGAGGCGAGCGTGCTGGAAGCCGAGAGAGCAGAGTGAATGGCCATCATCTCACTATGCATGGACAACGGAGTGTTGGCGAGCTTTCTTCCGTCGCCCATACTCTCAAAAGGCGTGAATGTCTTATTCAGCTGATCTTCTGGCTCCCCTGAATCTCGCTTGAGTCTATGATTCTTTTTCAAATCGGCCACAGCTGGACCTTGCTTTGAGCGCAGTGGTAGTCGCCCGGTCTTCAAGGCACCGCCGTCAAAGCCAGAGCGGTGATCATTATAACCCTGTCCAATGACTTTGCCGCCACGAACGATAATCGCACCATGGCGATAGCGCAAAGGAGATTTAGCGGCCTGCTCGAGGCAAAGATTGAGGTAATTATCAGTCTTCATTGTGGTGAATGATGTGAGAGTAAGTGGGTGCTTGAAGCAAGGTATTTAGAGGTTGGTACTGCAGGCGGCTTCGCAGGGTCTTCGGCTGTTTTTGTGATAGAGTCAGTAAATGAGTCAAAGTTGGCAGCTAGATAGACTTATGTGGAAAGCACAAAGAGTCATCATGTGAGTCTTGACGCGCGGGATTATTATGGGCGTCGTTTTAGCGTCTTGGCGTTTTGACGCGCTCTTCCGAGGTGGCTCTTCACAAGTTCCCATCAAACGGATGCATCACTTTCGAATCGAGACAAATTTGGCTCGCGCGTATGCACGAGCTCACAGTATATCAGAAAGTTATTTTATATACAGTGAAATCGAACAGACAGCAAGCATACGATTACTCAGCCCAAACAACCGCGCTGAGACCGTCCTCGTTCTCGGGCGTGCCAACAGTCCCGATCCTAAGATCCGCAACGCGCTCTCCCAGTTTACCAGTCTTCGGGTCTCTTGGTACGATGGCTACATTCGACGTAGTTTGATCGCCAATGGCAACGAAATCACCAGCCTTGTTGATGTCAAAGGTACGCGGATACGTGCCATAGGATGACGTGTTGGCTGTCCACGTGAGACTTCCGTTGGAAGAGATGGTGTATTGAGTAAGTGAGTCGTTGGGACTGAACTTCTTGTCGTTTCGATTTGTGGTGTAGAGGAAGTTGCCCTTCACCTTGATCTCACCGACCTTGGTACCAGTAGGGGCGGTGGTGTTGCCTTGATACGGCGTCAACGTCTGCTTCAGGGTCAGAGACATGCAGCCTCCTGATGAGGGGTATGAAACAGCCCATGCTGACACGCTGTTGGAAAGCTCGTTGGCGACAAAGAGCGTCGTGCCTTCTGCTGCTCGACGAACACGCGAGAAAGCTCCTGATGGTGACCAGAATGCTCCGTGTCTTGGTCCTGTGCCAGGACGCGGCTTCGCAGGAGTGCACTCTGTGAGCTTTCCAGATGTCTGATCGATCTTGTGAATCCGGATCAGATCCGTTCCAAGGTCAGGTACTATCAAGAAGTCGCCGGATGGATCTACAAAAGCATGATGTGGGTGGGGAGCTTCTTGTCGGTAAGGGTTTACACTTTTTCCAGTATACTTGATTGTTTGGAGCGGCTGTCCACCAGTCAATGGTAGTTTGAAGGTCGTCAATTGTGAAGATTGGCTGTTGGTCGATTAGAAACGTTGGTGTCTGCTGAAGCATGCTGACTTACTAGTGAGCGTTGGCGATGAAGCTTTTTCCATCTGCGCCACCATAGAGCGCTGTCGCAACAACACCGAGAGGTGTAGAGCCTTTCCCTCCTGCGGTCACACTGCCATTGTTACCCACGGTGAAGGAGACTAAATTTCCTCCTGTTGCCCCATAGAAGACTTCGTCCGGAATGTACAGCGCTTTTCCAGCACTGTCGTACGTGATCCAACTAGGCAGCTTGTTGCCTGTGGGGGTCGAACTGCTCAGAGTCAAGGCATTGTCGTTGAATGACAGGTAGTTGATCGTGCCCGAGTAGTGTGTCGCCCACAGGTTTGCCGCACTTGCGACACTGCCGAAGAGTGGAAGAAGGAGAGGATGCGAAGTAAGCATGGCGAATCTGAATGACGAGTCAGGATGGTTCAGTTGGTGCACCTTAAACACAAGGAAGTAGCATCGTTTTGTATGTTCGTCTTGTGTTCTTTATTTCCACTATTTCGCTTTAGTGTCACGCGCCCGCGATCTACATTTCGGGGGCTACCACGATGAAACACATGACTACACCTTCTTGGACTAAACAACCGACCTCATCATGCATTTCGCTGAAAGCGCAGGGTGGTATTTCAGCCTCGGTGTGTATGTTTTTCCAAGCCGGTTAAAGGCTACACATCGGACAATATATTGCAATTTGGAGCCATGTTTCGAGCAGGGGTATGACGTTTCAACCGGTTGCCGACCCCAGCTTGATCAACATGGAGAAATTGCAGAAGCCTCGCATTTCGGTCTTTCATCTCGCACGCACACATCTCCAGATCTCTTGGCTGTGCCATCTCCCGGGAATGCAGCCGCCACGCCGCTGACATGCGCCGGTACTTGAATGCGGCTACGTCGCAACTGCACACGTGTGTGGGTATATACGAGGAGGCATCTCTTAATCTTTCTGTGACCAATCTTTGCCAAGAGCGAAATAAAACTGAAGCCACCGTTTCTTACAATTGCCGTAGCTTGAATACCGCTGTGCGATACAGGCAAGATCTGTTATTACAAGCATCGACTGCCACACGGTATCTCCACGATGTCAATGAAGGATCCAACAGAAGTACAAGGTTTTCGCTGGGTAGACTCGAAACTTCCTCGCAGTCATATCTCCTGATCTCATATCTTTCTTTCTCTTCAGCCGTAGTGTATTAGGTCAATATGCTTTCTTGTCATCATCAGAATCCACCTCTAGGATCCAAGCAATGCTTAAGTAGCGCGAGTATGTTGGTGGATGAATTTGTCCTAGGCAGCCAAGCCATCTTTCTATCTCCAAGATGATGACGCACTACTGTACATGGCTGTTTGCAGCAGCCACTCTGTTCTCCCCTATTACTGCTGCAACCGCAACACTGAGCGAATGCCTCGAGTCTCGTCAGGTTCCTGTATATGCAGCAGGCACCAAAAACTACACACAGGCCGTCAAGCCCTTCAACCTTCGTTTACCGTTCGTACCGGCTTCGTACGCCGTACCACAGACGGTTAAGCATGTTCAGGATGCTGTATCTTGCGGGGTCGCGAGTAGTGTTAAAGTCACTGCCAAGTGCGGAGGCCACAGCTACGGAGCACATGGTCTTGGAGGAGAGGACGGACATTTGATTGTCGATATGCGTCGCTTCAATAGCGTGACTGTGGACCAAGAAGCACACACAGCTGTCGTAGGAGCTGGTGGTAGACTGGGAAATATTGCTCTGGCGCTGTACGATCAGGGCAAGCAAGCCATCAGCCATGGAACCTGTCCTGGGTAGGTATTCACACTCCTTGCGTTCTTAACACGATCAACTAACAACCTTCAGTGTCGGCGTAGGCGGTCTCACACTCCACGGCGGTTATGGCCTCTCATCCCGCCTGCACGGCCTAACACTCGACCAACTCATTTCCGCGACCGTGGTCCTCTCCAACAGCAGTGTAGTAACCGCCTCACCAACCTCCAACCCCGACCTCTTCTGGGCCCTCAGAGGCGCCGGTGCCGCCTTTGGTATCGTCACCGACTTTAAGTTCAAAACCTTCACGGCCCCAGAAAACAACCTCGTATTCTCCTACAGCCTCTCCCCAAGCAACACCTCTCAACTCGCCAACATCCTTACTGTGCTCCAAGACTTCACCACGCACGACCAACCCCCCGAACTGAACATGCGCATGTTCCTTCCCAATCAATTAACCGGCGTATACTACGGCAACCGCACATCCTTCGACACCATCATGAACCCACTACTCACCAAGCTCTACATCCCGCTTTCTGGTCGCGGCGCAGGTACCGTTTCGGCAAAGGGATGGATCAACACCTTGACATCCTTCTCCAACGGTCCGCTGCCCCAACCAGAGCTATACGATTACCACGAGAACTTCTACGCCAAGTCACTCATGCCAGAGTACTTGACCCCCACTGCCATGACAGCATTGGCAGATTACTATTTCACGACGGCGCGTTCCATCCGCGGACGCTCATGGTACTTGTTAATCGACATGCACGGCGGACAGGGCTCAGCCATTTCTTCGGTACCCGCTGATGCAACATCGTACTCGCATCGCAAAGCTGTCTTCAAGATGCAGTTCAACGACCGCATTTTCCCTGATAGCGCCACGTTTAAACCGGAGATGATGGAATTCTTGAACGGCTGGGTCGAGGCCATTGAGAAGGCTAGTAAAGGGGAGGAATTCGGCATGTACATTAATTATGCTGATACGAATCTTACCAAGACGGAGGCACATTCAAGGTATTGGGGGGAGCATTATGAAAGATTGGTGGGGATCAAGGGGGTTTATGATCCGAACAAGGTTTTTGAGGGACCGCAGTTGGTAGGAAGTTGAGTGGGTTAGTTAGTTGTAAGAGCCAAATCAATGCCGAATGCTAGAAATGTGGATATAAATGTGAATGGATGAATGAAAACGAAGTGGATCTGCTTGCTCGAGAAGAAGTCTATGCGGCCTACAAATACACATTTACACGCCTAGCTCTGGCGTCTACAAGAACTCGATGCCAACACCGAAGCTCAACCCTTTCCTGCCTTCCTCCTTGGCCCTCATGACTAGTGGAAGAGAGAAGTTGATTTCGAATCTCGCAACGGGGTGCGCATAGACGAGTCCGAGACCGGCTGCTGCGCTGGGGAGTTCGGCGGTCAAACTGGAGAATGACTTTCGGATGGCGCCTGTCACATCGTTTGAGCTGCCGAATGATCCGTCCTCCTTCTTGGAGTTGGGGTTCTTGAGCGCGAGGAGACGGCCACCGTTGATGAAGGCTTGTAGACGGAGAGGTGTCTCTTTGCCGACGCGGGGGATAGGGAGGAGGAGCGATGCGCCACCAGCAGCGTAGATGTCACCACCCAGTGCATCGGCGCCGTCACGCGGACCAAGACCAGCGATGCGGAAACCGCGGACATTGTTGGGACCACCGAGCTGGAAGCGGTCGTTGATGCGCGAAGCTTGGGGCTGGCTTTCTCCGCCCAGCGTCATGGGGTACAAAAGTCCACCTCGCAGACCAGCGGTAAGCGTGATGCCTGTGTCGCCGAAGGGGAGGTTAACTTGCGACTCTGCCTCTGATTTCCAGTATGCTGTGTCGCCCTTTAATGGGCCCCAGCCTGCGAGTTCGGATACAGTCTTCATGTAGTAGCCGCTGTTGGGCAGAAGAGGGTAGTCGCGCTTGTCGTTGACCCAGGTATGCGAGATGCTCGACTTGAAAGAGTCGCCAGCATCTGCACGGACCGAGGGTGAAGCATTCTCAGCTAGGCTAGTCACCTGTCGCCAGATGCCCGAGTAGCCAAACTCATGTGTGGCGCCATTCTTCATCCTCCATAGCAGCTTCGAGTTTCCACCCTTGAGAACTTCTTCGTGGCTTGCCCAGCTCTTCAGGGTTGAACTCGCGAAGCCGTTGACTTGGAACTTGAGATCGGGGTTGCTGAGAATGGGACTGTCGAAGGCGAGCGAGTAGGCCGACCGTGTTCGCGTACCAAGTGATCCGTGTGCGTTCAGAGTCTCGGCTCCACCAAGCAGGTTCCGGAGTTCGGCGTGGACGTAGGCATCGGCTTCCGAGGCTCCAGCTTCGGTTCCAGTCTTGATGGTGTAGTTGCCGCGCTCGACGGCGGAGATGTAGACATCGACATCGGTAGGGGAGGAAGAGGCGATGGTCTGGTTGGGGCGGTCGAGATAGACTGATATTGGCGACTTGAAGATACCTAGCTAATGTTAAACACATGCGAGCCCCTCAGTCGCGTGTTGACGTACCAAAACGATTGAGCTTGTCGGTGGCTTCACCAACTTCCTTTATCGCATCCTCGAGCGTGTATGGCTCGTCGCGGTTTGCGCTCAGAAGGGGGTTGACTATCCGCTCGAGGAAGCTTTTTCGTGTGCGGTTGGCGTGGAGGATGCGGACCGACGATATCGTCACGGGCAGGGACGAGTTGTCTTCAATCTAGCACAGCCTCAGCAACAGCCCCCAATTGCATATCCGGGATGCATACCAGCTCTCCAAGCCTCTCCTGCGACCTCTGCTGCTGTGCGTATAGCCGCGCATTGAGCTCATCCTGCTGTCGCTTCTGCTCGTTCAGGTCCGTCTTGTTCTTGAGCCTTTCGAAGACCTTTGGGGACCAATTAGCCATGTTTGACAAGTGCCATGCCGTACGCCCACTTACATCGTCTTCATGCGGCGACGCCATTGGGCTGTTGGTGACTTCGTGCGTGATGCTTGGCGTGGCTCGGAAACCTTGAACTCTGAACCGTCGCGGGTGGCGGATGCACGTGCGCTTACTCTCCGACTGTTGTTCGGACTTGGGTGCGACACAAACTGTCCTTCACCCAACACCTAATTCACCTGTTGTTCTTGCCTTTGTGATTGTTTTGCTTTGTCTGCACTGAGGGGTAATTATACACATCTCCCGCCCGACACTTTCTGCACTCTTATCTGGCCGCCGCCTATACAGCGCACCCACGTAGTCGACGTCAACCGTCTCCGCTCAAGAACACGTCTACCACCCCGTCCGCTTCCCCCCAACAACCGCACATCATGGCGACACCGGCAGCCACCAAGCGCCTCACAAGGGAGTACGCTTCCATCTCAAAATCACCGCCACCCTACATTACTGCACACCCTTCGGATAGGAACATCCTAGAATGGCACTACATCATCACTGGTCCGCCAGACACGCCCTACCACGGCGGCCAGTACTGGGGCACGCTCAACTTCCCGCCCGACTACCCGTTTGCGCCGCCCGCAATTCGCATGCACACACCTTCCGGCCGTTTCCAGCCCAGCAGTCGGCTGTGTCTCAGCATATCCGATTTCCACCCCAAGAGCTTCAACCCCGCGTGGGAGGTTAGCACCATCCTGACGGGCCTGCTGAGCTTCATGACGAGCGACGAGATCACAACTGGCAGTGTCAGGGCATCAGAAGCAGAGCGGAAACTCTTCGCCCAGCGCACACGATGGTGGAACAGCACGGGCGGCGGTAGCAAGGCTTCTGGCTCAGACAACGCTGGTGGGCGCCAGAACGGCAACATCAGGGCTGGAGACGGCGGCGCAAAGTTCAGGCACGAGTGGCCGGATGTCGACGAGGAAAATCTCAAGTGGATGAAGGAGAACCGTATTGACCCTCTCACTGGCCTGCCACGACCGGTACCTACCCCCTCACAGCAGTCCGCCTGCTCGCCAGATGTCACCGGGCTGCGACGACGCCCCGGCACAAGCGCGACCGTCGTTCATGATGCGGCACAAATAGCACGAGACGCGCAACAAGGATGGTTGAGCCGCAACAAGTGGAGGGCCGTTTTCGGAGCTGTGATGCTGTACATCCTAGTTGCAAGAGCACTGGGCGATGGCGCAATCGCAACTTCCACTTAGACGGATTGGTTGTCCCAGGACTAGGCATGATATGAGGATTTTGAGGGTAGTGTGCATAAGCGGGAGACACAAGTCACGATTCATTCAAATAGGCATTTACTATGGCGTTGGAGGGCGCTTGGCATACCCAGCTTTCAGTCGAGCACTCTGTATGATTATTCGTAGTAGCAAATCAAGGACAATACGTGTAGACATTGCGTCACTCACTTGCTATCTTGTGGTGTTACTCTTCGACCCTAATGTTGTGCTGCTCCTGGTCATGTACGTTATTCCTCTAGTGGCCAGAGACTCGAACAATTTCAAGTCACGGTACTCGGGACTTTCCCATGCTATCGATCAAGCTAAATGTACCCGAACACCACAATTAAGCCTCAAAGCTTCGCCACGAATGAGTGGACCCACGGTAAAACTAGGCTAATTACTGTATCCAGAATGACGCAGTGGAGATCCTCCACAAATATCCTCAGCCACCCGTCCAGCGTCTAGCATTAAGCGTCTCAACCTTGCATTCGGAATCGTGATATTGTTTGCTCCTGCCTACAAGACAGTGCATATCGTGGTTCGAGTCACAGTCCTCCATGCGCACAAACAAGCCGTCTTAACAGCGTAGATGATTGAGCTTTGTGTTTCGCAATATCCCGGTCTTGTCGGTCGACAACTGATCATCATCATCAACTGTAACGCAGAGGTGTGACATGGGTGATCGGCAAGGCGGGCGTGGCAAGCTACGGGCACGATTGGGTGGCTGAACGCGATTTTAAGAGAAGTGGCAGGTTACCCTTACGCGTGCTTGTGGGACTGGATCACCGTTCGTCCAAGGCAGGTCTTTTCGGTCCCAGCATCGTGGGTATGCAGGGCTTCGTTGCAGGTATATATGAGTGAGAGGGGATCTGCTTGCCATGACCGTTTCCGTTTCAAAACAAAACTTCTTTACACTTTTTGCCCTTGCTCAACCAACAAAGTATACGTTCAAAAGGTCGATTATGCGTTTCTCATCCCTCGTTTCCTTCGCCATCGCAGGCGCATCCATTTGCACAGCGCTGCCTAGGAATCTGACCAACTTCCTGCTCGTCACTACATCGCAAATAGACCCGAGTGCGAATACCTCGGAACTCAAAGCCGTATCCGCTACTTCGTTATTCGTAAGCCCTCCTAACCACTCCCCAAAAAGAAAAACACAACACCATCATGTCTAACAACCATATAGGACCCCTTCCACCAGCCCGCCCTCCTCCTCCGCCTAACAGGCCCTGGTTACGGATCCCTCCCCAACTTCACTTTAGCAGATGGAACGCTATCAACCATGGCCCTAGCACCCTTCGGTAACACATACGAGCGTTTCAATAGCACTGTCGTGACAACGGGGTCGGAGCTACAGTTCCTCGCATCGGTGCAGCCAGCGGGCAACATTGCGTTGGATGACGGCTACCTCTTGACTGTGGACGGACAGAGAGAAGGATGGACGATTTGCGAGGGTGCGTTGGATAATGAGGTGTTGAGCTGGAGGGGGAATGCGAGTGACTGCACGAAGACATATGTGCATGCTGTGTTGAAGGCACCTTACTAGGCTTAGACGTATCCTGAAGGGTGGGGATTTACGAAAGACGGGAAAATAAGACACAAATGGTGGCATGGTTCAGCCCCTAATGTTCCTTTTTCAAAATATTCCAATATCCACGGCCCATTTTGTGAAGTCTTGCTGGTCATCTTCATCTTTGATGGCGTAGTTTCCGATTGCAAGCTGATAGAGTGTTTCTCATCCCGTACCGTTGAGGAACTTGCGCCACCAGACAGTCTCGGCGTCGAGGAACCATGGACTTACGGCTGCGATAAACTCTTCTGGTGATGGCGCTGTCCGTGGATCCAAATGTGTCAGAGCCATGACAAAGACGTCGCAAGTTGTCAGGCTTGTACGAGCGAAGACGCAGTTGGTGATGTGATGCGGCATGAAGGCGATGAAGCTTCGATTGCCGATAGTATGTTCAGCTTGTGAAGAATATATCCGTATTGGAGTGTACTGCGTGACGGTGAAAAGCCGGCAGCGAAATGAACGAGGTGAGGCGATCTGTAAAGATTATGGAGATACGAGAACAGTTTAATCCACGGCGTCCTAAATGGTGTCCCTTTCATCGATCATCGCATCTGTATCATATGTTCAAATGATCCCTGCAGCAGAACGTTTGCCTTCTCTTTCTTCAATCCTCAGCGACCAATGTACGGTGTACTTCACCGCCTTTCAAAAGTCTGTTCGCTACCCCTGATAACGGCAATCTCAGCTGGAAACCCCACGTCTATTTCCTAATGTAGAAGTGCGCGATGCAGACTTGTTGTTTGCCTCTCCGGGCCACCAACGGGCTGGTAATTCGGACGTGGGACGGCTGTCGTATGCCAACGAAGATAACAAGCCAAACAAAACGTCGCGGCGATTAGTGAGACTAGCACGAGCTGCGGTCCGTTGTGCGCGTGCTGACGGGTTTACGCGGCTTCCCACAGTAAGTTCGAGGGAGCGACGGAAGGACTGGCGATGGCTTTACTGATTCAGCGTCGGTGGGCGGCGTGCTGCTCACAGAAAGTATACTGGAGTTCTAGAGGCCATGCGCGGTACATAACGATGAATACCTGTGAACATATGACATCTTGATATGTATTCATGATAGATATAGCAGGGGCAGCTGCTCGCGTCAGCAGGTCCGCCCACGCGATCTGATGCGCGAGTATCACTACGACATCCCCACCAGCCCAATAGTCAAGGCCCAACTGGTACGGCAAGAGAAAATTTGGATGCGGTGCAACCCGAAGGTATCGCTTTCCAAGAATGATGTTGGTCTGTGGTGAAGCTATAGATGTGCTTTGACTGTGATGCGCGTTACGATTGGGAGATGGTGGAGGGTAGTGCGGTGCTACTGGTTCGCTTGCAGTCGACGCGCAGCGAATCGGAGCCGAGAAGCTCGAGCTGAACAGATGAGAGGTATCTGGTTTGCTTCTTCGAGAAATGAGCGTGGAGACGACAGAAGGCGAATATGCAGACTAAAGGGATGCACTTCAAGCAAAATCTTGGTTCTAAGAGAAGTGACACGGAAGCACGAGCGGCCGATGAAGGCGGAGCATGGAAGGTGCAATCAGAAAGCCGAAAATTTGACCAAGAGAGCTGACAGGCAATCTAGACTCTTTGGAGTAGTTTGAAATGTATACGAGGACGGGAAACCGGAACGTTGTAGTGTCAAGGTTCCTGACATGGCCAATACTAAGTGTCTTGCATATCTGCCATCTTTCCGAAAAGCGACAGGGAGAACATAGTAACTTGTTTAAGCCGTAACCGTTTAGTATTCACGAGGAAGCGACGAAGGGGATCTGGCATGCTGTGCTTTGCAAGTTCAATCAGCCCAAAAATAGCTTGATGATCTAGGCCCATGCTGAATTGGGCGAAATTTTGCGAGATGTCCAAGCCCAATGCGTAGCGAGGCATCTTCAGTCTTCGCCGTCCATTTTCAGTATATGATAAGGCCTTGCTCTCGAGTTTTCAAAATCAAGATGCGTTTTCCGTCAGTAGTTGTCGACCATGTATCGTGCTATATGCGCGTTTACGACCTGCTTTCCGAGTCTCCCGGAAAGACAGCCAACATCGGATCTGTTTCGTCTGCCTTCTTCTGCACCCAGCCCCAAACTTCTCCCACTGACAGTTTTACTTGCAATCTACGTAGGTAACCGGTGAACGTGAGCTAATCATCGCACTGCATTAACGTACTGAAGTGTAGCACACGGTCTAGTTGGTAGCGGACCTCCACGACTCATTTCAGACATCATCGAACCGTAGAACAACAACTCTTCACGGCCATCGGTATACGCTGTATGCATGGCCATCCATCATTCTGTATGTTCCCATCTCTTACTCGCCCTGAAGGGTCTTGGAGCGCGAACTGGGAAGCGAAGGGCCTTCTAGGATCAAACGGTATGCAACGCGGCTTCAACTACCTACACAGGCAGCCAGTCAGTTCAGCGCAAGGTGGTATCATCTCGAGAATGCCCAGACGTATACAAGATATGCTAAGATCTCACCGACGCAAACTGCTGCCAAAAGAAGCACGCTCGTGTCACAATGGCGTGTCGTACGTCTTGCAAGGGCTGAGGTGCAATGAGAACAGAAAGGTTAGTTGCCGAATCTTACCACTTGTGCAGTAAGAACCGCTCGCCGGATATAGCTTTCAGTTTCGCAAACTGAAGTCGTTCAGAATCATACGCGCGATGATTTTGGAGATACCTAGGGAACCCTGGAGATGCAGGAAACCCTTTACCAAACCTTACCGAGCCCCGCATCCTGGATGACAAGCCTTTCTTGAGTTCGATGTTGGCTTCGCCTCAATCTACTCACGGCACCACCAAGGTACCGCGCCCGCCCGTCAGCGGCAAGATCTTCGCATTCACTCTCAGCCTGCGGAAGACCTTGTCGGCTGTATCGCTGGAAGCAGTACTCGATGCGCTGCGTTCCTGTGGGAAGTCGCTACCGGAAGACGCCTCAGCCACCCGGAATGCTCTGGTCAACAAGTTAGCTGTTGTTGGCTGTTCTAGGGCGGAATAAAGCCAGCCGAGGGCTGGGGTTTCAACGGTTGGCGCTGCCGCTGCATGCTTGGCGCTTCCCGCCTCTTACGTCGATCGCGACCTCCTGTCCTCTCACGCCATGTTAATCCGAAGATTCCAGCACCGTGAACACGGTTCGTGGTCGCAAGTGCTGTCAAAATCCTAAAAAATGATACTAGGGAAGCTCCCTATGTATCTTGGATGCTCGACGATAAGTCAGGTGTCATGTTCCTAGGATGCTACCCTCACATGGTCCGTAAGATGATCATGCAATGCCACGCCCTCGCCCAGACCTGGAGCCCGCGCAGGATCACACTTCGGCCTATCTTTACATTTTGATGCCCATGGCAATCGCAAAAATTACTTGCGGCGCGTGTAAATTCGAACCTCTGGACGCAGCCTAACCGACCACTTGGTTCTGGGGCGGTTCGATGCCAGAGCTCATGGTCTACGAAATTTTCCATATCCTGATATGGTAAGAGACAATTAAACTTGTCGTACCAAATCTTGTGTCCTTGTCTCTGCACCCGCGGCGTGATGAACCACCTATCAGAGCGGATTCTGTTTCACAACATGACCGACCTTTACTCCTTGGACGCTTTACCGATGCAACCCCATGAGACCGGAGTGCTAGGTGCCAATTTGCTGGAAATCAACGCTGTCTCGAGTTTGTTCTTATTGGACGCCGTTATGCACACCATTTTGGGGGCCACCCAACCAAGCACTACCCCAGGATATGTTACCGGTTTCCTGTAGGATCTGCATACACCCTGGAAAATGCTCGTTTGCGGGGTCACAATACTCTCACATGCAGGCAACCTGGTTTGTTGTCGCTAAGGCTACCAACGGGCGGCAAAGAACGCAATAGTGAATATCAAAACCCAGCACGTCCGCACAGACTACACTCGATCAGGATCACGCGCCCTCGTCGCGATCTTGGAATTATAAAACCGACACCCTGTCTGCTCTTGAATCTTCTTTTACTCCGTCCCATAACTCTGTCAACCCACGCTGGTTACAACCACTTGGCAAGATGAAAGTTGGTTCTCAACTTCTCGATTGCTCATGAGTACACCTGCTGACAATGCTTCCACAGTTCCCACAGTTCTATAATGTCTACGCCATTTGCGGCTTTGCCGCGCTTGGTGGTATCCTCTTTGGTTTCGATATCTCATCGATGTCGGGCGCGCTGGGTACTCCTGCCTACAAGAACTACTTCGGTAACCCCAGCGGTACTCGCCAAGGTGGTATTACGGCGTCGATGCCTGCGGGTTCTCTCGTCGGAGCCCTGTCCTCATCCTTCCTTGCCGATCGCCTTTCACGTAGGAACGCTGTTCAGATCGCCGCGCTCATCTGGATCATTGGCGCTATCCTGCAGGCCGCAGCCAACGGCGTCGCTCTCCTCTGTGTCGGCCGTGCTATTGGCGGTTACGCCATTGGTATCTGCTCTGCCATCGTTCCTGTCTACCAAGCCGAGATCGCTCCTAAGGAGATTCGAGGTCGTGTGGTGTCGTTACAACAATGGGTAGGTAACCTTTCGAGACGCGTATGAAGAAGGCACTAATTGTAGCTAGGCCATTACTTGGGGTATCTTGATTCAGTACTTCATCCAGTACGGCTGCTCCTTCGTTGATGGAGGCGTTAACAACCCACAACAAAGCACTGCGGCCTTTAGGATCCCCTGGGGCGTCCAAGCTGTTCCTGGTGCTATCCTCTTCCTCGGTTTCTTCTTCTTCCCTCGCTCTCCTAGATGGCTCGCGTCCAAGGACCGTTGGGAGGAGGCCCTCCAAGTCCTCGCCAACCTCCACGGTGGCGGTAACGTCAACCACCCCAAGGTTCTTGCCGAATACAAGGAAATCGAAGAGGCTCTTGCTTTCGAGCGTGAGGTCGCCGAGACTAGCTTCGCTGCGTTGGTCAAGCCTCGCATTGTCAAGCGTGTCATCCTCGGCATGTCCATCCAGATGTGGTCTCAGCTTTGTGGTATGAACATTATGATGTAAGCTATCCCTTTGTGAAAACTGTTTATGCGATATGTACTGACAAGTCTCAAAGGTACTACATCGTCTTCATCATGCGTGGAGCTGGCATCGCCGATGAGCTCCTCACTGCTTCGATTCAGTACATCATCAACGTCGCTATGACCCTGCCAGCTATTCTCTACCTCGACAAGTTCGGTCGTCGCCCCGCTCTGCTTTGCGGATCCTTCATGATGGCTGTCTGGCTCTATACGACTGGTGCACTACAAGCGTCCTACGGCAACCCCAACCCAGACACTACCGACCGTGATATTTCCTGGGTCGTGCCTCGCGAGCACAGCGCCGTCTCCAAGGGTATCGTCGCTTGCTCGTACCTCTTCGTCGCCACCTTCGCGACTACCTGGGGTCCTACTTCCTGGACTTACCCGTCTGAGATCTTCCCCGCCAAGGTCCGTGCGAAGGCTGTCTCTCTCGCTACTGCCGCCAACTGGACCTGGAACTGCATTCTTGCTTTCGCCGTTCCTCCTCTTCTATGGTCCATCAACTGGAAAATGTACATGATCTTCGGTACCTTCAACGCCGTTGCCTTCATCCACATGTTCCTGACCGCTCCGGAAACCAAGGGCAAGACTCTCGAGGAGATGGACGACGTCTTCGACTCTGGTCTTCCTGCCTGGAAGGCTGGCAAGGTTGAGTCTCGTCTCGACCGTGTTACTCGCGATATTGAGGCCGGTAACGTCAAGGTAGCCCGCCACGGTGTCGAGGACGTTAATGTCGAACCTAAGGTTTAAACGGACGTCTTTAGCTATGAGGCCTATCTGATGACGGTTGGTGTGTCCTGTCGCATTGGTCTAGATTGTGGGAACTAGACGGGCATTCCAGCAGTTTACATGGGGGTTTCACAATTACAGAACTACAGTCATGGTTGACCACGTGGTACACCAATGCAATTGAGCGACTTGATGACTTCTTATACGGACAGCCACATAGTATAGTCCATTAATACATTCACTGATCTACTCACCTCCGCATGCGTTCGAGTATGAGCCTACCTTTTGTAATCGCAGATAGTCTTACAACGCAACCAATTCGTCTTTCCGGGCGTAGTGGGATACAAGACGGCAGCGACTTCTACGTGTCGGTATCTGGGCACTCCGTCGCTTCGTACTGAAATGTGTATCGCTAGCTTGGGAAGAACACTTCAAAAAATGCGGACAGTCGCCATGGATGGAGTTATTTGACAAGATCCCGGACTTCAGAGACAATCTGGTATGCCGTTTTGGCTCAGGAAAGGTGAAGCTTACGAGCGCGGACTACTTTGAGGAAACTAGTAAGGCTACCCACGACGAGCTTGAGGGGGAGGGTTGTGAGAAGCTACCTTGTAGCCGAAGAGATCCTGCATAGCTCATGAGAGGTAGTAGAACTGATCAGAACGTACATACTTGGAGCAAGTAATCAAATATCTGCTTACTCGCCTTTTGTTTCTCTTTCCCCTGCGGACGTGTTTCCAGGTAAAGGTATCTCTCACTTTCTGCTGCCACGTACTAGCGCCGTCTCCGTTGGGTAAGTTATTGCAAGCTCGCCGTCTACATAAACTGTCTTTCGCGATCAAAGCTACTGCCATCTCTCATTGACCCAGCAGCCCGCAAGATCGATATGGGTAACATCACGCAGCAGCCACCTGCTCCGCGGCCAGGGCCCGGCACGACTCCACCACCACCACTACCAGTGTCTCACTCGGATATGTTTCTCGAAATGTAAGTAGATAACCACGGAACTTGAAGCGATCCGCCTAACTCTAGAATCAAGGATCCAGGGTAAATCAGTCAGCGTGGTTGTTGGCCAAAACTCTTTGCACTGCACTTATGCCCTTCCTGTGGCTCTACTCTGCGTCCATTCTCTCTATTTCCGCAACAAAATTGCCGCTCTCAACGCTATGTACGGGGAGAAGTGGGCGACCAGTAAGAAGCGCAAAATCCCTCCCTCCAATGATGGCGAGGAAGCGGAAACAAAAGACGAGGTAGAGGTGGAGGAAGGTAGGAAAGATGGAGAGAGAGTCATCCGGCTGCCCGACGTAGATCCCGCCATCTTCGGTCTCTTCCTGAAGTTCATATACAAGGACTTATACCCATCAAACGTCGATGCCAGGACAATCACGGCCCAAAACCATCATCGCTTTTCGACATTTGTTTCTAAACCAACTACCCCGGGTTCAACTACGACCGCAGCATCTCGCCAACCAGCTTCCAACCCCTCACCTGCCAGCAGCAATCAACATATCCAAGCAGCCCCTCCACTAAGCCATATAACTACCCTCATGCCGCCACCCCCACCTCCGCAAGGAATGAACCATATCGAGTGTATGCCGCCCTCCGTAAACGCTTGGCTTCTTGCTCAACGCCTCGGTGCTTTGTCTTTTATGAACCACGCTATGTCCCGAATCTACGCAGGTATCGGCGTTTATTTTGCCCTTACACCGGCGCTCATGGACCACGTCTGGAGGGAGACCTCACCATCATCATCACCATCACCGTCACCGTCACCTCCTTCCTCCGCTTTCTCACCACCCAGCTCCCCATCTACATCAACAGTCCTAACACCCTCCCCACTCCGCAAACTCCTCCTTGATGTCCTAGTCTCCTACTGGTCCCACACACATTCCCCAAACCCAAACGCCGTCATCCTCCGCTCTTTGTCCGTGTCGCCTAACTTCTCCACTTCGTTGAAGGAAGCGTGGGATAGATTGTTCAATGAACACACCGATTTGAGAAATGACTTCATCTATGGATTACAAGGTGATGTTAACAAGCTGATGCCTGTTAATGCGTATTTCGCGACTCCGGCACCGATCACACAGAGCGGCATGATCAGTGGTGGAGTGGCAGGTAGTGAGTTTGGGAAAGAGCACAGTCGGGGTGATGGACGGGTGGGAAGAGAAGTGGTTGTCAAGGAGGAGAAGGAAGATGAGACTGATGTTCTGGCTACAGAGAAGGAGAGCCGTGTCTAAGGTGGCTGGCTGATTTGGCACATTCTTTTGCCGAAAAAGCAGGAAGTTTGGGACACAGAGTAGGCGCTGAAGCTAGGCAAAAGTGAAAATGTTTTTAGATATCGTGATTCTGAGCAAGGAAAATCTGGCCCGTCGAAAGAGAAAATTTACTCCGTCATGTATGAAGTACGCTGATCGTCAGGTATTTACATCGTCCGTTCATTATCATTACACGCCCCTTGGTATCATTACGTCCTCGATCTCATATGCCCTCGCTACCTCTTAACCCCTTGTGGACATGGCGAAAATATGACCCTCAATGGGTCCAAGCATTAGCAACACGCTCCTGCCATTCATGCTCCATGTCCTCCGCACATCGCCTGCAGACTCCCATACGACAAACAGCGATGTCACATTCCCAAAGCTCTTCCTTGACATCTCTATCGCACCTATCGCAGAAAACAGGGACGGAAACATGCTGTTTATAGCCAACAGCAGTGTGCATGTAAGGCCGGACTGCTAGACTGTTGATGGCGACCTCATCAGGCACGGTCTTGAGGTTGATGGGGTGAAAGATGTGGCCGTTCTTGAGACAGTAGTGCTCTGTTGAAGACAACCGAGTTGGGTGCGGGGCTGGACGAGAATGTGGATACGGAAGCGTAGAATGATCTTCTTTGGGGAAGGGAGCAGGAGGAATTTGCTGATCGGCGAGGACATCAAGGTCCATACGTTCAGAGAGAGGGCGTTGCTTAGCGTGGTCGTAGGTGGACATCCAGTCTTGGACGAGTAAATGTGAATCATCGCGAGGCATCTTCGGTTTCTTGTCCTTGTTGGTGCGGTTGTAGTTCCTAGCGGTAAGGTGACCAGGCATCACGGTAAGCTGGATTTTGTTAGTTGCATCTGTAACAGGTAAGATATACTTACGCACCTCCGCGTGCTCACTGCGCTCGTTGAAAGGACTAATCCGGTCGTCATGTTGAAAGTAGTAGGCTCCTGCCGCCTTGAACGGCGCCTTCAGCTGGCTGGACAAAGCTAGCAAGGGTATCGGGACGGCTGGTGCGACCGGCTTCTTCTTCCTGGGGGGAATGTCGACGAGCTTGACCATACCGGGTGTGATACGAGTGAATGGTATCACCTTGGCGACACGCACGGTGGGTTCTTCGTCCAGGTCAATGCTGCTGCAGATTGAGATCAAGTCCTCGTCATCCTCGCTATCAGCACCATCGAAAAGCTCACGCGCTTCACAGGTCACGCCATGCTTTGCGGCTGCGAATTCCATCCTCATGGTTTCGTTGGATGCTTTAAGATCAGCGTAGTCGGTGTCGAGGATGAGTCTGGCAGCGTCATTGCGGTTTTGCTGAGCCATGCCAATCGCTAGTTGGGCCTCTGCCTCGTCGAGCAATCGACCTTCAACCGTTTGTAGGGGGCTCCGCAGACGAAACACCGCAGGCGGCTGATCCACAATGTTCTGGACGTCTAACGCATTCCCAGGGTGTATCGCAAACTCTTCCTCTCCTTCTTCAGCCTCTGCTTCTACGACTTGGTCTGTAGGTGAGAGATCGTCCTCTTCCAGTTCGTACCTGGGATCGAGTGTAAGCAGTGACTCAGTATGTAACTGGGGCAGCGGCGGCTTGATAAAAGGATTGTATTGTTCGTACTCAGAGATAACACCCAGCTCAGGGTTATGTTCGCTGTTGTGGTAGGATGAACGCAACTCGTCGTGTGATGTCTCCATGATGGGAGCCATTCTATCGAGTAACTTGGGAACCTTCTTGCGCATACGTCTTCTTGGAACTTCGGAGCTCGGGCGCGCAGCCGAATGAAGCAAACGAGAGTGGGCATCAAGTTCGGATTCGCTACAGTAGTATGCATCAGTATCATCCTCTGTACGCCGGGCCAAAGAAACAGCCGCGACAGGCTCCATGTCAGCTTCACGTTTGGAATTAGAAACGGCAGATGGGAGTAGGCCTAACATTCGCTGAGCTTTCTTGTTGCGGTTCCCCCAGAAGCTCTTGACCTTAGGCAGATCGGGGTCAATGCCTTCTTCCTTGGATTTTGTCTGTTTACTCGACACGCCTTTGGAAGTGACAAGAGCTGGCGTGGGGGCTTGCCATGTCGATGTCGGCCATACTGGTGGACCAGCGTAACCGTCATCATGCTGTGATCGACGACCTTCAGAGTTGCTCCGAATCCTACCAGGACCAGCGTCGACACCTAGTAATTGCGCGGCTTTCACAGGAGTAAGTGGTGGAAGAGGCGATAGTTGATGAGCAGGCTCATGTGACCTTTCGGGACGGTCTTGATCCTTTGACATGAAGCCGAATTTGCCATGCTTTCTCCTACTCTCTGTCGCCGTTGTTGATGCACTACCTGTTGTGGGTGTCGGCGAGTGAGCGACCGGCATCCTCAAAGAGCCATCGAACGGGCGCGAGATAGGAGAACGGTGACAATCAACCGGGGGGCCACTGTTGAATGCGTAGTGGTTGACCATGGATTCCGAGGGCTCAAAAGAAGATGAAACATGCGAGTTTTCAACTGGACACGTACCCAGTCCTGCGGTGACACCACTCGCATTCTCCATCCCGGCGAGTGAGTCAAGGCTGAGGTTGGGCGTAGTGTTAGAGCGCAGTGCATTGGAACGGCGCGTGCTGCGGCGTCTACGACCGCCAACCATGATGGCAGGGCCCATGCTCCATGCGGGATTTGCGAGATCAGGAATGACCATTGTCTTCAACGATGCCCTTTGTCGTGGGGTATGAGGTTTTGGCGATTGACGGTTGCACCAATATCCGATTCGAGCGCGGCGAGGAAACCAGACTCGAAGAACCAGCGACTTAGACCGAAATTGAAGCACAGCGACTATTATTGCATTACAACATCGCAATCGAATTGTGGTTGTGGAATGCAGTGATCCGCTGGAGTGGTGGACAGAGCTCCAAGCTCGGCTTGTTGTGGTCGAGTCACCAACAAACGGAGCGCTTTGCCACGCGAGAGCGGCAGTGAATGAGGAAGGCGCGGCATACAGATGACGTTGGTGAGGAAATAACTTGAGATGAGTGAGCTAAGAAGAGAACGAGGGAATTAGTTGACTTCTAATATGGGTTCTACAAGTAAGGTGAAATCTGTGCGAGGGAGATAGGCGTACAGTGATGGAAGGAACGACCTCAGTGAAGATGAATATAAAGGGAGCAAAATTAAAACGGACTACAAGAAAAAAAAGGACGTTTACTCCCGCAAACCATGAAACAAGATCTTGGGTATCTTTGTGTACGCAATCGTGCTACGATCCATGCTATCGTCCGTGTGGCATCCGCCTCTGTGCATCCATCCCAACCCGTCACGTAACACCCACTGCACTCGAGACCGAAAATGCTTGAACGATCTCCGCGGGGATATTAAAAGGTAGACGAGTAAGAGATTACAAACTTGTACTACAGACAGAGAAAGTGACCATATCAACTTCTCTTCCTCGATTTCCTGGCTCTATAATCTGCTATTGCTTGTCTCAACAGCCGACGAGCTCTGTACTACGAGCCCGATGTGTCTTTATCACTCTTGGAGCTGCTAAGTCTGGCGACCTGCTCAGCGACACTAGTACTGCCGCTTCTTGCTCGACCGCCCTCTGGCGATGCAGGGATATCAATCGAACTTCTCAATCCCACTCCACTAATCCTGCCAACAGGCGTCTCGACCGGACTGGGTGCTTGTCTCGTTTCGTCAAGAACGCTCGGTGCCTCGTCAACAGGCTCTATGGAGTCTGGCTCGCGGGTCAACTTAGCTGGTTTCTTGCTCGGACTTGCGCCAAGACCTCGGTGAACCTCAACCGAACTGGACCCATGAAGAAAGTCGGAGATATCTGCTTCGCTTGTGCCCTTGCCATCAGGAGTCTTCGGTATAGCTCCAGAAGGACTTCGCGGGCTTCTAGGCATATTAGGCTGGAAGAATTTCTGCACAGCGTTTCGGTCATCCACTTCGTCTTCCTCGTCGCTAGTCTCATTGAAGTAGATACTATCCCAATCGCCAGATCCAGTACTACGGGTCGAATCGGTTGTGTTTGATCTCTTGGGTATCCTCAGACTGGGCGTCTTCAGCGGGGCTAGTTCGTCGGCAACTTCCCTCATCTCGCTGTCAGTACGCTCGATAGGTGGCTGTAACCTTTCTTGCCCCTTGACATGCTCGCCATCCTGAGTGATCGGTTTGTTCACAGCTTGCGCACGATCAAGGGCAGGCTCATCTTCATCCCGCGTGTTGGCAGAGTACGTATCCGCGAAATGCGTATCGCAGAGGTGCTTGACCACAGGCCAGCCGTAAGCGTTAGCAAACATGCGGCGTACGATCATGTTGTTATGCGCGTCCGGCTCGAGACTGACGAGAACCTTACGCCATGAGAGATCCTTGTGATAAGCGCGAGCGATCTTCTCTTCCACACGCATCACGCTTTCGTCGATGGTTGCTGTTGATGTCTGAGAGACGGTGCTATCACCAGAAAAGTTACGTGCTGGCTTCTTCTTCGTAGGCGGTGGTGGAATATCTTCAGGATGATAAATTCTGTCGTGGAAGATGGTGCGTGCTCGGGTGGACGGGTCTGTGATCCAGGACATTGGGGGGACAGGAGGATTTATCAAGTCACCAGCGGACTCAAAAATCGTCGTTTTGGGCGGTGCTAGGTGACTTTTGGGGTTGTCGACGATGGAGTCACCACGGGTCGCCTGGGGTCGCTTCCTTGGTTGTGTGGAGTGTGACGACGTCGAGCTCTCTGCTTCAGTCGAAACCCGCTCGTCTTCTTCATCTTTGTATATGGTCTGACTACGACTGAACATCTTCTTGTCGCGGGAAGTATGCTTTCCGGTCGGCCTTATATAGCTCCAGAGCTGCATCAAAGTGTTTTGCGGCTGGAAGTATTGGTCGTTTGGCTCCTTTGCTTCTGGACTCTTTTTTTGCCCTTCAAGGAACTGGTGAGCTGTTGGCTCAGCAGAAGATGCCTGTGCTTCATCTTCCTGGTTCGTAACATCGGCGCCTGGCAAAGGTACGGCGGTGCCGTCGCCATTGTGTGTAGGCGATTCGACCCCTGAACCCTCGTCATCCGAAAATCCGATTCTGGATGGGTTTGGTGATGAGTTCTGTCCAGTAAGTTGGCCGTAACCCCATACAGCTACCGTACCAATGAGACCGTTCTCTCGGCGCGCCTTTTCAACACGACCTAAGCCTCTCCAATCGAGGAACAAGAGACAACTCGTGCGCAATGGTACTATACCATCATTGACAACATTAGAGTACAAAGTGCGGTTTCGGAATCTTCGCAGGACTTGGTGAGCTGGTCCAGTAGGGAGTATGCGCAGCAGAGGCTTTGCACCAGGGTCTTCTTGATGTTGGTCCTGGCTCTGATTACCAAACACGTTGCCCATGGCAGTCCAGCCACTCTTTGCTAGTGTCGGTGCTCTCCAGGTCAGACCAAGGTCTTGCCCTGTCCTCCCAACTAGGCCGAAGTCGAGTGCGAATTTGACATAGGTGGGATTCTCGTTGCTCAATCCTAGGAAAGGTGACGCCATACCGATGAAGTTGATAGGTTTGATCGTATCAAAGAAGTGAGGGGAGTGCTTGTGGATATATGCAATAGCGTACGTTTGCACCAACCCTCCAAGAGAGTGACCAATGAAGCTGATACTAGTGAACTTGTATGCACGCTTGTCGTTCCCTGAAGCTGTGTGGTGCACACTACTACCGTGATGGGACGGTATACCTTCGTCGAACTTATCTTTCGTCGGCGAAAAGGTATTGGATAGCTTCTGTCCCATCGACTTTTTGATCGGCAAGAATGGTTGATCGGGGTAGGTTAGACTCAACACGTACTTGGCGAGTCGCTTCCCAAGGTATTGAATACCGCGCTCGGTACGTATTACATTTCCGTCAAAACCACGAACAATGACGTCTTCTTCATCGTCATCCTCCTCCTCATCTGGTATTTCTTCTTGGCCGCCCGATAATGGTGCTGTCGATGTGTCCTGATTCTGTTCAGTGCTTTTAGCACCTTTCGCCTCCTTGCGCCGCCGCCGTCGATCTTCTCGCGCTTGCTTTGCCGTCGCGTCGATGCTCTCTTTTAGGTACAGCATATCCGCACCGAGATTGCTGTGCAAGCCATGTGTTACTATCACAAGGTGTATATTCTTCTTTTTCCGTCGACTTTCCGCCAGAATATCGTGATCCTTTGACCCCTTGGAACGGCCTTGATCATCATCCTTCCACTCTGGTAGTTCAGGCGTATTCCACAAGCTTGTAGTATCGTCAACCACTAATTTGACCGCTTTTGAGTAAACCCCCTTAGGTTGTGCAGCGTGGTTCGAGACATGTTTCTGGCTGCCCTGTTGGTGATCTTGCACCTTTCCTGGTGTTCCATGACTATTTCCGGTAACAGCAGTAAAGCCTAGATCCAGCGATCGTTCATCGCGTGCCACTAGCAATTCGTAGTTTACAGACGCGGAGTTCGAGAAGATGATCTGCGAGGCGACCTCGATAATCCATGTGAGGCTTTTCGATGTGCCGTCATGCTCCCTGGTATCATTTCTGTATTCTTCCGGAACTGTCAACTTGGTGTTCCAGTATCCACCTGCCTTGACATTAGGCTCAAAGTCAGGGTCCCCGTAGATTTTCGACTCATCAGCCTTCTTGTTGGGGTTAAAGGTGGAAGGGTATGCGGATACGTGGATCGTATATGGTCCGTGGAGGTATGCGGCGCGAAGAGGTATTGCAGAGGAATTTCGTATGCGGACATGGAGGCAAGAAGGGGGCGGTAATATTCGGTCTTCGGAAGGTGTGTACGTGAGGGTATATCTGCATGGCGGCTTAGCATCCCTTTCCAGGTCATCGTAGACTTTGGCGCGCCTTGTCTATCCTCTGTAGCCAATGCATACAACGTCCATGCACTTCCGCCGAGAAACCCTGAGAACTTACCTCACAACCTCTCCCACCTTCACGCTCCCCTTTTGGTGCAGCAGCAACATCTTCAGCGCGCGCTTTTCCTCGGCTTCCCGTTCCTTCCGCGATTTTATACACACGAAATACGAGGGTTCAGGGCGTTTGCGACCTTGGTCGGCAATGTGAGCGAGGGAGTAGGTGCGAGGCGTGAGCAGCATTTAGCGGATCTAGCGGAGACCGGTACAACCAATGGACAACAGCCACAGGCGCGTCATAGGACTGAAGTAGCTGTGGCTGATCGCACCGTAAGGATAATTATGGGGCCGAGCGAAGATCGCGGAGGCCAGAGGGATGATGTATACTGCGAAGTTTAGCGACTTTGGCATGGTCACGCACGCGCTCGTCGAAGATCGTCGTGCGTCATTGCTCGCATGGCAGGCGCGCAGCACGAGGACGTAGATAGGTGCATTCCCAGGACCGCAGCGCGTGGTTCCGGTAACACATTGACAAGCTTACATGTGGTTAGCGAGCATATCAGATGCAGCATCAGATAGGCTTTAAACTATTGGTCGTAGTCTACGCGTTCTCGGGTTCCAAGACATGCCCTCGTCGGAATGCACCTCGGCCGGCTTCCGACCTCACTCCAGTCAGCCTCGTCTTCCTTCTACACTTTCATCCCCACCCATCCGCACTATACGTACCATGCATTGAAGGATGGCACGCATTCTTTTTGCCTGTCATACTGTTGGATGCGATTGACGCGTGGTCGTCATCTCGCTTTTCGACCTCTCACGACATGCACCCATGACGATGCCTCCGGCTGTAAACCTTCAGATACTTGTTAGCGCACACACGTATCCGTCGACTTGCTTTTTTAGATCATCGCAGTAGACATGTACACGTAGGTCTGGAGGTCGTCAGATACTTGTTGGGCTACGGAGGTCTGAACGAAAGTGACGCGTCGAGAGGTTTAGCACACTATCATGAATTTAGTCAAGGTATGAGGTCAGTTCCAAGGTTCTCACATGAAACCATCGTCACTTCATGTCCAAGTCGAGATCGTAAGCCAAACTTACGATTCCGTAATCTACCCCCAAGGTCTGAGGGTATTCTCACTACTATCCGGAACGCCTTGCTAGATCGAACCCAAATGCAAGACGTCTTTCGCAGACCAAGACTCCAGGAAGCAAAATGATCTTTGTAGAGAAACTCTTCCATCTCAAGCCGCTCCAGCTCCAGGGGAGCCACTAGCTGGACCCTTGCCCTTGCCGAACGAAGGTGACTTTGGCGATCCTGGACCCTGCTGAGATCGTCCGGAGCCACCTAAGCCTTGACTTCGAGGTGTGCTGAAAAGTCCTCCAGAGGCGCGACCACCTGAACTACGACTGGATCCTGGCTGGCCGCCGGAGCCGCGACCTCGAGGAGTGGAGGGGCTGCCACGACCGCGACCACCAGAAGAAGACGAAGCGAAGTTGCCGGGTGTACCTCGAAAGAATTAACTTGATTTGAAGAGAGATGTGACAAAGTTGTTACTTACCGCTCGAAGGAGTCGAAGGTGGCTGTTCGACAGAGTCGAAGACAGGATCTCCTACGACCTCGAACTCTTCCTCGGCGTCTGTTATATATCAGTGTCCATATTCATTGTCCTCGTTTGGTCTTGGACCGACCTTCACCAAGATCCTCTCCAGGCAAGCGATCACCCCTCGCTAGAGAAGCTTCTTCTTCTTCTTCTTGCTGGATCTCCCAGTACTGCTGAGCAAAGGCCTGGTACTGTGGACTACCACTGCCTTTCCACTCGAACTTTGCTCGCCGACCGGTGGGCGGGTCGAAGATGATGCGGAACCCTGTGTCCCAGAGCATGAGGGCGTTACCCATATTGCAGCGGACATAGCTGCCGTACTGCTTCACAACGAAGCTTCGTGCGGTCTTGTCGCTGCCAACTATCCAGGTCGCTTTTTCCTTGGTCGAGCCGTCACCGCCGTCGTTGGCACCTTGAGGAAGAGCTGTTGGACCATACTGAGCCATTTTAATCGAAAGGTATATTAAGAGCTTTGTAGTTAAGTGTTGAAAGTGTATATAGAAGTTTAAGAGAACCGAGAACAATCGATCGCTTGTTGTCTAGGAAAAGAACCAAGGAAGGACGTAATAGGCTCTTTAACGAAACTGCAGGAGCTGAAGATTGGCGTCAAAGGCCGTTTGCTCAGACGTTAGGTGCAGGGTCGCGGCATTCTCTTCGTCTCTCACCTCTCGGTAGAGTGCAGAATCTGGCCCGAAGGCGTGGTGAGCGAGTTTTGCAAACGGCCTTCACGCAGAAAAGTGACGGTCATGGGTGAAAGCGGCCGGTGCACGGGAAGGCGGCAAAGGGACGGGGAGACTTCGAAGGAAGGAGCGGTAATGGTGCGCTCCTGACATAGTCTTAACTACCTTTGTTGCAGAGATATATTGAAAGGTATGAGCTGGTCTATTCAAAGAACCTGCGGCCTTGACTTCGTACATCGTTCTCCACGCTTGCTTCCGGAATATGTATGGCTTGAGCAAGCTGTTTCCCTGATATCACGGCTACAACAATTTCCTGGCGCAATCTCACTCGACTCATCATCTCTATATCTCTTACACGAGGTCATTGTGTGATCAGAGTCAGGAGTATTTTATCATATAGCAAACGGACCTTGGTATCACTTGAGACGTCCGCGGTGTACACCCGCTGAATGCAGAAGGAGACAAGACGGACATCTCCTGACCACACATGATGAGTAATCGATAGAACGTTGGCGTATCAATTTTATAGCCTGACGTGTTGCGTAAAGTTTACTACAAAATCATCAAAGGTCTCTCAGTCACGTATTAGCATATCAACAGTACACCCAAGAGCCCATGACACTTGGGGATAGTTTACTCGCTCGATATATTGCTTCTTTCCCTTGACCTAACATTTACATCCTATCTGTGTCATCTTACTCTGAGAATAGACTTTCAAGGATCATACCGTATGCCTCCGCTGCCTGCACGAGTTCATCTTGACTCAACATCTCATCTGGCGTATGTGCTACTTCGATCGTCCCAGTACCAAACAAATATTTCTTTCCCACCTGAGGCAAACTTGGAATATCTGTACCGAAGAAAACAGGCGCGACTTTCAGGCCTTCAACATCGGTATCGAGAATAAGTGCAGGGTATGTAGTGTTTGAGAAACGAACATCGAATGTAGCGTTTGCTTCCTTCGCGCGAGCGACGATGGGTGAGAGCATGCCTGCCATCATATCTTGGACAACATCGACAGCGTCGTCTTCACTACGAGAGATACGGACCACGATAGTGGCGTTCGCATGTTCGGGCACGACGTTACCTGCAACACCGCCTGCAATAATGCCAGCATTCAGAGTTGTTGCGCCGAGTAGCTCGCTCCTGGGAAGGGCCGGTTCGAGCATGTTGAGTGCAACGATGGCTTCAGTCAGATAGTTGATGGCGCTTACACCAAGCCAAGGGTATGCGGAGTGAGAAGATTTGCCTAAAACATCCAGGTCCACGCGCAAACTGCCTTTGTGCCCACTAGCTAGCTTGCCTTCGGTCGGTTCACCGAAAATGCCTGCACGAAAGGTCGTATTCGAGGCGTACTACAGATTTGAAGACACGAAGTCAGTGTATGTTTTACATAAATCGTATGCTCAATGCTTACCTGTGCAAATGCTTTCATTCCAGCGCCGCCAGTCTCTTCGGACACAACGAATAGCATACCCAAACTAGGCGTGTCGGTCCGGGACTGGAAGAACTTGTGTGATGCGACGATCATAGTTGCTACGGGACCCTTTGCGTCGACTGAACCCCGACCAAAATGGTAAACTGTGCCATTCTCTTCTCTGCGCTCAAAAGGGTAGAATGGCGGCACCTGATCTTGTATTAGAAATCGCTAGACTGCAAATATTAGACCCTATATGCTCACCGTATCGATATGACTAGTAATCAAAACCTCTGGCCAGACACCCCCGTCTTTAAGCTCTTGTGGATATGCGAAGACATTGAAGGTGCCGGTGTCTCCAACAGGGACTTCCTCAACGTAGTACCCCAACCCCGACAAATATTCTGATATGAACTTTGCGCCTTCGACCTCATCTCCTGATATGGAGGGGATGTTGACTAAGTCTTCATGGAGGCTAAATAGCTCGTCCGTTTCCTCGATGCTAAGGGTTGCTGAATTTGACGCCGATGGGCTGGCAGAGCTTACAGCTGATGGCGATACTGAAGCTTGTGGTGCTGCATTGACTAATCTCAGAGATATCAGAGCTATCAGGGACTTGATGGCGACCATATTGACGGTTATCTTGGGTTTCGACACTTTAGAAATTGATGCTGTGGCATGTGAGATTAAGGGTATTTGCCCGTTCTTATACCTTCAGGATAGCCCTATATTTCTGGGACTTATCTTCAATCTGTGCGGAGACATTTCGCACTAGTCAGGGCCTGCACTGCACCAAGTTATGTGATGACAGGGTTCGATGCGAGATAGTGATCCTTATAGGTTGGCATACGTCGTTCGGCATTTGAATATAATCGTCCCTCGGTAGGAGAAGTACCGTTTTTTGGTGAAGCCAAGGAGTCTTGATTCTAAGGAACGAATTCAAGACTGTTCACTGGACTGTCAATCGAGATCGACGAAACAAAAGCACAAGCCAAGCAGCTCGTTGCCTACTAAGACTGCTAGTACGGTATCCGAAAAGAAGATAGCCGTTTTACGTAACTTGTGCCGCACTTTTATGTTCACGATAGTTCCTTTCCCCCACCAAATAGAGAAAAGCGGAATGATGTCAACGGCGACAATGGCTGTAAATGCGGGGTGCGTAGCTGTTATCAAGCGGAGAGCTATGATAAGCGGGCTCTTGGCAGCCATGGCAGCATAAGAAGCGTCTTGGATATTTCTCCATCCTGCCAATTTGGGTGGTCCAAAGGTGAGTGCCGCAGACGCGGTACAAGTACCGGACATAGGCGCGATGGAGGGTGGATAACCGCAGCAGGGTCCCAAACGCAAGTGAGTAACAGAACGAGACGGGATGAGCATTTGTTGACTCCATGGCCGCTTAGCACTCCAAAGTAGCAAATGGTACTAGTGAAGTGAGAGGCTATCGAATCGTCACGTCAATGAGAAGGTGTCGGGAAGATCTTGTCAGGGCCATGGGTAGCCATCTGCACTCATTTTGGTGAAGGCACTTATGCGTGACTGAGCATACCCAAAAAGAGGAGATACGAACGATACGGGTTGCTAATGCGCATAGGAACGGTTGAGAAAGATATAAGATTGAGGGTGTTGATATGTTGGTGGTGGTTGGTATCGTAATCTAGCCAACACGCGTTCGAAACGAAGGATCATGAAAGAAGTCGCGACCATGAGCATCACCTGCACAATGCTGAACAACCACTCGCGACTGGTGTTTGTGAGAGTGTGGTATCTTCAGACACATTTCCTGGTCGTGATTAATATCTCACTCCAGCAGGTGACGTTCGGAAGTTCACACACAAAAGACCGAAAGCGGATAGCACGCCGCTCTTGACCGACTGACGTACGTCCCATGGATCATCAGGCTGAGCCACTCCACACCTCCGCCCGCGTATCCGTGAGGCTTGAGCTTTCGCTACTTGCAAGTCTTGGACGTGCATCTCTCACCTAAACACCTACACCACAAGACGACGCCTCAAGGACTGCGATCATGTTCGGCTTTGTCGCAGACGGTTTAACGTAAGTATACCCCGCCCCCGCAGTCAGGTATCAATTCACAAGCAAGCTTTGAGGCCTAGTGAGGTATCGTGAGCTCCACCGCTTATGTTCCTGAAGCTCGCATGATTCCGATATGCAGTGTTTCTTTTTTGCTACGATATATTTCAAAGACAACCTAGCTAATAAGGCAATAGCGTCGCAACCACAGTCTTCTTCCCTATCTTCGCATCCTACAAAGCTCTTCACACCTCAGATCCAGCCCTCCTTGCACCCTGGCTGATTTATTTCGTCGTCCTCTCCGCCTGCACCGCCGTAGAAAACACCTTCGATTTCATCCTCAGCTGGGTGCCTTTCTACTCATGGATTCGCTTCTTCGCACACCTATACCTGATCCTACCCGGTTCACAGGGCGCAAGCTACCTGTACCAGGAGTACATGGAACCTTTTCTTTACCACCATGAGCGCGAGATCGACGAGTTTATCACCCAGAGTCATGATCGTGCCAAGTCAGCAGGCATAGCATACGTCGAGATGGGTATTGAGTGGATCAAGGTCAACGTGTTGGGCTTCGCACCCAGGAAGCCCGACTCGCCGAGACCTGACGGACAGACCTATGCGCAAAATCTCATGAGCAGATTCCAGATGCCGTCGGCGAGGGGTAGCAACGACCTTTACGGGCTGGTCAACCAGGCACTCAGCGGAGCCAGCGCCCTCTATGGTGCAGCTGGCACCGCAGGTACACGAGATGCGCAAGCCTCAGATCTGAGCCGCGGTGCAGGGAACCTCGTCCCCGACTCCATCCGTAACAACGACGACCGATTAAATTACGTCACGTCCCAACGCCAGCGCCTCGAGACCCTCCTACAAGCATTCGACCGCGAGCAAGATAACATTCGCTCACAGCAAACGGGTGGTAACAGATATCATGAAGTCAATAAAAGTAGCGGAAGTCTGTCTGGTAGCCTCTCGCGCAACAAAAGTGAAGCCGAATTCGACAGAATCGAGCGCGATGAACTGAGCTCAGGTTCTGAGCGACCACCGTACCCTATCACCCCGCCTGCACTAGGTCGAAGGACAAGCAGCGGTTGGATGCCATGGAACTGGCAGCGTCAGGAACAACCTCGAGATGACCCGATGGCCTACGGCAGGGAACCGAGCGATATAAGGAACAGCAGGGAGCCGAGCGATATAAGGAACAGATCGAGGGCTTCGGGTTTCGATCTAGGCGATCGCTAGGAGAATCCCTCGAGGACAAAAAATGTGGTATGACTGGGATGAATCACGGCGTTTTGATAAGACAGTAGATGGCATTCTGCTAGGCTTCACGGACAGGATGAAGCCGTGTATATTTGGTATCACGATTCCTGAGCATGAGTGGGACTGGGCGTCCTGATGATCTTACAACCTATGTATACACCCACATCTGGTTCGTGTGCGCTCCCTACGCCTAGAAATGCGTCTAGTGTCTTCCATTTCTGTGCTTCCCACCACATCCCTAAGCCAATCTACAACTTCACCTCTTTGAAGGGATACTTGGGACTATCGTCTTTCCTCAGCACAATTTTCCTCTTCTTCTTCGTACTCGCATGCTCCACCCAAATCTCCTTTGTCATCTTGCTTGTGAACTCCCTGATGAAGCGCGGATCCCAAAGTTCAGATGCTATGCCCAGATCTTTACAGCATCGCATCAAGGCGTTGGATTTGCAGCCTTCGGTCGCAGTGGGGATACCGTCAGGGTCGAAGTACTGTTGCTCGCCACGGGCAATAGAAACAAGTCTAACTCTTCATTAGTATAGATCCAAAAAGAATGGCGCAAGAATAGAGAGAGAATAAACATACCGTCCTTGCACAATGAGCCCATATTCCCTAGTCACCAATTTTCCAGTAACAATACTCTCGCCTCTCGGTGCCAGACCCCATCCTCCAGGTCCAAACGCCTTGTTCAATATCCTCCTGTACTTGATCTCGGGCAAGTATATGATGCCGTCGGGCTTCACCTCCACATCGTCCTGTGTAATGGGCGCAAGCAGCGTATCCGACTGCTCTGGTGTGAAAGATATGCTGCCAAGTCCATGGTATGAACGAGTCCAGTCTATCGCTGGTACGCCTTCTAGTTCGGGAGGCGCATCGGATAGCCCGTCGGTAAGCGAGCGTTGTTTCTGGGCTGCTGTTGCTGCGGTCTCTGCGGTGTTGTTGCGTGTTGTAGGCACGGGAGGTTCTTTGGCGGGGAACTGGGGAAGCACTGTCCGTTGTGGGGTCGCTGTGGTTGCGGGTTTTGACGCAGTTGACGTCGTAGTTGTGGGTTTCGCAGCTGTAGAGGTGCTAGTCGTGGTGGTGGCCGCCGCAGACTTGGGTGCGGTCGCGTATGCGGCGTAAATGCGGGATGAAGAGAAGCTTCGCTGTTGTGTTCGACCAACAATTGGAGATACTCTGGATGATGAAGCTGAGATGAGGGCGGAGACGCCTCTGCGAGCTGGTGTGGCTGCCATTATGACGTACAAGGATGTGTGGGGTTCGAATTGATGCTCTTGAGACGGGCCTCAACGCCCAAACGCGAAGTCACGATCTCATATGTGCACGGGCCATGTCTTCTTGTACGAAGGCGATCGTTTTGAGTGGTGCGCACTACATCAATTTTAGCCTGGAGCGAGTCCTCACTAAAGACTATCACCTCCGTTGACCAATCGCATCAGCTTGCATTCGAGTTATACGTATCGGTAGATGAGAAAACATTTGCTGCAACAGACATCGCTCAAGATCATTCTTCCGATAGACCAGTCCAAGTTCACAGCCTAGCTTGGCCTTGTATTCCAAAAAGAAATCCTCCTTGGCATAACCAGCCCAACGTGCATGCGAGTGTGAATTGATCGCCCGGAGCAGGGGTAGTAACCATGCAGATCACCCAGGTTTTTCCACGGCGACTGCGCATTGCTTTCGTATACACCGTGTAAACTCAGTTCTCCAAAAGATCGGACCGTGAACCACGATCACGGAACGGACGAATTTGTCTTTATCGTGCCCTGCCATACATCGAGACATGTGTGGTTGGCTGCTTATGTCTTACGATGCCCTGAAGTAGGACACCAAGGCTATGCTCAAACCTGCGGTCCACTGCCAGACCTCATAACCGACCCCCCGACAGAGTGGGTTCAGGCCAAGCTTGATGATCCTTTTAACCGGTCGATTATCGGGGGTGAAAATCTCCTATCAAATGAAGAAAGCGCGACAAATACCGCATTAGGTGCAACATAGAACTACTCCCGCGGATCACTTGACCCTGGCTACCGACGTCAACGGTCCTAGGCGAGCTGGCAAGCGACCCCTCGCCGCATGAAACGCGTCAACCTAATCCGCTCCGTTTAGTGCGGTAAACGGTATAGCTTGTAGTTCGTCTATACTTAAAGCTTGCTTGTGCCCTGCGTTGAACCATCTCATAGTGGCTGAAGTCTAAGCATCATGTCTTCAACATCGACAGGGAGTCCTACAGGACTCGCGAAATTCTTGAACATCACCTCGGCATCGCAAATCTTTGGCGCCTTGTTTGGTGTAGTAAGTACTGCACTACACCACCAAAATCCACCAAAAAGACAGTTGCTAAAGTGCAATAGCTGCTTCTCCGCTTCATTGCTAGAGCCATCTACCGCATATACTTCCACCCCCTCAGGCACTTTCCAGGGCCCAAACTGAACGCGGCAACGCGCATCCCATACCATATTGCAACTTTGAAGGGCTCGAGGGACACGCTCTTGCGAGACTTACACCGAAAGTATGGGCACGTCGTCCGAATTAATCACGACGAGCTCAGTTTCACAGATCCGAATGCTTGGAAAGATGTAAGTGTCACAGTTCTTGGGGTATATTTTACTGAATGCATAGTCGGCGTTCCACGTTTGAGCTGCATTAGAAGGTGCTTGGTTGGCTTTTCTTGCAAGGCAGACGTAGTCTTGAACACCGACTAATTGCTTTTCAGATCTACGGTCACGGCACCAAAGGCACTGCAGGATCTGTCCCTAACAAGGACTGGTTGAAGTATGGTACATCGCCTAACGGCGCGATCAGTATCATCGTCGCTCGCGACCAAGACCATAGCCGCCAACGCAAGATCTTCACGCCCGCGTTTTCGGATCGCGCGCTTAAGCAACAGGAACCACTTTTCGTCAAATATGTAGACAAACTCGTCACCCGGTTACGACAAACCGTCGAAAACAACCCAAACGAGAAGCTGGATATGGTTCGTCTCTATAACTTTTGCACATTCGATGTCATGGGTGATCTGACCTTTGGGGAACCGCTGCATATGCTTGATCAAGCCGATTACGATCCGTGGGTCAGCAAAATCTTTGCAGGCCTCAAGATGGGATCCTACTTTAGCGTCATGATGGCGTATCCATGGCTGTGGCGGACATTCAAGAGATACGTACCTGAGTCTATAAACAAGAAGCGAATGGACCACTTCAACCACTCCGTAACGCGTGTCACAAAACGACTTGAGAAGGGTCGAGATACCGAAGGCGTTGATCTTTGGGATCTGGTACTGGGCCAAAAAGAGGGACGAGGCTTGACCAGGGGAGAGATGGACGCGAACTCCTCCTTATTCATGATCGCTGGAACGGAAACAACGGCTACTCTTATATCAGGGTTAACATACTTGCTCCTGCGCAACCCGGACTGCATGAAGAAGTTAAACGAGGAGATCCGTAGCGCGTTTGCCAGCGACGCCGATATGACCATGGAGCAGCTCGCTGCATTGCCGTACCTGGCAGCTTGCATCAAGGAAGCTTTCCGTCTTTATCCACCAGTTCCACTCGGACTTCCGCGCCTCACACCGCAGGATGGCAGCACTGTCGTGGGCCAATTCATACCACCTGGCGCCGTTCTTAGCATCCCTCAACACGCGATGTATACACATGAGAAGAACTTTAAAAGGCCAATGGAGTTCCTTCCACAAAGATGGCTAGGCGACAGCGAGTTTGACGGCGATGAGAAACAGTGTCTTCAGCCATTCTCCGTTGGTTCCAGAGATTGTCTCGGCAAGAAGTACGTTCGCAACTTCCCTTGTTGTCTTTTGGTGCGCATTCTTGTCGACAGTAAGCTAACTATTGGTGTAGCATGGCATATCATGAGATGCGCCTTATCGTTGCAAAGACCTTGTATAACTTCGATATCGAACTCTGCCCTGAGAGCAACGACTGGAGCGATCAAGCAACATACGTTCTCTGGGAGAAGAAGCCTCTAATTTGCAAGTTGAAGGCTGTCAACTAGGAGAAGTAGTAACATGGTTATTTTTGAAAGTCTCATGAGATTATGCATTACAAAATTCCTCACTATACTCAGCCTTGTTAGATTTCGGGTTTCTCGCATCACGTCTTTTCACTCCCTCCCCTTCCCAGAATACTTACACTCCACTTCCCCACATCCACAAAACCCCCATATCCCTCTTACTATCCCAATAATCACTCCCGTAATCTACCAAAATCTCTTCCCCTACCCTAATGTCCTTCACCACCACAACAAAGAACCTTGCTTCCTGCCCTACTCTCCAATTCACAAACTCAACATTAGCACTACAAGAATGATTGAAAAACCTTGTCCAACTACCAACCCTCAGCCCATCCACGAATCCGATGACGCCTTTCTCAGTCTCGAGGTTGAATAAATACTCATGTTCTTCTATCGAAGCAGGGCCAGGGAAGGCGGGTATGAGTTCACCAACGTACTCGCCAATGACGGTACCGATAGAGAGGCGCGTAACAGCGAAAGCACCGATACCGCGGCCCCTTGTCTGAACGAGTTGAACATGACGTTTGAACCAATCTGGGTCATGCAGACTCGCATACGGTGTCGCCGTACATGTGCAAAGGTCCTTTGGGTTACTAGATTTCTTCTTTGGACACGGGCAGTTGACGCCGTGACAGAGAGGTAAAGGGGTTAGTAGACGAGCAGGAGGTTTCCTAGTCGTGCCATGTACGCTTTTCTTCCTTCGCTGTACCTTGCTGCTGTAGAGAAGCGCTTTGCATATGTCGTCGGGCCATTTTAGGTGCTTTGGCCAGTATGGAGGTGGGTTTTGCGCCTCCCATTTACGGCGGTCGATGATATTTCGAGATGTTGAACGCGTGAGGGTTCTTTTGTCATGATATGTGCTTGTCGCTAAGGCGGTGGTGACCCGTGGTGCTCTTAAAGGTGTTCTATAAGTGAAGGTTGGGAGACTACCTAGTTTAACCATGATGTCAGTGTTTTGGCGTAGGAGGCAATGGTTGAAGATAGTAACTTTTGGATATGAGGGTGCTGATGAGCGTTCATTTTGCTGTTCTGTACGGAGATAACCAAACAGTGCATTGCATCGAAGAGTCCGCACTGTTCTTTCGAGTTCGCAGAATGGCTTTGTTCTATTACCCACGACCGCGTTTGTCACTCCTTGACCTTCCGACACTGTAGGAGTAACCAACTGCTCACTTAGATGCCAACATCCTCCACGCGTAACAGTCCAGATCCCATACCCGCAACAGCCCATGTGCCGAACCTCAAATTTGGATTCCAAGCAAGTGCCGTAATGGCGGTCTGCTCTTCAAAGATACTGATGGACCTTCCGACTTCCGGGTTGCCCTTCCTTGTCGCTGCAGTGCTGTGCGCAATGCCTGTTTGACCGGCTTTGTATCCTTCGGTGATGCGAACCAGAGGCTGGGAAAGTATCTCTTGAGGTACCTTCTTAGGTTCATGAGCTGATTCCCCAGCTTGCGACACCGGTGTGGAGTCGTCACTCGGCTGCTCAACTGGTCCTCCTTCGGACATTGCGACATCTCCATCAGTAGGCTTGACCAGCATCCGCTCCATCGGGCCCCTCCACTCGTGGACAAACCACTTCTGTTGCCATGGCATGATCTTATAGTTTGTGATACGCATGATCGGGTTGCTTGTCTGAACATCTCCATCGGTCCCGCCAACAAGTACGCCGGGGTGTATCGGGCTTGTTGCGACACGGGTGATGCTGTTTTCTAGTCGCATGCTGTACAAGTTATGGTAATAGCGACGTATGGGGGTGTGTCTTAGGATGTAGTGTTCGTCTGGCATGACGAAAGACTGTGTATGCTCATGCCAGGCTTGCGCTAGACACAGTGTCCGACCACGTATCGAAACAACAGTATCAGCAGTCGGGCTTCGTATGTCGATGAGGCGCGCAAATCCATCCGCGGTACTAATAGACAAGAATTGCGGATTAGATGGCCATCCGGAAGATATCGTGAGAATGTATGTGTCAGCTAGTTGCTGATAAAACCAGGGCCTCGGGCTGTGATTATTGGAGTCGGACGCTGTGAGTGTGCCTGGGCGGATTAAGGACCATATACCGACAGTGCCTGCCGCTGTCGCAACTGCAAGCGTGGTTCCCGACAGCCAATGTAAGCATGAAGGTACTGTTTGAGGGAATGACACCTCGAATGCTGCGCGCGTAAAGTGAAGATAGGTAGGAGTGTGTAGGTCATGTTTGGGAATCGGTGCAGATACATCTAGTACACGCACTCGTCCATCCGACCAGAGGCCCGCAAGCATGCCTATGTGTATTTTTTCATGGTAGTCCGATTTTCGAGTCTTGTCTGTCACAGCGATAGGGCACCATCTAAGTTGTTTCGGCGCACCCCAGTCTGTACAGATGACGAGCTCAAGTCTAGGCTCTTTCGATGCATCCAATTCGCCTGCTTCAACAGCTTCAAACGCCCAGATCTGAATCGATGCAGGGAATGGTTCAGTAGCATTGAACGCTGGTGCTTTTGGCTGCTCCATCGGCTTGGGCTGGTCGCCGCTGGTAGGTTTCTGCTCGACAGCAACGGCGAGATATTGGGTATTGCTGTCTTCGTTGGTCGCCCATTGAGCATCTTGTATCCGGGAGCCGAGATTGAAAAGCCAACCGCGTCTATCTCGAGTTGCTGGGAAAGGTTTTGCAATGTTCATGTACGAGCTCTTTGCCAGTGTGTCGACTTGCGGAGTGCTCACAGGTCCAGCTAATACGTTTACCGTTTCCGGTCCTGGGGTTTGTATATACTCTCTGGCCTCATCTGCACTCAAGGTCTTCGTCCTCTGCGCTGTCGCGAAAGAAGACTTCCCAGAGTCAGTATACCAGGTCGTCAACACTTCGTTCTCTTTCTCTCTAGTACCGCTGACTTCGAAGAAGCTCCTTCTCAAGCTGCCAACCTCAGCATCATCAGTCCTGACCTTGGCAAAACTTCGAATAGGAAAAGTCTCTTGTGGGAACCAGTAGTCACGTGAAGCCAGGACAGGCTTGAGATGCTGGGCATCAGGACCGAACAAGTTTTTCAACCGCGGCTCATGGCCACCAATCTTGTCGAAATCGGGAATGCCACGCGTCCGTAATTGGGTGTCGGCATCAACAGTACGCACTTTGACACCGCTCCCTTTAGCAAACGTTATGGGTGACGGGATATGGTCTGTGAGTTTCTTGTTGCGTCGAATTGCTGGGGTGGTTGGTGCTGCGCGGACGGCCTTCAGTCCACGCGCATTGCGTCTTGGAGGCCCTGCAGAATCTTCATCGGAATCGTCATCTTCCTCTTCCTCCGATATATCATCATCCTCTTCTGCTACCTCGTCTTCTTCATACTCAGGCTCCTCCTCCTGGGCGTCTGGCATGAAATCGTCGCCATCGTCGTCATCACCCCCAGGGAAAGCCGGTGTTTGCGTGCCTGAGGGCGCAGAGCCGTCCTCATCCTCATCAAGAAACGAATATTCTTCCTCCACGCGGTATGACTTGCGTTGCTTTCCACGCGACTGCCGGGGTGATGAGTGGTCTAATGCGAGTGTCAGTGCTGTCCAGTCACATTAAAGATGTAAGCAAGGTCGTCAAATGCAACACTAGCTCTGTCGGAACTAGCTTTCATCATGTAAAGGTCCAGCAATCAGATGCTGACCAGACTACTAGCACGCTAAAGACGCTGTAGTCAAATGACACGCAGCCTCACGTGTAGAAGATCTTAGTACATACCCATGGATGTCTCGAGTTATCAGGCGTGCTGCTTTGTGGTGACCGATTGGGTAAAGAACGAGCGCGTCGGACGCGACCAGAAAACCAGCCCCACCATTAGTGTGGAGCACAGACCCTCATAACCCCGCACCCGCGTACAAAATTCTGCAGTGTGTAAGGTCTAGAGCACATGGTGAAAAGAAGCTTGAAAGAGCGAGTGTTGAGTGCGGCTGTCCTATTTGCACGAACTATATGGTATTATAATTTCTGAGATTCTCCATCAAAACAAATCACTACGGTGGTATGGTCTAGTGGTATGACGTCGCGTTGTGGCTGGCGGACACTTAGTGTCCCGATCCAGATCCGCGCCAGCCTGGGTTCGAGTACGTTCTACCACATATTGACGGTCCTGAGACATCTCTAACATGTCTACAGTTCCCAGTACCGCCAATAAATTGCGACATTCTTTTTTTTGCCTGTACTATCACCTAGATCGCGTGAAGTCAGGCCTATCATGCACTCTCTTTTTGCTTCCAGGCCGGGTCATTGTAGTGTGAGGAGCTTTAACAGGTAATCACTGTACTTTTCACCTGTCTCATATGTATACTTGTAAGAACGTTGTTCAAAACTGCTGAGCAGAAGATTCGCAGGCCTCCTCCCTGTGCGCTATATGATCTAGTCGTCTTAGCAAAAACTGTCATGCTCACCATGCCTCGGACCACGAACGTTTGCTTACACTACCGTTGAGCAATTTTTACACCTGGAAGCGAGTCGCACATACACCCTTTGTAACAGTCGACATTCCATCTCTTGTACGACTCAAAGGACGACTTGCTATTCGTGCCCCTCGAGGTCAAAGTAGACCCAGTATGTGGTGCCAAAGCATACGTAGTTATGTCTCAAGCATGACATGAAGCAATCGGTTCCTGCAGGATTCTTGCGATGAAAAAAGAAAGTGTAGTGGATGAGTTACACACACAGCCCTATATGATGGGTATCTAGAAAGCCCAGTTGCCGAGTTACCCATAATGCGCCCTGCTTACGAGCATGCCGAAGAAACGTCATGGACCAAGTCTATATAGTAGTACAAAGATACAAACAAACAAGAGCTTCTTACACGCCGCTGAACCATACCCATGAACGCCTTACTTCTTTACACTATCAACATCCATCTCATCTTCGTCCTTCTTCCTAGCACCACGTACAATGACGTGTATAGTATCCGCGTCACCACCTTCTGAGATCGTCTCGTTCCTCTTTTCTGCAGGGCTGGCTCGGTTGGCAGCCAGGTTGGGGAAGAGAGGTTTCGCAGCAATGGATACCGATCGACGCAGATTGTCGTTCTGAACTTCCTGATGAATCTCCTCAACCTCGTCCTCGTCGAGTTCGCTAAGCTCACTCTCGTCATCGGCGTCATCGTGGATAGAGGCGGGTGCACTGCGCTCGGGCTCATCATTATTCATACTGCCAGCTGCAGTAGCCGTACCACTTTTGTCGAATGAGGGCTGTAGATGTTCTGTGGATGTGCTCGGTCCCGGAGCCGGCTGTGCAGCGATTTCAGGTGATGCCGCTTGTCCAACGATGGAGGGAAGTGTAGCATCACCAGGTGCAGGCGATCGGATTGGCATCGATGTTGGCTGAGGAGCCATACCGGCAATCTTTTGGACACACGCTTCGGCCCGACGAGCGATCTCTCTACGCCCCACAGCCTTCGCTCTTGATTTTGCGGGCTGCTCGGGCTGCGATGGCATCTGCGGCATTGATGGAGGATGCTGTGGCTGCAGCTGATTGGGGTGATACATGCTGAACGGCGTACTGGAGCTTCCTTCCACAGCGCCGTCGACCTGGACCTGCATCAACGAAGATATAGGTACAGCGCCTGTAGAAGGTACATTCACGGCGAAAGGTGATGGGTGAGCTTGAGTAGGCTGCATAGGTTGCTGTGGTTGCTGTTCCGATTGTAATGGAGGTAGCGTAGGCCCGATCAAGGTGTATAGCATTGCGTATGCATCGCCGATCAGATCGTCAATGAGAAGGGGCTTCATCATGCCGTTGTTCAAGCGCTTGAGCTCGATGGCATCACGGAGAACATCCAGCACAGGGTGCTGTGTGTCTGGATTTTGACACCACGCTTCCAAGCGAAGAGCCAATGTGTTGAACTCATCATGATTGACAGACTTGAAAGCGGAGTCTTCTTGACCTTCAGGTACGCTGCCAATCTTTCGCAGCATCTTGATATAACGTAGACACAAGTCCTGCCACAGCTTCTGGTGCTCGAAGAAGTCGGTCTGTTTCCGTCGTACACGCTTAGCAAGAGCCTCGAAGTTTGTCTTGTCTCCAGTGAGATCCAGAAGTTCAGTAAAAAATTTGGTATAGCGAGTAGTGTAGACAAAATGCCGACCGGGTCGCTCGTTCTCAGGTTTCCAAACCTGGACAGCCATGGTTTTGGTGAACATCTGCTGGGTGAGCTCATGTTTAGCCTCATTAGCCGATACCGGATCTCTACCGTTATCGTAAATGGTATGAGCGACACGGGATATGATGCGATGATGCCAACTTGACTTGTCGGCGGCACGCAGTGACTTCAAAACTGCGAGTACGTATCGCTGCCAATCGCCTTCGCTCTCTGGAGCTTTGATATTCTGTGCGTAGGAAGTATTTGCAAGGATCTCGGGCCCTTTTTCGTAGTTGATGGCCCCCCGCTGGTATAGCTTGTGCGTGATGGATACAAGCTTGTAATGTGGCTCAAGGACCGGCTCACCGCTGCGGCCCTTCTTTCCTGGCAGTGTTTCGATGGCGCTGACGAAGGCGTCGACGACTGACTCCCAAGTGGGCCCGCGCTGAGGGACCAGTGGTGCACCTATGGACTTCGCATATTGCATTGCGCTGTCGTTGGCCGACCACATCTTCCACCCACACTTTCCAAGCATGAAGTGATTCCACCACTTGTTCGGGTTTCCTTTAATAGCTCTTTTGTAGAGAGTACTTGCGAACTTCCAAGCGGTGTAGGCATGCAATGGAACAAAAACAACCTCCTTGTATAGGGTCGCGTTCGTTTGTAGATTGCAGAATCGTTTCTCACTCTCGCGAATCTGGAATGCTTCCATCCCGAATGGCTCCCTGGACGATGCATACATACGGTTCCCGAACTCGGTGTACATCTGTGCGATCTTGCTTTGAGTACCCGGCGCAACATCAGCTTCGCGAGTAGCGCATGCCACAGCCATGATGTAACAATTGATTGCAGCACGTTGGAAATTAACCACTTCAGCGCTGCTGCTGTTCATCTTGTCCGCATTCCAAGATACAGCTTCTTCCAGCTGCGTGTCGTTGGCCTGGGCAAGACGATACCACGTCTCCCAACGTTCGATGGAATGCTCCAGATCCTGCACGAAGAATGCTTGGGCGTAGTTGAGGTCTTCTGTTGGTCCTTGGGTCACACGTTTCTGTGATCGAAACTTGCTCAGCGCGATGTTCCCCATCATATAGTACCAACCCTTCGATGCGGCCACTGCTTCCTCGGAAGGAATGTGCTTCGTGGCGAGTGAACCCACACCTTTCAGGCATCCGAAAAGTGCTACCGGATTGACAGGCGATTTAAAGTAGGTGGATATGACTTTGCGGTTGAAGGTGATGTCCTCGTTCTGCTTAGGTCGGCCAAGAGCAGCATGTACCTTCTCTATGGTACCTTTGAGTTCGGTCTTAGGTAGATCCTTGAGATCGACCTTTGCAGCTTGCGACATCGTGAAAGACAATATGCTAAAGGCAGTCTTCTTGTCGAGGACGTCTGTTGTAGTCTGGAAGTTCTGACACTCTAGAGGATCAACGAACAACTTGAGTCCGTACAAATCGTTGAGTACCTGGCAGAGCTCAGTGGCATGACTCGGGCCGTCGGTGATATCGTCCAAGCGCAGTAACTCATCCTTCGCAAGCCTCAAGAATTGACGACCCGAAAGATGACAGAAGCTGCGCACACCTGTGGCATGGTGCACATGGCGGATGTATTCGAACAGATCGTCAGACGGAGTAGGGAAGGCTTCCGGATCTTGAGACATGCCGTCTTTGAGCAGGTGGTACTGCAATATCCAGAGTCGTAGGTGAATGTCGTCGAGCCGTGACATCATGTTGACAAATGCTGAATTTGGCTGTGATTCGACTCTGGGCATAGGAATATGGTTGACGCGAATCAGGTCTCGGAGCATATCTGCCGCTGACATGATCTGTAACAGTGCTGCGATAGCTGACATAGAGGACTGGACATGCTCATATGAAAGGCATGCGAATGGGGCTTCGTCATCTCGAATGATGTGAATGATTTTGACGACCATGTCGTCGATGACCCGGTATCGGGTTAGGAGCTTGTGTTGACGGTCTAGTAAAGAGAGTTCTTGGAAGTTCGAGGACCTGAGGTCCACCACAAGGGCCTCAATACTCCGGAGAAAGCACGATAAGACCTTAGAAGGGTAATCGATAGCCTCATAGGCGACACGTAACCTGTTCCAAAGGGAGAGCCGGACGTTGACGTTCGCAGAATCGAGAAACTTGCGCATCTCCAAAACGGGCGACGACTGATCAAGTTGCTGCTCGGAAATGGTACTTATGGTAGGCGAGCCGGGTGTATCAATGCTTTCATGTTCGGCTCCATCTGGCTTTGGAGGTGTGTTAGGCTCACTTACGTTTGTGAGCTCCAAAATCGGCTCCAGGCTTTCTATAATCGTAACTGGATCCTGCTCCTCTTGATCGAAAACCTTGAGGAAGAAGTCCTTCATGCTGATGCGCACGAGTTCTTGCTCAATAGCGGCGACTGACAGTTCCGGCATGACAGCATTGTTCTGTAATTGAATCGTATGATCACCTAAAGGCTCGAACATATCCTTCAACTCTGCCATGGCAGACAAAACATGTTCCGGTAATACCTCGTCATTAACACTCATTTGGAATACCGTCGTCCAGATGTGGCGCAGAGCTAGGTCATCGACGCCCTGATTTGGCCGACAGTCAGATCGTAGTTGTAAGACCTCTCGCGCAAGTAAAGACCATCGCTCCAGCCGGTCGCTTTGGAGGACCTGTGTTCTGGTATCTATTACACTTTGCGGATGCTTGATAAGAGAGTAAATGTCAAGGTGCAGCTCGAACAACGTCTCCACTATCTCTATCTGCGAAATGTCAAAGTCGGAAAGCTCGTACACTTGGGACTGATGTGTAGCGTTCAGCATTCGTCGATTAAGGATGTCGACGCGCTCAAGCATACGCTCGTATATGTACTCATCAATGTGGACAATGACTTGTACAACGTTGCGCTTGAGATCCTCAGCCCATCTGAACTGCAGATAGCTTGACTGATCACTTGGCTGCATTCCTGGCTGTGAACAAAATCCTGGGGTAAAGAGAGACTCAATCCAACCGAATGCGACGTCTTGGATTGGGAGCCAACCGTTGTTGACAGACCTAGCAAACGCATTCAGCCCCTCACTACCTAACACAGGCTTACTAGAGGCTTGACTTGAACCTGATTTAGAAAAACCGAGGAACGCATTCAGCCCGTGTTCCCTAGTTGCTCCGAGAAGATCGAATGACTCGGAACTGAGAAGGATTTGAGCAGTTTTGACATGCCCACTTCGTAGCCCCGTGAAGAAATCGCAAGCGACTTTATCGATGGGATCTGTAGCAGTTGCGTTGGGTAGCGCTGTGACGAGCTTTCGTAGCTCATCAGGGTCTTTGATGCCCTCAACACCAAGTCGCGCATACATGTCCTTGAGAATCTCATAACGACATTGGTCCGTGTACGTATATGGTTCGAGTAGCGCATCAAGCTGCTTGCTGGCCTCTTGGGCTGCTCCGCCAGTGGTTGGCTCAATCAAGCTCTCCCGACCCCGAATGCGTTTACTGCGCGATCTTCCTCCCTCTGCAGTTTCAGGTAGACCGGCAGAGTCTGTGGATCGCTTGCGCGATGGAACTGGTGCAACATTAGAAGGGCCGACAGGCGCGGCTTCCTCATTCTTGACTTCGCTTTCGACATCCTGCTCTTCCATTATGGTATCTTCGCCGTCCTTTTCTGTAACAGTTTCCGCGTCCGCGATTGTAGTTACGGGTTCCTCGACCTGTGGTGATGGTGTTGGTTCCGGTGCAGGCAATATGGCTTCCTGCACAGGCGCGGTGGGTTCGGGCTCGATGCGCTCAGGAGTTTCGCTGTCAGGCGGTATGCTGAAGACTATGTTGGAACCAGAAGGCACATTGGGTGTCATTGCCTGTTGCTCGGCCTGGAATTGCCGTACGATGATTTCACCTACTCCTGCCCAGTCCCACTTGGTCGGGGTCAGGGTCACACTCTCTGGAGCCACCTTGATGTTGTGTAGGTTTTCGGCAAGGGCGACGTCGGCTGGGAGAGGCGCGAATGGAAAAGGATTTAGACGCCTCTTCAGCGTCTCGGACAGCTTCTTGCGTTTGATGGAGGATATTGGCGCCTGACATAGAGAGACATTGTCCTCCAGACGCTCCACAAGCTCACGCAGTTGTTGTCCGGCAAAGCCTTCTTCTAGCCCAGGGAGCCGCAATAAGTTCTCCCATTGTTCGTCATTGCCATCTAAAACTGCCTCCAGACAGTATCGAGTAAGGCGCTTGCTGCCTAGCATAGCTGCGACAGATGCTGCGCGCAGCCAGAGATCAAGGTCGGTATCTTCTTTATCCAGGGCCTCGGCGAAGTAGTTCAGAGCGCCACGTGTGTTGTTCCATGCCTCCATCGGAGGTGCCGCACCACTTGTGGTAATCCAATGCTGCATAGCTTCGAGTAGAAACTGACCATGGTTCTTGTAGGAAAGATGTAGTATCTGCTGTAATGTGTTGGGAGCGCTGTCGGCGGCGCCTGTCGACTGGACGGGTCCTGCCTCGTAGTCATCCTCCAAAATGGTATCGAACACCAGGTCCTCACCAAACACCTCATGTCGCTGATATTCGGAGAGAGATTCGGCGTACTTGAATATTTCTGATTCGAAGAGAGCTTTGTAAGCTGCGGCGGTCTTGTCAAAGGACGGAGGGCCTTCGGAATGGTATTTGAGGGCGGTTTGGTAAAGCTTCAAGGCCTCTTCGATCTGGATCTCCTGGGTGTCATCGACCTCCTCTTCGGCAGTCTCCTCGGGCAGTTCGACATTGTAGGGATGCCATGTAGAAGCTTTCGACTGCGACATGTTAGCGAGCGTGGTGGAATACACCGGGGGTGTACTTACCATGTTGCGGGTGTAGGAAGTCGTGAAAGGCCTACAGGCGGATGAAACAGGATTTACAGCATTGGTAGTGCAGACCCTGGGCAGCAGGCAATCATAGGAAGCGCGACGATACAATGAATAGAGAAAGCGTTATGCGACTGTCGGGTGCTATGACACGTCTTGCGGCCTCGGTGTGACGCGACGCGACAGTGAATGATGGAGAGCAGGGATGACCCGTCTTGGCAGCTGCGGTCCTCCGCGATGGAGCTACCGTGCCTGCCCTCCATGCTTCGACAAGGACACCGAAACCCTGACAAACATCCGCCAGGCTTTGACGTTGTGCATCGGGCCCCTCTGTCAGCACCCACCCCGCCATAGCATCCTTTCCACCGCGATCGTCCCCCCGCTTCCGAGGCGCCAATTGAGACTATGGTCACTTCGCCAGCTGTTCCTGAGTACGCGCATCCTACTAGTTTCCAATCTATACATGTTTTACATATGCGCATATCCGCTACTTTCTCACTGTCCTCATATCACCACACGTTGCCATAGCGCATTGTGCCTGTACAGTCCTTCTGACATTATCCCAGAATCTACGAGGACGAGCTACACTCGGCTATCGAGGCGCGCTCAGAATCTCTGCAAACACTGCGAGAGTTGGGCCCGCCAGATCTAGTCCACCTCATAAAGCAGCCCATCAAGAATGCGACAAAACAGGTCCGTAGTACCTTCGACCGTACGGTAGCCCACGAGCCCGGTTTGACATGTGATTAGATTGGCGTTTACCACCACGTATCTGGCGTAGACGCTTCTTCGTCTGCCAGCTTGGCAGCTTATATCAATACTCTCACATACTCTGCTCATGACAAGCAAAATAAAGTTGTCTCGGGGCTGTACTGGTAGGGTGATGTCCACTTCCGGCGCAGGCAATCGCTGACCGAGCAGCTGCTACAACGCCTTCTCACGCCTGGACATGCGCGTGCAGGTCTATATTCCTGGTACAGTAGAGAGCTACTGCATCGACGAGCGCGGCGACAAGCGAGTAGCCACCGACGAGCTGTGGCTCGAAACCTACCTGTGCAGCGTGCTGCGCGCATACTCCTACGCCGACGATGGTTCCGGCGATACGATCAAGAAGATTGTTGGTGTGCGGAGATTCAACCCCATCACAAGTACCGAGAGCGAGCACAAGTTTCTGGATGCGGCAGAGCGTCTGTTCTTCAACGGTAAAACCTATCGTCGATGTGGTACTATGTCCACTAATACAGTCTAGGTTGGCAATTAGGATCCGACCCTGAGATCCAGGTCCCCAACCTCGTCTCGAATCACTTGACTACAGGTCTACTCGACTACATCCACACCACCGGCAGATATACCTCAGGTATCAACCTGTTCGAGAAACTACGAACTCGCGACCCGGAGATCTCGTCCCTGCTGGCGCGAGTATACATCGAAGCAGATGAAGAAGTGCAGGCAGTCCAGCTACTACACGAGGCGATCCAGGAACTGCCCATGGACTACTCCCTACTCGACTGCCAAGCCGAATTCTGCAACAAGAAGGGCCGTGGTGATCTGGCACTTGAGATTGCTAAGAGGAGCGTTGTGTCTGCGCCTAGTGAGTTTGGCACGTGGGCACGCTTAGCAGAGATATACGTCAGCCTCGAACAGTGGGATATGGCGCTGCTCACCCTAAACTCATGTCCCATGTTTACCTACCAGGACAAGGACGCGCCCCGCATGCCAGAGCCACAGAGAGTCTTTCTCCCAGTCATGCCAGAAGCCATGTGCGACGAGATTGAGGATTCCAACATCGACGATATGGAGCTTGTGCATCCAACCCTGCGGAAATTACACGCTGCAGGCTTCAAGGGTACTTTCTTGAAGGCCTATATTCTACTGACTGAAATCACAAAGAAGATCGGATGGGATCAATTACTCAAGATACGAAGTCAGGTCTTCGTCATGGAAGAAGAATATCGTCACGAAAAGACTGCACAGCAACCGCATTCTCGCAGCGCCAGCACAACAGCGCTCCGCTCCCCTTCTCCGAACACCCACGCCCAACAAGCAAATGGCGAACATGGCGAAGTCGAGGAACGCTCCTCCGTAGATGAATCCAACGTCAATGGCGAATCGTCCTCCGCGGCCGCCGAAGCAGTTCACGACCTTGAGAAGCCCGGTCATACTGTCGCCTCCGAAGTTGTAAAAGCCGGCAGCGAAGATGCTCACGCACACGACGCCGCAAACAACGGCGACCCCTCGCAACCAAACTACACACACTTTCAGAACAAGCGTCTCTGCGAACGCTGGCTCGACAACCTCTTCATGGTCTTGTACGAGGATCTCCGCGTATATACGATATGGCGGACCGAGATGGCACAGTACAGACAGCAGCAACTTCTATACAAGAAGAGCAGTGAAGAGTGGGAGATTCTGGGTGAACTTGCTGAGAGACTGCATCACACAGAAGAGGCAGTGGAAGCGTATGAGAACTGTCTGCAGATCAAGTTCTCACCAAAAGCCATGAGGGGTGTGCTGAAGTTGGGCGAGGAGAGGAAACAGGTTAGGGATGTTACGGCTGCATTGATCAGACTGGTCACTTGGCAGTACCGATGGTATTCTGAGGTGAGTCCCCACCATCCAATTTACGAGAGCAGAAGTACTAACAGAACATAGTTCTCACCATCCCTCCTTTACACCATCCGTAAACTCATCGAGGAAGAAGGTGCCGTCAAGATCCGCAGCATCATCCAGGGTACCTCACTGCCACAACACGTCCTCGATCTCACACATCAGTATGCGGCACTGTGCGCAGCGTTTAGGAGCAGCGGCAGCGATGGTTAGCAACCTTCGCCTCTCAAGATTTACGGCTATACCAACAACAGCCTTGACCTCTCTTAGTTGGGGCGGTAAACTAGGGATATCTTTGTGTTAATGCATGGAAGCGCTGGTGTTGGACATGGAAGTGTTAGACCGTTAATAGAGTCCATTGTTCTCTTCATCGGACAACTGTGTGACTCGGTTTCTATCCGTGTAGTGAATACACACGTGAGCAATGTTCGCAACTTTGCTATGCCACTGCACTAGTCGAACCTCACAATTCTCTGCCTGCATCACTTCGGACGTACGGATACTTGCCATGGAGCAGATTGGGTTGGCATTCAGTTATTCCTACGCCTTCATTGGGGCTCTCACGCTCATCCACACTGCGTATGCCTTTGTCCATGTTCTTGCAACCGATGTATTCATTTTTATCGTCACACGCGGGATCGTATCAGGCAGCCGTTGCGCGCCATGTCACGTAACCTCATCCTTGAGGAGTTGATAGTAGACAGTAGAAGACCCCATGAAAAAGCCCAGGATGAACACCGCTCCATGCTCCCCATACACCCTCCATCTTTCTCCTCGTCCACCACCAGCAAGCCAATGTACCGCTTAACGGTAAGACTTCTGGTACCTGGCGCGCGCACCTGGACCACCGAACTTCTTGGGCTCGCACCGCCTGTTGTCGGCAACGAGCAGTGTGCGGTCGTACTGGATCAGGGCCTGCTTGAGCTGGTTCTTCGAGTGCTCGTCAACGTACTTCTGGTAGTAGGCGATGATGGATTTGGCAATGGCTTGGCGGATGGCGTAGACTTGCGAGGTGTGACCACCACCGGAGACGCGGACGCGGATGTCGACATCAGCTGCTCATATTGTTAGTATTCCTATTCCCCTTCGCGTACAGATTCGAATGTCGTGTGCGTACCGAACTTGTCAACACCGAGGATCAGGATGGGCTCGTAAACCTTGAATCGCAGAATCTCGGGCTGGACAAGGGAAAGAGGCTTTCCGTTAACCTTGACGAGACCCTTTCCGGCCTATACATTTCTTCGTAAGTATGATGTTCGATTGCGCGCTCGATTCGTGGCATTGCGTGTATACCTTGCAGTGGGCGACAGCTGTTGGCGATATTGTTAGCCTTCCTCATTCTCTTGATTGTTTTGGCGGTGGTCTATTCGTACCAGTCGCGGTCTTCTTCTTGCCGAAGCATTGCACGCTCTGGGAGGCCATGTTGGGCGACTGTGGGATGTGCGTGCGGTTAGTACGGGTGGGCGTGGTCGGTTTTGCTGTCGTCGTGGAGGTGAAGTTCGTCAACGCCGGCATCGAATATTCAGTGGGCGTCCGTGCGCCCCGCGATCCCTGTAAGCGATTAGCGTCTTGTCCTAGCTAGCGCAGCCCAAAGGCACCTGCACCCCATGTGAGAAAGAAACTAAACATGTACGATAAATCTTCTACTACCCTGCAGTTTACATTAGTACACAGTTAAGAAGCGTAAAATATCGTATACTATTGTAGGCACCTAAGACATATATTTACACGTTTAATTTTCTTATCAAGTCTGTTTAAGACTACAACAAAGTAAGCATCGAATGCAGCGCCCTGTACCTACTCCAGAGTCGCCTCTCCAACTATACGTCTTTGGAAGTAATGGAGAAGGTCAACTGGGAATACCGGCAGCGGAAATAGTCAACACCCCAACTCGAAATCCTAATCCTACTCCTGATGGCTGCCCCCTACCTCTCGACGAACTGAAAACGATCAGAGGTGGCGACAACCATACGCTACTTCTCACTACAAGCCGTGTCGTCTACGGGGTTGGCGATAACCGCAAAAGCCAGTTGGGTAAGGCAGAATCAGCATCTCGATTTGACCTTTTCCAACCTTTGAGCCTTGGATACAGCTTTGCAGCCGCTACGTGCGAGTCTTCGGCTTTCATTGAGCCCAGACTTGATGCTTCAGAGAGTTGGGTCAAAATCCAAGGCTCCAACCAATGGGGTGAGCTAGGCGAGTGCGACGGAAATTCAACACGGCTTTTACTTCCAGGAAGAGTGATTGATTTCGCAGCGGGGGTTTGGCATTATGTCGCCGTTATGCAAGGTGGTTCAGTCTATGGTTGGGGAAAGGCGCGTCTCGGCCAGCTTGGGGACGCGCCGTCTGGCAAAGTCACAACGCCTACCAAGATCGAGGGCATACCATTTACACCGAAGAAAGTTGTGTGCGGGAAAGACTTTACATATTTAGTTGGCGACCCAGCCGAAGGCCAGCATCAATTACTTGGGAAAGACAAGTTTAACATCATCTCAAATATGCCTAGCCTCGTCAAAAACTGGAAAGACGTTGGAGCCACATGGCACGCAATCTTCGTGCTGTTCGACGATGGAACTCTTACCGCGTGGGGCAAGGAGAACATGTGGAAACTACTACCGCCCAACTTGCCACTTCTAGATAAGATTGCTGTCGGGTCAGACCACATACTTGCTGTAACGAAGGAAGGCAGATTGATATCATGGGGTTGGGGTAAGCATGGAAACTGCGGCGATCTCTCTAGCATCGTGACTGAGGTGAAAAATGACATGGTCAGCGGTTTCTGGAACGAGATCCATATACCAGGGGAGGTTAAGATGATCGGAGCTGGGTTCTGTACCAGCTTCGTGGTTACCAAATAACCAATCACGTACCACGCGCAGAGGAATCTTCAAGGCGTCAGGTATGGTCAAACAGATGTATATCGTCAGAGTACCTTCTAGATCTACGAGAGTAAAGAACATAGTCTATCCTACATCCTGACGCAGTATGCCATCAAACATCACGCTCTATTGCTCAATACCCTTCTCTAACTAAATTCCACTCCGCGACCGTCCCGCCATCCGTAGTATTCTCAGCAAACAAATTACCCCTAATACCCAAATGCGCATAACGCCCACTCCAAACACTCTGCGCAAGACTAACATTCGTCTGATTGCCAATGTACGTCTTGATTTCATACGCTGTAACCGGATCCCAAGGCGCACTGATCTCCACCTCTCCTGCTGTAACATTCCTGACGTCCTCGCCAAGTTCTGACCCAGACCGGCTTTCAAATGGTGGCAGAGTGTTGTTAGAGAAGTATACCTCGAAGTGTGACGGCGGCTGGTTGCCCCAGTCCATGACTATCTTGTTGACGGGGTAGAAAGATGATTCACCGAGGTCCACAGTAAGGTAGCTGGTGATGTTGGCAAGTTCAGGCTGCCATTTTGTGCTTGCGGCGCCATCGATAGCCGCGATTGGGAATTGACCGGGCTTGTTACCCTGAGGTGGTGGAAGGAGAGCCTTGCATTGGAGGATGTTGCCACCGACAGTGAGTACTTCGCCCATCGGTCGGTTGCGGACTACGAGTGGTTCATCTCCGAGCTCGTATGTCACATTATCGCGTGCGCTGCGGGTGCCGATCGTCACAGGGATGGGCTTGTCAAAGTAGGTCGTGTTTGCTGAGGGAAGAGTGTAATTCTCTCGAGGTAGACGTGCCAACGTTGTATGCGTTGAGTTAGAGGTAGCATTGATACCATGGCCCATCCAGTAAAAGGTGCGGTAGTTCAGATACGGTATTTGCGGCGGCAGCGAGGGGTCGATGTCCAATCTGTCGTAGTACAGACCCAGGCCAAGGTATCCGAAGATGGCGACACGGTTGGTTCCACCCATGCCAGTCAAAAAAGGGAAGGCGGGATGCGTTCCTCCATTCTCCTCGACATTATCGATGAGCTGTTCAGAATACTGATACCACGGTGCGCGGACGTACGGTGAAGACGAGTATACATCATATGTGAAGCTCGAGCATCCAGACGGCGATACTTCATTTGCAACGACAGCAAATGAAGAGTAGGTCATTGCGGGACCGTCAAGAGACTGCTTGGCCGCGTAGTAGTCCAGATTGGCCAAACTGTATGGGTTGGGATAATGAAGCAGGTCGTCTACTAAGACTACATCGGCTTGCTTGACGGCTACTGACCCGTTCATGCCAGTATATTCAACAATGATACCGGCATTCTCGTTGATCGGGAGTCGCATTTTAGACGCCTTGTCTGCCCAACTAGCGTTTGGGCTGCGCCCAAACCAACTGTTGAACTCATTCGTCTCAAGGAAATGACGTTGCATGAGTGCGGTAGTGAAGCCGATATTGTTGACCTGATTGGCATACTCATCCGGATCGGTAGCATTCCACAGCTCGTATGCGCCAGAGGTCTCGTTGAAATCCAGCAACTGGCCAAAGAAATGCGCAATAGCATTAGAAATGGGTAGTAAGGTGTCGTTGAAGTATTCCGCGTCTCCAGTAATGATCAAATGATTATTGAGGGCAAGGCTGATGTCGCCATTGAGATGGTATTCATAGTCGAAGCAAGCACCAGTTCCGGTGCAGTTGCCGAAGCGTCCACTCGTCCATGGATATACAGCTCCTCCAGGCGTAAATCTGCCTGTTTGGTTCTTGCTTGATTGGTATGCAGTTTCGACATTGCGTTGCGCTTGGTCGAAGTGCTCTACGCGATACTTTATGACGTTTTGAGCATGCTGCGGATGCGACACTTGTACTCCTGGTGCCATCCATACGTCTGCATCCCAGAAGATCATACCGCCATAGCAGTCCGATCCCAGACCACATACGGGTATACTGTAGATGTCGAGCTTGGTGTTGTTACCGGCTGCGGCTACAGCGTTAGGCCCAATCATGTTTGACAACAGGTAGAACGGGTTGGTTCGTGCCATAATGTGCAATTCTTGCACGTTTGCATCTTCGGGAAGAGATCCATTGGGTAGGTGGTAATCGTCGACCGAGTCTGGTGTCAGGATAGATTCCCACTCTTCAATGTGGGAATGCACCAGCTTATAGTAGCCCTCTTCAGCACCGGATAGCGAAGCATTGCGGGCTACACTCTGTGGATCCGGAAAAGCATCTGTCGATGCGACCCCAATGAATTTTGTGATTTCGGTCGGACGGAAGGCGAGCAACTCAACCGGTAGAGATTGCGCAATGGTTGAACCATTACCACCACCAAACACACCCTCCGCTACTTCGCTGCGAGAAGTAAGATCGACCCAGTCACTACCACTCAATGTCGAATATACGTAAGCCTTGACGTCGGTAATATTTCCCGGGCTGACAGCAGACCAAATGGTAGGGCTGTCTTCTTCAAACTTCTTGTCAACAAAGTCGGAGCGAACAGCACAATCACCGTCTAGGACATCGTACACCGTCACGTTCAGATCGCGCGTCGCCGTGAGCCTTAGCCTGACTGCTGCTTTGTTGACGTAAAGCTTGTGCACGAACATTTGATAGTCCACATCGACGGTCCCATCTCCGGAACCGCCCGGCTTCCAGTTGTATCGCCAGCTCGCAATCCCAGCCTTTACATCCAGACTTGATACGAAATCCGAAATGTGGTCGGGGTTGACTGACGCGTTCAGAAATTCGCCGTTGGCTTCAACGACCAAACCACTCGAGTGTGGAATACCCGCAGTAAAGCTCTCCCACCCATATTGATATAGCCAAGGGTAGTTCGATCCGTTCGTTCGTGGTTGGCTATTCCAGAAGCCTGCGATCGTCGAAAAAGTCTGTCGTCTGCTGAACAATGGCCACCCGCTTATGACGTCGCCGTCTACTGGCTCGTCGACTTCGAAAAAAGGTCCTGCGGATGCCACATTGATGCCAAAGTAACCATTTGCAAGCGTCAAGCGCGATTGATAGTGGCCTCGATCCAGAGCATGTGTCGCTATAACCCAGTTCTGGTCATCCCACGTTACGTCCTTGAACTGGTCATGCTCGCTGCTGGTGGAGCCCAGAACCAGGCGCGCTGAAGCTAAAAGCGCGAGTGTAGCTCGACGGAAGTTCATCGATTGCATGTCCTGCTATCAAGAGAAGAGTAAAGTCCTGGTAACGGAGCAATTCCCAACGCGTTCAAGGCACGCCGGCCTTAAAGCAAGTTACAAAGGCATGCTGATCAGTCATATAACCGGCACTAGAGACTGCCGTGGGGTGCCACCCGTTCGTCATTTCTTACCTTTTTCTACACCGCTAAGCACGGGCTAGCAATCCCGATAACGCGTCATAAGCTTGTTTCGCGGACGCTAGTCCCGTTGTCCACCATTTTTGTAGTACAGATTCATTCAGTCCTCATCAAGTAGGAGAGAGTCTTTTAGAACAAGACAGTTAAACAAGTTAGCCGTTGGATGCGCCCTCTTGCGAGTAGTGAAGACGCGTCGATCCTGGGCACTGCAAGCGATGAGAAATGCGACGTTGGGGATCGTGCGTAAGTGGCGTCATGACTGACACCCAATAAACACTAACCTTGTCGCCTCATCGTTCATCGAACATAAAGTACTGCTGATCAACAATGTTCCGAGGAGTAGAGGCTTACTAATATCACGAAATTCTGGGGCTGTGACCGTCAGCTCTGGGTGTCAAGAGGTGCCATTGTCGCGATTTCAGGCCCCCGCTGTCTCAGTGGCTGAGTCAAGCGATCACGAACAGCAATCATGCGGCATTGTCAGCTGAATGACAGCCGTCCATACTCCATTTACGACCATGGCCCAACGCATCGTGTCAAAGCTCCATAGACGCACCAGGAAGACTGCCAGCGATGTTTACGCACCGCTCGATGTCAAGTCGTGTACGATTCGGCTCCTGCACCTTCAGCCTGGTGCCTGGGAGGACAATATTCGCGCAGAACTTCGGGCAACCTCCATAGAGCAGGCTCGAGGCCAGTATATCACTATTTCCTACAACTGGGGTCTTGAAGGCGTCGCTCGTCGAGTTTTAATAACATGCAACGGGAAACTTCTTTCTATTACCGAGAACCTTGCCACGGCTCTGCGCAAACTTCGACGGCCAGACCATGCGATACAGCTCTGGGCCGATGCGTTGTGTATTAACCAGAGAAATCTCTCGGAGCGCACTCAACAAGTTGGCATGATGGGTGAAATATACAGGAACAGTCTTGAGACGATCATATGGCTTGGCGAGCCAGCGCTTGGTGAAGATGTTGGCTCCCGCTTTCTACGGGGCTATGCTTCTCAAATAGCATGGAAGGGTGATTCAAGAGACAACCACCTAAGGTACGAATACATGCTCGATTTCGAGCGTTCATGCACAACAGCGCCGATGATCGCATTTGAAGGCTCCTCAGCGACACATACAGGGCCAGATATCTTCGGTGCGTTTTGTTTAATCCAGGACTTTGCCGAAGGCAACAAGCGTCCTCTGCTCAAATTACTGGATCGCTACAACGCCACGATATCTGAACGAATAGAGTACCCCAAGAGGCATGGGTTAATAGCCACAAACGCTCGTTGGCATGGGTCTAGGTCTCTTAGAGTATGGAAAGGTCTTGAGAAATTGATGAGTAGGGCTTGGGTGCATCTCTCTTGTATTGTCCTATGGCACAAACTAACGATAAAAATGGCAGTGGCAGCGCATTTGGGTCATCCAAGAAACTGTGCTCTCTAAAAACGCCACAGTACACTACGGCATGCTTTCAGCACCCTGGTCGATGTTCGCTAGTGCCGCTATTAACTATGTCCAACATCGTCACAGGTTGTGTTTGGACTTAGCTGGCACGCGACATGAGCAAGGCATCTTGGATCAGTTCAGCGATTTCGTGCTTCGAATCGAGGAGACAAGACGCTGTCACTACAGTAACTTAAACAACGCGACGTTGCTGGATCTACTGTGGAAGTTCCGACCCCTACAAGCGACTGACGAACGAGATAAGGTCTTCGCGCTTCTCGGGCTGACTACGGATTGGCAAAATCTACCAGCGTTGATTCCCGATTACAGCAATGATGCTGCGGTAACGTTTACGCAAACTACATGGAGCAACCTACAAAGAGCAGGATCACTCTCAGTTCTCGCGGGAGATCTTGAAGCTGTCCTAAATCGTAAAAGGCTTGCAGGCCTTCCTTCCTGGGTCATGGACTGGTCGCTGCCATGCCTCTCGACGGAAGTAGAAAGAGTTGGCTCATTACATATGTACAACGCAAGCGGCACCCATGAAGGCTCAGTTGGTTACCACCCAGTGAATCAGGCACTTGAGGTCGAAGCTGTCTATATCGACCGTGTTTCTACTATCGGCGAGGTTAGTCGACACACACAGATCAGCGATACATGTGCCGTGATTCGGACCTGGAAATTACTCACTAAGCGTCTTGAGCAAGCAGATATAAGGTATCCTACTGGCGAGCTTTGTGAGGATGTCTTCTGGCGAACACTCACTGGAGACCTAATACGTACGAATACTGTTCCGAATGCACGTGGGATGGAGGCTTGTTACCGTCGAGCTACAAAAGATGATTATGAAGCTTTCAGGGCGTGGAGTATGTGGGCTCGATGCATCTCGCGAGACACGTTCTCTCGTACAGCATCATTCTCACAGCGTGACCTCAACGAAGGCATATCTGGCATCCATCACGCTCTCAAGACTGCGACAGCTTCCCGCCGCTTCTTTCTTACGAGTGCTGGGTACATGGGCATCGGTCCAAAAACGACCGTCGAAGGCGATAGGGTATATGTGTTCATGGGTAGCAGAGTTCCGTTCATAGTCCGTGGAGATGGACCAGTTGCCGCATTTGAGAATGGAGACGCTTCTACTTATATCGGTGCGTCTGTGGAGAACGGATCTCAGTTAATAGGCGATTGCTTCGTTTACGGGTTGATGGATGGTGAGGCTTTCACCCAAGGGTCGGCGCGGATCGGGAAACTCAATCTAGTCTGATCATCCGGCTCGCTCCTTTTTTTCGACGTTCGCCATAGTGCAATGCTTAAAAGCATGTGTGATATATCGAGCTAAGAACATATGTACAAGGAAACGTACCAACCCCCTCCTCTAAAGATACCAGACCTCAAAACAATTATAACGAAGCATAGGCTTACGACCGTATGTATGCATGAGTTATGAATATTGCCATACGCGTGATAGCCTACCAGTTGCGCTCGGCCTTCAACTTCCTCCACCAGTCCCTCAGCATCCAAGCATCGAACTCGGTAATTTCCATCGCGCTACCAGCCATCATAATGAAGTTGGTCTGGCCCTGAGGTACCCAGTCGTAGAAGTCTGATTCAACGTTAGCACCAATCATCAAGAAAAAAGTACGTGTCATACCTAGAAGACCAAAGCCATGGCCCATCTCGTGAAGCAAGATGTGAATGTTGTCCTCGTTGATGTTGTTGAGGAAGTAGTCTGGACCAATTTCCTGTCCCCAGTTGTATCCATAACCACCCATTTGGCCCTCGAGACTCTCGTCGAGCCAGAGGCTGATATCGTAGCGGCTAGCCTCACCACCGGGGCATTGGCTCAAATCGCCATCAAGATGAATAGCGCGGTAGCACCGGGGGTCGCATTCGGGTACACCATCGCCATCAGCTGTGGTGTAGATATCGAGACCGGTAGTGTCACCTTCGATTAGGTTCTTGTTCTTGACAGCGTAGCCGACAACGTCGACATTGAGTTTGGTAAGCGGGAAGCCTTCGAATCCTACAAGTACGTCGAACCACTTCTGCATCGAGCGCTGCAGAGCTTTGACAGTTGAAGCACGCGCAGTCGCGGTGCTTTTGCCAGAGTGGTTCCAGCGAACACAATAATTGAGGCTTCCGTTGTTGGCAATGAGCTGATCGGTGATCCAGTTCTTGTCCTGGAGACCCTGCGGGTTCTCCTTCATGGTTTGCTTCCAGACTTGGTCCAGACCGGTCACCATGCTAGAAGGCGGGTTCCATGTTGTCGCTTTGGGGATAGTTGCGCGAGAAGTGAGGTCCTCAGCGCGGGCGAAGACACTGCGCTCCTCGAGAGAGCAAAAGCGTCTGTCAATGTGTTTGATGGTTGGGTGTGCCAGCACACCCAGACCGAAAGTCGAAAATGCAACAATGGAATTGAAGTTCACCATGGTGATTTTCTAAACGAGTGACGATGAAGATGATGTGGAAAGCAAAACAAAAACGAATGTAGGTGATTGATATTCTCTTTTACCAAGAAAATGTAACCCATACTTATTATACTATGAGAATCGTACATCCGCGACTCGTATCAACGCATGTACGATCGTGATCCTGAGGCGGCACAGGAGCGGTGGGTCTGATCGGACATTACAAACCGAAGTGGGATTACTCTAAATCCTCATCTCGTAATGCAAAATCCCTGCTGAAGGAGAGAATTGCTACGTCTGTTTCGTAGAAACTGTCAATAAAAGGCTGGGCGTTTCAGTAGCATGCGGCTTCCCGTACCCTGAGCGGATGATGGGGCGTGCTGAGCCTTCGGTACCTGCCGAAGAGAATTTCTCCGTGAGTTGCGCGATGCGAACGGTACAAGGGTATGTGTACATTATGTTCTAGAAACGTTGTTCGGACATGTGCTCCAACCGTGTCAGGACGTCGCGTCACAGCAGTTGCAATGCTGATTTCAGCTGGAGGACTTCGCGTGAAGGACCAAGCTCAGCCCCACTCCACTCCCCTCGTGGCTGTCCTGGCCAACAAATCTCACAGCCTGATCGCTCTGCCACATCGCTGAAGGCTGAAATGGCTGCGCCAATGGTATTGGCAGCCTTGGGCAAGATCTCAAGCCTGCAGCATGTCCGCATTAACGCACTGCCTCGCCGCTGCGCCTGAAAATTGCGCGCCCAGTGCTCGTGATCACTATTCCCCTCTATCCACGACTTCTTCATTTCTTATCATGAAAACCATATCAGCTCTCTTCCATTAGAAAGGTCCACGATGATCATTCTGCACATGTCCTTGGTGATATGTCTCGTTACATAGGCACGCCAGGCTGACGTGATTATCTCGACATACAACTCGCGTTTGCAGTATTCTACCTACCACAAGTAATCTACTATGAAGGCGCATCCGCCCAAGTCCATACTAACATACTGCAACAGAAAAGGTCAACGCACACATCGCACACATACCCAGATACCGTTCGCAAGCATGGGTGATCCTTACGCCAACGCCCCGCTCAGCCGTCACGAAGGAAGCCTGGAGTTCAGACTAGTCGAACTGCAACCCAGCGAGCTCACCGAACCTATCCGATGCAGTCTTCGCACGTACATGTTTGATTCGTACTCACCAGCATATACCGCCCTATCATACACGTGGGGTCCGAAAGTACAACCCAAGAGTATCCAGCTCAGCGGGGTTTGCTTTCCTGTTGGTGACAGCCTCTGGTCATTCTTACAGGAAATGCGGCTCCAGGGTCAATTCCGTGTCTATTGGATCAATGCTATCTGTATCAATCAAGATAGCGTGCTGGAACGAAATCATCAGGTGCAGATGATGCGCCAGATATACAGCAACGCCGAATCTGTCTCAGTGTGGCTGGGCGAAGCAGATCGAGAATTGACGAGCGACATAGCTATGGATTTCCTTGCGACACGTTCACGAATCTTCAGGGACGGCGAGGTATGGCCTAAGCAACAGAAATCTTTTCCTTGGAGTAAACATCAAGCAGAGTCTCTCTTAGACCTTTGTCGAAGGGACTATTGGTCTAGAGTTTGGATTGTGCAAGAGATTTTTCTTGCAGAACAGCTTACGATATGCTGTGGAGCCAAAAAGGTTAGCTGGCAAACATGGGAGTATTTGCATGATGACTTGCGGTGGTTTAGAATCTTCACCATGAATTTATATGGGGACAAAACTGTGGGTGGTATATACGTCTCTAGAGCACTGGAATTTCCCATTCTGAGGGGGCAATATCGTACATTTTTCGGTTTGGGCGGCCTGTCGGGGCTTCTAGCACTCTCCCATGATCACGAGGCCTCTGACATTCTCGACAAAGTGTATGGCGTATGTGGCCTTCTTGAGGATCCTACCAGATTCCCTATCGACTATGGTATCTCTCCCGAGAAACTGCTTGATCGACTACTCCGTTACACATATATACCAGGGCAAGGCAAAACCAAGATATATGATCTTGCTGGAATGATGTCAAGAGCGTTGGGTGTCACGTGGTCATCTGAGAAAACCGAGAAGCGAATCCCAAGTTTATAACCATCGATAGCGGAAGGAACACGTGAAGAGAAAACATTCCTGACTGACCCCAAGTAAAACTCGGTCGACCTCTACTTTTACTTGAATGTCTTGAACCCTTGCATTACAAATTTATAGAGAAATTATCTGCTACTTCATTTGAGACCTGTAGAAAAGGTTATTTCCTATACCTTTTCAATAGGAAGTGTGGTAATAGCTCTTGGAATAAGAAAGCTATGCTAAGAATTTCCTATGTTCTAGGGTTAGTCGAACATGTTTTGTCCGCGTGAATGCCCTTTTTTCTTCTTGATACAACCGACACTTCTTCTAAATTGTTGCACCTCGTGGAAATATATGTACTAGATTGTAACTTCCATCAAGGTGTTGCAGCTCTTCTCACACCAGGATACCTGCTCGTTCGATGCACAAGCCGGCCCTTCACCCATACCGCGACAGTATTCCGATCATCACCACTATATACCCACTTCTCCACCTTGTCCGACCAACTCTCCCAGCCAAACATATCGACCGGACCCTCCTCAAACACACCGTTTTGGCAACCGTCCTCGCTAACGGCACCGAGGCTGATCATCTGCGCATCCCACTCCTTTCCAACCTCAAATCCACCAACCTTATCTTCCATTCCCACTACCGCTGCGCCTCCTCTTGTAGCAAGATATAAAGCCTCTTCCGTCGAAAGCTTTACAGCATCGCTAGAAGTCTGGATACATAGATGTCGCGATACCCATATCGCCTGGCGTACGTTCTCCAGTATCGAAGGCGAGTTACCGCCTGAAACGTCCGTTCCAAGACCGATCGTGTGCCCCTCATCAAGCAAATCACGAATCGGCGCACACCCCGATGTAATTGCCGTATTGGACGCTGGGCAATGGGAGATCTTGCTCTTTCTTTCGAGAATGAGTTTCCTCTCTTCCCCAGAAAGATGCACCGCATGCGCCAGGATGGTCTTATCCGTCAATAACCCATGGGTCTCGTACACATCCGTATAGCTTTTGCTCTCCGGAAATAAACTCTTCACAAGCTCAATTTCGCCCTTGTTCTCCGAGATGTGCGTTTGAACATGCGCGTCCGTTTCTTTCGCCAGTCTACCCATGGCGGAAAGACAGTCTGAAGTACAGCTAGGTGCGAATCGAGGCGTGATGATGGGTTTCACGATATCCCCTTTTGGATCGATGGAGCGTATGTAGTCGATACTAGCTTTTGAATCGCGGTAACTGCTTTCTACGCTTTCATCCCTGTAGTACTCCGGGCTTAGGTCGCTGTTCATGCACACTCTGCCCACTAGCGCTCTCTGGCCTCGCTTCAAACATATATCGGCGAGGGCGTTGGTGGCGGGCACGTGGATCGTGGCAAAGTATGCGGCGGTTGTTGTGCCATGTGACAATGTCCGCGACACAAAGTTCTGGTATACGCGGTGTGCGAGAGAAAGATTCTGGAATGAAGATTCCATGGGAAACGTGTACTTCTGTAACCAATCCAGTAATGTAGTCTTCCCAAAAAGTCCGGTATTAGGATGTTGAGGTGCGTGAACGTGTGTATCTATGAAGCCAGGGAAGAAGAAACCAGTATCGTTGATCTCGACAATCTGCGCATCGTTCCAGTCGTCTCCTTTCTGTTCGATAAGACTTGATAGGCCATTTTCTTGCAGATTTCGTTCGACGAAACTAATAACTCCATCTTCGTCCACGCCGATTGCGCCATGCTCTTGGATCTCGAGTTCAGTGAGTGATTTACTGTGGACAAAGGGGCCGATGTAGATCGTTCTCGATATGGGTGATGATGCCGCCATGATGATGTTTGTATGTCTTTTCACCGTTCAAGATACTTCCTCTTCAAGTAACAGGTTTCGGCTTTCTAGGTCGTGGAAGTGAAGACGTGTTCTAGCCGCGGCAATGGATCGGAGCAGGTACCGAGACGCAGCCCCAAGTGGAGAACTTCGTGATAAGGGAGTAATCGTGACGTGTTCGGGCTTCACAAGAAGTGTGGGTGTCAGAAGTTTAGCAAGAGCAACAAGAAGACAATCAAGACACGAGCAATATAGATCGGGTGGCACAGGCAGTACTTATCTGTATCAGTTGCCAGAAGAAGGGACGGCCTGATCCGGTTAGCCGCGTCGCTAATGTCTAGCACGTGGGGAGCGGAGCGGAGCCCCCAGGGCGATCGGCGTACTCCGATGCCAATTAGCAGAAGGAACAAATGGGCGTTTCACTCCCACGATCTTGTTAGGTTAAAAGGAAAGAAGGGACACATAAGTGGTCATGAAAATGAATTTGGAGGGTTGCATCTCGCAATGCACCGCGAGCTTATCGCTACAATCGCCTGTTTCATCAAACTTTACCCCAGGCTTTCCTTTTTGGCAACGCCGGGATATCCATAACCATGCCTAAAACTCCAAAATGGCTGGCTTGAAAAGTAACGCGAGGCATATTCATGAAGCCTCCTTAAGGTTTGAGCTAAGCGACCCCATATTACAGGCTGTAATCGTGGATACCTTGTGGACCCTGGTCATTGTAGTCGGGTCGTGTCATGTAACCCTTACTTTGACCCTGATCAACTACGAAGATGACCTTTGCTGCGACCTGGGCACCTAGGAAGGCTGACTCATCAAATCCAACATCCTTGAACTCGGGGAAGTACTCCGGAGGCTTGATGAACTTGATCGATGTGGGTGTCTGGCCGTGCGATGAGTGAGTGTTGCCTGACATGCCGGGAATGCCACCGTGTGGCATCATGTGTTGTGTCTGCGCGGTTGTTGCTGCGAGTAGGAGCGGGTTGACTTGCGAGCCGCCATGTGGGCCGAGCTGAGGCTGAGGTGTGTTCGCCCCGGTTCCCATAGGCGTTGAGATGTTGGACGGGATCTCAGATGTGAAGATGGTGGCGGAAGAGGGCGAGACCAGATACTTGGCCTGGATCGTCTGGAGGAGAGACTCTTTGAAACCTGCGTAGGTGTTAGTATCCGCATTGTAACAGTTGGAACAAGATCAGGACTTACCTCGCAGCTTTGACCCGTTACCACAGACGATAAGCTGTTCCCATAGATCACTTCTCTTGCCAACCTCGTCAATAGACGATATAGCCCTGTGCACGGCGTCTGCAATCTTCTCCAATGTACCATCGCCATCCGCCATGAATCGCTCGGTGCCCACCTCGATTTCACGTCTTATCGATCCTGTTCGTTTACCGGTGGCGCCAGATTCGCTAGTACCATTTGCTTCAGTTGCAGAAGTAGGCTCGCCATTCTCTCCATTCTCGTGTCCCTTTCTATTGGGGCCTTCATCTAGAGCGCCCTTCGCATCTGCCATCTCCTGGGTGTTGAGGTTCATGTTCTTCAAGGTATCTAGGAGCGCGTGGTCCTCGTACAGGAATGTGGCTTTCTCGAGTCGGGAATTGGGTAACCTGACCGGCTTGTTGGCTGTGGGAGCCGGACCACCCTTCTTCTTCGCGTTGGCTTTTTCCTGCTTCTCTTTCTCCTTCTTGGCGAGGTATTCAGACATCTTGCCGCCAGCAACGATGCTTGCAACATCCAGAACACCTTCACTCTCTTCGAGACTCGTGTCTTCGCCAACTTCTGTATCCAGACCAGGGCCCCGTGGCACGTTTCCGATGGAGGCTGCTGCCGCTGCGCCAGGTCCGGTAGCGCCGGTCGATGCAACTGCCGCAGGGTTTGTAGGGGCGTCTTTCGAGGAGGCATCGCCAGGCCCTGGCAGCGGAGTGCCGGGTGGTAGGAGCTCACATATCGGTGATCTCTTGAGTTGTTCACACATGTCGCGGTTGAGGCCCTTGGACTTTAGCTTAGACAACAGCCCTTGGGTAAAGGCTTCGCCTCCACATCCCTCCAATGAGATAACCCTGCCTTGTGTGTGTGGAATGAATTCACTGACAGCGGTGATGTCTGCCTTGTCTTTGCCCACGTCTATCACCGTCGCTGTATGTACGCCATATGCCCATGTTGTCGCTAGTGCCGCGTCCATGAGTCCGAAGGCTGGCACCTTGAACTTCTCGAAGAAGAACTGGGTGAGCTTCTCGTGCTCTCGTGGGGTCCATGCCGGTTGCGTGATGAGTAGAATCGGGGTGTGGAAAGGCGGGTTCAGAGAGTTGTAGGTGTGAGTGATGAGGGCAAAGAAGCATGGCCAGTCAACGATCCTGCCTTGTTGAATCGGCCATATTGCGCCTTCTTCTGATACGCGGTCTTCTTCCCATACTGCTTCATCGTCGCCTTCGGTGGGCTTCTTCTCTTCTTGCGACTCGTCTTTGGATTCGCCATTCGTCGCGGCGGGCTGATCCTGCTTTCTTCGGATTTTATAGGGCTCGAATTCACCTTCCTTTTCGGCAGGGAACATGCGCGATCTCACGCGAAGACGCGCAGGAGTGAAAGACTCGGGCAGGCCCAGCTGCGCGATGGTGGTCTCCGAACCAGGCGCAATGATCTGATAGGGTTAGCGCATTGACACAACGTGTGAATAGCATGCCAGGCTCACAATTATCTGGTCATCTTTGAAAGGCGGCATCGTGGCGCACTTGATGAGGTATATTGACAAGCTCCGGCGCGCGAGTGAGAGCTTCAGGCGCGGTGGAGTTTCGCGACTTCCGCGCTAATCGATGCACGGGCGCACGTTCACAAGCTGGGAAGCTGGCGCCCCCACATGCAAGTGTGCCCCAGTGCATACCCGCGGATTTCAACATGCCCACAGCACGGCACATCATGGGATTCCTGTCTTTACCGCACTAGATTAGCATCTCTAGAAATTTCTGGAAACACTTGCTCGTGACGGTCCGAATTCGGTACTGATCTCTCTTCGCCCACCATGGCCTCCATGGCAGTCCCAGGAACTGCCACGTCTCGGTCACTCGCACATGTCTCCAAAGCAGCTGTATATAACTCAGCAGAGGCGATATCCAATTCCGTACTCGGCATGAAACCCGCCGATACTACGCCGTCGACCAGCTTTGGTCTCTTAGGGCGTGTCATTCTGTCCATTTTCAGTGTACTGCCTACCGTGTTGTATTGGGTTACATATACCCTGCCGACATGGCTATTTACGCTCTTTTCCATGAGCTTGACCTTCACGATGAACTTTACAACTTTGTACGTTGCCCATTCTCTACATGTTTCATAGCTAAACATTGGTAGGATGCTCGTTGTCGTCTTCATTGTATCTACCGTCAGCTACTTCGTGAGGTACCGATACATGACTATGTACGCACGACTACCGCCTGAGCCGCAGCGTGAGGAACCACAGGTCGAGGTCTTTCCGGACAGCGCCGAAAGCGATTCCAAGAGAGGCTTGTCCAACTACCTCGATGAATTCTTGAGCGCCATCAAAGTGTTCGGTTACTTGGAGCGTCCAGTGTTCCACGAACTGACACGCACTATGCAGACTCGTCGTTTGGTTGCTGGCGAGACCATTCTCTTGGAAGAAGAGAAAGGCTTTTGTCTGGTAGTAGATGGCTTAGTCCAGATCTTTGTCAAGTCAAATCGGACTGACTCGGACTCTGATGAGGATGACATGGGCGAGGGATCGTCCGGCGACCGCAACCGGCAGGGTTACCAACTTCTTACTGAAGTGAAAAATGGAGCACCAATGTCTTCCTTGTTCTCCATTCTCTCGCTATTTACAGAAGATGTCAAGCTGCGTCATGACGAAGATGAAGACCCGAGACCAAGTGTGCCGGGAACACCTCAACGAGAAGCAAGACCATCGATGTCACGGAACAGTAGCTTTACTTTCGACGATTCGAGACCGCACACTCCACGCGAAGTTCCCGAGGCCAAACTGCGGCATCGGAGGACATCAACTTTGAATAGTCCAACAGCAGACGGTCGACTTCAAAGCGTACCGCCCCTGTCGTTGGACCTAGACGGATTTGGTGATGAGCATCTCAAACACAGCAAAACTCGGGCATCGCCTTCGCGCTCTGCGAAGCCCAAGTCTGCCCATCCAGATATTGTCGCACGCGCAACTGTAGATACAACTATTGCTATCATTCCGGCTACTGCATTCCGTCGACTGACGCGCATATACCCTAAAGCGACGGCGCACATTGTTCAAGTCATCCTTACGCGCCTCCAGAGAGTCACTCTCGCGACCAGCCATGCTTATCTTAGTCTGACGAACGAGGTGCTCCGTACGGAAAAGCTCATGAACAAGTATACTACATACGATCTTCCAGGCTTCCTACGTGATGCTCCTCTTGAGAGACTTAAGGAGAAATTTGCGAAGGAAACGGAGCGCATCGGCTCAGACGAGGGCATGAAAGGGATTGCATTACATAACCCTGGAGCTGGTCGCAGACGGAGATCTAGTGTCTCATTGAGAAGAGGAACAGCTGCACAAGCCCGTCTCGCTGCGGCGCGCGGAGCCAACACTAATACAAGTAAAGAAATGCTACCCAAAATCACTTCACCGGACCAGGGACCACGTAACGACCGAATCAGCGCAGGCGATCTGTTGACCAACTCGCAGATGGCGCGAGGATCCGGTCGCAGCGGTCGTAACAGTTTCTCTCAACCATACCAACATCAACAGGACCGCCGAGACATTCGCACACCATTGGACGCCAGCAATTTCAATCCTTTTGCATCTCCTTCGCTACGCCCTAAAACATTGCATCGGCAAGAGTCTATCGATGAAGCTACAGTATTTAGGGAGTCCATACTGGGGTGCATGTTCAAGGCTATCGGACTTACTAACCCGGAGAATCCCATGCCCAAACCAACTGCCTCGGTGGAACAGTCACCTCAGCTTGTCTCCTTTGACGCGAAGAGGCAAAAGGCTGTGTTCACGAACGCATTTGGCTTCATCGACCCTTACGCTGGGGGCTCACGGGATGGAGACACCGAGTCTGTAGCATCAGCGTCAGGAATGTCGAGCATGAGCGCTGCAGGTTCACACAACATCTTGGAAGAGGTCGTCAACGACGTGGAAATCGTCTTCTTCCCCAAAGACTCCGTACTTGTGGAGCAGGGAGAAAGGAACCCTGGTTTATACTACGTGATCGATGGGTTCCTGGACGTGAGCGTACCCGTGGAAGATGATGGACCCGAGACCAACGTGCTAGGGACACTTCCGAATGGGCCTGGCTACACTGAAGAAGACCTCTTTGGTACATCATCACGCCCACCGGGATCAAGTACTCCTCCGCGAACTGCTGCTGATGGTAACAAGAAGAAGCGCACAAGGCGCAGTCTGTTCATGACCAAGCCTGGTGGACTAGCTGGCTATCTTGGAGCGGTATCATCAAATCGATCTTTCGTCGACGTTACAGCCAAGACGGACGTATACGTAGGTTTCCTACCCCGCTCAGCAATTGAGAGGATCGTTGAACGGTACCCTGTTGTACTACTCACCATAGCAAAACGCCTTACTACACTCCTACCACGTCTGATTCAACATATCGACTTCGCTTTGGAATGGATCCAAGTAAACGCCGGACAAGTGATCTACAATCAGGGTGACGAGAGTGATGCTATTTACATCGTCTTAAACGGAAGATTGCGAGCCATCCGCGATGCTGAAAACAGCACCGTGAAGGTTATCGGCGAATACGGTCAAGGTGATAGCGTCGGTGAACTTGAAGTGCTTACGGAATCCTCTCGGCCAGGATCACTACACGCCATCCGAGACACAGAACTTGCAAAATTTCCGAAGACGCTCTTCAACAGTCTTGCACTGGAACATCCTGGCATCACCATCAAGATTTCGAAGATTATCGCGTCCCGTATGCGAGCCTTGGTTGATGACCCGCTGCATGAACAAAGCAAAGAGCGTGGCACAAAAGCCACTCGGGCAAACGTGTCTTCGACGGTCAACCTCCGCACTGTCGCTGTTCTTCCGGTGACTGCTGGTATTCCAGTAGTGGACTTTGGAAGCCGCCTAGTAAACGCGCTCACGCAAATTGGTATGCCACAAGGCGTAGTCTCTCTCAACCAAGCTGCCATTCTCAACCATCTCGGACGGCATGCCTTCAGCCGCATGGGCAAACTCAAGCTTTCGCAATACCTTGCCGATCTTGAAGAAAGATATGGCATGGTCATCTATGTTGCTGACACGCCAGTTAAATCGCCTTGGACTCAGACATGTATTAACCAGGCTGATTGCATTCTCCTTGTGGGTCTAGCTGAGTCGTCACCAAACATCGGAGAGTACGAGCGGTTCCTCTTGACAACGAAAACGACTGCACGCAAAGAGCTGGTGCTTCTGCATTCAGAAAGATACTGTCCTTCAGGATTGACACGAAAGTGGTTACGCAACCGCCCCTGGATCAACGGCAGTCATCATCACATCCAGATGTCATTCCGCGCGACCTCGGAACCAGTTCATCATGCTGGAAGGCGCTTTGGAAACGCGCTCAAGCAACGCGTGCAGGTTATCCAGGCTGAAATCCAGAAGTACACTTCAAGGAAAGTTCGACAGACGCCGCTGTACTCGGCAGACACACCATTCAAGGGCGACTTCCATCGCCTCGCACGACGCCTGTGCGGCCGCTCAGTCGGGCTCGTATTAGGAGGTGGCGGTGCTCGTGGTATATCGCAAATCGGCATCATTCGCGCGCTTGAAGAAGCTGGTATTCCAATCGACATCGTGGGCGGTACATCTATCGGCAGTTTTATAGGTGCACTCTACGCTTGGGATGCAGATGTCGTCCCCATGTATGGCCGAGCGAAGAAATTTGCAGGCCGCATGGGTAGTATGTGGAGATTTGCACTCGATCTCACCTACCCTTCGTAAGTTTCCCACGTTGTTATCAAGTTCAACGCTAATTGAATAGTGCTTCATACACTACCGGCCACGAATTCAATCGCGGTATCTTCAAAACGTTTGGTAACTCCCAAATAGAGGACTTTTGGCTCGAATTTTACTGCAATACCACAAACATCAGTAAATCGCGTTCGGAAATACACACAAGCGGATACGTCTGGCGCTACGTCCGCGCATCAATGTCGCTTGCCGGGTTGCTTCCCCCGCTGTGTGACAACGGTAGTATGCTTTTGGATGGTGGCTATATCGACAACTTGACCGTCACGCACATGAAGAGTCTCGGCGCAGATGTTATCTTCGCTGTTGACGTCGGCAGTCTGGATGACAACGCACCGCAATCTTTCGGCGACTCATTAAGTGGCTTCTGGGCGACATTCAATCGCTGGAATCCATTCTCTAGCTTTCCCAACCCTCCGACCTTATCGGAGATCCAGTCGCGCCTCGCGTACGTGTCTAGTATCGATGCGCTGGAACGTGCGAAGAACACGCCGGGATGCAGGTACATGCGCCCGCCAATCGATCCGTACGGCACGCTTGACTTTGCGAAATTTGAGGAGATCTACGAAGTAGGATACAAATACGGTAAGTGAGGATGCAACCTTGGATGTTGCATGTGAAAATATTTGCTAACGTGGTGCACAGGCAAAGAATATCTAGCGCAGCTTCGCGAACAAGGCGTGCTTCCCGTCACCGAAGAGACGGAGAAAGAAAAGAATCTCCGACGGACAATGGCACCGCGACGGGCAAGCATCTAGTCCAGTTGGACCGTGCCCAGAACACGCGGAGGAGACTGTGGTGCGGGTTATGTGGATATCAAGTAACAGAATGCAGCGGTGGTCGGTGTAGTTTTGCCCAATGAGTGCTAGGAATGCGTGTGGATGCAAGGACGGTCGGCTTGGGGTTTAGTGGCTCGCGTCCGTTAGCTCGGCAAGGGTCAGCTTATCACCAATGGCGCGGATAATGACGGGTTAGAAGGTGTAGATAGCAATGAGTGAGAGCTGTCATGGCTGTGAATCGAGGGTCTTGATGTTTCGTGAGCCCAATTTTTCTTTGACTTGTAAATCCTCACTTCTACATTCCCCTGGGTAGTGAGTGTCGCGAACGCGTCTCTTCCCCGCCAACGTCGCCATCACCAGTGGCGAGCTTCCCGAACTTTTGAACTATCGGGCCAATTGCTCGCACAGGATCCGCCCAACAGAAAACAAATCCTTCTGTTCAAAATTAATTGTTTTCTGGGGAGACTCCCCATAGCATCACTGCAACCACACAGCCAAAATGCGTACGGCATGTCTTAGGGCTGCTAGCACTGCTAGCAGGCTCACACGATCGACATGTGTAGCCCAGCTATCGCGTCCGCAGCTCGCAGGTAGCTCTTCGCGCGCGATTGCATACCAAACCCTGCGAACTTTCCAAAAGCGCGGGTTCCAGCAGAACGCTACAAATGCGCAACAGGCGGCCGCAGCCGTCGAAGCCGCAGAAGATGTATTCGACACCCCGCCCCAGCAGACCGACTCGGCCAAACCCTTCGATGCGCTTGACACTTTTCCCCGCCGTCACATTGGACCGTCTGCCGAATCAGCGGAGGCTATGCTCAAGGCACTGGACCCGCCTGTGAGCAGCCTAGACGAGTTTGTACGCCAGGTTATACCTGCAGATATCCTGTCTGCACGAGAGTTGAAGATTGGGAAACTGTCACAGAATCATGCAGAGACATGGCAGAGCAATGGTGTGCCGGAATCGGCCTTCCTCAACAACGCGAAGAGAATCATGGACCAGAACAGGCCGGGCAAGAGTCTGATCGGACAGGGTTACTATGGCACCAAGGTGCCGGAGGTCATCAAGAGGAATGTCCTCGAGAACCCCGCATGGTACACTAGCTATACCCCATACCAGCCAGAGATCAGCCAGGGACGTTTGGAGTCACTGCTGAACTTCCAGACTATGGTGTCGGACCTCACTGGTCTGAGCATTGCGAATGCGTCGGTGCTGGATGAGCCTACTGCGGCGGCCGAGGCTATGACCATGTCCATGGGCATGATGCCATTATCCAAGCAAAAGAGCAAGAACAAGACTTTCCTTGTGTCAGAGAGGTGTCACCCGCAGACTCTCGCTGTTCTGTACTCTCGCGCCGAGGGCTTTGGAATCAAGATCGAGGTCGCCGACGTGCTCAAGGACAACAGCAAGAGGGTGGAGGAACTAGGCCAAGATCTCGTCGGTGTGCTCGCTCAGTACCCAGACACTGATGGAGGTGTCAGCGACTTCCGCGGACTGGCTGAGAAGGTGCACAAGACTGGTGCTCTCTTCAGCGTTGCGACCGACCTCCTTGCCCTTACGCTGCTCACTCCACCAGGAGAGTTCGGTGCCGACATCGCTTTTGGAAACGCACAACGATTTGGTGTGCCTTTGGGCTTCGGTGGACCACACGCGGCCTTCTTTGCTTGCGACGAGAAGTACAAGCGAAAGATTCCTGGTCGCCTGATCGGTCTGTCAAAGGACAGGCTCGGTAACCCTGCAGCACGACTTGCGCTGCAGACTCGTGAGCAACACATTCGCCGTGAGAAGGCTACCAGCAACATTTGTACAGCACAGGCTCTACTGGCAAACATGAGCGCCATGTATGCTGTATATCACGGACCGAATGGCTTGAAAGCGATCGCCAAGCAGGTAGTTGCAAAGGCTCGCATGGTCCAACGAGCACTTATCGACAACGGCTTCAGAACTGGCCAGCGTGGAAAGTTGGACAACTCGCCTGTTCTATTCGACACGATAGTGGTTGAGACAGGTAACAAGACCGACCAAATCATCGCCGAGCTTGAGAAGAAGCAAGTACTCGTGCGAAGCATTGACGGCCAGCATATTGGCATCTCTGTCGACGAAACCACGAGCACACAAATTGTCGTCGATTTATTGAGCGTATTCAAGAAGCAGGGAAACGGCGCTGAGGCTTCCTTCGCCGAATCTGTCGATATTGAGCTCCCTGCACCGTTCAAGAGGACTAGCGAGTTCATGACCCACCCTGTCTTCAATTCGCACCACTCCGAGACGGAGCTTCTGCGATACATCAACCACTTGTCTTCGAAGGATCTGTCTCTTGTTCACTCGATGATTCCTCTGGGTTCTTGCACGATGAAGCTTAACTCTACCGCTGAGATGGCACCTGTATCGTTCGATACCGTATCCAACCTACATCCCTTCCTGCCTCTAGAGCGAGCTAAGGGATATACCGAGATGATTAAGCAGCTCGAAGACGACTTGGCTGACATCACCGGCTTCCACTCTGTTTCGCTACAACCCAACTCTGGTGCCCAGGGCGAGTTCACTGGTCTCCGTGTCATTCGCAAGTACCTTGAGCAGCAGCCGGGCAAAAAGCGCGATATCTGCTTGATTCCTGTTTCGGCTCATGGTACCAACCCTGCTAGTGCTGCCATGTGCGGTATGCGCGTTGTACCCATCAAGTGTGACCAAGCGACCGGTAACCTGGACATGGCAGACTTGAAGGCCAAGTGCGAGAAGCACAGCGATGAGCTCGGTGCTTTCATGGTCACCTACCCCAGCACTTTTGGTGTCTTCGAGCCAAGCGTCAAGGCTGCTTGCGACCTGATCCATCAGCACGGCGGACAAGTCTATATGGATGGTGCTAACATGAACGCGCAGATCGGTCTCTGCTCACCAGGCGAGATCGGTGCCGATGTCTGCCATCTTAACCTCCACAAGACCTTCTGCATTCCGCACGGTGGTGGTGGACCCGGTGTAGGACCCATTGGTGTCAAGGAGCACCTCTCCCCCTTCCTTCCCGGCCATCTCCGTGGCGAGACCGGTGGAGCTCAAGCCATCCACCCTGTCAGCGGTGCACCCTGGGGAAGCGCAAGCATCCTACCCATCAGCTGGGCTTACATTAAGATGATGGGCGCCATCGGGCTCACCCAAGCCACCAAGATCACCCTCCTCAATGCCAACTACATCCTCTCCCGCCTCAAGCCTCATTACCCCATTCTCTACACCAACGACGAAGGTCGCTGCGCCCACGAATTCATCCTTGACGTCCGCGGCTTCAAAGACAGCGCTGGCATCGAAGCCATCGACATCGCCAAGCGTCTCCAAGATTATGGATTCCACGCCCCGACCATGAGCTGGCCTGTCGCCAACACACTCATGATTGAGCCTACTGAGTCGGAGAGCAAAGCAGAGCTAGATCGTTTCTGCGACGCATTGATCAGCATTAGGAAGGAGATCAAGGAGGTTGAGGAAGGACAACAGTCCAAGGAGGGCAATGTGCTTAAGATGAGCCCGCATACACAGCAAGATCTTATTACTGGAGAGTGGGACAGGAGCTATAGTCGCGAGAAGGCGGCGTATCCTCTGAGCTATTTGAGGGCGAAGAAGTTCTGGCCCAGTGTCGCGAGGTTGGATGATGGTAAGTCGGATATCCTTTTTCTGGCTCGAGTGCTTTAGCTAACGATGTCACAGCGTACGGTGATACAAACCTCTTCTGCACATGCGCGCCGGTTGAGGGCGAGGACAGCGACATCACCGGTGCTGCGGCGCCTAACCCGACCTAAATGCCTACATCAATACGGCAAACAACGGCGGGATTACTTCTCTTCTGAATTTGTTCTTTTGCATCATGGTGCGGGGCTCTTTTAGGGGCTTTTTTTCAACAAGCACCCAGCGAGGGTGTTCCGGCGTCCACATTACATCACCATGGCTTCAACACTTGCTGGTCGATGAATATTTGTTTTTCAAGATGGTGGGTTTTTCACGATGCATACCTGGCGTTTTTCCTCTGTAAGGATAGATGAATGATACTTTATGATAGGGATGGGAAAGAGATGAAACTTGCATGATACATTCGGTGGCATTCTCGAGTTTGCTGTGATGTATGCTATATGGTGGAGTTCGCGGACCCTTTGTTTCTTTTCGGCTTTTGCTGAGACTCACCCATCCATCAAGCCTTTACAATAGTTCGGGGCGAACGTGTTAAACATGATCAGTCTATAAGCCTAAAAGATCAATAAGTACATATAAATTAACATAGGAACTCTAATAGTAGGGAGACTATCCCTTCGTGGTGGTGTGCAACACCAAATCATCACCCAGAGTCATCGTCTCGACTCAAAAAAACTACCTCTCTCAGATTGGGCACATACCCCCTCTCAAGTCCTCAACAGTATCGAGTTTGCTCTTCACCGGTCCAAGACTATCGTAGTCTTCCTTCTTCATGTGTCGCCTCGAGCTTGCCGCCTTCTTAAACCCACCCCGTCCAACGCCCGCACCGGCGAGAGCGCTAAAGACGGTCATGAAGGCGTTTTCTGGGTCTTGGACTACGCCGTACACTGTGAGTGCGGCATCTCCAACTGTGCCGATAAGCCTGGCAATCGATCGTATAGCAGTTAGCCCAGCGGCGGCTTCGCCAACGAACGGAATGAAGAATAGCAGACCCATGATGAAATTCAAGATGAACTCTTCGCGCTCCGCCTTCTTGATCTCATCAGCCTTCTTTACAATCTTCTCCATGGCTGCGACGGCTTCTTCGGTAGAATAGGCTGGTAGCGAGGTGGAGTCGACCATGTCGGATTCGGCTATTTGGTCGTCCCAGATACCTGCAAGCGACATATCTTGGAAGCGGTACAGCATGTCCTGTGCCTTGGGTAACGAATCACCGATGATGTCCTTGGGGTTGTAGATCTTGACCTTGTCCCCGTCCATGAGAGGGTAATTTTTGAAGTAGTTGTTGTTCCACTGTATGCAGTTCTGTACGTTCTCGCCGGCGTACTGGCAGCCGTTGTTGATGCGCATCAGGCGCTTGCCCATCTTGATCCACTCTTTGTCGATGCCCCAGGTCTCGGAGAGGTCGTTGTAAAAGCCATTCTCATCCTTGAAGGTGAAAGTCGCATTCGGGATATAGTCGCCGTCGAGCGTGCCTTTCTCAAACTCCATCCTCGGACACTTGTCCATGGGATACTCGCCCTTGCCGCCTTTGCAATTGGATCCCTTGATACAATTCTCTATGCAGGTAGCATACCGGCAGTCCTTACAGCACGTGCCCTGGGTCTTGTAATCCGTGCAAGTAAAGTATTTGTCAACCTTGTCGCTTGCCATGAAGTTGTTGATCTGGTCGGGAATCTGGTCCTTCACATAACCAGCGTAGGTCTTGAACTTGTCGTCGTAACCCTTATCGACCAGATCCTTGTACTTTTTGAGTGCTCCATCGAGGACGGATATCTGGACGTCTGTGATGTACTGCTCCATGCAGTGGCTGGGGATCGATCCTTTACGATCCTTCAACTGGTCCAGTGAGTTGAACTGCCCCTCGCAGTCAGCCCAGTAGCTCTCGTCAATTGGCATTTCGTAATCCTCCGGCTCGTCCGTTCTACCACAGATTAGCGATGTTCAAAGTGATGCTTGTAAGATAACTTACCCGTGCCAATCTTGTAGATCCACTGCCCAATCCGTAGTTCCAGCGAAGTTGTATGAATCATAGAACTTCGATCGGGACGCCTTCATATCGTCGTCCATCCAGGCAACCCACTCTGTGTTATTGAAGACCATGATGTTCGAACCTTCCTTTGTGTACTTCTTGTTGACATTACCCGTATCAATGATCTCCTGGATCTCAGCATTGGAGATGTAACCGGCAGTGTCCGTGCATCGGCCTTTGTAGGCATCGGAAACTCGAGGCGACCCGGTGAACTTACAGCTCTCGCTGTCACACCCAGCTTGTGCCATCTTGAAGGAGCGACCGTAACTGGAAACGCCAACAACCTGCATATATGTCAGCACGACTGTCTGCATATTAACTGTCACAATACTACTCACCACTTTACCAGAGTCCGCTCCAGCTTTAGTAATCATGGACAGGGCATCCTTAGTCTCAGTCTCGTTGATATGAGATCTCAGGCAATTTCCAGTATCGCATCCGGGTGAAGTCCACTTGTTACCGTAGTCCCATTGGCCGTGCAGATCGTACGTCATGTATACGATATAGTCGAGGGCCTTCGCCATGTCCTTGATAGGGAAGGACTTGAGGTACCAGTATGATGCGGGTGCAGCAAACGAAACCGACTTGGAAGATCCAATGGCTGATTTGAGGCTAGAAAGAAGTCGGTAATAGTTGACGCCGTTGACAGGGTCGTCAGTCGGGATATCGGGAATGTCAGGAGCCTAGAATTCGTCATGTCAGTACATGGACAATGATGATTGATCAGATACTTACTCCAGGATACTCCCAGTCAAGATCGACGCCATCGAGCCCATGCTCGTTGACGAAGCTAATAATATTGTTCTTGAACGTCTCACGGTTGGCTGGCAGAACAGCCTCACGTAAGATCTGGAAGGTTCCAGGCTCAGTGCTAAAGGCCCAACCACCGAAGGAGATTATCTTCTTGACGTTCTTGAGCTTTTTAAAGTCTTCAAATTCGTTCATAGTCGTCTCGTCGGTGATTTCAGGCTTGTATGTCCCGCGAGTAACGTTTGCGAAAGCAAAGTGAACATGTGTATATCCCTCGGCAATGGATGTCACTGGCATGTTCAAGCACGGCCGATTGAAATTCCAGCTCTCATAGTATGCGATCTTGATCTTGTTCGCCGGTGCGGTGCCTTTGATGATGTCTCTACCACAATTGCTGATGCCTGATGCATGTTAGTACGTTTTTCAAAAGTAAAGATAATGGCGAGATACATACATCCGTTCTTGCCAGGGGCAGAAGTTCCCGGCGCACCAGTCTCGGACTTGCTCACAACGCAAAAATCGTCAGTCATACCACACTGACCCCAGATGTTACAGCAAACATTCAACGGACAAGGGTTCAGCATGCTGATGTTCGTAGATGCGGATGGTTGCACAGTTCCATTCTTCGTGGGCCCGCAAACGGCGTTCTGTCACGTTGTGCGTTAGCAGAGGTAGCAGGCTTGGAAGCGTAGATGAGGGAAGCCATACCGGAACAGTCGCAGGCATAGGTGGTGTTCCCTTGCTGACACACATCAAGAAATTCTCATAGAATACCTCGGGTTTGCAGCCATTCCAACCCCAAGTATTCTTGTTGAACTCCATGAGGTCGTCTACAGTAAGATCGCGAGCGATAGCGACCTTCGAACAGCTATCGTCCTTCTTCGTGTAGTAAGTTGCGCAATTTCCATTTGCATCGGGCTTGGGTTTCAGGTCGGGATACTTCCCGGCAGTACAGCAGACCTTCTGCCCTGGCATAAGGTTTGAGCAGAGATTTGTCTTGGTATTAGCTTTCATGAAATCGTTCGCGCTAATGCCACATTTGGCAGCAAGACTACTACAATCATCTTTCTCCACAACGTCCCTCGTCTTGCAGGTGCCGTCCGAATTACCAGAAGGGAGCGTGTTTGGCAATGTTCCACTGCTGCAACAGACGACTTCGTCCTTGACAAGCGTGTTGCAAAGGTTGGCGCGGTTGTACTTCTCCAAGTTAGTTTGGCTAATGCCACATCGATCGGCGACAGCGTAGCAACCGTCACCGCTCTTGACGGTCGTAGTTTTGCAGTCTGCTCTGATATCAAGACGGCCTCTTTTGTCCACATAAGCGGGCGAAGTGTTTCGAGAATGAACGGTTGAGTTGGTGCCGTTGCTCGGGACGTGATTGATAGGGACAGGAATGCGAATAGTGACTTGCATCCAATCTTCGCCTGCATTGGCTTGGGAGACGCAGTCGCCGCTCAACCATGTCTTGACAGCTTTCTGGACGAACGGTAGATTTTTCGCACTCGTCGCCACGATGCCCACGCCATAGTCCGCGCCACGCCCTTTAGCTCCACACAGCTGAACAACAGTCGTTTTGGAGATTCCTTGTTCCTGAACATAAGACAAGAACTTGTTCAGCACCTCAGCTGTCAACCCATGTTGATTGACCTCGGCTCCAGCATAAACACCAATGGCTGATGACTGGGAGTACGCGAACTCCATGACGCTGTGGTTGCATGATGGCGTCTGTAATGCAAGATGGTTCATGACCTGACGTCCAGCCGAAACTAGGTGGTTTGTTGAGTAGACATCGTTACCTGATGCTGGCTGATGCATATATATCGACACTTCTTCTAACACGCGGTTGGCTGTTGTGCAGAGCGAAGCCTTCTCTCCGTCGGGTTCGAAAGCAGATCTAGCCACCGACACATAATCCGCGGTACATGCGCGAGTTATGATCTTGCCCTCCAGATTAGCCTCGGCGTTCTGAACAACCATGTCAATGAGCATTGTCTCATTACAGGCGGCTAGCCGTTCGGCATCCGAGTACAAGAACCATTCGGCTCTCGAAGTAATGTCTTTCGTCTCGCTGCAGAGTACAGGGCAACGTCTAAGAACTGCGTCATCCACACTTTGGGCCGCTGCTAGCCACTTGTCGAGGTCGTCGCTCTCATCCACTCGTTGGATTACCTCCACCTTGTGAGAAGTGGCCCTAGCGTGTGCTGTCAGTGCAAAATCCTTGAATCGACCAGATATCGTGAATTCTGTCTTGTGAAATTGAATATACATCAATATGCGGCATGTTTTGGACAGTGAATTGCCCACGATAAACACCAAAGATCAGGGCTGGAACAAATGCTCCGCGAAAACTGAAGCGTAGCATGACTTACAGAGCACTCCCAACGAGTAAGAGATAAGGAATAATGATGCACAACGATATATTCGCCATGATTAAGCCCTCAGACCAAAATGAGTGAATGAAGGAGAGTTGAATAGAGACTGAGCTGGTCAAACCTAGGATTCAGGACGATAGTCGGTGGCAGACCTCTACTTCTGCCGTAGGCATCCTGGCAGCATTTCTTTCCATGGATGGTCAGGAACAGCCTCGGCCGCACTTCTAGCGCACGGGTCACATCGTCTGTATATGCAGTTATGCAGGTACCATGCGTGGTAAGACTTTACCGTCTGTCGCTGCAGGGCGACTCTTCGCTTGTGTGCTTAGCGAGAGCTCGGGTGATGGTCCATGCAAACGCTGCACGGGAATGTCCCCTGTCTGACCTCGCCACTGCTTCATCTGACCCGCGTGTGCCTTTAGGCCCCCTAATTCTTCATCTTCGCAAATTGTCCACATATGAAGCTTCACGGGATGCACCGTGTTAGCCTGGATACATTACGCCCTGCAGCTTTTCCGATACACCCGAGATAAGTAGACGCCAAGCATATGACTATTGATAGCAGGGGTGCAATACGTCTAGAATGTCACTATCAGTCAATCCGACGCCTGATCGCTCATTTGCCGTGTGAGCGGACGTCTTGCGCGTGAGATTCTCAACCTAGACCATTTCTCGTGGCCCTAAATCTATACACACCAGGGCATATTGCGAGCCGGATTTGGTTGTACCTCCGTGTGCCCAATTGACCCCAGCTGGGGGCGAGGGTCCTTGCCTGAGACGATGCTACCTATTCTCGCTCTTAGGAAACGATGGACTCGAATCGTTGAACCGCTATCGAGGCCCTCTCTTTCCCGTCACTGTGCCTAATTCTGAAGCCTTCTTGTGGCTCTAGGGCGTCTTCTTTGTCTCATTCCAGGTCTTTCACTTCCTCATCTCGTCTCACACTCCCTGAAGTCCATGATGAGGTTCCAATTTGTCGCCGCTCTCTTCTTTTTCCTACAAACTGTCTCCGCTGGAGGATATCAAGGATGTCTTGAACGTGTACATCTGTTCCAAGCATATGAGATCGAGGGGCTTCTTCCGGCTTCGGATCATCAGCTCGGACTGAGGTGTATTGACTGGGACGAGGGGTCAAAAAGCTGTCGAGGCAGTGCGTATCCATCAACTTTTTGATATTCCCTTCGCTGAGAGCATTGCAGATAATTACGAAACATGTGCTGGCTCTCGAGCTAACAGTCGCTGTACTTTTGATGAGCTTCAAGACTTCATGAAACCGAAGAAGGAAAAGTCATCCTGGAAGGGAACAGGTGTCTACCAGAGCAACGGGAAGATCGCGTTGGAATCCACGGCAGTTAATTGCTACAAACGATACACTGGTCGAAAGATGCCTAATTTTCCCGCATAGTAAGTAAAGATGACTCTCACACGTCTGCATCTGAGACCAGTTGTACATTGCTTGAGTTCATCTGGCTGATCGCCGCGAAGCAAAGCGATGTCAGGTAACGTGCACGAGTATAACGACTACCTGAGGAAGCTTGGGAATCGCGTAAGCACATTCTATCCGCCACCGAATAGCGATATACTGAACGTCCCAAGGTCGATTACGTCTTCCGCCAACAGACGGGTGATACAAACAGGCATCTTTTCGACGATTTCGATGGCACACGCGATGAAATCAACAGAGTGCGTGCTGGCGATCACGGCATCCATCTTGTCCCCGCCGCCAAAGCATCGAGTGTGAACAACATCGTAGTGAAGGACCTTGGTACGAACAAGGCGACTGGCGATCAAATGGAGTCAGTAGATTGGGCGAAGACAGCAAACGAAGCCAGATCCAGAGGAGATAATGATGTCACCAACCGTATTAGAGCATTCACCAACAGTTTCTACCACGCCGCCGGCCCTGGTTCTGCGAGCGCAAGACAGCATTTGCAAGTCTTCAGGTCTTACAAGTATATGGAAGATCGGGCGAAGAAATGTGGAAGGAGGACGTGAGATGCGGTGCATACGTATAGGGTGATTGTCTGTTTGATATTGGGAGGTCTTTTCCTCATCTTCCATGGTAGCTGTATATTGAGGAGATTACATGATCACACAATCTTCGAAGTATATAGACTTAGGCCTTGCCCATGATCCATAGTTAATTTCTTTTCACTAGACTTTGTTCTCTTCCTTCAACATCGTGTAAAGTATTTGCAACAAGTAACGCGAAACGTACGCTGTTCATAACGAAGGTTCGTCAGTACAATTGATTGGAAATGGACGTTTCTCTCAAGCCTTTGCATAATCGTCTTTTATTCTCTCAAAATGGTGAAGCAAGCATGATCAATTGCTCATCCCTTCTTTCGGCCCATAGAGCGTATCAATCTCATCTTCTCCATCAGGTCCCCTGAAAACTCGTTCGCGATTGTCAGGATCAATGTAAAACACGTTCTCCTCGCCGCATGGCCAATAGTGTTCCTCTGTCGCTCCGACACATGCAAATAGACCGTCTAAAACCACAATATGTATTTCCTTCGCATTGACGAAATGCCTGACGCCTTCAACCTCCCCATGATAGAAAGACTCTGATTGCATCTCCTTTTCAAACTTCAGGCGAAGGAAGAGCTTGGCAACTGGCTGGAAGTCGTCAAATAGCGAATTTCCAATGTTAATAAGATCGATGTCGAGGTTAGCCCATACGTATCTGTATGTTTGCATCCCCACTTAGCATGCGTGAAAAGCTCAGAATACAGGATAACTACTCACTGCGCTCCGTACCCCGGTACGGCTATCTCAGAGAAACATCTTTTGTACAGGCCATGATTTCGTGCTTCTTGGCAGGCGCTGAGCACGGCAGGTACTGGCGTGGAGGAAGTCAAGTAGCATCTCTGGCCGGTAGGGTCCGGGCGGTTACACTCAACCTTCACCTCGCGAGGTTCGACTGTCATTTCCCATATCTGGACCCGGAGCTCGTACGGCAGACGGGGAAATGGGTGGAAGGTTGTCATGTCGCCACGAGGAATTGCCGGAGATGATGCTAGTACGATACAAGTTGGTGCTCCGTCTTCATAATGAAGCAGTGAGCGTGCTAGCGACACAAGGTGAAGTGGTGGAGAGGCGACGCTGACTGTGTGCGGCGTAATTTTCCCGTGGTAGTCGGATCAAGCGAAGGCAATGGATAAGGCCGCTCAAGGCTACTTGATGGTGATATGCCGCTAGCTCAGGGTCCGCAGCGACAGTACCAGGTAGCAGCGGCGGCTCTAACCGTCGACTGGGCTGCTTCAGGGAAAGGCCCGATTGACCTTCCCGTTTGGGCTACGATCTTCCGCCCCCAAACTTCGGCAAAATTCAGCTTTCTGGTGACCGATATAAAAATGGCAAATTAATGACTTTCACGGTCAGACCAGAATTCCCGTGCGAGCCAGAAAGAAGATTTTTCCTTTATCCGACTTCCCCGATGGCTGCATGGACAGGCTCTACCATAGGCGAGTACCGTAAATGGATCTGGAACACATGGAATGCCTGATGTCAGTCACATACAGCAACAAAGGTGGTATGGAGCAGCTTCTTGAATTGATCCTGACTGAGGCGTGAGCCAATCTATAGTGTCGCCCACTAAGCCGAGAATGTCTAGCTTAATGAGCTTCTTCCGCTGCAGGGAAACCAGAATCGACTGTACCGCCGGGAGGATTTCCACAGCTCGATGACCCTTACTGTAGGTTGCCACTACCTGCAGGGGACGCCAAGTATGGGTGCATGGGTCAAATTTCCCGACGCTTTCTTGGACTCTTAGTCTACAATGGCACGATAAGCTTAATCTTGGAAATTCAGACCAAGTCGGCTCCTAAGAGCCTGGTTACATCCCAATCATCTGTGCCGCGTGCATCGCAGCAGGCGCTTGCTTCAAGTCAGTAACACTGTGAATCTTTCGAAACAGTTGTCTCTTCTTGCGCGAGCTCAACACGACCTTCATACCACAGTCGTTTCTATCCTACCATATTTTCACCATGAAGTCGTCATTCTTGTCGATATTTTTGCTAGCTCGCCGATCCATCTGCACTGGCTCGCCATTGTACCAGTATGATCCTGACACAGTGAAAGACTGCGTCGAGTGGTACAACAACGACGAAGGCGATACCTGTGACCATGTGCGGAAGTACTTTGGCATCACTCCAGCAGAATTTGTGGCTTGGAACCCTTCCCTCAACACCAACTGCGAGCCATGGTACGAGTGGACATCGTACTGCATCGTCACCGAAACGAAGCTAAACGCCACGTTGCCAACGACAACCTCGTCCTCCAAAGTCTCTTCCAGTACGAGCAGTGTCGCCACACTTGCGCCGTCTCCAACTGCCTGGACGTCACTCGGCTGCTATGTGGAAAATCCCGACATGCCAATCCTGGAGCAAAACATGAACCCGAACGGCGACTCATCCCTCACCATTCCCAAGTGCAAGAACAGTTGTTACCGCCGTTCATTTGGTTTCGCGGGCGTACAGAAGGGCAATCAATGTTGGTGTGGTAGCTACGTTGGTGGAAATTGGGCGAGCAACCAAACAAGCTGCAACTCGACATGCACTGGCGACAAGAACACATTCTGTGGCGGAAATGGATTCCTCAATATCTTCAAGGCTCAGCAGAATCAGGCAACTACTTCTCCTACTTCTGCTGCTGCTTCTGCCACTACTTCTGCCACTACTTCTGCCACTGCTTCTGCTGCTACTATTGTGTCTAACGCTGGTGCTAACAAGCTCAGTGCGGTAATAAGGAATGCAGGCTTGGGGGGACTATGGGCTATCTAATGGTCGATCAAAGTCCATTTATTCGCAGTTTAGTAGTTACTTTTAATGGTATGATTCAGCATGCAAAAGGTGTATTTTGTACTTTACCACGAACCTAAACTTCATTATAATACCTTATCGCGTCAAAATGAGGAAACCACTCTCTCCCGCAGTAGACGGCCATTCCAATATGGGCTATTCGCGTACGATCGTGGGTCGTGTCGAAAGCTAAGACTCAAAGACCTACGGACCGCTCACCAAATTGCGCTCATTGCGCAAATTCTATCATGGCATGTGAGGAAACACTGCTTCGCCGCTGACAATCCTCTCGTACGATCTTTCCCTGTTCTGCTCTCCTGCTAAAGCCGGTGAATCGCTTTGAGCCTTACGATTCTTATTACCTTGCTAGGACGACTGTAAATTCTATCCTTCTAGGATCTAGATCGCACATATTGACCAACAAGACTACCTACCTAAATGGGCAACCCTTTCATGTATCGGCCCATCTTCTCTTTCCGCCTACCGGAGTAATGGTTAGACCAAGAGTGAGGCCCCCCACTCTTCTACCCTGCATCAGTATACATCTGGCAGGGGTATATTTCTGGCCTGACCGGGAACGAACACTCGCTCCCCTGAGCACGTTCTTCGAAATTACCGGTGGAACTCCAGGCACATGGTAACTGTGAACGTGTTGCATCGGAAATGACTTCTGAACTAGGACTCTTCCTCTGCAGCTCCTAGGTATGGTTGTTTCCGCGATTCTGGCCCGCCCAGGTGTGCTAGACCTATCGGATGGATTTCCAAGTACCAGAAAAGGTTTGATGTATCACTTGGGTCCTTTAGATATCAGTTCTAGGCTCCAAGTTACCGATATCCGGGTTACATCGCCTCAAGACTATTCTAGCTCTGAACGAGGGAAGCGCTAGCAATCTGCTTGGTGGCGTTGTAGTATGCTTCGCCGGCCTTACGAACAATGAAGAAACCTCTCCAGGAGGCGTTCCGCAAGTAAGCAGCTATCTACTCTAGAATCTCACGCTAGGATTGAAACGAGTAATCAAAGATTTTCAAGCAGTTTGTCGCGACGCGAAGCAAAATAGGTTCACCACTTCGTGGTGTATATAGTGCATTCCAAGGTTGCCTCTCGGTATGGCGTAAAGCAACAACGCTGCTCGCTCATTTGCTTCGACATCCTTGGTCGCTAATATCAAACCATGTTGTCACTCTTTTCTTCGGCCAGCCTGCTTCTTAGCACCGGCGTTCTCAACGCTGCGCTTGTTCTGGGAGCACCTCACCTTGTTGAACGTGACGGATCATCTCCTTCGCTGGCATATGATCCAAGCACCACCAAATATTGTTCGTGGTGGATTGATTTGACCGAGGCGAGAGACTGCTCTCCTCTCCTAGAGGAGAACTTCATCACTCTCGAGGAGTTCCGTCGCTGGGTAAGATAACTTCCTCGGATATTTTTGCGCAACCATTGTTGACACAAGATCAGAATCCGTCCATCACTGCTGACTGTGGTGGTCTTGTAGTCGGGAAGTCGTACTGTGTAGAGACTCAGAACGAGCCTGCTCCGATTTCTTCTTCGTTCAGTTCTTCGTCGACACCTCTTCCTACTTCTACCTCGTCGTTCAAGTCTACTTCGGCTTCTTCATCAAAGCCGGTGGTCACAGTCCCCTCTTCCACCATCAAGACGTCGACATCGACTACCGCACCGCCTACGACAACAAAACCCTCCAATGGAGTTGAGACACCCTCTCCGCTGCAACCCGATGTCGTTTCAAACTGCGATTCATTCTACTATGTCAAGAGCAGCGACAGCTGTGTAAACATCGCCAAAGCCAACGGAATCTCCACCACCCAGTTTCTCGCCTGGAACCCAAGTGCTCGCTCCGACTGTACCGGTCTCTGGGCAAATGCATACGCATGCGTTAGTATTATCGGCCACACGCCGACTTCTGCAGCTCCCAGCCCAACGACGACAGGCAATGGTATCGCAACCCCGACTCCAATCCAGGATGGCATGGTCCGGAACTGCGACAGCTTCTACATGGTGAAATCAGGTGACACGTGTGACAAGATCTCTTCTGCAAAGGGCATCACTTCAGCTCAGATCATCTCGTGGAATCCGGCTGTTGGCTCAAACTGTGGTAGCTTGTGGCTCGATACTGTAAGTTGCTTTCACATGGCAGACCTCAGGGTGAACCGTTGGCTGATTGTGTGATACAGTATATCTGCATTTCCATCGTAGGGCACACGCCCACGACTACTACCAAGGCTCCAGCCACCTCGACCCGCCCTGGCAATGGCGTTGCCACGCCTACACCGTACCAGGATGGTATGACGACGAGCTGCAAAACCTTCCACTATGTTGCAAGTGGTGACACTTGTGCGACCATCTCTGCGAAGTACAAGATCAGCACGACAAACTTCGCCAAGTGGAATCCTGCGGTTGGTAGCACATGTGCTGGCTTATGGGCAAACACGTATGCGTGCGTTGCTGTACTTTAAACATAGACTATAGTCCTCGTGTTATAGGAAATAATTGTGTAATGTGTGTATATGTTATCCTTTGTATAACAACCTGCATTTGTTTCCTCGGAGAATTTCATTGCCATAAAGCCACCGGGGCGGAGATGCATAAGACGAATATGGGTGTTGATGCTCCTTCATATGCTCGGTCTTCATTACTAAACGATTACGAGCATGGTCCTGTGGTTGTAGAAACATGACAGTACAATAGAAATGTGTCGTCGTGCTACGTCCCTATACCATCATGGTATGTCTCAGCATGCTGCTTCAGCCATCGCCCGCAACCACCGAGGTCTCATAGCATCTTATTGACAATCACTCTTGCTCGGCTTCTTCACTGCACTTCGATCAATCCTCGGATCCAGCACATTCATGAAGTCGCTCTTCATCGTCTTGGAGCCAACGAATGGGGTAGAAGGAGCGATTCTTGCTTCTAGAGTCCCAGTGTATCAGCGAACGATTCATTCCAAATTGCCAGACGCTTGACGCCTTTGCACATGCCACTTGGTATACTACCAGCAGGTGCAAGATTCTTCGGCACTCGGAGAGAGAACTTACGGCTTCGTCGGTGTGACTGGCGATGTAACTCAGCGTCTGAATCCGGGGAGTATCCTCCCGATTCTAACTGCGATGGATTCTCGTTGCGATCATTGTACTGGGACACAGGCTCTGTAGTAGCGCGGTTTAGCGGATGGTATTGTTCCGAGTTAACGTCCGCCTCGAGCATGGTCAGAACACTGCTTTGATGCGTAGGTATTGGTTGGTGATAGGATGGATCAGATTGGCTGTAGCCGGGGCCACGAGCCGATACTTCGTCTGGGAGACGGGCTGTTGCTTCTTGGGGAGGGTGGAGTTTCTGGGCAGCCTCAAGGCCGGACACGCCACTTATTGAGCCTCGGAGACGGTGAATGTTAGGGTGGTCTGCGTACTTCATTGATTCTTCGTCAGGCCCGGCGACGAATATCGGATCAAGTTTGTTCGCAGCCTCTAGTCCGGACGAACTGCCAATTGAGCCGCGATGCTCGTGGTGAGAGTTTGGGTTATGCCGGTGTTCGTGTGGTGGATGCCAGGCGTGGTCAAACCCTTGCGAGGGCTGCCACCCGAAGTCTTTCTCAGCTATGTAGCATCAGCGTCATCTTGAATATTGTCCCAAGAAAGTTTGTGCAGTTTTTGTTGTACGCGTCGTTCGGAACGTTCAATCTCACCTGTGCCGTCAGTCTGCAGCGTAGGAAGGGAGGAGCGAAGATGCGCTGAGATGTCAGCTAGAGTAACGAGTAGAGGTGGTTGGTACGAGGAAAAGGGTATATTGATGCTCAAGTGCTCAGTGTGTCATCTATCTACGTGTCTCGTATCCCGTACCGCCAACGTTGGATGTAGGATCAGCACGATGGTCTACATCCGAGTCGAAGCGTGGGTCGAGCTTGTTGCCAACGTTGGTCGAATGCGGTCCAGCGTTTGTCGAACCCGTCGCAGTTCCCCTGTGGTCCATATCCGAGTCGTACCTGGGATCGACCTTATTGCCAATGTTTGAGTTGTGCGAGCCGTAGTTTGTGGCTGTGGTTTCGGTCGTGTTCATGCGTTCGCGGTGGGCATCGGCGTCGGCAGGAGTGACACCAGCGCTGGCAGCGTGGCCTCGGTAGCCTTGATCCCACTCGTCGACACCCTTGTTGGCGATCTCCTGGTTCTTGACTGCGCTCGCCTTATCGCCGCTCGCTTCGTCGACAATGGACATGGCATTGCCGCGGATCGCCTCGCCGGTTCCCTGTAAATGGTTAGTACATTCGATGTCAAGGTAGTCTCAAGGCCTTTGAGCAATGCGATGATGCCGAGCCATGCGTGCATCGCTGCGATAAGAGACGGATTGTGCCAACTTACGTGGACCATACCCACGCCTTTGCGAATAGAGTCACCAAGAGTCATTCTGAGTGTATATGTATTAGGCGTATGTGTAGTTGATGGTCGAAGAGCTCGTGTAGTTATGGAGGTGCGCGTAGAGGTTGGGGTATTAGGATATAATGTGATTAGAGTGATGAACAGGAAGCCAGGAAATGCCTGGAGATAAGTACTCGACGCTGGCGGTAGCTGCCACGCAACCTGCTTGGGCGTTTGCCATGATTTGCACTGTTTTCGCGGAGTTTGGGAAAGCGCATTGCGACATAGGCTCGAAGATGTGATGTCATGTCCGCATGCAGGATCCAAGAGACTGCCGATAGGGCTGAGCTAGCCCGCATTGGGGCTGCTGCGCGTCGAGCATGACCTGAACCTTACGGTAGGATGCACAGCTACGATACCATGGCATTGATGTTCGCATCCACATATGTATAGATCGACTCGTTAGCACCTATAATTGAATGACAGTGTGTGCAGCCAATGCACCCATCTTGAATGGGATTATCGAACTGACTATGGCCATACCCTGCCAACTAGATCAATCCGCCCAGATTAATATGCTGTGCGTCTGAGGACTTGGAGTATAGAAAGTCCCGTTTACGCTATGGATATATTCATCGATTAATCTCCGCTCCCTGCCTCAAGCAGCTCAACACCCAAACTTGACATTCCTAGTTTGCTAATGAACACTGCATTGCCTGAAATGCATCCAAGTGCCAGCCAGAAAGGAAAGAGTATTGCACCAACGAAAGGAAAAAGTATGGAGACTAAGACAATGTTCTCTTGAGAAGGCAATTGTGGATTTCATCAACACCTATATCTAAATATGCGATTTGCATGTCATCAAAGTCATGATCGCGGCAGATCCAGACCGCAATCGGATCGCCGCCCATCTCTCACGCCTATCCGCCAACGCCTTTTCTCCAGTCACCGAGTTCTTCTCCGCTTCTAAAAGGCTTCTTAAGCCTTGCCGGCGGTGTAGAAGTCGTCAAGAGCGACCTTCAAACGCTGTGACATCGTTTTTTCGCCTTCGCGAACCCAGACACGGGGGTCGTAGTGCTTCTTGTCTGAACGTAGGTGTACAGAGTCAGTGTATGTCTCACATTCAGTCCGTACAGGGGCACTTACTCGGCTTGTCTTCTCCGTCGGGGTTACCGACTTGAGTCATCAGGTATCCCTTCTTGTTCAAAACGTAGTCGCGGACTCCTGAGAGGTACGCCCATTGCATGTCGGTATCCAGGTTGACCTTTACGACACCGTAGGAGATCGCTTGGCGGAAGTCGTCGACAGAGCTGCCACTGCCACCGTGGAAAACGAGGAAGACAGGCTTGTCGTCCTTGGCCTTGGTCTGCTCCTTGACAAATTGCTGGTGCTTCTGGAGCAATTCAGGGCGGAGCTTGACGTTACCAGGCTTGTAGACTCCGTGAACGTTACCAAAGCCAGCAGCGATGGAGAAGTACTGGGAGACTTCCGAGAGCGTCTTGTAGATATCGTAGATGTCCTCGGGCTGGGTGTAAAGACTAATGATGGGTGTACGAAGTTAGCATCTGTCTCACACACAATTCGGAAGGGGTATTACTAACGAGTTGTTGTCGACATCCTCGTTGTTGACGCCATCCTCCTCACCACCGGTAATGCCAATTTCCATCTCCAAGAATTGCTTCATGGGAGCAGCGCGTTGGAGGTACTTCTTGGTGGTCTCAATGTTCTCCTCCTTGGACTCTTCTGAGAGATCGATCATGTGGGAGCTGAACAGCGGTACGCCATTTGCCTTGAAGAACTTCTCGTCCTCGTCAAGCATACCATCCAACCATGGCAGACTATACAGAGTTAGTATATCTCGTTGAAATCTGTGAATCAAGTTTGGACAATTACGTACAGCTTCTTGGCGCAGTGGTCGGTGTGGAGGACAACTGGGATGCCGTATGCGGGCGCGATGGCGCGGATATAGTGGGCACCAGCGATGGCTCCCTGGATGGAAGCGCTCTGGTCCTTGTTGTCGACGCCCTTTCCGGCGAAGTATGCGGCACCACCCTGGGACATCTGGAGGATGATGGGGGACTTGGCATCGCGGGCAGCCTCAAGGGATGCGACAACGGTTGAGGAAGAAGTCACGTTGATGGCGGGGATAGCGTATCCCTCGGATTGTGCGTGCTTGAAGAGGTTGTAGACCTGAGGTATGTCAGTTCGTTGCTCAAGGCAAAGACGAGCATCGAGTCGCATACATCGTCACCGTAGATGACACCAGTCCTGAAGTGAGAGTTAGCTTCAGCTCATGATCATGCGAGCGGGGTCGAGGTAACTTACTTGCCCTTGAGGACTTCGGAAGCTTGAACCATGTTTGCTGTTGTATTGGGTATGTGTTGGTGTATGGGGTATGTATTGGGGTTTACAATTCTGTAATTGAAGTTGCAAGAAGATGTGGTATGAAGAGAGAAGTTTGCGCAGAGGTGTTGAGAGCTGTCTAGTTAAAGTTCAAACATGGTAGTGGGGTTGGCGGACCACAAAAAACAACCCCGCTAATGACCGCAGCAGTGACGCAGCTGCTGGGTTCCCGCCAGCTTCCTTCACCAGGCCTATCCACGCCGGAAGACAGAAGCAAATCAACCCCCACGAATTTTTCTATTCGTAAGATATGATACGATGACTATTAGATTCTCAATTCCACTCATGTCGCAACATTGCCTCACTCAATCATTCCTCTCGCAGCCGTGGGTGATCGCATTCGGTGACACTCGTCTGGTCTGATACACGATGATGCTTCACGGCCGCGCTCTGAAGTCATGGCGGGGCCGCTTTCGCTCGGCAGCGCGGAAGTAAAGTGGACTGTCTTTTCACATTAGCTCGGTGAAGCATCATTGCAATCCACAGGTGACATGTTGCCCGAGTCTCGCCGCAAAACGCTATCGTGCCTTACGCCTCGAATTACCGAGCCAGCCACTTCTTCCATGTTACTCAGCTCCCGTCTAGAGCATGCAAAGTCCCACCAATAAAGTCACTCTGATGATGCGGGATAAGACATATGCGCCATATCGTGATCGTAATTGAGGTGTTGTTGAATTTTTCCGATATGCGGAAATGTAAGTGACATGGATGGCACAGGTATATCTTTACAGCGAGGCGGAGGAATCCTCGGAACCTGAGGTTCTGGGCCTCTCCAGCTATCCGGAGGTTGGGGTTTGGAACTTGTTGCAGCCAGCTGATGAAGCCTCATGATTCCGATTCCTTCGCTCTGATCCGGATATTTCTTACCAGAGGTTCCTCTGCGCCGGCTAACCGTATCTCCACCTTGAATGTGCCCAGCTGCTTCACGCGCGATGTGTCGCCCTCCTCGTGCCCTGAGAGAAACTTTACGTCTGCCTCGTTTAGTATTACACGAGCCGCCTCATCGTTGTGCGCCAGCGCTCCCCTTATAGTCGACACAAGATCAGCACTCGAGACAGAGCCGTAGATGGCGTCCGCAGATGCCTTCTTGCCCATCGCGGCTGCAGTCAAGATGTCTGCTGCACCGGACGCACCCATGCGCTCTCTCGACGGACTATCTTGCTCGATTCTCTGGCGGTAGAAGTCGATCGTGGGTGGTACGAACGTGTTGAGAAGCTCTATAGATCTCTCAGGCTGTTTTTGTCAGAATGCATAGTTGTGATGACCGGACATGGGACATACGCTGAGCACGTCGATTTCAATCGGCCGCACGTAGTGCTTCGGTTGCTTCATGAAGTTGTCCTCCTCTTCCTCCGCCTCCTCCAGATTCAGCCTTACGCCATATGAGAAGTCGCGGGCCATGTCCACCTCCTGCGCCTTGAGCTGCTTCATCTGGGTCGCGGGTACATAGTCGGCGACGCGTGCGGGGAACCATCGGTTACGCATGAGAGAAGGGTTGAGGGGGACATATGAGCCTTTGTAGTATTAGCCATATTGAACTGGTGATTGTAGTAACCAGTTTGACAGCTTCAGTGGATTTCCAGAGTGCACATGTCAAACTTCTGCAGTAGATGCATCGTACCTGCGCGACCGAATCTTGGCACATCCTTTAGTAGCTTCACGACAATGTTGCGCTCCGCCTCTTTCGCCTTCTTGGAGATGTTGCGAGTCTGCTGCGACGCCCAGACATCGAAATTTTGCCGCGTGACCCTCCGTATACACGATGTGCACTGCGGGAGCAGCGTCGAAGTCCTCAGCGAGGCCATTGGGCGTGTCGTGGTGAGATGTAATTAATTTCAAGAAAAGTGCACGACGTCCATCAGATGTGGAGATCCTTGCGACGGAGGGCGGAAGGTGCAAGTGGCCGGTGCTACTTGCCGTAGGCTCGGCATACTTTGCGCCCGCCTCACGAGCAAACGACAGATGACGGCCAGGGCGATATCTCAAGCTGGCCAGCAGTCAGACCATGGCTGATGCGGTAGTCGGACATACCCTACGCCTTACCCATAACATCTTCGCCGCACAACCTTAGCACGACCGAGCACAGCGTTCGCGACACCGTACACGACCCTAATTTCCCTATCCAATCCCGCGGTCGCGGAAGTGACAGGCGCCGCAAGATGCCTGAGAAGCCCCTCACAATTGCAACCTACGCCGCAGGAGCCTCTCTCGCTGCCATTACCCTGGTCTATGTCTTTGGCCCGACGTACTTTCTCGACGACGACGCAAATGCTGCCAGTAGTAAGAAGAAGGGCGTAGTGGGTCTCAGCAATGCGGCCAACGACTGCTTTATCAATTCTGTGCTGCAGGCTCTTGCCGGCTTGCCAGACTTGCGCATATATCTCATAAGAGAAACGCACAGGCGCATGCTCGATGGACCAGAAGTGTATGATGTGGACCCTGAAAGATTGAATGCCGAGACAGGGACCGCAAGGCCCGCAAAGCTAGAGGGTCTGCAGCGAGGCATCCTCACTCATGGGCTAAAGGAGATACTCGACAAACTCAACGAGCGACCTATATATAAGAAGACCATTTCTCCACAACCCTTCATCCGGTCGCTCGAGCACGCGTTCGGCACCCGGATCAGCCGGCAACAGCAGGATGCGCAAGAATTCCTCCAGATAGTCACTGAGCGCCTATGCGACGAGTACCATGCTGGCGGAAAGGCCAGGCGACAAGCTACGCGGGCGGGAGTCACAATCACAAACGGAGACGGCGCATCGGAAAAGAGGGAGGTCCAACAGCAGTTTGGCGCAGCCCCTCCTGAAGGCTCGGGCAGTGGCGGTGTCGAGGAAGAGCTGGGGGAGGATGAAGCGCCCGCAGACGAGGAGGGCTTCCCGTTCGAAGGCAAGATTGAGTCACAGATCGAGTGCCAGACATGCCACTTCAAGCCGAAGCCTACCGTGTCGACCTTTGTCACCCTGACCCTAAACGTACCGCAAGCCTCCTCCACTTCGCTCAACGCATGTCTCGACGGAATGCTCAAAGTCGAATACATAGACGATTTCAAGTGTGAGCGCTGCCGGTTGGACCATGCGCTGAAGAGCAAAGATCACGAGCTCTCACGAACAACCGATCCAGATGTACAGGCGCGTTTACAGTCAGATATCTCAAAGATTCGGCAGGCGTTGGAGGAAGATCCCGAGCAGCCTCCTGAGGGTGTTGAGCTTCCCGACACAAGCCAGGCACCCAAGTGTCGCATAGCGCGTCACATGTACATCTCGCAGTTCCCCAAGGTTCTTGCGATCCACCTGTCGCGATCGACATTCGCCATCGGTGCTGCCTCGACGAAGAATCTGGCCAAAGTCGCCTTTCCTGAAGGTTTGCCATTGGGCGGAATACTACATCGGAAGAACTACCGCCTTCTTGGAATGGTCACACACAAGGGCAGTCATAACAGCGGTCACTACGAATCCTTCCGTCGTCAAGTTCAGCCTCTCCCATTCTCCACGAATGCGACGCTCGGTACTGAAGGCGCATACAGCCGGCAAGCCAGTCCGTACCCATCAGCGGCACCATCAGTGGCGCCTTCAGCCATGCAAAGCCCGCGGATATCAGCACTCAACCTTCCCAGCACAATCGATCGTGGTTCACCGGTCCCATCCACACCTACACTGAATTCTCCCTCGACACGGTCGCTATCTTCCCAAGATACCATACCTTCTTCGTTAAGAGGACCAGCACCAACTTCCGCGCCACGGATGCCTGATTCTGATCCACTACAAACGATACCGTCTTCTACGGAGACAGGAACTGGTAGCGATTCCTTGTCACGTACGAGGAGTGTCCGATCGCTGAAAGAGCGCGCATCGGAGAAAGCGTCATCAATAAAAGAGTCGAACCCTCTGCGACGAAAGTCAAAGAAGACAAGTAATAGGTGGTGGCGTATAAGCGACGACAAGATTAAGGAGAGCAAGACGTCAGAAGTCTTGAATATGCAGAAGGATGTGTACTTGTTGTTCTATGAGTTGAACAAAGCCTAGGCCAGGATGGGATTGCTATGATACAAGGAGTGATGGGTATGTAACACTGTATATTCGAGCAATATCAGTGGTCATGATGTAGTAGAAAAGCTTGGAGTAGATATCACTCGCTATCAATGCGCGACACACCAATGAAGCATGTGTGACACGATGCAGCTGAAGTAACACAAAAGATTGATCACACCCCTCTTCCCGAACCAAGAGTGATTCGCATCCGAATATCACTGTCGAAAGCCATGCGCCGTGAGTACTACGTCGTTCGCGTGGCTTTATCAGCAATGATCTCATTGGCTAACACCCCACGTGGCGTCCCTTCCCCAACAGTGACTACCAATAGTGAGTGTGCCTCGCCTGCAATGCAACAACATCGATGCTACGCTCGTAGTTCAGCCTCACATTTCCCCTCTTTTGTGTTGACCGGTCACTTGGATAGGAAATTGTAACACGCACTCGCTACTCCCTCGGTTCCCCAGATCGCCTAACACGCAAATTATTGTAACGGGTAGAAGGAGGTTACTAGACACATAAGACACGGGTCCGGTTGATTACAGTCCAGTACTGGGCTGCTGTGCATCAAGCTCACGCAAATCATCTCAGTACTTTGAGCAGTAAACATCACTGTGATCAGTTCCCGTACTGCGGTAGTCTGTAGTACCTCTCCACATCATTTCTTCTCTCCTACAACTCAGCCTTCAATACAACATCAACAGGATGCCGAGCCTCGAAGCAAACGGAACGGCCTTCCTTCAGGCTGCGGAGAAGCAGACCTTCATCAACCCACCTCGCGTCCTCATCATCGGGGCAGGAAGTCGCGGCACAGCCTATGCTGAAGCCACACTATCTTCCACGAATTCCATCCTTGCAGCGGTATGTGAGCCTAGCGACTACAAGCGTGTCGAGCTCGGTCGCAAATTTATCTGGGGCAAGGATGAGGACGCCAAGGATCATCAAGCATTTTACGGTTGGCAAGAATGGAAAGAGTATGAGATAAAGAGAAGGGAGCACGAAAAGGCTGGTCATGAGGTAGAAAAGGGCGTCGATGCAGTCTTCGTCTGCGTACTGGATGAGATGCATGAGGAAGTCGTCTGTGGCATCGCGGATATGGGAGTGCATATCTCTTGCGAGAAGCCGATGAGTACGAGGTTAGATAGTTGCATGAGGATGTACAGGGCGCTCAGAGCCCCCAATTCCGGGAACGAAGCCAAAGAGACAATCTTCGGTATCTGTCATGTGTTGCGGTACTCGCCGCACAACATGTTGTTGAGACATCTGGTCCTGGAGAAGGATGTCATTGGTGATGTGCTTAGCATTGAGCATGTCGAGCCGGTTGGCTGGTGGCATTTTTCACACAGCTATGTGAGGTAAGATCTGCCATTCCATTCTCACTGAAGTCTATTACTAACAAAAGCAGAGGTAACTGGAGGAAAGAGTCCAAGACAGCGCCATCGCTTCTTACGAAGTCCTGCCACGACATTGATTTCCTTATGTGGATGCTCTGTTCACCTAGGCCCGACACCAAGAATGCGACACCTCACCTTCCCTCGTATATCACCTCTACTGGGTCTCGCAAGTTCTTCCGCAAAGAGCGCAAGCCGAAAGCAGCCGGTTCAGCTACGAACTGTCTGTCCTGCGTTTTCGAACCAGAATGCGACTACAGTGCGAAGAAGATCTATCTCGAGAGGCATCTGAACAACGGCAATGCGGATTGGCCAGTGAAGATTGTGAACCCAGAGATTGAAGACATCTACAAGACCACCGGAAAGGAGGCAGCTGAGAAACAGCTTCTCAATGATCTGGCTGAAGACTATAGCGTTGACACTCCTATCAGTGAAGTTGAACAACGCCCATGGTTTGGGCGATGCGTCTGGGAGTCAGATAATGATGTTTGTGATGACCAAATGGTCACCATCACCTGGGATGATGACCCGATTGTAGAGGACGACGATGGCCTACCTATACTGCATGGTCGCGGTGCAAAGACGGCGCAGTTCCACATGGTCGCTTTCACAGAGAAACAATGCGAACGGCGAGGTCGAATCTACGGCACCAAAGGCGAGATCGAGTACGACAGCATCAACATAAAAGTACACAACTTCTCAACCGGGCAAACCAAAACTCATAGTCCTCATCTCGCAGGCGGCGGTCACGGTGGCGGTGACGAGGGACTTGCGCGACAATTTCTGATGGCGGTTAATGCCGTGGATTCTGGCGCCATGCCCGCGTCAGAGGCTCAGCGACAGTACCTCGGATGTGACCTTGACGAGGCGTTCCGTAGCCATGCCATGGTCTTCGCAGTGTGGTCAACAAACCGACGGTTTGACCGACCGATTCAATCGGTTTGATTAGTAATCAAACCGACCGACGGCTGGTTCGTTATCAAACCGACCGACCGATAAGAGCGGTCGGTTTGACTGCGTTTGGGTCGGTTTGACATAGCGGATTTGCTATGGCTATTACCGGTACGAGGGGCTTCTCGGGCCATTTCCTAGTATAGGTAAACAAACGAACTTTCTAGAAACACCCTCCAAATTTAATTTGCTCGTCCATGCTGTAGTTGTATATCGCATCGTCCATCTCCGTATGCCCCATTTCTATAAACTTCTTTATTTAGCCAAATATTGTCGCTTCGATATGACCTCTAGCAGAGACACTAGCCCTGCCATATCTTCTCTTCCATCTGGCTCACAGGTTGCTCGCGTCGATGACGCTTCCGAGACGTCCCTGACACCCTCTGAGTCTGTATCGATCGACAAGGAAGTTCGATGCGAGTTTGATATTGACTGGACGAATATCTGGCACGGCTCGATGCGGCTTGAAGGCGCAAAGTTAAGGCCTCGCCACAGGCGAGTGGTTAACACCAAGGCCAAAGAATCATGGATATTCCGACATGGCGCTAGCCTGGAACACGAAGGAGCGCGGTATTGGCTCTGTAAGCTTTGCCACCTGAAGAAGAGTTACTCAACGGCTCTATATTCGGCAGCTGGCACTTCTCACGCAGCGAAGCACTTGATCCGTGAGCACCGCATCTCTCCATCCGGTGAGCTTCCAAATCTGCCTGCCAATCCCTTTTACTTGCGGCGTCGTCAGTAACATGCAGGGCGCCTCTATCGCGTCAGTCTAGTGCTGGATTAGGGCTTCCTTCGCGTTTCAATGAATCCATGTGGAAAGCCCGGTTCGTCGACTGGATTATTCTGGAAGACGTCACTCTTCGTCAGGCATCTAGCAAGCGTCTTCAGTGGCTAATACGGAACGGCGGCGAGCTCGCTAGTCAGTTACTGCCCGAGTCTCACGCGTCTGTATCAACTTGGATTCATGATGCGTTCCAGAGGCGCGGGAATATCGTCTTCGACCTGATCAAAAACGCGAAAAGTTTGGTGCACTTAAGCTTTGATTTATGGACTGCTTCCAATGGGTTTAACTATGTTGGCATTGTGAGCCACTTCGTCGACGGCAAGGGCTTGAAACGTGACGTCCTTATCGGTCTGCCACGCGTGATCGGTCCGCATTCTGGCGAGAATATCGCGACCTATATTAAAAAGGTTATTGATTGCTACGAGCTGAGTTCGAAGTTAGGCTACTTCGTCCTTGACAACGCCAGCACCAACGATACATGCCTAGAGGCTCTTGCGCTATGGTTTCCTATAGACGTCAACAAACGACGCTTGCGTTGTATCGGCCATATCATCAATCTCATTGTACGAGCAGTTATCTTCGGTGAAAACGTGAGCAAATTCGAGGACGAACTTCGAGGTGCCAGCGACGAAACCTGCTTCGAAATCTGGGCCCGAAAAGGGGCTATCGGCAGACTCCACAATCTTGCCACCTATATCCGTCGGTCAGATCAACGGCGACAGGTCCTTCGAGACCTTCAAGACGAGCTTGCGAGCGACGATGTGATATTCACTATTGACCTTGTTATTGACGGCAAAACGCGCTGGAACTCAGTTTACCTTATGGTAAAACGTGGTGAGTTAATACCTTAGGCTTGCAGTCCTTCTAACTCCGAAGCTGACAGTTTGTTAGCACTCGAGCTTCGCGACGCTTTAGAACTCTATCAAATTCGCTGGCAAAAGCCAAAAAACGACCCAAGGCACCGAGACCTGACGAAAGACTTCCTCGATGCTGAAGGGTGGGCCGAGTTGCAACGCTTCCGCGACTTTCTGGAACCGTTTTATATCCTCACAAAGACTATGGAAGGAAATGCAAACAGAGATGGCAAAGGAGGTGGCCATGGCGCTGTTTGGGAGACTCTCAAGACGATGGACTATATGTTCATCGCATTTAACAATGCTGCAGCTTCATGCCGCGACGAACCGGAGTCTCACTTCAAACGCGGAATTGAGTGTGGCTGGGTGAAGCTTGAGGAATATTATAAGCTGACAGACATGACGCCGGTGTATCGCGCCGCCCTGGCTCTCCACCCCACCTACGGTTACGATTATTTTGAGGAACACTGGAACGGGACGATGAGAAAGCCTTCTTGGTTCAAGGGCATGAAGACGGTTGTATCAAGCCTGTATGACGAATATCGGCGCCAGGCCGAGGTGGAAGCTCAAGCTCAGGCTGGCTTAGCGCGTGACGAAGACAGCGAGGATGGACATTCTGTAATTAACGATTACAGCTCTTTCGGAAAGAGGAAAGGCAGTTCACTAATTCGCCAGCGAAAAAGGTCTAAAGTCGCCAGCGAACTCACCGCTTTTCAGGAGAGGGAACTTTATCCAGAAGACAACGATTGTCCTGACCCTTTAACGTGGTGGCATAATCATAGACACGAATACCCGGTCCTCTATAAGATGGCGTTGGACCTGTTTTCAATACCTGGCATGAGCTCTGAGTGTGAGAGGGTTTTTAGTCAGACGAAGAAGTTTGTTACAGACGAGCGTAACAGGCTATCGCCCGAGACCATTGAAGCGGCCCAGCTTCAGAAACACTGGCTCAGGAACGGCTTGGTATCGTAGTAGACTTGATGTACGGATGCTAACGTAATACAAACTTGGGACGCTCTAAATAGATAGTTACCTTTTTAGGCAGCCCGCTAACTTCTTTGAGTTAAGCTGTCAAACCTGATCAAACTCAAACCGACGGGCGACGTTCTATCAAACCGACTCAAACCGACCGACGAAGCCTACCTATTGAATCAAACCGACCGACCAAAGCCTCCGGTTTGAGTCGGTCGGTTTATTGACCACACTGGGTCTTCGCGGCCGAAGACGCTCGAACGAAGCGCCAGGTGGTCGACTGGAAGAAGTGGTGGACCGAGGCGGTGGAGTCGCTATTACACCAGCGGTAACTGACCACCGCGGTGGCATGCGTAAGGGATGATGACAGTTCAGGCCAGCAAGGAGGACACGGATGGTGGTTTCTGTCGGTCGCCGAAGTATGCGGCAATGGATGAACCTGGGCGGCTAGATCAAAGCATGACATCGGATGAGGCTCTTGCGAAGCTTATGAAACCGAAATGAAGGCTGTCAAACCTCGCGCCAATCCGCTGTCAGCGCTCGATGAAGCAATTCTAGCCCCAGGCACGTTTGACAATTAAGCTCCGCTTTCAGGCAATTAACGGCCATTTCTCAGCCGGTTTCGACCCGTCTGGGCTATATTTGGTGACCCTAATCGAGACTAATATTTCCGCTTAGGGTGGATGTTGGCGCTTAATAGACCATGAGGCTCAAGGAAGACAATGAGTAAGGCTGGAAATTTTCTCTACGAGCGCGTTTCCGGATGCAACGTTTAGGAGTGTGGGCGCTTGGATTGGCAGATGAGTCGGGGGCCAGTCAGATTGCCCGGTTGGTGGTACATTGTACGAGAACGACACTGGCGCTGTCTTCGGGAGCGTCCAGCCGTCAGTTTGCGCTGTATCGTAGGTCATGCTCAAGACGCCGCTGGGGGCTGTGCATGGAGTCGAGTCGCATAACATGGCAGAGGACAGCGCAGCAGGTGGGCGAGGCCCAAGACCCGGAAGAAACTTGCTTGACAACAACGCGGTGAACGCGTTGACGTGTGAGCGGTCTAGGAAGCGTGTTATAGTCGTGAATACACTTCTCTCCGCCCATTGTGAGTCACTCGTTCGTGCATGGCGGGCATGCGGGAAGACGCATGTCGCTCCGCAGAAACGAAACGTTGGAGTGTCGTGGTCCAATCATCCCGCTTTCTCTCTTCGATGACTCTTAACGGGCTGCAGATGCCCCACGCAGCGCGGGACCCAGCACGGACGGCACGGCAGGCGCTAAGCGGACAACACCACGACCATCCATTCGTCCCTTCGCGCTGCCAACGTCAAACTGCCGCCCCAGCGCCCATCGAGAAAAGTCCCTCAGTGTAGTACTGCACACTAGAAGTCTGCTATACGGCGCCGAGGCTGCCGGTTTCAAGTTATCCAACCGCCCCATGTGCAGGCGCCTCGCTGGCCCGCTTACCGCTTCTGTATACTTCTTCATAACTGTAGCCACTGAGAGGCAGCATTGCCATGCCGCCATACTACTTCGAGTATGCAACGCATCAATAATAGCATAGCCAGAGTCGTTCGCTCGACACGTACTCGCCCAAGCCAAGCACCAGCAACGCTACGTTTCAGACGCCTTGTGAGGCTCGCATGCTGTAGAAGGATGCTCTGATACTGCCGCCAGACCGCTAGAACGTCTCTACCGGTCCAACTCCCCGGGTGCTGGCCCTTCGATGGATCGTGTTTCAGATGTCTTAGCGCGAAGTGGGCGTTGGTTCTCGTGTCTCTACGCGGGGAACAGGAAGGATAAGAAGTCTGTCTGTGCCGCAATCTACCAGTCCATCAGCTTCTTCAAGCACTTCATCTAGAGCACTGCCCGACGAGTCGATTGTGTCTCATTTTCTTTTCTTTCCCTAGCTTCTGCGTTCTTGTCTTAGACACTTGGAGCTGGACTCTGCTACTAATCGCTATTCGATAATCTCTTCCTGTCTCTATTCTCAGTCTCCACAGCGTAAGTCATTGTTTCGATTTCTGGGTTAAATTATTGGTACTGATACAAAGTAGTCTGGTAGCTTCACATCCTTCATCATGTACAGCCGCCAAACAACACCCCCGACTGCTTCCTTCAACTACGTCCCCGGCAGTGTCGGCTCAGACGTCACATACTACTCCCAGGCCTCATCGCCAGAACCTCAATTTGCTGGTCCTACCCCTCCACGGTCACCAGTTCGACAATATGGACCTGTCCTCCTCCCCAAGGTCCGTATGCAAGATCAGATTGCCGAGCCCACCAGTGGTCCCATCAGACATCGCAGGACGACGTCTACCTCTTCCAGTATCGGCTATGCCTACAGCCCTTACTCACGGCCAGCCTCGATGGTTCGCCGTGGTTCCAGTCCTTTCAACCACAACATGCACAACGCCCACAGCACGATGACTTCACCCGTGTCAACTGCTTCCTCATACGATTTCAACCTCTCCACTCTCAACTCTCCTATCACATTCCCACAACAGCCCGAGCTTCCACGTCGATCCTCGTACGTTGGCTCACACTCCCGCTCTACTTCAGCCAACCGAGCCCGCCATGCTCGCGCTGGCTCTGCTGGAAGCGTCGATGAGCAGGTCATCAGCCGGTATGGCTTCCCCACCTACCGCAACATGCCTAGTTATGTCACTGCCTCGAGCGCGCCTCAATCCAATTTGAGCCTCGTCACATCCCTTCCATCCTCCTATTCCTCGGTCCAGGATATGCCCAGCTTCACTTCCACTTGCACTCAAGACTTTGTTGTCCCAGAGTTCGAGGCCGCGCCGGCTGTGCAGTACCCCTCTTTCACTGATGTCAGCTTCGACGGCTTCCAGCAAGTTCCTGCTACATCATCTCTGGTCGAGTACCTCTCCTCTACCAACCCCTCTCCATCTCTAGTTCGCCGCGTCACTAGTGCACCACGCGGCATCAACAACCACTTCTGGTGGGACATCCGCAACCTTCGCAGCTGGGAAGACTTCAACATCACCACCATCAAGTCCATCCCTTCCGTACTTCCCCTTCTTGAAGTGCCTGTCCCAGCAAACTACCTTCCTCAGCCCTGCCGTCAGAACCTGCAGCCAGAGAACGAGTCGGCGCTCCAAGACATCTGCACCAACTACTACGCCAACAAGGTCAACGCTGTGCTCAAGGTTGCTCAAGGTAACTCTCACATGGTCATGCGCGCCATCAAGCCCGTCGCCGGCCAACGCCAGCAACCAGAGTTCGTCTCCAACTACCCTTCTGACTACGAGAAGACTCTCTTCGGCGACAGCCGAGGCCGCGTCGTCGGTCTTGTCAAGTGCTACGACCAATGGAACACCGGCATGCGCAGCGAGTCACCCCCCAAGCAAGTCCTCTACCTTCAAGGTCTCGCTCACCTCCACCGCGTTATGCGCGAACACGGCTGCCGCTACGGATTCATCATGACCGAGATCGAACTACTCTGTGTTCGCTGCGGCGGCCCATCCTCCTTTTCCACGCCCGACCCCACGACCGTCAACGCACAAGCCGGCGTCCCCATCTACGGGTACTTGGAGACATCTGCCCCCATCCGTCTCTCAACTTCTGGTTCGCACCCCGAGACCGGCGACATCCAACTCACCGCCGCCCTCGCTCTCTGGTACCTTCACATGCTCGCCAAAGAGAACCCTTTTGAGGGTATGGGTACCTGGCGCATGGACGTCGGCGGTCCTGCCGCGTTGACCAGGCAAAACTTCCTAGAGAAGGATACTTGGATTCCTAAGCCACAACTTGGCGAGAAGAGGGAGGCTAAGAGGGTTAGAGGGTGGGTTTTCCCCGATGAGCCGCTTAGTAAGAGGGAGTGTGGGAAGGGAAAGAGGGGGAAGTCGATTGGTTAATCGATAGGTAAATTAATGGTTATGGTTCATGGGTTACGGTGACGAGGAATGAAGGGATAATAGGATGATGGGATGTGGTATGAAAAAAACAGCTGCTGGTCAGCATAAGCTCTCTTTTTGCATTGAGTGGCGTTTTCTTTGTTGGGTTTTAGCAGCATTTCTGGCGTTTTTTTTTTGATAGTAAAGCATTTACATGGCGCAATCATTTTGGGTTAGCATCTTATTAGTTCAGAGGCAATGGTATTTCTCACCATCAATATTGCTGTTCTTATACTTTGTGCAACTCGTGCTCTTTCATCAGGGTGGAGGTTCGAGCAATATCGCGTGTACCAGCTCCTCCACCGACTTCTCAGCATACAGATACCACGGAAGCTTGTAGACTCATAGCTGCTGTCTGAAATCCCTAAGCCGTTGTCTGTCAGATACAAGGCTCGGCGAGGTGCAGCAGCGTCAAGGTGGAAATCTCAGAGAACCTCCTAATATACATACAGTACTTCGAAGTTTGACATTCAAACGCTGCTAGGCGCATACTAAACTATTGCATTTATAAGGGAAACTTACACAAATACCCTATTAGCGACTAGACACCGCAGTCTAGAGGTTTTAGGGGTGCGTTCATTTAGAGCGTGGGTTAAGGAAAGAGCGACTAAGCATACGCACAGCGCTCGTTCTACGAATATGTTGAATTTCTACTCCCCAGAAGGCACGAGAAAGTACATGTATAGTGCTGACATGTTGCATTTTGCTTGTTGCTAGAGCCTAAGTTGTGACGTTGCACAGTCAGCAAACATGCTTGCTGCATGGGCAAATACCAGCTTCCGGATCATGGTAGCGAAGGTGTAAGACCATGGTAGGTCAGCGCCGTAGTACGGATGCATTTGATCCGGCAATGGCATTATTTGCCGAGAGGGTCGAGTCGCAGCCATGAAAGCCGTGCGGATGTCAAGGCGTCGAATGAGTAGGGCCCAGTACGAGAGCAATGACACTCCGTTGCTTCGGTCTGAGCCTTTTTCGTCTGTAACAAAGGAAAGTGTGCGGTTTTTAGATGGCACAGGATACTCAAAGTGTTACGGTAGGCATCAGGCAGGTACCGCTTTATGCCGGCTCAGACGCCGCTAGTCGCCATTGAAGGATATGCGCGTTCCAAGAGACCAGTCCCTGCATGGTTGTTGCTATATACAATGATGCAAGGTAGTTTGCTAGAAGGAGCAATCAAGGCAGCCTGTGGTGATGAGTAAATGGGTGCAGCATGGTGGTCAAAAGGCCAGGGACAGTGCATTGGCCGCCACGTGCGCTAACGATGCTAGGAGGGAAAGCCGCGATTTTGATCCACACAAAATTAACTACTGCCCCTCCATCATCACGTCCCGCACAAGCTGCACAAGCCCGACGAGGCGCAAAATCGAGGGAAAAAGCACGCGTGCCTTTATCCTGACACAGTCCCTCCCGCCAATTCTTACCCCGAAAACGCTGTTTGCGGGTGCAAAGACAGCAGTAATCTCGCCCGATCCCCCACTGCAACTTCTCACCGCACCCACCCTTGGCTTTCTCTAGCCCATCACCAATACTCGCCGCAGACCTTGTCACATACTCGCAACCATGGACGTTGCCGGCTTGCGGGACCGGATTCAGGCGACTCTTGACGCGAACGCCGCCATCAGACAGCAAGCCGAACTCGATCTCAAGCATGTGCGTGCCAGATGCCGGAAGAATACCTACCAGACAGGAAACTGATAGAAACTTAGGCCGAAGAAAAGCCAGGCTTCACCGATGGTCTGCTGAACATCCTCGAGCAGGAACAGAACAACGCCGTGCGCCTGTCGAGTAAGATGCGCCTATTACCACTCTGTACACTGGTAGGCTTCGTCACTAACGTGTGTCTGCAGCCGTCGTCTACCTCAAGAACCGCATCTCCAAGGGTTGGTCGCCTGCCGAAGAATACAGCCAGGCCATCCCCATACCAGAGGAAGAAAAGGCCGCCTTCCGCAGTCGCCTCGTCCCCGTCCTCGTCGCCTCCCCACCCCAAGTGCGCCTACAGCTTATTCCTACCCTCCAGAAAATACTCGCATACGATTTCCCAGCCAAATGGCCCGACTTCCTCGACATTACTATACAGCTGCTCAATGCCGGAAACATTGAGTCGGTCTTCGCTGGTGTCCAGTGCCTGTTGGCGATATGCAAAATTTACAGATTCAAGTCGGGGGAGAACCGCGCAGATTTCGACAAGATAGTCGCCATGTCCTTCCCTCAGCTGCTGAACATTGGAAACTCACTAGCCGGTGAGACGAGTCTGGAGGCCGGAGAGATATTACGGACAGTACTGAAAGTGTACAAGCATGCCATCTACGTAAGGTTTTCCTTGGCAGCACATGTGATGACTGGCTAACCGGATCACAGTTCGATCTCCCCGCATCTCTCCGCGATCAGCAAGTCATGGTTGGCTGGTGCACGCTGTTCCTGACTGTCGTCGGCAAGGAACCCCCGGAATCGTCCCTCCCCGAAGATCTCGATGAGCGGGAAGTAAATCATTGGTGGAAGGCGAAGAAGTGGTCATACGCGAACTTGAACAGACTATTCGTTAGGTACACAGGAAGACTATGCATGGCTCATACGAACATGGCTAACCACCGACAGGTACGGCAACCCTTCTGCGTTGGGCAAGAACAACGAGATCGACTACACTGAAGTAGCCAAGACCTTTATCACCAACTTCGCACCTGAAATCCTCAAGGTCTACCTCCAGCAGGTCGAGAAGTGGGTCGGAAAGCAAGTCTGGTTGTCAAAGGCCAGCTTGTACTACACACTCAACTTCCTCGACGAATGCGTCAAGCCCAAGTCCATGTGGACTCTCCTCAAGCCGCACACCGACAACCTCATTGCGCATCTCATATTCCCAGTACTGTGCCAGTCGGATGAAGACATTGAGCTTTTCGAGGAGGAACCGCAAGAATACCTACATCGGAAGTTGAACTTCTACGAAGATGTAACCGCCCCCGACGTTGCCGCAACAAACTTCCTTGTTACGCTCACCAAGAGCCGTCGTAAGCAGACGTTTACTGTGTTGAACTTTGTCAATGAGGTAGTCAACCGATACGAGGCCGCTCCCGAAAACGAGAAGAACCCAAGGGAGAAGGAGGGTGCGCTGCGCATGATTGGCACACTCTCTGGCGTGATACTGGGTAAGAAGAGCCCGATCGCAGACCAGGTCGAATACTTCTTCGTCCGCCATGTGTTCCCTGAGTTCCGAAGCCCCCACGGTTTCCTCCGTGCGCGCGCGTGCGACACGCTTGAGAAGTTTGAACAGCTCGATTTCAAGGACCCGAACAACCTCATCATCATCTACCGTAACATTCTGGAATCCATGGCCGACCCGACACTCCCAGTCCGTGTCGCTGCTGCTCTGTCACTGCAGCCTCTCATCCGCCACGATGTTATTCGTACCAACATGAAGACAAACATCCCCCAAGTTATGCAGCAGCTACTGAAGCTCGCTAACGAAGTCGACGTTGACGCGTTGGCTAATGTTATGGAGGACTTTGTCGAAGTCTTCGCTCCGGAATTGACACCCTTCGCCGTAGCACTAAGCGAACAACTGCGTGACACCTACCTGCGTATCGTGCGGGAGTTGGTATCGAGAAATCAAGAAAAGGGCGACGAAAGCGAGTACGGCGACTTCCTTGATGAGAAGAGTATCACGGCCCTCGGTGTCCTACAGACAATTGGCACTCTCATCCTTACTCTCGAAAGCACACCCGATGTCCTCCTGCATCTAGAGACCATTCTTATGCCCGTAATCACCATCACACTCGAGAACAAACTTTACGGTATGGGATTCCACAAAGCCAACTACTTCAGCTTCAGACTAATTTCTTTATAGACCTGTACAACGAGGTCTTTGAGATCATCGATAGCTGTACCTTTGCCGCCAAGAGCATATCCGGCACTATGTGGCAAGCATTTGAGCTGATACACAGGACATTCAAGGCCGGTGCCGAGCTATATCTCGAGGGTATGTGCATTCTTTCCTGCTGACTGTCATTATGTTGCTGACTATGTATAGACATGCTCCCCGCGCTCGAGAACTTTGTCAACTACGGTACCCCAACCTTGATTCAGAACCGATCATACCTCGACGCCATCGTCGACATGGTCAGAACGATTTTCAAGGACGACAAGGTCGGCGGCGTTGATCGCATCTGCGGTTGCAAGCTAGCTGAGATCATTATGCTCAACATGCGTGGCCATGTCGATGACTACGTCCCTGAGTTCATTGGACTCACAATGCACGTGCTGATGAACGATGAACCGAAAGTCAAGTCTTTAAGGATACATCTTATGGAAGTGGTCATCAACTCCATCTACTATAACCCCGCTCTGGCACTACATGTGCTCGAGACAAATGGCTGGACAAACAAGTTTTTCAGCCTCTGGTTTTCGAGCATCGACAACTTCACCCGAGTCCACGACAAGAAGCTGTGCATCTCCGCAATCTGCTCGCTTCTCACACTGCGAGCTCAAGATGTCCCTGTTAGCGTACAGCAAGGCTGGCCACGCTTGTTGCAGGGTGTTACCCGTTTATTCCAAACCCTCCCCGCAGCGTTGAAAAGTGAGTTTCCATTCTGGTTGGTCCACTCCCAACAACTAACAAGTGCGCAGACCGTGAAGAAGCTAAGAAGGAGGACACCTTCGATTACTCAGCTGAGTTCGAAGAAGAGGAAGACGAGGAGTGGGAACAAGAAGCTGACTGGAACAACGAGGCGGACGAGACCGAGGATGTCAAGGACGAGAGTGCCGCTTATCTCGACTTCTTGAATGAAGAGGTAAATACACCACTCCTGATGTTCGAGACGCAAGCTGACCAGAATTAGGCACAAAAGTTCAGTTCGATCGATGACGATGACGATGATGAGCTGGAAGAGGAAAGTCTCCTCGAGACACCGCTTGACAAGGTCGAGCCATATGGCATGTTCAAGCACGCATTGCTCCGTAAGTACAATCCCTCGACTCATGCTAGAGCCTATACTGACTGTGCCCAGGTCTCCAACAAGAGCAGCCTGCGCTTTACGAGAACCTTACCAAGAACTTAAGCGCAGAGGAGCAACAAGTGGTTCAGGGTGCTGTCCACCAGGCCGATATTATTGCCCAAGTCCAAGCCGAAGCCCAAGCTGCTGCTGCCAACGGACAACCAGGACTACCGCAGCAGTAGAGTTGCTCCATTGACGGCATGATATATCTCCTCCAGGAGTTTGGTAAACTGGAGAGGATAGCCCGAATTTCTGCCTGGGCAAAAGTCGAAGCCGATGACGGACCCGTGTGGCTTGAGGATCTGATCAGAAAGCTTTCCTCACCGCGTTGGCAGGACATACAACTATACGGTAAAGCCAGACTGGCAGATCCATTGATAGCGAGTATGGTCCGACGCGCAAAGAAGGCCAGCAGGAGGAAGTTCTCTTCGGAAGCTGTTGTAGATGCTGTGAGGCGAAGCAGAGCCCGGGCCTTCTAATCGGCCCCTTTTTAGCGAGCATTCTGGCGTTTTGACTCTTTTCAGGGAAGACGCTTTGGACCGGAGGTTTGTTTCGGCGGCTGGTAGCCAGATGGTGTAGTATGGCGTTCGTTTGGTGTGTTGGTATCATTGTTATGAAAAAAAGAGGAGGACGATATCCACGAGAGGCATCATTGCTTGGAATGAGATCATGTATGCGAAATGAGGGTTGTTGCAGGCCTAAAGGCCACAGTAGATAGTGCACCTAACATAGGAGCAAATTTTGCAAGACCATTACCTTACGAACGTTGGGAGACTATCACACTATCATGTTTCCTTGTATGACGATGGTTTGCGAAGGAAATGGCGAGTCCTGCCCTGTCGATCGTGAGGGAAATCGCGTCCCACGCTATCGATAAGCCACCAGCGCAAAGCGTCATCGTGGCTTGTTGATATCCCGCGGGAAACGTGGTAAAAGCTACATCGCAACTCGACGGCCATTTCCACACCTATCGCTGCCTAGAAACGAATCATTATTTCTATGCGACTATAAATTGTCGACTCTATTTCTACGAATTGCCCTTCCGATCTTGGGCAAGTCCAATCTCGAATCGTGAACGACTGCGGCATACGGTCGCAACTCCTCGCCGTCATCCAGCTTCAACAACACGCGTTACGAGCACCCCCGAGCAAAGCACTTTCATCATGTCACGACCGACTGTGTCTAAAGGGCAAACCACCTATCCGATATTTGTCAGTAGTTTCCCTGTACGAACTGCATACGACATGTATACTGACTTCGTGAACTCGTATATAGGCCGCAACATTCGCTAATAACAGACCCGGCGTTCTCGTAGTTGGAGGGGGCGGGGGTGCAGGGAGAAGCGGTGTCAAGAACCAAATCACAGCATACGACTTTACTTCACGAGCGCCGACCGTACAGCCTTTCGCAGAAATCGAAGCGAGCAAAGACGACTCGATAACCTGCTTGGATAACCTGTCTACAAAGGACGGCTTGATCTTGTTCGCTGGGAACGGGAGTAGCGAGGAGGAACGGCTAAAGGGCAACAATGACCACCTGAGGGCATTCGAGCTTAAATATCCGAAGAGTACAGAGAAAGGAGATGGAAAGATCGAGTTTGTTAGTAAAACAAAGCTCTTCAGGACACCTGAATCAGACAGTGGAAAGAAGGAAGGTTACCAGCGTATTGCCAAACTATCCACAGCACGCCGGACAGTCTCGAGTACACCCAACAGACGAATAGGAACGGTTGCGTCAAGTCTTGCCGGAGATGAGAATGAGATTGTTAGTGATATCCATGCTGGAATTGGCTTTGAGACATACGCTGACTTTGTACATTGCCATTAGGTTATCTTTAGTGCAACGTCAACCAAGCCAACCGACGAAGATGTAATAGGGCGGATCGAGCTACATCAAGGCCAGGAAGCTAACGATTTGGATATCTTTACACAAGAGGAAGGTGAGTTTCGGATAGCTTACGTTACGGATTCAAATGTCTTTGTCCAGGACGTGAATTGGGATTTCGAGCAGAGGAAGACGAGGGGCAAGAACGAACACAGGAAGCTTTACACGATACCTCACGTTGAGAAAGGTGCGAAGAGCAAGCTAAGATGCGTACGGTGGCTTTCGCCAACCCACCTATTGCTTTTAAAAAACATGCCTAACAGGACCGGAGTCGAGCTGCTCCTCATACATCTCTACGAAGACGGCCCAGCAAGCGTCGTTCTGCGGAAAACACTGCCCAAGCACGCAAAAGCGGCGACGGACATGGACGTCAGCTTGCTTGATGCCGATGAAGATGGCGCCTACCAGATTGCCATTGCGGTCGCAGCGATTGATATATCCTTGACAGTATATACTATGGATTATCATGGGCCCGCGAGAGATTCTCTGAGCTCTTTCCATGCATTCAACAGCTACGATAATGTGAGTTGAAGATGTATCCATAGAATCTAGTATATGCTAACGGAAACAGGTTCATGATGTGCAAATGACGAAAGTCATCTTCTCGCCATTCTACAAGCCAGAGGTACCTGCCGGCCGCCAAGCTCCACCGCAGTACTTGCGTCTGGCGAGTACGTCTTTGGGAAACACGATCAGCGTTGAAACCTTCCAATTACAATACACCGGGTCTCGCTATGTTCTTCAGACAGCGCGTTCAAGGAACCTATTCACAGCAGCTACTTATCTTGTCGCAGCCATGGTAGTCGCTGTGATAGCTCTGCTGATACAGTCACTTGTGGACCCAGAGGGCAATCTGACCAAGGGTATACTTCCGGCCAGACTACAGAGTGCAGCAAGTCAACACAAAACATTTGGTGAAACATTGCGCGACAAACGCCACAACGCTGTTCTCAACAACGCGAACTCACCAGTGGTCAAGACATCACATCGTATCGCCGACTTACTACACCTACACCTCCCTCACGTTATCTCCGACACCAAACCATCAGAAGTTTCCGGTCAACAAAAGGCGCTCGTCATACATCACGATGCAGAATCTGATGGTACACTTAGCACTGAAGTCCATGCTGGAGATGAAGACGTGTTGAAGAAGCACGCCACCGCCAGAAAATGGGAAGAGCTCAGCCACGAGGAGAGGAGTCAGTGGAAAGAAAAGCTGAGCGATGCGGGTATGTGGGCTGTGGGTGAAGGCGAGACTATCTTGAAGTCAATCTTCTTTGGGCAGATTGGTGGAGTGATTGGCCACATTGCGGAGGGCGTACTGGCTGGGTAGAGAGGAGATGTCACGATGGGACGACGACGTGATGGTTACTCCAAATACGAAGGGCGGTGATTGTGCGGATTTCATTGCGTGTAATACCTGATTTTCACCAACCGAAGTTACGGAGCTTTGGCAAGATGATACCGCGCGGTGAATGGATGTATATCATAGTGGATGGGAAGTGTCTCAAATATCTGCGTGCCACTGGACCACGGTATGCACGAATGTTGGATTGGCTATTTCGCCGGTTGAGCAAAAAGGGAAACCACTAGCATGTAATACATTTGATTTTCGATATCACATTTAATCGTTCGAAAAGTTTGTCTCCACTCACCTTTATTCTCACCGCCGTTACTAATTCCAGGCGTATTGTCTTGGGTTGCGCTTCCCCGGTGTGCGGATCGAGACTAGCTCCCGAGGCTCGCGTGAGGTCAAAGCGCTAGTCCGCGTTCGTGACATACGTCGGGCCTGCGTCCAGGAACTTTGGCAACACCAATTCTCAACGCGCCACCCTAATAACGATCTACCTATCCTTTTCATGGATGGAGTGAGAACACAAACTCTTGCTGCGAGAGGCTTCAGTTGAAGCAGTCAAGATGGCGCAGCAGGGTCCCCTTTCGGCCACTTTGGACCGCATAGTCCAGGACCTACGCTCAAAGTGAGCTCTATAAAGTACAGCCGCTGTGACAGATAGCTGACAAGCCAAGACATGACGAGACGCGACAGCGAGCAGCAACTACGCTGCGTCAGACAGTCGAATCGGCGCATCGAGGTGAGAAACAACGCGGTGCACCCCGCCCAAGCTACGGGAAACTGATGTTGTGCAGAACTCGCGCCCAATGTCTTCACGACATTCAACAACGAAGTATACACAAAGATCTCGGGCCTCATCGTCACCGGTAGCGACTCGAACGAACGCATCGGCGGTATCCACGCGCTCAACGCCCTAATCGACTTCCGCGGTGACGATGCGGGCCAGAAGACGACGCGGTTTGCCTCATACCTTAGGGCGGTAATGCGGGGTCAGGACATCACAGCTATGGTGGTAGCAGCCAAGGCTCTGGGAAGACTCGCAAAGCCCGGCGGCACACTCACGGCGGAGCTGGTCGAAGCAGAGGTCAAGGGCGCATTGGAGTGGCTGCAGCTGGAGCGCCTGGAGAATAGACGCTTCGCTGCCGTCCTCATCCTGCGAGAACTGGCGAAGAACTCCCCAACGCTCATGTACCAATGGATTGCGCAGATCTTCGAGGTCATCTGGGTCGCCCTGCGAGATCCCAAGGTTCTCATACGAGAGTCAGCCGCCGAAGCAATCAGCGCGTGTTTCGAGATCATATCCCCCCGCGACTCGCAAATGCGCCAGCTATGGTTCGGTAAGGTCTACGATGAGATTCTACGCGGTTTCACCATCAACACAAATGAAGCGATCCACGGCTCACTCCTCACCATGAAGGAGCTGCTGGACAAGAGCGCCATGTTCATGAATGACCAGAAATACAAGGAGACGGTTGAGCAGGTACTGAAGTACCGGGAGCACCGCGATGCGCTGGTACGGAGAGAGGTGGTACTCATTATACCTATTCTCGCTGGTTATTCGCCTACCGAGTTCGCGACCAAGTACCTACACCAGTGCATGCTACATCTCCAGGGTCTGATTAGGAAGGACCGCGACCGAGACAAGGCATTCGTGGCCATTGGGCAGATCGCAAACGCTGTCGGAGTGGCCATATCGCCATACCTGGAAGGCATTCTGGGCTTCATACAGGAGGGCCTCATTGCGAAGGCACGAAACAAAGCCGCTATCAACGAAGCGCCGATATTTCAATGTCTCAGTATGGTTGCGGCAGCCGTCGGCCAGGCACTCACCAAGTCTGTCGAGCGGTTACTGGATCCCATCTTCTCTTGCGGATTGAGCGACTCGCTTTTCCAGGCTCTTGTGGATATGGCACATTACGTACCTCCATCACGTCCTATGATCCAGGATAAGCTGTTAGATCTCCTGAGCCAGATCCTCGCTGGACGACACTTCCTACCCCTCGGCAGCCCATTTCAAGTCTCACAACCTCCACAGATCTGGACACGCGACCACAAGGATCCTCAAATCATCGCATCGCGAGAGGCAGAGATTGCACTGGCACTACACACGCTCGGTAGTTTTGACTTCACTGGCCACGTGCTGAATGAGTTCGTCCGCGACGTCGCTATCCGATACGTTGAAGCAGATAATTCGGAGATCCGGAAGCGTGCCGCTTTGACATGTTGCCAGCTCTTCGTCAAGGACCCTATTGTTCACCAGACTAGTACCCATGCGACCAAGGTGGTTGGCGACATCATCGAAAAGCTCCTGACGGTCGGCGTAGGCGATGTCGATCCGGAGATTCGATGGGATGTTTTGATGGCACTGGATGCACGTTTCGACCGCCATCTCGGAAAGGCAGACAATGTCCGGACGCTATTCCTCGCTCTAAACGACGAGGTCTTCGCTATTCGAGAAGCAGCAATGTCCATCATTGGCCGCCTCACAGCCATCAATCCTGCTTACGTCTTCCCTTCGTTGCGCAAGGTTCTCCTACAGCTGTTGACTGAGGTCAACTATGCCAACAGCCCTCGTAGCAAAGAAGAGAGTGCCAAGTTGATTAGTAGTCTGGTTGGCGCCGCGGATAGTCTCATCAAGCCACTGATAGACCCCATCGTTGAGGTTCTGCTACCCAAGTGCAAAGACCCTAACCCTGAGGTTGCTTCGACAACGCTCAAGGCTATTGGTGACCTTGCAACAGTCGGCGGTGAGGGCATGATCAAATACATCAAAGATCTCATGCCGGTCATCCTAGACTTTATGCAAGATCAGACATCAGATGCTAAGCGCTTCTCGGCTCTAAAAGCTCTCGGACAGCTAGCAACGAATGCTGGCTACGTAATAGAACCATACAGGGACTATCCAGAGCTAATGAACATTCTAATGAGCATCGTCAAGACGGAACCGGAAGGTGAACTCAGAAGGGAGACTGTTAGGCTCATGGGTACCCTCGGAGCCCTGGACCCAGACGAGTACCAGAAGATCATGGAACAGTCACCAGACAAGCATCTTATCTTGGAAGCACAAGCCATCACTGATGTCTCACTCATCATGCAAGGCACGACTCCTTCGAATGAGGAGTACTACCCTACAATCGTCATCAGTACGCTCATGGGGCTACTTAAGGATCCGTCGCTCGTGCAGTACCACACTGCGATTGTGGAGGCCGTCATGAACATCTACGCGACGATGGGATTGAAGTGCGTCCCCTTCCTCAGCCAAGTCGTACCTGGCTTCCTTCACGTCATTCGATCAACGCCAGCTGGACGCTCTGAAGGTTATTTCAACCAGCTTAGCCAGCTTGTTCGAATCGTTCGCCAGCACATCCGGCCGTATCTTCCCAGTATTCTCGCCACCATCAAGGAATACTGGAGTAGCAGTCCGCAGCTGCAAGCCACCATCCTCTCCCTAATCGAGGCTATCGCACGGTCGCTAGAAGGCGAGTTCAAGGTTTACCTGGCTGATGTTCTACCACTTATGCTCAGTGTCCTCGATTCCGACCACACCAATAAGCGATTGCCGTCAGAGAGGGTGCTGCACGCGTTTCTGATCTTTGGATCAAGCGCGGAAGAATACATGCATCTGATCATTCCAGTGATGGTCAAAATGTTCGACAAAGCAGGCCAACCCATACAGATTCGAAGGCATGCTATCGAAACACTAGGACGCTTATCCAAGCAAGTCAATGTTTCCGAGTTCGCTGCACGTATTGTGCATCCCCTCTGTCGAGTCCTTTCTGGTAACGAGCCAAGCCTGAAGCAGACCGCTCTCGAGACGCTCTGTGCACTTATCTTCCAACTTGGTCCGGACTACATCCATTTCGTACCGACAGTCAACAAAATTCTCATTGCGCACAAGGTGCCACATGAAAACTACGGGCGTATTGTGTCAAAGTTACAGAAGGGCGAGCCCTTGCCTCAGGATCTCAGCCCGGATGAGCGATACGGCGAAGACGATGAAGACATGAACACCGCGGAGATCTCTTCTAAGAAGTTGGCGGTCAACCAGCAGCATCTCAAGCAGGCTTGGGAAGCTTCTAACAAGACTACCAAGGAAGACTGGATCGAATGGATGCGAAGATTCAGCGTTGAGCTTCTGAGGGAATCGCCACAACAAGCGTTACGCGCTTGCACACCGCTCGGTAGCGTATACAACCCCATCGCACGCACCTTGTTCAACTCGGCGTTCGTCTCGTGTTGGACCGAGCTCTACGACCAGTATCAGGAAGAGCTTGTTCGATCCATCGAGACCGCACTCACGTCGCCCAACATCCCACCTGAGATTCTTCAAGTTCTGCTCAACTTGGCAGAATTCATGGAGCACGATGACAAGGCTCTACCTATTGACGTGAGAATACTTGGTATGTATGCTGGCAAGTGTCATGCTTTTGCCAAAGCACTACATTACAAGGAGCTCGAGTTCAACGCGGAGCAGAATTCCAGCGCTGTGGAAGCCCTCATCAGTATCAACAACCAGCTACAACAGACCGATGCAGCGTTCGGTATTCTACGTAAGGCGCAGAACTACGCCGACGTTGAATTGAAAGAGACTTGGTTCGAGAAGTTACAGAAGTGGGACGAAGCGCTTGCTGCCTACCAGAGGCGTGAGCTCGAAGAACCCGACTCATTCGATGTTACCATGGGCAAGATGCGCTGTTTGCACGCTTTGGGCGAGTGGGACCTGCTCTCGAGTTTATCAAAGGAGAAGTGGGCCAATGCGACGCAGGAGTATCGTAAGGCGATAGCACCGCTTGCTGCGACGGCCGCTTGGGGTCTGGGCAAATTTGCGGATATGGACAACTACCTCGGCGTCATGAAAGAGCAGTCGCCTGACCGTGCCTTCTTCGCCTCGATTCTTAACATTCACAACAACCGCTTTGAGATTGCTGTCGACGAGATCGCCAAGGCTAGGAAGGGTCTTGACACTGAGTTGAGCTCGCTCCTGGGAGAGTCATATCAGCGTGCCTACTTGCCAATGATTCGCGTGCAAATGTTAGCAGAGCTCGAGGAGATCATGCAGTACAAGCAAAACGATGGCAATCTCGAGAAGCAGAGGAGCATGCGTAAGACCTGGATGAAGCGGCTTAGAGGGCTGCAACCCAACCCAGAAGTCTGGCAACGCATGATCAAGGTGCGACAACTCGTCATCTCACCAAAAGAGGGCACCGATATGTGGATCAAGTACACCAACCTTTGCCGCAAGAGCAACAGGATGAACCTTGCGAACAAGGCGCTACAGAAGTTGCTTGACATCGAGAGCACTGGCGACAGCACTGTAGTTGAGTTTGTGCGCAACAACGCTCATGAGATCTCGCACCCAGTCGCATACACAACTTACAAGTACATGTGGGCCGATCAGAACTTCAAGCAGGAGGCTCTCGATAGTATGAAGGACTTCACCGGCCGACTCTCTGAGGATCTCGCAATGCGAACTCGGGCTGCGGCCAATCCAATGATGGCGCAGAATGGAATGAACGGTATGTCGAATGGTCAGCACATGTTCACCAACATGAACCCTTTTGCTGCCACCAACGGACACAATGGAGTCAATGGTATGAATGGCTCAAGCATGCTAAACGGGTCATCCATAGGTGTCTCGCCTACTGAGCTGGCCGAAAGCCATCGCCTGCTCGCCAAATGCTACCTCAAGCAGGGTGACTGGCAGCAAGAGCTTCAAGACGGCGAATGGGAGCACGAATTTGTCCACGAAATACTAGCCGCTTATGCAGCTGCCACACGCTACAATAAAGACTGGTACAAGGCCTGGCACGCTTGGGCTCTCGCCAACTTCGAAGTCATCAATTCTATCACATCAAAGTCCGACCGGGAGGCAACCGAAGTGCCTAATAACATCATCCACGATCACGTCATCCCGGCTATACAAGGATTCTTCAAGTCGATCGCACTCTCTTCAACTAGTTCGTTGCAAGACACGCTCAGGTTGCTTACGTTGTGGTTCAGTTATGGCGGTAGAGAGGGAGTCAACCGCACCATCACCGAAGGTACGAAGTCGGTTCCGATTGATACGTGGCTCGAGGTCATCCCGCAGCTGCTTGCTAGAATCAATCAGCCGAACGCTGTGGTTAGACAATCGATTCATCAGCTGCTCATCGAAGTCGGCAAGGCACATCCACAGGCTTTGGTCTTCCCATTGACTGTCTCGATGAAGTCGGACGTTTCGCGACGTCAGCGATCCGCCAAGGAGCTCATGGAAGCTATGCGTGAGCACTCGCCAAAACTAGTCGAACAAGCCGATCTCGTCAGTCATGAACTCATTCGTATTGCTGTCCTTTGGCACGAACAATGGCACGAGGGTCTTGAGGAAGCCAGTAGGCTCTACTTCGGTGATCACAACATCGACGGTATGTTCGCCACACTGGCGCCTCTCCACGCGATGCTCGACAAGGGACCAGAGACTCTACGCGAGATCTCATTTATCCAGTCTTTCGGCCGCGAACTCCAAGAAGCCCGCGATTGGTGCAACACCTTCAGGACTTCTGGTGAGATAGGTGACCTCAACCAGGCATGGGATCTCTACTACCAGGTGTTCCGCAAGATCGCTCGGCAACTGCCATCTTTGATGACGCTTGAGCTGCAGTATGTCTCGCCAAAACTCAAGGACGCGCATGATCTTGAGCTTGCTGTGCCTGGTACGTACCAAGTCGGCAAGCAGGTTATCCGGATCATCTCGTTCGAGCCGGTAGCATCTGTCATCCAGTCCAAGCAACGACCTAGGAAGCTGGAGATGCGTGGAAGCGACGGCAAAGCGCACACTCATATCCTGAAGGGACACGAAGATATCCGTCAAGACGAGCGTGTCATGCAACTCTTCGGACTCTGTAACACCCTTCTTTCCAACGATGTGGAGTCACGCAAGCGACATCTTAATATCCAACGCTATGCCGCGGTCCCGCTTAGCACGCAGTCTGGTTTACTTGGTTTCGTCCCTAACAGCGACACTCTGCATGTGCTCATCCGCGAGTATCGAGATAGCAGAAAGATCCTCCTCAACATCGAGCACCGCATCATGCTACAGATGGCGCCCGACTACGACTGCCTCACGCTCATGCAGAAGGTCGAAGTCTTCGGCTACGCGCTCGACAACACAACGGGTCAGGACCTGTACCGCGTCTTGTGGCTCAAGTCCAAATCCTCCGAAGCCTGGCTCGACCGCCGCACAAATTACACGCGTTCCCTCGCTGTCATGTCCATGGTCGGTTACATCTTGGGTCTCGGCGATCGCCACCCTAGTAACTTGATGCTGGACCGAGTCACCGGCAAGATCATCCACATCGATTTCGGAGACTGCTTCGAAGTGGCCATGCATCGGGAGAAGTACCCCGAACGCGTACCATTCCGATTAACGCGCATGTTGACATATGCCATGGAAGTCAGTAACATTGAGGGTAGCTACCGAACGACTTGCGAGCACGTTATGCGGGTGTTGAGGAGTAACAAGGAGAGCGTCATGGCCGTGCTTGAAGCTGTAAGTCTCCTTTTGACCCGAATTTACAAATTCCATCTTTACTAACCCAACTAACAGTTCATACACGACCCCCTCCTAACCTGGCGCCTAAACCACCGCGACAACTCCCCCGCCGAACCAAACTACCCCTCCGAACGCCGCCAATCAATCATGGTCGGCGACCCCAACAACCCCAACGGCAACGACCCCCACCAAATGCCCAGCATCGTCGGCCGCCCCCGCCACCGCTCCTCCGTCGCTCCTCCCCAGAACAACGACGTCGACGCCAAAGAAGTGCAGAATGCGCGTGCGCTGCAGGTCCTGTCGCGTGTCAAGGAGAAGTTGACGGGTAAGGACTTTGGCAAGGGCGAGGAGCTGCGCACAGAGATGCAGGTTGATAGGCTGATCAAGGAGGCGACGAATTTGGAGAATCTATGTCAGCATTATATTGGTTGGTGTAGTTTTTGGTAGGCGCTGCTTGCCGAGGCATGTCGGCACGGCCTTGAGCAGAGCAGTATGCGTTCACTTGAGCCAAACAAACGATGGTTTGATGGCTGGGTGTTTATGGGTAGCGTAGCATTAGCATGGATGGGAGGGGCGTGGAGTTAAGGGACATTGCTTTTCATGGGCGAGTTTCGTGTATTAGTAGGACTTGTTCTTTCACCGAGCGGCATTGCAGTGGTGCTTTTTTGGTGTTGGGGGATGAGCGAAACGACTTGCTACTATAATGATGAGCTACTGCTTCTACTGAAGGTGTTTCGTCTTGATACATTGTGTCGTCTCACGTAAATCCATAATGACATGCAGTTAGGAAGAAGTGAGAAGAAAATATTGCCAATCTGATATTACGTGACTTTGCTGCAGAGGTATAAGGTTGTCCAAGAACGTTCTCATTAGACATGTGTATTTGTAGGACTAACCGCGTCGTGCTCTCTCGATATATTTCATTCCATCACAAGGCTTAAAGTTTCTCAATATGATACCTCGAGGTTGGCTTTTCTGTCTTGCCGTGTTTGCCATTGCCCAGGTGGAACGACGGCAGACGACGTTAGTCTATCAGCTGCACGGTAACGGTATCCGAGACTAAAGACTGGCGAGGATTAATGGAAGGAAGACTGTGCCGATTGTTCTCCGTAGAAGTGTTACGCGGATCTTTCGGGATTCGTGCGAAGACTGCTTTTCGTGGCGGATAACATTTCTGAGCGAAAAAGCATCACCATGTACCATACTACCTGGTCACCAAGGGACGTCAGCTATGACGATCGCGATTAGGGCCGACGACACGGGAGTATACCGATATAAGTCGAGGCCAATACGCAAACTATGGATGTACCGAAGATATACACATATACGTCATAGCTTCGGATCGAGAAGAGCTATGTGGGCCAAGGGTCTCCGCATTCTTGTTACCATCGAAGATGCCGTTCTTGCCAGTCTAAAAACCATGCACATGACAGGATGATCGTATCGTGATGAATTCTTCGGCCGCATTAACCGTAGTGTTTGCGATAGCGTTTGGAGAAGATGGGACTTTGGAGCGGTGACGGCGTAGCGTGTGTTGTGGATCTTGAGGGTTTTTGATCCTGCGCTTGGTTACCGTACCCGGACAATATCTGGCAAATACACATTGGGATATGTACAGCCGTAACGGAGCGAACATGTAGATATGCTTGTAACAAATTTGTTGATGTCTTGAAATTGGTTTTGGGCAGCATAGTGCTCGGCCGGGTCGGCCCTGGCTTGCTGGTCTGACAGAATCTCCGAAAGTCCACAAGCAGTCCACTCATTATCATAAAGACATTATTCCCGCCAGTAATGCAAACGATAGGATCTAGACCCTGGTTTTGCTGCCCGTGACGGTGACGGTAACCTGCAGATAGCAGTCTGAAACTCGTGGGTTTGCTCTTGGGTTATGTTCCGAATTCCCGCTAAGTAGAGGTATTTCAAGGGGGCCGGCTAGATAGCCGAGATAGTGTGGCCGCTATGGCCACGGCTACGCAACTTTGCTGACCTCTGGTTTGTTGCGACTGGAAGTGCGGCAGATCGACGGGGTGGGGGCTTGTCAGAAACTGTTGTAGCGGTGCTTCAAAGGGAAGGCGTGCAGGTACATAGGGTTGGGTATCGCCGAAGTTTTGTTTCAGGTCTTCAGTTGAGCGTTTACTGCAGTTTTCTCATTTGTTTCGCGTCAAGCCAGAGACGTTGACACTGCAAAGGCGAAGACAACGAGTGTGACATCATTGGCTCATTGCTGAACCACAATTACCGGTAGCTATTCGTTCGCCCCGCGGGCCCGCATGTACCGCTGCGGCCTGACCTTGGCATCATGAACCGCAATACTCAGAACCGCAATATTCAGAACCTCGCGATCAGTCGCTTGCCTACTAATGACAGCTTCCCACCTTTCTCCAACGTTCACAGGCCGGCATCAAGTTCCTCCACAGCCTCGGTATCGAGTGCAGAGGAAAGGCTCCAATGGCGCAGTCACCCAAATGTCGCGACGCCGCTCGCGGATCCAACGACGCTGAATCCATTCGAAGATCCCAACCTCGCATTGGCATCGCCCCTAAGCCGTGATGAGCCCGAAGGCCTTGCGAAAAATGTGCAGAAGCAGATTCAGCGAGAAGAGGAGGAAGAAGAGTACCATGGCGACAAAAATGACAGGACAGATACAAACTCTACGGAGAAGACCGATGATTCCGTGCGCCAGAATCCAAGGGCATTGACTGCTGTCACTAGCAGGAGCACAAAGCGCAGCACTCATGGGACAGACGTACCGGAGGATCGGAAGATGCTGAGCTTCAAGGAGCGGATACGGCACTTCACCTGGACCTGGTTCTGTCTTACCATGGCTACCGGAGGCATTGCTAACGTTCTTTACGCCGTGCCGTTCCGCTTCCGTGGCATCTACGCGCTCGGATGTATCTTCTTCATCCTCAACATCGTTCTATTCCTGTTCAACGTCGCAATGATTTCTTGCCGGTTCTACTTCTATCCACGAACGTTCAAGGCCTCGTTTCTGCATCCTACCGAATCGCTGTTCATCCCCGCGGCCATTGTCAGCTTTGGTATCATCCTGATCAACATCAGTCAGTATGGGGTTGACATGGCCGGGGTCGGAGAGTGGTTGGAGCGATGCATGATTGTATTGTTTTGGATGGACTGTGGGCTTGCTGTTTGCTTCTCTATCGGCATTTACCTGCTCATGTTTGTGTCTCTCAAGAATCATACGAGAACGAGTATGCTAAAAATTGTAGGTGGTCCACCACGACATTCACCATCTCTCAGATGACGCCCATCTGGATCTTCCCAGCATACCCTTTGCTCATCATCGGACCTCACGCCGGTAACCTTGCGCCAAAGGTTGAAGATCCGACTATATCCCTCACCATCATTCTGACTGGATATGTCATTCAAGGCATAGGCTTCCTTGTGTCGCTCATGATCTACGCCGCCTTCATCTACCGCCTCATGACACAGAAGCTTCCCAAAGAATCCCTCCGCCCGGGTATGTTCATTAGCGTCGGTCCCTCGGGCTTCACTATTGCCGGAGTTATAATGATGGGCCAAGAGCTACCGAAAACCGTGCCCAGTGACTTTATGGGCGAGGGCAATGGCGAGCTCGCAGGCAAGGTTGGCATGATTTGCGCAAACTATATGGGACTATGGCTCTGGGGTCTAGCACTGTGGTTCTTCTTCGTAAGTGTTGGTGCTCATTACTCCTGTGCCAGGAGGGGAAAGATGGACTTTGCAATGACATGGTACTCCTTCATCTTCCCTAACACCGCGCTCACGACATCCACTTTCGCCATCGCCCGTGCTCTCAACGGAAATAAACCTATCGAATACGTTGGCTGCGCAATGACCATCGCACTCATTGCCATGTGGTTCTTTGTCATCTTCATGAACATTCGAGCAGTAGTCATTGGCCAGATTTTGTGGCCAGAGAAGCAAGAGGATAGGACCGAAGGTGGCTGGAAACAACAAAGTGCGGAAGAGCAGCAAAGGAGGCAGAGAGAGCGGGAATTGGCTGATGGCGGCGAGAGCATGAGGGGTAGAGCGTGGAGTCGCGCGAGGACATTTAACAGGCGTGATACCGAAGGGATTACCATGCCTACCTTGGAGAGGTCGCAGACTGATGCTGGAGCGCGCAAGAGAGGATGGAGTTTTAGAAGGTAGAGGAGACGGATGGTGGCATGACGGAGAGAGGTTTCTGGTGCTTGCGTAGATTTAGTCGATACCCCTTAGAGCGATGTTCTGGTTTAGCGTTAGCCTTAGCTTACGACGTGTGTATGTTAATTAGGTGTTGTCTATTGACAATTGAGTATTTTACGAAATCTGAATACACTGCATACATTCAAGCATCTGCCACTGATTGTGTCTAGATATCTGTTCGATGACCAGTATGCGATCCTTCTCATAAAGCGAGTCCATATGTCTTCCATCCTGGTGCTACATGGACACCTGGAAGGTAACAAGTCTAGGCTTAGTTGGGTTGGTTCCTTGGCGTTCATAGGGATACGGGTGGTCTCACAAGCTTGTCGCGTCACTGTCTCGCAAGCAATGACTACTTCACGCATATTTTGTTCCTCTTAGTCTTCACCCAGATGGATCATGTTCTACTCACTGACCTTGGATGTAGCTTTTGTTTCTGAACATATTGCATATCGTATTTGGCCGTCATCATTAAGCCTATTAGGCAACAGGGGGCGAAGCATCGAGGTCCTCCGCGCGCAGACCAATCACTCTGGCATTGCGGCGTTAATGAGATGCCCTGGCAACCGCTGTGATGTCAAGCTACTAGGTCTCTGCTTTCTCTCTTGTCAATGCATTCGCTCTTCTTATCTCATTTTTAAGTTACAGGCTCTTCGTCTTCTTTTATCCATTCTGCTCCGTCCTAGGGAGCTCTGTCAACAGTCATATCCAATAAGCTCCGCGGCTTGGAGCAATGGATCACCCAGAAAAGAGGAGCTTGGGAAGGTATACTCTAGGGTTGCTTGGGAACAGAGACTCTCGGTACCACTCGAACCTTGCGCAACCAGACTGTGTGCAATCTGCTCGTGTGGGACCTGCTCGTGCGGGACCTGCCTATGAGGGACCAAGCTGCAGCCTTATGATAGATCCTAATCTTACAGACGCATTCGAATCCAAAGAGGTGTCTCTTGTCACGACGAGTAATCCGAATTCCACTCATCCTGAAGAAGCAGCATCTATACCCGGTTCATTTGGGTTGAGTCGTCCAACGGCTGCTCAGGAAGTTCAACCCTGCAACCCTGCCGCGGAGACACCACGCTATCTCCGCGTCAATGCTGGTGATCATATTGAGCTCGACAAGGACGTTCAATGTCGCTGTGCTGTGCCATACCACCATGTGCGGATGCTTGGCCACGGCGGTAGCGCAAGCGTGGAGATGGTCCGCGATGTCAACTCAGGCTCGGTGTATGCACGAAAGATTATCAAGGGAGTCAAAGCCCGCGACATTAAGAAAGCCAAGCAAAATCTTGTCAATGAGGTCTTGGTTATGCAACGTTTGGCCTCTCATCATCACATTGTCAGAGTGCACGCCAGTTACATCAAGAATAGAGAACTTGCTATCATTCTCGATCCCGTTGCGGATGGCGGAGACCTGTCAGAATTTCTGCACAATTACCGCGATCAGAACTTTTCCTGGGCCGGCGGCAACATCGACGACACAGAGTCGTCCCACACTCACATTCTGCTTAAAGCCTTTGGCTGTTTGGCCTCTGCTCTGGCTTTCATTCACAAACAAACAATCAGGCACAAAGACATCAAGCCGCAAAACATACTGATCCACCGAGGAGAAGCCATGTATACCGATTTTGGCCTGTCCTACGACTTTGGAGACACGGGCCGAAGCACGACTACCGGTGTTCCACAAGGCCTTACCAGGAGGTACTGCGCACCCGAGGTGGCTGAGTGGGGAAATCGAAACTCTAAATCAGACGTCTTTTCTCTTGGATGTGTTTTCATCGAAATCTGTCTAGCGCTGGCCAATGATGCTTCATACGACCAGATGTATGAACGAGATTTCCATGAGGTCGCGCGGTCTTCCAAGCATGGCTTGTCACTGCCATGTGGTATGTTTGGTTCAAGCGATGGTGAACTACTCGACCACATCGTAATGGAAATGACGCGAGGTGACTCTACATTGAGGCCCTCAGCTCACGCCATCACGTACATGATTCTTGAGTGCGCTGCGGGTCACTATTTCTGTTCAAAATGTGACGAAAAGTTTCGGTTCGCATAGGCAGAATGCATGGGTCTTTAATCAATGGTCCGCCAACGCCCTCTAGGACTGGGGAAAGACTGGTGCTGGTATTCCAAACCATAGGGTCGACAGAGTAATAGAGAGTTTCATGTGCTCCAAGTTACAAACCGGTCCAAGCCTAATAGTTGACTGTTTGCCTGTGCTCACCATGTTCGGAATTACGAAGGCATTCGGCTTGGGACGTTTAAATTGCATTGAAACTTTCGGACTGATACACTAACTCAACCGTTCTAAATTACCCATTCTTATCGTGAACTCTTCACAACATGGGCATGCCCTCCATACCCGGAAGATCAGTCAACCAGCCATCATGTTCTTCACGCACACGGTTCGGAACAAGACACTTGTTTCCATCAGCAGGTTGCTGCGTCTTCAAGCTACCGCAATTGGCACCCATGCAGCCTTTGGCATCATCCATAGCCTTCTGAAGCGAGTCGTCTTTCCAACCGAAAACGTAGTCTCCGTGTTGTCCATACCCAGTGTTATCTCCAGTGGAAAGTACGAAAGGCTGTGACCCGTCGGCAGGCCACTCGGCTTTGTTGTTGAACTTGCTAGTGTCCCAGACGATCTATGATGGAGTTAGCTTCAGCGCTTGGATGGGAGAAATCTTGAAACTTACCTCGAGCATGACCTGGGGGATCTTCACGGGGTGTGTTGAAGGGCATGCGCCACCAGTGCCAGTACCGGAGAATAGAGCTGGGCCATTGCTGGGGTATGCGACATGAGACTTGTGGTCGGGAGAGTCGAGGTTCTTTCCGTCCCAGCATCTATCAACAAGTCATTGGTATACCATATTGTGATGGGATGGGTCACTTACGTTGGGTAGAGGATGTTGCTACGGATACCACCCGGGCAGGGTGTCGTAGGGAAGCCTTCGGTGTCGAGTCTTAAGACGTTAGTATAGCCATAGTTATGATGATCATTGCATCCTCACTTAGCATCCTGGCAAGGCGCAGCATTGTCACCAGCGAAGTTGGGTCCGCTGTAGCAGCGGAAGCAAGTCTGAGACTTCAAATTCTTCGATTTGCGATTAGTGGCGTCACCGACGAGCATACGGAAGCCCTGTAACCTTTGTTAGTGATCGGAGTTGTATACGGCTCCAGATCTCTTACAGGCTTGAAGGCCGTGACCTGGCCCTTGCCACCAGAGACGTAGTAAACGACGAAACCTCCAGTGGTCTTGCCGGTGTACTTGTCGTTGAAGAGATCCCTGTGTAATGTCAGTACAAAAGATGACTGACTGCCGATGGGGGAGGACAACCTGTTAGGGATCTGAGGCACACGCTTGTAGGTTCCGTTGCGTGCCTTAAAGTAGACGTTCGCGGTCCAGTAGTTGGAAAGCTGTCGTCCACTCCGTTAGTTTCTACACTTCGTAAATCTCATGCTTCCTCTTGACTTACGTCCTCAGAGTATCCACAAGTAGTGCATGTCGCAAGCTTGGAGATATCCGTCGATTGCATCGTGATGTTGAACGCATTTCCTCCAACTACCTGATGCATATGCGGCGAGGGAGCTTGACCAGGATTGACAAGAGGATCGATACGGTCGATAACGTTCTGGGCGCACCCAAAACGCAACATGGTGAAACCCTGGGAGCCACCGAACTGAGGCGCAGCCTGCGCGACAGCAGCGAGGAGGAGAGTAGGGAACAGCATGACGACTGGGGAGGTTTGTTCACCGAACAATGCGGAGACGGAGCGAGAAAGTACGGAAAGATGCAGAGAAGATGCACTGGAAGATAGAGGTACTTCAAAAGATGTTCTATGGGGTTTTCATACTTGCCCGAGGCGATCCAGACGCACAAGCTTTGCCATCTATTCCAACTTCCACATTCGCCATACAACTGCCGACCCCATCTCTACCAGAAAACACATATTGAGGTTACCACAAGTTAACCCACTGCGTACGACCTCGTGGCATAAAGGTAATGTCGGCAGTTGCGGAACTAATTTGCTGATCCCGCATTCGGCTAAAGGCTTGAGATTGCTTGACCAACCTGACCATTTTTCTCGAACAACATGTGGTACCGGAGCACGGGGATCGACGTGTCGTTGTGGGGAAGCTGGGGAAGGGTGTAAATGAGGAGCTAGAGATGGAACCGGCGTCATCGGACGGATCGGAGTCCTGACATGAGACATGAATTGAACTGAAATTTGTGTACTACTCTACCGTAGCCATTATGCGCTGGCATCTAAGCCTCTCGAGCCCGAAGACATCCACGACTAAGCAGGCGCAGGAATCGAATCGGCCACAGCCTTAATACCCGCATTCCAGATGTCGCCCATGCGCGAGTAGCCAGCAGCGTTTCTGTCAAGCTAGTTAGCTCATAATTTCCCCTTAGGAGCAAAGGTCATTGCTTACGGATGCAAGTCATCGCTCAACTCGCTCAAGCTGAGAACATTCATATCGACGATCGAAACCTTTGATCCCTTGCTGACTCGAGCAGCAACGATACCCGGCAGCGCATTGTTGAAAGTCTTGATGCTGGCCGCAAGACCCGACTTCTTCGAGGGAATGATCTTTGCCACGATAACAACCGCGTTAGGAACTGCCTTCAGAACATCATCAAGCAAGAGCCCAAGTCGCTTCGGCGCATCAGCATCCGGCTCTGAAGCGGGGTTTCCTCGGTTCAAATCGTTGGTGCCGGCATGAAGTAGAACGACATTTGGCTTGAATGCCAAACCTTGGGCAGCAACGCCTCGGATCTGGGAGATGGTAAAACCAGGGTGGCCTTGGTTGTCCTTGTCGGCCATTGTTCCAGTCTTTTGCGTTCCGACGAAGTCGACGGTGTTGCCTGAAGACTTCAGGTCGGCAAGTAGTCGCTCGCGGTACCCGTTCGAACCGCCGCCATTAATCCAGCCCCAGGTGATGGAGTCGCCTAGAGGTAAGATGCGGAGGTTGGTCGTCTTGCGTGCGACGAGCGCATCGCGTGCCTCGTGAGGAAGACTGTTGGCAAAGGACAGGACTGGTGCGCATTAGCTCTGTGTTCATGATGCATGAGGCAGGCCTACAGAATGCGAGGATAGCCAATGGCAAAGCCAATCGGCTCATCATGTTTGACAGCATGGCGATCTGATATCGAGGTCTTGTCGATAGCACGCAAACGACAGAGGTAGGGCGCCCTTTTCATCTAAAGCATCTTATCCATAGACGGGCATGTTCTTCTCAAACTGGCGCATATGGTCTGAATTCCTCCGTCAGTTTAATGAAGCCGAGCAATTAGCGCACTCCGATTATCATCAATCTGCGACAGATCTTGGTGATGCGAATACTCCGTAGGCAAAAGTACGGCTAAGGTCCGATGAAGGTGACGTCATTGCATCGTAGCGATAGGTGGGAAGTCAATTGCAACGCTTGAGAAACTGCTCATCAGCATCGTCGGATGGTCTCAATCGGTCTGAGATGTTCCGGGGTTCTTTCAAGCATTTTTCGCTGTTGCGTTTAGCCTCGGTTGCTTATCCTATTGTTTCGATGTGGAGATCAATTTGGCCATTGAAAGTTGTCCCTGAATCTCCCCGCATCCTAACGCCAGTAGGCATAGCTCGAACAACGATTACAAGCGCATGTGCCAACAATACCTATAACTCTCAGCCTTATCTTCTTTCGCGGTCACTGTGCGCTGCACGCGATAGTACTGAAGCTCCGAAAAGCTGGTTTCAAGAAAGCCGTGGCGTATCTTGGTTATCATGGAGCTCCCGTCCTTTCAGTACCAGAGCTTGGCCGGGTCCAACCAGATCCGTCTCATCACGATCCTGCCTCAAGAGCTAGAGTCGGCGATGGAACTCAAACTCGAGCATGTCGACATGAACTCGCACCCCAAGTACGAGTGTTTATCGTATGCATGGGGACAAGATGATCGTGACCAACTCATCACGATCAACGATTCATCATTCCTAGTCAGCTCCACCCTGTATGTTGCGCTCGAGCATCTTCGTTACACGTCGCAAGAACGAAAGATCTGGATTGATGCTATCTGCATCAATCAGACAGATATTGCCGAGCGGAATAGCCAAGTCGCTATCATGAGGAAGATATATCGAAATGCGACGCGCGTAGTGATTTGGATTGGGCCAGCAACGGAATCGAGCGAGCAGGCCATGGCATTTTTGAAGATGATGGCTACTACTAAGAAGAATGATGACCGGGGTACCTGGATAAACGGCTGCAGGGTAGCTAGTGACACGAGCTCAGAACTAGGTCATGGAGAAAGTTCGTCATCCTGGGAACCTCCTCCCGCTCTACATGATAGTGATGAGCGAAGGGATGTACAAGAAGGATGCGAGAGTATCGAACCACATAGTCCAGCGATTTCCACGCGCGAAAATTCGATCTCTTCCCATGTAGCATCGTTGAACCGCGAGACTGAAGAGAGGCCGCTGTCTTCGCGTTCTACCGGAGCCTTGTGTGATGGTGCAAACGAGGTCAACGACGGGCCAACCTGTTGGGAAAAGCTTAAGATTTTCCTGGTGGATATCTACACGTTACTGAAGAGGCGATGTAACCAACGAAAGAGGTTACGAACACAGGAGGAAGCGTTGCGTGAGTATCTAGAAGCACACGCTACCATGGAAGCCACGAAGAACAATTTTGCGATCACAGGTTATCCCATTCTGTATAATATGTTCGGGAGTCCTTACGAAGATTACTTCACAGATGACTGGAATTCTCACTGGCAAGCCCTGGATGCGCTACTTGCACGCCCTTGGTGGGGACGTACCTGGATCGTACAGGAAGTATGGAGTGCTTCGGACGCAGTGCTTCAGTGCGGTACTACGACGCTTAAGTGGAAGAATTTCCAGAAGGCCATGGATTACTCTGAGGGGTGGGATGATATGGGGGAGCATGTGAGAGGGATGGAAAGACAGTCGCAATGGGAGACGTTGCGGCGACGGTATACATTGGCGATACATCTTACCAAGGCCAGAGTCAATGGCAGCACACTATCGTCACTAATTTGGAACACCTGGGATCGTGCATCCACGGATCCAAGGGATAAGGTATTTGTTGTGCTGGGTCTGACAGGTCAAGCTATAGATGGAGGTACCTCGATGGCACCTGATTATGGCAAATCAGTGGAGCAGGTGTATCGAGAGACTGCACGCGACATCATAACCAAAGAAGGTCGAATAGACATTCTACTTGCGGCAAGCGGTGTCGACGGCAAGGACAACTTACCGTCGTGGGTGCCAGATTGGCGGAGCGAGGCTACTGCGAAAAGGCCGACTTTGCTTGTTAATCGTCACCTGTTGATGAAACTGGCCTACTCCGGATCAATGGATATGGCCGTACTAGAGGGGCATGGGTATCGTGCCGCTGGCAATTCAGAGGCGTTTGCTTTGTTCAGCGACGATCTGAGGGTACTTACGGTGTTGAGTAGCAAGTTGGATAGTATTGCGGAAGTTTGCGATATAGACATTGTTACAATGCGGAACGAGGAGTTTGTAGATCAGGCTTTTGACTTCATCCTTCGATCCAAGTTTATATCCAGCAAGACACGACGGAAGGAATTGGCACACAGAGAATGTACCACCAATTCTCAGGAAGCTTCAATCCTCTTGACCACCCTCACTGGAGGTAAAGCACGATACGATGAGCGGGCACCGACCATGAGAAATATCATGCGGCAACGTCGGCTTTTCGTAACAAAGAATGGGCATGTTGGGATTGGTCCAGTAAATGCTCAGCCCCACGACATAGTCTTTATCATCTCTGGCTGCAATTTTCCAATCACGCTTCGGCCTAGAGACGACAAGTTCGCTGTGGTTGGCGAAGCCTATATCCACGGATATATGAATGGTGAAGCCGTTGCTCGTCCGTGGTACAAACGATGGATGAGGGTTTGGAATAAGATATCGTTAGTCTAATACCAGACCATTTAGCATAGAAATCCTGCGACTTATGGTGAATGAAGCCCATGCTAAGTATTCTAAAATAGACTTGCCCTTCATGGCGTTCGTTATCCTTCGAATCGTCCCGTTTTTGCATGTGAAGATCCACCCGCCCGACTAGCCTCGCCGTGCATCCTCAGGTACACCATGACGATCAAACATGAGGCAGACCCAGCTCAACCTTTCTGATCCTGTCTGTCATCTCATTCACTGTGCAATAAATCACGCAGCTCCCTTCGATGTCGGTCGATTGATGTAAACGCAGAACATTGGCAGACGCAAATGTGTGAGGCAAATCGATTTGGAGTCGAACGGATGTCATGCTGCAGGTAAGAGCCTGTTGTCTGGACGCGAACTTCCATTGTACAAATAACCTTGCAAAAGCCAAACTTTTCGTACACGATCCGAGGAAGCATATACAGAGATTTCTACACAACGATCTTCCAGGAATCATTACCGAGCGCCGCGATTGTTAACAAACTTCCTCAACGGACGGAAACCCTTCAAGTATCACGCGATACTCAAACCTTCTCCTCGTGCGCACTCGTGATGTTGTTCTTCTTTTCCGAGATTGAGACTACGCTTGATGCCCTCCCAGCCGTTTCCTCAGACGAGGGCGCTGCATCATCGCCATCGAAAATGACTGCCATGTGCTCCAGAGTGTAGCCACGGGTTTCTGGGTAGTAGAAATACACTGTCAATCCCATTGCGACAAGCACAACAATGAAGACAAAATAGTACTTCCAGCCAATTGCTTCGAGGGCAATAGGGTTAACAAAGGTGTTGAAGAAGTTGGCGACTACTACTGTGATCCAGGTGACAGTCAGACCGTGAGAGCGGAGCCTGTATGGCTAGATTTCACAAGGGTAAGCTGTCAGGAACGGCGTCCTAAGTCATGCTAGTCAGCACGGCGGTCTGTTAGAAGGGATTGAGGCGAGACTTACAGAGCAATGTCGTAGCCAGCGAAGAAGATGAACAGGAAGGGGATGACAGCAATACCTGTGGAAGGACTGCCAGATTCTGCAAATGCACCGCTGAGGGCTGTCACAAGGATGTACGCCACGAGCATGACGCCTGCTGAAGCTAAGAAGAGGGGGCGGCGTCCCAGTCGGTCGACACTAAGTGCAGCGCCTACTGCAAAGAAGAGATTCCATACTTGCAGAAGACCAGCAATTAACGTCTGGTGTGTGACACTTGTGATGCCTACAGTTCTGAGGACAATCGCAAGGTAGTACGAAACAACACCGTTGCCGCACCACTGGGAGAAGATACCAAGAGATACCGATATGAACAGGCGGCGTCGGTTGCCTACTGTCTTGAACAGATCTGTGTAGCTTGCGTCCTTCAGTGTTGAATCGAGGCGGATGGCAGCTGTGATTTCGATCATCTCATACTCAACTAAAGCCGATGCGGAGTCGCCGCCAGCATGATACGTTGTCAAAATTGTACGAGCCTGTGACTATCGTTAGGGCAGCCCAATCGTTGCGTCTGGTGACTTACCTGTTCGCTTCTATCGACAGATACAAGCCAGCGAGGGCTCTCAGGCGTCATCAGAAGTCCAGGTAGTGCGATCAAGGGCAGCAGCAACTGCATGATAGATGGGATCCGCCACGCCCAGTCACTCTCAACATTGCGAGTACCAAAAGTAACAAATGCAGCAATAGTACCGCCCACATACCATCCGCACATGAAGAGAGCGCTCAGGATGCCCCTGTAGACCGGGTGAGAGATTTCGTTAATGAGGAGAGGAACAGCGTTTCCGAACCAGGCCGAAGCGCAACCAACAAGGAACCGAGATAGCACGAATGCAATGTTGTTGTCGCTCAGAACAATCAGGGATCCTGCGAATAGAAAGACGTAGCCAATGTATACTCCAAGTTTGCGTCCGTACTTGTTGGCCACAAACGCAGTCAAGGGGTAAGACAGGCCCATCCCAAGCCAGTAGATGGCATTCAAAAAGCCCAACCAAGCACCGGCTGGAGTTTCCATGAACGAGTCCCATCGAGGTAGTGCCTGCAGTCCGTTCATGAGACTCCCGTCATAGCCGTTGGCGGAAGCTGGACGAATGTTAGTGATGTCAAAGGAGAGGAGACCTTGAAGCTACATACAAAACAACGACAAGGACAAGATGCAGAAGTGCAGCTTGATGAGATGTGATTTCGTGTACCATGGCTTGCTGTCAGGCAAGACAACGAGCAGGTCATCGTTGGCTCCATTCTGCGACTTAGAGATAGCCATGACAACGTAAAAGGGGCTGATGATGCTATGAGTGTTGGAGAATGTGATGCTGGTCGATTATCCACGCAGCACGACCTTATATGTGAATCTCAGATGGACAATGGCAGGTCCAGAGCATCACGATATAGCGTATCGGTTAGCTACCGTGACCTTTAAGCGAAGGCCGAAAGTGTGGCTGCGCGCGTGGAGTCCCCGGAAATTTGGGATCACGCGAATTTGCGGAGTAGCGCACCGGTGAAAAAGAGAGTTACTTATAGCGCATGCTCTCCGACTGGACCTACACGGGGAAATAAGAGTGCTAAGTGGAGAATATCGGCGTCGCTATTTCCCCGATAGCCTCCGCAGACCAAGCGCGACCCGCAACCCGCTGCTGCTAAGGCACGCATCGGGACAATACTCGACAAGCCGCGCTGAATATGCGCCGACAACCATGCATCTGATCGGATCATGTCGTAACTTTTGAATGGCATCCATATAGCAAGGCCTCGTCGCAGTTGCCAGTGCCGGCCAGTCCGTCCTTCCTAACCACCACGCCTACAGCACCATGGCGCTTTTCAATGACGAGAACACAAATCAGGAGCACGCGACTCCGTTCGCGCCATTTGACGTTGAGGAAGTGCTCCTGCAGCTGAACATTGACGAGAAAATGTCGCTTCTCTCAGGTAGGACCTCTGTGAAACTTGAAGTGCGTCGCTCATAGCAGCAGGCAAGGATTTCTGGCACACGCGCGACATACCCAGACTATCCATCCCTTCCATACGACTATCAGATGGTCCCAACGGTATCCGAGGTACCAAGTTTTTTGGCAGCGTACCTTCTGCATGCCTTCCATGTGGCACAGCCATCGGCGCTACGTTCGACTCGGATCTGGTCGTTGAGATTGGCCATCTACTCGGCGACGAGGCTCGAGCAAAAGGAGCACATGTCGTCCTTGGTCCAACGATTAACATCCAGCGAGGGCCGTTGGGCGGTAGAGGATTCGAGTCTTACTCCGAGGACCCATTCCTATCCGGTATGCTTGCAGCAAGCTACATCAATGGCCTCAAGGATAAACACATAGGCGCTGCTATCAAGCACCTTGTTTGTAACGATCAAGAACATGAAAGAATGGCGGTCAATACCATTATCACTCAACGTGCGCTGAGAGAGATCTATCTCCTGCCGTTCATGCTCGCGACGCGGCTCAGCAACCCAGCAGCGATCATGACTGCCTACAACAGAGTCAACGGCGTACACGTTGCGGAGGACCGAAGCATATTGAAGGACGTACTCAGGAACGAATGGCAGTGGGACGGACTCTTCGTGAGTGACTGGTAAGCCTAGTCTATCTCTTTCACACAATCGTTGCGCGGTTCTGACAGCTCGCAGGTTCGGCACGTACAGCACAAGCGAAGCAATAAACGCCGGTCTCGACCTAGAGATGCCCGGCCCATCGCGATGGGGAGGAGCAGCGCTCGTCCACGCGGTTTCAGCCAACAAGGTGCTTTCCTCTGAGCTCGACGAGCGGGTGCGTGCGGTCCTCAAGCTGGTCAAGAAGTCTGCACAAGCGCGTATCCCCGAGAATGCACCGGAGACTCAGTTGAATCGACCGGTGGACCGACGTCTTCTTCGGAAGGTAGCCGCCGACTCAATTGTGCTCCTTAAGAACCAGGATAATGTCCTTCCCTTCTCCCAGGATCGCAAGATTGCGGTCATCGGCCCCAACGCTAAGATCGCTACTTACTGCGGCGGCGGTAGCGCATCACTGAACGCGTACTCCACATCCACACCATTGGACGGTATTAAATCACTCGCGAAGGGCGGAGTGGATTTTGCACAAGGCGCATATGCTTTTCAGATGTTGCGTGAACTTGGCAAGGAGCTCACCGTGGACGGGAAACCCGGTTTCAAGCTGCGCTTCTTCAATGACCCGCCGACAAACGTGGAGAGGACCCCACTTGAGGAACGAACACTGACCGACTCGAACATATTCTTCCTCGACTACGATCATCCAGATCTCAAGGAGATTTGGTATGCAGAGACTGAAGGTGTCTTCGCTCCAACTGAATCTGGCACCTATGATTTCGGCCTGTGCGTGCATGGGACTGGAAGACTATATATTGACGACGAGCTTCTCATCAGCAATGTTGAGAACCAGAGGCCTGGACCTAGCTTCTTGGGTTCTGGGACTCTCGAAGAGACCGGCGCAAAGGCTTTGGTTGCAGGCAGATCGTATCGCATTACCGTGCAATGGGGCTGTGCGAGGACAAGCACAAGGAAGACACCTGGCACAGTGGACTTTGGTCATGGTGGTTTGCGCTTCAGTGGTTGTTTGCGCCAGGACGCACAGGATTTAATCGATGCCGCAGTGCGTCTCGCGTGCGAGGTCGATCAAGTGGTCATTTGTGTCGGTCTTGGTCCCGAGTGGGAGTCAGAGGGTGATGATCGCATATCAATGGATCTTCCGCCGAATACAGATACGCTCGTCGAACGAGTCCTGGAGGCCAACCCAAATGCAGCTATTGTGGTTCAGTCCGGTACACCTGTCGCGATGCCTTGGAGCGATAAAGCAAAGGCGATCTTGCATGCGTGGTACGGTGGGAATGAAGGCGGCAACGGTATCGCGGATATCCTCTTCGGCGCTGTGAACCCCTCAGGAAAACTGCCTCTAACTTTCCCCCGCCGATTGAAGGACAATCCAACGTATTTAAACTATCGCTCCGAGGGTGGTCGCGTGTTGTACGGCGAGGATGTCTACGTGGGGTACCGTTTCTACGAGCAGACCGAAGTGGCACCATTATTCCCTTTCGGCCACGGCTTGTCGTACACGAGTTTCGCCTTGTCCAGTCTCAAGCTTGACATGGACATGCAAACCGACCGGCTGAGCGTGCGCTGCACTGTGAGCAATACGGGCTCCAGGGCCGGTGCTGAAGTCGTGCAGGTTTACATTGAGCCGATCTCACCACCTATTCGTCGGCCGTTGAAGGAATTGAAGGGATTTGCGAAGCGCTACGTTGAAGCAGGTCAGAGTGCTGAGGTAGTTGTCGAAATCGACGTTCTTCGGGACACAAGCTTCTGGGAAGAGAAGGAAGGAAGGTGGTGCAGTCATGCTGGGATGTACAACATCGTTGTTGGAACAAGTAGCGCTGGCTGTCACCTGTCAGGTTCGATCGTGTCGCCGGAAGCAAGGTACTGGCTGTCGTAGATTAATGTGAACGATTGTGTTGCAAATGTTGTCATTGCTGCTTCCATCGATGCTCTTCCATTCTTTAAGGTGATTAGCAGTAACCCAGGTATCATCGCCACTGGAAGCGATCACTGAGATGTCTGAATGAGCAAGACGCTCCATCTTTGAATTTTCTCTGTAGTGCTCTGTTGATTGATGGTCTTGGTCATATCACGCAAATTCGAGAGGAAGCACTCAGGCCATGACGAGGACCGAAGTGCCGAGGGCACATCTGGCGCGTTTGGGGCCTTGGCGAGCGCGTCCTGGCCAGGCGCGATCCGCATCAGCAAACGAATATGGTTCTCGTGTCTTCGCAGCTTGACAATACAACCAATCCGCAGACTACGCGACCGCCACGCGCCTGCGATGCATGTCGGATTAGGAAGACGCGTTGTGACCTGGGCGTAGACGTAAACGTACCGGATTCAGTATGCGTGCGTTGCCGGCGTCTGCAGCTGCAATGCACTTTCGAACTAGCGGTCGGTAGGAGGGGCCCAAAACGGTAGGTTAACATCCAGTGAAGTATCCAGAAATGGCTGCTCTGCGGTGGAGTCATTTGCGGTCTCCAGAGGTTCTGGCACAGCTGCCGACGACTTGTTATGCGCGACCGAGCACCTCCTTTTTGGGCTTTGAAAGACTTGAGCAAGGTTGACCAGGAAGCCTGAACCGCAGCTAACAGTCACGTTATAGCAAGCGGATACAAGATGATGCGTCACAAAATTTCGATCTCGCTAGGAGCGAGCGTTCTGCAGTACCTCTCCCGAGTCCTACTTCGTTTATCGTTGTCCAGCAAGGCGCATTTCGCACTGACAGCATCTGTTCGCGAGCGCTTTTACGAACTATGGTGGACGACTATCTTCTGTGCATCTATCCGTTGATTCCCGTGGTCCATCGGCCATCGTTCTGCTTCGCCCTGCACGAGGATCGTGACAATGACGACGACGACTTCCTAGGCCTTCTCATCGCTATATGCGCAATCGTAGTTGCGTTGCTTCCCAGCAAATATGAAGGCTATCGTAGCCTCGATTTGTCCATGGCTCCCTCGCGTGCCGAGGTGCTCAATCGCTGTCACGGCTTCCTCACCGCTTTGCGTAGGCCCGACTTCTTTGAAAAAATTGGCTCTAGCAAGTGGGCTGCATTGTATCTCATGGCTATTGCTTTCTTTCAGGTTGGAAAACCTAACCATGCTCGCATGATCGAGGTGGAGAGTATGCAGCTCGGACGATTGCTTGACCTCCACCGTGTTGATAAATATGAGGAACTGGACTGTATTGAGAAACAGCTGCGGAGAAAAGGCTTTTGGCTTCTATTCTATGGTTACGTACATTCAGAGATACAAAATTTTCGCAAGGAGAAGCTCTCCTTCCTGGATCATGCTACCATGGCGACGACGAATCTCAAGGCACTCATGCCTATCGAAGTCGAAGACGAGCAGATCTTCAAGCATGAGACGTTCTCTTCGCCAACATCGGATGTGAGCATGACCATGGGCTTCATCATTCACTCTCGCCTCTTTTGGCAAGCTATTGAGGATCCACACGACAATACAAGGGGCGAATGCTTGTGCTGTCGCAATCGCTCGCCTGCCGCACAAGTTGCGCATCTTAGGCGCCGCTTGCGGGATCTGAAATATGCCTTGGACGATGCTCCTAGGCCCTTTCGACAATACGCATTATCCGACTTCGACTCTGCTTCACATATCTTTTCATCCTCTCAACTGGGTACACTACGCGTCAATATTCATGTTACGCATCTCTGGCTTCAAAGCATGTTACTGGACCAGTTGGATTTACTCACCTCGCCTGAGCAGCACTGGCACGAGCGCGAGGACATATCCACTCAACTTCTCCACGTACTTCACAACACCCCTCAAGCAGACATTGAGCCAAATGGTCTTCACCTTGTCTACAAGGTGCGCGACGTGGCAGTTGGGCTACTCGCATGCCCGTACGTAGCACCTGATTCTTCGGCAAAGCGAGCCCAGGAGTACGTCAAGGCGTTTACTGACATCATGGCCCGCCTGGATGCAAGCGAGACGGTCAACACAGCTAATCTTCAAAGCTGGATTGATACTGGACGTCAAAATGTCTAAGCAATATCGCCAACGAAGTTACTAAGCTTTTGTAGAAGAAGTCGATGTAAGACCCAGTAAAGCACAAAAGGGCAGGCCAAATCAGGCGTCAACAATCTCTGTATGCAATGCAATCTACCTGCTACTTTGATCAAGTATTCGCCCTCTTGAACTTCGCTGGCATATAATCCTGTAGAAGTAGCAATGTACATCGGCGCCTATTTGCCCGCGCGCGCATCCATGTAGCAGAGCACAGTCGAGCAGTAGAAAACACAGCTCTATAGTTGCTCGCAATATTTAATGAAAGCAATCGATGTCCGCCTCCTTGACTAACTTGCGCCACATCGAGAGCACCGTGCCCGCACAGTTAAGTAGGCGTTTGTCGATATATTCCTCAGCTGAAAGGGACAAGACCCGTCGCACTGAGTTATCGACATGGTCTAAGAAGAAAGTTTTGCACTAGATAGTTGCATTCTTCTTCCCTTTGCATACTCCCATCGACACAGAGTCAGGATCAACGCCATTGTCTTGAAGGTACTTAGCAGCCAACTGTGAGCCCAAAGTTACATTGTTACAATAGATAATGTGCGTACTGCTTCCAATCTTTATCAACTATTCTCGGTACCTTTTAGTATCAGCATTGACGAATTCTTCTGGTCGTCATTCCCGGCGGCATCCTCCTGCAAGACTGTAGGGGCGTGTTAGAAGAGGGTAGATGCATTAGTAGCGAATCCCCGCCGTTGTATGCTTTTGCTCATGTGTTGGTAGTGTGGTCGTATGAGGAGCAATACTCTTTTTTACCTAGACTGCCCCAAGTTCCACCTCGTCTTTCCAATATCGTTATCCTGTACTATCAACAATAGCGAAGAGGATGTTAGAAGAGCGGGTATATGAAGATTAACAAATTTGATTGCGTTACTGAACGGAAGGGGATATCTGAAACAATTACACAAAACGTCGTAAGCCGTCATAAAGATAGAACAAGTAACCACCATATGAACGCCGAACCCTTGAGGGAATACCCGTTGCCTGTTTATCTCCAAAACCAAACGAAGTGTGATAAACTCGTCAATTATCGTTGTGGGTGTTGCCCATATACCGGATATGGCGGCGCTGTTGCATACTGTTGTTGTGTCCGTGCATAATCCTGCGGATTGTACGTGTATTTCTGCTGGCCTCTGTGGTCGCTCTCTCGTCTCTGTCTCACGTCATGCTCTTCTTTGGTCTCCTCCATGGTCGGCAACTCGGCCGCAAATGCCTTTTGCTCTAAGCCTGGCGACCGCATACCTTCTGACGGCGCATAGGAGCTTGGGCGTGAGCTGACGGTGCTGTGCGACGCAGTCGACCAGCGCACATCTTGTTGCTGGGGTGAGTACTGGGATGGCTCAGAAACAGTGGAGGTACGATTATCGTGCGGGTGTAGGTAAGAGGGAGATGATTGAGGGTGGTAGAAGTCGCCTGGTAGTTCCATCACTACGTCGTTGGTGCCTAGGAGCTGCTTCGGCGGCACGGGCGGGCCGTTTTGATGATCGGGCTGCGCGTATTGCTGACTCTGCCTGTGTGGTGACATGGGCATCTGGTAGGGCTGCGTTGGCGATGGCTGGGGCGACTGACCGAACGCTGAGCGATCTGCTGGGTTGACCGTCTTCAACCGACCGTTCTCCATCATCGCTTGCAATGCTCCTGAATCGAGTAATTCAGCCTTCTTTACTAACCGCTCTACCATGACCTTCGCAGCCGCCTTCATTTCCTTCTTGACGAAGTTAATCATGGTGACGTTGCACTTGATCTCCACATCCTCGCGTATGTAGAGCCCCTCCGGCGGCGCACCAGAGCCCAGCTCTTTCGGCTCTGGTGGTTCACCAGGCTGGTTTCCGCAAATCTGCCACTTGTTGCGCAAGTCGACATTTGCAGGCGCATAAGTGTGTGTCTGCAGACCGAACGGCAGGTCATGAAAGACACCTCGGAACTTGATTGCGCCACTTCCCATCTTGCCAATGCCAGGTATATATTGTATGCGCTGCGATATCTCGTACCATGTTGAATAGAATTCGTCTGCTGGAGCGTCGCGCGGTGCTTTGATGGGTTCGTGGCCGGTAACGAGTGGGTTCAACTCGAGGATCTCGCCGTGGCTGTGAAGGAAGTCGATTGCGAGCTGGCGCGGTATAAAAGACGGAATGGGTGTGATGTTCACGTACTGCGCCTTCTTGCGCATCATGTTCATGGTGGGCGATCAATGTCGAGTAGGGCCGATATGAAGGTGTGAGGATTCTTGCTCGATTGCTCGCGGATACGACGCAAGAAAAGAAGCTGCGCCGCGCCGGTAAAGATGGGGAAGTAATAAGGTTGGTGCTGACGGTATCCCTGCTTGTGTAAGTAGGCTTGGATGCGCTGGGCCGGGTGGTAATCACACAGCCGCCCAAGATCGTCGTGACGAAACGCGTCATGCACGTGCGCGTGATGTCAGAAACACACAAGATGCGCATGCAATCTTCTTTTTCTTTCAAGGGTTGATGCGATTCATGACTTTGAGAGCGCGGCCTACTCGTAGCAGTTTGCCATTCAATCACCATCATGATTGCGGCCCTGTAGGGCGGCTGGTGCCCGCTGTGGAGTCGCCTAATTATAGGCCTGCTCAATGGCGTCTGTCAGCTCTAAGCAGGTGGGGGCGGGAAAGTCTGAACTTCAGCAATTCACCGCCACAAGCCGCACATGTCTGTGACTGTTGAGAAATGATCTTGAAAGACGCTGCCAGCACAATTGCTGATGTCGTGTATCCCTTACGTTGCTTTTGCCTAACCCCGGAATTGCCGTCATCCGAAGAGATAGCGTTGACTTCGCCAAGTTGTGCTGCTGGGCGGACGCGACGACTGGCATCTGGGGGCTGAGTCTAGGATGACTGATCGCTCTATCGTTTGCTAGCTCAATTCCACTTTCATAGTGGCGATAAACCTATCAAAATCAAGGTCGCTCAGATTGAGTTGAGATCCTCAACATGGCGGCATGAACTGTTTCGAGACCAACTAGACCTGAGACATCATTTTCCATTGACCCCGCGGAGCCCCTGAATGCCGCGAACCATGCGATCTTAGCTAAGGCATCAGGAGCCACGGGCCGTCCTTCTCTGAGAAATATTGCTGGTTTGCATTAATGAAGAATCAAGAGTGTACTTCTTTTTGACGATCGTGGTACTGGCTCGGTGAAATCTATCGCAGCCAGGAGAGAACAGACATGTGGCCAAGAAAATGTATTGGAAGTATAGAAGTGAGTTGAGAGCTCAACTGTGGTCATTGGTAGTGCAAAAGGAATGTGCAAGATCGTGGTGGGTTCCGCATTCTAGCCATCGCAAGAAGGACATGGGGAATGATGTCGATGAGTAGAGGCTAGAAGGAAAAGTGGCCGTGGATGGAACACGTCTCGGATCCACCTCCAAGGTTCGTTCCTGCCTTTGTACTTGGTGCAACTCATGACGTTTGTTTAGCTCAGAAGGCAGGTGCTACCTCAACCTCAACCATGGTTCGTGCAAGGCGGCTCACGCACAAACATATCATAGCGCTCGCTAAGAGCGTGGACTCCATCATCGAGATGACTTCAATAAAGATCATCCAAGACGGATTTGGGAGATAGGAAGAGGATGTTGCGGCAGCAAGTGGGCTCTCGAAGGTGCGAGCTGGATTACCAAACGCGAGGTCTGTTCGCCGTGTCGCTCGGTGTCAAACGGCCGAGTCATGCATCGACGAATTATCCCGGCGAGTACTACACATAGCCTCACTGCACGAAGACCAAATTCACACTAGATCTTGGGGCCGCTGACAGCTAGTGGATACCAACTCGATACGCTTTCCAAGACTGGAGGTGTTGAGAAGCTACAAGCAAGAGCGAGTACCCGCTATACCACTGCCTACGATACAACAACATCCAAAACACTGACCCCGCCCTTCTCTCCATGAACCCTCCTGACCTCGACCCATCCATTCCCTTCAACTCTTACAATCTTCCCATCAACACAGATCCGCCTCCATCTGCCATCGTCCTCTCTGCCTTCAAACTCGATCCTCAGTCCATCAATACTCTCATACCTCACATCCTCTTCTTCAACATGCAAACCACCCTGGTACGCTTTGCCCATGATACCCATGATTTCATCACCACTCCTCGGCCCAAAATATACAAGATGCATACTACCGTCTAGCGGTTTAGTAGCAGGTGAGATGCAAAACGGCTGTTCGAGATGCGAGACCATAGTGGCGAGAACGTACATATGCTCTTCTTCAGGCAGGGCGATCCACTGAACACCGTTTTGGAGGATGGAGATCTTGCCTTTGTAAGGGTGTGGTGGTGAGCCATCAGCAGGGTACAATGCTTCTTTTGCTGCCATCTTGAAGCGCTCGACACCGTGTTTGCGGTACTCGGCTGTGTCGCTGTCGCCGACGAGGGAGGCGTGCATGCCCCAGCTAGCCACTACCGCGCCATGGAGGATACCATTACCATGCTCATCTTTCGGTAATTCTTCTTCTTGGCGGGCTTCGTCCGTGAGAAGACGTGCGCCAGGGGAAAAGGTAGCTGTGAAAGTAGGCAGGGGTTTTGCTGACCATGATGCGAGGGCGGGTAGACCCCATGTATTGTTTGCTCCAGCGTTAATCGAGTGGTAGAGCGCGTTTGCTGTGCCTAGGGGCAGAAGTACGACTTGGGGTGGGATATACGTTTGGGAATTTGGTGTATTGGATGAAAGACCGTTTACGAGGTCGACAACACCACCATCTCCTGAGAGAAGGATGACGCGAATTGGTCTACCCTCGTTGGCGGCTGGAAACAAAACTTTGTCTGTGAGTTCCAATATGCTGGTGGCTGATTTTGTGGTGTGTATTTCCATTCCCTTTACCACTTCCTCGCCGTGTATGGCCTCGAGAATCGGACGTACGACATTGGAGAAGAAGTCTTGTGCACTTCGGTCACCGGAACCAACGGAAAGGATGATGTGCGTTTCGCGCTGCTCGGGTGAATCATCTAGAGATTGCGGAAGGAGAGGTTGTTTCGACACATTGATCAAAAAGGGCGTTTTTGTAGGATCTTTGTGCTCTTGCAACGTGATTACCGCTTTGGATTGGTTGTCGATGCATTTCGCTGTGAAGACGATCTTTCTGTGCTGCTCGCTGCCGATTGATGAACTCATGTTGGAGGCCTAGTGGGACAAATGACTCCGGCAGCTTGCTCAAGCAATGCGACCACGGAGGTATGAGAGGATAATCATTTACGAATTCGTCTGTAGAAAAGAGATGATGATCGGTAGGATCCGGAATGTGGAAGGCTGATAGTCCAATCCCAAGGCATGCAACACTATCCATATTCATGGGGCGTAGATAGATCTTCGCAGCCCAATCGCGCAATCCCACCTTCCCCAATTTTCGACTACGCCAGATACGCTAGTCTACGTGCGTCATGTTCAATAATAACATTGTCTTGAGACGAAAAGCACGCATCAATCTGAAACACATTTGACCGAGCACATTCTCATGATAGGGGTCTGAAATTTGCAGCATGCCGTTGTCTACACTGCAAATATTGCAAGGGATTGCATTCCCAGACTGACAATTGTTACATTCGGGCAGCGGCGTCAGCAAGTGTTACGTCATCATCACTTGGCAATACGAAGCAGCCTAGACTGAAGGAACTCAGCCGCGCCTGTCAGCTACACCACCAACAAATTGACATTGCGGCGCAGACAGCCAACGTCGCATACTACATACGCCGGGGCACCACCAAGTTCGTTACCTCCTGCACCCGCACCTTGGAGCCACGAGTATCCGCATCAGCGACGTCGAACCCATCGGATTCCGCGCAATCGTGACGACGACAGCGAGAACGCATATGCGACCCTAATACCCGCCCCCAACAACCCACACAATCACCGCCAACATGAACGGCTGGCTAGTCTTCATCATAATTCTGCTCTTGCTCCTCTCAATCTCCTACTTCGGGTGGTACTTCTACGCCCGGTGGAACGCATCCCGCAATGGCCTACCACCGCCTTCGATGAATCCTATGGTGGCCTTCAGTCGCTCCTCAGCCTCTGGCACTGCAAACTCCAACTACCCCGGTCCCGCACCCACTGGCATCAAAGGCTGGTTCGATACCCAAGTGCGCAAATTCAAGAACAGGAACAACCGGTACACAACGGGTAGTGGCTACGAAGACGCAGGCTACAGTGCTGGACGAGGCGTCGGCGGAGGCCGCGGCGCAGGAAGCCGACTCGATCCCGACGAAGCCTGGAGTTCGCGCGTAGGCGATGAAGCATACTACGAGGAGCAGGAACTCGGTCTGCATGAACCCGCATCTACCCAGGGTCAAACCGCCAATCCCTATGCCAACCCCACCTCCTACAACAATACCGCCGAACCTAGTCGCGGACGTAGTCGCACGCGCGACTCCTACGATGAGCATCTCGATGCGCAGAGTGCGAGGAATCCCTTCGGCGATGACAATGCGGCGAGTCTGAGGGGCGTGAGTCCTAGGCCGGTGCTAGATGCCGATACAAGTTATCGGGGTGGTGCCACGGCGACTATGCCGAGTGTGCCCAAGCACAAGAAGGCGGGTAGTGCGGACAGCATGGATGATAGTCCAACAGAGAGTCGGAGGAGTGTATTCAGGGAGGGGTTATAGTATTGAAGACATGGACGTGGGCAGAGAAAACCGGAGTAGCTTCTTCTGACACTATACTTGTATCAGGTTTGGTTCAGTGTTTCGAGCGAGGTATTCAACCTCGCCATTGGCATTTCAATGATATCTCGTTATATTTCTTACTGAGTAGACAGTCTTTGATGACATGCTTGAGATGAAGACGCTAACAGTCGTAGATCAAGCCCTGGTCCACACTGTTCTCAGCCTCATTATCGGACCCTGCAGAACTCACTCATATCTTGAGGAACACTTCAACACTGATAGGAAAGCTGAACAGACCCCAAGACACCACTCCATCTACCAGATTCTATGTACGCTACCTCACCAGTTCATTTCAAAACACATCTCTCCACGCAGATGCTATCATTCTCTAGCCGCCACCAAAATCCCCACAAATTTGTATCTCTCAAGATCTACGTGACCAACCAAGAGAGGTTGCATAGCTACGAGACATACAAGGCCACTCCGATGTACGACTCATACTTGAAGGACCATGTATTTGCAAGAGAAGAGGCAACCCAGTCAGGTCAGATGGTCAGTGACAAAAGACCGTTAATCTAAGTTTGTACGTGGCAGAGATAGTAGACCTTTGCGGAGACATCTCATACTACAAGACTTTTCTTTACATATAACTTGTGGAACTGTGTGCTGCGATATGCACATAAAGGCCACCCACGGGTTAATTGGCCACATAGCGACCTTTCCTGGCAAGTCTCAGGATGCGATCAATAGAAAGACTTGTCAGCGCTTGCGGCTTCCAGCGACGACTCCAGTATGGCTCAGCTCTTAACAGTCTATATTGACATCATATCATAACAGACTCCCCCTACAGTACTGCGTGAGAGTCGCGTTTGGTCTGGCCCGTGCGCTGATACAAGGTCACGTAGACTTGCTCTAGGCACGCACTTGAACTCTCCACTTTTACCTTGACAAACCAACCCATGACCTCCGCAATTGATCTTGAAATAATCAAGTTGACTCAACTTCTACACTGACAATCGTAGGCATGTCGCGGCAACCCAACATGCGAGCCGGAGGGGTACGACAAGGTCCGTATGGCCCAAATCACCCTCCGCCGCCTCCCCTCGCGCTACCGCCCGAAGCTTACGAGAGCCAGCGGATGGAACATCGAAGCCGTCCAAACCGGGCGGTACGACATCGAAGTTACGCACGAGCTGAGGCAGAGCACCTTCGTGGAAGAGCGCAAGAGCGTATGCGCAGTCATTCGCCTGCCCGCCCCCAAGATCGACGTGATGAACAGCACCGGTATCGGGAGCGATCCCCACGGCGCCACGAGCCGGTGGACAAACAGCCTCGACGGGATGACCGCAGACGTGAGCCGGATGAGGGTGTGAGATGCTTTGCTTGCAACGAGCCAGGTGGGTTGCTACCGTATTTTCGTCATTTCCCTTCGCTAAGTGTTGGAAAGGCCATAGAGCCGCTGACTGTAGGATCGCCCAAAACTTCGGCAGGAAGGGTTGCTTCAGGTGTGGAGACACAGGGCACATCGCCCGTGCTTGCAAGGTGCGTGTTGGCCAGACCAAGACTGACGCCGACCTTGCTGCAGATAAGTTGAACGGCGACTCCAACAGCTACTACAACAACGACCGTGGCGGCAGCGAGAGGTGGTGTCCATCGCAGGAAGCTACTACCGACGGCTATGTCGTTGGCTACACCCATGCAGGATACTACGTGGAGGACAAGGTGGACTGGGACGATGATGCTCTCGAGACAGGTGATGCTGCTCCCGCTGCTGAGAACGTTGCGGTCAAATCGACGCAGCGTGACTCTAACTGGCATCCCGATAGACTGAAGATGGTCCGCGAACCTTATCTAGGCCTTCCCCATCTTGAGAACGCGAAGGTCGATGATATACCACCGACAGTGCAAGACCTACGCGGCTACGACTATCGTATCCAAGTCATGTACCAAAGCAAACCCAGGAACCAGCGATTCATCAACGGAGGTAATGGCAAGATCGCACCAGCAAGGTACGGATCCGAGCAGCGACACGATCTTGGACTCTGCTTCGCTACCTTCCTCACGCGTAAACGTTGTGAGATGGGAGTCGATTGTCCCTGGCGTCATCATCCACTGTCCAATGCTGAAAAGGCCTGGATCATCGAGTATGGCAAGAAGAAGGGCAAGGAGTTCATTGACAACGTCGATAGGTGGTGGTCTTTTCCTGAGGTAAATCATGCTTCGTCGTGTATGTTTTAGACTTCTCTAACAATGACCAGGTACCGGTTCCAGGTGCTACTATGCATGGGCTGGGCGATAAGGATACCTAGGTAGCTGTACTTGCGGTCTAAAGGCCCTTGTATATCGGCGGCGTGGGTTGGAAGCGGATCTGATGGATTTTGAGGCAGCCGTGAAAGATACAACCTTGAATGCTGTGACATCGCTTGGAAGGAAGCTAGAGCAAGATGCCACCACGTGTATGGTACCAGCCTCGCATGTCGTCGATACCCTGCAGTCCAACAAGCATCATGTTAGCAAATACATCCAAGTCATCCGGTTGCGCAGTCTTCATGACATCTGTGAAGTCGAGCTCTTTGATGACGAAGTGATTCCTGTCGTTCCAAGCCATGGCAAAGTCGAAAGCACTGGTTGCCTTCCACAGATGCGCAGAAAGCGTGACGCGGTTCTTTAGGGAGAGATCGTGAGCGCAAGTCTTCAGTTGACCGCTAAGCAGGGTACACATGACGGTTATATGGAAGGCACACAGAACAGTACGACGGGCTGATTCGCGGAAGATGTACGATCTCCAAGCTGAGCGAGCAATCGTACTGGGATAAAGTGGTATAGATCCAGATACCTCAGTCTCTTCAGCCGCAATAGATAACAGCGCGGCGCCTATGTCCTCAAGATGAGGCAGTAGGGCATCGGCTCGTGCCCAGAATCGTACATCGCCACCAAATAGAAGCATGATCTGATATAGCATAAGGGCCTGTGTACGAGCTAGGATCTCTATTGGTGTAGTTGGCAAAGCGACGTTTACAAGCTCTTCAGCGCGGCTTATTATGTACCGTGCGACATGCTCAGCGTTAATATCATTCCTAGTGATGTAAAGGGCACATGCTGCGTGTGCGTCTTGTAGTGACCTGGGCATATGCCCTTCGTAGAGTAATGGGTGCGCCCAGGGCGTACAGGCTTGCTCTACCATCATCTTTGGCGCGAGTTTGACATGTTCGATTGAGTATTCTACTCTGGACTTTGCGTACGGTGAAAGATGCCCTGACGTGAAGGGCGTCTTTACTTGCGTGCCAGCTCTTTGCAGCGCCATCTGTTCGAATTGGTTGGATGTTGGGTTCAGCATTTCCGAAAGTGCATCGAGAGAGTTTGCGTCGGTACAGAAGTCGAAGTCTAAGATGTCTGCCGTAGAGTGTGTTGGCATGGCGGGTAAGTCGAAGTCGAAAGCAAGATCTTCATTAACTACATCTGCCATATCCGTTGGTAGCTCCGAGGGTGTCATGTCAACAGACGCTTCAGGTGCATTGTTTTGCGGAGTTGCGGCCTGCACACGAGGCTGTGGTGGGTAGACACATGATAGGTGCTGCCTAGCACATCGTGCACAATGAGGCTGCTCTAGACCGCACTTTCGTTTCGCTTTCGCGCATGCTGAGCAAGACTTCTGTCTGCCCTGAGAATTGATGTTGCGTGATCGATCTGGTGGCATGTTCGATGCGTTAGCTGTTGAAGGAGGTAAGGCTTGCCGCGCCTTCGCCGTTCCTGGCCCGCAGCGTCGTTAGTCAGCACTAGTGGGACGCCTCATCCAAGCTTGGACGACTTCTCTCACGACTGCTCTGCTCAACAACCAACTGGGTCATGAGCTCTGTTACTCCTTACTTATCATATACCCAACGCACCGCCACGATAGACGAGACGCATGCCTTGACCGATAGAATGAACCAGCTATTCTCCACTCACAGAAGTGGTGACTGCGGACTTCCGACCTGCATGACAACATCTTGGGCTGGTCGATAGCGATTTCGTCATCGTATATAAGATACATACAACACCTTGTCTTCTATTGGAAGCTGTGCTTTTTGAGTCATCCTGGTCTTCCGTCACTGCAGTCAACAGTTGACCGCTTCGACTCACATTCACGAATCACACTTTCTTCATTCCGGCCATCACACGCTCATGACAAATGAACCTGCATAAACCTCACCGAGGCTGGATTCTTGTTCTCCAAACTACTACTACCAGCTGTCTTTACCTTTTTCCTGCCTTCCAAATATAGAACCCGTTGGATAGCTATCGGTGCGATCGCATCCTCACTTGTCGACCTCAACGACATTGGTTTCTCCGCTGCTACAGCGTCTGAGAATCATGTGAAGGTTTGGAGGAGATATACGGAATGCGTCTTGGAGACTATGTATGTCGATGAGGCGAGCAAGAAGTTGGCTCTAGCTTCAAGCCTCTCTCTCTCGGTGTGCAGTAGCATGTGACATAAGACGGAGGCGGCGAAGAGCCACCGCTATCATTCAAGGCGTCTATTGTATTTTGGGTTAGACATGTAAGTTTGGGAAAGGTGAAACGCCGGTGTGTCTCATTGACCAACCTCGCGAGAGTTTGGAGAAGTATAAGGGGCTTCTTGCTTAACAAGATGCATGGTATCATTATCGGTCTCGAGCATCGACCCAACGATACGCTGGGACATGAACTCACTTCCAGCACCGCGATTCTTTTGTACACTACACCCGAAAGTCGCGGGATCAATGTAGCTTCCAATCTTCCCTGTCAGCAATACTGAAACCTCCGAAACTGTTCGCACAGCGCTACCTTGTGCCATCTCTAGAACTACAAAGTTGAGGTTCTCCTCCGGCTGGCCAAGCGTACCTTTACAGGCTACTCATCCTTCGGCTTGCGAACAGGTGACTTCCCATCCGCGCGACCCCGGTACCAACTCTTGAAACGGTATACCACATAGGCTGCTGCAAACATCGTCCAGAATATGACATCGGGCACGGCTTGCTTGCTCTCATCTGTGTCAGGCTTTGGCGAGCCCCTTCCCAAAAGTACCATCGTACGCTCCGAATGACTCGTCCATCTCTTCCAAGCTGTCGCGAGACCGATCATCACGGCTGTCGACCCAAGCCACGCCCCTCCAAATACGATCAAAGCGCCATAGCCACCCGTCATAGCACTACTACATGTAGCCAAGATCGAGCGCGCGACGAGGTTACCGATACTGGCTTGGATGATCGCTGCCGTACTGCCTACGATCAGTTAGTCGTTTTTTTCTACGATGAACACTTCGATTTGATATACCGGCAGCGATCCCAGCTGGCTAAATCCTGTAACTGCGAGTGCTACTGCTATGAATGCGAGTGTAGCCAGAGGCAGAATTACCGCCGCTGCTTCCCACGGATGTAGCTTGATCCAGGCCCCGACTGCCTTCGTCGTATCGATGAAACCAACCTGCTTGACCTTCTCGACAGCATTGACTACAGCGTCTTCAGCCTGTGTGACCCGAAGGGTGATCTTGGCGGCAACGTACTTCCAAACGAATTTGATGCCATCCTTCGCTTTCTCGGGGCTCCCGCTGCTCCTAGCAGGTATATGTACTGCGTTGCCGTCTTCCCTAGTGACCTCCACTGGCGTCTCGATCTCGACATCATCGCTAGCTTCATCTTCTGAGTGATCATCCGTGCGATGGCAAGGGTCCCGTTCGTTATTCTCGTCGTATGTCTTGCCTGAGCCTTCTGCTGCTGCTGTTTCTGCTGCTGTGGGGTAGGCTTCTCCGTGAGTGGTGGCGCAAGTCGCGCGTAGCACTGCGAGCCATTTCAGATTCATGATAAATTTTTCCATGATCTTTGACAGGCTAATGGTACTGGTGTTGAGATTGAATTTTTGGCTTGAACTCAGGATGCACGCATTGTAAGGTTTGAGTTGCCGAGCGGTGAAGTTGTGGGGTCTTTCACTGTGGGGGCAGATTAGGTCACAACCTGGAGGTTCACGCTTCACCCATCATTTCGCACTCCAAAGAAGTTCACCTTCTATGACCTTGCAGACTACACGTGATAAAACCATGGGTTCGGAAGCGTTGATAGATCGTTGAAGGTTATCCGGCACATAGGCGATAGTATCGTAGATTGGAGCTGGGGGGCGTTGTAGGTTACTTACGGGTATACTGATCGTATGACCCATATCCGGTCGCAGATCTTGCAGGCTTCTTAGCCGCATCTATTGCTTCCTGCGAATGAAACATCTTTACAGAGGGCTGTGTGGAGTGTTCAAGATTGAGTTGCATGGGACATGCCAGATGTCGTGGCTGTAGCTTGTTGAACAACCTGGCTACAGCATTGGGTTTCCGAAACGCGTGGAAATCTCAGGCTTAGCGAACGCGCTCTTTCGTGACGCTGTAGTGAACAAATATATTTCCTTTCAGTTTGGTGAACGTGAAACAATAAAGAGTTCATACTGAAAATATTGCTGGGTAGACTATCAACACAGTCGAGCGACGAGGTCGCGACATAACGAATCTCTTCTTGCCAAAAGTTTCTTCCAACGTGTTGTGCGCTACGTCTATCGCGGATAAGAACTCGGAGAAGACGAGGATTGGTCCTGGGTGCTCTTCTTGCTGCTTCTGATAGCATGCTACAAACGCGTTCATGCGCGACGACTCCTTCCCTAATCTCTTCGTTTCTGTGCGGAGGACTATGCGATTCTTGTCGGCGATTGATGAACTCTTGGATTTCATTTTGTTGATGGCCTCTTGGATCTCGTCAGGCAGCTTGTCAGCTTGTTCCTCCCGGAGTACGAAGTCGCAATCGCCGAGTTCTCCATATCGGTATTCGAGGCACAAATGATGCACGATGGCCAAACGAGCATCGGTGATCTCCTTGAACGCCTGTGCAAAGGCGACGCTGGGGCTCGGATCCTCCTGCCTCGCCTTGAGCAGCTCTTTATGCTCTTCGCGGCGAGCTTCGTCCCATATCGTCATCGTCTTCTCTTGGAGGCCGGCCTCTTGCCTCGATAGGTCATGGTGTTTTGTCACCGTGATCGCCTCTTTGAAGTCGGCGACCGGTTTGCCGTCGAATTGTCCGTAGTCCTCAATCGGACTGTGCAGGCTTTGATAGACAAGGCAAGAATGGCGCGTAAGTAGCTGTGCGACCGCTCTTGGAGTCTTCTTCTAAAACGTTTGTCAGCTTTCCTACAAGGGCCGAATGCACTACTATTGATCGAGGAGCTTACGATATACGCAGAAGATCGGGACAGGTTGCAATCTGTTCCTGATCTCACACTCCCACATGTCTAGCAGACTTACTGGCACCACAATCAGATGCGGTATATTCGACTTCCTCTTGAGCGAGCCCAGAAATGCTGCATGTGTTAGAGACAAGAACCAAGGTTGCGCTTCAAACATCTCTTGCTTACCCAGCATGATGAATGTCTTTCTCGTATCCATCTCAAGGCCTTGTAGCATACCGGTTCCGCCGGCTGCATAATCGTCCAGCATTGTGTTTAGGGCCTGGGCTTGATACTCCTTCAGCACCAGCGGCTTCTTTGCATTCTCTAGACATTTGGGCGTGTTGGTGTCGATGCCCGGGCGCTTGGCAGTGTCGAGTGGCCTTGCCGCACCCTTTTTCATAAGTCCAAAGGCCTCTTGCAGGACTTGTTGGCCCAAGTCGGCTTTTTCCGTCGAGCTTCCGGTTTGTTTCAATCTTACACCCGGACGGCCAAGGATCCGTCCATCCTGTCTCATGGATGACGCTTTCACCACGGCCGCCAAGCATATCTAGGTATGCTGAAAGGGTTGGTTGGCCTGGGAGGACTAAAGTGAGATATTGTTCGTGCGACTCTTGGCAGGTACAAAGATAGTGTATGAGATCAGGAAAAGGAAAAGAAAAGTATCCAGTTGAATATACGCCCACGGGGCCACGGTTCCGTAGGGAGAGGCGCGTGCGGGATTTTCAGCCTTCCCCGTGACAAACAGACGTCGCCAAGACCACGTGCGCGTGATTCTTGCAACTTGGATTCCAGTCACCGACTCTTTTGATATAGCTCTACATGCCAAGGACTTGGGACTGCCAACAACCGAGGACGTGATGGAGGGAAAATCGGGGCTATAGTCAAGTCACCGACAGCAAATATTGATCTGATAGCGAAAGGACGAGTGTGAGATAGTTTTCTTCTGGCCATGATCGTGTCCAAGCATGACAAGCGACAGTGTTAAGAACTATATTGCCCATACAGACTCCAATCTTTCGTGCGTTCTCTCGTGTTGTACACAGGCCCTTGCCATTCTCTTGCCTTGATACACGCTGGTGTACTACCCAAGGACCAAAGGCAAGTTCACATTTTGCGTGGCTACTACATGTGTGAGAGGCTTCTCCCGCTTTATTCATCAAGCTCACTAGGCACATGGAGCTCAACACGTTGGTCAAGTCTTTGTCTTATCGGCTATCGGTTGGAGCCTTCATATCTGTCCTTGGTGACCCGAGCGCTTTTTTCATCCTCGTCTCGCATTCTACCGCGCGACTCGCCTTCGCTAGCCTAATCTTTGCAAGCGGCCTCAATGGGAGTGCCATGGAGGAGGTCGACGAAGTCCAATAGCTTGAGGGCTTCCTCGGCACACTCTATCTGCATGTCTTTATCAAAATCCGGCACGACCCCCTGCAAGAATCTGTCTTGTTCCTTGCGGTTCTTGATACGGGCCTCCAACTCTGCAATTTGTTCGTCGAGATGCTTTCCCTCTGCCAACTCATGCTCCAGTTTATCCTCCAGAGAGGCCTCAGTTGGTGCCGCCTGCTTGTTGTTGACGGCGGGTTCCTTGCTGGCCGGAAGCTCGAACTCGCGTGTGGGAGTCTGGAACTGTCAGTACATGCTCAGATAAGTTCTGTTGGGATAACAACAAACCTTTCGATTCTCGTGAAGCTCGGCGACTAGAGATTTCTTGGGGGTTATCGGCTGGTTCTTGTCAGATTGCCAGACGTCGCCTTGAACGCTATTGTTTCCACGGTTAATGGTCACTCACGTCGGCCATGATGTTGTGTCTTGTTGATGATGAGCTTGACAGTTATGGTGGAATTGTCGTGTAAGTGTGGAGTAAGTGTGGTGGAGATATAATAAGGTAGTTCGAGTGAGTGAAGTTTCGTGCGCACGTAATACCCAGGCGGTGTACACACCGGAGGTGAATGAAATTACGCGGACTAGTGCAAACGCTCACCCGGACCCACTCTTATCTAGGCTATCGTCTTCTACCTCCGAGTACAACCTCTTCCCCAAACTGAACATCTACTTTCCACCAACTCTGGTCGCGTGCACCACACTGACAGAACATTATCGACACGACGTCTTCTGCAATAGCTCTGGTACTTGAACGGACAACGAGCGTATAGACTAACCCTTTGTACTAGCTGATAAGCTCTCTCTTTCTCCCTCTTCGATGCGCTATGAATAGTAGATTTATAGCACACCTAGCGTCTACATAGAAAAGCCTGTAGTCACTGCTTTGCCCTAAGAACCTTATGCTACGGCCTGTCTTTAGTCTAACCTTGTACCATTAGCAATATGTAGTAAATATAATAACTACGTACAACTATCTCCTCGGTCTGCTAGCCCCGTGACGCTTAATAGTTGTCTTGTGTCAGGTAGTGGTAGCATATATCTTAATCGACACAATTGGTGTGTTGAAAAGATGGAAGTCCTATAGATTGACTACAATTCAGACTTGACATAATTGTCCTTCTCCGCACTCTCTCCAAGGTCTTTAGCCCATTGGCCAACTGTCTTCACTTCGTCCGCGATGATCGGCCATATCAGGCCCGTCGCAGCATCCTTATGGGCATTTGAGAAACCGGCCGTAGCGTCGGATCTGTTATCGTGCCGTTCTGTCAGTCGTGTACTATGGAGTTGTGGGCTCAGGGCTTACAATAGCGTCACATGGTATCCACTAAGGGCAATACTGTTAGCTTCAAAGGCACATGATGCGATCTCATCGCAAAAGGAAAGACACTTACAGCTCTCGCCCATACCTTGCCGTGGATTCGAGGCAGGTGTTCGCAATCATTCCTGCCATTACTAGATGGGTAATCTCGCGTTGGTGCAACTGATAATCGAGGTCGGTGTTGGCAAATCCACTAATCCATTTAGTTAATAGTGATAGCACAAACTAGCAATCAAGAAAGCATGGTACTCCATCTGGTATATGCTTGTTCGTTCCTTAACTTGACTGTTCTTACTCACCTGCTATTCCAATGCTTACTGACTACTACGTCCTTGTTGCCCAGAATGTCTGGCTCAAGACCGGGATATATCTCCGCTCCCCAACTTCCCTCTTCAATGGCCTTAGACTCGTTCAATCCCGTCGTTGTTGGATTCATGTGACGCCATCCTTCGTATTTGCCCTGTTTCCACGCCTGATGCAACGAATAATAGATGGGTATGCCGAGTTTGCGGGCTGTTTTGACAACGTCGTGTAGGTGAACTAGGGTATTCGTCGTAGCCATCGATTCGCTGACGAAGCCATTAAGTTTTCCCTTGGGGTGGAGGAATTCATTGTAAACGTCGGTAAGAACTACAGCAGTTTTGCCAAAAGGAGCCGAAGAAATTGAAGATGCCATTGCGATGTGAGTTCTGGAGAAATGCAACGGATTCGAAGAAGATTTGTATGTAACGACAGGTTTGGCCGATCACGTCATCATTGCCTCGCTATCGTAAAGTATGTGTACAGTTACCCCGGGATCAGCTCGATGACAAACCAAAAGTGCATCAGCGAACCATCTAACAACGCTTACTCATCGAACAGCAGATGACATTCGATCAACAGCTTTGCTGCGGCTTCGAAGAACTTACCAAACACGCGGCATCATAGTAAGATTGCGTGGTTGTGATCGACCGCTAGGAAGAAAGGTGATGGCGCGCTGTTCTCTGGGAAAAGGCTTGAAAATCTTAGCTCCGCATAAGCTTCGACTGCTGCGACGGAGCGCTTACGGATTTGTTCAGTAAACATATCTGTTGTGGCTTGAGAGGGTCGGGTTGGAGATCGTTTAGTAATCGTATCGACTGGCCCGTAAAGAGCGTAGCGCACTCGCCTATTTTTAATGCGTGCCATGCGGGAACTCTACCGGACATTCGCTGTTGAAGTTCACATGTATGACGTGAGAAACCGGTGTCTAAGAAGTACCGGCAGTCTGATATCCGATATGTCGTGCTTATACATCGGGTGAGGGCAGGTAGTTACGAAAAATCGTTCTTAGCAAGGAACCATGATTTCGCTTTGTTGAACATATAGTACTTGGTAGACCATCATAACATCCAATATAGATCGGGATCACTCCCCACATCGATCAATATCACCAATCATCAACGTCAAATCTACAAGATTCGACGTGACCTTTTCGTGGCAGTCACTCTGCTGTAAGGGTGCGATGGGTTGACCATAAGTGCAAGGTATAACAGTAATGAATTCGATAGAGAAGCTACACTACGCTTGCGCTGAGTCTATGTATCACGTAGTGCTAGGTTCGAGAAACTTCTAAGGGTCCGTGGAGCGCCGATGAAGCCCCGACAACGCTCCGAGGGTTGCAGCCTATCCCAACCAGCTATAACGAAGGCCACAGGCCAAGTACTACTAACCAAGGCTTCAGCCTCTTACAGTACCCCCCTTCTTAGGCTTAGATCCCTCCTGTGTGGCGTGTTTCCAATCTTTGAGAGCATCAGTCTCTTTCAGATTTACGGCTGGTTCCCAAGTTGGATCGGGATAGCCTTCCCATTTTACCAGGTACTGCTTTCTGTGCCCCTGGCCTCTCTCCTCCAGGATCTCCTCTACCAGATACATCTCTTCTCCATCCACCTCAATAGGCTCTGGCTCGTTATCATCTTGTGGCTGACTAGGTAACGGGTCCGATGAAGCGAGCCTCAGCATGTTGACGTTGAATACTGGATGAACTCGTCCAGGAGTGTTTAGCTTGACTGCGCTTGGTCCTACAATCTCAAGTACCGTATACTTCAAGTTCTTCCAGTCAAGTTTTCTGCTTGGCCTCTTAGTCTTAAAGTGGTCGCCTAGCTTTAACCATACTTTTGTCACCAACTCGCAATTGAGGAGCTTGTTTCCGTCTCTTGTTAGCCTGCAGTTCTTGGTCTTGTTGGGCCTCTCCCATAATCGCTTGAGCTAGCTGAATGCTCTGCCTCAATCTTTCTACGATGTTCTCAGCCTTTTCATGCTCGTCTTGCACTCTCTTTCCCTTGGGCTTGTTTTCCGGGCCGTACTTAATAGCAATCTGAACAGGGTCCACTTCGTATCCGTGCTGCATAAAGAATGGTGACATCCTTGTAGACCGCGCTTCCCTTGCTGTAATTGCGATTTTAGCCATTCCTAGGTTGGATTTCCAATTGCTCTGATTCCAGTCGCAGAAAGCGCGGAGGTAGGCTTGTACTGTCGCGTTCATTCTCTCCGTAGATCCATCGGTCTCTGGGTGGTATCCTGACGATAGTCTTCGCTCAATACTCATTAGTTCACAAAGCCTAGCCCACATGTGGCTTACAAACTGTGAGCCTCGGTCTGAAGTAATGTAGTCCGGTAGCCAGTGGTATGCAACGACGTGATTCATGTACGCCTTAGCTACACTCTCTGTCGTAATGTCTGCTAAGCCCATAAGTACTACGTCCTTACTAAGGCGGTCTGTTACCACCATTAGGTTGGTACAGCCTCACTTTCAGGCAAGCCAGTTATAAAGTCCATAGAGACTTCCTTCCAGATGCGTTCAGGAATTGGTAAAGGCCGTAGTAGCCCTTGGAGGCCATCTCTCCAAGGCTTCACTCGTCCGCAAACAGAACAGTTCCGTACATACTGGCGAACTGAGTTGCTTAATAAAGGCCAGAAATACTCCCGTGCAACAGCTTGGTATGTGAGGTTTCTTCCTGGGTGTCCTAAGGCCCTTGACGAGTGCATTTTGTGTATGATGCCAGTCCTTAGAGGTTCACTGTCTGGTACCCATTTTCGATCTCGATATAATAGGTTACCAGAGTCGTCCAAGCGACACTCTGAGATCGATAGCTTGAGGTCTAAAGCTGTTGGAAACTTGCGTTCACCGTCCCTAACCGCTTTCCAGGCCGCTTGGTACACCTGATCTTTTTCCCTAGCTTCCTCCCATAGTTGCTCTAACCTGTGTTGAGCTGGTGGGGTTGGGGGTGCAGACACTGGGTAGGAGAAACTGTCGGTCTCTCAACACTACACCGAAAGATCTTCAGTGCTTCGTCGTCAGCTGGGTCTTCGTCTATCGTAGCAGTAGCGGGTTTAAAGACCTGCAGGAAACGTCGAGAGATCCGTGCATCTGAACCATTAGCTGGCATATCCTGATGTCTTCTTGAAAGAGCATCGGCTCTGACATTGTCAGCTCCAGGCCGGTAGGCGATCTCCATGTTTGGGAACTTTCCGAGAAACTGGGCCCATCTCATTTGGCGTTCGCTGAGCTGCCGAGGCTTCCCAAAGTACTCTAGGTTCTTGTGGTCGGTAATTACCGTGAACTTCTTTAAAGACCTCAGCATTCCGTCCCATTCAGCTATGCAGCAGATTACTGCAAGCAATTCTTTATCGTGGATTTCGTAATTGCTCTGAGCGCTAGTCATCTTTTTTGAGTAGTAGGCGACTGGTCGTAGCAGCCCTTGGTCATCGTACTGAGATAGTACTCCAGCAACTACGTAACCAGACGAGTCAGTCTCTAAGATAGTCTCTCGATCCGGGTCCCATTGAGCGAGTACTGGTTCGGTAATAAAGATCTCTTTTAGCTTGTCGAACGCCTGTTGCTCTACTTCTCCCCATCGGAAGGTAACATCTCCAGTTAACCTTGTAAGTGGAGCTGCTATCTCTGAGTAGTTCTTGATAAAACGTCGGTAGAAGTTCGCAAATCCTAGAAAGCTGCGCACTCCCTTTACGTTCACTGGGGGTTCCCATTCCTTAATAGCCTTAACCTTGTCAGGATCCATTTTCAGTCCTTTGCCAGCTTCAATCACAAACCCAAGGTACTTTGTACATTTAACGTCGAACTCGCATTTCTTGATATCCAAAGGTAAACCAGCTTTGCCCATGGCCTCAAGGACCTTGTTTGTGTTTTGCTGGTGCTCCTTCAGGGTACCGTTGGTGTAGATCAAGACATCATCCAGGTAGGCTGAGCAGAAGTCGTCCATGTACTCACGAAGCGTCCAGTTGATATACCGCTGAAAGGTGCTAGGTGCGTTTGCCATACCAAAAGGGGTGACTAGCCACTGTATAATCCAAATCGGGTGCGGAAGGCTGTCTTCCATTCGTCTCCCGCGTTGATCCTTATCCTGTGAAAAGCAGCTGATACATCAATCTTTGTAAACCATTTTGCTTTAGCGATGTTGTTAAAGGTCTCCTGGATTAGGGGTAACGGGTATCGGTCCTTCTTGGTGATTGCGTTAAGAGCTCTATAGTCTACGCAGAAGCGTAGCCCTCCTCCTGGCTTCTTTGCGAATAACACTGGAGAGGCAGCTGGGGAGCTGCTTGCTCTGATCCATCCCTTGTCGAGGAGAGATATCAATTCCTTGCGTAAGACTAGGAGCTCTCCTCTGCTCATGTTGTACAAGGGGCCCCAGGGTGGCTCCTTCTCCTTGCCATTCTCATCCTTCTCTAGTTCAATCCGATGATCAATCTCCGGTCCGCGCAGAGGAGGCATCTTTGCAGCTGTTTTGGGGTCAAAGATCCAGGCCATGTGCTGGTGTGCTTTAGGAAGATAAGACATAACATCAACCTTCTTCTTTGGGGCTAACGCTTCTCAATGTCTTGAAGAGAGGCTGCGAATATCTGTACTGTCTTGTCGTTCTTCGAGCGCCGGATGTACGTGTAATAAGCTGTTGCACCAATGCGCTTCAGCCGTAGGTCCTTCGGGATAGGGCGGTCCTCTGTGCTAATAAGGCGGATCCTCTGGTGTGATGAATGGATATAGATAGACTTCTTCGATGGAGCAATAGTAACTTGTCTCTTGTTCATCCACGGGCGTCCAAGTATAAGATCATACCCTGGGTGTGAAGGCGCAACGTATCCCCATATAGTGTCCTTGTAGCCTTGAATGTCGATAGTAAGCCTAGCGACTCTTCTAATAGTCCCAGGCTCTTCGGTAACTCCTTCCAACACGCGGGGGGAGATAGGTAGGCACTGTAAACCAGCACGTTTAACAAGGCGGGGCTTATAAGAGAGTATGAGAGATTTCCAGTGTCAATTAAGGTTGAAGCAAAGGTATGCTGGTCAACTAGTGTCTCGACAGTAATCCCATTGCTGCCCATGTCCTTCTTAAAGGATGCCCACTCTTTTGCCAAATTGTGCTGACTTACATGCAGCTCTTGCCGGTGACTTTGGGCAAGAGCTAGTCTTTCCCGAGTCGCTGTCTTCTTCTAGGGTATCCACACTACTTAATTCCTCGTCACTACTTGGTTCCTCCTTCTGGGCTTTCCTGCTCTTCCTTTGCTCTGTAGTCTTAGAGCTAGAGGCCTTTAGCACAGCTGTCTTTTTGTTCTTTCCTTCTTCTCAGGTAAACCTTTATCCTCTGCACAAGTAGCAGACACATGTCCTCTACGTTTACAGTTAAAGCAGCGTCCTTCACGGCGTAATCGGTCATACTCAGAGCTGCTGAGTCGGCGGGGCCTCCCGGATCTCCCTGTGTATTCTACACCTTCCATTCTATCCTCTAGTACTGGGGAAGGAGAACGGTGCTTGTTCCCGTGTTCTTTGTTTAGGGATCTGTCTTCCCGACGGCGGTTCTGGTTCCCTTGGTATGCAAGTCCATCCGATACAGCTGGTCGGCGATCTCGATTGCCCTGCTCTGTAGCTCCTCTAGATCCTTGCTCTTTAGGCCTACAAGCTTGTCCTGGAGCTTGTAAGCGAGGCCTTTTCTGAAGATCATCATCTTCGTATTCTCGTCCAGGCTGCTGTTGGAAAGCAGTAACTGTTCCCGGAAGTCCATCACGTAGCTACGGATGTTCTTGTTCCCTTGCGACATAGACCAAAGCTTGTCACGAGCTCTCTCCTCCTTGTGTGGATCTCCAAACATCTGATCAAAGAACTCAAGAAGTTGGTTAAAATCCCATTTGCCAGATATTCTCATCTGGCTTATGTATGGCAGGGTCAGAGTAGCAGCTGTTCCTTGAGTCTCGCGAAGGCATAATCACATGCCATCTTATCGTTCTCGAAATCATTCTTGTCATTTTCCACTTTAGCTGTCAGCTGCTGGTGGAAGACCTGGTATTGCTTCCTTGTACCATCGAACATGTCCGGGTCAGGCTGTCGGCGGCGCTTTGCGGCGGTATTAACGGTGTTTGCGGGTTGTATCGCAGCTAGAAGGGTGGCCTAGCCATGCCGGCGGCTGTTCGTTTGGGTTTATGGTTGTAGTTGTAGCTGTAGTGGCTGGAAGATGTAGGTCTCCTGTCTCCATGGGCGCTGAATCCTCATTGCTCTGGGGAGTAGAGACATTGCTTGAACCAGCCCTCTGCAGCGCAGTTCTCATCGTACTCAGATATGGAAAGCTTCCTGTACTCTTTCCTGGACTGCAGGCTCATCCATCCCCTGGGCCCTACATAGGTTCTGAGAGATCCTCGTATCTCCTCATTGCTTACACCGTCGTGGTACAGTTGCGTTATCTGTACTGCCAGCCCTACTGCAGAGGCATCCGCTGCTGCCATTGTGCCAGTGTAGGTAGGTCGATTTCTTGGGCCACGCCTTGAGTAGTGGACTTATCTAACGGTCTTCGGTAGACCTTTCGGTTTCTGGTGCTGCCTAATGTCCGCGACGATGGCAGGCTTATCCAACGATCCTCGGTGGACCGTTCTATATTTCCGGGTGCTTGTACGTGTACCAAGCTGTGTAGCACTGCAGCCAGTTGCAAGTGCTCTTCGTTAACCCTCGGTGGGTTCGAAACGGCTTAACTGAGATCGGTTCTTTGATCACTCAGTATCTTCAATATATCGCTCTAAAAGGCGTCCGTCTAGATGTAGCTCTAGGGGGCTTCGGTCGTCACTGCTATGGAGGTTACTCCAAAGAGGCTAGTTCGACGTAGCGGATGCTACAGAAGGATCGAATTCAATTGTAAGGGTGCGATGGGTTGACCATAAGTGCAAGGTATAACAGTAATGAATTCGATAGAGAAGCTACACTACGCTTGCGCTGAGTCTATGTATCACGTAGTGCTAGGTTCGAGAAACTTCTAAGGGTCCGTGGAGCGCCGATGAAGCCCCGACAACGCTCCGAGGGTTGCAGCCTATCCCAACCAGCTATAACGAAGGCCACAGGCCAAGTACTACTAACCAAGGCTTCAGCCTCTTACATCTGCCTCACGGTGTTGGGCATTCTCTGGACTGTTCGCGCGCTTGACCTACCAGAGTACGCTGGATTGAATACATCCCCTGAACAATAGCATACACGAAGTTACCCTTCACAATCCAAAGTCGCTGCGCAAGATTTGGAACCAGGACACCCGGGACGGCTTAATCAATTTCGTGAGCAGGCTTCAGAAGGATAACGAGACAGAGGTCGTTATCTTCGAGAGTGACGTTTCTCGGTATTTCATGGGTCATCTTGACTTGACAATACCCAACCTTGGCATGTAGCATGCTCCACTCTTGATGTGCGTATAATTGAAAACCATTGCAGCTGATTTGGGGCCTTCATTCATCTTCGAGATGGGAAGGTTACGCCAAGAGTAACGCGAACTTGAAGATCCGTGCACTGACAAGTTAGAACTGAAAGCACTTTTCAAATGCACTCACAAAGAGATCAGCAAGTTCATCGAGGGCTTGGCGGATGAATTGTATACTGATTGGGTAGCCGAAACGCAGCAGTCGACGCTAGATATCGAAGGGCCTAACTGATTTGGTCCTCACCACGATCGGTTCTTTGTTGGTCAGCTTCTCTTTGAGTAATCGCGTTGGCAGTGTATATAATAGCAACGACGATTGATGAATTTACAGTCGTGGATCAGACTAGTGAGACATAGAGTCACAGCGGCCTTTCACTCGTTCACGTAGTATAATGAAGAAAAGTCTATACACTTTGGCTTTGTCAAGCTGTCTCGCCTTAAAATGTTTGCCGTCTGTTGACTCAAAATCTCACGTGAGACGTCAATTGTAAAATCAAGTGGATGTTAATGCGAACGATAAATGGCGACTTTCTTGAACATTCTATTGTTGTGATTACTGTGTCTAAGCTACCGCGCGCGCTGAGATACTACACGTATGTTGAAGCTGATGAGATATCATACAAGACGAGAATATACTATCTGAAGGTTCCGTCGGCTACCTTGGCGCTCGCAAACTGTTTCAAGAGATCGTAAGCCGCGTTGACAGTTGCAAGCTCCTTGTGCAAAGTTTCCACGTCTTTACAAATTGATGTTGTAATAGTCTGATGTCTTTCAAGGCACAGTCTAGTATAGCCAAGAGAGGTTTCAAGCTTATCTTTCAAGTCTTTGATTTGATCGGTTAAAAGTAACATGGTGTGTGCGCACGTACAGGGAGCGTTGACTTGATTGGAAAGCACCTCGATACGACTTAGTAGTCCTGTCATTGTGTTGCGGAGAGAGTCTATCTTGGCGAGAGATGATTCCTGGCATTCCTTTCTTTTTTTGTAGGATGAAACGACATATGTTGTAATCATTGGCGAATTCGTCGTTGCTGTTGTTAAGCGCTCCGAAGTCTGTATGGGTATAGATTAAGCGAAGCAGTGCTGTACAAGCAAACTCTAGACGTTGGAGGTTGCTTTCTAGGGTTCTCTCTTTGTTCTTTACGTCCGTCACTGCTTCCTCTAGCTCCTCCTGCGTTGGTCGTCGTCGTAACTCAAATATATTCTCTCCAAGAGGCTGGACGTTGGCCGCAACAGCTTGTTCTAGATCCTGTCGAGTTGGCTGTTGTTGGAGCTCAGATATCTTGTCTTCAAGAGGCCGCACGTTGGCCGCAACTGCAGCCTCTAAGACCGCTTGAGTAGGCCATTGTTGAAGCTGGGTGATTTCTGCATTCAGCGTCTGGTCCGTCTCCACAACAGCCTGTTCCAGGTCTTGTTTTGTAAGGCGTTGTTGAAGTTCCTTGATGCTGAGATGTAGCGGACCCGTGGCAGCAGTGACCGCATCATCCAGATCCTCTTGAGTGGGCCTCCTATTCAGCTCCGATATTAGAGTCTCTAGAGGCTCCTTGACTGCCTTGATATCTTCCTGCAAGTTCACGAGGTATTGCTCTCGAAGGTTGTCGGATATCGACCTTTCGAATGCAACTTCTCCTTCCAAAGAAACCATTCTTGTAGTGGCGTTCGTCCACTGTTGGAATGTGGGGCGCAACTGCAGTTCCTGTATCTTGGCTTTGAGATCCCTCACCTCGAGGCTCTGTGCTTTCATCTCTTTCTTGACAGCCCTTGTCCACGTCAGCTGCTGTACTGTCAGCCTGTAGAGTTCAGCCTTTTGGGTGTTGAGTTGCCGCAGTTCGTTGTTCGCGTTTGTGTACTCTGTGATCTCGCCTTCTATCGCCTCATTGGTCTCTTCATCAGGCGTTTGCTGGACTTCCGGTTCTTCTGGTCTGTTCGCGTACGGGTTGAGTAGGCTGATTGTGCTGGTAGCTGCCAGCATTGCCGCATGCAAACGGTTGACCATGTGGGCCGATTTTGCTGCATCTCCCGACATTGTATAATGTTGAGGAGTGTTGGAGGAAGCCGCGACATGGACCTGCAAATTTCATTTCATGGAAAAGGCAGCTGCGGCAGGAGCTGCACGTGGAAGCAGGCACCACGACACAACAAGTGAACTCCACTACACATACAAACAGTTCTTACCACATATCAAGAAGCACTTCCAAATGAGTCTAGCCTAGTCTAATGAGTAAGAGTTGAATGCACACATGCCCGTCAGCTTCGGTGAATGGTGTCGTAACATCGAGGTTTCTTATGAGCAAAACTGGCGGCATTATTGAACTCATAAAACCCTGTAGCGGTCTCGTGTAAATTAACGTCACCCGAACTGCAAGAAATTGCGAACCGATGCGCAATGCTTGCGTGAAAATGATGTGTGACCATGAGCTTTTGCGGTTTGTGAGGCGGTTTAGATTTCGCGTGGCCTTGGAGCTGTCGGTTATTGAAGACACCGATGCTATAACCGAAAGGTCACTGCACCCCGCAGTATCCCCGTAAGGGCCGAAGATGTCATGGGCCACTTGGATCTACTGTACTCCATCACCGCCACGGTGCCGCCATATCCAGCCTTATAGTGGCCACACCCAGCCCTAAAGTGTCTACAGCGTCGGCTGCTCGGTCGTCGCCTTCTGTGTTACCATAAGCAAAGACACTATTTGCATCGGCACCTCGAATAACAACAGTCCAATTGGCAATCGGTGCCCTGTTTCCCGTACGTTCCGGACGCTATCGAGTTCTGGGATTGAAAACCCTCGCAATCGATGAACTTACCATACAGACATGCATCGGAAACCCATAAAACGTCGCAAGCTACACGAGCATGTCGATGCAGTCAAACACGTTGACGTGCAAATATTGCGCAGAGACTTTCCAGCGCAATGGTCACCTCCAGCGTCATCTGCTTCGTCATACAGGCTCGAAGCCTTTTAGCTGTAGGATATGCAAGAAATCTTTCTCAAGAAGGTATGCAACTCAATTTCGACCATCTGTCGCAGCGAAATACTGACGCATGAAGTGATACGCTATATCGGCATGGTCTCACACATGCCCGCCTTGAATTCCCGCAGAGTGATAAGAAAAGAGCGTCAAGAGCATGTACTTCTTGCGTCAAGGCAAAACAGCGCTGCTACGATCGAAAGCCGTGCATACGATGCGAACGAAAAGGACTATACTGCGACTTCTTTGACGATCAACGCCCGAGTCCCATCGCTCCTGTTCATATGACAAGCAATCGACCTCCGGCTCAGGTATCCTCCGAGACTATCGACGAACATGAAAACGTAGTAGTGCCACCTAACTTAACGCCAGGTCCGGATTTTGCGACTGCTTCCCTCGGCTCAACGTCGCAAGATTCGGACACTGCGCTGCTGAATCGTTCCTCTGTTTCTATTTCCGTGGGCGAGCCTTTATCCGAGGACGTAAACGGTACAGAGTGGCCTAGTCTTTTGCGTCCACCGAGCTCTAGTGAAGCGGAAGATTATGGCCTCTTCGTCGACTACCAGTCACACGACTTTCCCTACTTCAATGAGATGTCGTACAATCTCAATCTACCATTTGCTTGGATGATGCAAACACACCAAAGTCCCTCTCCGACTCAACATACTTTGGAGTTTGAAACACTGAATCCTCCCACGCCCAATCATGGCAATTTGGTTACCCCCGAGCCCACTGATAATCCTGAATTTAGAAGGTCCAGTATAAAATCCCATACTGCTACTGAGTCCCGCAGGAGGAGCTCCGACAAGGCCGCAGACGCATCACAATCTCACCTGGCACATGTCTGTCCATCCTTTCCTATGCTCGAGGAAGACGCATCACGGAGCGCTAGCGCCGAAGTCTTCGGCCATGTAAGCAGAATTCCTGAGAAAGCGTACGCTGATGTGCGCTCCTTTTACATATTGGAACGCGGCTATGATGACAGGTCGTTTCCTCACTCCCGATTGCTCCATTCCTTTGCAGAGTTGTACTTCGAGTATTTCGATCCTTGCCTTCCATTTTTGCATCCAGTCAGAGTCGAAAGAGACGACCTATCCTGGATCCTTTTAATGGCCGTGGCTGCTATCGGAAGCCAGTACTCCGAAGTGAGAGACGCGCCTATGTTCACTACAGTCTTCCATCACTTGCTGCGGAAGGCTATACAAGCTCATGTAAGTTTGCATTTCTACTATTGCTGTGCTAGCTGACTTGTTATTTCACCTCCAGGCTATCACAAAGAGAATGGAAATCTCATTCGTCCAGAGTGTATTGTTGCGGGATGTCGGACTTATCTCCTCCGGTCTCAAGTTAGACCATGCTGTATTGCAGCGAGAGAGAAGTCTGATCACGAGCCTATGTCGCTGTTTATCGACTCACGCTGGCGCTCCTGACAACGAAGAGTATACGGTCAATCAGGAAATGGACCATGAGTGGCTACCCTGGTTGCTAGCTGAAGAAGTCGTCCGCCTCATGCATTGCGTATACAGTAAGGGAGAGAAACCCAACAGATACAGCATTAATAACATCTCGAACAGCATTAGAATGTTTCCAGTTGATTCTGTTCGACCAGCGTCCACTCTTCAGACTCACAGACTTCGCTCAACGTTTGCCTTGTGGGGATGCTATCTGGAGATGCCGCACTGAAAAATCATGGAACGAACAGAGGCATCGCGAGGTAATAAATAGCCAACCTGCTAAGCTCGACCATTTCTCGAGTAACATACGCATATTCAGCCTCTACGCCAACGAAAGAGCGACTTTGGATCAGGTGCAATCATCACTGCGCTTGGGCTCCCTGTTCAAGCCCGAACTAGGTATTGACCTACATGATCAGGATGTCAATTCTAACCGAGATAGATTGCTAGCCTCTGGAGCCTCGCTAGACGATATCACGTACCTAGACCAAGTGATTCACGACGCTATCGCATCTAAACATCTTCCGCATCATGCTGGAGAACAGGCCTTGCAAGACCCTATCGTACATGTTATATCCATACTGAGAGACATCCCGCTACGTACAATATACGCCTCTGTAGGTTGGCAAGCAAACGTTCCTGAGATGCAACGAACAAGAGAGGGACTTAAAGAGTACTTGCGGTGCAACCCAATTACCGCTAGGATCTGCTTGTGGCACGCAGCTCAGGTCTACTTGTCCATGCGAAATCATCGCTACCCCGCATACTATGCATGCCTTTCGTTTGTCATCGCCGTCACTTATATCCTTCTTTATGATCAGATACTAGGAGAGACACACCCGCAGGGAGATCTTATCCGTTTGGACAAGTTGAAAGAGAAGACCGACGCAGATATATGGGCAAGAGATGGTGAGAGTTCAAGAGTACATATCACAGGCATCGGTATTTTGAACAGCACCGAGAGTAGTCGAAGATTACTTGTTGGAGCCGCAAACATTCTACGGTCTCAGAGACCGTGGCGAAACATGTCGGAATCCCTTGCAGACTGCTTTGCACAGATGAGCGAGGGACGAAGGCCACGAGCCGGTTGGTAAATCGATCCCAGCGTGGACAAGCCCTATTCTTCGCTCTTCTGTGGGAAGACGGTCAGGTACAACTTCAGCAACGGCATGACTAGCTTAGCTACGAAATACACCACAGTACCCAGGAAGCCATCCAAATTGATATTCGGAAAGCTAGTCCCCCCGCTCTTCCGTACCCATGAGAAAGCTCGCGGCATCATCGCCTTCTCGTACTTCTCACACGAAATCTTCACCTCTTCGTACGTCGGATGTGCCGGGCTAATGTTAGCAAGAAAGTTGAGGTGAAGCAGCTGAGGAAGCAGGTCAGCGCAATCTGCCATTGCCTGGTTACCTCCTTGGCCGCGGTTGGGCTGCATAGCATGCATGGCATCTCCCACAACCCACACCCGAGGATGTCCTTTGTCGCTTCCTGACTCTCGAGCCCGTCTCCGCCAGTCTGCCTTGGGCTGTGTACTCGCGCGCAGCTGCGTCACAAGCATGGCGGTATTGCCGGTGTCATCGTCTCTGATGTCGACCATGCTGTGGAACTCGGGAGCCCAGTCCTTGATCGCATCATGGCAAACCTTCTTATGGTCTTCGATCTCCGAGACTTTCTTGTAGGGAAGCACATCAGACGGAACAACTAGACCCCAGTAATAAGATGCTTCCGACTCGTTGTATTGTAACGGAACTTTCTCGTCAGCTATCTGGTGCCGTTCGTCCGCAGCCTCCGCTCCTGGAAGATATAGAGCGTAGTAGAACGAGATGCTTTTGGAAAAGACCATAATCGGTCCTTGGCGCAGTTTTGGAGGCAGACTCATCATGCGGTTGACTGGAAGGCTACCTTTCGACAAAAAAGCCCAATGGCTGTCTAGAAGTTTGATGTTGTTCAAGCCAAGCTGTCGATTCACCTAAACAGCCGTTAATCTCACTTCTACGCTTACGTCGTGTCGCACCAACCTTGGAGTTCGCGCCGTCAGCCCCTACGAGCAAATCGCCCACATCATGCGTACCATCGGAGAAGTAGACTTTGACTCTCTCGTTTCCGGTTTTCTCAGTAAAGATCTCGTAGCGGTCAAACCCTTTCCCATACTGGATCGTTCCACTCTTCTTAATGGGTCCCAATAGTATGTCTCTCAGAACGACCCTGTTAATACCAGCCGACTTTGTGTACGTCGGCAATTGCGCTAAGTCGACGATTTCTTGGAATCTTGTGTTGTATAGCGAAGGTGCTGTTGCTTGCGCGCCGGATGATTTTCCAAGTTTAGCAGCTATCCTGTCAATGTGATCGTTGGTTAAGCATGCGCGAAACCCTGCCTGGGACCCAGGACCTAGTCGAATCTGGTAACCCTCTCGATTAGAGTCTGCTTTGTCGCGCTCGTATACCATGAATTGGACGCCGTTGTTGCGAAGACCGTTTGCTAGGAGGGCGCCTGCAAGGCCACCACCAACGATGATGACTTTGAAATCTGCCATTATGATAAATAGATGTCGAAGTCCACGAGTAGATTAGTGATTGGTCATGTATAGCTGAAGGGAGCTGGACGTGCGACTGCTTATAACCACGGGAACTCATTTGGAAGATCCCGACTTCAAGTCCCAGCGCTCATCCCGGACACCGACAATCCAATGCTTCCACAGACGCGGGGTTCTTCCATCAGTATCACCGACCGGTTTTGCCGGCTTATAGCCAACGTGTCGTGAGAATCTAACGCCATGCGGAGATGGGTCGTTGAGTACGGACGTGTTCATTGGTCCCACCCTGGGCCGCCGGCCCCACAGGCATCCCCGCGAAACTTCACGGCTTTGCACAACGACCGCTAAGCCATCCAAAACAAAGTTAGAGATGTTGTTACCTATGTTTGGCTAACACCTGAAACTTTGCCTCCATTGTCGACAGGAATATGGCAAGGATGTCCGGCGTACACGCGACGTCGAAGGTCTCGACATCACCAGAAGTAGCACAAGTAACAACTCCCCTCGTGTTTACACGAAATGAACAGCACACGGACTGCTATCGTCTCAAGGAGAGTAAAATTGTGAGTTTCCAATCCTTGCTCACATGACTATCACAGTAGCATCAATGGGACGCCTTCGGGAGATCTTAGTATCAATTCGAGAATGGCCAGATACTACTGAAGCACAGCGTGTAGTTAGATGTTCAAGTCCATGCGTCGCCCTGGCGTCAGAGCCAGTACGCCCGAGGTCGTCTCCTTCTCCACACTTGTCGTAGCTCCCATCACATCTACTTTATATGGTGCGATACAACTGGGCCAGCGATCAGCGATAAACACTCGCAACACGGGATTATCAATTGACATACCTATCATCGTGCAGGCACCATATCACCGTCTCCGGCTGATGAAGCCAACGAACTTGTTTCACGGCGAACTGCGCTGCAGACCCGTCAAAAGGCCGTCCATCGTGGTTGGCGCGTCCTGCGATACCTAGAAGCGCGATTTTTGGCTTCGGCTCTATTCTCGAAAAAATACCCTCATAAGCACCTAGATGAGCGTTCCAAAATATTGCGCTACCGTTGATGATTATATTGAACATAAGCTGGCCACCGTCGCAATGCGAGAACAGATTGGCATTCCGATCGTGGACATAGTCGAGGAACGAGCGCATTCCGTCGTTAATCTTATCCTGTGGTACAAATTTGTCCAGCTGTAGGAGACCATATTTCATCGCATTGGTGATGTCCAAAGTGCAAGTGTAAGGGGAGGCTTCTCCTGTGTAGACAACTGCAGTGTCCATGACATCAGGATGAGGATTGGGCAGAAAAGCATGCAGTGATGGCCAGACATGTACTGCAAGTGAAGCAAGAGAGTGATCAGGCATCTTTGGTTGATCTGGAAGCGTTGCAGCTGACGGTACTTCGCCGCGCTTTGCCTGATCTCTTACAGCACGTGTGAAGAGAGGTATACGTTCTCCGCCAGACACGGGTAAGAGCTGCTCGTCCGGGACACCAGCAGAACGAAGCAGATTGATAGCTTCGCAGTTGGCAACGACAATGGCACCAGTCCGAATAGCGATGCGATCGGCTCCGGGGAGGTGGTCAAAGTGGGCGTGAGAGATGAAGATGTAATCTGCTTCAGTTACATCATCGACTGCCAAGTATTGTGGCAGTACAGATGGCCTGTCAAGCCATGTATCTAAGAAGATAGTAATACCACCGGTACGCAGCCGGAAAGTTGTCGCACCTATTCGAATCAGCGTTCCGACTCACCGCACGCTCTCTAACGGAAACGTACCGAACCATTCTATAGTAGTACCCGTCATTGTGGTGTTCATTGATTCAGGACGTACTGTATCAGTCGGGTGTGTTCGAAACAACTGTGTATGTATGGGATCGTAGTCACGCACATACTTTATGTCTCACACAGGGGCCTGTCGGATACTGGCGATTGGGTGTGAACGTAGCCGACGGGGAATGCGATGCGACACCAGGCCGCTTTGGGCCACCGTGGAACACAGCGGGGTTGGAAAGCACGAGCATATGGCCATTTTGGTGTGCGCTATGATGCCGTCGGGCGCTGCTTGCGCTTCGTGCATCGCCTCATACCTTGAAGCTGAATGACAACATCTTTCGCATCCCAAATTCGCAACGTTGCTCATCAAATACTACATGGCTTCACTGGTTTGACGACTGCGAAGTAATTGCTGTTGACTTGTAATCTTGGCGCTACGCTACTTGTGAACCTTTCCTGAACAAATCAGGCATCTGAAGCGCCCAATGCGTTGGTCTATCTCCATGACGGCGATAGCGTCTCTTCGGTGTACAAATCTCCTTCTCAAGGCTTACGTCTCGTCCTCGTAGACGATAGCACGGATCCCAGTCCCCTCGAACGCGTTGACAAAGTAGTCTAGAGGCTTAACATCTGACTCCGTGAGTTTTTTATCAAGTGCAAAGCGGAATCGGTTGACCAGCATTGCCTTGCACCCTTGGAGAAGGTCACAAGATACCTCTCTAGCTCCTTCGCATCATCATTGAGCCAACGAGCGGGGTTGAACCTTCTAGCATCTTCACCCCAGATACCTTCGTCAAAGTGCATGGTGTAAGCAGACATGCCGATAACGGCTCCGGCGGGGATCACCTTCTCGTCAACGATGAGGGGCTTTATTCCATCCGGTACAATTCGTGGAAGTCGTCCAGGCACTGCCATGGCGTAACGCAATGCTTCCTTAACACAAGCAGTCTGACAATGTTAGCTGGTTATCGCAGTTCAATCGGAGTGCATACCAGATATGGAAGCTGTTCTAATCTGATAAGCTCGAAATCTTGTTTTGTCACAAAGCCAGCATCCTTCAACTCTTTTCTCAGATGCTCAAAGATGGTAGGGTTTTCTATCATCTCGTAGATAGCTACAGCGAGTGTAGATGCCGTCGTATCTGAACCTGCAACCAGGATATCTGTCGCTTCAGCCAGTACCAGGTCGTCGTCTAGGTATTGCATGGAATCGAACACGATTTCACGATCCAGGTTTTTGCCAGAACTTTTTAAACGTCTGAAATTGGCAACGGTACCTGCAACGGCACAAATGAGGCCCTGAAACTTTGCTGCCGGTTGGCTAAGTTTCGCCGCGACAGTGGGTGGGCACTTGTTGATGATAGTTCGGATGAGAGGGAAGTACAACAGGTCCCATAGTGACTCGGCGGCCAGGTCAAAACATTCGATAAACGGTGCGTTGAACGTATTGTCTTCCGCTTTGGTCAGTAGATTGAACGACTCCCCAAAAGCAACTTCCGTGATAAAGTCGATTGTCAAACACCTGTGGCTATCTTAGTAACTGGTTCTCGATCACCTTGTTTGGGTGGCAGTACCTGAAAGCGTGATACAGGTTTATCGCGCCATCGCCCTTCATTTCTGACATCCTATCGCACATCATATTGGCCTTGGTAATCAAGGTTTGATTCATTGCCCGCACGGAAGTTTTCGAGAAGAAGTTGCTGAGAAGCTTGCGTCGCACACGGTGTAAATCCCTGTCGTCCTCGACGAAGACGGAATGTGGCGTATTAAAAGAGTCATAAAACGACTTCTGCTTACGGAACGTATAGCGCTGCGAATAGATTGTATGGTAAAGTGTAGGGTCGGTAATGTGTAGCTCATTTGGTCCGATTCGAAGCACGCGTGTGTCTGTCCACGCTGTCAATGGCCTGTTTGAGGGTTTTCTTATAGAACATACTGTATTTCTGGTGAAGCTGCTCAAAAGCCTCCTCGATTTTACCACTCTTGCTCAAGGGATACTGCCACCACGTTGAGAGGACTGCCTTGTATGGGCCATCGAAAGACGCCAATGGGTGAAAGTAGAGTAAATAAACCGCTCTGATGAGCCACAGAATGAGCGTGAACAAAATCAGGTACGTTGCTAGTTCAAGAGAGAAGCATTTTTCCAAGGCAGGGCTCGCCCAGCCTTCCTTGAGATGAGGAATGATGTTTGCATGTAACATCTCGAACCGCGATATCGTGGTAAGTGCAGACTTCAAACCATCTTAATTGATTCTCTCATTTATACTTCAGTTACTGTCATTTCCCGAACGTGGATGAGAAAATGCCCCGGTGTGTTCACTCGGCGTTGTGGAGAAGGGAAGTCTGCAGGCCATTCGCTGCCGACGGGGCAGACATTCGGACCTTCTTATGGGCATGATCAGAGTCCCGACGGGGCTGACACCCGTGCGACCATTATCCGGGATCCTAAGGGGAGATCGTTCGATGTACGATGGAGTGTAGAAATGCCAGTCTTGTACTAGTTGCGCGGCCCTCGCGTCGAACAAGAGGCCGACCCTATCCCCTAGTTGCCTCGAGGTGACACGGCACCAGATTCAAGCATAGTCGCGGCTGGCCACAGGCATCCGGAAGTAGGAGCGAGACAGTGATGCATGCGATTAACGACGGTGAGAGCACTTACGGGTCAACACGTGAAAATTATTCGTTGGTGTGCGATGGAAAGGGAATGTTGACCACTGGAGGATATACATCTTAACTTGAATTAGTCAGATCGCTCTCTAGCGCCGAAGGCTCGCTTCTGAGCCTGTGTTACGTCATTACATTCCTCCTGCAATCCTCCATCGAAAAGCTTCCCTTTGTTATATTCTCTCAACCTACGATTTCCTGGGAAAATTATGCTGCAGACTCGGCTGTATAGCCCTCCGGCCAGTGTCCTGTCATCCCGAAGATGCCAGTGGCCCTACTTCCGATCGCCTTCTCCATACCGTACCTAGCCACTATCTTCTCCCATTGGCCCACCGTCAAACTGCCATCCAGCACCTGCGGCAACGTTAATGCGGACAGTGCTGCAACGTCGCAACTCGCTCCCAAGTGTGGCCGGACCTGGATCAACGCCTCACCTACCAGCAGCAACTTTCCACCATAGAACGAGGCCTTGGTATTATCGAACGCACGGACAGCAGTAAGAAGCGGCAATTTGTTTGAATCATGAAAGATCTTCTTCCATGTTGCAGATAACGTGGCTTCTCTTCGTTCCAGCTGTGACTTCCAGACTTCCGGGCGTAGCAGGTTTCCAGGGACTGTGACATTGTGACGGACACCGTCAACATCGGTCATGTAATCGGCAAAAACCGGGGTCGATGCATCGCATGCGTCGTACCAACACCATTCAATGACTCGCTCGCCTGGTCGCATGTTTCCAATCTCGTTAGGCGACATGTATCTGGAACGCGTTAGCTATAGCCAAGGAATTGCGGTCTGAACATACACCACAATGTAGCTGCCGTCAAGCATGCATTGAGGCATCTTGCCCTCGATCGCGCAACGCAGTTCTTCGGGTGCGTCCAGTTCTGGGATGTGCGACCTCCAAGCCACATAGCCGACGTACTCGGTTTTGATATCGGGCAGCACGAGGCTACGGATGTGCGAACGTGCACCATCAGCTGCGATAAGGAGGTCTGTTGTCATCTGTTCTTCGACCCCGTCCTTGCTTTTGTACGTCACAACGAGGTGGTCGTCTTGCTCGACTAGCCCATGCACCTCGCATCCACACTGCATAGTCACAGACCCGTGTCCCTCGACATCTTTCTCACAAGCCATCCACAGCAGTCCGTGGATGCCCGCCCAACACGACGTGCGCAAATCATATGCGAACGGCACGTCGGCGAGTACATTGCCATTCTTGTCGATGATAGGGAATGAAGGGTTGCGGAACAAGATATCGTCGAGTCCAATATCAGGTATGTACGTTGCGACGAGCTTCTGTGCATTTGGCCAAAGGGTCAGGCCTGCAGCTCGAGCTCGTAGCCGTTCCTCGGTGCGCATCTCAAGAACCACAACGCTGTGGCCATGGGACTTTAAGACAAGCGCATGCATGAGCCCGGCTATTGAACCGCCAATCTGTCGACAGACTCAGCTTCATAGTAGGAACGCGTTCAGGAACAACTCACCACAACTACGTGTCTATTCACTGGTCCCGCCATTTCTGTTCGGTTTTCTACGCACAGTTAGGGAGCAGTGGATGAAGGTCCGAGTAGTCCCATTTGATGCGCAAACGGCCCTTTTATGGCATTGTTGTTGGGAGCAAGGGTTGTATGAACTACCCACCACTAGCGAAACCGTAGGAAATCGTCCGTATGGCATAGCTACCACCAACATACTGGAGGACCTGACCCAAGGCGCGATTATTTGCTGAAGCGCGATTATTGGATGGACTGACAATCAGCATGTCAGATATCGCGCGAGTAGAAACGGTTCGCATACACGGCATGCGGCGCAGTCACGTAGTGGCTTCGCCTATCTTCCATCCTTCCCAGATCAGCCAATAGGAGCGTTACATCGAGCCATCGCACTAGTTCCTTTCGAATCCGCGAACTTCATGTCGGTATTGTTTACTGAGATGATATAGCGACCCGTGTTCACGTCCTTCACCTGAGTCGTGCTGGTGTATCGGTTATCTTCCTCGCCTGTGGACAACCGATAATTGAACTGTGCCACTTAGTCACTTCCCCACGTTTGTCGTAGCAACACATTCTGATATTGCTGCCCCAAGTGCGTAAAACCCCGGCCTTCTCATTCCTCTTCGCCTTGCTATGCGTAGGACATTTGCATCCATCGACTTTGACCAGAGTGTTGAGGCTTCGCTAGAATCATCGACCATAGCATGCTGATCTGTTCGCAGGGGTTGTAGCTTCCTACATGGACGCTGAGCCATTAATTCCTCCTATCAAATATGCCATCTTCGCAAGGGATTCTGTAGGAAAGTGGTGTTGGTTTGGAGAGCCATCCATTCGGGTAATCGCTGCCGGTGATCGGCGCGGATGATACTTTGTCGCACAATTCCCCTACCCTTGATCTTGGACACCTGGAACAAGCCTTAAGTATAGTGTCCTCTTCCGCTACCGGTGTTGCTTCACCAATTCAGTCCATCACGATTACCTCTCTACATTATCATCGATACTCTTATCACACTACCCTGCTGCTGTTTCAGCGTCTCTCTTCCCGACGCCTTGTTGCCGGCCGTTGGTCGGTGTCGAAGCAGTCGCTCCCCAAATTCATATTCCTTACGCTTCGACGGTCTTCGCGCCCCCAGCCTGGGTCTGGTTGATAGGTATTGCCTTCTTGAAACCCGCTCAACCTCCTCCGATGCTCAGTGTATACCGCCCCGCTATAACTCACATCGCGGTCACGGTTTGTATCGTGGTGTAAAGGATGGACATTGCGTACATTTCGAGGACCTTGCGTAGAGACATTCATATCATTTCACATGTTCTGAACAGTGCTGTCCGGAATACGTCCCTGCTTTTGCTTCAATCCCAAATCACTAATTTTACGTCGAAGAGTGCTTGACTCAGTCTCTAGCATTGTGAAGCATCCTCGTAGCTTCGCGTTTCGGATATCGTATGCTTGGATATGTGCCTCCATCTCTTGTATCTTGGTTATCATAGCGCTAATCTCGCGCCCGTAATCGGCTGTCTCTGCTCTCATCTTGGTATGACATTGTTCGATGGCTACGTTTTCGTCGAGTAACATACTCTTTTCTCCTAGGTTGGGGATACGTCCTGTTGGCGTCAAATTATCGGTTGAAGACGTGATCGCACTGTAAGATGTTAGTGGAAACCTCCTAGGTGCTTCGTGGGATAGATTCACAGCGGCGGATCCAGCATTGGTACCGCCTCGCTTCTTGACTATGATATCGTTGAAACTATATCAGTCATCTCGATATTGCTAGGACGGCGGCTGAGCCGAGTATCACGCGCGCAATCGTAGGTGTTGTTCAAGGCCATATAGAGATAGCGAGAAGCTAGTGTGGAGTCAGAAGAGCCTAGATACAAAAGGCCTGAATAGAGGATTGTGGTCGAGCGGGAACGTTATCTACTAGCGCGATAGTATACCGACAGGCCTTGGTACCGTAGGTGAGCAAGAATATACTCCATACTGCGAAGCCGACGCCGTATCATTCGCCCACTCTCACACCGACATTGCCCCTCCCACCATGCATGCTTTGGAATCAGCCTAATTCAGGTCCCGCAACCCACTCCAAACAACTCAATCGTATTTGACACAATGCCGCGAGGTGGCCTCATTCGACACCTCTTCAAGCATGGCTCACACGCAAAGTCCAGGTCCGAGGCACAGCCACCAAAGACAAATGAATCCGGAAAGCCCACAGCAAACACATCCAAAATCATCCAGCGAGCCCCGTCACCGCCGCGGACACTCGAACCAAGTACCATTCAAGTTCTTCCTGAGGTCGCCGAAGAAGAGCCTACTTCCGCAACTGCACCGTCTCCTGCGTCTTCGAGTACAGGTAGCACGGTATCCGACCTTGCATCCGTAATAACTGTTTTCGCAGCGCACACGCCTGTGCCCGCTATCGACTTCGCGACTCTCCCCGTGTGCGACCTCCTCTATGCCGCCATCGATAAGGCCACAGCGGCAACAAATGAGCACATTGGTACACTGGAAACTACGGTGGCGCTACTTCTGACTATCACAGGATTCAGTGGAACGGTCGAGGTGCTAAGGCGGGAGATGCAGGATAGGAAGAGGGCGCGCGAGACTAAGATTGTGGAGCTGGAGAGGTTCGACGAGGCCGTCGAAGGTATGAGGCTTCCGGGTATGGAGGAGAGACTGGGCAAAAACAAGGCGAATGTGTCAGACGGCTGTTTGAGTCCGCAATACTGAAGCCGTAGCCACTGAGATATTTTGTGCCCGTCACATACGTAATGATTGCTCATGGTAACGACAACGTGGGCGGTCTATTCATTTTCAAGCATGTTTCACGTTGCTTTTGATAATACACTGCCTTGTTTTCCAGCTACATATCATTGCGACGACTACGTTCGAGCACTGTACAGGGTCTGCGGTCATGCAATAGGGCAAGTGCTTCTATTACTCAAACGCAGCACTGTACTATTGAACAGGAGAACGCCACGTTCATCAATTCGGCGGTAGGAAAACATCTGCGGTAAGGCTTCAAGGTTATCAATTAAAGTTTATGAAAGCCAGCGCACCTCTCGGCACAGTCGACATGAAAGTCCGTATCGAAGCTTTGATCGTCGCTTTCAAGCTGCTTAAAAAGTGGGCTGCGATTCTTACTGGTAGCGTCGCTCTGCAAAGGCGATTGTATTATCAATGGCAAACCTGGCGGTCTACAGTCGATAGGGTTCGGCGAGAAGTGTAAGCAAGCTTGTTGCATGTAGAGCTGTTGGAACGTACACTGACTTTTGTGAGTTTATATGTACGTTACGCATGGTTTCAATGTCATAACGAAAGGCGCCAACGGGACCTCGTCCATGGTGGGGTCGAGGTCTACATGGTTCCTTCGATATGTTCTTTTGAAGCCGATATCCGCCTTTCTATCGGCATGAAGGCACGGATGGTGCGTGCTTACATCGACGACATCTTAGTATCATGGCCTGGCATAAGTTATCGAGTCCAACAAGCTGCTAGCAACCCACCAAGTTTTTCAGCACTCGATCATCCCTTCTTGAATTGTATTGCAGATGTCATTGAAAGTGTGACTGGACGCAGACCTACACCGCTTGTGGGCCTAGGTGGGACAGATTTCAAGATCTATCGCTATCACAATATACTGGTATTCGTCTTCGGCCCATCTCCAAGCGCGATGGGCGCTAAAAAGGAGGCACTATTGATTGATGTGCACATCACAGTCATCGAGACACGCAAACCGGCGATTTTCGATATCTTTGGGATCATAAAGAGCAGCGGAGTGATGATCCCATCTGTCGATGTCGGATTCCATGCGCTCGGACGCGGCACGTCTTGTTATCGTTTTGAGATGTGGTCGCTCATAACTGTCGGTTACGAGTTCAAAAGTCGGGCTGTGGAGCGGAGTGGTGCCGGTTCGTGCCGCTGCACAAGTGGACGGGAAGAAACCACTTGTCTACTCAGGGTATTAACCGATTGCATGGATACCAACAACCCACAAGCGAAATGTGCTTGGAAGGCATTGCTCACTAGAAGAATCGCTGAAGCGTGTTAGTGTTAGTTTTGTGGCCGGTACATAGGTCAGACCTTTGGCCTGGCACATTGGATCGAGATATACTAGTACAGAGTTACACCGGCACTCAATGCCCTGACCAGTGCAAATTTTGTGCAATTTATACTGTAGCCAAGACAACACTAACGAATGCTGACCATCGGAGATGTACTACAAACCCGCTATTCCCGAGCATGCCTTCCGGGAATCGGGCTACAAGAGTCGAATTTATTATGTCAAAGGCCTTCCGCGGAGTCGGTAAGCTCTTCCGAAAAATGCCGTATGCTTGCAGTTTGCACAGCGATGATAATTGGGGAGGCTCAAAGCAACCATCGGCAACTGAAACAAGCGATGTCGTAAGGCGTGAACTTACGACCGTCGACCGACTGACGCTCGTGGCAACTCGCCAGAGCAAACGAGATAACGAGTTTGAACATCGCAACGACATTGACACTCGTATCTGAATCGTATGCGTTCGAATGAGGCAGCAAGAAAGAAGTTTGGGAAAGGTTCGGTACTTAGCTTCGTCGGTAGTTTACGCACGGCCTGCAGGATCGGCAAGCGAGCGGGAAGTGGAACCGATAAAAGGCAGGGGTAGACTGACTAGCTGACACCGGCACGCGGTTAATCACCCTCCATACGGAAGACATCCGTCTCCTGTTTTCTTGCCTGAAATTTCGTTCAGTTTCGTCGCCATTATTTTCTCATACCCATCTTCTTACAGCCCAAGAAACTTTCTTATTCCCATCATTCTTTTGAACCAGGACATGCTAAACATCGGCCGCATATCATTATACCGCCGAAATACGACCACTCTACAACTATAACACCAAGCAATACCACAACAATGCCGCATACAATCCTAGCGAAGACGAGCACATACCCATACATCCTCACTACAGTCGCTACGCGAAAAGAAGGCGTTTCACGTGCGGAGTTCCATCGCCACAACGAAGAAATCTATGCGCCACTTCTCAAGAAGATCGCTGGGAAAGTGCATCCGTTAACCTGGACACGATACTACCATGTTGACGACTCCGAATGCCCTGTTGGAATTCCACGTGTGATGATTGGCGGAGATGAGGGTATGGATTGGGATTGTATGGGCACTATGGCTTTTGAAGATGAGTTACATTTGCAGCAGTTCATCGCGTTTATGCACTCGGATGCTGCACTTCCAGTGTTCGAAGAGGAGGGGAAGTTTGCGGAACCAACGAAGACGAAGTTGCTGTTCATGAAGAGGGGTGTTAGTGTGCGGGAAGGTTAGAAGCGCGGTGATTGGCCAGGAGTTCAGGACGGAAAAGTTTGATTCGCAAGCACATGTCAGAGATTACCCAACCTACTGTACAAGATTATGCGACCTTCGCAGTCGCAATTTAGGGGTTTCGAGCCTGGCTTCGTCATTTTGATGATCGGTTTACGCTAGATACATCCCGCAGGCGCCAATGCCGACGGTTGGACATGACTAGATTGACTATCGATCCCATGTGAATATCTCTAGATCATATCGCGGGAGCGTTCAACAACCTTGTGTTTGCTCCGCCACGCCTAAGACGGTAACCAGTTCGCAACCCAATCATCCTGGCTCATAGCTGATCCCCACGATTCCTCCACACCCCGCGTTCTGTTACCCCACCTGTCGTAGCCATCGGACCACAACATCGGAACCTTGTCAGTGGTCGATTCCAAAGAGGCCCCTTCTTCCAACAGTAAAACGCCGCCGTCCAGGATCCAGATATGGTTGGGAAGCAGCGCCATTTTTTCATGATGGTACATGTGTCGAACATGTCTGTGGTTGGTCTCACAAGTAAACCAGAATTGATCGTCGTCCTTGAGAGCGGTGCGAGTAACGAACACTGTCAAGACTGTGTTGTTCCAAGATCTGTCGGTAGATGAAGAGGTAGGCTCACTAGAGTGATACCTGGACCTGGCGGCTTGATGCATGAAACGAGCGACGTTAAAAATCATTGTGGGATTCACGGGCGGAAGCGTCCCCAACTCTGGTAGTCGCTGAAGAATGGCTTGAATATCGTATTCTTCAAAGTCTTCCACGGCATTGCGCTCCCGAGGGATGTGCCGTATCAAACACTCCAGTACTTTGCAATGCCTTATCTTTGAACCGTCTTTGCCCAATTCGATGATCTTGGTTTGTGATTCTTCAATGAACTCTCGAATCAGCCTTTCTACGATAGCTTTTGATTCCGAACAAATCAGCTTGCTAGTGCGCAGTATAGCGGTGGGCAGGTGCCTTGTAACCAAGATGGCCACGAAACCGTCTATGGAGACCTTGGTGTGTTTGAGCTGACGCGGCAGACGTTCATAGACCAGCAAACGTATCTCCGTAGGAAGTTTCAAGAACGGAAACGGCTTGAACTCAGGAATCGTCATTTCGGCACTCGGATAAGCAACCACTGATGGCTAGGCGATTACTATCGGCTGGAAAACAAGATGAATAACCAAAATTTCAGTGGTCTCAATCACAAACGTCTAGAAGACAAACAAGGTTGAATATAAAGGTTTAGCAAGTGCGAAAACGAGAGTGAAGGAGAGGGGAGAGATGTCATACCACAAAGTACCATTTCCAACATTGACCTATCGGAGGGTGTGGAGGTAATAGTAATGCCGTGATGATGATCCTCGCATCAGCCGGAAACACCGGATGTCTATCATTCGCAAGTTGGTTGGTAGATACGTGAGTATAACTAGGTACTGTAACGAAGCTCATTTGTCGGATGGTCGGAGGTAGTTGTGCCGATTCAGCGCGACCAGATTAGTTAACAGTTTCTTCAACAACAGTGAATGGCTACACACAGAAAGGTTGAAATATCAAGACACGCACGCGAACACCAGAATCAACGTAGACACAAATTTGTACGGAGATTTGGACTTTTACCTCTGTATCGCTCTTCGGCCATTGTAATTATACGAAAAAATTGGGTATTGAGGAGTTGTGTATAGGCAAGTTTTACCCGAAAGCGATTCGCGGTGGGTTGCCTTCTACCTATATCACTGGAACGTCCCCCTAATACGATTTAGGGTACTGTATAGCCAAGCTTCTTCAAACTTTCCACAAGGTAGGCACTCCTCAACCCAAGTCTCCTGACTCATACGAATACTTCGCCGCCCATGCTCTCATAGTATTTGTCCATGTCAGGTTCGATGGGATGTTGGCGGCCGCAAGCTTGACCTCTCCACCAGGTGCATGGACGAGACAGAGGTCCTGATCGATGGACATTTCATTAGTGATCTTCAACTGTAAGAACAGTTCATCTTCGACGGGTGTTCTTCCTCGCCAACAGCGATCGGCGAGAGTTCGTTCGTCATCGTTCATGCTATTGAAGTCAGTGAATGACGCGATCGCGGCGGATTACGATTTCCGAGTATGAAACTGTCTCATGATGAACGTGGTATGCAAGAGGAACCGTGCAACGTTATCATATCATTCGGTTTCCCAGGGGCTATGGTTGAAGTCACAGTGTCGCTCACCAAAACCTCTCAGGGAGTAACAGAAGTGTACTGCAGACGACTTAGTCACCAAATTAAGGTTACACTGTACGGTAGGTAGAACTCACTTTTCATGCTCTGTATTCTTCTACGATATGTGGCAGAAACGCCATTAATGCCTCGAGCTGAACATCGTGTCCGATGATCCGCGGCTGCGACTCTACCATGAAGGGTTGGAGGATAGCTGAGACAATCGCACGCGCCTCAGTATAGGCTTGATGGTTTGTGCGCAAGACAGCGGTTGAACGATGACGTGTGATGAAGATGATCTTAGTGTTCACAATGGTAAACAGGTTGTCAGTGCGCGAGCCTACCTAGCGCAATTTGGCGTGCTTGATCTGACGAGGTAGTCGCTTGTAGATCATGAGGTGAAGTTCTGCGGGAAGGCTAAATGTTGGTGCACGAAGTCAGTATATGTCTCACATGCAGTTCGTACAGGGTCACTTACTCCATGAGGCGGAACGGCTAGTAGTTGCACTGTGTTGACATCGTGACATTGTACTTGAGAGCGGCTGTAGCAAGCGTCTTCGTTATGATACAATATGCACCGTCTGAAAAGACGTGTGCTTGTTTCTGTGATCCGGTGATAGGGGGACTGAGAAGGTGGAAGTGAGTGCGAGGACAGGGAGTAGCCGTCGTTAGCACCGCTTGGCGAATCAAATCAGTGGTATGCGGTGAAGTATTCAGAGGATGTTTGCAGGTGCCTAATTAGGTCACCACAATGAGTAGCATACAGCCGTTGTACGCAAAAGTCGAGAAACTCAACCGTTGCCGCTTGGGGAACTTCTGAGTACCTTTCTAGTATAACAAGACCAACGCGACTTGCGAAAGATGGTGCCTCTTGTCCCAATATGCTAGATCAGCGCTTTCTTAGTCGCTCCCTGGAAACGAGGCATGAGATCGGTGCGGTCGTCCAGAAGTAGAGTATGAGACGTATCAGTCATCACCTATGCAATTGAAGGAATGTGAAATGACATACCGTAATCCAGACCATGATATAGACTGTATACTACAACCATCAGTATATGACTTCACCTCAAGTCTGACCAACTTGCGTCTGGGAAGACCCCGTGACGGTGTATAAAGCGGCAGCCAAAGAAAAGTGACATGGCCAGGAATGAGGTAATAGCCAGCAACTAGAGGAAGTCATGGCGTAACTCCCGTTTGAAGTGAACTGAGACAGGGCGATAACGGGTATTGGACAGGTTTGAGAAGATTATGAGTTAAACATACTATTCAGACAAAAGAGAAAGATGAAGTATTCCCCCGTCTTTTCCAGCCCAGGATATCTTCCAATGCCATCCTCACCGGACGCCAACGCCATGCAAGTCCACCCTCCTTCCGCTCTTCTAAACCTTCATCCACAGCGCCAGCACACCCTTCGCATACTCCACAATCTCATCACCACCCAGCTTGCTCTCGCCGTAAAGACGGTCCACAAACGAGATTGGCACCTCCGCAACCGTGCATCCCATAGCCTTTGCCCTAACCATCATCTCCATCTGGAAAGTGTACCCCTTACTCTCCGTGCTGCGAATAACCTTCTGCAGCACCTCCTTCTTGTACAACCTAAACGAACCCGTCAAATCACTCACACCAGGCCTAAGCACGGTATCCGCAAACAGATTCGCGCCCCTAGACACGAATTTGCGTTTGAGATCCCAGCCGAACACACCGCCGTCCCCTGCATACCGTGTGCCGGTAACGATATCGTAGTTCTGGGTCTTCTGTAAAGCGATCATGGGCGCAATGAACTTGGGGTGATGCGAAAAGTCGGCGTCCATGATGATGACGAAGTTTCCGGTTGCGAATTGCAGACCGTGGACGTAGGCGGTTCCCAGACCGAGTTTACCGGCGCGGGCGCGGATTTGGATGCGCTGGGGGGTGTAGACTTTTTGGAGCTGGGCGGCGATTTCTTGGGTGCCATCGGGGGAGCCGTCGTCGATGATGATGAGTTCCCAGTCGAGTTTGCTAATCAATTTGTGTTAGTATCGTGGTGTCTTGTCTTGTAGGATATTGTTGCGACGTACTTCTCCTCAAACGTCTTAGCCAGCAGCCATGTTATTATGGGCAGGTTGCGACGCTCGTTGTAGGTAGGGAGGAGCACTGAGTACTTGTTGTTGTTGGTAGTCGGCGCCATCTTGGAAGTGTGTGTTGTGTCTGCGGAATTGGGTGAATGAGCGACTGCAGGTGAGGGTTGACGTTGGAGGTCGAGGAATCGCGGAGGTGATCGTGTCCGCAAGTAGCTCGGACCCTGACTAGCCTCATTGGATCGTCTCCTTCCGCAATCCCATTGGGGAGTTTGGGTCGCCTTACACGTCGATGTGATCTTTAATCGACATTTCTATATCTTTTAGAATATTATCGGATCGGCACTTTTGGCTTGGTAGGGTGTTGCCGTTCGAGTGGCCGAAGTGCGGCACAGACTAAACATCCATCCCTACCTCCATGTCCGTCATGTCAGCAGCCAAACCCTTAGCGGAAAAGAAGAACCTACTTCTCTGTTTCGACGCATTTGGCACACTCTTTACTCCATCTAAACCCATTCCAGTCGCCTACGCACAAGCCGCAGCTCGCCACGGCATCAATGTAGGCAACACCGAAAACCCCAAGGAAATAGCTTCAAGCTTCAAGCAAGCTTTCAAGAAAGCATCTCAAGAAAACCCAAACTATGGCAAGGCAACAGGAATGGGTGCAGAGAAGTGGTGGGCAAACGTCATAGAAGACACCTTCACACCCTTCCTCAGCAAAGACCAAACCTTCCCACCTGCCCTTACCCAGGAACTCATACGCACGTACTCCTCTGGTTTAGGTTACAAGCTGTACCCAGACGTAAAGCCCTTTTTCAACATGCTGCACTATGCAAGAAATATTCCAAGGCACCACTCCCTTCCAGGCATATGGCCCTGGGACAGGACCATCGTGGGGATAATAACGAATTCTGATAACCGCGTCCCCGAAGTGTTGACTTCATTGCGGTTCAAAATGAGCTCCCTTCGGTACGGTCATGATGCTGATCAGAAGACAAGAAAAAAGCGTTCTAGAAGGGGGCAGGACCAAGACGTAGATTTCACCGTGCTATCCTACGATGTTGGCTTCGAGAAACCCGATCGACGCATCTTCGCTGCTGCGGAAGAGTTGTTAGCTTCGACACTGGGTGCCTCAGAGTCCAGCTCTGATAGTCCGGCATCAACGTTCGAGAAGTTATACGTAGGCGATGACTTGACGAAGGATGCTTTTGGCGCCGAGGATTCAGGGTGGTCTAGTGTGTTAGTGCAGCGAGACGGGATAGATTGTCAGGGTTACGGATTAAAGGTGTCAGAAGAACAAGTTGAGGGAGAAGGAGAAGATGGAAAGAAGAGGAGAGTGACGAAAGTGGGGAGTTTAGCAGATTTGTGTGCATGGAGACCGGGGAAGGAGCATGAGGCATTTCCGGTTCGGTATATATTTACGAAACGTGATTGAAGAAGATAGTCCATTATAGACCCGCTAGTAGTCCGCATCAAATAGACATCACTCTCCCTCACTTTTCACTTGCATATTCATCACCATGTACACATACTACATATCGTGCCATACGTTTCATTTCATGTCACTTCACACCACTAGACATGTCAACCATGCATCTTGTACCAACTCATCCTCATCCCAAACCATCCGCCACCCTTCTTGCCGTGCCGAAGCCCACACTAAAAGAGAACATACGAAACATGATCATGTACAGAATCCGTCAGCCAGCCTAGAGCCAAACCCGGCACCGAGCCTAGTTTATCCAAGCCCCATATATCCTTAGTTTTGCAGGATCCATGCCCATTTGCGCCAAAAAGGTGATGTCGGCCGTGGTGCCTGCGAGGTATTAAGGTTTGGATGATTGTGGTATTGCAGTATTCGACTCGTGGTTGACCGTTATAATGCGAACAGAGGTGTGCTTTGTTACACGATGAGCGGAGACAGGGCCTCCACTTCATTCGAATGCGATTTGAAAACGAATCTTCTTGTGTCACAACTCCTCATCTTCTTCCATCTTGGTTTCGATGGTGGGGATGTTTCCATCGGAGTTTGCTCGTCCTTGATGAGCGTCCATGAGCGCTTGACCCAGACTCTTTCGCACGTTGTCGTCGAAGCCAGGTAACGAAGCGCGCTGCTTCTTGAAGGGCGAAGCGATAGAGTTCTGTGTACTGGGCTCCTCGGAAGCATTCGCGGTGCCGGAAGATGATGGTCCAGCTGCCGACGAGTTTTCAGGCGCCGGTGTGCCAGAAAGAGGAGATCCTGTAGAGTCGGAATGAGAAGGTCCTGCAGGGCGGCCCAGAGGTTCGGCAGAGTGTTGACGCTTAAGCTACAGGGAGTTAGTACAATGTTATCGACAAAATGACAGCAAGCATACCTTGATCTTGCGAACGCCCTCCGCGAGTTCGCCCTGTCTGTGAGCATCTTCCGGTGATAGCATACCCTTGTCGAAGACCTCCTTGTCCTCCTCCGCATCCTCAACCTTGACGTCGTCCTCGTCATCTGCGTCGCTGTCCATGGCATCTTCCGTCTTCTTCTTAGACTTGGGTGAAGTCTCTCGGTAACCACCAAAGTTCTTAGTTCCGGCGGCTGCGTTCAGAGGCTTTAGGCTGCCGAAGTCGAGCGCTCCAGATTTCCGCTTGGATTGTGGCGAGGTGACGGTGGGCTTCTCCTTTATGTTCAAGATGCCCATCTTGCGCAGTTGGCCTGTTTTTTGTTAGCTATATTACCACAATCGTTACTTTGTATACTTACGCTCTCCGCGATACAAGAAGGTGAAGACTGCGTACGGCTTGTCCGGGGGATCTATGCCAGTCACGGTCTGAGTGCTGATAGACTTGGGGTCCAGCGTCTTGGGCTTTGCGAAACTCGTAGTATGGTCCACGTCCTCGCCTTCTCCTCCTCCGTTTTGTTCGTCGTCGTCGTGTGCGTCGAACTGAGGTGAGTACTCGCCGCGCTTGATTTCTCCAGACGCCAGTACGCGGAATAGAGCGACTTTGATCTGTCCGGCTGCCTCGGGCATGGGAGGTTCATCGTCCGAATCGGAGTCGGTGGTGAAGAACTCGTCGTTGCCTGAGAGCGTCTCGACAGGCGCGTCCTTGCTTTCGCTGTAGCGCAATACACCGTTACTGGATGCCTTCTTGTCCTCGTCGCTGCTATCCAAGGCCTCTCTCCGCTTTGCCCGCTTCTTTTCTAGACGCTGCTTTCTCCGCTCAATCTTTGCAGCCACATCTTTGTCCTTGCCCTCGAGATCCAGGCCATTCAGCCATCGCTCGAGACCGACCTCGCGGAAGAGAAACTCGCGCTCTGCAAGACCCCCACCTTCTGACTCTGGTACGCTGACCCACCGCGAGTTGACCCACGTCTCTTCGCCGCGCCGCAGTAGGGTCGCTACTTCCTCCTTTGCCCGGCCGTCAAAGTATATGTATGCAGCAATTGTCTCGTTCGGCGAGGTGGTCAGAGGCTTGTACGGGGCTATCGTGGGACCGTACTTGCCCCGCTCTCCGGTTTGGCCTGGGAGGCCACCGACAATCTTCGCTTTCGGGTTGGGATCATCTTCAGTCGGCTTGGGGGTAGAGTAGGGCACGTGAAGACCTGGAGTGAGCAGGGTTATCGATATCGCGAAAGAAGATTGTTCAGGCTTGGTAGCGCCAGGCGGTATCTTCGCAGGTGGGACGGGGATGTAAGAGGTGATACGGTGATGTTTAGATTGCTTCTGTATCGAGTATTCTGGCAGCGGGTTACTGTCGGCATGGATGCTGACCGCAAGCCCTAAAAAGGTCGGCATTTTGGTACAGCGATGTAGGCGTTGTGAGGTCGACTGTGAAGCTGCGGAGATGGCAGCGGAAGAGCCCTAACACAGTAGTCTTGGCAAGATTGTGAGGGAAGAAAATATCCCTGCGATAGAGCGGCTGCCGGAGGGGCAGCTGCGCGACTAAGTGGGCGGAGTATTGGCTGGGAGGCGGTGTGAGGTAGCGACTACAAGTGTCTGTGTTGTTGGTTTAGGCGGAGAGCTTCCGTAGCGGGCGAGTCCCACGATGTTGGGGTCCACGGCGCAAGTCACGAGCCAATCACGATTGCACCTGACTGCGATTGCTACCTTCAAAGAGCCACCATATTTCACATCGACATCAGGTCAAAGGAAACATGCTGCAACCATGTGTTTGGTCCGGGTATCGAATCAGGGGACGTGCCTGACGTCGATCAAGCGTGGGGTCGACATGACTAGCGGCATGGCGCCTGCGTGCTTGTTCGTGACTTGAAAGGGGAGATTGATTCACATACATCACGTACACGAAGGGGTTTTTAGGTGCCATGTTGTTCTGCTCATATACTATGAGCGTGTGAGTTTGATCGTTCAAATCATTAGTAATTGTGGGGCTTTGAAGATAGTAGTTGAGATTTGGATCTCTCATCACCGCTCTTTGCTTGCCGGTAGCTCTGATGAGCTGGTTGGACTCCACTTCGCTCTAGGGTATCATCCGTAGGTCTATCACTTTCTTAGTCCTCCTCATCCAACGCAAACATGTCCTCTGCCTTCGGTCTCAACCGGCGAGCTCTTGCGACGGCCGTCTCTCCAGGTATCTCAACCTCTCTCGCTTCGGCTGCTTTTGGTGGATCTGCCGGCACGACGGCTTCAGCTACAGGCGCCTCTGGAGTGTCTTTCACAGAAGATTGCTCAGGCTCAACCGTCGCATCTTCTGCAATCTCGTCAACGTCCATCACCTGCTCACCCCCTTCGGTAGCCTCAGAAGTCGGCACTTTGCGGACGACGTTGCCCTTGCGTTTTCTCCTCTCTGCTAATCGTCTCGCCTCCTCATCCTCTTGCTTTTGCCTCTCCCGCGCATTGAAAGCCTCATCAAGATGCTTGAGTGTCGCATCATCGAATAGGTGCTCTTCTTCCCACACCTTGAGGATAATGTTGACTTCCTCCCTGAAAGTCCTCTCTGTCATGCGACCCATCTCGAGTTTTGCGGGAAGTTGTTCGAGATGTTCGAAAACTCTGCGATCCACAATCTCTGTGCCGATAGCTAGGCGGTACTTGTAGGAAACGCCCGACTCTTTTGCAGTGACGAAGAGCACATCAGAGATGATGCGCAGAGCGTTCAGCGTTACCTGTCGGACGTCGGGACGTCGGAGGTCGTCTTTGCCCTCTGCATCGTTTGCGCGGTTCCTCGTATTGGCACCCGTGAGCTGAAAGGGCTGTATGATGTTAGATACCAGAATACTAGTGACCTCGTCCATGCCTTGGCCGGCATGCTCGACAGCAAAGTTCGAAATAGCAGCAATGTCATCAGCGACAATACTGCCAGGTGGGACCGAGGTAAGCATCCATAGAAGCATTGCTCGTGATCTAGGATTCATGATACCATGTCCGTTGTCGACTCGTCCGGGATAGTTATCACCGACTGGCAGAGGCTTGTATTGCGGCTTCTCCTTCTCCTCCTCGTCTTCACTGTCCACGCTTTCGTCGTCGGACTCGAAAGCTCCCAAGTGGTCGGCAAACTCGTGGGGCAGAGGATCCACCGGGCCTCTCCAGTCGCCATGCCGCTCGAAGATCTCGGGATTCGGGCTATCGCAGACGATTTGATGTAAGCGCCAACGGTAATAACGATTAACGGGGTGTTTCTGGTCGTACAGCCAAGCGAACCGTTCCTCGTCTTGAACTTGTGGATCGTTCATCAGGGCAGCCTCAAACTCCACACCGCCAAGTATAACCCCTTCTATGGTCTGGTGGACTAATCTGAGTGTAGCAACATCAGGTGGCTGGTTCGCAGTGACGATGAGTTGCTCAGTATCCTCACGTGGTCTGTCCCTCCCGCCTCCACCTCCCCCACCTAGATCAGGCGGAGGCGCAAAGCCCTTGGGTAATTCGGGGGCCTGCCACCGTGCGCCGAACGGCTCTGTGCGCTGCGCTGTGTCCACTGAACGACCGCCGAGATACCTGTCCAGATGTAGGTAGTAACCCTTTCCCAAGTATTTCTTGTCGTTGAGCTTGTTCATCGCCTCGTCGAGGTCTCGCGCATTCGCCTCTTTGTCGAATATGACCTTCATTGTCGCTGACGGCCTGCCCTTCACCGATGGGCCTTGGGGTGGTATCTTCTCGACGCGAGTGATTTTGAGTGACGGGAAATCAGCGAAGAGCTCCTCTACGCGACGTGCGTCCATCGAGGGTGGGAGGTTTGAGGCTTTCGCTACGACGGTCGTAAAGACGTTCTCTGACTGCTTGGGGCCCTCGAGTGACGCAGGACCTGTAGGTACATTTGCTCCAAATCGTGACTGCATCTGCGGTGGCAGACGTCCTGGTACTGCGCCAGGTCTTGGATAATCATCGAGAGGTTCGGTTTCGAGGGTGCCGGGGCCGCTCTTCATCGTCCGTTGTCTGCCTGTAAAGTGCCTCTTACTTCCAGTTGGAACGAAGACATCTTCCGCTTCATGCTTCTCAGGCTCCCCCAGTATACTCTTCTCTGTGCCATGCTCCGCCTCGAAATCAGCCATAACCTTGTCGAGCGCATTCTTCTCCTCGCGCGCTTTCGCTTCCTCTTCTTCCTTGGCTTTGGCGTTCAATTGCGCCTTGGTGGCTTTGGCGGTGCCCAGAGAAAACTTGAAAGCCATATTAACGCGTGATCAGGTTATTGTCGTATTGCAGGATTTCATGAGGTGAGGTTGAGGTTGAGGTTTCGAGTGTCAACATCTAGAAAGTTAAGCTTGCGCATGAGGGTCCAAACTAGCGTCAAGTCCAGGGCTTCCCCACGGCCTCGGGAATCTCTAACAACGTCATGCCATCTTGACAGCACCACAAAACCAGACAAGCACTATGACCTCGGCACAAGACGTTCAATCGCTCCTCCGCTTTCTATCGCAAGACGCCAAGATACCTCTCGCCCAAGCCCTATCCAAGATCAAGGACTTACAAGCAGCGAACCTTAACACGTAAGCACGTGACAGCGTACCACCGCGTCAACAACTCATAGTAACGATTGCGTAGTCCATCAGATCTCGCCAAATCCTCCCATGAAACCCTCAAGACAATCTTCGCCGATGAAAAAGTCGCGCGTCAAGTCCTCAACGCCGCAAAACGGCAATCCAAAAAACGGACCGCAGACGCTTCCTCATCTGCGATTGCGCCTGCACCAAAGAAAGCTAAACCAACATATGGACAACCTCTTAATGGCGCGGATCTCGAGGCTTCCCTCGCACTGCCTGAACCAGAGCTAGATGAAGAGAAACTCAAGTCGGCTGCCATATACACGAATCGCGCACCACTGGTTCTCGCTTTCGCAGTAACACTGCTCAAGTTCACGATGCCCTGCCAACCCATATCCAGTCGTCTCAGTTTAGCGCAAGCAGTCACGTCTATGAACAGTAAGACAAAAGCTGTGAATATTGGACTTGATAAGGGCCAGCCCGCCGAAGAAGAGGGGTGGGGTGAAGGACAGCCGCTGCTGCGGATCATGACGAGAGAGGTTCGAGTGATGAAGAGGTGGGGTTATGAATGGGAGGATGGGGATGGCGCGTCACAGCAAACGACCAAGTCTGAGTCGGAAGGCTCGGCAGGCGATGAAGAGAAGGAAGAGGAGAAGGACAAGGCAAGGGAACCTGCACTCTGGGGCGTGGATCTTGAAGCGCTGAAAAGGGCACAAACCTCCAAGAGCGGGTCGACTAATCTGCCTATATATTCCGCGCAAGGTGCTAGGTCGTATCTAATGAAGGCGTTCGAGACACCTGCCGCGAATGCGGTCAAGACGGAGGATGTCGATGTCAAGGTAGAGGGAGAGGCAGCACCGAAGCCAAAGGGCAAGCGAACAGCTGCTACCATAGCAGCGGAGAAGGAACATAACCTCAGTCTTCTGCTAGGGGCGTTAGAGCTACTCTATGGCTCATGGGCAACAGTATTGAGTAAAGAGGACCTGGATAAGCGGGCTTGGGGTTGGTATGTCCGCATCCGACCGGAGGTTGCTCAGGGAGCTGCAGGGTGGGGTGGTAAGGGCAATGTTAAGCTGTCTGATGTATTAGACTTGAGGAGGCATCCAAGCTAGCAACAAGGGAGAGTAGGTCTAGTTCACGATAATCAAGTGATTCATTCGACATGTCCAAGACGATTCGTTCATAGCTTGAACTCAGCATTACTGAGTTCCCATCCTACCCCGCCACCTTCTCTCCTCCCAGCCAATCTCTCGGCTAACCCAAGTTTCTTCTCTCTATTCCTCTCCGTACACAACTCATACACCGTGCTTAGATTCAACACGAGGGAGTGGAATGGTGGACTTTCGTCTACCAGTTCACTAAGTATACCTCTAGCGTCTGAGATACGACCCGTGTATAGTAAACACACAGCCAGATTCTGCGCTACCATAGCATCTTCGGGAAACTGCTCGTGCAGTGCCTGGAAAGATACAGCAGTGGCTTGGTAGTCCGAGTCGGCGAGCTGAATCAGGGCATTTAGTGTGCCGTCTACGAGAGCATCTGCGGAGGCGGAGGATGCGCGCGCTAGACAACGTCGTGCTGATTGCATGTCACCGACTCTCAACCAGACGAGTGTTTCCATGAGCGATATCTCCCTAGTTTGATCACCATCTGCTGCGAGTGTTGCTAGGTGTCTTCCTGCGCCCTCGAGATCGCCCATCTCTACGAGGACATTGGCAACGCGGATGCCGCAGTCTCGTAATCTCGACCGCCACATTGCCTTGTCATCGTCTGAGCTCGATCTGAGGATGCTCTCCCTACACTCTCGTGCAAGCTCGTAGTAGCCCATTATACCCTTGCGCCACTCTCCATAGCCCAGCGCTGCTAGTCGTACGACGAGGAGGCGTAGATCCCAGGGTACCAGGTGCGCGTTCGTAAGGGGGTGCCGGTAGAAGGCGCTGTTTAGGTCACCCAGAACCTTGGACTCCTGCGCGGCTAGTGCATGTTCTTGCAGTAGGCAGAGACATGCCAGACGGACGTGTACTAGGTGTAACAGTGTATCGTGATCGCCTGGGGCAGCCGAGATGAGGTTGCGTGCGGCGGCGATGGCGGCGAGGCGATAGTGTCCTGACAGGAGAAGAGTGTCTATGGGCGAGGATATTGGCGGAGTGTGCGGCGCACTCAAAAATGGGGGCGGTACATTCGTCACTGGTAGGACGTGGTATGCCTGTGGGTCTTGCAGGAAGCTGAAGTCCTTGTGGGGAATGTCGTCGATGCCGCGTGTTGGGGCATCGTGCGGCGGTTGCGGGGAAGGTTGAGGCCGTGCTGGCGACCGAATGCGCGCAGGTAGGCTGGGGGTGCTCTCAGCGAGAGGGCTGCATCATTGTGTAAGCGTATCTATTGCATTCGTATCTCATGTCGGCTGAATAGAGTGGGCGCATACTCGTCTACAACTATGTCATCGGCGTCGAGCGGACCCTTTGTCGCGCGCCGGGTGAGGGCAGCTGTAATGGATTAGTCATGCCAAACTAGGTGAGAACAGCAGGCAACACACTTCGTCTTCTCTCGTCGCCCGAAGCAACTCGACCATGGCCTCCTCTGGGTGGAACTTGCATCGTGTCTATGGTCTATTCTTCTTAGACGGCTGTCATCAGCGCTCCGATGTTCGGCAGCAAGCCATGCAATTGCGGGGATCGCCCAATCAGGACCCTGCCACCGGGGAGACGACTCCACTAACTTTTCATATGCGCCACGAACCTGGGCCAGAGGAAGAGTCAACGGCGAACGGCCAATTGACTCAAAACCGTCCGTCAGCTCACCTCCCACTCTCTTCTCCCACGTCGTCTTGCTTTTCCCGTCTTTGCTATTGCTCTCCCCTCCGTGTGTATTAATATATCGTCCCCCAGTGGACGCCCATCCTCGTCATGCAGCAGTCACGCACACGAGCTGTAAATGCTCTCAAGGGCAACCGCAACTTTTCCACCACAGCACAAAGATGCGCCGTCTCGCCCTTCCGCAGACCTGCACAGGCTGTCTCGAGCAAAATCACCCAAGAAGATGCGAAGCGACCTCAGAGCACCGCTGCGGCGGCCGCCACACAAACACAGTCGCGGTCAAGACCGTCGCCTGCTTTCAATCGCGAGGATCATAAGGAAGTCCAACCACTGAAGCAGTACCGTTCGCCTGCAATGGACCATTCGTTTGTTGGCATGACTGGTGGAGAGATCTTCCACGAGATGATGCTCCGCCAGGGTGTCAAGCACATCTGTACGATATTTCGCATCAAATTTACCAATTGTATATATCAGACTAACACCTCCCAGTTGGCTACCCCGGTGGTGCGATTCTCCCCGTCTTCGATGCCATCTACCAGTCAAAGCACTTCGACTTCATCCTTCCACGACATGAACAGGGTGCCGGCCATATGGCAGAGGGTTACGCCCGCGCAAGTGGAAAGCCTGGTGTTGTGCTCGTTACCTCTGGACCCGGTGCCACCAACGTCGTCACACCCATGCAGGATGCGCTGATGGACGGAACACCCTTGGTTGTCTTCTGCGGTCAGGTCGTTACCAGCGCAATTGGATCAGATGCTTTCCAGGAAGCTGACATGGTCGGCATCACAAGACCTTGCACAAAGTGGAACGTCCTCGTCAAAAACATTGCTGAGCTACCGCGAAGAATCAACGAGGCTTTCGAGATCGCGACAAGTGGACGGCCCGGCCCCGTTCTCGTCGACTTGCCCAAGGATGTTACCGCCAGTGTCCTACAAAGAGCTATTCCCATGAGCAGCACTCTTCCGACGACTGTCAGCGCCGCGACTATTGCTGCTCGCGAACTGAGCAAGCAGCAGCTGGATTCCTCCATTCGACGATCTGCCGACCTCATCAACATGGCGAAGAAGCCCGTCATTTACGCCGGCCAGGGTATTCTCCAAACTGAGAATGGACCCCAGCTTCTGAAGGAGCTGGCGGACAAGGTCAACATTCCCGTAACCACCACCCTTCAAGGTCTTGGAGGATACGATGAGCTTGAGCCCAAGTCTCTTCACATGCTCGGCATGCATGGCTCGGCCTACGCCAACATGGCCATGCAGGAGGCTGATTTGATTCTTGCTCTCGGTGCTCGCTTTGATGACCGTATCACTGGCGCCATTTCCAAGTTTGCACCTGCGGCAAAGGCGGCCGCGGCTGAAGGTCGTGGTGGTATCATCCACTTCGAGATCATGCCCAAGAACATCAACAAAGTTGTACAGGCAACCGAGGCCGTTGAAGGTGACCTCGGCACCAACCTGAAGCAGCTTCTGCCCCTCGTCAACGAGGTTCCTGAGAGGCCGGAGTGGCTGGGACAGATCGCTGCCTGGAAGGAGCGTTTCCCCTGGGCCTATGAGAAGGAGGGCGAGAACGGCCTGATCAAGCCCCAGACTGTCATGGAGAAGCTCTCTGATCTCACGGCGGACCGCAAAGAGCAGACCATCCTCACTACTGGTGTTGGTCAGCATCAGATGTGGTGCGCCCAGCATTACCGCTGGAGATACCCGCGCACCATGATCACATCGGGTGGTCTCGGAACGATGGGCTACGGTCTTCCCGCCGCCATTGGTGCCAAGGTTGCGCGACCAGAATGCACCGTCATCGACATTGACGGTGACTCCTCCTTCAGCATGACTTTGACCGAACTCTCAACCGCTGCCGAGTTCAACATTGGCGTCAAGATCATTATTCTTAACAACGAGGAGCAGGGTATGGTCACCCAATGGCAAACCCTGTTCTACACCGACCGCTTCGCGCATACCCATCAACGCAACGCCGATTTCGTCAAACTCGGTGACGCCATGGGTGTCCAGGCCAAGCGATGCACCAAGCCCGAGGAGCTTGAGGACTCGCTGAAGTGGCTGTTGGAGAGCGACGGCCCAGCTCTGCTAGAAGTCGTTACTGACCAGAAGGTGCCTGTGCTACCTATGGTGCCTGCAGGAAGTGCGCTGCACGAGTTTATGATTTACGACGAGAGTAAGTTAGAGGTTGCGTTTCGTGGTAACAATTGCTAATACCATATAGAAACCATCAAGGACCGCAGAGCGCAGACCAAGGCGAGGTCGGGCCGTTAAAGCCGTATTGGCGCAGATGTTTGATTCACGTGTAACTTCATTCGTTGTGTATATTCTTGGGTCGGTACCGGCGTTTGTTTCTTTCGATTAGCATATCCTTCTCAGGCGGTCAGTGCATGGAATTTGGTTTCTCTTTGGCAAAGTCGGGTAAATCAAAAGCGAGATATCAGTCTTCTTTATATTATACGATAAGAGGTGGGTGCAGGATAGTTTAAGGAGAGGCGGTGGTCAAATTCAGTTATCCCATCGCCATTCGAAACTAAGTATGTGGGTGGGTCTATGGTTTCCTTGACCGCGGTACGTACGAATTTGAGAGAACATTGATTTGATGGATTCGCAACATGATCTTGGTGAGAGGTACTCCCATCATGTGTTACTTCAATCCTCGCCAACCACAGTTGCACACCCTTTCTTTCAAGGACCTTCTCTCAGTATGGATGGCTCACCATTAGCTCGCATGGTTGTGTGTCATCCAAGAACCACGGTACATGGCAATGGCCTAGCACTACTCTGTCGACATCACTGTTTGCGGATATCCACGTGTCTCGTGCCGTGTGCTGGCTATGTTGCCCACGGCCTCGGGATCGCTCTGAGAAACTATCCCGAACCCTGCTAGACATGTCGCCCGCCAATGTAGTGCACCCGCCATGGGTACCTGCCAGGGAAGTATACCCACTTACTGCTTGCATCCTCCAATACTTGTTCGCCGATATTGAATACGACATTCAGATACGAGGTTCTCGGGGAAGAATAACTTCAATGATCAGCGAGCCTACCCACGGACGCGTTCATTTTGGTATCTAGGTCAACGGCTACCCGTGCACGCTCTGCAACGGATGCGCTTTCTGTCATTCAGGCTACGCATGCGAAGTTCGATCCAGGTTTCGTCATTTAAGCCGTAATAGAACTTGCAATCTTTAGTGCTAAGGACGGCGGACATCGTTGACTATACTCGAAATTCAGGTTTTGCCTTATTGGTGTTGCAGCCGGAGTGGGTGCACCGCCTCCTCGAGACTTCTTCACCGGCCAGATGTGCTTTGAGCCCTATATGAGCTAGCTTCTCGGCTGTAAGTTCCAGGTTTTGCTGATTGGAAGATGGAATGCAGGTTCTCGAAACGGTATAGGTCAGTTTGTGTATCATTGCAGGTTTTGTTTGATTGGCTCGTCTGAGGAAGGCTGAAGTATATCATGTCCTCCATGACCTAGCATACGCTTCTCTTTCTATGCTTCAGTTAAGTTCTCATCCATTTTTGTCCCCAACCCTACCGAGGCCTGTTACTCACCATGCCCAAACAAACGAAATCTTACGCGACACGAATCCCGCCCAGTACTTGGGAACGGCACAGACACAGAATTGAAACGTTATTCCTTCACGAAAATAAGACCCTAAGTGATGTTATGGGTATGATGAAAGGTCATGGGTTCTATGCGAGGTCAGTGGCGCTTTGGTTGAACTTCCCCGCACAGCACTTGGCCTGGTTAACACACCTCCAGTGAGTCTCAGTACGAGCGCCAGCTCAAAGTATGGGGCATACGGAAGAACTGGAAAAAGGGGGACTGGTCTCGAATAGCCCACTATCTCGGACGAATTGATGAACTGAAAGAGGAGACGGCAGTGGTCATTGATGGCTTGAAACAATTGAGAGAGGTTCTTGTTAACCAGATTGCCAGCATCAATGGTCCCAAGCATAACAGTAAGCTAGATCGTGCTTCCAGAGATTATATACTGACTTGCTGGCCATCCTAAGGTTTTTCATCCAGTTATTTTGACCTTGTTATCGGGTTCGCCGATATTACAGCCGCATGTCTGGAGGGTGTCAGCAGGGCTGTCGGGCACCTTGAGAGTTGGCTAGGAAGGCCACCGTCCCGCGACGATTGAAGCAATCTATCTGCGGCATACTTCAATATTTTGAGGGGTGCACAAGGACGCTCAAACCTGAGTTACGAGGTACGTCCCAGAAACATGCCGGTAGTCCATGAGTTCATCAGTAGTCCAGGTCTCACTGTTGAGGTGTGCTTGCTACATTCTCCGACGACGTGCTCATCGCCCAGCAACAACATCAAGAGTGACCACTCAATGAGCGAGTCTGGGGATTCATGCGTACCATATCTAGCTTCTCATGAACAAGCACAATGTAACAGACAGGGTGTATCTTCCTCTCCGATGCAATCGTGGGATGCCCGCATGTGGGAGTCGGTAGGCGTCACTGCGGAGGAACGGGTCTACCGGAAACGGGACATGTTCTTCGGCAGCTGGGGATAAACTGAGTGGTCACTTGAATGCGCGCAACTATCCAGTCAGGTCCTTATATGTTGGCATATATTAAGAAAGGATGGACGTCGTACTAGTTTGAAGAAAGGATGTAGTACATCGTACTAGTGTACCCGTGCGAGCGCGCGGAAACGGCCCGCGATGACATGTGAACTTCTCGCGCTCCGTCTCCACATTAACTTCCAACATCCAGACCTCAACTATGCCGCGACGCAGCCGGACACCTGAAGACTCCAAAGCGCAATTAACGTCGCATGGCGATTCACAATCTCACGAAGCGCGAACTCACAAGAAACACCACCGATCGCATCGCTCGCGCTCTCCCCGTCGTGAGGATGATGGCCACCGACACAAGCGACACCGTCCGCGTTCACCTGCACCGGAACCTGTAGCTTTACCCTACAAAGCGAAGCCATTATCGAAACGCCAGTACGAAGAATATAGACCGCTGTTTCAGTCCTACCTGGATATACAGAAACAGATACAACTGGACGAGCTAGATGAGCGGGAGATAAAAGGACGATGGAAGAGCTTTGTCAGTCGTTGGTATGCTCCCGCATCCTCCCAATATGTACGCACAAATAGTACCCAATACTAACATTCCAGGAACCGTGGAGACTTGGCCCGAAGCTGGTACGACCCATCTATGCTCAAAACCGCCCAAGAAACCATACAATCATACCGTGCATCCTCTCCCCGCGCTCCCACGAAGCGAGCCTCACCAAACTACACGCCAAAAGAACAAGACCTCTCAGACCAAAGCGACGATGACTTCGGCCCGGCACCACCCACGAACCTGTCCCGGCATCAAGGTCACGGCCCAACAATCCCCAAACTAGACGACCTAACCTACCGCAACGAGCTCCGCGCCGAAGATCGCGAAAAGGGCCAGATGGATTACATAGACGACATCCGCCACGCCCGAAAAACCGACCGCAAATCGCAAAAAGAAGCCCTAGAAGACCTCGTCCCCCGCGCCGACCCCGGCTCCCGCGAGCGCGCCCTCGAGAAGAAGCGTGAAACAACCTCTACGCTAAACTCCTTCCGCGACGCCAAAGAAGCTGGAGAACTCGAAGTCCCGGAATCCGATCTCATGGGCGATGATGGTATTGATATGTACAAGAAGAAGAAGAAGGAGCAAGAGAGGCAGAAGAATGAGAGGGAGTTGCGAAGGGAGGAAATTGCTAGGGCGAGGGATGCGGAGAGGAATGAGAGGTTGGCTGAGAGGAGGGAGAAGGAGGGCAAGACCATGGATTTCTTGAGACAGATTGCTGCGGAGAGATTTGGGTAGCGGAGTAGATGGGGGAGGTTTGCTTCGATGAATTTGGATAGCATAGAAAGCCTTGAGTAGGGAGGGAGCTATTCTTGGATGCAGCCCTAGAGCTTGACGGTTGAATTGACTGACCGACGCCAGGTTTATGTGATTGAGTGTAATATACAAGTACCAAAAACTTCCAAATAGGTTTATCCTTGCAACATGCTAGTAGCGTTCATATCATCGTCAGACACCATCCATACTCATAGGTTCCGTTTTTATGCTCGAATACATATGCACACACTCATGACGATGCTGCAGCACCAGCCCTCGGCTTCTTCCTATCATAATTCACAATCCCCCTCTTACGATGATTCTGCGCCGTCTTCCACCTGACGTAAAGCATAATGAAATCCTTCAAACCCACAAACATACATCCGCCCATAACACTCCTACCCCAACGCGTCTGCAAGAATCCCGTTGGCTTGCCCACACCACCTGCTTTGCCACCCGTATTGATCCAGCCGCCGAGCCAAGATATGGCTGGTGCGCCCGTGGGAGGCGTGACCCATGAGCTAGGTAACGTGTGTTTGAGCAGTTCGCCCACTGCAGCAGCTATGGTGGGGAAGATGAGGGCGCCGAGAATCGTGTCGGCGAGCGAGGTGGTGGAGAAAGTGACGCCGCGTTCGCGTCGGACGCGGCGGGGTCGTGGAGCAGCGGGTTGCATGGGGATGTTAGGCGCAGGTGCCGCGTTTAGTTGAGGGCCGTCGTCGATAAGCTGGGGGACTAGCATGTCGGCATCGTCTTCATCATCCTGTGGAGGCACATCGATTGGTCCGGCTGGGCCTCGTGCAGCCCGTACGGGAGGATCCTCAGGCGCGTCGTTATTATCGCCTTCGCCATCGTTGTTCCAATCTGCAAAGATGTCGAAGTCGAGTTCGATCTCCACCTCTTCTATTACGTCCTCGTCACCTCCATGGTCGTGATCGTGATCGTGGTCGGCTTGTACTTGAGCATCTGCGGTCGTGTCTTCACCGGCTCGGGGTTGAATCTCTTTCAGCCACTGTTGCTCTCGTGGTAACCAGACACGCTCATAGTATGCATTGTAAAAACCTCGGAGATATGGCAGGGCGGCGAAAGTAAAAGCGGCGCTCGGTGGCCACTGTAGTTGTAGCATCTCATCGCCCGGCTGTCCGGAGCTGACGAAGAAGATGAGCGGGAGGAAAGGTAAAAACGAGTCGGCAAAGGTTGTTCTGCTTGCGACTAGGACCGCTGGTATCAAAGGCAGTCCAAGATCTAGCCTCCAATGCTGTCGCAGATGTTCGAGCCACTGTATCGTCACCGAGTTCACCGACCGATTTGGTGTCTCGTAAAGCGGCCCAAGGATCTGCAGCGCATCCTGTGTTCCAAAGATCTGGTATATTGTCGCAGTCCCGGAAAGCGTCAGAGTCGAGTAAAGAGCTGTGCCTGTGACGAGTGCGAAGCCAGGGAGCAGCAGGCTGCCCGTGAGGCGCTCGATGCTCCGAACAACATCTACCACGTAACTCCTCGGCCGTTGTACCCTGATTTCGCTCTTGCATTGAGGACATAATATCTTCCCTGCCGATTTACCAGCCTGTCGACGTGAGCTCGGCGCTTCCATATCTGCTATCCAGTCCAATAAGCACTTCTCGTGCGCCACTAGTGAGCAAGCGCAAGGCGATCGCCATTCCGAAGTCGTTTCGTCGTCTTCCGTCTCATCGTTGAAGCAGATCCAACACCGGCGTGGTTCGTCATCCTCCTCTTGTTGTGGCGCTGTGGTTTGTGCGGGTGTCTCTTTCTGCTCTTGAGGCGTGGGAGTGGCTGACTGTGTAGGCGGCGAGTTGAGGAGTAACGTCTGCGAGTCTACTGACTGGCCGGAGAAGCTGTTCGTTCGCTCTGTCTGCCCTTGCTGCGAGGACGATGATTCGGCAGGGGGTGCGGGTCTATGTCGCGACGCGGGGCGCTGAGGCGGCAGGGACGCCATGACGGCTAGGCGTGTGTTGAAGGAGATGAGAAAGTGCGTAGTAGATCGTGGGGCTGATTGCGCACGACGTAGTTTATTTCCCGATGCGTATAGCACAAGACAGCACGTGCTGTTAGATTGTCGCAAAAAAGTGTACAGGCGTTCCAAGGTCCAACTGCGGCTCGGTGTTTGTTGATTCGAGTTGCCGAAGATCTGCAAGACGTCACCAACACATTGTCACCTATAGCGTGCCAAGACCAAGCACGTGCATTCTTACTTCATCTTATGCATTCGATGCTCTTATTACAAAACGTAAGGCTCCAAGTCCTTCTTCAACACTTCGTGGGCGTTGTAGACAGACGTGAATGTGCAAGCCAAGGTGCCAGTCTGAGCGAAAAAGCAAAAGCAAAACATCCACCAACCTGTCGTTTCTAAAGCCTTCTCAATTTCGTTCACAAGCCCAAACCCCCCATCACTTGATCACTACCTAAAGTCCATCACAGTTACCATATCGCTCTCTCAGATCCGCTTCTTCTCCAGTCCTTGTGCTCTACGCAGCCGGCGGGGCGTATGAATGGCCTTAGTAGGCTATCTCTACCACTATTAGCCGTCAACAAGTGTCATTAGTCCAAGTACCAGTACGACTTACATGAGGAAGGGGAATCGTCAAATGAGGCGGCGGAACTGGACCCCATCGCCAATCCGGAATGATTCCTGATATAGGTGTTGCAGGGACCAAGTAATAATGCCCATCTTCATATTCCGGTCCACCTTTTACGGGTCCTGGGGGTACTGAAGGGACGAAAGCGGGAAATGTATAACGCTGCTGGCGCGTCACATCAAACCTACGCTTGCTACTCCGGCGCTGGTGGCGAGTCATGCGGTGCGGGCGCGTCACGTCGAACATGGGCTGGCTGTTCTGGCGCTGATGCTGGCGACGCGCCATCCGATGCTCAAGTGTCGCGAGTTGTTGATTGACGAGATTTCGGTGCTCGAGGGTGCTTGGAGAGTCGCCGGATGGTGATTCAAGGCAGACTTCCTGGTGCGGCTCTTGATCCTCTGCAGCGTCCTCGTAGACTGGCTCACGTACATCGTGCATCTCGTGCGGTTCATGCGGTGAGCTCGTCTCATATGCCTCTTCCGTTGGTGTGGGCTCTTGGTAGAATGGAGAGGGCGACTTCTTCTTGGTGTCTGCAGTGGTCGGACGGACAGGCAATGTCATAATTTGATCAAGACGCCAGTGTGAAGTGACACTGTCGCAGTCCGAAAGACTTGCGAAGCTATAGGCGTAGCCGCCTAAGTCTTCATCTTCCTCTTCTTCATTCTGTCCAGCGGTACTAACATTCTCCGTACGCTTCACATTACCTTGCTCGCCAACCTTTACCCAACCTTTTCCCTCTATGTGCTCAATTTCAAAGTGGGCAATAGGGTGATAGTACTGTATCGCAACGATATCAGGATCCACTTGGATGCCATCCTTGGCCAAACACTCTGAGCAGTCGAATCGGCTCTCTTCAAGCAGGCACCTCTGATGGGATTCGAAAGTGCCGGGGCGGTCGGCGTGTGCGCAGTGGTACGATCCAAGGTAGTGCTCTCGTGGGCCGTCGTGGTGGGTCATGAATAACATGATACACATGATGGCAGTTGGCTATGGTTTGTAAACAAGCAAACGTGATAGGTGATCACTGCCGTGAGTTGTATGTGGCCAACGGTGGTCACAAATCATACGCGCTCGAATGTAAACAAGGGAAATAAGTCGTAGTCAGAAATGGAAAGGCAGTTGAGCCTAGCAACGAGGAGAACAGTTGCACGGACCATTCGCGTGGCGTAATCCTTGCTCATAGCAAACGGGGAGGTAGAAGTGAGCGGGAGGTACTCTCGCCTCTACGATCAGATGGCCGCATCTTTAGAGCCTAGAATGACTAGCAAATGCAGGGTTTTGATCGAAAGCACAGGACACAGATGAAACATATGAAAGAGTGAGTGTGAGATGAAAGTGAGTGCGATGGGAATTTTGAAATTCACAATGTACAAATGCTGATCGTCTTACCACCCTTCGATCTTGAAATCGAACACTCTGTCTCCTTTGCCTTTTTCGATCGGTTTCGCGTCGCCATCATACAATGTCCGTTCAAAATACGTAACCTTGCCTTCTCGATCACACAACACTACAATGTTTTTCTGAGTACCGTAGCACCCACTTGTAGCATCTAGCGCCTTCGCCTTGACCACATCGCCCACCTCATGCGCAGGCATCTTGTGCTCCTCAAGATGATCCCTTCCAATTGCTGGAACAAAGATGCTGTAACGGAGCTGATTGAGGTACATGTCCCACTCCTCGTTCTCTTTCTGCCGGGGCATGGTGTCCGTGGTCAGAATGTCCAAAAGACGATTGATGAGCTGATCGCGGGACTCATTGGCAGCAACGGACTCAGCGATAGCGGTGCGCGTCCAGGCTTCTCCGTTCGTCACTTTGGGCCAGCTGCGGTCGCTATAGGCAGCATTGCTAAGAGCTCGGGTCTCGTCTGCCGTTTGCAGGAGATGGACCACGCCATCAACATCTGGAGTACGGTTGCTCACAATCGCCAGGCCTTTACCTTCCTCTTTGACGACATCTTGAATAAATCCGTAACATAGCGAGAACCCTCCCACGCCCTCTACACCATCTTCTTCTATCATTCGCTTGGCAAACTCTTCTGTACTCTCTTCCTTCTTTGGGTCGATCTTCAACCAAGCATTCGGAATCAACCCCCTACTTCGTGCGCCTTCAACGATAGTTTGGTTCTCTTCGCGGTAGTTGGTCAAGACCGCGATTCGGCCTTGACGAGTCACACCTAGCCAGGTGCCATGAGCAGGACGGTGAAGGTCGTAGCCTCCTAAAACTTGAGTATCTGGGGAGGGCCACCAGGTTGCCTCTGCTGTTGGGCGATGAAGATACTCCTGGTATGCATTAGTTGGTAGACGAAACGGCTGTAACCTGGCGAACGTACGTCTCGGTTGTTGAGCAGTATGAATGGATAGTCAGGGTGCGCTGTTGTAAGTATAGCGATGCACATGTTGATGTTGTTATATCTGGATCGATGGAAGATCTGTGTAGTGGGGAGAAGCCACTGTGATGTGATGTTCTGTGGCGTTGAATGATTCGGAAATTGACGGACCAAGCGAAAAGTTTACCGAAGTGCAGGGTGAGCGGTGTGAATGTATGCCAGCAGGTGCTTCAACGCTCAATCATATACGTGGTTCCAACCGTATAGGACGTGGAGTGAGGTGGGACGACACATGGCGAGACGAAGGTTGCAACCAGACCTCGGGAGGAGGATCCTGTGTCCTTGTGATGGAAGGAGAGTACGACCTCGGGTCAACGATACGAACAACGGCGTTCCTTTTACCTTACGTTGACTCGTCACACGTACATCAGCATGTCCTGAACTACAAAGTACTAGAGAGCTGTGTGAGCCGTCATCCTATAGACACGTCGCACAGCATGACTGTTCCTGCAGCGGAGTAACAAGACGGAGGTGTCCGAAAGCGATCTCTCACGTGTTAGCGGGACCCTGGGCCCCTCTCGAGCTCGGATCCCTGCCGAACGTCACAGCCCCGGTCACACCTTCCTCTGGCGTCAGCCCTATCTCCTCCACCAAACCTCCAATACCCCAACAAATAGAGCGGCAAGCTTCTACTATACCGCATACGGCACCCGCCGACAACCAAAATTATAATGGCAGCGAACTTCGCCCCATATCAAGACATACCGGAATCATCACGCGCGCTTTCTCCACCACCAGTCCACTCGCCGAGGACGTCTATTGACCGTACACGTAGCATCGTATCACCTTCCACACGCGCATACGAACAACATGACTACTTCCAGGGCCAATCGCCCGTCTCCCCACCCGCAGAACCAGATACCGAGCACATAGCATGGGATCAGCCATCCCGCAGCACAGGCTTCGGCCGTTCTCGCGAGGATGTGGATATGTTCACAACGTCTCTGGGCTGGCGACTCGATTACGAAGCTTGCCTAGCATATCTTCTACTTCCACCAGCAGGCGGGGTGTTACTACTGGTCTTGGAGCACCAAAGCGACTATGTGCGGTTCCACGCATGGCAGAGTAGTCTGCTGTTCGCCTTCATCTTTGTGGTTCATATCATATTCAGCTGGTCGAGCTTCATATCCTGGGTGCTATTCATCGGAGATCTGGCAGGCATAGGGTGGCTGACTTGGAGGGCATATCTGGATGGTAAGTCTATATTGTTAGTTGGAGACAGACCATTTTGCTAACGGATGAACAGCTGCAACACTCGATCGATATGAAGTACCCTTCTTTGGCCCGCTAGCGAGCTCGATACTTGACGATGAATAGGATGATTTGGATATCGAGGGTTACGTCGTTATGGACAATCTTTGATCTGGGCAAGCATGGCGTTCACGGAGTACCTGACAGCGACGAGTTGTCAATCAGATTAGAACAGTATAGACTTTAATTTCAACGGATGCTAAAGGCGGACACTGAAGCCTCGTGCGTGATTGACACCTTCTGTCCTTGTTCGGACACTGAGACTAGCATCGATGACCGTATTCGCGCCAGATTATTCAAGACGATGGCGCCAAAGCCATTTTTCGTGGCGTATTTAGGAGACTTTTTCCCAAGAGTAGTGCAAACCCGCGGATTGTGTACGCTGTAGCGGTTCTCAAACCAACATACCAGTTAGAACTACGGATGCACACGAGCTTCCAATAGACAATCGGTGACAGTTTGAGGTGCCATAGTTAATCGCGCTCCGTTCTTTGCTCTGCCCATCGTGTACCCTTCTCAAATTCGTCTCGTTCTTCGCCGCCAAGGCTCAGCAGTCCTTGCTCCCTGAGTTGCGCGAATATCTCACGAGCTTGTTCGTACGTCTCATTTGATGTCCATCCGTCGCGATTGACAAGTCCCTCCAGTGAGTCCCAGAAGTCTGCGATATCATTCCATCTTCCACCATCTCGGTAGTGCTCCTGGATTTCCTCATCTGTGAATTTAATTGGGCAGGGCATATCTGCTTCAATCTCCTTCCAGTGTCTATAAAACACTTTGCGTTAGCATGCCTCGTTATAAGGGTGGCTTACGGCGCAGACATACCGTACTATCCAGATGAGACATTGTCTGAAGGGTATGATGTCGCCATCCCATGTGTTACTCGAGAAGTCCACGGCGTCTCGCCTCGTGCGCCATTGCGGTAACTGCATAACCTTATCGAGCATTGGGTTTGCGGTCTTGGTTTCATCATCGTAGATGTATGCGACCACGGAGCTTTGAACCTGCGAACGTAACTTTGCTCTTTCATCCTGATCGGTCAGGGATTCATAGGTTCCTGGGAGCCGTAGCAGCATCTCCCCAGTGTATCGTGCCAGACGTGGCTGTCGTGCTTGAAGAAACAGAGGGCCGATCCATACATCTTGCCAGTCGATGAGGCTAGTTACCAGATCCTCGTGAACGAATATATTAGGGGCGTGAATATCCCAATGCCAAAGAGTGGGTTTTGCGAGAGCACCTGTAGGCAGCAAAGTATCGGAGACTTTCAGGAACTTTTCGTAAAGTGCGATGTGCGCGGCAGGTGTACGCTGAGCCTCCGACTGTGCCAGCAAGCCACCTCGCGGTTTTGAAACAGCATGACGTGATAGCCAGTCAATTTCTCGTTTCCGAATCGCGTGGAGGTATTCAGATAGTTGTTCCCCTGTTATGAGAGTTAGATTTATCTAGTACAAGTACCCAGAATGTACACTGACAGGGGCCGCGATCGACAGACATAGTTGCTCGCTCTTTGTGCCAAAATTCTCGGTCAGCTACTGGACCTATAACGAAACGAGTTGCCACCTCTTGCTTCAGCAGCTCAGGTACTTCACCAACTACCCGCACTTCTACACATCCTGGGAAGGCGTCGCTTGCGATATATAGATTCCCATAGCTGTTTTGCATGTAAGCAAGAGCCACCATCCATCGCCCATGCGAGTTGGCTTACTGAGCGAACGATAAGGAGAGAAACTTCTTCTCAATTGCAACGATTTCTTCCACTATCTGAAGCTTGGAAGGTAGTTTCATATTTCCCCAAACCTCGCCAAGCTGGGTTCCGGTAGCCTCTTCCATTAAGATGTACTCTGACCCGACAGGATTGTCGATTGCTCCGCTCCAAACAATCACTCTCGGTATCGGGATGTTGAGAATACTTCGAGCCTGAAAGTGTATCGTAAGCATAGTTACCTCAATGTAGTGCGACATGTAACCACACGAACTCCATAGTAGCAACTTCTGACGCGATAGTCATATGAGGGGATCCGGCGTTCAAGTTCGGTATGCGTGCGATCACGACTGATCCGTTTTCCATGCAGAGTCGGAAGACCTTTTTGAATCCTCCCTCCGCAAGTTTGACCATAGATGAGCATGCTTTCGCACCCACGCTCTTGACTGCTAGCTTTTGGAGTTCAGACACCTCGAACTTCCTGTATCGCTCGCTCAGGTGTAACTCTTCATCCCAGAGCCACCGGCCACTCGTATAGCGATAAAAGTGCTCATGTTCCTGATCTCAGGTTGTAGACATTGTCCGCCTCGCGTAATGGCAAGATCCTGCGTTTAGCAACGAGAAACGGCGAAAGGAATGTGAGATGATGTATCTAGGGGACATCCCATAATATCGAAGGAATGCTCTAGAAACGAGCATAATACGACATTTCGTACCACGGAATTTGGTTATAGTTTGGGTATGAGGTTACGTTCGGCGCTCCTACGTACATGGCCCCTGCGTAAGGGAGGCGTGTGGGCTGGCGCTTACATAAGCATGGGCTCAGATCTCTCGCCCGCATGTTTCACCGTTCTGCCATCTTTCTACGCCAAAAGCGAGCTGCATAATTGAGGTGCCTACTCCCTTGTTATAGCGCCCATTACAATCATCTCGCTCTTCCAAGTACCATTTCAATGATGAGCGCGTAAACCCAGTCAGGCAACAGCATACAGGACTTTTGTCAACTACCACAAACCTCCTCTAACAAAGAAGATTTGTTGTCTCAGGCTCAGATTAATGCTCGAGTCTTTACTCTATTCACTGATAACATCGTGTCTCGGTGTGTGGTTGATGGATCACCATAGCACTCGGTTCTGCCTAGGGGGAAGAGAAAGGGTTTCGAGCAGTACACGTTGTGTTGCGAGAGAGTGGATTAGAATTAGCAAGCAAGCACGAACATGAAGTAAAAGCAGGGTCAATGTTCCCGACGAGGATACCTAAGCATGGTCTGAATAGTAAGCTAGCGTAGCTAGTACAATGTTCACTAAACATCCATTCAGCTACGGAGGTCTGTTAGCTCGCCTACACTCAGCATCGAAAAATCACAAACACATCAGCATCGAGTACGAAGTCAAGTTTTGTATTACAAATACTGTCGCAACCTCTTCGCTGACGGCGATGTTCTTCCAGAAGAAGGATAGTAGTTTGTTTGAATGTGAAAATCTCAATATCTTCAGGTTCACTAATCACCGGTTCCACCTAGCAAGGGGTGTGCGCATCGCACGCAAAAGCGCCTGAACACTATCCAGACGGACGAACAGTCTCTCTACCTAACTTCATGTGTCCACGCAGATTAGTCACTCCCTGGTAAGTTCCAGCCATCAAGTTCAGATTTGAAATCATGCTCGGCCTCGGAGCTCTCATCTTTGCTACGGGCTGAATGCTCGGGATACAAAAGGAAAGAATCGTGCTCATCTAAGGCCAAGAATCATCTCTACAGTCTTCCAATCTCAACATCAAATCTCAGACCCCAGACCCAATAGCATCAAACAGCCCTCAAATCAACCATGTCTTCATCCCTCACCTATCTCATCACCGGAGCCAACCGTGGTATCGGCAAAGGCTTCACCTCAACCCTTCTTCAACGCTCGAACACCACTGTCATTGCTGCAGTTCGAGATGTCGCAAAGTCTACTCCTGAACTCGAGTCCCTCCCCCAGGCTTCAGGCTCCAAGCTCATCATCGTCAAGCTCGACTCATCCGTCGAAGCGGACCCCAAGAACGCAGTCGCTGAACTGCAGTTAAAGCACGGCATCACCTCTCTCGACATCGTGATTGCCAACGCCGGAATCGCGCACTCGGGTTCTACTATCGCCAACACATCATCTGACGCGCTCCGCGACCACTTCGCAGTCAACACCATCGGCCCCATCCTCCTCTTCCAGGCCGTCAAGCCCCTACTACAAGCCAGCAAATCCGGCAACCCCATCTTCCTTGCCATCTCCACAGTGATCGGCAGCATCGGCGCTCAGGCGATGCTTGCTGGCTTTCCCCAAGTCTTCAGCCCTTACGGTGCTAGCAAGGCCGCGTTGAACTGGGCTTTCGCCAGGATCCATTTCGAGGAGTCGTGGCTGACAGCGTATGTCACTCATCCTGGTTTGGTCTTGACGGATATGGGAAGTGGCCTGGCTTCGCCGGAGGAGCTCAAGGCTGCGGGTGCTATTACTGTTGAGGAGAGTGTGAATGGTGTTTTGAGCACGTTGGATAAGGCGGATAGGGGTATTTCGGGAACATTCCAGAACTATGATGGAACTACGCTGCCATGGTGATCGCTGGGTCTGGGTAGTAGCACAAGAGTGCACTTGTGTGACGGGCCAGTTAAGGGAGTTGGTACATAACGAATGACATTCAGTCCACTCTAATCTTCATATTATGCGCTTTCACTGTTCCACTCCAAAACTACCAACAAATCAACCATGACATTGAGATTTCGATGCCGCTTTTTTTCATTTACTCAGGTGGCCTATGTGAGTCAAATACCAAGATCGTACAGAGTGTGTGAGCTTGGACGTTTGAAACTTCATTGGAGGAAGGAGACGGTCCCTACTTGTGTGAGAAATGAGTTGACAGCATAATAACACGAGCCTTCTGATGAAGATATATTCGAAGAATGGAAGGTTCGACAGCACAAGATAACAAGGTAGACAAATAGCGACACAGCGCGCCTGTGAAGCGAATGTTCGAAGGTGCAAGAGTGAAGGCTCGCGACGCGCCTGCGAACCACGGCCCCACCTCTACTACTGCCGCCCCCTTTGATAGGCCGATGTGTTTGACACACGACTTTTTCAGAAGAGAGACAAAACTCGAGAGTAAAAGGTATAGCACATGAGGGTGTTCGGATAATGGGATGGTTAAGGGAGCGATCTAGTCACAATCGATATATGTTCTCAGGAAAAGTATCCGAAGTTTACCAACAACTATCGTTCTTCAAAAGTGCTCCAGTCATGACACTATGCTTACGTCGTCAGCCGGGAAGGGTCCCAAAAGTGCATCCGCATTACAGGATCATCGTAAAACGGCGCTGATTGCGTCCCCACATCAGCTACACGAGCACATAGTCCGCTAGAAGAGAGGCGGCCAATCTGGGCGATCTCGACGATGAGCCCCAAGGAAAACATAACTATACAGCTCCTTCCACTGTCAGTCAATAGCCAGGAGCAGTCGTAGTGTGGTACGATGAATTGTGAAAGTCCTCCTACGCCCGAGCCGTGTAAACTCCACTGGCAGATGAACCCAGGAGCAGCTGCTATCCCATCAATCTTCACAAAAGAAGTGTCATAAGAACTACATATCCTCCCCAGGTAGAGGTGTATGGACAAGAAGTCACAAGAAGGCGTCGATACCACGAAACCAGGTAGATGTGAATGTTCTCTACCATCGCAGCTCCTGTAAGGACATGGTCGAGGTGACGAACATAATATTTCAGAGGACGCTTTTGAGACAACGGGCAACATCATTACTGCAAATGGTTGTAACCCAGAGTTCCAAGCAATATCGTCCCGGTCTCGAGGATGCAGCTGCAAGATGAATGCGACAGTGTTAACGGCGCACAAACAAAATGACTGCTCGCAACACCGCAGGATATCCTTTGCTACAGTCTGATCTGTAGCGTCGTAGTCAACCTGTAAATTCTTTCCATCGCCACAAAGTGCGAGAAGTGAATAGACGCGATCTCGCCGAATGCGAGATTCCTTGAGCTTGAACTTGTCCATCAAGTAGATGAGACTCCTGCCTTTCCATTTGGTGGTGTTCATGGGACGGAGGTGTTCAAGTCGCGCAAGGTAACCCTCGCCCCATTCTGAAAGCACTGGAAAGAGTGAACCGTCCAGTTCGATGTTGGCTGCTAGGAGCGTGATGTGGCGTGCGAGTGCAACTTCTTGTGTAATCCATGCTCGATTCCAGTATTCAGCGACGCAAAAATAATGAAAGCCAGGCGGCTGCCCTGGCCGTTTCAGAGGAGCTTTGCTAGAATCTTGTGCACGCTCTTGTGTAGCTCACTGCCGGACGTGCAACAAGAACCTAGCAACATGCCGCTCATCTCCTAGCCACGATACCACATTTTTCGCTCGGCTGAAAATCAAGCCCAGCTGCTGCACCTGGTGATTTCGTTCAGATGAGTCGCCCTGGTTGATGCAGAGGGCGTCAATACAGATCCACGTACGTGACAGGTATTTACTTCGTCTCGCTTGTATGAGAAACCGATGTAGATTGTGACGAACTCCAAAGGATCTCTCGTTGATAAGTATTGTATAGCATTCGTCATCGTCGCCCCATACATAGGAGAGACAGATATATGAGGCTTCAATAGATGCATGTCGAATCTTGCACCGAACGTGGCCGTCTGGCGACTTCTCTCAATAGCTGTATGAGTCTGAGAGACGAATTTTGTTGGTTGATGGGCTGGTATTGGAACGGGATAGACATGGTAGTGTGGACACTCAAGAACCCACTTCTCGGGTAGCGCTGGTCTGCATAGAGTTCTGGACGAAGGGAACGGGTTTTGAATACGCGAAAGTGATATGAATGCACATCTCTAGGGCCTCAGTGGCTTTGGGGCGCAGTTGACGACAAACGGATAGTTTATGAGGACACAGCTCGGGAGTGCCGAGCGGGGCAGTGTAAGGCTAACTGGTTGCAAGCCATGCCTGACCCAATCATACTGCTTGTCAAACATCTTGCAAAAGCGATATTTGCATTTGCCCTATATTCAGTAATATGCAACTCTTTTTTGCCCGCTTCCATGTCCTCATTGCACGGTTAACCAACGGTGTACCACCAACGGTGTACCACCGTATGTTATTCGGGTAACGCGGACATACTTGGGTTCAGGGCTATACTTTGAGGCACCATCTGTAGCGCACAAATCTCCTACCTGTCCGTTGATCGCAGTGGTAGTTTGGTGGAACTTGACTCCGCCGTGTTTGGAAAGGTTAAGTGTAAGCAGAGATGAAAGCGCGTGAGAATAAAAGATTATTGTATAGCCAAGTCGCACCTGCGACAGCCTCGTGCTCACCAGCGTCGTTAACTGATAGCGCTACCCCTGCGACATGTCGTCATCGCGTTCCCGCTCGAAAACCATCAAGCGACGCGAATCTAGATTTCCTGGGTAGCGTCATTGCATGCCTTGTGACCTACTGCTTCACACATCCCTGCTCATGCCATTCGTACCTTTATACCCGCGAACGACTAGGATTCTGAGGTCTGCGTCCCGCCTTCAAGCGTGCTCAGCTTCGTTAGTTGACGTTCACCGTGCCTGTTTTGATCGCAACTTATGGTACAGCGATTTCAAGCCTTACGCGGCCACTCGGAGGATGCAACCTTGGATCCTGCATCTATCCGGACACGATAGATAGAGCTGAATTGGAAACATCTTGACCTACAGTATGTTTCATTCTTGCCCCGGTCTTCTTATCAAGCTCAGGGAATTTTTATGTTCTCACGCTGCCCAAAGTCCAATCACGTTGCTTGAAGATCTTTGTGTTTCTTTCACTCATTCGTTCTTCTTGTGGCTCTGCAGCTTAATGACGGCTGCATTGTCGTTACTTTCTCTGGCGAGGCCGTGCATCACGAATAGCATCCCTGGTGCTTGAGGTTCGTATTTACACATATACCGTTCGCTTCCTCTTATAGATACGTGGATCATGAGTCTGACGGAATCTTCTACATGGTTGAAGTCACTATGGATACGTACGTCTTTTCATGCGCCGTTCGGCCCATCGGACTGGAATCACAGTCATGAACCAGCCTGTCTACCAGACTATTCTCATTGACTCATATACATCGCCGGCCTGTCACTGCGTTTCCTAGAACAATCCTCCGGTCTAATTCCTCCGCTATTGCCTATAAAACAGCGCTTTCGGCACCCTGAGTCTCACCGACACCGCGAGTCCGCACAAACAAATTTCGCCTAGCTTCTTGGTCCATATGTAGACTTACTCTTAGCCACCTCCGACTCTTCGATTTCAGCTAACTTATAACACGACTGCGACATATCATTGCCGATCTCACGAGTTTTCCACTTCGACAAAGATGGGGCTTGCGCCTCTACTGGTAGACACTTATCGCAAATACAAGCAGGGTACAGGCAACTTCGTCCAGTGGCTAGCAGAGACAGCCCGCGCAACTGGTACTGTCAACGATGTGTTCAAGGATAGTCATCAAGGCGCGATATCGCCTGCTGGAGGCAGACTGAAAGGAGCTGCTAGGAAAGAGGCAAAGAAAGCCGGGCTGACGCACAATGCTACCGTCTCATGTCAGATCACGACCAAATCGTTTCTCACACTCGCGAATTCTATTTCCGCCGACAAACGCGCGGCCGTCCCGTACATTGTATACACAACCCTGCGTGCTGTCATTCTAGGTCGCAAAGATTGTGCAAACTGGTACACGTTGACCTCGAATGCTGGAAACGACACCGTCATGGAGAACAACGCTAGCCATAAACACTTCATCAAGATTCTGGAAACAGTGCTGGAAATTCTTCAGACCAAGCAGCCGCGAGCCGGACACCAGCCACTCGAGACCAAGACGGCCGCGCCGATACGGAAATCATAGAGTTCGTATACAGCGATTACAGCAAAAGTGTGCAAGGCCCAGCTTTCATCGACGCAGAGGACGAGGATGATGACACTTTTGTCTACAAGGGAGGAAAGCTGAAGTTGCATTCTAGTACCGTACCATGCACACGTACTACGGAGTTTCTGCTTACTACATCTGTGAACAGAGACAAGCCGCAAGAGTACCGACTTTCCAACGACGAACAGCGGTGTCTGAAGTGTGTATCGCAACTTGCGTCTGCGCGGCAGTCTGCGCCTGATATACAAAATGTGATTGATAGTTACATCGTACGCAGAGCTGCCATAACTATACTACACCAAAAGCGTTTAAATAGCTGGATCATCTTCTCGTTACAGATCTTTTGGGACACGCAGAGAGAACTGGGGACTTGCATGTCTATCGCCAAGCTGCTTCTCGACAAAACTGCACAGCACCTCAGTATAGACTACCAAGCTTACTTGAAGTCAAAGGTCTGGAAGGGATTGGCGTTACACATAGGCTCCATCGCAATGGTATTATCCAACGCAAGAACCTTGTGGAAGCCATAGTCAACCAGACCCAGTTTCAGAGTTGGCTTGACCAGTGTGAAGAAAGAAAGCCTTGGACGTTCAGCAAACTCCCCGGATTCTCGCATCTTCGATACGATCCTGCACTACGCGGCCTGTTCCTTGCCAACATCCGCGACGAGTACCACAGAACGACTACAGATTTTGCGTCGAACCAAGGCCAGATCCTTGTAGCTGCCCACCTGTATAACGCTGCTAAATGCGTTAAACTATTATCTTCGGACTTGCAGTGGACCGATATGGATTGGTTCATCGAGCAACAAGGCAGCGAGTGGATATTTGTCGGGAAGAAGCCAAAACAAGGCATAAGGTTTGCAAAGCAAATGAACATTGCTCTAGGCTAATCCGCTAACAAGTTTGCCAAGGATTACAAGCCTCGCAAAGGTGGCAATGGGACACAAACCGTGGGCGGTAGAGCGCGTCGCCATGAGTATTATGCGGGATATTCCATCATGAGCTACGACAAGGAACCGCGTTTCAAGAAAGTCATCTGCGAGAGCAAGGCTAAGTTCGACATTCTCGTCATGCTAGAGGTCATGGTCAAAGATTATCGCAGCAAGGACTGTAGTGCTCAGCACCAAATTTCTTCTCTTGAGAAACTCCGCATTTTCAAGCTGGCAATCGAGAGAGACGAGTCCGCTCTCGCGTTCGACATGATGGACTTGTACCTGCGATGCATCCGAATGCTGCAGGAAATCCAAGTTCATGATGTTACCCACGCGCCCTTCGACTATCCAAAGTCAAATTTCACTGGAGGCCTGTCAATGAACAGCGTAACCGTAGAGATGCTGCATGACCTAGGTGGAGAGCCACGTCATCACCTGACTATATTCCCTGAAACCGCTGCCATAGTTCGCAAGGTCATTCAGGACGAAGGTAGCGCAGTCTGTAAGAAGGCTGCATTACGGGCAGAGGAGATGAAACATTTGCACACCAAGGACGTCGGCAGCGACAAGGAAAGCTTTGAGAATTCTCCAGAAGATACCATACCACTGGAGGGGCGTGAGCGCTTCAGTTTCATAGCCTTTGTTGACGATATGAACAACTGCCGCATACCCTCTGGTGTGGGGTGAATGGTGCGAATTGCATCTTACGTTGCCTAATCATTAGTCGCACCTGCAGACCTGAACGGCTTGCATGTTGGCGGAGCCTTTGGGAATGAAGTGGGAAGAAATTAGGTTGACTTACGAAAGGTGGGCGCATCGCATGGTATCTAGGCTAGCAACACAAAGATGTATCCAATATGTTTCTTTGCCTTGATCTATGACTGCCATGGACCTCCTGCTCATGTGATTTGGGGTCTCTACCAATAACTACAAAAATACCAATCGGCATCAATAGAGAGCACTGTATTCTTATAGAAGGATGAAACATCTCAGTCGAATAGAAAGAATCTGTCACCATGAATGGTCAACGAATTAAAATGATTATCTAAATCCACAACATTGCCACCATAGCACCGAGCAGAACGGAATATCCTCCAAAGGCACTGCCCGCCGCAGCACCCGACTCAGCAGTGTTCTCAACCACCGCGGCACTCCTCGTAGCAGTTCCCGTAGCACTCGCCATACTCGTCATGCCTGCTGTACTCGCGGTTCCTGTACTATTGCTCGTTTCCGTAGCCCACTCGCCACCCACAACACCTCCATTTACATTTACTGTGGCCGATGGGCTAGCAGAAGCAGAAGCGGAAGCGGAAGCAGAAGCAGAGGAAGCCTTTGTTCCATCTTCGGCCCCACTCTTCTTCGCATTACCATTTCCTCCATCAACGACGATACTGCCAAACTCCCCACTCATATCGCCGTACGAGTAGCTACTCCCCGGATTCTCGTTCCTCACTTCTACTTTCTCCAATACCATCGTGAAAGGAGCCTGACTGTAGTCCGTCTCACCACCAGCCCACTCAATGGTTCCCTCGGCATTGTTTGGGTCGCCACCAGCCCAGATACCGATACGAACGTTCATAGGTGTTTGCGGATAGTTGCTTCCTCCGTTTGCATCGGCGAACTGTAGGGTGCGTACGACGACGTTGTCAACGAGCCAAGAGGTTTGCGAGGATGTCCAATGGATGGTGTAGTTGTGCGTTGTACCCTGGGTATCGGTAACGGCGGCGTCTGCTTCGCGGTCGTGGGTTGTTGTGTTGCCTTTTCCAAAGTAGTTTGCTGTAAGAGAACCCTGAATTAGCATCATCCTTTCAAGTACAAGTAATCAGGAATTCAAAGGACAACGTACTCTGAACATTCTCTCCCTCTCCACCTAACCACTCCCAATCCACCTCATCCAAATCATCACTCTCCAGAATCGCACTGCTCACCACCCCCTTGCCCGGCGCAGCTGTCATAAGAAAGCTCACGCTGCCGAAGAAAATGTACCAGTTCGATTGTATAGTCGGTGCATCGCCAGCTTTCTTGATTGTGAACTCTGCGCCTTTGCTAGTGTAGGATATGTCGCCAGCGGTGACTTTCCAGTTCTCGTCGTCGGCACCGGTGGTGAAGTCGTGCGTGTAGGTGGATGACGAGAGGGCCACGTCTGCTGGGCAGGACTTCTTGGTAGGATCACATGATGTGGATGTCTGAGCGAGCGAGGGGATGGCTGTGAAGAGTACAAGGGAGAGGGGGAGTAGGGAGATATTAGGGATATGCATTATGAAAAATGTGAAATTAGGTTGCTCGTTTGCTCCAACTAAACGTTCTTGAAGGGAGACAGAGCAGAAATGAAAGCGCCTCAATAAGAAAAGAAGAGAGTGTTGAGTGGTAAAACAAGCATCAGGAGAGCCGTGCAGCCACGCACTTTAATCAAATCCCGAAAGCTTGAGGTTATCGAGGCTTCACGGCCAGGGAGCCACATCAGCCCCATTCAATGTGGGTCTTCCAATAATGGTCGGCTCCCTGATCGCCATTGTCCGTTTGGTGCAGTCTAATTCAAGGGCCGGCGATACGGTCCAATGTTGTTACGAACGGGAGGATCGCATTTACGGTTCGCGACGGCCTGTCAGATACCATCACCAGGCCCGTGTTAAAGCCGCGTGGGTTTATGACGACGCTCGCCCCACCAGCTGATCCCGCGTCAAAATGGTCTGTGGCTGGTGCTTGCTAACTATAGCTCGCGAACACGAAGACGGAAATATTGTCTTGTACACAAATACACAAATACAAGGAGGGTGCTCGGTTATCAGGATAATACAGATGCATACGCATTTATCGCTAGCGAAGATGTAGAATGCAGCTACAGTACAGCTAGCTTATGTGACCCCTCTGCGAACCCAGAGCCATAACAATGCACTGCGGATGATTTGTGCATTTCCAGTACCCAATCTGTCTATCGCCACACCCACTCGATCGCCCTTTTTTATAAAAAAATAAAAAATAAAAAAATCATGTAGCTTCGCACAGAAAAGGAGGCGGATGAATACGAGGAAGGGGGTCAGCAGAAAGGTTTGGCAGTTTAACTACCCCGATACACGCCATAAACTTATCGAATGATTTTAATGAATCCAGGTAATGGCATACTCGTGAATAATTGAAAGGCTCTACCGGCAAGTTTAAATCATACCGACCATACGCTACGAGTAAACCTCCCAGTCATAACTCTATCGTGCACCTGAAAGAGCAGTGTACATTGAGTCGTAGTCATAATTCTTCTAATCCGGTATCCCAGCCCAACATTCAACAACTCCAGCCGCTGATGACCAGAATATAAAGGCGCAATATACTCTTTATTTGCTCACAAGAAAGGCTAACCAGTGCAGTTCCTCATGCCTTACAACGCAGCTCTACTTCCTCATAAAGAAGGCCAAGGTCTACCGCGTCTTCTTGATCTCCGTAGCCCACCCCTCAATCCCCTCCCCTTTACTACCAACAGGGATGCTCAGATCCACACCCTCCATTCCCTTCGTATCCTTCAAAAACTCATGTCCTGCCATTCCACCCGCATTCGCCCGGTCCACTGGCAGTAACTCCAACATGGGTAACAAGAAATCGGCAATCTTCTTACTTTCCTCTGCGCTGAAATGATACTTCTCGTGGAGGACGTCGGGAAGGGCCCAGTGTCGTAATCGGTGGATGTTTCGGAGTTCGCCCTTGCGGTTGAATATTTCTTGTGACCATTTTCCCGACATGCATAGCCCTTTTGGAAAGGTGCCTAGAAGTTCGATGATCTGTGCGATGTGGTCGTCGTCTTTGCCATACTTTGTGCCAGATTGTGGGTCGAAGAGGTAATCGCCGGTGATGAGTTCAAACGTCTAATATTGTTAGTTCGTATCTTTCGTATTGGGGTGATGCTCTTACCATAGCGGCCATACTCCAGACATCGGTGCTGGCACCCCATTTACTGCCCAGGATGACTTCTGGTGACCTATATTGTCTGGTCTGAATGTCGTTGGTAAAGTGGTGTCCAACCCAGCACGCATTTCCAAGATCTGCAATCTTGACTGAGATGGTTTCGAAAGCGTTTTCGACTTGCTGCTCGAGCTCTGTCTTTCCAGATGAGCTACTGGGTTTGTCGAGGCTGATACCCGATACCTCTTTGGTAAGAAGGTCGCTGAAAGAATTAATACACTTTCCAACGTGGACATCATCTGAACTTACGCGGACTTTTCTCGTTGCTTCTGCGCATCGTCTTCATTAGACGACTTGATACCGAGCCGTTCTGCCATGGATAGACTAGGGGCGGCGGATGGAGTTGCTAGAGCACCACTCATTACGACACCGTCTGACGAAGAAGGAGGACTCGGAACAGTCGTGGGGGAGTCTTTACCTGTACCCTCGCTCATAACCTTATTCAGACTTTGTGGACCTCCCATTCCGGGGAAGCTAGAGATATCGGCATGGTTGAAGCTCGCGTTGAGCGGACTAGGGAGCGGTTGGCTTCCAGTGATGAGGGTCCTCCGTCTCCGCCTACCGTTCCTGACGCTATCTTCACTGTCTTTCTTCTTTGGCTCATCCTTTACATATGTCTTTACGATTTGCTCAACGTCGCCGATTTCGATGAGGACGTTTTCAGGCTTCAAATCGGTGTGGATGATGCCGCATTCGCGATGGAGGTAGTCGAGGCCTAGTAGGACTTGCTTGGTGATCTGCTTGACAAGCGGCATGGGTATACCACGGTGGTTCCACCTCTTAATCAAGCCCAATAAATTCTCTCCTAGAACTTCGAATACCATGCAGACGTGTACACCGTTAGGGCCCTTGTGGTTGAAGGAATCGAGTAGGCTGACGACATGTTTCCGGCCGGGGTGGTTCTCGTTCGCGTCGACAACCTTCTTAAGGAGCTTAATCTCGTCGAGAGCGGTTTCTGTATAATGCGCAGCGGAGCGCACGACCTTGAGGGCGACATGCTTGCCACTGGTGTTATCCCTCGACAGCCAGACGGTCGAGAAATGACCCCACCCGAGCTTGCGCACGATTGTGTACTTGCCGTCCTTGTACTCCTCACCCACCTGCACCGGGTGGTAGCCGCCCTTGCAGTAGTCCTCAGAGTCCTCCTCGTCGGCTGTGTTCTCGGCTTCATCGACTGACGACGACGACGAGTCGGGTGAGTGGCTTAATTGGTTTCCGTACATCTTGTGTTGGGCGAGCGGCGAGTTGGCGTTCTGCACACTGCGGGGTTGGGGTCAGTATAAGGTTGGTGCAGTTAGATCATGTCTTGGGGATAGCATGTGTGGGCGCGCATTTAAAATGAGTGGGGAAGTGGCGCAGTGTGGGCGGGCGGGTGAATGATGGGGGCAAGCGGTGGGCAGTAGAGGTGGTGGTGGTGGTGGTGGTGGTGGTGGTGAACGTACTTGTACTGAAAGGACCCCGTCGAACCAGCGGGCGAAGCGTTCTGGTTGCCCTGGTTCTCTGTAGTAATTATCGGCTTCAGGTCCTGTCCCTTCCGTCGCTTCTTTCCGCCGTTGCTGTTCGCAGCGTGCGCGACTTGCTTCGCCTTGTTGATGGCCGCCTTCTTCATGTCGGTGCCATTCATGGTGGCTTTCCCCGCCACGCGCTGGGCTGTGGGCGGGACTGAGGCTCGAGGGTTGCTGGGATGTGGTGTGCGGTTAGGCGCTCCGGACGCGTTGGGCAGCGCTCATGTGCAGAGGAAAACTATGGGCTTGGATATATATTATGAGGGCAGTGTGGCTCTTCCTGTCGCACTGCCTTGCGATTTCTTCAATTGCTGGAGACGGGCTTAGCGCTCCTCTCGCCAGCCTATCGATGTCTGGCTTCTGATTGGTGCTTTAGTGGGGGATTGCACGGATGCGAGGTGCTGCAACGACCACGGGTGATGACTCGCTGGGTGGGATGCGGTATTATTTCAGTTGGACTCGCCTCTCGGAGAATTCGCTGCGACTTGGGATGATAATAGAGGTGGTGACGGATGGCTGGATGCGCGTCAAAGCCGGAGGAAGCGGTAAGAAGCAGGCGAGACGAATTATGACATCAGTCGACACCTACAAATAGTCGTCTGCTACCACATTAGTTCGACCACAGAAGCCAGTTTTGCCCAAAAGCCTTGCGTCCTGGCTCCATTAGCGCATCAAGCTCCTTGCTTGGATGCTTCGGCCCGGGTAGCAACGAGAGAGGCTGGATGCCAGCACTGTTTGTTGTTGCAACCCGATCCACCACGATGCACGTGGGATGTCAACATCACGCATACTGACAGCACCTGAAGAAACCATGAGTTGCATCATCGTGCCATCCTACCCAGCCTTCCTTGTTGTCAAACAAATATGCCTATCAGGGAAAGAACCGTGCGTCTCGTCTCTCAGCCCAACCCCCAAGGCAGGAGCCACCCACTGTAACCCCACAGCTATATCATACATCTCTGCCCAAACCGTGACCTTGAAGAAATCGCTATGCAAAACTATAAATATCCCATATCCTACATTCCACATCGGCGCCTTCCTTTACGATCCTGTAACACCTGATCTGCAAGTCATGCCCGAATCATCATCTGCATGTCTGATTGCGGAGAGCCGCATCAGCCGCTACTTGGCCGAGACCGCTGCCATCCACTTCTGTTCGTCCTTCTTGTCGAAATGCAGGAGCATTCCTAGTACGGGGATGAGTTGTTGCTGATACTTCTTGTCGCGCTGCTCCAGGAACTGCAACAATACGTTCTTCAGGTACACGTAATCAATTGCTTCTGCAACAGCTCCACCGCCCTTTGGTATCGGTGACGCGATGCGTGACCGCGATGACTCAATTGAGGATCGTGAGGATTGGGCAACAGACTCGGAGCCACGTGTTTTCAAGCTTCGTAGCTCGTCGGACATAGTCTGCGATCGATCAGTATCAAGTGTGTCAATCGTTGCTGAAGCGCCTACCTTGCTAGACTTCTGAAGCTTCTCTAGACGGCTCTGCGTCTCGTCGAATGCCCGTCGCAAATCGGCCTTTTCTTTTTCCAGCTCGTGAGCCTGCTTCTCGCTTTCATCAAGTGCATCTCGGAGCTGGCTCATAGCGAGCCTGACTTCGGAAGCTTCTTCGCTAGCCTGTGCGGCTCGCCTTTCGAGATCCTCAGTCTGCTTGCGGAGCTCTCTTTCAGAAACTACAAGATCTTCTTTGTCCTCCACAGCACGCGCCTGTGCACGTTCGGCATCGCGGACCTTCTGCTTCAGCTCTTCCAGCTCCCGAGCTCGTCGGCGACTGAATGTGCTGGCTTGCTCTTCCGCCCGTTCGCGCTCTTCAACTGCAAGGTCGAGGCGCTCCTGCATCTCACGTACACGCGTTTCAGCTCTTCCTTGCGCGTCGTTCAACAGTCTTCTCATTGTTTCAGCTTCGCGTCCGCGTTCGCTCAACAACCGATGCGCATCGGCAAGCTCCTCTTCCAGGCTTTCGCTTCTGGCACGAACCTCTTTCATCTGAGTGCTCATCTCTTGAACCTGATCCTGCATACTGCTCACAAAGTCTTGGGCGCTTGCTGATTGCGCAGACTTCATCTGTATCTCTTCACGTAGACTGCCCACTTCACGGGTGAGCTTCGCAGCCTCTTCCTCCAAATCATGCACCTTTTTGCGTGATGCTTTGAGCTCATCTTGTGCCTTTGCTAGATCCTTCGTCAACTTGTCCCGGGTTTCGATGACGTCGTTTCGCTCCGTTTCCGAATTCTGGAGATCTCGCTGGATCTTCCTGTTAGTCTCTTCCAGCGCGAGCCTCTGGTTGGTCTCCTGTTTAATCTTGTCGTTGAGAGTCTTGATGTCGCTCTCCTTGGTTGAAAGCTGGGAGCGATATTCGATGATTTCCGACCTGAGATCTTTCTCCCGGTTTTCCAATCGACGGACTTCCGTCGTCTTGGTGGCAAGCTCGTCCTTCGTCGTGCGCAGCTCGGCCACCTCCTTACGCAACGACGTTAGCTCAGGCTGTGCCTTTTGCAACACCTCCCTCATGTCAGTCAGGTCCTTGAAGCGAGACGCAGCAAGCTTCTCTGCAACTGAAAGGTCGGTTTGCAAGCTCTCTGCTCTTGACTTTAGTTCTGTGAACTCGGCGGTCAATGTCTCTCTTTCCTGCTGCGACGACTCCTGAGAAGCTTTGCTAGTTTTCAACTCGGCGATCTCAGCCTCCAGTTTGCTCAAGTTCTCCTGCAGCGCCGTCTTCTCGGCCTGCAATGTCTTGACCTTGTCCTTGGCCTCAGTGTGTTCGAGGCCATAGTCAAGTAGGTCTTGGCGTAGAGTATCGATCTCGTCTTGCATATCTTCCTGATCCTTCGCCTTCTTTTTAAGGAGATTGATAGATGAGGCCTTCTCAGACACCTCAGTCTGCAGTGCGTCGATTGCTGCAACCTTCTCTTCTAGATCGGACTTCAGCTGCGCAACATTCTTTAATGCGTCCTCGAGTTGGGACGGGGAGAATTCCGCATCGCGAGGGCTGAGTAGTCCTTCAGTATCTCCGGCTTCACTAGGCGTTGCTTCGGGTGTCAATGTTCCGCTTGCCTCAGGCCCCTTTCCTCCCTTCTTGTTCTTCTTGTTGCGAGCTCTCTTCTTTGCTGCTGCGCTCTGGGGAGGTTGAGCAGGGCTCGCTGGTGGCTGCTGGACTGGTTCTGGTTTGATCGACACCTTGTTGTCGGTAGTTTTCTGCAAATCCTTCTTCGTTTGTTCGAGCTCGACCAAAGCACTATCGCGTTTATCCTCTGTAGCCTTCAGCTGTTCGCGTACTTTGCTGAGCAGTCCGTTCATGGTCTCGTTCCGTTTCTCGGCCTTGGCGTGGGTTTCGCGCAATTGTGAGAGTTCACTCTGAAGTTCTTCGGTTCGGCGTTGCAGCTCTTGCACCTGGTCATCTTCTACCATCTTCTCTCCTTTGTCTGCGTGTAGTTCTTCCAACTCTTTGGCCGTTGAATCAAGCTTCGCCTTGAGCTCGGCGATGGTCTTGTCGTTCTGATCATGGGTATCCTTATGCTTGTGTAGCTCCTCCTCAGCGCTTTCAACTTTTGACTTGAGATCTGCGATTACGTTGTTGAGCTCCTTCTCTCGATCATCAGCGTCTTTTTGTAGTCGGTGATGTGTATCTTTGAACGTGTTCAGATCGTTCGTAGTAGTCTCCAGGTTTTGCATGAACGACTGAGCTGATTCCTGCGCTGTGGAAAGCTCGTCCTTGAGCGACTTGTTCTCCGCCTCTAGCTTCCCGACCTTCTCCTCGCTCTCTTGTAACTGCGACTGCAAGCGGGGTAGTTCGCTGTCGTAGGAGAAGAAGTCCTCAGTCTCTTCGGAGGTCTCGGTCTGCTTAGACGCTTTAGAAGGAGACGAGGGTGCGACAGATTCGGTCTGTGTGGTGGAGTCATCCTGTGCAGCCTCGCTGCCAGGCAGCGCTTGAGATTTAAGCGTCTCCACCTCGTCCGTAGCCTCCTTTGCGCGCTTCTCGGCATCTTCCAGCTTCTTGTTGATCTCGTCGCGCTCTTTAGACACTCGCTTGAGCTCCTCCATGAGCATATCACTCTTGACGTTCAGTTGACCCAGGTATTCGACGAAGGCGCCAGTGTCGTTGATGGAAGTGAGAGGAGTGTACTCGCGGAGGGAGCCTTCGAAAGCCTCGATTGCGCCCACTCTGGCGTGTGCGATGCGGTACGACCGGAGGAGTTCTGGTCGGGGAATTAGCTTGGCGCATACAAACGGAAGGCGTCACCAACCAGTATACTTGGGCTCGAGTTTGTCCAATCTGCGCAGTCGCAATTGAACCTCTGGTGGTATCTCTGGTGGCTGTTCAGGCTTCTCGTCCACTTCGGCTGTCGGCCCCTCTGTCTCCTCCTTCTTGTCGTCGCCATTGTCAGTACTGGCCTCTTCGGTTTGTGCCTTCTCCTTTGGTCGAGGTGTGCCGGCTCGAGTCGGCTGATCTTCTTCCTCCCCTATGACAAACTCGGGGTCAAACTCTGAGGGATCAGGGCCCTTTCCTGCCGGTGCGGCCTTGCTGCTGTCGGCATCTTTTGATCTCGCTGTCCTTTTCGAGGGCGAGAGGTTCCGTGAATTAGATCGCCGTTGTGTTGAGCTGGATCGCGCAGGTGTCGTCGGTTGGGTGGCTTTCTGGCGCGCTTGCTCTTCTGCTATCCTGGCGTCGATGGCTCCGCGAATGCGCTGTCTCTCCCGTCAGCGTCCCTACGAAGTAGCCTAGATAGGGTTGAGATACCTGGAACATGATGATGCTATATTATGAAGAGGTATAGAAAAACATGCAAAGAAGACAAGTAATCAAGTTGCCTAATGGAATATCGAACACCGAACCATGGGAGACAAACACTACTCTGACACGTTCTGGGGACCGTCGCGGCTAAGTGACATGGATCGCTCATCGGGGAACATGGCGCTAAGATCATCCTTCGGTAAGCTAGTGCTGCGGGAATCCTCACTTTTTCTCGCCCTGCCAGTTTCCCCCACCACCACGACGACAACCTTACGCAATGGCCAACGTCGACATTTCCCTACCACTGCCGGTCCTGCCTGAGGGCTGGGCTGGTGAGAAGGACTTCAAGGCCATCGGCCAGCTCAGCGAGGCAAACGACCGCAAGATCGAGCCTGTTGGCCCACACTTCCTCGCCTATGCCCGCAGAGTACGTTATTCCGAAGACGATGGATGTATGCAGTGCTGACGAATGCTCTACAGAAGCGAAACAAGCGCACTTTCTCCGAGGATGAACGCATCCAGGCGCAGGCCAACGTCAAGAGCGTTGAGGAGGAGGACCCCGACGACGTTGACGAGCCTGAGGACCCGCTCATGCTGCAGCGTGAAGCCAAGGACTGGAAGGTAAGAGGTCCCCAATCGAGTTCTCATATCATCACACTGACACTCCCCAGTCTCAAGACCACTACGCTGTGCTCGGCATAACTCGTTACCGATGGCGTGCCACCGACGAACAGATCAAGCGCGCCCACCGCAGGAAGGTGCTCAAGCATCACCCCGACAAGAAGGCTGCCAAGGGCGGAACGGAGGACGATCAATTCTTCAAATGTATCCAGAAGGCCCACGAGGTTCTGTCCGACCCCGTCAAGAGGAGGCAGTTTGACTCCGTCGACGAGGGCGCCGAAGTTGAGCCACCATCCAAGAAGGAGACGCAAAAGGGCAACTTCTACAAGCTTTGGGGCAAGGTCTTCGAAGCCGAGGGACGCTTCTCGAACAAGCAGCCTGTGCCCAAGCTCGGCAACGCCAACAGCTCCAAGGAGGAGGTCGAGCACTTCTACAACTTCTGGTACAACTTCGACAGCTGGAGAACGTTTGAGTACCTTGACGAGGACGTTCCGGATGACAACGAGAACCGTGACCAGAAGCGTCACGTCGAACGCAAGAACCAGAACGCGCGTCGCAAGAAGAAGACGGAGGACACCACTCGCCTGAGGCACTTGGTGGACGACGCTCTGGCCCTTGATGAGCGTATCAAGAAGTTCCGTCAAGCCGAGAATGCGCAGAAGAACAAGCGCCGTCTCGACAAGGAGGCCGCTGAGAAGGCCGCAAAGGAAGAGGCAGAGAAGAAGAAGGCCGAGGAGGCCAAGGCTGCCGCTGAGAAAGAGGCTGCAGAGAAGGCCGCAAAGGCAGACAACAAGAAGGCAAAGGAGGCTGCCAAGAACGCGGCGAAGAAGAATAAGCGTGTTGTCCGTGGTGCTGCTAAAGACGCCAACTATTTCCATGGTGCTGGCGATGCGCCCGCTTCTCAGGTCGATGCTGCTCTCAACGATGTCGACCTTCTCATTGTGAAGATGGACAACGAGGAATTGGCTGCCATCACCAGCAAGCTCAACGGTGAGAAGGATGCTGGCAAGATCAAGGAGATTTTCCAGGAGGAGACCCAGCGTCTCATTGGTGCTGGAAAGCTTACGCAGGGGGAGCTCAAGGCTTTGGCTTGAGAAATGCCTCAACCTACACCCATTTCTTGATAGACACTTAGACTTGGACTTATTGGGAATAATGACATGCATGCATTCCATCCTTGTGATGATCGTTCTTATCTTTGGTCATAAACGTCTTTTTGAACCGACTCAATTTCAGTCTGCAATCCGCGACACTCGAAACACTTGCTCCCAACTGATGTCATATTCTTCACATGTGTCGAACGCATTCAGCGGCGCGTCCCGCGGTACGCCAGGGTCTGAACATGATGGCGTGGATGCGGATCGCGCGACACACCACCAAGAAGCCAAGCGCTGCCGTCACCCGGAACAGGCAGTGCATTAACGACTACCAAAGTTTGACTTGGTCCCTCATTCTTCTCACACGATAGTCGCTGAGACTTTTACAACATTCCCCACCGCCATCGTTAATCGCCCATTTACCCCGCGAGCAGCTAATTCCCCGCGCCAAGGAGCCTTCCACGACGCACAGCAGCACCGATCGCCTGCGCAAGCCCACGCCAGCAGGTTTCTCGTGGTCGGACCTCACTGACACTCCGCTCGCCTGATTGGACTTGGTCCAAGTCCTCGTGCCTGTAATCTCACTCCGACATCACTATGAGCGCGTCCCCCACGTCCAAAGACGGCCGACATGCGTCTCCAGCGGTTCGAAAGTCCTCAGCATCTTACAAGGTGAGCCCGCTGCAGCTCCCGACTGGCGGACACCTCGCGCAGGATAAGGTACGGCAGCCTTCAATCCAGTTTCTGGCGCACCGGAATTCCTCGCTTCCCAGAGGTGCTCCCAGGCCCCGTGAACGGCGTCGATTGTCGTCACCGCCGCCTCCACCGTAAGTACTGGTCTGTCTATATGTCATGTGCTCCCCCCAGCATGTCGAATTGTTCGCGCTGCTTTGCGCCTGCACGTCTCTTCCCACATACTTATGGCGAGCAAACATGGCGAAGTATGCCCCCTAGCATATGGCAGAATCCAGAAGGAGCACCAAGTTTGGTCGTCTTTCTACGCTGGCGATCACCTAGCCGTGAGATCGTATGCTAACATCTCTATCAAGAGTCTTCCAACCTCGCGTGTCATTCGACACTTTCGACAAGCCTGCAGACTTCATCGAGGAGAGCTCCTTCACACTGATCGCCAAACATAAAGACTACGAATACACCAAGCGCTCGCGGACGTTTCTGTGCGGTTTCGACGAGAATGAATACTCGGTGTACGCTCTACAATGGCTCATAAACGAGCTGGTCGACGACGGAGATGAGATAGTATGCCTCAGAGTGGTGGAAAAGGAAGATGCAATAGCCGGAGACCGAAGCGTAGAAACCGGACGGTATCGCGTCGAGGCCGAGCACACCATGGCCGACATACAAAGTCGAAATCATGACAACAAGGCGATCAACCTGATATTGGAGTTTTCCATCGGCAAAGTCAACAAGGTTATTGATGACATGGTGAGTTTTCGGTGGGCATTTAGCTATATCATGTCTAACGAGCAAACAGATCAATCTCTACGAGCCGGCAATTTTGGTAGTCGGGACACGAGGCAAGAGTCTAGGTGGATTCCAGGGACTACTTCCGGGCAGTGTGTCCAAGTACTGTCTACAGCATTCACCAGTACCTGTCATTGTTGTCCGTCCCACGTCGAAGCGCGACAAAGCAAAGAGCAAGCGCACGAATGATCCAGATCGCCAAGGCTATAGAGAAATCCTCGCGAAGAGCGAAAGCCTTCCCGAGTTTAATAGTCCTCGTAATAGCTTCTTCGCGAACGAGGACGAAGCAGCGATAGTTGGAGGCGCGGCAACCGCACCTAAACCTGCCGCAGAGACGCATCCTCTAGCACAGGTAGAACAAGCGCCAGACAGCAGCGAGGATGAACTGGATACGGGCACCAGCACTTTCATTGGTGATGATCCCCGAAGTCCTGGACCTATGATGAAGAGCCCGCATCTGCAAAATCTAGACAGTCCAGAGCTGAGCAGTCAATCTAGCAGCGAGGATGAAGATGATCAAGGCGGGGTATCAACCTCAGGGACTTCCGCTGTAGACAAAGTGACAAGCGCAACGGAGAGATCAAGTGTCAGCGATGGAGATGCAGGTAGTGGAAACACGTCAATGTCCTACGTTGACAGTCTCACGAGTGGAGCTCAGACGAAATCCGAAGACACATCTTCGGAGCAGAAGGATTCGGAAGGCGCATAGTGTTAGCATTAATACCCAAGATATCAGGCCCCTCACGCCAGCCTTAAAGACGGTAAATTATGGTGTTTCGGATGCTGCTGCCAGACCCTGGTTTGATCGACGTGATGATGACGTTTCGTGTGGCTGCAGCACCGCGACATGCATGCGCGTTCCCTACGGTTCCCCGGCCTCGGTCCCTCATTGCCTCACTTGCGTAACCTTACACATTCACAGGACCTCAATGTGTCAACGTATCCATACTGTGCCGCGTAATCGATGGATATACGCACCTCTCCCATAACCAGGACGAACTGGCATTAAGAATCAGCCACACATTAGCTCCTGAACACCAGCACCGCCAATCCGATGATCCCGATTCTCCAAGACGATTGCGACGAGTGCATGCCGGACTATGCCCTGCACCGGAATTCGATGACTGTGGCCATCTCGGCACTTCCCTTCATCCTCACCTTCCTGATCGTCGCCTTTGTGGTGTCGCAGAAGCTGTTTCCCATATTGTCTGGCAATGCGGATCGCAAAGCGCATCATGACGGCGCGCGACTACCTGCATCGACACAGCGCGAAAGGACCACAATCCTAAACAACCTACGTCCGAATGCACGATCGCTCGCAAGCATCATCTTCTCGACCAACTTCGCTCTCTCCGCTGTACTGGCCGAACTCATCCTATGCGAGATCTCCAATACCGTAAACCGCGCCACACGGACACTAGCCCTCAAGATCACGCTACCCTCTTTGCTCTTCCTCCTTGTCGTCGCAACACCGGCTTTTGAAATCCACTCGATTATATCAGGAACTGGTCTGAACATCAACGGAGAGCAGAAGAGTCGACGTAGAGCAGCATGGGTATTGGAACTCTGTGGGCTGGCAGTATGGTTGGCAGGGTTCTGGTATCTTGGACGAGGGCTACTGGGCTCGTACCTGCATGAGGAGTCGTACGAGCACGATCATACGTTTAGCGAAGGCTGTCTGGAGAGGATAGGCATTATCGGCATCAGTTTGATGGCTTCACTAGCCGGATTTGCAGCTATATCTGCCCTCTGGCACACGTTCGGCGTCAAATACCGCCCAGTAAGTCTACAATATCCTTCCCAATGGTGGGAAATACTTTCCATGTATGCTAATCTACTACAGGTCACCGAGTCAGATATCGGTCGAAAGCAAGCCGGTATACAAGCTACGAACGACATGCTCCTAGCGAAGGAGAGCCGACTTCGTGCGCTCGAACGAAAACTTGCGGATAATCCTCAACAAGGCTTCATGGGGCGCGTAGTAGGATCGATTCGAGGAAACCCCGACGTTCAAGAGCGGAATACTCTGCAACTCGAGATTCAGGGTCTCGAAACTATGCGTCACACACTTCAGAACTCCCTGACAGTTCTTCAAAACCGACGACAAAATCAACTGCGCTCACATACTGCCAACGGGAAGCTGTTCAACATAGTCTCGTACATTTTCGCCATGTATTGCGCGTATCGTATCATCGCGACCACTGTCACCACTCTACGTCGCTTCTCGTCTCCCAATGCGAGCTTCGCAAGTAACGATCCTATTAACAATGTGCTCGCGTTACTGGCAAAGCATTGGGACCCAACTATTGACCGAGTCGCCTGGAGTCGCACTATTTCCTTCCTCCTCTCTGGCGTGATGCTGCTATTGTCATTCAACAGCGTTCTTCAGACATTCTATCTCTTCGCCAGAGTAGTTCCCGGTCTTCTACACCATGCTAGAACAAATTTCGCTCTCATCATCTCGCAGATAACAGCGACATATGTGATCAGCTCGGCATTACTGCTTAGGAGCAACTTGCCGCCTGAAATGAAGAGCAAGATTGGCGATGCATTGGGAGCACCATTAGAACCAGGCTTCACGGAGAGATGGTTCGAGGGCTGGTTTTTGACTGCTAGCGCAGCTACAATGCTGGGTCTTTGGTTGGGTAAAAGGCTGAAGGGAGGAGAATGGGATGATGACGGTGATGGTGGCGACGCTGATATAGAGATGGGGAAGAATGCTTGATAGATTCTGGAAAACGAAACACATACTGGTTATGCCAACACAGCATAAATGCAATAGACACAACTTTATGATGCAGAAACGTACAAACGTGCAATCTCGGCATATCTCCGATGCTTACGGACAGCTCGGCGATGCTATCAAGAAAGAGGCAGCGCCCAACGCGTCGAATGATAACAGCCACCGGCCGGGCATCGCTGCATGAACCACAAATGAACCCGTTAGCTAGCACCACACGCGCTTGCTAAGCATTATACCCCTTGGCCCGCGATGGGCCCTTGCGCGCCGTTTGATTGAAGTTGACGTCGATGTTGCCCGATTCAAGCGCGTTTCGCTATGTGACGTCAGGCCTAGTGGGGCAGCTTCACGCATGAAAAGAGGCAGAGGGGCAGCTTCTCGAGACAACTCAATCGACTCTCTCACAACTTTTCTACAAGCTCTATCCTACAGGTATGTTTCAATGGGCGAGGGGAATATGACGACCATTGGCTAATCGAGGAACAGATTACAACTACACCTACACACCTGTATGTTCGCCCTGAAGCTCCCATCCATTACGTCCCCAAGCTGTCTACCAACCAGCCAGCCATCTCGACAACTGTCTCCCAACTACCTCCACACAATTAAGGCCTCGCCAACTAACAATCCCCATCACAGCTTCCAAAAACCTCAAAACCCACAACAACCCACAATGTCTGCCCCCAACGCCGGCCGTCAGTCCCCCGAGCCCGAGCGCCAAAACGAAGCACAATCCGGCCAGACAACCGACAACGTCAACCAGCAAGGTGCTGGCCCCAAGGAGGGCGCTGAGAAGGCTAGCGACAACGCCAAGGACAGCTTGAGCTCAAACCCTACACATCCTCTGGAGAAGCACTCCGAGGAGACTACTTCCAAGAAGGTCTAAGGGAGCATTGAGTAGGAAGGCCCGGAATGGTCGTCTTCTAGTTGCGATACCTTCCTTTCGAATGGCATTACAAGCCAGGATTCCGACGTAGGGCCTATGCGTAATCACTAGGCAGTCTGAGGATGAATGATTAAATGAATGATAATGGTCATGTTTCAATGTTTTGTGCAGTGCTGGTGTCGTGGTTGCGTGATCGATATCTGCGGCTGAATGCTTTAATGTGGATTGTGTCGTTACCTGACATGTGCACTATTATTACCCTCTGAAGCCTGTGTCGTACCTCCCTATACTATTACTTATTTATCCCGTGCCTAGGATTAAGAGATGACTACAAAGCTGGAATATGCAGTACTCGTTTTGCGGAATCTTGCAATCAATACAGCTCCAAGGGCGCGCTCACTCGCAAGATTTATGGAGACTATTCTCTATCCTCATGTTGGTGTGTACGCTTGTTATGTTTCTACCGAGTACGCGACTGAGAATAGTGTTAGTGAAGCCTTGCATGTCTGCATTCGTTCCCCGCCGCTCGCTGCCCCGCCATGCTAACCAAACCTATCACGATTCTTGTCGTTCGACCCCGCCCATGGATCTTGACGTCTTATGTCCCGCGCTGCATTACGAACCGCAAAAATCCGGGCCTTGAGCACAGATTCACTCAGTACTAGTATAGTAGATTTGTCAAATTTGCCATCAATCCTCAACAGGGCGCTTGGGTAAGCTTCATCACTACACCACCTTGCTCCTACAGTAAAACTAACAATCCAAAGTCTAGGGGTATGATTTGTAAGACATCACCAATAACTGCCTCTCCACAACTCCTTCCTAATATCTCATTCAGTCGCTTCGCATCATCAAACGTGCGTACTTGTGAAAGGTCGTGGGTTCAATTCCCACAGCGTCCAGTACCTTCTTTTTTGCCAAACTTTTGGTCGTTAGATCAAAGGCATAATAAATAGGGGTGATAGGGGGTAGCTGTACTCTTTTTGTTAACATCATTCGATGTATACCGAGTAAATGTCAAGCAATAGAGTCTTTATAGATACGAGATGCACCGCGATAGTGGAAGTAGAGGTATATTGCCTTGTAAGACTAGAGACGAACCGCTGTCGAGCCACAACAGCGGTAAGGTAGGCTAATATACTGCGATTGCTTGGCATACCGGCCCGAACGGGCCCGGAGTAACCTGGTGCCTGACAGTAAATGCGGAGATAGACTGCGAAAAGCTCACATGTCATAGCGGGTCATTGTCGCGAAATCAGTCCTACGGTTACATTTGTACGGAAGCCGCCTGAGATAAACAGGTCTCGCATATTCATAACACTGTTGTTGACTCGCACATTGAGACTCCCGCATCCTAAGGGCTAGCTCGGTAATAAGCGCCCCAATCGAACCACCTTTCCCATCCATTCTGCTTCGGTTCTCCAAGAGTAACATCTGCAGCCTCTGTTTCGGCTGCAGTCCAGTCATCCCCAAGGGATGAGCCCAGCTCTTCATTATCACCATATTCTAGGTCCGATATACGTATATCTTCCATCTCACTTGCCGACTCTTCAAGCGATGCATCTTCTTCTGAAGCTTGCCATGTTGTTGAATCTATGACGAACCTAACACCTGCACCAATTCCATATAACATAGCATCAATGCCTGTCTTAAGTTCCCGATGCAGGAACCTACGTATATCAGCTGCCCTTTCAAGCAGAAGTAGCAAAGCAAATCCTCTTGCGTTGGGTTTGCGAGGAGGCTGGGTGGGGGCGTCTGGGACGAGTACTTGCACGCCATCAGGAAGACCGGGAGCGAGGCGTTGACACAGTTAATTCTCGGCAACTACGGTCTTGGAGTGCGGCTCCGCTTACCTTTGTAGCTCCGGTACTTGTTTCTTGCGACCTCGCGACTAATCTTCTCTTTCGATTGTTCGATTCCGTCAACGATCACTACGCTGTCCTTTCCTTGTCCCACCAGTCCGTCAAGATGGCGAATTATCCGACACCAGTTTGTTCTTCTCCGGTTCTTACGTACTCCCCATATCTTTAGTTGACGTTCGTACTGCGACTCACTTAAAATGCGTTAACACCTCGCGGCTAGAGTCAAGAAAGACAACACTAACCTTGCATGGAGACTATGGTCTTTCATAATCTCCATTACGTTACCTAAAGTCTCATCGTCGTCAATAAATAAGGATTTAATTCTGCGTCTATGCCGTTCCCAGACATCAGAAGAGATTCGCGGAGAATAGGACTTCGTTTGTTTAGGCATAATGGATCAAAGCCCACTAGTTTCGGAAGTAAGAGCAGAGAAAAGGTGAACTGGAGGACTAGAAAGGAGACGTGGGTTAGGTATTAGAGTACAAGATTACTCCAGCCTCGTTCAACATGAGCCAATCAAGCAGAACCTGGATACTAACATCTGGCCAATGACGTTTCGAGAGTCTCCATGAAGCCTGCCAATCAGCAAAACTTGGAATCTCAGCCAAGAGGCTAAACCGTAACTCAATCACTACATACATGAACAATGAAGCATAGAGAGGCTATGCAAAAGGCCCACCAGGGGCCGCGTATGGTAACCAGCAATGCAAAACCTGGATGCAAGATGCCGTAAATAATCTCCATTAGGCTGCAAACTGCGTATCAACAGCCCTACGGTGACCTATCTAGCATAACCTGGATCGCAGACGACCGTGACTGGTTGTTTAAATTCGTGCACCTCCGCCATTCTCAAGACCTTCTCTACAAGGTGTTTGCTCTTCATCCGATAGATAGCCACGCCTACTTCATCAAGTAACTGTCTCGCTGTATCTTTAAACTAGAACACGCGTACGGCCAGAAAGAAAGTCATCATGCTATCCTTCTCCAGCGAAGCCATCATCGCCATAGTCACACTTGTAGTGACAACTCTATCCATCTGCCTACTTGTATGGCAGCTCGTCGGACGACTAAATCGCACAAACGGCTCTGAGCCTGGTACGTTGAACCACTTGTTATTGCCCAAGAGGCGGATAGATCGTTGTTGACCAAGCTGGCACAGATCCCGAAAATGCGATAACCTTCGACTCTTACCCGCAGGCCCCTCACATGAGCACCAATATGGTACATGAACGAAGTTGAAATGGGGAAGATGCGAGCGAACACGAAGTCAACACCATACCGGGCGATAACGAACCGAGTCCATAGTCATGCATCTATACACATATTGAAATAAAACCCTGAGATCGCTTGGGTGTTCAATGCTGGCGCAGCGAAATGATATGGCGGCACAGGTGGAGTGATCAGTGTAAGGGAAAGGAAAGATGTGTCCTTCTCATACAACTCAAGAGCTGACCGTGATGGTCTCTAGAAGACTAAAGGGATATATGGTGTCAGCTACATGGAATGTAAATTGCCAAGCACATTGATCGTACTCTTATAATCCATTCTCGTTGGTGCCAAGTTTGATCGACGCTCTCTCCTACACGACACCAGGAATAACCACTGGTTCAACCGGCCCAGTACTCGCCCCAATACTAGCCTGATGCATCGTCCTCGCACCCCAGTGATCTGGATAATCCACAGTAGTATGAAATATTTGATAGTTTGCCCATATAACGATATCTCCCCGCTCTACGTTCGGTAGCATGATCTACTCTGGCTTGAGACCGCGTTCTTGAATCGTTTTAAGCCACTCCCTTATCTCGGCTACATTTTCAATGACAGCTGGTTCCTCGTCTTCGCTCGAGCGAACGAAAGCTCGCCGCACACAGATACCATGGACCATGAAGGCTCGTTCGCCCGTCACGGGGTTAACCCATACCATTGGGTAGCGCTCGATGTCTTTCTCTTCGTAAAGGCCAAGATCCTCCAATATCTACGTGGAGCTCGGGGTCAACCATATTCGCTTTAGGTAAGTGTTCTGATTTATATTTTCATCGGGTTTGAGAACATGAAACAAACCAAAGTATGCTTGAAGGCGGCTGATGCTGTACTTATAACGCTTGTGGCGGGCATTTGCAACGCCCTGCCGACAGTACTCAATGGTGTCACCGGCTCAAATCTACATATCCCATTTTCTATCGCATCTCGTGCCAGCTTCGATCACTGGCTCAGCTACTTCGCCATTGTGAGTAGAGATATCTTGGCCATGTTCTGGTTCGGCGTACAGACAGCCAATGGAGGTATACTGTTCACAGACTACTGGCTAGTCAAGCACACGAAGTACGACATGCCGGCTTTGTACGACCCAAAAGACATCTACAGATATGGTCGCTATGGCACAAACTGGCACGTTGCCGTTGCCACGTTCGTTATCATCATCCCTCTACTGCCAGGGTTGGCTAACAAAGTCAACCCGGATCTGAAGCTCCCCGCTGGCCTGCGGAACCTCTTCACGTTTAATTGGCTGTACAATTTCTTTCTGTCCATTTTCTTGTCTTGCTTTTGCAACCACTTCTTCCCAGCTGAGTAGACCCGTGTACAACGTGTTTTAACCGGCTTTGAGTATCTAGATGGGATTGAGGTCGATACTGAGGCGGGAAGCCTATCACTCGAGGGGAGAGCCGGCAGGCTTGAGGTTGAACTTGGGACACATGTGTCTCGTCGATCTCCAAGCGAAGTTCCAGATAAGTAGGAGCTCATGTATTATGTAACATTCGGAATGAACTAGAAACCGAAGTCCTCCAACTTCTTACCATCTTCCAATCCCCAAGTCCAAACATCCACATCAAGCGCTTCACCCGACCACCGTACACCCTTTACTCTCCTGACTCCATGGTTCTTGAATCCCACTCTTCGAAACAGCTTCTGCGCCTCTTTGTTGTCAGGGTCGGTCAACCCTGCGATTTCTTTCACACCCTTCTCATCGCCAAAGTATTTGATCAAGCCCTGCGCAGCTTCCGTTGCGTACCCTTTCCCATGGTAACGCTCAATCATGTTGAAGCCCAAATCCGGCATGGTAGGTGCTTGTTCGCCTTGGACACGGGCTAGTTGCATAGTTACATAGCCGATGTGTTCTAATTTCCTTTGGGAAAATGGAACACCAGTCTCCTCATCCTCTTCCGCTGAGTTCGGTTTCAAACTGACAAGGTACCGTCCATATCCCGTCGTCCGGAGTTTCTCATCTCCGTTAGCTATGATTCTCCGCGCTGCGTCGCGATCTGGTACTTCCTCAACTATACCAGGATGGCGACGAAGAGATGGTGCGCCGTGAAGGAGTTCAAGGACGAAGTCGCAATGTGCGTCAGATGATGGATCGCAGTAGGAAAGGTAGAGACGAGGAGTCGAGAAGTAGAAGTCGTATGGTGACATTGTGAAGCCTGAAGATAGAGTTGTGTTAATGTTCGCTAGTAATCAAGGCCTTCGCAGTTTTCGGTTCGCTTATGAACATTTGTTCAGCTCGTCGATGGAGTACAAATGGCAGCCTAGATCCGAATGAGTCATCAAAATCGGTCTTGAGGCAGCCAGCGCTAAGGAGCATAAGGAAGCTCAAAGACGGTGATGCTGGTATCGCGCACTCTCCTATCCAGATACAGTGTCGTTGTACGTGGCGTCTCCGGACGGCACTGCTCCGGACTGCTAATATTTGTGATCAATTCCCTTTATATCCGAAGAAAGTACTCCGAGTCTGTTAGCTCTCGGCATGGTTGTTCTTGGGACATAATTAAACATGTGCCTGATAAGTCAACTCCGTATCGTCAACTTGGTGTTTCCAATGACAATATATGAAGGACAGAATGACTAGTCGCCATAATGTTCTTAGGTCCTTTGATCAGGTCAACTTCTTCGTGATGTTATGCTTCAAGTGGGCTGTGATAGTTCGCCGATCGGGTTGAAACGCGACTAATACTGGGAAACAAATCTCCATAATTGTAGTACCAAAATGGTCACACTCAGTGAGGATGAAAGAGAAAGGGATGCGGGGTTTGAGGCTTAAGCTGAGAAGGGCCGCGATGTACCTAAGCCTCTTACGGTAAAGCGCCGTGGAAATAGTGGGGAACCCCGCCTTCCGGTATTCTCTTCTTTTGATACCTCGACACCTGGCTTCTTCAAATCACCGAACGTCGAAACCTACAATAGACACAATGGCGCCACTCTCAGGATCCGCCAAGAAGAAGAAGCAGAAGGAGAAAGAGAGGGAGCTCCAAAGGCTCAAGGTGATTGAGGAGCGGCAAGCGGGGTCGGACACGAGTCCTGAAGAAGATATTCCTGCCAACCAGCCCTACGGACCCTGGGAAGAGCCAAAAGAGAAGTGGGATGCTCGCCTGGAAGCTCAGCCCCCAGCTGAAAAGTACGCCGACTTCGAGAAGCGTGCAAAGGCAAGGAAAGGGCAGCCCATTGAATATCAGCCCACTGCAATTCCAGATGAACAGACGTTGCATGTAGATGCATCGACCAAGTTCGATAGCACTGCAAAGCCTGTTCAAAAGCTCGTTTTTGCTTCTGGTATCAACGTAGACGAGTATGTCGGACTTCGTCCGAAATTGTAATCACTTCAGCTGATAATATTCAGCACCCTCATTGACGTCATCGCGAATGCAGATGCTACATTCCGGAGTGCAGTCCGCGTCTTCGTTGCCGGCGATTCTGAAAGGAAGGAGGCCATTGAGATCACGAGTGCCGGCGTGGAGAAGCTGACCAAAGCCTGTCCTCAACTAGAGGTCATTGCTCTCCACGGCACATCTAAGCTTACGCGTACCGCATTCCCAACGATCCTCAAGAACTGCGCAAACATCGAATCCGTCACCCTGACGGTCGTCCAAGGCCAAAAGTCTAAGCGCATACGTCTCAACAGCACACTTGAATGGCTGAACGACAAGACCTTCGTTCCAAAGCTGCGGTACCTCGAATTCCGTGGTGTCTACCACGAGGCTTTCCGTCGCGAATTCCTCGAGTTCCTTACACAAAGCAGACCAGGGCTGGAGATCGTGTTCGAATATGACAGGCCAGCAGTACTTATCCGGGACAACGAAACTATTCCGCTTGACCGCGTTCCTGCTGCTGGTAAATAAAGTAAAACCGCTTGAGCTGTCTCATGAAGGCGACCACTAGGATGACGACGCTGGGTGTGAGTCTCAATTTGACGGAGGTCCTGTATGAGTCCGAGCTGTTTATGAAGATCATAGGAGCGAGGATGTGGAGATCGGCCGGCAATAGATGCGTCACTCACTGGAGCTTATGAGGCAGATGGAAACCCAAGCGTACGCGATTGAGGATATACCTATCCTTCAATGGCCAAGCAGTGAGATCAATCAAAGAAAAATAACTAGTCTCGGTTGAAACGAATCAAGACTACAGAAGCTGCGGATTCAATGCGTGATGCAACGTATGATGCTAACTGAGCCACGAAGCGTGCGTACTATCCTTCTCGTCCTGCTTAGGAAGCATCGACGACAAGAAGGCCAAGCTTTGCATGAAGTGGATCTAGTCAACGGAGATAGTCGAGGAATCCGAGCAGTTAGGGCTTGTGTAAACTGAAGCGTTACGTACCACATGCAATCATATCTGAAAGCCCTTGCGACAAGCTCGACAATAGTATACAACTTTTGAGACTGAAGTTGCTTCGCGTGCTTCATATTCACCTATGACCACAACTAGGACACGACACAGTTCTTCTACTATTCAGTTGATCAAATTCCGAGCACGGGTGCGAGTGCGAATCGGTAGTGGGTCTAGCCACTGTCCTCGTGGCACCGGCGCATCAGCCCAGGCGCTAATGGAAACTAACGCGGACTTTATGCATGCTGCTGACGGCTCATCGAAGCATCATCGGCCCAGACCAGACGTCAAATCTTCGTTACCACCTCAAAACGTGATGCGGCTATGCTGTTTCTCGATGCGGGGCTCAAATGCAAAGGTCCGATTTGTGAACTGTCATCCATCTGCATATATGCCGCGACCTGCTCGGAAGATGACAACCTCAAACACGATCTTCTCTTGCCGCCATGTCAGCAACTCCGATGTCATCAGGCTTAAACCATTCAGGTGCTCCTATTGAGTTAGCGTGGTCATCCCAGCGACCTGAGTTGCGCGATGAGAAAGAAGATTGGATGGGTGTGACGAATCCAGTTGAAAGGCGAAAATTACAGAACCGCTTGAATCAGCGTGCACGGAGTAAGTGACCCTGCCGGATAGACCGCCAAAAACAAAGAACATGTTCTAACACTTTGCCAGGAAACCGCGCACAAAAGAACAGCGCCATCTTCAAACAGCCCCACAGCATCGTTGTGCCAGACGAGATCCACGAGAGCGATGCATCAGGACGTGAAGGCAGTTGCAGCACATCTGACGCATCTCGGGATGACTCTAGCGAGCCGAATGGCACGATAACACGTAAGTCGTGCATGGCTGCTCATCCCAAGGTGAAGGAGCTTATGCAACGCTTCTCCGAACATGCGTACGCCAGCTACATGCAAGGTACACCCGCCTTGTCACACTTGCCGCTGCTTCTCAAGTACAATGTCGCCAGTGGCCTCGCGCGGAATGCAGAAATTCTAGGAGTCACTGCACAATACTATGATTGGTATGGTATCTCGCCGCTTAACAAGCAGGGTCCACTCTTAGGTTCGGGAGCAGGGGCAGAATGGCCTGCATGCCTACAACCCACTGAGTTACAACGTTCCATTGAGCACCATCCTTGGCTTGATCTATTCCCATGGCCAAAAGTGCGCAACAACATGCTCCAGGCGTTCCAGCGTACAGAGCTCGTCGACTACGAAGACGAGCTATGTATCGATATCTGCGAATACAACCATCTAGATCGCAAACCGATACTGATCGTATGGGGGCCTCCCGAAGATCATCGCAGTTGGGAGATCGATCTGATCTTTCTGGAGAAATGGGGCTGGCTGCTCAGTGGATGCCCTGAAGTGTACGAAACGACAAACTACTGGCGAGCAACACGAGGCGAGAAGCCGCTTACGCCACAACAGTGGCATAACACGATACGAAGAAGCTTGCCGGAGCAGTTCCACTAGCGGACTTACGACTGGAGTGTCAGCAGAGCGCACGAATGGCTGTGGACCCTGCATGCATGACGCCATGGGCTCGAGATATCAAAAACATATACGTTGCGACAATCCTGCATTGACTCTTTCTTCTTGAGACACATTTCGCTACTTACTACGACCACGTTGCATTCAATTAAAACGGCACGGCTATTATGGACCCATTCGCCCCACCACCGAAGCCACAAACCGCTCTAGGCTGGCATCGCGTTTTATCACCTACAGCCAACGTCAAAGTCTCACCCATCGCACTCGGCGGAATCAGTATAGGGAACTCATGGAGCAAATTATTCGGTGTGAGCGAGGACGCCGACTTACTGCTAGACACCTACTACGATCTCGGGGGAAACTTTATTGACACCTCCAATACCTACAACTCGGAAGATTCAGAGAGGCTTATTGGCGAATGGATGGAAAAGCGCAAGAACAGGGACCAGATGGTTATTGCAACCAAATATGGAGCGGGGTACAGAGCATACAATCGCGAGAACGAACCGCTGCAAAGTAATTTTACAGGAACTAGCGCAAAGAGTATGCATGTCTCCGTTCGGGACAGTCTACGCAAACTCAAGACTGACTACATCGATATACTATATGTACACTGGTGGGATGTAGGTGGCAATGTGGAAGAGATCATGCGTCATCTGCATGCCCTTGTCATGGCCAGACAGGTCCTCTATCTTGGCGTCTCAGATACCCCCGCCTGGGTAATTGTCAAAGCAAATGAATGTATGTACCTCATACATACGCACCGGTACTCATGCGCCATTGCTAACCCATTGCTCAGATGCCCGCCGCCACGGTTTGACCCCTTTCTCCCTCTACCAAGGCAGGTGGAACGCCGCCTACCGCGACATGGAAGCCGAAATAATCCCCATGTGCGAAGACCAAGGTCTAGCAATCGTATCCTGGGCCTCGCTCGGCGGCGGTCAACTAGCCACTACCTCCCAACGGGAAGCCGCAGCAGACGACCCAAAATCCGGCAAGGGTTTCTACAATGCCTCGGAAAACGATATCGCAGTCTCAAAAGTCCTCGAGAGACTAGCGGAGAAGAAAGAAGTCACCCTGCAGCAGATGGCCCTGGCATACCTCTTCCATCAATCTACCCACGTTTTTCCTATCGTGGGCGTGCAGACAGTGGAGCATGTTAAGGCTATGGTACCTGCATTGGGTGTCTCGTTATCAAAAGAGGAGATCGATGAGATACATGGTGCTGCGCCATTCAATCCTTTATTCCCGCAAAACTTCATCTTCGGCGGTCAACCTTACAGTACGAGATTGACGGCAGCGGATCAGGCGAATTACCAGATGGCTGCTTGGATTGACGCGCCGCCTAAAAACCCGGGATATGCGCCTCGGATGTGACAGGGTGTCATGTATGGAGCAAGGAAGAGATGATGCAAAACGAGTGTTTTTTGGCTGTTATGCAGCTTGTATATAGTAACGAAGCATGATCAAACGCCTTTCCAACACAGATACCACGATATTCTCTTATCCAAGTACCAATCTTTTCGTTCCTTCCTACCATACCCAGTCTGTTTCCTACACAATATGCCTGCCGAAATTTCCTTCGGCTTGGCAGTACCGTATCGAGTCCTATAATATAAAGCGAATGATTTGAGTTCAAAACAGGATTGCCTTTTTCCTGTATAATGCGTCACGATCATGAACCCAGCTTCTAGATGTAGAACATGGTGTCCTTAAGCTTGGGATGGATCTGCACATCCGCCGCATTCGGATCCTGCCCCGCACCTCCAGCTACTGAAGTCCCAGCCATGGAAGGCGCAGCGCTCGGGGTTGGTGTATCGAACAAGTTCGCCAAGTAACAGCGCGCACGTTCGCAAGCTAGATCAGCATAGTAAGCTGGTGGGCAAAGACTGACGGCTTTTGTCGCACGGCCGAACAAGTAACACATGTTGTGTGTAAGGTCTTCGACAATATCGGCAATGTTTCCAAATTGCGCCGGAACCTGTTTCGCGTAGATCTGGCGAAAGATCTCGTCGTGCACAATGTAGTAGTGACAGGGGCGCGCTGTTCCCTGGAGGGCAGCGTGTGCTTGAAGGAAGAAATCCCAGTTGCGGGCTTCGGTTACGCCACGATCGACGACGGTACCAGGCTTCGTGTTGCCGGAGCGATCGCAGTCTTCCAGCTTAGTGGGATAGAAACGGGTCTTGTGTCGCTTACCGCAGATAACGACTGTGAAACGTGGGAGACCCTTCTTGGTGTCGGGCGCTGGGTAAACTGCCTCGCAAGCCTTTCGCAACTGAGGAAGCTCTTGTGAGAGAACCATATCATACTGTCCTTCTGACACTCCGTCGCGGTAAATGAGGATGTTCTCTGGGAATGCAGAGTGCTTTCCCTTAGTCTTCCATAGGTTGAGGCGCGACTTCAACATCTCAGCGAGATCGTCGACGTTTTCCTGCCTTCCGTGCTGGATGCGAAGTGTAGCAGGCCATTGGCCAAGGAACCTGTCGACAGAAGCGACCATTGCCGACACAGAGGGTGCATTAGAAGCCGAACCAGGTGAAGGGTGTGTGACGTCGATGCCGACCACCATCGTCTTGTCTTGATCGATGATACCCAAGTTCTTATTCTCGACGATTTGGTTGATACCTCCAAGCTTCAAGTTAAACTTCAGCGCGACATTAGCAATGTACTGGTCGCGGCCCCGGTCCTTCGAGAGCTTGGAGCCTACAGAACAGATGGTATGGAGGCCGTAGTCCCTATCGGCGAGTGTCTTGATGCGCTTGTACAAAGGTATGTTTGCCTCGGGTAGTACGATGAACAAGAGATCTAGAGAGTTAGCGGCCTTTTGTAGGAACGGGCCAAGGGAAGCGTCCTCTGGATGCTGGAGCACAAGACGCTGTGGGTCGATGGGCTGACTGGCATTGACACCGATTTTGAGCAAGCCTTGATGAAATTCCCGCATCACCGCGGTCAGGGCTTGGGCATCGAAGGAGTCGCGTTTGGACGGAAGAGATATCATGACAGTACCCCATCTTGCGAGACTGGCGCCGGTATTAAACTTGATATTAATCATATTCCAACTGCCGAAACGCGGATCTGCAGTTTTGTTGCCTTTATAGATGACCTTCGGGCCATTGAGGATCCGGCCGGGGACTTTGACGAGACCGGGCGTGATCGTGAGTCCGAAAGACCGCTTTGAAAGAGTCAGTGAAAAGCACACAGGCGCTGAAGCAAAAGACTTACCAGCAGGACATTTGTGTTCTCATCTAAACCGACGGTGGATACACCTTCGTTGAGAATGGATTTCGCATTCTCCCACGGCTTGCGTACAGCGTATCGGATCATCGTCTGTGTCTGACCTCCATCAAGCTTGGCCTTCGATGGCTGGCCCGGAACGACGACGCAAACCTCTGCGGGGAGGTACATCGGATTCTCCCGGTTACCGCAGTTGACTACAGGAAGCTCGGGGTGTTGGAGTATGCGGTTGTATGCTGTGTAATGTTAGTATCGTAATATCATACAGGCGGAGAAGAGCACATGCTTGTCTTGAAAAAGTCGAATACACTGATGTATCTTCCTGAACCAGAAGGTGCCGGACCCTTGGGTTGAACCTTTCCTTTACCCTTACCCTTTGGAGCGCCCGCTTCCGCCTTGGGTGTACTAGAAGAGCCGGCATCGCCGTCGAGCCAGAATTCAACATCCTTGGCGCCTGCACCGTGTCCTCTAATACGTGGTCTGTTCGCTAGCTTGTGCCCGTCGTCCTTCCTAGCAAGTCCAAAGATGGTCTTGATGCGAGGAATGACCTGGCCAGCTTTGTTACGCTTCTCGGGGAGATGATTCGTCTGAACGCGAACCAGCTTGAGGAACTTCTCCAGGGCGATGGTATTCCAAGTACCGTAGCTTCCCATGAGCGCTGGCAAAGGACCATCATGGTAAAAGGCTCCATGACTGACGTTAATGTTGACCAAGATGCGACACGTCGCAACGCGCACACTTGAGAAGAAGCCACGAATGACATTCAGGCCAGCACCGAGATCTCCCTTTGTCGCATTTTGGTTCAGGGAGAAGCTCTTCGACGAACCAATCGTGGCGAGGTTGTTAGCGGATTTGACGTAGTGGTTCAAGAAGATATTGAGCGCTTGCGTCAACTCTTGCTTATCGCCAAAGTCCTGACCGATGTTGGTTGAGTTCATCCAATTGACCAGCTCACCGATATTGTGGGTCCTAATGTACTTGATCCTAATCTTGTATACGACGGCGTTGGCAGCTGGGTCGTCTTCGCCTTCGGAGCGGTACTGGATCTCGATGATGTCGTCGTCGTGCTTGAATTTCGTCTTGGAGACAATTGTTTGACGAAAGTCGGTGGCAACGCCGCCTTTGTAAGGAGCCATCTCCGATGATTGGAGCAAGAGCTCCAGAACTCTGTGACGCTTTCTACCAGCGACCTCAGGTTGAATGTCGACATCATACCGATGTAGAACCATGTTCGATGGTGGGAGCAACTCAACATAGTTTGCGGTGAGCTCTACCTTGATGCCTCTAGTGCCGTATCCAGGCCTGGTTGGGTTGCCTTCCGACAGCTTCAAGGCACCCAGGTCGAGCGCCTTCTTCCCAGCTGGATGCATGGCATCTTCAACCTTCGCGACCTTCAGGTCTTGAGGCGCAGGATTCCTATACACACGCTGAGCACCATGGTCGACTGGAATGAAACTCCACTTACGGAAAAACCTGGTTCTCTACCGGAGCACCTCTTCCACCGCCACGACCTCCGCCGCCGCCTCTATCGCCTCGAAAACCGCCACCCCTGTCTCCGCGAAACCCACCACCTCGATCTCCACGGAATCCACCACCTCGGTCGCCACGAAACCCACCATCTCCTCTGCCTCCACGGAACCCACCATCACCTCTGCCTCGACCTCCAAAATCGCCTCGTGCGCCTCCACGGCCGCCTCCACGATCGCCTCGATCGCCGCGGTAGCCGCCTCGACCTCTATCGCCGCCTCCTCTAGGTGCGGACATTGATTGAATGGCTTCAGTGAGGCTTTCGGACTGGACGAATGATGTGACGCGTACGACAGTAGTCGACGCGATGGGCTAGGAGTCGTGTGGTCCGCTAAATGTTGAATCCAATACAACTTATATGGAAAACAGTGTTTTGCTCGTTCTGCTCGTGTTGTTCTGCTTGATGTCCGGTAGGCAGAAGGCACCAGGCTGAACAACGACGAAGTGACGAAACAACCAGGCGTGGTGAGGCGAGGTGACAAGCATGCGAAGTGGGGTAAGATGCGCGCTATCAGCCCTCCCGCGGACCCGTCTGACACGCGACGCGACTTTATTTGTGCACTTAAAGGCGGGATCAAACGGATTTCTAGCTCCCGCAATGGGTTTGGGGGTTGGAGAATACGGATTTGGCGAAGCAAATGCAGCTCATGATGTTGGTGGCATTCTGAATATCAGGCATTATCATTTTGGGTGTAGCACACGTTTTCTTGCAGCGTGCGCATCTTGTCCTGTCTTCATCTTAGTCTTTTTTGCCTTCTCATGTATGAAATAACTTCTCAATTACGCTGCAAAAGGAAAATCTCTATACTCGATTTACTTCCATTACTTTCCAGCTCTGTGTATGCGTCCCCTTGTCTCCGTCCAGTAAAGGCCGCTCGACTGGGTGGTCGCAGACCCTGGTTCGACGGTTGTAGTGGCGCAGGAAGCTGCTTCTCAACATCTGACTGCTGTCGCTTCTCTAGCGTTGTACCGCGTCGGTTATCGGGACGGGAATGGAGAGGTTGCATGCGATATGACCCCTGCTCGGATTTTGCGGCCGAAGTGGAAGACAGCTTGCCCGCAAGGAAATTCGTCGACGGGCGACGGCGAGACGATGACAGGGACGTGTTGCCGAATGCGCGTGGAAACAATTTGTTCAAAAGCGGTTTGCAGCCTGGGAGACAGCCGCACGCGACACCGACGCCACTTTCCACGGACATGATGATGAAGGTAGTGGCTCCGTACCCTGTGCACGATATCACTCAGCTGGTATCGCAATTCATGTCCGAGTTTGACTTACAGAAGACATCGAAGGATACCAAGTATAGATGGGTATAGTACAGTCGCACAACACCTGCGATACAAACACTGTTCATGTGTTAGCTCCGATCAAGACGATCGTGAAAGTCCGACTCACATAACACCAAGCGAAAACATGCTCGTCAACGTCACGCGTTGACGGAAGGATACTTGAACGTTCAAAAGGTTCCTCACAGGCCACAGGAAGATGACAAAGTCGCTGAACGTGTTTTGCGCCGAGTGGAAGTAGTAGATCGCCTTGATGTTGAGGCATTTGGCTGTGTTTATGTATTTGAATATCTCCCAATAGGTGCTTGCTGGTCTATGCTAATCATTAGCAGACTGTGCAGTAGGTAGGTTGGAGAGGTATTCCTACGAGCATTGGAAGAGGGTAACGAAAAAGCAGGCCGTGTTTAAAGATACCGTGTAGAAGATCATCAAGCGGCAGAACCACTTATCCAGCTTTGACGGGAATATACCTATGCATCTATCAGTCGCTGGGATGCTGATAAATTCGAAGATGCTGCGCACTTACGTATGTACGTCAGAAGAATAGCAACCTTCATAAAAGTTATAATGGCAGTAAAGAGCAGCTGACTTGACATGCCCATCTACACAATTGTGAGCTTGAGCATACCACGTTGTCGCGCGCAACATACTTGTGCAGCCTTCATAGTGCCGAAAAGTCGCAATGGACGAATATCCCCTGCTAACCATGAGCTATTGCGCAATTGGATGGCATGATCGACGCACATAGATGGTAGCCCATCTGGTATTCTGGCAGCATAGATATGATGAGCATGATGTTGCTCCCAACAGACATCATCTGGGAAGGTCAGTACTACACTCTCAAGACGCCAGACCAGTCTCAATGTTACTTACGGCTGCAACTAGCATCGCCCAGTCATCCCAACCCAGTGTGTTGACGAGAACCGTTCGACAGTAAAACCGACAGGATATGAAGCCAATGACTAAAACAGTCATGGGAATCGCCACAGCCATCGCTAATGGCAACTGATTGACTGGATCGACATAGTTCGGTGGTGGAAACGATGCGAATTCCTCTGGCGTTGGAAATCTCGAAGTCATGTCGTGTTTGCTCAGGCAGAGAGAGTCACAACAACCACATGGGTATCCCGCGTATGGCACAAAAGCAATCCTGAATACTCGGGAGTGTCCGCGGCTATTATAACCGACATGCTCGAAGTGGGAGTCGGCATACACACCAACTATCCCGCGGCCTGTAGGAGCAAGACTTGAAACTTACTCGGAGTGAGCTACGCACGTCCCTTGCATAGTGCGAGTGGCGCTCTCCTACCACCTGCTTGAAACGACACCACCGCCCGAGAGCCGCAACTGGCCTAGACTACTGCTTGTATGATTGTGCGGCTGAAGACACCCGTGCATTTTTCATTGTGTGGCTTTTCGCGTCATTTTGACAGCGGTATCCTTTCAAATTGAGCAATCAAGATGCAATGAAGGTTTTATCCAACTTCGGACAGGCAGCATCAATGCGCCTGTCTGACGAACGCACACTGTGTGCTAAGGATGCACAGTTCTTCTTTGCAACCTGGTGTAGCTGGCATCTTCACCTGGGAGGGTGTGCGCGATGATCAAGTTGATCTCCCAGTAGTTCCCACGGCAGCACACGTGGACGCAAAACCGTTGGAAGACCAATGCGCTCTTACCGCATTCTCCCTTGATGTCCGAAACATCGTTAATGTTCGTATCGGTATGTCGATCGCGCTGTTTTGTCGAACGGTCAAGGTCGGCGAAGAGAAGACATACAGAGCAGCTCTCCGGCTCTTAACCAATTACAATGGGTGAAATAATCGGCAACTCTCAAACGTACTAGACTGTGGTGAAGGAGGTTCGCATAAAGGCAGGTGGCTTGCTTGATCTAGCCTGCCTGCCTCGGCTAGAACAGGGGCAACAGAGATAAGACTCGTCGCGTTTGCCCTATAGCGAGCTTCCGTAATACAAGGATTCTCGTCCACTAATGCGTCCCGCAGCAAGGGACCGGCGTTGAACGACGCACGTGCGGTATGATATGGAAGAAGCGGGTCAGATACCGTGGACTCGGCTCGTGGAAATTGGGGGCGGGATTTTGGCTAAGTATGACTCGATCCGGACGCTTTTGACTGAGACGGTCTACCAGATGCTCAAACAGTAGCGAGGAGAGCCGGATATAAGGTTAGGAAGTAGAACTAGGTGTTATGGTCCGGCAATTAGCCAAAGTATATGTTACTGCCGAGGGGGTGGTGACAGCGGCAGAAATGAAGCTACGGTTGAAGCTACGGTTGATAGCCTTGATGGCGTTGCTTGGCGCGTCTCTCAGCTCACCACCACCACAGGCGCGACAACGAATCTCCATCGTTAGTATCGACATGGTACATGCTAGCTAGGTTTACGGTATTTTACCGAGGCCTTGTTGCAGTACGACTTGCAGTTCCTCTACTTGATACCTCTCTCGATGCCTCTATTGACTCCCTAATGTTCGCAAACCACGTCACAAGGGTCGTGTACGTCATCGGCGACCTCCGGGCTTTCCCACGCTTCTGAGCTACGGTACATGCGATTTCGCCGAACATGGCTTGAAAGCCTCACACGGCCTGTATTCGGTCATCGCTTAATGGCCCTCACCAGCCACCTAATCTGAACTTACAGTACGACTTGCACGTACCACACTACGATGTCCAGGTAAACCCTGCATACCATGGTTAAAAGGTGAGCATTTGTCATTTTGTAACAACCTCGGTTCATCGATTCCAGCCGCTCATCGAGTACATGAAACAAAACCATAGTAGCTCTTCCTTTATTCAAAGGCATACTCCCTGCCGTTTCCGTCGATCTCGTCAATTCCATAGTCGTCCTCGCTCTCGTCCTGCAATTCCTTGTTCTTGTTTAGAGAGAAATCAGCTCCTGATGTCTTGCAGACCGTCCTGTCTGCGGAATCTGGATTATGGTACAGGCTGGGGTTCCGCGAGACACGACTTGGAAGCCTCATGGCGTACTTGCCGTTGTGGCTCGGTTGCCTTACCAGCCACCTAATAAGATCTTGCGACACGCACGTACCATACTGCGATACGTCGACAAATCCTTCTTACCATGGCTAAAAGGTTTCTAGAAGCGTTCACCCGTGTTCGGCCTCTGTAATTACTTTCCACATTTCGGCTCTCTCGCGGTATACTCATCAGCCAATGCCTAGCACTCTGCAGTATGCGCAACGGATTTTAAACGGCCGTACATTCAGACTTCTCCATATTGTTCCCGCTATCGATCAGCATCAACAGCTGGAATGCTACTGCCTCTCTTACAAACTTGATGACGCTCCTTCGTACGAGGCGTTGTCCTATGTGTGGGGCAATCCTAACCCACCTATTACGATCTTGTGTAATGGACAATCAGTCGCGATAGGGCCAGAGCTTTCATGCGCACTAAGAAGATTGCGTTTGCGAGAAACTACACGTATAATTTGGGCGGATGCAATCTGTATAAACCAGCAGGATGACGCCGAGAAGAGCCATCAAGTACCCCTGATGGGCAGCGTTTATTCATCAGCAAGAAGAGTTGTGGTTTGGTTAGGGCAAGGAGATGCGCAGCAGAGCCGACGAGCTTTTAAATGCAGCGAGAAAATTGCTAGCGCTTGTCATCAGTTCGACCAACAGCGTGGCATAATATCCAATCATCTGGAGAGACACGAAGAGGTCAATTTTCCAAGAAATATTTTCAGCTCCCCTGTACTCAGCAGCCTGCAAGAATCATATGATCGACCCTGGTTCACTAGAATTTGGTGCATTCAAGAAATTCGCTTGGCAAGCGACGCCGTAGTCGTCTGGGGAGATGATGAGATCTCTTGGACGAATTTCGCTGTGAGCGCATCGTGGATATTCGACAAATCGGCTCCACTGGATGTGAACGATACCGACCCTGTGGCATCTTTACTCGTCCAAATCCCCGTCAAAAACGCCGATATGATGCGCGACAAGGACATGTACCCTCTCCTCGAAGCATTAGATCACTTTCGTGAGTTTGAGGCTTCCAATCCGAGAGATAAAGTATACGGTCTCTTGAATCTTGTCTCGCCAAGGTCCGAAGTGGAGGCACTAGAAGTGAATTACAACAAAAGCATCGGAGAAGTATATGCTGACACAGTCTTGGCTGTCATCCAACTATACTCGCGGTTGACCGCCTTCGCTCACATTACACATCGTGCGGACTACGATGGTCCGGGCCCTGGGGACTATGAAGAACCCAAGGATTGCAAGGAGAGATCCGAATATAGGTCATGGGCTCCGAGATGGGATGATATAGCAGTTGCACAGAAGCTTGGTGTTCCCGAAGCAGAATGTCCTTGGAGAACGTGTGGGGAAAACGTAGCGGCCATGACCGTTGCAAATCCCTGTGAACCGACACAGCTCTGCCTGAAGGGCATAGTCTACGATAAAGTATATGAGGTTGGAGATAGAATGGACTACTACAATCTAAAGGACCCGGAGTACATTGACGATCCCAAGCTTGCCGAGGATCCAGAGCATGCCGACGAAAGCATTCCTGATGCCAAAGACATCAACGACAGTTACGATCTGACCGAAAGACATCCGTGTATCAAGGCTTTTGTGAGGACAGATATAGAATCATCTCCAGAAAGGTTCGCGCGGACTCTGACAGCAGGTTGTTGGGGAAAAGATGGCCAATATATTGAACGTCTCAGCACAAGAAAACAAGCAAGACATAGTAGTGCGTGCACTCATTTCTTGCTTCGGTTGCTACACGTACAAGAGTTTGGCGATGAGGGCGAGTATTTCCACAGCGCCGACTCACTCCAGTTCGAAAGAGACGCCTACGAGGCTTGCATGCAGCGGCGCATGTTTTGGACAGAGAAGCGTTCGTACGGCATGGGTCCACACTGTATGCAGAGCGGTGATGTTGTGGTGGTACTTTATGGTGGCAACACACCCTATGTGTTGCGACCGAGGGGAGACGGATACATATTCTTGGGCCAGGCTTACGTTGATGAGATCATGCACGGAGAACTTTTTCACGGTTCGGGGATATGCGCGCCACAGGAACAAATCTTTTGTCTTATATAGGTAGCAGAATAGGCTAGAAGGTCACTCTTCTCCGGCTGTTGCGATTCATGGATTCTAGCTGCGTATCGGGTACATCAAACAATACCCAAGTAGCTCAATCCTGGGTCGAACCCTCGTCCTCGTGGTTGTCACCACCCCGATCGACCCTACCATTCTCCACCCCCTCCACCCCCTCTTTCGGAGGTGTCATCAGCTCAAGATCATTTTTTGGTCGTCTTGTTTGCAAGGCCTGATGGGTCCTTCTGGCTACCGGTCGATCCAGCGCGGCTAGAAGCGTCGTTGTGGGTAGGTTAGCCTTTAGTAAGACCCCTCCATCCCGAACCGATCCTGATCTTGTCGAGAGGTACCCGTTTCTTGCGATCCTCAGGCTCAGGACCGGTCTCCGTCAGTCCCTCAATGAAACTTTTGACCGTCTGCATCGCGTCTCGGCCTCTGATCCTGTCGAGAATCCCTTCTTGCATACCAACCCTGTGCTCAATGCCGTCCGACTCGAACATCCCGATGGTGTACCAGATAGTGTGTGGGGCTGGGCCCATGCGCAGCAGTTCCCAGCATTTGATGGAACTGCGACATCTGAATACTAACATGTAACAACAATCATGGACTCCATATGCTTCAAGTTCCCTTGCTTGGCTGGCCAGGATCTGGACCTGAATCCTTTGCTCCGAAAATGGAGCTCTAAAGACCGTGTACTTTCTGTCGTGCCATTGGAGACTCGTCATTCTCTTTCCATTTTGGCTCATCTAGTATCGAGTCGACGCTTTGGCTGGAAACGTCAGCTCCGAAGAAAGGAAAACTGTGAACGGAACAGAACATAGTGGTCCGCTCTAAGGGAGCTACGTTGTAGGCACAAAATGATGTCTTCCTCTCTACTTGTCTTCATTCTTGTTGTTTGTGGCCGATCAGCACGCTACGCACATCAGACTTATCGCTACCACAACCCTCCCACACCAAACAATGAGCAACGACAATGCTTAGGGCGCCTTGATTTGAGTAAAGTCAGCATCGCTGCCCAATCCAGTCGCTTCCTCATCAGAACTGGTTTGCTCATCATGGTTGGCCGTTTGAGCATTTTGTCTCTTAGCCACCTCTCTCGCATGTAGCAGCCGGATAGTAAGTGCAGTGGCAATCAGCGCAGCACTCAAAAATGTAACCGTGATGAATCCCTTGCGATACTGCGGTGCCTCGACCTGCTTCCAAACAAGAAGCGGCAGCCACGCCTGTAACACGTAAGCCATCTCGTTCATGGCTGCGACGACGATGGCTCGTTCCTCGTTGTCATGCGTGCAGATCTCATGAGCCCAAGCGAAGCATAACCCGGAAAGGCCGCCGCCGAATCCGGAGAGGATGTAGCAAGCCCACTTCCACTTGATGGGGATATCCCATATCGCGAGACTGGTAGAGCATATGATGTTCATGCACCCGCCGAAGACGATGGGTTGCCATCTGGAGCCTTTGAGGATGCTGTCGCTCGTCCAGGCATACAGGAGTGTGGTAACGACTTGCACGGCATTGGTTGTTGTCGGGTACTATAATGCGCGTGAGTGTTATTCTCGATGACACAACGACATCCAAGTACTTACCGTGTTGATCTCGCTGACAGTATACTTTGGATCCTTGCTTGCTTTGAGAAACTGCTGGAAAACGGGTTGGCCACCCGAGGTTCCGTTGTTGAAGAACACATAAAGCAGGACGAGAGCCCAGATATGCCACGATGTAAATATCTTCAGGATCTTGGCTCTCGTGTATGGTTTTCGCTTTTGCCGACCTTCGAGCTCCATGCGCTTTTGAGCGAAGGCGACTTCCTCCTTGGTCAAGTAAAAAGGCTTGGAGATCTCGGGAAGATCAGGCAGTGCGAAGAAGCCAAGCAACGCGATAGGTACGGAGATGATACCATCGACGATAAACAACCACTGCCTAAAGATATGTGTACGAAGTCAGTGTATGTTTCACACAAAGTTCGTACATGAGAGCTTTTACCAGCCCTTGAAACCTGCTTTTCCGTCAAGCTTATACACACCGGCCATCAAATAACCAGAGAACATATTCGCGATGGCACCGCTGGTATGGAAGATGCAAGATCTCTTCGCGAGCTCTTCCCTCCGATACCACGATCCGATCATGTATTGCATGCCTGGGTAGAATGTGCTCTCGGCAAGACCGATAAGAAAACGTAGTGCGTAGATGGTTTCTGCGTTGTTGGCGCGACAGAGACAAAACGTCAAGACGGCCCATGTAAGCTACTGCTGTCAGCAAGAGTCCTCCACTACCATACTACTAGGCTGTCATACCTCCATTGCTGGTATCCAAATCGATGGTCGAACCCGAGTTAAGATGATATTGCTGGGTAGTTCGCCAATGACATAACCCACAGTCCAACAAGTTTGCATGTAGTTGAGTTGGTTCCCATAAAGCCCAAGGTCCTCCTTCCTGTCGCGATGTCAGCCAGCAGTTACCAACGAAAGCTTTATACATACATTCCAGACACAAAAGCGCTGTTTATATTCGACTGATCAAGGTACTTGATAAAGTATCCCAAAGATGCGAACGTAAGTAGAGCCGCATCGAGCTTGAACATGAACCATCTTTCTTCCTTCGGCTTGTCCAAGGTATCCCAAAGGTAGTAGTACCACTTGTGCGGCTTCGCCTTGAGCTCTTCGTCGGATTGTATGATGTTCGTTGCGGGAACGACTTCCGTCGAGACGTCCTGAGGTAGGCCCATCTTACTGGAGCGTCGATATGAAGTGTATGGCTATGGTTTGAAGAAGTATTGGCGCAAGCCTCAGCTTTATCGAACAAGCAACGCAAGCCCTCCTTGCTATCGCTAAGACTTCCTAGGAAGTCGGCTTTCCGGCATGGCACTCGGCACACCAGTGGCAAGTGTCCGCTGCGTGGTGGGAAGCATAGCGCGATTTGACATACTGGAGATGATATGGCGTAATGGCAGGGTTCGCGTGGGATTCGTGCTACTCGTAGCTAGACTGTATTCAACAAGCATGAACAACATTGCGTATCTGATGATAAGATGTGAGAAGATCGTCGTGATGCATGGCAATGCTGTGGTATCGTGTGTCGTGATCAGGCATGCATATTGCGTGCCTGACTCAGGACATAGCCGTAGCGAGTAACGCCGAGATCCGTAATATTTCTCACGCAGTTGGGTAAGCCCGAAATAGTATCTACGCGATTCGGAGTTCATGATCCGACAGCTGGACGTGGAGGACGAAGTTACGGGCGCTTTTCAGTTTCAGAATTTTTGGACGAATTGATGTCCGCGATCCTGTAAAATTGCTCATACTCGTACATTGTACTATAAACATGTCACTTCGAGTCGCCTCTCAATGCCCGGATTGGCAAAGAATGCTTTCATCCTCTCCATCTGCTCTGCCTTTGCAGAATGCCACTTGTCAGAATGACCACGCAGTCTCCCTATGCCGGCTTTGTCCAGATCAGCATTAACCCAAGTCATGAGTTCGTTGACATAGCTTGTTTCATGATCCCGCAGACTGTGAAATGATTTGCCATAGCCTTTAGTCTTTACCCGGGCATTGTACTCTAATCTCATTGCATCTTTGCTTGGAAGCTTTGCCTGACCTGAGAGTACCTTTGCAACAACCATGGCTTGAAACTCGAACAACGTGAAAGTCGCAGTGAAGAATGGCACGCCAATAAAGGCGAGTGTTGGGTCGTTAATGTAAAAGATGTCTTTGTGTAGATTGTGAAATTGGGTACCGTCCGTCACTAGTAGCACGTCGTCCGCCTGGTCGACTGGCGTCTCGTCCGAGGTCAGCTGAGGCAGGAAAGGCAGTGTCAGATGGTAACCTGTGCAGAGTATGACATGATGTATGTCACAAATTTTTGCACCCGACTTCAGCGTGACGGTGGCTGGAATCGCTTCAGAGTCGTTTAGTGAGGCCGATGTGTCCACGCGAGGTTCGTCGTACGACACTATCTCGTCAATGCGATATGCGTTATCTGGGAGCATGCTAGGAGGCAGATCGAATTTGCCGTTTCTTTGACTTTGTATGATCTTGTTTGCATACGGGCTGAGTTCGCGTGCGATATCCGTTGCCGATACACTTCCACCGACAAGTAAGTAATTCTGAAGCAGGGTCAGGCCTGAATGAGGTCACTCTTTCCAACTTCATCTGTACACACCTTATTTTGTGCATTGTCAGGTTTCCGATAGCGCTTGGAGTGCTGTACTCTAGCAGGAAATCGTTGCTTCCAGTCTGCCAGTCCAGGCGTGTCGGGAACTCTCGGTGCATGGTAATGGCCCGAGGCAACTACTACAGCGTCAAAGTCCTGGCCAAAGGTTAGCACCTTGTAAGTGTACTTGCTACCATAAAGACACTGACTTGAGAAGATACATTTCGCCTCAACGCACCGTTCGCATCAGTCTGCAGAGTTGCAGTCTCAACCGTCCATGATTTGCCGCTTTTCGTGACACTTCTTACATCGGTGTCGTAACTTGTCATCTCATGCACCCCTGTTGAGAAAGCAGTAGCATGTATGTAGTCGCACAAGACTTTGTGCGTTACATAATCCTCAGTCCCAGGTGGAAACGGATTCAAGGTCGTTTCTAACAAGCGTGTGCTCACGTTGTTCTTCAAACCTACATAACACGGGCTATGGCGAGTAAGTCGACCGTACAATCCGATAAGTAAGTCCGTGGAACATACCCTGGTGGCGCGTGAAGCAGTCTTTCAACATCTTCCAACTCTTCGCTCGCATGAACACTGTCAGCTCGCGAAAGTTTTACTCTCGTATATGATGGTTCGAGGGGCTTTCGCTCGTCGTAACGCCTTCCATGTCATTAGCTTGGCTGCATATGTAAGAGTGTTGGATCAAATACCATATGCCTCCTGCAGCACTGGATCGCTCAAAGACCGTGACCTCGATGCCCTCCCTCTTGAGATGCGCTGCAGCAACGACACCACTAATTCCTGCGCCAATTATCGCAACACGTTTACAGGGGAAAGACATGCTCGGGATTTTGGAAAGACAATATGATGAAGTTCTTCGCGACTTTGCGTGTTGTATCGACCCCGAATTGTTCACGTGACAGCAACTTCGTCTGACCTCGACACGATCAATACAGAAAGGCATCGACATGTCAACATCCTTTGCGCAAAGTCTCGGTTACAGAATTTGTCAGCGCTGAGCGTATCTCCGATGTGGTGTGTGTAGGCACAACGCGCGATGGTGGATACGAATGGCATCATGAGACGCCCTCGTTGCGAGAACACCAAACAATCGGAGCCGACACGTTCACCTGCAGGTAACATGGAACTCCACAGTTGTGTACAGCTGAAGTAAAGCGAAGTTTTCCCGAGCGATAACATGAGAAACGTTGACTGGATATTCGTCATCTGCAAGATTATGATGTGATCAACCCCGCAACAGGTGTCGCAACCAGCACGCGACTCCGCCATATCGGTCGACCGTGTTTGTAAGTTGAATTAGTGAGCGAGTAACGAGCAGAAAGTGGGGTAATAGAGTTCCGGATATAAAATTGATGGCATGGCGAGTGAGGATGTCTGCACATCTGCATCGCCAACGTTTATCACAATGGCTCCAATCGCAATTCCCGTTCACGAACACATCCAGGAGAAGGATACCGTCCAACCACGGAAGGACTCCTTGGGACTACCCGAGCCAGCTAGAGAGAGGCTCGAAAAAGCGGGTATCGATTTGTCGGCCGGCTATCCATACAGGCCGGCAAAACCACTTTACCTCGACGATGTATACAAGATTAGGGACTATGATCGTGAGCACATCGATCCAGGTTCCCGAGCTGATCCAGAAAAGAAAGCGCTGTTCGGCGCTGCAAAGGAAGTCATTCATTTGACTTCGCACATCGGAACGGAAATCGTTGGACTTCAACTGAAGGATCTTACGGACCAGCAGAAGGATGAGCTTGGTCTTCTGATCGCCGAAAGAAGCGTGGTGTTCTTCCGAGACCAGGACCTCTCGCCTCAACAACAGAAGAATCTCGGCGAATATTATGGCGAAATCGAAGTTCATGTGAGTTGTCCTGCTCGTGTTACCATTGACATACTGACATTGAATAAAGCCGCAAGTTCCCTTCGTACCCGGCGTACCAGGAGTGACCGTTCTATGGCCTGCTCTCCAGGCGACAGAGGTGCCGGCCAGCTTCAGGAAGACAGGCGGAGCATCTAGGTGGCACACCGATCTGGTGCATGAACGCCAACCAGCTGGGTAAGTAGCAGTATGTCGAACGAGGCGCTCATTGCTGACTCCTATCAGCGTGACACATCTCCACAATGATACAATCCCAAAGATTGGGGGTGACACCCTCTGGGCCTCAGGTTACGCCGCCTATGAAAAGCTTTCTCCAGAGTTCCGAAAGATCATCGACGGCAGGGAAGCAGTGTACCGCAGTGCGCACCCGTACCTTGATCGTGAAAATACTAGCGCTGGACCAAAACACATCGAACGCGTTCATCCGCTCGTTCGTGTGCATCCAGCAACCGGATGGAAAGCACTTTGGGTCAACCGCGCTTTCACTGACCGCATTGTGGGACTCGATAAGGCCGAAAGTGATGTCATCCTGAACTATCTCTTCGATGTGTATGAGAACAACGTCGACATCCAGGTCCGATTCCGATGGACCCCAGGGACTTCGGCACTATGGGACAACAGGATCACCATCCACAACGCAAGTTGGGATTACGAGGGGATCGAGCCGAGGCACGGAACAAGGGTTACGTCCTTGGCGGAGAAGCCATTCTTCAAAGCGGATGCACCGACTCGTAGGCAGGCACTGGGTCTTGCGGGACCTGAGGATGTTTAAGGATGAGTGAAGCTGGGTAGTTCGACAACTCGAGGATTGACGAATGGAGAGAGACGTGTCGGAGCGCGACGAGGCTACTCCTGATATGTACAAGCGTGATCTGAGATCGCTTGGCAAGATTGCATCATTGACCCCTTCTGTTCATAGCCACAATGCATCTCTAACTACAATTACTGCCATTCCTCGGATTTCTTTGCACACTGATCCTATCAAGCCTAGCCGCTTAGAGTTTCAGCAATGCCTCAGCATTCTTCCAGGCGAACAAATCCATCTCAGCATCGCTCAAAACCTGCGCTTGCGCCAACTTCTCCACGAACGCCCACCCATCCGTATTCGTACTGAACGGATAATCGACTGAATACATAATCCTCTCAACTGGACTCACCTGCCTCAGCTGCTCAAACTGCCTCACAGTGAAGAAGGCACTCGTCGTGCTCCAAATATTCGTACGCCACACCCGATCGAACGTCGTCTCGTTGCGTAGTCCCGTCGAGTCGATCCGGTCAATGAACATCGGCAGGCCTTCTCCATTGTGTCCGATGATCAACTTCAACTTGGGGAATCGATCGAACAACCCTGCGCTGTAAAGACGTAAGACGTGCGTTCCCACATCGACATGCCAGCCCCACGAGTTCGTCCCAAGCCGACCGGCCACGGCAGCGGGGTAGTTTCCAGCGAATAATGCGGACCCAATGTCGGCGGTTGGGGCAGCAGGATGCAGGTACAGCGGCACATCGAGCTTCTGTGCCATGGCAAAGACTGGGTCGAAGCGTGCAGCGTCGTAATACGTGCCGTCTTTGAGATGATTCCAGATCATCGCACCTTTGAACCCAAGCGTTGTTACGCTGCGGCTCAACTCTGCCGCAGCTTCTTCAGGTAGCGACATCGGAAGTACGGCGAAGCCCGCAAAGCGCTTGGGGTTAGCTTTGATTGCAGCGCGAACAGCATCATTCGCTGCGCGACATCCTTCGGGGTCTTCCAAGCCCGTTGCAGACTGCTGGGCGAGGACTTGCATGGACAAGTGGCCAGCGTCCATTGCGGCGATGCGGCCGGCTCCCACATCTTTTAGCTTTTCCAGGACACCAGGGGCGCGCTGCGCTATGCCTGCCGCGACTACCTCGGCTTCCAGTGATGGTGAAGTAACATGCTCTTCAAGTGCGATCAGACGCTTTGGTAGGTAACAAGACTTCGGGGCTGAGGGAGGCGTGGGTATACCATTCCCTGTAAGAGCGAGGGCAAAGAGGATGCTGAGGTAGATGATGTGCATACTGGGCAGACACGAGACAGTGGTGCTCAAAACAAGAACATCGTGCAGGGATGCGAAAGCATATATACCTAGGTAAACATGCAATTCGCAGCGACTGATTAAGTGACGATAGTACCCTTGCTATATCCGTATGCTATAGACATGCATTCTGCCGTAGTGCAGTGTTCAGCTGTGTATTGAACAGCCTTGTCAGACTTATGAGCCTTATATTGAACTTACGATACTCCGATTGGCTAAGTTCCTTGTCTCCCTGCGTGGTGCATCCAAGCGAGGCATTAGAGCAACTCATGAGAACGAATCCAGACCGCGAGGGAGTAAAAATCGCTAGATCGTGATAGCGGCACCATTACCAGTAAGGCTTACATGTATTCGGCAGCTTTTCGAGGCGTAGCTGGCTCAGCTTTGATGTTCATACAAAGTCAGTGAGTGCAACGAAGCTGGACGATGAGGAAACCTAAGAGAAATTTGAAGATGCAGTTCGTCTCGGATGTTCAATTTGGGTAATCTATATTTGGACAATGGCGGGTTGCTACCAATGTGAAAGTCAGATCGCGTCTATAAGTCGCCTTCATCTGTACCGTGCCAAATGACCGAAGATCACTACACAGCTTACAACTGTTTCTTTGATCACGACCACAGGGCACTGCACTCCAAATTCTGTTGATATAGTCAATATGCACTCCCCCATAAACATAAAGGGCGGACAGGTCCACCAGTACTACTGAATGACCGGCAAGCTGCTCCACATGCAGCCCTGAGCCGAGCTTAGCTCCCCATGCCACGAATTTGCCATGCTTCATATCGCACATGGCAATTTTCATATCCTACTCTTGACCCCACTTGCGATGATGGAGAAAGAGTGAGATTTGTGGACCAATATTGACAGCGAGGGCACTCGAAAACGCAGTCAATCCCGACGGGCCCTTGCCCCGAACCCGGCGAGTTGAGCCGTTAATAACGACAGTCGGATATATACCGACACGGCCATCTCTGATGGCAGTAGCGCTATGCTCACGCACTTTGCCATTCCGTTCAAACCGCTTGTAGTTGTGCAAGAAGAGCTCTTGTGGATCCTCCGGTGTGAGAACTCGGCTTACTTTATCAGATACGGCCTCTACGACCGTCGAAAAGTCTTGTCGTAGACTCATCGGCAATTCAAGATTGGCACTCGTTTCCATTGTCCACGCGACGCCACCTTTCCCGCTTTGCGAGCTCGTTCGATTGACACTTCCATACGTGGCGCCGATATCCTTGGGATCTAGTGGAAGATACGGAACTTTTCAAATATTCTTTTCATTCTTTGTTACTGCTTGGTCTCGCTGTTTGGACTTTTTGTTCATCGCATCTCGGTGTGAACTGCTATAAGCAAGATACGTGGAGTCACCCGCACACGGAGCTCGCGTGTGTATAGGTATACGAGTAAGCTCTTCAACCGTCTTCTTGATATTCGGCCGCTGTCAGAGGTCAAGGCCAGGTCGACACCCTGGATGAAGAGGTTCGATGCTAGGGTTACAAGATCGACGTTTCCTGTACGTTCACCATTGCCAAAGAGACAGTATTCAATGCGCGTTGCTGTTGCAAGTTGGCGCGGCTCTGTCTGCTTACTCGGCTAGGGAGCGTCAGAGGCGTCATTGGATAAGCGGTGTCCGCAGCATGGTGTAGGATCGCCTACAGCGCATCATGAGCTCGTTTGTTTTCCCAAATGGGCGGTCAACATGATACATCTTGTCGCGCATTGCATGGAGTCGTATCTGGGCCCACATGGGCGAGAATACATCTTCGTTGTCCTTTGTTGAGTCATTGGACTATTTTAGCACGTACCAACATGTGGCTGAGACAGGCTCGAAAGCGAACGCGCCCTATGTGTAACTCCCTCAATCTAGCGCGGAGGCCAGTATCCCGTGTGTACATAAGTGATGCTCCACCACATCACATAGACACATACTGAACCGTCGAAATGAGTACTCCAGCTTCTTCCGATTTTGAGCGAGCAAGTCGGGGCGAAGATGCTCCAGAGCTAGGGCATGTCTCGCTACCACCTGTGGATGGTGGGAAAGGTGCATGGTTGTTCCTAGCCGCAGCATTCGTCGTAGAAGCATTGGTTTGGGGTACGTGTTCCTGCTGACCGCGTTCCTCGTTCTGAGAATGATGGTGCTAACGCGAGTAAGGCTTTCCCTTCTCATATGGCGTGTTCCAGGAGTACTACTCCACCCACGAGCCTTTCGCAGGCTCCAACAATATCGCTGTTGTCGGCACTTGCGCCATGGTATGTCGTATGCTGGCTCTATCCCCGTACTGTGCTCACCCGCATTAGGGTATTATGTATCTGAACTTGATCGTCATCTTCTCTGTACTGAAGATATGGCCGCATCTGCAGCGGTGGGCAACGGCGGGCGGCCTGCTCGTCATGTGTCTTGCCCTTGGTCTCAGCTCCTTCTGCAACAAGACTACCGAACTTATCGTCTCACAAGGCGTCATTTATGCCCTTGGCGGTAGTTTGACTTACTCACCTTGTATTCTGTACATGGATGAGTGGTTTGACAAGCGGAAAGGCCTGGCATACGGGATCATGTGGGCAGGAACTGGTCTCGCTAGGGTCATTCTACCCCTTGTTATGGACTGGATGCTGCACGCGTACGGCTTCCGCACGACTTTACGCGTATGGGCTGTGTGCCTGTTCATCTTTACCGCCCCTTTACTCTACTTTGTCAGACCACGCATTCCGCTCGGGCCCAAGCAACGCGCGCGCAAGATCGATTTCACGTTCCTGCGGACATCAACGTTTGGCATCCACCAAGCATGCAATATTGTAGAAGCTCTCGGCTTTTTCCTCCCCTCGATCTACCTTCCCACGTTCGCTCGCAGCATAGGCGTGGAGAGTAACACACTCAGCGCGCTGACCGTAATCCTGTTCAACGTCGCCTCCGTCTTCGGTTGCGTGGCTATGGGCTCTGTCGTAGACAAATGGCACGTCACCACCTGTATTCTGATCTCTACCATCGGCACCACCATCAGTGTCTTCGTCATCTGGGGCTTCTCGAACTCTCTGGCTCCACTATACATCTTCTGCCTCATATATGGCTTCTTCACGGGTAGCTTTACGAGCGCATGGCCAGAGGTCATGCGCGACGTTACCAAAAAGAGTGACACGGCCGATCCGAGTATTGTCTTTGCATGCCTGGCGGCGGGACGCGGAGTCGGAAACGTAGCGTCGGGGCCACTCAGCGAGGCGTTGATCAACGGCTTTCCATGGCGTGCAGAGGCTGGCTTCGCGTATGGGAGTGGATATGGCACGTTGATTGTGTTCACTGGTATCACGGCCCTTCTTGGTGGCTCAAGCATCTTGGGTAAACGGCTTGGATGGGTGTGATTGTGTCCTCAGCAGACCAGTTTCCTGCCCTTCTATCTAGGTCTCAGCCGATTTAGTGAAGCTCAACCCGCTGTCATGTCGTTCCACTGCCCACCAACATCTTCACTCTTGCCAGAACCTTCCATTCGCTCGCTACGTCTTGGTGCCTCGAGAGCATATCCTACTATGGCTTTACAGAGTAGCATGTTTAAACAATGATGAGCTTTTCCAGGTTGACACCTCGATGTTTCAACTCCTTCCTGGTCAACCTTGGGTCTGTGTACGAAGGCTGATGTTTCATACGGGAATTGAACTGACAAGGGATGCCATCTTTATCTTGACCCCGATGCCATCCATTGGATAGGCCGACATCATCAAGACGAGGATCTTGCCATTGGGAGCGTCCATATTCATGCGTAAACCTTGGGCGGTTTGATGCCACTAGTAGATGCTTATAGTCTGCTGACCAGGAAGATGGAAGCTGGCCGAGAAACGCTTGGCCGTCATTATAGCTCGGATGGCCGAATTTGCCTATAATCCGGAACCTTGCCTCAACAGGCAGCTTGCGGAGGACGATTAATCGTCGACAACCAAGTATCGTGTATAGAAGGCCTCCTTCTTGACAGGCTTGATATCTAAGGCCTATATATCCGTCTTGCGTCCATCGACAGGCGTCATCATGATTTAGCACCCTGACGATGTGACTTAGGAGAGCAATGCTTTCAGAACTGACTGGTACATCTTTCAACATATCATCTCGTTCTTCTTGTGCCCAAACCCTGAGTTCTGAGAGCGCAAAAGGTAAGTTGGAGTGGTTCTTTCTACCAGTGCGTTCGGTTCATAAGCACCCCAGAAGTCCCATTGTCAGTGTTTCTAAGCGTGAGTTGTCCCATAACAAGACGTCTGCGCCCAAATAATCCATTAAAATCCGAACAATGACACTCTTCATGACTCTAGCTTCACTATGCTTATCAATGAGGTATGATGGAGGATCCAAATGTGTACGTCAAGATGTCTGCACCGTATTTGTTCTCTAAAAGCACGGACTTCCACGATTTCGACTCCCTTGCAATAGCACTACTGAGCGTAGGAAATGGTGAAGGGGTGGTGTTTGGTTCAGATTGGCCGCACACGCAATCACGGGGGTATGATGTGCATCCGTTTATGCAACAGGTCGCGGACTAGTGTCATCATGACGAGGAATTGTTGAAGAAGGTTTTCCGGGACAACGCTCGAATCCTTTGGGATGCTTCGCCCTAGATGGTTATAGGCTGGACGACAGGAGAGGTCACTTCCGTAGCTGATGAATGATGTGCTTGCTAACCGCATGATCGAAACGGCCTCAAACATCTCGCCAGAACATACGGCAACTGAGCGCGAAGCCGTCATTTCCTCTCATATCGTAATTTGTAAGTAAAGCTCGCGAAAGTGTCAATCAGCATAACTAATAAGAAAAATGTGTATTGACCGAGTCTCGACTACTAGCATCAACATCTGGCCCAAATGTAAGCGTGGTGTGATCTTAGAACATTGTGAGTGACCTTGAACGACCCATCACTGTCATTCCAGCCTACTGCAATACCGTCTGTTACGCTCCTTCGTACGAAGTATCTATCCAACTGTCTTAACCCGACGTAGTGTAGGTACTGTCGACGGTTTTCTTGCTCTAATCCTCCGCAATCTGTTGCGCCATTGTACCGCAATGACACTGGCAGCTTTCAGTTCCCTAGCTTTCTCGATTTTAATGAGATCGATTTGTGACTGTTGCACACTGTACTCTCTGCGAATCCTGTCTACCCATTCTGAGCGAGAGACTAGCGTCTTACCCACAGTCATCATGCCTGTTGGCATAGTGCGCCATGCATTCCAGTCAAACGGCGGTAATTTAAGCATTCTGTGGTCCTCGTTACAGACCAGAGGGTGCAGGTCGCCTGCCCGAAGCTTATCGTAACATCCTGGGCAAAACTGTACGCAGAGACAGTGCTTGCATACCCAACAGTCAGCCAACACGTCCTTCCACTCCGTTTCGCAATCCCCATCGCAGCTGTATCCTGATATGTACGCTTTTGTCGTAGTCGTGGCTGGCGAGGATACGTCTGGACTGTCTTCAAGCTTCTTTTCAGAAGTCGCAGCTACACCATCTGTATGAGATACTCCAGAGCTTGACTGTGTAGGCTTATCATGACCTGGAACATCTGCGTCCGCTCCCGAGGCAGGCGACTGATCACATGGCTTGATTGCTTGCCATGCTGCAATAGCATCAACGTCTTTGTCGAGAACAGTCAATGTCTGCGCAAGGTTTGAGAAACGAAGCGTAAGTGATTCATCGTCTGGAGCCTCAGGCCACTTGTCAAAAACACTACAAAGACGAGCCTGTGCCTGCATGAAAGCTAACGTATGATCTTCCTTCAGGCAGTACAGCCTCGCCAAACAGAGACGAGGATCGAAATACCCTTGGCGAAGATCGCAGACTACCGTAGTGTTCAAGTTGGCGAGCTTCTCCAACCTACTGATGTAGTCTTCCGCAGAGCTCGATGGGGCTGTTAGAAGTTCAGCGACTGCCTTGTCAAGAAGAGTCGGGGCTAGCCGCAAGCTAGCATTCCGTGCCGTCCAATACAACGCTGGATTCTCGTCAGATCGTCGGACAATCTCTTCCCAGCACTGTATACTCTGATGCTGATCTTGTCGGGATCTACTTCCGTGGAATCTCAGGACGGCTTGGAAGTACTGCAATTGTTCTGTCGCCTCTAGAGAAATGTCCACCGGGTGCTCGTCTGCCGCGGAAGAGCTCGGTGGCTTGTAATCAATAGCCTCCTGGTACAAAGAAATAGTTTCTTCTACGGCTCCAGCATGCTTCGCAGCTACGATGATACTCGTATGGAGAGGATCGTAATATGCTGTTCTTCGCAACCAATAAGTGGGGCCAGGACATTGGGCTGTTGCAGTCTTCCAGTTGCGAACGAAATTTACGATAGATTGGTAGCTTTTTGTCTCGATCCAGGTTGTGAAGAGTCCCGAAGCGGCATCCACGTGGGCCCATCTCATATCGGAGTCTTCATCAATGTCTTGCCCCAGAAGATCCTGAAAAGACTTGACGGCCAGGTCGTATTCACGACACTGTCGGTAACAATCCCCTTCTACAAAGAGCAATTCCCAATTCGCAGTCTTGTAATCATCATTCGTTTTGAGAAAGAGGTGGCCGAGCGATTTGAAGTCTTGAATATACTTGAGTGTCGTGCGGTGATTCTTTTCTTTCTCGTGAGCCTTTGCGAGATTGTAAAGGAGGCCCCAATTTGACGGGAAGTGTTGCTCGGCTTTTTCCAATGCAACAATGGCCTCCTTGTAATGCTCAAAGACAATATTTGTCGCTCCTACACGGTAATCCCAAGTGAAACTATCGATATCGATATCCATGTGCTCCTTCGCCCAGCAGATGAACTTTTCGACCTCTGCGATGGAAGGCGGGTTCCATTCCTCGAAAGGTTTTTCTGGATCAGATATCTGTCCAGCTCTGTTAGCAAATTCTTTAACGTCATCTAGAAGTACTTACTTTGGCTATAATACCGTATGAGTTCATAAGATAGTCTCTTGCTGTTACTTCCATAGAACTAAACCAATGGGTCGCCAACCGAGCTGCAACGCGTTCGAGAATGGAGTATTTGGTTGCAGTATCTGAAACGACAGACTTCACCCACGAAGACTTCTCTGCATCCCTTGCATAGCCTTTTGCCACTTGAGGATTCTTCAGAAACTTCCGTAAGGGATCAATGAAGTCATCTTGATACAAAAAGTCGTACTTCAGCCACGTCAGATTCTTTGGAAGGAACCACATGTCGATCATTTTCGGGTCGTATATCAGGTCAACCAGCTTGGCTCCGATGTCGCTCAGGAATTTCCTGCTCGGCTCAAAGTCATCGAGCGCTTCTACCAAGATCTTGAGATGTGAGTAGAACCACTTCGAAGCATAGTCGCGCAGTTCTTCGAGATTCCCTTCTTTCCGACCGTCGAAAAGAGCACGAATGCATAAGTCGAGGATGGTAACGTTCACAGCGTTCTCGTCATCAAGGTGAATGTGGACCTTCTGTGCCATAGCCTCGAAGAAATCATCAAACCTGAATCTGGCGTAATCCGTCGGGTCGCAAGCATTTTTGATGAACCGACGACAGAGGCTGACTTCAGCTCCGCTGATTGCTTCGGCATGTAACTGGGAGAGTGCAGACTCGGGGCCCGAGGTATCGCTCGCGGACAGGATGTCTCTGAGGCCGTCCTTGAATCCTACCCTACCCTCCTTGTCGATCACAAGTACAGGCGAGTAGGTAGTAGCAATCTGATCGGCAAGGAGAAACTCCTCGCCAAAGTTGTAGAAGAGAACGCTTTCGAGCAACTTCGTCGGTGGTTGATAACTCAAGCCGGCAACCCAAATAAGGAGATCATTAAGCACCTGAGCCTGACGGGAGTTCAGAAGTGCGTCAAGCGTCCGGACCCTGTTTCTTTGGACGGTATCCATATCGGCGCTTGTGTTATTGATGACGTCCTGAACCTTCCCTTTGGTGTCGCAAGCGTTGATCTCTGTTATTTTGGCCTCAAGACTTTTGTAGTTTCCACGAATACCTTCGAGCAGAAGCTCTACGTTTGCTTCGGTAAGAATTGCCTTCAGAGCAGGCTTAGTTTTACATACGTCATTGATTCGGGCTCTCGTGACAGCCTCCAAATCACTTGCGTTTGGCAGTGGTTCTGACAGCGATGCAATAGTCGAGTCATCATCAACTTGTTCTATGTATCGGGTGGAGTCTCTACGTGGTCCAAGAACAATAGTGTGGATGCCTTCGACTCCTTGTGAGACTTCAGAAAGCGCGTCTTCGTTGCCGGATATGAAAAGACGTAGAGAGATTCCGTTAGATTTAGGTGAAGACGTAGCTTGACGTGCAATAGTTGACATCATTGCCTCTGCCGTGTCTAGCTGGCCACGACCATCGAAACCGTCCATGCAAATGAAGTACGTCCCTTTCATGGCATGCTGTAATCCCGAAAGGAGGTTGTTCCATCGATCTTCAGCTCGCGCAATACTTGTGAGTCGCCCGCATTCGTCGACTACAGCTTGAGCATATCCAACATCAGCGGTTGCGAACTGGTAGATGATGGATCCAATGCACCGTTCAAGGGAGTCATCTTTGTCATCTCCATAATAGTAGTACGCCAGAAAAGTCTGGTTTGGTCCACGCGGAGTTCGACATTTCTTTTCAAGATGAGAAACGACGTGATTGAAGAGATGGGTTTTGCCGAAGCCGGAGTCGGCCTTCAGGAACAGGACGTTTTTGTCGTGCTGATCAAGATCAGCCCACTGGATAAATCTAGGCTCGTCTTGACTGAGCCATTCTCCCGTCCCCAGCACGTGAGTTTTGCAGAGCTCGTTGTGTCGCTTGCTCCACGTCTCCCAATCTCCAGCCTTCTTTAGTCCCAGGTTGTTTGCTATCTTGAGTAGATTCTCTTTCTGTTGCTCCTTGCTAGCTCTGCCGTCCAAAGTAGTTTTCATTTGCTGAGTAACGCTCAGAACCTGATCGCTGACTTTGTATGTGGCCTGGAGATATTCTTGGATTTCAGTCTGGTGGCGGGCTCTTTCCTCGTCAGATTTATCAAGATGCTTTGCAAGTCCTCTGACGCCTAACAGTATATCATCAACCTCGGCTCTGGTGAAGTCTTTGATATGATCTTCCATAAGCTTCAGTGACTCTGCAACCTGGTCATTTGAGTTGAAGAGAATGATTCCAGCCATAGCCTTCACCCGCTCTCTTGTGCTGGTAGCCAACTTGTACGAAGATCGAAGCACGCCAAGAAATTGTGAAAGAATATCGTATGCTGGCTTACGTAGAAGACGAGGCAGATGCGACCCGTCTTTACCCACTTCTTGCTCCATAAAGTGGACTAGGCGTCGGAGGAAGGCTGACGAGCGTTCCATCAAAGTGACGAACCCATCCATCATGTCGCTGAAGCCCCGTACTGCTTGAATAACGAAGCTTATCGCATTCCAGCATTGTGCTGTGGGCCCGAAGACTGCACTCGCTCCTTGAGCGACGATGCTCCCAAATTTCTCAAGACAAGTTCCGACATTGTTGAGAACGGTCCGAGCGTGTTGATGGCTTTTTGTCGTAGACTCTTTGATGTCTGCATCGATCTGCAGCTGGAAGTTCTTGAAGGTCGTCTTCGTATCTAATTTCTTTTTGGTGGTATCCTCATACTGCCGCACGACTTGCGGCCAAACTTCGCTGAGATCTTGGTCTTCGTCAAAGACCGGATCTGGGGGGTCCGGCTCGTCGCGCCCACGCCCAAATCTCATGTTGCAGGATGCACAGTAAAGCTTCGAGGATGTCAGGAGGCAGGGAGGCTGAAGCTTTGTGCGGGAAGGCCTCGACGAAAAAGAGCTTACAACTTTACCGCATTTGGTCGATGCTGGGACTTATGCAAGTGTGCCACAAGGGCCAGGCTGGACATGCGCTCCTTTTATCGTCGCGAATGCGTTCTCGAGGTTGTAAGCACTGGGAAAGTGTTGGCTAGGTAGAAAGTCGATCTCAGCCCCCAAATCCCAGCCGTGTCTCCTCACACCTTGTGCTCTTGATTGGCTGCTGAGTGCCATCTCATAGACCCGATGCAAAACATCTTGACCGGTCTGGGTAGGATTGCTCGGCTCGCGATGGCACTGGACATGGGGTTGCTGCACGATATAGGGTGTAGCGTGACTACGGGATGGTGGCGGCTGGAGTTGTCTCTGCGATGTGCGCGGCCTGATAAAACAGTGTCGCTCATCAAAAATGATCAACTTCGAAGTTTGATGTACTGCCTAGGGAAGGAAGACATATTGAACATGAGATAAAACCGTGGGTGCTGCGCAGCTATTAGAGTGTAAAGATTGCCAAGTGCGGCTGCGCGAAAGCGTGAGCCGGGGTGGACGCTTGGTGGCTCAGCGCTAGCCCCTCCCACCGCTTCTGAGCTCAACGGAAAGCTGACACCCTCTACACTACGCTGACACCGACATGCAAAATCGCCGAAGACAAGCGGGAGAGCCTTTCTGTACGCTCGGTCATACACAAGCAGTGTACCCAGCGAATCTCCGCTTTGCATGTTTTGTACTTTGTTCTTGTTTCAGTTGCGCACACTCGCCCCGAAACATATCCATGGATAGTGACAGAAAGCTGACACGATACACAGTCAGCGGCATAGAAAGAGTCTTAGGTAACATATTGTGTGCAGGGAACGTCTCGTACCGATCACGGCAGGCTGAAATACATTCCATTAAGCTGATGCGCCATGGCATGATGACAAGCCGATGAAGGTGAGCATTTCCAAGCCAAGAGCTGAACTGATCTTACTGGTTCGTTGCAGAATCAACAATGCAATGCAACGCAAGACTTTCGAGGGCCACGACGATTCTTTTGTTAGATCTGTGGAGTAGTTTGAAGTACTCTTCAAGTTGAACTTTATCACGTAGATGGTTATATATGGCATCATGCTTCAGCAGTTATCGGAAACCTGGACAAAAGTCCTTCATTCCAAGAACTCAGCAAAAGGCTTCACGCCCTAACACACGATCTACAGGATCTGAAGTCGACGCACCAAAGGGGCTGAGATCTTGCTGGCAGCTAGGTCTAGATTGGATGATGATAGAAGTCTTTCCTACTTCGGGCACTATCGTGGCGGCTGAAAATGCTTGACCGCTTGATGCTCCTCGCAGACCTCGAGGATGAGATAGAGCAACATATTATTACGATGAAGAATATCACAGCTTTGCGGCGAGTAGGAATGTTACGGTGTAGCCCTCCGTATGAAGTCTTGGAGATAGAAACCATGTCAGCGTAAGGTTGTAGTGTAGCATACCTACATGCAAATAATGGGGACGTGCGAAAGTACAGCTCTCAATACAAAATTTATAAAAGGGCATGCTATCGTTTGATTTTGACTCATCATCAACCTGCTTTGTATTGCCATCTTCTGCACAGCTTCTACATAAAGTCCAGCGATAACTTACGATACTCTTCCTCTCATACAAGTTTACTAACACATCCGACCAACATGAAGACCACCACGCCCATCTTCCTTCTGGCTTCAACCTTGCTCTCCACAGCAGTAGCCATACCCTCAAACACGTCAACCTACACGCTGAAGATCGTCAACGGAAGCCCCAGGGTGAACGGCAGCACAGTCGTAGTCAAGGACGAGTCCGCTGGCGCCACATTCCCCAACCCACTTGGCAGTTTCTCCACGGGAAATCCTCGCCATGCGTACACCTTCACTCTCTTCCCTATATCAGCCTCCGACTCGCTATACGAGCTCAAAAGCACGGTCAAGCAGACACATCTCATCCTGAACGGTGACCCTATTGCCCCTCAATTCTTCGAAACTCGTATCGGAGAAGATCCAGCGGCTGTTGCTAATAAGACGGTGACTCAGAACAAGTTTCTGATCAAGGAAGAGCCAGGCAGGATGATCCTCAAGGGCATTGAGGATGTGAAGAGCATTGGCGGAACTTATGACAGTGCTGGATCTTGGCGTGCATGTAACGGTAGTACAGTGGACTACCAATTGTTTTGGTTTGACGGTACGTCAATATTTGAGTCTTTGTTTGCTTTGCCGAATTGGCTAACTCTCCACAGGACTTAACAACCTTACTGCAGTCGCTGGCCAATGCGAGAGCGTCACACTAGAGCTGACTGAAGTCATTCCGAGCGCCTCTACATCCATCGTGCCAGCTACAGCTACAACTCTCGTCACCAGCAAATACATCACCGAAGTAACTGCACCGACGACCAGCGGTATTTCCGGCACATCCACTTCCACGACTGGCTTCATCACTGGCGTACCTGCTCCAACTAGGTCTGGTAGCAGTGGTGCTACACCATCACCCACAACTTTTCCTCAAATCACGATTCGCATCTACAACGATCAGACTGGCGCCAATGCTGCAGCTACCGTGTTCGCCGATGGTGTGTCTCATAACATTTCTGATCTCTTCCGTGGAACTGCAATTGATAACTACGGCGACATCATTGGCACCTCTGCGCAACTCGTCAAGTTCTTGGACTCTACGAAGTGTTCGATGGCGAACGTCAACGTAAGGGACTGGATCGTTGAGCTCGATGGCCGCGCAAGGAACTTTGCAGACCTCGATCGCGACACGTCGAAGGCGATTCCAGTGTGGCTCAATGGATTTACTTTCATGTGTCAAGCTTGAGAAGTATAGTACTGAGTGGATCAGATGATGGACGCTCTTTGTGGTATTATAGATCTCTTTACATTGTTTGGTTTTGCTCGCGTTATTGTCTTATATGAGTTACAGTAGCTTGGCGTCTGGCGTTACGGAGATAGAATCATACACAACAATTGACTTGCTTATCGCGATCCTATGACCATGCAATGTGGTGAATTTTAGCTCGTCACTGCGATGCTACGTGGAATCTCGCCCATCTCCTGAGCACAAAATCGTGCCTCATAAGCTGATAATAAGTGCTTGCAGAAGGTTCTCTTTTCTTCCAAGTCCGGATTGTCACCCGCATCGACCATAAGATCGAGATCGGCGACCAACTGCTGATAGATACGCATTTCGATAGATGAAGGAGCCCCCGCTGCTGGGTTCTGGATGTGGTGTGCAATGATGGTGACAAGTGCTGCGATAAGAATGGGATTTATCATCCTGTAATTCGATTAGTGACTGTTTGTCGTGGCTAATATCAAGTCTGAGGTTGCAAGCTATTAATAATGTTACTCACCAGTACAAGGCCACATTGCCTCGAGGAGCTATTGGTAGCAGATTCAAGAGCCTCCGCGCCTCCTGATATGCCTTATGTTGCTTCATTTTCGACATCCTATCCAAACCATCCAAATCGAACGGGTTGATTTTCGAGCTCATGTCCATTGCTGAGAACGCATGCAGCCGGTATATAGTCGCAAAGTAGTAAGCCTCAAGTGCTACACAGTGACAAATATCTGCCCGGTACAACAATTGCTGTAACTGACCAGGGGAAAGGTGAAAGATGTGATGTTGCTCATGGAAGGCCTGCAATCGCGCGAGCACAATGGATGTAGCAGCACTCAAGTCTAGAACGGTCGTGTTACTTGTTTTGCGGGAGATAATTTGATCGATGGCCTCAGTTTGGAGTAAGGCTATCCTGGTGAACAACCAGAATATGTGCACTCGCCAGGTGCCCTCAGCTGCGGTGAGCGCACCTAGTTCATCTGCTACGAAATCAGAGCAGTCGGCTACATCCTGAAGCTGATGTGTAGGCTCAGTGTTGTTCAAGACAGCTAGAGTGATGTCATTAACGAAGCAAATCCAGAAAACGCGACGCTGTTGTGCGCTGTTGGCCATCGCCTCTACCGTAGTGCAGTTTTTCTCGTCTTCGTACACTAGACTTCGAATAAGACGGAGTGCGGTGGAGACGAAGTGTCCAGCCGACCTTTTATAATTGCAAGGACTGGCCACAATAAGTAATGCTAATCCAATAAGGCATTGTACTTGTCCTAGGGATGGCGGTGCTGCGAGAAGAGTATTAAGTGTGGAATAGGCACGGGCGAGGTAATATTGACCCATCTCCATATCATAGCCGGTTCCAGTCACGCTCATTCCTCGGAGATGATGTGCCATACCGAAAACGATGTACGCACTCGTCCAAGCAACGGCAGATCCATCAGACAGCCCCGCGTAACATGTTCGAAGGTGGTCGGCGATGACATGTGGTTGATAAAGCGGATAAGCGGTATTCAGGTCAGTCAGGAACTCTGCAAGCAGTGACGTTCCGAGCTCCGGGGGTGGCAGATACCAGTCACTATCAGGAATTGTTCTTGGCGGCGGCAGTAAGCTGACATCATTGGTTGATCTCGGCCCGAAATGCGTGCCTTGCAAGAAAGCGACATCCTCCTGAAAGTCAACTGATGGCTGGATGCCATTCAAAGGGATCTGAAGTGAAGGTTCTAACGTTGAAGAACCGCGACTGGTTTCACCCGTGGACAGTGCACCCAGGTCCTCAGCAAACCCGCCGTCGTTGCCTTGTAAGATGCCTTCTAAGTCGAAGGGATTGAAATCTGGAAGCTGAGGCTGAGGCCCGATCTCTACCTCATGGCGCAAAGATTCGACCCATATTGAGAGCGGAACTGATGGTTCTGTAACATGCATAACCGGTTGTTGACGCACGTGTGGTTGTGCAACGTTCCGCTCGTGTAGTAGCGATTCTAGTCTCTTGATCCGACTCTCATACTCAACTATGCGATTACTGACCATCGTTAGCTAAGTTTGAGAAGTTCGAGCTTGCGACTAGATAGTACCCTCGTTGTGGTTTGGACCTCTGCTTTCGCGTGTACGTGGTCGTACACGTCTCTTTCAAATTGGTACATGGCGAGCAGCCTTGGGGACCTGAATTCCATACGCATCTTCGTTTCCGTTTGCGGCACAGATCGCAAGCCTAAAAAACGCGTTAGTTTGGTGCATTGCGCGGATTAAATGCCCTGAAAGCGAGATTCAATGCTAGATGGCTAAGTGTGGATGTTGAGGCGAAGTCGCGTCAGGAGCCACCGGGCGGATGCAAGGGGCCGCGGATAGACTAGATCGAACGGAAACGGCAAAACAGGGCTGCTTACCCGTACAGTAGAGGCAGAGCCACGCTTTTCGACGCTAGCACTTGACATTGTGAGTTGACTGATCAAAGGAATGTAATTCTATGCTGACATGATGCTCGTTCGGTCTGATCTTTCGTCACTAGTAGAACGGCCGATCTCCGGTCAACGCGCTGACAAATACGCACTAGTCGGCACTGTCATTTACTCTCATCGAACCTACGAAGTTGCAACATGAGAGCATCTACATCCCACCAGGGGTGATGCTCGAACACCTTATTACATTCGCGACGATCTCATGATGCGAACTTGGCACGCCGTTTCATCTTGTCACAGACTGTTACGAATTCGGGAGAGAGACGAATGCATATCACGGTTAACAACACAATACGGACTTTGACTATACACAGAGCCGAGCTTCAATACACTGAATCGCATTACGAGATCACAGTTTCAACGAAATAATTAGACGGACATGTAGTCGTTCATGTTCCGCTGATATCCGAATCCGAATCCAAATCCGAAATCGAAACCTTGGATTAACTGATGAAACCCCACTACTAATGTTCTTAGCTTCATAAAACGACTTGGGCGTATTGACCTTCCTTTACTCGCTTACAACTTCTTAGTTCATAGCTTCCCAGTCTGAGCCTGGATGGTCGCGCGGGAGTCGAGATCGATCTCTTCCAGGCCAACCACAAACGGAAGTTGCCGAACTACCGTCATCTCCATGCTTATGGGCAATGTACAATGGTGCATAGTTTTTCAGTCTTCTATCACAACGTTTGATTTCATCTTCTCCGTCTTATCCTCAACTGCCCACTCGTATTAGCAGCATGCTACTCTGGCGCGGTGCACGACTTCCTGGGTATCACTGCATGTTTTCATCGCATCTCGGCGTAGATCACACGGCCTCTACCGCATGGTTCTGGTGTCACCCTTCAGCTACATCAGCCTCGCCCATGAACCGATCAATAGTGACACGCGTATTTCCTGAGGACGATGTTAGCCAAGACTTGTAAACCCTACGCTGGCGCCAGACGGCCCTTTAGCGGCCTACTCGACATAAACTCGCGATAAAGGTAAGACTGAGAGTTTGATGATGCTTGGATAGTGATTGTCTTGGTGTAGGGCAGTCTCTCCAGTGCGAACATGAACCTCCTGCTGACCTGCGCTTCATACACATCCCAGGTAAGCAGTCCAGGGGAGTCAAATGCTGGCCTAATCAGGGTGTGACAATTGAGTATAGGTCAAAGGTCGACATCCTGAACTGCTATGGAGATATTAGTGACCTGCGAGAGGTTGCCAGGCGTTACTTGCAGCCAAACGTACGATTAGAGTTGATTTGGGAGGTTGATGAATCTTTGTTAGAGGAATTTGCCAGCTTCTTTCTCAATCTGACAGCAAGTTCGGAGTATCTTTGGGCCCTGCTCAAGTGATGCCAGAACTTCGGCGTAGACCTGCCCCCACAGTTCTGCGGGTAAGCTGAGGGACGTCATAACCTCTTGAGACTGGCCCATTGTGAGTCCTCTAGTGATATTCCTCAAGTGATGTCACGCGTATACTTTTGCCGACTTGCCAATATCCTTGTGTGACACGTTGTGGTTGATAGGTTCTTTCGTGTGAGATTGGAAAAGCGCAGACTATTTTGACTTTGCATAGCAAAGCCCTAGTATACAACGTGTAGTGATGCAAACCAACTTTGTGATTGAGGTTGTCCACAATCTGGCAGGGAAAGCTGTCTCTTGTCGATTACAAGGTGGTATATATGTATAAGTATATCACCAGTAGGACACGAGACCTCTCTAGGCCCGTTTTCCACATTCTTCATGGCTTGACATAACTATAATTCTGAATCTCTCTTACTTATAGACGAAGATTCATGAAGCGGGGTCTCGGTCTGGCGTGTCAACAAATCTGCCTAACAGCCGGTAACTTAGCATAATACCCATCAGAGTATCCGGAAGGGGTACAATTCGTATCTACTCCGAGACTATGTGTAGTCCTCGATACACTCCTGGATATCTGTAGTGAACCGACTAAGTGGCATCATATCTTACGATCGAATGCCCAATGGACGAAAACTCGTAACGAACCTAGAAGCCAAGCAACAGAGGACGCTGAATCAATGCTCAAACTTAGACAAGCTCCAAGAATCACTGGATCAGATTCAGCATGGCAGTACCTCCATACTACCATCGCGCTTTCTATACGCACCCTCCGACTCCCCAACATTACCAGGCCTTTGTCGCATCCGCCTTGACAGTCCAGAAAAAGCACTCTACTCCACAAAAGTCACACTCCCAATCATCCCTCTCCCTACATGTTCGCACAATCCTATCAACGAACTCTCCTGTCACAATCCCAACTACATCTCCTTCCGCCTCCTCCCGTCTACTCTGCTCGCTCTCCGACCCATCACACCTCGTCGTCTCAACTCCAGAACATGGTTCCATCTCAGGAGTACGATAAGGCGCAAAGTTGGCTGCAGCGTGCCATTCCCCTTCCATCTTCCCCCTCGACTCAGATTGTATAAATTGCGGACTGAACTGGTCCACCACACTGTCTTCCTCTCTGCCTTCATGTCCAAATCTTTCAACCTTAGCCTCAGGCGCCTCAACAAGAGCAAGAATGAATTGCACCGGTACATCGTGACCGAACAATCTCCACCAGTCCTCTGTCTGGTTTTCCAATATTGAGTCGTGGTAACCCTCTCTATACTCATACCGTAGCGGTGAAGAAGACTTTTGCGTATCTTGGTTGTATGCCGACTCTTTATCTCCATCATAGTGCGCTTCCTCACCAGCAAACCCACTCCCGTACCGCCTATCAACCCACACAACGATATCTTCAAACGTAACAGGATGTGTATATGTATACCAGCACCCTGTTTGAGAAATCGGTCTCATACCTGCTTGAGGTGGTGGTACCGGCACTAAATACCCAAGTTGTCTTTGTATGCTATCTTCACTGAAACTTGCCGCAGCCATAACATCTCCATTGGCGTAGATTGCATCATTGTACTGCAATTGCTGTGAATATGCCAGTTGACTTTGGTTCCAATTGTCGTGTGATTGACCACGGTTCTTGCGCGCTGCTTTCCTGCGTCGGTTTGCGTCACGCTTAGGCATCGTCGTTGTGGGTAAATGGGCGGTTAGGATTCGGCTACGATATGACGGGTGTGTGGAAGTATGGAAGTAAAGCGTGAAGACAAGATTCACAGTGTGTCGATCAAGACGTAGTGGATAGACAGGATGTCGAGGGACGCGAAAGCTGTGAGGTCGCCTACGTGGAGGAGAAGATTGGTGTGAGAATATAGAAGTGTACGTTGTAGAAGCTATCAAAGTTGACACGATGATACTTGTCATAGTGTTTGTGTGACTCGTGATGTCGTGAAGCAAAGCTGGTGATAATGTGACATGAAGTACATATTGACGGAAGGATATCAGGTAAAGAAGTGAAACATTTCGTATTCAAACAGTTTCAGTGAGGAACCAACACGAGACAAACCCGATATCTGTGTCTTGTGTTCAGAGTCATTACTACAATTGCTCAAACACCGTGGCGAAATCTGACGCTACCACGTCTAGACTGCACGAGGGCATGCCCAATCCATCGACCTCATTCTCTTCACCCAACGCTAACTCCCTTGTCTAAGCAAGTTTGTCCCCCGTAACCTTGAAAAGCATAGATCCACTCCCAGGCTCACTAACAACAACAGCCTGTCCCAGCTTCTCCTCAGTTATATCCGGAAACTTCTTCTTGTAGTACTTCTCAACCCACGCCTTCTTGACCGCCTCGACCTTATCTTTAGGCACAAGATGCACACTACATCCACCCCACCCCGCACCCGTAAGTCTACTACCACACGATCCAGCCGCACGTGCCAAATCGCACAGCTCATCGAGCTCAGGACAACTACAGTCGTAGATTTCGCGGCAGGAGTCTTGAGTTGTGTTCATGAGATCACCTAGTGACTGTAGGTACACACGATCATTTGATGGCGGTGAAGCAAGTAGCGATCGGAATTTGATCACGCGGAGGGCTTCTGTGAAGACGTGGAGGGCGCGCTGGCGGAGCATGAATTTGTCGGCGCGAACGGGGAACTTGGACATGTAGCGCTGGTTCAGTTCGTCTTCTGAGATGCCGAGGAGGCCGCTGATTTGCTGTCGCGAGTAGCCGTCTTCTTGAGGGAGGTAGTCTTCGGTATGTTGGATGAGCTTTGTCAGCTGGGTTTCGAACTCTGAGACGGAGATTTTGGTGTTGTCTGAGACGCCTTCTTTGTCTTCGAAGTAGGTGTCGTGAAAGCCGCGTAGACTGACGCCCAGCGGGGAGGAGTCTGTTGGGAGCTCTTTCTTCAGTCCGAATGCCTTCGCTAAGAAGACTGCTGCTAATGTGCACTCTACGACACGTAGGTTGTAGCATACGGGAGCTGTGACGTGCTTGTCCGCGGCGACGAAACTCTGTGCGGTAACGAAGACGAGTTCAGGGTCTGTTTTCGGGAACTCGATGTTTGTGTAGTTGAGGCTGGGCTTGAACGACACGTAGAGGGCAGAGCCGCGGAGGGAGAAGACGGAAGCTGCTTGGTCCATACTATGGGTATGTTAGCTGTGCTATCTCCAGGTGCTTAATCAGACTTACCCTCCAGAGTTGACACCAACCGCGCGCTCGGAAACAATCGCAAGTTCGCACAGTTCGGTCTTGTCAATCTTCTCTTCGCCGTTCGCGGCCAGTACAGCAAGAGAACTTGTGCAGACCACGGATGCTGAACTCGATAGACCACCGCCGCTCGGTACTGTGCCGTCACATACGATATCCATGCCCACAGATGTGAACTTGCCCCGCTTCTTCTGTAGTAGTTGTGATACGCCCTTCAGTCCAGACTTGAAGTAGTTGGTCCACTCATGCTCGGTAGCGTCGATTGAGATCTCTCCCTCGGGGATGTCAAACTCGCGGGTGGGGAACTTCTCCGAGTTCAAGTTTGCTATCCGTATACGCGGCTTCTCTTCGCTCGGTCGTACAGCAACAGCCATGATGAAGTCGGCGGTAATGGCCATGGGTAGGACCTCGTATAAAGAGTAGTCGATGTGCTACAGTCGTCAGTCAAGGGTGATAGAATTCTTGTAGGTAATTTACCTCGCCAATGATATTGACGCGTCCAGGGCTCCTAGCGACAAAGTCTGCTTGGTTGCCGTAGAGGTCCTTGAACTTGGCGAGAAGGCTCTCCCATCGCTTTGTCTCGACTGGGAGCGCGTCCTCGGGATAGATGTCGCGTAGCGACGTTGCTGTTGGAACTTCCATTGTGTGATATGGAGGTTCAGAGTTGGAAGGGCGGACGAGAAGGAAGAACAGGAAAGAGATCCAAAGAGCAGGAAACGGAGAATCTATTTGAACCTCCGGATGGTCGCAAGATCTCAGGTAATTGAACGGCGGGGTCCAACTGACGACAAGTGGGGTCCTTGAACTTAGCCGTTTTGAGAAACACACCCGCATCACCACTCCGGCCCGTACGCTGCATCGAGCTGCAGGTACGAAACCTAGTGCCAATGACGCGGTCGCCCTGGAGAAAAGTTTCGCGTCTCGACAAGCTACAAAGTACCCCAGAGTTGAGGCGAGCGACATGCTCAGCTAGCCCGATTTGGATTGCACGATGCACTTTCGATAGTGCACGTCGACTTCAGCATTCGATACCATCAAACTACAAAGTACACGTCCCGGTGTTCAAAATCGGCTGGGTATTTCCTGTATTGATTCGATGTCGATTCGAGGTATGGCGAAGACGTAAGCGCATGCAAGTCCATCAACCCAAGCCTCTTCCCCTTCCCCGTGGCAGCCCTCGTCCTATGCCGCTGCCAGCTCGACCTCGTGTTGAGTCGCTGCGACTGACACCACGTCCTGCCTGTCCTCCCACACCAACATAATTTCCTGTGGACGATGTTGAAGCACCTCGTGGTCTAACGCCCCTACCCCTTCCTCGTGTGCCTGCTCTCGGGGCTGCTTCTGCCTTCCTGCGATCTTCCTCGATCTTCCTCGCAGCAGCTTCTCTCCGCGCCTGCTCTTCTGCCGCCCGGCGTTGTGCAGCCTGCTGACGGTGTACTTCTTCTTCCTCGATATCGACCAGGTCTTGCGTAGCACCCTGCCACTGAGGGTTCAGGATCAGACGCTGGTTGTGTTCGGTTTGGGAAAGTATGCGAGTCCATGTCTGGAGCAGGGTAGACGCGTTCTGAACAGTGCGTGATACAGTCTATTCATCGTCAGTCTGAAGACTGCGGCAGTTCTAATTGTGTCCCTTACAGCCATGTTGTCCTTCGCCTTTTGCAGGCTCGCGACAACGCCCTCTATGACCTTGTTGACGTTCCTTATGCTTTCCAGCTCCCTGCGCAAGGCTGCTTCACGCGCTTCTTCTGTAGTATAATGCGACTCCTTTGAACGTGTCTTCCCGTCTGCTGCACCGTCCCCCGCATCACTGTCTACATCTTTTGTCTTCTTCTTGGTCTTGTGCGCGGCAGGCGTGTCAAACAAAGCGTCCTCGTCCGAGTCGGAAAGGTCAAGCGCCCCCAAATTTGGCGGGTCCATGTTGTGTTGTGTTGTGTATTGTGTCGGACTCGTCTAGACGAATTGATTTGGTGACACGGGCAGCACTTTGAATTGACAGGCGTTGGCGTGTTTGACGTATTTGGTTTGGCGGGGCCAGCGGTTAGCAAGGGACGTGCAGGGGTTTGTTGATGTTCCGCGTTGCGCCAAGGAAGGAGCACCCGCCATCTGCGCCTTCCTTCCCAACCTCGCGCTTTCCTTCAGTCCCCATCGATCGGAGACATAGCCCATTGTCTCCACTCGGCTTTGTCCTTCACCCTCACCATCACAAGCCCTACCAAACTTTCCATTTGCGCGCATATCGATATTGCATCATCAATTGACACTTTAGACGTTGAGACGCTGCAACATTGAAGCTTGGTGTCATTGTTTTGATTTTGGATATCCACAATTCCTACCTCTATTGCTACAACAACACCACAACTGCCCCATCCCAAACAAACACTCGCATCACCACAATATGGAGCGCACACCCTCCCCTCCCCGTCGCATTCACACGCCGCCCGCGCCGCTGCATGGAGACACCTATGAGCCCTTTTCACCGCGCCGATCGCGCAGAGTGGCCGCCAAACACGATACTCACATTCACCAACAGGAGCGGTCAGGCCCACGGACCAGGCGCGACATCACACCAACAGCCTCATCATCTAAGACCTCTGCTGCCCGTACAAATCCCTCTTTCGCACTCTCACCGCCGTCGTCGCCAGTATCCCCACAACAATTCCGCTCCCCACGCTCGACCCGTCGTGCGCCTTTGGACCTCAATCCGCTCGACTCCGACTCCGACAACGCCGCACCAACATCTTCACGACGCTCTCTATTCGCAAACATGGTTCCAGTACGTTACTTGAGAGAGCTAGCCTTGGGCTCGATACGGTTGCCAACCGACCGCGTCGAGAGCCGAAGCGCCTCCAACTATGACACGTACGAGCAAACATACTGACTTACACAGGGAATGCTACCCACTCCAGCGAAGACCCCGCGCAAGCGCCGCGTCGAAGACGTGAGCTCTACAGCGCGCGTGTTGTTTCCTACCAACCGCCCGTCTACTATCGAAGAAGCGATGCCAACCCCACGCAAAGGCCGCAAGACAAAGAACCTATACACCCTAGAGAGCTTCGCTGAGCAGATGGACGAGAACACCGAGAAGATCTCCATCTTCACCGACTCCAAGGAACGTGTACCTACACCCGGTGCCCAAACTGAAGAGAACCCGTTCATCACAGTCAAGGGTAAGGGCAAGGCGAAAGCTACTCCTCAAAAGTCAAGGAAGGTCATCGACCGAAAGACAGTTAAGATGGAGGCGGCTGCCGATCGTGACGAAGGCATGGTGTACATCTTCCGGGGTCGCAAGGTCTTCCGCAAGTTCCACGACGATGCACCCTCCGGCGCTTCAGAGGCCGAGCAAGATGACGACCTCTCCGCCGACGACAAGCAAGTACGCCGTCAGATTGGTCACGAGGCACGCCGTCCGCTCACTCGTTCATCTATCAAGCCACGTCTTCTCTTCCAAGCAGAGATCAAAGAGCGCAACCGTGCAAACGGTATCGAGACTGATGAGGAGGAGGCGACTACCGAAATTGACGAGCCAATCGCAACCCCGAGTCGTAGGAAGGGAAAGAGCGTCGTTCCAACGCCATCGTTGGCCACGACGCCGCCGCCTACGACTCGCAAGCTCAAGAAGGGTGAGTCACTCCATGTGTGCATATATTGACTGCATACTGATATTTTGACAGAGATTTCGTTCGACTCTTGGTCGCGAGTCAAGTCAGCGCACAGCTCAAGCAGCTCAGTCAAGACATCCAAGAAGCGCAGCGGTGAGCCGCTTGAGCGCGAGGCGGCAGACAAGCGAGCTCGCAGTGAGCACTCCACCTCCTCCATGTCATTTGGCAGCGTCTAACGGTACCCCAGCCCGTTCGTCTTGAAGACATGCTAGCTTATCCACTTCTGCATCAGGTCCTTTGTGACTGATTGTTTGCATAGCGAGCGTTTGCTTTTTGTGTTTTTTGACATCAAACAACAAGATCAGGATACCCACGATTACATTAGCATTACGAAAGGTGCGCATAACTCACGGCCTTTTAATGTTTGTTTGGCATTGAAGGAAGTAGAACCTTCTTTGCTGCTCTGGCATTGTGATCGGTGTTCTTGTTGGCTATATGAACAGCCACAAGGTTAGTAGGAAATGGTGGTTCAACTGTGAATCAACGTATGCGGTAGTTTGGCGTTTGGGAATTTTTCCTCATCAGGCACCAACATAGCATACGGTGATTGGGGGTTGAATCGAATGTAATGGGGGGAAAGGATAGGAACCATAGTATAGATCAAGGAAAATATGATTGACAACTCTTAGAATGTTTGTTCAACGTGCTGCGCTATGCTATGTTGATGTTGTACATGTAGAAGTTCCCCATGATATACAAATTCTACCTCATGTTCTTATTCCATCTTACAAATTCCCACACAGCCAAAAACCCGTCTACTTCCCTTTCGGCTTGACGGTAAAAAAACTACTCATCTTCCTCATACCACTTGTATCAACTTTCTTCAGCTGTTTAACCCCTCTTCCCTCACTCTTCTTCTTCCTCTCCTCGTCCTCTTTTTTCCTCTTCTTCTCCTCTCGTTCCGCTATTTTTTCTTCGTCCAATTCAATAGCGCGCTTCCGGCTTATGTTATCGGAGAGGGAGCGTAAAGAGAGGGCTTCAGACTTTAGGGCGGCGATGGAGGATAGGTGGGCGTCGAGAGGTGTGAAGCGTGAGGTTAGGAGGGCGAGAAGAGAAGGACGCAGCACTGGGGGGACGTAAGACGAAAGGAGGTAAGTTAGGGATGTCCGGAGGCGGAGGAGTTGCGGGATCTCCTTGGGGGTTGTGAGGGTAGGTTTTGAGGGGGCGTCGTCGGGTGTTGTTATGGTGGTTTCCACGCTTGTTTGAGAGTCGGCTGTCCGGTTGTTCTCCTTTTCTTCTTCTGCATCTGTAGTTGCTGAGACGGCACTTAATGTGCTTTCCTCCCGCTTTATGCTCATAATGGGGATTTCTAAAGCGGTCTTGATGTACCTTTCTTCTAGGGACGGTGGGAGTCCGTTCTTTATCATGCGCTCGGCTTTTGCTAGCAGGACTTCGAGAAGTTTGGAGTGGGAGAGGCGGTACATGGTTTCTTCGCCTGCGTCGACTGTGTCGCATATTCTTCTCATCCTTTTTTCTACCATGGTTTTCAACGTGGAGTATTGTGACGATAGCGCTTTCCAATGCGGCGAAGCCGAAGAGAGTGTGTCGAGGTAATCATCGAAGGCGAGGAAGTGTTGTTTGGTGTCTTTTGCTGACTTTGGTGTGAGGGCGGGTAGAACGAGGAAGAGGATGTCGATTGGTGTTGCGATGAACAAGTCGGCGGATTTGGTGATGTAGCCGCTTCCTATTCTTGAAGCATCTGTCGCTTCTGTGTTGTCTCCTTCGCTTTTCTCTCCCGTTATCAACCAACTCTTGCAGTCTTTCTTCGGCGCTGCGATGCGCGTGAACTCATAGAAGCCTTTCTCAGGGCAAAAGTAGTATCTTGATGGTGTCTCGTTTGCGGGATTGTCGAGACTGACTATGTGCGCATCTTTGGATGTGTCTTTTGGTAGTACGAAGAGTTTCGGGGGATTCGAGGTGCTTGCAGGTAGCGATTTGGCTGTGGAAGTGGTGGGTTCAGGTGTGGATTCCTTGGGCGTCGTCTTTGCGGGTTTCGAACGTGTGCGCGCCATTGTGATAAATATGTCAGTCCAATTGGAATTATGTGAGACAGTAAATGGTGTTCGGAATCTGTAAGACGGCAGAGTCCAGAAGTTCAGTCGCGTCGCGTGGGTCAACTGCAACACGCGCAATCCCTGTCACGTCACGGTTTCGGATTAGATTAGTCTGGGGTGAACCACAGTCCGGTGTCAACAAACGCCAACGGGTCCCGCCTTTACGCTTGTGATTCTTGCCTGGAGATCTCACCATCTTGCTTTTTCCCGACCATAGTACTGGCGTTGCTATGGGCTGCCGCGAGATAGCGCATCCGAGACTGCACCATCACAACAATGATCGTGCGGGAGAGCCCCAAGTCGAAAGGTAACAAGTGCGTGCGACGGTCCTGAACGTGCGCTGACTCTTGTGACAGTCAAAGACAACCAACCCAACTGGCCCCCACAGTCGTCTGTCGAAGCGCTTCTCAGCTCACCATCCGGACGTAAAAGGTACGAGAGCCGGCGTCAGCGCGATTCAGCCTCACCATCCCCCTCGAAACGACGCCCCATGTCGCGCGGAGGTGTACAGGCCGGCAGCGATGGAGAGGAGGATGAGGAGACGCTTCAATTGCAGCTACAGGCTATCGAGGCTAAGCTGAAGTTGAAGGCGCTGCAGAAGAAGAAGAATGAGTCTCTGGACATGGACCGTAACGGCGCATCATCGCGAGCGAGCATGGCTACAAGTATGCGCAGAATCGACCTCTCGCGACCCGACAGCAAACACGAGACAGATGTCGAAGTACCACGCTCACCAGTACGCATGCGACAAGCGCCTACTGAGCCCAGGAGTCCTGCGCGGGTCATGTTGGGCATAGACAAAGGACTTACAGCCCGCGATGTTAGTCTCAAGCGGCCGGGAACCCCTGGGCGACTGTCACGGTTGGGCTCATCAAGAGGACCAGAAACGCCAAAGATCAAGTCCTTCAGTGAGCGCATCGCAGAAAGCAGGAACAAGGAGAAGGAGCGTGAAGAGAAGGAGGACAAGGCCGAGCAGAGGAGGAGCAGGGGCTTTGGCTTGCAGAATATTGAAGGAATCAAAGATCGACCATCACTTTCACGAACGAGTTCCGACCAAAGCTCGCGCGACATGCCACCGCCGGCCTTGAGGAATCACAGCCGAACACAAAGTCTGCAAAGTCGGTCATTTGGGAATCCACCTACCCCAAGGCCAGGCTCTACACTGTCCTTCAGACCCGAAAGTTCACGCCCAACTTCATCCGCTTCGAAATCTTCCTCTAGCAGTTTTGGCACCACCCCGACCGCAGCAAAGTACGCCGAGATCTCATCACGCGACGACAGCACGGATGCGCCCAGCTTTGAATCGTTCTCTGGTCTACACCTCAAGTCTAGAGAAATGCAACACAATGTTGTAACACGCACGCTCGAGGGCAAGACAGTACTCACCATACCACAGTTATTGAAGACCGTCAAAGCGCCTGAGTACGACCCGCCAGATTGGGAAAACGACTATGTAGTTCTTGGGGTCATCTGCTCAAAGTCGACACCACACAACTCCAAGAACGCAGCAAAGGATCAGACCAAAGGCAAACAGGACAAGGACATGGACCAAAACGGCAAGTTCATGGTCATCCGTCTGACAGATCTCAAATGGGAGCTTGACCTGTTCCTGTTTGACACTGGCTTCTCGCAGTTCTGGAAACTTCCCCTTGGCACGCTGGTTGCCATTCTCAACCCAGATATCATGCCACCACGGAATCGCGACACCGGCAAGTTCTCCTTGAAGCTCAGTAGCTCTGACGATACCATACTCGAACTCGGCACAGCGCGAGATCTGGACTTCTGTCATGCGCAACGGAAAGATGGGAAAGAATGTGGTCAGTGGATCGACGGCCGCAAGACCGAGTTTTGCGAGTTTCACATCCAACTCCAGGTTGAGAAAGCCAAGAAAGGTCGCATGCAAGTCAACACCATGACCGGCTTTGGTGGAGGGCCTGGCGGCGGCATGTTCGGCGGTCGACGTGGTGGCCCCAAAGGCGATGAACTCAAAAGGGAAGGCAAGTACCATGATCGAGAACTTCACGAGACTGTCTACATCGCACCACGGCCCGGCGGCGCAGCCAAACTCATCGACCGAGACCACCAGAACTGGGAAGGCGGAGCAAATCGAGAAGATCGCTTCCGCAGACAGTTGGCCGAAAAGGAGAAGGAAAGGGAGCTTGCCAAGAAGCTTGGTACAATGGGAGATGGCAGTACGGGAGGTGACTACATGAAACTGAAGGGTGCTGGTACTCAGAATCTGCCCGCAAGAGGGTACACGTCGTCGCAAGGTTCAACAGGTGCAAAGCCTGACAAGCCGGCCGACACCGACTTTAGTAGTCTGCTTAACCGTACGTCTGCCGATGTTTCTTTGGCGCCCGTTAAACGTAAACGAACAGCATCAGCGAAATCATCAACCTCGAGCGACCCCGTCGGTTGGGGATTCAAGTACGGCCGTATCCCATCACCCAAGAAGGAAGTGCCTTCTGCATTCCGCGGTACACGAGAAGCCAGTCCAGCAAAGAAGAAAGCTCGTCTCTTCTTGGATGGAAAAGGCATTCGCGAGCCAGGACGAGAGAGTTTAGGTGGTTTAGATGCTGGACTTATTGCTGCTATGGACGACGACGACGATGACTTGGAAGTTGTTTAATTCTTTGAAGAAACTCTAGGGGAGGTAACAAAAAAAGAGAGTGAGGATATGGATGAAGAGGCGTTTAGGTCGCAGCTCGCTGATTGGCTAGAGCTAAGCGAGCAACGGGCATTTCGACTTTTCTGGCTCTGGATACCTCGGGCTTAGCGTAAGCCTTGTAACGACTTTCCTTTGTGTACATGTACAATATTATACCCGTTCATAACGTTGATATACAAACTGCGTTCACCGATTGAAAACGGACGTCGAAAGGGAGTGCTTGCATCGGTGCTGTCATCTCTTTACTAACCATACCAACCACGCGCTTGCGGTTACATCATTGGAAGAAAGAGCAAGGACTCGCTTTAGGGAATCAAGTACCTCAAAATGACGACTCAGGACTTTAACCCTGCCGAGAAGATATGTGCGCTCATCAATTACGAAGACCCTTACGTCCAACCCCTCATTCTCGCCGCACTGAAGAAACAACTCCCGGAATCAGCCTACGAGCTCATAACCTCACTCTCCCAACTTCCCAGTCCATCTTCTCGTCTCCTCCAATGGGTGCAATATGAGTCTATCGACTTCGACCACCTCATGGAACATTCTTCTAGCAGCCTCGCCAACGCCTATGTAATCCGTAAAGCGCTGATCCGGAAACACTACCTCAGCACCACAATCGCCAACTGGATTACCAAGTACCCGGATAGTGTGTTGCAGAAGCACGTCAAGCCTAGTGTAGAATTTGAAGTCGACTATGCTGAGTTCCTGGACGATGCGCTGGTTGAAGCGTGGGAGTTAAAGGAGAGCTGGGCAAGGAACGAGGAGCTAGATGGTGACGATGAAGAAGACATGAAAAAGAGGGAGTGGTGGATCTTGAAACCAGGGATGAGTGAGAGAGGGCAGGGAATTCGGTTGTTTTCGAGCGAGGAGGAACTGACAAGTATTTTCGAAGAATGGGATCCTGAGAGCGATGACGAGGAAGAGGAGGATGCAAGAAGTGATGCTGGTATCCCCACCGACGATCAACGCAAACAACCGGACGAAGAAGGAAACGGCATCATAACATCCCAACTCCGCCACTTCATCGCTCAACCATACATACACCCCCCTCTCCTTTTATCCCCACCCAACACCTCATCCTCCTCCCCTTCAACTCTCCGCAAATTCCACATCAGAACCTATGTTCTAGCAACTGGCGCCCTACAGGTCTACGTATACCGCCCTATGCTCGCCCTCTTCGCCGCACGCTCATACATTCCTCCCTGGGACGCCGTACTCCAGGAAAACCGCGATGAAGCCATGAAAGCACATCTCACAAATACCTGCCTCCAGGAATCTGGGGATAGAGAGGGTAGTGTGGGTCTGTTCTGGGAGTTGCCTGATGAGATGCCTACACAGCCCAACCTCGCAGGAAAGTTGGATGTAGGGAAAGATTGGAAAGACAAGATCTTCGCCCAAATCCAGACCACGACATCGCAAACTTTTGAAGCGGCGGCAAGGGGTATGTCGATTCATTTCCAACCGCTGCCGAACAGCTTTGAGATCTTTGGCCTGGATTTCATGGTCGGTATCGAACCGAACGGAGAATTAAATACTTATCTTTTGGAAGTGAATGCTTTTCCGGATTTTAGGCAGACAGGAGATGAGTTGAGTGGGATGATTGAGGGGCTTTTTGAGGGAGTGGTTCGGAGGGCGGTTGTACCGTTTTTGGAAGGTGCGGAGGAGAAGGGTGGAGAGGAGGATGGGATGGTGAAGGTGTTGGATATTGACCTGGGACGGCGGTGATCAAGTTCATGGACCGGAGGCGTTAAGGGGGTGTACGGGGCTGTAAAGCTGTGCGGCTGAGATGATCGCCATCTCCACCAATTCATTACGCCGTGCTTCCGCGGGCCGCACACTCCACGTTATCATCTTGAAAGCTTTTTGGAAAATTATACAGGAAGAAAGAGCACAGCCGAAGCCATGAGTCTTCTTGATATATGTTTTTGAACTCCAGGATTGGAGGTGTTGTGGAGAAGAGTAGAACGGAACAGAGCGTGGTATTTATATGCACACACTTGTCTCCGCCAAGAAAGTGTAAGACAACATGGGCAGTATGACAAATACCACACGCCCCACCCTCATGTCATGTTCTTCGATATAAATTGGTACATTGAACGAGTCCAACATTTGCACTCCTGTTCGGAGATTCATACTCGCCTCCTCCGCCTATAACAGCCACATTTGGATTTTCAAGAGCGTCCTAGAATCATCAAGGACAACTACTGCGGTTTTGCTGAAGTAAACATAAGTTCCAGAACTGCCATACGAGCTGTGCACTGGATTTTCCCGATTGTAACAGATTTCTTCTGATAGACATGAGAGGGAGAGAGCAGAGAACAGATATGTGTTGATCTTGTCATGCTTCCAAATCACATGTTTATTTGGCGCGTGCCTTTTTTGAGTAGATCGAAGGGAGAGAAAGGAAAACGAATCGGAGTGCTTTGGGTCGAACAATATTCGTTCTTCTCACTTATGTTTTGGTAAAGTAGAATAAGCTTTGAGAATGGAGGGAAAGAATGGAGGATGCCCTCAACCCCGATTCTTTAATGTCCTTAGTCTGAGATTAGATTGCCTTCTGTTGGGTCTTAACTGACCTAGCATTAGCGAGGAGGAAGTCACTGGCCAAACCCAGGGAGGTCAGGGCACTTGTCGTAGCCCGAGCTGGCTCTGGTATTGATGAAGTGGCCTGACCCCCTTGACCCCGATGGGAAAGGCAACTGTCACGTGCTTTCATCATGATCTTTCATTCTCTTTTGAGGTGGAACGGACACAACGCGCATAATCAGTACCCGGTTATTTTGGGATGGTCTGGCGATATATGCCTAGCGCTTTGTAGGAAACCTATGACACGCAAGGGTAAGGATTTTAGAGTGGTACAGCGTTCTGTACGATTGTTCAATTTTGCTGGAAAAAGCCGGGCAGCGAGGAGAGAGAACCTTCTAGTCAGCAACTGCTTTTTTGTTCTCGTACGCAAACTCCAAGAAATCATAGAGTGTAAAGAGTTCCTTCCTGAATGCCGAACATGTAGATCTCTGCGGTGTTTTGTTGACGCCTTCCAGACTCAGAAAGCATGAGTCGGTCCGAGGTTCTTTTGTAGTCGATAGAGAATACAACTAGGCAGACAGAGCGAGAGCAGGAGGAGCAAACATGACCCAGAGGAGAATGATTTTTGGTTCTCGCTCTTACTAAAGACAGACATATTTCTCGTGCATATCCTTTTAGTTCTTGGGTATGCAAAATCCAGTGCGTGGATATGAGGGAGAAGAAGAAGGGAAGGAAAAAGAGTGTTTTACGTCTGCGAGGCGGTGAGAGTGACCGCCGTAAGAAGTGTAGCGTCATTTTGGTCAGCAAATCTCAGTGTTTGCGTAGTCTTTGAAAGGCGCGGTATGCGACGACATATACCAATACAACTTGGCGGCGTATGCGATCTAAGTGTGCGCTCGTAGCAGTGATGTTACCATACACATACGGTGCCTCGGAACTTTGCGTACAAAGCCACGACCATAGTAGAAACACGTTGATTTTTGGAGAAGAGCGGAGGCTCATGGCGTAGAGGTTTCGCGTTTTGGATGTGCCGCAGGACAGAAGGCAGAAGCGGCACATCGCAACTCACGCATATATATTTTTTAAGAGAAGCAAGCAAATTGTAGAGTATTGTGAGGAGAGAAGGAAGAAGCCTGTTAGATGGGAGTATTTATACTTGCGCAAGGCGCAATGTCATCAGAATATACGAAGTTGACTTTAGCAGAGGCGGTCCAGACATGGGAGCATCCTCTGAATCTGTCAAACATCTGGAGTTTTTCAACTAATTCCGTGAAGCTTTCCAGATGCGCTAGCGAAATCATCATCGATAGGAAGAAAGTTTGTTTTCGGCAGCGCGTTGCCAGGAACCCAAACAAGTCATCTTTTGGGTTTGTAGTCCCGACGAGGGGAGGCACCGCACATGATATTGTGTTTCCGGGATTTTGGAAAGTGTTTCTCGGTAGTTGATATGCAGGATGTCAGTGAACAGCAGCAGGAAGAAGTTCTCAAGTATGTTTTTTCTGCCCAATTAGTGCCAAAGCGCGGAGAACGGCAGTGAATCCGTCTCCCCTTATAAGAATAGTCCATGGTCTTTTTGCGGATGTTTGGCATAGTCAAGTTTACCCGCTTTTAACATCCCCTGGCGAGACAGTGACGCTAATAGTATGTTTGAGTAAGTCTCTTGTTGATAATACGAGGCCCAGATGCAGAAGTCAGCTTATGCGTTCGACGAGGTAATGATATAGTAATGGAACGGCAGAGACGCAGAAGCAGAGCCATATGATCATACCGTCGTTTTTTGAGAGTGAAGCACAGGGAGCTTTGGCTATGGAGAAGTATGAAGAACCAGCCTGTGAGGACTTTGTATACATCTTCCCCACCTGAAAAAGTCAAGGTCTCTCGTCGCACCAACCTATTATGTCGATAGAATGGAGAGGTGACGCCCAAGACCCATCATGACTGCATCGATTGGTTCGAGACCCAACGACCATGGAGTTTTGAAAATCTTGTAATCCAGGATATTTGGTGAATGTGTTCGCATTCCTGAGAGACAGGACACTCAGTCGCACATTTGAATAAGGGTTGTATGTTTTGGTGTAGGGAGATGCACATGGAGGCGCACACCATGGACGCTATTTGTACGCCGTTTCTTCCAGCCTTGGGAAAAGACAGAATCGAGGGTGTGTGACAAAAGAGGGGAAGAGAGGGGTGGGATTGGGATATTTATACACCACCAGCGAGGCACGTACAGAGGTCGGGGGATGAAGTTGAGATGATTTGGGATGCTCAGCTTTTTCATGTATTCTGGAAGCGCATGATCTATCATATTGTAAGCCATAGCAATATTTTGGTATACATAACTGCCGTCGTCCAGGCCATAAGCATGTCATCCAGACACACCCAGACGTATCCCAACTATCCAGACATCTACTTCTTCGCCTTCCCCCTCGATTTACTCCTCGTATTTCGACTAGGCGGCGGCGTATCCTCCGCACTATCAGCCGCAACATCCACACCCGAACTTTCATCCGCACCCACAATGATACCACCATCATCCTCTGTCTCCCTGTTATCGGAATCAATCCCCCTATCTACGCTCTGCCTCCGACCAGCATCTTTGGCTTTCCGCTCAGCCTCCCAGCCTTGCACAAGACGTGTAACATCGTCTTCGCGAGGCTTCTCCTTCCCGTTCCACGCACTGCATCCACCGCATCGCCATCGACCGACGTCTTCGAGGGTGCGGGCGCCGGGTGGTGCTTGTCCGTTGACGAGTCTGCACTCTGAACAGATCAAGACGAAGCGGTTCTTAGCCTGTGTTTCGTCTTCGCCAAGAAGAGCGTCGAGGATGCGGTCGTACCAGTGGGTTTGTGTAAAAGCAGCGGGTGAGTCTGCGGTATACTGCTTGGTCAGATCAGTTCCAGTACTGAAAGCATTTGGCGCGAATTCAGCTCCCGGAGCTTCTGGTGGGGGCAGTTGCTGCGGTGGAGACGGGCCTTGGGGTGACGAGACGTTCGACGGCGCCCTCTGCGGGGTATTCGGGACTTGCTGTGACTGAGGTCGCTGGATGTTTGCTGTTGGCGGAGGGGCCATGCCAGTGCGGGGTCCTGCAGGTAATGCTGGCTTCTGAGGGCCTTGAGACTTCTTGCGACCTGGGGAGTTGCCTTGTTGTGGCTGCTCGGGTTGCTTGGGCGACGCTCCATACTTTTCAAGCAACTGTTGTGTCGAGTTGAACTTGGTAGCTTCCTTCAGTCGCTCGATGGTAGCGTCGCGTTCGTTGTTCAGCTTCTTGAGGTAGTTCTCGGTGTTGCGAATACGGTAGTCGAAGTAGCCCATAAGCGCGTAGCGGATGCCGTAGAGCCTGGAGGGTTAAATAAAATCCATAATTGCGCGAGTATAGACATACAATACTGGCCCGCCAGCCACCACGCTTCCCTCAATGGGACCCCAATTCTGCCAACCCGTCACGAAAGTGAGCATCACAGCAACCAGAATATACGCGAAGCCGGCATAAAGCGTCCACATGACGCGTGCGCGTCGCGAGAGCTGCTTCTGCTTGTCATTGCGCGCGGCAGCTCTGTTGATCTTGCCGGTGAGAGTGTTGAGCGTCCTCTCGAAAGAGGCAGCATCTTCGCTACCCTGTCACAGTCAGCAATTGAATTAGCGTGTAGTTAAATCCATCTTACCTTCCAAGGCCAGAATGACACCATGTTGGCTCTGGTAGATCGCAGCCCGGTATGGGAGCTAGAATTCTACCGTTGAGGCCAGCGAAGCGTGCTCGTGTGTGGACCACTTCCAGCTTCGCGACGTCAGCGGGTGTCGGATCGCCAACAGGGATGTTCCTGGCATGAACGATATCACGTGCTGTCAACTTTCCTCGCGGAACTTCCGAGCGGAACTGGTCCTTCTTCACTACGCTTCTGGTTCCCTAATTCACACCCCCAACCTTACACAAAATGGCGCTAGTAGCATATCGGAATCTGCTGCGATCCGCGCGCATCGCTTTCGAAGGTAAGAGTCCCCACCTCTCGGATCAGTTTCGTCGCTCACACAGCACAGGCGACATGAACACCCTCTTCGCCGCCCGTGCCGAAGCCCGCAAGAAGTTCGAGTCGAACCGCGACCTACGAATTGGAAGCGAGGAGTTGCAGCAGTCATTAGTACATGCTGAGGAAGTGGCCAAGTTCCTAAGAGAAAACGTGGTCCAAGGACAAGCAGCGGACAAAGAGGACAACTTCAGTACGCTCGCTCAATTATGGTATTCGAATCAAATGGCTAAGATTGGCAGAGCTGCGGATACACGAGCACACCGAAAGAGGCGACAACGAGGATATCAAGAAAGGAAAGGGAAAAACTACATTGGGAGGCACCAAATGCTGTTCCTCCTAGGCTTTTATCCACACCAAATAAATCATGATACCCGTACAGTCCCAAACGCCGATCCAATGCAGGAAATGCAGACCTAGTTGCCAGCCAAACTGGCGTACTGAACATCGTCGTCTGCTCCTGGAGGTGGAGCAACAACCATGCTATCCAGGTTGTTCTGTGGTGCCGCCTCAATGGCAGCTTGAGAAGCAGCCGCCCGTCGCGATGAGCCCGCTGCTTGTCGTCCTTCCTTTGCGTATTGCATTCTAACATTCTGGTCCAAACTGTCCAGCTGCTTCGGCTTGCCCCAGGTCACGCGCATAGGGCAACCCTTGATGACCACCTTGCCCTTGAGTGTCCCCGCCGCTGTCTCGGCATCCTCGCGCTTGACGAAGTTGACGTATGCGCAATGCGCTCGATGTGAGCATACTAGCGACCGAAGTTGACCGTATTGTGTGAAGTGCTTGCGGAGCTCGTGTTCGGGAAGGTCGTCTTCCACACCCGTGACGAAAAGCGATGCGACGTTGGGGTCTGAAGGTGGCAGCCAGTCTTGTGGGTTTGGCTCTGCGGATGCGCCGCCCATGCGACCTCCCCTTCCAGGCCTCATGCCTCCTCGAGCAGGTGTACCTCGCGAATCTCGTGTTCTGATCGGGCCAGGAACGTGGCTACTCTCGCCTCCTGCGCCACCTCCGCCCGGCGCTGGTAATGCCTTTTGACTGCTCTCGCCCTCTTCGGCCTCTATCCGTCGCTGTTTCTTGTAGTAGGGTTCACTCTGAGCCAAACGCTTAAGCAAGTCGCGCGCCTTCTCATCCGTCTTCTCATATGCCTCCATCGCTCCTCGTCCCTCCTCGATCTCTCTCTCGTGCTCCTGCGCATAGTACTGTCTGTTGATGTCGCTCTGTGGGCCGGGCGCTACCATCTTCAGCGCCGCATCACGAACTACGATAGGCAGACCGAATGACAAATCGAGCATGCAGTGCTGACAGCAGTTCTTGAGGCGGGCGCATGTGAGGCAGATGTTGGTTCGCTTCTGTCGCGCGGTTCGGTCGGCTTTCCAACGGAAGATGGTGAAGGGTCGCGTGCAGATCTTGCATTCTGCGCCGTAGTCCTCCTTCAGCATCTGCACATATTGGCTATCCGGGAGGCATTTCTCGCAGACGGACGGGAAGTCAGTAGTCTCCCAACCGGATCCTGGACAAGTCAGTATACAGTACAGATTGCATGCGGTTAAGAAAGAGACATGACGTACGATTCAAGTCGGTCTTGATTTGCGGCGGCATGGTGATGGTCTGATGCGACGGCTGTAAAAATGTGGAAGGAAGTAGCAACGTAATCTCGCGACAACAACGAACGTATCCTGGGTCGTCGAGTACGCGATAGTGGGGCGCGGTGGTTGTTGCGACGGCGAGTAGTGGCTTGAAGGTGAGTGACGGTAGAAATCTAGGCACTACAGTATACGGCACTTACGGTCTTGGCTTTCACGCGCTCGGGTGGCGACCACCGAACGCTAGTGCCGTTGACCAGGGCCGCGTACAGAGTCCGTCGTGATTGGATGAGGCCAGTTAACCCCCTAAGAAATTCAAGTCCCAATCTCCTACCCATACCGCTCTTTGCTCTCCAGGGTCGTCCTTATAAACATTTCAGGGTCCTCTCTTTCCAATTGTTTATTCTGCTATCCGTTTCATTCACTTCAGTCCCCACATAAACTTGTATCACTCTTAATACCCATCATGTCTCCCGTTGCGCTCGAAAAGGAAGACCATACTCGCGATGCCGAGTTCAACAAGGCCATGCACGGCAAGTCTGCAAAGGCTCGCGGTGGCATGACTGCCATGTTGCAAAAGGACAAGGCTGCCCAACAAGCTGCTGTAGACGAGTACTTCAAGCATTGGGACAACAAGGCAGCTGGCGACGAGACCGAGGAGACACGCAAGGTATGCATAGGTGGCGTGTTGTACACTGTGTTTACTAACAAACTCAGGAACGACGAGACGAATACGCCACCCTCACAAGACACTACTACAACCTCGCAACCGACCTGTACGAGTACGGCTGGGGACAGTCTTTCCACTTCGCCCGCTACGCCTATGGCGAGTCTTTCTACAAGGCCATTGCCCGCCACGAGCACTACCTTGCCCACAAGATGAACCTCCAGGACGACATGCGCGTATTGGATGTTGGTTGCGGTGTCGGTGGTCCCGCTCGTGAGATTGTCAAGTTCTCTGGTGTCAACGTCGTTGGCTTGAACAACAACGACTACCAGATCGAGCGTGCAACCGCCTACGCCGAGAAGGAGGGTCTTTCACACAAGCTCAAGTTCACCAAGGGTGACTTCATGGTAAGATTGATCCAAACCCTCTCAGTACCCCTCACTGACTTGTGCAGCAAATGTCTTTCCCTGACAACTCTTTCGACGCCGTCTACGCCATCGAAGCGACGGTCCACGCACCATCTCTCGAGGGTATCTACAGCGAGATCTTCCGTGTTCTCAAGCCCGGCGGTGTCTTTGGTGTCTACGAGTGGCTCATGACCGACAAGTACGACAACGACAACCCCCACCACCGTGAGATCCGTCTTGGTATCGAGATTGGTGACGGTATCTCAAACATGGAGAAGATCGAAGTTGCGCTCAAGGCCATGAAGACTGCTGGCTTTGAGATGGAGCACCACGAGGATCTGGCGGACAGGGATGACCCTTACCCATGGTACTGGCCTCTCTCTGGCCAGCTGAAGTACATCAGCACCATTGGCGATATCCCCACCATTCTCCGCATGACCAAGGTTGGTCGTGGAATCATTCACAAGTTCGTTGGTGGTCTTGAGATGATCGGCCTTGCCCCCAAGGGTACCCAAAAGACTGCCGACAGTCTCGCCCTTGCAGCTGACTGCCTAGTCGCCGGTGGACAGGAGAAGCTTTTCACACCCATGTACCTCATGGTCGGAAGGAAACCCGCCAACGCATAAGCCTTCGATTCTCGCTTCCCTTTGCATTAGACTTCTCTTCGCATCTGGACCCTGTTGGTCTGCAGGCTTTTCCTTCGATATAGGAGCATCTTCTCCTCGCATTTGCATGACGCGCTTTGGAGACGCGTATATATACTGTAATAATTGGAAGTAGGGCACGGTCTAGGGACGGTCATGGTAACGCGAAAACGTGGTGATCATAGAGAATAGAAGAAGTAATCTGCCTCATCTGAGTGGAATCGAATCGTGCAATAAGCGGATAATTTTCGTCGTGTTTCAATCTGGTAGAATCGTACAATCGACATATTGCTTCACTATACGCCTGAGCAGCAAGCGGTCTACAATGTGTTGGGACGGACAAGTCCAAGATGCAGGTCGGGTGTTCTCGCTATAGTGGGGGCCGTGCACCAGAGCTGGATTGTTAGCGCGTTCAGGGCCCCAACGACTAACTTCGCATCCCCGAAGTCCGAAGAAATTGTACAGCAGAGCTCAGCGGCCATCACTCGCCCACGGCAAAACCTCACCACACCTCCACCCTCACACATCACCCACAATGGCTGCTTCAAGGCTTCTCCGACCGGCCTCCCGCCTCGTCTCGGCTTCGCGGCCAGCGCCCGCTTTCCGACCAGCTTTCCGCGCCGCAGCCATCACACCATCAATTGCGAGGAGAGGATATGCGTCGGGACAGAAGGAGATGACTGTGCGAGAGGCGCTTAACGAGGCTATGGCCGAGGAGATGGAGCGAAACGACAAGGTCTTCGTGCTCGGAGAGGAAGTCGCGCAATACAACGGAGCGTACGTGCCCACACCACACCATGAACAGGACGGACACTACTTGTCTGCGATAAGAAAGAGGAGGGTTCAATTGGGCCGAGAGCACATCGCAGGCCGTATATGACGAAAAACCAAGGCATGGTGCTGACTGAGCCCACAGTTACAAGGTCACAAAGGGCCTGCTCGACCGCTTCGGTGAGAAGAGGGTAATCGACTCTCCCATCACAGAGTCAGGTTTCGCCGGTCTGACCGTCGGTGCTGCGCTCGCTGGTCTCCACCCCATTGTGAGTTTCATAGCCTCTGTGACCAAAAAAGCAAATCTGACGGCGACAACAGTGCGAGTTCATGACCTTCAACTTCGCCATGCAGGCCATTGACCAGATTATCAACTCCGCCGCAAAGACACACTACATGTCCGGTGGTATCCAGCCCTGCAACATCACCTTCCGTGGCCCCAACGGTTTCGCTTCCGGTGTCGGTGCTCAGCACTCGCAAGATTACACTGCGTGGTACGGAAGCATTCCTGGATTGAAGGTCGTTTCGCCATACAGCGCCGAGGATGCCAAGGGTCTGCTGAAGGCCGCCATTCGCGACCCTAACCCGGTCGTGGTTCTCGAGAACGAGTAGGTTACTACGGACATCGGATCGAGGTTTCACGACTAACATAGCCAGGCTTCTTTACGGTCTTTCCTTCCCCATGAGCGAGGAGGCCCAAAAGGACGACTTCGTCATTCCTGTAAGCTACCCCGCCATCCTCCCCACTACGTTCAGATACTGACAAATCCCCAGTTCGGAAAGGCCAAGATCGAGCGCCCCGGCAAGGACCTTACCATCGTCACCCTCTCCCGCTGCGTCGGCCAATCCCTCGTCGCCGCCGAACAACTCAAGTCCAAGTACGGCGTTGAGGCTGAGGTCATCAACCTCCGCTCCATCAAGCCCCTCGACGTTGAGGCTATCGTCAAGTCCGTCAAGAAGACTGGCCACATGCTCTGCGTAGAGTCTGGTTTCCCCTCGTTCGGTGTCGCGTCTGAGATCATGGCGCTCACCTGCGAGTACGCTTTCGACTACTTGGAGGCACCCCCTGCCCGTATCACCGGTGCTGAGGTCCCCACACCATACGCTCAGAAGCTTGAGGAGATGAGCTTCCCTACTGAGAGCTTGATTGTGGACTACGCTGCTAAGCTCCTTAGGGTATAAGGATGAGGAACGAATTCAGAGGGCGTAGTGTAGTGGCTTCAGCGTATTGTACTCGATCGGTATATTGCGTTGGTGCTAGGCGTAGGGCTAGACACGAGGATTTGGGTTTGGTACTGAACTGGATTTGTATGATCAGACGATTGAACCACTTTTTTCGGCTGAGGTAGACGGCATTTTCGATTGCATGTACAAGTATTCTATTGCAACTCCATCTAACGATTGAACACATCCGAGACCTGGAGGCGGTGATGAAATGTGGTGGGAGTCAGCGAGTGATTGGAGTGAGTGGGCGAGAGAACATGGGCCGACCATTGCAGATCGTAGTAACTCTGGACGCGAGTAGTCTGTCTTTCTTTCTATCACATGCTGTTATCGAGGCTTATATTGTTAGGATCTCACCGCTGTTCTATATCGTTTAACATGTTGAACTCACTCACCTCAAAGCTATAGGATATGTTAGACGTCGCTTCTTTACACGATTCTCACTTTGTTTCTTTCCTTTCTTTCTCTACAATATATGCTCGCTCCGATGGATATGCTTCGACAAACGATATGGTACTTCATCCGAGATGAGCGATGAATGGCGCGTCGCCTGGCAATTGTTAGGAGGAGCATGGAGAGAGGTTTAGTATCTGTGCAACGGGTACGCCGGAAACGATGAGACTGCTGGTTTTCATCTTCACTTTTATCGATGAATCCGCATCTCGCTCTAGCGTGCTCCTGCCGTTTCAAGAACCAGCGTCGACTCTTTCGTCTCTCGATCAAGTTGAACTTTTTATTACAACAGCGCGACATCAATCATCATCTCAGCGAGAGCGTAACGTTGTCTGATCTCAAATCCGCTAAGATGTCGTATCACTACTACGATACCACGCCTCATTACAGACCAAGTGGAAATATGTTTCCATATGACGACGCCAATTACTGGGACTCGAGAAGCTCGCCTAACCCAAACAAGCCATTTCATCGCGCAAAACCACGAGACAGTGTAGAACGACTAGACGTAGAGGAGTACGTCGACGATGGCAACAACGATGACTGTACCTCGAGCAAGAATGGATATGACCACTACCACGACGAAAGCCACGAGAAGTACGTGCCTGAGCAGGCGAACGCTGGCCACGATGATGAGAACGCCCCGGGCGTGGCTGAGGGACAGCACTACTATACCGATGATGAGGCGGCCAGCGTTGAGGGAAGCCAGTACGCCTACATCCAGGATACGGACCCGGTGTATCACGATCACGACGATGCGTCAAGTGAGCCCGAGAAGGAGACAGATGATGTATGTATGCTCGCCACTCTACATAGACTAGAGACTAGAGACTAAAACATAAACAGTGGGAGATCCCAGAGCCGATCGGTACGGTTGCGGCAAAAGAAAAAGTACAGCTAGCAAAATCAATCCAGGATAGCATCGATCATTGTTAGCAAGCTATGACGGATAGCCGTGGCAAGTGTGATACGCAAAAGGAGGAAGAACGCCAGTTGCATGGAGTCGAGATGCACGCACTGGACGAGTTGCGCGAACTCATCAAGACCCATGAGCTCATTCATAAAAAGAGAGCGGAAACCAACCATCACCTACCCACGAACCGGGTCGTTACCCCAGCTCACAACGCGTTAGTCAAGGAAGACGTCAAGGAGGGCATGCTGATTGCGGAGTCGTTTAAAGCAATCAAGGATGAGAAAGCCACTACGCGCGCAAAGCTAGCGAGCCGACTTGACAAGGCGGAGCAGACATGCGAAAGCGAGTGCGCCACGTTCAGAAAGCAGATTGAAGGTCTCTATGGTATCGCCAGGCTTTTGAGCATCCAGCTAGACAATGCAGAACTGGACGGAGATAGATACAAGTAGCAGATCTAGAGCTTCCAAATTCGAATTAAGACTTCGGCGCATATTCAGAGTCGGAGTCGGACATTGAATAGAGGCAGAACCCATGTCTTGATGAGAGCACATAGCAGAAAATAACAAATGAGATACCTAAGCAATCGACACAAATCTAGAACAAAAGAATTGCTGGTCTCTACTTAGGTATCTTCACATTCGCCTTCACTTGTGACCTGGAAGTTTCGCGCTAGCTGCTGCTCTTTTTAGAAAACTCTCTGCCTCTGACCTTTGCGACACGACCTACACTCACCGCAAAAGTCGTCGTGACAACCGTCCGCAAGGGTCACGTCAGCCCACCATGTCGTCGAACGCGATCGTCCAAGGCCTGAAGCAAGGCAACGCCATCGAATTGGCCGTACTCAGGGGCATAGAAGAAGGAATGGTTGTTGTCGTCGATGGGATGATCAACTAGTGCTTGAACCACATCCATGGTTTGAGTGAACTGACGGAGAAGCTGCAATTGGTAAGCAAAACTATCTTTTAGGTTCGCGACGTAGACTAACTAGTGCCTTTAGAACGAGTCTAATGCTACGACCGAAGGCAAAACTATGTCTGTAGACCGAAAACTCATTCTCACGACCATCATCGAAGAAACTATCCTTCATTGCCAAGCTGCTCAGAAGCTCAGTCAGGCCAGTCTGAAACAAAAAGGAGGTGGAAATACTAGTAGCAGAACACGTACACATAGGCACGAGATGCGCAGTTCGGAGGAAGACGGCTGTCGAGACCCGCGCGCGAGAAAAGACCATGTTCGAAGAGCAACTACACAGCCTCCGATGCCTTGTAGAAATTGTAGACATTCCGTTGCGCATTGGAATAGCCGGTGGAATTTGCAGCATTGATAAGACAAAACAGGTAGTTTCTGATCCTGGTCTTCGCAGCAACACCACACTCTCTTAGTTTTGGAACGAGCTCACTCAAAGCGGATGAGGAACTACAGTTTGATCGTAAACTGAACTCAATTCGATAGTGTAAGTCAGGCAATCACTCTGAACGTCTTCGAGCGAACATGCGCAGTATCATGAACATCGGTACAGAAGGGATAGAAGACCAGTACGAGTAATGCAAATGTAACGAATACATGTCGACTATGCTTATACCCTGCCAAGGTGGGCACGATGACATTTCCGTGAACCCTCATCAACCCCTTTCTCTGGTTAATGGCATCCCACTCACGGTACCAAACTTTGCAAACTCAACCAGGGAACGTTTGGATTATGCCCTCCAGGATCGCCCACTTCCTTCCTCTTGAACTCTACTCTCCATCTCTAACAGCAGAAATAGCGTGAGGACTTTTCACAAGACCATCAACATGGAATGGGTAAGTGCAGTCTCTGTGTTCCTCGCCATGGTTGGTTTGCCAATATTTGAAGACTGTGTCATGCACGTCTACCATCGATACTTGCCTTGACACCACTGATCAAGAGCATCCAACATTAACAACTGTAACAGATCCGTAAGCACCGCGATGATCGTAAACGCAAAAGACTGGCGACTCGTCAGACCGCACTGAGGAACGCCCAGCTCCAACTTCATGCCGAACAAGCACATTTTGAGTCCGCAGTGGCGTCAGCTCCTATGAGATTCTTCTCAATACACCGCAAGCGGGGTGCGAGCACCAGCTTGACCAGATACGACCTGCTCGAACAAACCGGTGAAGAACCTGAATATCCAAACCAAGCGACAGAGGAAGAAAGCGGAGAAATACTAGAGAGTTCATTACCATCAATGGATGTCGAGAATGGAGTAGAGATACCCAGTGACGCATTTGCCACCCCACGGCCATCACAACAACTATTGCCCATCGACTCAATATCGAATGCCAGCCAGCCACAATTACCAACACCAGAGGTCCACAATGCTGTAGGCCAAAACTGGCTCGATCGAGTAAGCAGCACCATCCGCCGCAAGCCCACCATCAAAGAAGCCTACAAAAGCGGTGGCATCCGCTCAGCCTGGGCATGTACCCTGCCCCGAAACTGGAAGACGCGTAATGCCGCTGCCGCAAAAGCCCTGGCCGACAATGCTACAGCGCTGGACAAACCCCAGCTCCCTAGATCAATGGATGACATGGATCTTGATGACGAAAAGAGAAGTCCGCTTCCAATCCACTGGCGCGAGGGAGCAGAATCGCGACAAGCCTTTGCCAAGAGGACGAGCGGAATCGCTAGTTGTGACAGTGAGCTCGGGGATTGGAATAGTCCCAGAGAGTCCGGGGATGAAGATGGCCATGGAGATGGAGAAGAAGAAGTGGATCCGGAGTTTAGAGACTGGGCGAATCAGTACAAGATGCTGGTTGAGCAGTATGACCCTCTCGCTGATGCAAGTAAGCGTGCGTCGACTTTCAGTAGGCGATCAAAGCAGAGCTACAGTGACTACTTTCGAGAATCGTGAACGGCGGATATGGGTAGGTGGTTGATCAGCGTGAGGGCATACATGGTGTCTGGGCGACCTCGGGACTATTTTTCGCGATGTCGACTCCGAGTCCAGGACAGCACTGAGCGCATTTATCCCTTTCTTATTCTTCCACTGTTTCATCACGACACGAAGTGCGATCGCACCGCGCAAAACATACCCTGGTCCCACTGAATATGCTACGAATATCCTCAACGACTCTACTAGGTGGGGGTACGCCGAACACGCCATCATGTACAAGGAGGCCTTCAGCCACACTCGTACCAGGAGCGTACATACTGTTTGAGCAGCTACCCGAACACCTAACAGTAGCTGCTGAGAAAGACTTGGATAGGCGTTCCGTATGCGGGTTTCGCAAACATGCAATTTGACGCATACATAGAGTTAGGTGGAGGTGAAAGCGGCGCAGGACTTGGGTTCCTGTTTCTTGTGGACTTCTCATCATTCGCATTCTCGTTGGCGTTTCGAGGTGAAGGGAAGATATGTACCTGCATTATATTGTTCAGTCCTTGCTGTAGAATGAAAGTGAAGAGCGATACGTACATTATTGTCACAATACTAACTATTGTCAACATCTCATCTTCGAGTCGGAAGCCCATGATACTTAAGCACCCTATTCCCCTCCAACTCTTACTCTTTAGCAGCCGCCATACACATCTGCTCAACATCAAGAAACCACTTCACAGCACCAGCAACACCAGCACAATTCTCTCTTCCTTTCCCTTCCACCACCACAACAGCAACAATGCTGTCAACGCAGAACAAGCTGCGCATCTTCCTGAGTCTGGTGCTCACCGCCGTCTTCGTCGCGAGCTCGGATGAGCTACACATCGCCATTGGCGCCCTCTTTTCTTGGGCCCTAGGCCATGTCCTCATACATCGTCTTGCCCTGCCGATTGGGTTCCGACAAGCCCACTAAACCTACATCTTCGTGTCGTTTTGCCTGCTGGCGGGCCTGAACGACCCTTTCTACCAAAACACCTTCGGTCGACTTCTGGACCTCTTCTTCGAGCGAGACCGCCTCGACCCAGACGTGCCTGGGTCGGGCTTCACCGACTGGCACGAAACCTTCCGCCGCCGCAAGGCTTACGAGATCGATCTCGTATGGCAATTCCTTCGCGCCGCTTTCTTCTGGACGTTCGTCGCCATTTCTTTGCCGATCGTCATCCCGCTCGCCCACTGGCTTCACGCCAACATCAACAAGGAGACGGAGCTGGAGCGAGCTTTTGCTTACATAGAGAAGCATGGCGAGCGACCGCCGTGGTCGTACAAGCAGTCGGAACCCTCGGTAGTGTCCAAGAGGGACGCAAGATACAATCGCCTGAGCAGCGACCTCATCTTCATTTGTGGCTCTGGGGACGGGTATGAGGCGGTGATCGATGGCGAGATCGAGGGCGCCATCTCTCGCCGGCGTGCGTTGAGACCGAGATTCGCATGAGCGCTGGCCGCCATGCTGGTTCGATCGTGGTTGGTGTTCAGCCATCCTGGCGCTGGTCGCTAGGATGGTCAGGATGTGTGATTTGGTTCGGTTTGGGTTTGAGTATTATTGGGGACGGGTTGTCCTGGCGCTGGTCGTTAGGATAGCACAGATCGTTCGGTGCTCGCTTCGTAAATCTCTGGATTGGGTAGTACTTCGGGTCTTGTCTGAAGTCCTACCATTAGATACGTGCATGAGAACCGGTCTGGCATGTCCTGGTTGCAATTCCGAACGCTTCTTCTTCCGTCCTGCTATACCAGTCTTCTCAGATCTGCGTGAAGACCCCTACCGACTTCCTCTTCGTATATGAATCGTGTGTCTGGGCTCATAGGGTTGTTGATCATATGCATGGGCATTTGAACTGCTTCACACACATGCCTCATCAGATCCGGGAGTAGCTCGTTGATCTTGGCCAGCAGCAAAGGTATGAATTTTGACGAGCCACCAGGTAGCTTTGCTATCAGCAGCATTAACTGCGTCAAGTAATCAGGGGGACTGAGTTCCATTTGCGACGCAGGATACGATACAAAAGGTAGTACGTCCGCTAAGGCGCAGGCGATGTCGAATATCTTCTCAGTCTAGCATTATCAGCGGCGACATAGACTTGAGACGGGAACAACGTACCATACCGACCCCGTGGATCTGTAAACTCTGGATAGGCAGCTTCATCGAAAGGGTGGTCAGGTCTCTAGCCACCAAAATAGGGTATCTGAATGTCAAGCAATCATATACCGACTCCGTAGAGAGATAACCAAAGCGAGGGAAGAGTTCCCATAACTTGATCTGTAACCAGAATTGCGATATACGAACATTCGCAGTCTCTTCATTCGAGATTTCGAGTACCATAGGCAGCGCAGTACGAACATCGCGTTCAAGTTGTAGCAGCCACTCTTTACTGCAATCCTCAGTACATCCGTTCCACACTGCGAAGAAGACGTCACTAAGAGGCCGGAAAAGTGATGTAAGGTAGCGCAACCCGAGCTCTTCATACGCGTCGAGCGGATAGCTTGAAGGCGTGACAGTTAAAGTGATCGGCCGGTTTCTACGAACACCATGTGCTCTGGAAAACAGTAAGCGCCACACCCCAACTGTACAATCCGTCAACCTACCTCTCTGACACTAACAAAATCCAGAAAAGTCGTTTTCGTATTTTCGTGTCGAACCAGTCTTGATCCTCATCCTTTAGCATCATGAATAGGGTCGTTGCTTCTCTCAGATAGAACCATGCCTGACGGTAGTTTCCTTGGCCAGCGTACGCTCCGTATAAGAAGAAGGATATGTAAACGGATCGGGGGTCAAGCTGTGTGACCCTGGCTCGGTCCAGAGAAAGCAAGGCATGATCTAAGTAGTAAGTTTTCGGGTTTACTAGTGAAGACTGAACGGGCCCCCAGTTGGCATCATCGGTGATGTGCCCAAAGTTTGCGATGTATGCGCAGAAGGCAAATATGAGCTGACAAGATATGGGCGAAATCTGCATTCGTATAGCTTCCTCTCGCAACACATTAACGGGTAGAAGAGACACCAGCCTGTATATACGGTTCTCATAGACGCTAATGAACTCTTCGAAGACGCTCTGCGTAAACTCTACAGGCGTTGCTGTGATTGTGATAGCTGGCGACAGGGAAGCCTCCTGCAGGTCGTCAACGTCGTTCTGCGAGGTTGTCCTCAATTCATTGAGCACGGTAGCTCTTGGGCCTCGGTTGCCCCCTTGCCCTCGGGGTGCATTAAAGGTACATGCTAGATTTGCTGATAAACATCCTGCGCAAGGTTGCGAACCGTTGCATTTGGTCTTGCGGCGGCGACATGCATCACATGCTTTCGATACAACTTTCCGCGTTTTGGTGGCGTTATTTTGCATCAAGCTCGAGTGTCTAAGCGGTGTTCATGGTAGCAATTTGAGAGTTGGGAGGCGTGGTGGATGGGAGTGCCGACGCGTCGCGTGATACCGGTAGCCGAGAGATAGCTTACGTCATACAACAAGCGCGCATCTCCTATTAGGTCCTTGTCACAGCAGCGGAAAGATTCCATCACGACTCGGCATCGAGATACCAAAGCTTCCTAGCCTTCTACATTATGAATCTACCAAGTCACGTTTCGTAATCATGTGTGCCTCACTCCTTCCACTCCATCTTCACAGCACCCTTCTCATCAGCAACGCGTCCATGCCCGTACGGATCGACTTGCGTGCTAGCAAATTTCCTTGCACTGACTCGCTGCTCAAACAACATGTCGAGCTCACCGTACGTTCGGCCCTTCGGTTCTGGCAGTCTAAAGTACACCCACACCACAACGCAGCCGCAGGTACCAGCCCAGAAAAATGCCGTTTTCGCACCCCAAGCCCAGTTGGCATCCCCGAGCTGATAGTTTGTCAACACGTTGACGACGATATTGGAAATGTTGTACAGTGCTCGAGCGAGCACAATTGTTTTCGCTTTCAATCTTGTGGATGACATTTCCGAGACGATCGAGTAGGTTACTGGGCCAATCGTGAAGTCGTATACGAAGACGAAGAGAATCAACACCGCTCCGATAGCCCAATTAGAGGCCTGGGTGCCGGCAAAGGAGCATGATCCGACGATGATGAGGATGACGAAGAGTGCGCAACCACCCGAGAAGTGGATCGTTCGTCTGCCAAACTTCTGCATCAACCACCACGAACCAGCGGTACCGATCAGGCCAAGAGCGAGTGAGATCATCGACATGTTGAACGATTGCACGGTTGGAAGGCCTGCCTTTTGCATGAAGTACGCGCTGCTCGTTGTTAGCCAGAGTTCTTGCTGATTCCAAATCCGTATACTAACAAGTAGCCCATGATATTGGTCCCGCAAATTGTTTGAGCGATCCAAGTGAAGCATACGATTTCGGTCCGTCGGAGATCTGTCCCCTTGAACAAGTCCGCCCATCGTGTCCCTTCCGACATGTTCTTTTCCATTTCGTTGGTATGTTCAATCATGGCAATCGTTTCGTCGGCATTAAAGTTTGGGTCCTTGTCCGGCGAGGTCAGACGAAGCAATGCAGCTTTGGCGCCTGCCTTATCTCCCCTGCGAACATGCCACCAAGGACTTTCAGGTGCGAGAAACACACCGACCATGATTGGTAGGGGCCAGACCCATTGTACAGCGAAAGGAATACGGTAAGCCCATTGGTCTGGACGTTGGACCCAGCCGCGGTTCACACCTGCAGCGATGAACTGTCCCATTACCCAGCACCTTGGCAAAGTTAGCATCTGGTCTTGTAAGAGGCAGTTGAATGGGCTCACATGTTGACGAATGTGGTCAGAATCGGCCTCAGGCGTACAGGCGCCACTTCCGATGCGTACTGCGTTGTGAGTGTCTGGAACATGCCCCAGGGTATACCGCAAAAGACTTCGCCGATGACTAATGTCTGGACATTGGGTGCAAAGAACAGGATGAAGATGAAGGCAGTCATCGATATCAGAGCACCTATCATAGTCTTCCGGTACCCATACCGCTCACTGACAAAACCGTTGATGAATAAACCAATGACTTCGCCGGCTCGTGCTCCGTTCGATCTGATGCTGTCAGATACTATGCCATACCTCAAAGTTGGTTTCATGTGGAACTTACAGAGCACTCTGCCAACTCGCCTGAACACTGTACTTGCCTGTAGCAGCATTGAAGACTCCGTACTTGCGGTTGAACTGAGGGCTGCCGTACAAGCTACCCAACAACGCAAGGTCGTACCCTTCCATGATGAGAGCACTCGAGAGGACGACTGACCAACCGACCGCTTTTGGATAAAGCTTGATCGCTTGGATGAGGCTCATGGATTTCTCGTCGTCAGCAGCATGTTGGGCCTCCTCATTGGGCGCCGCATGCTGTGTCGCCATCGGTTGCTGACGGTTCTTGTCTGCCATCTTCGGATTGAATGGCAGGTTTTGGAAAGGAGAGACTCGAGTCGATGCAATATCGTCGAGGATTCATGCTGGATTTATAACCATCTACGAGTACAGGCGATCATAGTCAGGCTAGGGTGGTCTTTGATGCGGGTTAGCGAGAGCCCAGCAACTTGGAGCACCCCATGGTGCCCCAGCTTCGGCAAGAAAACCGCTCACACTACGCCTTAAATCGCTCCAGTGGCACTGAATAACGCCACCCGGGTCGTATTTACGAGTGTTTTAATCGTCAAATGACCGGAAGCAACACGGAGAGGCTGTCATTGTTAGGCGAAGCCTTAGGTTTTTCACGGAGCCAAGGCGGAGGCAACGCGGAAGCAATGCGGAAGCAACGCGGACGCCGCATTGCGGGGCTGGCACGACTCGTACAAGGATGCCAACCGTCCACAAGCGTTCTTTGCAACCACGAATCAGAAAGGTTATTACGATGGAGTACATGAGCGGGACCATCGGGGTGGGATGCAGTTGGGATAATGGATCTCTCAAGCCTGAAACCTTCAAATTCTCTCCGCATCTTTAAAGTCGTGCCTGAAGCGGTCATCATCTTTCTACGACCGAACTTTAATCGGCACATTCGTGTGGGATCAATAAAACATACCAAGTTATAGCCCACCTCCTTCCAAAAGCTCCTTGAACCAGAAACGCCGCAGGCTCAGTGTATACGGCGTGTTCATCTTTCATCATGTCACCACATGTAGACCTGTTCCACCACAAACGCGTGTGGTGGAAGGAAGCAACATTTTATCAAATCTACCCGGCATCCTTCAAGGATAGTAACGGTGATGGTTGGGGAGACATCCCAGGCATACTCGAAAAGATCACCTACATCGCATCTCTCGGTGTAGATGTGGTATGGCTATCGCCCATGTTCGACTCTCCTCAGATCGATATGGTAAGTACTATAAGATTCGAGACACATATGAGATATAAACTGACTTTTTGCACCCGAAACTTAGGGCTACGACGTTTCCGATTATGAGGGAGTATATGCACCGTACGGTACTGTGCAAGACGTAGAGAAGCTCATCAAAGCTTGTCACGACAACCACATGAAAATCATCCTTGACCTGGTTGTAAACCATACAAGTGACCAGCACGCTTGGTTCAAGGAAAGCCGGAGTTCGAAAGATAACCCGAAAAGAGACTGGTACTTTTGGCAACCAGCGCGCTACGATACTCAAGGCAACCGGATACCGCCTACCAACTACCGTTCATATTTCGCGGGTGGAACCTGGACATGGGATGAGCACACAGAAGAGTACTATCTCCACCTATACGACAAATCTCAACCAGATCTAAATTGGGAAAACGAAGACTGTCGGAAAGCGATATACGATTCAGCAATGCGCTTCTGGCTCGACAAAGGCATCGATGGTTTCCGAGTAGACACCGTGAACAAGTACTCCAAAATCCTTCCCTTCACCGACGCGCCCATCACCGATCCTACCAGTGCCATCCAACCTGCCGCCCAAATGTGGTGCAACGGCCCACGGATCCACGAATTCATCAAAGAAATGAACCACGACGTCCTATCCCACTACCGCACCTACGACGGCCAGCCTGTGGTAACAGTCGGCGAGCTATCAATGTGTCCAGATCCTGATTCCGTCATCCCATACGTCAGCGCGACGCAAAAGGAGCTAGATATGGTATTCCAGTTCGACATCACACATCTAGGCCAAGGCCCACCGGGCTGCAACGACAAGTACGATTTCGCCAAATGGGAATTACCGGATATGAAACACATAGTGGAGAAATGGCAGTGCTTCATCGAAGGAACAGATGCATGGACAACTGTCTTCAACGAGAACCACGATAACGGTCGCAGTATATCGCGCTTCGCCAATGACTCTCCGGAGTGGCGGGTTCAAAGCGGTAAACTCCTTGCTTTGTGGTTGATTGGTCAGACTGGCTCATTGTTCTTGTACCAGGGGCAAGAAATTGGCATGATCAATGCGCCGGCGTCTTGGGATGTGAGCGAAGAGTACAAGGATGTTGAAAGCCAGAACTACTGGGCTGAAGCAGTGAGGTTGGCGAACAACGGAACGGATCCTACGCGTAAAGAGAGGATTAAACGGGGGTTGCAGCTCATGGCTAGAGACCATGCGAGACTACCTTTGCAGTGGGATGGTAGTGTGAATAGCGGATTTTCGACTGGCGAACCGTGGATGAGGGTACATGATGAGTATTCTAGTATCAATGTTGCGGCGCAGGAGAAGGATGTCGATAGTGTGCTTTCGTTCTATAAGCGCGTGCTTAGGCTGAGGAAGGAGCATAAGGATGTTTTCGTATATGGATCGTTTGAGCTGTTGGATCCGGATGGGTTGGAGATATTTGTTTATAGGAAGAGGTTTCAGGGGAAGACGGCGCTTGTGGCACTGAACTTTACGACGGAGGAACAGCAGATGGAGTACGATGTCGAGGGCATGAGGCTGTTGGTGAGCTCGTATGGGAAGGCGATGGGGTCTGTGCTACGACCGCTTGAGGGAAGGATCTATATCGATTACTGAACCTGCGTAGAAACAGATGTACTGGCGAGCAATCGTAGAGTTTGTCAATGCGCTATCAAGGGTATACTACAATGCAAAACTCGCATTCCACTTCCCTCTTATTGCCCTACCCATCGCCCAACGATCGGAAGATACTTGTATAACTCATCGTACTCTTTGCCTACCCATCCCACCATCTTGCCGTCTCGTCCAACGACACCCAAACCGCCCGCTAGCCATAGTGCTGTCAGAGCCGCGCTGATTCCGTTGATGGTATACCATCTCCTCTTTCTAATCAACTCCCGGTTATCTTTTGTCATCCTGACTTGGCTTGGCGCAAATCCTAACCATTTGGCCGCGCCCCAGACGAAATGCCATACGCCGACTCCTACGAGTGCTGTAAAACCGGTGAATGAAACAGCAGGGTGTAGCGCAAAGCCGTGGGAGATATATTGGAGATTGATAAGCGATGAGTCTCCATGTGCGTATAGCGGGAGAATACGAGTAGTCCAAACGTGAAAACTGGCAAAAGGTACCAATGCGTAGCCTAACGCACTCGTCCCACTCAATTGTGGCCATGGAATTGTGCGCTTATCGCTTCGTGTCTCTGCACCATACCTCAGCAGAGCCTGTCTTCTTCTCCATAACCGTAGTGCAATTCCAGATGTAACGTGTGCGACGAGAGGGAGACCAACGAGGAGGGGTTCGGTGAGTGCGGATTGGTAGTATGGTCGTGTGAGCAGGAGGTAACGATTCGATTCGAGAACAGAGCGTGTGGCCAGCGGTATTATGGAAACATTCGTTATGTGGAGGGCAGCAAAGGCTGTAAAGGTGTAGGAAGAGTACTTTTGTATGCGGAGAACTACAGAGTAATGTGAGTATTGCACCTCCATATTTGAGGACTGTAAGTAGACATACGCCACCAGGCAGCCCCATGATCCCCCAGCCTCAGCCCCAATGTGTTCATTCTCCGGATACCTCTCATCTCCTCCGTCTCCTTCTCAGGTCGTTCCTGGTCCGGGAAATAACTCTTTTCTCTAAACTCCATTGGTGTGTCTTCAACAGGCGAAGGGTCGACTTCCGTAAGGCCCATAACACCCATATCGTCGTCCTCTATGGGCGGTAGATCTGGATTGACCTCCATCTTGTGGTCTGCGTTGTCGTGTTGCAGATTGCAGAGGTTAGGGAAATGCTACGTTGCTGAGACATGGAATGACGTTGATTCGGTGAGAGAAATAAGTGGGGCTTCGTTGGACCGAGGCGCGTGCAGTTGAGCCGCAACACCAAACGTTCTATCACCACAACTACGCGACTTTACGACCCCGCAACCTCGTAACCCCACAATCTTACGACTCGCTTACCGAATTGTTGGAACTGGTGATATAACAAGCTATCAACGCATCCGAAGACGGTCACACCTAATATATAAACGCGAACATGCCTCCAGTACGCATTCATCCTAATCACTCCTCCCCATGCATCCGTTAACATAACGCGCAGCGAAACAACCCCCTCCCAGCAGCAGTCCGCCTCTTCAACTGCACAATATGCGACAAAGGCTACCCGCGCCAACTCGACTACGAGAACCACCTCCGCTCCTACGACCACAACCACCGCCAACGTCTCGCCGATATGAAGAAGCTCACTGCCTCTAACGAAACCGAAAGCAATAAGCCAAAGCAGGGTCTAGAGATGCGCAGTATCGATGTCGAGAACGCAAATAAGAAGCCTGGTGTTGGGAGTCGGTTTACTAAGATTGGTGGAGGTGGTGCTGCAGGTGCTGCAGGAGGCAGGTTCAAGAAGGTTGGTGTTGCTGTCAGTGGAAAGGAAGGTGGCTATGAGGGTGCGGGGGCCAAGACCGAAGATAATACAGGGAAGGTTGTAGAGAGCGTAGAAGTTCCGGCTGCTGCTGCAATGCCTATCGTGGTGGCCGACGTCAAGAAAGAAGAGGATGTGGCCATGGCTGACGACGACGAGGGCGAAGAGATTACTTGGGAAGAGTACGACTTCACAAAACCAACTGGATGCGATCATGCTAGTTGTCCGGGATGCAAGACGGACGGCATTTGGAGCGGTGAATGGGTAACTGTTGATGCTGTGTGAGGTCAGGCGTTTGTCGTTTTCGCATTGACTTTCACACTGTCATTTCTCATCTGGAAAGCGGATAAGGTAGTAGTCGGGATTTCATCACATTGCATAGCGTCGGCGTTCAAGGAGTCAGCACTCGGTCCACGCTCACGAGCTTCTGGAAATTCGTAAGTGTGTTTCAATTGCTTTACAATCCTCGCATCTGTAGCTCTTCTTAGTCTCTTGAGTTCGCAGGTTCAGTTCTCAGGTATTACGCTTCCGTCCGAAGCCGTAAAGAGTAGTACTCTTCTCGTGCATCCTTCCTTGGTCACCTTAAACTGTCAAGCCAATACAGCGAACCACAAAAGCTCTGATCGCTGCTCAGACTGGCCAAGAACCTGTAGAACTTTCTATCCGCTCTTTCACTGCACCCAGTAACTAATCTCGGTCCAGTCTTTACCCCGTCGAAGAGCCCTGGGTAAAGGCACCAGACGTATAATGTAGTCATCTTCGTGTTTGGTAAAATGAGCACAGGGTTGGCGGGCGTTCATGCACCTGTCATCTGCACTCTCCTTGAACTCTCCGCCCTTGCTGTACATTACAGCTGTCGAGAACGAACCACGGACGATTAGATATCGGATGCACCTAGATCTGTCCATCTGCTTTGCCGGGTTAAGAGTGCATTTTGTGTACTCATGTGTCCTTGATTTGGTGAGCGACCACATTTCCTCAAGCCGTCGCATTAGCTCGGCTTGGACTAGTACGGGAAGGTTGTCAAAGTCTTTCAACGTATCGTGTCCCGATTCATCATGAACGCGCAGGTACATCGGTAGGTCAACTGGCTGTCGAGCTTTTTGATCTTCGATTGATCACTAGCCTCGGCTCCTGGCTCTTCGTCGTCGCTAGCAATCTCGATGGTCTCGTGCTCACTCCGTACCACGATCTGCGCTGCGCCCTCTTCGGCGTTTTGCGTTACAGCTGCATCAGTCTTTGCTCGCTTCAAGTTGTTGAAAGTTGCTGCAGAGTTACCCTGCTTATTGGATATAGTAACCGGTTCATGCGTGGAGACAGGATGTATGGCCAAGGGAGCTTGAGCGAGCGGTTGCTTTTGTAGAACTAGAAGAGGTAACATCGAGTCAGTGAGCTCACCAAAGGTGGCGATGTCGGACGTACCTAGAACTCCATCTTTTTCGCGAAGGAGAAGTAAGAGAGCATTTTTCACTTTGTCGGGAGGGAGATGCTCCACGATGTGACCACGGTCTGCCTCATCCAATTTCAGCAAGGCCTTTAGCAGACCATTGGTATCGGCGTTGACGTTCATGCTGCCTTCAGGTAGCCGAAGATAATCGACCACTCTCTACGACGGGTTAGTATCTCGTAGCAGGTAACAGGGGGCAAGTTGGGGGGAGCACGCCTGCCCGACGATGTTGTCTTGAACATCTTTGTCGACCATTAGGCAATCTTGGCATCGGACCCTTGAGGAAGGAGCGGTGGGCCAACGGTCACTCGTCTCTCCTACGAATATAAGTAGAAGATTCTAGAGATTACACAGTTGGTTAGAGTACGATACAATTCTTGACCTCTGAGTAGGCACGTATTCGCAAAGCGTAATGGCCATTTGGTTTCCTTCACTCTTTTAGCCCTTGATCCCTACCTTATACGCTCGGGCACGCTTCGCTCTCAACTCATGGTATCTCTCCTGTTTGTCTAGATCTCATGAACGCTTCAGTGCTCATACACTGCGTTTCCCTTCGTTCGTTTGCGTTCTGGTCATCACTTGCAGCAAACATGCCACATCTAAGAAGCTACAAATATCGGCACTACCTCATTCTCGTTCATCTGGTTTGACCATATCGAGCCGTATGATGACTACAAACCGTCCACATGGATCATCTCTCAGTACTGAACGCATCACAGTGTATTTAGACACACTCCTTAGCTTGACAAAAGCCATAGACATCAGCAGTTTATCATGTTTCAGCTCAGCTCGCACTGCTTTCATACACGAACTAACGGACCAACAGCTTGATCATATCGTCGGGAGGGCCTTACAACTTGACTTAACTGACTACGTTAGATACTGTTATATGGAATGGGTCAGAGAGTACGTTGGCGATTCGGATAAAGTTGAATTCGGCAAGTGTAGGTAAGCCCAAACACACGACTTGTGAGTCTCTGCTGATCCTATGGCTTGCTCTAGTGAGCACACGGGAAGCCAACGAGAGATTGGCTAACCTCTGGAACGTAACGATCGATCGCGCACCTTGTAGGAACAATCTCTGGAAGAGAGATACCAGGGAAGCTATACTGGTCGGCCTACTGGGTGATTGTGTGACATATGGTATACTCGACTCCACACGTAGTAAGCTATTGACGCAAGCGGACAAGGCCTTCATGCTGACAGAAATCAGCGCTTAAAGTACCTCGAGGCAACCCGAACTGGGTTGCGGTTTATGCGGAGAAGATCATGAACAGAATGTTACTCACAGAAACGGAGAATGATATTGCAATGACAGTGATCGTGAGGCGTCAAGCGGATCAGGAAACAGGGGTTGATGAGAGAGCTGGGTGGTTTCCCTTTGACGCGGACGGTAGTTGACAAACAAGAACGTAGCTAAGATACTTGAAGAATGCGCCAGCAGCATCGTCATGTCACTTCAAGCATCATCGTGCAAGCTTCTGATTATCGCTTTTGCCTCGTCCTGCAGCCGCTTCACCAGACTTTCAGCATCCTCAACACTATGCACAAGGCCGACCGCAGCCCCAGCATACGTAGCCAGTCTTCCTTCCGGACCCCATCCTGCATCTCCCGACTTCTCAGCTTCATCATGAAGTCTCTTCAATTCCTCAAACGAGACACCCGCCTGGTGGTCGTGCCAGCTTTTGTTCGTGATGCCGCGCGGGCTATATTGCTCGGGCCAACCCATCGTGCCTCGTAGATGATTGTATAGCATGGTTTTAGTAGTGCTTTGAGCACCGTCCGTGGCGCGTACAACCTCGTCCTGATAACCCTTGCTGATACGGGCTTCGGTTGATGCGAGAAAGCGAGTACCCATAGCCACGCCATGCGCTCCAAGGGCCAGTGCAGCAGTTATACCGCGACCGTCGGCGATTCCCCCGGCAGCTATCAATGACATACCCGAATCACGGACGTGATCTGCGACTTCTGGGAAGAGCGTCATGATGCCCATGCCATCTGTTGCTCTTCCGTGGCCACCTGCCTCTGTGCCTTGGATGACCAACACATCTGGTCGATGAGCACTTTTCGCAGCCTCTTCACTCTCCTTCAAGGTTCCGGTTTGGATCCAGATATGAATACCAGGAGACGCCTCCCGAAGACGAGCCGTCCATTCGTCCAACTCTTCTTGTCCGTGTCGAGGTGCGAATAGCCATGCAGCGCAAGGATGATGTTCTCCTACGGCTTTGGCTGCTGACTGAAGATCTCCGTTCCAGAGCTGAAACCCAACACCCACAGGTAATACGTTCCCAGATCGATATGAGTCTGGAAAGGTGGATTCCTGTATCTCCCTAAGCAGTTCACGCACCGTCTTAAGGTCTTTAGCAGTGTCTTCAGGTTTCGCGCCGGGGCCAATGAACCCCAGACCACCAGCCTTCGACACCGCGAGAGCTAGGCGCGGGCCAGACATGATTCGCATCGGTGCTCCGACAATCAAGGGTGAGGTCACCCACGGAAAGGCATTGCTAAGTTTCGTACGAGCTCCATTGGAAGTCATCACGTTGCGTATCGCATTCATCTGGATGCTTTTGAGATTTGTGTTACGAAGAACCGACTATTGGTATCGATTGTATTTCTGAAGTGAATTTCATAGAGTACAGTGGGGAGGACCGTTAAGTGTAGTCAGAACTCCGATGTACGAACTCTATGTTAGTCATACATTAGCTTCGTACGTCAACATCTCTGGCTGTACCGCAATAGGCATTTTGCGGCTGACAATGCCACCAAACTTCATGATTCCTACCAATGCCCAAAGAGTATTGAGACTTTTCCACGGAGAAAGCGCCTTCATTATGTTTTGATTATGTCAAGCACGCGATGAGGGGAACGCGCTCGCGTCTAGGGCGCGTTCCCATGACTAACGAGAGAACGGGCCGACTTCTCACTTCCAGGGCTACCGGTAGATCGAGAACCTAACGTACCTAGCCACGTTCTACCCAAGGAATGTCGCACAATAGCTTTTGTGATTATGGGCAACACCATAGCATGGTTCGAATGAAAATCGGTGGGCTCAAATACAGCTTGCTCGCAATGGGTACGAGCGCCATCTGCGGAGTGAAGCCAGTCCGCCGTCCGTTGAGCACCTTCCTTCCGGTTTCGTCCGAGCGTTTCAAGTCACACAGCAGCAACAGTCTGGATTGTGAAGATGATTACGCAGAACGATCTCAGGAAGCAAACATTGAGACGACTCAAGTAGAGTGAGCTGTGCATTGTCGTTGTGCTAGTATGTCAGAATGTCAGAACGTCAGAACGTCAGAAGGCGGAGGATTGTACCTTAGTTGGCCTGACTTGCGGAGTCAGAAACAGCGGGACTCCGCACTATGGGTACGACGCGAGCATCAACGGATACCAACGCATTAGAGTATGCAACGGTTGCTCCGCATGAACGGTTGGCTACGAATGCTACTTCCGTTAGAATTGAAACCGGACGAACGCCTCGCATTGCTCTTGCTAGCTATATATCTAAGATAGTCTTTCCAACAGCATCTTCATCAAGCAGCAACATAGCTCTATCCGAACAAAATGGTCATCAAAGTAGGAATCATCGGTCTCAGTTCCGTTACCACCAATGTCTCCGCCAGTCCAGGAGACAGTTGGGCCGCAAGGTACGATGCCCTTGGAATATCCAACATGAGCCAAGCTAAACCTTTTACTCAGCGCCCATCTATCATACCTACTTGCCTCACCACACTACGAGATAGTAGCCCTCTGCAACTCGAGCGTCGAGTCAGCGCAAATAGCGGCTCAACGCTACGGCCTACCATCTAACACCAAGGCATACGGTAATCCCGAGGACCTCGCCAAAGACCCCAATGTCGACCTGGTAGTCTGCTCCGTCCGTGTAGACAGACACCACCAGCTAATGATGCCGGTCATCGAAGCAGGCAAGGACGTCTACGTCGAATGGCCGCTAGCATCCAACCTCACCCAAGCCACAGAAATGTACCACGCAGCCCAGAAAAGCGGTAGCAAAACCATCGTCGGCCTACAAGCACGCTCAAGCCCCTTTGTCCAAAAGATCAAAGAGCTAGTAGAGAACAAAACCGTCGGAGACCTCCTCAGCTCAACCCTAGAATTCACTGTCGGCTGGGCAGGTGACGCCGAGCCCCCGGCAGCCGACTACTTCGCCAAGAAAGAAAGCGGTGGGAACTTTCTTACCATCCCCTTTGGACATACCGCAGATCCCGTGTTCCACGCGTTAGGCGGCCTAGAAGAAGTTTCCGCGCTCTTGACTACACGCTGGCCGAAAACCAAGTTCCTCAAAGCAGATGGAAGTTTCGATCGCATGATTGAGCGCGAGACGCCTGATCACGTTATGTTGCAGGGTACTCTTAAGAATAACGGTGCACCCATCTCCATGGCGGCGAGGAATGGCCAGGGGTTCAAAGATTCCCCGAACCTTGTCTGGAGAATTTTCGGGACCAAGGGCGAGATTCGTTTGACGTCTGTGGCGATGCTCAGTCTCGCGCTTGGTGGGGAGAAGCTTGAGGTGTTTGATCATGAAAAGGACACAGTAGAAGTGGTAGAAGTGGAGTATGCTGAGGAAGTGAAGGACTTGGCTCCTTTTGCGAAGAACATCGGTATGTTGTATGAGGGCTTTTTCAAGGGATGGGGTGTGGAGCATGGATTTGTGGACTTTGAACAGGCGGTTGGTATGCATACCGTTATTGATCGTATGGAGAAGAGCAGCGAGGGCAGGAAGTACGAGAAGATGACGTTGTAAAGCGCTGCACTCGCTCCAAAATGAATTGTATACAATAACCAGGAAATCCCTATAGTACCCTTTTCTATCGAGCACATAGTGTACACGAAGACATTATAAAACGCTACAGTGTATCCGAAAAAAGTCAAGCCGCACCAGTGCACTCTAAAACAACCCCTTGTTGCCATGAAAATACAAGAACTTTGAAACAATAACCCTAATATATAACAATCAAGAATCAGAAGCTCCCGTCGTCTGCATCAAAAAACTCAGTCGAAGCGCTATCTGCACTCTTCCAGCTCTCCCTTGGAATCTTGTCTCGGAGCCATGTCAACACAGCATCCGTTCCCTTTTGAAGGACCTGTCGATTGGGTACCCTGAACTTGTTCCCTTCCACTTCAAAGCCTGTTAATGTGCCCTGTAGCAGTCCGATACGTGGTTCCAGACGATCAATATCGTTGTTGCCCAAGTTGACGATCCTGAGATTTTGCAAGCTGTCGGCAGATACTTCAGAGATCTTGTTGTCGGACGCGAGAAGAGTCGTGAGCGAGGGAAAGGTTACGTGGAGGGTCGGAAGCGCACCGGCTAGCCGATTTATCGAGACGTCTAGTGTTACGAGCAGAGGCGCCGTGAGATACGTCGTCAGGTGCGTCAAAGAGTTAATCTTGTTGCTGGCAAGACGAAGATCGCGAAGTTGGGGAAGTTCGATGGGTGCTGACAGTGGAATCTCGATATTGTTCCTGGATAGATCCAGTAATGTCAAGTGTTCGAACTGTGCTGCTATAGACGGGATGATGTCGAACTTGTTTCGCTGCAGCTGCAGTTGCCGCAGTCCGTTAGTGAAGAGCTCCAGGGTGATTTCATCAAGCTCTAATTCAGACATGTTCTTGTCTGCAAGGTCTAGTGTGCCTGACGGTGTAAGCTGCCATTTTGGCTGAGCCTCTTCGGTGACGCTGTTCTCGAACTCCTCATCCGCGTCGGCTGGCAGCTCAGTAGCTGGTAGTCGCGATGCCAGATCGCGCTTTATTTCATCAGTACCCATGGTAAGGAACTTGCGATCGCGCAATGGGTTCGCTGCAACTGTGAGGTGTTCCAAATTCTCCATCAAAGCTATTTTCTCGTCAAGTTGAGTAATGTCGTTGCCCGTAAAGTCTGCAGTACGTAGCTGTTGGAGCGTCGCAAACCCTTCCGGCAAAGCCGGAAGTTTGTTCTCCCCAACCAAAAGCGTGGTTACGCTAACCCAGGTAAAGACTTCAGGTAACGACGTTAGTCGGTTTGTGGAAACATTGAGCGTCTTAAGAGCAGGCAAATCGATCGAGTCGCCATCGCACAGGGATGTCAACGAGTTCTGTGCGACATTCAGTTCCTGCAAGTGAGGTACTAAATCTAGGCTGAGAAGTGCGCCCTCAAGACGGTTCTTCGGTGCTTGAAGCTCAATGAGAGTTGCAGAAAAGACTTCGTTAGGAATAGACCGAAGTTGGTTCTCTGATACGTTGAGTATCCGTAACTGCGTCAGGCGCTGTAGATCTGCAGGTATGCTTGTCAACTTGTTCGACTGCAGTTCAAGGACCTCCAATGCTGCGAGGTCACATAGTGCCGGAGAGAGGTCTCCGCTGAGATCGTTCTCGGCCAACTTCAGTTCCCGCAAAGTCGGTATTTGAGCGATGACGTCCAACATTTCCATGGGTAGCTTGTTCCGTGACTGCCGATGTTAGTTATGAGCGATCGTAAGTTATGAGCGAATTTAAAAACTCACAAGGTTCAACTTTGAGAGCTGCGTGAGTCGTCGTAAGCCTACGGGCAGCTCTCGCAGCATGTTGCCGTGAAAGTCGATACTCTGCACTCCCCCAAACTGAGGTCCTGCCTCGTCCGAATCGACCATGTCTTCAACTGATACATCAGGGAACATGCTGTCGGGAAGTATCTCAAGCTCATTGTCTGCAGCTAAGATAGTAGACAGGTCGACAACCTCGCCCCAGGCCACTTTGGTATCGTTGGGGTCGTATATATACATAGAAAGTACGTCATCAGGAATCTCCTTCAGTCCCATTGCAGCGATATTTAAGCGGCCATCTGATCGAGCGCTATCGATGCGTCTGCGTAGCACAGACTTGCCGCCCTTGGAGCGCTGATTGAAGGGATCGTCATCGAGGCCAAAGTCAAAGGTCGCAATCTCCGCAGGATCGGGTATGATCATGTCGGTTGGAGGTGTGTTATTTCTAGTCGGCTCGGTCTTTTGCTGCTTCGCTGCTGCCCTGGCCTTTGCAATTTGTTCTCTCAGAGCGTTGGAAGAGCTTGCGGCTTTTTGAGGTGCTTCAGCTGGTGCGTCTTCAACGTTTGATTTCTTGGCGGCTCTCGCTTTCGCAATCTGATCGCGAAGGGCGGTGGAAGAGCTTGGCATCCTTCGAACGGTATCGGGTGTCTTCTTCACAGGGGTATCTCGGACCGGCGAGGACGTAGCGGTTCCAGGAGGCGATATTGCTTGACCAAAGACATTGTTCAGAGACGGCCGAGATTTGGGTGTTCGCATAGTGAGACTCTTGCTGTTCGTCAAAGGGCGTGGTTTAGGTGTGTTCTGTAAGTTTTGCGCCGGAGCCAATGGCTGTTTCTTGACAGTTGACATCGGTTGTAGGATTGAAGAACGTTTGCTGGGCGTCGCAGCAGGCGTGGTGACATTCGCACTAACGCTCCTTTTTCCAGGTGCAGTCATAGACAGTCTGTTCGAGGGGACACCGAGCCGCTTTGGTGTAGCTGGGATGGGATGCGGGGCGCCATCACTTGTAGATGGCCTGCTGCCGTTGCTGTTGGACATGGCTGACGCTGATCGAACTGGCGGAGGCATGTTGTTGTCGGCATTGAAGAAGCTTGACCGGCGTCTTCCCTTACCTGGTGCTGGCGACGATGGCAGCTGGGACAGACTCTCTATTGTCCTTTCTGAAAGTGACGGCCGGCTCTTCCTCTTCTCCGGCTTTACTGGACTGATGAGCTGATCATCAATGGCTGTCTCCAATGATTCGGGCGAGAGCTCATTGTCCCGAAACCCTGCCCTCGAACTTGCTCGCGAGGATGCCCTCGAGGCTGACCTGAAGCCTTCCAGGCTCCCCAGTGTATCATCCTCCTTGGCAGGGTTTGACGAGGATGTGGGCCGCGAAGCATTCGTCTGACGCGAGGGTGGACGGGCAAATGGTCGCTTGAAGACAGGCGCGTCATTGGTAGTCGGGGCGATGGTCGAGGTTCGTCGTTGGCCAAAGCTAGGAATTCCACTCACTCGACGGGAGGAAGTGGACGAGGAAGCGATGGATGTCCGGTTGGAGCTCGAGTTGGCAGGAGCAGGAGCAGGAGCATTCGATGATGTCAGGGGGTTGCTGGAGTATGCGAGCGATGCTCTCGACGACTTCTTCTGTAGTGTCGATGTGGTTGGGCGCGATATGGACGAGAGAGACGGCTTCTTGCGCAATTGCTCCGTGGACGCGGGTGCGCGCAGCTGGGAGTGGCTGTTGGAGGGTCTGAGCACTGGCAGTCGAGACGCTGGTGCCGGCCTGGGGATGCCAGACGGGCGCGGTATGGACGAGGACTGGTCCATGGTGATGGTGTCGCGCGCTATACGATGCAACGCCTAAGGGCTGGGAAGTCGTTCATGCAGACTGCACGGCACAGGCGAAACACACGTCCAACCAGAATAAGGGTCCTCGGCTTGTCGCCAGGTTGCTTTTCGACAGCCAATTCTCCGCGCCGGGTGCAGATGAGCGTCTGAGCGAGCGGGAGGCGACCGTTGCCCCGTGAAACCAGAGGGAGCGTCCATGTTTCCATTACATTGACAGGTCGGGCCTAGCGTCCGGTTGGTGGAGCAGGGACAACCGGCGGGTCCTTCCTCCAACCTCGCTCCACGCGCCTTCCGCACCGACGACATCGTCCCTCCACACACCCAACACTTCCCTCCGCAAGAGCCACGTCTTCTGCAAACGCCTGTTCACTCCCGTTTGCACGCTATCACGGTCGCATAACCCCCGCGACACCTCTTTGGCAAACGCGCACCGACGCGCATCCCTGTCACCGCCGTTATCGTATTCGTCGCCTAGCACTGCTATACCGCGTCACCAGCGCTACCTTTTCAAGCTCTTTGACTCTACTCTTGCCGCGTATCAGAGTTGGACTGGACAAAGCAAAATTCTTCCCGACCACACGCTATCTTCTCGACCAAACATAGCCTTGATATCTTCCTGACGTGTCGCACACTGCTTAGGCCAATTGCGCCTGAGGCAGAATGGATTCCTACGCAACGCAGCACCAACAGTCGCAGGACTCACTGATCCCCACCACCGAGAATGCGCATCCTGAAACACCGCCCAAGCTTTGTTCTTCATCGCCTGCTGAGTCGGCAGCACTCGCCATGTCAAAACTCGCGTCCCCAGACAATGTCAAGTTTACCTCCCCCGCACCCCGAACTACTACATCTATGACCCCTCCGCCCTCTTCTCAAATTCCCAATACTCGTGCTGCAATGAGGACGCCTAGTCCTCCAACCCCACAGCTCACATCTCCCCCACCAACCAGCAAGCTACCCAACCAACCGTCTGCTTTGACAGACATGGGTGCAGGCCTCTACCCGCAGGATCAGGTCAACAGCGCCTCTGCTGAGGAGCTAAGGTCTATGGTGAATAGTCTATCTAATGCGCTACGCGACATGCGACTCTCCGCAGCGCACTACAAGCTTCAACACAACATGGCTGTCATGGAGAGTCAAGAATCTGCAAGCCGAATGGCTGTCGAGCTTGCCATGGCTCAGAGAGAGCTAGACGTTTTGCAGCAAGCTGAAGAGAAGCGCCGGAACAACATGGTCACCCCAGAGCAGACGTATCAAGAGTCGGCAAATGCAGCCAACACGGTCATGCTATCAGAGATGGGCCGCCAGAACCAGATGCTGCAGAGCGAGAACGAGGAGCTTCGTGACATGCTTGAGCAGCAGAAACGTTTGACAGAGCATCGAGAAGGCGAGCTTGCTAGCCTCCTAGATGAAAACGACCGACTGAAGACGAGGATTCGCAAGAACCGCGATCACATTGCACCTCTTCTTGAGCAGATTGAGCAATCCTCACCACGGTCGAATTACGGAACCCCACATCAGCCAACTCCCAGGAATCGCGTCCATCAAGTGCCACCTTCCCTCTCTGAGGAAAGCAGAAGCCAGAACAACTTCGAAGCTCTTCTCCTGGCTGACAAGATGCTGAGCCAAGAGGTTGCTACTGCTCCCACAACGCCTATCAGGCAACACATACCCAAATCACGCTTCAGTCACCAACGAGGCGCACAGTCCATGTCTTCGCTGCCACAAACACCAAACCGAAGAGCTGCGTACCCGCGCGCTGAGGTACCCCGCACACCGCCACTTTTCGTTCCAACCAGTATTCCCCAATCAGCACCACCAGCGCACTACCAGGCCAAATTATCCAACACACGTCGTCAAAGCAGCAACTCGACCATCACCGCATCCAGCGCCGATGAAGAAGAGGCGTTTACCGACCGGGAAGAAGATGAAGTGCCCGAGTCCCAAGCCAGTCAAATGGCGAGAAGTCTCCTACAAAGAGCACCACCCACTAAAGGCATGATGTCTGCCCCACCGCCAGCCCAGCCAACAAACCTCGTGCAAAGCAAAATCTTCGGCCAAGTCAAGAAAGGCTCTGGCCTAACCCGTGCCGGCGAACTAAAGCGAGGCCGCATGCCCTCGACAGCGGATCTCCGCACTCAAACAAGTCCGCCGAAACGCGGACGGCTCGATCAAGGTGTAGGTCTCGGCATTGGTGGCTTGTTGCGAGAGTAGTAGATCCTGACCATATGAGGCAGGGTTATCAAGCTTATTAAGTTTACGATTTCATGATTCTGGGATTTTGGTACTTTTGAATACTCTGGTTTGGATACCCTTCTGGCGAATGCTGCTATTTGAGCATGGCGCTAGCTAGCTTGCTGATTTTGAGGTTGGCTGACATTTTATGATTGTTTATGGATGGTGGATGATGGTCGAAGAAGATACACCATGGTTTAGGTGTATATGATGAAAGTGTGGGATATTAGTTAGACAGATCAAACTCAATGTACATGCGCATTATCCGCCTCCAAAGGCTCTTTGGCAGCCAAGATGCATACGTGTTTTGAAACGAAGCAAGACCATGTCTTGGATATAGCGAATGCTAAGCATAAAGGCTTCTAGTTCAGTTTAGTAGACAATCTTCTCTTCATCTAGCTACTAGGAATACCATACGTAGGGGACTCCATAAACTGATTACGATGTAGAATTGCAATCCAAAGAAAAGAATTATTGTTGTGCCAAACTAGTTCTACGAGAAAGTAAAAAAGTGAGATATTGTGCAAACAGCCATGTGTTATAGTGGAGATGACCACCTAGGACTGCATTAGAATAGCCAAGATACGGCATCTCGTGCTTGAGTAGTTCTTTCCATCTGAAATGAAAGCTCTAGTATCGAACTGTCAATGGTGTTGTAGCGCAAGACCCTGTCCGCCAATCACGCTAACGTCGGCGCAACGTTTTGCCGGAAACTCGGTTCGCGCACGCTAAGCGGCCAGATCGAAATTGGCCTCCGAACTTCGAGAATTCTTCCCCGACAGCCGTACGATAACTAACCAACAGGTCAGCCATCGAGGTACGTTCGCCATTTCCAAGGCGCGCATTCGAACGAGCACAATCAAACGAAACCGCCGTCGACACTGCGCGCTACCCCACGACTACTCGAGGGAAGAACGAAGGCTGATTAGGGCAGACAATTCGACACAATGGCGATCAAGCACAACCAGCAGATCCAGAAGAACCATTTCCACAAGGACTGGTGAGTTTGCGAATTGGACGACAGGGCACGTTGTGGCATTGTGCTAATTTTTCTCAGGCAACGCTATGTCCGCGTGCACTTCGACCAGGTAATTCCCCTCTCACGTCGCTGAGAGTAGTGGCGCCTGTGTGCAGATTTCTGACAGTGCAATAGCCTGGCAAGAAGAAGTCCAGACGCAATGCTCGTGTTGCCAAGGCTGCGAAGGTAGCCCCCAGGCCCGTCGACAAGCTCAGGCCCATCGTCCGCTGCCCTACCGTCAAGTACAACCGCCGTGTCCGTCCCGGCCGTGGTTTCTCTCTCGTTGAGCTGAAGGGTACATTTGCTCCTTCCGATTGCGCATAACGCTGCTAACATCTAGCAGCTGCCGGTATCCCCCGCAAGTTCGCCCGTACCATCGGTATCTCGGTCGACCCCCGCCGCCAGAACCTCTCCGAGGAGGGCCTCAAGGCCAACGTCGAGCGTCTCCAGGAGTACAGGAAGCGCCTCATCCTCTTCCCCCGCCGCAACGGCAAGACCAAGCAGGGTGATGCCTCCGCCGAGGACGTCAAGGCCGCCAAGAGCGCTGACAACCTCGTCCAATCCACCGCCGCTGCCCTGCCCATCAAGAACGTTGCTCAGTTCGAGGAGGGACCTATCAAGAACTACGAGGCCACCGAGAACGCCTACCGCAAGCTCCGTGAGGCCCGCTCCGAGGCCCGCCTCGTTGGTGTCCGGGAGAAGCGCGCCAAGGCTAAGGCCGAGGAGGCTGACTCCAAGAAGAAATAAGCTACACGCTAAAGTAGCTGTTTGGTTCTTTGCTATGGCTTACGACAATACAAAAGTCAGGATTACGATTCGACAATGGGTATTCCCAGCGTGGGCTTTCCCAGCATGGGCGGCGTCATGGTTAGGTCTGTCAAAATAAATGACAGCATGTGAATGATACCTAGTTTTGCAAAATGCAAGCCGTGCCTCCCGTTATCTATCTCATCTTTTCCCCATCACAGGATCTTCCTTTTCGCTACTGACCATATTCTCGTATCCTTGCCGATGTGATTTTTGAGTGATTCGACTGTCCTTGGTAAAGGAACATAGCTTCATCTACCTGATCCAAGATTTTTCAATTTCCGCGGTTCAATACATTCACATAGCACATTGAGAGGCCCCAAGAAACGTTGTTAGCCCGCATCGAGCAAATTCCATCGGCTAACAAATATACGGCTCTGGCAACATCCGCGATCGAGGTTCCCTAGCTCGGTCGACATTCACCAAAGATTAGATCAATTTATCGCTCACCTCATGTCTTATTGGTGTTAAGCGCTTCTGAGTAAAGGGACGCTGCTGCTTAGTGGGGTTCCAGTTGCTATGATAGCATACCCCACCTCCACCTCAACCTCTCTCCATCGCCATAAATCTCACCTCACAACAAAGTACCAACATCGACTAGAAGTAGATCAAGCATCTGATTCGCATACTGTGCGGTAAGCCTCTAGGAACTTACTCGTTCTCACGATCAGCAAAGGTAGGTTTTTCGCGCGCCCCCTAGTCTTATGTTTTGTTCACAGCTTCCTTTGTTTTGATATTCCCATATTCCCAATCATATCCTTTCTGCATCTATACTATTTACCAGACACGATTTTTTTACTTCTCTTTTTGTTCATCTGAATCATTCAATCGCTCATCTATTAATCATCTCGTCGTTTCTTTCGTATCTCGGTTCTCACGGCTAGCTAGCTACTGCAGGTCCACTACGGTAACTGTTTGTCTCTCCGTATCTTCCCTCTCAAAAGAAGCAAGACTCAAATCCACAATGGTACTCAAGAACAAGGACCAACTCGTCGCGACACAGGCAAACGCTACTGAAGCATTACTCGCAATCGAAGCATCGGGTGATCTCAGCGATCAATCAAACTCCAGTTCCGACGATATCATCTACACGCCCCCAGAAATCACAACCAACGACATGACATCTTTACCAGACAGCGAGGGTACTTTGCCTTCCCTCCAAGCGAACAAATCACAAGAAGCCGCTGATACCTCATTTGCTATCATATCAGCATCCCACAGCCCCATCCCCACCCTTCAAGACCCCAGTTCGGCCAACATTAGCAAGCGCGAGTACATTTACTTCCTCCCTTACCCACTGCCCCCAAACACTGATATTCCATACTCGATCCACCTCCCCCACAAGAACCCGCTGAACCTGCCATCCCACCAATTTGAGCCTACAACCACCTTGGTACTAACAAGCCCCAACCACACTTTTGTCGACATCCGCATCTATAAATCCTTCAAGAACCCAGATAGTACCGACTCCAGCCCACTCCCCTCAGCGCAATCCCCCAACCGCGGAAACCCTCAACACCTAGACTGGGCCTTCTCCGGCACCTCGTCTTCTGTACCCATCACCCTACCACCCAGCAGCCCCCACCACGGCAAATCCAAAAAGCAGCTTGAAGAAGAGACGTGGGAGAACGTCACACACTCAACATGGACGCACTGGATCGACTCGCGGCATCCGGTTGGTAGTAAGGATATTCCTGTTGATGAGGGGGATATGTATCCTATTGCTCCGGGGCTTACATTGGAGGTGGGACATGGGTTTCATCCTGCGCTAAACGCGGTGAAGACGCATGAGGAGATGTGGAGGGATGATGATGTGAGGAGCACGAATAAGGAAGGGAGTAAGATTTGTGTTGTTATGCGGTGTCAGGCTGATGCGGCGGGGGTGAGGGGGGTGGTTGTTAGATTGGGGCAGTATTGTCAGGGTATCATGATGGCTGGTGAGAAGACGACGGTTGAGCGATGGGAGTGGAAAGATGAGCATGCTGGGAAGGGAGAGGTAGAGAAGTGGAAGAGGGAGATTAGGGTGGGTGATGGGTTCGTGCCTTGTGGGGTTGCGTTTAGGCCCGAGGTGCTGGGAGTTGGTGCCGTGGTTAAGTTTCATGACTTTGAATGGACAGTGGAGGAGTGTTGGGAGTGGAAATAGGGGTAGTGATGCTGAGATGGCGATAAGACGTACATTGTATGATAGTACGTAAGATGCAAGATGAATGATGGCTGCTACATGCATGCTAACAGCCATGGGAAACCAAATCATAAAAATACTCCGACTCCTTCCTGACCCATGTGACAATCAAGAATCATACCCCCATCCACCCTGTAATCCTCTACCCAATCCCTCACCTCCCGAAATGGCCCTCGCAACCTGGAATCCCTGCGTCAAAACCCCCACCGCACTATCCACACCCGCATGCCCCGTCCGAATCGTCCCAGGCATAGGCGGGTCAGCATCCCTCTCCATGACGCCTCTCATCATCTCCTCATTCGCCTCCCCCTCAAACCGATCAAGTACCAACCTCCTAATAGCCACCTGCCACTTCGCAACCCATTCCTCCTCACTAACCGTCGTGTACTCTTTAATCCTCTGACTATCTACTGTCGAAAAGGGCCACTCAGCCTTGACAACAGCATATCTCCTCGTCGCAAAGAAAAGCACCGGCCAGCTGAAAATCCACAGAAAAGTCAGGTAAAAGATCCAACACACCCAATTCTTAAGCCTCCAAGCATTCACTTTGGAGCTCGTGTAGAAATCAACATTCTTGTCCTCTACAGGAAACGTCACAGCAATATTTCCCCGGTAATTCGTCGCTCGAATCACTCCTTCGATTCTGTTGCGTAGATACACTTCATCCAGCCCCGTTACCACGCGCCGCAACCGGAAAATACGGAGTGCACGCGGTGAAGCACAGTATCTATGGCACCACTCAGTCAAGCTTGGTTTCGGTGCGCTGCCTACTTCGATATCTTGTTTGGAGCCTGGAGCTCTGCATTTGAGGATCGTGCCGCGGTGCGTTTTCTCGCTGTTTTCGACCGTGGTGAGGGACATTGTTGAGGTGTCGTGATCGTTGAAGTTGGGACGGAGGTAGCGTTGGAGGTTTATTACCAAGCGGAAGTCGGTGATGTGCTGGGTTTCTTTCTTGTCGCCCTTCTTTACGGTTTCCTTGTGTGTGCCCATTATGTAGATGAGGGGGACTGGGGCAACTTTTGCGAAGGATTGGATGGCGGATTCGAGGTCGGAAGGGTTGGTGTCGTAGAGGGGTTCTAGGACGTTTATTGTGGATGTGACGACGGGTTTGCCATGCTTGAAGCTCGGGCTGTTGTGGTTGGTTCGTGTGGTTGGGGGTGGGATGTGGCGGATGGGGATATCTGGTAAGGGGGTGGTGCTGTTTCCTGCTTCGCTGTCGGTGTAGGAGGGAGGGAGGCCCGAGATTTCGGGCGCGTCATCGTAGGTGTAGTCGTCGGGGGTGGTGTGGAGGGAGACTGCTTCGGGGTCGTCACGGTAGCTGGGTGGGGGGTCTGATGGCCTGCCCATGGTGATATACTACACAATGCGACGGAATGCCAAGCGTGCGACTGTAGAGAGGACGATTCTAGACGTGGAGAGTGATCGTGAGAGCGTATGATAGGGAAGAATAAAGAAAGACGATACTTGGTTGTAGATGAGGCGTCAAGGGGCCGCCGGTGAGACGGAACACAAGTCTCAGCCATGCTCCAGGCAGCCACTCACCTATTGGTCTGTGAGGAGTGCCAATGCACGCCATAAGCGGTTTCTGCTGCGATCATATATTGGAATATTGACTGCGCCATTATGCATACTAAGACTATGAAGTTGCATAATACGCGGTTCGTATGCTTGTTACATGGATTCAGTAGTGATAGTCATGGCGGGGAAAGCCCTGGAGGGTCGCGCGGTGACGCTAAATTTAAGCTTAACTCCGAAGCCAAAAATTTGGAGCTCGACGCGACAACGTCCGTGGATGCGCCGTGACTCTCTACACAAGCCACAGCTATATTCCGTCTTTGGCCTACATTCCAAGCGACCTTCAATCTGGCCTCGATCGCATTCTGGATACGCTGTTCACGCGCACCTCGAGCCCCTCCAAGCTTTCCCCACAGAGCATGGGCGATCGGTAGCTCTTTCCCACGCGCATTCCACACTTCCCTCGCCATGGCTTCCTCCGACGTTCCCATGACCGACGCAACTGCGCAAACTATTGATGCAACACCGCAAGCTGGACAATACATCAGCCACCAAGGCAAGGAATACACCACCATCAAGGAAGGTCTGGCGCACATCCTCGTGCCTCATGACGTCCCCACCTCTACCGACCCAAAACTGTCCAAGGAGGATACCCAGAAGCAGCAGGTCTTCTACAATCCTATACAGCAGTTCAACCGTGATCTGAGTGTACTCGCCATCAAGACGTTTGGTCAGGATTCGATACAGCGGAAACTGAACAAGCACGAGCAGTTCAAGAAGAAGAACGAGCGGAAGCGACAACGGGCACAGGAGGGTCGCGCGGCTGAAGAGACCACGAGTGGGGTGAATGGGGCGGCAGAAGCCTCTGGCACGGAAGACGCCTTGTCTAAGAAGAGGAAGCTTGCAGAGAACGGTAACGAGGAGGGCGCGGTCCCACCAAAGAAGCAGAAGACCTTCGAGAATGGTGACAGCGAGCAAGATCTGGATGATGGAGCGATTCAAGACGATATTGCTGGCCCGAACGGTGGACGGACGCCCTGGAAACCACCCTTCAGCATTCTAGACGCTCTATCTGCGACCGGTCTTCGTGCTCTTCGTTATGCGCAAGAGATCCCCTTCGCCACCGCCGTTACAGCAAACGACATGTCCCAGAATGCCGTCGACTCCATCAAGCTCAACGTGAAGCACAACAAGCTCGAAGAGACAATCACAGCGAACACTGGCAATGCCATAGCCTACATGTACAGCTTCTGTGACAAGAAAGGATATGATGTGATCGACCTCGACCCATACGGCACTGCAGCCCCCTTCATCGACTCGGCCATACAAGCCATCAACGACGACGGGCTGCTGTGCGTAACCTGCACCGACTCTGCCATTTTTGCATCACACGGCTACCTGGAGAAGACCTACTCGCAGTACGGTGGATTGCCATTCAAGGGTGAGCCCTGCCACGAAGGTGGACTTCGCCTAGTCCTGCATGCCATTGCATCTTCGGCTGCTCGATACGGCATGGCCATAGAGCCGCTACTGTCCCTTTCCATCGACTACTATCTCCGAGTTTTTGTAAGGGTGCGAAAAGCGCCCAACGACGTTAAGCTGCTCGCCGGCAAAACCATGCTCGTCTACCACTGCGAAAGTGGCTGCGGTGCATGGACTACACAATTCCTTGCACGTAACAAAGTCACAAAGAATAAAAACGGCGACCCCATGTACAAGCATGGCTTTGCTCAGGGGCCGTCCGCGGACCAACACTGCGAGCATTGTGGTCATAAGACCCACCTGTCAGGACCAATGTACGGCGGGCCGTTGCATAATGTCGGATTTATCGAAAGAGTACTAGCGCAACTGAATGAAGTTGACCGCCAGACGTATCCGACCATGGATCGCATAGAAGGAATGCTACACACAGCTTTGGAGGAGATCACATTCGGCACCAAGTTGGACAAGTCAAACGGGGCGCAAAAGACTCAAGTCCTAGATCCCCTCATTCCGAAGTCCGATCCTGCAGAGATAGACCACCACCCATTCTTTTTCATCCCAAGTTCGGTAGCCAAGATAGTTCACTGTTCTGCACCGCCGTTGGCGGCACTCCGTGGTGCACTACGACATGCGGGGTTTAGGGTGACAATGAGCCATTGTAAGCCTGGCTCCATCAAAACAGACGCGTCGTGGAGGGATATTTGGCACATCATGCTCGAATGGGTGCGGCAAAGAGCGCCGTTGAAGAATTTGCCCAAGGCAGGAAGCGCAGGCCATGCCATATTGGCAAAGTCAAGCGTAACGGCGTATACAAAAACGTCAACTGCCGACATGGCACCTGTCCAAGTACCGGTCGATCCGGCGCCTGGAGCGCAAAGTAACGCACAAGACAGCGATAATGTTTCGGCGACGACAGCAGCAAAAGATCTGCCAGCTTACCTCAACACCAAGTTCGAGGTCAACTTTGACGAGAAGCTAGGTAAGGATCACGACAGGGGCAAATACGTCCGCTACCAGCTCGCTCCAAGGGAAAATTGGGGTCCGATGTCGCGCGCGAAATAATTGCATCAGCAAATAATGACAATTCAACTATGGCATCAAAGCTTGTATTTTACCGTTTTGAGGGCTACGATATGCGTTGTTTTGACGTTGCTCTTCAGTAATCATCTCGCGTGGCACCATGATGTTTGCCGCTCGCCAAAAATCGGCGGAAGTTGCGTAGATCAAACGTCATCGTCGGTGTGCTTAGGTAGGGGTTAGACATGCAAGCTGCATCGGAAATCCCCATCTTCCTTGCCCATCGCGCAGGATGCACATTATTTCTTCTGCCAAAGCTTTTCACGTTTTCGATTCGATCCACACGCCCCAGGATGCGTGGAGAGCGCTTCCATGGCCGTATCGGTAAACAGCCAAGCGGAGATTTGCCTGCTTCGGTACCTGCAGATTTTTATGTTCACCAGGGGGCCCGAGGCGACCATGCGATTGGAATAACTAGGGTGGCCACGCGAGGCTACCATTCCGCGGAGGCGAGTGTCGACAAGTTGAGAATGCGTTGGATTTCTCAGCAGGAAGTGTAAACCGGATGTAAGCTTAAGCGTTAGACTACTCCGGAAGAGCACTGGCGACATGTCCGAAGCCTTGGAATAAACCCAGTTTGTTAGTTGTTTCTGTTGATCTATTGCGGGGCGGGAGCGCTAGCGGCTCAAAACCTAAACAGCTCCACCCATGTCATCACGTCGTCACGTCTGCACGCGGCAAATCTTGGGAAACACGATCCCTGTGTGCACGCGTTCACGCAGCGCCCAGGATTTTGTAGCAGGCATTGAGGAGCTTTGAGCAGGCAAACCTTTAGCAGCACATCTTCTGATTCGCCCGTTTATACTTCCCGATGCCAGTCCCGAGATTCCCATGTCGTGGCCGACTTTTCGATATCTGCGGCCTGCACTTCCGTATCCGTTCAGTCATGAAATCATAGCTGTTAAACCCATTTGGGCGATGTCGCTTGTAGTCATCGATTCGAAATCGGTAGGAACAGCGTGGGCGCAATGCGGTCACTGATGCTTGATGCGCGTATATAACCATTCAAGACGCCGCCAATTGTTCCAGCCGCACAACACTCCGAACCGACAATCGACTTCAAGATGTTGACCAAGAGCCTCTTCACCACGTCCATGCTCGCAGCTCTTGCTGCTGCCGCTCCTGCTCCTCAGGACGGCTACAGCGTTCCTCCTCTGGAACAGACTGGTGATGTCCCAGGCTACACCAACGCGGATGCCAGCTTCTCCGTTACTTTTATGCCAGACGCCACTCCCGCTTCGGTCTTTGGTCCTGACTCCCAGGTTGCTGCTATTCCCACCGCACCTGGCTCAGCTCCTCCCCGCAGGAGCTCAGATGTCACTGGCGCCACTAGCCATGGACCATACGAGGGTACTCCCACCACCACTGGAGCTGAGAAGGCGCCTACCACTATTGGCACTGCCATCGCTCCTCTGCCACCGAACCCTACGGCTACCTACTACAACACCAACGGCAAGCCTCAGGACCCTATGCCAATCCCCTACATGCCTGCTGGTGGTCTTGGTACCAACGGTACTGAGCCCCGCTACATGGTAAACAGCGATTTCGACTACGAGTCCATCACCCTCGGTCTGTACCAGGAGTGGATCGAGCTCGACTTGTTCAACAACGGTCTTGCCGTCTTCTCGGAGCAGGACTTCCTCGACGCCGGTCTCACTGCTGAGGACCGCGCCTACATTGCCTTCATGGCTATCCAAGAGACTGGCCACGCCACTCTTCTTACCAACATGCTCGGCGAGACTGCTCCTCCCCAGTGCACTTACAACTACCCTTACCGCACCGTCCGTGAGTTCATTGACTTCAACATGAAGGTCACTCGCTGGGGTGAGTCTGGTGTCTGGGGTTTCCTTGCCCACATGGATGCTCGTGAGGTTGCCAACCTCCTGTCTCAGTCGATCGCTACCGAGGCCCGCCAACAAATCTCTTTCCGCCAGATGCTTGGCCTTCCTCCTCAGCCCGTATGGTTCGAGACTGGTATTCCCCAGTCATGGCAGTGGACCTTCCTCGCTCCTTACATTAGCTCTTGCCCGGAGAACACTACCCGTCTCGCATGGCAAAACTTCCCGGCTCTGTTCATTGACAACCAGCCCAACCCCAACCGCTTCTCACCTAACGACACCAAGCCCCACGAGGTTGCCGGCGACCGTATCTCTGACCCCGCCGACTCTACCATTCCCGCTGATGAGAGCTGTGTAAACATCAACGGTACTGAGCATCCCGGCTACTCTTGCGGCCCTGCCATTGCTCGCAACCGCTCCGAGCCCCTCTCCTTCCCCGGCAAGCTCGTCAACTTGACCTGGGAGAACCCCGGCCAGGCTGTCGGCCCCAACAACTCCTACGTCACTGACACCACTGCTGGCGCCCCTGTCTTCGTTGCCTGGGTCTCGCAGCTCAACTTGACCTACACTCCTCTTGAGATTACTGGCAACAACACCGGTTACACCTACCAGCCCGCTGGTGAGGTTTACCAGGGCGACCCAGCTGTCAACGACACCATGTTCGTTGCTCTTACCGACGCGAACCCATTCCTTACTCCCTTCAACTTGAGCATGATCAACCCTCACGTTGTCGCTCTCGGTCTGTACCAGGCTGGTTAAATCTGTTCGCTACTGTAGCGATATGATTGGAGATGAACAATGCTACTGCAGCATTGTTGGACATGTAAACATAATAGATGAGGCCTATGAGCCATGTAATCAGATTAAGAGAAGCTTGTATGATAGCCAGAGATGGAGGCTGTTGAGAGTAATGCGTAATGATATCAATTGTCATCATCAAGAATCCTTTTTGCACCTTTAATGGCTATTCGTGACGTCTTTCGTTCTCGTTCCTCATGTTCCGGTATTATCTATGATCTTTTTGCACTAAACTTTGAATATAGGAGCGCTGTTGACTTCTTCCTTTACATCTTTTCACACTGCATCTGAAAGCAGTCCAGTCTTTTAAATTTTTATGAAGTCTCTCCTATGGCTGTTACTCCCTTCTCGCCCTTTTTCAAAATTCTCAACACGTTGCCCCGTTCCACCAAAATCAAGCGAGCTCCCGTTCATGTTATCATAAATCAAAAACAGTCCCAGACAATGCGATGAGAGATATGCGCTCGACTCCTTCGAAATGTCTCGAATTGTACTCGGTCTCTTGTTCGCCACATAAAAACCATTCATCCTTCTGCTTCCACTTCTAACTATCCATTCTCTAAGAGTGCGCCCAAAACTCTCAAAGTATCAAGGTCACAGCCATATGTTCTCTTCTGCTCTGTTGTCTAAACTCTGGGCACGAGGGAATTCACTGCAACACCAAAATCCTTGCAGCATCTACGGATGTTTCTTCGAAGCACAAAATCAACAGCGCTAAATTCATGGGAGCTGCGTGCTTACCTTCTTAAAGATTCTTGATATGTTGCTCAGTCTCTAATTTTCTATATACAGCACCCTCTTGCTCACATCCTGACTTCTGCTCTTCACTCCTTTTACTCCAAAAGCATAGATCTCCAATTTTAAAAGGTCACAACTCGATTTAATGGCCGGTATCTTCCGCTCTTCACTTGTACTATCTCTATTCTCAACATAAGTAATTTTGCTGCATCACCAAAATGCACCTTTCGCCGATCCATGTTCATGGAGAATCTAAATAGCAATCATAGCTAATGATGAGAATGGCGCGCTCGCCTTCTCGCTTCTTCTTCTCAAAACTATGCTATAGCAACTCATGTATTCCTCCAAAGTCCTCCACACATAAAACATCTAAATCGGCAGCGTAGCATTAGCTGGCAAACAACTTCCCCTCTTCATCTCAATCCTCGCAGTAGCATTAACCACCAATCCCGCCAACGGACTAGTCCCACACTTCAAGCCCAGCACGAAAGCCTGGCTATGCTGTTGTATGGATTAGTTCAAAGATCACTGCATCAAATAACATGACAGATAGATTCATGTGGGAGACGAGGAAGAAGAAGAAGAAGAAGAAGAAGAAGAAGAAGAAGAAGAAGAAGAAGAAGAAGAAGAAGAAGAAGAAGAAGAAGAAGAAGAAGAAGAAGAAGAAGAAGAAGAAGAGGGAGAGAACCTACCACATCCGCCAAAAACGGCGCTGTATGCGTGTGATCCATCGGATACTCCTTGTCGATCACTTCCTTGCCTAGCAGCTTTTGGGCTTGCGCGGCGTAACTTCCATGCTGCACAAAGTACACATGCGCTGCAGGACCACCGAGTTCGAGGACGGATAGCCTACGTAGGGTGTTAGTCTGCTCTAGAGGTACAACTAAACCAGCCATGTCACGTACATATCGTAATAAGCAAACCTTGAAGGTTTGAACGTATAAGTACCAGACTCCCAAACATTGGTGGGGAGTTGCTCCGAGATGATGATACCGGATGCGCCTAGGGAGAGGAAGGTGGATGCTGCGGTTTTGATGTAGTGGGGGAATGTGTAGACGGTTTCTGTGACGTTGCTGTTGTGAGAGCAGGGATGTTAGTGATCGCAGCTGGGTGGTATTTACTGTTTTATGACTTACTTGAACGTCACTGTACATGTTTCGTTGCCTACTCCTGGGCAAGACGGTCTACCCTTGTCCCCTGTTGAGCTCGTCGAGCCATTCGTGAGCGTGGCCGCATCGTTGATGCCGAATTCGATGACTACCCAATCTCCGGGTTGGATGGCTTGGGCTATTCTGTCGAAACGGCCTTCACGTGTGAACTATGTTTGCTGTGGATTAGCTCGGTCTTCTTACCATTTCATGCTGCAGAAGGAGGAGGAGACGTACCGAGCGCGCGGATCGTCCGGCATAAGCGGAGTTGTTTACGCGAACGTTGGCACCGAACGAGTACTGGAGGTATTGTCCCCAGCCTTCTGTACCGTTGTGACCGCCATCAGGAGCGGTTGTAGAGTCACCTGCTACCCAGATGGTAGGTACGGTCGCTCTTGCAGCTGAATTTGCATGTCTCTCGGAGAGACTTTGTGGTAGCGCCGAGGCAGCGAGGCTGAAGCTTAGAAGATGAAGGAATGATTGTTGAAACATCATGACGGTTGGTACTGCTTAGATCCTCCAACCAACTATTACCAAAGAGATGGTTCAGGAACTGGTGGATCAGTCTGGATGACACTATGCTAGACATTGCGCCAAGTGTCCAGTTCTTATACCGGTACCTGGATACGATCTACGGCGCCACCGGAAGATATCATCTCGAAAACGTGTCACAACAGGGTTAGCAACGCTATCTGAAGGCTAGTTCAACGTTTGCAATTGAAAGACGTTAGATATGCGGAGATAGCATCAAAAGATGTAGCCGGTGCGGAGTCCCCGCATAGTCCGGGGTTTGATTTGCACTCGGCACCGGAGTATCAACCGCCGAGCGAGTCGGATTTTCCGTCGCTCGAAAGGATGAGACAAGAAAGGCAAACAGCTGGAGCTGTCGCAAAGGCTAAGTTGCAAACTAGTGGATCGAAGACAATATGTGAAAGCAAAAGCTGTAGAAATATCGTGCCAGCCGACTATGTGCTTGCACAACCTATTCACCAGACACCGCCGACGCCATATAAGCCATACCATCATGCGCACCATCTCTTCTCAAACACCTTCTAAGTAGTACAAGTCACATCACCAATACCCGACATCTCCCTCACAGCATTCTCAATATCTCCCGCGCTCATGCCACTCAAAAACGTTGCGGTGAATGTATCTCCACCAGTGAAGCTGAACGAATCGTCCCCAAACTTCTCCTTGAGCGAAGCTTCGTCACCCCAGCCCGATCCGGTGACCTCCCATTTACCGCCGCCCAAGCCCTGTTCAAGAACTTTGCACGATGCTGTGTTTGGAGGAGGTGGCGGTGGCGAGTCTGGTTGTGGCTCTGGTTCGGACTCGGCCGGGCGATTGTGGACGTTGCAAATTTCCTGTGGTATTGTCAGACGATTATAGTAGTCGGTTTGTGTAGAGTGTCACGAACGTTCTTCAAATCCTCGTTAGTAACCGCACCGTTTTCGACGATCGGGCGGCCAGGAACCGACTGCTCAGGAGTAGGAGCTCTTTTTGTAAAGAGGGAACGCTTCGCAGACGCGTCTGGGAGATCGCAAAGTCTAAGCTCAAGTTAGTTTCATGATGATTCGGGTGGAAAAGACTATCGTACTGATTGAGCGCTAGGTTGTATGGCACTTTAAGACTATCCTTTTCAGGCTGTGGTGAGACCGGAAACGTGTCGTCTTCGTTGAAAGGATCGTCGTTCCTGACTTCGGCATTCTTCAGCATGAACGCCTTCATGTCTGTCGGTACACTGCCATCGTGCCAGTTGCTGCGCAGTTCGGGAATACTGAAGAGGTATGCAGCGAGTCCGGCCTGTCGTCGTTAGCATCTCGTGTGAGGTTGAAGAAGATAACGAGTACTTACTATGGCTGGGGCAGCAGCAGACGTTCCATCCGACGGCTTAGTGGCGCCATCATCTCCATCATGCTTCGCAGCAACAACTTGGACTGCGTCTGCGTAGATATCGACCTGACCACCTTGGCCGTTGCCTTGGATTGTATCCCTGTAGTATTTACCAGCCTGGTCTACGCCACCCACAGTGATTATGCTGAACCTATCATCGGTACCAAAGGCTTGCGGTACGAGGGAATCCAGAGTGCGGGATGCTCCGTCGTTACCTGCGGCGACAACGAGCGTAATATCTTTTTCCTTACATTTTGTGAGTGCACGCTGCATTATGTTGATCTTACCCTGGTGTTGATCTTTGATCCAGCCTAAACATTCGGTCAGTATGGTTCGCCATAAGGTTTATGAACGGCATTACTTACCATAGGATAGATTGATGATATATCTCGCATTAGGGTCGGTATTCTGGAGTCTTTGGCGCCTGATATCATCGATTGTCCACGCGAAAGCGAACTCTAGTGCCGAGTCCGTAACACCTCGTGGTAGAAGGTTAGGGTTACTTGGGTTGTTTGGGTTCTTAGCTGAGTTTCTCATCTTCACCACAACAAGATTTGCTTTGGAAGCCACACCACTGACATATCCAGCTGCAACACTTGCAACCATCGTTCCATGACCATTGATATCCGTCATATCCTCTGGTCCCTTTTGGTCATCACTAAGTGGGATTCCAGCGAGTGTGTGTCGGTTAGGGACGACAAAGTCCCGAACCTCGCGCTCCGACGCATCAAATTCTTGGTGACTCTTACGATAACCACTATCAAGGACATAGATAGTTTGACCTTGCCCAAGAGAAGGTTCGAAGACATAGTTCGGTAGCTGTGCCGGATCGTTCCTCTGGTTCCTGGCTGAAAGTAACCTGAGATGAGCCGCACTATCGTCTCTCTGGTTGAGTGATTGAGGCAACATGGCCCTGGTGTATAGTGAATTCGTAGCGCTGTGCTGAGGAATGACGAGCGCCTCGCCAGCCTCTTCAGTGATCGGCTCGGCCCATGCTATTATGGGGTCCTCGCGGACGATAGCAGCTTCAGCATCAGTGAGATTTAGATATTGGCAAGAAACCCACTCGAGTCCCTCGAAAGCGATTATGTCGCCCTGCTTGTCACCAAGTGGTGGTTTCTTGGCGAACTCCTCGTATTGAGCTTGTGTTATGCCGTCCACGGTACTGACAAGATATGCTTTGGGGATATCTTCGTCTCTCTTGGTACGCTTTCTGGTATCCTTTGACACGGTCTCTGCTAAAGGGGTGCCATCCTGGCCTGACTGGGATGCATCTCTTTTGACATTGTCTTTCTCCGGGCCGGCGACTGGGGCGCATGATGGTTGCACACCGGAGGTTGATGCACTTGCCCTTGGTTCATCATTTGGACCCATCCTCTGATGAAGGTGCACAACAGTTCCAGTCTCAGCAGCCCCAAAAGAGATATTCGTGAGCAAGACCGCAATCGCTGCCAGTGTGACGCGCGAGATGTGAACCATGTCGGATGGCTTGGCAAAGCGGGGAAGTTCACAGCGAATCGGATAAAGAGGCGTGCAATTGTCGTGGACTGTGTAATCGAGAAAGCAAGGTTCTGAGATATTGCGAAAAGCGAAATGTATACAATGAGAGATGAGTGTAGCCGGTGCTGAATGTGTATATGTTCTGATGTTTGAATCGCTGTGTTCTTCTCCTTCTTATACTCAAAAGCATGAACAAAATATAGAACACTTACCTCAACCAGCCTCTGGTGGCATATAGAATACATCCATGCCGAAAGATTGAGATTTTTGATTTGATACTTGACGCCTCCCTCAGATCTAAATCAGTCGACCTATACTCGGGCAAGCAGGGCAAGGCATACTCGGCACGACTTATCTTTGGGTCAGAACGACGTGCCAAACCTATTGTACCTAGCTCTTGTATACCAGTGTTTTGTAGCATTTCGTGGACAAAGTTTTGCGTGGAAGAGCGAACATCTTGATGAGCGAAAGCTGTACTCGATAGCTTCGAGCTCATAGAGAGAAGTCTCGCCTTCCACCGGAATCGTATCCTGTACCAAAAGATTTCAAAATCGTAACCTTAGCGAGCCAGGGAAAGCAAATTGGCAGATTGATCGCACCCAGTCACAAGGATCTGCAAAGCAGTATTACTTGAAACGAAGGTTCGCATCGCCGTCCAGTATCAGGTATTTGTGTTCGCTGATGTCAGCGAAGCATCTCGGATAGCAGACATGAATAGTGTCAGCGTCTCGCGGAGGCGGACTATGTTCATATTCCATGTGCCGTTTCAAGTCTCTTTATGGTGGCTGTAAGGATTACGTGAGTGCTTGTGATAGTCTCAGTGGCTGTGATGTCCTCTCCATCTCTTTCTCGGGCTTTACGTTGCGAAATGACGACCCATCATACGCGCCGCACGATTCTTACTAGATATCATTCTTTTCGCTTTACGTCACGAGATGAGCGTATGCTGATATTCCGAGATTGATGCAACAAAGACAGACGCGATAGACCGCGATGAAAAGTGGACGCGTCGAGACTGTGGAATTGCAACGCGACGCGGCTCTGCGGGCAGATCGATGATGGCGGGGATTTAGCGCCAGCGATGCGGAGCCTCCGCGTGCCGGAAGAGCCACATTTGTGAAAAAGCTCTGCGAACGGACGGCATCGGCGATCTTGGAATAGGCATGGCATCTAAACTTGAAATCGCAATCGCAGATATGCCTTGCCGCTTCAGCCACGTCGCATCCAGAACAGTAATTACCTGAGTCCGACGACCACATACTTTGATCACCCCTTCACACCAATTTTACCATCAACCAGAGCAAAATTCAAAATGGCAACAGACGACATGACGATCCCGCAACACGTGGGCATCTCAGAGGCACCCCGCGATGTTGAAGCCATCAAGAAGCAAGAAAAGGCTGCTCTACTGCCACACTGGGATTCTGGCGTCGCGTTCAAACTAGGTTACAACCTCCGCACACGCCTGCTTACCTTTGAACGACCGGCTGTTGTAGATATCTCTACCATCAGCACACCAGGCCATGTGCTTTTCCACGCCGTGAGTACCATGATCAACTTCGTCGTTGAAAGATGATGATACCTGTGCGTAAGAGACGCAATGCTAACTTTAGTAGGTAACGCACTCCGGCACTGCTCTAGACAACGATTTCTGGGTTAGCCGGAAACGCGCAGCTGTCATTCGCTTCAATGCGAGTACATGGCGTCTGCAGAACCAATTTGAGGGCGACGAGGAGAAGTTCAAGGCAAAGATGGGACTGGGCGAGACGGCCAAAGACTATGCAATCCATGGTGGTGGCGTGCCTATCTACATCAAGAACTGCGATGGGCCTGTTGCGGTAGTCGTCGTGAGTGGGTTGAAGCAGTGGGATGACCATCAAGTTGTGATTGAGGAGCTGGGAAAGCTTTGCAAAGAGATGGAGAGCGGAAATGGCGGAACGCCGATCTAGGTTATTGGCACCATATAAGTATCAACGACTATGACCGATTTCTTCACCTACCACCTTACTTGACATTTCCCATTTTCCAAAAGAAATCAAGGCAAGCGCATGGGATACTAGAGTTCCAACAACTACTTCTTGTGTGTCTGCGGTCATCTCCAGCCTCCCCCCTCCTCTCAAACGTCCTTGTCAAAACGCAGAACGAGGTCGTTATGTGTTGTGCTGAAATCCAGCAACCGAAAAACGAAAGCCAATAGCAGGGCATACATAGGCGTAGCCATGTAGATTTCCGATCACTTCAAAACAATCACTGAAGCTGCTACAGCCGCGCCGCGCCAGGGCAATTGGCCAGGTATAAATACCTTACAGTTTGCACTTCTTCTTTCAATCCATCACCAAATACCAAAAGAGTAAAAATCAGTTTTTACAGACTGTTGTCTTCCATTTCAAAGTTCATAGCAGCGTATCATCATGTCCGCTTTCCCACACTCTACCCCGTTGTCCAAAACTTCGTTCAGTCCCCTTCGCTGGAAAGATCTGCTTGGTACCTCTCATGGTCGCGAACAACCGCCGAACAGAACGATGCCGTCTTACAAATCTATTACCAGTTCACTCTATGGCCGCGCTTCTGCTTTAGTTCGTTTCGTAGTCGGCACTTCCATCGAAAACAATGACTGTGTCAGTTGAAATGACACAACTTCAGGAAACAAATCACTTCCGCGGTATTCCCTCCGCACACAGTTGGGTATTTGCACGTTGTGGTAAACATGTTAGTCTTGCATCATAGCCCTTTTCTCAATCTCACCTGCGCGATTCAGACTTGTATTTGGATAAATGCATGTGGACACCAAACTGCCACAAATCCCTTAGGGCGTGCGGTGTTACATTTAGTTCTCGTGGAACGGGCGCCGTGCGAGGAACAGAGAAATAGCCCTGAGGTCGAGTCGTGTTACATGCGGCTCAAAACATATGATATAAACGCAGACGGCGTGTAGTCTACAAGACCATTGGTTTAGAGAGTAGCCATGAATGTGTAAGCTAGATTGATAGATGGACAGTACTGGTTGGCGGAGCCATGATTGGGGCGACTGCCTCTTTTGCCAGAGTACATGACGTTGTCCTCTAGGACTTTTTGAATCATGAAAGCCAATAATTATTTTTTCGAAGGAAGGGAAAGCTTAGTGTATTGGAAGGTAAGGAAGATAAAGTTTAGAAAGGCACCTTATATAGCATCCGCAAGAGTGGACATTCAAAGTTATAGAGATAGGGCGTCATGGGACTGGCAGCGGGCTCCAACAGACGCTTTTGAATGTCATAATTGATGATAGTCCATGATCATCACTTCTACAACAAAACAGCACGCAAACTTTTCGGTCCTGACCAAGGGTGCCATCTTCTCCAAGACATGGTCGGGGATCAAGCAGCTCGTAGGGTATACGCGAAAAGACCAGAACGCCGGAACACATAGAACACACTTGTGCCTACTTTGCAGACACTTAACCCTCTTCTGTGTCCATTTGATCGCGTCCTCTCCTGGCGCCTCCACCACGGCCTCCTCTTCCTCCACCTCGACCACCGCGTCCACCCCTGCTGCCTCTCTGTTCGTGGTAGTCCTTCATCTCTCTGACGGCAATCCTCTGCGCATCACCCACACGCTCGGCGTACACCATCGCCTCATCCTTGTTGATGACCTCCTCGGGAATCTTCTTGCCGAGCGCATTCTCGATGCGCAACCAGATCTCAAGGTCGTACTGTGTGACAAACGAGACAGCCTTACCAGACTTTCCAGCTCTAGCTGTTCGACCAACACGATGGACGTAGGTCTGAGAGTCGCTTGGAAGATCAAAGTTGACCACGAGATCAACGGCGGGGATGTCGAGACCACGGGCTGCTACATCGGTGGCCACAAGGATGTCGCGGCTCTTTGATTTGAACTTGTTGAGTGCACCGAGACGGGCGGATTGACCCAGCTGACCGTGTAACGGGATGGCTCCGAAGCCAAGGGTACGAAGAAGAACAGATATACGCTGTGTCTCGTTGACTGTACGTGTGAAGATGATTGTTGGGTGACCAATGTTGTCGTTGAGGAGATGAATGAGGTACAGGTCCTTCCACTTGAACGGGAGGAAGATGTAACGTTGTAGTAGGGTTGAGACGACTTGGTGTGACGAGCTGCTGATGCTCACACGAACCGGGTTCTGTAAGGCTGCGCGTTGCAGACTCTCTACCTTGGAAGACATGGTGGCAGAGAAGAGATATGTGTGGCGTCCCTCCCTGGGAAGTACCTTGAGAATCTTGTCCAACACGGGGCCAAAGTCCAGGTCGAGCAGTCGATCAGCTTCATCGAGTACCATGTACTTTAGGCTGCAATGGGGTTAGCATCCTGTTTCGTTACGGGTTGTATTGTTTCAACTTACTGCTTGAGCGAGAAGCCCTTGGTGTTCTCCAGATGATCGAGCAATCTTCCAGGAGTAGCCACCACAATGTGCGGCCTTTTCGAAAGGGCGATGGCTTGAGGCACCATGTCCATTCCTCCTACGAGCGTCGCGCACTTGACGTTGATAATGCTACCCAGAGCATCCACCTGCTGTGCGATCTGGTATGCCAATTCTCGTGTAGGTGCCAGGATCAGACCGAACAATGGCTGAGGCTTCTCGAGTAGGGATTGAAGGATGGGTAGAACGAATGCGGCCGTCTTTCCAGAGCCCGTTTCAGCCAGCCCGATCACGTCTCTGCCTTCGAGGGCGAGAGGTATAGCCTGTTCCTGAATCGGAGTTGGGTTTTTGTAGTTGAGGCTTTCTACCGTGTCGCAGAGCTCTTCGCGAATTCCGAGGTCTCGGAAGGACTTCTTCGGTTGGTCTGCGCTGGCGCTGGTAGAGGGCTCGGCTTCATCGTTTGGAGCATTATCGCCCTCTACTTCCCGTTCTTCGTCGTCGTCGGTAGGGTCTCGGTCGTCATCGCTGGATTCGGATTCTGGCGGTGGTGCAGGCTTCTTCTGGACCTTCTTCGCAGGCGCATTCGATGGTCGCGCTTTCTTTGACGCACCAGTCGCGGTGGTCGCGTCATCGCGAAGCTTTCTTTTCGTAACTCCAGGCATTATGTTGTCGTGTGATGAATCTGGAAAAGTTGTGCACAGTATTCTTGCTCTCGACGCCTCGGAACCAACAGAAGTCGAAATCTTGGCAAAGTGGGACGGGACCCACCTAAAAGTTCGAGCGCCAGCCAGCTCTAGTTTGCGACTGCATGCGACAAAAGCCATTCGCTCGACAACACCAGCACCTCGTCCTCCAAGTCACAGCAGCGGAGCATACAGTCGCAACGGAAGGCTCACAGAAGGAGTCATTCTAAATTCAATAACAGAAGTCGACAATAAGGAACTGAGTCCTCGCAATGGCTCGTGGAAAAGGAACCGCGAGGAAGAAGCAGTCGGTACGCGACAAGGAGCTTGCAAAGAAGCCAATCACAGGAACTCCGAAATCCATGGTCATTCGTATCGGCGCGCAAGAGTGAGTTTGATCATATCGAGGCGTTAGCTTGATTGTTAACAAAATTTAGAGTAGGAAGATCTGTCTCAGACCTCGTCAACGATGTACGCCACTGCCTGGAACCTGATACTGCTATCCGACTGAAGGAGCGAAGGGCGAACAAGCTGAAGGTATGTCCCACATGTTTAACTGCACGACTTGAGCTGACAATCTTCAAGGACTTCCTTGTCATGTCTGGACCGCTCGGTGTCAGCCATCTTCTGCTGTTTTCGCGTTCAGAAGTCGGAAACGTCAACCTCAGGCTATGCCGCGTCCCCCGCGGTCCTACCCTCCATTTCCGAGTGGAGAACTACAGTCTCTGCAAAGATATCATCAAGTCGATGAGGCGCCCACGAGCTGGCGCAAACGACTACATGGTCGCCCCGCTGCTGGTGATGAACAACTTCCTGACGAGCGACTCGGAGAGAGAACGACTCGGCGACATGGCACCCCCTAAGCATCTGGAAAAACTCGTAACAGACATGTTCCAGGGCTTGTTCCCGCCTATCCAACCGCACACCACCCCTCTACACTCGATCAAGCGCGTCCTCTTGCTCAACCGTGAGCCTCCTTCCGAAGAAAATGGATCCGTCACAATCAGTCTGCGACATTACGCGATTACAACCAAAGTTACAGGCGTCCCAAAAGCCATTCGACGATTATACGCAGCTGAGAAGCTTATTGGCAGCAAGGAGAAGAAGAAGAGCGCATTGCCGAACCTGGGAAAACTTGAGGATGTGGCAGACTACATGTTGGACCCTTCAGCTGCTGGCTACACGTCTGCCTCGGACACCGAACAAGACACCGACGCCGAGGTAGAAGTAACGGCACCTGTGCGGCAAAAGGTCCTGTCCCGCCGCGAGAAGGAGAAGCTAAAGGCCGGCGACGAGACATCCCACGCACGTGCCCGAGGCTCAAAGCCCCGCGTCGAGAAACGCGCTGTCAAGCTCGTCGAGCTCGGTCCTCGCATGAAGCTTCGCCTCACAAAGGTTGAGGAGGATGTTTGTGGCGGCAAGATAATGTGGCACGAGTACATCAAGAAGAGCAAAGCGGAAGAGCAAGAACTAGAGAAGAAGTGGACGCAACGGAACAAGGAGAAGGCGGAGCGAAGACGCATACAGAAGGAGAACGTCGAGAAGAAACGTGCAGAGAAGGCTGCTGCTAGGGGAGAGACTGGTGAAGGAGAAGGCGAAGAAGACGAGGATGAGGAGATGGATGACTTGGACGAGTATGATATGGATGACGATGTCTGGCAAGACGCTGCGGATGCTGGAGAGGAAGGAGAAGAAGAGGACGAGGAAATGGATGATGAGTGATATGGTCTTATACAAAAGTCTTAATGATACCCCATTCAACGCTTCATCTCCGGTTGCAACCAACCCGTGGCATCCATCCCATCGCACTTGCACCGGGTATCAGCGTCCTCATTCAAGCCCCCTTTGGCTTCTTGATCAACACCCTCTCCCCATCAGCACTCAATTCCCACCCCACCCCCTCACTAACCAACTCCTCCCACCTCCTCTCCGTAACCCTCTCCACAAACGCCTTGTCCGCAGATAGATACGCTTTTCCCAAACACTTGAGTGCATGCACACGCACCCCACCATCAGCCCACTCCATAATACTCCTCTGATACCCATCCACACTCCTCCTCACCCGCCAAAACCCCACATAATCATCCGCAACAAGACACTTCAACACCTTCTCCACCCGCCAATCCTTATACCCATATGCCAACTTCGTCGTACGGGCGCCTGCGTAATCAGACTGTCGGCACGCTTGATCGAGAATTACCAGGCCGACGAATTCGTGGAGCGTGGAGGGAGATAAAGGATTCCGTGGGTGGATGGTATTGAGGAGGGAGAGGAGCGAGGGCAGGTAGGAGGACCAGTCGTGGCAGAGGATGCTGACGTGGATTGCGAAGGTGTAGGCGCGGAGGGCGAAGGCGTCACTGCGGTTCGAGGCTGTTATTGCTTCGCGGAGTTTGCGCAGGGAAGCGAGGACCGTGGCGAGTTCGTCTATGGAGAGGACGAAGGCTTTTTGGGGGATGGAGTAGTGTGTGGTATTGGGGATGTTTGTCAAGGTTGGGGCGAGAGGGGGTCGACCGGTAGGTTGGTGCTCTGGGGGCGCGTGTTTCGAGAGGGAGAGCGAGGAGAAGGAAGACGTGAGCTTGGAGTTTGCGGTTGTTGTTGATTTTGTATTGTCTGTTTGCGTAGCTTGGGGGACGCTGACTGAGACGAAGAGACGGTCTAGTTCGTCGCGATTAAGGGCGCAGAGTTTCATGTAGCGTTCTATTATGCGGTTGAAGTAGACTTCTTGTGTTTTGAAGTCGTTCAGACTGTGAGGTTAGCAATTGTGCCTACATGTACAAGAGGAGGGAGAGTACCGAGTCTCGCCTTTTGAAGGTAGCCCATATGTCTCCAAGACATCTTCGCGGACGGGCTTCAGACGGTTCCAAGCACCTGAAGCGGCGCGACGACTGTTGGGTCGGGCAGGATCGGAGGACTTCATCGCGTTGGCGGTTGGATTGGGATGTTTTGGAGGGGACGGGAGCTCAAGTAATGTCAAAGATTCTAATAACCATGGTCGTATGTCACCTAACGTATTTGCGACCCATGATGGGTGGTAGTGAAAGCAATCACGCTGGAGGTTTGGAAGGTGGGATGGAGGGGCAGTGCCCGAGCTCGACGCGTCTCAGATGCCTTGTCTCATGGCGAGAGCAAAATCAGATACCTTGATCACGATATCCAGCAATTGAACTCGCCTAGCAATTGCTGGTCATTGGGAAGAGATGCGTTGTTCTCGCAAGCCTCGCCGGACGTGGCATAGTTCGCGCGTAGTCCCTGAGGGTATGCGCGGATTCTCCGAGGCCGCTTCATGACATGTGAACTCCCACTGAACATTCATATACTACAGGCCTTTTCCTACTTTCCATAATCCCTCTCTCTTGTTACCTCTTATACAGTATCCATCAGTAATCACAACATGGGAACCACAAAGAAAGCAACGTCAAAGGCTGTAGAAACCGGGAAAGAGCTGGAGCAAAAGGTCGAAGAAAAGTTGATATTGCTCTGGGACGAACTCTCGCCATGGCAGCAAGACAACCACTACATTCAGTCAGGATACCGCGCTCAATCCAATTCCTACATTAAGTCTTGGAAGAGCCTCGGATATCTACATAACGAGACCGTCAACATCTACACGCATTTTATCGGAGCCCTGATGGCTGCCGTATCTTCAATCGCATTATACAACACACTGGCTTCCCGCTATGAGACGGCTACGCAAGAGGATGTCTGGGCATTCGGGTGTTACTTTGTTGGAGCCGTCGCGTGTCTGGGTATGAGCGGGACGTATCATACGATACAGAATCACTCGCATGAAGTCGCTGTATGGGGCAATAAGCTTGACTACCTGGGCATTGTTTTCTTGATCTGGGGCAGCTTCATACCGGTTATCTACTATGCTTTTGGCAGCGAACCAGAGTTGCGAAGAACTTATTGGACCATGATCACGACGCTGGCAGCTGGCACATCTGTCGTAGCGACACACCCCAAGTTCCGCACTCCTGCATTGAGGCCCTTTCGAGCGCTCATGTTCGTACTCATGGGTCTTTCCGCCGTATTTCCTGTGCTTCATGGCGTTCGGTTGTATGGTGTTGAACATTTGCGGAAAAGCATTGGGCTGTACTGGGTTCTTTTGCAGGGCGCGCTGTATATTGCTGGTGCTGCTATCTACGCTGCAAGGATACCTGAGAAGTGGAACCCCGGAAAGTACGACATTTGGGGCTCGAGCCATCAGATATTTCACGTACTTGTTGTTCTTGCAGCAGCGAGTCATCTTGTAGCTTTGGTTACGGCATTTGATTACGAACATAGCCACAGGTGGGGCAGTGTGCAGGAAGGGATAGGAGGCAAGAGTTAGACGTGAACGCGCCATACTTAGAATACATGGCTAATGTAAGGGTCAACTATACAACTGAATACCTTCCTTCCACATGGTATGAGACGAAAGAACGCAATCGACAAGGATGTATTTCGAGAATGCAGCCGAACGACGCACAGGCCGGCAGATGACGCCGTGGCTCGATCTGCCAGCCACCTTCCCCATAGATTGGCAAGATTGGCACGTTTGTGGGTCAGGGCAGCCAATCAAACCTCGGCACCGCAGCTTCCGATCTTCGAGCTCACTTTCCCAGCACTCAGGTTCTCAGCTTCCATTCTTCTCTTTTCTTCCACACCACCCGTCGCGTCTCTCCCAACTGCTTGCGCATCATCTCTACGCATCAAAGTATCCTTTCTACCTTTACGCGCATCAATTGCTCCTCTTCTTCCGCTTTCGCGACTTCCCACGCTGGTTTGCGAAGCATAACGTCATCTCGTACCACCTGCGACTGCTGAGCTGCGTTACACACAATGACTGACACTGAGATCCAACAAGGAGACAAAGGTACGTGTTTCTTACCTCTCCAATCCGAGGCTTCCTCAAAGACGTGGTGGCTGCGCATGGCAGGCTTTTGCCAGGCGCATTGCGCTTGCCGGTGCGCAACGATCGCCCATCTTCGCGCGTTGCTGTACTCTCGATCGCGTCTATTGTACCCTTGAAAACAATTCAGGAGCCCGTTGCTGACGTGTAAATATCAGTCTCATGGAACTGGGGTTCAGGACAGCCCGGTGGCACAGTTGCTGAGACTAAGGAGCAAGGCGAGATTGCTATCGAGTCGAAGAAGGGCAACACTATCAAGAAGAATGCCTCACCTGATAACCCCGCTGTCCACGTCGAGCGCTCTGGAAACGACGTTGTGAAGCGCGCTTCCGAACTCCAGATCGACGAGAAGGCTGACGGCGCCAACGGAGAACAAGCTAATGGCGACTCCAAAGAAGGCGACAAGGAAGCTGAGTCGGAGAAGACAGAGGAAAAGAAGGATGACGACAAGCCTTCTGAAGCTGAGAAGAAAGACGAAGAAATGAAGGACGCCCCAGATAGTGAGGAGAAGAAGGAAGACGCGCAAACCAACGGCGAGTCCAAGGCCGAAGAGTCCAAGGAGGAGTCCAAGGAAGAGTCAAAAGAAGAGTCCAAGGAGGACGCGACAGAAGACAAGTCCGCAGAGAAGCCTGCGGCCGACGAGAAGGACGATGAACCCCAGGTCGGCGACAAGCGCAAGGCCGACGAAGCATCCGCGGATAAGGCCAACGGCGCTGACGCCGAAGAGAAGCCTGCCGAGAAAAAGGCAAAGACTGATGAGGCTGAGGCCGAAGATGAGAACAAGGATGAGGACAAGGATGAGGACAAGGAAGAAGCCGAGACGAAGCCAGCTCCCAAGAAGGGCGGCCGTCCCAAGAAGGAGAAGAAGGAGCCTGCGAAGAAGAAGCAGCCCAAGAAGGCTGCTACCGCCGACGGTACACCGCGCCGCAGTGGCAGGACCAACAAGACCACAGTATCAATGGCAGAGGACTAAGGTATGATAAAACTTTCGTAGCAACGAAGCATGGCAACGGACATGATGTCGGACGCGGCGCAAAACCCGGATGAGTTGGAACGGGCAACGTGAAGGACAACAATGACCGGAATGGATATCGGGTGGAAAGGATTTGATTTCATTGTCGGGGCGCTAAAGGATTGGATCTTGTTTCGAATCTCGTTTCCTTGTCTATCTGCTTTACGTCGGTAACGAATTTTGCTCTTTGTGTCTGTCCATCTGCATGTAACAGTAACGTCAACATCAAAATCAAGTCAAAATAACTGCAAACTTCTTCTTCTTCTTGATTTGCCGCCTCTTCCCGGCTTGTCATAGAGATGGCACAAGGCGAATGTGTACGGGTTTGGAGAGGTTACATTGAATGGCATTGCTACGAATTACTATGAACTGTGTCTGATTGTGATTGCCTGTTGGAATTGTCAGCGACGCTGTATCGTAGGCGATATAGTAATGTGACAAGTGTGATTGTTTTCTCTTGTTCAGACAGGAAATACTCATTCAATAAAGGCCGTGAAACCCTCTCCGATCCGTCTTGAAACTTGTGATTTGTATTGTGTTCATCATATTGAGACGGGGGGATGTGGAAAGAAAAAGAAGAGCTGAGACTTACATGGACTATTTGGGTGTGTTGGCAATGGTTTGTCAGTTCTCCAACGAAACAGTAGCTGCACTACTCTGGATGGGCGATGTATTGATCGCGTGTAAAAGCTGGTTTGCGCGCGTGGCTCGTGTTGAGGAAAGAAGAGATTGAGGGAGCTGTAGCTGGGAGAAGGATCCTGCGCGTTTTGAAGCGAGGAGTCTTGGCGGGGCAGGGACCATGTGTCCTGAGCCCCCGCCTTGTTCACAGCTGAACGTACACTTCTCTCCTCTCAACTTGACCATAGTAGTGGTTATCGTGGTTAGGGTTTTTGTTGTTCTCGACGCATTCTAGGACCTTGCTCTTGTGTCTCGCCGCCCTAGATATAGCACTCCGTGATAAAGGGAATTTCGTTCCTCAACAGTCTGCTCCCGCATACTTCAGCAGACGATTTCATCTGGTGAAGGGCATTTGAAAGTCATCGCAATTATCCTGGCTACAGAGTACATTGCCAAGGATAGGCGCAAGAGCACGGGAAGTGATCTGGTCTCCCATCGCGGACTGCCCTTCTGATGAAGGGATGCTTGCTTACAGCAGTTCCTCAACATGCGGCTTTTAGACGCTTGTACGTTTGAGCTAAAGTCCTTTTCGGACAGTGTTCCACCATATGTCATTCTTTCACACTGCTGGGAGGATGAAGAGGTCGTGTTCTCTGATCTGGCCGATCTAGAACAGGCTAGGGAGAAGAAAGGCTTCGCAAAGATCCAAAAGACGTGCGAACTTGCTATTGAAGATGGATTCAAGTACGCGTGGATCGATACATGCTGTATCGACAAGAGCAGTAGTGCTGAGCTTTCGGAGGCTATCAATAGCATGTTCGCATGGTACAAGAACTGTAATCGATGCTATGCTTATCTCGCCGATGTAGAGGTCCAGGGTGCTTTCATGGAGGGGCCCAGCGCGTGGCATAGCAACACATTCGCGCTCAGCAAATGGTTCAGGCGTGCTTGGACGTTACAAGAGTTACTTGCTCCTAGTAATTACCAGTCGAATATAGACCCGGACACGAAGTTCGACCCGGGTATGAAATTCTATTCCCGCGACTGGCAGCTTCTTGGGAATAAGGGAAGCATTGGTACGCGAATATCGAAGATCACGGGCATCCCCATAGAGTATTTGGAGGGTCAGAGCTTGGAAACCGCAAGTATCAGTATGCGGATGTCATGGGCGGCAGACCGACAGGCGACAAGATCCGAAGATATCGCCTACTCTCTCCTTGGAATATTTGATGTCAACATGCCATTGTTGTATGGCGAAGGAAAAGTAAAGGCGTTTAGAAGATTGCAGGAAGAGATCATGAAGATATCCGAGGACGAGACGCTCTTTGCCTGGGAAAGCTCAGAATTCGGAACAAATCAGTTAACTGGAGACGTGCTAGCAAGTGGGCCGAACGATTTTCGAGAAGCACGGGATCTGATACCCTTCGCTTCAGATGGTCCCGTGGCTCCTTACACCATCACCCACCGGGGTCTCCGCATATGGCAAACACTTTTTCACACTCGGGAGCTTGGCAGCGTCGAACGCGACAAACTTCGGCCGCTTCGGTCACCTATTATGATCTGGTCGGGTCTCGACATCGTTTGGGGGATCCTGAGGTGTCATGTTGTCCATGATTTCCAGCACTATGTGGTTGTTCCGTTGCGACATTTGTCGGCAGATATATATCTTAGAAATGTCAGCACCAGTGTGTCATTGATTCCATCCGGATCAACCTCAGCCACGGCCTATCCGAGAGAAATATACATCCGCAACAGTCGTACTTCAACCATTGCAAACAGCGTTCGGCGTCGGTGGGGGTTTCTTCTTCGAAAGCCTCCAGAAGGCGTTGAGATACGACAATGCTATCCAAAAGAAGCCTGGAGCGCAAAAGATAATATCCTGCAGGGCAAGGAGGACAACGTTGGACCTTCGTCTTGGCACGCAGCCTTTGAATTCAGATTCAGTCCGACCAATAAAGCAGGAAATACCGAAAACTACGTGGTATTTGTAGCCTTGGGATGTAGACGTCATGACACTGCGGAGCACCCAAAAGAGTGGTGCTATATCGGCAACCCAATGTTGCTGCATGAGACTGTGCAACATCAAAACTTGGAAGCATTCCATCGCACTATATCGTCGAAGCCTCCGAGATATCAGGCTTTCGGATTTGGAAAGACCGATAGGACCCACGTAGGCCTAAGTCTTAAGGTTTCAATCACCCCAATGAAGGTACTTTCTCAAGATATGTTTGTCGTGGACTTTCGTTATGAAGGGCTCGAGGTCCAGCACAAAGAGCTGCTTGCCCCCAGCGTGTCTTTTTCTAAGGGTTCGATGCACGATGTGACAGAGTTGATTGTTTCCAAAACGTGAGTACCTTAAGACCCTAAAGCACACGAAGATCATCGCGCATGTACCCTACATACCGCAAGTTCTTCTACTTCAACCTTTTGTTCTTTCGGCACCCAGTCATAGTCGTTTACATAAGTGAGCATAAACAAGCAGTCATTGTTCTTAGACGCATGCATTGCATACTCTCAGTATTCGTTTACACACCCTCCAAATCACGTTGCTCACACAAATCTAAGTCAGTGAATAGCAAACGCTGTTTGTTGTGGCATAACGAAACTATCTACAAACTCGACTAGATGTGCACTTTCAGTGTGCATTGTCGGCCCAAAGATATCAGTTTCCTTCCTGCTAACCAAAAGCGCATGGCTTCAAAGGTTAGGGAGTTGTACAGCCTAGGCTCACCGAAGACGTCCAGAATGTAGATCGATGGTGTTGGCACGAGCGAACTAAGTTGCGTTAGCAAATTCCGCTTGCAACGAGAGATAAGTACTCACTTTTGTCTTGTGCCACAACTTCCAGATTATGATCGGCACAATGAAAATTGGGATGCCAATATACGAGGCGATAAAATCACCCGTACTCCAGTTTCCCTTCAAGAAGACAGGAAATCCCGTAATCAAGGTAATGATAGTAGACCCGACAAACCCATACCACGCAGTGAAAGGTTGGAACGGGCCCTTCCAGGGCAAGCTATCTCGGCTATGTCCTTGCGCTTTCATAGCAGCATGAAAGCGGATATAGCAGAAACATAATGTTGCCCAGGCAATCAACCCCGCAACAGTGCTAAGACTCACCAGCCAACCGAAAGCTTGCGCAGCGCCTCCCGAACCCAAACTGAGATATGCGAGAGGACCGAATAGCCACGACGCCAGGACTGCCCAGTATGGTACTCCGTTGCTCCAGGTGCGGCCAAAGAATTGTGGAAGTTGGCGATCTGTGGTCATTGCGACGATGATCCGGGATCCGACCCAACAGTAAGAATTACCTGCCGACCAGGCAGATATGAGGATGCAGGCGTTGACGATGGAAGGAAGGACAGAGATGCCCGCCTGCTTTATCGCAATGACCCAAGGTGAAGAGTTGGCATTTCCAGAGTCTGATACGAGACCGGGATCCCTAGGGTCAACGATAATGCCAATAAGAAGAGCACCCAGAATGTAGAACAGGGCGATGCGGTATGTAACCCGTTTGGCCGACTTTGGTATGGCTACGTGTGGGTTAATACTCTCGGCAGCTGTGATAACCACCACCTCGACGCCAATGAAGGAGAACGCTGCGTTGACGAACGATGCCAGGAATCCCAGAAAGTGACCCGTCGGCCCAGTGATACCATTGTAATCCACCCAGGCCCCGGGGTCGTTCCAGTAACGGAAGCCAATGGTCTCACCATTCGGCGCGCCTCCGGACGTGATGACAATAGAAACCAAAACTAGACCAAGGAAGCATGCGATCTTGATCGTACCTGCGGCGACTTCAGATTCACCGAACCAGCGCACGCTCAGCAGGTTGATTGCAAGGATGAGAACAAGACTGATGGTGATGACAACGGCAGGCGATAGGTCGGTCCAGTAGCCTACGAGAATTGCGGATGCTGAGCACTCAGCAGCAATGGATATAGTATAACAGTATCCATAACTTATAGCCAGGGAGAAACCGACCGCCGGATCAATGAAGCGGCTAGCAAAATGTGGAAATGAACCAGCAGTAGGGATCTGATTGATGGTGAGTACGATTTTGGAACAAGACGCCATAGAATACCGACCACAGTAGCCAGCTCTGCAATACTTTGCATAACACACCATAACACACTCCCGACGATGATATATGCGAGCAACAAGCCCGCTGGTCCAGCATTTGCATACGCAGATCCTGTTCCAATGAAGAGTCCCGTCCCTATACCGGAACAAAAACCGATCATTGTGACATGATAGTCCTTGAGACGGCGCTGCGTCGCGCCATGGCCGCCAACATTTAGTTGTGGCTCGATGATTGGTTTGCTGTCGTCGGAATCATGGTGGTCGATATGGGGCGAACTCTCGATATCTCGGATATGGTCCAACATGTTTGCGGGGAAAGGGTTTGGAGACGCACAGGCAATAGTGTCCGCGGAATACTACAATGTGGCTACATTATAAAGCTCCTTTGGTTATACATACTCGTATGCTCTTATCCCTTGTCGATCAGGAAATTCTCTTCGGCGCCATCAAAGCACGTCATGTAAATCTACTCTAAGCCTGGACCACCCTGTGGTGGCGCTGCATGTAGTTGCTGAGCATCTCAAGAACATCGTGGTACATAGCTTGCGACTTTAGAAGCTCCTTGCGGTATCGAAACGGTCAGGTACCTATACATCAAACAATATCAGTAGCTTTACTCACTTGCAGATATTTTCTCTACTGGTGTAAAGCATCGCCATGTGATTTGTTAGATGGGCTAGTTTCCGCTAAATCGTGATATCCCGGAAGGGGCCGAATTTAGCGCCGTGAAGTTTTCTCTAGTTGGTCGCGCTATCGGCTGGCAGTTTCGCATCATGCTGGTTCAATCCGCCCAACAACAGAATTGTGGGATCTTTGAGTTCTTGGTGATCCTTGTTCTCTTAGCATGACAAAGTTGTCTATTGAATTACTTAGACCTTCACTTTCAGCGTCCAACGCCTTCCCAAACACGCCCACCTACTGAACAAGAAGCTGATCAGTGACAAGCCGAGAATCGCACAGAAAAAGGCTACCATAGGCTGAGGCCCGACTGTCTGAACAAGCTCTCCACTGATTGGAATGCAGACCAGCGTCGCAAGGGAAGCAATGAAGTACATGCTTCCATAGTATCGACCAAACTCTTCTGCCCTGCATAGCTGTCCTACGCATGCAGGCGTTAACGCCATCCAGGAACCCGTACCGAAACCGAAGAGCGCTGCGAAAGCGTACAGTGCTGGAAGTGATGTTGTACCGAGTGGCAACCACAAGACTAGCATCCAAAGCAAGGTGAAGACGATCATGATGAACAGGGTGTTGAATCGACCAATCTTATCCGCGGCATAACCGGGAAATAGACGTCCGAGGCAAGATACACCATTGAGTACAGCAATGAGATAGAAGCCAGTATCAGGCGGAAAGTCGGTGCTCAGCGTTGCATATGTAGGCATAATGCCCAGTCCACCAAAGAGAACGACCTCGAAACCGAAAACACTCAACGTGAATAAGCTCAATCGCAAATCGCCGTAGATGGAGAGGGAGATTATGGCTTTGTTCTTTGCGGCAGCGGACGGCGGAATGCGAGCTTTCATCAGAATGTTGGCGACGATGAAGCAAAAGAGGAACACAAAGCCCAGTATCCGGAGCGACCATGCGTAGCCGTACTTTGGAAGAGTGGTCCGCAGCATCAACGGGATTGCCAAACCACCAGCGGAGCTACCCATCATGGCGATGCCTTGCGTCAGACCTCGTCGCTCCTTGAACCAATGCGCGACTACTGCGAGACTCGTAGTGGTCAACATGGCGCCAGCAAACCCGCCCAGTATACCGCAGCAAAGGATCATCTGCCAAAACTGGTCACATTCGGCAAGCAGGAAGATCATCAAGAGAAACATGACACTCCCTGTCAGCGCGATCCATCGTGGCCCATAACGGTCGAAGAGCGGTCCCACCCAGATGCCCAGCGCAAGTGAGAGGTAAACGAAAACCGATGGGATCCATCCAATATCACGCGCTGACATGTACGAGAGCTGGTTCTGGCCCCAATAGTCCTGAAGCGTGCCAATGGAAACCATAAACCCAAACGAAGGGAATAGCATCAAGCATGCCGATGCGACAACGAGCCATGCCCGAAGTCCACCCTCAGGAAAGTCGTCTTCGGCATCAACAATGGGTATCCCGGGCTCTTCGTCAAGCTCGTCAATGGGTTGCGTCCGATGCGACCGTGTACGCCCATGCGATCGGATTTCCATCTCTTGATGCGTAGATTGTTTCGCCTCGCTCCCGGTTTTCGATCGTCCCGTCATCTTTGACACCGTCCTCCTCAGTCCATCCCAAATCTCATCCGGTTCTGCATAAGGTCTTCCGTCGCTGGTGATCGGCATGTCCTGCACCTGGACTGTCGGGTTGGCTATAGGATCCATTTCCAAAAAGCCCCTCTTCTTCTCTTTTATGAACTTTGCAAAGAAAAATCCACCAGAATTGCGTCAAGCGCTCGCAACGTGAACCGAAAGACTTCTTATTCGTGAGAGATGTTCGGTCATCGACCACGAAACCCTGTGCTCCTTATACAAGGACACCGGAATCTCATCCCCCATTGAGTAGGGTAGCTTGGCGCAAAATGCGCATCTATGACAGCAAAAAAATGCATGAAGGCGTGCCGGGCGTCAAAAGACGCCCTTTTAATGCGCGCCCTATCGGCGCGAAGATGGCAAGTGGAGCGGCCTTGTCTGGGCCTGCCCCGCATGCAACCGTCCTGCGTCTGTTAGCATGTTCGGAGCTTTCTGAATACTCCGAGCTACTCCTGGGTGCGCGCGCTGGTACTCCGAGATCGCCATGATTGAAAAGAAGGGCGTGGGAAGCTTGCTAGCGCGAGCGCGTGGGTCGAGATGGCTGTGGCCGCGAATCTTTGAAGTTACAAGGCGCGACGATAGCCCGCGGAGCTGGAATGCAAATGGATGACTAAGCCGCTTGTCATGGTATCAGTCCGATTGACGTATTCGTCGCCTCTCTCCCAACACGCATACGCATACGCCGCCCGTTTTGTTAGTATTCGGAAACACTCATCATCATGTAATGCAGGCGATCAGACTTCAGACCTAACGCGCTCATGTTTGCATTAACTACTGCATGTTGAAACATCGCAAGGCAAACAGTGAGTGAGCCATACATTGTACACGGTTAAGCACAAACCGCCGCTTCGCTATCTACAGACTTGCACCTCACTTCGGTACAGCTGTCATGATAGAATGGAACCTCACATCGTCATAGCAATGCACATCCACCATCTTCAATCCTGCGCTCTCAAGCAATTTCATCCAGTCCTCTCTGCTCCGTTCGATGCCGCCCAGCGCCGCCATCATCGCAAGATCCATCATGGCGACCTGCCAAGGCACCTTGGTCTCCGGCAAAACCACCTCGTCAATCAGGATACGCGATTCTGAACCCATAGCCGGAATAATGTTTGAAAGAATGCGAACACAGTCTTCATCTGTCCAGTCATGCATAATATGGCGTAGATAGTAGAATTTTGCGGAGGGGACGGGCTGTGGAGTGAAGAAGTCATGGGCTTGGAACTCGATGCCATCCACTTTGGGTGCGTGCGCGAGAGTTGAAGGAACATCTTGGACGACGATACGGCCAGGGAGTTCAGGAAACTTCTTCTTGAATGCGACAGAATGCTGACCGAAACCTCCACCAATATCAACCAGGAGCGCAGATTCATCCACGGGCTTAAAGTTGCCAACAACCTGCTGAGCAGGGTATGAGGAGACCCAGCTATCAACGGAATCAAGCACCATGATGTGGCCGAGTGCTTTCATCTGCTCGCCATCCCGCTTCATCCACTCAAATGGTGTCAGTTCAGTCTTCATGGCCGTATGAAACGGCAGATCCTTAGGGTTGGTGATGTCTTGGTAGTTGTGCTCCTTCAGGTAGCCGGGTAGCGCTTGCATAACCGGTAAGTGAAGTTTCGAAAGATGTGGTGCAGCGCCACGAATGTGCGGATTCGCGAAGACCCGTGTAGTACGGTTTGCTGCGAAGGTGTTCTTCTCGACTTCTGTTATAAGTCCAAATGATGCCATGGAGCGGAGCAAGTGGGCGAGTAGACTCGGCGCTGCGCCCGTCGTTTGCTTGAAGTCATCATGTGTGATTGGTGTCATAGACGAAGAGAGCATGGTAAAGATGTTGAGATCGATACCGACATCGACAAGAGCCCACTGGAGAGGCTGTAGACGGATTAGTGGATGATACGAAAGGGGCGTGGAAGACTTACTGCCATGGCTAGGCTGAACGTCATCTCCCAGTCGCTATAAAGATCCTTCTGCAGGTCCCGAATCTGTTCCTGGATTTGTTGTCGTTCACGAGCATCACTCTTTGCGTATATGTTGCGGATGGTCTCTGTTGCTGCTTCCATGACTGCAGGATTAGGAGTGTACGATAAGAATTCTCTTACTGGAAGGAGGTGATAAGATGGTTGTATCGATGCATGTCTAATATCAAAGGCCTCGATCTTTATACATCTCCTCTACGCGCATGATTATTCCGCTGTTTTCGGATTTGTAGCACATATCGCGTTTTGGGGCTGTTTGTTGACCGAAATGTGCGATATCCAGGTTGGTGGTGTCCATAAGTAGCAGCGAGATGGCCGAAAAGACCGATTTTGCCGATGCCATGTCCGCGTTGCTACTCTCTATACAAGATCGCATATATCGCCGCTGCAAAATTACCCAGTCCAGTTTCTGACTCTTAATCTGGTGGTGAATCTGTAAACACCTATATGGGGTAGCTTCAAGCGATTTGTCGACAGTAGACGCGATTTCCCAATCGGGAAGGTTTGGTTTGAGCGTTGATGGCAGTAATTTTCACCCAATGCCACCACGGTGCCCATGCTCGCTCAATGCTGCCTACGCTGATTCAACACCTGCCATGCCTACTATGTTCACTCAATGCCTGCAACCTCGACTCAACGAGAGCTCATTGGCCAAACGCGGCTCCATGTTTCGACGACATAGGGCCAACACTGCATCGGGAACTTAGTTTCAGTGTTTTAACCAAGGTCAATGTTGCCATCACTAATGGCAGTCACGAGTGGGTTGAGTCTATGCCTCAGGCTGGTTGTTACAGCCATGGGGTCTCAAGTGGCCTTCGCATACCTACACATGATGATATTGCGCAAGAAGCCGACTCTGACGAAACCAGCAATGAACCCGACATGGAATATTGTTGTAGGCGGTCAACACACCATCTCCTTTAAGACGCGGACGTATGTTTATCTCGTCTTAATGCCGTTGCATAATGCATAGAACTGTTGAGGCTTGTCATGACGTTGGCATCGCGTTTGTGGCGGATTGTCAACGTGCAGCGGGTCGGATGCAACGGATGTTGGCTATACTTCCGCACGACTCAGATCATTTCATATCTTGATCGTTCCAAGGTTTTGAGCATGTTGTATAGAAGCACTATGTGTCAGTGCGTTCATGGATGAGGAAGGGTCTTTGCATACGGGCGCTACCATTGCTGGCAAGCTTAGCGTTCGAGATTCAAGTGGAGCTCATTTCTCCGTCGACGCTTAAGAAATGCCACCATTCACGCATAAGCACTAGGCTCAACACATGCAGCACCAAGCATTGGGGCGTCCTCGTAAACATGGCTTGGGAGGCTTGTCTTTGCAGTTCGAGCTGCATGGCGTTGTTGCGCGCAAAGAAAAACACCATGGAAAACATCACGAAAATCGCGACAATCTTCTCTGGTCAGTATGTTGGCTTCTAACTTGTGGATCGAACCGAGCGGTCTCAACAAAGCACAGATGACTGGTGGAAGAAAAGATAATTGGGTCTGCGGAGGCAGCCATTCCCCAAAAGCCACAATGAGGTGGAGTCTGGGGTCGGACGGGTTCCTCCAGATGATAACGACGCAATGTCCTGGGACGGTATTGCCGATGGTGCCACCCTAAGGCGTTTGATGCTTCTATTCAAAAGCCTGCTACGCCCTCTCGACAGGTAGGCCAGTTCAATCCAGTGCGCTGCGACGACATAGCCAGGATGCCGTCCAAATTCTTCAAGAACCGCAGGGTCTACCTACTGACTAGCGTTGCCTACATGGGCTCGCTGCTGTTCGGTAAGCACAGGTGCCACCCATCCTTGCACAAAAACTGACAGCATCATAGGTTATGATACAGGAGTAATGGGCAGCGTCCTCGCGCTCAAGGCTTTCAAAGAGGACTTTGGCTTGCCAACAGACTCATCCGGATTCTCCGACTCGAAGAATGCATCAGTATCATCGAACGTTGTATCGCTTCTCACTGCCGGTTGCTTTTTCGGGGCGATCGGAGCCGCCTGGATCAACGAACGCTACGGTCGACGGTTGTCTCTCATGGGCTTCTCTCTCGTTTTCCTCGTTGGCGCCGCGCTTCAGACTGCCGCCCATCATGAGATCGGCATGATTTACGCTGGTCGCGTCATCGCAGGTCTCGGTATTGGAGGAATGTCAGCCATTACTCCTGTCTTCGTCTCGGAGAATGCTCCGCCAGCTATTCGAGGACGTATCGCGGGTCTCTTCCAGGAATTCCTGGTCATTGGTAGTACCTTCGCTTACTGGCTGGATTATGGAGTTGCACTCCACATGCCCGTTTCAACGAAGCAATGGAGAGTCCCGGTATCAATCCAACTCATCCCAGGTGGTTTCATGTTGATTGGGCTTTTCTTCCTCAAGGAGTCTCCTCGGTGGTTGATGTCAAAGGGTCGGCAAGAAGAAGCTGCGGAATCCCTCGCGTTCATTCGCTGCGAGCAACCGGACAGTCCTGAGCTTCTGCAGGAACTAGCGGAGATCCGTGCTGCGGTTGAGGAAGAGCTCAATATGACGGAAGGTATCACCTGGAAGGAGTGTCTCCTCCCCGGCAATCGATACCGGTTCATCACTGGTTTTGTGCTCATGTTCTGGCAGCAATTCAGCGGAACAAACTCAATCGGTAAGGAGGCAATGCTCTTGAATGTGGAGTGTCTTGGTCTAACCCTTTGCTAGGTTACTACGCACCTCAAATCTTCCAGACCATCGGCGTATCCGCGTCCAACGCTTCGCTTTTCGCAACGGGTATCTACGGCACTGTTAAGGTCATCACCACGGGTATCTTCCTTATATTTGGAATCGACTTCGTTGGCCGAAAATACTCGCTCATGGGTGGCGCGGCATGGATGGCGGCTATGATGTTCATTATTGGAGCTGTTCTCGCGACATATCCGCCAAACCCTGACTCTGGCTCGGTCTCGTCACCGTCCATTGCCATGGTGGCCATGATCTACCTTTATGTCATCGGATACTCGGCTTCATGGGGCCCTGTTCCGTGGGTTTACCTATCGGAAATCTTCCCAACGCGACTTCGTTCGTACGGTGTCGGAATGGGATCAGCGACCCAGGTAAGTCGTGACTGCACGACCTGCATGTATGGCATACGCTGACTTCATACCTCTACCTCTACAGTGGCTATTCAACTTCGTCATTACCAAGATTACTCCAGCAGCTATTAATCATATTGGCTGGAAGACCTTCATTATGTTTGGCGTCTTCTGCGCTTCCATGGGTATCTTCGCAACATTCTTCATCAAAGAGACGAAGGGAAAGACTCTTGAAGAGATCGATATTCTGTTCGGAGATGTGACAGCAGAGCAGCGTCTCCAGGATGTCGAGGTGGGCATGAAGGAAGAACAGCGGAAGCACTCGGTGAAGTACATGGAGGACGCCCCCGAACTGGAGAACAAGGCAGGAAAGGAGTAAGCAAGACTTCAATGGTCTTAGCGAGTTTCGAGGCTACCTAGGTATTTGTAGATCAATGCGCATGCTTTAGTGACGATGGCCAATCCCTGCGATGAGTTATGATCGGACTTCAGCGATGATCAAAATATTTCTGCCGCAAGTCGACTATGCCCAAAGTGATTTTGCTGGCACGGTTCTGCAAGAAATATTCTACGTGTGGAATTGCAATGCGATGGCAGCTTGAGATGAGCCTTCTTCTGGAGGAGGAAAACAAGTGGGGGCTTAGTCACCGCGCTAGCCTCATCATCCCAGGGGCAATTTCATGAAGCTTCCCATCCCTAAACACGCTGTTTTTATCGCTGGGTTACGCTCAGCATGATCTCCATTAGAGAGTGGGCATCACACCCTACCGTTACATCTAATGGTTTCGCGCATCTTTCTAATTTGACGCTCATTCACGTCTTACGGCTAAGAAGGCGTTTTGATCATACGCCCTTCCTGACGCCCCGTGTGGGGAGACCTCCAAGTCAGCTCTCGTGCGTTCAAGAACTCTTCTCGTGAGTTTGCGGTCGCTGCACAATCTATCTCGCTTGTTTCGACCAATAAACAGACTTGAGATGCCGCCTCGCAACCATTAGCCTCGACCGTTTACCATACTGCCGGTACCAATGTATGATTACGGACGCCACGAACGCCCGACAACCTTCCTGATATGCACCATATATTGAGAATACGAGACGTACCACGGAAGCTAACCGGGTAAATCGTCCCGGTTGCATGCTGACCGCGTGCCTGTCATGAAGATCTGTCTGAGCGGGACCGTATTTAATGGCCATTGCAAGGAGACACACAAGTCGCGTCATATGGGATACGACAAGCAGATAAGTGGGTTGTAAGCTTCCTGTATTGCCTCATGTCTCCGGGTGTTGTCAAACTTGGATGTTTGTGGGGCATTTCACAAACGGTGCAGTGGTAGAGTTTTGCAAATATGAGCTATCAGATATGTCTATAAGGCGCCGCCGTGATAGTCTCTAAGAGGGCAAGCCTCGTCTTGTGAGCCGTTCTATCCTCCTCACTCCCATCGCACATTCGCGCTTTCTGAGATGGGTCGTAGCTTTTCTCTCTTCTCATCCCTTTTTGTGGCGCAAGCCGCCTTTGGATACAACTTTCCATACGAAAGTATACAGTTGACGGAATTGGAGGTGGCAGACAAACCTGACCTTGCTTTCGGTGAAGGAACAGGTGGCAGCATATCTTCGTGTAAGAGCTACCCAGGCTACGACGGTTGGCCGTCATCGATGCAGTGGAGTGCCCTCAATGTCAGTCTTGGTGGCACATTACTCAAGGGCATCCCTCCAGCTGCAGCTTGCTACCAAGGCGAATACAAAGACGCGGCAAAGTGTGCAAATGTTAGGCGACGGCAGTCTGATGCTCTCTTCGTGTATGTGCGGGCTGCCACTACTCTATTCCGGCTACTGATTCGTTGTTTTAGTAAAGAAGACCCACTGATACCCTTTGGGCAATGGGCGCTGGCAAATCCATGTCCAGTACCTGCAGCTAGCGCTACGCCTCCGCTCTCTGACTGCAACTTGACCAGCTTCCCTGCATACGTAGTCAACGCCACCACTGTGAAAGACGTGCAGATCGCTGTGAACTTTGCAAGAAATCATAATATCAGGTTGACGATCAAGTACGTCTTCGCAATGGCAGATCTTAGCTCAAGCTAATCCACTTAGGAACACTGGCCATGACTTCCTCGGCCGAAATACCGGCGGCGGCGCACTTCAAATCTGGGTACATCGCATGAAGGCATTCGAGTACTTACCCACCTTCAAAGTCGGTCACTATAGCGGCCAAGCAGCCCGAGTTGGTGCAGCGTTGGAACAGCACGAGGTCTATAGCTACATGGGAAAGGCTGATATCACACTCCTAGCTCCAGGTTCCTCGACTGTTGGAGCTTATGGTGGCTATATGCAAGGCGGGGGGTTTTCGTACATTACTTCGAAGTATGGTCTAATGGCTGACCAAGTACTTGCTTTGGAGGTTGTTACTGCAGATGGTAGATTCGTGCATGCGGATCCAACTGAGAACGAGGACCTATTCTTCGCTATTCGGGGCGGTGGACCTGGTAAGACCCCGAAGTACCGTTACAGCTAGTTGCAGTGACTAATTTTCACTTTAAGGGAATTTCGGCATCGTTACATCTGCGATTGTAAAGGCGTATCCATCCACGACAGTTGCACGAAGCGACTTCACCTTGCAAACTGGTCCAGTCTCTAACAGCGACAACGCCACCGTTCAGGTATCCAAAGAGACCTTCTGGAAGGGCATAGAGATCTACTTCTCGCATAACTTGCGTATCAATGATGCTCAAGGTATCATGTGGAACTACATCACCACAACTGGTGGTACCTTCACTCTTTCCAACCAAATAACCAAGCCGGGCGTTACCGTCCAAGAAATGAAAAAGCTCATGGCGCCGCTTATCAATGATCTTAGCGATATAGGCGTTCCTCTATCCAACCCCGAACCACAATTCTGGAACACATATGCAGACTTTGGCTCTGTGCCGCCAAGTGGAGGTATACAGAACAGCCGCCTTGTGTCGCGTCTCGTCCCTCGCTCTAATTTTGAAGACCCAAAATCTCAACTCTTTAACAATACCATGGCAGCGATTCGCTCCTTCGTTGAAGAGGGCGGTTACAGCTTCCACTCTGTCGACTACGCACCAACGCGCGAAACTGCCGGCTACCCCGGCTCCGAATCCGCTGTATCGCCACACTTGCGTAACGCAGTCATGCATATGACAGGCTGGGATAACATACAATACAACGCTGACCTCTCCGACGATGTATGGAGGTCGTCGCATGCCCGTCTCGACTCGTATGTGCAAAAGCTGAGAGATGTGACTCCGCTTAGCGGTGCATATATGAACGAGGCGGATGTTGCGGAGCCAAACTTCCAGTACAGTATGTATGGCGACAATTACGAGAGGTTGCTGGGCATCAAAAAGGAGAAGGATCCCTGGGGTTTATTCTATGCGGTTACGGGCGTGGGCAGCGAGGACTGGGTTGTCGAAGGGACGAGAGGGTTGCCTACACAACAAGGGCGGCTTTGTAAATCTGATACGTAGGAGAAGCTGTTTAGATAATCCACCATCTCTTACGTTCGTCAATCTTGTGTAGGAAACCTTTATCTGTCGATATACTGTTCACATGCCCGGAGTTCAAAAGATGCCATGCCTCTTCGTTGTCTTCTAAGCGAACGTTTGTTGACTCAGCGGGGATTTTGAATTGCGTCATGGTCGCTATCTTGTTGTTTGGGTCGGCACATCGGAGTACCGCCAATGGAGAAGATTTCCAGGGTGGCGCACACGCAGTCCTAACCATTGTGGCGAAGAAGAATGCAGTGATGCCAAGGTACAATACCAGAGGCACCACCAGCCACATGAATGTGACTTCAATGGTGGGTTCTAGCCGAAAGAAAAGTCAGTCTACAAGATCTACATACAGGAGATGGGATATGTGCTTACGTATGATCCAGGCAGTACCCTTAACGGTAGACTCCGGATTATCGTCATTACGCCGAATCTCGATACTTACGCTAGCTGCAACATTCTGTACTCGGCGGTCGAACCTCTGGAACGCTTCTTTGTTACATTCATCGATGTTATTGAGATTAGAGCAGATATCTCCATGCGGAATTGAGGACCATGCTGACGGACTATCGCCACGTAGTTCAACAGGTGGACGACAAGTCTCAGTCCCATGTTCATCTTCATTACAACTTACGGTTCTCGTACCGGAGAAGCTGTAACCTGTACGTAGCAGCTCACCAATTGTAAACAGCGAATTTGTGCTAATGCACATTTTTTCATCAGAGGAAGGTATTCGAGTGCAGAAGAATGTGCCCGTACCCACGGTATATCATTGCAACACCTCTGACAGCGGGGTAATACTTGATCGCCATGCGGTCTCGTATGTGGTGCTGAAGACTTGTATGCATGGGTGAAAAGTTGCTCTGAAAGCTGTCCAACGTGCCATGTCTTGACCATTAAAAGACCTTGACATACCCTGGTCATCTTCCTTACAAGGATCGTAGAATACCATGTACAAATTGGGGTAGTTTGGTAAAGATGCCGGCGTACCGTCAACCGGTAAAGACCCATGGTCGTCGTACAAGTCGCTGTACAAGCCTCCTGCTGATTGGGTGTACGTATACAATGTCGTGCCGGGGTGAAATGAGGAAGCTTGATCATGGTCGAGTATTCTTGGTGGTGATGACAAATTGCCAGTAACATTTTTTCCGGGTCTTAAATCCTCGCTGATATCCTCGGTTATTGCACATATTGAAAAAGTGGTATAGGGCTCCCAAGTACAGGAATCAGTTGCGCAAGCGCCGGTGATGTTGGCTGGGTTCATGTATTCAGTCATTAGCGCCTTAAAAACAGCAGCGCTGTGTGAGCTTTCGGCATTGGGACCGAATAACTGGACGCTCGAGGTAGTGACTTGACTAGCACGTTTGATGTAAGTCGAAGTTTCTGCGTGAAACTCAACTCGCCGCCCATTGACAGGTACCGACTGCTGAACAAATGTTGGAAACGCTAACATCAGTATGGTGCTCAACGCTCCAAGGGATACAAGATGCGGTCGTAGCCTCAGGTGCCAAAGGAGTCTCATTGCACCATCAGGGCCTCGGCTAGCCATGTCGAACTTTTCTATGTCGACAGCTCTCCGTTGTTTTTGTAGCCATTTCCATTTAGACTGTCCGATTGACGAAGCGATTGGCACAAGGAGTGCAGACTGGGACAACTGAGCAAGTGCGGCGACGAGCGCAGTGATCTGAACGCTTGACTTCCAGTATTGCTGTTGGACGCTGTTGAACCGGAAAAGAAGCGTTATATTTGCTATGAAGCCGGCAGTGCCGAGTAGCCAAGTGTATAGCTCCCATCTCCATATACGCCCCAGATAGCGAAAGGCATTGCTACTCGACTGTGGCGGCTGTAGTACGGCTGTCGTTATGTGTACCAATTCGTTCAAATTTTCTGCTGCTATTTCGTCCAGCGAAGCACGACCGTCTTCCACGAGCGTGTGTGAAAATGAGATACGAGCGTCGTGTGTGGATACCCCGACATGGTATCACTGATGGACGATCGTGGGTCATTGTTCGATGGCGAAGGCTGTGATATGGCATGTGTGAGACTATCGCATTCGATTCCGCCTGGATGCTGCGAGCGTAACAGAAGCGTTGGTTGATCGCAACAGTCAAAATCAGCAGTCATTATGGGGATGTGCTGGAAGATTGTTGCAAGGCTAACTGATTATTCCGGAGGGCAACTTTGAGCAAATATAGACCTTACTCAAAAGCCGCAACAACGCACGGAAAGTGATCGCTTCTGATAAGAGTCAGCTAGCTGAGCTTCGTCCAAAGACAAAAGCGTTGTTCACATGGGCGCAGCATTGGGGGCGCCGATGGCTTGCTTAATCAGTGCATTTCTATGGTTCGCATCGAAATGTGACCAATCAGATAGAACCAGGGCCGCCAAAAGTCTGCTCGCGCTAAACGCACGGGCCTAACAACAACGTGAGATCTCAAGACGGGTATCTTCTGTGACACCACACAACTCCATCAATATGAGGTCTTTTGGCACTGAAATTTCGGGCAATCGAATGCCTGGAGGTGAATTATCGGAAGCGCAACGTGTGTATATCTTAGCGCAGGTTGACGCTGGTGTATCGACGCGTAAAATTAGTGAGACGCTTGGTTGTACACAACGCGCTGTACAGAAGATTATCGCTCGATGGAAATCGACTACCTACCATACCAAGAACGATCGTGTGGGCCGCCCACCTATTTTAACTAGTAGAGATCATCGTCGGCTTCTTATGATCGTAAAGAGAGATCCTACAATCGAGTACGGCGCTCTCCGTACGGCCGCGGGCCTTGATGGTGATGGGACGACACCACCAGTCTCATTTCGAACTATCGCCCGCGCACTCGCAAGTACAAACTACTCTAAGTATAGAGCCGCTCGGAGGCCAAAAATCAACGCAACTACTGCCAAACTTCGCCGTGAATGGGCTCTACAATGGGCTGGTTTCGACTGGGATCGCACTACTCTCAAGTTCAGCGATGAGTGTAGTATTGCCCGTAGATCTGGCCGCAATCCTCGCTGGGTTTGGCGTTTACCAGCCAACAAATGGAGGCATGAGATAGTGGAGGAGAAGGAGACTAGCCAGCAGCCAGCTCGCATGGTTTGGGCCGCGATTTGGATGACTCCAGGGGGTGGAGTTGGGCGTAGTCCTCTAGTAATCATGACCCGCGACGCATCAGCAAAGCGCAACGGCTATACAAGCCTCAGCTACACAAAGGCTCTCGAGGAAGGACTCCGCGATAACTATAGACCAGGCGAGTTGTTTATGCAGGATAACGCACCAATACACACTGCCTATCGCTCGAGGGAGTGGCTGGAGCTTCACGGTGTTCATACCATCGATTGGCCACCATACTCACCCGATCTCAACCCAATAGAACACTTGTGGTGGAGTCTTAAAAAGGAGCTCTACAAGCGTAAACCTCATCTCGATCACATGGGAGGTTCAGAAAGTGAGTGGGCTGAGTTTGAGATAGGCTTGAAGGAGGCGTGGGCTGCCATACCCGAAACACTGGTGCGCAGCCTCATCACATCAATGCCGCGACGTATTAACGCAGTTCTTCAAGCTAGAGGCTACCAGACACGATACTAAGGCAATTGCTATTATTTCTGTCGTTTTAAAATTTTATTTGGAGCTACTTTGATGGAGTTGCGTTGAGTTGAAATGTGTGAGATTTTCTGAGTTCGTGGCCCGTGCGGTGCAGGCGAACAGACTTTTGGCTTAGTACTGTATATAAACGTTCAGCCCCGAAAACAAAGTTGTTGCAGATGCCCGCGGCGCAGTAATGCTATTCTTGCATACTACTAACGATGAAGTTTGCATCCAGTGAAAGACGAAAGTCACCATCAACTGTCCCACGATCGCAATGCCTTGTGCATGGCGGACCGTAGATTCCTTCTGGCCAATCCTGCTTGCGACTATTATAGGAAGCGAAAAGAGAAACTAGTCGCCGAACATATGTGAGATAAACGAAGGTATCGCAAAAGATGGTGCTATGATGGATAGTTACGATAGACACGTCGAATACTGGGAGCTGGAACCGGTCCAGTCTTTGGCTCGTCTTGCCCGCCGACTTTTGGCGAGAGCTTGTTGTAGTGAAGACACATACGATTTGTGTCTGAACCATCCGAAGCCATGCTGGGCGAGTATTTGTCGAACATGAGATGCTGGAAGTTTTGTCGCTCCGTCAATGGTGTATAGAAGCGCGTCGACCAATCAGGCTAAGTGCGCCGTAACGAAGAAAGTTTGAGACGCAAAAGGTACGCGCGCTCTTAGTGACGTATTGCGATTGCTCTGAAATCGGAGAGCAAGTCTCACCTTCACTGCTGGCAAATTTTCCAAGCCTTAGCCATGTAAGATACACAGTTAGAGTCATCTGGAAGATAGTTTCAAACAGCAAGCGCGGGAACTGGGATACCAATGATGCTAACACACCTGAGTAGTATTCATTGATCAACATGTTTGATCCTATACCTATGCGCAATGGCGCCATATACTCAAGCATCTACTGCGAAATGTCGCAGTAGAATATCGTTGCAAGCAAAAGAAACACAATAAAAGAAACAGCCAACCCTCCCATGAGGACCTTCCGCAAATCAACCCGCACAACCAATCCACACGCGTATACCAACCACCCCAGCAGCATCTCAAGACAAGTCTTTCTTCGAGAAAATCTGTATCGGAACACCCTATATATCAGAAACTTTTGAACAGCTTACTTCCCGTCATAGCACCGATCTTGGACTTGCGCTTAGGCTCGTACCCATCATCCTCGACGAAGGTGTCAATGTTGTCTTCGATATCCTCGTCAGCGTCCTCTGTGTCTTCATCCTCCGGGTCTTCCACAACGAAAGTGCTGCGTGTTCGCCTCGTACTCGCCTGCGACGGCACTATGGTAGGTGCATTGACTTGCGTAGTCTTCTTGGTCGTCTTCTTGACCGGCCTTGTACGAACAAGAACGTCTGAGTCATTCGAGTCGCTCATCTCGACATTTTCATCTTTAATTGAAGATGCCTTGTCAGCGCTAGCCTGCATCGCCCGCGGAAGAGCTGTCCGTGTGCGCTTGGCCTTGATCACATGAGGCGTCTTGGAAGGCTGTGAAGACTTTGACGACTTAGTCTTATTGCGAGACGTGTTTTCTTCAGTGTCATCGTCATTTGATCGGAATCGCTTCTTGTCTTTGGCTGAAGCCGCATCGCCGCTCTCGCCTATTCCAGGAGACGATGTGGACTTGCTGGAGTAGCCGGAGTCGGTGTTCTGGCTATCCTTTCGCCTCCGCTTCTGCACTTGCTGTTGGGCCTCAGCAGCCTGCCTCGCCTCTTTAGCCTTCTTCTCAGCTTCCTTCTCCTCGAAAGCCAACTGTTCAGCTTTCGCACGTTCTTCTTCTTTCTTCTTCCTGTGTGCTTCGCGTTCGGTTTGCTGCGCGGCTGCTTGCGCTACCGCCCGCTTTCGCCTCAGCTCCTTGTTGAAGTGCTTGACTTCACCTTGTGCGAACTCCATGGCCTCGATAGGATCACCAAGCTTATCTATCAACTCGAAGTATGCCTTGTCGTTGAGGACTAGCACGTCTACGAGATACCCCTTGTAGTCATAATCCAGCTCGAGCTCACGGAACTGCACCTCATCTAGAAGTTGGCGTTGGCTCATATTCTCGTATGAGGACTTGCTCTGGCACTTTGGCATCCGGTCTACCTTGGGGACGAAAGTCCTGGGGAGTTCGAGGACCTGGCGCTGTTATGGGCGACGGGCGTTCGGCCGCTCGACCCTAGGCGCGACAGGCTGCCGACGACCTGGGGCGCGACGCCGCTGTGAGAAATACGTCCGCTGGGCGGCAGCTTGCTGGGCAGCTTCTTCGCGAGCCTTGCGAGCAGCAGCTTGTTTTACCGCCAGGGGGTGTGGAGCAAGCAAACTAGTAATGAGGTCTTCAACGGGTACCGCTGAGTGGTTGGCATTGCGAGCGACGATAGCTGGAACAGGGAGGGGTCTACACCGTGCAGTGTCCTCTGAACGAGAGTTACTCTGCGCAGGAGTCGGCGAGCGAAGGGTGAGTACATTGAAAGCAGGGATGGAGTGTTTGGCGGGAGCGCGCTTCTCGACTCTGAACGCCGGTGACGCAGTCGATGTAGCCTTCGCGGTCTTGCGCTTTGGCGCAGGCGTCAACTTGACCTTAGGGGTGGCCTTCTGAGTGGGGGCTTTCTCGCCCTTTGCCTCCGCGAGGAGGGAAAAGAACATCTTGTTGTGCGTAAGGACAGTCAGGAGAGGGGGTGTTGAGAGTGAGAGAATTTGGTCTGTTGCGACGACTAGTCGTAGGTGTAGTAGTGATTGGCCCAATTCGGTCACCGTGTGTGGAAGAAAAATTGTAGGCGGAAGATGGAAAGGCTTTAGTCCTGTAGGAGAAGCTTTCACTCAAGCTAGTGTGTGAACGTGATGTGATATTCCGGTGTCTGGTTGTGAAAGTGAAAGTATCGAAAGTGCAATACATGGGGCGGAAGGGAAAGGGGAAGAGGATCTATTCACAGCGTAGGCAATGAGCAGACCGCCAATAGGACAAGCAACAAAGAGACAACTCGGAGTTTGGAACTACATAGTGAGTCTTGGTAGATATGGTAGTACCACGAATTGAGTATGGAAGACCTCATTTCCATTGGGTTTTCAGGCGAGTAGGCATGAATGCGTTCGAGTAGTTAGCAAGACATCTTGTGATTGTGTGTTGTGAATGTGTTGTGTTTGGGAAGGAACTGAAAATCGTATGCATTTGGGCTTGGTAGTATGTGGAGAACGGGATTTTGGATGACAAGATAAGAGAATCAGATGAGTTGGCTTTAATACTGCTTGCCTTTGCAGATTATATGGTAGAAGAGAAGATCAGTATTACATAGCTGAGGAAGCTACCGCAGGTTGATTCACCAGCCCACTACTTTGATGTTCTTCATCGAAGAATCGTACATGATGCTTTCATACCACATAAGCCAGTGGCAATCCTAAGGAACAACATCATACCCCAACGATGATATGATGAAGAAGAAAAAGGCTCCAGAGTATGGCACTGCGTAAGTCAAGAGATGGAGATTGCGATAGGACATCCAGTACAGAACTCCGGGATCAAAGAACAACGACAACCTGACGACGAATTTATCTGTTTCCCCGGAACTCAGTGTAATGTTAAGTTAGATTTCCACGTTATCGACTACCGCACATTGGTAGAGTGAGGCCTGGAAGAAAAGTTGCTGGCAACAAAGGTGATGGTCGTCCATGGCTCGAACACAATTGATGACCTAGCCTATCGAACAGCTTCCGATATCCACACGACAACATGAGAGCATCGGCACATCGGCGCATCCATCGAATGGTGATCCTAAGTCAATGGTTCCATATGTAGGAATGGCCCGCTCATGTTCCGCGTGGAGGCCGCCCGCCCCAAAATAATCAACACAGTCTTTTTGGTTGATGGGACCAAAGTTCTCAGGCCTTGACTTGGATATTCCGATACCGGTAGCCCCTAGTGTTTTGGTGAGTCAAACGAAAGGTAAGGCCAGTCAGATCTTCAGGATAGTCATTCAGTCCTTTGAGTTCAGCATCTTTGGTCGGCTTGCGCGAAGTAATGAGTGTTTGGATATCGTATCCAGAACATTTCATGCTCAGCGCGGATGAATGACAGGCCTCGGTCTGAGCTAAAGGCAAGTACACCTCTTTGTTCCAGAGCAAGCATACGAGCCTCTGTCCAAGCAGACCGGTGTCGTAGAACATGATGGCATCGTAGTTAAGCGTAAATTCGCGTCGCAATCACGTGTAGCATTTTGAGCTCTTAGACACATGTAGTTAGCTTTGCGAAATGGTATTTTGGTTGAAGCGTGCGGAAAATGAGGTGTGAAGTGTCAAGTAAGAAAGCCGACTTCTGCAACCATGGTGCAACTGTCGGGATATCGGCAAAACTTGCCGCACGCGCCGATGACCTCGGTGTTTGCATTGTTTGCATTGAACCGCCTAACTTTATGGCCAGACAGCAGCAACACTGAAACACCAAGAGCCACAAGCATTGCGCTCAACTCTCTACGATTCAACTACGTAACCGGAGATCACCCTCACGAAGTTATTTGGATTTCTCAAGCCGTCGAACGCGTCCCTTTCGGCGAAACGATCTCCAACCAGCGGTCAACGCCGCATACATACGGACCTTATAAGCGGCGGATAGACACAGGGAGAACACAATGGGCGGCTACTTATCGACGTTTACAAAGCTCATATGGGCGAAGAAGGAGATACGGATATTGATTCTGGGGCTGGTATGAGCATCAAGTATGGCAGCACGCAGGCACAGCGCTGATTATAAACGCAGGATAACGCTGGAAAGACGACGCTATTATACAGACTGAAGGTACGTGATATCCCACATAGCGAGGACATCAAGCCTGGAGATAAACATTCTGGGTTAGGGGGAGGCTTAAAACCACACAGCTAACAACCCCAACAGATCGGCGAAGTAGTCACAACGATACCAACAATAGGCTTCAACGTTGAATCAGTAACATACAAGAACCTCAATTTTAACGTCTGGGTAAGCACTCCTCTCTCACCCATCCCAGTCTCGTTCACCCTAACACTTCAGCCCAGGACCTCGGAGGCCAAACGTCCATCCGCCCTTACTGGCGCTGTTACTACGCCAACACCGCCGCCGTAATATTCGTCATCGACTCGACCGACATCGAGCGCCTGACCACCGCATCCGAAGAACTCCGCGCCATGCTCAACGAAGAAGAACTCCGCGACGCCGCGCTCCTCGTTTTCGCCAACAAGCAAGATCAGCCGGGCGCAAAGGGCGCGGGTGAGATTAGCGAAGCGCTCAAGTTGGGAGAGCTGAAAGATAGGAATTGGAGTATCGTTGCGTGTAGTGCGGTGGATGGTAGGGGTGTGCAGGAGGGTATGGATTGGCTTGTTAGTAATGTTGGGGAGGGTCAGAACTGAGAAGGTGGAAGTGAGGATAGCGCATTCGCGACGGGCAGAGAACATATACATGCGTGACAGCAGGGAAGCGGGAAGCGGGGACACATGACGCGGCATACACGCGTCAGACGGAATTATTATACCAGCATAGTGGTGTCTCGGCGCCAGGGATTGTGAATACGGAAAGTTAGCGTCAGTAATTGAATGCGCATCTTTGACGTTGATATACATGCATTAGATGGCCGTGAAGGGATGAAAGAGCATGGAATGCGTCTAATAATGCTCCCACGTCAGATCTCTACCTGGTCTCAAACGTCCCTCTGTCCAATCCTTGCCGTAGACATACGCACTACTAATCTCTTCTTCGTCGATACCCAAGTGGTCATCTCCGTCTCTTCCTTGAAACCAGCCCAGTGCATATGTCTTCCCACTCTTCTCCAGATGTTTTGTCATCTGGCTAGAGTTGAACTTCTCTGTGTCGATGAAGCTAAGCAGCATTTTAGACTGGTGGATGAAAGCGAGAACAGATGCCATAGTACCGATTTGACGCGGCATGAACTTTTGACTGCGCTTCGCATAGGTGAGGAGGGCGATGCCGATGAGGTATAGCAGGATGAGCATGGTGAGAGTGAAGCTCGACCAGAAACTGCGGAAGGTTTGTTCCGTGTTGTAGCGATCATTGTCGTCACTTTTCTTTCCGTCCCCGTCACTGTCCCAGTCTTGACCCCCCAATCCAGGAATGAACTTCTTGCCGTCAACGCTGATCGAAGTTACGCAGACGGTCAAGATCTCTGCGAGGATAGATCCAAACGCAACGAGCATGACAAGGTAATGGCCATTGAAGAAGGCTTCGAAGGGTAGCCAGAGAGGATTCGTGCCAGCATAGTCGAGTGTAAGAGTTTTAGCTGGCGCATGTCGAAGGGAAAGGAGGTAGAAAGGTTGTAGCATCCGAACGTCGCTGTTCATCGTGTTCCAAAGCATGCGGATAATGGTTGCTACGCCTGTCATGATCCATGGGAGTTTCTGTGTGACTAAGCTCGCCTTCTCGACGAAAGTAAATATTGGTACCATTATGGTGAATACGATGAGAAACCCGATAAACGGGAAACCAGATCGGAGGCGGAGCATGAGCGGTCTAGGGTCGGAGCCTTGCTCATGAGCTTTTTCCTTGCTTTTCGTAATGTACTCACCTTGCCAGAGTGAACTCTTGTGCAAGATATATCGTCGTTGGCGAAGCTGTTTGTGTATCTGGCCCAGTGATGCCTGATCGAGCCCTTTAAAGTCCGCCAAAATGTGGCTCTTAGTAGCCATGGCTGCGACACCAGCAATACCTTTGGGATCTGACTGTAAGCCGCTCTTCCGCTGCATTGCGTACATGAGTGCTCCGCCACAGCCTGCAACAATCAAAAGGCACGCCGACAGCGCTCTAGACCAAGCCGGTTCGACCCTGACAGACTTCGGTTGACCGAGTTCGCGTTCCCTCTCTGGTGGCCACATTGATATAGATGCACTCTGCAAGACGGGTACAAGGCTACTAGCTACCAATGTGCCTAGCGAGCTGTAAATGACGGCATACTGTCTGTGACGGAGTGCCCTCAGTGGCACCAGGAAACTCAGAAAAGTTAGGTAGTCCATATTCAGAGACTCCCCAGCAGTTGCGCCTGTCTTCTTGGATAACTGATAGAATGGTTCTAGGCGTTTCACCTCGAAATCTGACATTTGCCAGAGAACACCGTAAAAGACTGAGATGATGATAGGCGCGTACTGCCACGTGAAGTATGCTGTGACAGTTAGATCGCCTACTTTATCAAACGACTTCAAGCCACCGCGCAATGGATCCTTCTTGACGTTTCTTAGGGAAACCTGGCACAAGTATTCCTGTACACCAGCAAGCGCTAGTGCGAGGATGACAAGTATGAGGATCCACCACGAGCTCATCGTAAGGGGCCGCCACGTAGGCATTTGGGGGTCTGATTGAAACTTAGTTTCTGTGTCTGAACATCCGTACGAAATAGTCACCTTCTGGGAAGAAGTAGCTGGTTTGCGCATCACTTCTAATAAGACCAGCCTCAGCTGTTAAGCTATTCATAGAGTCGAAATCGCGAGCAACTCCGGTAAATTCGCTAATGTCGATTGGAACATCTGCTGCAACAGCAACGACTTGGCCAGTCTTCTCAGCCTTGTCTTGTGCCTTCTTGGCCTGCTCGTCTGCTACATCCGCTTTTGACAATATTCGTCGGTGGCCAGGGAAGAAGCCTGGTAATGGTCCAGTGGGGGTGTGCGTAAATGGGCTATGGCGTATCGAAGTCATTCCAGCTCCGAGTTGCGCTTCAAGTCTTTCAAACTCTGCAGCATGACTAGCCTCATTCATATCTCGGTCATATCCTCTCGCTTCATATGTGTCTTGTGTCTTCGACTGCGCGCCGAACGTCTTCATAGGTAGACCACCGAGCGAACTGAGGTCGTACCCGACTGCTTCATCTCCCTCTTCGACCTCCTTTAGCGTTCTCCCGGCTGGCCGTGATTCTTCATCATCTAGCCGGTTGTAATGTCCCCCTTGGGAGCTTCCTCTGTGCAGCGATGCGATTCGGTCGAGGACCCGCTTAGTCCTACTGTTGCTCTTGTCCGATGATGCACGATCCTGAGCAAAGACGGTTGCGACAGGATTGTATGATGTCTCTTGGGCAAAAGAGGGCGGCGCCGGAGCGCGGGGTATACGATACGAGGGCTCTGAAGCCGGTACCAGAGGCGAGGGAAACGACTGTCGTCTTGATGCAGGGGTACTGCTGGGAGATGTGATGGAGGCGACCGAGGAAGGACGGGACGGAAAGAGTTGCGAAAGCCTATCCGAGGCGCCGGATGTGTTCTTGCGCCGCAGTGGTGGCCGAGCATGAGATAGTGGAGCATCGCCCGTTGCGGGAGAGCCAACGCGCAAAGCAGAAGGAACTGTAATATCGGAGGGTCTTCTGTTGCTAGTAGGGGAGCCAATCTGGAGGGAAGATGGTACTTCCTCCACTTCTTGTGATCGCATGTTCAATCGTGTATGCGCCGCATGCGCTGACGTTTGTTGGGCGTACTTCAACGTTTGTAACTTGTAGCAATTGTGAGGTGAAAGCAAACACCACCGAAGGAGAAGAAGCAGCAGCAACAAGAAACGCGAAAAGTCACCAAGTCGCACAAGATGTTGCACGCGGCTGACGGTACCTTGCAGCCTGTGCGTCGCGCTGGTTAGCCTGGTTCCATCACACTAATATACGCTCACGGAGGCCTTGCTAGAAGTACTCAGGCAGAAAACCCCTCCTGAGGCAGTTCGCGACCTGTAAATCAGGCGAATCGAGTGGACGTCGTAGAAACAAGCTCGCTTTGCCTTGTATGCGCGTTGGCGTTGCGGGGCTTTACGAGCCGCTCAGCCCTGTGCTGATCAATCCGCGTGATGCGGGATGGAATGCGGAGCCTCAGATGTTCGGCGTGTTGGAGACAGCGATGGGCAAAACTGCGGTAACAACGAGGACTTGGAGCTCATCGAGCTGTGGAAAGTGAAAGAGACTTGATTTACAGATTCCAGCGATGCCATCATAACAACCGCTTCGTCAAGGATAGAGGGCGACCTGAGCTAAAAATACGGCGCTGTGCCGCTGCGGTCGCAGGCCTATCGATTTTCGCGTGCCATTGCCGTCTTTGGCATGCCAGTGGCTTGCGATGGGGGCCAAGAAACATCGTAACGTCGTGTTAGACACACACGCGGCTGTACGACGGGATGCAAAACCGAAACTGTTGGTGTTGAGTAGATGGAGATAAGGAAGGAGAAGACAGTGAGGTCGGACGGAAGATGCTCTAGTCGGTTCCCCGCTAATCCAATGACGCAAAGTCGCTCAAGTGGCAGGTGCTCACGGTGGCAGCTAGGTTGCCAAAGCGACTTCGAGACACCAACCAGGCTGTGCGACACCACCAACAATGCGCAATGCATGTACAACGGCACTCAGTCTCTTGTGGGTTGTTGGATGCGGGGAATAGTTGCTCCGTCGTCTGCATCACAGATATGCATATGCTATTCGCTGGCAAGTAAAATATTGCGACGCGTGCTTCTATACACAGATTGTACTCTTGAATAACCTCATCATGCACTATTGGCTGACTAGGTACTGATTGCAGGCCTCTGCTTTAATCGCCGGTTGAATGCGACTCAGTCCATTCAAGACTGCCTCCTTCGCATCTGCAGCATCGGCCCCTTCCTGCCTGACACAAAAATGTCGTAAATCTGGTATTGATCCTCCGTCTGTCGTCCAGGCTTTCCATGTCGATCGCCCCCACCAAGCCTGCTCTTTGGATCAGCCTGAATCTCATACATCCAGAGTGTCTTGGCAATAACAAGTCGCATCTCGAGCCATGCAAGATTCTTTCCAACGCAGCCCCGGGTTCCATAGGAGAAAGCACAGAATCCATTCTCAGCCAAGGCCACACTCTCAGCTGAAGATCCCTCCTTTCCGGTTTCGTCTACGATCCAGCGCTCAGGGCGGAATTTGAAGGGCTCCGGGTAGATGTTCGAGTTGTAGCTGAGACAGTAAAGACCGGTGCTCACATGAAGGCCAGCTGGAAAGTAGTGGTCACCAACAGTTGTCCCACCGGGGAGTACTTCACGGCTTGGCTCTGCTGCGACTGGTGGTGTCATACGCATAGCTTCTTGGAGGAATGCTGTGAGGTACTTGCAAGACATGATCTGGCTACCAGACTTGATCTCGTCGTAGCCTGAGAAGGTAGACTTGACCTCTTGGGCAATCTTAGCCTGTACTTCCGGTCGCCGAGCCAGGTAGAAGAAGGCCGCGGATAGCACAACAGAGGTCGTATCAGAACCAGCGATGGTCAGCAATTCGCACTCAGCGAATAGCTCGTTGAGATCGTAGCCCCGCTCGCCGGTCTCGGGATCGATAGCCTTGAAGAGCCAGTGGAAGAAATCCTTCCGCACCTCACCCTCGGGCTTGGGGTTTTTCTCCAATTCCTGTTCATCCTTGGATCGGTTCTCGAGACATTGTTCAACAAAGTTTTGCCACTTCACAACTACTGACGGTGAGGCGACTTCCAAAAGCTTGTCAAGACCACGAGGCTTCAGCCATACCCAAGCGTTGGCTAACGGGCCGAATGCAACCTGCCGAACCTTAGCACAGTCGATCAACGTATGATCTGAGGCGGGAACTTACTGGGTGGAGAAGCTCCAGGAATGAGACCATAACCTCTGGAATGTGCCGCAGGTCGCTTCCGGGCTCCTTCATGTTGAAGTTTTTACCGAAGCACAAGTCACCAAGAATATCGAAAACAAGCCAATTCATCCAGTCACACATGTTGAAAGACGTCGTCCACTCGCCATCTTTTGGCGCTTGTTGGCCCAGCAGCTCCAGCCAGCGGTCAATGTTTTGGTGAAGGAAGACCTCGGCATCTCGCAACGCTGCTTCCGAGAAAGCGTAATTCAGTACACGGCGCTTGCGTGCATGAACACTTACGGTGGTGCTACTCCATGTGTTGATTGTGTGCACATTGCGTGGCCACACTTCGTAGTAGATACCCTTCTTGACATTTCCTTTCGGTCCGAAGATCTTCTTGAAAGCAGCAGGAGTGTTGAGCACGACACTGTCTGGACGATAACGAAACTCAGGACCTGTTGCTCGTTAGCAACTGCCCGGATTTGGTGGATAAGATTCGCTGCCATACCATACTTGTTCTGCAATTCGTACAACCAAATGTGTCGGTCGCCAGTGCGAGTATGCCACCATGATGGGAACACGGTTAAACGGGCCCAGAACGGTCCGGGGAACGCCGCGAGCGGATGGAAATAGAGGCGATAGATACCAGTGGCAATTACATATGTCGATACTAAGAGAGATGACAACACGAGAAGGCCTGGGTAGGAGAATCCATTGTCTTGGGTCTCTTGGAATGCCATCGTGCACCACTGGCTCAAGTAGAGAAGAAGAAAAGGTTGTCAAGAACGCGAAAGCGAAATGCAGAGCGTGGGGTCTCTTTTACGCCTCTCTATGATCGCCGACTTTTCAATCGCATGTCTTTCTCACTCCGCGGTATCTAGCACTCACAACGCCCAAATTAGTGCCCGTTGATTGGTCCCCTAAGATCTTAGGCCTCTCACTTGAGGCTGGGGCGCCTGTCAGAAACGACTCTGAAATGTGGAGTTTTGCTTTTCGGCTAGACTAGACCAAGGGCCGACGACGAGCCGCACCTCCCGCATCAGCTATCGCCGACTTGCACTCCGACTAGCAAACAACAGCAGGTGCTTACTCCACAGCGCCACTATCACTCTGCATCATCGACATTTCGTTTTGTTAGAGGTAAGCACGTATCGCGTTCCTGGAAATCATCGGAAAAGGCAGATTTGCTGGTTGCCCGGATTGGTGGGTATGTCGCTAACCCCATGGGAATCGCACTGCATTTGCCCTGGTCAGGTTTGAGACAATAACCTGACGGGAATGGGACGTTCGGCAGGGTCTTCCAGTTTCTCGACTCGCCGCTGCAGTGCTAAAACTACCAAGACGACGGCGTGTGCGGCTCTTGATCCCACCGGCTACTGATATGCGTGGTGTGAAGCTGCTTCCGCTTCCGCGATCCTGACTGTGCATATACGCTTGTTTGATTGGCAAACGGTGATTTCATCCAAGAACGTTGGGTCCGTACGCCACCACCATGCTTGCACACACGTTGCGGCACATGCTCGCATCACTTACCAGCGATTCGTCATTGAAGGATTTCGGTAATGCATAACATAATCGCGATACTGTAGGAATAGACGCCACAAAGCGGACGATACTGCGCGCACATCCGAGCTGCATCACGCCTGAAAATTCATCATTGGTCATGTTTACCATCAATTGGCTCGTTCTCTACCGGCGTAGCCTCATTCTGACTCGCAATCGGCGAGCAGCTAGACCGATTACAACCAAAACGATGGCCAGGCACATGCTCAACACCAAGGAATAGGATGATTTGCCTAGGCCGACCATTTCTGGTAATGAACAGCTCGGAGTTTATCCAGCGATGCAGTACGGCTATCGCGGAGGATTTTGATCGACGGTAGTTGTCACTCGGGTTTCGAGTACGAACCCAGATGCAATCCCGCGGAAACACATAAACAAGTATGTTCTCCTTTCTTTTTTCGACGTCAAAATAGACTACTCTGAGCTGCTACGGTAAGCAAGCCACAAGTTCCTTGCCAAACGAGAGGGTGGGCGACGTTCATAGCTCCATGGTTAACCGGTGTGGAGTCAATTCCCATTTCGTTCCCGCATAGCACGCACGCCGTCTCCCTTGGGGACAAGCCCCGTACCGGCCCCACCCACTCACATGTGAAAACGAGCAGCACTCCAGGCCGACTAGAACCCCCTAACCTGTAACGACGATCCACTTTCCAGGTCCTCCCCGTGTGTCACTGCTTTCGCTTCAGTGCTTCCGTGCTTGAAACTTAGCTCAACAGCTCCAAAGGACCCTCGCAAATGTTCGGGTTATGACTTCTCATTGCCGGACTCTGCGTTCGCATTGGTCGATCAGCAGCTAAACAAGCAAAAAAAATGTCATGGGTACCAAGGGGACGATTGACATCCTAAAGGGGATCACGCGACCGGGAGTGCCGGTAGCGGATAGGTGGATTGGGAACATCTGGGGAGTTTGGTCAAGGCGCTGGAGTGTGAAAAAGGTTCTTTTCTTTCTTGGTGGCTCGCCTTGTTCTCGTATATCATGACTTGATGTGCCGCATTGTTTTGTATTTCGTGTGAGGGTTTCAAGCATCATCGTAAACGCGGCGGCGACTATCAATTCTCTTTGTTCGTGATACCTGGTGTATTTGCGAAAAGATAGAGAAGAGCGTGTGTCATTTGTGCATCATGGCACCGATCATTAATCCACAGGAGAGTCTGTAAGTTACTCCGTCTTGTCTACTCGCCCATCCATTATCCTTCCTCTACCCTTTCCATACTCAGTCTCCGCGATTTACCAATCCATGTTATATCGCGACCAGAAAACACTTCCTCGGATAACATACCACTAACACCCTCTCCAGCCAATCTTACCGCCGCCGTCTCGATGGCGTGGCTATCTCGACTTACATCCTAATCATGTTGCTCGTCCCGCTCAAGGTCTACTGTCGGAAACGGCACGGGGGATGGCGCAATGTTCAGATGGATGACTACATGTCCATGGTGGCACTGGTTATGGCTAACGGTTTCTTCTATGTATGCATCATTGGTACGTATCCTCGCCCATCACCCATTCCACTCATCTTCAGCAACATGAGTCGCAGGCTAACACCAAGTGCTTACTAGGCATGCGAGAGTCACTAGGACTACACATGAATGAAATCACGAACCCGCTGCAAGCCATCGCTTTCCTACGGAACATCTACATCGGCCAAATACTCTATACGTTGTGCATCACGACTATCAAGCTATCTGTTCTAGCCTTCTACTGGCGGCTATTCGAGATCAAATCCCGAATGATCATCTACGCCGTCACTGCCGCATCGATCGCATGGTGTATCGCTATTGTAAGCCATCCAGTCCACCAAACCCATTTTTCCTCCCTCTCCTCCAAACTTCAGCGCATAAAGCTAACGACACCGTCCCACAGCTACTCTGCGTCATCTTCAACTGTCTCCCCGTACAGGCCGCCTGGGACATAACCATCACAAATGGGAAATGCATCGAAACCCGCGACATCTACCTTGGCGGCTCGGTGCCCAACGTGATCCTCGACTTCATTATCGTCGGCATGCCCATCCCGCACGTCTGGCGCCTGCACGCACCAATCGCCCAACGTATCGTGCTAGCCGGCATGTTCGCCCTTGGCACCTTCATCGCCATTGTCTCGCTCGTACGCTTGATCATCTTCCTGCAAATCCCCATCTCAGGCCAAGTCGACCCCACCTACAACTTCCGCGAAATCATCGTGTGGTCTATTGTCGAAGTCAACATTGGTCTCACTTGTGCGTGTTTGCCTAGCTTAAAGCCTGCTTTCCGATGGATCGGCCTTGATAGACTCTTTTCCTTTGCTTCTTCCCGGCCCTCGGATATGCGGTCTCCTGGACCGAGCTCGCACGGTGCTATGGATGATTATGGGTCGAACCCGAAGAATTCTGGAAGGCCGAGGAAGAAGGGTGCTACTGGAGGGCTGTTCTCGACACTGGCGGGTATGAGTCGGCTGGAGGATGAGGAGGAGTTCAAGTTTGTTGGGGACGATAGGCAAGGGAAGCACAATGTAGAGATTGAGATGGGGAGAGTAAGCGATGACAGTGCGCAGAGGACTGCGACGGGAGGGATTAGCGTCCAAAAGAATTGGAGCGTGCTAGTTGATGAGAGGAAGATGGATCATCGGTAGTAACGACTGAAACATGCATGGGCGACTGAAGAAAAAAGGAAAGAAATGTGGATACTTCAATCATACGACAACTAACGAGGTTATGTCATACAAAACCCTACAATGTACTATTTTAGAATACACAACCTTATAATGCTTGGTAGCTCGGTCAAAACCCAGTGCGTCGGCGTGTAGGGGGTGAAGCATCTGCTCGACGTTGTCACAACGTTGCGTCGAAACTGGAGAGGAAAATAAGGGCAAGGATGATTACGCGTGGGAAGTAGTGTATGAATGAGCTCGAAATACTAATTTAGCTGCAGAGCACGGAGTGTTTGCAAAAGCGCCAATTTGTCTTTTCAACCGAAAGATTCAAAGGCCCGCATGGGAACCTCGTCGCTCTTTTCAGAATGCCCAAGATGCGCCGAAACTCTACCTCAGATTCCATGGATCCTCGGTCGATGCGCACCAGATCCTTCATCGACATGTCTTCTGGTAGCTGGAGGATCATGAAGCTGCAGGTGTATTCATTCTTGCCGCAGATGAGGGCAAATAAGTATTCGCATGAATCAATGTGGTCTGTGAGCATTGTATTCCTGTATGACAGAAAAAGGCCTGTAGCGCTTACGATGGCTTGTGCGGGATAGAATCGTAGCTCGATCTTGAAGGAGTATCGGGTGACTTCGCACTCCAACTACTGGTCGCATATGGTGTCTTGACGCCCGGTATCGAGTCCTCAGATTCATTGGAGTTGATATCCATTTCGTCTTCTTCAGAATCTGTGCGTTAGGGAAATGTCTCATCTTTCATCTTGACTGTGCTGTCTTTTCTCTTACAAAAGTATGTTGGTGTGAAGGCTTTTTTGAAAATGTGATGTTCCGTAATTGCGAATCTTTATGGGATCCGTTCATGTAAAACTACAAGGCGACTCCAGCGCGGGCGTTCTTGCGAAAGATGCCGCCTCGCAGGTGCTCCTTCAGGCTGGGTTCATTACGGGTATACTGCCCATCGATGGCTGGAACGCAGCTGGCGTTGTCTATCGGATAGATCAGGTCGCGAGAGTAACTGGTGCCTTCCTACGGCTGGAGAGGATGGTTTCTTTTTCCCTGACCTGGCTTAGACCATATCAGAGGGCCATAATTGGCTAGAAGTTCGTCTAGCTCTTCGTCAAACAGTTTCGGATCGGATCGATCAAGGAGATTACCTTCATCGCGGACTACTCGATCGAAAAGAGCTTACAGTTCAACTTTACATAGAGCAAGGACTGGCTCGTACTTAAACACTGGGATTCTGACTGCGACGTTGGGAACTGTTCTCTCTTGCCCACAAGTCTGAGGTCCGAAAAGTTCGGTATGGCTGATAGGGTCAATGCGAAAGGATTATGTACTTCGCATTGCTGTGGGTATTAGTGTTATCGCAGAGGCCTGGAAACGTTGTAACCAATGGTCGAGAAACTGACGGCGAACGCTTGCTCGCTCCTTCCGAGTATCTCAAACTTTCGCTAAAAGCTATTATCTTCTTCGTGCTTACCGAACAAATTTTCGCATTTTGTTTTCGTCTTCTGTACATAAAGTGGAGTATATGTTAGTTCGATGAAACTATGAAGATATTCAGGATGTAGCTGTGAGATGTCACTCAGGACCCTGCACTCAAAGTAGCGGCCTGCTAGCGCCGATAGCCTGCATGGCTCCTTCCCTCTTACGTCAAAACAACAACCTTACATCACCGCCTATTGCAAACGGCCTGTCGTACAAACCACCAGCATGTCGCTTTCGGTCCAACTTGAAAGAGCTCGAAATACTGCGCGCGCACCGGCTTTGGAACTCCCAACAGCAAGCTTCAAGCGCGTTGCGCGAGGCCAGCCTCGCCGACGACTCCAGTCCTCAGCCTGATCACGAAATTCAGTCTCAGATACCCACAAACATAGCAAGTAGCACTCCAAAAGCCGAAGTTCCGGAGAACGACTTCATCTATAATGCCACCTAAGCTGTGTGCACTCGAGACATCCTTCAACGGAGAAGCTCAAAATACCAGTTCTACCATATCCTCCAGCGCATACGATTGCTTCAACTCACAACGTCATCCTAAGGGCCATTTCTACTCAACCAATCAGCTTTTCGCACGAGGCGTTTGGATTGAATATTTAGCTCCAGACAGGCAAAACCAGTCATTTCGAGGACTACCATCCTTCCACGATCTGAAGGTCAATTATAGCAAGTTCAGCCGGTCACATCCTCCGATAGTTCAAGGCTCCCCTAGGGAGAATCCCAATGCTGTATGCCGAGGTTGTGCTGCGGAAGAATCGACTCTCATCGGTCTGAGCGAGATGCAGTTTGGAACGAAAGTCGAAAGTCGTACCCAGATCATCCACGGGTGATCAGTCCAGCGTGTTGATGAGAGGTAGAAAGTCGGTATAATGCCGCTTGACGGAGACGATGATGCCCAAGTTTTCGCCATTATGCTTCCTCAAAAGAGTGACAGTTCATTAAATGGTCTTCAATCCTTTCGTCCTTACGAGGTAAGTTTTGGGTCTACGAGATACATGTGAGACATGTGTTAACTTCTCATGTTCATTTTTGCAGATCAGCAATAGCGGCATGGGTGAAACCTTTGTCAACAACTACATGATGCTCACCCTCCGCAATCCCGACAGTGATGCTGGTACATTGGAGACCGTTCTCACAGTCTTGTTACCACAAGAGCGTGCTGACATTATTTCGAAGCTGAAAAAATTGCCAGCACCTAGCAAACGTCTTTCTTCTGCTCCTAAGCCATCTAAAATTATAGATAAGGATACCACACCCCTAGCAACGCATGTCGTAGCAAAGGTTGACGACGGCGAGAACGATGCACATGAGGATCAGCCTGCCACGCGAAAACGGCGCAAGATTAGCGACAATGCCGTGCACAAGTGCGAGGTCATGAAAATTGGTCCCAGGGATGGCAGCGTTCACCTTGCGCAGCCGCCGCCCCCGCCGCCACAAACACCACGGATTACTCAAACTCTTGCCGATGAAGTAAAGCATCATACTCCAATAACACCAGAACCATCCAGGCCTTCATCTCAAGCCACCAAAACCACAGACTCCTCCAACGTCATACCTCTCAACTTCAGCGACGAACAAGCTGAGCGCGTGTGCTTCATCTGGCCAGTCATTGACGACGACATCGAAATCGAGTTTGTCCATACGTTGGGCGAGTGCAAATCTTTCAGAGGTTTGCTTCGTCTCTTAGAGGAAGATAGCGAGGCCATTCGGTCTGCTGCTAGCATATTGGGAAGAACGAACATGTGGCGTCTGACATACCGTCTTGGCGATGGTGCTAACAAAGCGGTCATTGCCCGCAAAGGCAATGAAGCTGCATTCGATCGTCTGCAAACCACACTTGCTCGAGCTTCTATCTGGAAAGATAACCCTCGGGCCCAAATCATTATCGAACTCAGTTCTTTGAGCAAACCGGCCCCTGTATGAGCGACATGTACAACAGGTAGCGACAGCGCCTCTTCTTACCCTTACGGATCTTGACCCACCTGAAGGTGCACTTGTCATCACTTCCGGTGGCATCTGTATACCACTGAGAAGTATGCTGACTACGTTCTTGCGTTGATTTACATATACTCCGGATCAATGTCGATGGTCCTCGTTGAACGGATTGGTTCAAGGCGTTGGTTTCAGACATGTATTTGCATACTTCATGGTTATGCAAGATCAAGTCACTTGAGTGTACGTATGCATAGAAACACCTATTTCATCTTCTCATGAGTCTGCCAATTTAAGTTCAACAGCTTGTACTTAGGTACATGTTCACACCTGGTATGCGCGACAACGCAGTAATTCCGTACGCATGCATGGAACCGAGAAAAAGCTTGGTATTGTGCAGCCGGTGTTTGATGCTGAAACGGGCTACAGGAAAAGCGCAAGTATCTGAGTAGACTCAGAGTCCTCAACAACAACAATTAGTAGCGGATCGATGCATACCCGTAACATCGTAGACGAACAACGATGTGCACAATGTCTTGTGTAAGTAATTGGGGTGATCGTCGTATTAACGCCGAATTCCAGCCAATCGGCAAGAATTGCCCTGTGGTTCCGCCTGCCATTCCCAGGCGGGCGCCGCTAACCCTGTAAACGAAGCTTTCATGCGCTATGGTTTCTTCATCTGTACTCTTATCATCTGTCATATTCTCATCTCATCTTAGGAGTGCCGTTCCTTTCCCTCGCACGTCGTAGTGCTGATTCGTACATGATCTAAGCGGCCCTTTTGCAAACTTGTACCATCTGCCTCCCGCAGTCTTGAGAGCATCTGTATGTAATCATACCGGAGAAAATCAGCATTACACATCACGCCTCCCCCGGCATAGTTGTAAAAGCACAGCGTTCGGGACTTATACGATTACCTGCAGAAGTGTTATTAGCTTACACTCAGTTCACCTGGCAAAATTTTGCGATTCATGCATCAAGCCCAGACACCATGGACGGCTCGGCTATCACATACGCAACGTCCAAGGACTGGCTGGACATCATGAAGAATCGATCAAAAGTGCGCATGCACGAGCTGATCGAGCGTCTTGGGCTGCGCGCAAAATGGTCGTCCAACAAACGCGGCAAAACAAACTTTGAATCCGCCCTCGTGCGCGAACTGGTTGCAGACATGGGTGACGTGGTCTCCACATTACCAAAAGAGCCGGATGAGCTGATGAAGTTTCTGAGCGACGAGGGCAGTCTGAAAGAGGAGGTCGATGGCTTACTTGAGAAACACGGCGCCAAGGTCTGGGGGAGAGTGGGGGACCGTGAGCATCTAATCACAGCAAATGAACCCGGGGTTGAGGAGGGTCTTTACCCCAGGGATCTTTACATCGAGAACGAAGATGACAGAGCACTGTAAGTAGTCCTAAAAGCAGATCCCAAATCATTTCAGAGTCCTTGGGTTAGAACAGCACAACTGCTAACTCACCATGCAGGATCCACAAACTTCTCCATTGGTGGATTGGACTGAAAGCATGCAATGTCATTCTTGCGCGCGAACGCCTGGACCGCGAAAGACGAAAGAAGGCGGAGAATCGACAGGCGCGAGCTGATGCTGAGTTTTCTGGTCAGCAAGAGGGCGGTACGCCAGCGTCTTTCGTTGCGCTTGCGCCAAATTCAGTGTTGCACGATGGCGATACAGTGTCACGTGGAAGTCCAATGTCATCGAGCGCTATGCTCACGCCTCCAGAATCTGGAGAGAGCCCTATTATGGGACCTCGAGAAGGAGGCGGGTTCACAACTGTCAATGGCGGTGGGCATGCGACGAATGGTAATGCAGCGTTCACGTCCGCAAAAACACACGAACAGCAGATCCCACAACAGCCTAATAGCATCGTCGAGGGCGTCTGGAATAAGCTTGCTGCTGAGGCAAACAACTCTCGATATCTTAGTACGCTGTCAGGCCCTGCCCACGCCCAAGCCGCACATTCTACCGAAACCAAAGCAGTGGTACAACAGCAGATCGCAGACGCGACTCAAGCTGCTGCCGATCGGCAGGTCAGTGTTCAAATGGCAGCGCTGGTAGCAAGTTTTCGGTCGGATGACGGCGTACCAGAAGAGCTGCCACAACCAAACAACAGTATACCATATCGTGGCTTGGACTATGATGGGTTGCGGGCGCTACGGCAATACATATACGGAGAAGAGCGTGGTATTTCGATGGACGAGGAAGCTCTCCTCAACCAGCTCGAAAGAACGTGGCGAGAAGGCGTTCGAGCCGATTACAACAGAATGATTGAGAATATCCCCGTCTTCATCGCCAGGGAACGAGCGTTCCTAACATGGGTGGAACTGAAGCGGCATCTAGCAGCTCTCTTACGAGCAAACGAACGTAGGTTCCGCAAAGCTAAAGTTCTGCCTCACATTCACATGCTTACTTCACTACAGGATGGTCAGCCGAAGGCCACACGGCCGCCGAGATTGAGCGCCGCATTCAACAGCACCGCACCCTAATGGGCTGCACACAAACCATCATCGCAAACTTCGAAGACGTTGGCCAGGGCTTCGGTCTCGGTCCTAATGTCGCTGTCGACCGCGATGAGCTACTGCGACAAGCTCTCGTGGTATTGGCTGGAGAGAAGTATGCAGCGGAAATGCAGTGGAAGGCTGTAGATTTTACGCAAGTTGTGGTATGGTTGCGTGAGCATTTGGAGAGCTTCCGCAAGGAAGAGGAAGAGGAAGGAAAGGGTATGCTCTGGTACATTGGCGAGTCACGACAATAGCCGCGGTTAGTATTATCCTGATACGCACGTATCACGCGCTGAGCTGGTGTAGTCGCGAAATCTGTGTACGTGGATCTTACAGGCGTTCAGGTTTTCAAGGTGCCGATCGATCAGCAGGGTTTGAGGCCCCACTAGGCGTCCAATTCAGGAAAATAAGCTATTCGGGTAGGTCAGCCGTACGTAGAGTGGTTTCAGCTACTTGATCATGTTACAGGACGGTGTAGGATTACACTAGCTCAGCTGTGCCTCACTTCATCACCATGCAGTAGGGGACTATGCGACGATGTTGTTTGCTTTGTTGCGATCGACTCGATGAGAGCGGATAGTGAGCACGTGTGAGCAGCGTTCAATAGTTCGGCAACTAGTATCCGAATGAATACACGGCTCGGCAGCACTTCGCAGTATACCCTTTCGCTTAGTCTACTCCCTGCAGTCAAGGGGGCGTGTCTTCAGGCTCCGCACTGCGCCGTAAATCTCCCTAATGCCACGTTCCTATTTTAGAGTGGAGTGACCGCGCCGCACATTCGTCACATCGCATCACATTTTTTCTTTCGAGCTGTGGCGTTAAGATTATATTTCGCCCTACTTCCCATCGAAAATTATGCGCACGGTGATCAGAGGAAGACATGTTGCACGGTTGAGTAGTCACAGTTGGGTAGTACAAGTGTACCCAGGTATGAATAAGGCGAGGTCGAGCGCGTCATAGATGCATATGTAGTTGTAACTCCTGACCATGATACCAACGACATGATAGCCCCGGCTATACGAAACAGTAATAGTGCCGCTTATTCGCTGATTGCGTGTAGCGGCTAATGGTGGCTTTGAGTAAGAGGATCGGATGTTTTGGCCTATGCGAGTAAGAGTTGTGCTGCTAGCGACATATTCATTTGTACCTCGTGTATGATGATCATCCCTGCGATAGATATGATTAGCATAATCCAGCAAATGACCACCAAGGCCATAGTGCAAGTGTCGTACATTGAACAGGCAAGGGTGAAGGGGCCCGCTCTGTAGGAACGAATGAGGATCGGGCGCGGTACTATGATTACACCTGATGGGGGGTTTATTGGCGTGCGAGTCATTAACTTCGGAGTGCGGACGCGTATTACCTCTGCACATGTTTTGTTGCGGCCCCTGCCGGATCATTGTCTCGCTACTGGACACCTCTTTTCTGGGTATCTTTTCGACGCAGCGTACCGTCGTTCGCCTTCTACACGTCACCGGCATCAATAATCATCATCATCATCACCACCAATCAATATTTCGCCGCCCAACGCCCCCCACAACAATCTCTTCCGTCGCGACTCAATTGTACAGTTGCAGCGCAATTTGTTCTTCTTGTGTGTATAGGGGCTTTGGTTCTTTGTCTAGTTTGGTAGCACGATCGGCATCTGAGACTGGACAAAGTTTTTTTTGGGGTAGCAGCAGCTGGCAATAAGAAAACTTTGTTCCAAGACGGCCTAGTGGAACGTACTCCTTTTACCTTTGCCGAGCGAGCTACCATCAATCACCCCAACCTTGGAACTCAAGCGGATCCATCACATTTTGGCGCACGCGCCATTGATTGTCATTCCCCATCCGCTTACTTTTCCATCATCGTTTTCCTGCTTCCCTTCTACTGTTGACGTTACTGTCGTCACCCATGTGGCGTCATGAGCTCAAAGGATAACTTGGCCCTGGATCTCGAGCACGGTGTGCGACGATGGGATCGCGCTCGATGGATATCCGTCTTCAGCTCGCATAATCCGACTATACGCGAAGTGACGGAATGCTTGGGTCTGGGCTTGTCGGCGTCTTCCTCCACCACCAACCGCGGCATTCCGAAGTTCGACAATCCAGACTACCGCAAGCTATCCAGTGAGGTGACGAAACTGTCAAAGGAATTACCAAAAGAAAGAGATGCGTTGCTGGATTTTGCGGCGGATCCGAGTTCCCTGAACCAGGAGCTCGAGGACCTGCTAGCGAGTTACGGACCCGCTATTTGGGGCAAGGATGCGGATCGGAGCTGTTTACTCACACCAGATCCTACCAAGAAGACGTACAACAAAGATCTGTTCTACGAAGAGCCTGAGCATAAGGATATGTAAGTTAGGCTGATGGTCACGTCAGGTGTCAAATGTCAGAACACGCGCTAAGCTCGATTTAGTCTCAAGATTCATCTGCATCGGTGGATCATCATCAAAGCTTGCTACTATATCCGCAACATGAAGCTGAAGAGGCCGTCGGGTGCGAACGAGTATGATCAGCTCGCCGATATCGATGGCGATGGCCTGGTGAGTTCAGATGCTACAATCCGTGTCGTCATAAAGCTAATAAAGGGTAGTCGCCGCATGGAACGCCACAGTCGCTTACTCCACCAGACCCAGAAACTGTTGCAAGCGCAGACCTTGATGTAAAGCCTATCAACCTGAAGAAGCGCAAGAGCAATGCCCACCTAACTATGTCTGACGATGACGACCTCGAGACTTCGCCTGTCAAGCGACCTTACAGCACGATGCTTGTGAACTGGAAGGGCAGTCCAAGAAAGTCACTCAAGTCACTGTATCCCGCGGGCCCGGGCAGCATGGAGAACATTCCTCCGATGCCAACACATATTCCCCGTTTCTCGCCAGCACCAGGAACCACGCCTGAACCCGCACGGCTACAGCTCAGTCCTCTGTCAAACAATGACCTGAACGGCGTGTCAAGGTCTCCTGCTATCACGCGGAGCTCCACGAGTTCGGCACCTGGAGGCTTCACTGCAGTCAACACTGGAAGCTACACTGCCGTTAACAATACGTCTACTGTAAGTGAGCCACCTAGAGAGCCAGTACGGGAATCAACAAGAGAGTCATCGAGAGAGTTGCATCGGCCTCCTCCAGCGAATGGAAATGGTCACAGAAATCGCTATACAAGTCCGTATGAGCCTTCTTCACATAGTACAGCAATGGCTCGATCCGCTACCGACACTCCTCGTTCTGTACCGCCAGCAACCCCGACACCCGCTCCTGGTCAGGGGTTTCATGCGGTGAACGCTTCTTCAGCACTTAATGGAGCAAGTGCACATATGAAGAAAGAGTCTCCCGCCGTTCAGTCTTCTCAGCATGCGCATATTGCTCCACAACCGCTGCAACCGCAACAGCAGCAACAGCAGCAGCAACAGCCACCCCAAGCACAACCACATGGCACGCAACAGACACCGTCCCATCTTTCACATCAGAATCAGGCGTCGCCACATGGCCAACCACATCATACACAACACACGCATCTTCCGTCTCACCCGCATATACAGGCTCAGCAACAGCCTCCACCTCGACCACCAAGTCGGGCTAATACCCCTAGCCATCCTTTCGGCCGCTCCCTTGCACCTCATCCTCGCAGTAGATCTAGTACACCACATGCGCAGGCCGCACCTAATCAGCCGACTATGGCAACTAGTAAGCAAGTCACATCTGCGCCTGTGATACAAAACGCGCCAGCATACGGCATCCAGCTCGTTCCGGCACCAGAAGCACCTCCTGCACCATCGAGCAGACAGCGAATGCCTTCAAACCCTAGTCAACCTGCCGCATCACCCCATCAACCCGTGCTGAAAAGCCAACAACAACCACAACCCGAAATTGCACAAGTCGTCCCGCCTCCACAGACGTTCACCCGAGGCTCAGTATGTACAGCCGACCTCCGCCTCCTTCAATGCGAAGTGACAGCCGGCCTCTTCGCATTCTTCTACCCGTGCACCACCATGCCACCCGACGAACCCGCACTCCTCGCACGCATACACGCGCTCTGGTTCCACGGCGAAGCACTCTTCCGCGCTGAACTAAGCACGCAATTCGATCTCGTCTCCAAGATCCTAACCGCCTGGCTCCACGAACGCCAAGCCATCGCCTCGTTGCGTCACTCGATGCAAGCAAACCCCGGTATCTCGCACGTGGGACTTGTAGATCGTTTGCTTGCGATGAACGATCTTAGGGCTATCCGACTCAAGTGGAAGAATATGAGTTCGATTGACGGAATGAGTCCGGAGGATCTATTGTGCATGGCGTTTAGAGCCATGACGAATACTGAGGGGTCGGAATACCTTTTCAAGGACGGGCTGGCTAGGCTTGAGCTTGGCGTTTTCGAATTCCTACGCAGCGAAGACTCGAAGATTGTTATGCAGAGGCGGGATACTAGGGCTGGGTGAACCAGCGGCCTGAGCACTGCATTTTTATTTTGTTGCTTTTGTTGCTTCTTCGTTTCTTTTTCTTTACTTGAGTCTGATTCTCTCGCTAATCTCGTTTTCGATTCATGTCTTGTACCTGTACTAATGCAACCTAACTAAGAATGGTGGCTTAGCGTGGTTTGGGCCCCTGCGTAGGTTCTTGTCGGTATGGCGCATTTGCTTTTCAGAACTTAGCGTTGGCGTTTGGGATTACTCTCTCCCTTTTCTTTTTGTCAATACGAAAAGCGGGTGCTGATTTCGATATAGCTTGTGTTACTAAATTGGTACTACTACTTCGTTGTAATGGGTGGCGAGGCTGTGAGTGGCAATGATTGTAGGATGGTAGGTGTTCAGATGGCAGGGTGGTGGCGACGTCTTCCAGCTCGGAGCATTTCACGAGCGATACGTAGAATGAAGCTTGTATCGATCATAGCATGTCTGTAATTAGCCTGCGAACATTTTCCGAATTAAGTTGCTTGTTGAGAGTCTTGGTCTGACAATCACCTGATGGCTACAGGAACCGTCCATGAAGTGAGGCAGTATTCCGTGAACTCTATCTTTGGAGGTTCTTGGTCGTCTGACCACACGTCTTCACGTGTGCCGAATTAGACCCTGGACGATGCGCATCGCGAACCATAGCCCACCAATCCCACGCAACACACAACGGACGACACCATCTTTACGCGTCTTCACTCGTTGCAACCCTTGCTGCTCTCTTTGATGCGAACACAGCAAGGATTAAACATGTCCCCTGCGACGCGTCTTCCCGGCGGCTGCCCGCTGTGGCTGCCGGTGGGACTAAGACATCCGTCTACCTCATGACTGTCTCAAGCCACGCCCACTCACCAGCAGCGCCCACGCACCCTCGCTGCTATAAAATGGCCTCGTGGATGCCCCACGCGCTCGCCGTAGCTGCACACCACTTCACAGCGGTGTATGGCAATCGTTACATATGATCCCATGGCCTGTCGCTTGTATCGTACCGCCCACGTAGTTTCGGCGCCATGGTGCTGAGACTCTTTGTGCCGCCCGGTATGCCCTCACGGAATGTAACAAGTTAGAAGAAGTTACTGACATAATGGTGTAGGTGAAGGGCAACATCGACTTGTTCCGGAACGTCCAGATCCCATCGGTGCGAATACGACGCTCCAGTATTCTGTCATTTCTTCGACCGTCCTTGCCGCCGCGTATACGTCCTTCGCTTCGAGATACAGTCAGAGAGTGACTCCTGCACGGCCGCTGTCCAGAGCCGCCGTGTTTATACGGAGTTCGGCAAGACTGGGGGTTTGGGCCGGTGTCGCAGGAGCGGCGCTCAACTGGTATTACTACTCGGCTTTTGCCAAGGTGGTAGTGTCGCAGAAGGTGCTAGAAGTCAAGGACTGGAAGCTCTATGAGTGGACAAAGAGATACACCGTTGAGGATGGGGCTTTGGCAGGCGCCGCATTGGGGCTGGCTATCTCGGTGCCTTCGCTGTTTATGCGCCGGCCTGCTATACCAAGGTGGACGCGATGTTTGGGCATGATGAACACCGGCGCTTGTGCAGGTGTGCTGGGAGCGCATGCATACTTCCAATACACTGGAGAGAGACAGGAGGCTTATAGACACCTTGGTCGGCAGCTGAAGCGAAGATCACTCGAATTCTGGTCCATCTTCTGGGACGCGGAGCTGATGGCTGGTCTTGATCCCATCATGCAGCAGTACGTTCGACACAACGGCTTTTGGTACACAAGGTGGCTACCACAAGAAGTCTTTGAGCGAGAAGAACCCGGCGTGGAACTTGTCGCCAGCAGCAAAGAGTTCGCGGTAATCACCGAAGCGCCCGTGGAAGAGCAGCCGCCTTTCTACAGCGCACCCATCGAGTATGCCGAAGACCTGCGGCGGATCGACGTAGAAAGTACCCTGGGTAGAATCGAAGCCATGGAAGCGGACAGAAAAGAACTACTCAAGGAGGCTGAATACCTACTGTTTGTCAACGCACAGCAGCAGTACGAATACTGTCACATGGCCACCATGGACGAAGATGAACGACACCGACGCCTCCAAGAGATTCACCTCATAGACGTGGCATACAACCGCCTTCGCGCTGCCGCCAACGACATCGATATCAAGCTTATTCACTGGCGCTTATCTCTCAAGCATAAGGCCCTCTGGGAAGCTGCCACACCCGCCACGACGGCTGCGACGACGAGTGGAACAGATACCGTTGCCGACTGGCTACCAATACCTCAAGCCCTCACTTCCTTCGCGACGCATAAACCGACGTATTCCATGGGCGAGATCGAAAAAGTACAATGGCAGATTGCGGCTGAGGTGAAGAGATTCGAGGAAGGGTATATGGATGAAAGGTTTCCTGAGGAGAAGAGGGAAAGGTGGAGGAGGGATGCTGAGGATGGGAGGTGCATATTGAGAGCCGCGGATCATGTGCTGTGGAGGATGATGAAGGCGAGGGAGGCGGCTGAAGATGGTGATAAGACGGTAGTGGGCGTGTGTGGGAAGGAAGGGGAAGAGGCTGGATCTGCGGGTATGAGTGGGGGTGATGTCGTCCTAGCAGGTGACTCCTCAGTAGTGACTGAAGCTGCTGGGTTGAATACATCGACTACAACTTCGAGGAAAGAGATTGAGAAGACGAGAGTGAGTGGAGAGGAGGCGACGAAATCGCGCACTAGTACTCTGGATGCCGATAAGTCGTGATACCCATATTGGGCATGTATAGTACGGGCCATATTTTCTCTTCGCTAGATGGACGCTGCTTGTAGGAGTTGGACGACTAGATGCGTAGTGTAGGTTACTGCCAATTTCCCACTTTCATCTCTTATGGTGCTCTCTCAATTGGTCTTCAAGCATGTCTCTGATATATATTGATCTATTGTACAACTCACTTTCTGTTGTGTTTTCTTGTCTCTCATTACTTCGGAGTGGTTTGGATGTGTATCCGGTGTGTTCACGTTCACGTTCACGTTCACGTTCACTTTTTTCCACCTTCGTTCAACGTCCAACTTTTCATACCGCGCCAATACCGTACTCATCTTCTCTCAACGACACTCGCCCACCTCTGCCGTGTCGATTCGCTCAAACTCTAAATTTGACGCTTCGCTATCAAACCAACGTCACTATTCGACAGACTTGCGACCAAGATGCCCAACTTCATCATCAAGCTCCCACTTCCGGAGCGATTCGGCGGTCCTAGACGTGAGACTGTAGCTACATCTGCTGAGTCTGCGTCGCGACCAATCCGCAGCACGCGCACGTCCGTCAGCACATACAACCTGCCTAAGCTCACTGCAACCGCAATCCACACGCGTACCAAGTATCTCGAAAAACACCTCAAGAACGTACAGCACGATCTGTCAGCTACCAAAGGTTTCCCGTCCTCGCTCAATGCTTCGAACACGAATACAGGCAAGCTTGCGTCTTCTCGCTCGCGACTAAGCGCTAGGACGGTGCAGTTCCAGCGATCAGAGGAAGACGAGTCCCACAAGCCGAACGAGTTAGCCGTGCCAAAGGAAGGAGGCGTTCTATTTACGGATGATGCATTTCCACCCAACATAGTCGTTGATACCTCTCATACGTTTGCCATGGCCCACCTTGAAGCGTTTGGCACTCTTCCAGAGGAGATGAAGAAGATGTTGGATAGCACAAAGAGGAAGCTTGAGGTAATGGATGACCACGCGGCGAAGATCGACCACTGCAGGGCCAAGAAGATCAAGATGGGAATCTCTTCTGCAGACTTGACGCAGATATTCCTGTCATACCTTGAAACCTTTGGCCAACCTGATTTCCGCGAGACCATCTCACTCGCCAGAATCGAGGAATCTCTCATCCAAATCACTCCGTTTCTGTCCGCCATAATAGAAGGTGAAGATGATGCCCCTCTCTTCTCTACTACCCTCGTCGCATGGCTAGACTACCGTCGTATCCTCCACTCGGTCCACACCTTCCATACCACCCCGCTCCTCCCCTCCCTGATTCTGAGTCCCTTCACTATAAAGATCAAGAACTCTCGGCTCTTGACTGAGTTGAGGAAGGCACGCATTAATTACTTGTCGTCGACGGAGACTGGAGAGTTGCGGGTGTATGAGGTATTGGTCGATGGGTTCGTTGCGCTGCAGAGAACAGTTGGAGAGAGGAAGGAAGTTGGAAACCGAGTTGAGGCGGGATTGAGAAGGCTGGAAGGGGCATTGGTAGGGTTGGGCGAAGAGTTGGGGAAGGGGGCGGGACGGTGGGTAGCCTCCGGGATCGAGTAGTGAAGGAGATTCAGATATGGTGGGAAGGAGTGGGGAAGGAGATTGAGAACTGATGAGCTCTGGATACTAAGGAGAATAAGCCGTATGGAATTGCAAATCTCGGAAGTCAAGGCTACCACTCATATACAGTCGAGAAACGACTTTGGAGCCGGTCGTCGAAGCCGGTGAAATGTCGCAAATAGTTCGAATTTCCAGGCAAACGCGTGTATGTGTTTCTAGCGCATCTCCACTGATTTCCTATAAAGTCTGCTTTCTTACGCCAATTACCTTTCTATCAACAACCTACTCTATTATATCAAAAAGAACAGTCCGACAACCCATGGAGAAGCACCCTGCTGTGTCCAAAAATCTGCCCATTTAAAGCCATGAGCAAAGAGACTGACGTACCTGCTTTCGAAGAGCTATCGGTAGCACTATATGTGCCGTCAACCCTGGGAGCTTCCTAAGGAAAGAAGAACTCTTCTCATGTGCGTGCTGTGGAGCCGGCAGTCTTATCCAAAAACCATGATAGCCACTTCGTCGCCTCCTTATATGCTCGAAAATGCTATCGATTTGACCGTATGTTTTGCGGTGCTCTTCGTCGTCCAAAAATACGATCTTACCTTTCCATGTCAGTGCTTTTGGCGTCGCTTCAAAACAATCAGACTGCAGAAACAAACAAGAACTATAATTAAATGCTCTGAGATCCTGGAAAGACATGATTGCGAGCGATATTGGTATCTCGATACATTGCCAGCTTTTCATGCTTTCTCATGAGCGTCAAATGGATCAAAACCGAGCCTTCGCAAACTTGCGCATCCAGAAAATCGTCACTCTGAATCGGTAGCTTGACACAACCATGGTTCGAGCCGAGCCTGGTTAGGCTACTTGACACTGTGATAATGTTGTCTCGTCTCTACTGGTGGATATAAGTACCTCTCCTTCTTGCCTTCGGTCTTTCCTGTGTCACACTATGTTTCTTTAGAAACCGAGAGCTTGACCCCGTGCCTCATGGTCTCTGGTAACCAAGACGATTCCTGGAAGTCGTCTTGGCTGTGGAAAACCTCCAAATACAACGAGGATGTCGAACATGGAGGCAAGTTGCCGGAACATCAAATATCCTCATTTTCTTTCCCTCGGTTTTAAGGATGATTATATTCAAATGATTTAGTCCTTCGGAAATGCTTGGATATGTATTTCACGTTCTCTTCTCCGGCGTCTTATTACGATGCCTATTCAAAAATCTGGAAAGACGTATTGATGGGAACAAATTCCCGTAGAAAGCCCTAAAAGACCTGGACGCCTTTCGCCATGCTGTTGTGACAAACCCGATATCTAGTCGCTATCTTGCAAACTTAACGCTCTCCTCAGAGGCCAAGAGACTTTGCGCTTGCGCATACGAGAGTTGAACTTTTAGCTATATGTGCTGTCCACAATGAACGTCATCATTACCGTGATTAGATATAGCGACTTATCGACTTTGGTGCCGACGCGTGAGACTCACTTACTATGGAATCTTGCGTCTTCCAGTGACATAACTCCGTACTTCATCTTGCACATCACGATACTACAAAAAGGCGACGATGGGTGGGCATGACCTGCTGTCGCTCAAGAAACAACAGGATGTCGTTCATGAAAGATGTGCGGCGCGTCTTCCTGCACTCTCATTTCTCAAAACGATAGGAACTGTGTCAGATCTCAAAATTCGACTGGTATTTATGTATGGCGCACTAAAAAGATACAACTTCATGCATATGACGGAATTCCGGGATGCCGTCGCCATTGTCTTAGCGGAAGCTCGACAATTCGAGTCGAATTGCTCATCCAAAACAGCTACCTTATCTGTGAATAGTCGACTTTAAAGCTGGTGCTGTCTCCAAAAGCAAGAATCGAGCTAGCGATGACTCCGTCGCGGCGTGGAAGATATCCGCAACGACTAGCGCATTGCTTTGTGGGTATAAAAGCCCTCGTTCGACTCTTCACTTCTCTTCCCCATACCATCAGCTTCTTGCTCACAAATCCAAAACATGTCTGGCGCAGTTGCATGATTCTTTTGTCCTCTCAAAAGGATGAGAAAGATGGGTATGCCACCTTTTCTAGATTCTGAACTCGACATGGAAATATAATCTAAAACGGGCCAAAGCCCTTATGTGACGATGCGTGCTTCCGAAACTTCGCATTGATACAGGAATCTCCGATCTTCTCTTTTCATCAAAACATTACCACCGCGCTATCTCTGCAACACATACTCAGTGCTATGCCTCCATCCTAGGTGATCAAAGCTTTTCAAATCAATTCGTCTAATCAATTCGTGATTGTGTATCTTGCACATGTCTGACTCTCTCCTACACACCCCAGTCTCCTATTACGATTTACGAGCAGCGACTCAACTGAGTTTGATTGACGTGTCGTATTGTCTAATTGTTTCGTATAATCTTTCGAGTGATCGCACCTGCCCCCTATTAGTTCCTTAGATCAAACCATAGCATAAAAGAAGAAACGACTCACTGTGTTGGTAACCAGTAAGGAGAGAAAGATTTGATAGCGGCCTTAGCAGTTGTAGAAGTAGACACCAGCGGTAGCACAACCCCCATCTGGGCAACCCACGCTACATGGCCGAGGAGGGTTTTAGAGGCATCGGTTTCGTCCAGACAATTGTGCGCTATCAGTGACTTCGACGGGAGAGTCAGGAACTGGTGAAGCTGTTGATACTGCGAGGCTGAGAAGCACTGAAGACAAGATGCGAAGGAGCTGCATGGCTGTCGGACTTTTGAAGGATACGTAATGTCAAAAGTACTGGAGTGATTGATTAAAGAGACACACTTCAAAAAGGGCAAAGGATGAAGTACTTATGTAGCTGTTTCACATCTGAGTAGATCAACATATTCATGGGCTCTGTATATTAACCGTAGTGATGAGCTTAAAGTGGTACGTGAATCAACGCTAGCATAAAGGCGTAACTAGAGCGTTCATCGCTATCCACCGTCTCTAACACGCATGGAATTCATGACCTTGGCACCAGTCTGTTGATCGAATGGAAACATATACAGTTCCATACACCGAGGACCAGGTGTTTGGGAAACATACCCGCAATGCGGCTATACTCATATAAGATTACTCAACAGCGTTATTCCTCCATTTCACCATCGGGATGCTCAACAAAGCCATACATCGTTCCACATTTGCATTCCGGCCTTGGAAAGTAGGACTTCTTCCGGTGCCTCAACGTATGAATTAGTTCCTACCTTCATCAGCCCCTTGGGGATCTCGAGATTGGATCTAGGCTTCTCCCCGGTACGGTTTTCCTCTTTCTTCGTCGGTGCTGGCTGCGCTAGCCAGGTCTGTCCTAGTGCTAGCGTAAGCTGCCCAGCCGGCAGGTGCGCAAAGGGTTCACAGCTCACTCAGCCTCACAGTCTATGATGCTTGGTATCCTGTCTCTCATACAGCTGTAATGCTCGGAAATCTCTTGGTGTAGCGGATTTCCGGTTTCCTCTCTGTACCGAAAACCTGTATATATCAACCCTCGGGCTTGATTCACCAACTACCCGATTCCCATCGCGGTCGCCGGTAACTTGGTTTGGTACTTTGGTACTAGCGCAATATCAACTCAATCATGAGTAGTCAAATCATATGCTCATTGCTACGGTATAAAACACGCCCTACTTTCTTCTGTATTGCTCTTATTCATCCTTGTTCTATCGAAAGTCTTCACCATGTCGCGTACACTGCAACGCCGCACGACCACACGCTATTCCGTCTCAGTGAAAAGGTGAAATTTTCTAGCTGCGTAGAGCTAGCTACGGATCAACCCCGGCGGAAACAAAGTAGGAACCACTATTAATGCAGAATACGAAGATACAGCGGCCGGATATTACTGATGGGTAACCGCTCCTGGTTGCTGGACCATAATTCATCCGTGTACACTAGCAGCATCGGGTACATATGTCTTCGTGTCATCGCAAGTTGCTTGATGTATCTCTGAACAAACGCTACATCCTCGTTAACAAGTAGCAATGAAATTCCTCACCCCAATTCTTCTGGCCCTTGTCGCCTCTTCTCAGGCAGCATTTTGTAATGGAGGATGGGGTTTGCCATCAAGGTCGTCGTGTCCCAGTCCCTACGTAAGTACAGTACAATTACCAGCAAGCAAAAAACCACCTACTGATTTTTTCGTAGAGAAACTCCTACTGCGTAAGTTCCTACGACAGCAGAGACTTAGCCTTCGGATCATAATACTTGTACAGTGCCAACATCCAGGAGCCCCGAATCCCACTTTCCCTACATTCAGGACTTGCGTATACCCTAGCAGGGGTGGGCGGCCTGCCCTTGACTCGTGTAACGGTGCCGGTGTAAGTGATAGGTCCGAGTATGAAAGAAAAACTGGAACTAACAGCTGCATGATTAGGTGATCTCATGCGTAAGTAGATTGTACGTCTTTCGACTTGTAATATGCTAATATTTCCAGTGCAATTAATTACCTTACGTAATCCTGCGTAGTATTATCTCGGATAACCTCAACCATCTACTTCCCACAAACCTGCCCCTTCGCCGCTGCCAAATTCTTCTGGTTCTGCTTCGTCCCATCCATAACCTCCTGCACTAACATCTTGATCGTCTCTGCATCACCGCTTGTACCCTTCAAGCTCCTAACCTGATCAATCTCTTTCGTCTGCGCGCCAGCCACAACGGCCAGTCCATCAGCCGCGGGACTCTGAATTTCCTTGGCGAGCTGTTGGTTCTTCGCGCGGATGTCGATACCGCGCTGTTGGATAGCGAGAACGGAAGCCTGGGTTGCGTTGAAGCCCGCGGTTCCGCCTTGGAGTTTTAGGGCGTAGACGCTACGAGGGAGAGAAGATTAGCGTCGGGGAGGGATGTGGGGAGTGGGGGAAAAGCATACCCTTTTAGCTCTTGAGCTTGGATATCGAGGTTGGCTTGAATACCTTTCTCGAGCTGGGTTTGTACGCCGGCGCAGTTGGTTGTGCCTGAGGCTTGTGGGGCTGGTGCTGCGAGAGCGGTGGCGAAGAGGCAGAGGATGGCAAAGGTCTTCATTTTGGTATATATATGGTGTGTGGATGGTGTTGATGGTAGGTGCGATAGATTAAGATAATGGCAGACGGTATCCGAGATATGTAGATGAACTAAAGTCTAGCTCACTCCAGGTGAGTAGCGATGGTGAAGAAACGAAAGAAAGATTGAGAAAGATTGTGGACTTGATGCACCGATTCCTAGACACCTTGAGGTTGTCTTATACTTCCTCGTACCCAATCATCCGATTACTCAATCTGTCTCATTCTCGGGCCGATGAGGTCACTTTTATGAGCTGAGCCACGCATGCTCTCACAACCTGCACCTCATCCACAGGTTCTCAACCTTATCATAATCCCGGGCGAGCAGACCGGGGTTACTCTTTGACAGTTCACTCATGCGGAGTATCTTGCTCTTCATAGGATTCGCGCGGTCAGAATAACTGGAGACGGCCGTGAGACCCGAAACGGGGTGTTCGCGTCGCAGATCTGGAGTGAAACAAATCGGTCCGCTATTTACGGGGCAAGAGCTTGTCAAAGCTTGTCACAGTCTGTTTGGATGTTCCCGAAGGCCTCTAAGCTGTACTCATGTTGTGATGATACGTGCATAATAGAGTTGTGGTTGTGGACGTCGAGTTTGAAGGTGCTGCAGATGACAGCCTTCACTAGTCTAGGCCGCATGGGGATGGCGCCGAATCCGAGCTGCGTTTACTCTGACCGGTTACAACACCATTTGCTGTGGGGTCTACTATCTAGATGTCACTACTGTCCGGAGATCTCTACATAAACCCTCCTTCTGCGACCTCTGCTCCTCGTGCATCACATTCGCACGCTTTCATCAAAATGGGATACCAAAACTGTAGTCGTAAATCTGTATGATGATTTTCTCTCTTTCTCCAAAACAATCCATGATTCCTTGATGTTGGAAAATGACTATACCGCTGGTTATGCGTCTTCTCCTTCTCTCTATCTCAGAAGACGACTCGACAGTGTGATGGAGTGTGTTGCGGCTAGTGTATGCGGATATATAAACTCTCCCAAATTTTCCTTTCCTTTTCCTATCCTCTTCACACCTGTATTCAAAACACCAAAAGGCTATGGAAACCTTGTGCATGGTTGCTCCGTCTCCTTCATAAAATCAACCCTATTGAACGCATGTCTCTGCCTCCCTTCTACCGCGACACATTGAAATATTACATTTGCCGTCTTCATGGCGAACAACTCATTCTTCAGCTTCCAATATACAAGAACAAGAATCTCGACTGGAACTTCCTATGTGTCTACGAACTAGTGCAAAACTAGAAATACCAAAAGCGAGATTGCCCATACTCATGACTTATCCCGGAAAAAAAAACGGCGCCTTGCAGGCCTTGTCACTGTGGTCTTCCCCATTCTCATGATGTTCATTATTCGCGACAGTACTCACACGCCTAGTGTGAAAGTGACAATGAGAAAGCTATAAAGCCTCTTGCAGATCCAGTCTTACCATCCTTTGGTCCACAACACTCATACCAAATCCCCATTTCCAAAAGCAATCGATGATTGGGTGATGGTTCTGCCGGCAGCGTGGGACGTCTACATACGCAACTGCACACTGGCGGGATTTACTCATGATCTGGTAGACAGCACGTGGGACAGACTGATGCTGACCATCATCACCATGAGTATGTCACGACGGCGATACCCTACACTCAACTTAGCCTAGTGATTCATACATAAAGGAGACATCATACATCAGACACAATCAGATCTAGAACAATACGGTACAATTATACTTCTTTCTCATTATCAAGAGCATACTAAGCTACGTGAGACGCCATTTTCCTCCCCAATCCCGAAGGAACAAGAAAAACTCAACGACTCTCCGACCCTCCCAAAGCCTACCAGGAGGTGGTCGCAGAGGGGATATCGTCGTAATACTAATGTTACAGGGTTCCATTTCCTAGCTCATTTCATTTTCCGCCTATCAGTACGCAGATCGTAATATCGTGAAGTGACGCGTGTGGCAGTCATATTAAGGGAAAAGATATGACCGAACGTTGCTTGTCGGTTATGGTAGGTAGTAAACGCTTACAGCTCCTGCTTAGCAGAGGCAGAGGCAGAGCTGGCGCTAGCGGCAGCAGCATCATATCCGCTCTGAGCAGACTTTGAGGCTACTGAGGAAGCGCTGGAAGCGGATGAGGAGGCAGCAGCGTTGGCGCTGGCAGCAGACTTGGAGATGGAGGCCGAGGACGAGGAAGCGGCCTTGGCAGCAGCGCCGGTGAGGGAGCTGGCGCTGGAAGAAGCACGGGCGGAAGCAGAGCTGGCGCTGGATCCAGCGGCGTCAGTGGCGGAGGCAACGCTGGCTTCAGCAAGACCAATCTGCTGCTTGATCAAGTCGGTGTAGTAGGCGAATCCACCGGTGGCAGCAGCGTACTGGTTACCAGCCTTGGAGGTAGCGGCACCGTAAGCGGAAGCACCGGAAGCAGAGATGGATCCGGCGGAAGCAGAGGCGCTGTCGCCATAGAGACGGGCACGGTGCTTGCGGGCAAGAGCGATGAGCTCATTGCGCTTGGAGCCCTGGGGAACCTTGATGCCGTTCTTGTCAGCCCACTCCTTGATCTGGCTGTCAGACCAAGAGTCGAGGAGAGCGTCGCTGAGGCTCTGCTGAGCGTTGGCAGCAGCAGAAGAGACGGAGGCGTAGGCACCCTGGGATTGCTGGCTAGCAAGACGAGATTGGCGGCGGAGAGCAGCAATCATCGAGTCGCGGGTGTTGGGCTGGGGAACGTTGTAGCCGCGCTCGTCGAACCAAGACTTGAGGTCAGAGTCAGACCAGGAAGCGTAAAGCCAGTCACCGGGGTAGTTGGCAGTCTCCTTGGCCTTCTCGGCGACGGACTGGTAGTTGTCACGGACGGCTGCGAGGAGAGAGTCACGCTGGCGGGGCTGGGGGACGGGGATGCCGTGCTTGTCGGCGAAAGCCTTGAGCTGAGAATCCGACCAGCTGTGATTGTTAGCACTTGTATGGAACAGAGATTACTGGGTACGTACGAATCGAAGATCCAGTCCTTGACACTGCCATAGGCCTGGTTGGCGGAGTCCTCGGTTTCGGTCCAGTACTCCTTGACCTGCTCAGCGAGGCTCTTGGCATCCTTCTCAGTGCCCTTCTTTGCCTGCTGGCCCTTGAGGGTCAGGTAGTTCTGGAGGGTCTGGACATCCCAGCTGGTGTAGGGAGTTACAACCTTGTCGTTCCAGTTGGCCTTGACGGTCGACTGGAGGTTCTTGCGGTCAGAGGGGCTGGGGTGGGGAATGCCGTGGTCGCTGAGCCAGCGCTCAAGCTCCGACTCGTGCCACTTGTCGTACACTGCTTCCTGGCGTCAGTGTACTGCTACATGACGCTATGGGCGATTCAAAACAAAAGGGAGGGGTTATGTACTATACGCACCAGTGCTTCCAAACCAGCTGTTGGCCGTTGCCGTAGCAGCAAGCGTCGCCACGAGGGCTGATGTAAGAGAGAACCTCATGATGTGTGGCTGCCTGGGTGAGAACAGTGCTTAATATGGATTAATGAAGCAAAGACGAGGGTCGAGGTTTAGGCAAACTCGGCAGAGGTGTGAGGACTAGAGGGTAATGGTGAGCAGGGAGTTTATGAGGGGAGGGACAGACAATGGCGGGTAGATTGTGTGCGTGGAAGTGACGTAGTGCTGCACGTATGGAGCTTGGACAAACAAGATCCCCAACGCGCCTGCCTCTCTCTACAGCCAATGAGGAGCTATGGCCACATGCAACCGCGTCTTTTGGCTGTGCGCAATTGTGAGATCGTCTTTCACGAGCACGGTCTAGGCCTTTGTCGTGCTTGACATTTGACAGTCAGAGAGACTTCCGAGGCCTGGCAATCTTGTTTGACATGGCAGAAAGCATCATCATGGCACAAGTGGTGCAGAATAGCTCCACTTAGCTGTGCGGTGTGTCGCAATGGCATTTCGAAAAATTCCCATGCCCATAATGCGGGGGCGATCACCATGCTAGCCCCCTACGTCATCGCCCAAGCATGCACAAAAGTTATGTAGCCCAGCCCTTCTTTCAAACACGCAAAGATGCATAGGCAGCGCAAGAACGTCTCAATTAGGCAGTTAATGTTTGATAGATGATTTGCATTTCATAACACCTCTGCGGGTCAATTCCAGTTAATTGTACATCATGCTAATATCCTTCGAGTACTTGCTCGACTCGCTCGTGCTCATCCTCGTACGCCTTCAGAGCCACCTCGTCCACCTTCGCCTGTGAATGTGTTAGCAGTGTGCCCAATATCCCCTCGTCTAGACATGACATACCTTTCCAGAAGCTTTGAGGGACCTTGTCCTTCCCTGCATCCTCGTTGTCGACGTTTTCATGCGCCTGTTCCGCCCGGTTACTCATGTCCTTGTTGTGTTCCTTGACATCCCGGCTCTCATCTTGCGGCGCAGGTGGGTTTTCGTTGAGGATTTTGGGTTGCGCACCTTTGACTTCGTTGGGGCTGGGCTTGTTGTCTTGGCCCTGCTTAACAGCTGGCTCCTCGCTGCCTTTCATCTGGCGTGCCGATGTTGAGAATTCGCGCTTGCCGGATGAACCCTTGTTTGAGGAAGGAGCTGGCGACTCTGATGTAGGCTTGGGCGAGTCATTTTGGTTCGAGTTGCTGTCCTTGTTCGGTGACGACGAAGATTGGCCTTGAGCGACCTTGGGGGGTGGGGGACCAGGATGCTCGAGGTTCTCGCTAGGGTTCTCGCCCTGCTTCTCGGGTGTCTCTCCAGCTGGGTTGCCCTTACCGGAGCCGTAATCTGAAGTCGCGAAGCGGACTTGTACGCGGGCACGCGGAGCGGCCGAGAGCGCTGCTGGCCGTAGTGCTGCCGAGCGGAGCATTGTCATGGGGCGAAGGAAGCTCATGATGTGAATTGGAGGTATAGAATTGAAAATGACAAAGACTATTGTATGTTGAGATGTGTAGGTTAGAGTTGAGTTGAGTGCTAGATGGTAGGGTTCTAGAGCTACATCATGTCCAAGCTCGCGTTGACGTCATGGTTTCCTAAGCTCATAGCCGCAACGCACGTCACAGGAGGCTCGAATAACCACATCTGCAACGCTGCAGCGGCGATCGCTTAGTCCTACAGATTACAGCCACTCAAAAAATACTGCACTCCAGCCCGCACTTAGGGCAGAATACACCTGGTTTATATGTCTACAAAGCTTGCCATCGTCACAACCGAGAGCCATAGTGCACCTCGTCATGCTTCTACATAACAGGAGCAGGGGTCATATGGTAAGAAATGATGAAAGCACTCCAAAGCAGATCTGCTTCTTCAACTCAATTGAATGAGCAACATCGTTCAAAGGCCTAGACGACGGTACAGGTTTACCAAGCCAGCAGCATGCACACGGAAGGCACTCCGCTCTCATGGAAAGGAGCCATCCCAAACACGCCCGCCCATCCTACCACTCACAATAAACAATCCGACGAACGTAGATATAAACATGCCCAATACTACAATCCATAATAGTCGTGGCATCCATCCTCTCATTAGCCTCCTTACATCCCACGGTCGTCCCTTCTACCATGCTAGGACAATAGAGCACACCAGGATTAGTGCCATCGCTCAGGTAGGAGCAATCACCTTCTTCGTCCCATAGCGGCATCGTAAAGTTACCGTGTGGCCATGGTGGATTGCCTATGGCTAATGGCTCTGTCCATTGCCGCGAGACGTCATTGAGTACGGGTACACTGCAGCCGTCGGCTTGCGTGTTGGGCTTGGTTGCAAAGAAGGTCCATGTGTTGTAGTCTTCGCCACGAGCAACTGTTTCCCGGAACATTACAGACAATGCTTTAGTAGGAGCCTTGGGCTTGGGCGGAGGTGGAGGCAGCGGTGATGGTGACATTGATGCTGGCAGTGTTGCTGAGGACGATTTCGTTGTGCTAAGCTGGCTCGATTCGGTTGTTTTGGATGGAGGTACTGGTGCTACCAAGGACTTTGTCGATGCTGAGAATGTTTTCGTGGACGAAGATGGCGGACTTGAGCTTCCAATGCTAGAGTCGCTTGATGAAGACTTGAAATATGTTTGGAACGAGGATGAAGTTTGTACTTTCGGCGTAGAGGATGCCTGGGACGAAGAAGGTGGAATCGACGAAGTCGAGACACTGTTGCTTGGCCGAGCACAAGTACCACCATCTTGGCGCTTGATCAGATCCTCGTACTCTTTCCATTCTTCCTCGTCCGCATCCGCGACTTCCCTGCCTCTCAACAAACGTATCTCCTTACCAGTAGCCGCAATCGATCGCTTGATCGACGTCAAGGGTTCAAGCTGCCTGGCCGACGCAGGCCATGTATCTCTGTAGCGGTACATTGATGATCTTCGACCCACAGCTCAATGCCTGCCAGTTGGATATTGCAGCCGCTGTTTGCTGGTATCTGAACTGCGGCAGCAGGATCATACTGAATCAGGAGCTTGCCGTTTGGAACTCTGTTGAGCAGATCCGCGTCCATGGGGACATAGGGAATGACAAGTGCATCATTTCGACCAAGCAGTGTGGCCAAAAGACTCTTAATCCTGTCTACTTCTTCGGGATATAGTAAATTGTCAGGAGATGGACTGGCGAGTTCCCTCTGATTGGGAGTGACAATGAAAGCCCGCACTTTGTTCTCTGGTATATTCTCAAAGTCGCCTCCCACGCCATTGAAGACTGTGAGACCCTGCGGCATTTCAACGTCGCCATTTTGGAGGAAGTTCAAGACATCTGTCTGGAAGTACTGCCATGCTTCGTAGAAAGAGCGCCATTCCCACAAATGTGTCATGAACATGCGCTTGTGAGATATGACAATCACAGATGTGCAACCATACAAACCTTTAAGGCTCCAGGTTGAGGCTTGGTTCGCGAGCGGAAAGCTGAATCCAGTTGACCATTCTTCGGGTATCGTACGGTCCTGTTGCCCATGCTGCAGTTCGAATGGACTCGTGATAACTTCTGTTATTAGCCAACTTGCGACGTTCCCTATTCAAGATTATACAATCAGCAGGTCTCTTGCAGTAAGACAGATCGCCTGGTAATATGTCTCGAAGCAAACCTGAATGATACAGCGTTGGAGAACAGGCTTAGTTTAGGCGATACATACCACCGTTGTTCCTGGGGTTCGAAAGCACTCGTTTCGCAAGTTCGTTGACTGACAAGCCTGTCTCCCTTGGCATCAGCCCTCTACCTTGAGCAGTTGGCAGGTCAGGAGTAGGTCTCGCTAGTTGGCGTTTGTTATTGCCGCAGTTGGCGCAAGGTGCACCACATAGTGGAGCTGTTGTCGTTGTTGAGGTTGAGGTCATAGTTGATGTCGACATGAGTCCGGTAGCGTCGCATTTGGTGATGGGCGTATCGCATGTTGTAGTACACACTTCCCCTTGTGCCCGTTTGTTTGGACCGCCCATGGTAGTAGTTGCTGTTGTAGTACAGACGATATTGCAATTGCTGACAGTCGTTGGGGTACATGATGAGGATGAAGATTCGGCCTGCGTAGATGTTGCAGTCTCCGAGCCAGTGTTAGAAGGATCTGATCCTTCATTTGGAACCACCTCGTTGAGTGCATTGAGCAGTGGCTTCAAATCGTCTTGTAGGCCCTTAACAGTATTCACCGCGGCTGTAGTTCCCTCAACAACAGCATCTTTCACTCTGTTGGTTGTGTCGATGACACATGTTACGAGTGAGAACGCCGTCTTGAATAAGCCATCAAGTAGATCGCGTGTATCCAGTACTTCGTGCCGTACAGAATCTGTTTCACTTCTTCGGCGTTTGCCTGATCCGCATGGCTCCACCCCATCTGTGGGCTTTGGGAGCTTGCCTAAGAAGTCTACTGCTTTGGGCAATATGTTGTTGAGCTCATTTGAGACGGCTGTGGCATGGGCCGCGGGCTGTTCGATCCAATTTTGTAGGATAGGAAATATCCCTATGATTGAAATGGATAGGTCCGAAGCGCTGGACTGAACCTCGGTTGCAGTGGGTAGTAGAGTCGTGACTGGGAATTGAGGAAATGTGATTCCAGGTGGGAGTACCAGACTATGTGACGTTGCGGATGTTGTCGAAAGATCATTGGAGGTTGGAGCAATCGGAGGAACTTGTGGGATAGAACTGAGACTTGGCATACCATCCGTTGCAGTTACAGTGTTGGAGGACGATGCATTTGTGGTGTTGATAGCACTGATTGCCACTGAATGAGACGTGGTAGCACTTGAGAAGGCTGAGGACAGCGTGGGAGACGAAGCGACGGACGAGATTCGAATCGTAACGGAAGACGGGATAGAGGGGGTAGAACTGCTAGTTAAAGCTGTCGATGGAGGTACTTTTGTACTAACGTCGTTTGTTGCATTATTAGTTTGCGATGAAAATGTACGGCTAGTGAGCAGAGGGCCTGAAGGAACTGCCGTCCGGGATCCGATGATTATAGTAGAAGACGCCTCGGAAAGTATACTACTGCTGTTCAAAAGAACGGGAAATGGAGCTTGGCTTTGGGAGAGTAAGCTGCCGCCACCGGTACCCGTAATGATCTGTGCCGCGATCAAGAGTGGATGTGAGAGAAAGAAGGCAAGTACGCTACGACCATACAGCAGTCTCATGGCGACGGAAAGATCCAAGTATGGCAAAGGTAGAAGTAAGCTATGGCATTTCTTGACTTCGCACTCAACACCCAGCTTTATGTAGTGTGTGAGTCGACAGTACACTTACGCTTTCGTCTCAGCCTATGCTACATCTTCCCACACCGCCCTGCGGCGTACTTCTTGCACCCGGATCTTGCGGTGATTCTACAGGGTCTTTGAAGCGCTTGCAAGAGCTTGTCGCAGACACATTGGAGTTGGGGCCAAGCACATACACTCTGCCTTACGCCTTGCTATCTCTTTCAACGCTGGTCTGCGGCGTGACTACGATAAGGTCATATCTTGCTGCATCGGTAACTGAACCCAGGTGAGAGAGGGCCGGATGCTTTGTCTCCGAACTTGTATTGGCCCGTGGCGTAGCGGTAAGACGGATGTAGAACGGCGGACCGCCGTTGAGATATTTTCATGGTATTAGTGGATCGCATGGCTTCGCTCGTTCATCTTGATATCGAGGCATCTTTTAAGAAACAATGACAGTCCGGTGAGGGTGGCAGATTTGCAAGGTGGAGACAAGCGAACATCGAAAGGAAAGAAGGGCTTGGAAGGCGACAACGACGACTGCTCACTCGTTGCACGGACCAAGGGCCGGCGCTAACACCATGTCCTGCACTGCGATACATTGCGATGGTAATCTTCGGGGACTATCTGAAACCCGCGCCTCCGGGAGATGTTCGTATGTCAGCAAAGATCCAGATATATTTCTACCACACTTGTTACTGAGCGATGTACGCCGTCATCGCATCCTACTACCGGGCTTCGTTCACTACCTAGGTAGGCTACCTACCGGCATCATGCCACCACACCTCACGTTCACCCCACAGAGGAACTTGGGCAACGAACCAAACTGCGCAGCGCTTCTGGATGCTTGCGGAACTAACAATGCGGCTGTTGCGCTTCAGCTAGCACCTGACTGCGGAGCCGAGCTGTTATCATACGGACTCGAGAGAGCCATTGACAACAACAATTTTCATCTAGCAAGCCAGTTACTGCATATGGGCGTCAATTGGGGTGCAGAGACGATACGTTCTGCGGCAAAAACCTACGAAGGTGTGAAGTGGCTAGTAGAATCTGGTTACGACATCAATACTAGTCTGGCTTCTGGTACTGTGCTTCTATTGTAAGTATACACAATTCATATGATGCCAAGTTCCATAAGTTTGCCAATACAAACATGCATGTAGTGACTGCTTCAGATTCTTGAGGCGCATGGTTAACAACAGACAGGCACGTCATTTCGCGCGACAATGAAGCCAGCATCCGATACCTTCTGGAGCGTGGAGCGAATCCTAACCTTGGGCCTTCGAAACGTCCATCAGCTCCTGCCAACGAGATGCGCCCAATAACTCACTGTGGTCATACTTTGAATGAAGCAGCCGCTTCATGCACACCCGAAATCTTTGCTCTCTTGCTTTCCTACGGTGCTGAACTGTCAAATGCCACACCAGTTCACTACGCAGCGGCGTGTGGACAAGACGACCGAACACCAATGCTTGAGTATCTCGTCGAAGAGTTGAAACTCGATATTAACGGATCAGACAATGCGTTAACGATCCCAGAGGAATGCCGTGGACGTGAAGGAACCCCACTGCACTATGCACTCCATAATCGGAAATACGAGACATCCAGATGGCTACTGGAACATGGTGCAGATCCTAACAAGTCCATTACACCTAGATACCCTACTTCAACACCCAGAATATGGATCCAGGACACACCACACGATAAGAGGTTCTCCGAATTGCTGTCCAAGTATCCAGTGAGGAAAGAAACGAGGAGCTAGATCATGGAGAAAGGGAAGAAGGATATAAAGGGACGGGAAACGCAAACTCATGGGTGCGAAGTAGCAGAAAAATGGATATTAGTACTTACAAGTAAGCTTCTTCGCACAGATTCCAAGCCACTCTATACACAAAAGCGTCAGCGTCAAACACAAGCAGATCTTCTGCACTCTCTTTAGCTCTTCAACGCATACTGTCACATTCGCCTAACCCTTTTCCTAACATCTTCCAGCAACCTGCGGTCCCCATTAGCATCAACGCTCTCCTCAAATTTTCTCTTCTTCACCTCAGGCGCTACCTCCTCATCCTCATCCTCACCCGTTCCCCTCCCCCAAGCCTCCTCAAACGACCAACCCCTCTTAAACTCCATCCTCCTCTTCCCATTTACAACTCTCACTGCGGCAGGCCACCCCTCCGCCTCCCACCTCTCACTGGGCACCTCAACGCGCTTCCTCAATCTCACAACCGCTCTCTCCCATCTCGCAACAGTGCTCGCATAAACGTGCGTCCCTCGTGCTGCCATATCGGTCGTAACTTCCCTGTACTTCGCCCTATCAGATGCGAGTCGCCTGTACCAGTTTTCATCTGCGATACCGTAGAAAGGGCCCTTGGAGGCGTGGGGGCGAAGTAAGGGGCATGTGGGACCGCAGGTACCACGGGCGAAACGGGGACTGCAAAGAGGGCAGTAGAAGCCGGAGTTCTGGTGGGAGAGTTGCATATGTACGCGTGTGTTTAGGGAAAGTTTGATGATGGAAAGGGAGGAACGGAGGGCACGGATGCGGGATAGCATTTGGGGGTTGCGTGGGGCTGACGCCGGGGTGGTGAAGGAGGGCGAGGAGGGGAGGGGGATGGCGATGGAGGTATCATATCTAGCCATGAAGCGGGGGTCCCAGTGGGTATGGCGACATGAGTACGTCGCATGGCTGGATGTGAGGTGGGTTGATTATGTGAAGGGTGGGCTTGCTTGGCTCTGTCTTGTAAAGGAAAAGTTGTGAATTGATAGTTCTGTATTAATATGGAGAGCTGGAAGTGAGGGTTGCGCCTGGAAGAGATTGAGTGCACTGTGAAGGGATGATTGAGAGGCACAATGCATTGTGCCAAGTCACAATGGCTCACTTTGAGAGAAACACTCTTATCCAACTTTTAGGACAGTGGTGAAAAAACTTGAGGGGGAGTGAATAGTGTAGCAAGCAGCTGTGTTGTGAAAGTGCGTTTGGATCTGAGCACGTGTTAATTAACAACGTGCAGTTAGTCTAGGAGTAATATGTTTGGCTGTGGATGAGATGGTGTTTGCGATGGCTACATGATCGAACTCTGGCGTTAGGCCGTCGTCCTTACCTCTCTCTTTTGACATGTTATGATACAGCGCGTCCATTCTTCCATAACTCCTACAACAGTGCCGTGGGAATCTTTCGTTCTCCCAATATCTCATCAAAAGTTGTCAGAACGCGGCGTCGCTTTCTATCTAAGTCTTGGAGTTCAGCCATTTGATCACGCTCTTCTCCGGTTGCTCGGTGACATTGCTGTGTCTGGGCAGGTAGCTGTCCTTGACATGAACCGATAGACGCTCTTGCATGTTCATGCGTTTCCAATAGCGGCGGTGAGGTGCATTCTAGCTCTGAAATGACCGTAGGAGGCAAAGACAAGTCTTCGAAATCAAGTGTGCTTGCCGATCCAGCCACATCTTCTCTGCTAGCAAGATCAAATGACAACTCTTTGAGGCTTTGATCGAAGCTGAAGGGGTGCAAGAGAGGCGGTGCGTCCGTGGTGGGCTGGATACCTGAAGTGTGGCCTGAGGTCGTTGCTGGAGCGGGAGTGCTCTTCACTGTACTGCCGTGCCTCTCAGTCTTGGGTTTCCTATCCTTCATACTATTTCGCTTCACAGCAGCTCTGCGGCTCAGTCTTACTGGATCGCTCCGAATGGAAGGGGTAGAGTCACAGTCTTCAACGACAGTGAGTGGGATCTTCATGGTGTCGTCCGCGAGTCTGTCGAAGCTGTAATCTTTGTGGTCTCCCAACTGCCGTGGAGGTGCAGGTCTCAGCCATCCATGATACATTTTTGAAGACTCATTATGTTGCCCATGCAAATCCGATTGTGAGTGGGTAATGCGCCGCTCGTACGTTCCCTTCACAGTTTGGCTGTTCTGAACTTGCACACTGCGATCAGCTTTCTGTCTCTTGGGGTCATTAAACCGCCCTTCTGCTTTTCGAAGTGATGTTCCTCTTGATGTCATGTCAATACGATGTACCCTTTCGCTGGTGGCAGTAACGGTGATATATCTAATCACATCGTGCGATCGCGTTGCTCTTCATGTTCGCACGTTGTTTGTGAAAGAGAGACACCGTGAAGGTGTAGAGCTTTCTAGAAGATTGTGCAGTATTGTGGACACTGTGCGACTTCCAGCGCCCGTCAGGCAGATTCAAGAACGTTATGAAGAATCGATAGGCGGCCCGTGGTGTCCATGGCGGGTGTTCCATGAGATCTGGCATGAGACAAGCCGCGCGGTAGCGGCCGTTCCAAGATTCGACCTACGTCGATAGCCACGAATCAGATGAAAGGTAGCAGCTACTCTCCCATCTTTCAGGTGTCTGCCTCCTCCTTCCTCCTTCTAACCTCCCTCTCCACGGCCTCAACACTCATCGGACATTTCTTCCCCTCCCACCTCTTCTGTTCCTCCCTCGCAAACCCTTCTAAACTCAACATCCCTACACACAAAAACCCCAACACCTCTCTATCCGTATCAAACACCTCCCACCACTCACACTCTGGCATCTTGATCCCTGTCTCCCTAGCCGCCAGATATATACTTGCCGTCGCCAGCGCCGGTGGCTGATGCGTAAGGTAAAGACACTGCGGACTCAGCAACGCAGTGTTCAGGTGTGCGATTGCACGTTTTGCGAGTTCGGCCGCGCGGGGATGCGAGAAGATATCGAGAGCTTGCATGTACGTTATACACAGCGTGTATGGTAACTGGACCGCGACACTGAAGCCTAGAGTGCGGAGAATACGTTGTTCGGTCGTGAAAAGCGTTGCGCGGCGGCGCTCATACGTACCCTCGCTCACATAATATTTCGCCGCATCTTGCGTCTCCTGCAGCTGCTTGTCGTCGAAAAACGTAACTGGCAGCGAATCAAGATACGCATACACGTTTACCAGACTGCGCGCTGACTTGGGATATGCAGAGAGCTTCGTGGTGAGGTACAGCGACGCGGCTGAGACTTGTTCTGCGCCAAACTCTGCGAGACTTCCTCCTTCGGGGCCGAGCCAGAAGCGCATGAATACCACGATCGCTTGCGCAATGACTTCTTGTGGGAGGCGGAGCAGTATGCCTGCTGCTTGTGTAAGTCTAGCGCCAGCGAAGCGGATTGAGTCTTCGAGATCAGAGGGAATGCGGTCGAGTTGAGAGCCGGACGTTTCGAGCTGGGCTACGGTTGCCAATGGGTTTACGAGGGGTGAGGGCTGCATTTTGGAAGTGTTGTGTAAGGATTAGACGTCTTGCGACAACGTCGTGGAGTTGTGGGAGCTTCGGCGCAGAAAGATGTTGGAGATGGAGCTGTGGAGCGGTTGGGCCTGCGATGGGTGAGCCTCGGTAGGCTAATCTTCATCCTTACTAGTCAACTTATGCTCCACCCAGGACAGTACAGAGCAGATAACAGATTTCAGGCGTCTATTACTGCAGCATGTTCACTTTCGCATAGCTGCTAACACTCACTTTATATAATTTCAAATCAAACAAACATCCAATAAGAAACCGTCTCCTTAGCTCAATTGGGAGAGCGCCAGACTGAAGTCATCAGTCACTAAATCTGGAGGTATCGTGTTCGATCCACGAAGGGGACATCACCGTGCTTGAGCTTGCTCAAGATCTTTCGAACCATTCTTTTTGCCAATCTGTCGGCCTCGGTACCAATACACCGGTGTAGACGACGATGTACAGTGTGGGGGTGGATCTGCTACCCCTCTCTGCTCATCGCCTCATTTTGTTGAAGTCAACCATTGCGCTGTTGCCACGTACTCTAGGGAAGTACCATGACGACTGGGTGGATCTCAGTATCTGTACCTAACCTACTCGTCGTTAAGGTTAGCATGCGAGCATAGCATGGGTGCCGAGGTAGGATTCCTCTTTGCTTGTCTTGGGTCTGCATATAGCCTTCGTCATAGATCCAATCAACCATAATATATCACTTCAGTGTGCCGTATCTCGCTTACTGTTGACAATGATCAGGATGGCTGAGGAATTTGTATCTCAACCTACGAATTAGCATAGGAAAGTAGAATAGCTGAGCAGTATCATCACCAAGACATCATCTTTGTTCTCCCTTAGCGATTTCACGTATCACATCACCAAGCAATAGTAGTCTCAGTCCTGTAACAAGAGTAACAATAGCATTAACATAATAAATGATTAAACGAGGGCGTAAGGTGGGTATCTTGCCGGCTAAATGCTATCCAAAAACCGCTAATCAACACGACTATACACACAAAGAAAAAGTCGCGATTGCTCGCGAAGAGTGTGACCCGGAAAGGGTGACAGAAGGGTAACTCTAAACATTCCCAAATCTTGAAAACCAAAACCAAACCCAGTGACCAGTAACCAAAATCCACTATAACCCAAAGATAAATCCCAAAAAAGATGCTGAGTGAAGAAGAAGATGTGGGGAAAAACCCAAAGCAAAAAAACGCCGTCATTATTTATGCTCGGAGCAAGACAACTCAGACAGCAGGGGCAGAAAAGTAAATAGCTGGGCGGCGACCAGTCATGTACCCACGTCGCGAATCCCCCTCCCTGCACCCGGCAGTGTTATAAACTCCATGTGTAAGCCAGCCCTTGCGGGCGGCTACGACCATGCAAAGCCAGGGTGACTGGAAGGGGATGACATGCGGTTTAGTTTAGTCGATACCAATCATAGTACCATCGCACCTCCATTCATCCACTTCGACGTCCCTCGCCGCCGTATTGGTAGCTTCAGGATCGATTTGGACATGAGTGAGCCAAGTGCCCACACGGTTCTGACCGACTTTACGGCCGTCCCTTGATAGACCAGCCATGGTAGACGAGGTAACCACCTGCTGAGGGGGAGCAGGACGAACAGGACGAGCAACAGGAACAGGCGCAGGCGCGGGAGCAGCACGGCGCGTGCTAGTGAAGAAGGAACCGCGGGGTGTTGACGTACGGGCTGCTGTGCGAGCAGCAGATACGGGGGAGCGGATGGAGTAGGAGTCGTTCATGTGGTGGCCCGCTGCGTTGCCGACACCGTACATTTGAGCTTCGGGTTCGGTGCGGCGAACGGAAGAGACAGTAGGCGTGGGGTTGATGTGGAGGGAGTTTCGGAGGTGAGCAGATAGGCGGCGGGAGTCGGGTCGGGGGAGGTCTCGTTCGCTGCGGTTGTTGGGAGCGCGGACGCTGGAGCGGCGGGCCAGGGGTGGAGAAGGTTCTTCGGCGATTTCGATGACTTCGACGTCGGCGTAGCGTGCTTGTTGGGGGTAAGGGACGCGCATGTCGTTCAGGCGGTCGTCGTCGGGGATGTGTTGGTAGTTGAACCATGGGCAGTTGCAGGTTTTCCAGGGGGCGGCGCAGACCATGCAGAATTGTGCTGTGCAGCGGCTAGAGACTGTTAGATCTTGTGATGTATGCGTGTGACATGCTAGACTTACCAGGTCATGTGATTGCAACCTTCTTTTAGCTCAACTACAGCCTTGCAGCTGTAGCATCGTTGCCAGCCCTTCTCCTTGGCCATCTCAACTAGGCGGTTGGTTTCCTCATCCTTGGGACATTCTCGCTTCGTGTGGAACTTGCTGTTGCATAGCACGCACACCTTGGTATTGCACGTGCTGCAGCGTGCGTACTTGCGACCGTATGTCGGGTCCATCTTGATCTTCGACGGCTTGATCCACTGGCCACATCCTTTGGTGGGACAATACAGGCGGTTGGCAGTCGTGTACTCTTGAAACTTCTTGTTCCATTGAACCTTGAACTTGTCATCGAAGAGTCGCTCGGCATACTTCAAGGGGATGTGCTCTGATGTGCAGCATCGTGGTGGCATGTGGGCAGGATCCTTGACCGAGAGGGTGAATTGGCGTTTGAGACATCCGTAACACATACGATGACCACATGCAAGCTTGACGGTCTTGCTGAGAGGAAGGTCATCGTTCATGCACACGAGACAGTCGACCCTGGAGGAAGTTAGAACAGCAAGGCGTGACTTTGTGGGAATACTAACCTCTTCTCCTCGTCCCGATCCTTGCGGGAAGATGATCGTGAGATGGGAGTAGGTTTGGAGAAGAAGCTTGACAGAAGGCCCCCGGTACTCCGACGGGCAGCATCCTTGACTGACTGCGTCCTGGTGAGCGGCGTAGGGGGCGGCGACTTGACAGTGTTGCTCCGTCGTACAGACGGTCTGGCCTCTCTAACAGGCGCATCACGTGTATGTGCTTTTGGCTCGCGTGTAGAAGAATTCCTGGCCCTCATTAGTCGAGCTACGTGTACAAGTGGAGACGGGTCTAACCTGGTCAATGGCGGGACTTCGACCCTGCGGACTGACGCAGATCCAGAACCTGAATGCGGAGTGTAGGCAGTCCTGCTAGAAGAACCGCCTTCCTCGCTTCTCTTGCGCGCAGACGATCGTCGCACAGTGACTTCTTCGACATGGCCCATGGACTTGGGGCGGCCAAAGACAAAGTCGTCGCTGCGGTCATCGGGTATCACTTCTCGCCTCTTTGGCTTCCGCGTGCTATCTCGTCGGACTTCCTTCTCACGACTGCTTCGTGACTTTTCCTTGACGGGTGCTCGTCTGCTGTCCTGTGCCGTGCGGTCTCGGTCGCGCCTTCTCTCGGCCTCGTTGCGTGAGTAGTAGGATTCTCTGCGCGCCCTCAAATCCTCAATGTCCACCTCGGCCTGCCTTCTCGCCTCGTCTGCGCGTCGGCGCTCTCTTCGTTCTCGTGTGGAAGCTGTGGGTTCGTCGTCGTGCTCGCGGGACTTGTGTCGGCGCCGGTGCCTCCGTTCTTTGTCGTCCAAATATTCGGCGTCGTCACGGTGTCGTGTGGCCCGGTCATCGCGTCCTCTCGCCATGCCCAGCCAGGGCATATGGCCGATATATTATTTGCCTCCTGCCAGCCTCGCAGGTCACAGGCTCATTAATGCTTTCGCAAAACAGTTTGAAGGCAGCTGTGCAGGCGACGCACAAAAGCGAACAGGTGTGTGGAGAGTTGCGGTGGGCGTGACGAGCGAACAGCAAGCACCTGCAGATAGCCCAAGCCTGATCAGACCAAACTTGGCCAGTCGCACGGGGCAAGCCGCTGGCGGTGTGCGCGCACTGGGTGCCTGTTGATCGAAAGCGTCGGCAGGGCTCTTCGCTAAGACTTTTAGTTGGCCCAGGGGTATTCGTCAGGCGTCGACGCACTGGCTGCCAGCTGTCTCAAATACGCAGATGATGTAGTTTTTTTCCATGAGGCAAACGGACCCATCGGGTGCACGTTATTATGCAGCGTTGCGTTGCCGCAGAAGCAAGCACAGTACCATGGAATTCCTTCTCTAGGGGCAACGTTCGGGCTGCAGTTGAGTCTTAGTGAGCGTCTTGGGGAGACGGCCCGCCACAGGGGGCTGAAGATTTATTGCAGAATCTAATCGCGGATATGCAACGGCGCCCAGCGTCCTCAGTCCTTCTCGAGTGTAATTTGGGTCGAAATTTCCCATCTCTGCCCGCTGCTCCCGTATCCGCCGCCCAAGCGGTTCCGCACCATACTGCCAATGCGATCGCGCAGACGCCCAATTTCCTCCAAATTCCGTACTCGAAGTTTCAGGTTCGCCTGGCAGAGGCCGTAGTGTACCTGCCAAAATTTTGCCTCCTCTACCGTTCTGACTGCTGGGTCTGTCTCCAGGTCGTACATGATGTCTGACACGCCCGGACCCGAGTAAGACATTAGCAGCATTTTGCCGAGTGTCCATCCTTGAATCCATCCTAGTGCTACCATGGAGAAGGCAACTGAAAATGAGAGGGTTCGATCAAGCCAGACATACATCTGAATGCTCAAAAGTGGCAATATGAGGAGTAGTGATGAGCATGATAACGTCAGGAAATGCGAGGGATTGCTCAGCACAGAGGGTAGGTTAGCAATCGCACTCAGCCTCATAACCTTGCCTATGCGGGCGTGGTTCTTCAGCAGGATCGCCGAGACTAGTGTCGAGACAATACCACACAAGGCCGCAAGATCAATGCTGCCGGGAGATACACGCTCGTGAGTATCCGCATGATGCGCCTCATGTCCTCCTGTATTCTCGAGCGCGTGCGTCAAACCGTGCGATATCAGGTCCAGTCCCATGAACAGTAGCCCAACCGACATGCCTAGTCCTGCGATAACCTCCAGACGCTCAAAGCCGAATGGATGTCGTATGCTAGATCGCTTCCATACTTCAAAGTTGGATCCAACGTCTACAGCCACACATAGAAATGCTCCAAGTGCATCGTAGAAGATCAAACGAGACAATACTGTCAGTGCCAAGGATTCATGTGCGCCCCATTGTACAAGACCGGCTACCACCAAATGGCAGAAACACCATGCCAGCCGCAACTTCTGGTCTTTGGACATGGACGAGCGGTACTCTTTGAACGTCGGGATGGGAAGCGAGGCAGGTAGTTGGAGCGGAGCGCGCGGTGCGGGTTCCAGGAAGATCTGATGCGATACACTACTGTGCTTGTACTTGTGTCCCCGTCTTCGGCCGATATCCTGCGTATGTCAGTAGTAGCGCGTGGAGTGGGATGCAAGAACGCACATTGGCCTTTGTCTGGGGTCGACCCGGTTGGTAGGCGACAGACTGGAAATTGAACGGATTGGGGTTCTCTGACCCGTTGATAGATGGGGGCGCGTCAAGATTCATGGTTGAGTCGCTCGCGGGCGTGTATGGAAAGGTCGCGCTCGCAGGTGTATACAAAGTCGCAGGCGAGGCTCTTTGAGAGACCGAGTCACTGGGTCCGAGAGTCGCATACTGCTTGGAGGGGAACGTCGCGGACATGGGCGAAAGCAGCGCATTATTGTTAGGCCCCATATCTCCAACAGCCAGATCGCTTCGGAATCCTAGTCCAACGGGCTGGGGCGCGTTCTCGTCAGGAGGCGGCGTAGGGGTCCTAGGTGGAGCAGGCAGAGGCATTTTCGAGGCCATGACGGGGCTGTAAATGAACGACGGTAATGAGTGACTGTTAGCGAATGCGCATTCCAGGCTTAACGAGATAAGAAGCGCAGTCGACCCCCGGATGTGAGGTGGAGGGGAAATTGAGGGAGGCCTTCCGTATGCGGCGGCCCATAGTCGGTGCATTAGCCAATCCGGACCTGACTAGGCCGCCTGCAAGGGAACGCTACGACATGACGCTGGGGTCGACGTTGTTGACAGCTTAGCTCCGAAACATGACACTCTAATTCACCACGTCGGTGCTCCGTGGCAGTTGACGCACGTGGGAGCCATGCAAGACGGAACCGCTGCGCGCAATGGGGGTCGTGCTGAAAGAGTGGATGCCCTCGCACGGGATGTGAAGCATGAGGAACACGGTCAATCCAGCCATCGACGAAGCAAATCGGGAGGCATACTAGGCGCTTTCCTAAGATCCTCCAGAGATGCCATGGGGAAGTCGCCATCAACAGAGACGGGCAACGACGAGGGGCAGGACCAAGATGCGGCAGTCGCGAAGACAGCGTCTTCCATTGCAACTGCACTGCGCCAGAGCCAAGGAAGGCAGAGAAAGGGATCGTTAAGGAAGGCAGCCATGGCAAAGATGCGTGAACGGAGTAGCTCTATACGCAAAGCCAAAACACCCACAATCACCACTACCATGAGCGTGGACCCCTCGGACGAAGCAACGGCCCCAGGTCGCTTCAGCTACGAGAATGCTCCCCTCAACTCTTCGTCCGACAGTGGGTGGTTTCCCGCCGTCCACCTGTCCCCATCGTCACCCGCTGTCACTTACACCCCACCCGACGACCCTGGACGCTCTACGCCATCACTGCTTGCATCACCCATGAGCCCGGTGGCACCTTACGCTTCAACTACGGATGAAGACGACATCATGTCCTTCTACCGCCCCTCTACCTCGGGCAATGACTTCTCCTTCACTGGTCCGAACCAGGGCTCTGTTACATCTCTCGCACACCGCCGTTCAACTCGGAGCAACCGACGCTCCTCTATTTCGGCAGTCCTGACACCTGCCGAGGCTGACCCCGATGACGAGTGGGATTACAGCGAGACGGAGTGGTGGGGCTGGGTCGTGCTCATAGCAACTTGGATCGTCTTCGTCGTCGGAATGGGTTCTTGCCTCGGAATTTGGAGCTGGGCGTGGGACGTGGGCGAGACACCGTATGCTCCACCCGACCTCGAAGACGACGCGACCCTGCCCATTACTGGCTACTATCCTGCATTGATTGTTTGCACGGCAGTTACGAGCTGGGTGTGGGTTGTCGTTGCCTGGGTTGGCATGAAGTACTTCCGCCACGCCAAAGTGGGCGTAGACGGGTAGCCATCAAAGCAAACCACCAAAACCATCACATACCGACAACCGGTGGCATGAACGTACCAGGGTCCTGGGAACGCTTTTTCTATTCTAGTGCTTTCGCTTAACCCTTCCGCATGCGCAATATCTTCTTGGGCTGAAACACTAAGCTATAATACGTCTGTTAAGACACATCATAGCCTCGCTATACCACACTTTATGGTATGCCATTACTTCTTCCGTTATTGTTCTTTCTGATACTCGCGCCAATATCTGCAGCTACCAGCTCAAATATTGGAACCGCCGACAGTTTCCACAGAATAAGAGCTGTCGCAATGCCGCATTTTTCTCGTGTCGCTCGTCGTGATTCAGCGGCTTGGACCACAATTTCCGCGCCCCGGCTCCTCCTCTCCACCATAATCCTTCGACCCTGTCGCTCGGGACAAGGCTGTACTGAACATGGTACGAACACCTCCACGACACCGTATCACCCTGCAACCTCCGATCCTGCAGCACGGGAGCCAGGGTTCCACATGTTGGCGCAATTTTGACAGTGTAAGATGAAGGCAATTTCCCTGTTCAGGCGACTTCTTAAACAAAATGGTCGCCAACATGTGGCTGATAGGAGCAGATTGTATCATGCAATTGGTCTGTGATGGCATTACACCAAAGGCCTCGGGGAAGTTCTAAGCTCGAGGAGCTACTACCAAGTTTACTCATTCTCAAGGGCCTGGAGTCTGGGGACATTTCGAAGAAAGACGCCGAGTTCAGTCGGGTCGTTCACGGGGTACATCATGAACGGCGGACAAGGACGACACCTGCCCGGAAGCCTCAACGCACTCCGAACACACTGGTGAACCAACGGATTACCAACGGCAGACCCTTCCGCTTCTTCGAACTACCGCAAGAGATTAGGGATGAGGTCTACTCTCACCTTGTCGTTCGCAAGACCTCGCGTTCCATCCCAATACTTGACGCAACGGCAATACTGAATGACCGCAAGAAACGCCTCACTGCACGAAAGTCTCGGGAGCGGCTGAACCAACGACGGCTTTCGATTGGAAAACGCCCACTATGTCCCCGTACAGCCGATCCCGAGCCAATCTTGCACCTGGAACTCCTCCGAGCGTCCCAAAGACTAGCTGACGAAGCAACCGATTGCATGTACACCAACAACTGGTTTGCCATCTCACTCAACAAGCTCCCAGTCCCTACTTATGAAGTCCCACAAGGCTGGGATCTATCACGCGTCAAACGGTTGCAAGTGGAAGTTCAGCTAAAGGATGCTATACGAATGAACCGCTACGTCGACTGGGCTTCTTTCTTCTCTGCTTTTTCATCTCTACAGTTTCTGCGTATTGTTCCAACGCTTCATCCGCGGTATTACGAGTGGTCGCATCCAGAGTTCTACGGTTGGTCCACAACGCCCTTTGTCCACAAGGCGTTCTTTAGGGAGCTGCTCGCGGCTATACCGGGTTACGTGGACCTAAGGATTGGACTGCCGATGGACAGTGCGGCAGATGACGTGCAGATGCAAGGGGAGATCGATGTGAACCGGAAGTACTTGTGGGATATGTATGTAGAGTTGGGAAGCAGGTTTGACGGCGCTGGTAGGCTACTGGAAGTGGAAAGGATTGTATCATAAGACATGACGTCGCTGTTTGGATTTACGGCAAAACTTGTACATTATTACGTCTCTTATCTAGTATTGTTTGGAAGCCTATGGCTTTGCTTTTTCTCTCAACGCATACATGTTTCCTCAACACGAATATTCACTACGACAACGGTCTTTGCTTTCGACGTACTTTTAGTGGCGAGTGGTACACACAAACATGGGTGATGTTTAGGTGCATTTTAATACAGCTCAACAACGCAGAACTCCTCTCACATGTCAACATCACCACTGTGTTCTACGGAAGCGACGTCCAGCCATGATATTATCTCCTCGATATTTTAGAAAAGAAGAGAGGTGTAGTGAAAAGATAGGTTTTGCAAAGGTCGTACGACCAAGTCTTTATAGCTAAGATGCTGCCAGTCGGCTAACACTCTACTTCATCACGTCTGTTTCTAGAATTCTAGTTTGTGTCGAGAAACATCTCATCTTCCTCCTTCAACATGACAACGTAGACGCCCCAGTTCCTGGTGTCGCGTGTTTAAGTGTTAGATATGGTTCTCCCCCACGTTTCAAAGGATATGGGGGTTCAAAGCGACCGGCAGGATAATAGCGGCGCGTTTCGAATCGTGGGAAGAGGGTTCTCATAAAGTCCTCTTGCATCTAATTTCGGGAAACATGTACCTTTTCCGCGTTGATTTTGGTAAACGAGAGAGGATATTGTGGTGTGACAGAGAAGACTTGAATCGCCGCAAGAGCAAGCATTTATATGCATTGCTTGAGAACATCAAGCTTGGCGCTCTGTTTTTTGGATATTGTTTCGAGACGGACATTCGCTGAATCAATAGTAATTTGGAGTCGTCACTTCGGGATGGTCATATCGTTTTGTTCTTGTCTTTTGTCTCTAGTCGAGCTTCATGTATGCAAAGGATCAGAACTTCTCTTCCGAACAACCAGAACACTGAGAGTACTGATGTATGTTTTAGTGGAAGTCGGAGCACGCGAACATGTGTTTTCTTTTCTTTGTTTCCAGGCAGCGAACTCGACATTCGGGAGAGCCGCATTGGTTTCGGAGTGTTTAGAAGGAGTGTTGTGAAGACGAAGTGTTGGCAAAACGGTACTGAGGATTATATAACTGGCTTAGTTAATGATAACTAGCAAACGTTGGCAGTGTGGTTGTCGAGGTCATGAATTGATAGCGAGCACCTTTCGAATCCTTGTTGAGGGGGATCTTCAACGCAAACACATCTCAGAGTCGCAACTTTATTCTGATAATGCGCCATAAGGCTTTCGTATCATCGGAAGAGCATAAGATGAGTTGATGTTGTTTCAGACCAGCAGAAGTCAGTAGTGTATCGAATTTGTCCGTTGTTTGTGGAGAACTGGACTCAGTCATGAGGTACAAAAAAAGCCATTTTAGTGTACTCAGAAACGAGTGAGGTGGAGACGGTTTTTATATTCTTACCTCTCTGGAAGTCGTTGATGTGATGTGAATGCCAATGTACCGCTGGATATCTCCGCGCATGACAGATGCTGACCGCTTTTTCGAATGCAAACACTCATAAGCATTTCATGCAATGATTTCAGGAGGACGGAATCTCTGCACACACCAAACGGTTAATTCCAATTTTGGAGAGCACACTCTCATGAAGACGAGGATTATTCCTTTTTGGAGAAAGAAGGTAATGTTTTGGTATAAGATGAAAGAAAGAAGGAGAAGAGGCAAAGCCAGGCGTTATATCTTAATCTCTTCCCCGATTCGTAGCATGTTCTCAGGTATGCACAAATTTCAGAAAACCGAACAGTGCGTTCACACATGTTGACGAGCGTGGGTAGTTTCAGGATGCATACACCCTTAGGCAGAATGTACAGTGGTTTCGGAAGGACGGGATCTCTCCACACATCGTCTGATCAAGGTTTTAATCTAGAGAAGCAGGCTTTTATATGCCGCAAGAGTCATGCAAGCCCTGTCTTGGCTCTTTGGGGGAAAAGGCAGACAAAATCCGCAGCATAAAGTCTGCGACTTGATATTTTGAGAGAAGAGCAAAGCTCGTTGCATGATGTTACCCACATCTTTTTTTCGAGCCACAGAATTTGCATGAGGAGATCCTGCGCCGCATTTTATAAAGGGAGCGACCGAGAGGAAAGAGACAGCTGTATCGCCATTGTGTCCAATTTTCCGACATCAAAAGTCCCTTGGTCTTTTCCAGGCCGATGCACCATGTTTTGTTGGCATTGTGTTTTTGGATGAGGCAACTCGGACATTCCTATTCTTGTCTGGGACTTTTAGGGAATAAAATCAGAAGCTATAGAATAAAGAAGAGAAGCTTGAAGACGAGAACGGAGACTTTATACATCTTCGTAGCCATTCTGGTCGTGTCTCGAGTTTTGAGAAAAAGGCCGAGGGATTTCGCAACATGGGGACTGTGTTGGGTTTCTTTGGACGAAGCGCAGTTCTCGCTCCATGAAGAGTGTCGTGTTGGCTTTTTCAGATACCAGGAGTTCGTCATGGTAGGTACGTGTGTACCATTTTATAAAGAGCAAATGGGAAGCCAGACGAAGACATCCGAGGTCGGTCTTGCTTCCTCGATATCCATGAGTCCAAGGTCGTTTCCTGGACAGCAGATCATGACGAGCCATGGTGTATTTTTTGGAAAATGCCTTCTCCATGCATTCCAATCCAGGTAATTTTTGGAGAACAGAATAAGAGGCTGGGGAATGAAGGAGTGAAGTCCTACGGCGAGAATGGAGGATTTATATGTTCTGGAAATCATGCTCTCTTTGTTTTGGATTTTGCGAAAGAAGCAGGAGAACGCCGCAACTTAAGCCTTTACATTGTCCTTTTGAATTTTCGTTCCTGAATCGAGACGCATATTCCCCGACCCCGTGTTGGGCCTACGGCTATGTCTCAGACCTCAAACCCCCTCCATCACGTCTTCCACTTGTTGTTTTGTATGTGGGTGTAGTCGCAGAGTAGAACCGGACATGTCGACGACAGGAATATCATTTTGGTTTTTGGTTCTCAAGGGGAAGGACAGCTCTTCCAGATCACATCTTGCTCTGGATGTATTCTTGGGCCGCCCAGTCTCTCTCATGAAGACATGGTTGTTGTCTTTGTTGTATCTGGGCGAACTCTACAAGCGGAAGTGGACATGTAAACGTGGTAGAGTAATTTTTGACGTTCATGTCAAGGGGTAGTTGATTATGGAAAGATGGACTCTCGTCCATTTGGTTTACAAAAACTCCTTTTTGGAGAAAGGTCTTCTCCATAGCTTGTGGATCAGCTAGTTTTTGGAGAACAAGAGAATAAAGTGCGTGGTGAATGAGTAACGTCGGGAAGCCAGAGGACTTTAAATACCCGCAAAAAGAGAGAAAGCGGTGCACAGCTAACCTCGTCATCTCGGAATATCTAGGCAGCGGCGAAGATCACTCACATCACAACAAAAAAGGCAAAGGTAACACAAGATAAAATGTTGAATAGTGGTAATTGATACCTACAGCCCAACTGATGAGCACACTACTAAACAATGATAAAAACGCCATAGTGAGCGTCCTCAAGACCCCTTCACTAATGCCATGCTAGATCTCCAATCCAAATAAGAAGAAGACATTATACACATTTTGAATGATACCCAACCCCCTTAGCTATATTGTGGGCAAATCATGATTATGATATCACCATGCTCATTAGCCCTTCATTGGAAGTTTTACTCCCGCTTGAAAGACTGGAAGCCCTGCTGCGGCGACCCAGGGCTTCTATATGGGTTATTGTTCGACACGGAACGAGTCGGCGCATTAGCGCTGGGTTGCCACTGTCTCTCGCCCTCATCCTCTTCTACTTGTGGAGCGCGCGGCCGGCTGCGTGAGCGAGGCGGTGGAACCATAGTCTGGTACGAGTAATCCTCTACCTGCCCTGTGGAGATAGAGCTTGGCGATCCAGGTGCAGTGCTGCGAGGTGGAGGTGGTAGAGAACCTCCTGGTGGTTGTGCGTACTGGCTTTGGCTACCGGATGGTACTACGTGAAGTGGTAGAGGTGGTGGGGGGTTCTGACGGGGTGTATCGACGGAGACGCGGGAGCCAAACGGCGATAGTGTGGTGCCACCCTTCCTCTTTCCGGCCGAACTGGCTTTGCGCAGCAGACCGCGGACTTCGTCGAGGTCGGGCCTTTGGTCCGACATGCTAGGACGGCCTATGGTACTAGCATCGTCGCCGCGAGCTTCCCAGGTGTCGTCACGAATCGTGTCCAGGCCAGGTCTCCTGTTGTTGAGGGAGCTGATTGCGTTGCCTTCGACGCCCAAGTAGTCCGTACCAGTAGACTTGCCGGTGTCCTCCTCGGTGGGGTTGTTTGGGTGCAGACGGCCAGCGTCAGCGTTGGCCTTGTACTTCTCGTATGCGGCGATAGCCTCGGCAGGCGGTACTGCGACAGACCATGTGGGCTTATCTTGCGAGCCCAAAGCAGCATCTCCTCCAGCAGGACCATTGATCGGGACCTTGCGCAAAGCGACGACGAGTGCGCACATGAACTTGGACCTTCGGGATGCGCGAAGTGACTCGTTTGACCAGTTGCTCTTATGCCTGATCTCAACACGAAGCTCCAGCTTGTTCATCTCAGCAATACTAACAACCTCGATATCGATATCAGGATGGAATTCGCGGGCATTGAGAGGATCGCGAACGAAGCTCATCATCTCCAGCTTGAGCAAGTTGATGTCTTCGAAAGAGGTGCCAAAGTCGCAGAATACCGAGACTTGTTCTCGCATGGCCTTGCTTCGTGTAATGTTCTCTACCCACAGAGAGTTCAAGACAATGTTGGGAATCTGGACCGTCTTTCCGTTTTGGACGCGCTTGAAGACAGTGTAGAGCAGAGCGATGTGTTCCACAGTGAGCTGTTCAGTGGTGATGTCGACACGATCACCAATATCGTACGGGTGCTTGACGAAGAGAAAGATGCAGGAACCGAGAACTTCCTGAGCGGTCGTCGCGAATACGAAGGACAGTGACAGGAGAGCAGTCGCGGATGTAGCGAGGGTCGTGCGGAAAGCGGGAGCGAGGAAGGCGACGAAGACGAAGATGCAGACGATGACAGCAATAGTCATGATGAGGCCGTCGAGAGCGTTGATGGCCTGGTCAACATCGTGCATGCTGGAGTTGATCGACTTTCGCTGTCTGGCGTAATCAGTCACAGTCAAGATCATCTCTTCCAAACTGATATCCCCGTTTCCGTCTCGGTCGATTGCAGCGAAGCATTCCTCGGCTTCTTCCTGGCGGCCCGGACCCATAACTTCGACTAGATCTTCCAGGTAAAGCTCGTTCTTGCCTTCGACGACCATGGACATCCAAATACGCCTAGCCAAAGCTTCAGCACTCTTGTTCCTCTCCAAAGCAGTCAAGACGACGGAGTGAGCAGAGTTGGGGTCGAAGACTTTCTTGCCAGTGATCTCGGAAGCGATAGTACCGAAAACTGATGTGATCTTATCACCAATACGACCAGCATCTCGGCCAACTTCTTGGATGAGACGCATAGGTGTGCGGCTGCCAGATCGGCCATGCTTGGCCGTTCCCTTCTTGCTACCAAAACCAAGATCAAGAATGGTGTCCTGAATGATGTAGTCTTCTTCTGCGAACTCGTTGCAGTAGGCGGGAAATAGCGCTCGCGACGTGTCGTAAAGGATACCGAGGAGGTAGATGTTGCGCTTCGATTCCTTGATCTTATCGTCAAATTGCTTGCGGTGGTAGCTGATACTGATGAGCTGGATCAAGACGCGTTCAGCGAGGATGATGATGGTGCAGACGAGTAAGGCAAGCAGTACGGACTGCATCGTGCCAATCCATCCTGGGTAATTATCGCCAGTCCTACCAGGAACAGCTCTAACAAGCTAAACAGAGTTAGTGACTGTTCGTCTCTAGGCCTGTCGCATAACTTACTGCCGGGAACGTAGCCTGGTTGACAATCATCCAGAAAACGAAAGACAGAGGCTTCTCCACCGCTCTCAATAGCAGCGCATATTTCTTGACACCAGGACTGACCACGCCAATGAGAAACTCGAAAACGTTGGGAATAAAGTGTGCCACAATCTTCATGACCCAGAAACTAAGCCAGATGATTTCGATCCAGATCCAGAACTTCTTCTGGTTTGTGCCGCCGATGGAGCCCGTGATAGTACCGGTCTGCGAGAGGATGATGGGAATGGCTAGCAGTAGCGCAACAGGCGCAACATAGATCATGTAGCGCGTGATGATGCTATAGTTGAGGATCTTGGTGTAGATCCTACCCATACGGTTGAGAGCCGTCTTCTCTTCGCTAGCGCGGGGAGGCAGCGGTGCTCCTGTCCTGGAGTCTACCGCTGCCAGCTTCCTACGCCCCCAGTTGTGCACCTTTTCCGACTTTTCATTTCCCGATGTCGGCGAGGACTGCGAGGGTGTGTGACTGACGACAGTCTGGAGGGGTATATCGGCGGTTCGGTTCTCCATGTTGCCGTTGTCAATGGGCTGGAAGCCGTGATTTGAGAGTCTAAAGGACCTCTGAGAGGATCGTTTGCTTGTCATGTAAAGGAAATCTAGTAGTTTGTCGTAGGAGCCGTGTCGTTACTGGGAACGCGCAGGCGGGGTATTGTGGATATCGTCAAGGGAACGCAGATCCCGGGGTCTTTTGCGAAAAAGAAGCTGGCGGACAATGTGCGTCGAGCACTTCCTTTTTAGGAGCCGTTTGAGCGAGTAGTACAATAGAGATGTGTAACGACAGCGATTGAACGAAGGCCTGCCGTCGGTTCTCTGGGTGACTTAAGGAAACAATGAGACAGGAAAACGAGCGAAGAGGCTCTCAGGGACACAACAGCAGAGAAGTCAGGGTGAAGGAGTGAGTGAAGAAAAGTAGCAATGCAAGGAGTTACTTCGACGAGCAACGCCGCGCGCCGGTCCCCAGGCCATGGTTAGTGGTATGCAGGGAGGAGTTAGCGGGAAAGCCACAGGCCACTGAAACCGCTAGCTCATCGCCACAACGAATCACCGGAAGAAGACATCGTCACCGCTGGCTGCACATAAAACTACCAGGCCGACGATCTAATTACCGTTCTGCTACGCAGATCGAAACGCCGTTGAAATGAGAAATATCATGTTCCTAGGCGTTTGTGGCATTGTCGTCAGCGTTCAGCCTCATTCACCCACATATGAACATGACTTCAACAGATCGGCCATCCTTGCCGTTGATCCGTTCTGGCCAAAATACCCGGTGCAGATGCAGGAACATGCGTATCGATAGGCCTCAACAGAGGAAAACTGTGTTCAGCTGGGGTAGAATCGCGATCGCGTCGCATAACCATGACCGGTTGAAAACTCGGGACGTGAACATTACACCCGCGCTGACCGTTGAGCAAATTCAGCCGATGAAAAAGCAACTAACGCGCTTCCCTACAGGCCAGCCTGACATCAGAACCCTCGAACACGATGTCACATGCCTGTCATAGGTTCACGGTCTCGCCTATCCCCGAGGAATCCAAGTGGAGGTTCCCCAAATCGAGAAATCGTCCACGTAATCCCTTACCCCTGTTGAGGCTTGCATCGTGCCTGTTTCAGCCACACGCAACCGATATGTCAGGCACATTTGGCCGATGAATGGCTGCGAACCCTGTGGCGGTGAAATGAGCCTTGCGAAGGATTCAAGGACATTGTTGCCGGTATGTTTGCAGCGAAATTGACAGCTGTCCGTCGAGAGAGGGAAAAATGGGTCTATTCTTAGCTTTCGTAGATCCCGAAGTAAAGCTTCTCTTGATCAACCGCTAAATGTACCCACAGCCAGGGTCCAAACAGAACCGTCCTCACCCCAAAACTGTTCGGGCTCCAGAGTTATGTTTAAACCCGAGATCGATATGATAAATGGGGACTTTGCTGATGACGTGACGAGGTTGCGGATGGGAAGAGGAGCTCCACCAAAACGCAAGCGATCCGGGACTTTCAGCCATCGATCAACATTGTGACGATCAACATATGACGTTGTTCTGACCCACGACGGCTGGAGCACTCAGCATAGACTTGCGCAGTTATGCACGAATCTTACCCAAGATCTTTTTCTTTTGTGCAGATTCTGGATGGATGAACACTTGGATGTACTCTTGATTCAAACACAACAAAACGTCACCTAGCTATTTCCACAAAGCGCAATGCCCGCAACAACACACCACCCCCAATTCCACATCGCCGCACTAACCAAATCATCTACATTCAACACGCCAACTCCCACCTCCATCAGCACCTTCCAAGCCCCGTCTCTCCGGCTAATCGGCCAGCCTGGTGTACCCCAATACCTACTCTTCAGTCCCTTCACTTCCGCTGCTCCAACCTGCTCTCTAACTTTCTCAACTTGCGATGAAGACAAGGTTGCGAACCAGAGCTTGCCTACTGCGCTGTCGAGGGCAGTGGATGCGTAGTAAGAATTCGTAGTGTCGTACTCAGCGTTTGAGACGGAGAGGAGGGGCGCGTCGAAGAAGATGTAGCGATTTGTAGTAGCGGCTTGGATGAGGTTGAAGGGAGTGTTTCCTGTGCCGACGATAGTGAGGGCTCCTTGGTGGAGAGTCTCGCCATCGTAGTATGTTAACCAGTTCTTCTCACGAAGGGGAGCGAGTTGGGAGAGCAACACCGGCCATGTCGCTTCGCCGTCGGATTTGAAGTCGATGAGTAAGACTGTCGTCGCACTTGGATCCATGTCAAATAATCCCGTCTTCTTGTCTCCCTCTTCTGCTGTTGTTGCGTTCCTTTGCTCGAGAATGTTCAACAACGGACTGAGGTAGAGGCTCTCCAACGTTCGATTGCCGGTCGTAGACTCCCAGGAATGACTGACGAGCAGTTTTTCGTCTTCTGTCAACCAAATGTCTGCTTCAACGCTTGTACATCCTACTGCAAGTGCGGCGTACAAGGGGACAGAGCGCCAGTAATCATTGTGGGAGTGGCAGCTCTTTGGTACGATATCGCGGCTGAAGTCATCCCTCCACTCGAATTGGAAGGCTCCGTTAGAGTCGGGTTCTTTCCAGGTCTCGACAATATGTTGGAGGCCGTTGTTCCTAGGCGAAGGAGCGAGCCGCCGTAACAATGTGGAAACAAAGGCTATATAAACACTGGGGTATGTCAGTTCGCTATATCCTCGCATGTGGTCGCATTTCCTTACCCTCCAGCGATGGCACCGAAGATTGTTAGAGTAACAACACCAATGCCAAACAAACGACAATGTCGTCTCCTCCGTGCCCTTTTTTCTGCTTCGGTCTCCTCTGGCCGTCGCTTCCTCAGTTCACGCCAGCTCAATCTACTCCACCAAGGTTGAGATGCGCTCTCTCGATATGACTGTCTTTGAAGCTCTAGATTATCTAGACTTATCGTACTGGATACCTGACTAGCAACCTCATCCTCATCATCGCGGAACCTTCGTATAGCTTTATCCTTGGCAGGCATATCCGTGTAGATTGGCCGTACCTCTATCAGGATGTCTGATTTCTCTAGATCTGATAGCTGCGCCATGGTCAGAGCTCGACAACAAGAAAGATGATAATTGAGAAGCAATCTGCGAAAGAACGTGGGGAAGCTCCAGATGTCGACTTGAAGATACCTCTATTGCGAATGCATTGTGGCGGCAGTCTGGACTTGCACCATGCATGATGACGCTAGCCGGACACGGCAGGACACGATAGGACTTTGAATCCTTACCAGCCACGCGCTATCTTGGGGCCGGACTGACGGGGACAATGAGGTTATCACATACCTTTGATTTTATTGCTGCGCTCCAAACGAGTTGTTCTCTGCAATTGAATGTACATCATCCTCACAGCGAAACATACCAATCTCATATACAACACCATCTGTACGCAGCCCAATCTAGGACTTCACCATCTGCCTGCCCCACCGTTGGTGGTACAAGGAACACCGAAGTTACGCCCGAGGCTTTTCGTAAGCTGTCCAGTCTACTCTTGCACCAAAACGCTTCATCCAGAAAGGCTCGGCATCTCTTTAAGGTTGCCTTGAGGGAATATTATAGCTACGCCCGAGGCTTTTCGCAAGTTTCGTAAGCTGGTTCATCGTCTAATGCGCCGAAGTGCTTCATCGGTAGTTCTTTTCTGGTTGCCTCGAACTCGGGGTTCGTACGGTCACGCCTTCGGTGCGCACCATATGGGAATAGACCATATATCGATAGTATGTAGAGACGAACGCGCGTCGCTGTAATGTCCTGATTAGCAGAACCGACATTAATCTCGTACAAAACATTGTTGTGTTTGGTCGACCATCCAAGCCCTGTAGGGTCTGGGCGCGGTCCCGAGTTTGTCTTAAAAAAAAAGCTTCGCGGTAGCTGCCGCCGGGCGACGACATTTGACAAGCACCAACGTCATCAGCAAAGCACCGCGGTACCTCCAAATTCCGCCCGCTGGTTATTTGGGTGCATTGTTAACAGTCGAGATATCCTCCAGAAAGATGCAAGCGGGAAAGGTGCAGCTAACACCCTGCATGTCCCGGCCAACGCCAAAACGAATCCGCAATCCGGAAAAAGATACTGCGCGCGTCTATCCTACTCTTTACACCAATCAGTCCACCTGGGAGTGCTGCGGACGGCTCGGAGCCGCTCACATGCACCGCGCAGTGACAACTAAACCCCCTTGAGTCTAGTTTCTGTGGGTTATGCATGTCCGCACAGCAATCAAGCTACCTCAACCGAGCAGATCACATAACACAGACACACCGACATTCAAGCACGATTTTCGTCACGAGAGCGTCTCTCCATTGAGCACAGATGGGGAGTTGTGGTTTGGAGTAAGAAGGTCATGTGTGATGCGATTGCGCCGCGCGTGACAAGAGAATGCGAGGAAAGGTGACACAAAGGCCACTTTGTCTTCTTCTTCTTGTTCTTGTTGACATATCGTCGAGGTCTCCCCGCAGAATTATTTTGTTCTAGCCTAAGATTGGGAATTTAGTGGTATGCACGCATTTGCCAACTCACCACACCGACTCTTTCGTTCACGCGTACATTATGGGCCCTGGGGGTAGTCAACAATAACAATAATACAGACCCAGCCTCGTTTATTTTTCTTCTTGCTTATCCGCACATATAGCATCGCATTTCACAAATTGCATACACCACGTTACTTCGCTTCTTTCTTTCCCTCTCGTGAATTCTGGTGGGAAGAGATAGCATCCAAGCTTCACGGATAACGACTACGATACAGCACGATAGACGATACGACGCAATAAACATCACGACTCATTCCATCACGGTACCCCGCACTTCACTACTTACAACCGCTCAACACGACTACAATAACAACAACAATAATAACAACGCCACACTTTCCATCACGCCAATAAACACCACCAACAGCACAACAAATCATCCATAGACCCCTCCCAAAATGGCCAAAGAATCCTCCTTCCGCCTCTGCATAGCTTTCCTCCTCATCGTGCAGATAGCCTGCTGGGCCCTCACTCTCCTCGACCTGCTCCACCCAGGAAAGCCCCACGCAATCATCCGTACAACCATGGATCTAGTCTCGATATACTTCTCAAGATGTTGCCAATCGAGCGCTGCGCTGCAACAGTTGAGGTATACGGATATTAGGGGATTAGTGTACTAGCTTCAGCACGATTGAGATGAGTGGGGGAGGGATGTGGGATATGGGATGTTGTTACACATGGACGTTGCTGGTGCTCCAAGATGCAATGCAATGAACAAGGGGGGAGCGGGGGTAATTGCATTGATGATATAACGATTTTACGACACGCATGCGATGATACCACGGCGTTTATGGGTACTGGAGTATGGATATGGATGGGCATGGGTTATATTGCACTGATGATTGGGGATACGACGGCACGACGACAGCATGACTGAAATAAGTTGGACAGGATCAAGACTGACAGTGTCGACGACGACTACGACGACGACCACATATACTACGAACCAAGCGGTGTGCGCGTAAAAGGCAGGAGGACCGAGAAGCATACGCAGGTCGTTGCAGGAGTCTTTGTCTTTACTTTAACGTTGATTGATATGAATACCCACTTCAAACTACATGCGCGTTCACACCTTAATCACTCCACAGTATATGCTTAGTGTATGATGATGCTTCAAAGTCCAAAGACTGGAATGCATTCTCTTTCCGAGACTATTGCAGTTGGCGGTGTCGCTCACACCGCATAAGCAATAGCAATTACGTCCCCCAACCAGAAAAAAAAAATCTTCCACGCCCCAAACCCATGGAATAGACATAAAAGTAAAGATACCCATAACGATTGACATGTGTCATGGCAACTCCCCCAGCGCCGTTGTTGTAACACCGACGAGAATGCATGTCATGTATGTGAGAATGGAGACAAAAAGAAAACTGACGTGTTGTTGTTATATGCTTTACTGTGTAGCCTGATGATTCAATCCATGCATCATACTCACTTCCCCAAGATGCTTCTGGTCAAAGTGTGAGGAGTGTTCGCGTTCGTCGGCCACGACTTGAACAGGCGGCGCCGGACTAATCTCGTCGTCGTTGTTTTCCTGTGGTGCGCCATGCACTTTCGATGTTGGTGTCTCTTGGTTCGGCTTGAGCGTCGTTGTGCTCGAAGCCAACGGGTCTGAGGTCTGGCTCTCCGCCTCGGCGCCTGTGGAAGCTTCGGGCGCTTTGCCGTTCGCAGTAGTAGTTGGCTTCTCTTCGGGACTCGCCTCCTCTACATCCTCGATGTACTGGGGCTTGTTTTCGCTCTTGTTCTCATCTTCAGGGGTGATTGCCTTTGCGAGACTTTGGAAGTTGAACATTGGCTCCGTGCTATTCGTGTCCTGTGGAGGGGTATCGGTCTCGCCCTGGGCTAAGCTAACACCTGATGCGTTTGAACTTGGTCCGTAAGAAGACCCGGGTGCAAGGTTGTTTTGGTTTTCTTGTTGTTGTAATGAGTTTTGGTATGATTCCGCAAACGAAGACGAGGATGAGGATGCGTTGGAGATGTTGCGCAAGACGGATCGGTGTTGTGGCTGTTCGCCGCTATCAGGGTGGAAAGGAGCTGGGTTGCTAGAGTCGGATGTCTCCCGCTGAATCTGCGCGCGACTAGCTTCGAGATGCTTTTGCGGGTCGTCTTTGGTAGAAGGAGTGTTGAGAGTCGATGTCGGTTCTGACATGGGATTGACACCACCAGCGCCACCAGACCGATCGACTCCTTTGCCTTTACCGGCTGCAGAAGAGCTACCAGCTTCCGTTTCGTCGATGCCATCAATCTCTATCGGGTGAAAGCCACTGCCAATATTGCGTTGGGCCTTTGCAACTTTCTTAATCTCCTTGGCTTTCTTCTTGCCCTCCTTCTTGGCCTCTTTAGCAGCGTCCTTTTCGTCTCTTTTCTTGCGCTCTTCTTCGGCTGCAAGACTAAGACGTATAGCTTCCATCATCATGAGGTCTTCGAGATCATCAAGCCTATTACCTCTCCTCGAGCTAATGCGGTTGGGGAATAGGTCGCTTGAGCCTCCTGGCTGGCCGGATGAGCTTTCACCTTCACGCCGGGGCGTTCCGTGTCCACTACTACCGGTACTATCGCTAGTGAATATTCTCCTTCGTCTTCCGAGGCCGAACCGACTCTCTCCTTGTGGGAGGTTCCCCATCATGTATGCGGCATTATGTAAAGCTGTGGCAGCAGCAGCCCTTCGCAAAGCATGTGATTTCGCGTCTGCCAGCTTCTTCGCCCAGTCGGGCCGCACCATATCGGTTGTGATTACCGTCTTGTCGGTGACTGCAAGCGACGTTGCTCTTCTTCGCCCGGGACCGGCAGAAGTGGGCGAATTCAGGGACGAGGTGGAGGACATTGCGGATGTCGCGCTACCCATACCATTGCGACCCTGGCCATTGTAGACAAGTCCTCTCCTAAAAGGCGGTGGCTCGTAGGTTACTCCAAACTCGGCTTGTGTGCAGTAGGGACAAGCAGCTGGCTCCGAAACTAGCTGGACCTCCTCCTCTGGCTCAGCGGGCTGCGCGCCCTCAGCGCCCGGTTCTCCATGATGCTCTGGGGGATGGGGATCGGGTCTCTTAATCTGAACAAAGCACTCGGAACAGATGGGCTGATCGCAGCAACGTGTCTTGTTTAGATGTGGTGGGTAATACATAAAACAGATGGGACACTCGGAGGCGTTCTTGTACAGAAAAGCCTCGATTCGTTGGCCATTCACGTACGGGTCTTTGGGAAGGTGTAGTTCTTGTGGGGCCATGTCAGACTGCGAAGCATTGCGGGAACCGGTCGCGAGGGAGGCGAGGGTTTTGGCGCGCCCACGGAAGAATGGGGAGGAAGAGGAGTTGTTCGCGATCGGAGACGCGGGCGATGGGAGGGAAAAGGTAGGACTCGGTTCTTGAGACATGGATCGAGCGCCCATGGGCACCGTGAGCTGGTTCAGGCTGGGCTCTGAGCTGCGGGGATTCCATGCTGTGCTGAGGTGATTGTTCGTGTTGGTTCGAGGTGGCTCTTCGGGAGGGATGTCGTCTGCAGCGGGCAGTGGGCGGCCGTTGACGACTTCGACGAGTTGATGCTCGGTCCAAGTATCTTCGTGGTCATCGAGGCCTCTCCAGAAGGGAGCAAGTCGACGTTCAATCTAGCATGTGTGAGTTGGTGTTGTCGTGTTAGTGCTGAGCAGGCCATACCTGTAATTGCCGCACCGTAGGCTTGCTGAAGTCTTCTGGTCCCGTATAGACACCAAGCGTGACCAAGTATCCTCCGTCGACGCCTTCCTCTTTCAGACTCCTCTCACGTTCCTGGGCCCGGAGTATTCGATCCTTCTCCAGCTTGCGGGCCTCGCGCTCCGCCTTTGTCTCTCGCCGAGGTTCGAGAGCGGGGTCGCGTTCGGCATTGTCTCCGGTACGGATGCCTAGGAAAGACAGGTCCGGTCTGCTGCCTCTGTCCCTCCGCGAGTTGCCATAGGGACTGTTGCCCGGTCTGTTGTGTGTTGATGCGGCGGGACCGGCAGCAGACGGAGAGGCGGGCTGGTGTGCACTAGAGCGGCGGGCGTGGCCTCTCCTCTCCGGCTGCGACTCTTTGCCCTGCGAGTTGCCCATGGTGAGGAAGGTAGGATAGATGGAGAAATCGGGAAATCGGTGAAGACAGCGGATCGCGCCGGGCTCGTTGCAGGGCGGCCCGTCGATGCCCAAGTGCAGTGACGATGTCTGTGCGGGCAGGGATCAGGTCGTTATCGCGACGACTAGCGAGCGAGAGAGAGGTGGTGAGGGTGTCCAGTGGGAGATAGCAAGTGTCACAAGGACATCGATGCTGGGGAACCTGGCCGTGTGTGGCCGTTTCCTCGACGCGTCTCAAGAAATGCGACCAGAAGGAGCCAGCAGTCGCGATCGACAAAAGGGGCGCATGGGCAGCGGAGCAGTGAGGTGCAATCGGTGACGGAGCGAGGTCGACGGGAGCTGGTGTTGAAGAGCGAATCCGGAATGATGTCGTTTCTTGGCAGCAAGGCAGGGTGTCGATCGCAAATGAATGTTGCGTATGGTATAGTCAGTTAGGGCCGAATGGGTGGGGCGAGGGCAATCAGGCTTCAAGAGCAGTATTCGGGCACGTCAGCTCAGCAGGCATTCACGCACACGGCCCTGCCAGCTGGAACATGAGGATGCAATGGGGAAGAGTATAAGACGGCAAACAGGCTGGCGACATCTGGGCCTATATGCAGCCATGCCATGCAGCTAGGTACTGGAGCTTGTGCCGCTTAGCCCGCGCCGCCACGATACGGTACCAGTACCAGGAACCAGATCACTGTTCCCGCACACGCAGTCGCCGCCCGAGAGAAACACCATGGCTTCACTATTGCACGCATGCGATGTTTTGTCCCCAGGTGACTGCGCTGCTCGGTTTCTTCTCTTGGCTACCATAGCAGACGGTTGGGCGACACGCGAGCACAACCACCCCGCCCAAATGCGGGGCTCCAGGTATGGACAGTTGGTCAATGGGGTTGCATAACATTGTGCTTACTACTTCCGGCCCTACGCTGACTGCTAGCCCACCACCTTCTCACCTCTCAAACTCGACGTCCATCTCATGTCAGATTGTGCCAAACTCCCACGACGACTCCCAGTGGTACTTGTCTCCAGGGCCCGAAATCTGCTTGTCGAGGCGACCCCACTCCGGACTGTTCAACAATATTAGCTTAGGCCCTACACGACGTCACCATGTACTCACTGGTTGATGCCATCAACGTAGTCTTGGGCCTCGATAGCAATACAGCCGTCGCGCGGAATGAATTTGTCCTGGCCTGCGACACCTTGAGTGTTCTTGAACTCGCTCTTTCCGTCGTTCCAGTTGCAAGTATACAGGACCACAGCATCTTGGTTTGTCGTCAACTTGGCCTCGATGCCGCTGTATGCGCTTGATAGTGTGAGTACAGCTGCGCTCTTGTTCCTGCTCTCGTTGAACGCCCAAGCGCCGTTGTAGCCGTGACATCCATTGCCGCAGTGGTTCTCAAACTCGGCATTGCCCGATGCAAACCCAAGTTCATGCGGGGCAGACCAGACTAGATGTTGATGGAGGAGATCAGCATACTTCTCACACGCAGTTCGTAGAGGGAAATTGCCTACAATCGTCAATGGCTCCCGCAGGAATCTGCGCAATCTCGCCGGTAGGGAGAGCGTTCGCATCGGCGACGAGGGCACGCTTAGCCTCTGGCATATACACAGTGTGGTTCCAGACTGTGCGGTTGTCGGGTCGCTTGAAGGCGTCGAGCTGGAAGTACGTGTGCTGTGTCAGCATGAGAGGTGTCCTCGCCTCCGGGGATGTAGCATCCATGGAGATGTGCCACTTGTTCTTCGAGACCGAGTACGTGACGCTCGCATCGACACGGCCAATCATACCAAGAGAAGAGTTTGAGGCGTCGCTGATGGAGAAGGTGATCGAGGAGTTGGTCACAGCGCTAACGTTCCATACCCTGAAAGACCAGTTGTTTGTACCGCTGTGGAGGGTGTTTGGGCCGTCGTTCTTTTCAGTGTGGTAGGTTACGTTGTCAAGGGTATATTCGCCGTTGCCAATGCGATTGACGTAGCGTCCGGGGATTGCATTGTAGACGGGATGTCCGGGGTCGACGGCTGAAGTGTGTTAGATGATCCTGGGTTGAGCGAGCGCGCAATCTTACGGTAGTAGGAGGTATTGTCGTAGCCTAGAACAATGTCTAGCTCCTGACCTGCCGGATCTATGACTTTGTTAGTAGACGCTATCTAGCGTCTCGATTGAATCCTACCTTTGACGAAGAGGTTGGTGAGGGTAGCAGCATATGGAATGAACTGCGCTCTAATCCCTTCTGCCTCAATCGTGTACCTCCCTTGTGCATCCGGATGCGGGGATCCTGGGTGTGCGAGCGCACTTCGCGCTGCTGAGACTGCGAAGATAGCGGGAAGATACCTCATCGTGGAGCAGGCAGTCGATAAGTGCTGGAGTGGGAAAGAACGACCGCGCCAGTACACGCCCAGCCAACGGAAACCACGTTTTTATACATTGTAACTGAACAATGCCCCTCTCCAAAATGTATGCAACTTCATTTCTAAAAGTTCGCCTTCATATAAAACCTCACGGGCGTCATGGGTGTATCCGGGGTTAAACGGGGGCTTGGCCATATAAAGTAATCTGTCTGAAGTATTACCCCGGGACTTCTGCAGGTACTAGATGGCTTAGCCGAGCGTCTCTATGCTCTAAGTAGACATTTGAGTGCATTTCGTCTGCTTAACTAGATCGAATGTGTAGTTGGTGTTTAATGGCGTGTGGAGGGCAAGACGCGGAGGCGGTTCTGCGGAACGTCTACTTGCCATGTGGGGCGACAAGCCGGGTGTTGTTTCCGTGGCGTTTCTCTGACCATACCTGCTTTCTTCCACCTGCGTCAGCGAACTCTTGGATGTTCCACATCACCTTTATCCTCTGAAATGTAAAGTACTTATGCATCTTGGGTAAGCTTTCTTCTTGCGCAATTGGCATGATCACCAGGAGCGTCTGCAAACTTGATCAATGCTTCTACGCCCTAATAGTCTAAACCTCACATCTGCTCAGAGCAGCATTATAGCGAGTATAGACTATGTCTTGTTATATTGCGCAAAAGTACAATTCTTTCGGTAGGTAGGGCGTTTCTACAATGTCCTTTTCAATAGGACTTGGACGATGATGTCCAATAGCACCTGCAGCATCCGCATCCTGCCGCGTGTCTGGTTGCCTGACATCCCCATTCTTGGCAACTTACGTGCCTCAGGTGCTTTGGTAAGATCGGTCTCACGCTCACACATCACAATCATCCCTACCATTAAACTCTTCTTATCTCATAAAGCATGGGAGCACTCGAGTTCATCTGCAATCGAAGGTTCCACCGCAATTTCGTACTTCCCGCCAACCCTGAGACAAACGGAAGCAAGCCTTACCATGTTTCTTACTCCGATTTTGGCGACTCCGACAGCAAAGCAGTCGTCTTATTCTGTGGAGCTCTGTTCGGCCAACGCTTATGCTATGCACCCTTGGACCAACTAGCAAAGGCCCATCATGTCAGGATCATCCACCCGGACCGACCTGGCGTCGGGGGCAGTGAAGCTGTGGAGCCTGAAAAGCGAGTACAGACCTGGCTTGGTAGGTGACTATGTTCTTCGATGAACGTAGCTAACTCATTGCTACAGAAATGGTCCCCCAACTTCTGGCGCACCTGAACATCTCGCATGTTTCGATTGCAAGTCATAGTGGAGGCGACATCTACCTCATGAATTTCATTCTCGCCTACCCACATCTGCTGAATCCTAACCATTCATATGTCGCTTTCTTCGCCCCATGGGTCCATTACTCGCACTCGAGAATGTCGCATCTACAGGCTACAGAGCTACTTCCGGCTTCGTTGATAGGAAAGTTCGGCTCGCTCGGTAAATTCGTCAACCAAAACATCGTTCCAATGGTCGGCTTGAGTGGCGCCTTTCTTCAGGGTATATCATCTCCACTGTCGCGTTCCAACCCTACAACAGCTCCTGTTGCCCTTACAGTGTCCGGAACCACTGGCTCAGAAGGGTCTGCAGATAGCCTGAGCGATGATTTCTCAGATCTTGCACTTGACGATCCTCGGGCTGTGGATGACTTGCGAAATACTATTACCAAGTTCGTCTTCGCCGAATCTGTGGACGGTGTCTCGGCAGATGCACAGCTATTCTTGAAGCGCTCTGTTTCGTGGAGCACGCCTCTTGTCGAATGGAAGGATTTCGATGACGCTGTGCAGCTTCTTTCGAGACTCATCAGCGAAGACGATCGACTGACAGGCAGCAACAGGGTCTGGGCCATCGACTGCTTTCATGGTGAGCACGACCAACTGGTTGGTGACAAAGGGAGAGATTGGTTCAATGCCATCTGGGCACCAAGTCAGAGCTATGAGTATCGCAGTGTAATTACCAAAGGCACTGAGCACAACTTCTTGATGGATCCAGCATTCGGCGCGAGCGAACAATGGCTGCAACGGGTTAGCAAGTCATGGCAAACTTCACAGCCTGATATAGCAGCTCCCTAACACTCAATTAGTACTCTTAGCTCATAGTATTCTTTGTAGTAGTATCGCGATTGATAGTCAGGTTCAGATGATGTTCCTTTCGCCGTACTGCCTACAACAGTGATGACTCGTGCATTGCCCGGAGATAACGCCCAAACCCCGATCTGACGTCTTCATCCAAGCGAGTCGCAGGGCTGAACACGCGAACACCATCATAGCCCTGCCCCAACCATGGCCGAAGACATGCAGATAAACCCCCAACGCGCGAAGCAACTCGCCGAGAATATCGCCAGCATAACCTCGCGCATCAATGCCGTGAGCAATGGCAGCAAACAGGTATACACCCTCCCGTTTTCCTATCTCTCCAACCCACCAAAAACACACTGTCTAACGCGCGCGCCGCCCCAGGTCCGCCTCATAGCTGTATCCAAACTCAAACCCGCAAACGACATTCTTGCCCTCCACCAACCCCCTTCCTCTTCGTCTACTCCCAAACAAACCCACTTCGGCGAAAACTACGTCCAAGAACTCCTCGAAAAGCAAGATCCTCCCCCGCTCCATCCAGTGGCACATGATCGGCGGTCTACAGTCGAACAAATGCAAGCAACTCGCCGAGCAAATACCAAACCTGTGGTGCGTGTCAAGTGTTGACAGCGAGAAAAAGGCCAATGAACTAGAAAAGGGTCGAAAAGCTCTCTCAGAGAAGGATGGCGAGAAGGTCGAGGAGAAACTACGCGTTAAAGTCCAAGTCAACACCTCGGGCGAAGAATCCAAATCCGGCGTCGAGCCTTCCGATACACTATCTCTCTGCCGTCACATTATAGATAAATGTCCGCATCTCCAGCTCTCGGGCCTAATGACCATCGGTGCGATTGCGAGGAGTAAGGAGACGACGGCGGAGAATGAGAATGAGGATTTTGTTAAGCTGAAGGAGACGAGGGATAGCGTTGTCAAGGAATTGGGGTGGGAAGAGGGGCAGCTGGAGCTGAGTATGGGAATGAGTGCGGATTTTGAGGGGGCGGTGAAGATGGGCAGTGATGAGGTTAGGGTGGGGAGTCAGATTTTTGGGGAGAGGCCCGCGAAGAAGGATGCTGTTGTTAAGGAAAAGGAGACGCAGGAGAAGAGCTAGATGGTTAGAAATGGATTGGGATGCGTGTGCATATGTGTATGATCTGGACGAGAAATGAGACGTATACCATCGTTTTGAATCGCGCGTGTAGTCACGTATGCCAGCAAGATTGACCCAGATGCGCCTCTTGGAGAACAACGAACGTTGGGGTGAAATCTACAGGTGTTTTTGATGCGGAAAATCGGATACGAGAGAAGCGACGAAGTCTCTTAGGACATGAATCACCAACACCCCTTCAGTTAGTACCTTATACGTCCGTTCCACCAAAAACGCCACCAAGAACTTGTTCACATCTACCTTCAAGTACTCCTTTCTCTTTATCAGATGTCTGCCGTCTATTAACCATCCTCCGGCTCATGAATTTCCGATAGGCACTTGCCTTGTTTGGAGACTAAAACACGTTCGGTCCGTGTGGTTGGCATGGACGAGTTGATTTTCACACTTTTTGTAATATATGTGCGTGATCTAGACGTTTGGTTGGTGCAGAGTCGTTGCGTGACTCTCGAGGCGATATGTTGGAATGCTGGATGAGAGATCTGAACTGATGAACCTCATCTGGAGTATATGGAATCAAGGAGTCTTACTACTCATACTTCCGCTATATGGCAGAAACCTCGAGGTGTATTCGTGCATCTAGATTATCTTGAAATCCATCTCCACTGCCTCTTCTTCATACAGTGCATCCAGCTCTCTGTATCTCGAACTTCCATAACCCCAATCATCCACTCTCATGGTACCAACACGCATGTATTCGCCTTCTACACCTTTTGTGGCTCTCAGAATCAGCCAGTGCGAATCAAGTACATTTCTTCCCTCATAAAAATCTTCGCCGGTATTCTTGAAAATCTTCAGTGCAATGACCTGCGTGCCCATCTCTTGATCAATGTCCCAAATAGGATGGCATATAACCTGATTTGAATATTTCCACATAGGAGAATTAGGCCCTTTCAGCGTGACTTCAGAAATACTAGATGAACATCCTATCTCTCCAACCAAATATTTTCCTTTTAGGACAATAGCTCCATGCGATATCTGACCCATCGGATCATCTCCTTTCGGTATCGTCATCGCGCTGAAAACAGTAACGGACGCTGTAATCTTGCGATCATACCTAAGATAAGGCCATGTCACTCCCCCTTGAGCCGCAGCCCATGACCAAGACGGAGCACGCCATTCCCTAGGCTTCCCCTGGGCTTTGTTTATACTGTACCAGCAGAGACTCCTTATCAGGGTACTCTCCCAGTGTCCAGCAAGGTATCTGCCCATACTTGGCGGAACCAGTTTCGCTAGTCCTTGTAAAGCTGGAAAGATATCGCAAGAATACGTGAGTGACATGGTCGTGTATGCTTCCACTATTGCCTGCCAGTGGTTTTGGATTTCATCAGATGTTGAGAACTTAACCATGTCAGTACCTGTCTTTAAATCAACTCCAAGGATGTTCTTGTAGTGGTCATCAGTGCCGCATTCACAAGTGAACAACTCTCGACATTCCCACCAGAGCTCGTGCCTCATGAAGTGAACAATTCTTTTGGACAACATCCGCTCCTGGAAAACCCAGCCTCTCCTATGCAGTGGAGCCCATAGCAAAGGGAGCTTTTGGTGACAATGAAGCTTATACGCCTCATGATTACCGTTCATGAATGTCCTCGTACGGGGTAGATATTCGGTGTCAGGTTCCAGAAAACAGCCTTGACGAGGATTTTCTGCCCATGTCGCTGACAAAGTTATAGTTGCGTTTGTGTAGATCCGCGACATTTCACTTCCTTCGTGGCGCCAATCGTCGATCGAGTCTTGGATTATACCTAGCTCACAGTCAGGGAGTCGGATAGAGGGCTTCAGCCCAGAGCACCAGAGAAGACTAACAGAGTGAATCGATCCATAAATAGTGAATTCCAAGGTTGTGGGTGAGCTGAATAGCGTCTTGGAATGTCTGGGGTAATTCATCCCAGGGAATCCCGGTTGTATATTGCTCGAGATTACTGGCTGTGGTTTTTATCACGGCTGATCCACCCCAACAATAGCTTAGACAGGCATACTCCGCACTCTCATCACTCGAGATATGTAATCTAACTCGTTCGAGTCCCTCAATTCGGATAATTCTTGTCGGCAGTCGCGAGTGTGTACCCTGGAGGCATTGCTCGTGGCTCGAAAGACATCCGGAATACCAGCTCTTCACCTTTCTGACAGCAGCTGGAGAGCCTGTGCGATTAGTGATCTTCATCATCGGTTTCATGTAACGCCAAGTGCATGGAGAGTCTGCCATTATTAGCAAATCTGTAGAGTTAAACCATCGATGGATCCGAGATAACACCCACCTTTGGAACGTGGAGAGGTACCTTCCCCGGGCTCATGATGAGTTCTTCTGATTACGACTACCACATCAGCATGGGCAGAATCCTTGCGGACGCCACACCCGCCGTAAACCAAATTTCGGGAGAATATATCACTGTCGATCCGGTCTCGCTGATCATCCCCAATCGTAATTTGAAATATGCGGTCGTTCTGCCTTTCGATTTGTGATCTGTAAGGTTCTAGAGCCCAGGCGATGACCTCACAACCTGAACAGCCTTGCTTAGCGTTATGAAAAACTTCTTTTGTGCTCTTAAAATGCCGCCCAGGACTTCCCAATCCGTGCCTTTTGCGATAGTCAGGATCCCAAACCTCGTTTCCGAGATTGAGGCACACCGGACATATTGAATCGGGAAGAACCTCTGCTTTGGTCGCGGTGAGCTGTGATAAGTTAGGCCACCGCATCTTTACGCTGCTCAGTATTGTGACAAGGCTGAAGTCTTGGGACTGTTCACTGTCCGCTTCATTCAACACAGCATTCGAGTATGGCAATATAACACCGCGAAGAGAAGTGTAGAAGAGTACAGGCTACAAGTGAGAGATATAGGACGGTGGAATGCGTCAGAGGAGAGGTAGATGACGAGACTTCTGTTACTGGCATATTGAAGTGCGGCTGAGGAAGGCACCACTCAGCTTGGTCACGTGTTTGCGGGGTGGAGGCGCAGTCAGCCCAAGGCATTGCGCCACCAAAACTCAGCTGCCATTCGTACATTTCGTCATTACAAAAACCCGAATTACTTTCATGAAACACATATGATACACAAACATCTAAGCAGCAGGATCTAGAAATCCCTCCAGCGTCTCGTAGTTCAACGGCCTGAAGAGCTCGTTACTCAAATCCGCCCCGCTACTTCCTAACAAACCCTCAAAGTTCTCAAACGCCGCATCAAAGTTCAGCCAATCTGGCGATTGTTCTGCGAAACCAAAGCCAGCGGGAGGTCCCGCCATGGGCGCACGATCTGCGCGCTCGCTACTTGTAGGATGTTGGCCGGGTGTGGGAGCGGGTATTGGGTTGAGCAAGCTAGTCATAGGCGAGTTGGCGTGAGGATGATGCTGCTGTTGCTGTAATCGAGGGTCGATGGGCGTATCTCCCACGTTCTGCGACCACGGCTGCGACTGATTTTGTAGTGGCAACTGAGTGCCGTGTGTGCTTTGCGGTGTTGGCGGCTCTGTCTTCGGCTCCGTAGGACGTGGTTCTACTGGAGCAGGTACGGGTGTGTTGACAGCATTGGTATTACGTCCTGCAGCATTACTGAGCACGGCTCGTCCCAGATCTGCTGTTGTGCCTGCAGACCACCATGCGTTTCGTAGGCGATCGAGCAGGCGGACGCATTGCTTGAGTTCTTCGGTAGCGCGGTTGACGTGGACCTTTAGACGACGAGAGCGGAAGTGACGATACACTACGCTAAGTGCTACACCGAGCGCATATGGTACGATAGGGAGCGGTGGCAGTAGCTCTGGGGATTCAGCGTTGAGAAGGTGGATCACTCTTGTTGCTGAAAGACTCTGTCGGACGTAAGAGGGTGTCGATTTGACGGGCGCATTGATAGAGAGGGACTTGTGTGAGGCCATGCACATGGTGTGATGGAAAAGTGATAGGAGACCTGGGGATATTAGTAAACATCGCAAGTTACAACGTGGTATATCTTACTCATGATAGGACCATCGAGCTTGTCTTCGCCGTCTCCGACCATCTCCTCAAAACCCAAGAAGTCATCGCCTTCCCATCCGGTCTCCTCGGCAGCTCTTCCAGGCCTATAGTAGTCGATGACTTTGTCCAGCATCTCTGAAATCTGTAGCCATATACCGAACGGACTGGACCGCTTCTCAGGATCTGATGGTAGCTGTCTCAAGCTGTTGTCGCGGTCATGCATAAGCAACGGCCTTCCATTCATACATGCATTGATCTTGTCTAGACTCCACAAACACCAAAAGACGTCCTCCAAGTTTCCTTGAGATTCCGAACTTTGATTCTTCCATTGGTGCCCAAACTGGAGGCCGAAGGTATGCGCATGATGAATTGCTTGTGCCAGATGCATTGAAGCTTGCTCAGCGCCATCTGGACCTTCGCAATGCAGTGAGATGAGTGCAAGCACTTGGATAAGAACGACACGGTTCTTCTCTAGCTTCGCTTCGATGCCAACAATAACTGCGTTGTAGAGCCTTTGCGAGAACTCGCGTGGGTTCAGTGGCTGGGTATCATTGCCCAAGTACAGATGCTTGGCTGCTGTTGCGTGTTTTGAAGCCACAATACAAATGGCCTGCATCAGAATTCGCGGTTCTCGGCCATAGTTGTATTGCTCGTAGAACAGCTCCTTGTCCACGAGCGGAAGAAGTGGATGTACGTAGCTAAAGTATATTTCGAGAAGGGCCGTTTGGTTCATACGAGAGGGTAAGATATCAACACCAACAGCGTCTAGATAAGTCAGGAGAGCCCTAGATATCTGAGCCTCCTGGTTGGAATGCGGACCTGTTTCTATAATGCGTGAAGAGCTTGATCCTGCTTGGATCGACGCTTGTCTCTGATCTCGTTCTTCGATCCATTGACCTATTGGAGGGTGATTGGGAGACTGGGCAGTTTTTCCACGCTCAGAGTGAACTTGCTCTCGTAAGACAGCTTCAGGGTTGAGATAACCTAGAAAGTTGGGTGGTGTTTGGGCGGTATGATCCGAGGCCGGACTTTGCGGCGGCGGCATTGTGGATTGAGCATGGCCATAGTCTCCACGGGAACTCCTGGGATCATGAGGGTGATAGTGTCCGTTGGTTGTAGGGCTATCTGAGGATGTCGGATTGCTTCCGCCACCACTTTGGGTATTGCTTCCGGGTTCGCCCTCGTCATCGAAGGTATGCGAACAGCGCTTCTAGTATGGCGTTAGATGACAGCCACAGGCTTGCCGCATCCTTGGAACTTACTCTCCGCTTCTTACATGATTCGCATGCGCGATGGACTCCTGCGACGCTGTTAGCTGCGCGTTTTGTGCTGCGCACGGCCTGTACATACTTTTGCGCTTCCGAAAAAACTCGTTATTCGCAGCGAATGTGATCATAGTGGACATCTCAGGGGGCAGCAGTATGCGCGCTTTGTTCCGACAGCGTAACAATCGTGTATAGCAGGTAGTCTAAAGGGCGTTTGTTGTCCTCATGACACCAGGTCGCCCGAAGCTCGAGCTGGTGTTTGCTACACGTGATGACCCGGTCGCACCTGCCGCCTCCGCCTTTGGTGGCGCGCGTGGAGCCGAGGCGATTGGTTAGCAGAGCGGAACACGACCTGCTCCCAGCTCCGGTCACTTTACATGCAGCCGTAGCCATCACGAACCTTGCTCTTGATCGTTCGCATAGTGCGGAGAAGCTCGTATTTTCGAAACTCCAGCCAACCCCTATACATCATTAAGGTATTCACCGAGTTTTGTATTAATGTGCTCACAAAACAGAATATGGTGTATACCTTTAGAGTATGCTTTAGCCGCGAGTGGTACAACTCAGGAAAGCGAGTTTCGTCGCTCACGCCGGTACGGACTCTCATCGTATTGTACTCCGTCTGCCCGTTCCATCCCGTCACGTCCCCTTTCTGATACGCTTACGCTTCCCGCCGTCGATATTGTCGCTGTCTTCGACTCGTTCCAATGAATTTCACGCGACTTCATGCAACACCGCGCCTGTATACACAACTACTTTCACTGGTAATCTAATCACGGTGTTCTTGCGATGGCTTTTATCAAGCAGAGCTTTCTGTATAGGTGTTATTTGGATTGCGGAGATTACGAATAGCTCGTCTCTGTGCGTCACCCCGGTACCATCCATTGCTAACCTAGCGCATCTTGGTCATAGGCGATACCTGCGCAAATTGTCCGGCGATAGCGCGATACCAGTGCCTAACGACCCTCACCGGACTAACGGGCAATCCACTCCATATGGCATTAGCTATATACGCTAATAAGTTGACTGAAAGATGAGGTACGCAGGAGGTACTCACAGTTATCTTGTTGCTCGTTGGGTTCAAGACCACAGGGCCTGGATAATTTCTTCGCGTTGAGAGACCCATTCGCTCAGCATGACTACCATGTATCTGTCCGAAGGCGTCTTTATCGCATCGTCAGCTCGACTTCAGTACTACATATATCAAGCAGTTCATCACTCGCCAGGTTTGCTCCATCACCCAGCTTGGTTATATCGATCACAAACAACTTGGACTCTCCAGTATAAGTAAATCGACATTGAAGCTGTTCATCTGCCCAAAGCATGCCAAACATGGTCGAGCCAGAAGCCGGTATCTTGCGCCTTCCACGCGAGTTGCGTCAGAGGATTTACGATTATATTGCTAGCGATGCCGGAGATCAGTCTATAAAGGTAACACTGGATCAGAACGACAACATCCATGTCGAGAATTGCAAAATACTGTTGAACCTCAGCCACACCTCCCGCATATTCATAATGGAGGTGCTCCCCTACATGTTCCAATGCATCACCTTCGTGTTGACGGATAGCCAACGCACCTGCAAGCTCATCGTCGCAGCTTTCTCTGGATTCTTTGTGCCTGAGAAGAGGGCATGTGTACAAAAAATTGCCATACCGTTCTTCACTATCCGTGGCCTCTTCGATCCGTCTCATTTCATCCATGCACTCGCCCTTGTACCTGTCCAATCTGGCGCCCAACTTTCAGCCATACGTACTCGCGAAGCTGGATTCAAACGATTACATGAGGCTCCGAGGAACAGAAAGCTCCTTACGCAAGGATCTTGAATACGCACTCCAACTGCTTAACCAGATGCCACGCCTCAGCTACCTCAAACTCGGTGTCGGCGTTGTTGAGTTTCTAGCTTACAGTGCTCCAGAGTCAACATCAGAGATGCCCAACCTCGCCTCTATCCTTGATCGTGTCAGGCAAGGTAGACTGAATCACAATAATCACTCTTTGCTTAGAGCTCGGGACACGGTCAGTTGCATGGTAAATCTGCACAAGGTGCGGCTAGAATTGGAGTGGGACGACTTCTTATTGAACTCTTACACATAGGCTGGTATGACGCTTGGACCTCCATGGACGAGAGCTGTCAAAAAAGAGATGAAAGGACGATTTGGGAAAATGATCGTTGCGTGTACCAAGGACACGGTTGTGAAAAACACAATATATTGATATTCAACTGACCCATGTCGTTACTCGACAACATTAGTATACCACGAAGCCTTGGGCGGTCTTCGATAGATTGACAATACCCTGACACATTTTACTCCGCAGCAATAGCATCCCACGCAGTCTTTAACGTGCCTCCCCAAATACCCCTCCATCCCTCTCACTTCCTCACTTCCTCACTTCCTCACTTCCTCACTTCCTCACTTCCTCACTTCCTCACTTCCTCACTTCCTCACTTCCTCACTTCCTCACTTCCTCACTTCCTCCTTTCCTCCCTTCTTCCCTCAACCTCGCTCTAACATCCATCAACGCCCTGCCCAAAAGATTCTGCCCCCACCGATGCCGATTCCTTTCCGCATTCTTCTCCGCAAACCCCACACCCCAGATGCGATCCAACGGACTAGCCTCGACCAGCTCACGCTCACCAGTAGCTAACAGCATGCGTCTCAAATTCTCCGCATCATCGCTGGTCGTAAACTTGTGATACGTGCCTTGCATAACAATGTCCAATTTTCCTGTCACACAATCAACAAGCTCCTCTTCCCAACAACATGTAGATAGGGAATACATACGTTCATTCCAAACCTTCTCATCGAACCCCCTGACTTTTCGTCCTAGCGCTTTATGCGTTTTCGGATCCGTAGTCTCCAACATCTGCCTCGCAATCTTTTCGTCGTTGAAACAACGTGCTTTCTGCACCATCATCCACATTTCGGCTGTGGCGTAGGTTTCGTTGTCGATGCTGAATCTGGACCAGTACCATTGCGAGAGGTAACCGTGGCCATCGTGCGGCTTCCAGAAAAAGACGGGTTTTGTGGTGGAGGGGGAAGGAGTGGTGGAGGGGGAAGGAGTGGTGGAAGAAGAAGAGGAGGAGAAGGAGAGATCAGGAACTGTTGTCACCGGCATCGTTGGTGTAGTAGAAGTGTTGGTTGAGATAGGGGTTGCTGTGGTGTGTTGTGTGGGTTATCGTGGTTGCACTGAGGTATAGTTTGTGAAGTAGTTCAGACAACAACAAGTTCCATCAAAGACTCGGCATTCTCATTAATATAGAAAGTGCGTAGCGATGTGACTCAATCATGGTTATACTCTCCTAGGTAACATCGATGCTTTGGGCGCTAGTCGCGGTGTTGTTACCTTGGTTCAAAGGCAGTTGCGCCCTTACGCCCTTCTGTTACATCACCGTCGTAGTAAATCACCAAAATATCAAAATCAGCCATCACACAAAATTCGATTCCCACAAAAAGAACGCTCCAATATATATATGATCATGCTACATGTAACAAGAAAACAAGGGTATGCGCCGTATCTTAATGTTTTCCCTTCCTTCAAGAACAAACGCTACACATGCAGCCCAGCCATCGAACAATCTTTCTCAACAGTCCAGAAGTTTCCAAACAAAAACATTAATATATGAACAAAAAAATCGCGATTTCAGGGGTCGTCCTTGGGAGGCTTTGTACACATCAGAGTAAGCGATGGTGTAAAGAATATCGGTGGTGGAGAGAGAGGGGCGTGGAGTTGCAAAGACGAGAGATGTAACCATTCTAGGCCATTCCCTCGATACCCTGCGAAAGTCGATCTTGCATAGCCTTGACCAAGACAGGCGGAACCGACTCGTCAGTCGCACGAATAGTAATCCGGTACATCTGTCTCTTGTTAGCTTTGCGTTCTTCCTTTCAGAAGCACTGTCACGTACCTGCGTCTCAAAGTTCGGTTCCAGCCTCAACAAACATCCAAACTTGCCCTCACTGCTATGCAGCACCGTCGCACCAACAATATTCTTTACATTAGGATCCACGCCCGTGACGATCCCCCACTTGAATCCTTTAACCACTTTTTGAACAAATTCCGAGTCCATAGTTCTGTTCTTGTTCACGAGACCGAAGATACTCTGGTGTTCACGCGGCGCGCCACCAATCTGCTTCCAGCGCTTGAAAAAGTCTTCTGCGCTGAGTTCGGCGCCTTCCATGTACTTGTGTAGGAGGACGGGGAGCTGGAGGGTCAGGCCCTGTAGGGCTCCGGCAAGGTAAGATATGCGGATGGTGGGCGGGTCGATGAAGACGTTCTTGCATTCGAACATGATAGTTTGTTGCGTTTGGCCTTCGGGTGCAATTGTAGTGTCTGGTAAACCCTTGATATCTGTTTTCAAGGTTTCCGCTGACCTGTTGTCGAGTGTGGTTGTGAAAGACCCCATGGAGAACTGTGACTTGTTCGTGAAGTAGAAAATGAGCGCGCCGAGTTGTCCTCTGTATTCTGTTCGGAGACCAATTTGTATTTGCTGGTCTTCGTAGAGTACGCCCTCTGACCGTAGTAGGAGACGGGTGTATCCAACCTCCCAGTCAGGACTCAAATGAGCAGCGCTGGCGAGGTTCGGTGCTTTGGAAGTCTTGTTCACATCGATGTTGAGATCCAGACCCTCCAAATCGCTTGATATCGCGGTGACACCGTTGCCATTCGTCGCGTCAGTCTTGCCGTCTTTTGGTACGGGTTCTGTAAAGCTTCTCTTGACGCCAGCAGACGTGTTCTGCCTTGCAAGACCGAACTCTTTGAGGTCTGCGTTCGCGTCCTTACCTCCAATGACCCATGTTCGTTTATCACTGGTGGTGGCATGCTTTTGATGTAACCGCGAAAGCAACGCTGACGTCCGTTCTGGGTAGGGCGGCATTTCGTCGCATACGGTGCGTAGTAAGTCGTCCGTGGGCATGGTGGCGAGGGTGAGGTATTCGCATGCTCTTTGCTGAAGTTCGGAATCGAGCGAATGGCTGTAGGCGCGGAAAGCTTGAAGGAGCTGAGGCTTGATTTCGGGGAATAAGTTCACGTATTTGACGTAACATGATAGGAGTATTGCCCGTGTAGTTGACGAGCAACCCCGCATCTTCGCGCTCAACGCCATGAACTGCTCGATTGGGCTACAACCTTTGCTATCCGCGATCAAGTGGCCAAACTCTCCAAGCAGGTATCCGCCAATCTTCACAAGCGTCTCGTGGCAGTCCGACTTGATGTACTGTAGGATCGTTTGCGCAGCGTACACTTGTAGCTCCTCGTTGTTTGTCGTGATCTGGATAACTCGCTGCCAAACTTCGTCGCTGACATGGTCTCCGGCCATTGCGATCAGCCGCAGCGAGATGTCCACGTACCATTGAACGTCCGTAGCGTACTTCTCTGTGAGAATAGCAATCTTCAGCACCATCTCTTCTCGTATCGCGTAATCGGCGGATTGCAGGTATCGGAGGAGTTCGTTCACGATCGCTTGTGCATTCGTCGGATCGCACATGCTGTATAGTAGGTCCAGACCTTGTCTTCGCACACTGATATCCCTGTCTCTTAACGATCCGATGATGATTGCCTGGTGCTTCTTAATCGGGTCGAGGTTCTCAGATCGGGCAGCCAGATGCGTCATGGCCTCCAGTCCTAGATAGCGCACGTTGGTTTCCCTAGATGCGATGAACTTGCCCAGCCGTTGCGATATTTGAACCATCAGATCTTGCTCTGTGTCGAGGTGTATTACGAGATTGATCGCTTCGAACAGGACGGCATTCTGCGCGTTGTTCTGCTGTACGTTCTTGGGCATTTCCAGCGCGGAGTCCATAATCTTTTGGAGCGCTTCGCGAATCAATTTCCGGATATGTGAGTCCTCTGCTTCTGTCAGCGTGTAATCCTCAGCAGCGAGAAGCGGTACGAACCGGGAGGTGGGTAGTACTGCAGCAACTTGAGCAGCTTGACCAAAATCCACGGACATGGCACCTTGTAGTAAAAGTAGCCTTCGGCACACTCGTTGTCCACGACTATCCGCTTTAGCCTGTTTGCTGCTTTGATGTAGCTTCCCTTGTACTGCTCGGTATTGTCCTGGACGAGTGCGGTGACCAAGGAGGTTACCGAAAGCGCCACGCCCATGTCAGGGTCGTCCATGAGCGATATTATACGTTCGGCCCATTCGTGCTGTACAATCGCAGGGTGTTTCCGGTATAGCCGCAGGAGTGTGAGAGCCGCCTTCTTCTTCACAAATGCCTTGGAGGCCCTATCCGACGTCAGCCTCGCCATTGAATTCGTCTCGTGCCACTAACGGTGATATGAGAAGTCTGTGAACTTCAGCGCTTAGTGCTTCTCCCAGCTCCTTTCCACCCACGTTCGCAATCGCATGCAGCGCCAGACAGTTGTTGAGCTCATTCTGATCCAGCAAGTCCTTCCTGATGCTGTTAACGACCAGGTGTAGAAGTTCGTGCTCCTCGTGTAGGAATAGGGTAACGGCGAGATATCCAATCTGCTTTTCCGAGTATTTGGTCGCCGAGATGAGGTTCACCGCTTCGAGATGTCCGAAATCGACGTTCCAACCGAGTATGTAAATGTATAGAAGCTGCGAGAGTCAGCGATGGAGCAGGAAAGTCGGTGAGTGGCGTGTGTACCTTGCAGACGTATTTCTTCTTCTGGTAGCCATTCAGGCCGGCATCTGGGGGAAAGTCTGTCAGAGAAGGTCATGTAGGAAGCGTGTCCAAGAAGTACCTCGAAACTTTTGCCTGCAGCGCTGTTAGCCTTCCGGACATCCTAGGAACTCGGCAGCGTGTACCCACCGTATGTTGGCCAATTCCTTGTTGATGCGCTTCTCTTCCAGTTCTCTCGCGCGGGCATTTCTCAGATCAGCGATGAACGAGACCAGTCCTGTCCAAATGTGTAAGCTCCATCTCTGGCATCGTGGGTATGCCGTCATGTACCTCGCATCGTGGGCACGTTGCCCGACTGTTCGCGGCTGAAGAGGCCTCCGCCAGCCCTCGCTGCCATCTTGGACGTGACCGAGGCCGCCATGCTGGTGGTCGTAGACGTGGTGGGTGGGCGGTTCCCACCTGGTAGATAGCCCGACAATGCGGCGGCGGTAGTGGTGCGCTATGGAGTGGTGCGGTACGGGCCTCGAGGCAGGGTTTATGCCGGCGTGCGCGCTGCGGAGCGGAGGTGGATAGTTCGCGAAAGGGGCGCCTGTCAGCGGATTCTGGAGGCTGGCTGCAGGCTTAGGGCGCAATCGAAAGCAGGACATGAAATTGGAACACGCAAAAAAGGATCACAATACCACTAGAAGCTATCCAGCTGTTTCCCTGGATGCACAGGTCACGGTGGGTAGAAGTGGATGTTCTACACATGGATGCCAAGCAAACAGGGTCTAGCGTGGGTAGCTCCTGCACCGTGCGACGACACCGCAAGTCATCCCATACATACTGAGCATAGCATACAGCGACCAATGCATTCAGTCTACGGCATGGCCAGATGGAAACCCGCAAATGGCATCACCACGACAGCTCACGTGTGTACATATCCCGATCGATCGTCCCGCCGCTCTTCCCCGAGCTCGACCGCAAGCTATCGATCGATGAATTGTCCTATATACAAAAGTTGAGAATACATGCTAAGAGGGTGCGGCAGTTGTGAGAGGCAGATCTCTTATGAATGCGAAAGCCTTCAGGATTGCTGTAGGTATACACAGTATGGCCAATCTCCAAGTCAAAGACATCTGCGGAGAAGAACATACCTGCGCGCTTCATACGTATCCGAAGCAAGACGCGTCGACGCGTTCTTCGTGCAAAGCAGAGAAGGAATAAGAGCATAAGTTCAAATCTGGATATTATCATTCATTGGTATCAGGTATAATCTCTCGACTCTCTCAGTCAGGCCCAATCGCCTCCGACAGTCCAGGTAAACGCCAAAAACACCCTTCCATGCCTCTTCGGTATCCCCACGCTTCAAATGCATCATCATCGCACACCTTCACACCACCCCGACCCATTTACTTCTTGGTAGTAAAGTCGGTCTCGAGGTTAGAAGAACCGTTGTTGTCAGCGCGACCGCAGTTGCACGCATCTACACCGTATTGTTAGAAACTTCATTCAATAGCATACCGGCCTAGGATATCACATACTTTCAGTTCGCTTTCCGCAAGCACATGCTGAGGAGTCCTCTGGTAGCTTGTTCTCGGAGACGGCCTTTTCGCAGGCTGAGAGTTTTGTTAGTACATGCAATAAGCGATAGGTGGGTAGAAGATGAGAAGGAGAGGGAGGGAGAGGAGACATACTGCACTGGAGCGCAGGCTGCTTTCCGCAAGAGCACTTTGCCTCCTGGGCGCACACGCAGGTGCCGTTGTTACGTCCGCAGCAGACCATCTTGGATGTTGTGGTGGAGGTAGGTAGGTAGGTAGGTAGTGTTGAAGTGTTTGGTAAAAGTGCGGTAGTTTGCTGGAACTCGTAAGATAGTCGAAGTAGTGTGTGTAGAATGAGCTGTAGATAATAATTCTATATCGACAGACAACCCTTCTTTATACCTGTCACTCACTTCTATGTACTATGTCATGGACCCTGGATTGCTAGCGGGAGAATCGTGTGAGTGGTTCATCCGACCAATCAGAGCCCTCTTGATTACGCTGATGTTACACCGTGAGGCTGGAACGCCACTGCCGCTTATTCACTGCTTTTCGCAAGTCTTTCAGTGGTTGGAGATCGTTTGAAGTTTTATCTGATTGATATGGGGTTTCTGAGGTGGCTGGATGTGGTGTTAGGTAGAGATCTTGGTGAAGATACGTTATATTCATACTGTTGCGACTACAGTACCACGAGCGCACCTTTGAACACATTGCACGTCGAGGAAATACTTTTAACATATTTGTCATTAAGTGGAGAGTGATTTATTAAGAAGATGTAGATACAAAACATAATCATGTCGTAGAAATCATTGTGGCGCCGTGTTCGTCCGCTTCATTCCTTTGCCCTTTAATCGTTCTCTTGCCGGGGATTCTTTGACGACCGTGCCTGGAGAGACCTCTTCGAACTCTCCCCTAATTTCTCTCGCCAAGGGGGTCCGTGGGCGCTCATCAGTACCCTCCCCAACCAACGTGGAACCCCTACTCCTACCTGGAAACGTCCCAGGCGAGTCCGTAGCCCTGCGTGCCAGCTCTCTGACCCTCCCAGGGGAGGCTCCCCCAGGACTACCTAATGTGCTCACATCACCCGAAGATCGACGCCCCTGGTGTTTAGACAATGACTGCCTAATGCGAGAGTATTGCGTCCATTTGGTCAGCCTGGAAGTCCTTAGTACTTCCCCGACGGCTTCTTGGAGTTCTCTTACCGCATTGTTCTGCAGCGCTTGGAGCAGCACAATCGCGTTCTGGTGGTCTCTGCTAGCCGTCGATGGGGCTTGTTGTGCGAGGCCTGCTTCCGTTGCGTTGGCGTGTTCTTTGATCGTCTCAAGTAAGCCACTGTCCTCCTTGATCTCTTCAGCGATGGCTGCAGCGCCCTCCAGTGTTTGGGCTAATAAGCCTAGACCGAGCAGTCCTTCCGATCGGGCTTCGGGGTAGAAGCGTTGTCGTACTAGTTGGGCAATCGGTCGGGCAATCTGAGGTACCTGTAAGATTTGTATTTGTACTGCTTCAACGTCTTTTTCTGCGTTTGGTCGTCCAAGATATCGTAGCATGGCGACAATGGTACGACCAAGCTCGACCATTGGGTTCTTCATTGTAGTGCTTGGTAGTGGTTTGGCTGGAGCGAGAGCTTGCTCGACGATATGGGAGAAGATTACAGTATCGGCTGAGATCTCCGGATCGATTGCTTCTGTATCGGGGCCGACCGTCTCGTACATGACTTTCTCGATGTTGTAGAAGTTGCCGGTGACGAGCTTGCATAGCATGGCCGCTGCCTCGCCACGGACTGAAGGATCGTCCAGTACGAGCATACGACAACATGCTTCCATGAGTCCGGCATCTGCAAGCAAAGCCCTGTTAGCCTCTGGAAACGTAAGATGCCGCATGAACCCAGCTGCGGCATAAAGAAGAGCAGGCTTATCGCTCTTCTTAAGAATCAAAATTAGTCGGACATGCAGCTCCATGATCTTGACCATGTCGATGCAAACCTCATCAGACATGGCCAGGTTTCCCACCATGACACAAGCGCATATCGTAGATGGATATGCGCTGTCCCAAGGCGCGCGTAGTTTTGCCTCCAGTCTCTCAATGACAGGACTTCGGACATTGAAATTCCGTGCAAAGACATCTGTTGCTGAGGCAGCAGATAGTAGCCCAATTAGCTGTGCCAGTAGAAGAACCTGGGCTTCATCTGACGTGACAGTATCGGCGTTTTTGCTCGTTGCGAGCTCCTGGAATACAGCGTCGATATCCTCTGGCTCGAGCCGGGCCTCAAACTCCAGCATAAGGGTAACAAGATCGTCGAGAAGTTTTGGTGTTGCTATCCTTTGCTGGAACTCGGGATCTTGAAGGTAATGTACTAGAATAGCCACATATTCCAGATGATGGTCTTCATCGTATTGGAGTGCTACGTTTAGCAAGCTCTTGAATGTCTCGAGCGAAACTTCGTCTTTGAATTGAGCGTCGCTCAAGTTGCTCGTGGTCCAGCTGAGCAGGTCCGTGGCGTAGTCCAGCGCTGCTTCCGGTATCCTGTCAAGTACTAGAAAGGTGCATATTGTGGCATCCAGTCTGAGAGCGGCCGCCGCAGCTTTGGCGGGTTCTATTCGCATGAGCTGCATGTCTGGAGGATCCTGTGGCATTGCTCACCAAAGTCATTGCAAAGATTGAAAAGTACAGCCAATGTGGTCAAGCGTAGCTCCGGCGATGGAAGACAGCCAGCGATGGCTTGGAGCTCTCTCACGGCGAGCTCCCTGTTGGTATCTTGACTTCAGTCAGACTGTTTGCGTCGGAAGAAGGTCTTTTTCAGGATACAGTACCATTATCAGCAACCGAGTTGCCGATGACTCTCAGGTATTGCTTGGCTATGGGATCCTCATGGCGAACGGTAGACAATCCACGAAGAGCGTAAGCAAGGATGCCGCTGTCTCTGAACGGAGCCTGCCATCTTTCTATACACTGTCAGCAGGGTTGGCTTCTAGCAGAGGCACAACATACTACGACCGCCAACAGCCGTCCCGAACAGCTGCAAGGTCTTCTCTATCGCTTCATTGTCCCCACTTGATGCAAACGCATCGAGCTTATGCACGTAACCTGTGAGGACAGCGGTCTGACCTGCAGGGTTCCCTTGAAGTAGGCGCTCTAAAGACGCTATATAGTCGCCAAGCTCCTCATTGGGTAGGGGCATATCGCAAAAGTGTGAGGATGAAGAAAGGCAATCGCTGCAAAGTTGTGGCAAGGCTCAAGTCTGCATAGTGGCGGGAGAGATGGGGAAAAGGCGAACAAGCTACTCTCAGTCCGGAACCAGCGTACAAACAATAGCAACTGGTAGGATCGTGTTTAATTAACACCAGAAAAACTGCAATGCTTCAGCCACTTGTTTTTCTCAGACGCGGAAAGACGCGGTGACCTCCTGCAGCAGCGTCGACCCACTGGCCGGTTGGCGTTGCCTTGTCCGGCTCCGTTGGACCCCTGGAAACAGATCCCTTGGCGGCAATTGAGCGATCTGGCACCGAACACTCAAACACCACACGACGTCAAGTATCACGCCCGAACACATTTCTTCCGACCACCGACGCTCGTTTAACCCATCTCCAACACTCCGTTAGCCAAGATGACGCGCGCCACGCAGACTATCAGCATTGGCATGCTTCTGACCTCCGTATAGCAGCCCCTTACCTCTTAACATATAAAGACTGGTATGCTAACATGTGAAAGATCTACCTTTCCCTATTCCTTCAAGTCGTCCCTCTGCCTCAGAAGGTCCAAGAGGAGATTGTCCCTGTCGTAAGTCCCAGCTTTACCTGAACATCTCGGCCCCACTACCTTTTACCACGACCACCTTCACCATTATTGCTGGACTCTCACTGACCAGGTTGTAGCTCCCTTTCTGGGCTCTCATCTCCTTCGGCGCATACCTCCTCTTCAAGCTCGGCTGGGGAGTCTTCACCTTCAACGATGTACCGGACGCGCACAAGGAGCTCATGCAGCAAATAGCAGAGGCGCGGAAAGACCTTCAAGCAAAGGGCGTGGATGTTGGTGAAGACTAGATGGGATGAAAGTGGTTGGGAGCAGCATAATTGGTGTCGGTTTGGGGCATGCAATGAGAGTATTGCGGGGTCTGTAATGGATGGGTATTTGAACGTTCTACAAATGCTATGGCGAGATAACTCCACGAGTCTTGCCACATTTCGAGGCTCACGCTGCCGCAGCGGCCTCCGCCTTCTTCTGTGCTTGCTTCAACTTCTTCTCCGTCCTCATGAACTCCCGAATGCCTACGGGTATATCATCGAACAACTTGTCCTTGTCCGCATTATCGAACCCAGTGTCCCAGTTCGTTTCACTCCCGCCACCATCATCGTCCATACTGGTAGCAACGTGACTCGGCGACGTCTCTCCCGCCACCATACTCCCTGTCCCCTTTCCTTCCTGCCGTTGTGCCTGCATCGCTGCTCTTGCTTGAGCGCTCTTCTCGGCCCACTCTTCCATCTCGTCTCGATACATATCCCACACACAGTTGACGCATCCAGACATGCAGCAATTATCTGGTTCTTCAGGTCGCGGAGGGACTAGTACACCAGCAATGTTCTGGGAGGAATTCATAATCTCCTGTTTACGTTCTTCCAATGCAGTTGTGGAGCCGAAGATTATACGGGCTTTGGCGAATGTTTCTTCTTTTTGCGTCTTGGGTGGCTCTTTTGGCGGCTCAGGCGTCGTGTGGGATAGCGGCTGTACTTTTGACAGCGGTTTCTTCAGCATGTCTAAATCTTGTCAGTTCTAGTCTCGCAGACAATATGAATGAGGGCCCAACCTGCATAGAAGCCAGTGATAGGCCTGGCTTGTTCGCCTTCCGGCGCTATGTATCCTTTGAAGCGACGCTGTATCCGATCACTATTCTGAAGCCCCATCCGTCCTGCCTCTATCGAGGCACGCGACCTGCGCCATGATCTCAGACATGAAGCGCATAGCCTCTGGCGCAATGCCAGTGGGCCTGAGTATGCCATGTGCTCCATTGGTTCCAAAGAAATGTTCGAAAGATGAAGCAGTCACAAGTACTTCAATATGCTTTGCTATGACATATCGAGGTTGGCCACTTTCGTCGATTGACAACTCGCGAGCTGATGGAACGTACCGATTGACTGTTCGACGTCATTTTGCGCCGCCTTTCCGAACGTCGGCAAAAGCTGCAGCGAACGCCGACAGGGTAACAACACGCGACGCGTCGCATTCACTGTTATCGTCGCATACCCCACCAGCACGTACACCCTTACATTCAAGTATATTCCTACCACGAGGACGCTCAAAATACGCGCCGATACTACGGCTCCAACTAATTCGACATATGCGAACATCATGAACGAACCACCGGCGAAGCGGAGGAGAACCAATTCGCCTGACGAACAAACATCAAGTCCTCTAAGGAAACCTCCGCGACGACCCTCCTTTGCGTCGCCTACCAGAGCCAGTCTTGCGCGCAACTATCCAAACCTCCTCTCCTCTACATCGCCTCTTAAAGCGTCCCCAAAGCGCAACAGACAAGGAGCTGTGTTGGCTAGAAACGGTCTTCGAGGAAGGAAAGAGAGCGAAACGGAACTACCAGGCGGGCAAGATGAGCCAGAACTTCCAGGAACACCATCACAAAACGGACTCGAAAAGTTGAAACTGCCACGCCGAGGCATTCTCTTCTCATCACCAAGCAAACGACCCCCACGTGTCAAAGATCCCGTAAAACAGCCTCCACCCAGTTCGAAAGCGCCAGCAGTACAGTCAGACGACATCACCGGGCTCATAGAGGACGGTCCTGTGGAGGACATCACCCAAGAAGCGGCACAAAAGAGACAACCTCCAGATCCAGAGATTGAGAGAAGGAAGCAAGAAAAGGCACGCCTGCAGCGTGAAGTAGAAGAGTTAGAGTCTCAAGTGTCAAGATGCATTGAAGAGGTGGCCAAAGAGCAGCGCCGTGGTCACGAGGATCCTTTACAGCCTCCAGAGCGCGACAGCTTGAAGTGAGTATAACTGTCTTCCATGGTAATCAAGCAGAAACTGACACAGTACTAGGAAGTTCATATCCGATATCGCTGGTACTGATACAGAGCCGGAGAAGCCTGCCCCAGTATCAAGTCTGCTTTGTTCATTCCTACCATTCGCAGCCCTCTCCGTTCCTCCGCCTCGCCCGAAACAAACGAATAAGCCAGTTCCATCGCACCGCCCAGTGGAACTCGCGGATCCCTTGCCTTACCTCGAAATGTTTACATCACTCAACTTCTCCACACAACTGAGCCTTCCTCGCGGCAAGGTCTTCCCAGCCTCACGGCGGGTTCACCAGAAGCATACTATTGATATTACGGGCCCACAGAAGCTACTGACAGCCCAAGTCTCTATCACAATCGACGCATTGGCGAACGAGATTATTGACATGCATCTTCTACGGATCTCACCATGGGCTGAGCGCGAACTGGGCACCTTCATTCGCACAAGAGCGCAGGAAAGAGATCTCGGTAATGCCTCCTGGGCTATCGACTCGTACTGGGAGATTGCAAAGAAGCGCGCGCAATACTGGCACAAGTGCGAAACTACATTCGCGCATCTACTCGTAGGTCGGACTGCGGAGGATACCGAGAACACCCAGCCGGTGAAAACCATCACACGCAAAGACCTAAGCAGGAACTTAGGTCGCAACACCCTAATTCTACAAGACAAACACGTCCTATTAAAGCTTGACTGGCAAATCAGCTTCGATTGGACAGGCGAAGCGGAATCAGAGGTTACTGTCGAGGCCGCCTTTCCCCAGGTTTGGTCAGAGACAGGTGATGGTGCTGCGGCTTTTAGAAAGATACCCCAAACCTTTGCTTCTCTTGTTCGCAGTAAGGGTGCTTTTCAGGCTACTAAGGTTATGGTAGCGTTGTTGTTTTCGAAATAGATGGTGGTTGCATAATAGAGCGTAAAGGTATTCCCCATATTTTACGTTGATGATTGATAAGACAAGTTGTAGTGTATACCTTTAGGGTGTGCTTTGCTGTTGCCTCGACAAAGGCGAGCCTTCCCGTCTTATAGCAGGCCACGGAATCATGGGAGAGCAATTCGGGTGTGTTGAATTCGTAAACATCTCGGAATCGTTGGATTTGCGTTCTGTGTCTATGGAGTTGATAGAAATTGGTCCGAATCATTGGATAGGAAGTCGTTGCTGATCCACGGTACAGCCCACCCTACCCTTCTCATCAAGCTTCATATGGGACACGGAAGTCCTTCCTAACTTCCAACCTCCCACACTCCCTTAACCCTCACTACAAGGAGAGTTTGCGAATACTTATTGGGTCTCTTTGCATCAAGCCTTCCGCTCCCATAAACACCCACGAATTCCTCGAAACCATATTCTCATTCCCAGAAACCTATCTCAGTATAAAGATAATCAGACTGCACTGTAAGTGCCCTGGTTGCGCCGTAGGAATTATTATCGAAACCGATCCCAAGAACATAGACTATCGGATCGTGAACGGAGCGAAGAGAGGCGCGAAGATGAGAGGTGCTGTGAATGATGAACGGGATACTGAGATCGCGAGAGCTGCTTTTAGGGGTAAAAGGAGGTTACCGGAGTCTGAAGCACCGAGAGAGGACTAGGTGTGGAGTTCTCGGTATCTAGGCCGGTGAAGAGGCTTAAGAATGATTTTGCGAAGACGTTGGGGATTTAGGAGGAAGATGGATGTCTAGGTTCTTGCATAGTTTATCAGGATATTCTTTTACGAGTTAATTTGCTAGATTTTATACTGATCTGCAAACACGCTGTCATGAACAGGAACAAGGTATTACACTCTAGGCTTGAAGGAATTTGATAGAAGTGCGAGCCGCGCAGGGCCTGCTCGTACAGGCCACTACCACCTGCTGCGCTTTTTTGGTATTGTGTGCCATAATTTGTACTGGAGTCGCCATGTTCGTAGAGTCTTAAAGACCGGTTCGCACCCGGGTGGGGCCAAGGGCAGAATCTTGAATAAATGACGGCGGACAGATTCTGGATCGATCCTATTCTCGTCGTCCTCGAGTTGCGCGAGCCAATTCGCTGCTGTGCGCATACACGTTTGTCTGCGACGCCTGGCAATCAAATCATCCCAGCCGCCCGGCTTGCCCAAATCAGCAAACATGAATTCAACCTGCTTAGTGAGGAGCATGAGTAATATGTCTTGCGGATGCATCGAGTAATCGGGAAATAATCGAAGCGATGGGCGGACCATGCCCATGGCACCGAATACTCGGTCTCGCAGATCTGAGCATTGCGTGTCCCAAACCAGTCCTCCAACACCGAACCAGTCCTGGGGAACTTCACCTCGCCTTAAGCCAATCGTAAAGATTCGTGCACCTGCTCCACCCTTATAGTTTCGCAGACCCGCCTTTTTGTCTTTGTCATCTAGACGCTTCCATGCTTCATCCAGTCTTTCTAAACCCGAAAATAATGTGTCCCATGAGAGGGTCTTCGAGCCAATGCGTATATTGACGACTTTACCAAGTAAAATCTCTTGTATAACCCACAGTCTTGACCAATATGGTAGATTTATGAAGCAGTGCAAAGATGGTAGAATTGTGCGCGTTTCTCGCTGGCTCACGAATTGTTGGCGGGGATGCTTTTGATTCCGGAAAAGACTCTCGCGGACTATCAAATCTACAAGTTTATCGCTGCCTTTGAACCCAGAACCAAGCCAGGCCTCGACGGTGGCTACACTATAGATATCTGCCATCTGGTTGACCTGGTGGGCCCTCTCATCGTTTTTCTCTTGGTTGATACATATTTGATCGATCCATAACCAAGCTGAGCTACAGTCTCGTCTTATCTTCAGGTATTCGTAGAGATTTTGCCGAATCGAAAGCCAGCCTCGGCAGTCAGGGCTTGTAACGAGTATGTCGTGCACTGGAAACTCAGGGCCCCAAGTGTACGATAACGCGATGAAATGGAACGTTTCTTGGGTGAACCTTTGATAAACAGCCTTTCTCTTGTCGCTGCTAATCAAATACTCCCCTCCAAGTTTAGCCACCTCCTCGTGGTAACGAGCGAGAGCATCACTATGCCCACTAAAGTCGACGTGCTCCAAAGTGATCTGAATTGGACTAGACGGGTCTGAACTCGAATCGATCGTTAGGAGGCGTATTTCCTTGTTTTTGAAGTTCAACGGAGTGTGCATAAATCGCACATGCTTAGGTGGCATCTCCATCGCTGTGATAAAGCTGTGCGTGCATGTTCGCCTGGCTATTGAGACAATGCGAGCTTTTGCAAAGGAACTTTGATTTGGACTCGGGATTGTGGAGTAGCGCTTGGTGACTTGCTCTTCTGTTAGACTAATAGCGCAATAGACGAGGTCTTTGGTGCGGTTCGATTTGCGACGTCTGTATCGTGGAGGCTGTTGTCGTGTCGCAAAGACCAAGTCAGCTGTAAGTTCGAGCAGCGTCGAGGTGGAGTAAATTCACGAGGCTGAGGCCCACACATGGCTGACCTCCTGGACATGCCCTGCGCCCCACATTCCGTCTCTCAATAATAGCCGACCGCACGCATCAGCAGCGTGTGCAACGCGAAAAGACCATCTAGAATTCAGCCCATCACTGCCCCTGCACTTGGTGAACGCAACTTGACCTCGGGAGATGATGAGAGCCTGTAATATGCTCTTGTGACACCAAGGAGATGGCTTCTTCGAGGCGCCTTCGGCCCGCACGAAGCCTGTGCGGCTGGCCAGCCCATCGGGATACCCGCGCCCTAACCAAAATCAGACTGACATCCTCAATAATGTCTATTCGACATACTATTTGGACTGGCTTGACTGCAAGCTGAAGCGAATGTCGTCCGAATTAGCTATACTGAAAGATGGTTACCGAAGCCTCAATTATGTGGCTTGCTGAAGAGCGCACCTGTCCTTCATCTACCAGGGTAAACAACGACTCGAGGGCGCGAGATCCAATATCTACCAAGTACATTCGGCAAGCTCAACACGGGGTGTCCGTGTATTGAGGAACTGCGGCTTACTATAAGTAAGCCAGTCTGACGACGCTCATAAAGAAATCCTATACTTCACAGCTCCTGAACGGCATTTCTTACCACCTTTACATTCTTTATCTCTTATATCAATTCCTACACCATGGGATTCTGGAGCGGCATTGCAGATGCCTTCTCACGCGATGGAGGCGCAACGCATTTCTGTGAGAAACTGCCAGTTATTGGACATGTTACCGCAGGTATTCAGCTGTTAGCAGGCAATCCTGAACATGCCAAGCGCGCTGCTGCTACAGCTACAAATTCCACACTCACGGCTGGGGGCGCGGTTGCTGGATTCATGGCTGGCGGCCCTCTTGGTGCCGCGGGTGGTGCTGCGCTGGCGTCGACCGCTGGCATTGCGTGCGAGTATGGGATCAGCACTACCATCGATGACCAGAATGTGAAAGGAAACGTGGGTGAAGTGAGCATCAAGAGAATTGTTGTCGATGGAGCGCTGTCTTCAATCACTGCTGTCATACCTGGAGGAACTGCAGTGATTGGCAGCGCGGGCAAGGAAGTTGCAAAACAATCCATCAGTTCGGCTGTCAAAACGGGTGTTCTCACAGGTCTCTCCACGTATGCTATCTCCAAGAATAGTCTAACAACTCTCGCTAACCAAACCCAGTGCCGTACAAGGTTACTCGAAAGGCCAAGTGAGACCTACGACGGGTGAACCAGAAGAACCCGAAGAGAAGAAGGACCTAGTCCGAGTGGTAACACTTGGTCAAGAACAGGCCGCTCAACACCTGATTAGGGTCGTGAAGAACTTCAAGACCGAGCTCGCGGTCAGTCCTTTCAATGATTGGACTCGTCTCAACGGCGATGCGAGAGACCTGAGTGGCTTGTGCCATAATCTTGCGCAATCTCTACCTACTATCAGACTTGACTGCGACTGGACAATCGTAAATGGATTCTATGAGGGAGGAAAAAACGTGTGGACAACCAACGAAGACTGCTTCGTTCGTCTGGAGTCAAAGCTAAAGGAAACGAGGGCTCAAAACGAAGCGAAATGGATAACATGCAGAGAAGGAAGAGTGGCCATCAGAAGCGCAATCAAAATGCTCGATGAACGGATGGCTTCTGAGGTCGTAAGAGTACCACGCGAAATGGTGAGGAATTGGATGGAATTTGTTGTACAATAGAGGCTGCTTTTAAACTCCCCATAACAGAGACGCAAGTTGCTACTCATATCCGGGGTGTGATGGCGAGGATATGGCAGAAGGTATGCATGCTGTAATTGAGAAAGAACCAACTTCTGCTGGATATTAGTACATCGTAGAGGTGTTCACACATACCGTCAAGGTGCTCACAGAGATGTTCCTTTGTTGCGGTTTGTAGTATTGAAGTATATCTGAATTTCACATGCTCCATATTCACCAATCAATCGCCAGCACAAATATCCAAGATGCTACACATACCTTGCTTCACCTCCATACCTACCATGTTCCCATTAACCGGCATGCGACGAACTAGATATCTCAATGAGATCACATACAGCATCCAAACACCACCGTTGCACAACACTAACCCTTCTTTCTCTCCACCAATAACCTCATCACAGTCCTACTAGCGCTATAGGAATCCTCCGACGCAAGCACCCCTCGCACCCTATGGTGTCGCGTCGTGTGACAACAGACTCGAGAGCAAAGTATGGTACTTAGGCGGGTAGTCACAGCGCGAGCTGCATGGCCGGTGGATGACTGGTGCTTGTGGGGCGAAGAGAATGCATGCAAGGTGCCCGTGCAGGAAGCGGTTCCAGACTTTCGCAGACTGCTAGGTTTGGGGCCGTTGTTTGCTTTTGTGCGTGGGTGAACGGGATGCCGTAAGGCGCAAACGTGGGATCGTGGGTTGTGATTGTTGTTTGTTGTGGATCGTCCAGGTGGGTTGTTTCAGCGTGTTCACAACGCACTGCGGATCTATCCACATTACAGTGACGAGAAACACACCGCGGCAGTCTGGATAGCAGTCGCGGTGCGAGTCACGGTTTGCCGACCATCGTTCGGGCAGTTGCTGCTCCATTCGGAGAGCTTCCGGCCAAATATTTCTTCTTCGGCTTCGCCAGCAACGGACGCAGGATGCCTATCCGAGGAATATACTCGCCTAGGTACATACGAGCTCCCATAGCCAGCAAAACGCCTCGCTAGTATGCAGAAAGGTCTCGGTTCTACAGACGTTCTGGCTAGGAGGCGAAGTCAACGATAATAGTGTTCCGATCTTTCGATTCCGCGCTACCTAGTTCATGCATGTTCGCGTAAAGTTTGAGAGTGAAGTATCGAATGACGTGAATAGAATCTTGGAAGGAAAAGAAGGCGAGTCGTCGTCTAGAATGCTGGGCACCTACCACAAAGCCGATCAGACGATTTTCTCGTATGCCCAATGCCCTGTGCTCATAGGTTGATCGTGCAGCTTCACGTGGGTAGCCAGCAATATGGCGCCCTAAAACCAAACCCTACTAAATAGAAGAAACAAAAAGAAGCTATAGTCGGTCGTTGACGTTGGCTTTGTTAGTTCCTCGCCAGACTTGGAAAAGCATAGAGACGGTCTGAGCTGTCAAAGCCGTTAGAGATGGTAGAGTGCACGAAGAGTTTGAGCAGCGAAAGGCCTTGAGTAACTTTCGGAGACCGCCTAGTTGCATATACGCCGATCGGAACGCCTACCCGCTGTCAGTCTCACGCCTGTCCTTCCTGCGTACAGAACTAGATGTGAAGAGTACTTTGTAGCTTGCCGTGGGAGATGTGTTACTAGAGTCTGACCACATTTCTCGGGCCGGTCGTACGTGTACGGAAAGCCGCTTGTGTCTCTGAGGCGGGACTGCGGAAGAAGGGGTATGCCCAGTCGTTCGTGTGGCGGATGCAGCAAACTCAAACGTGGTGGTACGCTCGTGGAGGGTGGACTTCTGCAGCAAGCTAGATGAGGACCATCGTTGCATTACCTAGGTTGTCAAAGGCGCTCGTTGCAGTGAGGAGCGTCCCGTAGCAGAGGACTGAACCAGCACGTGTCGAGCGGCGGCGTTATGCCGTACCATGTATGGGGATATCGTGCTAGTATTGAGCAACGATCTCATCATGTTGTCAAATGTTTCTCGCAAATGGCTGATGAGGCAGATTTGGGTGATTACCGTGTTACCATGCAGCGCCATTGCATGTTGTTTGTGTGACCGACTAGGTTTAGGATCACCCTAGGAGAAGCAAGCGTGCGGAGAAGCTCGCAGTATGAGTATCTGAGGCTTTAGTGACCTTGGATATGTATCTCCGGTATCCAGAGCCGAACATGGGCTGATAATGGAAGGAACTTTTCCTTTGGCGTGAAGCTACGCTTTTGCTAGTCCGATGCGATAACTGATCAAAGTACCATCGGCATGTAGCGCCAAATAGCCGCATGACGATACAAATATGCTTTTGATAGTACCTATGCTGGGGAAGGGGCGATCACGACGCAGCAGACGTGCCCCAGCTAAAGGAAGGAGAGAAGTACCGAGCATCAGGTTCCAAAAGCACAGCTACCCGTAAGGCTCGATGTCACTCGGCAGACCCGATGAGATGGCCCAGCTTACCGTGAGACCGTGACACAAGACAAACAAGCCACGAAGCTTACTGCGCAAGGTTTCTCCTTACTTTGGAGCCTTGACATCAATCAATGTAGCAGTCCCTCCCAGGTGTCAGTATCCGATCTGCGGCGTACCGTGCTCATTCGTTTATCTGTGACGCCGAATAGTGTCCATCACATTCTCGCAAAGGGTAAGCGAACAAGGTTCTGCAGGTTTCGCCTAAGAAAAGGACGGTTCGGGGTACTTGCATGGCGCTCAAAAAGCATGCCTCCGGGGTGCGTACGGAATCCGGAAGAAAGAAAGAGATTGATGCAAGTACGGTATACGGGTGACATGGAACGCACATGTGATTGACGAACAGCCACATTTTTCTGCAGAACCGAGGGACGATGTCATTCCGTACGAAGCGAGATTTCAACGCCCTCTAGGGTAGGTTTCATCGATATAGTTCCAATATGAGCTGAAAGCAAATCTTGATGCCGTTGAGCGACCAGGGCACTTCTTCCTATCGCATGCTAAAATTTCCCAAGACCGTTTTCTTGCTGAATATTGCCTAACTCGGAACGAAATTAGCATACCTATAGATGCATGCAATTCATCCAGCGAATGGGCAAAGGCACTTCGATCGCATTAAAATGTCTGGACCTAGATTCGGCAAAACGTTGACTGGCCATCGCCACACTTGCGCAGCTGGATCAACAACGAACAAAAAGCTTGTTGTATGGACATTGTCTGACACGAGAGGGCCACGGGTGGGATGCATGTGATGCAAAAGGATGGGGTTGAGGGATTTCTTGCTGGAAAGTGGCTAGCGGCAGAAGGAACAACACAGGTTGGTGTGGACTGGTGATGATGATGATGATGATTGCCACACCCACCAGCCGTGCTCCTTGGCATAATGTCATCCTTACACCAGTTTGCTCCGTAAGCCTTTCTGCACGTCACTCGACGCCACTACCCGCGCGCAGCACCGTACGAGATGAGCACGTATTTGCTGATTGCTGAGAGACCTTCGGTAGCGATGACCGTTATTACTTTTGATCGGACATTCACCATGCTTGTCATATGACGAAGGATTGGCGGCCGCAAAAACAAACTCTCTGTAACGGTGCCTTTCCTTGCCTGAATGCGTGTTGCGATTGGTGCCGAAGAAGTTTTCCGGTGACGCCTAACTGCAAGTGTAAGCGGATGTACATTGTACGCGACGTGCTAAGGTATCTTGGAGGCATCGGTAGCCGACACGACACGAGGGCAACGGAAGCTGAGGGACGTTTGATGGTTGACTGGCGATTCAGCCCTCCTTGAAGACCAGCTGACCGGCCAGCAAGCGAGACAGGGACCATAGCAATGGCGTTCGTATGGCTGAGACATGTTTACAGCTGCCTGTGTGTCATTTCGTGGTATGCCTCTAACAGCAGCAGGATCGCATCCTGGAGGACGATTGCCGCGCAGGTCCAACAACATGGCAATAACAACAGTACACCATCTCAGCCACGAGTAGCTTAGCATAGCCTCGCCAACCTCCATCTAGTTGTACATCGTGTGGCCTGAGGAATCCGTTTAGGCGGCCGCCTCCAGTCTCCCAACAAAGATCTGCGCTAAGGGGATGGCGGAAAGCGCAGAGATGAGTCTCGATCCTGCATTCAGGTTATCAATCGGCCACGACCTGCATCCGGTATCCGCTGCCTTCCATCCATAATTCCCCTTGAGAGTGCGCCTAGTAATCTTACACATTCACTTAGACCTCTAGCAGTTAGGACAATGAGGCAGGGCGCAATCCCGGCGTGATAGTCCCCGTCGAGTCAAGCAGGCTACTGCACACTTGCACACTCGGCACACAGACGACCATGCACATATCGGCCTTGGTGGAGCCTGTGATTTGCTGGTGGCTCTAGGCTTACAGCGTAAATCGCGATGGAGACTTTACGGATGCATATGGATGATGCCCAGGCCGTGGAGCCTGGGTGGGGTGACAAGACAAAGTGGTTGGGTACGAGATTGATTTCTTGCGCAAGCGTATGTACGATTTGGGCTGGATGCAGAACTGCGGCAGGGTGGCTGCAGATTGATGCGTTGTGTGAGTGGGTCGACAACGTTGGGTGTGGTCGAAGCGCACTTTCGGTGTGAACATCATGGAAAGAGACATGTACTAAGGGCAATGTCAAGAAAGCGAACACAAGTCAAGTGATGGGATGAGAATATGTGGCTTTCTTAGTCTGCTTGCGACTGTCGTCGCAGCGACCGTATGTATGTTTTTGCATTTGTTTGAGTTTGCTCGGGGCAAATATTGCTGTCCTTCTTGTGGGACCTACTACCGTACATTGTTGAGCTAGTGCTCTGGTATCTCTTGATGTGAAATTTGAACGAACGTGATGGCAGTAGACCTCTACCGGTCCAATACCCAACAAGAACAACTCCGGGAAATGCCCAATGACCCCACTCCTAATATACGTGGCAAAAATCGATGGTTACCACACCAGAATCAAACTCCGTGCCATCAAGGCGATTGCCCAAGTTAAACGAGTAGCCAGATAGTTCTAAAGTCCAGAGCCGGAGTATCATCCGGACTGGTCTAGTTTTATAACGCCAAAGAAA